CCTAACCCTAACCCTAACCCTAACCCTAACCCTAACCCTAACCCTAACCCTAACCCTAACCCTAACCCTAACCCTAACCCTAACCCTAACCCTAACCCTAACCCTAACCCTAACCCTAATAGTAGGGCTAATATAGAGCTAAAACATAGGGTCCTAGCGCTAAAAAGCTACGCTAATTAAACCCTAATTACTTAAATTATTACTACTTACTTATAATTATATATCTACTCTCTCTATAGTATATATAATAATTATAGTAGTTTGCTTAATAATAAGTATTACTAAGGAACTCCTCGAAGCTATTATATATTAGATATAAATACTAGTTATATTAGAGCTATATCTTTAATATATTAAAGATCTATTTAATAGAGTTAAGATCTAGCGAATATAGTAGTAAATACTCTAATTATATACTAGCGATTATATATATCTCTCTAATCTCTAGACTATAATATATAGTATAGTTATCTATAATAAGGATATAGTAGCTACTTATTAGCTATAGTAATATAGTGTCGCGAATCTATTTAAGATACTACTTCTTATTAACTAAACCTTTAATAATTAACGTAGCCTTATCGATATAGCTATTATATATTAATAATAGTAATATAGAGAACTAATCTCTTTTATTTATAGCTATTAGACTAAATATATCTTAGCCTCTTAGTAACTAGCTATATTTACGCTATCTAGTTCGTTAATTCGTAGCGCTCTTATTATAGAAAATAAGCTAGTTACTTATCTAGTTAAGATACTTCTTTTACTAAAGCGCTCTTAATAGTATACTAGCTACCTTTACTTATATATATATAAGTTTCCGAGACTAGTTATAGCGCTATAGAATAGACTATATAGTAGTAGCGCTAATATTAATACTATACTTATTTAGTATTATAAGAGCTAGCTTATTAAGATATATACTTAGATAATTAGAGAGATAGTTAAGAAGCTACTAAGCGAGTATATTAGTAAGAGTAGTTATATAAGCTTAAATATATATCTCTTTCTATACTATAGTTAATACTTATAGCTAGCCTCTTCGAGTAATAGAAGATAGATATATCTTACTAAAGAGATTAAAACTTAGCCTCTAATACTATATAGTATATATAGAGATCTATAACTCCTTACTAATAGCTATATATAATATCTAGCTATTATAGAGAAGGTTATATATATAAGTCGTTATATATAGAGAGTACCGCTTTACTATTATAGCTACTATATAACTATATAACGCCTATATAGCTAATAATACTTTAAATCTAACTATAATAGTAGTAATTATATTAATTACAGCTTTATTTACAAACGACAATAATATAGCAATATATAGGCATAGAAAGTGTCCGAATTACTATGAGCGACCCCGCGAAGCAGAGACGCCAAGCATGCGACAATGTTATTCGAAACGGTTGTAGTGGCTCCACTTTGCACGACTTCAGACATACATCTCGATCTCGACCTTCAGGTACACTACAGGCACGTAGGTAGGAGTCTGTGACCAACGGGGCAACTTCATGTTTGCAAGTCCGTGTCAACGCGATTCGTAAGCTTAGCTGCTCTTCACCTTTCCGTCCAACCCAGCACCACGGCCGAATCGCCACATACCCGCAAGCCCAGGGCTGGTCTTCCACGGCCGCTGCGGCTCACCTACAACCGGCGTTCCGAAGACATGGATTTGCACTAGTTTGCTCTCCACCGAAGTCTTCAAAGGCAAGATCGATTGAATCAGCAACGGATTCGGCAGCTTGAAGTACAAGTGCATGACCGCAACCATCGCCAGCCCGAGGATCTGACCTCTGAGCATCGCGCGCCATTGTTGGCAATCGTATTGGTAGACCGTGGTAGCGTTTGCTTTTGAAAGCACCGTCATGTCTACAGACGCAGTCAGACTCGATTTCAAGCATGCTAGTTGGAGTGGACCTCGCCTTTCTTGCGTCGGATATGGACAAAGGTGTACAGATGGGCGACGAAGATGACAAGCTGAGTAGAAAGGTAGAGCACGCGCGCTCCGTGCAGCACGCTTGGTCTTCGAGTGGGAGCTGCCTGCTCGCCAGCAGGATGGCGACGAAGAGGACTATCGTTGATCTTCAACAGCGTCATCAGCAGGTATTTCAGTTCAGTATAAATTCATGGAGTTTACATTTGCGAAGCCATCATATCGTACCAACAGCGGTAAGACCTGAAAACGAGCATGGGCTTTGCTCGCAAAGAGTCCTACGACAATGGGGCAATGGATCGGAGGGAGACATATGTGTTAAACATTGAAGGACGGAAGCAGGCCTTTCCGTGAGCTGCAGCTTTTTGACGTATGCAGAGAGGAGAGGCTGACGGGGGCGTTGGCGGGACGGTTGAGTTACTGCGTTCACCCCGTCGAAGTCGAGTCTTCTAAAGTTCGGACTCTGTGAAGTAGGATTACGCGGCTTACATTGCCCTACTTTAAGCATGCAACTCCGCTAACCGCCTCAAGTCCGTTAAGCCCGTCTGTCATGTGTCAGCGACGGAAAAGCAGGTATCCACTCCCCAATATTTTGTGACGCATTGCAGGACTCTGACCTCTGACCAGTGCTCGTGTCATACCACCCAATCTCTAAGCCTCGACGAAGCGCCGCCCTATTGCAAGCGTACGCTCGTGACGTTTGCGACATTGTTGCTGTGTGGTCTGTGGAGGTTCACCGATCCTTCGCGACACGAGGCGCCAGTCCGGATCAGCACGGCGAACACTGATCCGTACTCGATTGCCTGACTAGCACCGACTCCTGCATGCTCTCCGTGTATCTAAGAACTAAGCACGATTGAGCGAACCTCGGAGAGGTAGAATTGCGTGAGCAGCATTGGTCATAAGCAGGGTATGTCCAATAGTGCAAGCTTGTAGGATTCTTCGACCCAATGGCCGCCGTGATCGGGAGAGAGGACAGGGAAGGAAATCCCGAGAGTCTTGCCGGTGATCTCATGCTTACTAGTGCGAATATGGCCCTGTTCGGTTCAGGCGTTGTTGGGCATATCATGTGCTGATATGCTGGCATGCTTGCTACGGCTACACGACGCTGATCGTCCGAAGTGAGACAATGTTGCCAGACATGCGCACGTCTTGACAATAGCGACTGGACGGGTCTCAATGTATCGAGACGGCTAAGGCATCGTGCAGGAATATTTTGCAGAGTGTTCAGTGTAGAGGCAGGCAGTCACGCCTGGCCTGCCCTCTGATGCTTCGCTTGCTAACCGTCTCGGCGTCTGTCATTGTGTCGCATCCGATCGTGATCATCGTGCATCGTAACATGGGTCGAGCCGGATGTCTAGCCATCAACAGTCGAGCCCACACTGCTTCATGTGCTTCAACCCTCTTCCTTCGACTCACTCACAACGGCCGTCCCTATCCCCTTCGAGCGCAGCTCGACTTCTGCCACCAACAGACGAATTTGCTCGTGTCGGCTCAGGCCAACTCTGTAGCAGGAAAGAACCGACACCCTCCGTACCCCTTCGCAATCAAACTCTGCACGTCCACATTTGTCTTGCCCGCCCACAGCTTCAGCAAGATGAAGCGCCCACTAATTGCCGGCTCGAACTTGATGGCAACCTTATGCTTACCCCCTCGAATCCGAAACCGTGCGCATGTAACATTAGGATCGTCGTTCGCCTCATGAACCGCATTAGTAGCTTCGGCACTGCTAGCCATTGGTGGTGGTAGAGGAGCTGCCTCGACGGCCTCCTCCACCAATTGTCGCGTTCTCGCGTCGTTACGGCTGGGGTTGAAAGGAGGGTACATGGATCTTGGCACACTGCTTACAATGGACGAATCGTTGGCGAAATGTAGGCCGTTGAGTCCCGACCACCGTTCGTCACGATCGTAAGCCTCAACCTCATACCGCCGCCGCATTTGGCGGAGGCGTTGAAGGCGGAAGTCGATAACCTCCTGGCTCGAGGCTTCTTCGGGACCGACGTCGGCGTCTTCGTCACTGCTTAGAACCGTGACTGGGGCATGCTCGGTCTCGGAGTGGGCCGGAGAGTCTAGGCTGTTCGTGGAGACGAGGGCAGGAATTTCGCAGTGCGCTTCCGGGTCAGTACGACCGAAACCAAAGTCGGAGCCGTAGTAGTCTGCGTGGGTGGCTGTGCCTGTGTAGGCTAAGTCATGAGCGGCATCTGCTGCACGGGCGTAGTCTTGCTCGCGTTGTGGTTGGGATAAGGCGGCGTTGATCTCCGGGTCTCGCAAAGCGTCAGAGAGGCTGAGACGCTCTTCAGGTGCGGAGCGGATGTTGCTAGGCTGCCGGCGGTTATAATAGGGTGGGCTGTGGATACCTTGACGACGGGCGTGGGGTGGCGGGTCGAGGTATTTATGCAGGTCGGAGAGGTTCATAGCGATGTAGACCAGGCCTTCGCGGACACTAATCACTTGTCAAGAGCGCTTTCTGATGAGGAGAAGGCTAGAATGGGGACTTACGGAGCAGTAAAGCCGTGTTCAGGCCCGACGACGTGCAGCTTCTCAAGGCAGAAGGGTGTGTGGTCGGCATGGCCCAGCACGATACTACTGCTCGGTCGCTCGGAGCAGTATACGCTCTTATTATGGTGTAAGACGTTCTTCGCGCCCAAATACAACCCTGGATTGCGTGAATCTGAGTGCTCGCCTCCATCGTAGCTCACCAGCTCCAATCTGAGCCTTCCCGGCTCCACCTGACCGTAGTGACCGTACTTAATGGGGATGCGTGGGGCAGGTAGAGGTTCTGTATCTAGCCTCCTACGCTTCGACCGTCGTGTTCTAGGAAGGCCTGTAATCTCCTCCTGTGTCTCCGAAGCCATATTGGCTTCCTCCGAAGTGCTTGGCGATCTGCGTCTACGGCGGCCCACCGGACTCAGCAGGGTGCGATGTCTTGTTGCATTGCGACCCTCACTCATCTCTCGCCGGCTAAGTTCACTGGTCAACTGCAACGCTCGCTCGAGCTGTTCGCGACGTGAGCGAGGCGTGGAGGCTTCAGTGCTTGGCGGGTCATCGTAGGCTCCGGGCTGAGACGGTATGTCAGCTCGCTGACCGTCTGTTTTGATGGCTTTGACATACCCTCAAATGGAGTGGTCGAGCCTGCGGCATTGTATTGCTAAATGTTGACCTTCTATTATTCTCAATCGCTTAATTCAACTCCCATCTGCTACGAGTCGCAGCCTCCATTGTTCTGCATTGTCTTGAGACGAAGATGCTGTGGAACACTACCTTGGCGCGTGTCGTGCGGCATGCATGTCATCGTCAACGTGCATTCTCCACCATTCGGCCTCCAGCCACAAGCGAAAGGGCCGAGCCGTTCTCAGCCATCGTGGCGTCGAAGTCAAACATTTGTGCACTGCTGCAACACACGTGCAATCGAAACTGCATGTGGAATCTGGTGAAGCTGTGCGTCCGCGGTGGCTTCGGTAGACAATAGGGAGCTGAGGAAAGTCAATTTTACGCACTGCATGCTTGCTCGAGGCAACAGGATAGCCCAGGTTGATCGCATAGCCATCTCCCACTACCTGCATTAGCTGGCCACCAAAGATTGGTATCGGATCCGATTCACGCTTGGAGGAAGCAGCATTCGTCCGAGTGAAGACACCGCACACAGATCCCACACTTCATTCTTCTGCATCATTTGGATATCCGGGCCGAATCTTTTTGACCGACGACAACGGCCGAATTGGCGGCAAAGATGGCCGACGCCAATGGCACGACGAGTCAGGCAGAGGCAATGAACGGCAACACCGACGACGCGGCCACGCTTGAGGACGGGACCAGCACGACGACCGTACCAGGTCTGAGTGCCGACGAAATTGCTCTATATGACCGGCAGATCCGTCTCTGGGGCGCTCAAGCTCAGGAAAGGATCCGCTCGGCCAACATTCTCCTCGTGTCCCTCCGCGCTCTAGGCACAGAAATTGCGAAGAACCTCACCCTCGCCGGCATCAGCTCCCTAACTATCATCGATGACGAGCCAGTCGCAGAGGAAGACCTTGGCGCGCAGTTCTTCCTGCGTGAAGAAGACATTGGCAAGCCAGTAAGCACCACCATTTGCCACCCATACGAGGCCGCAACTGATGTCGTCTACAGCGCGCCGAAGCTGCCATTCCCCGCATACAAGAATTCAACCCTCGCGTTGCAATACAGTCGGGTGGCACCCTCACCGACCTTGTACAACGCGACCAAACGTACTACACCCCCTTCTCCATCATCATAGCGCTGGACCATGACTTCCTCACCCTCTCTGCCATCAACACCGCCGCCCGCTTCGCCAACCGGCCCTTCTACGCCGCCGGAATACATGGCTTCTACGGCTACATCTTCGCCGACCTCGTCGCGCACGATTACGTGGTTGAGAGGGACAAACCCAATGTTCCCACCTCAATCGGTCCGGAGTCTCTGACCCGCTCCGTGCTGAGTGTGACGAACAAAAAGGAGAATAGCGGCAAAAATGTCGAAATCGTTAAGAAGCAAGAACTGTACTGTCCGCTCATCCTAGCTAACAGCTCGCCCTTGCCCGCGGACATACTCTCTAACCGGCGCAAACTCAAGTCCGTCCCTGCTCTACTTCCCTGCCTCCGCGCCCTGTTCGACTTTCAGCGCACTTACGCTCGTCTCCCCGGCCACACCTCCGCGGACCTAGCGAGCTTCACTACCCTTGCCACAGCCAAATCCCGCGAGCTCCAACTCCCACCCGAGACACTCAAGTCCGAGTTTTTGCGAAGCTTCATGCAAAACGTCGGCGCAGAAATGATGCCGACCGCCGCGTTCGTGGGAGGTAGGCTGAGCGAAGACGTTATCAACGTGCTCGGAAAGCGCGAACAGCCCATCCAGAATTTCGCGTTGTTCGATGGAGATGGGTTGGAGGGGAGGATCTACTCGCTCTTCACTATCCCGCCGGAACTGACAGCGATGGTGGGGCAGTCGCTTGGGCAGATGGGGGTGGCGGCGGAATTTGGCGTGGATGGTGTGAATGGTGTAAATGGTATGGGTATGGGTGGTATGCCGGCGAGGGATGTTACTGGTGCTCACCTTGGATCGTCGGAAGCGGCGACGAATGGAGCAGAGACGGTCATCTTATAATAAGCTGAGCACTCCAAGTAAGCTGGGAATGGTCGAGGTAACTAGTGCGAGCCGCATGTCAGCAGCGGGTTTGCAGCAGCCGACAAAAGTCGCGTAGCTTGCGTGCGACAAGGATGAAGTATAGCACGAATGTACAATATCGAAACAAGCAAGCATCCATCCAGACCAGGCAACGATGACCGCCACCCTACCAACACCAGCTATCCGGACCTGCTGCCCAAAGAAGCCGCTCAAACGCACGTACCAAAGCACAGAAATGAAGTGTGAACGAACACGCCCATTACACGCCCTCAAACGTCTTCTCCTTACAAGCCCCCGTCCCAAAGTCCCAGTGCTCCTGCTACGGTGCCTGGCGCTCGACAATTTCCTCAACCCACGCTGCGACCTTCTCCGCCACTCTCTTGCTATCATTTTCTCTTACCGGAAAGTCATGCGGGATGCCATAACTATCAATCTCCATGACCGCCGTGCCGCGACTGTCACCGACGCCAGTGATAGCCTCCTTACCATTGCTGCCTCGGCGGACGACGGTGGGAATGCCATTCATTGCTCGTTTGCGGATTATGCGGTCCCGGGTCTCGTCCGCCACCCAGTGATCTTTGCGGCCCCAGTAGAAGTACAGGGGTGGGCCTGGCTGTTCTCGCACGGGAGCAGAGATTGCGGGACAGGTAGCAGCGGACTTCGCGGTTGCGGCTTGAGGTAAGGATTTGGATCTCTTTGCAATGTACTTGCTCTCCTTAATGTCAGCGCTCCACGAGATGCTGCGGCGGCGGCAATCCATGAGATCCTCCTCGGACGACTCGCTGCTATCTTCCGCATCTGCTTGTGCTCCACCTTCGACCACATCGTTCTCCGGATCTGGATGCATGGCTTGCCTCAGCGGCGACGGAGCGGAGTCTTTCCGCCTAGCTGGTGAAGTAGGTGAGACATTCGCCGAGGATGAGCCGGAAAAGCCGCCGACGGAGAGCTGACAGACCTTGCGGTTACTGCTCGATGAGGAAGCCGATGAATCGGATCGCTGTGTGGAGTCTTTCCGCTCAGCGGTAGACAGGTTAGTGATGTCGCTCACCCCACAATCGCCTCCAGCGGCAATTTCAAGGGCAGTTTCGGCAAGGTTGATCTCGGGCTGCTGGGTGCCCCAGAGAGCGTCCGTCCAAGGCTCATGGTTGGCCTTTAGCGTATTGAGCTCGCATCTGGCGAGATAGCTGTCGACTTTCGTTAGCCCAGTACTTGTATCGCTACGCAGAGATATGTGATGCGCCAATGAGGCAGGTGACGGACATGCACTCACAGCGCTTGACGAACACCTTGTCGACTCTTGAGGAACATTGAAGTCGTACGTGCTGCATCCGCTTTGTAGCCGGTGAAGAAGGAAACAATACCGTCCAAGAATAAGTAAGGCATCCACCCAGTAAGCAAGCGGACGAAGACCTGGAATATGAGTAGAAAGCCAGGTACCGCAAGCAACCACTGGAGCGTAGGATGTTAGCAGAACGGAGCCATGGCCTCAATCATGTTGGGCAATCACGCACCGACAGGTACCACAAACCCACCCCATTCCCGCTCGACCCAAGATCGGTGATGGTAGGAAACAGGCAGATGCCGCCAATAATATTGAAAATTGGCTTCTGGTCTGGAAAGCTATCTCTGGTGGCACGCTCACGCTCACGAGCAATAGCCTCGATAAGCATGTACGCTCCGATAGAGTGTCCCACAAGAATGACCGGCATAGGGTCGGGATGTTGACCTTTGCTGGTGCCGACTGCCAGGGCCAGCTGCCACCGAATGCCCGCAATCTGCTCGCGCAAGTCATAGGGCCGCCATCTGGCAGTCTTTGGCCGGCTTTGGAAGCCATCGAGACTTGCGCCGTGGACGATGAGATTCTTCTTCAGGCCGGGCTGCCGGGTGGCAAGCTGATCCTTGAGGTGCATCATGAAGCTGCCGTAGTACTGGATTACACCTGGGTTACCTGTGATGAAATAGACGAGCAACGGGTTTTGTGGGCTTGTGCCATCAAGGGAGACGCGTAGATGGATCTGGTTTCGGAGTTGGTACATCGGCAGGTAAGGCCACCGGTCATTGGTCCATTCGCCGGTGGTAGAGAGCATTGGTGGCGACATCCGTCCCAGAACAATGACTGGCAGCCAAGCTCAGATTGAAGGGATAAGGTGCTAGTCAATACCAACGCTGCGGGAATGTTGAGATAGTGTGTGCACAATATAAGCAACGAAACAGAGAGGAGAGAAGCCAGATGAGAGGGAAGGGAGCCCCACTGGCAGCGATCGCAGAGCCATGCTTACCGCCTAGGGTCACACGGTGGTAAAGTTCCTGCCATAGACGACTTCCGTACGTCAAGCGGAGCGAACCTGCAGTTGGCACGCATCGTAGGAAAGTGAAGTCCTGGGCTGAATCGATGCCTTAGGCACCGACACTGGGACGCCAAGCATTTCTCCACCCACAGCGGCAGAACCGGCGCTAAGAAAATGGCAGTGTGGGCATCGACGGACGACATCGCCGCCATCATCGCTCACAATCTCAGCATTCCGCATACACAGCCACCGCAAACATGGCTGTCGGAAAGAACAAGAGATTGTCCAAGGGTAAGAAGGGTTTGAAGAAGAGGACCGACCCATTCGCCAGGAAGGACTGGTTCAACCTAAAGGCGCCCTCTACCTTCAACATCCGCGAGTACGTTCAGCACCACCATCACACGTAGTTGCAGTACAAGTTGCTGACTGTAATTCAAGTGTCGGTAAAACTCTAGTAAACCGCACGACTGGTCTCAAGAACGCCAACGATGCCCTCAAAGGCCGCATCTTCGAAGTCTCCCTCGCCGACCTGCAGAAGGACGAAGACCATGCGCACCGCAAGGTCAAGCTCCGAATTGATGAAGTGCAGGGCAAGAATTGTCTCACCAACTTCCACGGCCTCGACTTCACCTCTGACCGAATCCGCTCGCTCGTCCGCAAATGGCAGACTCTGATTGAGGCAAACGTCGTTGTGAAGACGACCGACGACTACCTTCTCCGACTGTTCGCGATCGCCTTTACGAAGAGGCGGCCAAACCAGGTCCGCAAGACAACGTATGCGCGGAGTTCGCAGGTCCGGGCGATTAGGAAGAAGATGATGGACATCATGCAGAGGGAGGCGCAGGCGTGCAGCTTGAGCCAGCTCACCACGAAGCTCATCCCGGAAGTCATTGGGCGCGAGATTGAAAAGAGCACGCAGGGCATCTACCCGCTGCAGAACGTAAGTATATTTGCTTGTGGTGGTGGCGAAGTCGGTATGCTAATGAAGGAACGCAGGTCCACGTCCGCAAGGTGAAGCTGCTGAAGCAGCCCAAGTTCGACCTCGGCAACCTACTGTCTCTGCACGGCGAATCGACCACGGACGATTCGGGCCAGAAGGTTGAGGGCAGCAAGGAGTTCAAAGAGCAGGTGCTCGAGAGCGTGTAAGCGAGACACAAGGACGCCAACGAGACGAGGCCGAAGTGGTGTTGCGTGCGGCATGGGGAGTTCAAAGGCTTTCTACATAGTCGGCGGCGCCGGCAAGTGACCGGTAATGCTTCGTAGTTCATTAAACGCATCCCAAGATGACCGCCGACCGTATCAGCATGCTGCATGTGGCGTATAGGGTTATGCGTATGCTGTTATCCAGTTGCACGCGTAATAAGGTTATATGAATCTGCCATGTTTGCTCTGCATGAAATAGGCCAATAAGTGCAATTCTGCGCGCGTCTGGCAATGTGCATCCGTTGATCACGTCTGTCCACCATCCGCACAATGCAAGGCATCCTCGTCACCGCTTGCTCGGATAAATACGCCAGAACATAACATTAATCGCGTTGTCCTGACGGATCATGGCGCCCAAAGAGCTCAACTTCATCACGGGCAATAAGAACAAGCTTGCCGAAGTGCAGGCGATCCTCTCCGCCACACCCGTCAAGCTACAGTCGCAGGCGGTCGATCTGGTGGAGATACAAGGCACGATCGAAGAAATATCGAAGGATAAGGCACGGCGAGCGGCTGAAGTGGTATGTTGGGTCACTACCAGCCGTCTTCGCAATTGCAAATGGTGTACACAGTACAGCAGATCGCTCACCATCATTGCGTAGATAAACGGACCAGTACTGGTAGAAGACACATGCCTCTGCTTCAATGCGTTTGACGAACTACCTGGTCCTTATGTGTACGTCCAACACCTCAGCCATCAACTCAAGAGCGGCTGCCCGATATATACATGTCTCGCTCAGGTTGTGCTGATGGGTGGTCAACTAGCAAATGGTTCCTCGCCGCCCTCGGCGTCCAACAATTCCACAAACTCCTCGCCGGCTTCGACGACAAGTCCGCACAAGCGGTCTGCACTTTTGCGTACTGTGAAGGACCTGGAAAGGAACCGACAGTGTTCCAGGGACGGACGGATGTATCTAAATTCATCCTTCTCACTCAGGTCAACGGATGCTTGCTAACGAATATGTGCAGGGCAAGATCGTGCCTGCGCGAGGACCTACACATTTCGGTAAGCTAGTGTTTTCATTTCGTAGATGCAAGGGTGAGTGCGAAAGGGACTGACCCTTTGTGGCGAGTAGGCTGGGACGCCTGCTTCGAGTACGAAGGACAGACGTACGCGGAGATGCCGAAGGAGGAGAAGAACAAGATCTCACATCGTGGCCGGGCGCTGGCGAAGTTGGTCGAGTGGCTGAAGCAGGAGGTTTAACCCTGCACCATTATGACCTTTGCCGCATGCTGGATAGAGCCGCATTTCTGGTTGCTTCACCCATGGAGAAACATCGGATCATCCTCATCCTTCTGAACATCCTCCTGCGCCTGCAGACCATCTTTACCGTGATCCTTCTTCCAATTCTGCACCCACTCCTCGATTCGATCCACATTCGCATCGACATCGCCCGTCTTCTCACTCCGCAGCTCAACGACCATTCCCTCATCGTACGCCTCTCTAGCCTCCTGCACCAACACCTCCATGATCTCACAATCCAGATTCTCCTGCAACTTCTTCTCCCCGTACCCTCTCTTCTTCAGCCGGTCATACAGAACCTTGTTGTCGCATCTGATCACACAGACAAGGTCGATGAGACTCGGCGGGAAGAGGTCGCAGGCATGCCAGTCAATGATCTGTCCTCCCTCCTCCAAGTCGTTCTCGATGCAGTCCAGCAAGCGGTCTTCGTCCACGATCTTGACGTTAGGGTCGTCAGGGTCAGAAGAAGTCTCGCCGATGTTGTGTTTCTTCACCACTTCATTAATGTCAAGGTGGTGCAGGCCGGTGCGCAAGGCGAGCTCTTGGGCTGTCGTGGTCTTGCCTACGCCTGGCGTGCCGGTGATGATTATGTTGGGATCGGTGCGGAGTATTTCTGGCATTATATTGAGTAGCCCTAGGCTAGTGATGGTCGAGGGTTTGGCAAGATTTGGCAACAGTCGGATAGCTGGTCGTGTGCGCAACAAAATGGACAGCATGTACTATTGACTGTGACGTAGGAGTATGCAGAAAGTTGAAGCTTCGGGCCCTCAGCCCTACGAGATGGAAATGCTTCCATCGATGCGCCACAACTCGCCCCAGCGCACCCTTTGCTCCCGTTCACTGTTGGGTGTTTGTGATGTTCGCGCGAGTGGTACTCTCGCGACCAATAGCTACAAGACGAGTCTACCTCTTCGCACACACGCGCCGCCCCTTCTCCACCACCGACCTTCCCAATGGCATCAAGCTGGCCTACGATCTCCATGAGCCGCCATCCGGCGCGGCAAATGCTCCTCCCATCATCTTCATCCACGGCTTGTTCGGCAGCAAGAAGAACAACAGGAGCATGAGTAAGTACGCATCCATACAAATACCACCATGGCTGAACAATGTCCGTCTGACCAGCCTCGTAGAGTCTTCGCTCGCGACCTGAAGCGACCCGTCTACGCCATCGACCTGCGCAACCATGGCGACTCTTCTCATGACCCACGGCACGACTACGGCGCTCTCGCAGAAGACGTGGAGCTGTTCCTGCAGCAGCATAAGCTGGAGAAGACCACATTGATCGGTCATTCGATGGGGGCCAAAACCGCCATGACGGTCGTATTGAGGCACAAGGTGCGAATCTCGAACCTGATACCGGTCGACAACGCGCCCATCGATGCCGCACTCAAGAGCGACTTCGGGAAGTACGTGCAAGCGATGCGCAAGATCGAAGAGGCGGGCTGCAAGCGCCAATCGGAAGCCGATGCGATACTGCAGGACTACGAAGAAAGCTTGCCCATCCGACAATTTCTACTCACGAACCTGTTGCGGGACCCGGACACTGGGTTGCAGAAGTTCAGGATACCAATCAAATACCTCGCTAACAGTCTGGACAAGATGGCCGATTTCCCATTCAAAGACCCAGAGGAGGTACGGTTCGAGGGACCTACACTGATCGTACGAGGGACGAAGAGCCACTACGTGGCAGATGAGATGCTGCCCACTGTGGGCAGATTCTTTCCGAAGTTCGAAGTTGTGGATATTGAAGCGGGTCATTGGGTAATCAGTGAGCAGCCGGAGGAGTTCAGGAAGGGTGAGTGCAATCCATCATCATCCCCTGCAATTGTATGTTAAAGTGCTGACACGCAGACACAGCTGTCGTGGACTGGCTGCAAGACAAGGAGTAGGAGCCCCGTCTCCACTGGGGGCCACAAGAAGCCTTTACTTGCACGACCATCTGCGTAGGTACACGACTTGTGCGTAAGCTGCGCGAATCGCTACGAGCAACGATTGCAGTTGAGCTACATGCTCGTCGCTAAGAAGTCCCTCGGAGGACCAACCGTCTGCTCGCTTATGGTGATTGGCCGTAGAGGTGGAGACGGCGGGCCAGCCATGCCCAGAGCCGGCCATTCCTTGTTTGACAAAGAAGAGCGAGCTCGGGATGCTTAACCCAGCTAAGTAGGAACGCACTACAGCTGCAACCGCCCCACCGTACTTTGAGCTATCCATAAACTTTCAGACTCCGTCGCCAAACCATTGCAACCTTGATAAAGCTTCCCAATGGGTCTAGCTAGGAGGGACCCGTTAGCTGTACAGCTTCACCGGAGAACTGTCCGTCAAAGAGGGCAAGATGGTGCGCCGACAACCGGACGATAAGAGGCTAGCTTCAGGTAGTCTGTATAACATTCCTCTTGTTCAAGCGTTGAACTTGCTGCCTCTCTTGTCTGCTTGTCCAAGAAACCTTTTCTTCAACCGTGATCATGGCCCTTCTGACTGCCATTACGCTTGCGGCGGCCTTGCCTTTGGTTGCGAGTCAAGCAGTATCCAACGAGACGGTCCTTGGTGTGTACATGTTCCACCGGTAAAACCTTACTCATCCCAACATACGTACTTCACCTACTGACCGTACCCTAACAGCCATGGCGACCGTACCTCGAAGTCAACCCCTCCCGCCAACCTCACCGATCTTGGTTACCAGGAAGTCTACACCTCCGGCCAATACTACCGCAGCCGGTACATCGCCTCTAACGCCGCCTACAAGATCAATGGGATCAACACGAACATCGTTAAGCAAGCGCAGATCTCCGTCTCTGCCCCGTCAGACACCGTCCTTCAGAACAGTGCCACGGGCTTCCTGCAAGGCCTGTATCCTCCCGTCGGACCCAGCTACGACACTGAGACGCTGCGGGATGGCACCGTAGTGACTGCGCCCATGCAAGGGTATCAGCTGATCCCAGTCGCACTCGTGAGTGCCGGCACTAGTAGCGAGGACAGCGGCTGGCTTCAGGGTGCAAGCGGATGTGCTGCGGCCACCGTGTCGTCCAACAACTACTTTTCCAGCGCACAGTACCTCCACCTTCTCAACAGCACCCAATCCCTCTACACCGGCATCGCACCCGTCATCAACAGCACCTTCACCGCCGCTCAGACCAGCTTCAAGAACGCCTACACAATTTATGACTACATCAACGTAGCCGAGATCCACAACTCTAGCATCCCTTCATCCAACCTCATCACCAACGACTCCTTCTTCCAGCTCCGCACGCTAGCCGATACGCACGAATGGGGCCTCGCCTACAACGCCTCCGACAACATGCGCGCGGTCGCCGGCATGACCCTCGCAGCGCAGATCGTACAATACCTAAACACAACCATCACGAGCAAGGGAGCAGCAAAGATCGGCATCCAATTCGGCGCCTACGGTTCCTTCGCCTCCTTCTTCGGCCTAGCCATCCCCGACATTGCTACGGTAGCACCAGAGCTCATGGGCGTGGCCGACTACGCTAGCGCACTGACCTTCGAGATGTTCACCAATGTCTCGACGGCCGTGAGCGGCTCATCGTACCCAAGCGCGGACAACATCTACGTGCGCATGCTGTTTCACAACGGGACCACGAGCAATTCCTCCGAGCCGACTGTCTATCCGTTGTTTGGGAGCAGGCAGATGACGCTCAAATGGAACGACTTCCAAGCTGGTCTCAACAAGTTTGCTCTTGGTACGACCCAGCAGTGGTGTACTGCGTGCGGTAACTTTACCGGCACTTGTGCGGCCTATGCGTCCAACAGCAGCTCGTCCTCACCGTCGTCGTCTGGATCAGGCGTGACGGCGAGCGACAAGAGCGGCAACGGATTGAGCCCGGGGGTCAATGGTGTCATTGGCGCCATGGTCACGCTGGCTGTCGTCCTGGGCCTGGAGGCGTTGGTGCTGTTGGTTGGTGGCTTAAGGGTAGTCAGCAAGAAGACGTTGGCAGGTAAGGATGGGGTTACCCATGTCGTTGAAAAGGGTGCGGGCAAGGCATGAATACGTATGCGTGACGACGATCTGGTTGTGTGGTCGATGCTATATCAACAGTATCCACTATGAGGTCGCTTGATGAAGTTTACGCTCAAATGCAATGCCACGCTATAGGAAAAACAAATTACAATGCGAAACTTTTCCACCACCTCTTCCGACCCTTATGCTGATTGCTCATATCCACCTCAACTTCTTCGCCGTGCCTACACAAATCAACGTGAAACCCAGAATCACTCCCACAATGCCAAACCACCACCCCAGCCCCGTGGAATCCCGGCCCGGTACCGGTACGTTCATGCCAAACAAACCCGCAATCAAATTCAGCGGCACCAAAATCGTGGCGAACACCGTAATCTTGCCCAACATGGCGTTGGCTCTGCTGCCCTGCTCAATGTGACTCAAGCTGATCTGCGACAAGTGGTTCGAGTGACTGCGGCCGAGCATCTTCTCGAAATGCGACAGGTTCGACATCATGGTGACAACGTGATCTTGGACGTCGCTCAGGTACAAGCCCACGTCCCCACGGGGCGCGGACTGGTACGCTTCGTTACATTTCTTCGCGAAGCCGCGGATGACGTCCGCCTTGCCGCCCAAGAGCCGAAGGAGCGACATAACGGTCTTGCGGCACTCGCCGATCTGCTTGAGGATAGCGCGGGAGTCTTCGAAGCGGGCGGTGAAGACGCTGTCTTCGATAGTGTCGGTCTCCGTCTCCAATTCGCGGAGCACGGGGGCGAAGGCGTCGACGATCTCATCGATCAGGGCGTAACAGATCCAGTCCGCAGAAAGGTTCACATAGTCGCGCAGCTTGCCGATACGCTTGCGAACGTGCGCTGCATGCGGGTTCTGGCAGAAACTGAAAGTGAGGAGACCCTCGCGGAAGACGACGGCGTAAATGTTGATCGGCTCGAGGTAGTCCTCGCTGGTCTTGTCGACGGCGTAGAAGCTACGGAAGCACATGAAGTAGTAGCTGCGGAAGAGCTCGACTTTTTCGCGCGTCTCTTGCGTGGTGATATCCTCGCGAGTCAAAGGATGCACGCGGAAAGCACCGCAGATAGCAAATACTTCTTCTTCCGACGGGTTGAGCATGTCGAGCCACCAGACACCGCCTTCTGGACCGAGTTCAAAAAGATCGCGGAAGGTCTCGCCTGGCATGAGCAGCCCGCCGAGCTCCGGGGCGTGAACGGTCTCGTCGATCTCAGACGAGAAGAAGGTAAAGCGATTCTGCATCTCGGTGTTGCTTATGACCCGCTTGAGATCTTCTTCGGAGGAGTCTGCCTCGGCTGCCTTCTCGTCCGTGACCGTCTTGCCACTCATCCCGGAAGCGTAATTCTCCATGCCCTCGAGTGGGACGTTACCAGCAGCTTCACCGTGTCGCAGATCGTGGAAGACACGCTTGGCTTGTGTCTCGTCGCGCTGACCAAAATGTGGCATGAACGGATGCGCGAGTGGTGTCTTGGTGTGCGTCTGCGCCACAAATTCTTCGAGGTCTTCGAAGTCGATCGTGTACGTGTTCGGAGGCTCCTCTGGTGGGAAGCATATGTCTTCCTGCACAGAGCTGCGGATGGAAGCCACGCTCGTCCTGTGACCTGCGGTGCCTTCGTCAGCGCCAGTGAGTCGGCGGCGCTCGTGGGTAGCATTGGAAATGGTGCGGTGCAGACTGAGGTTCTCTACAGATGCTCCCTTGCTGTTTGCGGTGCCTGCGCGGCCCCTCTTCGGCGGTGCGAATGCATCCACAGAGTTTGGAGGTGACGTGGACCTGGTACGCGAGGAGTCTCTAGAGACATGTCCGGCTTCGCGCTGCCGGTTGTGGATGGCACGACGGAAAGTGCTACGCCGTGCCACGACTGGAGTGCCCTCTCCGCGCCTTTCTGCATGCCACTCTTCGTCCACAGAGCGCTTAGAGCCGGTTGAACGGTTACTGCGAATGCTTCTCTCATCGTCGTCGAGAATAGCATTCTCAAAATCTCGCGTAATGGAGCCGTGGGCCTCAAGCTGCGGCGCCTCTAGCCTGGGTCGCTCGACACTAGCGAGACTTGCGAGTGTGCCGCGTCTGGTACCAGGATGGCCTTCATGAGCTAGTGGCAGGCTCTCCGGCTGGTTGCGGTGGTCGTCCAGATTTGGCTCAGGCGTGCTGTAGCGCGTACGCCCGGTGTCTTCGTGCTCGTCCGACATGTTGTGTGCCTTCAACAGACGCTCTATTATACTCTCAATAGTATGGGCTGTATTGCTGCGAATCCGTTTGCAAATGCTGTGGTTCTATTCTCTCCTCGTCGACTGCGTCACACAGTCTGCTCCGAGCGTGCAATTTAACCCATCGGGTATTGTTGATTTCCGAAAGCGCTAGCGATAACATGCGCTTCTATACCAGCGGTCGTATTAGGCCAGTTATGGTGGCTGCTTGACGTCGCCGCCGAAGACGAACCAGGCCGGTCCGAGCAACGGGCGAATGTAGGAAATCGCCTCTACCTGAGCCCCCGCCAACTTGAATGTATTCAGATTGAAGTCGCCGTGGCGACGAGTGTCGTTGCAGAGTGGTGGGGATGTATGGGAATATCCCTCAGTGAGCGCAGCCAGCTTGCGGCGGGCGACGAGACGAAGTGACAGTGTGGTGACCCAGCTGTCGGGCGCCGGCGGTGAGTCTGGGAGTCAGAAGCCGGGCATATCTTTCATGTACCTTATATACAGTGTTGAGCGAGTGGTGTGCAGTATTGTCCCAAATGTGTGTTGTGCGAACGGAAGAGATGGTAAAGGAGAAGAAGTTTCGAAAGAATCTCTTGATGCGACAGACTAACAGCGACGCTCGGACCGCTTACCTAAGTTTTAAGACAAACTCGTCACTAACTTTTTGATGCTCAGCGTAGAGATCGTGCTACGGTTCTCAGGTGAGGCTTCGGAGTGCGAGATGGTGAAATGATCTTCCGGCAAGTATTATTACCTCAATCTTACGTTGACTGCCACTTCATGTGGGTGGGACGTCCGAGGTGACGGCTTCACGATCTTGCAGAATCACGGCTCTTGCCACGAGCCGTGCATTAGCTTCCGGAGCGAAGCATCATCCTTGCGCTATGCCGAGGCACGCTTGAGGCTTGACGAGAGTAGCTTCATGAATCTCGATTGGTATGGCGAGGCCAAGAACCAGGACACGGACGAAAGCGTGTTCTACTTGGCTAGATATTATGGCTGTTAAGTATCATTGTTGTTGCCTTGTCAGGTAAGACTACTGCGGTCGAGAATGCCCGGCGCTTCTACCCGCTACCCTTCATGAATATCAACCCCAGTAAACTTGCCGAAGAAGCTCTTGACTGCCCTGCCCGACCCTCGAACTTAGCGTTCACACCTTATAGGACTGAGGATGATAGTCCCGGTAGCTCAAAAATCGTGAATCCTGTCACGCCCGGACATGGCAGTCAGGACTAACGCCCATAGAGACAGCGTCGTTTTCATCAACGCCCGCAAGACCAGTGCGCCGGACGGTTTGCGATATCAATCCAATCGTTGCAGGACCATGCAGGGACAGGGCACGGGACAGGTATGGCGTGGAAGATTGTACGACCTTCGTCGCAATCAGAGATTTCAGTCGATACATGCACGTGCGGCGGCGTGTGGATTTGTGTTGTTTCCAAGTCGAAACGCGTGAAAGAAAGATTTTGGTCTGCCATCGAGGCGTACTCATCATAACGAGTGCCAATCCATACCGCAGTAGTAGAGCGAACAGACGGAGTACGAGGGAGTGCAAACGCACGCTAGGGTACAAGGGCTATGCGTGAGGTCGAATCACATCCTGCAGTAATGTAATGCCGAAGCTTCACGACGCAGATATCATGGTGTTCGAAGCGAACTTCTAGAGTCGATCTTTACCATCCTGTCACGACGTATACAAGATGACGGTGAATGAGGGTATGGAGGTCGTTATAGTGCTAGCATGAGCGGCAGATGCGAGGAGTCTTCACGTTACCATCTGGGTGGTGCTAAACGGGTGAGGTGCGATGCACTGGCTGGCGGCACGAGCGGTGCAGAGCGGATCTCCCGGAAGACACGCCGATGCATGCCTGAGGTCTCAACACCTCGTCCATTGATAGAACGAACATCAAGCTGCCTCCAGCAATGTCCTGACCTGGAGCTATAGTAGTGCCTCGCCCACCATGGAAGCACTTCTTGACCAAGCCCGCACAATCTGGGAAGGCGAGATCGTATGCCCTTTTCCTCTGCCCCCACACCTTCTCCCCACACCAACTGACGACCTCCAGGACTTCCACGGCCAACGCCTCGCCGAATACCTCAACTACGGCCTGCTCTCCCTCTTCGGCTTCATCGCCTTCCTCGTCGGCTTCATAGCACAAGACATCTACCAAACATTGTACATTGGTCTCGGCGGCACGGCGTTGACGTTCCTGATTGTCGTACCGCCATGGCCATTCTTCAATCGGCATCCGTTGGCTTGGCTGCCGCCGAGGACGGGAAGGGGGACGGACTATGGCGAGATTGTTGTGGATGGGAAGAAAGTGGGTTAGTGGGCTTAGGGAAAGTGTCAAAGGTGCAAAGCGAGGAGTTGGTGCGTATGGAGGCATGCGACTTTCCGGAACAGTATTTGAAGCTTTTAAGAATCTGATGTTCGTGTCGAGCTATGGCTACTCTGAGAGCAACGAACTACACGGGGTTGTGGTGTCTTGTGCAGCTGTGCCAGCAGCTTCATTCGTTGCCGCCTGTTTCAACGCCTTAACGCTCATATGCCTCCACCGATGCATGCGGCTTCCGCTGCCAATTCAGACGCCAGAGCTGAAGGGAAACTCCATCACCGCGTCCACCGAAGCACGGCGCACGGCAGCCTCAGTACTGGCGTCTTTGGAAACCTGGCGCAACACGGCTTCATGGTAACGCGTACGTCGCGCATGTTCGCCCATACGGCTGAACTACCGACCGTACTTCTGGAACTCCCAATCGCGATTATCGAGCGGGCAGACTTGGCGGGTCTTGAGCCAGCGCGAGATGCAGTGGAAGTGGAAGGCGTGCTGTTATCCTTCCATTAGCGAGAGAGCGTTCGAATATGATCGGAGGAGGGAGGCTTACGTTGCAGATGCCCCACGCGACGGTGCATTCCTCGGATGTGGCGGAGGCTTGGTTGGCCTGGCAGTCGATGCACAGATCCATGATGTGGTTGCGACAGATGGCGCAGTTGTCGACGACGATGTCCCAAGCCCATAGAGCGACGGCGTTCCACTACAACATCACATATTAGCTCTCTTGACATTCCAAGCAGCGCATCGCGTGGTAGTGTAGCGTACCTTCTTGACTTCGAACCTCTTTTTGCCATCCACTTCACCGCCCGCACTTGCACTGGCCTTACTGCTCTTCGTCTTCGGCACTGACGCCGCGGCATCGGTCATCTCCACGTCCGCCATAATAAGTCGTCGTGGTAATGTAGACCAATAGTAGCCTGTTGGCTGAAGATGGTTGGTACTTCAAAGTAGCGTAAGAACGACAAAGGGTGTTATGACCCGGTCGTGTGACGCCTTATCCTTTGCGCGGTGTTATACTGGGGTTGTTGATATCGTCGGGTGAGGGAAGGCACGCTCCTTAGGCCGCAAGGTGGAGGTATGGACCTCTGTCCCGAAGCGATGCTGAGCGGCGGTGGAGACAGGGTGTGGGGTGTAACCGTGAACTCTAGCAAGCTGGCGATCTTCTCAGTGATCGTGACACACAATAGCCTGCGGTCGCCGATCCGCAAGCTGCTGTACTGTTTGAGCGCACGTGTCGAGAATGTTCGCCTTCTACCTTGAGAGCCTTGCGTTAGTCAATAGCCCAGCCTTATCGATAGTGGCTGATGACCCACGGCTGAACCCGCCCCGCCACTGAAAGCAGCCAAGACGAGAGTGCGCTCTGCTCAGCCGATCGCATCATCCTCATGACCTCCCAGTCACTCGCCATACACCACACAGTTTCTGCCAGCACCTCAGGTACTGCGTCTCGCTCATACTACAACACCAATACACCAGTCACTACGCAAATGTCGACCTTCAGCATCACGTCACAACCCAACTTCCCACGAACGCTACGAATACCTTGGTCGCTTTACCCGTCCTCTCCCAGATAGCAAGCACCCTCGTGTAGCGCTGTATTCACGCCGTATTGGTGTGCGAAGCAGCGGATCAGGAAGTCTACAAACTCCATTCACTTCAGCTCGCCGGACATGGCAGCCACGGCCAACGACCAGCCGCTTCCGAGTGCGGATGGCAGTCTGAGCAAGAGCGACTTGACGGCCATCAAAGCTTCGCAACATGGAGAGAAGCGAGCGAAACCGCAGTCGCGTACTCGTAAGCCTAAGCCATCCAGTCATCAACCATCGGACGGCACCGTCTCAGACTCCGTGACCAACCCTCTTACGTCCGCGGGCGCAAAGAAGCCGGCGCAACAAGGACAAAGCGTAGCCAACCCTACAGCGCCCAAACCGAACGGTTACATGGGCAGGGCGAACGGGCAGAAGACACGGCCTGTGTCACTTGGGGGTCCCTTACTGCCCGCGACGCCGGCCAAAGAGCAAGCGTATGCCGGACCTACATTCCATGCTTCGCCTGCCGCATCCGCGCTGCCGATACCCAAGTTCTTCTCGAGGTCAGTGCCCGGCGATGCGAACCCTTTCGCGGCGCGCATGGCGGGAGAGGAGAAGACGCCCGAGCAGCAGTCCTCGCCTGAGCCAGACGTGGTCGAGCCGGAGGCGCTGCGTGAGACACAGCAATCACCGCTCGATCTCTTCTTCAAAGCCGACAAGGAGGAGAGGAGTCGAAGCAGCAGCGGCATGCTGTCGCCGGAGATGGCACAGAGGAAGCCTGCTCCTGCGACCGAACCGCGCAATCCATTCCAACAGCACCAGTCAGGCAAGAGCGTCTTTCTGCAAGAGCTCGATGGGAACAACGAACCGATGCCGAGTCCAAGGACGGTACCAAACGGCGCACGTCCGGATACGCTCGAGCGCGCACACTCGTCACCAGGTCTGCGGCCGCAGTCGGCGGGCGACCAAGACGATCGACAGACGTACACCCAGTCCCTCAAAGATCTTCTCTTCAACAACGTCAACAAGCCTCCAACCACATCTACTAATACTACGCCGCCACAAGTGTCACATGAACGCGCCTACTCTGCCGCTCAAGCGACGCAAACACCATCTCCCTACCACCGCTCATCCTCCGGCCCAACCACACCAGCACCCGTGCCCTCGTCCGCGGGCCAACCGAACCACTACGCCCTGCACTACGGTAACCGCAACCTTTCACCACTCTTCAAAGCCGCACGCGGGCCCGATACTCCCACCCGACCATCCACCTTGCGCCAGGAGCTGCCGAACGGAGACAATATCTCTTCCGCCTTCCCGCGTCCTCCACCTCCGTCGCAATCCAACGATCCTGCAGACCCCAACACCTTCCCACGCGATTACCTCAATCAACAAATCCGCGACTACAGACCCGCTTCTCTGCCGCAACTCCCTTTCACCAATGGCTCCAGGCCGGGCGCTTCTGGTAATGCTTCGACTTCTGAATCCACTGCTGCAAACGGCGCTATGCTTCCTTCTAATGCTTCTCCACGCGCAGGCGCCACTGGCGGCTCTTCATCACGAGATATACGCAGTATGGAGGATGATCTCCGCCGGATGTTGAAGCTTAATGTTCTGGGTTGATTTGTCGGCTTTGTTTCGACATTCGTTTGGGTTTCGGCCGGGTTCGGTCTGCTTTCCAATGATGGCATGGCATGGCATGGCGAGGCGCTGGCGGAGTTTTACCTAGGCCCTCAGCAGACCTGTGACTCAGTCGCAAAGGATGAATCGCAGCGCGATGTAGCTACGAAGGGTGTTTGTGCTTATGCCTGCTTTCGCAGGCAGTCTCTTGTGAAGAGGGTGTGTGGAGGGAGCGTAACGATTGGCAATGATTTGCCACGACCGTCGGGGGATGCGGAGGATGGTGAAAGGGATTGCATGGTGGATAGATGACCAACTCTCGTCGCTCTCTCGACCGCTGTCAGATCACACACTACATGTGACCACTTTGAATGTCTACGACGCCAAGTTCGAGACGCCATCATCTTCGCTGCGTATCAGTCGAGCCTTCTTGTTCGTTTCCGCCACGTACGAGGTGGTGACTAGCTAGGTTCGAAATTAGGTTAGGCTCTCTAGTGCGGTTTTCCAGATCAAGGCGAGGCGTAAGGTCATTGTTAGCTTCAGTGCTGGTTACAGTGTCAAAGAGGAGGATGGAATGCATGATACTCAGTATTGTCAGCATCAACCTTTATCATGGCTCAAGAATTCATGAGTAAAAAGTGCGAGATAGTTGACCCGTTGAGTTGACAGTCTCTATACCCAACGGAGCTCGTTACCGAGAGCGAAATACATTACCAAGCATACCATACCAGCTTACTGCACCTTCTTCACCCGCTCCTCGGTCCCATAACTCCTATCATCGCTGCCCTCCACCTCAACAACCATCCTCTCCATCTCGCTCGTCTGCCTCTTCCACTCCTCCGCACTCATCTTCTTCTCCTTCTCGAACAACTCCTCGTTCGGCCGGCGATAACTGCCGCCCAACCGATCCCACAGCGTCGTGAACTGCCCGTAGTTGTAGTTGAAGTACAAATGGTGCATCGTATGACACGCGGCACCGTTGATGATGGGCGAGTTGGCCACGTACTCCCCGTCGTGGATCATGACGGTCCAGATCTGGATGAAGGTGAAGAGGGCGATGTAGGCGAATTTCTGCAAGGGGAAGATGAAGGGGAAGAGGTGGTAGGGCACGCTTTGCGCGTAGCCGTCGAGCGGGTGGAAGGCGTGGGAGGCGTAGGGGGTGGGCATGATCCACTTGTGGTGGGGTTTGTGGAGGTGCTTGTAGAGGAGCTTGCTGTGCAGGGCGCGATGGATCCAGTAGATGCCGCAGTCGGTGAAGAGGAGGAAGAGCGGGAACTGGAGGAGGTTGTACCAGCCGCCGAAGAGCTGGAAGGCGGGGTGGGTGAAGGGGGCGGAGGCGACGGAGTCGTACATGTAGCTGTGCCCGCGGACTTCGGCGAGGAAGAAGGGGACGGTGAGGAGGGCCATGATGGGGACGCTGCGGCAGGTTTGTTGGATTTCGAGGGAGATTTGGTTCTTGAGGTATTTGGGGTGGTGGATGGTGTTCTTGTCGAAGACGAAGAGGTAGGAGAGGGTGGCGAAGAAGAAGTAGATGGTTATCCCAAAGAACCTGACATCAATCAACATTAGCAAATTGCAGGTTGAATGATGGTGCAGTATAGGAATGTGTCTCACCAGGTCAGCGCATAGAGCGAAATGGTCTGCCGCCAGATATTACTCCGATCCCACGAACTCATATACGCGTACTCGCTCGGCTGGATGCTGAAGTACTGGCTGGCAGGCTGCCATTGCCATCCCGAAGGTGCAAAGCTACTGTCTGCGCCTGACGCAGCTGCCGCGCCGTATGTCGTCGCATTCACATCGTAGTTCTTCCACGATGCCGCAATGGTCGACACCGGGTGGAAAGATGATACTGCCGGAGCTAGTGGTAGTAGGCTGGCGTATATGCGGTCGAAGACGTATGTGTCGCAGAGCTCGAGGACGACGTCCATGGCGGTGGGCCTGAGGACGAATCCGGTGCCGGGGTCACAATGTCTCGTCTTGACTCGACCCTTATGTCCTTGTTATGTCCTCGTTCTCGTTCTCCTTTTCGTTCAGACGTGGTGTAGTACAGTCAAGAAATTAAGCGAGGGACATTCATGTACAGTCAGAGTCAGCACAGCATAGCCATTAATTGCAACATCGGCAAGGACGGGCATCATCCGTCGCCGCCGTCAAAAACCGTACGATTCGAGCTTCGCCCTCCGAATTTACAGTGGGGCAAGCTGTTGAGAGCTTCGAGGGTTCAAGGGTCCGGCTGCATGAAGTGAAGGTTAAATGGCGAAATGCCATTCGCTCAACTTCCCGGCCAATCTCCTCGCTTGACCTTATGCATCCACGGCTGACAAAGCGTCTTCCGTCGGTGATATGGCGGATATCCATGTGACCTTTCAATGTAGCTGACTCGTAACGCTCCGCTGCACAGAGGACCAGCTCGAGGATGAGTTAAAACCTTCCTCGACTGCGATAAACTTTTGATGGCAGAGGCGCTTGAGGATTGAGGTCGTTCATAGAGCACCGCCTACCAACGTAACTATCCACATAGCCACTCTAACATGCAATCCGACCCTCCTCTCCGTCTTCGCATAGTCATCCCTGGTGACCGGCGTAGCATACTCCTGCAACCACTTCTCCTCCTCACCAAGCCTCCTCTGCAGGTCGGCATTGCTCGTCACGACCAAAGTGTTGGCCTCCAGATCAAGCGAGTAACTACGCTTCGTATAGTTCGAGCTGCCCACAAGACTGATGCTGGGATACTGCTGTCCTGGCAGTGTGATCCAAATCCCCTTGGCGTGGTAGGTCCAGCCACCAGGCGTGTTGACGGTGCCCTTCCGCCACTCTTTAAGCACAATCTGTTGGCTTAGACCGGCACGGGCGACAGCATCCAAGAAGCGTCGCGAGAGGAGTGTATAGGCGGCTGGTAACATCCCACTCACGCCCTTGCTGCCGTAGAAGCCGTTCGCCCATGGGGAGGCAGCCACGACGGTGGCAGATGAAGGCTGAGACTCGAGTAGTAGCTGACGCACGTCGGGTGTCATGTTGAAATAGCCGGCTGTGAAGGTCCACCGGGAGCCTGCCAGTTCAGGCGTGCCGAGCTTCCGCAAGATGCCAGTTAGAGCTGGAAGCTCGGTCGAGGTGTCTGGTTTCAGCAATGGTGTAAGCTGTAGCAGCGGATAGACATGGGTGTCGCTTGCTTTCTCCATGGTTGACAAGCGCGGTGAAGGCTTGGTGAACGGCGCCAGCAGCTTGGTTGCAGACGCAATGTAGCCCTTCGGATCCTCGAGCGGTGCAGGGCCAACGTTCTTGCTCGGCCATTCGATCACAAACCCACTGGCTTCCAGGTCAGACGGTAGGACGCGGTAGCTCATATCCGCGACCGCACGGTAGACATTGTAGAAAAAGTCGGTCACCCGCGCAGCCTTGAACACATGGTACCTGTCCTGCCTGTTTGTGAAGTAGTCATTCGAGAGATTGGCACCAGACATGATGATCTCGTCATCGACGCCGTACAGCTTCATGTGCTGCAAACCCCAACCTTCGTTGATGCGTTTGGGCAGCACTGCCTTCCGCACACCGGTCAGATTGGGTGTGTGGTACAGACGCACGTCGACGCGCTCGGCTCCGAAGTCGCGGACGAGTGAAGCAAGTAAGCTGGCGCATGACGGATCGGGTGCCTCGCGGGTACCTCGCAAGTAGTCCGTCAATATTGAGACTTGGAGTTGTGCGTTGGCCTTCAAAGCGGAGCGTATGGTATCGATCTGATTATCGTCAACAGCTGGTCAGTTCATTGCAAAAGCAAGGGGGGCTTACAAGCTCATCTTCTGCCTTGCCAACGTACAGCGTGGACAGAAAGATCCTCCGCTGGGCCGTAGCGATTTTCGCCTTGAGCGTCTCATAAAACTCGGTTGGAGAGCGGATGATCTCGATATCGTCCGCTGACACATCGAACCGAGGGGTCAGCTTGTCGAGCTCGCTCGTGATGCTCGCCAGTGGCGACGCTGGAGACTGTGCTGGCCCTGGCGCAGTTGTGGTACTACCACTGGAAAGCCTTCTCGAAGGCCAGCCATGGCTAGTCGGTCTTGCTAATTGACGACGGAGTGCTGAGTGGCATACACGCGTCGCTGCGCGTCTGACTATCATCGAGGTATCATGTCGATGTGTGTGGAAAAGTGTGGCTGTTGTCAAGGGGCGTTGACAGCCCGTCAAGCGATCCGGCAACTTCCGAACTCCGCTCACTGCTCGAATGGTCCCAAGTCAAGCACATTGACTTCGGATTCCATACTCCAGCAAACTGTTTAAGAACCATGTCGACAATTCTACGTACGCTCCGCAACTTGCGGAGCATCGGTCTCAAGGTAAGCTGCGTCGAGAAATGCTTCAAGCCTAGGCTAACAACGGGTAGGAATATGCCCATCAAATGCAGGTACGAGCAGGAACAATGAATCCCGAGGCAGAGCTATTCGGCTGATTGTAATGCGTTGCGGATAGTATATGGGTGTGTAGAGGGACTCTGCACGAGGTGAAGAAATTGAGAGGCTAAAGAGCTCTAGGCGACACCAAACGAGGCGCCCTAATCGGCACGGATTTGTACGGCAATAAGTACTACGAGAACAACGAGGAGGAGCTACCACGTGAGTATGCAATGGAGGGTGTGTAGAAGCAGCCCCTGATGGCTCATTGTAGTCCGGACAAGATGGGTTGACTACCACGACAAGGAGTTTGATCCGTAAGTCGCGACTTGCAGTATAGCGAAGTCTAACGGCATGCTAACGAAGAGTAGATCTCAAATAGAGCCCGGCTGGTCAGTGAAGGCTAGCCTTCGCATGCTGCGCCCACGCTGACGTACTAAGGCACGCCTGGATGTCTTACCTGGTCGACAAGCCACCCACCGAGGACAAGATCCTGCAACGGCAGGTCCGGGTCTGGGAGCCCAAGGAGCATCGACCCGTCATGTCAGCTACGAGAAGTGCTTACAAGCCGTACAGCACGTATGTGACTTGGCAGTCAAATAAGTCTCGTATCGAACACTGATTTTCTGGCAGGACGAAGAACAAGTACTCGCCGTGGCAGCCTCATGCGATCGCGAGATAGTCGGGTACAACACTGACTCATACTGAGTCGTAGCGAGGTACCCTCGAATAACAACATGGGAAATGCACGGGGTGGAGGAGTCAATGGGCGTTCGGGCGATCAGAGTGTGGCGCTGAAGTCTGCATGTTGTATCATCAACCCTTGGTCTACAGGCATGGAATAGTACACCGCGCAAGAATCTTCGAGCACAAGCATCCCCTTCGCAGTGTCTTGGTTGCAACTAGTGGATCTCTGTGGGAAGAGTCATACATTCTACCTTCCCAATCGAGCGTAAAGCTTCGGCTTGTGGCTTGGAGGCCGTTCGTCATGTACACCGCAATGATCGGGTAGCGTTACAGTCATTCCATATGTCAAAATTCCTCATTGGTCTGATCCCAGCCTATCTTGAGAAGTTGTTCGCTACGCGCGTGTGAAAATGAATGGCAGAAGTTTGAGACCGGCGCACATGTAACGTTCGTTGCTGTTGCTGTGGCAGGGTGTCATTGACTCCACGCGGAAAGTGGCGTGGCGGGCATTGACAGCTTCAAGTTCGGTGGATGCACCTATCGATTCTTTCGCAGCATTACTTCCTGTCGACATTAAAGCTTGTAACATATTGACTGGACTGCGGTGACTCGTCCGCTCCCTACAATCGAAAACTTCGTCAGCCTAGCGTCATTCTGGTGACCGTGCCATCGCAGCGCAACCTTGATATACATCCACATTGGTCTGCGATGTTTCCATAATTCACCCCATCGGACAATGTTCGCCCATTGCAAGCGCGGCGTATGGGATCTTGACGATTTCACCAGCTGCTTTGAACGAGACTACCTACAAACACTTCTACCACTTATAGCATGTGGACTGTCACTGGTATTCCTACTTGTTCAAATTGCCCGCTCGGCCATCCGCGCGCGCAGGAAAAGCGGCTATACTGTTCTTAAGGACCACCTTCACAATGGAGTACGATCGTCGGAGCAGCAGGAGGAAGACAATGGTGACGAGGATGAGGACGTGCAAGATGCGGATTTGACGCTTCAGTCGACGCGCAGCCAGGCCAGAGTGTCGGTGGTGGAGGTGGACAAGCCAAGAGGTGAGGTCGTGATTGCCGCGATAGAAGAACTGGCCGTCATTGCGGAAGTTGGCATTCATATTGCGGCTTTGATGTTGCACACCGAGGGCCGGAAAGGCAGGGTGGCGCAAATCGCTGGTTTCGCAACCTGGGCATATATTGCCGTACTGACAAGTTCACGGCTACTGTTCAGCACATCATCACGGCTATCCTTTCCGCACCTGTGGTACCATACTTCTTTCTTATACGGATTCCAATGGCTCTGTACAGTGCTTCTCTTTCGCTCGGAGATCATCCATCCGTGGACCCGGTTGACACAAGCCCTCACCATCGCAGACTTTGCACTTGTCACACTTCTCACGCTGATCGCTTTGACTTCTCGCAAGGGCAACAAAGCAGTAGAGTTGGAACATGAGGGTGATCTAGAGCCGTCGCGCGAGCCGCTGGCAAGCCTGCTTTCCTTGGTTACGTTCTCATGGGTCGACCCGATCGTCTGGCAAGGCTACCGCAAGACGACCGAGATGACCGACGTCTGGAACCTGATGGCTAAAGACAAGGCTGCTGCCATCCTCGCTGATTATCGGCAAGTCAAGAAAACATGGTCCTTGGCCTACCACCTTCTCCATTACTTCAGACACGGCCTCCTTGTTCAAGCCGCATGGGCCGTGATTAGAGGACTGATCACCTTTGCACCGACCATTCTCCTCAAAGTGATCCTGCAGTACGTTGAGGACCCCGCATCGACTCCGCGTAACGCGGCTTGGTTTTACGTGATATTGCTGTTCGTCTCCGGCGTGGTCGAGGCCTTGGCAAGCGGTCAGTCGCTCTGGATAGGCCGGAAGATCTGTATCAGAATCAAAGCCATCATCATCGGCGAGATCTACGCCAAAGCACTGCGCCGCAAGGCTGCCGCCGGCTCGGACAAGGTTCTCGGCCAAGACAAGAAGAAGGATGAAGGCGAGCCGAAGCAGGGACTGTTGAAAAAGGCCATGTCGTTTGGTCGGAAGAAGAAGGCCGAAACAACGAAGCCGAATGACGACAACGCTCAGAAAGCACCGGCGGACGACGCTCAGGTTACATCTGGGGCGATCATCAACCTCATGGCAGTGGACTCGTTCAAGATCGCCGAAATTAGCGCGTACCTGCACTTCCTGTGGGCCGAAACACCGGTGCAGTTCGTGCTCGCCATCCTACTCCTCTACCTCTTCCTTGGACTCAGTAGTATTGTTGGCATAGGCATGATGGCGCTCTTACTGCCGGTCAACATGGTGATAGCCAAGCAGTTCTCCACTGTGCAGAAGCAAATCTTGGCCGCCACAGACGCTCGGATTCATACCACCAATGAGGTGTTGCAGAACATCCGCATCATCAAATACTTCGCATGGGAACAGCGCTTCCTTGCAACTGTCGATGAGAAGCGGGTCGTTGAGCTACGACATCTTCGCAACCGCTACATCGTATGGGCGATAGCTGCCACAATCTGGTCCGGCGCACCCATCATCATCACATTCCTTACTTTCCTCGTCTACACTCTCGTGGAGAAAAAGGATCTGGTGCCATCCATTGCCTTCACCGCGCTATCGCTGTTTAGTCTCCTGCGCATACCGTTGGATCAGTTGGCCGATATGGTAGCCCACGTGCAGGAGTCGAAAGTCTCAGTGGATCGCGTGGAGGAGTATTTGAATGAGGCAGAGACGGATAAGTACAAGCAGCTCGAAGCTGACGAGAAGGACGAGGAGGGCCAGCCCTTAATCGGCTTCGATCGTGCGACATTCAGCTGGGGCGGAAAGGATGCCGATGACTTCAAGATGATTGATCTGGATATGCAATTCAAAGTCGGGCAGCTGAACGTGGTTATTGGGCCTACTGGAAGCGGCAAGACGTCACTCTTAATGGCGTTGCTGGGCGAAATGACCATCCTGGACGGATCTGTCTACCTACCCGGCGGTCGCAGTAGAGAGGACTTGAAGCCGGATCCGGAGACTGGGCTTGTCGAGTGTGTCGCCTACTGCGCTCAACAAGCTTGGCTCGTCAATGGCACGATCAAGGACAACATTGTCTTCGCTAGCAAATGGGACGCTCGACGGTACAAGGACGTCATTATTGCATGCTCGTTACAGCGTGACCTAGAAATCCTGGATGCCGGTGACCAGACACTGGTGGGCGAGAAGGGTGTTACATTGTCCGGAGGGCAGAAGCAGCGCATAAGCTTGGCTCGTGCGCTTTACTGCAATGCTCGGCACGTACTCATGGATGACGTGCTGAGCGCTGTGGATTCGCATACAGCGAAGTGGATCTTTGACAAAGCGCTCATGGGCCCGCTAATGTACAATCGCACGTGCATCCTGGTCACGCACAATGCGACGTTGTGCTTGCCGTACGCGGACTTTGCTGTTGTGCTAGACAACGGCCGAGTGGCTGCGCAAGGACCGCCGACGGAAGTCATCTCGTCCGGCGCAGTGGCCGAGGACATGTCGAAATTCGAGTCAAAATCGGTGTCACGCAGTCAGTCAACGTTGCCTTCGAGAGTGCCTTCTGGCATTGGTGGTGAACAGCCTTTGAGCAGCGAGACTGGTAACGGGCATCTCAAGCCACCACGTCGCGAATCTACAAGCCTTGAGAACGGTGATCCGCTTACGCAGATCGTTTCCAAAGATATTCCGGGCATGAATAAGGTGGTGGAGGCTGAGTCCCAAGACGAGAAGAAAGCCGAAGGTGCCGTCAAGCTCCAGATCATCGTGTCGTACCTTCGTAATATGGGCGGCTGGATGTACTGGACCGTTGCAGCTTTGTGCTTTGCCGCACAGCAGGTCTCGCAAGTGGCGACAAATGTCTGGATCCGCAATTGGGCGAATGCATACACACGCCGCGAGGCTATCACGGTGATGGACAGTCACGGGAACTCGCCGATCACTCACGTTCAGAGCAGCCTTGGTGGATCAACGAACTGCTTGAGGACTGGTTCTTGTATATGGGGCATCCCACTTTGGTCGCAGCCAAGGACTGGACTTTCTGTCTCCGTCGCAGGTTCTGAGGTTGACGTCGGCTACTATCTCGGTGTTTACGCAGTCCTCGGCATCGCGTACATGGCTATTACGCTGACTCGCGAAGGCGTGCTTTTCGGAGGCTCGCTCACAGCTTCGAAACGCATCCACCGTAACCTTATGGAAGCGGTAACGCATGCGCGGTTCCGCTTCTTCGACACGACACCTCTCGGACAAATCATGAACCGCTTCTCGAAGGATATTGAAGCTATCGATCAAGAAGTAGCGCCCGTTGCTGTGGGTGTCGTACACTGTCTTGCGTCCATCATCACGATTGTCGTGCTCATCTCGGTTATTACTCCGGCCTTCTTGATCGCAGGTGTCTTCATTACAATCCTATACTTCCTAATCGGAGCCTTCTACATCAATTCTTCACGGGACTTGAAGCGGCTAGAGTCCGTTCAGCGAAGTCCTCTCTACCAGCAATTCGGCGAGACGCTTACCGGCATGACTACCATCCGAGCCTACGGCGACGAACGTCGCTTCATCCGCGAGAATCTGCAACGTATCAACACTCATTCCCGCCCCTTCATCTACCTTTGGGCCGCAAACCGCTGGCTTGCGTTTCGTGTTGATGTGGTCGGTGCGCTCGTTGCGTTCTTCACCGGCGTCTTCGTGGTGCTGTCGGTCGGCAGAGTGGACGCCGGTGCTGCGGGTCTCGCAATGACATACGCCGTCACCTTCACGGAGAATGTGTTGTGGTTTGTGCGTTTGTATGCGAGCAACGAGCAGAATATGAACGCTGTAGAGCGTATCAAGGAGTATCTGGATGTGGATCAGGAAGCGCCGCCTATTATTCCGGACAACAGGCCTGAGGCTAATTGGCCTAGCAAAGGATCAGTGGAGTTCATCGGCTACAGCACCCGTTATCGGAAAGACTTCGACTTCGTGCTCAAGCATATCACGTTCAAGATCTTACCGGGCGAGAAGGTGGGCGTTGTGGGAAGGACAGGAGCGGGCAAGAGCTCGCTCGCTTTGGCCTTGTTCCGGGCGCTGGAGGCGGAGGAGGGCAAGATCTTGATAGATGATGTCGACATTGGTCTCATCGGACTCCAAGATCTGCGCGAGAATGTGGTAATGGTACCCCAAGACCCTACCTTGTTCACCGGAACCATTCGCAGCAACCTGGACCCGTTCGGCCTTTTCACTGACGAAGACATCTATACTTCGCTCCGCGGTGTCCAGCTCATTGGCGCTCCGTCCGTGACAACTTCAGCCGCACCGTCAAGACCGCAGACACCTGCCCCTAACACGCCAACAAAGCAGCATTCTTCACCAGCGGAGAACTCGAACCCAACAGACTCCGCAGCATTCGAGAACAAGAACATCTTCCGTAATCTGAATACCACAGTCGCTGAATCGGGCAGCAATCTCTCGCAAGGTCAACGTCAGCTACTCTGCCTGGCGCGAGCGATGCTCAAGGCGCCGAAGGTATTGTTGATGGACGAAGCGACGGCGTCGATTGATTACGCCACGGACGCCAAAATTCAAGAGACGATTCGTGAGATCAAGAATACAACACTCACCATCGCTCATCGGCTGCAAACGATCATCGATTACGACAAGGTCCTTGTGCTGGACAAGGGCGAAGTAGTGGAATTTGGCGATCCGTATGAGCTTGTCAACAATGAGCGCGGTATCTTCCATGGGATGTGCGAGATGAGCGGCGATCTAGAACTGTTGTTGCGGGAGGCGAAGAAAGCGCATGATGCGAGGAAGCTGGTTGACGATAGCTGAGTGTGTCAAAGAGTTTGGGGTAGATGGCATTTGGTTGTTACCTGCTGAGCGTTCATCACATCCGCAAGGCGTTCCTACAACGGGAGGGAAGCGCTTGGTCATTGAATTCACTTGTATGCAACTGTACAGACATCTGCAAAATACGAGACCGCACGCTTACTTCGTGTCTCTCTGCTGCTGCTGCTGCTGCTGCCGCTGCATCCTCTCGGTAGCAGCTTTGTCGAGGTAGTCCTCTTCGTATCGTCGCCAGACTTCGGCGTCCCGTGCGATCGTCTTCTCTCGTCGAACTAGCCGTTCATGAGCACGGAGACGCTTGTCGGCTTCGATCATGGACCCGATTGTCATTCCGCTCATTTGAAGGAAGACCTGATGGTGACATGTATAAGTCAGTCGATTCCGCAAGCAAAGCTCGACGGCGTACCTTGAACTGGAAAGTCAACGAACGATATATCGGGCTGAAGGCGAAGCCCAGGCCTGCTGCTGCGGCGCTGAGAATGCCCCACTGCACAACTACAGGTTAGTGAATACTGAACCTAAGACCGAACAGGTGGCAAGCGGGATCATGAGCAGTCCTCCGCAACGGATGAATACGAATGACGCGGTTGCAATGGGTCCACCGTCTTGAGGACGGTGTGACGCCGGTATAGAGGGAAGATGCAGGCGTACCTTTGCTGCTCCGACACCGGCTCCTCGAGCAGCTACCCAAGCAGCCGTATTGAGCTCCTCGTCATGCACAAGACTGCCATGCTTGCGCACCATCACCTCAGATATTAGGATTTACCCGTCAGCATTCCCACACACAGCATGTACACGTGAGCAGAGTGAGAAATGGTGGCGTCAGCGAAGGCGAACGGCTGTGCCTGCCTAATCCGCTTGCATGCCTTAGGCGCCGATCTGCATAGTGCATGGTCCCTGCATTCGCCCCGCGATCTGCCTGCTCCATCGAGCCTCGGACGAACTTTTCCAGGTGGTAGTCATCTTGCATTTTTGAAGGGCGTGTCTCGCCTCATTGAACTACTCTTGCATATCCATTTCATTGCAACCAGTTCAAGTCCAACAGCAACGCCGCAATCCATACCGCACTCTAGTATCTCCACAGTATGGCAACCAATGGCAGCTCTGCTGAACGGCCATCTGCCTTCCGGTCACAGTCCAATCGTGCAGTCAATGGCAACGATACTGCACCTCAAGTAGCAAAAAAGTCTTCATCCAGCATGACAGCCAACGACCCCCAATCCTCTTTCGCCGTCAAGGCAGGCCTAGCACAAATGCTCAAGGGCGGCGTGATCATGGACGTAGTCAACGCAGAGCAAGCCCGCATAGCCGAAGAAGCCGGTGCCTGCGCCGTCATGGCACTGGAGCGAGTACCTGCGGACATCAGAGCCCAAGGCGGCGTGGCGCGGATGAGCGACCCAGCCATGGTACAGGACATCATGCGTGCGGTTACGATTCCGGTCATGGCCAAGGCGCGGATAGGACATTTTGTTGAGTGTCAGATTCTGCAGGCGATCGGTGTGGACTACATAGACGAGAGTGAGGTTTTGACGCCGGCGGATCCGGTTAATCACGTGGACAAGAACCAGTTCAATACACCGTTCGTGTGTGGGTGCAGAAACTTGGGAGAGGCGTTGCGAAGGATAAGCGAGGGCGCTGCTATGATCAGGACAAAGGGTGAGGCCGGCACGGGAGATGTTGTGGAGGCTGTGAGGCACATGGGGACGGTTAATGCCGAAATTGCGAAGGCGTCGTCAGCTTCAGATGCAGACCTTCGACAGATGGCACGACAGCTGGAGTGCGACTACGCCTTATTGAAGGAGACAGCACGGCTAAAGAGACTACCGGTTGTCAACTTCGCTGCAGGCGGGATTGCCACACCCGCAGATGCCGCGCTCATGATGCAAATGGGTTGTGATGGCGTCTTTGTGGGCTCGGGAATCTTCAAGAGCGGAGACGCAGCCAGGCGGGCGAAAGCAATTGTGCAGGCAACGACGCATTACAACGATCCGCAGGTGCTTGCCGATGTGAGCATGGGGCTCGGTGAAGCTATGGTAGGCATTAACGTGTCCGGTATGGGTGAAAACGACAAACTGGCGAAGAGAGGGTGGTGATCACGCCGGCAGAGTGGCGGTATTTGTATGCATAGCGAGAGGCGCTACAAATCCAGCAATGGCGTTGTTGTAGATGTGCGTCGTCATGTTTAACGTATGCTTGGCGCCAAATCTCGGTCATCGTGTTTTACTTTTGCTTCGCTCAGGCAAGCTGTCATTTTTGCCAACCTTCCCCCGTCGAACACGAGGCTGCCTATAGTCGTCTGCGCGATGCTACTCGGCCGAGTACGACCTGAACAATGGCATTCATAGGCTCGGCGCTTACTGCACAATCAATTGATCCGCCACCGTGCTGCCGGAATGCTATCGGCATCGTCCGGCATTGTCCGGCGGTCTAGCAAAGAGCGGATGAGAAACCAGGATCCGGCAACGAAGAAGCGACAAGAATGCATGCGGGAGCGGGAGCGTTATCCAGGCCATGAAAAAGTCTAGCCGCCTTGAAGAGAGAGGTTCTTTGCATGTTCGAACGCATTGCCTTGTTGCCCCGGGGTCCTCATCTTAGCTGCATGAGTCCTAATGGAGAGTCGCCGAACCCCTTCCTTCCATCTCCACCATGGCAGCTCCTAGACGGCAAACGAGTATGGGATGCGGTGGAATCTTGCAGACGCCTCGTCGCGTGCGTTTCATGTTGTTCCCCGAGTGACTTTCCCGCGTTCTTCATTACTAGGCAGTGTCTGCCTTTTCCTTGCCTTACTACTCCCAAGTCCAATCCCAGCCTCTTCTCTTTAGTCGCTGACTACTCGCCTCCTTCCAATTCTTGCTTCGTTCTATGGAGGACCGCAAGAGCGAAGCTACTTTCAATCGCGAGCCCGAGATTCACTGTTTGTTCGAGCATACAACACGGACATGGCAATACATAGTCGCGTGTCCGTCCACACATCGTGCGGTAATCATTGATCCGGTTCTGGACCATAACCCGAAGAAAGACGGCATCTCCACCGTAGCGGCAGACAACATTGTTAAGCTCGTCCAACACTACGGCTACATCATTGAGCGAATACTGGAGACGCATTCGCATGCTTCCGCCGCATCAGCTGTCTGGTACCTTCGAAGTCAGCTAAGAGACATGGGCCATGAGCCTCGGATCGCGATTGGACGGAGTACGGAAGGTATACGACGCCTCTTCCAGCGGAAGTATGGCATGTACGATCCCGGATTTACCGGTGCATTCGATGGTAGCTTCTCGGATGCAGATTCCTTTCGGATCGGCGAACTCACGATGCATTGCATGCAGTTGCCCGGCCATACGCCAGATCAAATCGGCTTCATGTGTGGGCGTAGCGTCTTCGCTGGCGGTGCGATCCCCAATATTGACGCAGCAGGTTCGAGACCGGAAGCTGTACCCTGCACGGAATCTGCTAAACAGCAGTATATCGCCTCGGCTGAAAGGTTGTTGAGTCTCCCTCTAGACTTTCGGATCTACAAGGGCCACGACGAGCTTGAGCTTCCCGTCGGATCACCTTCTGGCGAGCAGGACAACGTTGTGCTGACTCCGTTCGCGACTGTACAGCAGTATCGGGAGAGAGGTGTGAGAGGTGTGATGGGCGCCGCAGACGCGAATGTTGTTATGAGCGGCGTGCAGAGACCACGGGATCGAGGCCGAACCCTCTCCTTCAACATCAAGTCGGCTCGTAGGGCGGCGTACATTGCTCCCATAGCCGAGCTGAGCGTGGAATAGGTCAGTTGCGAAGGCATTGTTTGCAAGGCTCAATCGAAGAGCATCGGGACTAATGAGGCATTAGACGGGCGCAGCTTGCCAATAATATGCTTCAATGCTAGTTGCTGTGCTATTATCGGAGAGCTTAATGTAGCGCTATACAATGGACTGAACAGCTACAGCTGGGACATGTTCTGCGCATGGTATCAAAGCCGTGCTCAAGCTAACGGACGCGGTAAGTTCTGTAGAACAATATGTGGGCGCAATCATGTTTGCATAGCACTTGGGTCCCCTACATCACTTCCGAAGCATTGTTCATCGGATACACTATCATGGACTGTGTAGAGCGGTCCGTGAATAGCGTGGGGCTGGACACTGTCGTGGGAGTCGCGAGCCTGTTATACAGTTTTCCTGGGCGTACGGGCTAGTATAACAATCTACAAACTACAGTACCTGGATGCCGTGCTTCGAATAGTTCGAGCTAATGTGTAAATTGGCGGTGCTTGTACCAGGGAAGTCTTTGACACTGTCAACCTAGTCTGAAACTCGGGGCTCGGGGAATCATCCTTGGAGAGTCGCCGTTCTAACAACACGAATCGTTTATCATAGTCGACCACGAGAGTCAACATAGTAATAATTACATCGGAAGTGGTGCAGTCGATGCGCATCGAACGCAGCTTTCGTTCACAAGCATTGACGTGTCACGAGGAGCAGAGCACGTATCTGCACTAGGACGCCGACGACATTCCACAACCAAACTGAGTCGATGAAAGGCCGAAGCGTTGATTTTGGCACGCGGTCGACTCTATGGTAAATATGCCATCGCCAGTCAGTGACAGCTCAAGAACCCCGGAGTCGGGACGACCTAGTCTGTTGGCCTGCTTGGAATGCCGACAGAAGCACCTCAAGTGTGACGCGGTGACGCCACGATGCTCTCGATGCGTCGTTCGAGGTGAGTAAAGCGTTGTCAAGGTTCCACCGCCTATTGTTTGAGCATGGCTGACTTTCCTACCTATCAACATCCAGGGCTCGATTGCAGCTATACACCGAGCCGGCGGGGATGTGTGGGTCGCTCGAGGAAACGACCTTTGGGTGCAGACGTTCTGTCGCCACCACGTACAGGCACTACCGGATCACTCACTACCAGCGTCTCTCCAAACACCTTAGCATCGCAAAAAGACGTGCCTTCGCCGAGTCGGGGTCCGCAATTTCAAGGGCAAGCATCACATCCCAGACCCAATGTGGCTAACGGAGTGTCCGTCAACCCAGCAGCACCATATTCGCATAAGATGACTGTGAGAAGTGTAGCCGATGCACCACGACCTCCTCAGAGTGCTACATCAGCAGATCACACCGAAGCTCATCTGCTCAACCTGTATTACACGCACTTCCACCCGACACACCCGATCCTTCTACCGCGAGGTCACCATGGCTGGCATGCTTATCCCAACTACCTCCGTGTCGTAGTGCAGTTTGTCGGCAGTCATTGGGCCCCAAGTGCCCCATCCGCGCCGTTTCAAGCAACGGCAGCGCGTGAGCTCGAAGCCACTCCTACGGCTTCACCGCATACTGTACAAGCCTACTTGCTGCTCGCAATCGTGCTGCACGCGGGCAACGAGCTCCGCAATGCATCAAAGGCACTTGACAAAGCGATCGACCATGCTCTGATGCTTCGCATGTATGATGCTCAGTCCCCGACCTTGAGGTCCTCGGATCCGGTTGTAGAGGAGAGCCACCGACGCACTTGGTGGGAGCTCTGGATTACTGATGGGTATTGCGCGGCGCTCAACCGTCAACCTTCTTGGAGATCTGATGGCTGCATTATCAGTACACCACTTCCATGCGAGGAGCCTTCGTACTCACAAGGCATCATTCCGCTCGACGCCCCGACGCCTCAACAGTTCAGAGAGCGGCTCTTCGCGGACGACGACCAGCAGTATTCATCGTACTGCTACCGAATCGAAGCAATGCGTATCATCTCGCGTGTACTGCTTGTAGCCAGCTCGTGCGATGCGCATCCAGATGGAGTGCAAGCTGTCGATAATGCCATCGCCGGCTGGAGGCATCACCTATCCGACAACAAGGCCGGCATCCTCGATGAGCTGGGCGAGGTAGACCAGCTCATGTTTCAGGCCCACACTTTCATCCAATTTGCCAGCATCCTGCTGCACTTCCCACGAAGTGAGCTGCCCTTGACTTTCCCGAGCGCATCTGAAGTCGCATGCGCAAGGGAGATCGCACCAGTCACTCCTACGTCGACACAGCATGCCATCAAAGCGACGGCTGCTTCGAAAGAAATGTCGAACCTGGCAGCCCTGCCGGTTGAGCACTACTCACCTTTCTTCATATGCGGGCTCGTCTTCAGCTGCATGGTTCAGCTCTCCGCTTGCTACGCCCACTCAGGTAACTGCTTCGAGCAGCACCAGGACCGTGTAGCGCTCATGACAGGCGTGCTCAGATCGCTCGGACGCAGATGGGAGATCGCAAATTGCGCCCTTGCTCGTCTGCGGCCGGTGGCTAATGAGATATTCTACCCACGGGGCACTCAGAAAGACCCTGTCAATCCTGGAGCGCCGACGTCATCCGGTATGTCTGCCGATGATAGTGGGATTGACATGAGCATGGGTGCTCTACCGGCAGATCTGAATGATCTGAATTGGTTCGATCGTAAGTATTCTCCCAGGGCATAGCCATGAGCGGCTATGTGCCCATGCTGCGCTGACACCGACTCAGTCTTCGACGGCATGCAAAACCAACATTTCGACACTAATGAAGTCATGACCATGTGAGCATGTTGCTTGCCCTAGAACTCCAACTGCAAGTCGGACGCAGGGGATCGGCTTGGAACGGGCCAGATTCTTCTTCCATCCGACTCGCTGGCTGGCTTGGACACTTTCCAAGGCATGCCGTACGCTCAGGTAAGACGCGAAATTGAGTCGGTCACTTGGCGTCTGCTGACCGTGCTCGTGTTAGCAAGATGGCGATCGTAACAAGCACCTTGCCAATTCCCGAGACAAACAGCGCCAACGATGAGCCTATTCTGGCTTGCATATACGCTCCAGCAAACTATGTTTGAAGTGTTAGCGGCTATTAAGCGTCCGTTCGTTCAAGCAATGCTTACACTGCCAGCCACGAGAGCAATCAGGAAAGTCGAGCGCCGGTTCCTCGATCTGTTGCTGCGGGCAAGGATTGCCGGATCAATGACCAGATCTACCCAGGCCGCAGTAGCCATGGCGGTGCTAATCTCTGTCATCCTGAAAGCTCTCGCCGATGCAACCTGTGAGCCGGATGATGCTGCGAGTAGCCCGAGCGCGAAGTGTGGCCATGGCCCGATCTCACGCACCCCGTGTAAGTGCTGGATAGCTGCCGCACCGAAGATCATAGCTGTTTGTATGATATTGACCAGAAACTGCCACCATCTACGGGTGCCACTTTACAGAAGATGCACATCGTCAGTGTATGCCATGACTCAGACTCATCACCCTCGTGACGTACGCACCCTATAGGATTACCGATCTGCCCGGTGAAGATAGCACCCGCTATGAATGCGGCCAGACTGAGTCCAATGTTTGTAAGATTGAAAACACCGCTGTTGCCTGCAAGTCCGACCGCGAGCAAAACGGTGTTACCTTTGCAGATACGTCAATTGGGGACCGCAGCAATTCGTTGAATTCCCAAGATGTAGCCTACCTGTTTGATTGGATGCGAAGCCGTGAAAGTCGGGAAAGCATATGGCGTCCTGAATGCCAGTGCTGAACGTGAGAAGAAGCAGCTGCATTTCCACGAACATATCCGCTCGCAACGGTTCCGTCCAGTAACGTGTGGAATGCGGCAAACTTCGGGCGGCAGGCTCTGAATTGCGCTCTTCCGCAGATGCTTTGTTCCATGACTCCATTGCCGATGCCATAGTCCGATGGCGCGGAGTGCGTAAGACAGAGAGAAGAGAGAGTATATATGCAGAGAAACCCACTGGAAGATAAAGGTATCGCAGAGGCAAATCAGGGAAATGACCGCTTACACATTGCTCTACAGCGAAACACATGATCGCCTTAAGCCTTTCGTCTGGAGAAGAATTACGGCCTGCGCAGCGCTGCCCACTGGCCAATCACCATCCCAACATTGCAAACGCCGACCTCGCCCGCATTTGCTCCTCAACGGCTTGATAACAACGTTGCCGCCGGGCCAGCAATATGCTTGCGACAGGTATTGTACGTTTTTGCGGCATTGTCAAGCGACGATGGAAGAGAAGGCACAGAAGAAAAGGAAGTGAAGTGAAAGTTTCCCGACTCAAGGCGCGCTGTTGTCTGCGTTGATCCTTGATCCTAATAAACACCCAATCAAACGGTTCGAGCGGGCTGCATTAGGTTAGCTCACATTGCGTGCTTCGCCAAGGCATTTAGGGATCTCAATATGCCCTCGGGCTTCGAGACACAGCATGAAGAAGCATTACTGCTAGACTTACTGGTGAAAACACACCAATAAAGGTTCTCCTTTCGAACTGCCCATCTACACATTCAGCTTCTAATGCGGCCTGACAACTTGGTGATGCAACCTTTAGCTGCATATCCCAAAGTCTCTGCGCAGCTTGCCAGTCACCACAGGCTTTTTAGACGTGCATCAGGCTCCAGACATGGTAAAGATGGCGTCCACTTTCGACCGTTTCGACCCTGCTCACTCCACCTTGGACACGTGCTCAGTGATTCCCTTCGTGGGCTCTTCGTCTAGCTTCTCCGCAAGAACACGTCCCAACACCCCCGCGTCGAAATTGCCTCGCTTCGCCCACTGCGTTCCTGCAACGATCGGGCTAGTCTTGTAGAAGATCGCGTCAATCTCTTCGAGACGACGACCCGATGTCTCCGGATAGAAGAAGTAGATGAATGGAATGAAGGTGAAGTTGAACACTGTGAAAACTAGGTAGCCCTTCCAGCCTTGTGTTCCCATGGTGGAGGGCGTGATCATGACGGTAATAAAGTTCCAGATCCAGTTCGAACTCGTGGTAATGGCGTTGCCTTTCGCGCGGAGATGGAGCGGCATGATTTCAGCGCACTGTTCATGTCAGTCAGCGTATGATGAAAGGAGCGAGCGACTATTGCTTACGTAGAGCCAAGGTACAGCGAGATAACCAAGCGCGAAGAAGGTATAGTACTGTGACCGGTAAGCGTTATACTGACACACCAAACGTGTAGAGATTGTACCAAGAAGAAAGCAATGACACAGATCATGGACGCCGCATAGCCTCCATTTCGGATGGTCAAAGCCATGGTCAAGAAGCAGCACCCCATGCCAAAAGCACCGATGATGAGGCACCACCGCTTGCCGATGTAGCGCATGACGAAAAATGGGAGTATTGCGGAGACGAGGTACCCTTTGAAGAGATCAGTGAACGTTTGCACTGTGTTTGCACTGATTGGAGCGACGTACAGAGGCCATTGAAGCCAGACAGGAGCAGCGACAGCTCGTGTGACAGGCCGACTGACGTCTCGAAAAGGTACGAGATGTAGTAGCCAATGCTGCAGACGCCAGAGAGCATGACCATGGCCATCAGCCACCAGCCCAGCATGAGACGACGGAGGTTCTGTGTATCTTTGCGGTTGGTGAATAAGTTGCGCCAATTGTTGGCACCGGCAAGATCTTCGAGTTCGATTGCCTGGTTGATCAGAGAGACTTCGAGCTGGACCTCATTGTCTTGCGCGTCGGATGTGCCGTGCATCTTCATCAAAACTGCCAATGCTTGGTCTGGATGTTGATGCACCATTAGCCATCTTGGGCTCTCGGGCATGAATGGGAGCTATGCACCATTAATATATGGGTCATCGACGCAAAAGCAGGGTTGACTGACGAATGCGAGCAGAAGAAGGGCAAATATGATCTGCGCAGCGATGGGGAAGCGCCATTCAAGCTCACCGCCTGCAAAGCTAAGTGCGTAGTTCATCCAGTATGAGATGGAAGCGCCAGTGCAGACCAGGAGATACTGGATTGTGCCGAAGCGCTCACGCTTACTCGCTGGCAGCGTCTCGGCTTGCCATACTGGGATCAGAGAGGTGTTCAGGCCAGTTCCAAGTCCAGCGACCACTCGACCGACGAAGAATTGTGCCAAGGAGTACGACGTTGTCTGCAGCACCGCACCGATTATTACCAGTATTGTGCCGATGAAGATAGGCTTCTTCCGTCCAAGTCTCTCGGTGAATGACATGCTGCTGATACAGCCAGCAAAGCAACCGATTTCGTAAATGCTGGTGACCAGGCCTTGCATGAATGTGCTGGGGTATCCCATCGTTCTCAAGAACCCGTTCGCAATTAGCACGCCAGACATGAACCCCTGCAGCGATCAGCAACAGGTCTGCAAGGAGGGCAATGAAGGGAGTGTGTTCGCCCTCACCTGATCGTAACCATACAACAGGTACGAGAGTCCGCATGTCACCGTTAGCATCAGGCATAACGCGTTGCCCTGCATGGCTAGTGGTATGAACGGGTAGGTTGGAGGGACTTATTGTCTGCGTTGGCAGATATGACGATAGGTTGTCTAGGTCGTCCCGGAGTATGCGTTGCTCTGGACCGTAATTGAAGGTGAGGAGTCGTCCTGGGCTCAATCTGCTCGAATGTTGTATGTGTTTAAGTATTCTGACCCTCGGCGCCACCCTCCGGTGCTAAGTATCCAAGCTGGGGTCTCCATGCGGAGAATGCCTACACCGTAGGAAGATCACCTGATGCACGGCATTACCCTAAACGGTGATTCCGCTGTTGCCGAACCTCTAGACCGAAAAGGCAACTAAGCATTCGATCGACCTGTGGTTCAAGTGGACATGGCTGTCACCAGAAACGGCAACTCTGCTGCCGCCAAATCGTCTAGATCGAAGAGGCGTCGAGTCCATTCGTCTGTCATTCCAGTCGACGTTCCGTTCACCCTCGGCGTGACCGTGTAAGGTCTGCGCTCGGTAGCTGCCCAATCCGTGAGAAATAGTAGAGACATAGCTCGAGAATCCAAGCTCCTGTCAAGACATCTTTTACATGTAACATTCATCTGAGGTCTGTCTCTCCGCAGCAAACCACCAGTAAGCGTTGGTGAGAATGGTCGCCAAAACAACCTCAAACGGACACAAAGCTCCGGTCGCGTACCCACGTGGAGTCCATGTGCCATCGTTGACCTTCTTTCAAAACGATGAGCGGCAAGAAATTGATTGGGATGTCCAGCTGAAGCACTTCCGTTTCCTCATTGCCGGCGGTGTGCACGGAGGTACGTTTCGTTAACACGGCTCGTCCAGCAAGCCTGATAGTGACGCTTATGGCGTCTTAGTCGTTATTGCGGGAACGAATGGAGAAGCAGCCACCTTGACGGGTGACGAGAAAGCCCGACTTGTCAGCTCCTTGCGCAAGGTCTCCGACAGCATCCAAGGCCAGCAAAGCCTGCCGATCACTGTTGGCTGCAACGGCGGTTCGACGAGAGATGTGGTCGATGACACGATGGCAATGCATCAGGCTGGTGCGGATTATGCATTGGTGTTGGTACCAAGCTACTTCCATTTTGCGATGAACCAGGATGCGATCGTTGCGTTCTTCACGGAGGTGGCCGACAAGAGTCCACTTCCAGTCTGCATCTACAACTTCCCGAACGTGGTGGCCGGTCTCGACGTCAATTCGGAGATGCTCGCAATCCTAGGGAAGCACCCAAACATTGCAGCTGTCAAGTTGACATGCGGCGGCATTGCCAAAGTTGCCCGCGTTGCGGCGGACTTCCCACCAGAGGAGTTTGCTGCTTTAGCTGGCCAGTCTGACTGTAAGCACTTCGGGGTCACCGTCCGTATTAGGATACTAATGCATGTGCGTATAGGGCTGATTCCTTGCCTTGCCACCGGAGGCCAAGGTTGTATTACCGGGCTTGCAAACCTGTATCCGAAAACATGCGTAGAGCTGTACGACCTTTGGACTCATGGCAAACGGGCTGAGGCGGAAGATCTCCAGCTTGAGCTCGCTAAAGTAGAGTGGGGCTTCGCAAAGGGTGGGATCAACGGTACAAAATGGATCGTAGCGAGAATGCTTGGGTATCCAGAGTCCAGCGCAGCCTGCAGGAGGCCATATCCCGCGTTCGAGGATGAGGCTCGGCAGCTGTGGATCGAGAGAACAATGGCGCCGCTTGTTGCGGTCGAGAAGCGCCTTTCGTTAGCGGCAAAGAGTCGAGGAGATGAATCGGCGTTGCTGAAGCGTTCGTTGCACGTTCTAGATTAGACGATTGCAAAGCTAGAGTGGAAGACATCCTCCATGACTGAGCGTACATCCACTCTGGCTCCAGAAGTATCCTGCCTTCGCTGAACTTCTTCCAACACATCAGCGGTGATGCTGGCGTTAGTAGCGACACCTCCCATCTTGCGAATGCTTGCGGTGATCCAGGCTCGCTCATCCGTGGCATTCTCTTCGCATCCCCACATTAGCAGCGGCCACAACATGTTCACCGGAAGTGGATCTCCTTGCACAGTCTGACTCTCCGCCATCACCTTAGCGATGTGGCGTATCGTGCTGATGGCGCTTGTGACGTTTGTTGTTTGGGGTAGGTGTTTGTATGCCACGCGATGGAGGTGTACGAACGATGCGTAATAGTTTGCCAGGTATGTTCTCAAAGTCCGGGTGACGTTGGCGGCGAGCGCTGAAGGTAGGTATGGCTCACGTAGGCTCCCCTTGATGGCCAAGTCCATAAGCGGTGGTCGGTGACGATATAGCTTGATGATATCCGAACTGATCTTGGAAGCAATACCCATGACTTGTGTCTCATCCTCGACCGTACCTCTGCTTCGGTGCCAAGGGTCAATTAGCGAGATCCGGCCCATGAAAGTCTGGATGCGATGGAAGAAGACGGTACCGGGGGCAGAAAGGGCGTCCAGCAATGCTTCCTGGATGGTGTCGGCATCATCGTAAGCATCTGTACGTTCCTCATAAGGGGAATCCAACTCTGCATTGGAGAGTGTATCAGTCTCGTCCCGCAGGAAACGACCTTCTCCGCCGGCGCTCACGGCCCTGGCATCGAGAAGCCTTAGCCAGGAGATCAGCCGCCTGTCTACGCATGAGTCAATAATTGTTCAGATCATCCCCACTCTGAGCCGGGGCCGTCTACTTACTCAGCGGAGTGAGTGAGTCACTGGGTAGGTGTCTGACCGTCGTATGAGCCTGCTTCAAGGTTGCGTGTGCTTGCTCTGACCGGTCTGTCACCAGCTGTGCCGTGTCAGCGCCTCAGTATTTCTGGAGACGTAAGCACGCATCCACTCACATCGATGTAGCAGAGCAAGAAAGAAGCTGCGAGCAAGTGCTCCACCTGACTTTGAGAGCCACCCGTTTGCGAAGGAGACTCCGTGAGTTTGACCTTCAAAGATTCTTTCGCCTCATCGTAGTGAGCGACATGCTGTTGGTTGGGTCGCCGCCCTTCTGCGAGACTCAGAGAAGAGTAAGCTAGAACCGAATTGCGCACCACAGACGATGTGCGAGCCATGTCCGAAAGCAGCTTCCGCAAGACCGACCATCTCAGCTTGGTTTCTATGTGGGCAAGGATAGGTGGCGCGCTCGAGCCGGCGAATGTCTCCAAGAGGTCCGCGTCGGTCTGGACCGTTGCCGGCGAAGGTTCAGACAAGCCAGATGCGTTCGTGAGTGAGCCGTTAAGCAAGGGCGCAATTGGCGAGTTTAGGACGTTGCTACTTTGTGAAGCGCCTTGGCCGAATGGATCGTTGCGCAAGTCGAAAGCGCCCGTGTCGGTCCACATGAAGGAGGCGTAGTCGAAGATCTGATCTAATTCCGGATTCACATTGCTATCACCAGTGACGGACGAATCGTGTAGTATTGGAGGCTCATGCGTCTGCACCTGAGATCGCTCACTGTCGCTGTGTGAGGAGGTCATACGACCCGCGTGCACTTGAGTTGTCATGGTCGCCGGGCTTCTGGCCCATTCGCAGGCGAGGTGTAATCTGCGGCAATGGGAGCAACGCGACTTTTGCTCGTCGTGTTGAACAGCAGGACCATCGCAGCGGACCTTGCGCCGCTTGCCTGGGTGTGAAAAGTTCGACTGTTAGCGAGGTCCGGGACGGTAGGCAGCTCTGAATGATCACCGCCGTCACGATGGCGCATCTGGCCGCAAGTCTTCTGTAACACTCACAGGTCAAGCATGCCTGCTTAGTCCGCGGCGTTCGACGAGACAAGATTCGGCCGGGATCGTGCCGGCTCCATGAAGTGAACATGATGTGCCCCAATTTCGTAGCGGCGTCATGAGCTCAGGAAAGGCCTACGACACCTTTCGGCGCCTCGAATACAAAACGGTATTAGAGTGCCGATCGATGAACAGACGTCGGTCATGGCAGCCAAGATCTGATGCCGACGGAGCTAGTCTACGGGGGATGGAATACTGTACATCACCGCCTCCACGTCCAGTCTTCGAGGGGCGCGTGAGGGGAAGCGGTCCACCTCCCCCGTCTAATCCGTTCATTGTTGGACACCCTTTACCTAACAGACGTCGCATTGGCGCAGATGTGTCACGCACGCAACGTGGAGTGACAATGCTAGAATGTTCCTCACGATCATGGAAGGTGTGTTTACTGTACATAATGTGAAGATTTGTATAGACTAGAATTAAAGTCATTGAGTCTTGATGAGCACCAAGAACTGTACAACCAGCGAAATCCGTGCGCTACTAAACAACTCCTCAATCTTCTTCTCCAGCATCCCCGTCGCGTCTAATACGACGCTTGATGATATGCGCGCTATTGAGCCCAGCACCCTCGAAAGATTCAATTCACCTTCAGCAAGTGCTTGTTGACTGGCGTTATCGCGTCCTTGCCGGTCAGGACGCGTTCAATGTTCTCCATTGCCAACCGCTCGAAACCGATCCTGGTGTCGATTGCGCCCCCAGCATTATGAGACGTCACGTTGACTTGCCTCATGCCTGCCAACCGAGGATGCACGTGAGGTTCGTTTGCATGGACGTCGAGCCCCGCCGCAAATAGATGCCCATCTTCCAACGCAGCTACTAGAGCGTCTTCATCGATCAGGCCACCGCGAGCGATGTTAACTAACCTTGATCCGCGCTTGAATCTTGACAACTTCGCTGCATTTATCAACGTCTCGCCGGAGAATGGTGCAGCCAGGACTATACAGTCTGCGACCCCAAGCATCTCGTCGAGGGATTGGTGAAAGGTCGCTCCAACAGCGCTCTCCTGTTCTGGAGTCTTACGGTACAGGTCCTGATAATGGATCTGCATGCCGAAACACGCGTAAGCTTTCTTCGCGATGGTGTAGCCTATGTTGCCAAGGCCTACGATTCCGAGGATCTTGTCTCGAGGGTTGCAAGCAGTCATGGTGGCGAACTTATGCGCCTCCAAGAATTGATCCGGATCGCATGAGCGAGCTGCAAGCTGACTCCATTGTAAGTTCCGGAAGACGCTGATGATGTGGTAGATAGCCATGTCGGCAACGGCTTCAGAGGACGCAGCGGCGCCGTTACAATAAAGGATACCTGATCACCGTTACTGACGAGTGGGCATATTGGGCCACCTGACTTACCGTGGTCCGCCAACACATCAACGTCGGCCCAGTTGTATCCGGCGCCAGCACTGGCAAAGACCTTCACCGAGGATGGCAGCAACGAGATAAGTTCATGATCCCACTGGCCCATTTCGCCTCCGTTGTTCCAAAAGGGACGGAAGATAGCATGGAAGTCACCCCATTTCTTCTCCTTCAAGGCTTTCATAAACGGTTCCCGCTCTCGCTCGTCGGTTGCTGGGCGGACAAAATCGAATTCGGTTGCCAGTCGATTGTACAATTCATGGTTATGTTCGACTGGATCACCAATGTGAAGAACCCTTGGCTTTGCTGATCCTGACATACTGGAAAGCCAAACAGATCTCGACAACACAAAGCTTTTATTGCGCAGTAAGAATGCTTCAGCTTGCGTTGGTCTACTTACCTATGTCAGAGAAGAATGTAAGCTAAGGATAATGCACACCAGGTATAGCACTGTGACCCCAAGGACTCGACTCAGGTCGTCGCCAAAAAGCTCGGTACACCTGATTGCAGTGATCATCCGTGCATGCAGGTGGTACAACGGCGGGAGAGACAAGGTTCCATTCACGACCGTCGCCAAGCTCGGCATCTCCCCACACGGTATCTGCGATCGGCTCGCAGTACCCGAAAGTCAATGCCAGCCAATCGCTCGAGTTCTTGTCTCTTCTGGCTCTTCCACAATGCGGGTTACACACGTGTGGAATCCGTACCCCATGGAGACATGCCGTTCCCACGTTGCGGAGAACGTGGCCGAGACAACGAACTCAATATCATCAAAGCCAACCTATATATGGCGATGGTGCTCTACAGAACATATTGTAGGTTGAGTTATCGATATCTCTCCTTCTCTTCAAAGTGAGCCTTATCCACCTCAACACCCTAAGCCGTCATGTCATCAAGCATTAAAGACTACGACCTGCAGGTCAAGACCGTCGAAGCTCTTGAGGTCGGCCTCGATATTGGCGATGGCTCTCGCGAAGACCTCGAGAAGAAGCTGCTGCGGAAGATCGACATACGCTTAATGCCAATGATGATGTTGATCTGTCAGTCACTTCAGCATAGGCGGGTGAATGCAACTGACAATCTTCAGACGTGCTCAACTACCTCGATCGGAACAACATTGCCACCGCCAGACTCGGCTCGCTCGAAAAGGATACTGGACTTCGCGCTCAAGAGTACAACACCGTCATCTCCATTTTCTTTGTCGGGTATATCCTGACGCAGATCCCAACCAACATGATCCTTGACAAGGTTCGCCCGTCGCTCTTTCTGCCGGTCGTCATGTGCGCTTGGGCCATCGTCAGCGCCTGTACTGGCGCCGTGCGGAACTATTCGGGTCTCATTGCACTGCGTTTCTGCTTAGGCTTCGTGGAAGCTCCGTTCTTCCCAGGAGCTTTATTCTTGCTGTCTTCATGGTATACCAAGAAAGAGCTCGCTAAGAGAATCTCTATTCTGTACGCCGCCGGTCAAATGTCTGGAGCATTTGGTGGTCTCCTCGGCAGTGCCATCATGAGCGGTATGGACGGACTTGCCGGACTTCCATCCTGGCGCTGGTTGTTCATCATCGAAGGCACAGCCACGATCCCTGTAGCGGTTGTCGCGCTCTTTGTTCTGCCGGACTACCCGGCCACAACCAAGTGGCTGTCCGAAAGCGAGCGTAACCTCGCAATTCTACGTATTGCCGAAGAAGCCAGCGAAGAAGACAAGCATGCTTCCGTGAGTGCTTGGCACGGCCTCAAGATGGCTTTCGCAGACCCGGTCCTCTACTTGATTTGGTTTATGCAACTTGGCTTGAACACAGCAGCCGCCTTTACGAACTTCTTCCCCACAATCGTTAGGACGCTCGGCTACGGCACCAGCAAGACGCTCCTTCTGTCAGCTCCTCCCTACGTGTTCGCCGCCATTCTGGGCATCACCAACTCCTGGCACTCCGATCGCACCAATGAGCGCTGGCTCCATATCGTCTGGCCGCAGATATTTTGCTCGATCGGGTTCATCATCTCTGCCGTCACTCTAAAAACCGCTGCACGCTACACAGCTACTTTCATGATGATGAGCGTTTATGGCAGCTTCGGATGCATCTTGTCGTGGGTATCAACCTCGCTTCCGAGACCTTCCGCTAAGCGCGCCGTCGCTTATGCAGTGGTCAACGCTGGATCCAATCTCGCATCCATCTATGCCAGCTACTTCTATCCAAAGAGTCAGGGCCCTCGTTACTGGCAGGCCAATGTCGCAAACGTGGCGTTTAGTGCAGCGTGTATCGTATTGGCGACGGTGTTGCACTTTGTGCTGCAATGGAGGAACCGTAAACTCGACCGCGCTGCCGCTACTTCATACGAAGAGGAGCTCGTGGTTGCTAGCAAGTGGCAGATTCAGGCCAATTACAGGTATACACTCTAGGGATGCAGGAGAGCTGTTTACAAGAAGCAAAGCAAGCAGACTAGTATATATGTATACACACTTGTTACTCTGGTCGAGCAGTGTGTAACGATTATCATGATCGTTGTCGATTCTCTAGCCTGTCGTTCCATCATCGATTGTGAAGCGCATCGTGGTTGGTCACTTGCGACCGCCTTTCATCCAGGACCGGCGCACTCGTCCCGCGCGCTCCTTCACCACGCTACCTTGCTGTACGCCTTGCAGCTTCCACACCTGCGCATCACGAGACATGCTCATGGCGTACTTCTTCGACATTTCATCGAGCATCTTTTGCCGCGGCCCACGCTCACGAAGCACCGAGGCGGTTTCTGCATCAAGCCCGTAGACCAGTGAAGGTAGAGTGCTGGTTCCCCACGCCGGGATGCGTTTGATGTTGCTATGGATCATGGTGGCCAGGATCGAAAGCAGCGCTAGCACAATGGTAGCCATGGGCAGGATGAGCCATGGCCAATGCGGCTCGACGATGTTGATGACCGCTTGCCTGATCCTGTTGCCACTTCAGCTGTCATGTTACGCATCGACGCCGTCAGCGTGCTGGCAATACGATCCATCGTGAGGGAAGGAGACCTCCCTCTACCAATTGGGTATCGTACAGAACCTGTGAGACATCGTCAATCGTGCTGTTCGCGGGTGCATTTGCATTGACGGCTCCGGTCAGGACGCTCTGGAATCCTAGCCGCATCATAGTGAAGGTCTGGTTGTCCACATGGTAAGATTGAGCGTCGAGTGGCGGTACGATGGTATTTTTGATGTCCGAAGGGGTACAAGTTGCCGTGAGCTGACCGGTCGAGCGAGATGCTGGGCCACTTCCTCCAGCGGGCGACTTGATGGCTGCTGCTGCCGTTGCTGCTACAGTCGATGCTTCAGGAAAGCTTGAGTCGAGTGTCTCGATAAAGTGGCCGTTGGCAACTAGAGCAGAGTAGGAATTGACGCGAAAGTATAGGATACATCCGTACGTTGCGGGCGCAGAGTTACTTGGCCTGCCGAAATTACCAGCGGGATAGTATATTGATATGAAATCAACGATGGAATAGTTTTGCAGATTTGCAAACTTCACGGTAGGATAGCCATTCTTAACGCCCATCGAGGATTGACTCGCCGCTATGCCAAATCCATTCAGACCGGGCAAGTGCCAAGACATGTCTTGTTTGCCGTAACCAGCAATCTGGTACTGGTGAGAAGCGATTTGATATCTTCACAAGCGCTGCAGACGCCAAGAGAGGTGTACGTTGGCCATGTGCAGTTACCAGAAGGACAGGTTGATGTCAGGTCAGCGCTATTTGCTAGGTTGGAGGAGCCGCCGTAGAATGCGCCTTTGACGGTAGCGTTCAGTAAGAGGGCGTTTCCAGTAAAATCTGCTCCTTGCCGGCTGATCGCGACTGCGGTGAAGCTTGTCGTGCGTGGAATGGTTGCAGCACCTTCCGATCGGATGAGGCTCAGCGGATACGTTGGGATGTTTTGCAGAAAAGGTTCGAAGGCAAGCAGGACGATGATCAGGAAAGCGCCCAAGAAGGTCAAGGGACTAGAGGCTGTCAGTGCTACTCCGTCAGGGTGCGGGCCGCATCACTGCTCGCAGTGGATGCTCACCTTTTGAGGGACCGCAACAGTATCTTCAATGCGCCCAGTGGCCCACTCGAATCCACATACGCTTGGAAGTCTTCTATGCGCCGTGGTCGTGTCTCTCGCCTGAGCCATGACCACCTAAGCTGACCCATCACCTCGCCAGTGGGTCCAGCCAGAGCCGCCCGAGCAATCTGAGCCAGCCAGGAGATGACCGAGTTGAACGTGACATCTCCGCCTAGGTAGTTCTATATAGGACGTAAGCACTAGTTGTAGACGTGATCCTGCAGCGCCGTGTTACCCAAGTAGGGACTTGCTTGCCCTCGTATGCGGCAAGGAGAGCAACGATTGCGAGTAAGCACGCAAGGCTCAAGATCAGACAACACACTGTAAACCACCAGGGCAAGATGTGATCGCGGAAAAGCTTCGATTGGTCTGGCTGACGTTCAGGAGAGTCGTTAGTATCGGCAGTCAGACGCTCTTGGGCGAGATTCCTGAGTTCGGTGCCGTCCATGCTGGTTCGGCTGTGCCTGACATGTGCCGTTCGATGCCCACAACAAACGGCCCCGATGTGAGCGTACGAAGTCGCGACTTCATTGTCATTGCTACAACACTACTTATATCTCCAGACAAGGTGATGACGTCGAATTGGATCAATCAATTTCGTCGTTGCTCCCATTGCTGCACGTGGATAGGAACATTGACCGGCTACTGGAAGCAACCCACGTTCACGTTGTGGCCCCCACGTGCCACACGGCAAGCCAGCAGGTCCAGCTCGACGAAAGACAGGCCATGAGGAAGATCGACTGGGAAAAGCTGTGCTATCGGGCTTGCTGCTCGCTTTCATCCTGAGCAGCTTTACCATGCTTGGTGTTCGCCGATGTCGATCCACTGTTGTTCCTTCAGCCTTACCGGTGCTGGTTGTGCCTGAGTGCTCAATGGCATCACGCCGGGGGGGGCCTGATTCCGGTGCCGACACCTTCAAGCCTGGCACGATATAGGACTCTTATATACGGTTTCGCCGCCAGCTCAGCTCAGCTCGGAGGATGTGGTTGTTGCAAGTTAGCACATTCGTCCCCGCCATCTTCCCCGTCTATATCTCGGGAATAACGCAAGATATCGTGCACGGACGATCTGGGGGAAGTGAGCTCGTGCCTTCTGCATCTGCTCCGCGCGCGGAGAAGCTCCGAGTCTATAACATATCACACAGTCATGCTCTCCCATCAGCATCAGCATTCTTCGACTTCTGCTCGCAGTGATACGGCATGGCGACGGTCACGGCCACGGCCACGGCCATACGATGCCTCCGAAGCCAATCGCTGAGGTCGGCTGCCACGACATCGACGCAGGCACGACGATGGCAGTCCTCCTTCTCCCACCTGGAGAAAGAGATGCGCGAGCGCGCCATCCAGCCCATCTTCGACGACCTCACGCCACAGTCTAGCTACCGCCTCGACACAACCCTCGCCGACTTCCTCCCCGACACGAAGCCACCTCAAGTCCTCCCTCCGCCCACCCCACCCCAAGTCCTGCCCATCCCCCATCACTTAATTTACTTCGAGCCCACGAAGCCGCAGTCAGCTATGCTACCAGATGGGACGAATCCGGACCAGAGTCCCGGCGAGCCGTTTGTAAGACGAATGTGGGCCGGCGGAAGGGTGGTGTATGATCACGCTAACCCGTTGACTCTTGATGCCGGGAGAGGAGTGTGCGCGGAGTTCATCCGGAGTGTTACCGTGAAGGGCAAGGAGGGGGAGGAGAAGCTGTTTGTGGGGATCGAGAGGAGGCTGGCTAAGGCTAGCAAAGAGGAAGTGGGCATGTTGGAGGCGGCAATGAGTGATGCGGAAGCGAAGAAGGCGCTCGAGCACCGGGTTCGGCAGAGATTATGGAGAGACAGTGATACAGACTTCGGACCTTGTTCCATCCTCGAGTCACGAAACATCGTGTTCATGCGTTCGCGAACGAAAGAAGAAGCCGCCGCAGATGCAGCAAAAAGCGGCGGCAAGATCCTCAAACCACAGCGGAAGCCGGACTGGAGCCATACCATCACCCCGGATCCAAAACTACTCTTCCGCTTCTCGGCACTGACGTTCAACGCCCACGCTATACATCTGGATCCCGAGTATTGTAGGGAAGTGGAAGGGCACCGGAATTTGCTGTTCCATGGTCCGCTGAGTTTCGTGTTCATGATCACGGTGCTGCAGCAGCAGTTGAGGAAGGAAGGGAATGAGGTTGTGAAAAGCGTCGAATACCGGAATCTGGCGCCGTTGTATTGCCATGAGCCCGTCACGTTTTGTGGCACGAAGGTCGCGGAGGGCAAGTATGAGATCTGGACGCAGACGCCAGAAGGTACGTCTGTGCACCGCCCTATCCAATTGAGAGAGGCGGGCTATAACTGACATCGTTTTAGGCGGCATCGCCGTCAAGGGCAGTGTCACAACTGAGCAGGGCGTTATTGACCGCTCCAATCTTGGCACGTAATCATGCAAACTGAACTACGCTTCGTCTTTGTTGGATACAGATATTGCTGAACCACTTCTGAACATCAAAAGTCTCGCTTCCGTGTCGGCTGCTTAAGCGTCAGCGGCATTGTTCCTTTATCAGCTGCCATTGTCGTCGATAGTACTTGCCTCTGCACGGCTGCACGGATGTCGAAGCCAGCAGCTTAGCATTTCGGGTCGCTCTGAGGGCTGGTCCGGCACTGTGACAGGCACACTTACATTCAAAGACGGGCTTCAGCAGCAGGTTCTTCTCTGTTAAGCAGCGGCACATGTGACTGGCTTCTCGGCACGGCAATTATCATGCCACAAAGGTTTTGCGAACATGGGAGCGTTTCTCCCAGTCAGAGGCCTCCTCACGATTGCAGCGGACAGTTTTGGTAATTATTTGGCGACATCGCTGGCGGTAGTGTTTGCGTGCGGAGTGTTGGTGCAGCCCAGCACTGCGGCTTTCATCGTGGGTCTCGTCATCCGCCCCGAAGCTCCTAAGAGAGGCATTGCGAAGAGTAAAAAGGCCGCCGGGTGCAAATGGATAGCAACGTCGTCGGAAAAGGACCGCTCTCAGGACCTACGATGAAGGCTAATACCGTGGGTAAGCGATCGGTGTAGTACGCGTAATGGCGCAGGTGAGGATTCGGTAGCATTGTCACTGAGGAAGAGATGCGCGAACGGAGTCAACTCTATCAATCAGACAACCCGGTCAATCCATGACAGCTCAACGGCCAGTCAGTCGAGCCTTCGAAGGGATGTAATCAGTCGACTGCTGCAACTAATCCCATCAGTAATGCTGATGAGCGGTCGGCGTGCGGTTCAAGAAGTGCTTGCAGCTCAATCAAATGTGGTCCGCGGACAGACTCCGTCCTGATCTACCATCTATGACTCGCAACAGCATATTCTGAAGCGGAGGTTGAAGGGACACGTAATCCTTGCTGTGCCGCCGTAGTATCCGCGAACGGCTTCAAAGGTGTATGAACAGAATGCATGCATCGTACGAAGGATACCGGAAGCCTAATGAGTGTGTCTGCCTGTACAAGCAGTAAACGCACGCGAGCAAAAGAGTGGCCTGAATGCTGGACAAGCTCACATGCTATGTGGGCGCCGCACTCCGCTGTGGAATCACCATCGAAAACGACACCTCAATCTGTAACATAACCTGGCAAATCACGCTGACTGACCCCATTCTTCCTCGTCGCTCAACCGCTGCCCATGACGGGGGTCGGAGCATCTTGGCGCAGCTGTGACTTGCTTCTGACTGGCGAGATGGTCAAATCCGCGGACATGCTTGACTTCAGCGGCGAAGATGTCTGCCTTGCTGTCAGTAGACGCTCGCTATAGTATGTGGGTCAGGGACACGGCGTACCTTTGGCTTCGTACTCAGAGCTGCCTTCAGGGCCAAAGACTTGGCGATGGCACGTTTAGCCATTAAGCTTGGAGTGTTCGGCGCCCCTAGCAAGCCGCCTTCTACGGCCTCCCATCCTGGCTCGATCACGGTAGCCGGCATCACGGCAGCGTCAGACGGCTGAGCTGTCTTCGCCTCAGCCTTCGCATTCGTCAACTTTGTCGACGATGCACCATCATCCCTCATAAGTCGTTGCGCCTCGCTCCCTGCGAGGTCATCCAATTGTCAATCGTCGTAGAACTCATCCTCGTCATCAGCCTCAGCCAACTGCTCAAAGTTGAGCTTGTACCGCAGAATCGCGCCGATACCACCGAACCCACGCACGAACTGGTTACCCTCGGAAGACCGGTCGGACACGAACTCCAGCTGCGCGCCAAAGTCACGGTATTTCTCCGCGAGCCACTCAAGGAAAGGCAGCTGATCAATAATTTCCATTTCTTGTCCGGTCTCCTTGTCCATGAAGAGGCTGCGGTCGGCCTCCTGCTGCTTGGTGGTGTGCAGGATGACTTGCGTGCCCTCGCTGCTCTTGAGCTCCCAACGCGTGATCTCGAGGTTCTCAAATACGATCAGTGTCTCGGCTGCACCGGCCTCGAGCGCCTTGAGCGTGTCATCAATGCCGTAGCAGACTTTGCCGCTATCCTGGCTAATTTCATCAAAGTAGGCATTGATAAGCTTCTTCTCCTGAATAAACTTGACGTTCGACAATGTCTCCGAAGACAGTTCGATGGCTTGGTTGAAGCCGTTCTCGCCACCATAGCTGACATCGACGACTTTGATGACCTTTGCCTGCAGGCGCTGATCGAACAGATCCGACTGGTTAAGATCGTTCTTGAAGTCTGCCGAGCCGGCCAAGATGAGACCTGCTACATTGACCTTGTCGTTCGTGATGAAGTTCTGCACGGCCAGTTCGGCAACCTTCCGGACGTAGTTGTGACGCTTCTCTTCACGGAGACGCGCAAAACGCAGCGCAGACTGCCCACCACGACCATGCTTCTTCGGCAAGTCGACGCTGAACTTGTGGATGACGTCGCGGGTGTTGCCCGAGAGAGTCCCGAAGAGGGCGCCGTTGCCGTCCATGATGATGAAGCCGAACTTCTGGTCAGACTCGAGAAGTTCACTCAGCGCTTCCGTGTGGAATTTGTTGTCGCACAAGTATAGTGAGGTGTTGATGGGCTTGAACGGCTCGAAGTCGATGTTCAGCTTCCTCTCCTTGCCTTCCGCGGTGATGACATCGCCACAGTACACCACCAACCCGTTCGGCGGTACCTTGGTATACAGCTTCAGCTTCTGCTGGGTCGACGTAATAGCCGAGAGCACCGACAGCCTGTTGACACGTGACTTGATATTGGACGCCGTTCCGTACTCTTCAGCCAACATCTTTGCTGCTCGTGACACCTGATCTTTCGGAGGGATAATCAAACTGATCATGGAGGTGCCGTTTCCGCGCGCCTGCTCGAGACGCTTGATCAACTTCTTCACCTTCCACATCTCAATGTTCTTCTCCGCATCGTTCGCTCCATTGGCTGCCGACATTTTGCCGGTCGTCTGAGCGCGGTAGGCTCACTTATCCACAAGATGTCTGTCAGTCGGTGGGTAGAGAGGAAAGCGATGGGGAAACGGTGGGCGAAATATGCGCAGCCGCGGGCAGAGTGCTGAGTCATGCGCTGAATGAGCGCCACTGGAGAATAGAAGGCACGCAAGGGTAAGGTAGATTGACTCACCTTGGCAGGCAGGTAAGACTTCCTACTGCACAAACAAAGACCGCCGGCTGACACCAGATCTCGCGTGCCTACCGTACTCGGAAGACTGGAGGTCACAATTCTGTTCAGCCGCGAAGGGGGCATGTGCGATCAAAGGACCCCGCCGTCATCGCCAAGCGGTGCGAACCACCGTTGGCGCCACGCCCCCACTGTGTCGGAAGTGCCCCAATGGAGATGTGAAGCAAGCTTTCTATTACTTGATGGGAACTCGTTGCTGTTGACACTCTGTGGAGTCAAAGTATCAGAGCCGATATCAACAATCTGAGCCGCAGCAGCATTGCCGTCTTCCAGGCGCATATCAGCCATATCAGCACCGACGAGGAAGTGATGCAAATTCTGCAAAGCGCCTCGATCTGCAAGCAATGCTGCATGGGCGGGCCGGGCACGGTGGTCTAACGCTCGACATCGTGACAGGCCTGGTTCACATGATTGAAAAAATGTCCTTCGTCTTATTCGTTGTGCATCTGCTTTCTGTAAGTACACAGTAATCTTCCCTAGATTCTCTACAGCGTTGCGACCACCTCACCTGAGCGTCCACTAGCTCTTCTTGTGCCCAAAACCTGCGAACACCAATGGCAACAGCGTGGTGAAGGGACAATAGGTTGAGGCTTCTTACGCAATGCCGTCTCGGAGGGAACAATTACCAGCAAGCTGGACAACATATGAGAATGGTGGGAGACAAGACTCTCATGACTCGTCCCTCAGCCACAATCGCGTCACCTTTGACGAAGAGAGTCAACAACACCACGACCACGGCGACCGAAGCAACAGCCACCATGACACTTATAACGGCGCTCATGGACAGCAAGATATGCGACATCGTCGTTCGTCGATGGCTTTGCGAGTGACAGCGCTGCGGCACGCCGGAGGCGTCAACAGTATAGATAACTTCGCGCGAAGTTGGCAGCGTGCGGCCGGCTTCTACGAGGTGACACCCGTGCGGCCCAGCTTTCGCTACTCCGAGGAAGAAGGTGAGCCGGATGATGAACAGGAGGATGTGAGCTCAACGCCAAAGGCACATCGGTCCCTACTTCGCGCGGCTCTCGAAGAGCAAGGTCGAGACGAGACGTCAGATGTATTCGTGGATGAGGCGGATGATGAGACTACGCCAACCGCCTCTCCTCGTCCACATCAAGCTTCAACTAACGAGCAGCAACCTCTCTTACGAGACAGGCCATCACAGCTACGCGACGACAACATCTTCTCGATCGAACCTTCTCTGGGATCGCCATTTGGTGGCAGCTATGGCACCACCTGGGGCTCGCTATCAGCGCGGGTCAACGAACCATCCATGCGGCATGCAGGCCGCCTATTCCGAGAGCAGCAGATGAAAGGCGCAACCGAACCGGACAAGGAGCGAGAACCTCTGCTCGTCCGCCAAGTGCAGGAGGGTGATGGCAAGGTCGTCAATGTCGTCGTCGGTCAATCAACGCTTCCTCAGACGATCTTCAACTCGGTCAATGTGCTGATTGGCGTCGGCCTGCTGGCCCTACCGCTGGCCATGAAACTGAGCGGATGGATACCAGGCCTTATCTTCTTCGCGTTTGCCGGTATTAGCACATCGTATACCGCCAAGCTGCTGGCCAAATGCGCCGATGTCGACTCTAGCCTGATAACCTTCGCGGACTTGGCATACGTGTCTTTCGGTCCGTGGGCGCGTGTCGGCACCTCGCTACTCTTCTGCGTGGAGCTTATCGCGGCAAACGTTGCGCTCGTCGTGCTGTTTGCCGACTCACTTGACGCGCTAATACCCGGCTGGGGCACCACTGAGTGGAAGATTGTCTGCGGGATCATACTAATACCACTTGTCTTTGTTCCGTTGCGCTTGCTCTCCTTTACCAGCATACTCGGCATACTCTCGTGTTTCGGCATCGTGCTTGCAGTTTTCGTGGACGGGCTCATTAAGCCTACAGCTCCGGGCAGTCTGCGGCAGCCGGCGCAGACACACCTCTTCCCAGCTAACTGGATGACACTGCCTATTGCCCTCGGCATCATGATGTCGCCGTGGGGTGGGCATTCGGTGTTTCCGAACATCTGTAAGTTCAGCGAACCGCAATGGGAACGATAATAATTACCGCTTACTGACCGCTCCCGCAGATCGCGACATGCGCCATCCGTACAAATACCGCAGAGGAGTCAACGTTACCTACGCGTTCACCTTCACCCTCGACCTATTCATGGCCGTCGTCGGCCTGATAATGTACGGCGACACCGTGAAAGACGAGATCACCCGCAACGTGCTTACCACCGACGGCTACCCGACCTGGATCGGCGTCTTCGTCGTCGTCTGCGTGGCTATCATCCCACTAACAAAAGTCCCACTCAACGCTCGACCCATCATCAGCACCCTGGAGCTCTTCCTCGGCCTGGACGCTCGCGCTCTTGCTGAGAGCCAAACGCTGACCGGTCTGTCTGGCTACACTCGCGGTATACTGAAGATCAGCGTACGTGTGCTTTGCATCGTGGTGTTTGTCATTCTGGCAGTTCTAGTACCGGAGTTCGACACGATCATGTCGCTACTGGGAGCTGTGGCGTGTTTCACCATTTGCATCATCTTGCCCTGCGCGTTTCACCTTAAGCTATTTGGCACGGAGTTGACGAGGCGGCATAAAGCTCTGGATTGGAGTTTGATCGTTGTTAGCTCTATCCTGGCCGTGGTATGTACGGCGTTCAACTTTGTGCCGAGGAGCGAGATGGGTCTGTGAAGAAATTAGTCCTGAGATTGCATAGCGAAGCGTATCTTAGCGTGTTTTCACTCGCACCGGTATGAAACGTGCCTGCAGCTTTTCGGTTCCCGTTCCTTCCGTTTTCGGAGCTTCACATTTCTCCCACCTCACATCAATCATTGTCAACATAGATTACCACTACCCTTGACGGAAGCTTGTAGCATAGGCTTCACGAGGGTATGTTACGAAAAATGCGCCCTATTCGCATCGCTCAAAAATCAGCGTGACCTGAGTCTGCAATCCAACCGTCATTGGGGAAGTCGACAAGGCCATATTGCATGTCCCTGCCAACAATGGCAACCACTGAAGACGTAGTAGCATTCCTCGGTCCGAAGGCTTCTTACACGCATCAAGTAAGCCCAAAGTTCTCCGATATAGCCAGCACCTCCGCCTTAACTGCCATGTCTGCATTGGAACAAGGAAATACTGTCGGACGCTATTGCATGCTAACATCATGCGTAGGCTACGCTTACACGCTTCCCGGACTCCAAGTATACTGTGAAACCACAAACAACGATTGAAGACATCTTCGCCGCTGTGCAGAATGGCACTGCATCGCACGGTGTTGTGCCTTTTGAGAACTCCTCCAATGGATCCGTAGTATTTACGCTCGACCTCTTTGCGGACTTAAACGGACGATACCCGGACATCCTCGTCTGTGGCGAAGTATATCTGCCAGTGCATCACTGCCTACTGGGTCATGCGGCAGAGCAAGACGGCCACCTACGCAAAACCGACCAAGCCTGGAGACGCTCGACGGACAAAGCAGACTCGCCAAGTACTTCAGGCCAGGCGACACCGACGAAAGTGATGCCTACACCCAACCAGCCAAGAGTCAGACCGCAACACGACATCAAACATATCAAGCAACTCTACTCCCACCCACAAGCCTGGGGCCAATGTAAGATCTTTCTCTCCGCCTACCTGAAAGGTGTTGAACGGCAAGACGTCTCCTCCACATCCAAAGCCGCCGAGCTTGTCGCGCATGACACGAAAGGCACTTGCGCGGCGATCTCCAGCAAGATCGCTGCCGACCTAAACGGGCTAGATGTACTTGCCGAGGGCATCGAAGACAATGAGGGTAACACTACGCGTTTCTTCGTCATTCGGAGACGAGATGCGCTGTTTGATGGGACGAACGCGCAGGTCGGCGAAGGGACGCGAGAGGAACATTGCAAGACGTTGGTGTCGTTCACTGTCGACCACGGTGCACCTGGGGCTTTGGCGGACTGTCTTGCGACTTTCAAGAGGTACCGATTGCCGTCTTTCCCAAAAAGGCAAGGGCTCGGGCTGACGCGTTGCAGGCACGATCTGAATTTGACGAGCATCAACACGCGACCAAGCGGTGAAGCGGCATGGCACTATGTGTTCTTCGTTGAGCTCGTAGGTCGAAAGCTACCTGACGGCGAAGGTGGTGCGGTCAACGACGCGCTTCTTGAGCTGACGACAGTGGCGAAAGGCTGGAGATGGTTAGGCAGCTGGGTTGATGAGCTGAGAGCCTGAAATATTCTAACAGCCTGCCAATCTCAACTGTCGCCAGTGCGCAATGCACCATTCAGGCAATACGACAATCTCAACCCTAATCCGAACTTCCTGCGCCCAACCAAACAGCCACCGTCAAGAACGCAATCATGAACGCCGTGAACGTCGCCTTCGTGAGATGTGACCGCGGCCACGCAGTCTGCAAAGGCAGCTGCATCCCAACTCGAGCTTTCGAATTGACTCCTTCCCGGGGTATACCATCACTCCTATCTTATCGTCGCCTCAGCCTCCTAAGCCTCCGCCTTCTTGCCCTTCTTCTGCTCCACCTTCAGCAAAAGCGCGCGGTTGATATGCGGCAGCACACCACCGAATGCAATTGTGGCGCGAATCAACGTGTCGAGCTCCTCATCACCTCGGATTGCGAGCTGCAGATGACGCGGGGTGATGCGCTTGACCTTAAGATCCTTCGCGGCGTTGCCAGCAAGCTCTAGCACTTCGGCGGTCAGGTATTCGAGGACGGCGGTGACGTAGACGGCTGCCTTGGCGCCTACGCGCATCTTGTTTTGCGTTTGGGACTTGAGGAAACGCTTGACGCGTCCGCATGGGAACTGTGTGAGTCACATGTTAGCCAAATCCCCTAAGCTGGAGTACGCGCCATCGTAGCGCATACAACGTCAAAGAGCAACGGCCGGTTGTGGTAGAACGTATGTATATGCGTGGTGGATATATGTGACGAATGCGCTTTGCGACACGCCGCTTGATGCCGGATGTCGTGTATCGAAACGTACCTGCAGACCAGCCTTCGCTGAATGCGACTTCTGCGACTTGCCAGTCGTGTCGCCTCCTGCCTTCCCACCCGTCTTGCCACCGGTTTTGCCTATGCAACATTAGACATGATCTATCGCCTGGTCCTGTTCGGAAGCGTACCCTTTCCACCTGCCATCGCGGATGCTCTTCGGAATTTAGATTACAGTGTCACTGAAGTATAGTGTTAGTGTCCAGAGCACTTTCGGAATGATAACGCCCAGTGTCCGGCAAGGAGCAGAGGGTTCTGTCGATAAAGCGGCGATGTTGTTTGTGGTGAGAGTCGCGTCGAAAGTCGAGGCTGGCAAATGGAGCTTTTCCGTTCTTGCGCCGGCCCCTCGCTTGCGCTAGTTGCCAAGGCCGTCAGGCACCAATCTCAGCCATAGCCCAAGAGAGCAGCAGAGACGATATAGGCCACGAGATCCATGTTGCTAGGATTTAGCAAGCTATTAGTGAAGAGTTCTTGATCAGTCAGGGCTGACGATATGGTAGAGCCATGCACTGGTTCTGTCGGCTTACCATGGAGTGTTATTGTACTCGTTCCAAGCCTTCAGCCGCCCACCGCCTCAGATGATGTCTGGCTTCTTGGATGCCAAGTTGGCATGGCTCAGAATCGCCCGCATGGTAGGGAAATGTCCATGCATAGCAGTAACCCCTGAAGTAGATGGAGACTCCGCTGAATATGATCACCGATTGCCAGTATTTCGGAGTCGTAGCTACAGAAGGAGAGCAGCTGGACCACCAAACGTAAAGCGGCCTCAGGCAAAAATCCGCGGTCAGCGATGTATGCCTCTCGTTTATGCGTTGATACTGTCAAGAACAATTGCTCAGTCGCAGACCGTGAGGAAGGACACTGAAATACCTTCCCGCGCGCTGATTGTGCTGTAGGCCGGGATCGGACGGCGTCGGCTTGGTGACTTAGGTATCACACCGTCAGTATGCGTATCGCCGTCCTACAATTCGCCCCTACTCTGGGCGATGTAGAGCGGAATATGCAACATGCCTCAAACCTAGTGTACACGTCCCAGCCCGAGTCAATCGACATGCTTGTCCTCCCCGAAATGGCGTTCTCCGGCTACAATTTTCCAAACGTTTCCGCCATCACACCATACCTAGAGCCCACCACGTCTGGACCAACGACACGTTGGGCCGCAACCATTGCCAAACAATACCAGTGCTACGTAATCGTGGGCTATCCGGAGATTGCTACCATGTCCGATGGCACCACAGTCAATTACAACTCGACCGTCACTGTAGGCCCGAGTGGAGAAGTACTGAACAACTATCGCAAGTCCTTCCTGTATTACACCGATGAAACCTGGGCAATTGAAGGCTTCCGCTCGAACAGTACACAGCAACCGTTCTTCTGCGGCGACATCGAAGGCTTAGGTCGCATAGGCCACGGCATTTGTATGGATATCAACCCTTACCAGTTCACCGCGCCGTGGGCAGCATACGAGTTCGCCAATAGCATGCTCGCAGGTAATGCACGATTAGTAGTCCTGTCGATGGCTTGGCTTACTCGGCTTGCGCCCGAAGACCTTAAGCTTGAGCCGGACCGACCGGACATGGAGACTGTGGCGTACTGGCTTGAGCGCTTTCACCCGTTCCTCGAAGCGAGCGGCTTGCGGGACGAGATCATCGTTGTCTTTGCCAATCGCTGCGGGGTCGAGGGTAATCGAGTTGGCGCTACGCAGGTGGAGAACGGGGTGGAGTTGGAGGAGGGGGATAGGGTGTGCTATGCGGGCAGCTCGTGCGTGATGCGATTTCAGGGTGGCGGAGTCAGAATGTTTGAGAAGGCGAGGAATGAGGTCGCGATTTTGGGCAAGGCGGAAGAAGCAGTGCTGCTGGTAGACACGGCGCAGCCGGCGCGGTTCCTACTGCAGCAGAAAGGTGTTTGAGCAGAGGTGTCCTTACTGCGTTCTTAGCGGGGCGTCTGGCGATACACATCTGCTCTGGCATGCTTGTGAACGAAGCTCTGTGATTGGGGCAATGTTTGTTGTTGCTTAGACAGCTCGACAGGCATGTCTCTGGTTGGCTCATTGGGCTCGCAACAGAAGCAATCCGAGGGTGCCGCTGAACTCCTTCCGAACGCCCTTCGACACGCTCATGCCTCAGACCATGCCCCTTTCACCAATTAAACTCGTCACTCGGTTGACGAAAGCCATGTGCGCTCCACTCCATCGTCCGTAGACAGTCGTGCGCACCATAAGCGAGTCGCTCAAAGGCCAATGCGGGTCTTGCGCCAGTGTCTCCTCTTGGCGTTGTATCTGCGCATTGCCATGTCAGTCTCTCACTGCCATGATCCCGAAGAGTGTGCGCATTTCACAACGCACCTGATGGTGTTGCCAGTCCTCAACCGAATCCACTGCGGGATCGGACGGTTCTGCTTCTGCGCCTTCGCGAGCTTCTGCTTCGTGCGGAACGACTTGTGGGACTGTTACTCTACTGTCAGTGATGCCCCATAAAGAGTGCTGGTAAAGTTAACATACCGGCATCTTAGCGGTTGTTGTGCCTGCAATGCGTGACTGAATGCAGGCTGGCGTCGCTGTGATGTCGAATTTGGAGGTCGAAGATTGCTCGGCGCACGCGGCTTGGCGCTCGGAAAATTCATGGCCGTGCCTGCTTAGTCATGCTGCCTCGACACGTTTTCCCGATGTGAACCTTTCCATCACACGTCTGTCGTTGTCGAAATTCCACATAGCTTGGCGCAACCTTCTTCACGCAAGACATGAGCGCATGGCAGCACAGCGAGCATTTAGCATGTTGCGCCCTGGCCAGCGTTATGAGATGGTGATCGCAAAAGCAAAGGCGTACTGGTGACCATTCCTGGTCAAAATGGGATAGAGCAGCAACAGATCTGGCAGTCAACCCCTCGTGCACCGAGAACTGAGCCGGGATGGTGATGCGAGTGCCGTACTTACTGCTATCCACTCGAGAGCGCAATTGGAGAGTAGAGCAGTCAGTGTAGCACACAGCATCTTCGCTTCCGACTCTCATTTCGGGATCGTGACATCTCCTTCTAAGGCGATAGGGCACACACACTTATCGACATCTACCTTTTGCACACTGCTCCCTATCCGGATGTTTCGATTATACCACACCGGCGCCACAATAGCTGCTGATACGCAGGCTTACCATTTTGGGAAGAGGATGACAACTTGGATATTACTATCCCGATGCCATCTATGGACTGGATGATTGGAGCAGAAACACTTTCTTACCTGTACAAGGATTGTAGGTAAATAATCAGAGCCATCTGTTTTCTTGCACCTTAATGTCATACCGTACTTAAGCCCTCACTTTCTCTTGTTGCAGCCTCAATTTCACCAACCAAAAGTCGCACAACTTCACAGTAGGACAGCACACAAACACTCACCACACCACCCAACAAATCATCCATCAGTATGGGCTGCATCAAGACGATATTGGCACTCTTCACCACCGCTACCCTCCTCACCGCGCTGCCATTCCACCCTGTCACCCGCGATGGTGGCCTTTCCTGCGACACAATTTGCATGCGTCGCCTGATCTACGAGGTAGCTTACGCCTCAAGTGCTGGTGGCGTTGAGCTTGTTGCGGACGCTTACGGGTCAACTTCCTGGTGTCTGTCGGACGACAACGACTGGTGCCCTCCCGCCGTAGATGCCGTTGTTAGCAATATCGTCGCAGCGGTTGTTGCCAACGCCTCCTCGCCCTCCGAGCAAGATGGGCCGGAGCAACTCGTCAAGACTCTGGCTGACACCAGCAACCGTGCGGCCGTGCTTGCCATGTCCTGGGCAACCCAAGTGCTCAACAACAGCGTAGGTGGTGAGCCCGAGACTGCGGTGAAGTACACCATCTACCACCTCAGTGAGCACGTGTCGTCAGACGTCAACGCCGCAGCACTTAGCGGCGCACTTCAGGCTAACCAGCCGCCTGCACTTGTGAGCAGAGAAATCATGCAGAGCGCGGTAGCACGCCGCGACGACTCGGAGCACAAGAAAGCCATCATCATCGGCACCACCGTTCCACTTGCTGTGCTTGGTCCGTTTCTGGGTGGAGCTGCAGCTACCAACGTCTTCGACGCTCAGAATACACCTTTCTACAACCGCATCCTCACCGGCCTTCAAGCCGACAATGTCCTCGACTCTTCTCACTGGCTACGCTACATGCTCGGCAACGTCGGACAGCAGATCAAGCATTCAGCTTCTACGGTCAAACAGAGCTACGTCGATTGGATACACCGCTTGAGCGGACCATCACTCGACGAGATCACCTTCCGCAACACTCAGCAGAATGCCTACTCCACGAGCCAACAGTTTGCAGACTCCATGCCGCAGGCTGCAGAAGCGACCGAGGCTACCGAAGCCAACCAGTACTTCCGCACCGAAGCCTTCGATCCCGGTAATGGCGTTCTAGAACAAGCCACGCTCCAAGATGCCAGCGAGTTGCTCGAAAGCGGAAGCCAGTACTGGAGGGATCAGACTACACCGCTGCGGAACAGCGGACTCAGGCCGTATCGTGTGATGAATGCTGACGGGCTGCCGAGAGAGTTTCGCATGAAGGATGGTATGACGCTAAGGGAAGCGCGCATTGCCAAAGGCAGAGAAGGGATGAGGACCAGGTACTGGGAACGGCCGGATGACGTGATCTCGTGGCAGGATCCAAGAACGTTGACCCCGATTCATGAAACTGCGTGGCAGCAACTCGGAGAGGGCAGCCAGCGGGTGCTGACGGAGGGTAGCGAAGCGGTGCTTGACAGTCTTGGCCAGCCTGTTATCGGCACTCAAGGCGCGGAGGGTGTGCCAGTCGAATTGAACACGTTAGAGCCTGTCGTGTCCGATGCGGCGTCGATCCGATCGACCGTGTCGTTTGGTCTGAGAGACTCCGAGGGCAGGCCGGTAGATGGTCTCTCCAGACATGTTACGTTCAACAGAAATGATCCGCCATCGGATATCCTGCGTCAGCTGCAGCAGGGAACGACCGAGCAGCAGCCGCTTTCAAACCCTCCTCCGCCAGACGCTCCCCCACCAGAGGTACCTCCTGCAGCGGCGGCGCCAGCAGAGGCGCCGCCAGCAGAGGTGCCACCTGCAGCAGCAGCTCAAGACGAAGCTATTCCTGCCGCTGCACCGCCCGACGTGGGCAACCCGAGCAGCATGTCGATGATCGAAGCGACTCCGTCCGCATATGCAACGACAGCGATGGCAACCACAACGGCACTTACAACGATAGAGCCGGCTTCGCCAACCACCGAGCCCGCCAGTGACGCGACCATGCCACCCATAATAGCTTCAAGCTCGACGGAGTCCCCAATAATGTCCAGCAGCACATCTACATCGACAAGCAAGCCAACCCCAAGTAACAACTCCAAATCCCCCCCAGCGCCTGCGCATATGCCGGACCTGCCGTACGAGTGCACGGACCTATTCTTCTACCAGCACTGCAACATCGGAAGTCACTGTGACAAGCCTGCTTACTGTGATTCGTACTTCCCGGGTGGCGCGGGGATCACTAGGAGGGAAAGGGAAAGGTGGGAGGTCGCGCACATGCACGCAGCAGTGCAGGCGGGAGTGTGATAGATACGTGCGTCAGTTTTTCCAACACTTGCAAGGTAGGCATGTTAGAATAGGCTTTTGTGAGCGGGCCTCATCACGACATTCAGTTGTGAGGCCAAGTTCAGAGCGTGCCCATAGCTATTATCACTTTGTAGCCTTCGTGTTGACACATTCAGATTGTTACTCCATCCTTTTCGGAGACGCAACTCTTTAGATGGTCACTAGGCTTACAGAGCATTCTATCTTATCCGCATGACAGCATGTTATCATCCTCCCCAATCTCAATGAGCAGGGCCGTTAAAACTTATCAGGGAGGACGGTATAGTGCGTGGCTTTGAGCGGCACAACAAGAACATACTGGAGGTGAGCGCGGTGGACATCAGTCTGGTCTATTTGTTGAGCACGCCAGATACTTATCGACAGAAGGACTGAGGATCTGAAAAGAGACATCGGTGTTCGCGCGGCATAGCATTATCATCAACGGCATTAACTAAGCGGTGCGGCCAAGCATCGACTTCATTATTGTAGGCTCAACATTTCTGTCGAGCGTTGCCATTACCAACCCCTACGTTCCATTGCCCTTCACCCACCTCATCCTTCTCCCAGCAGCCTCCCTACTCCTTCCTAACGCTGCGACGAGCCCTAATAGTCTCATCGGCAGTAGCCCCATTCATGACCATAGCCAGAACATTCAAGCCACCAAAGACCACCAAGAACGCGCCCTCCATCCCCAACGACGCGACCATATTCGTCAGCGCCACATTCGCAAGCTTGATCTCTCCATGAGCACTCCAGAACTGGATACAAGTATTCGTCAACTGCACCAACAGACTCAACCCAACGAAGCCCGAGGCGATGAGAGGAAGCGGCTGGAACCACTCCGGACTCCAGGCGATGAAGGGCGCGGCGTCGCGGTCGATGGTCTTCACGAGGAGGTAGCCGACGAAGCAGGCGCCGAAGCCGACGACGAGGGCGGCGAGGAGGAAGTAGAGTGTTTCGTTGAAGGCTTGGCCGGCGACTTTGAGGGACTCGCCAATGAGGTCTTCGGGGGCGCTGACGCCGAGAGCCATGTTTGCCGTTGTTGGTAACGATCGAATTGGTGTGTGTGTAAAGATCGTTGAGGTCGGACCCGGTGAACGCGAGTGTAAGGGGCGAAGTAGTGGGATGCTTTTGTGTGGTATGTGGTTGCATTGGGGCGCTGGGCTTACGATTGTTCTCGCTCCGGCTTGTTGATTGCCCGGTTGCAGTATGCTTCTCCTTGCGTCAGCGAAACGACGTATTGCTTCGTTTGCGGACATCGAAGGTGCCGAACAATACCATTAGCATCTCTCAACGGGAATCCAGGCTACCAACGCTGTTTCTGGGACCGCCATCCGTCTATACCTGCTGCATATGCGTTAAGCCAGCAGCCACCGCGCTCTGACGAAAAATGCCACTTGCGCTCCAGCATTCGCCGTTCACAGGGAAGCTGAGTCCGTCCACGGGGAAGCTGAGTCATTAGGATAGTCTTTGGATGGTCATTGCTTAGCCTGCCTCTCCGCCCAACTAACCCACCGTCTAACACACTCGTTCACGGCCCTGACACCCTTCTGACTCGCCTCAACCTCAAACCACTCCCGATGCTCCTTTCCACACGCTTTACACCTTCGCTTGACCTGTTGTGTCCTCAACTCCAGATGAATCAGCCGCTCGACTCGCTTCACATACGGCACCTTTCTAAGCACGTCACAACTCTTCCCAAGCTGTGACAGGTCCGGGTAAAGGCTCTCGCGTCTGTCGCCGACTGGTGACGCCTGCGGAGATGAAGATACATACGGATACCATCGGACCAGGTTCAAAGCGTACCCGCATTGCCGCTGCCACTGGTTCATGCGACGCGTGACATTGTTCGCACGGCCAATCTTAAGCATGATCGTCTTCTTGCCCGAGGTCTCGGGTTCGGATCCAGAGAACGAGAACTCGGTTACGACATCGCTGATGCGACGCTCGTGACCTGGCCGTTGCCGAGGTGGTGTGAGTAATGAGCGTGCTGTATCCTCGGAAGGTGTAGCTTTGGACTGCGGTGTGAGCCAGAAGATGTAGATGTAGCCTTCCTCGTCGTGCGGGCTAATCGGCTTAATGAGCTCGGCAAGTAAGGCGGATGTAGTGGCTGGCGAGAGATGAGACGGAATAGAAGACAAGAGTTGAGCTGTCTGTCCGTCGCTCGAGGGTCGGTGTTGAGCACCCGAGCGGGTGTCTGCGCTCCCATCGTTGTCGAGATTTGTCATCTTTGCGTTGGAGGCATGCTGTGCCGCTGAAGGTCGTCTTTCCTCCCTCCGAGTCGACTGCGGCATTGGGACTGCCGTCTCTGGCGGACGATTCTGCTGGACGCGCTTCCGATGTCGCACGATCTCGACGTAGTCATCGTTTCCGCTCGCCACACAGCAAAATGATGCCCAGAAACCCGGCTTCTTCGTCTTCCGTCTCGGCAATGCAGGCTGGAGATTGTCAGACCCTACTGCGTGCAACTTCTCAGAGCTGGCGAAGTCACGCATCTCGGTCCTTCTAGGTGGTTTCGGATTGTTGGTCCGGTGGGCCTTCGATTCGGTTGCGGATAGGTCGTTCAGCCCTAAGCTTTGCACCATCGTATCGATGCTACTCCTCTCCTTCAACGAGTAGAGCTCAACGCTTCGCTTCTTGCCCACCCTCCCGCCATCACTTCGCCTTTCCTCCTTCTCTGACCTAACGTGTGCTTGATCCTTGTGCTGCCAGCAATAGAAATCTGCTTCCCGCACCAAGCCGTCTTCTTGCACGATGGCGACCACACCAGTCAGTGCTTCAGACTTCCGCCGACCACTCAAAGGAGAAGACTTGGGCGATGCTAACGCGCGGCGACATGGTCTACCAGAAGAGGTGATGCCTTTGCAAGTGGTGGATGGGTTCTTCGAGTCATTGCGGCCCAGAAGAGCTTCGGGGGTATGGGGGACAGTGGGCATTGCGGCTTGGAAGACGTAAGAGTGTGATAGGTAGGAAATGGTACTTTACCTCGATATCAAGTCTACATGGTGGGGGCATTGCTGCCTTGGATGTAAGCAAGGGTGTGACGTGGTCGTAAGCGTTAAAGTCCAGAGTCGGATCCATTCAAGGTGTGAGGGAGGCTTGCAGTGGCTGGCGCGGGCATGCGCCACCCTTCCAGCTGCATGCACTGTGCTGTGTGCTGAGGCGACTCCTTCTGCTCCGTACATGTACATATACCATACATAGTATTGTGCAATGATGATAGGAAGGCCGAAATGTGTGAAGCTGGAGCTGTGATCATGGATCTTTGTACTCATCGTACAACTGCAGGCTGTAACATATCCGTCTCGACATAAGATCCGTCGAACAATTGGCTCTCGAGGCGCGGACGCTAGCGGCTGGCTGCATGACGGCACCCAGTGCGTTGCTTCGAATCAAATAATCTGCTCCCTTCGCTCCTTCCTCGACCTCGCTCTTTCCTTGTACAAATTGGCGCTTTTCCTGACTTCACTCCTTCTCTGCCATTGCTCTTTCCTGCTTCGCAACTGTCCTGTGATCTCTGGGGCAAGCTCTTCGCCAGCGCATGCTGCACGGTTTAACACTACAGATATGCTACGGCTACCATTATCGAAATGTCCGCCAGCACCACCATTCGAATGGTTCACGCGAACTGCTTCGCCGTGGGGCGCAAAACCCTTGAGGCTCCTAAACCGAAGGTCTCCCACGACGCTTTCTCCATTCGCTTCGTTCTATGTTTAACTCTGACTCCGATTCTTGCCCTGGGATACATGAGCGTTCTCGCGCAATGAAAGATTTGTGGGCATGACCGATTATGCGAGGTCGCTGAGAGCGTGCTGTTGTACGGCGCAGCATGCTACAAATTGCGGCACAAGCTCATCAGTCCGCTTGGTACGTGAGATCAGCTTTTCTCTTGTATGTTTATCGATCAGTCAAGAGTGTCAATCAGATTGAACGTATGGATTCCGCGGGACGACGTTCACGACAACCCTAGCCTTGCACCACAAGATCTTCTTCTGCCGCTTCTGACGGAAGTCAAAACCGCCAGCCATCAGACCTCCACCAGACAAGCTGAGTCGACGGAGCCGAAGCCAGCCTAGATTCTGTCAGCTCCAAAGTACGTTACGGGTACTACAACAACTTACTGCAACGCCTCCCTCCTCGCTGCCTGAACCTTTCGTGCGCAACAGGTAGCCTGCCTCGAAGTTCTCAACGATGTCTCGTTCGCCGTCTTTCTCGCCGTTCTTCCACAAACAAGCGCCGTAAATGCCCAGCTCGCAGATAACACCCCCCTCTTGCATCTCTCCATTGCGGAAGATGACATTGCTCTGCGCGGGCGGCTCAATCATCTCCATTAGGATATGTGCGGGCCACTGCAGCTCTGGCAGGCCATTCAGGAAGCCTGGGATCGCCTTACGATACACATTGTTTCCACCGCCTTCACGCTGTGGCTTCAACACGTATCGCACCGCTGTTTCCGGGTTGGTAGCCAAGTTACGTGCTTCTTGGCCTGCTTCGCTCTTGTCAAGCGGGTAGATGGGCGCGAAAGTCTTCAAGACTGCGGCTGCCTGAGCATCGTCAGGCAGAAAGCGCTTGAGGTGCGGTGAATGTGGCGTCGCAAGCACTTGCTGCACCTTCTTGGTGCCTGCCAGCTGTGTCAAGATCGAAGGGCACTTGATTGCGGCACTTCGCTCGATCTGCAACCGACCGTCCCAGTCTCTTTGGCTTTGGTATTCAGCAGGTGAGTATCCGGCTCGGAAGTAGACCAAAGACACCTCAAATGGTTTGTTTGGCGCATGTGGTGGAAGGTATAGCAGCTTACGGTTCGCGTCGAGCTTGGTGTCATCCAGCACTCTACCAAAGGGTAGGCGAAATGTTCGTACACCATGGTTGTTGTTCAGAGCATACTCCAGGTGCCGCTGATCGAAGACGTTGCGCTCTGGATCCTGCACAAGGAAGATAACGCATGTTTCTATGTCGGACTCAGGAGGTCCATAAGCCTGATGAGCTACTGCCATACCACGAGCAAGCTGCGGCACTGAACTACTTTGCGGGAGTGCAGCTTCGTTGACGATCGATGAGATGGTGTCCGGATACGCATCGATCGAAAGCAGATGTTTGTGTAATGCAGAGACTTGGCTTGACAGACCACCGAAGGAAGAAGCGATCGTGTTGAACTCCACCTGCTTCACAGCCGGGCTAGGACTGGTATCTGCGGGATCTACGTGGACCATGTAGTCGGATCGGAAGAGGCCAAGTTGAAGCGGCTAGAAGCATATTAGCTACCAAACCCACAGTCGTTCATTCGCTTGATCGAAAGAGCAATGTTACCTGCACATAGCCTTCTGACTTGGTACTCGTGTATACCTTCCATAGCTGTGCAATGAAGTCGTCAATATCCACTAGCCTGAAGCATCCGCGTTAGTCCTCACGCTTCAATGCCGAGTATGAAGTAAACTCTTGGCTGTGGGGAGATACTGTTCTAAGGAGAGACATGTGACAGGTAGCGGTATGTGCAAAGCAAAGAGACCTACAGGCATACCTACTCTTCGACAATGCCCTTCAGCCAACCTTCATCGCTGGCTATGGCAGAGTAAAGCTCATTGTACGCTTTCGCAACGGATTTTGCCTGCTCGAAGCACACCCTTGGGAACAGACTAGGGAACAGTGTGACCGGTGCAGTCGTTGCTAACGCACCCAATGGGTTGTGCTCTTCCGGTACGTATGCTGGAGGTGGTCGAACAGCCAGGCCGTGGGCTATTGACCAGTCCTTCAGGTTGGCAAGCAAATATTTGTTTTGCTCGTCGTTGAGCCCGGGCGGATACTCTGGATACATTGTCGTTATCATTTCGACATTGCAGTGTCGTATACGCTTCGTGCAAGATTTATCTCAAGCCGCTGACAAACGCTTGAACCTCACCTCACCCGGAGGTCGGGCCGAACAGTCCAAACATTCCGACTTCTAGGATCTCGAAGGCGGCGACTGAAGACAAGCGCGTGCTATATGAAAGTTCTCTTCGAGACAGCACATCTGACTCTGGCCATCACCAAGAAGCTGATTGAAAGAAAGGAACTCGAATCACCATCATGCCCCCCCTGACTCCTCCGCCAATCCCAGCCTTGAAAGTGCGGTCCAAGCAGCGAAACGTTTCTTCACGAACAATACACTTTTACTGCCGATTGTAAGGATTCTATCCAGATCTTATAGCCGACAGGTCGCCGGACCATGATCCAGAGCTGTACGTTACGGAAAGGTTACCTCCGGTCAAGGCGGAGCCACAAAGAAGATCTGCTCGCAGTCGTGACAAGGCGCCTGAAAGGCAGACATCGATCAGACGGCTAAGTTTCCGCTTGGCTCGCAGCGTGCAGGCTCATAAGATCTGTTCGCGGTACTGTTCTGTCACAGCTACCACTTGGTGCTGAGGCAGTAACATCCTGCGACGTGGACCGATCCACGACTTCAGCCACTGAGTAGAGGCTGAGTGCGGTGCCGGAACTGTCAATCACAACTCCATTGCCTCCGTTCAGCGGTGTATAGGCCGTCACAAAGCTTAGTGAAGGTGAGAACCTTCTCTGCGAAGGTCACGTGGACCGCGTGCTAGCGCGATATGCCCCACTTTTCTTGTGTTTCTGCCTAACAGCATCACTCTCGACACATCCAACACGCACAACGACTTTGCTACAACATACGGCCGCATTGTCGAGCTCGACCACAACTATCCGTGCGGACTGACATGGTTTGAATAGTCATCCAACAACATGGATTCGGACCCATGGACGTGGAACGTGAGCGACGTACAGCTATTCTTCCTTCAAGATGCGGTAAAGCTCGCATCCGACAGAGTGAGTGGCCAACTTCCGCCGGCGAACCATTTCGTGCAAAAGCTGGCCGACTGCGAGGTTGACGGGGCTTCATTGCTAGACGGCATTGACACCGTCTGTCTGCGTGATGAATTCGGCATCACCTCCATCCGTGTGCGCAGCACTGTCATGCACTGCATACGCAAGCTGCAGCATATCTCACCGGCCTATAGCGCTCGGCATGGCAATCATCGGCCACGAACGCCACTCTCGCTACTCAGCACACCACTGCTTACCTCAAGCGCGCAACTTCCTCTGCAGTCTACAGAAAACCGACCTCCAAGCGAGCAAGTTCCGGAGAAGGCGTCGCTGGATGAGCCCGCCCCTAAGCGTCGCAGACTAGATCTCTCCCTACTTCAGCAAGCACATGCCTCGCCTCCTACACAGACGAGCTTGCCAGTGCGGATACCTGTCCATCAAGGCGAGTATTTGCCAGATGCGGTATTGTCCGTTGATGAGGTCTTCTACGGCAAGACAGCTCTAGGGCAAGAAGTGAATTTGGTGCCGCGCCGCGCTGGTTTGATCTCGAACTCCGATGATCCGGAGACAGATTTTCAGATTGTACCGCACATGGTACAGGCTGGCCAAGCGGCTTTCGTCCATGCGCGTATGCGCCACCTCTTTGGCCATCTCTCTGGCGGCCGTCGCCTGCGTGGCCCGGAAACGAAAGAGTTGATCAGGCGAGGCCAACTTGCTCTTGCAGTTATGCCGTACCCTCAGAGACTCAATGCCAAGGCACGGTCTGCAACAGTTTTCCAAGCCGGACTAGATGATGCACTAATAGCGAAGAGAGAACACTCAGCTTTCCTGGATTCTGGGTATGTAGAAGCCGGCATTGAGCAGCAGTCTGATGGCGGAGAATGGGACTTCCTACTCGACAAATACAAACACCAGAAATCTGACAAGCTTATGCCGGCAACTGGCGACTCTGAAACGGTCCAGACAGTGGACGAGTCGACCGCTAGTGGAGCCGGCGAAGGAATGGCGTCAGAAGTAGATGATGACGGCCTGGATCGTAACCGTATCCTCGAGATCCTAGACCAGCGAGTGGGAGATCATGTAGCACACTGGCAGCAGACCAAGCTGCCTGTCCTTGAGGAGCGGCGTGCTTGGCAGATATGGCGGAGAATGAAAGGCAGCAAACTGCTACGTGCCAATTTTATCAACAGCGCCTACAACCAGATCGACTATTATGATCGGCGTCTTGAGAAGCTCAAGCATGAACTTGTGTTGCAGGAGTGGACGGACGACACAGCTCTCTCGAAGGCTTTTGGCAACCTTGAGCCCACGATAGAGGACCGAGAGGAGAAGAAGTGGATGTTATCAGTCTGGCAGAGACGACAAGCGCCAGCACATGTGGTGCGCCACACAAGCAGTCATGCACAGCCTGCGCTACCAACACCAACAGCTGGCAACCCTGCAGGTGCTTTCTTCCATGTGCATCCCGATGACAGGATGTCAATATCTCCAGCGCCGGAAAATCTGGCCAGTGATCCGGAGAAAGACGGCGATTTTCATGCCCCCCCGGTAAGCCCACTGCAAGCCGCTCATGACAAAGACCTCGACTTTGACGCTTCTGATGAGATGTCGCCCAACGGACCTGGTCCGGATGATGACTTCATCGCGGCCTCTGAGCATGAAGACAGCTCATTTAACCAGCGGAGCGATGGCGATCCGATGGGGTTAACCACATCCACGACGCTTGGTCCGTCCAGCTTTACCCAAGCTCATGTATCAGTCACGGAAACAGAGTCTGATGCCCACAAGCTCGCAATGTCTGACACCGACCTGCCTTCGCCTTCCACCTTCATTACGCCAAGACCCAAGAAAGAGTCCGTAACACCAAACCGCAGGTCGCAGGGTATGCGAAGCGAGCACCTCGTGATATCATTGATCTCATCGGACTCCGCAGACACTCCCGCTACTAAGCGCAAGCGGGGCCGTCCCCTGGGCTCGAAGAAGACAAAGTCAGCGTGGGACAAGACACGGCCGGAGGATCACAGCGCGTTGGAGGTCGATGAGTGGGACATTGAGAGTGTCCTAAAGGCACAAGACCGCAAGCGCCTGCTCATCAAGCTTCTGCGAGATGCCGGGGTGGAGAAGCGGCATTCGATACAAAAGCAGATCATGATCGATCAACTGGGGTTTGTGCAGCACCTGCGCCACACTATTAAGGGTCTGCGCGACAGCCCCAGTCCCAACATCGACTCAGAGGATAACGCTGAAGCAATCACACGCTTCTGCGCATGGATGGCTTTGGTATGGTTCACATTGGAGCCTGAGTGTCTCCACCCTACGGCTAACTTACGCAGACACTGGCAGGATCTCCTTGACGATCGCAGAGGCCAGATTGACATGTTTGTCAGCATGCTGAAGGAGATCATCAAGCTGAGGAATCAGCCGCTGTTCAACCAGCTCCGGAAGGACGGGCCGCAGAGTAACACCACGGGTAATGCTTCCAATGCTATTCCCGTGGCCTCCGACACGGACGACGCGAACTCAGCAAATCCACACAGGAAGAAGCGCAAGAGGAAGGTCGCAGAGAACCAGCTTGCCACCAAGAAGCAGATGAATGAAGTTGCAAGTCACCGGAAATGGCGCGAAGCATTGTCGCAGGAGGCGGGTAACTCGTCTCAAATTGCGGCCCTCCCTTACAGTGACCCATCCAAGTCTGACATCACGATCAACCCTGTACGCAAGCTGGGGTTCGCGCCCATCCACATTCACCCACATATTGCGAGATCTATGAAGGATTATCAGATCAACGGCGTCCGCTTCCTTTGGAAGGCAATATCATTCTCGGACTGTGATGAAGACGACTCGCGACAGGGTGCGATCCTCGCTCACACGATGGGTCTCGGTAAGACGATGCAATCCATTGCGTTACTCGTAGCAGTCAAGGAAGCATCAGAGTCCGACAATGAAGCGATTACGAGACAGCTTCCACCTCACTTGCGGAGCGAGAGTTTCCGTGACCAGCGCCAGCTGCGCATGCTCATTCTCTGCCCGCCCACCTTGATCCGTAACTGGCAGCGAGAGCTTGATCAATGGGCTCCCGAGGCGCTCGGCAACATCTTCACTGTGGAGCGTGGTAAGAAGGAGGCCCGGATTGAGGAGATGAACACCTGGTACAGAGTTGGCGGCGTGCTGCTGATCGGCTACGCTAAGTTCCGTGACTTTGTTTTACGAAAGGGAAGGAAAGGTATCGACGTTGATGGCGCCCAACTCGACAAGGTCTTGCTCGACGGACCTGAGGTTGTGATTGCGGACGAGGTTCACAACATCAAGAATCGTACCTCAGACATCGCCGTTGCCGCAAACCGGTTCAAGACCGAAACTCGCATAGGGCTGTCTGGAACCCCCATGTCCAACAATGTCGTCGAGATATATGCGCTAGTGTCGTGGGCCTGCCCAGGCTATCTCTCCGAACCTACCGAATTCCAAGCTAATTACGTCGAGCCAATCGAGGCAGGGTTATACGAGGACAGCAGCGCATATGAAGTCCGCAAGATGAAGAAGAAGCTGTTTGTCCTGCACCACCGCATCGCTCCGAAAGTCGATCGCCAGGATATCACAGCATTGCGTGGCTCGCTCAAGCCAAAGATGGAATTCGTAATCACCGTTCCCTTGACTGCAGTCCAGAGTGCGATCTACAAGCGCTATGTCGGTGCCCTACTTGGCGACAGCAAGAACGCCAAAGCCAGCCAGGTCACAATCTTTGGCTGGCTAAACCTCTTGATGCTGCTAACAAACCATCCTGCAGCTTTTCGGAAGAAGCTTCTCACGCCGGTACCACCGAAGAAAGCGAAGAAAGGAAAGGATGCTGCTCTTGCTGAACCGTCGCCTGGAGACAGTGGTGTCACTACCCCAGCTCTACCGGAAGACTCCACTGCTGATCAGGTCCTGGACGTGGAAGCAGTCAGTGCTCCATTCGAAGAGGATCTTTTTGCGCTTGGCTTTACTGAAGCTGTTGTCAAGGCCATCTTGGGCGATATTGATGATGCAATTGATCCCGCGCACTCCGCCAAGATGTCAATTCTCCTCGGCATTTTACGACTTTCGGTGAAGTGCGGCGACAAGGTTCTCATCTTCTCAGGCTCGATACCAACCATACGCTTCGTTGAAGAGCTGCTCTCCAGCAACAACGTTGCTCATGGTACCATTGATGGCTCGGTGCCCGCGGACACGCGCATAGAGCTCATAGAGAAGTTTCACCGCCATGCCTTCGACGTTCTCATCATCTCCACCCGTGCCGGCGGAGTTGGCCTCAATATCCAGGGCGCCAATCGTGTGGTCTTACTTGACTTCGGCTTCAACCCCACATGGGAAGAGCAAGCCATAGGACGTGCATACCGACTCGGTCAGACTAAGCCAGTCTTTGTGTACAGATTCGTAGCTGGTGGCACCTTCGAGACGAACCTTTACAACACGCAGCTCTTTAAGACGTCACTCTCGCACCGTGTAGTAGACAAGAAGAACTCCCGGCGCAATGCCAAGCGTAGCGACACCCGTCAGTATCTCTACCCACCTCAGCCGGTAGACCAGGAGGAACTCGCACAGTGGGTGGGCAAGGATCCGGCAGTGCTTGATGTGTTGCTCAAGCGGCACGTCGACGATGGAGAAGACGTGCTGATTCGCAAGATCTTGACGATGGAGACTCTGCAGGCGGAAGCGCAAGAGGAGCCGCTTAATGAGGAAGAGACGGCGGAGGTCAACGAAGAGATAAGGCTGGGACCTATCAGAGGTCGCACGGCGGCACTGGCTGCTAGTCTAGGCACGAATGTGTCCAATGGCTTCCCTTCCACGGCTCTACCCAATGGACCACGCCCGTCGCCTACGTTCGGTCAACCGCGCCTGCCGGTGGCGTTGAAGATCGGCCAGCCGGCAGCCACGCAGTTTGCACGATCACCAGCATCGACGCAGCAGCAGCAGCAGGCACATGGATTTGTATATCCGCATGCACCCGCTTCAACGGCACCCGCAGCACGGCGACCGTTCACGGTGCAGCAGGCTTCGCCGAGCGGAGCACCGGCGTTTCAGCCTCTGGCAGATCCCTCCCTGTCCTCTTAACATACGCAGAGGAGGGATAAACAATGGTCGCTGGGTGCCCGATGCGCCTCCGGACTGAGCGCAGCACTCTCACAGCAGCAGACGCTGGTTTGTGCCATCTGCAAGCAGCAGGTTTGGTAGCACGTCCTGAATAGCTGGCATCTCCACGCAGCGTACCACCCGGTCAGCCTTTGCCGTCTGCCTCTTAGTACGCAGGAGCGCGAGCTTGACGCCCGAGCATGCTGGAAATGAGAAACCGAGATAATGGGAGATGAATTATGAGGCGCTTTGAGACTTTGCATTTGCGGGCTAGCATCTTGGGACATTCAATGTACATCAGCTACTCTGTTCGCCCGCTGCTTGCAGCCGGGAGTCTAGAAGAGGATGGCCACGCTGCTTTTAGCATGAGATACCCCTATTGCAGGCATGCTTTACGTTTTTGCTTTAGTACACAAATATACCCGTCATTATCGACCTCGTCATGCTCCTGGTCGCCGCTCACGATGCCGCTTCCCGGCCAACATTCAGCCTCGCCATCGGTCCGTGACCATGCTCACCCAACGCTTTAGGTTGAAACGGCTTCCGCTTCTCCCCTTCCGCTTGGTCATCCTTCTCAGGCTGACTAGCAGCTGACGCGTTCGGCTTCTGATTCTCACCCTTCGCCTTGTTGTTAGCAAATGCCTGCACCTTCTTCGGGCCCAGTGCCTGCACATCCTTATCCGGATGCAGACTCCCATCCTCCGGCGCCATCTTCGCCAACACCAACTCCGCCACTTCCTCCCCTTCCCGATCCTTCCTCCAACTCTCAAACTGATCCCACCACCACCCATGCGTCACCCCATCTTTCCCCTTGAACCCCGCGATGCCATCCGCACCAACCCGACTCGCCCACGGCTTGTCAACGATGTAGTGCAGACACACCACTTCCTCATCCCGCCACATATCCTGATGGATATACCGCATGGTCTTGAGAGCATTATACTGCCACCCCAACCCCTTCCACCGATTCTGGAACAAATCCGCGAGGAAGTCTTGGTCGGGGAATTTGTAGCTGCGCAATTTATCCGTCGTGTTGAAGAAATGTAACATCTCCTCCCACAACCGTTCGGAAGGGTGATAAAGGAACATACCACTGTTCAGCAAATGATACGTCCCCCTACTCTCCGGCGTCGGCTGCGTCGGTTCCGTTAACGCGCGTGGATGCGTTAGAGGCGTGTACGCGCAGTTCTCCACGTTCCAGTCCGAAGGTGCCCAGGGGTCGGAGTCGAGGTTACACACACAGGCGTGGTTTGCCGCGATCCAATCGCTTGGTAAGTCTGCAGCCTGATCGAAGATGGAGTCCATATTTGAGTTGAAGATGGAAATATCGGCGTCCAAGTAACAAACGGCATCATACCCGAATGCCTGGAAGACGCGGAGTTTCGTCCAGGTGTCGATGAAGCGTTCGGCGATGTAGACGTGCTCGCCTTCGCCTTCGCGCTGGGGCGGGAGGAGGAGTTCGCAGGGCTGGAGGATGAGGTTTGTCTTGGGGGCTTCCAGTTCCATTGCTTTGATGGCCGATGCTTCTAGGGAGGAGGGGTAGAAGACGAGTAATGGGTATTGTGAGCCATGTTTGCGGAGGGTGTCGGCGAGGATGATGACGCCGGGGAGGTAGGAGGAGCGGGTAATTAGGGTCGTGTAGGCGTATTTCTTCTTGGTTTGTGAAGTCGCCATGACGATTGACGGAATGGCCCTAAGATGGGTGGTGCTTGGTTCGGCCTTGATAGTCTGTCGACTTGAGTACGTCCTCGGTTCTTCTCTTGGTCTCTTCTTCTCCTTGCAAAGAAGGAGCTTGGGAGCAGAGTCTTTCGAGTGTCTGGCAAAGTCCTTATTGACGAGTGTTTTGATGGACCAGGCGAGCAATTACACACTTCTTCACCTTGGAACTACTATGACGATTAAGTGGCCTCTGCGTACACTGTCAATGAAAGTTGCCCGTCCACTTCCGACCGCTTGAGCACGGCGTCAATCAAATGATCAGTGAATCTTCGAACGTGCATATGTAGCCACATGTGAATACTGCGTGATGGAGGGGTGGCGGAAATTCGAGCGTGGGTAGCGATTGATCGCCCGCCATGGATTTCGGAGGCATGACTGCTCGATGTGACATACAGTGATTATTGGCAGCGGCACATATTGACTGAAAGTTACACTGAAGACGTGAGGCATAGCAGTAGCCAGAATATTATGCTGGAACCGGCATTGCACGGCCAATGCCATGTCTGACTTAATACCACCGGAGTGGTTGAGCTAACGTTCTATGGCTCGTCACGGTGCCCAGCCCAAAAACATATACTACATTACGCTTCCTCCATCCCTACCTTACAACACACAAACCAACCCACCTTACAAATACAACCCCTCCGGCTCCCCCTCACTCTTGGTCTTAAGCACGCTCTCCCTCGCCTTCCGGAAATCTTCCATATTCACCCTCATCCTGCGCTCCCTCAGCGCCATCAGACCCGCCTCACTACATATCGCCCGAATATCTGCTCCACTCAGATCATCCTTGGCGACAATCATCTCCTCCAAGTCCACATCCTGCGCCAAACTCATCTTGCTCGTGTGCAGATTAAAGATCTTGCGTTTGGTGATTTGGTCCGGGTTCTCGAATAGGATTTTGCGGTCGATACGGCCTGGACGGATGAGAGCCGGGTCGAGGGTTTCGATCTTGTTCGTCGCCATAATAACTTTCACGTCGCCGCGGTCGTCGAAGCCGTCGAGTTGGTTGAGGAGTTCGAGCATGGTTCTCTGAATTTCGCGTTCGCCGCCTGAAGTGGACTCGTAACGCTTCGTGCCTATGGCGTCGATTTCGTCGATGAAAACGATGGAGGGTGCGTGCTCGGCGGCGACTTGGAAGAGTTGGCGGACCAGTCTCGGACCGTCACCGAGGTACTTTTGGATGAGCTCTGAGCCGACGATGCGGAGGAAAGTGGCGGAGGTTTGGTTCGCGACGGCTTTGGCTAGGAGAGTTTTGCCGGTGCCTGGCGCGCCGTAGAGGATGACACCCTTCGGCGGTTTGATGCCCATCTCTTCGTAGAGTTCTGGGTGCAGTAGGGGCAGTTCGACGGCTTCGCGCACTTCTTGGATTTGCTGTTCCAGCCCGCCTATGTCAGCGTAGGATTCTGTCGGCGCTTTGTCGAGCTTCATGACGGAGACGAGGGGGTCGGCATCGTCGGTTAGGACTCCCACTACGGAGACGGATTTGTGGTGGAGCAGGATGCTGGCGCCGGGTTCGAGAAGGTCTTTGTCGACAAAGGACATGATGGAGACGTAGTATTCGGGTCCCGTGGCGGAGGAGACGATGGCGTGGTCGTCGTCGATTAGTTCTTCGAGGTTGCCAACGCCCATGGGCGAGCCGCGCATGTCATCCACCCGGCTGCGCTCATCGGCGTTGCGGTCGAGGGCGTCGCTGTCGCCACCGGCGGTCGCAGGGGCCTTGTCGTTGGCCGCTTTGGCTTTGCGGATGCGCTCTTGGTTCTCGACGAACTCTTCTTCGAGCAGGAGGTGATCATGGACGCGCTGCATGCGGAGGTAACGGAGCTTACAGCGGGCGGTGGGATAGACGGTGGGGAGTTTGGCCGCGGCATTAGGCCCGGCTGCCTTCTTCTTTCTCCGCCCGATGCGCGTGGTGGGTTGTGGTGGCGGCTCGTACTTGGGCTTGTCCTTCTTGTCTCCCTTCTTGTCCTTGTTATCGCCACCCGGTGCGCCTGGAGGTCCGCCGGGCCCGCCGAGGCCGGACTGGTTCTGACCCTACGAAATGTGTTAGTTGAGTGTGAAGGGCAGAGTGTTGGCTATGGAGACATACCATCGCTGCCCCTTCCTACTCTTCCGGTGGTGGTGGTCTTAGCCCCTGCTTCAGTGTTGGAGGTGGTGCAGTCACTACCGAGTGAGTGGCAGTATGGGGGTGGTGATGATGGAGGTGAGGCGGGAAAGTTGTTGATATGAGTGTTGGTGCGGCGATGGTGGATGCGAGATGCCTTTCAAGGTGGAAGCTTGTCACGTCAGCACCACGCGAGCATACTTGATGCCTAAGGCAACGAACCGAGGTGGTCTCGAAGGTGCATCACACAAGCATCAACTGCTACCAACTTGAATACTCCAGTCCCTGCACCACACCACCACCGCCCCTCCCTGGCTACAGCTGAAGCCATAGCTACTCCGCTGCTTACGAAGCCCACCACACCGCCTGCTCCTGACAACACCGCTGTCTCACGTGAGCCGACCAGCGAGCTCCAGCGTACAAAGGCTGCGACACCAGCCACCACGAAGCTGTCCATACCACATCCTCTGGCCCCATTACGAGGCTGAGACTCCGCCAATATCACACTACATGTGATCGACCCGCACTTTGCCGCTACGAAGAGTGAGCCTCTACCGGGGCAGCCACTCCAACAACCACAGCCCCTCCACCGCTCCCACCTAACCTTCCTTCCCACTTCCGGTTGCTATAGCACTACGCCAACATGGCCACCGCCAACCGCAACCGCCGCCTCCAAAAAGAGATCGCCGACGTCCACAAAGACACCCACTCCGGCATCACCCTCACCTCCCCCACCGGCTCCCCCGAAATAACAGACTTCACCCGCTTCAAAGGCCACTTCGTTGGGCCCCCGGACACCCCCTACGAAAACGGACACTACGAAGTCGACATCCGCATCACCCCGGAATACCCTTTCAAACCGCCCGAGATGAAATTCATCACCCGCATCTGGCATCCCAATATCAGCTCGCAAACAGGGGCGATATGTCTGGACACCTTAAAATCGGCCTGGAGTCCCGTGTTGACGCTCAAGAGCGCGTTGATCAGTATCCAGAGTTTGCTATCAAGTCCGGAGCCGAAAGATCCGCAGGATGCGGAGGTGGCGTCTATGCTACTCACGCGACCGGAGGAGTTCGCGCACGTGGCGCGGGAGTGGGCGATACGGTATGCGGATGCTCCCCGACCTGGTCCCGGGTCGGGCAAGACCGGGGGTGGGAGTAGTGGGGACGTCAGCGGAGGAGGGGAAGGAGACGTGGCGCGAGAGAAGGAGAGGCGGAGGCAGGAGGAGAGGGAGAAGAAGAAAGCCGAAGAGAGAAGGCGGAGGGAGGCGTATCGGGGGTATAATCCTGCCATGGTGGAGAGGTTTGTGGGGATGGGTTTTGCGGTTGAGCAGGTCGTCGCTGCGTTTGAGTATGTGGGGTTGGACAAGAATGGAGGGGAGGAGTATGAGATGGAGGAGGAGTATATTGGGGATGTCACGGCGAGGTTGTTTGGGGAGATGTGATTGCCATCACCCTCACCTTCACCCTCACCTCGACGTGACTCGAAGATTGTTGTGTGGGAGACGGAGGAGAACATACCTCGTATGTCAACAGTCGACGGAGATCAAAGAGTGTGCGATTCGGCGACGCGGCTCGCCGTTCGGGAGTTTGCTTGCTTGCTTGCTTGCAGATATTAGCGAAGCACCAAGCGCTTACGGCGCGGAAGGTGACGATGTTGGAACGATATGAACGAGATACGGCATACATATGCTCGGCCGGCCATCGTGGCATGTTCGAACGGATGGTAGAAGCACAATACCTCAGTCTGCACTCTATTCTGTCTTCCTTCGAGAGTTTAGCTGTAGCGTCTTCGTGATCTCCCTGTCGTGGTCCTTGATAGGTGAGCTCGCGAGCGGCTGCGAAGCGTTTAGCCTTAGTCAAGGGCGACATGAAGGTGACCTTGAAACATGGCGTGACTCACTGGGTCATAGCTCGTAAAGGCTTCCCGTGGTGGAACCCAACGCGTACGATATGTTACTGACTACGACGCTTAGCAAGCATCGAAATGGTTGACCTGCGTTCCCACTAGTACTCGTCCGTTCATCTACCCCCCCACAAGACTCGTCCGACCAGACTGGGGAAGTCCGGAGGCACCAGGTCAACGGACAAAGGGATTCAGCACCATCACCTTCAAGACACCACGTCAGACACCACCCCCCCTACCATTCCAGCTCAACCAAAACGTTACCGTCAGGTTCAAGGCCGGTTATGATCCAGCTATCTAAAACACTTTCTTACTAGCCTCAGAAACCCCGAGTTCCCTCCCCGGAAGACTCATGCTCTGCATCTCAACACACCTCACCGCCGTTTGTGCCGTGCTTCACGCCTGCTTCCTGGCGAGCCCTAAGGCCATCTTCCGCAGAGTCGCTCACGTCAGCGCCTCCCGCAAGGATACTGGCATGGTCTTTCTTCGATATGAGTATGTGTCGATGTACGAGTTCTGCCTTCCGGATAAGGGTCACCTTCTCGTTGGCGAATCGTTGGATGGCCACCCGGGACGGCGTAAATCGTCGACTGCTCAACAATGTGCACGTTGGCTTTCGTTTGAAGAGGTGTTGGTGTACGCCGGCTTCGGGTTGGCGTTGGCATTGATGACGATGTTGTGTGAGATGGGTAACGCGCCGAGGCTTTTGACGGGGGAAACGTTGTTCGACGGGAGGAATAGCAGCAATGCCCCGAAGCCCATGCCGAAGGATGACTACTTTCCAGGAAGAGCATCAGAATCGATCATGAGGTGGTGCCACGGCCGAGGAGTCCGAGATCGTACATGCTTCAGTTGATAAGCTTCCCATAAAACGGCACGCCAATCTGCGTGAGCAACACCCTCGCATCCCGATCCGTCGACGCGGACGTATGGATGAAGATATGGCAACCGGGGATCATCTTCGGCGGGTACCTGAAAACATCCACGTCAGTTTCGTTCAAACGCTCAGCAGCCCCAGGGCTGCATCCATCATCTCCTTCGCACAGCTTGAAGAAACTTACATGTCATAATTCACCTCCACCTCCGGAAACAGCGCCACCTCCTCCGCCTTCAACCCCAACGCAACATTCCCACTACTATCCCCCGAACTCCCCTTCACCCCGGGCCAATCCTTGATCTTCGGCATGACCACATCGACCAATTTCCCGATGAAATGATACATAGCCTCGCCACTCAACTCACACGTAAGACTGAGATACTGTCCCGCTTGAATGCCGAAGCTGGCGGCGGATTTCTCGACTTTATGCGCCGTCGCTCGCACACCGGTGATGGATTGCAGGACCATACTCGCGACGTGGAGGTGTGCGACGTCGTCTGTCGCAGCTTTGACCATGGTGTGCACCGTCACTTTCTCCAGTTTCGGCACGTTGCGGAAGGTAATCGGTTTCCGCAACAGCCGCAACACATCGCCGCCTCTCGGCCCACGAGGGGGTCGGTTCTTGAAGTAGGGTGAGTCTCCTATCCAGCTCCGGAGTCGCTCTCCTTTGACCGGCGCGCTGAAGCCGGGCGGGAAGTGGGTGTAGGTCATGGTCATGTAGTCCGGGGCGAAGGTTTCGTGGTACGTTTGTTCGAGACGGGGGAGGGAGAAGGGGCCGGGAACGAAGAGGCGGGAGGATGGGTCGGATTCCGGGGGGGGTTGGTGCGGGTGGAGGGGCCCGCGGTAGTAGCGCGGGGGTTTGTATTGGTATCTGTGAGTAGTGTTAGTGAGGAGGTTCTGCGGGAGGTGGGTGTGGAGGTGTGGCTTGCCTGCTTCGCGGGAGTCTTCTACTGTGTCGTTCATTGCGTCTCCGTGCCACGCCGGCAGGATCGTAGCGTTCAATGTCTTTCTCGGACGGTCGTGCTGCTAAGCTGGTCGTCTCGAGCTCGTCCGTCTCCTGTACCGCGGCAGCATCCGCTGGTAAGGCGTATCGTCGACATTGCTGCGTCCAGAGGGAGGGAGACAGATGTGGTGCTGATCTGAAGCGTTTGAGAAAGGCTGTGGTGACTTCGGAGAGCGCCATGGCTGAGATGGTGGTTGATGGGGAAGAATTATTGGATGCACGCGATCACTTTCGTTGTTGCGGGAATGTCTTGACTCGGGCGATGCGGCCGATTCTGCGGCCGGTGCTGGCCGATCTTGCGCCGCATATGGAACGCTCGGACGCTGCATGACATTCAATCTGCAGATGCGGACAAAGACATAACGTGACTGTACTTCCTCCGACCTCTGAACCCTCCACGGAGGCGAACACTGCCTCGACGTGACACATGACGACCATTACACATCTTCTCGGCGGTGACGACGATGTCGTTGACTCGCGGCGGCGGAGGAACGCGCGGGCGAGGACGCGGTAGCGGACCAGCTGCGCAGCGTGGAGCAAGAGGCGCATCAACGAACCATAGCGCATCATTTCGAGGCGACCCCCAACGAGCCGGAGCAACGTTCAAGGGCCGCTTTGGCCAGCCGTCGCGCGGTGATGGCGCCAATAAGACGTTCGGCCAAGCGCGACAACCTAAAGCCGTCAATGGCGCAGTCAACCAGCGTGGCGCACCAGGCGGGATGAGGACGAAAGCAGGATGGCAGGAACGCTACGATCAGGTATGTATCATGGAGCCACCACGTCACTGACGAAGTGCGGTTAGTGACAACTCCTCCCAGCTCACCCAATCCCGCGAGCGCGAGCGGAAGCAAGCCATCCGCCAAGGTCTCATAGCGGACCCGGACAAGCCTCGCTCGCTGGCGGAAGCGATCACGCCAGTAGGGACATGCCAGGACATGTGCGCCGAGTACGAGCGAGTCGAACGGGTCGTGCAGAACGATGTCTGGACGGAAGAGACAGATCCATCTCACTCAGCCTTCAGTCGGACAGACGCACCGCCGGATGAGTCGCGCATGGTGAAGAAGTTCCGTCGAGCCGCGGCGGGGCTGGAAGAGCAACTACCATCAGACCTACGGCCACCGGCAGTACTGAAACGGACATGTGACTACCTCTTCAATGAAGTCATCAGCGGCGCGGAGAGATTGGAGAAAGTACACCACTTCGTCTGGGACCGCACCCGCGCCATCCGCAACGATTTCTCCATCCAACAGTTGACCAAGGCGGAGGATCTCCGAATAGCGATCGAATGCTACGAGCGGATCGCACGCTTCCACATCCTATCCCTACATCAACTGGCAGGAGCCACACGACCGTATGACAAGTACGACGCGCAGCAAGAGCGGGAACAACTAGATCGGACACTATTGTCGCTCATGCAGTACTACGAGGACAGCCGCGGGCGGGTCGATTTACCGAACGAAGTCGAGTTTCGCGCTTACTGCGTCATCTTCCAACTCCAGGACCCGATTCCGGATCTCGAGGACCGCGTGCAGAGCTGGCCGAGACATGTAGTCGAGAGTGGGCGAGTGCAAGCTGCATTGCAATTATACGCCGCCGCTTGTAATACCCACGATGGTCAAGGTCCGCTGAAACCACGTGCGAACCATCTACTCGCGCAGCAGGATTGGCAGCGATTCTGGACGTTGGTTGGGTCGAAGCAAGTCTCCTACTTGATGGCATGTGTGGCCGAGATCTACTTCAACCTCGTCCGACGAACGGCTCTCAGCGCGCTCGTCCACGGTTTCCGGGAAAACAACAAGACCTCCCCACTCGATTGGACAGTCGACGTACTCCTCGATATCCTCGCTTTTGATGAAGAGGAGCAGGTGTACACTTTCTGCGAAGCCTACGGCTTCTCCTTCGCGCAGAGAGAAGATGGACAGCAGTATTTGGACCTCCTGTCTATCAGGTCGAAGGAGTTGGGGCAGCCAACGAGCAATTTGCCGAAGCAGTGGAAGAGTAGTCTTGTGGAAGGGAAAAGGTTCGGGAGGACCGTTTCGGCGGTTATTGATGGGATGAGCGTGAGGCGGGCTGAGGAGGTGGGGCAGGTGGTTGAGGAGGATATGGAGGTGGGAATGGAGGATGTGTATGGCCAGATGGAGGGTTATGGTGTAGAGGGTGGTGTTAATGGTGGGGTGCAGGGTAACGGGGGTGGGGATGAGGAATCGCTCTTTGTCCCTGAGGAGCAGAGAGCGGAGAACACCGCGTCTGCCGGCCTCACAAACGGTACGAGTTCTTTCGGTACCAATGCACCGTCAAAGCCAATCGCCAACGGCAGTGGTTTATCGTTCGGAAAGCCTTCGGGTACCACGACGTTTGGCCTGCCATCATCCGGGAACCCCTTCAACAACCCCTTTGCGCCTGCTAAACCGCAAGGTACGACTTTCGGCCAACCGTCAGTGGGAAGTGGAAGTGTTTTGAGCAACCCGTTTGTGCCGCAGAAGCAGCCGCAGACCGAGAGGAAGTCTGGAACCTTCGATTTCTCTGGTCTGGCATCTGGGAAGCCGGAGAAGGAGACGTCAACGCTGTTCAACTTCGGCGCGCCCTCCGCGTCACAAGCCTCTGTGTCAACGAGTGGAACTGCCCCAGCACCATCAAGCGCGGCCAAGGCACCATCATTCGATTTTGCAAGAGCACAAATTCCTCCTACGAGCCAAGGAAGTCTTGGTGGTGCTTCATTGACTTCAGCACCGAGCGTCGCTCTAAAGGCTTTGCCGCCGTTTGCCGAGCTCAGTACTGGCGACCGCTCACCTGCGCAATCATCGCCCTTCCAACAATCCAAAACTACGAGCGAGAGTGGCAGAGCGAACACAACACCCTTTGCATTCCCGCAGTCACAGACGGCACCGGCAGACTCCGCCCCACCGCCACCACACCAAGCATCGCTCTTTCCCAAGCCAGAAACGGCAGGAACGACGTTAGTGGAAAGTCCCGCAGCGAAGCCCGTGCCACCTCCAACCGCACATTCACCTTCACCCCCTCCAGCTGCACCTCAAGTGACGAGCCCAACCAGAGCGACGACAACAACACCACCTCCACCAGCAATCTCCTCAGAGCGCCGAGTATCACTGCAGAAAAATCAGGCGGGCTTCGCACCGTCGAAACCAAGCCGACTCGCCAAATCCTTCAGCGCGGATGAAGAGAGCGGCAAGCTTTTCCAAACACTAGCCGAGCAGCTATTCTACCAAGACACCTTCGGCATACTAGATCAGTACATCGACTTCGAACTGCAGCACCTCATCACTAACGTCCAGGAAACGGCACGCGTGGAGGTGCTGACCGAAACCGCAGACCGCTTCCGCCAGGACGTGTTATTGAGACGATACTGGAGGCGGTGGCGCGATAGGGCCTGGCGGAAGAAGTCTGCGAAGCGGGGGAGCAAGTTAAGGGAGCGAGCGCGCAGAGGGCTGGAAGAGGCGAGGAGGAGTCGGGAGAGTAGCGAGATGGGGAATGTGCATAGCTATATGCCGGGCGGCTTTGCGGACAGTACACGGAAAGAGTCGGTGGAAAGCAGGATGTTCGCGAAGACGGTCCCTGAAGCAGCGGCAGCAGTGCCTGTACCTGCGAGCAACAAGCGGCATCTGTCTTCTTCGCACGGTGCGGAGACGAATGCGATTGGGAACGCCGACACGACGCGCCACCAACCGAGTCACAAGCGCATGAAGAGCACAAGCCACGTCGACGAGCGCGGACGCGTGACCAAGCCCGCGGCATCTGACGACAAGACTGCTGACTTTCTCCGCCGGAGTGCTTTTCTGGGCTTTGCAGCGAGTGGCGCTGCCTTGCATCAGCCTAGCGCGATGAAGAGCACGTACTTCAAGATGAAGGCGATGGGTCTTGATCCGAATGCGGGTGCGAGTGGGATGCGGGGGACGAAGAGGGGGAGGGATGATTTGGGGGATATGTCTGTCGTGTCTTCGCCTGCGCCGTCCGCGTCGCTTTCGGCTGGGCTTGCGAAGACCGATTCAACCTCGTTTGCGAAGACCGGTTCCACCTCGTTTGCGAAGACAGGTCCATCGTCACTCGCGAAGCCCAACTCGTCGTCTATCGACACCAAGTCGCTCATGCCACCGCCCGCAGTACCGCAAAAGAGGAAAGAAGACCCCGACGAAGAACTCTTCGCACGTCTGAAGAAGGCACGCGAGAGTCTCGCCGAAAGTGGCGCAATGCTTCAAGCGGACATCGAAGAGCAGCGTGAACAACGCGAGCAGAGCCGTAGCCTCAGCGCGTCAAGGCCGCCGAACGATTCACCGTCGATGATTCGTGCGAGGGCTGAGGCGAAGTTGCGCGCTTCCGGTACCAGCACACCCGAGCACGAGCGCGATGTGCCTGCGTATCGGTTGCGGGAGAGTCGCTTTGTGCCGCGCGAGCAGTATGGGAGGGCTCTGCTGCGGGCGAATGAGCTCCGGGCATCGAGGTCGAGGGACGTTAGTCGGCCGGTGTCGAGGGGTGGGGTAGACGTTGATGAGCTGTTTGCTTCGCCGCAGGTTAGGAAGGCTGCGGTGCCGGAAGTGCAAGAGCGTGGTATCGGCGGGTTGTCTCAGCCTGTGCGGATGGCGAACGGATCGCTCTTCGCGGCTCCGGATGCTGTACCTACGGTGAATGGCTCCTTTGGTGGGAGCGAAGGGCATGCGGCAGCGCCACCGAACGGCTCCGTCCCCTCTCACCACGAAGTTGTGGAGACGCCGGGCGAGTCTGTCGACGAGCCCTTGGAACAACTGAATGCATCGCATGTCGAAGCGCTTCCCGAGTGGCAGCCTCCTTCCACCACCCCGGAGACCGTACCTTTCTCTAGCGTGCCTCAGCAACCATCTTGGAGCTTCGTCAACGGCGACTCGCAGATGCCGTGGACGCAGAAGGCGGACGTAAACGGCGAAGAATCGAAATCGGACACGAGCTTCGTGTCGCAGAGTGGATTTGCTTCGTTTGGCAAGCCCAGCTTTGGCGACCACAGTAATAACTTCTCCGTTGAGCCTTCTCAGGCTGGGCAGTCGCAGTCCGCTTTTGCGTTCTTCGGCAAATCAAGCTGCGGCGACCATGGCAACAATTTCACCATTCAGCCCTCGGAGGTTGACGAATCACTTCGCAACTCGTTCGGACAATCTCAAGAGCTGCAATATCAGTCGGCCATCAGCAAGTTCGATTACAACGGTGCACCAAGCGCAGCTAACGTTTCCGAGGATGTGCCCCTCGATGCTGACCACGAGCACGACGGCGACGACGACGATGCCTCGCCTGCTCCTAGCCACGATGCGTACTTGCGCACCCAGAGCGCTTCGGAAGCCATCTCTCTCATCTCTGACGATGAAGCGGAAGAGGCCGATGATGGTTTGAGCCCGGAGACTCTGCCGAATCAAACTCAGATTGCTCGGCTCGCTCAGCAGGCCCTTGTTAATGGGTTCGATGCGCATGATGAGGGCGAGGATGATGGAAGCGACGACATTGAGGATCACGCGGACGATGCTGTTCCAGCCGAACGAGACTTGTGTCAGCACACGAACCCCTACGCAAGCAATCCGTACGCAGCTCTCGCGAACGGGTATGGGGGCGGAGACACTGAGGAGGATGCTGACGATAGTGATGAGCTTCAAGGACCTCAGTACCCGCAGGACTTCGATGTAGAAGAGCTCGAGGAGGCGTGGGAAGAAGAGAACGATCCGACGGGAGCGCCAGTGGGCGTCCATCAGTGGGGCCGGCAACAGGAAGCCCTGCGTCCGCACTACGCGCAGCAGCCCGAGGCTTTTGATGATGAAGGTGACAGTGAAGCTCCCGACGACATGGACCCGGATGAGGACGAGGTCGACGGCGACGCTGACGATGAGGACGCGGAGGACTACGACTCCGAGGAAGAAGGTATGGAAGGTGACTACGATCAAGCGAGTGGCATGCCACGCTTTGCCCCGATGCAGGAAGAGTATGATGAAGAAGCGGAGGAGACGGAAGAGGACGAGGACGAGGGAGACGAGATCGATCCACAAGCGCGCATTTGGAATGCGGAGCCGGAGAAGAACCCGACTTTGCAGGGTGTCGGTGGGACGGTCGAAGAGGCCATCGAGCTTAGCGATTGAAGTCCGTGCCACTGAAGCGGTCATCGTGCCTGATACGCAGCTACTGCTACGAACAATGTATGAGTAGATAGCCATGAGCAAATCGTGCTTACGGCGCACAGTCGCTGCCACCTCCTGCCCCCGCTCACTTACTGCCCTTTCAGCATCTTGGCCTCCTTAGCTTTCTCATCCCGTGCCATGCCGATCGAAATCTGCATTTTGAGCCACTCCGGCATGGCCACAACAGGTCCAAAGTTAATCAGATGCGGTAGGTAAGGCCAGATGATACTCCGCCCACAGCCCACCTTATCCAGCACGCTGCGAGCAAAAGTCCGTGAAGTAGGGCAGAAGAGAGTCACGGGCCGCGGCTCCATCGCCGTCGACACCAAGCCGGAAACGACACCTAAGACCTCGACATCATGGCCTTCTGCTTTCATCTCGGCGGCCAACGAGCGCGAGAATACCATGTTGAAGGATTTACACCCGCTGTACACAGCAGTGTAGGGGACGGGCACCTCGCTCGCGCCACTACCAACGGTGATGATTAGGCCCGGTTGATTGGCGATAAGCTGCGGCAATAGCAGTCGCGTAATATCGCAGCAGAAAGTCACGTTGGCGTCGATTGTCGCTCGTGTGGTCGTGTCCTGCCAGGTTTGGTAGGGTATCCACATTGGTCGGCCGAGGGGCAGGGCAGCGACGTTGTTGACGAGGATGCGGATTTTGAGGTCCTTGAGCGCGGCGATGGCGGTAGGGAGTTTGGTCGGGTCGTTGAGGTCGTGGGATACGTCGAAGACTAGGATGCGGATTTGGCGGCCGGGATATTGTGCTAGGAGGGTGGTGCGGAGGTTGTTGAGTTTCGTTTCATTGCGGCCATGGAGGATTACGTTGAAACCGCGTTGGCCTTTGCGTTTCCTACGTCAGCGATGCGTCTGGCGGTCGCTGGAGAAGTGTATTGAGTTGGCTTACAGAACTCTTCAGCGAAGCCTTTCCCGATTCCATCTGAGCTACCCGTGATCAACGCCCAGACGCCGTCGGAATCTGCATCGCGCTTGTATCGGGGCAGTGAGCTGCGTCGGATGAAGTGGAGATAGAGGCCTCCCAGGACTGACAATGCTCGGTTCACCGTCCAGAGGCTGCCTATTGCTGCCGTTGTGGCAAGCAGGGGACGCTGCTGGAACAGCTTCTGGGCTTGATGAACCAGGTCTAGGGTGGCGGGTAATACTTGGTTGGACATAACGCCGAAGGATTGCAATGTGGTCTAGATACAGGTTTGCGGTTTGCAAAGGACTTTAGATTTATTACTTTGGTGTTATACATGGTTGCTCAACACCGGGGCAAGTGGCAAGTACGCGCCGATCGGAGGTTGGGTGCCCGAACACGGATGCGGTTCTTAATATCAGCTCCGACGAGATTGAGCACGCATGAGGATCAGGGCACGCTTCGCGCAATAGATCCCTACATTGCACTGCTGCCTAGTGCAGCCGTGTCCTATGTTAAGATGCCAGAGCAGGACTGTGGTCAGCCTCGCAATGGTAGCGGTATGGCAATCTTAAACCACCCGCCACCAGACTTTCTCTTATGTAAGTCGTGACTACAACCCCTCGGGATCAAACTGAAAGTCGAGGCCATCAACATAGAGCTATTCATATCGCTGCGGTATGGATCTCGCACGACCGAAGCTCACATTTAGGTGGCATCTCTTGACAGAGTTTCAATGGCTCGTATGGTGAACTCTGCGCCAATCACTTCCGCGCAATAAGGTTCGAGCATTTCCGTGCCGAAGCCAATTTCATTGACTTCAGCTCTTGAATTTGGAGCAACAGACGCCCATTACAATCGTCGATGTACTCTTTGCTCGAATCATCACGACATCACACTGTGCGTGGCAATGCGTCTGATATAGACCAGGCGCCGCGCTATCATCTGGCGATCCAGCTCTTATCAACAGCACATGGCGACGCATCATGGCGTCGTGCCTGCATTTGAAACCAAGCCTCCAACTCCTAGTTCGCCGGTTGCCGGATCCGCCGCCGCCGCGCTACGCTTGCTTTGGATGAACTTCATTTCCATCACGCGACAAACTTCGCCAGGATTGACAAGAAAACGGGCGGCGTGGATTGAGGCTGACAGGTCTAGACGCGCTGTGAGCTTCTAGCAACCGCGGAGAGGCAGTTGCGAGCACTGTTGAAACGGCTATCGATGCGATGTTGAGTGAGAACGCAGAAGCTCTATCGTCTGCATACACCACGCGCTCTGCGCAGGCGTGACAAGCTAGCGTGCTCCACGTAGATGGAAACTCATCCGCCACTCCCACATCACCTCTGGTTCGCCGGGTAGTTCTTGGAAGATGTCGATCACTGCATCAGGCGTTCTTTCGCGAAGATGGCGCTGATGGCTTGCGACCTCCCCAGAGTGGCTTCGTCTCCAACATTTGCTAGGCTTGAGTTGGAAAACCATGAGCCAGCCAAGATACGCCCACACCAGAAGCAGCTCGTGCGTTCGGCACTCGATGGCCCGTGAGCTCTCGCTGGATTTACCTTTCTTGACCCGGTCGCCAAATTGCGCTTCTGCCAGGCGCGAATCGCTGGCTGGCCTTGAGCAATGCACGAATGTGCTGCGTGCAGAACTCTGCTGATCCACTCCGCGGCGCCTTCCAATGGTCCAGTGCAACGCCCGTGGTTGGAGGGACATCCTCGACGATATAGCTCGATGCGCTTCGGCACTTTGTTGCCGCAACCACCTTGATATCGCCTGGGGTTGCGCCCAGTATAGGTGGGCACCACTTATGTTCTTTGTCATTGCGTCACGCTCGCTATCTACCTGAAACACGCTCTCGACAGCATTTCTTCAGCGCTGACGCACGCATTCATGTTATTGAATTGTGAATTGCTCAAGCGACAGATGTGTTGCGGCAAAGGCCAGCAGCGAAGCCTAACGTCGGAGTTGGAAGCTCTGGGCCAGCATTGCCTGGAAAGCTGGAGAGCTACCCGGCATGCGGATCCGTCACGCGTGTGCGACATTGCTCTGGACGCTATGCTGTGTCGATAGCGGTGCTTCACTACATCTGCGACGAGATGGCTCGGATGTATCGGCAAGCAACAGCTCAAGTGCCTCGAGCACGCTGCACGCGACAACTGCGTCAAGTCCGTTCAGCTCTTCATCATACGTACAGAGCATCTCTACGACCGGCGGCATTACTTCTGCGACGGTCGCACCACAATCAACTGCTTCAACAGTAATGACAAGCGCAACGACCACCGGCCGACCAGATGCTTTGCCCTTGCAACCCAAGATTACGCCGGCCATTGGAATCGCCGGTTGCATCCTGCTCATCGCGGGCGTCGCTTTGTGCCTCATTGGCATCAAGCACGAATGGCTTCACGTCTTCCTGAGCACGGCCCTACTGGCCAGCCTGGCTGTCACCGTTCTGGTAGTCTACGTCATGAACCCACCAGTCAGCGACGCCGTCCAAGGAGCCTATATGGTGGCAGCGGTCCTTACTGGTGTCATCTTCGGCGCGCTGGCACTGGTCTTTAGAGAGGTCACCGAAGGACTTGGCTGCCTTCTTGGAGGCTTCTGCCTAGCAATGTGGTTCTTGGTGCTGTCGCCGGGCGGCCTGATCACATCGACGGCTGGCCGAGGTATTCTAATCGCAGTCTTCTGTATCGCTTCTTTCGCACTGTCGTTCAGCCACTACACGCGGACCTACAGCTTGATACTCTGCACTTCTTTCGCCGGTGCCACCGTCACGATACTGGGCATTGATTGCTTCAGTCGAGCAGGCTTGAAGGAGTTCTGGATCTACCTCTGGAGTGAGTATGCATAAGAACCTTGTAGGCGAAGATCATACTGACATGCAGCCCTTAGATCTGAACGTTAACGAATTCCCGCTTGGGACCACTACTTATCCGATTACACGTGGGATCCGGGTTGAGATCGCTTGTACGATCATATTCTTTATCCTTGGGGTGCTGTCTCAATTCAAGATCTGGAAGATTGTGAAGGAGCGCAGAGTAAAGAGAGACGTGGAGCGTATGCGTGACGAAGAAAGCAAAGATCAGCTGGAAGCCGCAGTGGGCCGAGACGTCGAAGCGACTGCGGAGCGTGACCGAGCCGAATGGGAGGCCATGTACGGCGACAAGAGTGGTGCAAGTGTACACGTGGACAGCGGCGTAGGGTCATCTGTGGACAGTCTACCCAAGCGCGGTGGAAGTGTACGAGAACGCGAGATCGATGGTATCGAAATGGCAGACATACCGGGCTCGCGCTCTGGTCGCAACAGCAAGCAGCATGCACGACCGCCGATGGTCGTGTGTGTAGCACCAGAGGACGAAGCGCCTCCGCCAGCGTCACAGTCAGGAGAGCTTCTACTTAGCGAAGGCAACCACCACTACCATTCCGCAGCCCAGTCGTCTGAGCGGCTGGCGAGCGGCCGTACTTCGCTGGACGGCAAAGATGCTACTTCGGTCAAGGATTGGTCCGACCTCTCTTCGGCTGCACCGGCTGTACCTGCGGTCGTGCCGCTCCCATTCTCGATACCTGGTCAGGATCAAGATCAAAAGAGCGACGGCAACGACCATGAATCGCTCGTCTCAAGAGCCACAGCTGGGCAGCCTTTGCAAGAACGACGGGGTGTACCCGTAAAGCAGCTGACTCTGGGAGATGCTCTGGGAATGGAGCATATCCCGCGTGTAGAGGATGACAGGGCTTCATCAGTGGCCGCTACAGCAGATGAAGATACCGACTTCGACACGCTATCAGCGCCACGGCTCTCCGCTGCTCCGTCGCCTTACCGTTTCGCCTTTGATGAGGACGCGTCGAAGTCGCCGTTCAGTAATAATATCAGCGATACCCGTGCTCCTAACAGGTCGATGGTTGAGCTACCGTTCGAAGAAGACGACGAGGAAGCTGTGCCACGTCCAGAAACGACTATGGAGGAAGTTGTGCCTCCGGTGGACAAGGAAGCTAGCATACCCCGAAAGCGCAGATCTACCGCAGGCTCCAAACGGCAGTCTGTTGGGAGCCGGCGTGTAAGCGGCGAAGACGCAGAACCTGCCGAAGACACAGTATCCTTGGTTGAAAGTCTTCGGGACCATCTGCCGCAAGGACTGTCGAAAGTGGCACAGACATATCGGACGAATGAGTGGGCGAAGCACATCGCTGACGCAGACAAGCCGGAGGTGGAGGCTGACATATCTGGCTCTCACTCGCCTGGCATACAGGTCGACCATGCGTTTGCGGAAGCTGCGAGACCGGTGGACACTGAAGCCCTGAAGCCTAGCTCTATTTTTCCAGAGAAGCCTGAGTTTTCGCGGAACGCATCGCGAGCCTCGAGCAACAACCCATACCGGCAGAGCATGCAAACCCGCAAACCTGGCCTTCCCCACGCCGGCAGCGGTGCGGTTACTCCGGTTTACGCCTTCTCACGTAGCCCTTCGGCCATGTCATTGAACCGGCAAGGCAGCAATCCGGCCAGTAAAGCACAGCACAGGCTTACCACACAAGGATTACGGAACGTATCGGCCCCACTGATCAATCAGCCACTTGTGGAGTCACCAGTTGAGGAGGCCGCTGCCTTCTCGCCTCATCGGACAGTCTCCACCCCAATGGCAAGCAACATCAACCTGATGGACGAGCGCAATGTTCGCTTGCAGCACCAGCCAACAAGCGCCTCCTTTAATGCTCTTACGACAGCAGCCACGGATGCGAATGCTATAGATCCATCCGACTCCGCCTCCATGCGCAATGTGCGCTTAGATGACGACAACATCTCACTTTCCGAACGCAAGCAACTCCTCGATGAGGAAAACATGACGCTCGCAGAACGCAAAGCCGTCATGCAACAACAGCGCGAAGGTATGGTCTCACCAACTACGCAAAGGAAAGGCACCTGGCCACTGCCGGCGCGTATGAACAGCACCGCAGCTCAAGCCAACGCAATATACGACTCGCATCAACCAAGGCGATCCAACACCGTCGATACGTCAAAACAAGCCAACATGCTCACGCAATGGCGTCAGTCACTGCAGCAAGATGCGGCCGCCAGACAGCCGCTCATGTCCAATGACGCAGGCAGACAGGCATTGCTGCACGAGCGCCGCATGGTGGAATATGAGCATCGACTACACCAAGCACAGCGTGTGCATAGGCAGAGTGCAATGGATATGGCGATGCAGAGCCGAGCTTTGCACGGAGCGCACCGCGATGCGCTGAGGAAGATGCAGGCGCAGGCCAACGGTCGGGCGCCGCAGTAGGCGCATAAAACTCGGGCTCTTACTAATGTTTATTCGACAAAGATACCCCTTTCCTTTCACTGGGCGCTCTGGTCGGGCGTAAAGGGCGGGTGGTACACGAAAGGTCGGCTAAGCATCACAGGCATGATACCCACGGAACATGTTTGGGAGGCTTTTTTGATGGTTGGGTTGTGTGGTAAGATCGTGGTCGCATACGGCGTACGACTACAATATATGAAACACGATTATGCTTGCCCTTATCCTTCAGCGTCATGATGCCGTCGTGGTAGCAGCTTGAGTGCATTGTTGGTGCAAGAATCATTGGTGTCTTCGTACCAGTCTTGTTCAGATTCCCGCGTGACAGCCCGACTTGTGCTCGTATGGCCGAGGAAGGTGGCAAACATGTAGGCCACTTCTGGAATGACAGGCTGGTAGGCTTCTGGCGTAGATGCTGCTCAGACATGCAGCATCAGTGCACGGGTCTGCATGTCGTGCCGCTCAAACTTCTTCGCCGTTAACGGTGCTGGTGGCTGCGTTGTCTCGCGGCCGGACCTGGTGATGTGTACGGTAGACAGCCCAAAGTTCCTGTGACAAACCTCGATCATCGTTTCCGACCCTTCTGCGACCTTGCCTTACCGGTAGGCGCGAAGACAATATTGTTTCTTGGTTTTCGTGGCTTCCGAATCCGGTTGGACCGTGGCTTCTTTTCGGAATCGGTTCGCTTAGCCGTCGTGGCTCCGGCACCCTCATCCACCTCCATTTTACCCTCTATATATTGTCGTTAGCGTCCGCTACACCATGGCTGGAACGAGGTTGCGGAATTGCCTCGTCGCCACTTACCAGCAGTCGCTTGAGGCTCGGCCTTCTCCGCATCTTTTTGCTCAGCGCCTGTACGAGCGGTCAGTTGTGATATTTGTGTCACTGTCGGCGCAGGCTCATAGCGTACTGTCCGGAACAACATCCATCTCGCTTCTTTGAGGCTTCGCTTGCTGGGCAAGCTCAAGCAACTTTGCATTCAGTCGCTTATTACGAGCTGTCTCGACAGGGCCGAAGACCTTCTTTCTGAGAGCGGTGTTGTTCGTCTTGACCCTACTAGCTCGCGCACTCTTCGCCATGTTGTCGTATTGCAATGAGCTCACGTGCCAATGTACGATACTCACCTTCTTACTGCATGATGAAAATACACCCGAAATCGAGACAACGAAATGCGCCGGCAGCTAGGGCTCGGTACGGGCGGGTATCGGATTTAGCGGCAGGATCTCATCTGTGTGCGCTAAGATACTGCACCTCAAATGGGAGAAAGGTCGATTGCTAGCACGACAGCCTTTCTTCGAGCCAACAATACCAAATGCTGTTGTGAAGTCAGTCATTAACACCCTGTGTTCGGTCTCGTTTACGATCTCGATATGAGTTTGTAGAGCTGAGTATTCGGACGTGACTGCCGAAATCGCGATATTTCACTTCGTACCTTCCGAGTATGCCCATATTCGAGCCTCACTTCGAAAGATTCAAGGTTTCTCCATCACCCTCACACCACCGTCCCTCGCGCATATAACTGCCCTCGCGCTCATGACAGTCTTCAGCACCCGTCAAACACCCAAAGTCACCTTGGACCTGCGCACCTTCTTCGACAGGTGACGCATGATCTAGAGCTACAAGTGGCGCTAGCGGCGCAAGAGATGGCATCAGGCGGGCACATATTGCAGCAGCAGAAACCAGCCATTGAGACACAGTTGAAGCGACTACTGAACACCGATCTCAAAGACCTCTGTCGAAGTTACGGCAAACCAGTATCAGGCAACAAGGCGGAACTGCAAAAGCGATGCATTGAAAGTAGGTAAAGGGAATATGCGCACCGCTTGAGACGGTGGGGAGACCACCGAATGGAGCAGCAGTCATGTCGGGCGGAGGCTAACAACTGCTTTCTCTACAGTACTGAACGAAATTGTGGCGAAAGGCGACCCGGCAGCCTTCGAAGCGTTTCGCTACCGCGCGAACCACAAGGGCCAGTCTCCGCCACTGACCGACATTGTCACAGCCGGAGGGACCTACGACTCGCCTTCAGGTGGGCATGGTAGTCACTCGATGGCCACTGGTCGAGGGTATGGAATGTCGACGCAGAATCGCATGCCTACTGGCGGCAAGTGTACGTCTCTTATTGCACAGTGCTAGTGACCTATTTGCTGACGTCGCGGGAGCAGACTTCAAGTCCAGTCCGTTCTACGAGGTATTGGACACTGTAGTGCATCTACAAGATCTTCCAGGTATTTTTGCATCAATAGACTTCTCGCTCAGGAGTACACTTACGAGAGTTCTGACACAGGGTCTGCCGCAGATATGCCACAAAATCGGAATACCGTACGTGCTACAATCAATCTGAGCGTGGAGCAAGCGCAGCGCATGACATCTGATGGCGACATGCGTCTCATGATGTTTTGTGGTGCGGCGCAGGAGATGTCGCCTTATCACCCGGTTGACATTGCCTTCCCAAATCAGATCGAGGTCAAGATTAACAACGACGACGTCAAGTCCAACTTCAAGGGACTGAAGAACAAGCCTGGCTCGACAAAGCCAGCAGACTTGACCTCGAAAGTCCGCGCCAGGGCCAATTATCCGAATCAGGTCAGCATTACCTACGCCCTCACAACCAAAAGATACGCCTTTGTGGTCTATTTAGTCCGATATGTGAACGCCGCCACTCTCACAGAACGTATCAGGACTGCCAGCGTCATTCCGAAAGAAAGGGTGCTTGCAGAAATGCAGAAAGCGAACGCTGATCCAGACATTGAGGCGACCGCTATCCGCATGTCGCTGAAGGACCCTGTTTCAACCGTGCGCATCACATTGCCCGTCAGGTCAACAGTCTGCACGCACACCCAGTGCTTTGACGGTGCAATGTTCATGCAGCTGGTGGAGCAGGCACCGCAGTGGAGTTGTCCAGTCTGCAACAAGACGGTGTCCTTCCAGTCCTTGTGCGTCGACAAGTATTTCGAAGACATCCTGAACAGAACACCGAAAAGCGTCGAGAAGGTTGATGTGGAACCGGACGGACAGTGGAAGATTATCAAGGATGAAGATGATGAGCAGCCAGCCGGCGGTGCAGGGAAAGCGCGCGCATCTTACGACGACGACTTTGATGACGACGACGACCTCGTCGAGATGCCGGACCCGACGAACAAGCCCATCAACAGCGTGAAGCAAGAGTCGCAGCCTTTGAGCGCGATTTCGCCAGTTGCCGGTCAAAGCTTCGCCGTGAACACACCGCCCCTGTCATCGCGAGAGCCGTCGGTGGCACAGTCAGCAGCATCAGGCCAACGAAGCGGTACCAAGCGATCTGCTGGTGCAGTCATCGACCTCACACTGTCGGATGAAGAAGACGAGCCTCCACGGCCCGCAAAGCGACATCACCCAGCGCCGCCACGACCGCAGAACCAAGGTAACCAGCACGTTCCCACCCCTTCGTACCATACGCCTGCATCATTACCGGACAGTTCTCGTTACCAGCCTGCACCTCCACCGCCGTCGATGTCAACATCGTCGAGCCATGCATTTCGGGGAGCTGACACCTATAGACCGTCTACGGACCACTATAGGCCGTCGCCGCTCGCAGGACATGCCTCGACCTCGCTGAGTCCGCAGCAAGCGATGCGTCAACCGCCTATGATGAACGGAACGAGTACATCGACATACGCACCTAGTAACCCACACTCTCCGGTCCTACCTCAAGCGTACTCCGGGAATGCGGCTCACAGCAGACCTCCAGCGCCTCCCTGGCCATCACAGCAATACAGACCACCTTCTCTGCCGCAGATCAATGGCAACCAGTCTTTTGCAATGCGCCCTACGCCTTCACCACTTGGCTTTGGGACGGCAAGTCCGCAGCCCCAGTATGACGGCGGTAACGGTCAGTATGACGATGATAGCAATAGCCTTGCTCTGCCGCCTTTGCAGCAGCACAACTTCCAAGACTTTCAGCAAGACGGTAGCTTTTGGGGCTGGCGTGGCGACCAGACGAGTAACTATACCAATAGTCCCGGCTAACATTCGGACGATGGAAAGCGAGTCGCGATAACGTACTTCTGTTGCGTAGAGTACTACTAGGCCTTCGGTCTGGCAATGGTTGCACGAAGCATGGACATGACATTGACCGACGTTTGTAGTTTGCGTACGGTCAACAGTACATATAGCATGGCGTGTCGGTTCGGCAGTCAGAACACCACAGTCAGTAGGACAAAGACTGCTCAATCAATATTTTCGTTGAAACTCAATTGATCGCGCACACTGCCGGATGCCGGCAACGCCACGCGACTCCTCTGAACTCCGAGTGACGCACGCTGTGCACGGTCAATGTTCTTACCCGTTCTGTCGGCCGAAGTTGCTGACGAACTATTCATGTGCACCTTTCATCTAAAGGCAGGCGACCTGCATCACACCATCTCTGCCCTATCTTCCATCATCCACCAAGGTACCCCAAGCAGTTAACGCCTTGGCCTTACTCTGAGCTTCCCTCACGTGGCCAAGCTAAGTGATATATTGGTCAACAGCCCCACTTCAATGCTCGAAACGGCGCAGACTGTCTTCCCAAGCTACCACTCCGCTTCCTATCTCAGCGCGACGATTGCAAGCGGCCAGCCGCTATGTGGTAACAGGGAGGGATGGGGCCCTTTGAGCCCTTATAGATGGGACTTCACACCATGCTTTCTGGACGTTTGGGTGTTGGTGGTGTCGGTATGGGGTCTGTTGGGTGGCGCGGGTGCGATATGGTACCTCTACCGTAAGAGCACGGCACAGGCAGTCAAGAAGGACTGGCACTTTTATACAAAGCTTGCAGTAATTGCAGTGCTGGGTGCTGCAATAGTCGCTCAAGCCGCGCTTCAGATCATGGAGTATGATCACGGGATTTGGTTGCGTGACTTCCGTTTCTGGACGACCGTCGTCAACCTTTTGAGCCTTGGAGTGATCGGCTACATCCAGTACATCGAGCACTGGCGTTCGCGGGTACCGAATGCGGTCGTACTCTTATACTGGTTGTTCCTTCTCATTGCATATGCGGTTAAGCTACGATCGCTAGTGTCCCAGAGACTTCACGAGCTCAATGTAGCATACTTCGCCGTGTTCACCTCGAGCGTCGGCCTAGCTGCTGCGGAATTTATACTGGAATGGCTGGTGCCGAAGAGCCAGTCCGTTTATGATGCGCTCGGAGATCAAGATGAGTGTCCTATGGATTACGCCGACATCTTCTCTTGTCTTGCGTTTAGCTGGATGACGCCGATGATGCGATACGGATATAAGGAGTTCCTGACGCAAGATGATCTATGGAACCTTCGCAAAGATGACAGGTCGAGTACTACATGGGAGACCTTCAATGCGGCGTGGCAGTATGAGTTGGAGAAGAAGAAGCCCAGTTTGTGGATTGCGCTCTTCCGCTCCTTTGGCAGTCCGTACTTTGTTGGTGCTGTGATCAAGACCGGAGCAGACGTGCTGGCATTCGTCCAACCTCAGCTGCTTCGATACCTCATTGCGTTTGTGGACTCGTACCGTCCAGGGAAGACACCGCAGCCACCGATCAAAGGTGCGGCTATTGCCCTTGCTATGTTCGCGGTTTCAGTCGGGCAGACGGCCTTCTTGCACCAGTACTTCCAGCGAGCTTTCGAAACTGGCATGCGGATCAAGGCCGCTCTCACGGCTGCGATCTACCACAAGAGCATGAAGCTCAGTAATGAGGGCCGTGCTTCGAAGAGCACCGGCGACATCGTGAACTACATGGCTGTGGACACGCAGCGTCTACAAGATTTAGCGCAGTATGGACAGCAACTGTGGAGCGCTCCTTTCCAGATTACGTTATGCTTGATCTCGCTCTATCAACTGGTCGGTCTCAGCATGTTTGCGGGTCTTGGGGCCATGATCCTCATGATCCCAATCAACGGCTTTATTGCGCGCATCTCGAAGACCTTGCAGAAGCGGCAGATGAAGAACAAGGACGCGAGAACGCGGTTGATGACGGAGATTCTGAACAATATGAAGTCAATCAAGTTGTATGCATGGACGACGGCGTTCATGAACAAGCTGAACTATATTCGAAACGATCAGGAACTGCACACTCTGCGGAAGATCGGCGCGGTGACTGCAGTAGCGAACTTCACCTGGTCCACCACGCCATTCTTCGTTTCATGCTCGACCTTTGCGGTCTTCGTGGCCACTCAGAACCAACCCTTGAGCACGGAGATCGTGTTTCCGGCTCTTACGTTGTTTAACCTGCTTACCTTCCCTCTTGCGGTGCTTCCCATGGTCATCACGGCCATTATAGAGGCCAGTGTGGCCGTCAACCGGCTCACGGTCTATTTCACAGCACCGGAACTGCAGCCCGATGCCGTACTTCGAAGCGATGGCGTGGGTATGGGCGAAGAGTCCGTGCGAATCCGCGAAGCCACGTTCACATGGAACAAGGACGCAGATCGAAACGTGCTGTCCGACATCAACTTCACCGCGCACAAGGGCGAGCTTTCTTGTGTGGTAGGTCGAGTCGGTGCTGGAAAGTCTAGCTTACTCGAGACGATGCTAGGCGATTTGTACAAGATCAAGGGCGAAGTGGTTGTGCGTGGCACGTCCGCCTACGTTGCTCAGTCACCGTGGGTGATGAACGCTTCGGTTCGGGAGAATATCGTGTTTGGGTATCGCTGGGATCCGGCATTCTATGACCGGACGGTGAAGGCATGCGCACTGACGGAGGACTTCGCGAGTCTGCCGGACGGCGACCAGACAGAGGTTGGTGAGCGCGGTATTAGCTTGTCAGGCGGCCAGAAGGCTCGTGTTACGCTTGCGCGTGCTGTTTACGCAAGAGCTGACATCTATCTTCTCGACGATGTCCTGAGTGCTGTGGATCAGCATGTCGGTCGGCATTTGATTGATAATGTTCTTGGGCCGAGGGGACTGCTCGCGGGCAAGACCCGCATTCTTGCCACCAATGCTATACCGGTGCTGATGGAGGCGCACTATATCGTGCTACTGCGAGACGGCCGCATCATCGAGCGTGGCACCTACGAACAGTTGATCGCAATGAAAGGCGAGATCTCGCAGCTGATTCGTACAGCCAACAATGAAGAGAACAGTGAGGCTGAAGGCGAAGAGACAGGCAGTAAGAGCCCTTACAGCGAGCCCGATACCGCATACAGCCCGGAGGACCCTGTGGAGAGAGAAGAGGTAAGCAAAGCGTATTGTAGGTCCTGAGATGTAGCTGACTCTTCTCCCTGTAGGCACAAGAGGGTCTTACTGAGCTTGCGCCCATCAAGCCCAATGGCGGCGCACCTGCGAGAAAGTCCAGCGAGCTCACTTTAAGAAGAGCCAGTACAGCTTCATTCAAAGGCCCAAGGGGCAAGCTGACCGATGAAGAGGAGGCTAAGGGCCCTCTCAAATCGAAGCAGACCCGTGAGTTTTCGGAGAAAGGGCAAGTAAAGCGGGATGTGTACTTCGAGTATGCGAAGGAGAGCAACTTAGCCGCTGTTTCCGTCTACCTGGTGATGCTAGTCGGTGCTCAGACGGCTCAAATAGGTGAGTGCAAGTTTATGCTTTCGGTGCTCTCGGAGAGCTTAATTCCGACTGCCACTTATGCACCGTCATGCAATGGCGAAACAACCTGGTGTTACTGATTTGTGATGTGCTATGCAACCAGAGCGCTTGGTATATACGGTACGCTAACGTACACCTGCATAGGGGGCAGCGTCTGGCTCAAGAATTGGTCCGAAGTCAACAGCAGGTACGGCGGGAACCCGAACGTTGGGAAGTACCTGGGCATTTATTTTGCCTTCGGCATCGGTTCTGCGGCGCTGGTTGTGCTGCAAACGCTCATACTGTGGATCTTCTGCTCGATCGAGGTATGTCAAACCCCCGCCCGCAAGCTGCGCGAAGACGTTTTCGGTCAACGTGCGTATGCGCGTCGCCGCCGGCTTGCAGACAGCGCATAGGCGACGCCGGGCCAGACGCTAATATCGATCGTATCTACCAGGCCAGCAGAAAGTTGCATGAGCGTATGGGTGAGTTAGATGCGTTGTTCATGAGAAGCAGATGCATGCATTTACTAAATCTCGCAGCGTATGCCATCTTTCGATCACCAATGATGTTCTTCGAGACGACCCCCACAGGCCGCATATTGAATCGCTTCTCAAGGTACGTCAACAGACCCTCTACACTTCATTATGACCGCCATTGGATACTTCTGTTGTGGCGTTGAAGGTCATGACGGGCCCTAGTCTCTTTCATATTCCGCGATAACGGCTACCCGGTCATGGCCTCCCACGGTTTCGGTACCTCGTCATTTACCTAACTTCGGGCACTAACTGTCTCCCAGTGACATCTATCGAATTGATGAGGTGCTCGCGTATGTACATTCGACTGCCGAAACCCTGTCGATCCACAATCTCGGCCGCTGACAGCTGTCACAGACGTACTTTCAACATGCTCTTTACGAATGCCGCACGAGGTTCGTATGCTGCAATCAGAAGCACCGCCAACAAGGATGCTGACCATTGATAGCAATGTTTACTCTCGTGGTGATCTCTACGTCAACGCCCATCTTCATTGCGCTCATCGTGCCGCTCGGAGGTCTCTATCTGTGGATTCAGAAGTACTATCTCCGCACATCCAGGGAGCTAAAGCGCCTTGACAGCGTCAGCCGCAGCCCAATCTACGCCCACTTTCAGGAGAGCCTGAGTGGGATCAGCACGATACGAGCCTACAGGCAGACCGAGCGTTTCTCGATGGAGAACGAATGGCGGGTCGACGCTAACCTGCGCGCGTACTTCCCGTCTATTAGTGCGAACCGATGGCTTGCTGTCCGCCTGGAGTTAATCGGATCGGTCATTATCCTTGCTGCGGCTGGATTTGCCATCGCATCCGTCACAACCGGCAGTGGATTGTCAGCCGGCCTGGTTGGTTTAGCCATGAGCTATGCGCTACAGATCACCCAGTCCTTGAACTGGATCGTGAGGCAAACGGTGGAGGTAGAGACAAACATAGTCTCTGTCGAGCGAGTTCTAGAGTACGCGCATTTGCCACCGGAGGCGCCCGAGATCATCTCCAAGAATCGACCGCCAAACAGTTGGCCATCGAAAGGTGCTGTGTCTTTTAACGGCTACAGCACCAGGTACAGGCCGGGACTTGACCTGGTGCTGAAGAACGTCAATCTCAACATCAAGTCCCATGAGAAGATTGGTGTGGTTGGACGTACTGGCGCCGGTAAGAGCTCACTAACGCTGGCACTGTTCCGCATCATCGAGCCTGCGCAGGGGGACATCACCATTGACGACCTGAGCACAACTTCTATTGGCTTGTTGGACCTGCGGCGGCGGCTGGCTATCATCCCGCAAGATGCCGCACTGTTTCAGGGTACAGTGAGAGACAATCTGGACCCCGGTCACATTCACGACGACACCGAGTTGTGGAGTGTCCTCGACCACGCGCGTCTGCGGGACCACGTTGCGTCTATGCCGGGCCAACTGGAGGCAGAGATCCACGAAGGCGGCTCTAATTTGAGCCAGGGGCAACGACAGCTTGTGTCGCTAGCCCGGGCGTTGCTGACACCGAGCAACATTCTTGTCCTAGACGAGGCGACCGCTGCTGTTGATGTGGAGACTGACGCCATGCTGCAAACTACACTGCGAAGCAATATGTTCAAAGATCGGACGATCATCACGAGTGAGTACATTGTCGCATCTCCTTTCCGCGAAGCAGTTGCTAACATTGAGACAGTCGCACATCGCATCAACACGATTCTGGACAGCGACCGCATAGTCGTCCTTGATCATGGTGAAGTCAAGGAGTTCGACACGCCTTCGGAGCTAGTCCGTCGTAAAGGCTTGTTCTACGAGCTGGTCAAGGAAGCCGGCCTCTTAGGTGCTGTAGACAGCTCTGCATCAACATAGAGAATGTACAGCTTATCGCATGCATCTACGTGAAGCGCACATGCGAGAGGCGGCCCTAAAGTCGGACTTGACCGTTGGAGTCTCCACCGCTGGCGTCTTACTTTTATGTACATTGACAGGTTGAACACCTCGTGGAAGCGACGTGGACAGCACATGTCACGCTTTGCCAGAACCGAACGACGGCGAGGCTGTGTGGCAGATGGCGTGAGCGACCGTTCTCCGAAGGCGCTTAGCATCAACCTGATCGGCCCGTGGCATGCTCGGAATGTGTGCCAGACGCTGCGGTGGAGCCTCGTAAAACAACCATCATGCCGTGGCGTTCTGCGTCCATGCAAATCCCACCCAGTAATTCATCGATCAGGGGAACATCATGGCAAGCAAATCCGGGGCGGAAGCTCCCAGCATCGGCGTCCATCCGAGTGTTTTGTTTCTTCGGCAAAACCCATGTTCGTCGCAATACATTGGTAGCGTGCATTGGTCATTGTCGAAGCGTGGTTGCGAGCTGGGAGCTTGACCTCGCTTCGCGCGGGATGCATGAATCGCTTGACGCATCACGGGACTCAATTGCACTCACGTTCAGGATACACTGCAACCACCATTATGCTAGGGTTCGATCTCTCAATCTCCACAAGGGGATGAGTTCCACGGACTCGGTTACATTGAGAGTGAATCTGTAGATGCGTGGATGCTTGCAATATCTGACGCCTATCTCGTTCCCCCAACGTTAAGGTTTCTGTACTGCTGTCGCCTCGGTCTTGGCAAAGCTTTCTCATCTTCCTTTACAACCACCACATGTGTTCCGCATGTTGCACAGCATGACAGGGTTACGGATTCGCCGTCGGTTGTGCCCACAACGCGTGACGTTGTTGGGTGTCTTTCTCCTGGCCAAGTTATTCTACGCGTGACTTCTTCTGATCTATTCATGTGAAGACAAAACCGCTGGGTGGGTTGCCCTGGTGTTCTGCAGGCGAAGCTTCACAGACGGACCGCGCACATCCAGCATCTGTGAGAGGACTCGTCTAGGTGCATTGCATACGGCACATCATGCACCCTGAGCTCTGTGCCGTGGTATGACTGGCCACTGTCAGCGGCATTGCGTAGCCTCCTTCGAGAACCACGGCGCTGGGATCTCAACTTCACCCGGTCTTGCTACGCGGATGGCCCCGGTTCATCCTCTCTGCGATCTATGGATGCCTTGACCCGGTAAGGAGTCGCCGTGTCCTTGTCTTTGCTCCCCGAAGTAAGATGTCAAGTGGGTGTCTCACGGGGAGCGTCGTTTGACACCCACAGATCGTTAAACAACCATACAGGGGTTCGCCGCGCTCCTCTTATACTTCCCTTCCCCGCCGATTCAAGGTTTGCAGAGCCTCTGCTTCCCCGAATCCTAACGGTCAGACTGCATGGATGAACATCCTTCCTTCACCTTTTGGCGAGTCATGCATTCTACGCTCTTTCGTTCCTGAGACTCTACTTCCGAAGCTTAGAATCAGGCACAAGCACCTTGCGCACGCGTAGCATTGGCAGGGTGTATACCTTGACCAAGCCGAAAATCTGGTGTAAAATTGCCGATAACCTTACTATGCGAAAAGCCAGTCGACGTACGACTTAATCGTAGCGTGTCAACGGCCCAGCGAATTGAAGCGATCATAGCACGATTTCTAGCGGACTAACGGCACCATGGTCCGAAGAGATATCAGTGACGGCGCCTTACCGTCGAAGCGGAGAGCCGACAAACAAGCTATGGCAAGCGTAAGTCAAGCCGACTAAACAACCTCCGCTTCGAGCAGCTGTATTTTAATGCAACCTGCAGGACCTTAGAGCCGATTTGGAGGTTCTTCGGGCGAAGCACGGCGAAGAAGCACAAGCCATCGCACTTTACATGTTAACACCTCACGGTGAAGTGACATTGACAACAACCGGACATGTCCTGCCCTCCGTCGAAGGGACTCTCATGAAAGGCCGGACTCGCCTTCGCGAAGCCCTCGATGTTGCGAATGTTATCATGGAGAGTGAGTTCGGCTCCTTCAGATTGTCGTTATCGTTGAAACTGACCTAGTAGAAGTCGACCACGGTTCACAAGTTGGAGAAGAACCGTGTCTGGCTCCGGACGGTCCCGGCGACCTTACTTTCCGCAAGGAGCGAAGGGCTATGCCCAACGTCTCGCAATTGCAGCTTCAGAAGACGCGCTTGAGTGGCGGGTACGTTAAACCAGCGGAACCTTATCAGGTGCGAGCCGAAGTTTCGCACCCCCCTGACAGTGAGCGTGTACTTCCCGCCATAGCTCCACCTGGACGATTGAAGGCGAAAAGCTTCCGCATAGATGATGAGGCCGCAGTCACAGCTTTCCTTCACGATCGCTTCAGCGAAATGCAGCAACTGTCCGACAAGAGGATCGCAAAGGTTTGGATCAAAGGCATCTGTCCTAAGAAGCAGGCGAAGTTCCCATACCAAAACACCAAGCGAGAAAAGCGGACGGGCGAGAAGGGTCTGGTACCCGGCTGGTGGCCAGACACCAACGTATGTCCGTTCACGGAGCCTGACCACATCAGGAAAGAGCGTACGTATTTCTGCACGAAGCTATCCTCGGTGCAACTGACCGGTCTTCAGAACGGAATGAGCTCCTCGTCCACATTCTGCGACTGCGACCGACTCCCGAACAGCTAAAGACGATGAACAATGACACCTGTGAAGCTTATCCAACCTACGCGGTCCAGAGCTGGACGCAATTCTTGAAAGAGCTTTGCCCTGTCACATCTCTTGATGATCTCTCCCCGTCCACTCCAGCCAGGATCAAGATGCGGCAGCGTCTTTTCGAAGAGCTCTATGGAGCCGCCGAGATGGAAGAAGACTTCAAGACTGGAGGACGAGGTACGCGTATGATACCTATGGCTCGCTGTCGGCTGCTGACTCTCTCGATTGCACCAGACGGTAGCAGCCGCTACTATTACTCTGACGGAGCCGGTGTCATCGACAAGAAGGCTCCCAGGGCTAAACGCCGCCGTCGTGAACCGTCGTCTGGCGCATCGGTCGCGCTCGACAGCTGCTCACAGTCCGGCTCGTCGTCCAGCAGTGAAGGCAGGCAAACAAAGAGGCCGTGTTGTGACGCCGACACATCACGTCAAGCATCGGTCGCCGCGCGAGATCACCTCAAGAGACCTGAACGTGACGATGACGCGCCGGACCAACGTCAGCCTGAACGCCGACCGACCCTTGACCACGAAACCGAAGTCTCGAATCAGCCTCGAATAAGAAACGGAGGGGCAATTGCAGATCATTCCGCCTGGTCCGAAACCCATGATATCCACCCACTTGGCGGCTTGTCGATCAACATGCAGTGGCAGAGCGTGCCGCACGATGCTAGTCCTGGCTTACACCATTATCAGCAGCCTTGGACACACCCACTGGCTTTCGAGCCTTTGTCGCTCCAAGCGCTGAGTGCCCAGCCTGGCTCATTCGATGCTTTTCAAGCTCACTATGGCGGCGGATCACAGTACCCTGGTAACCATGACTATAGCTCTGTCGGATGTGGACCACGTCACTATCAGCAGCAACAAGCGCCAGTCAACCTCGGCGTGCATGATCAGTCCATCCAAGCGTACCGCCTCACTGACGTACCCCAGCCTTGCTTTGACAACACCGCAGACACCCCGCTGTTTTCGCCTACCAGTTCAGAGTACCCAGGCGGCTACCCACATGATAGGACGCCGGGTGTGGCACACATGGCAACGGACATGACTCGTGAGGAAAATGCTGTAGCGTTGCAGGCTCTCCAGCTCAACCAGCAGTATCTCGATGACAAGCCTGCCAAGGCAGAGCAGAAACCTCACCAGAGCATGTTCGCTAATGGGCATGGGATCGGACAGGAGGGTTCGTCGACAGTGTATAACAGACATCCGATGGTCCTTCCACCCCACCTGCTTGGCGATACCTATGCGGCGTATCACTAAGCTGACTCAAATACCACGGCGTGCGTGAAACCTGGGCCGGCGACGTTGGTCAGCATCCACCATTTGCGACCTTTCGAACGTGTCTAGACCCGATGTGTACTGCAGCTTCGAACGCGCCCTGTGGCCCGCGCCTTCTACTTCGAACGTGCCGACAGCTGCATGACAGATCGTCCCGCCACCCAACTCGAGCAGTGCTGGTTTGGTCTTTCCTCTCATTACGAATCGAGCGGTCTGCGATCCTATTAGTCTATACAATAGCGTCCAAGCGTGTGCATCTCTGGTCGAGCGTTTCCACATCTTGCAGCGACGAAGAGGTTTCCTGCGGTGACCATGTACGACATGAGCGAATCCGACCCTTTCGGTTATGTCCCGGATGGAGCATGATTAATGAGACATTGCACAACGATATGAGTCGAATTGCATCAAGCATGCCTTATGGCAACGGTAGCATAGTCCACGAGAATTTGAGCACTAACGCAGAATGCCACAGCTCGGTCTCAGCGACCAAAGTCCACTCATATCTCATACACGCACGACGTTTCCGAAATCCACCAATGTGAGAGTGCGAAGTCCCACACTGGTTGCCAATTCACGGCCACAAGAGCACAGACTGAGGATGGAAGAGACTTCATCCCTGCCAAGGCCTCTGCCGTGAGACGCAACCGCTAAGAAGCTCACGAGGTCCCTCCCTTCGTCCCCACCTTGTCCTGCAGTCCCCGCAAAAGACGATCGCAGCAATGATGCCGTATTGGTATGCCGGCTACATCACCGACCAATTTGCCGTTTTCCGTACCACTTGCGGCCTTAGCTGGTCCGCAAGCTCGCCGCCTATAGTATAATATCAAAGGTTGGCCAATTCCGATCGAGTCCTTTATCATATCAACTCAAGTCTACTTTACCTGAAGCCTGAGCACTCTTCATCGTCTTCATTGCTACGCTGCTGGCAAGATACGAGCGTTTCGACAACTCATCCTACACATTCACGATGTCTTCCACCGGGTCTCAGTCCGCTGGAACGACCGGCAGCAAGAGACAGTATGACCCTAACTTCACCCAGCTTGTCATCGACACAAGCGGCCCTAAGACGAGCCCTCGCATGAAGGAGGTTTTCTCCGCCGCAATCAGGCATCTCCACGACTTCGCCAGAGAGATTGACCTTACACCAGAGGAGTGGTTGGCTGGTGTTAAGTTCTTCAACGAGACCGGCAAGATCTGGGCAGACTCGAATGGCAAGCGCAACGAGATGCACAGACTGTCGGATATCACGGGACTTGAATCGTATGTGGCATTTCACGGCCTCCGACTCCGAACGAAAGCTGACCACGCGCAGGCTCGTTACTGAGATTGCCAACTATGTCATGACCGACAACCCGAACTACGTTCCAACTTCCGCTGCCATTCTCGGCCCCTTCTGGTCGCCCAATGCTCCGTGGCGCCAGCTCGGCGACACCATCATCCAAGACCCGCACGAGGGTACCGTCACTTACATGCATGGTGTCATCCGTGACCTCAAGACCCAGAAGCCGATTCCCAATGTTACATTCGACATGTGGCAAGCTAGCAGCAACGGCAAGTACGACTTCCAGGACCCAGACAACCAGAGCGACAACAACCTGCGCGGCAAGTACAAGACCGACGAGAACGGCGAGTACCGTCTTTACTGCCTCCGACCGACCGCGTACAGCTTGCCGCAAGACGGCCCATCCTGGCAGCTTTTGCAGGCACTCGACCGTCACCCAATGCGGCCCGCCCACATCCACTTGATGGTCACGCACCCAGACTACAAGCCAGTGATCACGCAGATCTACCCTAAGGACGACCCGTGGCTCGCAACCGATACCGTGTTTGCGGTGAAGGATGACTTGGTTGTTGACTTCACGCCGCTCAAGGGCATCCCGTCAAGCATGAAGGAGCACAAGGGTCCGGGTGGTGCGGCCACGAAGGAGTTGAACTTGGACATCGTACTTGCGCCGATTGGCATGGCGACATACTCGAAGCCCAACCTTTGAGCCTCGTTTAGATGAACAATATGTTGGTTAGGACGCATTTATGTCATTTAGCGACGTGTGTACAAAGCTTGCATGACAAACCACAAGTATTCGTGCATGAAACTGCAAGCGCTCGTGTCCGAAGTCTCTTCCATTTGTCTGCGTATCGTGGTCTCGCACTCCAGCTGGCTGCTAGACAGCTCATACGCTTCGAAGTAGAGACAAAGCATGAGTACAAGTTGCGCACTTCTAAAACAATCATATCACAACATACCTTTCGTACGTCGTCATCGCTAGCGGCATCGAAATCATTTACATCCACAGTCATTGCTCCCACCCTTTTCCTGCTTGCCACCAAACGCCAGCCGGCTAAGATTATCAACAATCGCTTTAATGCCAGTCTTACCAGCCGCAACCTGGCTAGGCGTAGACGAGAAGCTGGGCGGCACGTCCAACGCCGGGTTCTGCGTGAAGAAATTACGCGGCCGTAGAAGCACGGTCATGGGTTCTGCCGGCATGACGGGGTAGTCCTCGGGAGATGGGAAATGCGTCAAGCCAAAAGTGTGCCATAGGACGACGTCGGTGTTATCAAGGTTGCCTTCTGGATCTGCGGCGATCCAAGCTGGGATGCCTTGGGACGGCTCGCCGGAGGTTTGTGGGACGTGGCGGCCGGCTGGGTGGAGTTGGTCGTCGGAATCTGTGGACACCGTTGTTAGCTCAATAATCTGATTTTCAGTTGCGCTAAGAGCTTACACTTGGTGACATGCACCGCATGCCTTGCGAAACCAGCTCGCTTCCACACGAGACTGCCATCCTTCGGCAACAAGCTAGGCACCTCTCTGCTGACAAGCTTATACGACACCGGCTTCTTACTGTAAGGGTTCATCTTGTTCGTATTTGCCATCTCCCACGTCCTGCTCGTCGAGCCATCGTAATCACTCATACCGGTGCTCATTGTCGCCATCTTTGTCTTCTTCGCGTAGAAAGCGTTGCCATAGAAGTTTTCCTCACTGCCGACCGCGCCCTCTCCTTGTACGGCGTCGACCTGGAAGACGGTGTTCGCTTGGCCATCGACGTTCGGATCCAGGCGCAGACAGAAGAGGTGCTGATGATTGTGCGCGTTCACACCGGGGTAAACTTCCGTGCCCCATGGAGCGGCAGATTCACCAGGGTTGAGGGAGTAGGTGTTCAGGATACCGGTAAGCTTGATCTCGAGCTGGATCGTGCCATCTTGATGGAAGATCCAGTAGACGCAGTACTCATAGTTTGCAGCAGTAAAGACGTGGCTGACGACGAGTTTCCGAGCGCGAGTGACGGTGCACGAATCGTCGCGGAAGTCGGTGTGCTTGAAGAGAATGCCCGCATCCTCCTCGTGAATGCAGATTGCGTTCTTGATCACTTGCGGCTCGCCCGCGCGGTTGACGAACGCCGCATCCATATAGTGGATCGCTCCCTTGCAATCACAGCCCAGAGCCAGCGAGTTGGTCATATAGCCGCCACCGTACTCGCCTAGATCAAAGGCGTGCTTCCGCTGGTGTGGGTGCTCCGGGTTACCGTACGGTACAACCATCTCCGCGAGTGACATGCGCCAGAAAACGGGGCGCACATTGCCCTTGTCATTGAACGTGATGTTCGAAAGCACGATACCTTCTCTATAGTTGAAGCCAACGTGAACGTTCCAGTTCTGCCAGCTTAGAGTCCTGCCGTCTACAGTGAAGCTGACACCTTCCGGTTGCGTAATATTGATGGGTTTCAGATCATTCCGAAAGCCAGTATCCTTTGCAACAGCATCCGCATGGTAGTTGATTGGAGGCGCGGTGTTCAACGGCCGCCGAACCTTCGGAACATCAATGTGGATGATCTCTTGTGTGTCCGCGTTGAAGATCGGGCAGAAGTCGAGCGGGTAGGTGTACTGGCTGTCGTCTGGATGCGGGCGATAGTACATCAATGCCTGCTGCAGCCGTACGCTAGATCCGAAGCGCTCGTCGTATCCAATGGTCCACGGATCACAGTAGACTTTGTGCATGTCCTGCGGTGGAATGCCAACAAGGCCGCATTGCTCAATAACCTTCGGGTCCTTCCTGACAACTGACTCGACGATCTGCAAGTCTTCCATAGTTATGAGTGGCTGTACACCCTCTGTAAGTTCCCACCGCACGATCTTGCCCTCGTCAAGGTCCACGAGGCCGTCGTAGACCTTCGATCCGCGACCGATTGCAACAACGTCCGCTACCCTGTGCGGCCGAGGGGCGGTCTTCGGAGACGCCAACCACCTCATCATCTCCATTTTCCGTGGCTCCCATAATGTGACAGCGTTGTAGAAGAGGTCAGAGTACTCTTGCCTGACGATCGCGACTGCCGCAGCAATCTCTTCAGTGCTAAGGGGATCAGAGGGATGGTGCTGGACAGCCTGCCCGGTTATGTGGGAGGCCATCTGCTGCAGTCGTTCCAGCACCATTCTGAAGGTGCTGACAACGTTTGGTATTACAGGTAATGAGAGACAGGAAGACCACAAGGCGTGGAGGGACAAGTTGGAATGAGTGAGGATATAGTAAAGAAAGCCGTACTCACCCTCGGCCAGGTCGAGCTCAATTGAGCATGTCGGTGCATGCCCCGCCAATAATGGCCACCGCCATGGTCGCATGCATCTGACATTTCAGAGAGCTTAACGCGTCGGATTTACAAAGACTCGCGATAAGGCCGCCGATAAAGGATTGGCTGTTCGGCGTGCAGACGCCGTCGCTTCGTAGCTTACCGTTTGCGGTAAAACCATCCTGCCCCTCAACACGGGTGTGTGGCCAACAGCTTCAGACTCGACCGTTCTCTAAATCGTGCATGGTCAAGATTTGCGGATGTGTCTATGGCTGCTTGTGCATCGCCGGAACGGAGGACCATTGGCGTGTCGTACAAAGGAACGGTGGACATTCTTAACTTCATTCACTTGCTGGGCCGGCCAACATGATTTGCTCGGTCAGTCCCGGCGCTAACGAAAGGTCAGCTTGCAGTGAATGGCAAGCCAATGTCAACCGAATGTCAACCGGTTGACGCTTCGACGCGGTATTTAGACAGACCCTTTTTTTGGCTAACGGCCGGCCGGAGGCTGAATCGTTCTTCGCAATGCACTCAAATCTATTAGTCCACAATAGCCGGGACGCACGCTTCTTGATGTCGCTGGCCACGCCGGAGTGTGGGAGATCTCGTTCACTTTCTGAGTTAGGCACTATGGTTCGCTCGGTCAGTCCCGCCGCTAACAATATGCCAACTCCCAGTGAATGTTAACCGAATGACAACCGATGGACACCTGCCGGTTGCGACAACCTTCGTCCACCCTTTTTCGCGGGCCTTTGCGAACACTCTTGTATATTGGGCTTACTCTAGACTGTGCACCCTGCTTCCATATGCTAGAGGGACGCCAGCCAATGAAGATCCTAAGCGCGTGGTAAGAAGCTCGCATGCCTCCGCCGCCCGCAGTTGACGTGATTGACGGTATGGAGCCTGTCAAGGCGCGCCCCGCATAGAGGTAGGAGTGAGTCCATCCTTCGAACATACAGTCTCCTTATTTAGGGTGTGCGTCTTCTATACTTGAGCATTGTGCTCTCCCTTTTCCACATTTTGCAGGACGGTATCATTGGCTGCTTTAGGTCGAGAATGAGCGCCCCAACGGCTTCCAATGTGACCGCCGGCGAGGTTCCCAGTAAGCGGCCGAACTTCCTTGTTATAGTAGCGGACGATCTGGGCTTCAGCGATCTCAGTTGCTTTGGCGGAGAGATACGCACACCAAACCTTGACAAGCTTGCCAGCAATGGCCTCCGCTTCACCGACTTCCACGCGGCCGCCGCCTGCTCGCCCAGTAGGTCCCTCAGCGGCATAAAGCAACCCACTTCCTCCTGCCTTACTAATGCATAGTACCAAATCTAAAGGCAGAGCCATGATTATGACGGGCACGGATCACCATATCGCCGGGCTGGGCAACCTCATCGAGTGGACCAACCGCAGTGACCAAAACGCGCCGAGCGATGGCGAGATCAAGTACTGGTCCACCGCCCCTCAGCGCGGCATGCCAGGATACGAAGGCTACCTGAACGAGCGCGTCGTGACCCTCCCGGAACTGCTTCGCGATGCCGGCTACCTCACTCTCATGGCAGGTAAATGGCATCTAGGTCTTACGCCGGAGCGATTCCCGGGTAAACGTGGCTTCGAGAGAAGCTTTGCCCATTTGCCGGCATGTAGCAATCACTATGCGTATGAGCCGCAATTGGAAGGTCATGATCAGATCCCGGGCTTCATGACGATGAGCTTCATTGCCTTGCATGCCGAGGACGACCAATACGTCAAGCAGCTTCCGAAATCATGGTACAGCTCAGACGGTTACGGCGACAAAATGCTCTCGTATCTCAAAGACCGGACAGGGAAGGGCGATGAGCGCCCGTTCTTCGCTTACTTTCCATTCACTGCTCCACACTGGCCTCTGCAAGCGCCAGACGAATACATCGCCCACTACAAAGGCGTGTACGACGAAGGGCCAGATGTACTACGCGAGCAGCGGCTCGCACGTATGAAGAAGCTCGGCCTATGTCCGGAAGACGTCACGCCCCATCCTGTTATAGCCGACGAAGTCAAAGCATGGGCCGATATGACTGCTGAAGAGCGAGCAAAGAGCTGCAAAGCCATGGAAGTTTTCGCCGCTATGGTCGAGTGCATCGATGTTAACGTTGGCAAAGTCGTCGACTACCTGGAACAAACAGGCGAGCTCGACAACACGTTCGTATGCTTCATGTCCGACAATGGCGCCGAAGGAGCAGCATATGAAGCGTATCCCATCGTGCAAGGGACGATGATGCAGCATCTGAAGAAGTACTACGACAATAGTCTCGAGAACCTCGGTCACGGGAACAGCTTCATATGGTACGGTCCTCGCTGGGCCCAGGCGGCTACGGCGCCGAGTCGACTGTACAAAGCCTTCACGACCGAGGGGGGTGTTCTTGTGCCCTTTCTGGCCAAGATGCCGAAAGGATACACAAGTGAGAAGGGTGCCATCTCGCACAGTTTCAGCACGGTCATGGATCTTGCGCCCACAATTCTCGAGATGGCTGGTGTGTCGCATCCGTCACCCGACGGAAAGGGCACATACAAGGGCCGACCAGTTGTCAGCATGCGCGGGCGCAGTATGAAAGCGTGTCTTATGGACAGCTCAACCGCTGTGCATGCGGAAGATGGCGTGCACGGGTGGGAGACGTGTGGAAGAGCTGCCGTGCGGTGCGGTGACTGGAAGATCGTGTTCATCCCTAAACCCAAAGGTAATGTAGTCCTGAGTCACAAGTTCATCCACTCCCTCACTTGCCGTTAGGTAAGCAACACTAACAGCATCATGTTAGGCCCAGAGAAGTGGCAAATGTACAACCTCGCCCACGACCCAGGTGAAGTCCACGACCTCGCCGAAGCCGACCCAGAAAGGCTGCAAAAGATGATCAAGATGTGGGATCAGTACGTGCTCGAGTGCGGAGTCGTCCCCTTGGCGCCTGCACTTGGCCATTGGCTCGCAGCGATGGACGAGCAGATGCCCGAGAATGTGTGGATGGAGTACGAGTACTGGAAAGAAGGTGCTAGAGATGAGCCGGACAAGTTTCGGAGGGCGGTGCCACGATTCACGAGGGAGGTGAAGGCAATGTAGTTCTGTACATCGTTCTGGTCGCACTATTTTGCCATTGAGAGGGCTGAGGCGTTCTTTGAGGCCGCCCTTGGGGCAAATGCAGCCAGCCGGTAGCGTCCGCGTCGGCTCGTCCTATGAACGGTGTTCCAGATGCGATTGTGCGCAGATACTGTTGGCAATCGAAGATGAAGCTTGTGATTGCATCTGCGTTCACATTATGCCATCGCTACATTATGCAGATCACCTAGTTGCTTGACAGCACACCGTTAAGGCCAACGTTTTCATACAGTACCCGCAATGCTCAACTCCCGTATCTGCCCCAGCACATCTTCCACCCTCGCGTCCAGATCGCCACTTGCGTACTGGTCGCGCGTCGAAGCATCGAGATACCTATAAACACAGGTGAAAAGCATTAGCATGACCGCCTGAAGACGGCGCAGAAGGTTGAGAAGCTGGGATGCAACGTACTGCTGAACCTGCGCCATGCGACTATACGCTTCCGCACAAAATCGCAACTGGATCTTTACCAGCGCCTCAAACGAGGGGTCAAGGTATGGTACCCTGATTAGACTTCGTCAAAGATCTGTCCAAGTCTCCACTCTTTGTGATGTGAGAGCTTACCGTAGATCAATCAATTGCGGAATCTCATTCGTTAACTGCTCGTTCAACTGTTCATACGCGGCTTTCGCCTGCACAAGCTCGTCAGCCTGACTCTCGACATACGCTTGCCTCAACGGCTGCATGAGCTGTTCCAGCTCCGAAGGGTGGAAGAAGGGCGTCCGCGCGAGTCCTCCACGACTGGCTTTGTGAAGCTTAAAAATGTCGGCGACCATGCTTGGGCTATGGCTGAGGCTTGGTTTGCGGCGCTTGGGAGTAGGTGGTGTCGTGTCCTCGTCGTGCCGGTTCGGCCGGAGTGGTAAGCTGTTTGTGCTGAGAAATGCTGGGGTGTGGGATGGAGGAGCAAGCTGCGATTCTGTTGAACACTCGCGCTGTAGTAGGTGAGGTAGGAAATTTGTCGGTGAATGCACGAGCGGGTGGCCGGACGTCGATGAGAACGTCGGTTGAGACGCCTCGTCGCCGTCACCGCCACGGTCACTGATGAAGCCCGGATTGCGATAAAGGCCGCCGCCATACAGTCGGAGCATTATATGCTCGTCCTCATCCTGCAATTGTTGCGCACGCTTTATCCGGTTCAAAGCTTTGGGTGGAGAAGGGATGCTAAGATCGACGTCCAGCATATCCGGGTGCTGGTCAGATTTGGTAAGGAAGGCTTCGACGCTCACCATTTCAGTCTCCTTCTCCGTGCGTGGGAGCTTAGCCGGATCTTTGTCTGGCTTCTCGACGAGCCGTTTCACTTTCGAGCGCATGGCGTCGTAGTCAAGCATTTTGTGGTTGCGCTTTTTTATGCCTGAATAACCGGTCAGTGTAATGCATGACACCAGACAAATGAGGGTTGTCTCACATTCATTGATGTCTGGGAAGTACGCGCAAAAGCGGTTAATGGGTTCCAGTACGGTTGTTCTGCAAATGCCATCATGTCAGGTCCAACACTCTCCTCACAAGCAGTTGCTCTGCTCCTCGCGCCTTTGCCTCGTGCACGTACCTGTAAGGTCCATCAAGCGCCTTGATAGTCTCGGCATCTAGATCTTCGACCGCCTGCTTGTAACTCCGGGACACACCATCTTTCGCACCGGCTTCACCGTAGAAAGCGTCAATGGTTTCTGCTATCCGCATCTGGCTCGCGGTCATGGCACGGAGCGAGTCTAGGTAGCCTTTTGCTTCTTTCTGTAATCGCAAACTGGCGCTCTCAAGTGTTCGGTACCGTCGCCTTGAATCGGTCTATTAGCATGATGCATGTCCGCCCCGGAAGTGGATGTGTGGTGTCGGTACTCTTCAACTTCGTATTCTCGGTCTGTAGTCTTCTCGACGTGACCCGTCTTCATCATCACCTGCGTCCCGGCTCTGGACGCCGCCTCTGTAGGAAGTGTTAGCCTATGCCTGCCCACCTTGCGGATAGATATGCTTGCTCTTGAACCCCGTCCAACTCATCTTCGCGGTAGGTGTAGATTGTGCTGAGGTGGTTGATGGATAAGGAGGACACCGCGCTGATGGTTGGTAGCGGTATGCTAGATGGAGCAAGCGAAGTGAGAGTGTCGATCAAGCGTGCCTACTCCATGTGGCAGTGGCTTAGCTCGTGCATGACGAATTCCGCTTCGAGCGGAACACCCCGCTGCCGGCTCCACACCATTTCTTCAGACTTCAGACGACAAGCATGTCCATGGGGATGTGATGAGTGTATACACTACCACCTACAACGGACTCTGAGGAACTGGCCAGTGGCCATGCCGATCGCAATAGGACTGGAAGGATCAGCCAACAAGCTAGGTGTGGGTATCATCCTCCACTCACCAAGGGCAGATAACGAGAGTCCGCCATCACCGCACGACAGCGCTCACTCGGACGATGAAGCACCCCTCTCCAGTTCAACTAAATCCGCCTCGCCGGCAGTGCAAATACTGGCCAATCTACGACATACCTTCAATTCGCCACCCGGCACTGGCTTCCTTCCCAAGGACACTGCAGCGCACCACCGCAGATGGGTCGTACGCCTGGTCAAGCAAGCCATGAAGCAGGCCAAAGTCCGCCTGGAAGACATCGACTGCATCTGCTACACCAAAGGCCCTGGCATGGGCGCCCCTCTTGGCTCAGTGGCAATTGCTGCCCGTACACTCAGCCAACTCTGGGACAAACCTCTTATAGGCGTCAACCACTGCGTCGGCCATATAGAGATGGGTCGCGCGATCACCGGTGCAGACAATCCAGTTGTCCTCTACGTGAGCGGAGGGAATACTCAGGTGATCGCGTACAGCGCGCAACGGTATCGTATCTTTGGTGAAGCCCTAGATATAGCTGTTGGGAATTGTCTTGATCGTTTTGCGCGCGTGCTCAACATTCCGAACGATCCTGCGCCAGGGTACAACATCGAGCAACTTGCTAAAAAAGGCAGCGTTCTTCTTGAACTTCCTTATGCGGTCAAAGGCATGGACGTCTCCTTCTCTGGCATTCTCGCTCGTGTGGAAGAAATGGCTAAGAAGCTCGAAGCTTCCCTAACCAGCTCGGACGGGCCCTGGCGAGACGATGAAACTGGCGCCGAGGTAACCACTGCGGACCTTTGCTTCACGTTGCAGGAAACCGTTTTCGCTATGCTGGTAGAGATCACCGAGCGTGCCATGGCTCATGTAGGCGCGAACCAAGTCTTGATCGTCGGAGGCGTGGGCTGCAATGAGCGGCTGCAGCAGATGATGGGCATGATGGCTGCGGAACGCAATGGCAGCGTTTATGCTACTGATGAGCGCTTTTGCATTGACAACGGGATCATGATTGCACATGCGGGCTTGTTGGCGCACAAGATGGGATTTAGGACGGAGCTGGAAGAAAGCACGTTTACGCAGCGGTTTAGGACGGATGAGGTACTAATCAATTGGCGGGACTGAATGAATTGTGATCTTGGCTTGACGGCTGTACGCGGCTGTCTCTCCATGGATGCTTGTCACACATCTTCACATGTTAACCGGGACTGCGAAGACGCGTGACGTGAAATAGCTACGCCACAACGAGACTTGCGACTCACGCATTGTGGACGCCATCGTAACAGTTCGCCAACACGTAACAACGAGCGCTGTGACAACAGGAGCCACCTGTGTTGGGTTCGTCGAGGTGTGACGGTATCACGCATGGCATGGATGCGGGTCGCTCCCTGTTCGGACCACTGTATCATGACCTGGACAATGATCCATTGAAGCTGAACCTGCTCCTGCAGGGACCAAGCAACAAATGGGCGCAATCAGCGAGTGTATGTCTGCATTCCTGCTTTAGGCAGGCACACCTGCAACCCACCTGCATGACACCTGCAGCCTGATTGGGCGGGCTGGCTCACATGCTAAACCATAACACCCGCTCGTTAGCATGGGCCCTCATACCGTTGGGCGGGCAAGCTACCCTCACTGGGAGCGCAAAGTGAATTGTACTTGCGGGTGGGGCTAGGATTGCTGCCTGCGTAACGTGAGGTTGCGGTCACAGACTCACTCCTGGTTAAGTACTGCACCCGTTCCGGTTTACGATTCTTCGCTTCCTCTGCGCAGCAACACATCAACAACACCTATCTTCTGCAGCAACGAGCTACCTTTGTCCACGGTTGCAGGGTTTGCTTGTTCACGTAAGTACTTAAGCAGGCTCCCTCACCACAAAAATCATTCTCCAGCTCACACCGGCCCTTAACCAAACTAGCCGCCAATCAACAACACCCCAAACCAAAAATCAAACATCCCATCAACAATATGGCAACCACATCTCCTTCCAAGGAGGCTACCCCGGCCACTTCCGACGCCAAGGCATCCGACAAGCCCATCTTCACCGAGAAAGAGGAGCGTGTCCTCAAGGTCGCGTGGCATTGTCTCAAGACTGGCGTGCCGGAGATCGACTTCGTGAAGCTCACGAAGCTGGGCGAGTTCAACACCCAGAAGACGGCCACCAACACCTGGGGCACCATCAAGAAGAAGTTGAGGACTCTGATGCCGGAGGAGGGTGAGGGTGAGGATGAGGCTGGTGCCGGTAAGTTCACTTCGACTTACGCTTACCACTTACAGCGTCATTATGCTGATTCTTTTGTAGAGACACCGAAGAAAGGGGCCAAGGCAACTCCGCAGAGCAAGAAGCGTGGCAAGAAGGCCGACGCCGACGACGAGGAGGCCGCTGCTGACGGTGAGGTTGCAACTCCCACCAAGAAGCCACGCAAGACTCCTGCCAAGAAAGGCAAGAAGGTCACCGCTGGCGCTGATGAGGCCGCCGGTGAGGAGGGCGTTGATGTGAAGATGGATGGTGCTGATGACGACATCACCGCGACTCCGACCAAGAAGCCGCGCAAGTCCCCGGCGAAGAAGGGCAAGGCGGCTGCTGTTGTCGCTGCTGCGGACGAGGAGACTGCCGAAGTCACGGCGAAGGTTGACGCCATGGAGGTCAAGAAGGAGGGTGAGGAGGAAGGCGGCGATGCGAGCATGTTCGGTGGCGCTTAAGTTGCCTCCTTATTGACAAGCGGCACCGCCAAGCCTACATGGCGATTAGGTGCGGTCACACTAGCGGACCAGGGAGCATGATGTGCTTGTTTTAGCGCTTGGGGAGCGTGAAAAGCAGCGCTTGATTCAGGATCTCGTGCTCGCTGCGCAAGTCGAGGTGACTACGCTACATAGCTGCAAATACAAGAAAGAATTATCCACACCATGACTTGCTTTCACTTCGGCAACCAAGCCACCCGCCCTTTTTCAACACTGAAACCAGTCACCATATATAACATCGCTCAGAGCTTGCTCTTCAACGCAGCCGCCTCGTTCTTCTTAAACAAGACCTTACTATCCGGATACGGATCCACCACCACCTTGTTCAGCGGGTTCAGCTCGCTCGCCCGGTAGAACATATCCTCATACACCTTTCCGTCATACCGTCCCAGACTACTATCCAATTGCCAATCCGGGAACGACCACGCATCCACCAGCCGCACAGCATGCGGCCGAATCTCCTCCAACAACCGCATCACAGCGTTCGTCCGGCACAGCTGGATCTGCCGCACCGTGACCGCGGATGAAGTGTAGAATTCACTCGCCTCCGACTCGAGCGTGTGCAGACTGTAGAGCCGGAAGAGCTTGTGCATGATAGCCAGCGTCTCCGCGTCAAGCCCTGTAGCCGAAGGTGAGGCTTGCAGTGTTTCGTAGAAATTCTTCACGACCATGTACTGCGAGTGTGCGCGGCTGAGGCGGTAAAAGTCAACGAGCAAACTGTTCCACGGCCGCTTTTGCTCGTCGCGGTGCTTGAGCGCTTCGAAAGTGAGGAACGCGCTGCGCCAGGCGAACGCGGCAACGATATCGGCGTCGTTGCCGAGGACATCGAACGCGGCGCCCGTGTCTTGGCGCGAAAGGAAGTTGGTGAGGATGAAGGTGGTGTCATTCGTGGGTTCGTTGCCTTTGAGCACGGAGCGCGCAGACTTGAGGAGGTAGCGCGCGACTTGTTGCGTAAGCATGTAGTTGTCCCCCTCCCAGGTGGCAGTGGGCAGGTAATCGGCATACCAGGGGCCGATGCCGGAGAAGGAGGAGTAGCCGTGGCCGCCGCACGCACGGCGGCACATTTCGAGGCCTTCGACCGCGGTGTAGGAGGCGAGGGATTTGAGGCCGCATGAGGTTGCGTGTAGGTCTGCCAATAAGTCAGAGCCGGAGTGTGTCTCCTCTGGACCTGCTCCCCGCTCAGGCCCGCCAACTTTGCCGACGTCTTGCGACATCTTCTTCTGGTTGGCCCCGTACATCTCCATCATGGCTTTGCCAGTGAAGTGCAGAGCGAACGTGGTCGCCAAGAGCGGCAGCAGGCGGATTTGCACGGTTGTGTAGTTGATGACCTGGTTCTCACTCTTCTGCCCCTCTTGCGCGTCGCGGTCCTGGAACTGTCGCCGCACGGCGCAGTATCTTGTCGCAATCGTCACGCCGCGGGCGAGGACACCACCAGCTTGCATGACGATGGTCGAACGCACCCAGGTAAGCGTGCCGTAGATTAGAGAAGCAGACGCAGGTCGGACGTATTGGTTCGTCTTAGGATCCACCCTCGAGAAACGCGCCAGCATTGAAATGTGCGGGACCTTGACTTGGTTGAACAGCAGATACCCGTTGTCCATGGTGTTGTAGCCGAATTTGGGACCAATGTCGCCGACATGGATGTTCTCCAGCGTCTCGTGCGTGTTGAGATCGCGGATCTGGACAACGAAGGGGTGCTAAAGCCGAATACATCGTCAGCTTGATACTCCAAAAATCCATGAGGTATAACAAGCGACTCACCGGCCCATAAGACTTCCCACCAATGATCAACTGCGCCATCACAACCGCATGATTCGCCGTCCGGCCCAAACTCCCGATCCACCACTTACTCGCCGTTAAATACGGGCTGTGAATGGTGAACGTCTGATCCTCCTTATTCCACGTCGCCGTCGTCTCCAGCCCGCGCACATTACTCCCATGTCCCAACTCCGTCTGCGCATAACAGCCAATGTACTTGTACTGCTCCGCCGGCTTCAAGAACTTCTCATGCTGCTCTGCGTTACCCTGATCCCGCAACGTGATCAGGAACATGCTCTCGTGCAACCCGTACGGACCGGGCTCGGAGATGAGTTCATTGGCGATGAGGCGGTCGTCGTTGCTCCAGCCATTGCGCACGGCAAGCTGCCTAAGTCTTTTGGCGCGGGCAAGGGCGGTTTCGAAGCGGTCGACGCGGCCAGCAAAGTAGTTCTGGCTCTTATCGAACACTTTCTCGTTCTCCAGCACCTTCAAAACACGCCGCTTGCGGGCGAGGCCCTCGGACGTGAAGAGGAAAGTGCTAAGCTGATCCACATTAACGCTAGACTTGGAGCGTTCATGGGCAAGAAGCTCGCTGCCCTGCGGACCGGAGGGCTTGAGGTCGCGGACCCATTGCGGTGGCGTAGTCATTGTTGATGAGATTAGCCTGGTCGTTGGGCGACAGAATGGGGATCAATTGAAGGGGTGGAGCATTGGTGGAGGAGTCAAGTGAGCACGAGAGACTTTATTCGATGACGGTCGGCTCGGCTGCGTCGAATGAGCCGAGGTTGAAGTTTGTTACTGCATACGGTTAGAGCACAATAAGCCGACCGCGGTTGTCTTGCATCTGCTGAGCAGGACGGAGGTAAACCCGACATCCGGTGCTGTTGCCGCGGTAGGGATAGGTAAGGTCTGGAACAAGTGCTTGGACGGGAGGTAAAGGTTGATGATGCTTGCAACGCGTGCCTACACAGTCAACAATGGGTATCACCGAACTTTCTCCATCTCTTTCCCTCCCTGCCCGATTGCTTCTTTTGCTAACCGTAAGTCCATCCTGCTGAGATTGACTGCGCTCGCATACTCGCCGAAAGCGAGCAGGACTTCTTGCAAACCCTCCTTAAGCACATCCGCAACTTCCCGCACCTCTCTTAAGCCTTCGTTGTTCTCTATGTCTCGCTCCCGGTCATTGAAGTACACATCACTCCAATGCGGCTTCAATGTGGCGACGAATGTGCGTATGTCTTGCAGAACCGTAGTATACGTTCGGACAACAATCGGCACATCTTTGGAAGCCTGCCCGAAATTGTCTTCCTGCAAAGTACAGACCACGAGCTTGGCCAACGATCTCGACGCGTGGATGATGTTGATTTCGTCACTGTACGGCACGCCGAACACCACCGCTTTCACCGTCCGTGCGAACGTCTGACGGAACGGTTCACCCACCGGCATCTTCAAAACCGTAACCACGCGTTCCTCCACCACTTTCTGTAAGCCGGACGGACTCCATGCTTCTCGCCCCCCAGCGCGCTCGATGCCGTATTCGATAGCTTTCCGTGACGACTGCACCACGGGATTGTTCTTCTCGGGACTTTGACCGATTGAGCGCGCCATATTGCCGATCGTGTCGGCCGCGTTGGCCTTGCGCATCGGTTTCTGCACGACGTTCTGATCATTGACAACTTGTTTCTGCGCAATCCGCGGTAAGCCGAGCGATTGCTGACTCTGCTGTGTTGACAAGGCTCCTTGTTGTTGTCCTTGCGGTTGGGTGCTCGCCGCCTGCTGCGTCGGCTCCTGTGATTTTCTGATTCGTGTGGAGATGGCACTGATCTCGGCCAGACAATGTCTGCTCACCTGGCTCCAGGTTGAGCCGTCTTTCCGATCAACCTCGGCGAAGATGGTTCTGCGTCTCGCTTCGAAGCGGGTACACAAGATATACAGCTCCCAGAAGGCGAAAGCTCGGGGTACATCTTTCTTCGCTTTGAGGCCGCGAATCAAGCTGCCATTCGGATCTCTGCTTCTCGAGATGATGGCACCGCTTGCGTCCTTGATCTCGTTCGTAAGCGGTTGCCCTTTCTTCAGCGGAGCCTGCGAAACGTAAACAGTGAAGATTGCGTTGCTCAGCTCCCATAGTAGTACAAGCATGGCTGCTGAACTTGCTGTCTGCCAGACGAGCGAGCCTAGATGGATGAAGCCCACTGGTCCGGTATTGGGCTGCAGTTCTCGCTGCAAGACCATTGCCACCGGGTAAGCGAAGTAGTCCCACGCAGCTCTCCGGATGAACAGAAAATAGATGGGTAGACTGAACACAATACCCGGGAACACCAGCTTGGCGAGGCGGATGCCAATCGCGTCCATCTGCGCCATAAGCAGTGTTGGTGGTGAAGGCACCTCAGCACCTTCCTCCTGCCGGTGCTCCCTGTTTTCCGCCTCCTCGATACATACTCGATCGTAATCTCTCCACAAGTGCAGGCCCGATTGGAAAACCGCCAAGCACACCAGGGCGCTCCTGAGAAAGATCGGATTCTCATTCACCCTCGCCCTTTCGTAATCGCTACCCACGTCAACCCACGATAACCCCGCCTTCGCGCTCCTTGACCAAATGTAGATTTCCGCAAAGAACCAGGCGCTGAAGATGTACCAGCCAACTGTGCCAAACGTGCGCACGCTTGTAAGCTTCTGCAGCACAGTCTCCGCGGCAGACGTCGTCGTCCGCGATCCAACATGCATGTTCATGACCCGCACAATGAATACAGCAAGCGCCGGCGTGAAGAGTAGGATCATACGGAAGCCTGTCAGACCGAAAGGGTTCCAAAACCACAGCCAGCTGCGGGAAGAGGACATGAGCGTGGCCTCGAGCCAGCAGATGGCAAGAGTGAGGAGGGCGGCATTGGTGAAGCGGCGGTGCAGAGCTGGGGTGAGGAAGTCTTTGTACGGCCGCGCGGTGGGTACCATTGCCGTCGATGTGGGTTGCATGTTGTGGGACGCTGTGATAGCACCCGACTGCAGGCCTGTTGCCGTTGTTGTTGCGGTTGCCATGTGGGAACTTCCACTCCTTCGAAACTCGGCGCTAGCTGTGCGCAGCGTTGGGTTGTTGTCGTCTTCAAGGCATATTTGTGAGGAGATCGAAGCAGAAGTGAACGTTGAGAATGAACGTGATGCGCTTGTCGAGGAAAGGTTTCTGCCAATGAAGCGAAAGTGCCGCGATGTCACATGTCAACAGGCTCGGCAACATCCGACTCCCGCCGCGGCACCTACTTGTGCTGTGACGATGCCTGGAGGCTTCTCCATTTGTATGACCACCACTTGGCTTCTACTTTCACATACCGTCCACTCATTGACAAACAAACCGAGCTACGCACTCCACACCAAATACCGCCAACTTGCTCACTGCGCACCACGACTACCAGCATGTCCTTCGCCGACTCCTCCAACCTCGAATCGCAACCCACTACCTGGCGCCGGCAGGATGACCCGGAATACGCCGACGACCCCGAGTTCACACGCTACACCTCCGAGCTTTCCGACAAGCTCTTCTCGCTCACCGCCAACATCTCCCGCCTGAACAACCAAATCGCGCTCCTCGGCACCAGGCGTGAGACCGAGCGCGTGCGCGAGCGCGTACAGGACCTCTTATCGGAGACGGGAGATGGCTTCAAAGAGATCGGAGAGGGACTGCGGAAGGTGGCGGCATGGCATGACTTGGGTCCGAGCCAGAAGTACACGCAAGGGAAGCTGAACCAGGAGTTCAAGGCCAGTTTGACCGAATTCCAGAACGTGCAGAGGCAGGCTTTGGAGAAGCAACGGGCGAGCGCTACGGCTGCCAAAGCTGCGTTATCACAAGAGGATGGCGCGGGAGGTGCAAGCGCGACCACGGATGTGGGTCAGCAGACACAGCAACAATTACAGGAACAGCAGCCGCGACTCGCAAACCAGGACGAAGTGGACTTTCAAGAGAGCCTCATCATTGAGCGCGAGAACGAGATCCGAAATATCGAGCAGTCGGTGGGCGAGCTGAACGAGCTTTTCCGCGACGTGGCGCATATGGTTCACGAGCAGGGTGGGCAGTTGGATATCATTAGTGAAAACGTCACGCAGACGAGAGATGACACGAAGAATGCGGATCAGCAGCTCAGGACGGCGAGTCGCCATCAGAAGAGCGCGAGAGGGAAGATGTGTTGTTTGCTGCTTATTTTGGTTGTGGTGTTGACGATTATCATCTTGGCGGCGGTCTTGGGGTAGATACCACGATTGCGATTGTTGGGCGCTTTGTAACGTACACGCAGTCTGTTGTACAGGCGTTGCGAAGCAGTAAGTGCTGAAACGAATCTCACTTATCTCTTCTGCTTATAACCAGCTGAGCTTGACGCCGTCGTTGTTAGAGCAACTGTCAATGCAGATCTGTGCATGAGCCCGTCAATGCCAGATAACCAGAGCAAACACATTCAAAGACAGGTCCACATCAAGCATATATGAACCTTAATCGTAAAGGACGCGCCGTCCTGCAACTACCGCTTATTCATACCCCCAGATAACTTAACACGGCCTCCCACATGTCACATCCTAATCACCACATCTCATACGCCCAAGCTCGCATAAACTACAGCCTGCGCTGTCCCCGGGCCGCCTCAAACGGCCAAATTTGTCCTAGCATCCAAGCCCACACCGCAGCCACCCTCCGCCACGAAATCCAAGCCCTCGCCACCGAACTCCTAAATACCCTCGTGGCTCAGAAACGACTCCGCTTCTGCCGACGTACCCACGATATTAGGTTTTCTGTGTTTGACAAGCGGGACAAACAAGCGGCCGAGATGCTGGATTTCTGGACGAACTTTGTGAGGAAACATTTCAAAGCTGTTAGGTTGGGTGGCGGGCAGAGTGTGCAGAGTTTGGCTGGGCTGGAGGGGTTGAGGAAGTTGGGTCGGAAGGAATTGGAGGATGTGAGGGGCTGGGGTGGTAAGCGTGGGAAGGATGGTGGCGGTCAAGACGTTGACGGATCTGTAGCAGCGTGAGCTTCGTACGGAACCATGTGGCTGCGCCAGAGGAATGAGTCCCCGCATGATCAAGGAAAATCATTGCGGTAGCACTCTAACAAATCCTTACAATACCAAGACCGACCAAATCTTCAATCCAGTCACGAACCAACTCAGCCTTGCAGCGACGCACCACCAAATATCCCGGCCATCGCGCCTTTGATATCCGCATCCTCCGGCAGGGACGTAACATTCTGCCTCACACTCTCCACCAAACCCGTCAGCTGCGGCTTCCCCATCTTCGCCAGCGCTTCCATCGACCGGCTCATGTCCACCGTCGCCTTCGCCCGCGGCAAACCACCCGCTTTGGCCGGCAACTTCCGGCTCGGATCGATCGTGTGCATGGCATCCAACACGTCGTCGGCCGTGAAGCCTTCGCCGAACGCGAGGAGGCGCTCGCTTTTGATTTCGGGGAGGATGAGGGCGGCTAGATGCAACTTCCCGGAATCTTCGAGGTTGATTGCGGCTTGAGGACCCATCATCGCTAGGAAGCGGGTGCCGCTTTCGTCGCCGTGCCAAACGCCCAGGATCATTCCGTTAACGGACGAGATGAGTTTCGGGTGGATGAAAGCGCCGATGTGCGCATTCGGCACGATGGAGTTAAACTCGAAGTGCGGCTTGTTGTCGCGCACGAAGTCCCAGCATGCCCGTTCGCCAAGAATTTTGCTGGCGGTGTAGATGGCGCCGGACTTCTCCATGCCGCCGTAGGGCTTCGACCAGGCCATGTCGATAACATCGTCGGGGAGCCAGGAGGCGGGAGTGATGTGGCCTTCTTGCGCGACCGGGGGAACGGCCGAGGATGACGATGTGAAGACGAAGCGTTTGATCGTCGGGGTCTTGGCGGCAGAGGCAAGGACGTTCTTCGCCATTTCTACGACGGGAGTGATTACAAGGTTGGGATCCTAGCACAACGTAAGAATTAGCCTCAACAGGGTCAAGCGGGCAGTGCAATAGGTAACGCACGTCTCGGAACGTCACGTCGCTGGCAGTGTGTATCACGCCCGCACAATCTGCAAACGTCAGCTTCGACTTCCACGTTGCCGAGACGTACTCGAGCTTACCTTTCATAGCCTCGTCCAGCGCTCCAGGCACCGTCAAGTCTTCCACAAGGACCGTATGAAAGGCATCCTTGCCGTAGCGCTCGTGGAAGGCTTCCTCGAGATACTTCCCCTTCTGCTGGTTGCGGATAACGGCTCGGACTTTGTAGCCTGCTTTGAGGACTTCGTCGGCGACGGCTCCACCAACGCTGCCGGTTGCTCCAGTGCTGTAGATCATCGCGTATGTTGTTAGCGGCTGGATCAGATGTATAGCACTTGACATGGAGCACCATACATTAGAACCAGAGAACCTGTCGGAATGACGGAGTCAGACATGTTGATACTGATCGTAAGGAGGTTAAGGAAAGCGGTGAGTGTGGGAGCGTAGGATAACAATAGAAGCAGAAGCAGGCAACACCATGACCTCTACCTATCGTTATATAAATGTCGAGACCTGGCCAGATCACGATATGAGCCCGAACTCTGAGCCATGTGGCTCGGTCCCGTCTGGGTTTGTAATACCAGACTCCGTACCAGGACGAAGCCTTCGGAACGACCGCCAGGTGCAATTTGGCGACATGCTTTTGCGAGCCTACGCTGTGTCTTCAATATGCATCGAAGAAGCCGATCCAACAGCAACTCCGTCGGTTTCGCATTGGGCCGGGTCGGCGTAACTCGAAGGAGAAATGGATTAGTAAAAGGCGTGCTAGAGTGAAATCAGGGCACAGCTACGGCGATCACTGAAGAGCCGCTCGCGGGTCGGTCTGTTGCTGTGGGCCGCATACGGGAGAGCAGCAACACTGTATCCTTAGCACTCCTGGCCCTAGCAGCGATCCCATACCCAGAAGTTGAAGGACGTGTTGCTGAGGGGGATTGAGGTGAATGGAGGGAAGTGAAGGTGGTGCTTGTGCACGCTGCAAAACAGCTTGGCACGATGACGTGCGTCGTTTGGGGAACAACTTCAAAAGGTTGTTGGTAGACTGAGCGTCACTAACGTGAAAGTGAAGACGCATAGAGCCTTGGAAGACAGCACCAAGCAGAGGAGTCATGTCTTCGCGGGCCTTGCGCAAAGCTCAGCGAGAGCGTGAAGAGGAGAATCTGCGCAAGCTGGCGAAGGCGGAAGACGAGGAAGATATTGATGAACATGTATCACAATCTGCCAAGCCGAGCGCTTTCGCCATGCTCGGCGAGGAGGCTGACCAGGATGACGAGGAGGACGATGGCGGTGCGCCAATGGGTGATGAGGATGACGAGGCGGCGGATCAGCCTACGAAAGCCGTAGTGCCTTCAAAACCTGCGACAAAAAAGCGGAAGAAGAAGAAGAAGCCCAAAGCAAGCGGGGATGCCGAACAGGCAGTAGAGCCCGCCGAAGACCTTGATGAGATTGACCAGGCACTCAAGGCGCTCTCGGCCAACGGTCATGCGGCAGATGAAGGTGCTACAGCGGCAGGCGTAGATAACAAGGTCAACGAAGCTTGCCGACTTCTAGCCATTGACACGCACAATCTCCATGCCCAGAACGAGATGCGGAGGCTCTTCGGTCGTGCGGCTCTGGAACATAACGACGATGACGATGCCGGACAGCCCAATCAGGCAGCTGGTGGCAACCGGCAACAACAGAGACGTGGACAGCAGGCTGGGCTTGCCCAAGCACTTCGCGGCCAGGGCGGCGGGCGGTCTGGCGGCTTAGCAGCCATGGCTCTTCGCCGAAACATCTTCGTGCAGGGCAAAGAGGAGTGGCCTGTTGCCACTGGTGGCGGGCTTGGCATGGAGATTGAGGAGAAGCGCGCCGACGGGACTGTGCTCTATCGCTTCGTGCACAACCGTGCTTATCAAGACGTCCAATCTCAATTTGAATCTTGCGTGGAGAGCATGGATCCGAACCGACTCGTCCTACTGCTGCAGCATAACCCATACCACATATCTACGCTTCTGCAGGTCTCCGAGATTGCCAAGCAAGAGCGCGATCACGCTACATCCGGAGATCTGCTGGAAAGGGCGCTCTTCTCCTTTGGTCGAGCCGTCCACTCCACCTTCGCTAAGAACCTGGGAGAAGGCAAGGCGCGGCTAGACTTCGCACGGCCTGAGAATAGGGAGTTCTGGCTCGCAAGCTGGCGATACATGCAGAATCTCTCCATGCGAGCGACATGGCGTACTGTATACGAGTGGGCAAAGCTGCTACTATCGCTAAGTCCACAGAAGGATCCATATGCGTTATGGCTCGTTCTCGATCAATATGCACTACGCTCAAGGCAAGACCTCGACTATATCAATATTAGCCGAAACAGCACCCTAGGCGCCGTCCACGAAGATATGCCGAATGTCGAGCTTAGCCGAGCACTGGCCGAATGCCGGGCTGGTAACAAGAACAAAGGCAAACAAGCGCTCTTCACCGCTGTCGGGCGGTATTCGTACATCATAGCGAGACTGATGCATGAGCTTCAACTTGACCCTCCACCAGCGGTGTGGGGCAAGGAACCACGGACAGAGAAGGAGAAGCTTCACACCGAGCTCTATGTCCGTGCCAAGGATGTCTGGAACACGCCTGAAGTCACTAACATGCTTATCGAAGTGGCTGCTGCAGTACCAGCCGAGACACCCCCGACGGCACCACTCGCTACTGAGATCACAGAAGCCGAGGCCCGTCACGTCCTGCTCTCCGACACCCCGTCGCTGATTGCCCTCCTGCCGAGAAGCTTCACGGCGAGGTTGACTTCGGTCTCCGATCCTTTGCCACCCGAGACTGATCGTCCGTCTTATACTATTACATACTCTCACCGAGAGCGAGGCGGACGTGGTCCAGGACCGGTGCCGCAGAACCCACAGGCGCTGATTGAGATGCTTAGGGCTCAGCTGGCGCGGCAAGGGGTAGAGCTGGACGACGAGGACTTGGCTGACTTTGGTCCCGACTTGCCTCAGCAGCTGGGCTTTCGCGAAGACGACGATGGCGAACACGGCCATCGAGCTCGGGTCGAAGATGCGGATGACGATGATGGAGATTGAGGCCTGATTTCTGCTCAGTCCCAGTCATCGAAGCCGTGGCTCCGAAGTCCAATGATCGAAGGCGGCCGCTCAAACGGATTTCCAACGCTCTCAGTGCGGCCTACGCGTAGTTTTCCAGCGACATTCTGGAAGATGGAGCGATCGTGGAATGACCACCACTGCCACGAGCAATCAAACCCGCCAAAGGTGCCAATGATCTGGCGACCTCCAGGATGGCGCAATTGGTAATCGGTTGCATCAAGGACGATGCCATCCACCACTAGCCCTTGGAAAGCGTTAGCGTGGGCTCACGTTGGCAACGATGACTACGTAGGTACGAACACAGTCTTCTACCGTCTTTACCATCTTGTTGTTTCACTTGACCTGGTGGGATGAAAGGCAGATCGTTCACAGCCTTTCGCCTTGGCTGGATAGGATACACGTCGTCAATCCCAACAAGTTCTACTGTCTCCACGTTCTCTATATGCTCTGCTATCTTGTCCTTCATTTCCTTCTGGGGAGGCGCTTGCATCACATCTGGCTGGCGTAATGAAGAAAGGCGGAGTCTACCCATACTGGATGGAGATGACAGGACTGCTATTCTGGATCTGAGATTGTAGTCTGAACGTATAACGGATCGATCGCTCAGTGGCGAGGACTGCGTCACATCCTTCGGGCTACATTCGGGCGTCGAACGAGGCGGCAAATGGCATACCCCGGATACCCGGCGTTCTACTTGACACAAGCAACTATCCACACCATTATTGAAACCCCGCAAAGCTTGCAGTACGTATATTGTGGAGTACATCCCAAGTCACAACAGCCATTCACCTTTTGACAGCTTGGGATGATCACCACGCTATGGCCGTTCCGGCGAAATCAGCCTGGAACATCTTTGTCCATTCGAATGACTACCGGTAGTTGCACGGGTTTAATAGTCCATCTGTGGAGACCCCGCCCGCACGTATCAGGTGGCATAAGCGCATGCGGCTCTGTCCACGCTGATACGGCGTGTACGAGAGACGAGTTAGCCGGTCGCCTCCTCCCCGTGCCTGCTTGGTTGACTGCCATGTCCCCGCAGACATAGCTCCTTGCGAAGCTAGCCTGGTATCGGTCATGATACGCGGTGCGAGGAGTGGAGGGGAATGGGCACCGTAGAAGCGGTTAAAGTACTCTCATCAAGGTTCCCTCTATCATCACTCGGTCTCTTCTCTTTGGCTTTCGTCTCCTTTCCGTCCTCGTCACCGCCAGGCTGACGGCACAGCATGGCGCCCTCCGCAGTAGACTCGAAGGGTTACATGACCAGTGGCATCAATGAGCACCTCGCCAATGGCACCACCGGTGGCAAACCTGACTTGATGAACCCGCACGATGAAGTGAGAGCCCGTCAGTCGCGTCCACGTCAGTTCGGGCTAATTAGCATTATTACCAGGTGCACTTCGATCCAAAGTTGAAACCCAAGCAATACCAGATCAAAGGCACGGACCCCAACAGTAAGATCCTGTTTCGAGACGTACAGATCATCGACTCGACTGGCCGTGATCCGTTCAAAGGCGACGTTTATGTAGAAGGTGCGTCATTGTACAAGCTCTCCGCCCGCTAGGAATCAGTCGAGCATAGAAGCTGATTCAATCTAAGGCGAACGCATCCGGTACGTCGGTCAAGTCCCGGACATCAAAAACCTCGCGAAAGATCCAAAAGTCCGAACGATCAATGGAAAAGGACGGACATTGATGAGCGGACTCGGAGACGCCCACACTCATTTCAGCTGGAATAACGGCGATCTAGGCAAGCTCGGCGATGTCGGTGTTGAAGAGCATACGCTGGTCTCTGCACGATCGGCGCAGTGTTACCTTGATAGCGGCTATACGATGTGCTTTGGCGCAGCCTCTGCCAAGGATCGGTTAGATGTGGTGATTAGAGACGCTATCAACGATGGCTTGCTACCTGGGCCGCGGTATCTGGCGAACGGCAAAGAGATGGCTGTACCTGTGTGTCGTTTGGCCCTTCTCAATAGCCTTCGCGTTTGCTAACATGCTGCTTCTACTAGGATGGCGACCTCGTGCCTGGAATCACCGCCTTCGCATCTGGCCCGCTCGAGATGCGCGAAACGATCCGCCACCATGTCAAGCTCGGGGTGGACACTGTCAAGCTGAGCATGTCAGGCGAGCAGATCTGCGAGACTCGCGATGCGCAGGAGTGCTACTACACAGATGAGGAGACTGCTGCATGTGTTGATGAGGCGTAAGTGTGATCGGTTGCGGCTGCGTTCCACACTTGGTGATATTGATGTGTTGCAGGCATCGACATGGCGTCCGCCTTTGCTCACATGCGCGCGCCCGTGATAGCGTCAAGATGTGCATCAAGCACGGTGTAGATGTAAGTGTGATAGACTCAAATATTGGCAGGCCAACGAGTTCTGGCTAACGGTTAGGTACAGATTATATACCATGCAAGCTGGACGGACGATGAAGGTATGGACATGCTCGAAAAAGCGAAGCATAAGCACATCGTTGCTCCAGGCCTGAATTGGCTGGTCGCTACAGTCTACGAAGCCGGCGCGTTTGGCTACTCTTTCGAAAAGGCGGAGCAGGTGGGATACAAGGTGGAGCTCGAGCAAGCCATCAAAGTGCTCCGCGAGATGCATCAACGAGGCATCACCGTGTTACCTGGCGGCGATTACGGCTTCGCTTGGACACCCCACGGAACGTACGCTCGCGACCTTGAGCACTTCGTCAAGCTGGTAGGCTTCACACCTATGGAGGCAATCGTTTCTGCTACCGCGGGCGTTGCTACGCTCTTCATGCGTGAAGACGAACTTGGCAAGGTGAAGCCTGGTTACTTCGGTGATCTCATCCTGGTCAACGGCAATCCGATCGACAATATTGAGGTCCTGCAAGATCACAGCAAGCTCGTAAGTGCTACGGCTTTTGCAATGACATCATTCGGCTTTTGCTGATCCTCTCACTAGGATATAATTATGATTAATGGTCGGATACACAAGGCTTCGTACAAGGAGTTTACACGCTTCGAGCAGCCTCAGCCCATTATGGAACCCAAAGAGGATGTAAAACTCAACTACTACATAGCCTATGAGCTTGACGACGGCACTAAGCGCACCAGGATCGGACATCTCGACGAGAAGAAAGGGACGGTCACTCCACTTTCTTTCTTGAGCGGCACTCCGATTGAGAATCTGTACCAGGTGATCGAAGTCGGCGAAGAGAACGTAATGGCCGGTGGTGAGCCGTTCCAGCTGACAGACAATCTGAATGTGCTCGCTCCGATCAGTGGCCGAGACGTGCTTGCGGTTGGCAAGAATTACAGCGAGCATGCGAAGGAGTTCAATGCCTCCGGATATGATTCCTCAGACAAGGTGGACATGCCAACGCATCCCGTCATCTTCACCAAACGGGCGACTTCCATCATCGCAAATGAAGAAGACATTCTCCTCCATGAAGGGTTTACCGAGACGCTGGACTACGAAGGCGAGATTGGTGTCATTATTGGCAAGGGCGGCTTTCACATCGCGGAAGGAGATGCCGAGCATCACGTCTGGGGCTACACTATCATTAACGATGTGACTGCGCGGGAGAAGCAGAGAGACCACAAGCAGTTCTTCATTGGTGAGCCTCTCCAGGCCTCCGGTGGTTTGGGATCGGACTGACACCTTCACAGGCAAGAGCGCCGATTCTTACTGTCCGATGGGCCCACTAGCGATACCTAAGGAAGCATTGCCACGCACACTCACTGTTACCACCCATGTTAATGGCGAGCAACGCCAGAGAGGAACGACCGAAGATTTGATCTTCAGCATACCGAAACTCATTCAGACGCTCTCCGAATCACAAACACTGCGTCCCGGCGATGTGATTGCTACGGGAACACCAGCTGGCGTGGGCTTCGGTCTGAAGCCTCCTGTGTTCCTCAAGCCTGGCGATGTCGTGGAAGTTTCCGTAACTGGAATAGGCACTTTGCGCAACAAGGTGGCTAAGGCGGACCCGGAGAACCATGTGACGAAGCGGATTGCACAGGAAAGCAGCATTCCCATCAGCAACTTGTCAATCACCAACGGCGGCCTTGGACTCACCACTCTCCGCACCGGCAAGAAACTGCGAGCTGTCAAGCTCGGATCGGGGCCAAGCTCCATGATCTTCGTGCACGGCTTGGGTGGCAATATGTCGTACTACACCCCGGTGCTCCAACAACTAGGTCTGAACAGAGACGATCAGTCACAGTACACTAGCCTGCTCTTTGATCTGGAGGGACACGGCATGAGCCCAACCAAGGCAACATCCAGAATCAGCATAGAAAGCTACGCGCAGGACATTGACGACTTGATCGACGTTCTGAACATCCCAACACAGAACGGTGTGACACTGGTAGCACATTCAATGGGCTGCCTCGTCGCCTCACTCTTCGCTTCACGGCACAGCGACATCGTCACACGGCTAGTTCTCATCGGCCCGCCGCCTTGCCCACTGCCGGCTGGGGGTGCAGATGCCAGCATCAAGCGCGCAGCATCCGTTAGGGCTGAAGGTATGCGGAACGTCGCGATCACCGTCGCCACAGGCGGTACCTCCGCGAAAACGAAGGCAGAGCGACCGTTAAACTTCACCACTGTGCAAATGAGCCTCCTGTCGCAGGATCCGGAAGGCTACGCGAAGGGATGCACGGCCCTTGCAGGCGCAAAAGACTTGAGCATTGATTTTTCAAAGCTCGGGAAGACAACGAAATCGCTGATCATTACCGGTGAAGAAGACAAGGTTTCGCCGCCAGCGCTGGTACAGAAGATGTCGGAGACTATGGGATCAGTGCAAACGAAAATATTAAAAGATGTGGGTCACTGGCATGTGTTCGAAGACGTGGATGGAGTGACGCAAGCGATGAAGAGCTTTCTGGCTTGAACATAGGACGAGCAGCATTTAGCGGGCTATACTTCGACGCGCAACCGGGATGACTTGGCTATTGTCAGTCACGTCTCTACCACTGAGGCGAGGAGAAGGCATAACGACGAGCCGTTACTGTGAATGCTTACGGTCGAATATGTATATCGCGTTTCCTGACATCAAAAGCACTCGATTCTCCGGCGTGCCGGCGTGTCACTTGCACAACGACCCAACTCCAATAGCCTGCAGACTTGACGCATCGCTACTGCCAATGAGCGTTAGTCGCACACGAGAAGACGCCCCTGCTCTCCTTGCCACGTACGATCTTCACGATACTACCGTATGTACCGACACCACACTGTAGCACAATCAGCATCTCTTCAGCCCGTTGGCAGGTTGTCGTATTGACTCACCAATACGATGCACATCGCTACAAGTCCAAAATTGACCGCCACCAGCAATTTCTGCTTCAGAGTCCATTCCAGCCCTGAGCCTGGCCAGTTGACCTTCACCCCAAACATGGCGCAAAAGCCAAGGACGAACCATACTCCGAGCAATGCACCGATGAATCCAAGCAGTTCGTGAAATGTTGGGATCAGGCCGGCAATGACAAAGGCGATTACCCAGTGACCAAGAGCGATTGCTATCCAGCTTGCGTTGGCCCGGAAGCTAGACTTCTCTTTCATTACCTCCGGGCTATGCCTCCAGACACGTTCATAGACTTGCTTCGAAGCCACCAGGGCAGGTATGACTCCAGCTATGATGATGGTTGGTGTAGCCAGGCCATAAGCGATCTTGCGGATCAGTGGGCTTGCTGAGCCCAGGGCAGGCGACACAACCCCCTGACCAGCGTAGTTGTAGATGACGACTGCGACGGTGAGGTACATGCTGATGGTGAAGATGGCGAGCAAGGCGAGCGCCTTCGGAAAGTCTTCGGGGCGCTTCATTTCAGAGATGATGGAGGGGTAGGCGATGTGGCCGTTGTAAGCCAAGATCATCTGGCTGACCGCCGCGGCACCACCGGCGAAGCTGGTGAGGTTGGCGGGCACAACGGCGTATGTGTCGCCAACGCCAGTGTGGTGAATGCCAATATCGATCATTGCAAGTGTTGTGGCTGTGGCGATGGAAAGACAGGCTACGAACAGTCAGTCGCGTCCCGAGTCTGCATGTGGCTAGTGCACTTACAGAAGACAGAGAAGATGGACGCTTTGTTGAAGGCCCGCCACAGCGTACAAACGAAGCTCACCGCGGCGCCAACTACCATGAACACTACCGTGCAGGAAGCGTGCTTGGTGAGTGTGTTGAGGGATACACTCGCCACAACAATGTGCGCACCCATGACGAAGATGAGAAGGAGCTGCTGCGCAAACAGTCCCAACCATCTCCCAGGGCGACCGAAGGCGACACCCATTAGATCGGCGAAGGTAGCATGGTCTGGGTGCGCCATCTTGAACTGCCACGTAACATAGCCGGTGTATGTTGCGATGAAGCCAAAGACCAAGATGAGAATGACGCCGGGCACAAAGCCAAGCACAGCAAGAGTGTGAGGCAGAGACAGAATGCCAAGGCTGACCGTCTCTGCGATCATGACTATTGCACTGTTAGCATTGGCCATACTATCGAACCCAAGCTGGCGACTTACTGATGCCAGCAATTGGCCAGGACAAAGCGTGGTAGTCCACCTCCTCCTGCAGTTGCACTTTGCCAACTGGATCGGAGAGTCTCGTTGGCTGCTGTTCAAATCCAACAGTGAGGTCGGACGGCGTGCGCTCCTTTTCCACGATGCCGACTTCGACTTCCTTGATGATGGTCTCCACAGTTTGACCGGATGGAGATCGTGCGGGTTCCACCATTTTCGTTTGTGGCGCTATGGTAAGTTTTAATCTGCTGGGCAGTCGTATGAAGAGCGCCAGAGGAGATCGAAGGAAAGGAAAAATGAGAGATATAGGACGCCGGATCATACAGTAATACTCCTCATCTCGTCGTCGAATCGCGGACGGAGACGGAATCGTGTCACACGACACACAATGTTCAATGTTTGGTGTGCCCCGCGAAGCAAGATAAGAACGTTGTCCACTACGTCGAGCATCAAGTGTAAGCAACCATCTGGACTTCGTGAGTGGAGTGGGAACGTCCAGATAACAGACAATTTCCGCGACTTAGCATGGTTTTCAGAAAGAAGGAATGATTGATTGATACCGAGGCTTTTGTAGCGGCATCATTCGAACCACAGATGGCAGAAAGCGTGCTCCTCATCCTAAAGTTACACGCTTTGGCATGGAAGGGAAAATAGGATGTTTCGGAGAGCGCGGTCATCCCTGAGATGGCGACCAGCCTAACGCAGCGATGATGCTCATCATTCAGACCGCATAACCGCTGCGTGTGCTGCTGAGTTCGAGATGTCACATTGCATAACTTAGAAGATGTGCGGGTGACAACAGGAGTGCGTGTTGGAGTATCGCGTCTGCGACTCCACGGAACGGGCCATCGCTGCGGCTCTCACGCCACAACCGCTGCTACTACTGCGATGGCGCTGTAGCTCGAGCTAGAGACAGGAACAGCGATCGATGGGGAGATGATGAGGAGGCTGGGTGGGTGGCTATCACCTTCCCTGCTTTGAGTAAGTACTGTAACGACGGCAACTCCGTGGCACAAGCGTCGCGACTGTAAGGCGAAGTCATCGTTTTTCTTTACGTACCGCTACACTACCCTTGACAACAGTGTCGCATTGGTTGTTTCGTGACTTACCAGACTGAGCGCATCATGGTTGAACTGCGTAAACGTCCCGCGCCGCCGCCAGCACCAGCGCCGAAAGCGAAGAAAGCTGCGACGACAAAAACAAAAGGCAAAGGGAAGAAGGAAGATGTACCAGAACAAGATGCGCCAAAGGATAGCAAGCCACCTCCAAGCAATCCTGCCGAGGATCCGAAGGGTGGTATCCCCGAGGGCGCTGGTGGTGTAAGCACGACAGCCGAAATCACTGATGCGGCGGAGGCGCAAGATGTAGCCGCGACAGTCGAGGCAGAAGCAGTCAAGCACAAGAAGGGCGCCAAAGCAAGTAGCGCACCGAAGTCCGAGAAGACGGGCCCACCAAAAACGGGTGACAGCATTGACTTGGAAGGCTTCGGCGGCGAGGTCGAGACGAACGATGGGTCTAAGACCACGTTGGCGACATTGGTGGCAGAGAGCAAAGCTGGCATTGTGCTGTTCACATATCCGAAAGCGAGCACGCCCGGCTGTAAGCGAGCACGTGCGGTATAAGACGGTTAGGTCTAGCGCTGATATTGTATCGACCAGGCACGACACAAGCATGTCTCTTCCGTGACTCTTACGAGCCACTAACAGCCACGGGCCTCAGCATATACGGACTTTCTACTGACAGCCCCAAGGCCAACACTACCTTTAAAACGAAGCAAAACTTGCCTTACCCGCTGCTTTGCGATCAAAGTGCTACACTCATACAGGCTATTGGCATGAAGAAAGCGCCGAAGGGCACTACGCGCGGCGTCTTCGTTGTCGACAAGAGCGGCAAGGTGCTCGCTTGTGAGGCTGGCGGTCCCGCTGCCACCGTCGAAGTTGTCAAGGGCATCGTTAAGCAGCTTGGTGGTGACGCTGACGCAGCAGGTTTGGAGAAAGCGGAGGAGAGGGCTACTGCGGAGGAGGGTAATGAGGTCGAGAGTAAGTTGGTTGCTGAGACTGCAGCACAAGTCGCTGACAGCGCTGCGAAGGTTGATCCATGACGAGGGATGGGCGCGGGTTGAGGTTGTGATATCGACAGTGTGAAGAGCAGAGTTGCCACTGAACCGTTGGCAGCAACTGTATCCTCCAGCATTGCTACTCCCAGCCAATGGGAGATAGGGTCATTTGCACTAAATGCTAACTATGATTACCGAACCATATGCTTGCACCGTGCCTCGCTCCTTCACCTAGACGCATTCTGCCAGACGCGAAGCTTCCTATTCCGCCGAGCGCTCTGCCCCGTGCATCGACTCTGTGTATTCAGTTCTGATTCCTTGTTTGTGAAGAGACAAGTGACTGACATATATAGCTGGATAACAAGCATTGAACCAGAAAGCATGACTCTTGAAGAAGTATTCGCAAACCTCTGTTGGCCGCCGACTCGTTTGAACCTTGCTACAGCAAGCGAAGAGGCACATAAGGGAACCGACGCCGCGAGCTTGGGAGCAGGGCTCATCGCTGAAAGTCACGCTGGCGACACATATTGTAGCAAGCTAAGTGCAGAGAACTGCCCGGACACAATGGACTTTTCCATCACTAGGTCGACGACTACCGCCGCCACTTCATCGATCAAGGAGGGCTGCAGCTGCCTCCGCCCGGCATGCCATCACGGTAAAGGCAAAGCGAATTCGACCGATGATCAACAGGTACACTCGGTGTACCGTCAGCGATTTCACCAGCGGCAACCAACGTTGCAAGCGGGCCATTGTGTTCCACAGCACGCTCGCTCTAAGCCCTATAGATTGCGAATCGAAGATGCCCTCTATGACCTTCCTGGGTGGTTTGGCTCTGCGCCGGTTGATGGAGCTTTTACGGGCTACGTTTGCGTAGCGGTTTCCCGCACCAGAGCCTTCGTAAAGCGCTGTTAAAGAGTTGCAACCAGTTGATGACCATGAATTTAGAGGTGGAACATCTTGCGGAGTACGCTAACAGAGCACCGCAACTAACTTCGATTCATGGCCTGCTGGCTAGTCTCAATAACGGCCTGGCAGCAATGACGGCGGCCGGGGTGAGGAGCTTAAGTAGGCCAGAGTTGGAGGCCAAGCTTCTTGATGTGTTAGCTGAGCTCTAATACTGTCTCGCGGACAGAGGGCGTGTAGGCAAAGCCATCGTGGAGGAAAAGCTTCAACAGCCGAATTTGAGTGATTCGGCGGAGGCGGAGTGCTTGAATAGCCTGGGCTATGAGTGGTAGATGCGCAGCCAGTATGCTTGAAGTTGTCATTGCAGGGTCGTCACCATGTCGGCACTTCCAGACCTCCAAGCCCACCTTGGCTTGATCTCAGCAAGCGCCTGATGCGCGTCTTCTAGCAATTCCGAGGCGTCTTCCCACGACAATGCAGGATTGTGCCGCATTTTCTTCGTCATAGCGAAAAGATGCACGGCGGCTTTCGCATCCGCATTTGCCTTGCCTTGAGCATCACCAACTATCCCACCGCACTCCTCCTTCCAGTACGCATGAAGCCAGACAAGCAAGTTGGCCCAATTCTGAGAGCGTGACACATGCGCTTTGGTCGAACACCATCTCCGGCGGTGTGAAGACTTGCACCAGTCTATATAGACGTCGGCAGAGAAGTGGCTCACCCAAAAGGCGAAGATGTTCTCTTGATAGTAGATGTCCGAAGCTTCCTTCCGACATTGTCGAGAAACTTGTAAAATGCCGGGTTGCAGCGGCTTGCTGTTCTTGCTGATCTTGATATGGTCGTCTTCAACAAGAGCAAGCCTGTAGATATAATTTCGCAGTTCGCCGGGGAGATTTAGTAATCGCGATGGCAACGAGCTGTCACCCTTCCGTTCTGGTGGAATGTCATATTCGCTTTCGGTTCTCCGTGGAGACGGCTCCCTATGTGGGTCGAAGAGCATACTGTTACCTTTGATTGATGCTATGAAGACGGAGTAAGGTGGTCAAATGTGAGGTTGGTTTTGTTAGGGTGGGGAGCTCTCAGCAAACAGTTGAATGCAACCCAAGATCTCGTGCTTTCACCGGTCATACCAACTTTGCAGGATCACAAGGCTACGCCGTACTTCAGATTGCGAAGGTCTCACAAGAATCGTCTACTGGGGAATACCGACATGCTATTAGGTCATGAAACGTCTTACTGCCTGGCATTAGTGCCACTAGAATTGCTTTAATCTGACACTAACTCTACCAGACCTGGATGTTAACAGGAGCCTCGCCCTGCAGAAGCTTGAGCTTTCGAGCAGTAACTCGTTCCATTGCTCGCCTAAGCGCTAATCAGACGCATAGAGTGCGACAAAACGCTCCTCCAGGGCCGACAGTCGCATATCACTATCGCCATGCTACGTTTACCGCCGTCAAAGCCTTGTGCACCGGCTCAGCTGCTTCTCGACTTCATCCCACTTTTGTCCCTTGGCACGCATTTATGCGGAAACTGCAAATACCTGCTGTACAGCTGCATTGTTCGCGGTCCTGCTCCCTTCGTTCTCCGTGAGAGCGGGCCTACGACGTCGTCGGTGGAACGTCGATCGAAGCCATTGGAGAAGATGGCTCCAATCCACTCCATCATTGACAAACTTTCCACTCGACGCTCGCCTCCTTTCTAAATGTCGACGAGCGCGCCTACCCAATATAAACCGATACATCGAACTTACGGATCTCGAACCTGGATGAATACTCATTGTAGTAGGTCTTCTGCGTCTCGCGGCGTGTCTGCTTGTTCACCCGCAGCAGGCCGGGCTCTGGAGGAGGTCGAGTGCTGGCCGCTATTGTGATCCGGCCGTCGATGACCAATACTTTTCTGTTGACGATGTTGCGTAGCTCACCGGGTTGTTCATGAGTGGCGAACGCCAGCTGGCATAGCCAAAGTGAGAGCTAGACTTTTGACGCTTGTTGCTGCCGTTCTTTCGGTCGAAGTCTTCTGTCCTCCGGTTTGGCGCCTTGCCTTTCGAATCCATCGCGGGTCTGGCTATGGCGCTCGACCTTTTGATTCTGATGTCGCCTGTGCTGTGCGTGTTAGCTCTTCTGTTTTTGACTCTCCTCATGACTTTGGATTGTGTTCTTGGCCGGTAAATGTCAGCGGTTAAAGCATAAGACTTAGTGTGCAACGAAAAATAAGCGGGGCTGATGCTTTTGGAAGGAGCGATCAAAAAGGATTCGCCGCTTCACGGGAGTGCCTCCAAGCCTAGAAGACGCTGCAGGGAGCATAGAGGGTGGTCGACCGTTTTGTAATGGTATGCGTGGATATGCATTGTGTGTACAATTCACTGTACCAAAGCATCAGCACTCAATAAAACGCTTGACGCACCGCTACTGGCCAAGTGCTCCATGCGAACTCCCCAGCGCCTTGCACAACGATGACGCTGTCGCCAATACCGTATGCCGAAACCTCCTATGCAACGCAGAACGCTCAGATCACATCACAACACAGTCCCGATCATCCCCATGACCCTTACTCTTCCTTTTCTCGTGCCGCGCAGCGGCCTTCTCCTTCTTCGGCCTCGGCACAGCTTTCGCCGTAATCACGCTCTCCTTGCTCCCATTCTCCGGCAGCACAATCGCACTGACGATCGGCGCCTTCTCCTGTGTCGCGTCGACTTGCCCAATGAGCTCGGCTGCCACCGCCTCCGAGGGTTGGATGACTGGCGCCTCGCCTCTGCTAACCCGCTGAGTGAGTTTAGACATATTGAGGCTGAAGCGGCTACCGTTGTTGTCCGGTCCAACGCTTGTCGGCCGACTGCGCGAAGTGGCACTGCTCTTTGAGACCTTGCTGCCTCTTCTTGAACCTATTTTGCTCGCGACAGATAGGAACCCACCGCTCTTCTCCTCTGCCGGCGTGGTGGGTACGGAGCCGTTCGTCGGATCCGTGCGTACACTCCCGCCCGACGTGCTTCCAACGAGACTGGATTCGTCGAAGGCGATGCTCATCCGGCGATCTTCGCTCATGCTGGACCTGCCTCGTGAAGCGTCAAGCATAGTACCGGCGTCGAGGCTTGTTCGCTCGGAACTCGCTGCGAAGTCGGCAGCTTCAGAGGTGATCCGCATGCCATGAGAACTGAGTGGTGAAATAGAATGGCTTTGCTCAAGCGCACTCTCCGAAGCGGCGGTGGGCAAAGCAGGGTTCGGCTTCTCTGGCGGTAGCGCGACGTCTGACTGCGTTCTCGATGTCGCTTCTGCGTACGTCGGCAGGTCATGTATAGAGCGTCCATCTTCGCCAATGGGAATGACTTGATAGAAGAGCATGTATGGTGTCTCTTCCCTCAACACCTTGTGAATGTCGACGTAGCTGACCCGTTCTCTCGCGAGATCATCAAAGCGCATCCAAGGGTCTTCGGCATCTTCGCTGTCCATGCTGCCACGTCTGCTGCTTGCGTTGGTGTGCTGAGCATTTTCCGCGGCATTCGGTGCCTTACCGCGGCACAGCGTGATATAATGACCGCTATTAACGGACACTCCACGATGGCAAACCACAGATTGCAACATCAAGCGGAAGTTACCGACCATTGGACCTTCCTCGTGCATGTGGTCATCACTGACAAAGTCCGGAACGCCAATCTCAAGCGGAATGTCGACATATGTGTCTCGCCGTTGCGCCTGGCCAGAGTCGCTGAAAGAATATCGTTTCAAGCATATGCCCAAGACTGGCCGCTTCTTGGAGAAGTGCGCAGCAACTTGCGCATCCGATGTGGGGAGATGATCGGTATACCATGGCAACAGCTTGAAGAACTGCCAAGCAGGCATGAGTACCTCCGTTCGAGTGCTCATCTTCCGACCTAACCCGTCGTGCGTCGTGTTCTCGGCATGAGCTTTCAGCGCTTCTGGATCGATACCTGACAGCTCCACCTTCCGCTGACTGAAGATGCTATCAGCCCGTTTTCGACCAGCAGTGGGCCGTAGTCGCTCGAAAGGGTCTTTGCTCGCATTTGGATCTTTGCTCTGAGAAGGCGTCTCCACCATAGGGCTCTGCACCGGCGTATCGATTACCTCCACGACCTCAACGTGTGTTGCTGGCTCCTTCTCGACTTTGGACGCCGTTTCTGTGGAGCTCATCGATTTCAGCGTATTTCTGCGCCTGTTCTCGAGATGGCGCTTGACCTCAATCCTGCTGTTGAAATAGTGTTCTAGGCAAGCCTCAAGCGTAATGACACTGGTGCCTTCCGGCGGTTCGTCCAGTATTGCGACCTCTAGTAACCGCTCGTTAACAAATTTGTGATCGTCTTGAACGTCTTCTTTTCCGGTGTGGTACAGATCCATTTTGAGCGTCAGCAAAGGCAGCTGCAGTTGGTCTGTGATGAATGTGAAGCCTTCTGACGGGTCCTGCTGCTTAAGCTTGGCCGCATCTTGCCATCCACAGCCCACCAAAGCCGACTGTAATGTCGCAGTGACATCCGCCGTGATCAAGCGACCTGTTCTCAACATGTTGACCCATAGCCGAATGATACCAGCGAGCTTCCTACGCGGAAAATCTTCGAAGCTGTCGTATAGCATGGCTTCGAAGCTATCGAGCCGCGCAAACATGGCAAAGAGTAGCGCGTCGAGGTAGCATGTCACCCCTTCCCGGTTCACAGCGCCAAGAAGCCTCGTGTTTGGATCATAAGGCTTTACGATGCCTTCGTAAGTGTCCCGGAGCAGCACTAGCAATCTGAAGGCCGACTCCGGCTCGCCATTCGCATAGCGCAGCGCGTACTCCGCATTCGACTCGACCATCGTATTGATGCCATTGCGCCGTAAACGGTTGAGCAGGATCTGAACCTTCTGCTCTTGCTCCTTATCTGGCTTCTTCTTAGTATCATCTTCGTACGTAAATACGCCGTAGAAGTGGTCAGGTTGCTTTTCAGTCTGTGCATGGCCTGTCAGCGTTTACTCAGCTTGCGGGCACCTGCTCATGATTCTTCGTAACATGATTGCCACAATCGAAGAGCGCGCTAAGGCTTTCACTAGGGCGGTTGGTCCGTCGGCGTGACCGCAGAGTTGACCTTGGCGCAGCAGATCGCAGAGTCCATGTCGCGCTCGGGTATTGGTACTCTGGTGGATTTGGCAAAGGATGATATGTTGCTGGTGAAGGCCACCGTCTGCCAAGCAACGTGCCAACGCGATCACAGTAATAGATCAAATGTAGCATAGTGACGGAAGTAGATGCATACCTTGGTGTTAGGCTGTTGCTTCTTCTCTCTCCTACTCAAGAACCGGTGCACGCCGCTCATGTCGGGACTACCGTGCTTCCTGCCTTCTCGCCATCAACTGCAAACACCTGCAAGAGCAGCCTGATATGGAGGGTCCTGGATGCGTTGCCGTTGCAGCCTTCGGAATACGGACGTAGTTCAGGCGCCGAGATTGCGATGGATGACAGCTGTCACTTAACCGGTGCCGTTGAGTGTGGGTGTGGACGTTTTGGCTTTGCGACAATGCACAGTTGTTGCAGGCGATGGAGAGGATATGGGCGCATTTGTTGCACGGCAATGCGCTTCTGCGGGGTGAATGGCAGGCGCACACGAGCCGCGATTGTGGGATGAATGCAGGTGGACTCGATTGAGCCAATCTGCGCGTGGACATTGACTCCGGCTAGCGCTGTTGTCAGGGTCCGGAGACAGTTGAAAGGCTATATTAGCCGCGAGTCGAGATGCGCCGAAGGCCGCACCAGCTTGTTCTGGCCTATCTTCAGTGTCCCGGAATGCTGGGCTGAGGAGGGTAGTCGACACCCAACTGGGTGGTGATGCTGCGAGTCACACTCGGTCAGTTATGAACCTAAACAAGGCGTCTCCCATTGCAAACAGGCTGCAAGAACACGTCACTTTGAAGTGGATAGACGCACCGCTCGTCATTAGTAGAGCGCAACGGTACTCGGGAATCACATATCCAGTCAAGCAGTTTGCGCTTCCGTTCCGATACCAGAATCACGAAGTCACAATTCGTCCGACATCACGGCAATAGTAAGGGAGCATGCAGAGTCGAGTTGACGAGACATCGCGGTATTCCCACGTCGGTGGGAAAGCAACAAAAGCTCTTGCGGCGTCCATGCGTCTATGTCTATCAGCAGTGCCATTGAGCATAGCGCCTCCCAGCTATGCAAGCTTTGTCCGAACGCCATGCCTGCCACGCCGCGCTATGCTGTAATCTACAAGAACGCTATGCAACGCTCATGGTCTTTTCAGTCCTCGCTGATTTCTCGTTCCTGGCCCCACATCCTCGGCAAGTGATGCTTCATGTTCTCATAAACCAAGAACGTAACGCAGGTGGATGGCAGTACACGGATGATGTTCGGCACAAGCCCCTTGTAAAAGCCGACGAAGCCTTCTCTGGCCCATACCTTTCTCACCACATCCCACGCGCCCTTATACCTCCCGCCCACGCCGTCCACCTGCAACCGCGTCCTAACCAGCTGGTAAGGGTAGGTGATGGAACCCGCGAAGATTTTGCTGACCGCACTCAGGTATAGGTAGTCGAGGTTCGTGAGGCCTTCCTTTCCACCTTCGCGGCTGAGCGCCCAACGGTTCTTGAGTTGCTCGTAGGCCATGAACTGGATGGCGCCGTGACTGACGCCGAACAAGCTTGGTACAAGACCTCGGTAGAAGCCGCGCAGCCCTTCGGTGCGGTATAATTCTGTAGTGCCGTGAATAACACTGCGGTATGCGCCCGGTGCATCGCGCGCCTTAGAGAGCATGCGGGTCTTGATGACCCAGATCGGATTCGTCGCGATTGCAGTGAGGATTCCGGCCGCGGTGGAAGCGAGAAAATAGTCTGATCCTCGAAGTTCGCGAACAGTACCGCCGCGAGCAGCACGAACATAATCTTTTATGCTCCCGTACCACATAAAGTACAGCGCCCACGAGACGCTGTTGCCAATCATGTTCGGCATGAGTCCACGGTAGTAATTTTGCACCACTCGCGCTGTCCCTGCCGCTGCCCCTTGCCTCTGTACGACTTTCTTACCTTCTGCTGCTATCTCCTTCATCACATCCCAGCTTGTGCGTTGCGCCGAGAGACTTTGGCCCTTAACCTCGATCTGTAGGCGCGTCTTGACAACATCGAAAGGGTGCACGACGAGGGTCGACACGACGCCAGCGGTGAATCCAGCGGCGGACTCAATGATCGAGGGCGGTAGAGCAGCATTTCGCTGCTGGCCTTCGAGTGGTGGATAGACTCGAGGCATGGTTGTTGACAAGTCGCTTCTTGCGAATTCATGCTGGCATGATCGGAGGGCTTCCGAAGCTTGTGTATAAGCCTCGAATCAGTCGAATCTAGGAACCCTGAGTCGCTCGGTGTATATACAGTCACTCGTGGAATGAGGGTGCAATAACGAAGGCGTGTTATAGTCGCCAGTCATTGAACGAAGAAGGAGCCGCTTCCTTGATATCTATGCTGACTTGGGAAGGTGGGGCAAAGACGGAGGCGGTCCATCAATATTTGACTACCTTCGAGCGATTGCTGACATGGTTTGCTTAGCCTACTTAGCTTGCTTGCCTTTGAGCAGACAAGACGTGATGCTACTGTGCAACGACTCACATTAGGATCTTCCTTGATGCCGTCCGTGACCACGCTCCCATCTCCGCCACCGGAGGCCGTAAAGCAGAAAGAAAGCACAGCTGAGCTTCTCGAGCGACTTTCTTCCGCCATCGGCGTCGTCATTAACGAGCATGACTTCGATTTCACTTCCGATTCGGCGAAGGAGCTCATTGCACATATCGCGCCCGATATGAAATCACAGCTGGATACGTGCGCCCAGGATGCCAACCACCTGACGTGGGAGGAGCAAGTTTCTCAGTGGCGACAGCGTGCGAAATACACCCCAGATGTCCGCTTTCACCTCGACCAGATCGCGTCTGACGTGAATGAGGACACGGGCAGGGCGACCGTGTTTATGGAGATGACAGTCCACGGCATCGAGAACGTAACCCTACAGGCTATGAACGATCTCAAGTGGCGCCGGAAAAACGGCCAATGGATGCTGTATCATATGATCGGCCTCAGAGGGAGTACCGCGAATACCGGGTTTGTGCCACCTGGTTGAAAGCCTCTCGAATATGGTTCCTAAGCATGATTGACTTCTCCATATCGAACCACTAGCTTTCCAGAGGTCATCTATCATGGCTTGCCGATCCATCTGTCAACCCAGCGCAGCACCCTTTCGGCACAGTCCACCTGATGTCTCCTTTCCAGGAGGTAATGACGTTCTCGTGGATAGCTCACGAATTCGAACGGCAAGCCTGCATCAATCATCGCTCTGCGCATTGCCACAGCCTGCCCGATGGGTATGCGGTCATCCATCTCGCCGTGTAGTATCAGCAGTGGCGGAATCTCCACCCCAGCTTTAAGCGCCTCGTGGAACTCCCATATCGCGCTTCCTTGCCGGTTACGCACATTTGACTTCGGAAGCTGCCATGGCCTGCCGGCGCCGGCTAACTCAGCTTGCCAGCACCCGACATCTGACATGAATGTCATGGCATCCTGGTCGCAGATTCCAGCCCCCGGTATTGCAGCTTTGTACTTCCAACCAAGCCCATGCGTACCGTTTCGGACGGCGGCAAGATTGGTGAGAAAGCCACCGGAGCTCCAGCCGCCAACCGCCAAGCGCTCCGGATCTGCGTAGCCGAGCTCGACGGCACGGTTGGTCTGAGCGATAACGTCTTCATAGTCCGCTTTGCCGGTTCCACGGGCGTACGCGGCCCACTTTTCGCCACGTCCGTCGCTGCCACGGTAGTCGGCAAGAAGCACAGCGTACCCGTGGGCTAGTAGAAAGGGTGCCCACATCATGTAGTAGCCGTCAAAGGTCTCGGTGTGGCGGTAGTACGGCCCGCCGTGTGGCAGCACTACGGTTGGCAAGTGCTGCTGTGAAATGGAGCTGGGCAGGAGGAGAGGACACTCTAGCGTCACTTTCCCGTCAAGCGAGGGGCAGGAGATGAAGGTGCACGTGCCGAATTGCTGGTGTGAAAGGCGCTGGCCGTGAGAAGAAAGCTGCACCATCGCACCGCCCGATGCGGTTGTCGAGTAGACTTCCGTTGGTTGGTTTACAGCGCTCTGCGCAAGGGCGAGGACGACTTCATCGCTGTCAGATGGGAACGCGGCATCCCAAGCTTCGATCTCGCGTTTCCGGGCGAACAGAGTGTGACCATCAAGAACCCGGAGCTGGTCCTCCATACCCTCTTCGACCAATGCGATCACATCACCGCCAATCTTGCGCAGTTGCATGCAGTCATTCGACTCGCCGTATGCGTAACGCTCGTACCTGGCCTTTCCGGCCTCCGCCACGGCTGCAATATTAATTTTCCAAACACACAATGCCGAGTTGAACATGGTCTCGGCCACCATGCCAACGAGAAATATGGTGTCACCTGCCCAAGCCAAACCCGCAGTGTATTGGGGAAAGCGACAGAGTGGCAGCAGAGATCCTGTCGTTACATCCACAACAGAGAAAGTTGTGCCCTGCAGAAAGCGACTCTCTATATCCGGAGTCTGCGCCTCCGCCATCACGATTTGCGTCCCCTCGTCGTTGAACGCGAAGTCAACAATATGCGCGTCCTTGCTGACCAACACAGTGACTTCCTTGCTGGCGACGTTGATGAGCCGAAGTCGATTGAAAGGCCAGTGCTCACCCCAGACATTGGCATCGTCCTTTTTCTCTTCTCTCTCTCGTTCCTCCTGTGTCTTTTCGTCGGAAGAAAGGTAGGCAATAGTTTTCTTGTCAGGCGACAACTCGAATTTCTCAATCTGGCGCTCGTTCCCAGCAGGCGTGAGTGGTGCTGGCTGCCCGTTCCCATCAACGTCCAACATGTAGATAGCGCAACTCTCGCCACGTTTGCCACGGTCCGAAAGGAAAGCGATACTTTTGCCGCCAGAACACCATTTGGGATCGCGGTCATCGTAGTCGCCCTCCGTCAACGGCCTCGATGAATGCTCCTTACCAGTCTCTGCAAGCCAAAGTGTCGATTCAGCGTGCTCGCAGTCGGCTCGTTTGTGGCCCCAAGTTAGGTTTGTGGAGTAGACGACCTGTTGGCTGTTTGGTGAAAGACGGATATCGTGTGGGATTTGTAGGTCCAATAACTCCTCTATAAGTGATGGCTTGGACGTTCCGCTGTGTGCGCCTTGTCTCACTGGCATTGTTGTCGCTGTTTGACCGTTTGGAGCCATTGAGTCGTACGTCGTTCGTGAATTAGCGTCAGATTGGTTCAGTTACCATGATTCAAATTCTTTCGCTGTGGATATGTTATTGCGTCCGCCCTAGCATATGGTCTTGTCAATGTTGTATACCATCGACGCTTCAAGATCTGGACATTATCCGGCTGCCTGCGTAGCCAGGTGTTCACGGTGCTGAAATGGGTGATAACGTGCTTTGAACTCCGCATCGGAGCACGTTGGTCGTGGGCTCCGAGCGGTGATGATAACTTCTGCATACAGCTCGTACAATCACACAATGCACCTATGTTAGACGCTATGCCGTAAACGCTGCAGAATGCCTAGCAATGCCGCCCCGCCTAATGAGCCAAACCATACCGTACCCAAAGCCCGCAAGTAGATGCAAAACCGCCTAATGCCTTACGCCGTTACTCCGCGGCACGGAACCAACAAAGTCCTCCATGAACCGCACATAGTCGTACTTCGGCACCTCTCTGTCCTCTTGCAGGTCTGGTCCACGATGTGGTGGCATACTCTCGACGAGCATCTGAACTACGTCCTCAGGTATGAGGCTGTGCGTGAGATCCAGCTCCGTGACATACGGTTTGCCGTCCGCAACCTCCCTGAAGCTCTCAAACACCTGCTCGGCGGTGTTCTGATCTTCAGTGACGGCGACCATGAAACGGATGAACTGCTCGAAGCTTACACTGCCGCCGCGGCCGGCGACTTCCACGAAGCGCTCATGCATCTCCTGCTCGTCATAGACCAGGCCGAGAGAGGCGAGAGCGGCGGAGAACTCAAGTTCCTGCAGGCTGTTCGATAGGTCGCGATCAAAGTGACGGAAGACGGACTCGAATTCCTCGAGCTGTATCGGCGTTAGATTCGTCATGTTACGAGCGACCATTTGGTTTTCGAGGAAGGCCAGTTTCTTCTGCACGCTCGATCGCACAAGACTCAGCTCATATGCGAGCTCATCATAGGTGTAGGTAGTAAAGTCGTTCTCTTCAATGTTCGCTTCTTGGCACTGCGTGTCGAGCCTCGCGATAAGGTCGAGGTATTGATCCAGCGGTGGCAGGTTGAGTGCGATCTGGTTGCTATGGTCTAGCTGATCTTCGACATCGCCTTCTAAACCGGAAATGCTCATGCTAATAGTCTGCAGTGCCAAAGCGAAGTCGTTAGCTTTGTCGGCGAATGTTCGTCGGAGATTGTTCTTGATATCGCGAATGGTGTTGTTGATGACTTGGCTGCGCTGATGTTCTGCCTCGACCAATTCGGCCCAGGCTCGATCCAACGCTTCCAGACGTAGTTCTGGTGGCGGTTCATATGGCCGCAAGCGGTAAGTGCTCAACTTAGTCTTGATGTTTCCGAGCAAGCCAGCGAGATCGCTTTTCTCTGCAACCCATTTCCGCTTCTCCTTCTGTTTGTACTTCGTGAAATCTTTACTCTGTTCTTTTGCATCGGTGTATGTGCCATCAAATCGCGCTGTGCTCCATGACTTCACTTGCTCCGCAATCTGCTCTAACAGAGCTCGCATGCGCCGCTCGAAGTTGTTCTGCATCTCCCATGCCCCGTTCATATTCGATACAAACTTCTCGACTCTTCGACCAGCATTCTCTACTCGTTCCATCTGCGAAAATGCGTGAAACCAGTATGCAATGTAAGTCATGAGTGAGCGCTCATCTGGCTTTGCGACATCACACACATCCTCCACATCGAGCAAGTCCGGTATACCGATCTCGTTCGATGCGATATCGAATGCAAGCTGCATATTACCACGATGATCGGACTTGTCAAGCTTGTCATAATCGATGAGATCCGGCCGATGTATATCCAGGAGCGCGCAAAAGCCCAGCCCATTATTCCAACTGCCCGAGAAGTCCTGTATGTGGACGTCCTCGTAGCATGCAGTCTTCCGTTGGCACCATAGTAGTAGGCCCTCCCTTGCGCTTAGGCCTTGATCATTGATGTCGCTAATGGTGAAGCGTAAGATGAGCGTCCATATCAAGCCAAGGATGATCTTGCGGTTGCCATCTACAATGTCTTCGGCGCCAATATTTGTCAACTGTATCTTCCGGCTCTTGATGAACTCCAGGGCGATATTGACATTCTCAAAGCGCTGCACGCGCAGCTTCGGCCGCGCAGCGTACCGGCCGAGGGACTCATTCGACAGGATTTCAAGGAGATGGATTAAGATGATGCCATCGGACAGGTCTTTCACGAGATCATCAATTTGTACATTGCGCGCCGTGAGCTTGTTGTTTAGCCATTTTGTAAAGGTCTTCGCTATGACGGGTATCAGCACTCTAAGCTCGGTATGCGGTGTATGTAATGGGCCATACCTTGGACTTTCACCCACGCCTGATCCAGCAAGACCGCCATAGTCGCTAAGGGCCAGACATCAGTGTCGATACAGATACGTGGTAGCAATGCTGGACTGGTGCTAAATTCGCCTGCTACGGTTCAGGAGTCACTGGTGTCCTCGCGGCAAGCGCCAAATAGTGATTGTCCCAAAAGCCGTTTAAGCCGAGCTAAACAAACGCCCAGACCCTGACGACAACCGCACGGGACTCATGTTGGCGGGCCGGTCGATCATATGGCGCATTGCGTGGCGCAAACATTGCGACACCTTCATGTCAGCATTGATAGCATGCAGCCTGTTTCATAAAGTGTTGGTTGCGTCGATCTGGTGAACTGCACCTTTCAGAAGCCCTTCGCTCCCTACCGCATATGCGTCCTCGTACATAACGATGTCAAGATGATGAACATATAGGACTTGAAGCTTCACCGAAACGCACCAAACTTCTGTTGGCCGCAAAGGGCGCGACCATGACTTGCACGAAAGGTAACTATAGTATAGTACAGCTGTACGTCTTATTCTATGTCATCGAGTCAGGGCAGGTCATGTTCCCCCTTCCAATCCCTGGCAAGAAGTGATAGATTTTAACACATGCTACATCTCTCACAACCAGTCCTGTACAGCAGTCACTGGTACTGGTCGAGTTCCACTGTTCGCGGCCTGCCTCGAATAAGCAACGTGGTTAGAAGACGGCTGTGATTGGCGAACAGCAAACGTGTGGTGCATAGGCTCGACCTGCGACACTCTCGGCACAACCGCGCTCTCCTCCTCTGTCAGCCCATCATGAATGCCTGGACTTTGCGGCAGCGACTCCAAAGGCCGAGAAATGAAGCTTTTCTGGATTCCGACTTTGCTGCGGCGCCGGCTGTGCAGCAACTCGGGTATACTGTTCGAGGATGGCACCGACCACCGCACCGTCTCCCGACCCACTGAATGCTTGCCTCGTGCAATTGCTTCGTTGGAACTATATGAACTAGAAGCGCGACGGCGCGACTCAGCTGTTCCGCTTGACTCGGGGTCACTCAAATATTCGGAGCTGGGACGTTTCACGCCATCTGAATCGCGACAATGCAGCGTGTTGGGCGAAAACGGCGAATTAGGTGTCGACTCGTCCGAAGCAGCCACGCTGAAAACGGGTGACAGGATGCTCACTCGCGCTATCTTCGACGGAAGCTCCAGGACCGACGGTGCAAAATGCTGCCCGGGGTTAATGTTTGTCCCTGTTCTGGCTGCCAGAAAGCCGCGGTGACCGACCGGCTGGCCACGCTGATGTTGTGTTTGTGAAGCTCGCGCATGCTGCCGTCCGGGACTGTCTTCGCTTAGTCTTGGTCGAAGACTGTCATTCTCACAAGTCGTAGAGCATGACGAAGGCGCAATCCATGCAGAAATCCTGACGCCACCATCGCTATCTGCGAGCGAATCACGAGCGGCTGTAACGCCATGCCAGTCAAAGTCACACGTGGATTCCGCTTCTTGCTGGTAGCAGAAGTCTACGTCGTCCTCCCAGGTGCCATCGGATACCATACTTAAGAGTCTTGCATCGCTTGCCACCGTGGTATTGGATACGGCGGGCGACTTCTTCACTGAGGCAGAAGACCAACGCGAAGACCGCTTGGATCTTGAGGACTCTGTGATCTCACTGGAAGCGGCTGATGCCACAGACACCGTCCCTGGTCGGCTGTGCTTCAGTGAGGCTAGCGAGCCTTGCCAGATGACTGGCTTCGAAGGTAGCGGTGGGAGCGGTTGCTTGCTGCGATCTATCACGCTGGACCGTCGTCGAGCTTTACCGCATTCAGCTTCTTTCGACACTGGGCGTGAAGATCTTATTGGCTCTTCGATGACAGGATCAGGCGCCTGTGGACTTCGGGGCACTGTGAAGATTGATCGCGCTGGAGACGGTGGTGATTGCCTGAGATACTGCAATCTCTGCTCGTTCAGGGCGCCAAGCGATGACTGTCGCCTTGGGTGTCTTAATGGCTGTCCAGTGGGCGTCTTAGGTCGAAAAGGTGGCGAGGCCTGCTTCGCATCGGAGCTAGTCTCTGTCGCTTCACCAAAGACCGCTTCATTGATACCGGGATTTACTCTTGATAGGATGGACGGCATTAATCGGTCTTCGCGCGTATGCGCTGGAACAGGTGAGGTCGGTCTTGAACTTGAAGCTCCTCTCTCGACGCCCATCGCAGGAAGCTTTTTAGCAAGGTCTTCCGCCTCAATGCCGTTGAGCTGCCGTCGTGGCGGTTGATAGGCAGCAATGGCCCAGAAGCGCGCTGTCAGATCTCTGTCGTCGATCTCATGCAGACTCGGTAGCTCCCTACGTGCAGTATGCGTTACATGCTCGAAGTTGAACGGAGGTGAGATGCTCGTCTTCCTCAAATAGCGGTAATCTGGACTTCGATCAGTTAACATCTCGCCCCCGCGATGCTAGCCATACGCACAGTCCTCTTCAGAATCGAAGTGAGAGCGAGGAAGGGCAACATCTTCCGTCCGCATATCGCGATCGCGAGACAAGCCTCGCGACGTGTTCGACGACCAACCGCCGTTTCGTGAGTTTGGCGGAGCCTCTCGCCTACGGCCGCCGAAGATCGAATTGCGGATTTGCTCCAGAGGTTCCCCCCTTCTCCGACGGTTGCTTAGCGACGTGTCGGGTCGCACTGGAACATCGACCGGGTCTTCACATATCGTTGTCGGAGAGTTGATGGGCGGACGACGAAGAACAACGGCATCTGAGTTGGAACGGCCAAAGAACGAATTTCTTTTTCGCAATACGCGCCGATCGTGCGTCGCATGGCTTGTCGTATTGATTTGACTCCTGAGTGGAGTGGGATGCTCAAGCGATTCTTCAGCATGCAAACTTGATATCCCATTGCCAGGTTGCGAAACCAGGCGGCCATGGTACGCTAATGTTGAACCTCCGTTGTTCGCCATTGAGAGCTTGAGGTAGCAACGTATAGCATGTCCGTTCTTGTTTGAATCGAGGACTGTCACAGGCAGGCGTTTCAGCGCCGGAAAGGTCGCACTTTAGAGCGGGTCGTTCTGCGGTCACTCGCAAACTCAAATCAGCTTCCACACAGCTTGCATATGTGGAATGCGGTAATGACCAAGTCGTACAAACATGCGCTCAACGTGATCTGCGCGAAAATGAGCAGAAGCAGCGAAACCAGCGGTTAAGAGCCTTCTCGCATCGGTGAGGGTACCGCAGATAAAACCTGTGCAAGTCCAGGAGGGTGCAGTGGGACAAGGTTCTGTGACAGCATCCTTGTCGAAAAATACTAGCGGGTCTGCGGCGGCAGAGGATTGTGGTGGCTCTCAGCCTGCAATTACCTCTACTCGGCGAGGGTGGGACGCCAGCGGGGAGGGTGCCGGCATGGTCGTCCGTACACTACCTTGAGAGTCATCGTGAAGTTCGGTCACGGTTTCATGCTGTATCGACAGCGCGGACGATGGGCCGGTGCAGGTACTGATTCTGTAGCAGCCACCGATCATGTCTGCAAGCTAAAGCAGCGTCGCCATTCCAGAGTTCTCGAACGGCGACGGTTTTCTGTAGCGCGTGTTCTCTGCATGCTTCACCCATGTCTCGAAAAGCATTGCGAAACACGACTACCCCTGCTCCCGCACCCAGCCACAGTTGGCGATTCTTTGGGCGGCCCGTTGATGAAACCGGGAAATTGTCTGGTCGAACCTTGGGTAACTCGACATTGTCGTATGCTGCACGCCGAAAAGTATGCACTCAGATCGGTGAGACACAATGACCATCTACCGAGTTTGTTGCTCATCGAGGTAACCATGTTTCACCATTTTAATGGCACTCGATAAATCGCAAACCGGTCATCGTTCGACAAGCTTACGGACTCTCGACCGTGCTTGGTGGGGCTGTAGGAACGCCCCCACTCCAAGGGGTTGACAGGTCGTCGCAATACAACGCAGCCGTCTCCGCGATGTCATCGGAGGCTGACGGCTGACTACTGACCGAATCGCCTTCCGAGAAGTCCGCGAGCTCGACCAAAGCGCCGACACTCGGAGCGAGAGTGGCTGTCAAATTCGGACTTTCCCACACGACACAGCATATAGAACGATGAAGCCACAGACAGCTGACAGTATGATCTCCTACTAGAAGCAGCCTTACGCAGGTACAAATGCACCCCACCAATGCTATTTGTAGCGACGAGCTACTGCATCGGACGAGATGCACTATCTCCAGCCAAAGGAATATTGGGGCTTCTCGGGATCGGCCATGCTGTGCTTCACACCAACTACCCTACACGCGATACGACCGTATGCAGTACTGCTCCAATTATTTTACGGCCACGCGAAAAGTGGGCGCCTGTGTGTAGCCTCCGAGCGAATATTTGACTACAGTTTGCCATTTGCAGCCGCAGTCAAGCAGTAACGTGCCTTATGCTCTTATTACTCCACAGCACCGCTGAGCCGCAAACCGAATTCCTCCTACACCGTCCATGGTCATATCAAGCCTTCTTCCAAGCGCTGTCCTGCTCCAGCCACGTCTTAAAGTCTTGCATGAAGGGGTACCGTTTCCGCAGTGCTGGCACGTCCGCTCCATAGCTCTCAGTTGCGAACCAGTCGAACATCTTCCCGAGCTGTTCATATAAAATCCACTTAATCAATCTGCCAACAATGCTATACGTCCAGGGAATCTCTTGGCCAGTCACTTGCTTGAAGATCTGCGCCGCTTCAGTGGGTGTCAGTGAATCGCCGGCGATTGATATGCCCTTGTTGCAATACTCGTCGCTGTCGGCGTTGAGGAAGGCTTCCGTGCCTATCCTGCCTATGTCCGATGTGCTGATCATCTGGAGCTTCCTGTCGGCGCCGTTGAGTCTCCCTATTTCACGTCAGTCATCAATTCGGCGTACATACTGTGTGACCACTTACATATGGACACGAAAGCCTTGCCGATAAAACCGGGAGCCAGATTCTCGAAGAACGCAACCGGTCGCAAGAAAGTATAAGTCGCGTCGTACTTCTTCACTTGGGCAGCGATCTCCCTCTCAATCTCGAACTTGCTGCGGAAATGCGCGATGTCGGTGGGGTTCTGCTCGCTCTTCTCCTGCCCGCCGCGGTCGGTAGCAGTAAAGATGATGTGCTTGACGCCAGCCTCCAAAGCAGCTCGCGCCATGGCCTTGCCTTCCTGTTCCTCTTTGACGGGGTTCATGGGCATGGTCATGAGGAAGAGACCCCATGGCTTCTGCACTTGCTTGAATATGTCGCCGGGTTGATCGAAGCTGCCCTGGATAACGTGCACGTTGGGCTTAGTTGCAAGTGCTTGCGCGCCCTTCGAGCTCTTGTTGCGGGTCAAAGCGTAGATCTGGAATGGTTGACTTGGCTGGGCGAGCAGTGCTCTGATAAGAGCGCCACCCTGCTTGCCGGTCGCGCCGGTTACGACGAGACTTCGGGCGCTGGTCGCTGACATGTTGATGTCTACTGGGTGCTAGAGAACTCACGAGCAAGGCTATTGTGTGCTCAGAACAGTACTTGCGATGGAACGGAGGTTGTTTGCGGTGTATCAAGATGGGAAGCGAGACTGAGCTGTTAGTGAGAATGGAGATGGAGCAAAGAGACGGTTTCCACAATGTTATATACATTCAGCTCTTTGCGATACTCTCGCTTCCGTATAGGAGCACAGATACTCTCGCTCCCGTATAGGAGCACAAGGCACGCCGGTTGAAAGCAGTCACGCCGAAATGTGTACATCAACGCTAAGAAGGATGAACCTTTGTCGGGAATGGGGGTCAAGTGGGCGTTGTATGACGAGAGTCGCTGAAGAAGGGGTCAAAATCGGTCGAACGTTCCTCCGCTGTGGTTCATCAGGTTCTCCAAGACGAGCGTTCCTTCGGTTCAACTTTCCTTGTGGGATGATCTGATGGCAAGCCAGACGAACTTGAGGCCTTCTACAGGATATTGACGGAACAATCTCGATAGCTGAGATCTAGTCATTCGTAGACGTCTCCCATCTCACATGCTGGTTATCACTCCAGCTTTGAGAGATTAATGAAAACCGGTTGCATGCTATATTGGTTCGATCTGAAACAGTTCTTCCTAACCAATGGTGGCTGGATTTCTCTATACCATCAGCGTAACCGTGAGTCGACTGTCCCACCGCGCTTTGCTAGACCAATGGCAACACAGCTAATAGCAAACAAAGACACCCGCTAGTGCTTCGCCTTCTTCGCCTCGGGACCATCCTTTTCTTCCTCTTCATCACTTAGCTCCCTGTATATCGTCTTCGGCTGCGTAGTCTTCCACGCATTCGTAAACAACGGATCGTTCTTCGCCTTGTCCGCATACCTGAGCAACGCCTCCCTCGGATCCTCATCCCGCAAACTCGACAGCGGGATCTGACTGCGCACATACTCCTCGTCCGGATTGCTCTTCGCGAACGGAGTTGCTACAGGCACGTGCGGGCGTCTTGGATCTCTACTTCGCCCAGAAGCTGTGAGACCGACTGTGGGATGGCGACTGGCGTAGCTGACAGATGACGGCACGGTGCCACCAGGTACAATGACCGAGTCGTTGGAGATGCCGTTCGCGAGGTCAGTTGTGAGGTTCGGGTCGTCATCGATGTGACGCCGCTTTGGTGCGCGTGACATTACGGCTTTGGCGCCGGCGATGGATGTGTTTGGGTTGTAGAGGACGTGGACTTCGGCGTTGGCTGAGCCGGTGACGATCTGATTGAGCTTCGGATGCCAGAGGACTGTTACTAAGGGTGATCCGGATGTGACTGGTGTGACCAGCTCCGGTTTGAGAGTCGCAGGGTTCAAGATGTGGAGATGGCCCGTTTCCGACCCGGTGATGACATTCGTCGAGTTTGGCGAAAAGCGGATGTTGGCGGTCGGATATTGTGCGGAGCTTGATGCATGCGCAACGGTAGTGACTGGCTGCTTGAATTTGCGAGTGTCCCAAAGCTTGATTGTATCATCGCCACCTCTGGTCACAACAAGCCTGCCATCTGCGCTGATGTCGAGACCGCTGGTCCATGTGCCTGCAGTATGTGCGTCGCGAACTTCTGCTGCAGGTCGCGCATACGGTCCCTCGCCACTCCACATGATCAGGCTGCCATCAAAAGCCGCTGAGATAAGGATGTTGCTTCCGCCTTGCAGCGGTGAACCCCATGCCACGGCCGTCATTCGTGACCTGCCTGCTGAGCCTGCAGCTTTCGACTTATGGACAATGACCTCCTTCTGGGTACGGGGCGTGTTAAGGTCCCAAATGCGCAACGTGCTATCCGTCCCTGCCGTCACGCAGAGGTTACGGTTGGTAGGATGCCATGTCCCAGTAGTGATCTCGGAAATGTGGCCTTTGGTATTGTGCATGTCACGCAGGTACATGTCGCCCTTAACAAACTCCGCCAGCACTTCACCGTCTCTGGAGAAGATCTTCGCTTGGGGCAGAGCCGTGGCCACCAAAATATGGCCTGCAGATAGCGGGTTAAAGAGCGCTTGGTGCACAGGGTGCGTCTCCACATTCGCCGAGCTTTTCGTCGCAGTCGGGTCAATCGACTTGAAGGCCCTTATAGTCGTAGGTGTCATCGAGGCGAAATCGTGTAGTTTGAGCGTGCAGTCCATAGACCCCGTAACCAGCCTGCCTCCAGCGGGATCCAGTGATATTGCAGTAACGGCGCGGTCGTGCGTTTTGATGATCATCTCGTGAGAGACCGGGAACTCATCATCGTCGTCTTCATCTTCATCGTCATCATCGTCGTCGTCGTCGTTGTCGTCGTCGTGGTCATGGTTGTCGCCGCCTCCTTCGTCTTCGTCCTGAGCCTCGTCCCGGTCGACTTCGATACGGCTTTCAGCAGCAGCTCCACTGTTTCCTACCCGGGCGCGCTTACTCAGTGCGACCTGCTTGTCGAAGTTCGCCTGTCTCGTCTGTTTGCCGAAAGAAGAGGTGCCTAGAAACTGCTGCAGCTCGTCATTCGCTTCTATCTCGGGTTCCTCGTCCGCCATAGTCGCAGGCAGAGCGGACCTGCAACGGGACGGGAGCAGTGAGTACGGGAGGTAAGAGAAGTACACCACTTACTATTCTCCCTACTACAGTACGACCAAGTTGCTAGTATGCAACACGAAACGGGCGCTGCCTGCTGCAAACATCACGGTTCAGCAAAAGCGCAACTTGTGGCAGGTTTGGGTGCCTAAGGCGCGAGCGCGGATAGAGCCGATAAATGCCCGCTAAGCGAATTGGCACACATCGAATTCCGTGCGGTCGACCTCGCACATCATATTGGCATTGCACGCTTGTTCGAGCCTACAACGACCACCACAATGGCACCCAAGGAAGCGGCGAAGACCAACAAGAAGGGTATGTGTTTTGCATGAAGGGTAGAATGGAGGAGCAACCTTACCATCTCCTCTCCACTACATGCTCGTTGCAGCGCAGCACTAACTCTCACCGCAGGCTCCAAAAAGCCAGGCAAGCCCTCCGCCAAAGCCAACCAGGCGGCAAAGGCAACCCTGCGCGGTGTAAGCACCCATCCACCTTGAGGCGTGTCAGAGCAACCACATCATTCTGACGGCCTGTTTCTTCATGGCAAACAGGTCAACTCGCACAAGGTCCGCAAGGTCCGCACCAACACCTCCTTCCACCGCCCGAAAACCCTCACCCTCTCGCGAGCGCCCAAGTACCCGCGCAAGTCCGTCCCGCACGAGCCTCGCCTCGATGCCGGAAAGGTGATCATCCACCCGTTAAACACCGAGAGCGCGATGAAGAAGATTGAGGAGAACAATACACTGGTGTTTATTGTGGATGTCAAGGCGAACAAGAGGCAGATCAAGATGGCGTTGAAGAAGTTGTATGATGTGGAGTGCGTGAGGATCAGTACGCTGATTAGGTGAGTTGCGATTGTGGTTGTTCAGGTGGATGGGTATTTGCTGATTGCGGTGGCAGGCCTGATGGCTCGAAGAAGGCCTTTGCGCGACTAACGCCGGACGTGGATGCGCTTGATATTGCTGCGACGAAGCTGGCGATTGTGTAAAGCCATTAGTCTTCTTTACGGGGCGAGCATCTGAGCTGGCGTTCCAGGGTAGGATGCAAGTGCTGCTGTGCTCCCGCGGCTGGGTCTGGCAGATGGTAGTATACAGCTACTGTACAACGCATTGCAGCATCCATCCGCAGAAGTTATCCCAGTATCAGCCTGTCTTCCACTCAACAGACCTTCTCTTTCCTACACCCCACTGCAACAAATAGCCATCCCTTTACCACGTGACAGTTCATACCCCTCCATATTTTACAACTTGTCACACATGCCTGACATATATGCATGACCGACGCCTCGCTATGCCTTCCAACCTGACTCTACTGTTATCCAGTCGCCACTCATGTTGTCGCCGACGCCTTCCATCTGTCGGGCGCCTCGCGAATGCAGTCTGGTTCGCATCGCAAGCCTTCCATGCGATCCATCTACTGCGATGCGCGAAGCTGATCCAAATGCCTCAGAACCAGCATGTTCGCGTCCATGTAGCGGTCCACGCAATTCTGCATGCACGGCTCTTCGTAGCGGTCCAGCTTGCCAGAAGCCACTCTGCCCGTGACACATTTCTTGAAGCACCTGCCCTCCACATTAGCATGCTTCAACACAGCAATAGCCGAATAAGGTGTGGTTGGATGGCAACACATACATGTCGGTCAAGCTATGTATCGCCGACTGTATCTGCGCTTTCTGCGATTCACTCTGGACGAATTGTTGGAGCTCTTGCTTGTCCCGGTCGTTGAGGCCAGCTACCATCTCCCCGCTGATGTTGATTTGGCTGTCCATCTTGCTGTGTACTGCGCCAGACTCCCCTATGCGACACTGCCTAGATTGAGGTTGAATGAGTACACGTGACTCCCTCTCCCTTACAGTAGCACACTTTGAACAAGCTAGCGAGTCTTGCAGCCTAAGGCGTCCAGGCGGGAAAATGGCGGGGTGAGCGAAAAGTTTCTGGCGTCACCCAACGACGACAGCTGCAGCGCTCAACTGGCAGCAGTAACGCGCGCCACACGTCAACCTTTTTTCGTTCTCTCCCTCCACCCCTGCTCAACCCCTCTTTCTCTGTCTGCTCTGCATTGCATTGATTGATCGACTACCGGAAAAAGCAGCCGGCTCATCAGCAGAATGGCCAACATTCCCAATAAGCGTGGCGCGGGCATCGATCCAGCTCCGGTTCGTTATTCCTCCCTTCCACTACCACCTTCACTACAATAGTTACACACCACTTTCATCAATCAAAGATACCATGGCATCATCGTATAGTACTAATTCGATGGCTATGCAGACACCACAGAATACGTATGACGACCCTTCACCGGATCCGATTCTGATAGTGATATTGACCGCTTCGGTAGACCTGCGCAGAATGCGCCCATATCATCCCGCGCCCAGGCGCCTCAAGTACCCAGCATTAACGAGGGTACGCAGTATGGGCCGATGAATGCAGCAGGAGGGAAGGTTCAAGTTACTGACTTTTGTCTCAGAGGACTTGGACCGTGCAGCTGCCGCCTCCATCTTCGCACAGAATCCCAAGCTAGTGTCGATGATGCAAAACAAGCTCCAAGGCCTTGTTGGCCGCTCATCCGGCTACGTAGAGTCACTGCCAGCCCCGGTACGGAAACGGGTCGCAGGTTTGAAGGGCGTGCAAAAGGAGCACTCAAAGCTCGAGGCACAGTTCCAGGAGGAGGTGCTGCAACTGGAGAAGAGATTCTTTGCCAAGTTCACGCCGCTGTACGAGAAGCGCGCCAAGATCGTCAACGGTGAGGTCGAGCCGAGCCAAGAAGAGATCGAAGCTGGTGAGGCAGACGAGGAAGACGATGACGAGGAAGCGACTGCCGCAAAGGCCGAAGCCGACAAGGACGAGGCTGCCGCCAACGCGAAGGGTATTCCAGAGTTCTGGCTTAGCGCGATGAAGAATTCCTCGCTTGCCGAGACCATCACAGACCGTGACGAGGAGGCGTTGAAGCATCTTGTCGACATCCGCATGGAGTACCTTGACCGCCCAGGCTTCCGCTTGATCTTTGAGTTTGCGCAGAACGAGTTCTTCTCGAACAAGACCCTCTCGAAGACATACTATTACCAGGAGGAGAACGGGTACGGTGGCGACTTCATTTACGACCACGCGGAGGGTGAGAAGATCGACTGGAAGTCCGGCAAAGATCTGACGGTCAAGGTGGAGAGTAAGAAGCAGAGGAATAAAAGTGTGTCAGAACCAGCTTCATTTGTGTTTCCCTCAAACGCTAACGACTTGCAGACACGAAGCAAACCCGCATAGTCAAGAAGACCATCCCCACACCTTCCTTCTTCGACTTCTTCAACCCTGCGCAACCGCCAAAGGACGAGGACGAGGATATTGATGAGGAGATCGAGGCCAAGCTCGAGCTGGATTACCAGCTAGGCGAGGATATCAAGGAGAAGCTCATCCCGCGCGCCATTGATTGGTTTACGGGTGAGGCGCTGCAGTTCGAGCAAGGGCTTGACGATTTCGATGAGGACGAATTCGAGGATGAAGATGACGATGATGAGGACGAAGACCGTGATGAGGACGATGAAGACGACGAGGACGATGAGGTGAGCCTTCAGCAGCCGAATTGTTCTTCCTAGCGTGTGGTGACTGATGATCTAGTAGGAGGATGGCTCGAAGCCAAAGCAGGAGGCTGCCGAATGCAAGCAGAGCTAGAAGTCTGCGACACAACCATCCACAATGCGGCGCTACCCGGTATTAGATTCAGCGGACGGTCCTCTCGTCGGCATTCGCCCGACGCATGCGTGGTTCGGATCTGTACAGTGAGCCGAAACATGTTTTCGACCAGCTCACGCTCATTGTGACCTCACTGGACGCTCATTGAAATCAAAGCATAGCATTATGGGGCGTTACAGCGTGTTGCGTGTTTTGACGCGGAGAAAGGAAGAAAGTAATAGAGCGGACTCAACCCAGCTCAGACGGCGAACAAGGGAGGCGTCTTTGCAGCGAAGAACCGGATAGGCCTCTCGGAGTTAATGCTTGCTTGCTTACTTGCTGAATATCGAGCAGTTGAAAGTAACCTGTCCCACAGCGCCCCATAAACTCCAACGGGTCACAGCGCAGACGCCCATTCTAGCTTCTTGGAGAGAATAGTTCCTTACGATTGTTGTGGGTATGGGGAGCAGCAGCTATCGGTATGGCCTGACGTTACATCTTATGCCAAGGTAAGGCTGTGAAGGCATGTAAGCTTACCCGACTTGGGCGGTTCGTATCCGTAAATCTCTCACCATGACTACTGGTAAATCTTGACGGGCGTAAAGACACGTCTTGCGCAAGTGAGAAAGCTTGAAAGCTGGAACTTGTCTTGACTACCCGGCCATGGCGCCACAGTTCTCTCAGCCCAGGCATCCATCCCTGCCAGGCAAGAGTATATGACAAGACATGCGTAAGCAGCCACCAACGCCACGCTTAAGTACACAACACAGAGATCCCATATCAGATGGCTCAGGCTAACGTTCACTTGCCATCCTTCTTCTTCCGCAAACTCTGCCCTTCGCCGCTGAAGTTCCGCTTCTGCTCCGCCTCCGCCTCGGCCTGAGCGTCCTTATTCTTCAAAGGCTTGATCTCGTAGCCGAAGAACAACTTGCCTGGCGGTAAACGCAGTGGTTGCGGTCCATTGCGGTTCTTGCTGACCGTCTTAGGCAGCGCTGCTGTGGTGGGCACACTGGCGCTCTGATCCGGCTTGGGCGTCCCGGGCGTACTTGACGCGGGCGTGGAGACAGATGTGCCCGCCTTCCCTTTCCGTGCAGCGAGCCGATTCCCAGAACCAGAGAAAGCGGACGAAGCTTGCGCGTGCCCCACAGCGGCGGTTGAGGAGGAGGGCGCGATGGCGGAGTAGTTGATCGCTTGTGCCATCGTACCCTCAGCGTGCATGAGCCCGCCTTTACTCGCCATGGTCGAGCCGATACTGCGGGGTGTGCTCGTGCCGCTCGTCTTGGCCGTCGGTTCTTGGTACCCTACTGGCGCGGCGAAATCGACTTCGAGATCGGTTTCCTGCACGCTAATTGCCTTCTTCTCACCCTCGGGTTTTACTTCGAGAACGGCGATCTCAAAGGTCGTGTCGTTGTAGGAGAAGGTGAAGATGTCTCCGACTGTTAGGCAGGAGAAGTTGCGGAAGGCGGTTTCGAGCACGGCTTTCGGGTCGGAGATCTCAAGGAAGTTGACGTTTTGGGGCTGGAGCTTAATGAATTGGCCTGGCGGTAGATCGGTCGACTTGGTCTGGAGTAGGTCCCCGGGTTCGAGAAGGAGCGTCTGCATGAGCCAGTACGGTAGGTAGCATCTCCCCTCCTCCGCGGTGAACTCAAGCACACCAGCATGCGTACTCTTGCTCTTGATGCCGTTGTTAAGCTCGAATAGCATTGGGTAGGTAATATGCAGTTGTGTGAGCTTGTCGAGGGCTGAGGCTGGCAGGAAGATCTTGCCGCCGTGGTTGGCTGCGTCGCGCTCTGGTCCGGGCATCATGGCGACGGGGTAGCAGCGGTAGTACTCGTCGAAGCGGCGGGGGCGGCCACCGCGAGCCATCATCGCGCGTTGAAACATGCCCAGCTCGTCTTCGGGGGCGTAGCCGTAGTACGACATGGTGATGGCGGACGAGGGTAGGAAGTTGGAACGTTTACACTGTGGAAGCTGTGTTCACTTGCCTCTCGTCTCTATACGTGCTCGGTTGCCTTGCCGAACGCCGCTAGACACGCTTTATCGATAGATAGAGTGACGCGACGCACGTGACATTGCGCTTGGACGCCTTATCGAGCCAGGAATCTGCCCGAACGCTCACTGACTTCTCCTCGTATTGGTGGCCAGCTGCGATAGCATTGCCTTTTCTGCTCCAATCTTCATCATCCTGGTTCCTTCACATCTATCTGGTCTTCAGTCACCAGTCTCAACACCGGATATCCTCGCCGTATCCTTCATCGCGACTTCGCAGGAGGAGTCGAAGAAGAGGGGCTGTAAAGTGTGCTGACAATCCTACGATCTCACGGCTCGTCAGCACTTTCGTTGCCAGGCAGCCCGGCATCGTCGCGAATCCTTGAGCCGTCAGCGAGCGAAGTGCTGACATTCGTCCCTCTTACGTGGTCCGGCGCATATTGTTCCAACAAGCGTGTAAACCATGACGAGGTATTGAATGGCTTCCCCTCTCCACAACTAGGTGCCGGTATGCCGTGGCCACCATGCGGAGCCCGCAGTCTCTGGTTCCAATGAGACCACTTGCGCATGAACTCCATGCCAGAGCTGCATGAATCTCTGTCCACGTATGGTCATGCGCCCTACCCGTTTGGTAAAGCACCCCAGACGCCACGCTGTCGGAGCTTCAACCACCCCTGCTGCATCTAGGAACTGAAGAAATAAAGCTTGGTATTTGCAGCGGTCTGCTCAGCCTCGACCGTCAATGCTTGCCAGGATCTCACGACTCGCCTTCTCTGCTATTGGACCAAAACGGAAATGTTCGGCCGGCAACGCCATCCTCCACTGCAACGTACTCCAGGCGGCTAGCATGGATGAGGGCATTCTCGCGTCTCATACCTCTCCACTTGCCACGCTACAGCACGTGCACAACCATCAGCCCTACCTCCAAGCTCCTCCTTTAGAATGCTCTAATGTCAAGTGCGTACGTCAGATTATATCTATGGCCTGATGCAATGGTCGCCTCTCTGGTTGGTCAATGCTTGGCTGCTAGTTGGTCAGCCTTAAACATGGTCACGGAAGTACCTTGCCTTGGCGGGTGCAGCGTACAAAGACCGTTCCTTTCCCCGTCGTGTTCCTGACTTTGGTTCCTACCAACACAGCCTCTCGTTGGAAACAGCTGCGCTTCCGTGGTTTCTCAAAGTAGATCTGCTCCTTGCACAGCCCTCTCTTTCAGCTCGTCTACCTTGCACTACGTACAGCCTTACGCGTCGTTGACCTAAGATATCCTCAACATGCGCAGCTCTACCATCGCATCCCTCGGCCTGCTGGCATTCGGGGCTACTGCCTCTCCCTACCGCAACAACTGGGGAAGCTGGGGGCCACAGGGCTACAATCCCAACGGCAACAACAACTGCATGAATGACGATCAAGCCAATCAGGTCGCCAACAACTTCAAGGCTCTCATCGCCGCCTACACCAATGCCACTGCCGATGCGGTCCTGACTACGACCGTCAATGACTACTCGGACAGCGTTATCGAGCTTATTGATGGCGGCTGTCCCACCAGCTCAAACGGTCCACTACCCTACCAGGCTCTCGGGACTGCGACCTTCAGCTCGCGTGCCGCGTTTGAAGCTGGTCAGGGTGGACAGCCGAATATTACGTTCAGTCTTTTGAACGTCTGGTAAGTCACATCGTTATCCACCGTCACATACAAAACGCTCGACGCGTTTCGACACAACCCTCATGGCTGTCTTTGCTGACCATATCTGCCAGGCACAACTGCGACACGGTCACTCTCCGCTGGCGCTCTTCTGAGCCCAACCCAGGCCCCGTGCCCGCTCCCCCGGCCCAGCAGGAGCAAGTAACCGGCATCGTCGTGCTTGAGACAACATTCAACGGCTATCAGTCTGCTCAGCCTTTCCTCATTAACACTATCTACTCCGAATTCAACTCTGGCGCTTGGCTTTATGACCTGGGCATGTTCAAGCCTTCTGGCTGTGGCGGGTCGTCGAAGCGTGACGCCGTTGCTATTCCGGCTTACTATGGCGCGCCGCAACTTCAACGTGCGTAGACGGTTACTATAGCGGAAATATGCCGGCTTCAACGTGTATTTATGATGGGATGAGTGGATGCATTGGCCAAACATGATGCGAATGGATGACGAGCTTCTTGACTATCTCGATTATGTAGCCTACGTAAGGACTAGCATAGTTCCTATACGATCAGTTTCGTCCATCGACATAATTTCTTTCAGTCGCCATGCGCAGTCAGATCTCGGCCACTTTCGGCCCGAAGCCTGCCACTGCGCAAACTGCACATAGAATCTGACACTCTTCCACTCCAACACCGTCAAGCCAATTACCACAACGTTCACAGTCCAAAAGGAGCATCCATTGGGTCAGCGGCACCCAGCATTCGCGACACTCCGAGATCACCGTCGCGTATACGTTCTTAATCAAGCAGATTTATCGAGCAATGAAGCTACGATGAGTGTACGATCGCCACGATGCCCAAGGCTCGTCGGCAAAGGACTCGAGCTGCCGTGAGCCATGCTGGTGGACTCGCCAAGGGACGTCCTCCGACGGCGACGAAACCACCGGCTCGGCCATCGTCCGCCAAGACTCGCCAGAGCATTCGAACTTACCATGAGCTGAACAAGCAGCTCGCCGCAGTCGAGCGGACTGGAGATGATGGCGCGGCCGAGAAGCTGAGACAGCAAATCGCAGATCTTGGCGGTCTACAAACCTACCAGCTGGCGAGCATCACGGGCCAATCTTCGGACCGCGGCGGCGACTCTTCGATCATTCTCATGCAGTGGCTGCAACCCCTCGCCGCGGAAATGAAAGCTCGAGAATCCAAGCTGAGGATGCTAGAGGTCGGGGCGCTGTCCACGCAAAATGCGTGCTCGAGGAGCTCAATCTTCGATATGGTGCGCATCGATTTATCCTCGCAGGCCGAAGGGATCGTGCAGCAAGACTTCATGGAGCGGCCGCTTCCGGCTTCGTCGACGTATTGCTTCGACATCATCTCGCTGTCGCTCGTCTTGAACTTCGTGCCTACGCCGGAAGGCAGGGGCGAGATGCTGAGGCGAGCGTGCGAGTTTCTGGATCACAAAGCGTCGCACACCATGACTGATGGCTTGGGAAGAGTGTTCCCGGCACTCTTCCTCGTATTACCAGCGCCATGCATTACGAATTCGAGGTACATGGATGAACCGCGATTGACGGCGATAATGAACAGCCTGGGCTATGCGATGCTTGAACGCAAACGATCCGCTAAACTGGTCTACTACTTATGGCAGCTGCGTGACCGCCGCCCAACGAGTGGGATGCCCTTTCCCAAAGAGCAGGTCAACCCAGGTCCGGCTCGGAACAACTTTTGTGTAGTACTGCGTGAGTAACTACTGGCGTACACTCATCTCAGTGCGAGGCGATGGTTACCGACTGCTACATCTGCAAATGCAGAAGCAGAGGCACATCGACGCCAAGACACATACATGAAACTCCTTGCATATTCTCGCCCAGGCTTATCAGCCATTTGCAGCACATCTTTCAACCTGGTTTCGGACCGGTCGTGGCCAACTCATTCCGCCAGGTGCATACTCCCTGCCTCGCCCTTGTCATACAGCAGCCCCGATCACCCAACTAGGAGTTCCTTCGCCTCATCAGACACCAGATCCGGTGCCAAAGCGGTCTACACCGCCGATACTGCCTTCTGGCGATGAATAACCCCATCTACACTCCAAGACTCGCTCGACAGTAGCAAGTCATGATCTCTCCGAAGCCGAAGACTACCTGCCAGCACGCCAAGCTGCGCGCGGGGCTGTACTAGCTCTGCAAAAGCGATTTCCACAATAGGCCAGCTGAGGAATTATAATGAACTCGCAAGAGGGGCAAGGACTTCGATGAGCTGCAATGGGAGAAAAGCAGTGTTCACGTCGCATTGCCGGACCCTGGGGAGCCACTACTAATGTCGGTAATAACGCCGTAGCCGCGATTGCCGGTGGCAGAGTCAGGTGGACAATTACCCACTGAAAGCGCCATACTCTTTGCTTGCATCGATGCCTTCCGCCGTGAAAGCTTGCGCTTGTTGGTATTAGCTGGTTAATTGGCGAGATCGTAGCTGGACCACCGAAGCGAGATGCTGATGAAGATACAGAGTCCTACCTCGCCGATGAAGGCTGAGATTCTCGCAAAGGGGTCGCTTCTGGTCGGGCACATGTTGTCAAGGTGTTGATTTTTCGTATGATCGTAGCTGCGCTTGACTGATTCTTTGTTGGAACGTGGTGCATCCTTGCCGCTTCGTGCGCTGTTACTCTGTGACTCGTCAGACCCGATTAGAGATCTGTGATGTGGCAGCTGGGCAAGGAATGAAACAAGCCTGAATGTGTGAAGCAGCCGAGATACAAGAAAGGCAAGCCAGCGTGTCGAGTAGCCCACTCCTTCAACCGTTCGTCTGTAGGTGTTGCAGGACACCCTGCTTAAGCATAATGCTGGTATGTACCCGCACAGTGATGTTGCTTCACCGCTTTTCACGACCAGCCTGACGCAGTCGACCAGGATTGCCGGAAGGGGTGCTGCTACGTGGTAATCACGAAAGAAGGACATGTGCTGCACAAGTGACGCTTCCTCACCCTTCCTCAATCAACGAAGCATTCCTACGAATGGGGTCTGCGCTCCGCCAGGCTCGCTTCGCGGCCGCGGCTGATAGATGCTGCCGGTGGGTAGCGAACGGGCGGGCGGATATGCGCAGGAACACGGCGCGAGGACCATAAGCTTGGTGGGTCAATATGAGAATTTCACGAGCCTGATCAACAGAACACGAGCACAATGAGAGGAGGTGGTGGGGCGAGGAATACCGCTTGCCAAGAAAGATCAGTTGAGGACACGGGGCGTGACAGGCTTCTTGCTTGCAGAGCATCTTACCACGGAGGATGCAGTCCTCGGTTGGGAAGGATGGGCAAGTGGCCGTCGTCTTGGTGAGAGGGGGCGGGATTCCCCTTCTCACATTCTAAGCTTCGATAACGGATACGTGTATGTGGAGCAGGACAGCTTCGTTATGCCAGCCCAGTGGCACCGCTCAGGCCGCCTTTCACTGCACCACTCGCGTCAGCAGCGCTCTTCCCAGCAGACTCAACACCAGTCGCCTTGGTGGCCTGATGAGCGTGCTCGCTTACCTCCTTCTTGACATCCCCATTCGCCTGATGCGGCGCCGGCTTCTTCTTCTCCTCCTTGTGCTCGTTATGCTCGCCATGCTCCCCGTGCTCCTTCTTCGCCGTCTTCGGCGGCGCAGTACTATGGTCCGGCTTGAGATGCTCGTCCCCGAACCCCTTGATATCGCCCTTAGCCCTCTCCTCCTTGGCCGCGTCCATGAACCCCGTCAGTCGGCCTCCAGTCATGGCATTGAGTCGATCTCCGATCGGGGCACCGCCTTCCTTACCACCCTCTCCTCCTTCGGAGCCGGAGCCGCCCTGCAGCCACTTGAGGATGTAGAACCCGCCCAATCCCCACAGGAAGAGGAAACAAGCGGTCATGGTTGTGAAGAAGACGGCGGGCAAGACGAAGATGAGCGCGGTCCCGACGGCGAAGACGATGAAGACCACTGCGGCCAGCAAGCCGAGGAGGAGACCGACGACGAGGGCGAAGATGGCGACGGTGAGGGTGAAGAGGATGAACAGGCCGAGGGGGATGCCGGTTAAGGCTAGATTCATGCCGAGGAAGGCCTATCCAAGGCATACAACAGTCAGCCACTGTATGGAGGAGGATATGGGCGGAGTGGATATGAGGGTGGACATACGGATAACTTGGGATTGCGCAGCATGAACGCCTGCAGCTTGGCCAACACGCTGGCGCGCTGCTCGGGCGGGAAGATGCGGTCGACGAGCTGCATGCCCTTGGCGGAGATCCAGCCGCCGAAGCCTTCGATGCTGCCGAGGATGCCGGTGGTGGTGCTTTGGACTTTTTGCTGCAGGCCGGAGGTGGCGCCTTGGGCGGATTTCACGCCGTTCATCGCTTGGTCGGCCATGTTGTGATTGCGATCTCGAGTTTGTGCTGGAGAGGGAGAGTGGGCGCCGCGTCCAACTCGTCGAGCGTGGGCGTAAGGGGAGGGGGAGCGGGAAGCTTCGCGGATGATGTCGTCGCAGTTGGGGTGGTTGCCTGGACGGACTTGGAGTTTGCGGGGATGGCGGTGGTGGTGGTGGTGGTGGTGGTGGTGGTGGGTTTCAATTGGGTTCGCTATTTTGGCGGCCTGTCAAAGGCAGGTACTACGCGTCGTTATGTTTTCAACACTTCGGTATAGAGCTGTCGATGCAAACGCCCGGGTAACGGAAAGCTCCAAGATGGTGTTGCAGTGGAACAGAGAGTGTATGCAGAGTCTCGTCCGCCCACTCCACCTTCCTCCCCGTCTCCCTGTCTCCCCACCAGCGTTTGTCACGCCGAAGCTCTGAGTTTCGCGTCGTCTGCCCCAGCTCGACACCCATTGGACCGCGACGCCCGTTGCGTGACGTCGGTGCCGCGGGCTAAGCCACACCATCGCCACGATCGCCGTTTAAGCTTCGTGGAACGCGCTTGCCGTTTCGAGCTTTCAAGAAATTCCATGGCCGAGCTTCACGACCGACCAGTATTGAGTGGATGAAGATGTCGGAGCCGACGAGCAAGAAGCGCAAGAGGCAGTCCAACGGCGTAGATACACCGAGCAAGAAGACGACCGCGATCAACGGAGTGCACCAGATTGACAAGATCAAAGTCACCTTCACAGACGAAGATGGACTGCATCCAGTACTACTCTCCACACCCGGCCTAACTACCCCTTCATTCCCATTCGAGTCATATGCGAGGGCGTGGTCAAGCAAAGATGCCAGCAGGACTCCCGCACCGAAGACGCACGAGCTGCTCCTGCACTCATCCCAACACCCACGCATCGACTATACCGCATCCGCATCCGCTCTCGATGAGCATCTGGCGCATTACGTCGCCGTCTTCGACCCAACAACAAGTGCGCTGCAGATCACACCAGCCCATCATGTGACTCTGCGAGCCGCACCTCGAAAAGCTGGTATCGCAGACGGAGATAAGGATGAAGGCAAGGCAACCACCCGGGGCACCTATGCCGCACAACGCGAAACACTAGGCAGAGAATTCGGCACGAAGAAGGCGCAGAAGGTCATCGCCAGCCGCACCCAGAATGCCATTTCCAAGGATGCCAAAGGCAAAGGCAAAATGAGTGAAGCGCAAGACGCCGTCCTCGAATCCATGGCTACATCAACCCCCGCAACCGCTCCATCAAAGCAGCAAGAGGACCTCCTAGCCTCCAAACCCATCCCCCAACCCAACCTCGCCGCCGAAACAGTCGAAGAAGTCTACCCCTTCTCCACCCTCATCCCACCACACACCTCCCGCCTCATAACCATAACCGACTGGCAAACCAAAGCCCGCGCGAACGAGGAGATCCTGCTAAACCACCGCTTCCCCGCCTTCCGCGTCGGCGCTCTAGGAAAGTCGGACGACATCCCCAAGCTCAAAGCCCTGCGCTACCTCGCCTTACTCCTCGACTTCCACGACGCCCTCGCCGCCGCCGGCCGCGCGGGGAAAAAGGTACCGAAGAAAGAGATCCTGCAGCGTCGACTCGCCGCTTGGTCATCACCCGAACAGCAACAACTCGTGGATTCCGTGAGGCGACGCTTCGCGAACGAGGCGAACGAGTTGCCGAAGTGGCATATGGATAACCTCTGCACGCACATCTGCGCGCTGAGTCTGTATGTGGATGGGTGGATGACGAATACTACGGATCTGAAGTTGGATTTGAAACTTACGAATCAGGAGTTGGGGAGGTATTACGCGGAGTTGGGCGCGAAGATGAGTGCGCCGACGGAGAGGGAGAAGGTGGAGTGGAAGATCAAGACCAAGGCGGAGGCGGCGGACACGAAGGTGGCGAGGTTGAGGCTGCCGTTGGAGTTTCCGAAGGCGAAGGTGGGGAGGAGGCGGTAGATTGACCTCATCACAGTTGAGGTGAGGCAGCGATGATTAGTGGGGCGAGGATATTGAACGATGACTAAGCCTTAACTTTTCTTGTGGAGGTGTGCCTGACCCTTCAAAGTAGCCGTCCTCGTACGAATCGTCTACCTCTGATCACATTCACCTTCAACTTGTATCCACACGATGTGTAAGTTGTATCGACGCGGCTTGCTCGAAGCGTTGGTGCGGATGTGTTACGACGACACTCGTCAGTTGAAAAGCTCACCACCCCTGCTTTGGTCGGGGCGTTCGTTGGTCGCGTGTGGCGTCCACACGGAGTTCTTTCCGTAGGCTAGCGATCAGGAGATGGTCAGCCTCACCATGTACTACGATATGCTTGACATGAGCTGAAGACCAAGAATGCCGATGCTACAACAAAGTGCTGTCTTGGTAGAGTATTCGATAGAAGAATGATCGAGTACGAATGTTGAATATTTGGGTCAATGCTATAGGATAGAAGAGGCCCGCTATCACCAAAATCACCTAACGGGAGTCCATCCGGATCTGAAGACGTCAAATCTTACCCAAAAATCTTGCGCTCACGCTGTCCAGCGGTCTCAAGTGACATCCTCACCAAAGACGTCCGGGAGCGCGCAATGCCAACCAAAGCAGACGAAAGGACACCCCTCCTTCAATTCCCCGGCCTATACGGCAACAATGGCTCCACATTATCACCACCGTCCCAACCTCTGGGAGACCAGTACGAGCAATTCTGTCGCCTCGTGGGCATCCGACCGACCAACCTCCCTCCCGGTCAAAAGTTCACTTCGAACAAGGAATCGCTCTATGCTCGCGCCATGGCCCACCGTAGGAACCAAGGCGCCATCTACGCCTTTACCGCCACGTTCGTCAATTCCCTCCTGCTATCCCAAGTCGTGCTCGGAGCCGCTTTGACAGCGCTGGGAGCATCGGATTCAAGCCGAGTCCTGATCACCGTCTTTGGAGCCTTAAACACGGTCATCGCCGGTCTGATCGCCTTCCTCAAATCCCGCGGCCAACCCGTGCGCGCCCGCATGTTCCGCGACGACCTGGAGCGCGTGGTGGACGAGATCGACAACTCCGCCACCATGTGGTACGGCATCAGCCGCAACGCGCACGGCTACGACGCCATCGACACCAACGACCAGGTCACCGTGCGCAGCGAAGTCGCCCGCCTCACCCGCCTCTACGACCGCGCGGTCAAGACGAACACGATGAACGATCCGGATAACTACTCCGCCGGCGCGCCGGGGGATCCGTGGAATGCGGCGCTCCGCGCCCGGCCGGCGCAGCAGGGGGGGTTGCCGCCGGGGGTGCCGGTGCCCGTGGTGCCGGATGCGCAGGCCCCGGCCGCGGCGGGGCATGCTCCTGTGCCGCAGATTGCTCCGCCCGTGGCCGACCCGGATGAGGCGCCGGCTACTAAGGCGCCGGAGCCGCCGAAGCCGAAGGTGCCGGATCCGCCGAAAGAGGAACCTCCGAAAGCTGCTGAGAAGCCGAAGGAGGCTCCACCTGCGGCGGAGAGCTCGACGGACGCTGGTCCGGCTGCCTCGCAGCAGGCTGATGCCAAACCTGCGCCTGTCCCTACCGGCATGGATGACGCCAAGACTTCGGCCCCCGAAAGCTCAGCTGGAGCGCAGTCAAGCAACAACGCGACGAACCCTGGCGGGCCGTCGACCGCTACGAAGACGATTGATCAGCAGCCCGCGATGCAGGGCAACTTACCGGAGAAGCATAGCGAGGATACTTCGAAGTAAGCGGAGGATGGGGAGAAAGTGAATCGGTAAGTGAGGAATGGTTCGGTTGAAGCGAGTGGAATTGATCTAGCATATGAGCGGAGAGCTATATACCCTTATTGCGGGCGTGTGTGTTGTGATTGGGTTACAGAGCGGAAATCTGGACAGGTCGTGGCTTTATCCAATATGTTCCCTTGCCAATGACGCAGCTTTGGTTGCATCTCTTGGATTGCCCGCTTGCCTCCACTGCAACGTGCTGTAAGGATAGCCGATCACCCGATTACGTACTCTCGTCCGTGCAGCTCCTTTAGGAGCGACCAGGACAACATGAACGCCACATTCAATCCCTGCGGCGGAGCCACTGCTACCTTCTCTCACAGAAGTGACACACCCACCACCCTCGTATGGAAGGTGCTCCTTGCAGTAGCTAACACTGCCATACAAGCTACATCGAGCTGTGTGTGCTCTGTAGAAGGAGAGGTGTTGAGGAAGACCCGAATATGGCAATCGGGTAGCTCCGTGCACGTGACGCGTCTTCCTTGCCAGCCTGGGGCACGACTTTTGCCGCTGAATGCGGCATCTGAGCCACGTAAACCAAAAGGCAACTGTCACGCAGAGTATATATAACATTTATACAGGTATCCATGATACTAGTCGTACATATTTCGGCTTGATCTGCGACTGCGGAATCTTCCGGTCAACTTTGACCCGCAGCAATTCCGAAGCCGGTGCATGGCCAAGCTCTTGAAGGAGATCGCATCATACGACAGCGAGCTAGCGGAATCCATCCACAGACCACCAGGTAGCGACAACAAAGACCTACTAGCAAGATGTCTCGAAAAGCTAACGGTCAAATTCCTTGGGATGGTCAACGCCCGCAACATGCGGCAACCGATCGTCGAGCGCTTCTTCAGTCCCAACTTCATTTGGATTTCAGACCTCGGAGTGACTGCCAGGTCCGCCGACGAGGTGCTCAGTCGCATGGAGGAAGCTGCGGCGGGGAACGAGGCGTATGGGGTCGATATCATCGACATCTGTACCTCGGTGGATGAGAGCCACGGCTACGCCACGGTTTGGCTGACACTGTGCACGTACGGCCACCCTGCGGATGACAAGGAGGTCCGGCGCGATGTCATTGGGAGGGCGCGATGGGAGCGGGTGGAGGGGAAGTGGTACTGGGTGAGCCATACCGCTTTGCGTGGGTTTGGGCCGGTGGGAGGCGGTGTGGATTTCGGCCAGGTCGCGCTGGGGTGGGAGTGATGGGTTTTCATTTCACCCGCGTTGTTCGGCAAGGATGATGACGATGATGGCCGCGAGGGAGACGTCGACGCCGGCGGCGACCATGACTTCCCATTGTGTGCGGTAGCCGTAGGCGTGCTTGTATGCGGCGCGGGTGCCGGATTCGTCGCCTTCGCGGCGCACGTGCATGATGCGTTTGTTGTTGTAGGTCACGTATGCCACGAGGTTCGAGAGATCCTGCCCTCGTACTTCGAGCGCCACGGCATCTTGGTAGCTTTGCGTCTGGTCGGTAGATGGTGGGGCGAGATTCCGGAATTTGATGTCGAAACGCGTGTGGACGAAGAACATCTTGAAGTTGATCCACAGGACGTCGTTGCCATCGTCTGCTCCGGGTAGGCTGACAGACCACTCGCCTGCCTGCTTCTGGGATGGGTTGCGGCGGAGCTCGAACAGCGGTAGCCCGGTAGCGTCGGTAAACTCGCGCTTGAGGTTGCGGCTGATTGTGCGGCCGGAGATTTGCATCAGCGTGGAGTCGTCGTCGGTGATGACGAAATCCCGTGTGTGGACGTTGTTATCGAGCTCTCGAATCTTGATCATTGTGTCTTGGCTCGTCATATACTCGGAGCGGATGGCCATTGGATGGTCCGGGCTAGTGACGGTAGGAATCACAGGCGTGGTACGAGACCGGGATGGCATTGATGGTCGAGAAGCCTCCATTTTGTCACTGCCTGTGGACCTCCTACCAAGCTTCAGAAGTGCAGGCTGGAAAGATAGAGCATAACAGTGGTTAGAAGCCGAACAACTCCAAGTACGCACCTGCAGACTGATCGACACGAGGTATTAACTACGTAACGGGCTGCTCCCGGCTAGACTGTGTCCAATGAGAGGACGCTAAGAGGATCTAGGGCGCTCGAGTATGCCTCTTCCGCCTCACCTTCCCTTACATGATCGAATTCGCGTCTCCGACTACAGGACCATCGTCGTCGGCGTCCCGGACAACAGCTAACTTGTGGGACTACTGACTTGATGCTGACAGCTTGCCGCTGTAGTTGACGCAAGTTTACAGAGAAGCTGTCAATGACAATGCGCCACCCTGTTCCGCACTCCTGATCTAGCTGCCGATCGCTGTAATGATCACTCCAAATGCTTCTGGCTGCCGGATAAAGCATGAACTCGACGGCTTAAGCTGTACAAACTCACAGCATTCTAGTTACGTAGGTACCAGCTCGCCAAGCATAGCACGCCGCCCTGCAAGCGTGGCGTGAGCTCTCGCGTACGGTTAGCTTCCGGAGTGCTGGTAATTCACCTTAGACGCCTAGAACATGGACAACAAGACTGAGCTGCGGTTCATGGAGTTCTAACCGGCCGCTCCGTATTTTATCCTCTTGTTTCATCGACATGCAAATATGCTCGGTGAATATGGAGGTCTAACGAAGATCATAGCAGCGGTGAAGCCCATGTCGTCGCTCCCGCCGCAAGGCTGCAGCCTCGTCGCTACAATTTGACACCGTCGCTGCAGGCTCTGGCAGTTGCCTAGCATGCTACTTAGGTGCGGGCCTCCAGGGCTGCCCTCCAATACGTAGCAAGGCACACTTGCCAGCCTCATCCAGCTTGCGTACCATGATAAGGCGGTTCGCCTCGTGAGTTGAGACTACTCGTTCTCGCCACCCCTCTTCCTGCAACGGCGTAGGTACAACACGCATTTACTGCATTAAACTCCAGGCCTTTAAATCTTTAGATGTTAAGAGGGGCCTTGCAACATGTCCAACTACGGGACCACAGTTCTGTGTGAAGGCGAGACGCCGATAGCGGTCGATGTTGTGTTCGTACATGAACTGGGAGGGGATGGCAGAGACTCTTGGTCGCGGGACGGGTTGATGTGGCCAGAAGAGTTGTTCGGCGAGCGAATCCCAAATGCGAGGATTATCACGGTACGTGACAATCGTAACAAGGTCCGACATCGTTTAAGAAGACACTCAATTGACACGCGGTAGTGGGGTTATGATTCGAGTCCAAAAGACTTTTTCCAGGGCAACGGCCAGCAGACGCTAAAAGGCCGCGCTTTGGAGCTGCTAAGCGATTTGAAGGATGAGCGACGCCAGGAGGAAAAGAACCGATCCATCATATTTATAGGTCATAGCTTGGGAGGCCTTACCATAAAGCAGGTATGACAGGAACACGATACGCCTGAAAGACACTCTGTTAACAGTCCTAGGCCCTGACCAAAGCGCACGGTATCCCGAACAAGGCGTAAGGGAGAAGCAGCGCGAGGCCTTGATAGGGGCTTCTTGCTCCGGTATTGTCTTTATCGCGACCCCCCACCATGCTGGCGATGTTGCGGAATGGTCTGCTACGGCCGAACGGTTGGCGAATGCGATGGGCACAATTGACCAGGAGGTTGTCGATGCTTTGAAGCTGGGTCTACCCATCGTCCAGAACGTGCAACACGCTTTTGCGGGCATACAGGATCGTTTCAACATCCATACGGTGCTGGGAAGGACAAGAGACTCGCGGTTGTGGAAAGGTGAGTCGAGCGCTAAGGCAACGTAACGCCGTGCATTGGCTGAGCGAGAAGCTATCAGGTAGTCGAGGAAGCTTAAGCAACTCTTAGGACTGACAACGAGCAATTCCGCACAATTCCGGCCGATCACATCGGTATGTGCAAGTTCACTGACAAAAAAGACACGGGCTTTAAACGCCTTGCTTCTGCGATTGAGGAACAGGTGGATCAAGCCCAGACCACTCTGGATGGACGCATAGGTATGGGTCCCTCATCACTTACGCTCACCTGCGCTAATATCGAGCAAGCACCGGCAGAAAGAAGTCATGGTCATCAGCGGCAAGCCTCCGACGCTCCTATTAGTCCAGCTTTGCCACCGAGCCATCAGCGGAGTCCCTCGTCCAGTCACTCAAGGACACAATCGATCCGGTCGCAGCTACCGCCTTCCTATAGTGAGAGGACAAACGATGTTCGTGTAGTGACAAACTCCACCACAGCTGCCATGTCGGCGCTTACAATCGTGGGCACTCCAAAGCCGCTAGGACCTCCAAACATGGCCTTGGTATCGCGTCACTGCTATCAACGCCTCTTCAACATGTTGCTGGCAATAGAAGGCCCACACCCGCCGGAGAGATACCAGCACTATATCAACCATCACAAGGCGAACAACACCTGGCGGAGTTCGGCGGACGACTTCAAGGTTGTCTTTGTTCCGGATACATTCGACCCCGAATCTACCACGTCGCAGTCCGAGCTGCTCTTCATTGCGGCGTATGTGGGCGAGATTGACATCGCGCGTGCGGCGCTCGCAGCTGGAGCAGACGTAGAATACGTGGTGCCGATGCTGCAAGATTGTCCGCTCAACGCCGCCTTCACTTTCGATCACAGTGAGCTCATTGACCTGATGCTTGATCAGCGCGCCTCTCTCACCGCGATGGTGAACCGTCACAACACTGGCGTGCAAGCCTACATGATCCGCCACCTCCCCATGGCATCGGCGAAGACCGTCAGAACCGTGATCAAGCATGAAGGTTCCGACGCTTTTCCGTCTTGGGCTCCCCTTGTTGCTGCTCAGCATTCGCCGATGGAGGTCGTAAGAGTGTTTTCCGAGTCTGGCTTCGAAATGACCGTTACCGACGACAAGGGATCGACTGCGCTGCATCTCGCCGCTCGCCATGGGCGGAAAGATACTGTGGAGTATCTTCTGAGCATCGGCTTTCCCGCCGACGTCCTTGATTCTGCCCAGCAGACGCCCCTGTATGACGCGATCATCAATTGCAACGAGGATGTGGTTGCCGCTCTCTTGGTCAACAAAGCAAGCGTCAACATCACAGACGATGATGGAGACACGCCAATGCATGTGCTAGTACGGAACCCCAAAGACGCTAGCGGAGACACGATCGACGTGGCAGGAGTCATTGCTGTCAAAGTCAAGATGCTCAAGATGCTCAAACTCGCTGGCGCGCAGCTCGAGATTCCCAACAATCAAGGCTACCGACCTCTTCACGTAGCAATCCGTCTTGGTCTCGGGTCAATGGCGGCCCTGCTGCTTCTGGCTGGGGCGGATGCTGAGGCGAGAGACTCGGACGGCTGGACACCGCTTCACTTGTGTGCGAACGGTAAGGGCGAGCAAGTGCAGATTGCAGCCTTCCTGCTAGAGCGAGACGCGAATTTGAAGGCTCGGTTGCCGCCCCCATTGTCGCTTACGCCGCTGCAACTTGCGAAGAAGTCTGGGAATGCGACTATGGTGAATCTCTACTCTGGAAAGAAGACAGATAGTGGCCTGGCGAAGTGGTTTGCGAAACGGGGAGTTACATAATTAGCCAGACTGGAAGACATTGCCCCGTCCACGCTGCACCAGGCATTGTGTTATCGGCGGCGTTTGGAAGGATGCCAGGGCGGCCAAATGCTACTTCGACATCGTGACATTGTAGCCCTCCTCAAGATCGTGTCTGCTCACGGTAGCTACCGTACGCAAGGTCGCATTTGGCAGCGAGTAATGATTAAACATTTCCAAGCAATACCCAGTTTTGGGAGAACAGTCATCCTATACACCCCACTGCTGCTTAAGTGATCATCCCACTGCTTCGAAGCGGGAGCGCCACTGACGCATGCTTCGGCGTGACAATTCCTCCGCTCTCCAATTCCGACAACACACAAGCCAACGCTCGGAGTTGCTGCTTTGTAAGTCTGCACACACTCTCGTTCTTGGAAGGGCCTCTCACTGCAGCGCTTCCACTTTGGTGCGGACATGGTACACCTGGTTACGGGCTTAGGCGTTTATGCTATCTCTCCGTGTTCCCTTCACCGTGTCTCTTGGCTTCGACACCTACCCGGCGCTGACTGAGCGTCTCCTCCCTAACGTCCGCAGTGAAGTAGTACAGTGCTGGCGATGGTGCGATGGTGTCTTTGTAAGTCGATATGTATGTTGGTGAGTATATATGTTTTCGGTCCAGCATGGTCAATCCGTCCCTTACTATCACAACACACTCGTACACTATCATCTTGTCACAGACTGCACATTGTTCATCGAGCCACTCCCGCACTACAGAATCAAGATACCGCAATGCCGGGTATCAAGGACTTGGTTCGTGACGCGCCATTTGGGCAGCTCGTGCGATATGTCACCGGCAACAAAGTGTTCTTGTACCCAGAAGAGAAGCCAGACTTTCAATGTCCGGCGGATTACGCTCAACCACAGGATCTCGCCAACAAGAAGTCAAGGCACAGCATCGCATCTGAGTCAGACTTAGCCACTCCAGACTCAGAGCTTGAAAAAAGTGGATTGGAGCCGACCGAATCATCCAGCCCCAGCCCGCCTGCAGAACGAGTTGAGCAAGGGACGCTCTCAGCCGGTATTGACCGCAACATCCTAGAGCGACTTGATACGTCAAGCTCTCGCTTCGACAAGGACCTAGAGAAAGCCCGCACGAATCAAGCGCAGCGTGAGCTGTCGCGCATCAGCACGAAAAGCGCACTTGGCCGGGTTCACACGCAAGCAGAGCTTCAGGAGGCATGGACTGCGGCGTCACACCTCACCAAAGCGCCGTCTCGACCGATCGTCCCGCAAAGGACGGCAGATGGTGTGATACTGGTTGACTGGTACACTACTGATGATCAGGAGAACCCACAAAACTGGCCAGCTCGGATCAAGATCTTTGCAAGTCTATCAATTTACTTGTACACGCTTGCGGTGTACATGGGCAGCGCCATCTACACTCCTTCAGAGTTTGGCCTTATGAAGCAGTTTGGTGTGAGCCAAGAAGTAGCGTCGCTCGGGCTTGCCTTGTACGTCCTAGCATACGGGCTCGGTCCTCTCTTCTTCAGCCCTCTGTCGGAAATACCGAGCATTGGTCGCAACCCACCCTACATCATAACCATGGCAATCTTCGTCATCCTGCTGATCCCGTCAGCGTTGGTGAACAACTTCGCTGGTCTAATGGTTCTCCGCTTCTTGTCAGGCTTCTTCGGCTCGCCAGCGCTTGCCACTGGAGGCGCCAGTCTACAAGATCTGTACAGCTTGATCAAACTCCCATACGTCCTGTGCCTTTGGGCTCTCGCGGCAACCTGCGGACCGGCGCTTGGCCCAATCATCAGCGGATTCAGCGTCACAGCTGAGAATTGGCGCTGGAGCATGTGGGAGCTCCTTTGGCTCGCTGGACCCGTCTTCCTCATGATGTTCTTCTTCCTCCCCGAAACCTCCTCGTCAAACATCCTACTGCGCCGCGCGCAGCGTCTGCGCAAGTTGACTGGCAACAACAATCTAAAGGCTCAAAGCGAGATTGACCAGGCGAACATGCGGCCCAGAGACGTCGCGTTCGAAGCTCTAGTTCGCCCGATCCAGCTGATTGTCATGGATCCGGCAATCGGCTTCACCGCATTCTACGTCGGGATCTGCTACGGAATCTACTACTCCTTCTTCGAGGTCTTCGGTATAGTATACATGGGCAAGTACGGCTTCAACATTGGCCAGATGGGTCTCGCAATTTTCGGCGCAGCCATCGGCTGCTGGATTGGCGCCATCGCATACGTACTCTGGACGTACTACGTCGTGGAGCCGTACATCAAGACCCACGGTCTCGGCGCACCAGAGCGCTTCCTTCTTCCCGCCCTGGTTGCGACCCTACTATGCCCTACCGGTCTGTTCCTCTTCGCCTGGACGGGTGACGCTTCGGTGCACGTCCACTGGATTGTCAGCATCATCGGCGCCTTCCTGTTCATCACTGGCGTGTTCATCGTCATGCAGTGCATCTTTATGTACCTGCCGATGGTGTACCCTCAGTACGCCGCGAGCTTGTTCGCAGGCAACGACTTCGCGCGGTCTTCGATCGCATTCGCGGCTATCCTGTTCAGCAGGCCCATGTTCACCGGCTTGGGTGTCGGTCCCGGCACCAGTCTCTTAGGTGCTCTTACGGCGGTCTGTGTTGGTGGCATTTACGTGCTGTACTTCTTCGGTCCTCAGTTGAGGGCTAGAAGTCGATTCTCGGCGAAGTGAGGGAGAGTGATAGGAGGTGTAATTTGTTACATGTGGTTTGCTCAGCGTTCCAGCACGTAGCGAGGCGAAGGCGGGATATTGGGGTTTGTCGTGATAGACTAATGATAGACAAGACGTATCGAATCTGTGCACTAGCGTCGAACCGATTCCCCTTCACTATCATCGCTGTTCAATATTTCGTGCACGCTGGACAAGCCTGCCGAACGCTCGTAGTACTTATTGGAAGGGACATGGTCTTAGTGGGCGGCAACATCAAGTTCGTGCCTCGAGATGCATCCTATGCGAATGCATATGCAAAGCGCTTGTTCGGCTAGAGACGCGCCAATACGCTCTGAGGTACAAGCTCAGATGTGGTCTTCCGGAAAATGCAAACGCTCGCTGCAGATGGTATCTATCCAGAGGTGTTCTCTACACGCTCGCTTCAGACCCAAACCCCAACGCCATGCGGATACCCAGCTCAATGCAACGAGCATAACGCTCATAAATCCGGCAACGGTATCATCTTCTCTTGTAACTTCTTCGTCTGGCTGACGAAACGATTCCGATCGTCCTCCGTCTTGAACTCTATCCTGACTCCAGTCACCTTCTTGACCGGTATCCTCCTCCCGCCCGTTGGCCGCGGCTCGAGCTCCGTCTCAGTTCTTTGTAAAGTCTCCGCAGCGATACTCGGACTTTTAGCCGTCGACATAACGGTACCAGGCTTGATGACCGTGATGTCGATGCCTTTCACTTTCGCCCATTTGGATCCATCCTCCTTGACACGGACCTGCTGCTTACTGCTGTTGATCCACCACCGCGCCCAGCCTTCGCCAAAATTGGAGGAGACGTGCATGAGTGCCATGACGCCCCCTGTGGCGCCTGGAGTCGACACCCCGTCGTCCTCCCACAGTCTCAACATCTCGATATTGGCGAATTGCTCTTCGAAGGCGAGCACGCGACCAATACCTTCGTGGATGACGATGGTTTTGGTTGTGCGGAAACTGCCGAGTAACGTGCGACCGAAGACGGCGGATTGAAATGCCACGGCATCGTTCTCTTCCACAAAGACGTAGTTGAGCCAATTCGTCTTCTTCTCTTCTTGAACTTCCTCGCCCCATCGCTCGTTGTGGAATTTAAGCTGAATGTGGCTGTCGGCCGCAGCGTCTGCGGGTGCGAGCGAGACTTTGCGAGGGTCGAAATACGAGCCGAAGGGGACCGTTTCGTTGACTTCGGAAAGCTTGTGCTGCAGTCGCACGGTGCCATCGTCGGAGAGTGTCCAGACGGACGTCACGACCTTTGTTCCAGCGTGCTCACGGTTCTCTCTTTTTCGGATGACGCAAACTCGGCACTCTTTGCAGGCTTCCTTCATCTCAGTGTTGAAGCGCGGATCCGGTTCGTCAGGAACGGCCTGGGCGTACTCGACCATCGTTCCTCGCACGTCGCAAAGAATGGCTGCGTTGCGGAAGAGCTTCTTCTCAAAGGTAGGGTCTTGGCGTCCCGGCGAAAGGGGTGTGCCGCTCCTCTCACCTCTACTTTGCCGAACACTCCGTGAAGTCTGCGGCCGCAATTCCTCGTCGATGCGGTTGTTAGTGCTCGGTTGCCTTCGCGGCGGCGAGCCCAAGTATGTTGCTGGCGTCGCAGGAGATGATGGGCCTTCTGGTGAATCTGGTGGTAGAGCGGGTGGTGGCAGGGCTTGTTGGCCATTGTAGGAGCTGGGAGAGCGCTGTATTGGTGATCTTGATGATGAAGCTGCACTGTATTGTGCATCGTGCACGCTCCTACCAGCTCCAGCGTCCGCATCCAGCTCGTCGATAGCCCGGAACAGATGCGGCAGTGTGTTCGATTCTCGGCGCGGAATGTTTGACTCTCGCCGGCTGGCGGAATCAGAATAGAATGAGCTCACAGTCGATCCAGAACGATGTCCGTTGCCAATGCTGCCACCGTCGTCGGGCGGCGAGCCCGTTTCGAATACCCAGTCCATCCTCCTGCCGTCACGCTCGAACGGTAGAGGACCCATACTGAAGTAGGCCGAGTCTTCTCGCCCTACCCGTCCACCTGCCGCAGCTGCTGCAGGGACAGCGTTAGCATTGGGGCTTTGGCTCGATGAAGCGGACTCATGCCGGTCCGTTTGCCGCATTGGGAGGTTATAGGACGGGTTGCGTGGGGGTGGCGCTTCGAGAAGGCGAGTGTTCGCGACGGGTGACATCTCAAGCGTAGCCACGCTACCGGCACTATACCGGCTGTTGGAGTCGATTGAACGATCTCGCGCTACCAACGACGGAGTGTTGTTGGCGACAGTCATGATGATGCGGTGGAGGTCGTCTATCTTGGCTCCCAAATCGCCATGGACAGCTTCGTGGATCTCGGCAACGTTGTCGGCCATTGGCATGACAGTCTTTTCGAGTCGCGCAAGGGATTTCGATTGCAATGCTTGCATGGTGAGGTTGATGGTGTTGGTATGCATGCTGAGCATGTTGCGCAATTCCGTGATGTTGCCACCTTCGGTAGTCCATTTGAACGTTCTGTAGTTGGCCATGACGACCTCGCTCCAGCTTCGCTCAACTACGAACCCGCCGTTGGTCTCCTTCTTCTTGATCACCTGGTAGCGCTCGACGAAGCTTTCGAGGTCATCGAGGGTCCTATGAGCGCTTTCCAGGATGGTATTGACCGCGCTCTTGGTGTGAGGATCTGCCTTGGACAACAGACCGCCGTCCTCATGTAGCGTTTCTGCCACCAACTTCAACGCCTCGCTCAGGCCATTCGCCTGACTCTCCACCTCCAAGAATTCGTTGGGCGCATTCTTCTTGCCTTGCGCAAAAGCTCTGCCAATCTTCCATGCCGTCTGCGACAGCATCAAGATGTCGCCTATGGAGAGTGGTTGGAAGGCCATCTTTGCGACTGCTTGCAGCTAGGAGGCCGCAGCTGCGCGACTGTGCGTGTTTGACCCGCACGCTGTCCTATCGTTATGTAGTCTTGAGCGAGTCTTGTCTCCCTAAGTAAGCATGAGAAGTAAGACTTCCAAGCGGTTTTCAAAGTCGTCGTCCGGTTTGAGAGGCTCGCCCAGGAGTCAGAGCAATGTTGAGGCTCTTGGCCTGCTCAGCCCTGCCCGCAGTGAATGGCACAAGGCCTTGCGTGGCTCCCACAGCCCGCCCAGGCAAGCTTTCCTCAGGCAGTGCAGAAGCTTCCAATGTCAAGCTCCCAGAGGTGTGAATAAGGTACTGTAGAAACTCCACAAGCGCCGCCCTTCGCGTCAATACACTGCGTGCTTGACGCCGCCCGCGATTGTACGTCAGTGAGGAGCGTTGCTTTCATCCTTCGCGCACCCATCCCTCCCCACCCACCTCTGCGGTCCCAAAGGAGCGAGGGGGAGTGAGGGACCCGGCGCCATCCCATCACCAATTAGACACAGGCGCCGGCCAGGTGTAGCCGTTCCGGCATCTAGCGGGCTGCCTCCCGCCCTGAGACCCTTGACTCTGACACGTGGTAGACGCTCGCCGATCATTGGGTAGCTGCATGGCCTTGTGGCTGTGTGAACGGTTAAGTCTCTCTGTTCAACAGATAAGTTACGACTTAATACGGCGCGCCCCTGTGGTTCATTGTGTGAATACGACAAAATATCACCGAGCATAGGATGTGGAGGCATCCAGCAAACCCTTCATGACTCTTAATTCAGATATTGATGTTGATGCCATAAGCTGCTCGGTGGATCGCTAGTTGGCAGTTGAGTTTGGGCCGGAGACCGCGGCGAAGGTGAAACACAAGACAGTTATCAGTTCGCGTGGCAGAGCAAGGATACGGCGTGTTGTCAACCTTCCCAACAGCATTGACACTCGATGTACTGCTATGATGCCAATGGCATGGTTTCCGTCCGAAAATCGAATTGGGGAAGGAATACCTGAGACAGCATTCGACATAGGACACGAAGTCATGCACAGAAGGACATTCCGTCTAGAGCAGCGAACAGCGTCCTCAGCGCTGCTGCCCGGAAACCAAAGGGAAGGTATAGACAAAACAGTAAAGCGAAAAGCAGGCATTCTGTGATACCATACGCCTCGTCTAACTGCCATGAGTCAAGTCTGAATAAGATTGAGACACTCCCGTCACTAGACCTGCCTCAACGCAGCAACGCTACCACCCTCACTAAACGTCCCAGTAATGCTGTCAAACACCGTACAATAACCATTTCGAAACATCAGACCCTGGCAAGCCGTTCCATAATCGTTACAGAAATCCGAGCACGCATTGAAACTCCCAGTATACTCTCGCTCCTCCAGGCTACTGTCTTCCATCAAGTTGCTTTCGTCCACGTCTTGTCGCCTCTCACGCTCGCGAACTAACCGTCTGCCACTGTTCGTAATCTCTGTACCCGAGAAGCGAATGTTGCAGAGGATGCCATAGCGGACGCTGTCATTGTCAATGCAGTGCTGGTGGTCCGTTATGTTGCAGAGCGTGTTGCTGCAATGGGGTACTGGGATGGTTTGGGTGAAGGCAGGCGGAGTCCACATTGTGGTGGGCGTCGTTACGGTGTACGCGTACGAGTACCTCGTCGCGACAACAGTACCTGGCCCTCCGGTGATGGTTGGCTGGTAGTTAATGCTGCTCACAGCGGCTGCATTGGCGTGTCAGCGGGTGAAGAGGCTATGATACGGATACCAGGCTCACTGAGCGATTGTGCGAAATTGCCGCCCAGGGATGCGATGACGAAGAGAAAGATCAAGAACGCCATTTGCACCTATTGTCAATTCCACAGTCGCCGGTGAAGCCGATGTATTTCGACGTTGCAAACCGTCTGGGTGACAGTACAGGATGCGACAAACGCCGTCAGACTGGTAGATGTATGTGGGCTGAAGTATTTGCCTGCATACGCGACTGGAATGCGGAGGCCCGGCTCGCTCAAAGCCCATCATCAGCACGCCACGCACCGCGCATCCATCGCTGGTCCAGCGGGGCACCTACAATGTTGATTATAGCCATTAGTATTGTTTCGAGCGACGAACGCGGATGTATTCAATACTTCGCTCACCTTCTTCGTAGAACCTGATGTCAGCAGCCAACCTAATCTTGGCCTCCCGATCTTCATTCTTAACGGCGGCGTGGATCAGATACGGATTGTGAAACACAACATCGCCAGCCTCAAAGTTCGAAATGAGCCACCGCATACTGGCGTCCTGCGGGATCAACTTCGCCCACTTCTCGTTCGCGACAGTATCGCGGCTGAAGTTGCTCACGTCATGTGACAGGTGGCCAAGCCGTGACATGTTCTGGTTGAACGCGCTGATGCGCTCGTCTTTCGTGAAAGTTTCGGCCCGCTTCATGAAGTCCGCCTCCATAGCCTTGCCAATGTCTGTCGAGTTCTCCCAGTACATCAACCCACCGCCTTCAGCGGTACAGTCGCCAAAAGGAATCCAAGCAGTCAGGAACTCGGCTTCACCGCCACGTAGAAACAGACGGTCGTAGTGGACGCCGGTTGAGATGCCGTTCGGGACGTTGTGTCTACAGAATCGGTCAGCCAAGGCCTTTGATTGCGTCGGTACAGTCTCCGAGTTACCTCAGCAGTGTCCGTTTGGCGAGCACCTCCTCCTCCCATCCCATAAACTCCCGAACGAAGCTCCTCAGCTTCGGATGCTTCACGAATTCCATGTAGATGGGTAGGACATGCGCTGACTCTAGCAACTTCTGCCTTTCAATCCCTTTGGGCAGCGACGTTGATCCGTTGCCGTTATGGACGATGGGATCCTGCGTCGTGTCGAAGATGCCATCGCGTGCAGTCGTGCCAGGCTTGAGAATGCCAGTAGGAGCGAGGTGCGCAAAGTAGGCTTCTCGAACGTCCAATACATCCTGCACTGGAAGCAAGCCTTTGACGTAAATGTAGCCATCTTCCTCGTAGCGCTTGCGCATTTTGTCGATGGGGCTGTCAGCTGGTGTCTGCTTCAGCCAGCCGATGCTCGAGCGGTCCAGGCTCTCGCCATAATTTGATCGCAGCTTTGGAAGTTGTTGTGCCTCGTAGACCAGCAGATGAGCTGGCGTGGGCGTTGATTGAGTCACCACAGACATCTTTCAATCCGCCGAGAACGTCGGAAGCGTAATGTACCGTCGTTGTAGCAAGCAGCTATCTAAAGATATTATCGAGGACAAAGTTGGAATTTCTTCGCAAATCATATGAATGTGGATGTGCGCTCCTGGCCTTAATATGTACTCTCGAACCTTCCTTTGCGGTGTTGAAAGTCAGGAGTCTTGCGTCACATAATAGCCTTGTTTGTGCGGACACGAAGAGCAGCAGTGCGGGGATCGGTCGCATGCAACAGTCCCGCGTGAGCGTTGTCCCGAAATGTGCCAGGAGCGAGAACAATTGAGCGCCGCCCCCAGATCGACGTCGTAAGAACACCGATTACTCAAGTCTATGTCGATGAGCTTTGAGAGACCAACCAGCGGATTGGCGGATCCTCCGCAGCCCTAAGAGCTTGACGGCTTGGCATCATGTCAGGCTATGCCGGTAAATCGCCGTCACTTCAGACAGCAGTGCGCCAGCCTCAGATCGTTGGTTCTGCCTGGTCAAGTGTTTTCTTAATCAAACTTGGCGCTGGATGTCGCCCAGAGACGGACCTTGTGTGCGTTGAGATGGATACGGTAAAGCCGCGGCGATTTGGTGCTATACCAGCGGAGAAGCAGCGCAGAGCCACTACTGTTATAGTCGACATGTCATGGGCATGCCACGGATTTCGAAGGCGTCAAGAGGACCGTCATCACTTGAATTCCCGGAACACCGGGCCCTTGACCTTACCTCTTGAGTCGAACCGTACGCCTTCTTCGTACAACAGCTTGTGTTTCTGACTGGCAAACTTTCCTTGCTCCCCCCAATCACCGTTGAAGCCGCCAAGCGAGCCGTCAGCGGCCAAGATGCGGTGACAAGGCACTTCCGGTGCGAAGGGGTTGTGACGCATTGCATTTCCGACAGCCCGAGCACACGTCTTGTGCGATGTCTTGGTGATGTGGTCCGACATAGCCTGATACGTACTGTAGCGGCCACGTGGTATCTGGCAGAGCATGTTGAGAGTTAGCTTACGGAAGGGCGTGATCGTCGACTCCGTGATGCGCTTCAGCTGGACGTCCATATCAATTGCGTCCACTATTGATAAGCCTTCGTCGCGAGAGTCACTTGGGTCATCCAGGACCTTTGTGATAGAGCGATCTTTCGGTGGCGAAGTCGGTGAAGGTAGGAAGTATGCCGAGATCGCAGGCGCGCTTGGCTTTGATCTCTTCTTATTTGTTGTATCTGCAGCCGGCGAATCGTCTGGTTTACGCTTCTTGCCGCGTAGTTGCAGACTCCGTTCGTTCAGCTCGTCAAGGTTCGCCTCGCCTGTCGCAAGCTTCTCGCCAAGCGCGATAGCAGCCTGCAGTTGGGCCTCGGTCATATGCTTCACAGCAGGCTGATCTATGGCGTCGCTCCAAGGACGATCCTTGCCAACGGCGTTGTCGAGTACAATGCGAGCGAAGCAGTGATCCAGGTGGACAGGCCAGTGTTGCTGTACAGGGTCACGAGCCTTGGCAAGCGCTGGCAGACGCTTCTTGTAGAGGTCGTTCCACTTGTCCCGGAGTCCTTCCATTGTCAAGGAGCGAGGTTCGGTGTCGAGCAGCTTGGTCGCAGGGTCAGCTTCATATAATATATAGACGGCGGCGATATCAACAGCAACCAAGCAGAAACGAGTCGGCGGAAGCACGGTGGCCCGTGCGAAGGGTTCGCGCGCGCGACGACAGTTCTATTCGTCACTTCTACAGCAACAGCAAACTGCCAGCAATGCTAGATCATCTCCCCAATCTAGACATTCCCAGCACGGTACTCCATACATGATGCCATGGCTGCTTCGGCACTCTTCCTGCATCCCGGAGGACTGCCATGGCCATACTTCGCGGACCAGCCCGTTCCATCGCCTCCAGCGGTCACGATACTATGAAATCGCACTGTAGGAGCATCAGAGCCTAAGCAAGCTTTGCTGAGGACGACGACGTCCTTGATATAAGTGCACCTACGGGTACATGGAGGCTCCATGATCTCACATTCGATCGGTATAGACAGCCTATGGTGATGGCGTGGCTCTTATCGCGATACCACCTCCACTCGAAAGAGGAATGGGATGGCGCCCGCATGTTCCGCCACACTATATTCCAGAAGCTCAAGTTGTGTATAATGCTTGTTCCACAGACACTGGCAAGATCCGCATTCGGACTACATGCACGGCCGACCGTCAGGCTGGTCTGAACCATATCCACAAAGTGCTGATCATTACTATCTACGAGCTCCTCAGCAACAGCAAATAACTTGCCCTACCTGTGAGGACCGGCTGTAAGCGACATATGGAGCAGGGCCGTCCCATGGATGGCCGACGCACACGAGTAGGCGAGCTTCGCCGGCCTTCATGCAAGTGGCTAGCGTTCGCATAGAACTCGCTGCAGGCGATGCAAATCGCTGGACGCTACCGTAGGACGTACCTGAAAGGCTACTTTGATCCACGCAGGCCCATAGGTGACTCCCCTCCGAATGTGTTCCAAGTGCGGCAATACGTCGCGAACGAGCAGTGAAGTACTTTGACCGCCCGAGACTGTGATCGCTGGGCATGCGGCTGCTTTACCATAGGGCATGAGATTCACAAAGGGCCGAGACCTTGGGCATACAATCTACAAATGCTTCAAAGCTCCCGCTGTGAAGAAGTTGCAACGCAAACGATCTGAGTATCGTTCCATGCGTAGCGTCGCCCAAACTCTAAATCGGTCGCATTTCCTACAGTCCTCTCTATCTTGGCAATCTCTCCCATATATGCTGCACCTTCACTCTGCACGTTCACCACGCTGTCACGTGCGCGGCTGCGCCGCATAAAGGATGGATACCACTGCTGCAAACGCTCTATAACTTTCTTTACCAGCACATCCAACCACCATCTTCCTGACATATTCTTCCTGCAACTCAAGACTGAACACTCATCTCATCTCTCACCACAAGCATCTAACCTCCACTTGTCCCTCCTGCATTGACAGTGGCGACTTCCCCCATCATCACGACCATAACCTCACAACAAGCGAACAGGTACGTGCGGCTTAAACTTTGCAGCACTTGTCACTACGAGAAACCCCATTTGCTCAGCTGAATGAACTCCTGTGAACGGCATAGACAGCACTTACGTGCCTTAATACTTCGAAGCTACACCTACACCTCCCAGAACTGATCAGGAGCATGCACAGGTCAACATGAGTCCAAAGTATCCTTGGGAGCAGAAACCCTATACCGGGCGCCAGGTCGTGTACATCCTCGATGCCTGTGACGACATCGATGAAACGGACGGCCTGATTCAGTCCGTTCATTACCAAAAGCAGAAGATCGTTCGCCGCCTCTTCAAAAGAGACAGTGAAATCGAGATCAAAGACGTTCAGTTCCAGCGGCGGACTAAGCCAGAAGCTGTGCTTGAGTACTTTGCGAACGAGCTGAAGGAACTAACCAGTGAAGATCTAATGATCATATGGTTCCACGGCTCAGGCATGGAAAATGGCGAAGATTACGCCTGGTAAATTCTCATGTCTTTTGAGTTCTTCTGGTTAGACACTGATCCATACCAGGAAGTTCCACGGCTTCCCGAAGAAGGATGTAGACGCCTACGAGCTGATTGGTATGCTCAGCGATACCAAACCTGACTGCATGCTCCTGCTCGATGCCTACATCCCGGACCGCTTCTGGGATAAGCCTACAGTTCGCAAGGCTACCAACAACTTCGAGATCATAGCCAAAGGCGAGACGCTCGCACGCGGTGAACATCACAAGGGCGTTGCCGACCCAGGCGACTCCACTAACCAGCTCATCTATGTGCTTGGCCGTTTCGTCAAGGAGATCCAAGACCGCTGCTCAGAGTGCAAAGCACCCAGCAATTGGCGCATTGAAGTGGACTTCAAGGACTGGAAGGAAAACCCCTTTGAGTGCAATCACTGCGGCTGCGACAAATTGCGGCGCGCGGCGTTCGGTGGGTACAAGCACATCATCTCCTTACCCGAGCTCATGATCAAAAACGATACCTTCAAGCGCAGTGAACGGCAAATATCAGCCCGGATCCGTCGAGTGGACCTTTACGGCGGAGAGCCTAACCGGCGTGTGGTGCTGGATCCCTGCGACGTTCGAGCGACGGGTAAGATTCGCTTTTGGGTCAAGGCCAGGATCGCACAACCTGTAGGGCCCGAGAAGGAACAGGAGGATGAAGGGCTGGGGGCTGATCTCGACGGGGATTAGGACAACGATGAGTCTGACGGGGACAGATCTGACGAGGCGGACGGCGTGAATGGGGATAACCTGGCCATGGGTCTGGCGGCTACGAAATGATTCAAGGCGGATCTAGCTTTCCTTCCAATCTCTGATGCCGGCCACGACATGTCCGCCGGTCGGACTTGGCTGGCTAAACCACGGTTCCGCGATGGATGTTGCGGTATTCGCGGGCCGAACCACAGACTCTCTCTCACGATGGATGATTCCACTCTACATAACACTCGTCCTCAAGCACACTGGATAGCATCTTAGCATCACGGCAACCATGTTCGGATCACAATAAAAAATAAATACGCTATTAAAGGATTGCATATCGCCTTACGTATCCGCGGTGAAAGCCATCAGCCCAGCCGTACCTGCCGTGAGTTGAGAGCTTGCCGAATAAGGCAGGCACGTATGTGGGATTTGAAAAAGTCTGAGGCTCGCGCCAATAACAAGCAGTAGGTATAATATCTTCTCTCAGAACTCGTCCCTCAAACCAACCCTGCCAACATAGCTTGCAACCTTCATGTGCGCTTCCACTGCTATCTATTACTGAGGTAAGTAACCAGCCTACCGCACTGACAGTTGAAAACTTGACCCCTTCCTACACAGTACAAGTTCATCAACATGCATCTGACCATGGCACTGCTGTCCCTTGGTCTGCTCACTTTCTTCACACCATGCTCAGCTACCATGAGTGCCAGGCTTTACGCCGGCGTCAGCCTAAACAGCACCATCTTCAACCTCAACCACTCGAGCGTCACATCTTCGGCCTCCACACCGAATACGCTTGGCGTCAGTACATCATCGGCTTCTAGCACTGTTTGCCACATAGTCACGTCATGGACAGCGCACGCATGTCCGCTGGTTTGTGAGCGTGACGACTGCGAGTACAGCATTACGGCGACGACGACTGTTTCGGCTTCGATCGTGGCATGCCTAAGCACACCGGCGGTGACGTCGCTGCTTCCTTGCCTGATAGCTTGCAGTTTTGACACCTGCGGCACACCGACCATGACCACCACCCATCCTCAGGCGTGCGCCACGACCGGGGTGCCATCTCCGGCAAGCGATTTGCAGAGAGTCCAGGCGACAGGCTGCAGCGTGGTCACACTGTATGGCGGTCAGGATCAAATCACGACGACCAAATGCAATGCGGCGCGGACTAGCTGTGTGCCTTGTATCGGCTGCAACGCGCCTCAATGCTGAGAAGAGGGTGCATTTAGAATCCGGTATACGAGGGTTAGTAGCATAAGAGTAACTCAATAGGCACAGCCTTCAGTCCATTGGGCTAAAGGGTCGTGTGCTAGTGCAGGGTCATGAAGCAGTCTTACCAGCCAAGCCTGTTGTTTCATTGTCCTCATCACATGCTGGGTAGGTGACCTCCATTCGTGCAACCGCTGCCTCCATGATCTGCAGGCTTCGCAGCCATCCCTTAGCCCCCGCTCGTGTCCAGCCAATCATGCTGCGTTCGTGGCGGAGCTGGCGCCGGACTTTAATACTGCCATGATTTGTTAAGTCTCTCGCGACCATCTCGCAAATCGACCACTCTGCCTCCGTGTAATGTACAGATCTGTCGTTCGCACACAACAACTGCAAGCACCGAGCGGATATGTATGTCGCCGTTGTCAACAACGCCTGGCGGAGCAGCAACAACAGCGGCCAAGGTCCGTCTTCACGATCCAGAGGCGACAGGAAAGCACGCAGACTGCCGCCGCATTGATCGATGAAGGCGGTGACGACTGGAGCAGCAATTTCAACTCCATAAGTGATGACCGCAAAGCAACGGAACAGGCAAGGAAGGCCACTCGGCGGGAAAGGGCACGATTGAAGAAGTCGAAGGCGGCCAACAGCCCATCAAGCAAAGATGAGATCTTTCGCAATGAGGAGAAGGTGGCGATTCGACGCATTCAGAGCCTCGCCAATAATGCAGGCGCTCGGCAAGGAGCAGCGGCTACAGGTGTAGTGCGAATGATGAACGCTCACGACGCGCCCGCCACGAACATGCATGCTCCAAGCAGGTCGCTTAAAGCGCGCATAGGTATTAACGAGAGCACGACCATTAAACGACCTCGGGAGAGTAAGGAGGACGCAGCTCAGATGGCTGAAGCGGATCATATCGACACACCACGTCGATCAAGTAGCAAGCATGTTTCTCGCGGGCGCAAAGCGCGTCAAGGTCGCAAAGATAAAGTAAAGCTTTCCACAGCCACAGTTCCGAAGGGAGTGGTCGCGAGCAATATTCCGGTCGTCGAGCTCAAAGGTACCACGAGAGGGGATCTCCTAGGGCCAGTACTTAGCAACACCAAGGCTAATGTGGGCGAAGAAGAGTGGGCAAAGATGCTAACGCTTGTGGCGGGATTCCAGGCTGAGCTTCCGACCATTCCAGCAACTGTGCAGGCAGCAAAATCACCGAGCTATAGAAAACATACTGTTACAACAGTCCGAAGGGTGAGATCCGACAAGTCAACGCTCCTCCACGCAGTCGAGTCTGCAACGCAGCAGAAGCATCTGCATGGCACAATGGCCGATATCCCGAAGCCTGCAGTTTCGACGCAACGGAGATCTTCGGCCGACGCGGGAAGTGAAACCAGAGAATTTGCATCGCGGAACGAGCCAAAAGCCAACGCTGATGGCAGAGTACCTGAGTCTCGGGAGCCTACAGACGAGACGGAAGGCCTGCAGCACGAAGCTCCTTCGTCATCAGTCACTCCTGCATACGCTCTTGGCGGTCGAAGACGACAACAGTCTAGACTTACTGCAATCCTTCAAGAGAGCAAGAACAGACCCGGATGGGTTACTGCCAGTAACGACCAAGCCCGTAAGCCGCTCAAGCGTGCCTCGTTCGATACACTACGTGCCGCCGATGGAGTCTCACCGAAACAAAAAGTTCGAACAGCGGGTGAGCAGACAGCTTGGGGCGGCGAACGCGTACAGAGCGAAGCTCTTCCTACTTCAACCGTGACCGCAGATTCACCTGCCGATTTGGCCGAGCTGGAGCCGGAGATGAAGCCAGGGATGAAGTCGAGGATGACTCTAGAAACTGCCAATTCGCAGAGTCGAAGCAGCCTAGGCGAAAGCAGCAAAGTCCCGAAGAAAAGTTTCCTGGGACTGACTTTTGACGCACTGAGGACGAGTCTTGGTAACGTTGTTGGCGCGCGGCGTAAACAGACTGCCGACGACAGCCTTGCAGAGACTGGAGCCAATGCGGTTAAGGCGGATCAAGCCGATGATGCGAAACCTGCAGAATTTGGGCGGGATGATGAAGCCCGCCAGACGGGTGCCGGACAGCAGAGCGCCGACGTTCAGATGGCTACGGCTGCCTCGAAACCCGGTCGCTCAGAGTTGCTTGATGCCGCAGCTTTGGAGCTAGAGAAGAGGAGGACCAGGCTCTCACGAAGGCAGCGACTGGCCCGTCAAGCGCGCGAAAGTCAAGACCCCAGAAAGGCTGCCGCTGGCAGCGCGCTCGTTACAACGCCGGCGTCCCAAGATGGACGCGAGACCGATGGCCTTCCGACATCATCGGAAGAGGAAGCAGCTCAAGCATTAGGACTGACAAAGGCGTCTGCTACCGATTCGCCGCGTCGCTCACCGACAGATAGCAGATACCAAACCATATATGAACGGACAGCGGGTACAGTAGACCATCGCCGAGTCGCTCGTGAAATCGCATTAGACCGTGCTCGTCACACTCTGGCCATGCACAAGAAGCGGGTACTAGTTCTCGATCCAGCTTTAGGATCTCACGGCTCGGTTCCCGAGAAACAGATGCTTGTGGCCGGAGCCGAGCGATATTCCGGTGACCCCGGAATGACAGATAATGTTGGTGAGGCTGCAATCGAGCGTGGGCCAGTGAACGACGCGTTACAGGGGCGCATTACTGGTGATGACCGCGATGAGGCGGACAACACAAGTGCAGAAACCGATCCGTCATCCGAAGCACGTCCCAATATGCCCAGCAAACCTGGGAACACGCTTCCAGCGCCCCCAGCCGACAAAGCCTTTTCTGAAGCGGTCGAAGGCGGTAAACTCACCCCGGGCGAGGCTGATGATAAGAGTCGTGCGGCATTCCTAGAGGCAACTGGTTCCGCTGCTGAGTCTGTGGACACATCTTACAATGAGGAGCCGCTTGTCTCTGCGTCTGCCCCCTATCAAGCGACGATCGAAAGTTCAGACATTAAGTCCATCTCATCTAGCGAGCTCCAAGTAACTCCACTGCACATCCCACAACCGCCCGTGCCACCGTTGCAATACGGGCTGGAGCGAGCTTTGTTCAATCCAGGCGTCTATCAGCTTCAGGATCCACACTCTCGTGTCTACAACTTTGATCCGTACTTGGAAAAGGTCATGCCGATCAACGAATTTGATTTCAATGCGCTCAAAGCATACAAGTCGAGCTCACAAGACGACATCCTTTCAACCTTGGCTAAGGAACACGGGAAGACCTACGTTGGGTCAACTTCCAGCATGACCGGCACACTCGCCCATTTCCATTATTTGCTATCAAATTGGCGGGAGCTGAACCTCAATATGCTTTCCAAGGGTTTCGCTGAAACATCCGCCACATTCACGCAGATCAATCGAGCGCCCAATGCTATCTTCTTGCGATGGCAGAACGGGACATATGCCATTGATGCTGACAAGGAGATGGATGGTGCGAACGTGCTGATGATGCTCGGTAAGAGCATGGAGAAGCTTCTCACCGTCCCCCGCGAGGAGTATGAGCGTTATCGACGCGGTAATACCTCCAACCCTATCACTAACGCGGAGAAAGAGGAGCCTGAAGCATACGAATACACCACGCAAGGCGACTTTCTGATGCGCTCGCAGCTCGATGCCCACGATCCGCGACTACCCGGCACGGGCATGTTTGATCTGAAGACGCGCGCTGTCCTACCCATTCGTATGGACGCTGAGGAGTATGAGCAAATGCTCGGCTATGAAATCTTCTCACTGCAAGGCAAGTGGGAGAGCTACGAGCGCGAGTACTACGATATGATGCGCTCCACCATGCTCAAGTACATGCTGCAGGCGCGCATGGGCCGCATGGATGGCATCTTTGTCGCTTACCACAACATTGAGCGGATTTTCGGGTTTCAGTACCTTCCCATTGCTGAACTTGACCGCGCCATCCACGGCCAGATCGATAGGAGCTTGGGAGACCAGGAGTTCAGGACCAGTCTGAATCTGTTCAATGAGGTGCTTAATATGGCGACCGAGAAGCTGCCGGAGACGAGTCTGCGGCTTCACTTCGAGGCTGCGCCGACCCCAGCTAACATGATGTGGGTCTTTGCTGAGCCCATGGAGGAGGCGGAAGTGGAGAATATCCAAGGTGCGACGAAGGTACGCCGGGCCGAGTTTGAAAGGAAGATGATGGGAATCGAGCCGGAGACCGCAGCCACTGAAGTGAAGGATGATGTCGAGCCGGATGTGGGTTTCGAAGCCGAGTCTGACACATCAGCGACATCTATCGCAGCTCCGCCAGTCGAGCCCACCGCTGAACAGGTTGACAACAGCGACACTGCCACCGCCAGCGAACCTTCGGCACTTCCAACTCCAACAAGCGACTATAACTCCTCAGCCACCTCTGCCGACCCCAAATTCATCAAGCGCATTACTAAGCTGACGGAAGAAGGCATCAAACCCCTTTTCGCCGCCACCGTCATCATCCAGAACTTTGTCAACGGCCTACCGTGTGAGAACAACCGTCCTGTCAACTTTAAGCCCAGCGATAAGTGGGAGGTTCAATACATCCTCAAGGAAGCTCCGCTCACCGAGGCGGAGAAGTGGGCACGGTATGAAGACTGTAAGGCTCGCCGTAGAAAGATCCTCATAGGCGCCGCGGCAGAGGAGGGTGACAGTGGAGATGGAGAGGAGGGCGGTATAGTCAGGAAGTATCAGTCTACTTCGAAGAAGGATCGCTGGTACTTCGCCCATCTGAAGGAGATGGTGGCGAGAGGGAGGGAGTTCAGGCGGAGAATGGATAAGTTGGAGGAGCGGAGGGAGAAGGTTGTTGTTGGGATGCCAGTTCCCGAGAAAGTTGTGGATGTCTCGGCTGACACCGGCAATGCTGTTACCATCAAGGAGCTTGAAGGTGTGGAGAGCTACATGGACTGGCTTTATCAGCATCAGGGGCGCAAGTAAGGAATGCCTTGGGAAGAATGCTGCTTTCAGTTGCTTCGCTGCGTTCATGCGCGGAGTCTTATTGGCGCACTACGATGCTCTGAGAAAGAGGAGGCTGTCATGATCAGCGAACAGCGCACAGCGCTACACAATCGCCCAGTCTACGCAAGGGTCTTCGGCCGCGCATGACAGCGTTGAAAGATGGCAACCTTTGTATCCGCCTCCTCAGGATGACTGCACGCTGCATTGGGTTTGTTTCGCTTTCGAACATAGCATAGCGCAGCGTGGCGTACTTATCATGTACCAGTACGTTCGAGTTTGTATGAGGATATACGGGTCTGTCGGAGCCATGTACTATATAGCGCTATTAAGCAAGCATGCAGCCTAGCTTTTGGTGGTGCACTTCCACTGAGAGCGTCGCAAATGCAGCCGTTTTCACCTTAGCGTAACGTCCCATGCATGATCTGACTAGGTCATCCTCTGCGCGTCTGGCACCGAATCGAGGGCGCCGTCTCTCGTTTTCAGGTAGTCCTTCCGGAACGGGTTGATGTCGGTATCCTCGCCACGCTTGAGTGGCGTCCATTTCGGGTCCTCCTTGAAAAGACGGAGCGCCTTCGTGTACTAGAACCGCAACGTCAGTGCGCGTCATCTCAGGAGGAGTAAGCCACGCTTGAACTTACATTTTGCTCATCAGTGGTAAACCGATGATAGATACCCGCAGGCATGATCATCAGGTCACCCTTCTCCAACCGTATCCTCACCCACTCGTCACCCTTGTTCCGTACATCGAAGTATCCTCCGCCGCCAAGGATGTATCGGATCTCCTCATCCTCATGCAGGTGCTCGTGGAAGAAGTTCTTCACTTTCTCTTCGTAGCCTGGGAGAGTGGACGGGCTGATCTCGATCTGGTCTCGGTTCTTGTAGTTGCGTTCGGATGCGATGCGATCAACACTCTCGAGGTCGTCCGGCAACTCGTAGTGTTTAATGCCAAGGATATCGAGATCGGATGGTGATAGTGAGCGGCCGGAGTCGTGGGGTAGGCGTTGGTCGCCCGGAAGGTTGTCGAAATAGTAGGCCTTCATTGTGGGTGTAGTGTCAGAAGGTGATTGTGAGCAAAGTTTTTGATACTGTGGCTGGGTCGTAGCAAAGCTATGAGACGATTCAAAGAGGGTCGAAGTCTTCTATGGCGCGGCAATATGATGTATAGAGAAGTTCGCATCCTCACGAGTCTGGCCCCGCAAACACATGCTCGCACGTCATATTGCGAATGACTAAGACTAAGCGAACCTTTGCGCGCCAATGAGGAGAGGGTGTGCATTCGGAGAGGAACTGCGCTGGGTATCCGGTTCGACATAATGACCGTAGGAGACGATATCTGTGCTAACAGGCTCCTGAGGTTGCGGCAGAAATTACCCGAACGCATCGACGCAGCTCGCCTGTCGCAGGTAGGGCGACGTGCACTCCAAATGCCTTCGACGCGAGCGGAAAAGAAAGCTCGTTCATTACTCTCATTCCGTGATGCTTGTGAGTGAACACGTTCAATGTAGCGTGCAACGAGATATAACGCTAAGCTTGCTTTCCATGAATTCAATCCGATCTGGACTCCTCCCTCAACAGCGTCTGCAGACTTTCCAGCAGATTCCACTCTTCCGGAGACAGATCGAGATCTTTGGGCAATTCTATCTTGTGCGATAGGATGCGTATACTAGGCTGCTCGTCCTTCGCATCTCCGTCCTCGCTTGCTTCGTGCTGTAATGTGCGCTCACTACCCAGTGGTTAGTTACTGTGGTTGTTGTACGCGACGAGCGGACGACATACCTATCTGTCCTGGAAGTCTGCTTTTCGAGCTGACTCGAGTCCGGTGTCTCTTGTGCTTGTTGCGCTGCTGCCTTCGCCCGGCGTAGCTTACTACCGACATCTGCTGGCGTCCACCAGTAGATAGGGTATTGGCGTATGGTATTGTTCAGCAGGCAAGCCACGCCTAGCATGAGAAGGCTTCCTACCATCACCAGGGGTACGAAGAACCAGCCCATGAGCACGACTGGCGCGTCAACGGATGCCAAGATCGCAGTCGCACCGCCCGGCGGATGTACCGTGTTTGTCGCGCTCATCACGACGCTAGAGATGGCGCACGCGATTGCCGCTGCTACCCAGCTGTAGTCTGCAAACAAACTCGGATTGAGCTGGAAAAGCTTTGAGATTGCTACGCCGATGATCGCTGAAAGCGTGTGCCCAATCAGTGTGTTTCGAGGCTGCGCGAGTGGCGATCTCATGGTATTATAATCCAAGATAGCGCTAGCTCCAAGCGAGGCGATAAGCGCAGGCGGGTGGTGTCTCGTGAGGCCAGGGGCATGAGTGTACGTTGCGCCGACCACGCAGAGTCCAGCAATGGTTGCGACAAGCGTGAGCGCCCATTGCACAAGACATGGCGGCTCCTTCTGTGGCTTATGGCGATACCCTAGGAAGCGCGAGATCCAGGTCGGGAGGATGTACAGGCAGTTGTGCGGTACCCATGGATTGAGTATGCGGTCGATATCAAAGTTGAGAAGCTCGTTTAAGATGCCGTTTTCCATGGTGCTCGCCGATCGCCGAATGGGCCACGAGAGAAGATGAGCGACAGGGGAGAAAACAACCAGATATTGCAAGAGAGAAGGTACGGTACCTGTTCGCAGAGAGGGATGCAAAGGCAACGCTTACCGACCTACCTGTGTGTCATCATATTGGAACGTATTGGACCGTGCCGCGAAGTAAAGGTCACGACATCGCACATCTCTGAGCGTCTCCTCGGAACCATGTAGCCGAGAAGACAACGTCTTTGCGAGGCCCTCGCACAGTTGCCACAGCCAGACACTGCGCCTGGTTGTGATTCTCCCAGGACCTGGCAGATCATTGTAGAAACCGGTCGTTCTTCTCATGACGAACAGCTCGCCTTTATTCACCTGCAAGAACTGGCCATCTCGCTTCTTCAGTTTCGTAGTTCCGTAGTTCAAGCTTTCTGACGTTCGCAAATGTCGTGCGGAGGCGAAGTAAGCTAGCATCGAATTTACGTAAAGCGAACCACGTGAGACATGGCCGATAATTGTCCGAGCATTATGCGATGTTGGTGTTCGTGTATTCGGTCATTGAAGCCTAGAAGAGACGTCCTGAAAAGCAGAGCAGGATAGGCCCAGTAGAAGGTGGGGGGAAGTGAGGTTGAAGATGTGAAAGACCAAGAAGAGGATGAAGTGTCGATGTCTGATAAGGGAGCAGTCTGTGGCCCAATCGGTTACGGCCGCTGCATGGCGGATGGATCCGCGGACATCGCTGTCGCAGGCGCGTCTCCGGACGCGCCATTGACAATTAGGTACGTGCGGGTTGGCTGGACGAAATATGGAAGACTGGAGTGACCGACCTTGAGTGTCATGCCGAAACGTAAACAGAATGAAGACGTCGCCGATGACGAGGACGCTACGCCGCGCAAAAGTAAGAGAACGACCAAGCAAACCAGTGTGACCAGAAGCCCGCAGTTACTGAACGGAAGCGAAACACCATCGGGCCGCAAGTCGAGCATAAGGGCAACGCCTGTGAAAGCCAGCGGCATAGTAAGCGTCGAGCCAACGCCGAGATCGTTGCGCAAGGTTCTATTCTCGACGCTGGCGAAGCCTGAGGACGAAGCTCCAGCAGTGGATGATGAGACGCCAATTGCAGTCCGCAATGACCGCTCCGCTCGTAAAAAGAGCCAGCGGACATTGCAGGAGCCTGCGGGTGCCGATGACGGGAGCGGTAACGACGATGTAGAACAGGATGAGGAGGTAGCTCAGCGCATTCTGGAGGATGATGGCGGCTCGGAAGCCGAAGATGACGGTGATGAGATTCAGCTAGCGGAGGCAACGCCTATGGCAGACACGCCCTCGAAGCCTGGAAAGCTGCGCGGGCGACCAAAAGGCAGAAGGCGCGAGCGTACGCCCTCACCGCCGCCAGATCTGCCACCTCATGAGCTCTACTTCTTCCAAAACCGGACAGGCGCAAACAAGACTTCATCGAATACTTTGCCATCACATGTGTTGTTGGGTCACGATGACTATTCTGCACAGGTTGTTGCCTACAAGGACCCGCACGACGCCGACATCAAGCGCTTAGTGCAGTATCATAAGCGCGCATTTAATCAGTGGATGTTCGAATTGGAAGAAGGTTTTAACCTTTGCTTCTACGGCTATGGTTCGAAACGAGCGCTGATGGTGGATTTTGCGGAGCATGTATACGCACAGACTGAAGGCAGCAAGCCGAAGATTGTGGTGGTCAACGGGTATACACCCGGACTCACGATGAAGGATGTTCTTACGACGTTTAGTGATGTAGTGTTGCCGAAGAATGAGAAACTACCAGCCCAGCCTGCTGCTATCCTTGAGGCGATACTCTCGCGCTTGAACGAAGAACAGCAAATTGTACCTTTCATCCTCATGGTCAACTCGCTCGATCATGCAAATTTGCGAAAACCAGCCGCTCAGGCGATGTTCGCTCAGCTCGCAGCACATCAATCAGTCTCATTCCTGGCAACATGCGACACGCCCAACTTCCCGCTTCTCTGGGATCTTGGCCTTGCACGACAGTTCCACTTCCTGTACCATGACGCGACAACCTTTCAGCCTTACAAAGCGGAAAACGATGTCGTCGAAGAAGTCAACGCATTGCTGGGCAGAAGCGGACGCCGACTTGCCGGCAAAGACGGCGTCGCCTACGTACTAAAGAGCTTGCCGGAGAACGCCAGAAGTTTGTTCCGCATCTTGGTCGCTGAACAGCTGGCCATGGCGGACATTGAATCCAATGCCACCGCCGGTGCGAACTATGACGACGTCGACGACATTGACCCAGATGATATACTGGGCGCGGAAGACGAGGAAGAAGCGGCTAATGAGCAGCAAACACCGTCTCGACGAGGTCGCGGAAGGCCGGCGAAGAAAGCAAAGACAGCTGCGGTGCGCAAGATTGTTGCAATGGCGCCAGAAGGCGTCGAGTACAGGGCGCTGTATCACAAGGCTGTAGAGGAGTTTGTGTGCTCCAGCGAGCTGAACTTCAGGACGCTTTTGAAGGAGTTTCATGACCATCAAATGATTGAGAGCCGGAAGGACGTGGCAGGGACGGAGCGATTGATCGTACCTTTTAGGCGGGAGGAGTTGGAGGCTATATTGGATGAGCTTGTCTGATGAGGCTGTTCAAGTCTGGTAGGATAGGCTACAGTATCTTGTGGAAAGGTTTACCACGAATGCTCATCGAGGATGACAGTCCGAACGAGTGGTCAGGAACGGGTATCCACAGCTGAAGTTGTAACGCTGTTGACACGTGAGTGGTTGACGCCGGGCCGGGTAGTGGGCTGCCGTCGCCGCTCCGCTGGGCTGGGCGGGAGGAAGGTGGCGAACGAGGGAAAGAGCGGCGGTAAACAAACGGCCACTTCAAACATCGAACCCGGCTTCACCTCATGGGTTGCAGCGGCTACCCGCATGCAGATGCGTGAGTGGCACATCATGTTAGTATGGACGTCTCAGGGCAAGCACGCCTTCAGCTTGCGCGTTACTATCATCCTTACACCTCCCGCTCCTTCCTCATTCACACGGGACATCCAATCGGCACGATCCCGGCATCACCCGTCATTCATAACATCGCGAGCCAGGCACCCGGCGCGTCTGAGCGATGCGTGCTCCAACCTCATTTTTACCGACAAACATCATTCCCTAGCCCATCGGTATTGGCATCTACCGCTTGTTACCGGAGAAGCACGTACGCCACAATGGCGAGGGCGAGCAATCCCGTTCACTCAGGCGACTTTCACTTCCACGCCAGCGACACTGCTGACGACACGATTGCGGTAGCCATGCCACCGTCAGCCAGCATGACAGCCTCAGCACAGGCGGTTGAAATCCGTCCCTTTCCGGCCTATTCATTCCCCCTCCGACGAGAAACTCCTTTCGGGTACTACCAACTTGATCCACTTGTTCCCGAGGGAAGAGATCAGCAGTCCGCTACCAGAGGAACTGTAGTACCGTGCCACATACTGTCAGCGAGGCAGTCACTCCAGGACTTTCACCATCCACAGATGCGTGACTCGCTACGGCAGTACAACTCACTGCCCGGACTTGCGAGCGTGCATTCACATGAGTACCGGCCTATGATGCAGCTAGCATCACCTGCCGGCGCAGACTTTGCAACCAGCTCCGACGCGGAAAACGCATCTTACCAGCCGGCCATTTTCATGCCAACTCTCGCGGACGGAGTAAAGAACAGGCGCCGTTCTGCCACTAAGCCTTTCTACGGAGATGCATTCCAGCCATATTCGACCATCAACAACGCGGTCAACATGCCAGTCTGCCCACAGCAGAGTACTTATGCACCACAGGCGTTCCCCGATCCTGCGAAGGCTAGCCTAAGCCCGATCGAAGAAAGGACTCAGGCGCAGCGAAGCCAGCCGTCAGATTTGACGCAACCTCAGCCAGCCTCCGCTGTCGCAGCGTCCACGAAGCGAACGCTGAAGAAGCAGCGTGCCGCAGGCCGCGAGCACGCTCATCATCCCAAAGCAATAGAGTCGCGGGAACTGCGGCCTGCTGCTCGTCAAGCTGGACTTAGCGCTCACCAGGCGGAGACTGATGGTTTGCCGCTACTCCTCGATAGTGATCAGCGACTTGCTGTGGCGACGAGCGAGGCGTCTACCATAGCCGCTCCACCTGCTCTGGCTACACCCGCCAAGAGGCCCGCAGAATTAGAAATTACGCACGCCCCAAATCCGAAGCGTCTACGTCGCACTCAAGCAGCGCGTTCCTCGCCTCCTCCGTCGAAGCCGCAGCTCGGCGGTGACGCGGGGAGCGCACAAGGTGCTCACCATCGCCGAGAGACCAATAAACCCGACTACAGGCCGACACGTGCTGCTACGAAAGCTCACCCACCCGGTCGGGCACCCCAAGAGAACGCCGACGAGCAGCAAAACACTATGAATGTCAACCAGATGCCTGTCGAAGCAGTCGTATTCGACAATGCCGCTCAAAGCACCGTCCATCAGGACATTCCGGACGGAGAAGTCGACGAAGCTTCGGCTAATCAAGGCGTTGTCGTTCAGGGGATGGACGTCGACATAGCTGGCTCGGAGCCTGCAGCCCCGGCGGGTATGCAGATCGTTGAGCAGCGGATAGCTGGACAAACCATCACTCCTGCTAGCGCTACTGGCGTGCAACCACCCAGCACAGCTAAGATCGTTACACGTCGCGGCTGGCCGAAAGGCAAGAGCGTTGAGCAAGTGTCTGCCGACATCCAACGCTATAGCGCGAAGGATGAGAATCTTAACTGGCTGAAAGTAACGGATAAGAAGCGTCGCGTCCAGATGCAGAACATCATTGGCCGTCGCAAGCGGGCTGATCGTGGTGAGGTCGCCACTAAACCTGCGCCGAAGTTGACAGAGGCGTTGCAGGAAGCGCAGAAGCCGGCGCACCAAGAGACGGCTGAACTGCCGCCAGTGCCAGGCTCCCGTGTAGTTCTTCACCCGACTACTGGCAAGCGGATCTCACAGAAGACACTTGAGGATATCGCGAGGCTTAGCACACCACAGAAGAGTTACGACTGGACCAAGATAACGGACGGTAAGGCGCGTAACAAGGTACAGGCATCACTGTATAGTGCGCTGAGAACGGAGGATAAGCAGCGGCGCCGTGCTAAGCAGTTCAATATAGCTCTTCAGTCCACTCCAGCCGCGCCCAATAGAGTGGAAGGCACATCAGCGACCACTCAAGCCATCTCGAACAGCGCTATTGATGCGGTTGACAGTCCCAACGTCATGCCAGCCGGTTCAGCTGCTGGAACAGATATCCTGGTGCTACGGTCTGAGACTCTCGCGGGAACCGAAATATTGGCACCGGATGGTGGTCCATCTCCTGTTGTGCTGCATCCTACGACTCGTCGTGCAATCGCCCAAGCATCGCTCGCTGACATCAGAAAGTACAGCACAGCGGAAGAAGACCTAGACTGGACAACGATTAGAGATGCCGTCGAGCGTAGAAGGCGCCAATCTAGAATTCAGGATCTCAAACGTCTAGAAAAGGCTGAGCAGGCTGCGAAGTCTCTCCAATCGTTAAGAGACAGTCTCGGCATTGGCGACGTTTCCAGGCGCACGCAGCTTGCAAGTCTTACTGCTGCCGCTGCAGACATCCTCGACAGTGGCGACATCGATGCTGCAGCGTCCGCTGCAAACGCAAGTCGCTACAATGTCCGTCAGCGGCACGCAACTACCCCTAAATACCGAGAGGATCCCACTGCGGATGACCTTGCCGGAGGAGATGTTGGTAGCGACGATGATGCGGATCAGGAGATTTCGTCGGAAAGTGCTGACGAGTTTGGCACTGATCTCGGCTTGCAACTTAACGGTGTGGCGGACGTGGAAAGCTCGCACTTCCAAGGCGATACATTCACGGACCAGGAGTTTGTCGACTCGCTTAAAGCTCTGTGGAAGGCGAAGACCGACGGCAAAGCTGCCACTACTTTCTACATCAGGCACATCCGTCGCATGCTACAACTTCTCACGGCCGCCACACCTCCGCAAGCTGGAGACTTGCTGAATGATCCAAGCGGCCTGGCCGCTGCGAAGTATTTACAGCCAAACATGTTCTTCGATGGGCCTATTGTCACGTACAACCAACAGTCACTGCCCCTGCAGACTCTGGACAGCTTCTTTGGCGAGTTCTACGATGATAGCGTGGAGGTTCATGTAAGCATACACAGATATCAGCTCGCTAATCGACCACAACATTGCTAACCTTCCCATCCCGGTATAGGTGCAAGATCCAGCTATGGCGACAACCAAGTCGCACGTTCGCGCAGTCTCCCTGAGAAACGTCAAGAGGCGCTTCTCAAAGCCTATCAAGGACGTACCGTGGAATTTGCTCGAGCTTTCTCATCATTGGGACGACGGACTACGTCCGGCTTTCTTGGTGAGTGAAGCGATATGCAGTCAAACTCCAAGTTGTTGAGTGGGTTGCTGACAATCCTACCCATCGTTGCTAGAACACCGAAGACTGTCGTCTCCTGACAAAGCTCAAGCTGCCTTCAACCGGCGATACAGCGAAGCGCTGGGGCTACGAAGAAGGTTGGAAGGAGGTGGAGAAGTGGGCTCTTGTCGCACAGGCCGGCGCTCTTACCGAGCCGCACCAGGACAGTCACGGCTATAGCACCTATATCACAGTCAACCAAGGCACCATCGGCTTCGGATGGCTGGCGCGCCCCACAGACGATGAGCGTGCCGCTTGGGTGAAAGACCATACCAGATTCATCGACGGCCGCTGGCGTTACGTTATTCTAGGGAAGGGTGCAACCATTTATTTCCCGTCCGGGACTGTCCACTTCGTCTTCCGTCACCCGGATGCAGGCAACACGCTTGCCTTCGGAGGCCACGTGTTGCGCTGCTCGCAGATCGTGCCCTGGGTCAAGACGCTGCTGGTTGAGCAGGATGAACCGTCCATCACCAATGAGGACATCTCTGTGTCTGCCCCGGGTTATCTTGACAGGGTGAACAGGTATGTTACGCAGGCTCTGAAGACGGGTCAGCAGAAGAAGGGGCAGCTGCAGCTAGGACAGGAGGGTACCGAGGAGGAGATGAAGTGGGGGGGCAGGAAGGCGATCAACGACTTCCAGTACCTCAAGGCTATTTTTCTCAGGAAGCATCAGGCAGCTCTGGAAGAGGCAAAGAGGACCGAAGCCAAGGGCGCGGGTCGAACGAGGCGAAAATGAAAAGGATTGAGCGCGGATTTATGTTGAAGGTGTAGACTCTGTCGTTACACGGGCCTTCAGCCAAGGCTAAGAGGCTATGATGGTACAGGCGGAGAGAGATTGCCATTGGCGGATCACGAGGAGCAGGTTGGGCTCTGGCGAGCTGTGCGGTCTAAGTGACAGGAGGTGAAACAGATTGGTTGTCTCTGTGCGACGGACCTTGCTGCTCAACACACGCGGCTTGGTGCTTGTTAGCTACACTTTGCTGCAAATGTAATCATACCATCATGCGGTGATCTTGTCAAATGGTGCCTACAATCCTTCACATGCTTGCTCTGCCGCCGCGGAATTGCTAGAGCCTCATGACGGAAGTGGGGCGAAATTCAGAACCAAACAATTTGCGCTGCACTGTATATTCTACTTCTCCTACAATGGCGGCGCAACTTGTAGCAAGAGCGAAGCAGCTTCGGCGACAGAGCTATGGCGACTATAGTGCTTGGTAGGTCGCGTACCAATGGCTCACACGTGGCTAACCACTGACCGATCGTTCACAGGGGCGCAGTGGGGTGATGAGGGCAAAGGCAAGATTGTCGACATTCTGAGTGAGAGCGCACAGCTATGCTGTAGGGCACAAGGCGGGCACAATGCTGGTCACACAATTGTCAAGAATGGGATTACCTTCGACGTACACATCCTGCGTGAGTGAGGCTATGCAATGGTTCGATGAGCAATACTAACCCACACGTAGCATCTGGCGTTCTTACTGATGGCTGCGTCAACTTGATTGGTACCGGCTGCGTCATCTACGTACCTGGCTTCTTCAAAGAGATCGAGACGCTGGAGAAGCATGGCATCAACACCCATGACCGTATCCTGCTTAGCGACCGGTGTCACGTTGACCTTGACCTGCACACGAAAGTGGACGGCCTGAGGGAAGTCGAGCTCGGCAAGGGCTTGATCGGTACAACAGGGAAAGGAATCGGACCAACGTACTCTACCAAGGCGACACGAAGTGGCATTCGCATTGCCGATGTTTTCCACAAGGAGAGCTTTGACGATAAGGTACGGCAGTTGGCGCATGGCTTCCAGAAAAGGTGGGGTGATCTGCTGAAGTACGATCCTGAGGAGGAGCTCAAGCGCTTCGACGAGTATCGTGAGCGGTTACAGCCGTTCGTCGTCGATCAAGTGCCGCTCGTTGAGTCGGCGGTCAAGGGCAATGTGCGGATGCTGGTCGAAGGCGCCAATGCGCTCATGCTCGACATTGACAATGGCACCTACCCCTTTGTCACATCTTCGAATACAGGCCTCGGCGGCGTGTTTACCGGCCTCCATCTCAATCCACGCAAGATCAAGGAAACCATTGGCATTGTCAAAGCATACACCACCCGCGTTGGCTCTGGTCCATTTCCGTCCGAGCAATTGAACGAGTTCGGCGAGAAGCTTCAATCAGTCGGCAAAGAGTTCGGCGTCACCACCGGCCGTAAGAGGCGATGTGGCTGGTTGGACTTGGTTGTAGTCAAGTTCTCGCACAGCATCAATTGGTACGACTCTATCAACCTCACCAAGCTTGACATTCTCGACGACTTCGATGAGGTCAAGGTAGCCACCAAGTACAGTCACAATGGCCAAGCTTTGCCATCGTTTCCGGCAGATCTGGCTGTGCTGGATAACGTGGAGGTGGAGTACAAGACGCTGCCTGGATGGAAGTCAAGTACGGTAGGCTTGACGAAGTATGAGCAGCTGCCGGAGAATGCGAGGAAGTATATTGAGTACATCGAAGAGTTCATCGGGGTCAGGGTGAAGTACATTGGCACAGGGCCGGGGAGGGAGAGCATGATTGTGCGGTAGCATTCGTCGGTGGGGTGGAAAAGATGCGACGTGAGGTGTAGACGACTGGTTCATTTTGCGGAGGTCACAAGCATCAATGCTTATATACCGCAATAAGTGCTCACGCGATCGTCAATCACTTTGTGTAAGATGTAACGACGTTGTCAATGCAACATGGTGTAATTTCCGTTGCATGCCTACTCGTGAAGCCAAGATTTCCCGAGGTCGGCACTTCCCGAAGAAGAAGCTACGTAATTCGCTAAGGCCTAGCCACTATCTCCGCGAGCAACCTCGCCTTAACAGTTTGTACACCTGGTATCTTCCGTTGTACACAGGAAATCAAGTCCCTAGTCGAAAGCAACAGTACTGGTCGAGGCCACGAAGCACCACCGCCAACATGAATCCACAAATGTACGCCCGACCCAATGCAGTAGGCACGCGAGCATGGGCTAATGACTTGTCCTGCGCAGTACCAACCTGATCATCATCCTGGTGATGATGCAGGCGAGCAAGAAGATCCCCTTCGAGGACCCGAACGTACTCATGGGCGTGCGAGGACTGTACATCCTCAGCAATGTGATTATCGCGGGCGTCTATTTCTACACGAAGATGCAGATCGATAAGAAGAAAGGTACGGTTGTCATCTTGTCCCGTCTATTGACCACAACGAGCGCATGCTGACGTTCGTCCGTATAACAGACTTGACCGTCCTCAAGTACGTCGAGCCCGCACCAATGGGCAGCACCGAAGAACCAAAAGCCGTCACAACCACCGTGCATGCCTACGACTTGTCCCAGCTGCGCGGGCTGTTCAAGGCGCAGCTCATGGGCGTCGGCATGATGGCAGTCATGCACTTGTACTTCAAGTACACAAACCCTCTTCTCATCCAAAGCATTATCCCGCTCAAGGGTGCGTTTGAAGGCAACCTTGTCAAGGTACATGTTCTGGGCAAGCCTGCGACTGGTGACTTGAAGAGGCCTTGGAAGCAGAATGCGGGTATGATGGGCATGATGGGTGGACAGGGCAGTGGGGAGGTTAAGACGGACAAGAAAAGTATTGAGCAGGCGGAGAGGGCTGGGAGAGGAGGTGTTAAGGAGGAGTAAGTGGGTACATATGTATGCATGTCGTCCAGCAGCATGAATACACACTGTACGATGCTCTGCCGACGCCGCATGGTAGACTCTACCGTTTTAACCGACATACCATATCTGTTCTGACCCAAGTGATCCGCGATATCGCGTATACACACTGTACGATGCTCTGCCGACGCCGCATGGTAGACTCTACCGTTTTAACCGACATACCATATCTGTTCTGACCCAAGTGATCCGCGATATCGCATTCGGAGTATGAGCGTTAGCCATACACTCCATTCCCTTTCCGTCTCTGACGAATAGTCATAGTTCTGGATTGATAAGGAGGGAAGTCCTGAGGCCATGTAAATCCTGCTGTAGGGCTCAACACCCGCTGCGACCCTTGGCGGGTGTAGATAGCAGTACAATTATGAGACGGCCATAGTGTCGGTATGAGAGTCACAGAGGAGTTCGAGATCACAACATCAATTGGCCCTTATATGTACGCTGCACGTCGCGACACCGCTTTCTGATTAGATGCTGCGGCGGACGAGTAGCGTAGAGTCCTGCAGCGTAATTGCATCGCTTCGAACGTTAGCCAAAGCCGTAACACCACAACACCTCGCTCTAGGGGTACTATAACATGCGCAGGACAGCGTCACTGCGCCTTCTTCACCCCGTCCGTAGTCCGATGCAACGTCTCCTCGACCATCCTCCTCAACTCACTTCCCTCCGGTCCGGGCTTACTCCCTCTCCTCTTCTTAACCTCCTCCATAACCTCATCAACCATCTCATCAAACTCCTTCCCCGGCTCGCTCGGCACACCCAGCGTAGCACCCTGCAAACTCTCCATGCTCTCACTCCGACCCATCTCCGGCCTCTTCTTGACGCCTTCCTGTCTCGCCTTGGCCTTCTTCGCCAACCACTTGGCGCCTGGCGATAGTAAGAATGTTTGGCATAGGACAACGCCAATGATGCAGTAAAAGTAGTTACGCCCCCAGACTTGCATGCTGTCGTGGAAGGACAGCAGGACGAATGGAGCTGTGGTAAAGGAGAAAGCGAGTTGTGTCACAAGCCATGTGAAGAAGTCGTAGTAGCGTTTCTGGGGCGTGGGACGGCCGTCCGGAGTGAGGAAGAATGGTCGGAGGAGGCGGCGCGAGTCTACAATCACAGTCAGCCACAAATATTATGATATCAATATCAAGGTGATGCGTTACTTTTGGCGATGTTCTGGATGAAGCTCGCAAGCACAAAAGTCATGTAATAACCCGGCCAAAAGCCATGCCAAAACGCACTCGTCACAAATGTAGCCATGCTTGCTCGAAAGCCTGGTTTTTTGCCCTTCGGCGTGACACGAAGGTACATATAGTTCCGCAGCCAGTGATTGGTATTGAGGTTCCAGTTGCCCAAGTAAGCATGACTGTTCTGCGCAAACTCTACGCCCGCTGGCCTGATGTTGATCAAGCGGTCCCAGTTCGGCTTGCCTGTCTTCGAATCCAGACCTTTGTAGCCAATCCCAGATAATGTGCATGCTCCATCGGTCAAAGACCAGACACCGTAGTACTTCATGCGGGTCACGAAGCTCATCATGTGAAGGTAGAATACGCGCCAGCCGAAGTTCATGGTCTTGTACCCATCGCTAAGAACGACGTTCTTGTTGAAGATTGGGTCGCATTGCAGAAAGACTAGAATCCAGAGAAGTCCTTTCGCCATCTTGATCAAAGCCGGTGTAGCACTTCGTGGGATTCGTCGTTTGCCTCGCGTTGGTGGTGCTTTCATTGGATCCGTACCGGGTGGCAGGTCGAACATACTACCATTCAGCCAGCGCTCGTAGTCCACGTAGTCGAAAGCCGGGCCGACCATGATCGAAGGGAAGAACGCAACAAAGCCAGCATAATTCAGGACAGAGGGCAGTTGCTTCAAGCTCCGCTCCTTCTGCTCCTCATTAAGCTGCTCAGGCTTCTGCTTGCCATCCCACACATTCCAGCAAAAGGCCGAGAGCTTCATGACCATCACCATCTGGGCGCCAGTGATGTCCACAGAACTCGGGCTGTTGGCAATCTGTCGGTAGATGTGGCTGACGGACATGTGTCCCATGAGGAAGATGAACCCGATCCATGGCATGTAAGGTCCTTCGACATACTTCGCGATGCAGTATGTCACCACCGCGTCGGTTACTATAAGGGCAAATCCAGTCCACAAGTCGAAGAGGCCGACAAGGTAGAAGACAGCGACAGTAATATTGAAGACGTTCTTCATCCATGGCTTGTCATCTGGCAAGCGCTTGAGAATGCCCGCCAAGGGATATGAGAGAAGGAAGAGAAAGATTAGCTTAAGTTCATCCGTGGAAGCGCCTAGGAGACCGGCCACATAGGCAAATGGGCGGTTGATGCCAGGGATCATTCTGAGACTGGAGGGCGCGGAGGAGCAGCGGATTTCCTCGTGTTTTATGGGTTTGGCCGTCTTCGCATAGTCACTATCCGTGGTATAACTGACAATCAATCTCAACCAGGGAATGGAAGACAGCGGAATAGCATACAGTGTCGAAGTTACGGGAACTTGCAATTGTGTCTTTGCTCACAGACAGCTTTCGCAAAGCACGCCTGCCGTCATCGCGCAGCCCCGCTTCACCCCTCCACACACACTACACACACACTACACGCATTTACCACACACTAAAGCTATGCCTACCGCCATCACAAGCCACTTGGAAGGCGCCTCCAGACATCTGTCCATAGTGCTGTCCATTCCACATCACATTGTTCCCACCGACACCTCCCGAGGACGGCACCGACGAATGCACCGACGTGGGCACCGATGTGGGCACTGACGAGAGTACCGACGAGGGTACCGACGTGGGCATTGGCGGCAGCACAACCTCCCCGGTTGTCCCCTGCGGCACGCTCAACTCCACCACATACCCACCCCCCGTAACATTCCAGCTAGCCTGGAACTTGCCCAAAATCGTCGTAAACCCGCCTTGCACGCTCGTCAGGTCACCGAACTGCGGCGCGAATCGCCACGTGCTGCCCGCGCGTCCCGTAACCTGCAGACCCAGCACAAAGTTCGTCAGCGCAGACGTCGGGCCCGAGGACCAGCCGTGCGAGTGCGAGACGTAGCTGGAGTCGTAGTTGTAGCCTCTGTAGTTTCGGTAACCAAAGCTGCCGTTGGTGAGATAGCCTTCGATTACAGTAGACTGGCTGCCGTTCGGATTGTTGAGGTACCAACCCCAGCTACGACGGATAAGGTCAAGCGCTCGATCAGTTTGGCCAATGGTGAGGTGGCCTTGGATCTCGAAACTACTGATGAAGGGGCTGATATTGTTGGGAAGCTCGGGCGTCTCGGCACCGATGGGCGTCCAGTTGTCTGTTAGGCGCAAGGAGATGTTCTGGGCCATCGTGGAGGTATCGGAGACGACGCCGAAGAGCAGTGCCATGCTGTTGGCGTCTTGTGGGTAGAGTGTGGTGTTTGTGTTGTTGTCCTTGAAGGCGCCGTAGCTGTCGACATATGTGTACTGGATGATGTTCGAGGCCAGCGTGGCGGCGCGAGCTGTGTAGGTTGAGGCAAGGGAGCTGTTGCCGGACCATGCAGCAAGCTCTGCACCCGTTATGAGGGTGCGGTACAGGATCATGTTCGCCTCAGTGTTGTTGCCACCCTGTTGTACACGTGCCCAATCACGGGTGCCGGTTACGCTGAGCAGACCCAAAGGTTGTAACACCTTTGCATAGATGTACTCCATAGCGTGCTGATAGCTTGCCCAGTTGTGAGCCAGGAAGGTGGTATCGTTGGTGAACAGCACGTAATTGTACGTTCCGATCATGGTCCACATATGATAAGTATCGCTCCCTTGCTGTAACAGCGGTGGCCCAGCCTCCGGGAAACTCCCATCCGAGTTTTGGTGATCATACATCGTCTGCAGAGCATTTTGCACGCTCTGAAGGTCACCGACGGAGACAAAGGTAGACGGCACGGCGATACCCATATCACCTGGCCACACGGCTCGGTCCCTCTTCGCACCGTCAACAATGACCGTAGACCCGTTCGACAGCGTGCCGTTATTAGCCCAGCTAGCCGCCAGAGCGGGAATCCAGCGGCCAGTATTGACAGGCACATTATTGGTCTGCAGCGTGTAAGCACCGCTATACCAGATCTTGTTCAGCTCCTCGTCGTTGGAGTGGAAGTATCCCTGATACGCTCGAAGATTGGACCACGTTCTGAAGAATGTCAGCTTTGGGTATGGTAGGCAATCCTTTCGCATCAAACCTACGGCTGAAACCCAATCTCCAAACTCACACCATCGATATTCAGCGTCGTGCCAGCGTCACCAGTGAGTAGAAACAACGTCAGGTACCGGAACCCGCCACGCAGGTGCTGCAAATCCATAGTGTAGCTATGACTTCCCGCGCCGCTGAAGTAGCTGTACAGCGCGCCATCATTGCACACCTGATCACCATTCTGGCGCAGCGAAGCGTTCGACGACCCGAAGTCGCCGTTCGAAGAGTCACTAGCAAGTCCAATCCAGTTCTTGGCTTCGGTGAAGGCGAGACCAAGCGAGCCACTGCCGCCGGTGGTGGTGTAGTTGACGTTAACAATGCCGCCAACTTCGATGCCGAAGTCGAAGACTAGTGCGCTCCCGTTGCTGGAGAGTCGGGAGACGCCTGGATACGGCGAGATGATTGAAGCATTGCCGAGCGAGAGAACGTTGGCCGGGTGCACGGTCCGAGAGGCTGGGGAGTAAATGTTTGACTCCCATGGACCCGGAAACGCGGCAGTAGTCGGTCCTGTGCACGTAGTGTTCCGCCAGCAGGACTGTGCGGTAGCCGCAGAGATAGTGCTTAAGGCAGTGAGGATGGTCAACAAGCTCGCCATGGTGAAACTAAGCTTGCTGACGGCGACAAGACACGAGATACGGGAGAGCAACTTACCGTCTGACGCTCGCCTACATATCACAAAGGTCATTCCCGATAGAGGAGCTTGCTTCGCTATGTTTTGTGCCGAGCTGGCAACAGGGTACAATTTCTCCGCGAGCAGATGATGAGTACCTGCATTGGCGATCCTCTCTCCACGTTCCCCGCTAATGCCTCCACGTCGTGTGTCACCCTTGCAGACAAGCTTTGTGGTCTTGCCAGGCCAAACAGCGTAAGATACCGTACAGCATGTTCTGTCTTAACGGAGGTTCAGCGTATCGTCTCTCGTCGTAAGTTCAGCGTCTCGTGGAGAAGCCGGAAAATCTTGCGGACCCAAGGTCATTTGCGAAGCTCGTGTCTGTTCACCTTCGTCGAACTGTGTACAACAAACCGATAGTCCTTTGCATCACGTCTCCCAACATGTCGGCGTTATGTCGCAGCTTGATATGATCGCAGCTTCCTTGTAACGCTTGCTTCATGTCCGAGGCGGGCCCACCCGGCGATTGCGGCTGACCGCGGGTCACCGAAAATCAGCCATCCGCTAGCCGCGGCGACCTCGCAACCAATAGAACCAGCAGCCACTTCATCCACCTCCCGCTCCAACACCATTCAGTCTTGGCCCAAACAAGTCCTCCCCTTCCTGCCTACTCTTCTCCCTCGCCGCCTTCCGCTTCCTCGCCTTCGCCTCGTCATCCTCGTCACTTCCGCGCATAGCAGCCGCATGCGCTTGCACCAAATCACGCGTGGACGGATCGCGGCAGAGCTCCAGTTTCTCTTCGAGTCGCGCTCGCTCTTCTTTTGAAATAATGACAGCGTCGGAAAAGGAGAACAGCAGGTCCGCGCAGGTACTAATCGTGGCCAGGATTTTGGGTCGGACGTCCGAGGATATTGGCAGTTTGGTGGTTAGGTAGAATGAACTTAGTGGTTCGTCCGCCAGCTGTAAAGCGGCGAGGAGGATCTGGGAGGGTGTGTAGAGGAAGTAGGCGTCTGTTAGCAGTGCTGGACCATCAAGAATCGTTCGTGCGGCGGAGTAGGCGGCGTTGATACGGTCTGTAAGGTGCTTAACGTCTACACTGCCGGTAGCAGGCGCCTTCCAAGGCGTCTTCGCGTCGCTCGACGGTTTCGCCAAGTCCAGTAGGCTCGCCTGTAGCTCCTTCGCGCCCCTGGTCTCGGCATCGATGACTTCTCCGACCATGCCGTTAGCCATGTTCAGCAGCTCCATCAGCACACCCTTCAATCCACGGTACGGTTGCCTGACATCCAGCGTGAAGCGTAGGGCCTGCATGACCTTGTACTCCGGCGCCAAGACGGCGTCTGGATCGGTGCTGATGCGTCGGGCATACTCGCTGAGGGTCATGTGGGTGGCTTCTGTCTTGCAGGCGAGGAACAGGACGGTCTTGTAGATGTCTTTTGGTGGATAGGTCAAGCAGGAGTTAGAGAGGTAGAATCGGCGGAGGTATTGGACTGCGGTGGCCTTTACGCAACATTAGCGAGGGGAAGGATGGATAGGTAGGCGCAAGTAGTCGAGTTCTGCAGCGTACCTTGACCTGCACCGGCCATTGGAAGTGATCGCTTGTTGTGCGTATCTGATTGCAATACCGCTGCACCAACCGCAGCTCCTCCCCCACTGTCAGGCAGTCTACGCTCGACCCTCGTGCAGCGCCATCACTCGCTCCATCTGATGTGGGAGCATGCTGCCATGCCCGCTGTAGCGCGAGCTCATGTGTCCCCCTTCGCCGTGAAGCAAGAGCTTCTGGCGAGAAAGACCACAGACGGTACTGAGATGTCGTACGGTAGAGGTCGTCTTCGCTTATTGTGTTGGATGTCATGGTACGAGTGATGAGCTGTACAGATGGGAGGATTGGGAAGCTCGGCGTTTGTCGGACTTTGACCAGATTCACGGCAAGGCAACGCTCTAGAGCATTGTTCGAAAGTGAATAACAGTCCAGTCGACAGATATCAATACAGTGCAAGCCTGGAAGCGCTGAAATGTTGCCGATACTACTTCGGTAAGGTAACTCGCAAGACTCTTAACTCAGCAGGTTAATACACTATAACAATGACCTCCTCCACCAACAACATCTTGGACCTACCGGCGGAGCTTTTGGTGCTCATTGTACGGTTCCTAGAAGATGAAGACGTCTTTACACTCCGCATCGTATCCCGGACAGTCGAGCAGACCGTCTTTAAGTACTTCGCAAAACGCTTCTTCCGCAAGAAAGGCTTCATGATCACAACCCCCAGCCTAGACGTCCTCCAACAGATCTCGCAGCAGGACCAACTCAAACCCTACGTCCAACATGTCTGGTTCAATCCAGACTGCTACACCTACGTGGAGCCGGACTGTGCTCCCGAAGCCGTTGACGACGATACCGGCTGGCGCCGTCACCGACGGCCAGAAGACGAAGCCAAGTACAAAGCCTACTTGTCTTGCCATAGTGACCATATACGGCTGCTCCGTAAACCCAGCAAAGGGCTGGAGAACCTGCTGACTACCGCTCTCCAGCAACTGCCGAACCTCAAGATCATCGGTATGCGGCGCTCGGAAGATCACAAGCCGTGGGGTTGGCGTACGCTCAAAGACTCCATAGGCGAGGATCCTCGTGTGACCGGTCCTACACCGAGTGGTCCACAGTACAGCTTATCTGGCCCGACCTTGCTTTTTCTCTTCCTCGTGCGTGCCGTAGCCGCCTCGAACATAGTAATAAGACGCTTCTACACCGACGCCATCGAGCTTGACAATATCCGTCCAGCCCAACTCCCACAAGACTTGCTCTCGAAAGCCTGCAGCAGTATCTGGTACCTCGAAATCAACATCACTAAAGCCTGGCTAGCCAACAGCGACAACCACGTGCTATGCGACACCCTGGACGATCCCGCTTCCTACGGCCGCGGCCTCATCAGCCTCCTCCGCGCAACAACCAACCTAAAAGAACTCGGCCTCCAACTCTTCCCCGACCAACGAAGTCTCCGCACCCACAACCTCGCCTACCAACACCCCTCCGACTGGCAAAAGACATATCCCTACCTCTGCTTCACCGCCCTCGCCTTAAACGTCCAACTCGTCCACCTAACCCGCATAAAACTCGAACGCATAATCACGCGCTCCGACACCCTAATCTCCTTCCTAATCCCCAGCGCCCCCCACCTCACTAGCCTAAAACTCCGCGACATCCGCCTCCTCTCACACAGCAACTTCCGTGAGCCTTGGCGCAAATTCTTAACCTTCTTACTCGACTCCTGTCCCCAACTAAAGTACATGTTCTTCTACCGCCTCCTCCACAGTCGAGGCGGAATCTCGTTCCTCGAGAACCCGCCCTTGCCTCTCCCACTCTCTGAAACGGACCCCACCACTGGAGCGCCAAATCCGTCTTTCAGTGAAGGTGAGGAAACGGACGCGCAGGAGTTCTTCCTCAAGTACGAGCATATCGCTCTTCGCGCGAGTGGGAGGGAGGAGGTGAGGCGGAAGTTGGAGGTGGTGAGGGAGCGGCACTGGTACCTCAAACCGATTATGGGGTATCAGTTGGATGAAGATCTGTGGCACACTGATACTAGCGATGAGGAGTGGTGATGAAGTATGGCAGCACGCGTTGCTGACTGCTCGCGCTATTACGCTGATTACGCGATGTTGAATGCTAGAACGCACACGCTCGCCCAGCTCACCCCTCCACCTCCAACATCACTACTCATCACTCGCTAGTATAAGACTCGCGTCCGAATCCTGCTTCCGAGGTCTTCCAAATGCTGATACAAATCCTTAATCTCGCTCACATTCACATTCGAAATATCCGCCATCAGATACGCCACCTCCCCACGACTATCCGTCATCTGCTTATCCACATTATGATCCCCCAAAATCTCATTGACCTTCCGCAACACGCCCGGCACATTCCGGTGGATATAAATGACCCGCACATGATTCGGTTCGTCCATCGTCAAACTGCGTAAAGTCACCTCCGGCATGTTTACGGCGGCGGAGGTCGTGCCGAGATTGACGTAGTTGACCAGTGATTCGGCCACTTCAACGCCGATGGCAGATTGCGCTTCCTCGGTCGATCCGCCGATGTGGGGGGTAAGTAGGACGTTGTTGACGCCCCGCAAGTCGTCGGCCCAGGAGCCGAGTTTGGAGGAGGTGAAGGTGGGCCCGTTGGAGCCCGGTTCGTTAGGGTAGACGTCTAGCGCTGCGCCGGCGAGTTTGCCGGATTGCAGCGCAGATACTAAGGCGGGGATGTCGACGACGCTGCCACGGGAGGCGTTGAGGAGGTAGGCGCCGCGCTTCATTTGCTCGATCTCTTTCGCGGATATCAAGTTGATCGTCTCCGGTAGCTCCGGGACGTGCAGGGTGACGAAATCGGCCTGTTGGAGTAGTTGCTCAAGTGTGTGGACTTGCGTGGCCGTGCCCAAACCCATCAGGTTCACAACGTCGTAGTAGATGACCTTCATCCCCATCGCTTCCGCCAGCACGGAAAGCTGGCTGCCCACGTGTCCGTACCCGACTATCCCGAGCGTCTTGCCACGCACCTCCCAGCAGCCGGCGGAGACTTTATTCCACACGCCCTGGTGCATCTCGTTGCTGCGGTCGCCGAGCTGGCGGGCGAGGGTGATGATCTCGCCGATCATGAGCTCGGCGACGGAACGCGAGTTGCTGAAAGGCGAGTTGAAGACGCAGATGCCATTTTGCGCGGCATACTGCAGGTCAACTTGGTTGGTGCCGATGCAGAAGCAGCCGATTACGATGAGGTTCTTGGCGTGCTTGAGGACGTTGGCGGAGAGTTGGGTCTTAGAGCGGATGCCGATGACGTGCACGTCGCGGATTTTGTCGATGAGTTGGTCTTCGGGGAGGGAGGTTTTAAGCGCTTCCACTTGGTAGCCTTGTTTGCGGAGGATGTCCTGGCCGGTCTTGTTGACATTTTCTAGTAAGAGCACCTTGACATCTTGCGTCGCGAAGGGCTTGAGCTGTTTGGTAGAAGGTTTCTGTGCGGAGCCATAGCTACCACTGTGCTGTGTGTGGAAGGTAGCTGAAGGGCTGGTAGACAGGTCGAGTGTGCCAAACGAGTTCGAGACGGTTCGTGCAAGCGAAGCCTCATCGCGACCGTTGCTGTGGCCATTGACGATGGGAATGTCGCGGGCGGCAGAAGGCATGGCGGAGTGGGTGGATGCTGAATTGAGAGTGTCGAAGGACATTTTGGGAGAAGGGAAGTAGTATGAGAAATATAGAGATATGGTGTAAGACTTGCCTTCGAGTCATCTTCGCACTCATCATCGCCAGTACATTTTTCGCCCCGCCTGACGCCATCTCGCGTACCTGCATTTCGGCGCGAGCCATGCGCGCTACCCTTCTCCGCCCGACTGCAGGCGATGATCTTCAATACCCGCGTACAATCTGTAGCCTCCACAGGGCGGACAGGATACGTGGACGAGACCATTGTCTGCTTGTCGCCGTCATATTGGGCAGGTAAGGAAGATATACGAAGGCTGAGGCTGGGCCTAAGATGAGGTATCTGTCAGCAATTCGTACATTGGCTCGGCTTCCAGTCACGCTAATGGTTGTTCAATGCCGAATTGACGACGAATTGACAACGAAGTCCTCCCGAACTATAACCATTTATGAGCCGTGGACCTCGTGGCATTGCAGTCGTAGCTACGTAGATCCGCCCTTATCGACGAAGTCACTTCCAAACGACCTTTCTCGGCATCGCACTAGATGCTACTCATATGCACCTCGCCCTGGCCAATTTCCGCAGACTGGATGCGCTGCCTTTACCTCTACCAGTCCGAGCTTCCCTCTCATAGCGCTTTTGGCTGATATGACACCCCGTTCGCCATCGCACCGGCTCGGCCTCTCGTCGTACGTTGTGTTGCAGTCGCTGCACGTGAACCTCAGAGTTTGATGCGGCTCACCGTCCTCACCGACCAGGGCAACGAGCGGTCAAGACCATCTCTATCCGTGTACTTGAACGGTCCCTGTTCCTTCGTAAGACTCAGTCTCCCTCCGTGTCGGTCCCATGGGCTTCCACTTGTCCAGCAACGGCTTTGCAAGCACCCGCGTAGAGATCCTCGTCCATAGTCCGTCGCCGGCTTCGTTCTTCGACCGTCGCTGCAGGGAGCTGCGGAACGCTCAACGCCCCGTTCGTGGCTGTGCGCACCTCCTGCGGATGGGCCCGGACGACGCTGTTCACTAAGATCGAGGCGTCACCACTCGCTTTCTCAAGGTCGGGCTCTGGGCTGCGACGGCTGTTGTCGAAGGGCAGACCCCGCACGGGTGCTTGATTGACGTGCTTTTCCGCGTGGTCGGCAACAGCAATAATCCTGCCAACCGTACTGCGGCTCTCCGTTACGTCGATCAGCTTATTGAGAGTGGCAAACTCAAGTTTCAGCTTGATGCTGTACACCATAGCTTTGACTGCTTGCTTAATGGCTTGCCTGTATCGTTATTAGCCCTTCCGCACTGTCGCATACCTCATGGACTCAGTTGAGCTTACAGCGCCGTGTACTCGTCAACGAGCAAATACACATCTAGCGCCTCAATGACCAGACTTATAACAATGAGTTGGAACATCACTAAGTGGACTTGGCTCCGCTTCTCGGCCAGGACGAGAGACGACCGCAGAATGTCAATCGCGCGCCAGATGTAAAGTGCGGAAAGCAGACACTCTTGTACGCAGAAGAAGGTGCGCTGGACCTTGTGCTGAGTGTTATACGCGTGGATCCATGCGTGGCTAGGGGAAGCGTAGTATGCGCCAAAGGTCAGGACTGCGGAAAGTGCTGTCAGTCCTGCTGCATCCTCACCAGTCGGAATGAGAGTACGTACTAATAGTTCCAGAATGATGCACCACAGCATCTACAATAATAACCCACTTGACTGCCCTTTTCAAGTTATCGTACCCCCGCCCAAGCACCGTTCCCAGCCGTGAGTACAGCACCAGACTCTGCCCCGTCACCATAGCCGGCCAGCCAAGCACTCTAATTGCAAGACCGGTAAGTTGTGCACTGAACTGAAAATACAGGATCAAAACGCCGATGGTGTACAGCAGTATCCCGCAAGTTGCCACGATAAGAGACCAGAAGTACAGGCCCCCAAACCGGCGGAAGGTTGTCAGGATGAGAAGGATCAGCTCCAAGACGTTGTAGAGTGCGAGTGCACACGCGATGGTGACGGTGACGGAGGTGACGGAGTAGATGCCATTGAAGAGGTTGTCTGAAGTCTTGAGCGCGGAGATCAGGCCGTGGTTGTAGGTCATTGCTGCTTCTACGAGAGTATACAAGAAAGGACGGGAATGAATAATAAGGAGAGGAGGTCGCCTTGAACGGCAGTCATACTAGTGACTGACGAACACTGTGCTTATGAAGAAGGGAGAAGCAGGAGACGATGCCTTACCACGACACCACGCAGGTTCAATGTCAGCTCGGCGAGCTCGCCGTACTAACCTTATCGCTTGGCATGCCTTCTTCCAGCAGTAGCCAGCGAGTGAGGCGGTGGGGAGGTGCATAGCCGCACAGACATCGCCTTTGCTGTCCTGCGCTGTCAGCACTAGAGCCGCAAGCTGCCACAGACTATTGCTGTCAGCAACCTGGGGCAGCCGCAAGCTGCAGGTGTCAGCAAGTAGCACCCTTGCGTGCGTCGCGGCTGGATTGTCAGCTTTGGCTAAAGGGCAGCTTGGAGCTCGACGCGGCGACCATATCGGCATGTGGACGCGATGCTCAGTAGCCCAAAGCGGGACAATGGCGATGCAGTAGCGATGCCAGATGGGTATGAGAGAGCTGAAAGGGTGGTGGCTCGGGAGTTTCGGTTCTGCTTGCTGACTCACCGCTCCAATGGCCGCGTCCTCGCGCCGAGGATCCGGCAAGCCGAGGTTGGACTTCAGACCATGTCGCTTCAATGGCCAGCGGCCGAGGCGCCGCAGAGCAACGGCAAGATGTGAGGGCTTCGTTGTACAAAGTATTTGTACTTCAGAGAAAGCAAAATGAGTGTTCAAGACAGCGAAGCCGTGTTCCAGCGCATACCGTGGGCAGCGGCACTGTTGAACCAACCGGACATAGTCTGCGCTCCGGTTGGGTCTCGCGTCTCCCGAGATGGCAAAGACTCCCTCTACGCAGAGACGTTGAAGACGAGTCGAACCATCGCGAACTGCGTCTCCATATACAAACGACCTTCCGAGACAGACACTAGCATCGACGAAGTATCAACCTTGTTGCTCATCGGAGACGGACTAGAAGGTCATGCCAATATCATGCATGGAGGCATTGTTGCCACGATCCTCGATGAAGGCATGGGCATTCTGCAAGCTACCAACCTAGACTGGGAGTACTCGAAAAAGGCCAGTAAAGGCCTGACGAATGGTGAGCTGGCACCTACTGGTAGCGGCACGTTCACCGTCTTTCTAAATATCAAGTATCTGGCGCCTGTGCGGACGCCCGGTAGCCTTGCCGTCACTGCCAAGTATGTGAAGAAGGAAGGCCGCAAGGAGTGGATGCAGGCGGAGATCAGGCAGTTTGGTGAAGGCGACGGGGGTAAGGAGATCGTGTGCGCTACCTGCGAGGCGCTTTTCGTTAGACCCAAGTCGAGCAAACTCTGATTGAGAGGATCTGCTCGCCTCAATGATTGTTTACGTTTCAGTGGACACCTTGCCCATTCCCGCAATTGGGTGTCTTTGCTACGCGAAACTCTCTCGAATATTGGCAAGACGGCAGCATCATGCAGAGGGACCGGACTGCTCAGCAGTAAGTCAGGCTGTGTCACCAGTAATGAGACTACTTATCACTGACCGTAGAATAGACCGAATGTGAACCTAACCAGGCTCATCTTTGCGCAGGAACAGCTCAAGCATCTCAGTCCTCCGCTTCTCTTGCAAGACCTTCGCCCGTTCGGAAGATGGTGCTGGTGCTTTCACAACAACACTGGCAAAAACCCTTGCTATTGCGTGGCTCGCTGGCTCCCCATCAGCCGCTGCCGGCAGCCTACCCAACCCCGTCATCCGCCGCAAACTCCCTCCGGGTCTCCTTGGCGAACTTTGCGTATGCTCTTCCGGACGCTGTGGTGCCGCGGTCTCTTGCACGACCCGCTCAATCATGGAGGTGATAAGAATGAGGCAGACACTGTGGCTGGGTATCTGCGCCATGATTTCCAGGACAGCTAAACGTCGGTCGTCGACAGACGGTTTGGTCTTCAGCTTCTCCGCGTGAGCCATATGTGCGTCGATGCGCGACCAGAGCTCTGCGTCCACGACTCCATCCGGCAGCTGTTCCAGAAACAGCATCAGTGTAGCTGCCAGTACATACAGCCGCTGCAGACGTGGCAGCTCCAGCGGCAGACTTGCCTCGACCGGCTGGTCCGAGTCCATGGCATTACAGGCATCACCCACAGCTTCCTGCCACTGCTGTGTGTCCCTTTCTGTCCAGCAAGCTTTATCGAAAGGCCAGCTAGGATACCGCTTCCACGGCGGTATGCTTTCTTCAGCGGTTGCGTTATCGCCGGCAGAATGCGTCATGTCCCATTCGGCCACTACTTGGATGCTCAACTCTTCTATGGCCCGCGTCAGCAGCGGAAGCAAGCGCGGAGCGGCTGCACTCACAGGAAGGCTATCCAGGGCCGAAGGTGGGAACTTCAAGAGCGTAGGCGAGACAGACTTCGAGCTGGCGGGTGAGGTTGGGCTCTTCTTGCTGCTATCCGGTCGCTGCCGCTGCAGTTTGCGGATGCCGCCCTCCGGTATGCGGGTTAGCCTACCAATGGATCGACCGAGACTGTTGGCCAACCAATTGCCACGGATTGGGATGAAGTGATCCCGGCCGCCGTCAACGCGAAGGACGAGGATGTCATCCAGCTCGAGGAGACCTTCGTTGAGGTCGTGGCTGGTATTGACGTCCCAGATCCGTACCTCTAGCTCCACGGCACACGTGTCACCGGGCTCGAGCGTAATAGGTTCGGTAGACTTGCTCGAGCTTGCAGTCTCGACCCCGTCTATAGTAAGGTTGACCCATTTTGGTGCGACGCCCTACAGCGTTTCGTCAGCTGCAATATCCTGAAACCAGGCTTCTAGTAACCGACCGTATGCGCTGTTCCTGCGACCGGCCGCTCGATGAAACGGAATGTAGCGGGCACGCGACCTGTATTGGCTACTGTCAAGCTTCTATGCTTGCCCACCGCATATTTCACATCTAGAGCATCAAAACGTCAGCACTGCCCTTCACCAACCGCATCACGTGCAAAAGGGCTGCTGTAGTTCCCAACACATCTCTGGAAACGTGACTACCAAACGGGGGTTGCGCATAACCACTTACTGCCAAGCCAGACACCCTCAAACGTTGCCGGGTCCTCATCTGACTGCTCCATGCTGTCGCGGTGCTTGTCAACGACGACCGTGACAGATGGTCTGCTCTCGTTCTCTTCCTTGTCAAGCTCCTTTGCCACCTCCGCATGCACCTTCGCTTTCAGCTCAGGAATTACACAGTCATATCTGAGCTTGAAAACAGCATCTAGCGGCTTATGATCGCTCGAGAGCACCCGCTGGTGCGCCGTGTAGTATTCCAACACAATCTCGTCTTCGAAGCCTGCATTCGTGACCACCCGGTTGGCGCCATCATCATCATGCTCGTCATATTCATCATTGGCCTCAGCGCCATCCGTATCAGGGTCGTAGTCATACAGGATCTCCTCGTCTTGTCCAGCTTGGTCTGTGCCATTGGCTCTCATTTCTTCGTCCCGCTGTCGTGCGAGCTCTTCATCTCTAATCTTGGCTTCGTAAGCGAGTCGATCACGGCGTGTACGATACAGAATGCGGTCACACCATGATGGAGCGCGCTTCTTCTCTGACGAGTCGAAGACTCCTACACTGCCGGCATCGTATTTGTATGTTGGCAGAAAGTTGATGGGACCCTCACGCCACCCGTCATGGAAGGCCTTCCGAGCCTTCATTTGTTGAATAAGCTCGTCGTGCGGCAGAAGGGACGAGATGGTAGTCTGGAGGGAAGTAGGATCTTCCGAAGCCGCGATCTCGTCCACGATTGTAGGCGGTGTGCTGGCATGGCGTGTTCGGCTATCTGTGCTTAGCCTTGATTCGTTGCTTGTAGTGCTTGAGATGCTCAAGCGGTCCTCAACTCGCCGCTTTACTGAAGCAGTGGCACTCTGGAGTTCGTTCTCGATCTTTTGCGCAGATCGCTGGCTGAGATCATACTCATTCCTTGTATGTAGCATGAGCAGACGGCGCACATCATCACCAGGTATGCCCTCAAGACGGTAGTTCAGGTCTCCGCACCAAAAGGCAAAATCTTCGTCACCAATTTGCTCACCAGTAGTCTGCTGAAGCTCCATTGCATCTGTAATCGGTGCGAACCGTGTCCGCGCGACTATCTGAGCCGCATCCCAATTGCGGCGTTCCAGTGCTCCAGGGTCGGCGCCGGCAGAAAGATGACAGTTGATGAAGACCAAGCGAGTAGTCTCGCCCAGAATTATACGAGCAGTGACGGCTCCTTTGTTGCCCATGTAGCCTGCTATACCGGTACCAACGGAAGTTGTGGAGACGCTCCTTACGTCTTTGGCAAGGTCTGGTGAAGCGAAGATGAGCAGGAGCATGCCGATGAGCTGTTGCTCCGCAACCAAGGTGTAGCCAGCGGGCAGTGCAGTGGCGACAGCATCCTTCCACTTGTTCGCAATGACCGGGTCGGTGAAGGGTCGCAGGGCTTCGGTGAAGCTGTTGATATCTACGACCTCCTGAAGGCCTAGCACATACAGCCCGATATCATCATTGCCCGGCAGACTCCCAGGGTCGTTCCTTGGGAGAGTCGATTGCTTCCGCGCATAGCGTGCTTCCTGCGCAGCAACATCTTCCCTCTCATCTAAGCCTGAGTGCACCGGCACATCGTGACCGTGAGACTGCGTCTGGTCGTTGACGGTTAGACCAGCTAGAGCTTCGGTAACACCCTTGCCTTCGACGAACCAACCAGCCAGATCCTTCACCGTGCCTTTGTAGGCCGCAACGTTCCACGTCCCAACTTTGATGCGCACCTGCTTCTGTCGGACGTATTCTGCTCGCCGGGCATGAAGCGCTTGCGACAGACTCGCCCAATCTGACCTAGGCTGTTCTTCGGTACTGGTTCTCGACGGCCACGCTCCTGGTACATCTTGCATCAAGCTGCCCGTCGTGGAAGCGCTCGTCGTCCGTGATCGCGTGATCGCTGTATCCTGGCTTCGTCGGGCCATGACTGGTTTGTAGGATCAAGCATTATGATCAATGCTTAACCTCTCAACAACATGGACACCTCGCAGGGTCTGCTGCCGCCTCGCATATTGTTACATGGTCTGGACTTGGCTATACTGTAGTCGACTGCGCCTTCAGATGTGCGTACCGTCACTGCGGGTCGCCGATCCGCTTCTGCACGTTGACGCCACCACTGCACGCGCAGAAGCTTGTTGTTGGAGCTTGAGCTTGGCCTGATATGCGGCTCAGGAAAGTGGACATGAAGTGTTCTGTGTATCGAACCCGCCCTTAGGTAGTCGCAGCATGTGTGAAGAAAGCCACGCTCACAGACATCCCAGCTTCCGCCCAATCTCGACTCACCACCCTTTTATCTCGTAACTGAGCTGGCCATGCCATCCAAGCGAAAGTCAAGCCGCCACGCGAAATTAGAGCCTCAACCCATCACAGACTATGACACCGATACCGTAAACCCATCGGATGCGGCACCTTCTCTGGAAGCCCCACCGGTGCGGACGAATACAGAGCTCAACTTGACAGTCTTACGCCGCTATAGTCCGGACCTTGAGCATATCTTGTCTATTGCTCCATTTGCCGTTCTGTACACCTTCTCCACGGAATCTTCACAATGGGAGAAATGTGGCATCGAGGGTACGCTGTTCGTATGCCAGCTGGCCGGAACGGCGCGATACAGTGCAATCATACTTAACCGCAAAAGCCTCGACAACTTTATCACAGACTTGGTGAGCGCAGATGATGTGGAGATCACAGCGGAGTATGTCATACTACAGGCTTTGAACTCAGAGGGTACACCACAGATATATGGCATTTGGATCTTCGAAGATGAAGCTGGCGAAGTGAGCAGGAGGGAGATTGTAGCGCAGACGATTCAAAGCTGTGCGATGCAGGCGCAGATTGCCAGAGAAACCGCGGAGCTCCAGGCGGCTGGCGCGAATGGCCATACTGAGCACCTCAAAGAAGAAGACGATTATGGCAACGCTGAGGCGCAGGAAGAGGAGATGGTGGAGCAGGAAGCGCCTGCACCACCACCTTCGGTCGGTCAAAAGCTCGATTTGCTGCAACTGTTCGGTGGTGCACCGGCTGCTCCTCAACCTGCATCTCATACAAACCAACCTGACATCCCGCCTGCCGGCATGGAACCCGCTCGATTCACGGCTTCGACGGATACCGACTTCTTTCGTAGCTCGCCAAGTCCAGCAGGCGCTCACCAAAGCCACGGCCAAGCAGCTCCGCCCACGCAGCGAAACATACTGCTCGATCTCTTCAAGAAGTGACGTGACAACATAAGTAACCTTGTGAACGTCCATGAGCACTGCCTCTTACCAACTGTAACCTCCGGCCATACGACCAGTCACCCATTATGCAAACGAACAGGTCCATTTAACCGAGAAGCTGGGTACAAGCCGCGGTCGGAATGGTGTGTTATAATATGTGCTTGGGCGCGTCAAGGTATATGCTAACTCCAGCATAGTTGTTGCATCTCTGGTGCATACGAGGTGGCCCTTGCAAGGCGTCCTTCTATGCTCATCGCTCGGAAAGCCAGGCGGTTGCTCGCGCGTGGACAGAGTGTTCTACGAGCTATCCAACAGATCCTGATGTGAGACTTCGGACCTGGATTTCTTGCTTTGCAAAGTCATGGATTCGAACATCGGCTCAGTGCTGTCTTCCACCAACCAATGTCCGGAACTTGCCATCACTAGTGCCTAAGGCCATCTTGCAGAAAGACGCGCCACTTCACTTCGCCTCGCTATTCGCCCTGATGCATATTACTCGAGTTATTACGAGTCCTTGCCAACCAATGCCTGACCCTACATCACCTCTTCAGGAATCTGACCTCATCTTCTCCAACGCAGCTTCGGGTTGGCACGACATACTCGGCGAGCTTAAGCGATCGAATTTGTCAATATCGAACCGTCTTCGCTCAATATACGACGATGCGAAATTCGTCAAGTCGGTCGCAGAGGCTCTGAAGCTGCCACTCATCGCAAACGAGCGATGCGGCAGCTGGTACATTCCGCCCGTGCTGAAGGCCGGAAGTGCATACTTTAAATCTACTGACGGACATCATGGGCAATGGGCATTCAGTCTACGAAGGCTAAATCTGCAGGTGCTTGATATTATTGGAGCACATGACGGGTATGTTGCACTTGTCTGAGAGACGAGGTGAGACGGTGGCTAAAGATTAGACTAGCTGTATTATAGTCGATTCCACGCGGCGTGGCAAAAGCATGCCAGATGCGCTCTCGAAGACTGTTCCAATCTGGGTCACAGTGCTGAACCGCGTCTTGTTTCCAGAGCGAACGGACGCGCACGCCCTGCGGACACCACCAGAGGTTGTCTCGAACTCTGAGCATGCGCAAATCGATGAACAGCTACCTGCCTTTGCCGCAGACCTCCGCAGCCTGACTCTTGACACTGCAAGCCTGAGGTCGAAGTTGTGCAACAAGCCGTTGCAAGTACAATGGCTCACTCCCGCACAACGTCCAGATGCTGATGCAGGATCAGCGAACAAGAACTATCATCAAATCGTACTCTGCACTGCCTCCAGCAGCGCAAGCTCGGCAGACCCATATGTTGTGGCTTCTCCGGACTATGTGCAAGGCGCCGCAGACGACAGCGAAAGCTGGGCGTTGGGTCTGGATGCAGTAAGTTTTTGGGCGCACGCTGCGGAGTTGCTGAAGACTCCCGGGGATGATCTGCCAGTTGTGATCGGAGACTTGGTAAGCGGGCAAGACAAGACTATTCACATCATTAACCCGAAGCTGGTCAAGCCGACGCGCAATATCTTCATTGCGAACAACGCCTCTGCGCGGCAACATCACCACGCTTTCGATCTGCTCATATCTTGTGCAGCTGCCGACAAATTGATTGCTGGTTCAAGCAACGGGAAGTACATCCAGCTGGTTTGTCGGGCCGGTAAACTTGGCAGCCGAGATCTTCGAGCGCAACTTTCTCGGTTGCAGTTCATTTCAATGCTTGCGAAGCCAGACAGCAAAATCCTGATCTCGTGTGATACCGGCAAAGATCTAGCAGTGGGTGTTGCCCTTGCCATAATCTGTCGGCTCTGCAACGAGCATGGCGACTTCGATCCAGGACATGAATTGGTGTCCATTGGAAAGACCCTGATCAAGCATCGCCTTAGCTGGATTATGTTGTCCATGCCTGATGCAGCACCGAGTCGCGCGACCTTACAGAGCGTGAATGCTTATTTGATGGGCTGAAGGAGGTTCGTTCATCAATCATCATCACTACCATCATAGTCATTCGTGAGCCACTTCGACATGTACGGGCCGTCAAGCCAATAACCGAGGCGCTTGTAGTACCCTCGGACACCAACTCCGGAGATGACAGCAATCTTGCTGGAGCCATGCTCGTTGCGAGCTATGCGCTCCGCCTCTTCCATTAGCAGAGTACCATAGCCCTGATGTTGGCTCTTGCCCTTGACACGCTCATGGATGGGTACAGCTGAGCCGTAGACATGCAATTCGCGCACTAGGCTCGTCGGCTGCCCTGTTAGCTCCTCGCGGTAAGTGTACTTCTCAGTACACTTGCGTAGGCGCAGCAATGCAATAAGGATGTCTTGTTTGGGATCCTCGTAAGCGAGAAAGGTCTCCCACCCGCCGTTGGCGACATAGTCACGCCGGACAAGCTCGACCTGGTTCGGCCGGATTTTATGCTTGACCTCGTTGATTCCGACTTCACGAGTACGTACATCGCGGCAGGTGGTGCCGAAGTCCTTCATGCGTGCGAGTGCAAGCTCACGCAGATTGCCGTTCTCAACGCCAGAAGTCACAAGAGGCATAGGGATGTCTCGCTGAACCCGGTAGATGCGGGTCCACGGTGGAATGAGGGCAAGAATCCTTGCAACAAGATCTACGAGCACGTTTGGAGTGTAGTTCTTGTATCGTCCTGTACGCCACAACTCATACAGACCGGTTCCTCGAATAACGAGCGTAGGGTAGATCTTAAGACCGTCTGTGCGGAAAGCAGGATTCTCAAAGTATTCTTGGAACTGAAAGAGATCGCGCTCAAGACCTACGTTGGGCAAGTCGGGCATCATGTGCGAGACCACCTTGAAGCCGGCGTCTTTGGCCATTGCGAAGGTCTCGCAAACGGCTTTGACAGTGTGGCCACGGTTTGTGTCGCGTGCTACGTCTTCGTATAGAGACTGCACGCCAATCTCCAAGCGTGTGCAGCCATACCGGAGCATGTCTGTCAGGTGTGGAGGCAGGCAGTAGTCTGGGCGGGTCTCGATGGTTATGCCGACGCATTTTGTGGTGCTCTGTTCACCAGCCATGACAGATTCATCCACATTGTTGGTCTGATAGCCCGACAAAGCATTGTGTAGCTGGCTGATGAACTCTTCCCGGTATTTTGGAGACAGAGACATGAACGTGCCGCCCATGATGATATACTCAACCTTATCCACGCTGTGACCGAGCGAGCGGATTTGGTCAACCCTACCTCTTGCCTGTTCGAAAGGGTCATATCTTGCCCTAATGGCTCGCATACTAGTCGGCTCATATCCAGTGTAGGATTGCGTGCTGTATTCGAAATCACTGTCCGGGCCTCCAGGACAATACACGCAAATGTTGCCGGTGTATGCGATGTGCGGACACCTGTGCGGCTTGCACATTACCGCAACCACTGCAATACCGCTTGCACTCCGTATCGGCTTCGCAATGAGCTTGGGTAAGATATACTTCTTGTACTGCTCCGGCACCGCAGCTATGATATCGGTCAAGGGCGGTTGGCGCGATAGGAAGTGCTTCTTCGCGAACTGGCCGCGAAGCGCATTCAGATTGATGTCTTTCTTGACTCCACCAGGCTGCTGCGACTTCTCGTAGTCTTCGACCAGAGCATTGGCGACGTCGGCGCATGCTCGCATGTACCGCTCGTTCTCAGGTGCCAGCTTGGCGATCTTTGCGGCGGGCAAGCGCTTTTTCTTGACTGTCTCGGTCTGCATCTCCGTCATAGTCGCCATTGTCGTGGCGTTCCCCGAAGACGGACGATATTCGAGAGATCAAAGTCCTTACGTGCAGCTTCGAGACTTTACAGTTGTTCAACAGCCAGGACACTCGAGATGGGAGGCGAATGTGGTTGCCTTAGGCATTGATAGCCGCTGGCATATGTAAAGTCGAAAATTCACTAGGTATAATGGAGCTACATTGCCTCATGGTATCTGATGCGTCTACAACTCGTTACACTACAGGGATGTTGAATATTTAGCGAATATGGGGAGGCATCTGTCAATGGGAAAGCCAGGTTTTACCGAAGTTATCAAATGAGATGTTCAATATGTCCAAGCAGAGCTTTTAGTGGTGGTGCTGAAAGGTCAATGCAAAGAAGTGTATCCCTCCTCTTCGTCGTGAGCCGCAGCTGGTCGAGAGTGCTGTCAGAAGAGGAGTTATATCTCCAAACTGCAACCGTTCACATCAGAGGGTCGTCAATGCTAGATGTAGACGAGCAGATTTGTCCTAGCCGCGGAAGCCAGAAGCAGGCCGAAAAGGAAGCAAGCCTATGTCCTCTTACTTCCCAATTAATAGGAAGCGAAAGTCCGCCCTAGAAGCACAACAATCAAAGGGAAGTCACTGCCTTGTGCTGCCTGGGATTGCCGCGTAGGCACCTAGTTGCTGCCATAGTTGTTCAGATCCATGCCTTCGCTGGAACCCAGAGGATGATCGAATTGGTCTTGATTCATGAATTCCTCAAAATCGATGAGCCCTGGCTCAACATTGGCCGCGTGGGTGAAACTGTTGCCGAGACTACTGTCGAAGCTGTGACTATAGCCTGGGGGTGGCGCAGCGGTGGAAAAGCGCTGCAAGAAGCCGCTTTGCGCCATTTGGGGAGTGACACCCGTCGAGCCGGGATCAAATGTGGAGGTCGGAGAGTTATCAGAAGAACCGGGGTTAGTCTTGCAGTCGGTAGTCTCGTCAAGGTTATGCTTGTCGTAGATGCTGGCGCTGAAGATGCTGCCAGCATTCGCAGGTTCAGCACCCCCGCTATTGTCCACCTTCCTGACCGCGGGATCGCTACGATCGAAGCTGGTGTGACGGGTCATGCTCGGCGTGAGAGGCGTGTTAACGTAGCCGTACTGCAGCGGTTGAGAAGCCTGCGGGCGCTCGGGAGTTGGCACGCCGTGGAAGACGTTGGTGTGAGGACTGTACGGAGAGTAGGCCAGGTGGTTGTTGCCATTCTGAATCATGCGAGCTCCGTGGTTGAAGGTTGGCTGCATCTGCATGTTCATGGCCATTGGCATGGTTCCGTGGCTGAAGCCTGGCTGCATCTGCAGGTTTACAGCCAAGGGCATGTTGTAGCCGGCTTGGCTACCGGAGAGGTTATCATGTGATGCATTGTCGTGACCAGTATGGCCCGGATAGGATTCGGCGGCGATGGTTGGGCTACTGTTGTAACCGTGTCCGTAGCCATGGGCAGAAGATTGGGATGGATAGCCACGGAACGCACCGTCTTGAGCGGCGAAGTGGTGCGTCTGCTGCATGTTCGTGTTGCTACCGCTGCCGTGAGAGGAGTCTCGATAGTGTCAGCAAATAATCAAGGAAAGCCGTGCTGTTGCGCTTACGACTGAGCTGCTTCACCAGATCGGAACCGTTGACATCCTCATTCTGCACGAGCTGCTTGCTGTAATCGACCGGCACCAGTGAGCGCAACTCGCGCTCAGCTTTTGACTTCTTCGTTGGCGTCGTGACGCCAGTATCATCCTCGTCCTCCTCATCGTCAATCCTGGTCTTGGACTTGCGCCCACGCTTCATGCCTCTCGGAGCCGGAGCCTTCTTCTTTGGCGCAACGAAATGTGCAGCAGAATAGGCATCGTCGTCGTTAGGCTCTGACTTGATCGAGACCACCTCGTCGTTGATCTCAATCGAGTTTGTGAAATAATCACCCGGAGAAGCCTTCTTGCGTCTACCACCACGGGCGCCAGTGCTTGGCATCTTCGGGGTGACTGTCACTGCCGCTTTGGCCCTCTTGTTTGTCGGCTCCGGCTTCTTGAACAACAGGCTACGACCTGGCTTGCTTGGAGTGTATGGGGCATCGCCGTCTTCGCCTTGCTCGACTGCAGCCCTAGCGCGAGCACGACCACCGCCACCACGCGAACGAACGGGCGCAGGTGTGCTGTTAGCGCTTGGCAAAGTTTTACGACGCTGGTTGCGATCGAGCTTTGGCGGGACTTTGTGGCCCTCCTCAACGCGGAACTTGTAGACTTTGGCGAGATGCTGCTTGATGCCTTCACCGGTCAAGTACGAGGCGACATGCGCAGCTACGGCATCCCATGGCACGGTAATACCGTTCTTGGTGCATTCGTAGTCGACCGCAAGCAAGATGAGCTGGTCTTTGTCGGCTGTTTGCTGGTCAGCTGGCGGACTCGACCAACACTAAGGCAAACGCTGTCGGCGTGCACTTACGATCCCAACGAACAAGCTTGCGTCCGGCGGCGCTCTTGCGCTTCGGCTTGTTGTGGCTAGCCTTGTAGCTGGTATCACCGTTGGAACTGTTGTCGCCACCTTCGCCATTGTCGACGTCGTAGTCGTTGAAGTCGAGACTACCGTTGTCTGACATCTTGGCCTTGGCTGGTGTTTGTTGTTGTGATGGCTTGCTGAATCCCAAAGGACAGGCTGTTGCTGGCTGGCGTGGTAGAAGTAGCAGAGTCGTGCTCACGTGCCGTAAAGTTGTTATCTAGCGTCATGGTCAGAGCTTCTGATCTTGCACTAGCGCTGCTAGCGCTGTTCCGCTTGGATTCCAAGAAGAGAAGGCACGATTGTGCCACACGACAGATCCCTACGTGTACCTACATCATGGAGGTGACTGTCTGAAGACAGTATTAAATAAAAAACAACTACCGTTCCAGCAAGTCGTGCGGCCAACTCATAACTGAGCCATGTCGTGTATGCAGCGGTGGGTGTCGATCGTCAAGGTAAAACACGAAGATGTTGCTATAGCGTGTGAGCCGGTTTTGCTGAACTTTGAGATGAGAACTCGAGCTGTGAATAAGCATACTGCTGCTTATGGTATAGCTCCCTTTTGATCAGGTGACATCTCAATGGCGTAAGCCCATGAGCAGGTAATGCAGGGTCCATACCCGCTGGTGGATCTGTTAGGAAGTCATGGGGATGCGACACGTGACCCTGATAATCGCCAAGACGGAGCCATCTTGCTTGCGACCGCCACCTCCACCAGTAGTGGTACTGCAAGAGGATGTTCACCGCAGGCCAAACCAGCCGAGCACAAGTTCGAGTCGTGAGGATCATACGCAGATTCGGCCTAAGCATGCCTCTCTTTCACGGTCTGTGCTGACCCTCCAGATTTCCGCCGGGGAGCAACATGCTGCACAAGCGGCAAATAATCCCTACGTCGGTCCGACTGCTAAGATCTGTCGTAGCGTTCTTTATAGCCTTCATAACTCCTTATGTCCTGCAGCATGTAGGCATCGATCCTCCAGCAGAAACAACGAATGTCGGTCCGTCTTCAGGTAAGCCCGTCGTTGTCGCCCTCAGCCTCTTCCGCCTTGATTGCAGCTTCCCCTCCCGCTTACTTGGTGATTGTGAAGGTTCCTCTCTGAGCTCCTCGTCGTCAACCACGGTAATCTTCTTAGCCTTCGTACTTGGCGTAGCGCTATTGATGCTTCCATCTTGGCCGTTGGCACGCTCGCGTGGAGTCGAATTCTTCTATTCTGAAGATTCGGCGTCACACGCGCTCGAGAGGAACGCAGAATTAGTAGGTCATACGTAATATATGGCCGTGGTCATGCCGTAGTCCTTCAGCGACATAGCTTTGAGCTTCCGCAGGCGTGCCGCTAAGGCGACGCAGTAAGCTTGGAGTCTTCAGTCGTCATAACCTTCACTAGAGCCTCGCGGTCGGGCTTTACGTCCTGGATCGATAGGATTACGAGCAAGAGTTTGCGATCGTTAGCCGCTACGCTGCTTGTTAGAGATGGAGTTGTAAGTTCCGACCATTGTTGCATACTCACCATTCCAGATGATTTCCTGCTCTCCGGAAGGAGCCATGATGTCTGTCTCTGCAAGGTGGTTGCAAGTAGCCTCTGCTAATGATGTTTATTAAATCAATTGGGTCGATATGAGGACTCGTAATGTGCCGGTGGGCAGGGATACAGCTAGGAGAAGGGCCGAAAGAGACATCAGAGCTCGAGACTTGACGAGGGAGGGAAGCCGGCAGGTATTACAGACAACAGATGAAGGCAGGCAACAGCGCTGCATCGGTAGCTCGAGTGCCATCTCAGGGTCACTATACTGTACGCTCAATTATTGAAATCAATCAATTGCGGAGCATCTTCTGCATTTGGGCCGTCGCAATCCTCCAGGTACGCACGATGAATTGTAATACGGGCCACGTGCGCATCTTGGACGAGAGGTCGCAGAGAGACGGGAAACGGAGACACAAACCTCGGACGATGGAGTGAAGTCGAAGCGGGCTGAAACCGCCAAGACGCTATGCCGAGACGAGCGGGCAACGGCAGCTCACTCCCAGTGCTCCCGTTCGTCTTGCGCATACGGTAGATGTGGCTGTCATAGCCTCCTATCACCTCGTCACAGACGGAATGCGTTGGTCAGGTTCCCGCCGTGGATGCTTTCCGACGTGCGCGGTGTGTTTGCTGGCTCTAGTCCTGCAAAGCTGGTTAGTACGACGGTCCTTAAACCCGGAACAAAGTAATCTACCTCTTCAACCTCATCCTTCACAGTCTCCGCCTCTTCGTCCGCACCGTCGTCGGCTGTTGTCTCGTCGACCTTACGCTTCTTGTTCGCCGGTCCCTTAGAGGCACCCTTCTTCTTCTTCGGCGTGTCCTGAGCGTCTCCGGCCTTCTTGTCGTCGAATCCATACTTGATCTTCATGCGGTACAGCCGCTTCTGCCTGCAGCTCGCACGTCAATAGCAGGTATGATCTCACGGGGGTTCGGATCTTACGCCGCTCCCTTCGAAACGAGGTCGCATTTCTTCGCGACCGCCTCCCCTGTAAGCTCTCAGTCTTTGCTCCGACAGACACACCATCAGACATATTTGCTCACAGTCAATGTCTCCACTCATCTGCTCCATGATCGTGAGGAGGTATTTCACGTCCATAGCGACGCCGGTCTGATCCGTCGAAGCGTCCTCCGCAGCTTTTGGTGGCATGTTGAAGTCTTTGAGAGTCTGCAGCAGCTTCCGACGAGTGGTTCGCTTCTGATATGATTTGAAGGTTGTGGATTGAACAGTCTTAAGGTTTGCTATTCAACAAGGCAGCCGAAAGGTGGGTCGGAGTACGAAGGTTGGTTGGATCACGAGGGCGCAAGTCACAAGCCTCGCTGCCGCAATTTCACCTTCACCCTCACATTACTGATCCTTGTTCGATTCCCCTGCTTCCCCTTATAAACCGCCCAACACTACTTCCACAGACATATTTGCTTCCCGCGCCCTAATCCTCTACCTTTGACAGTACAACCGGGGTATTACACTAGCACAGCAGACTACTCCACCATGGCAGGCAAGATCTCCGACGTGGCTTTCTTGCTCACGATGCTTGAGGTGCACAAGCATGGTGCAGTAAGTGTATCGCAATTTGCAGGCTCAAGTCAGCACTAACGGATACAGTGGCAATTCAGCACGGTGGCCGAGAAGTGTGGCCTCGGGAGTGCGAAGGCAGCGTAAGTCACTTCACAGCTCAATATCCTTTGACTGGACTGACTGGGAGTCAAGTGAGAACAGAATGTACAGAATCAAGAACGCCAACAAAAATGCTGACAAGTCTGACGAAGCTACGGCGGAGGCTACCAAGCAGAAGACCATCACGAAGGCAGTGGGCAAGGCTGGCACGCCGTCCAAGAAGCGCAAGGTCCAGGATGATGACGCAGACGACGAAGAGAAGCAGGAGCTGATCAAGTCTGAGATGAAGTCTGAGAGCGACGCAGGTAACGACAATTAGGGTGCTGATATGCTTGAACATGGGTCCTTCAATGGCGTACGTCGTCATGCTCACCTCGCTAGTCCACGAGGAAAGAAGAACCTTAAGCTGATTTACAAGTCTGCGGTCTCTCAGCGCAATTGGGCTGTTGCCTTGTTTGTATGGTGACGTGTGACCTTTCTTTGTCCTAGGGTTGAGGTTGTGGGCCATCTTCACGTTTCACATGACTACTGTCGACAACACTCAGTTGATACCTTCCTGCCTTTGAATAAGACGCCTTCACGTCGCTTTACTTTGCTTCTAGCAACACCCGTACCCACCATCTCAAGCTACGAATCATAGCAAGACGACTCTAATATGGCGACAATTAGCAATGAGCAATTCCTATTCTGCTGCACTGACAACTCCAACGGCGGCACTGTAAGCCGACAAGCCAAGCAAATCAGCTGCTTTTGACAATTCGCTAATGCTCACTTGTAGGTGAATTGGGCCAAGGTCGCGGAAACCTGCGGCATTGTATCAAAAGGAGCTGCGTAAGTGCCAGCACAGCAAGCGTGCGCTTCGAAAGGACATTGGCCATGGCTTCTAGCGCAATCAAGTACAAACGCATGAAAGACAAATTCGGCACGATCGGCGACATGACGGGAGGTGACGGCTCGGCGGATGGCGAAGAGATTCCGGAAAAGGTAAGGAAGACTCCGACCAAGACCGAAAAGTCGCCGAAGAAGCGCAAGCTCGATCATGATGATGTTGAGGACAAGATGAAGGAGGACACGCCGGTGAAGGATGAGCCGGTGCAGGATGACGAGGATTGAACGAGAATTGCCAAAAGCGGCAAGGCAGCGAAGGTCTGATGGAACTTCCAGTCTGCTGGGCGTGACGGACCTGTTCTGAGGTTTGGTGAACCAATACGACACGTGGAGATTCATCTATGCGATGCTTGTAGGCTCGTGTCTGCTGCATGCGAACAGTTATTGCGCGGTCTCAGCCTTTCTGCGATTCCACTCGCAACATGCCTCGAATGTGACTCCCTTGCCGCCAAAGATGTCGAGCGCACTACCAATGGTAAGGTCGACTTTCCCTTTGCTTAAGCGCTCTACCAGCTCCAGGTCTCCAATGTTGCGCCCACCACCGGCGTACGTGACTGGTATCGTGCAGATCCCTCCTAGATGACTGACAAGCTTCTCATCGATGCCGGCTTGTAAGCCTTCAGAGTCTGCTGCGTGGATTAGGAACTCGCTACAGTATGGTTCAAGCATGCTAATATTTTCTGGCGCTGTTAGCGGAGCGGTAAGGCTTCCAATCACTCAGGAGTGCATACCTCGATTGATCTCGAAGTCCGTGATAGTCTGCCACTTGTCCATTGCCACCCGCCACCCGTCTCCCACACGTCGGCAGCTCAGATCGATGACGAGCTTGCTGCGGTCCTCGTCCAAAATTTGGAGCACAGATTCGAGACGCTGGAGCGAGAATGTACCTGATGGAAAGAGAAACGAAGTAATGATCACCTACTGCGACATGTTAACACACCGAATCCATCCATTTGTCTTGACAGCGTACCCTTTCTGCGCCAGCATCGATCCACTGACGAGCGTTAGCGTCCTTGATGCCGCCGCCTACCTGAAGTCCGGCTGGCCATGCTGCGAGCGCCTCGCGAGCTGCTGCATCGTTGCCAGGCCCGAGCATGATGACATGACCGCCATAAAGATCGTGCTTCTTATACAATTCGGCGAAGTACGCCGCAGGATGCTCAGATGTAAAGTTCGTTTTCAAGCCAGTGTTGTCTGTGGTCAGTGTCCCGCCAACGATCTGCTTGACAGAGCCAGCATGCAGGTCAATGCACGGTCGAAAGCGCGTCATGACGGAAAGCGCATTGCCTGTGGAAGTGAAAGCAAGAGAAGACGATAGATGCTGGTTGTTGAGCAGTGTGCCTGCGGGGTTATGATATACCCAGCTGTACTGTAAGCTACACGCATGGATTTTCCGCGCCACAAGCAGCCAAATCCACGATATGTGAAGCACTCGGTCTCGCGAAAACCATGGCGAACACACTTGGAAAACGCAAGCGACTAGGTGAGCAAGACGACTCGAAAGACTATATTGAACCGGATGAAGACATTCGAACACGATTCCAGCGGGCCTTTGAGGCCAAGTTCAGGCCGCTCCCGGAACCTGTCAAACGAGCCATATCTCCAACTTCAGAGTTGAGTGAAGGTGAGAGCGCAGAGTCGGATTGGGATGGGATTCCTGAGCATCCAAACGAAGTACAAGTTTTCCAGCACGAGGTCGCAAACGTGACGACTATAGACGAACCTTTAGCGGATGCAAAGTCATTCATGGTATGCTGTACAAAAATCCTCTCGTGATTGCTATACCAGCTCACACTATCTAGACGTCTAGGCCACCAGCAGCACCACGGGAAGCTCGCGTTCGTACGAGCAAAGTACCAGCTTCGGCGGAGGAGGACTCATCCGAAGCGGCGAATCTTAAGCATGATCTCGCTTTACAGCGCTTGCTAAAGGAATCACATCTACTCGACCCTTCAGCTTTTTCAGGTGCAGCCGCTGTAGAAGGCAAAGGCAGACTAAAAGCGCTGGATCTTCGTCTTCAGGACCTAGGCGCGAAGAAGCCACTCTCCGAACAGAAAATGCCGCTTGCGCACCGTCAGGGGATCAAAACCAAGGCGGCTGATCGGGAGGCAGTACGGAGAAGGGAGGCAGTCGAGAACGGCATCGTGCTCGAAAGGGCGTCCGCAGCTCCGAAGACCGCCCTGAAGCGCCGGGATCGTGGCATTGGAAAGCCGGCTGTTGGGAAGTTCAGAGGTGGGACTCTGAAGTTGAGTTCGAGGGATGTGAGGACGATCGAGGGGCCCAAGGCGCGCAGTAAACGGAAAGGACGGCCGATATAGTCCACTAGCAGGCCTACCACCATTGGCCGCCCCAAGCTCGCTACCGTCTACATGTTTGCCGGTGTCGCCACGATCCGCAATTTACAAGTTGGGCTCTAGCACAGTGCGCTCTCCCCGCGCGGGTCTGGCAAGGAGTCACGCCGGCAGTTTCACCATCCCACGATATGGGCTGGCGGCCAGCCACCTCCGCTGAAGTGCTGATCCGGCTTTTGCAAAGCACGGTCATAGAGCTCAAGTTGGGGGCACGATCTATCAGCGGCATCCTTAGCTTGCAATGGAAAGCAGAGTCGAAACGTAGTGTTCTGGACCTCATCACGGTTTCGTCAGGAGTCGCTGCAAATTCGAGAAGGTGGTCCTGGCCATGGCGGCAAGATCTGAGTATATGGTCGACAAACGCTGTGATGGTTATGGAGCGACAGGTGTGCAACGCCAGAAGACATGCGCAGACGTTCGGTTCTCGAGTGTGTGTTTGCGCAGAGTGTGAGAAGAAATAGGCTAGACTCTCACATTGTATGGCGGTGCCTGACGTTATTTGGGCTACTGCCTCTGACATCTGGCTTTCTGCTAAGCAAGAAAAGGGTTCGGTAGCAAGTCAATGCTTTGTACGGCTTGGATGGCGCACGACCATGGGAGGCAAGATCTCAGGCGGAATGATCAGCAAATGTGCGATGCTTGCGCAAACGCTTAGAGTGAAAATGCGGGTAAGTTCTAGCGTGCATTCGATGCGAGCGTGCCTGTTTCAGTTTGCTTCGCGGTCGATCAAACAGGCACCGGCTGCAGATGCATGTACCTTGCAGAACATCAAAGCGAGGTTCGTCTGGTAAATGCAGCCCGTAGCAAACTCCATTGTTTGTTTCTAAGAGAAGAACAGTGAGCATTGTGCTTAGCAGTAGTGTAATACTCGCAATAGCTGTCGACAAAGCAAAGCCTATACCAGAGCTAGTGAGGTTGATAGCAGTAATGTCGGCTCGGCGGGCGTGGCTTGCCGCTATACGAGGTCCTCGGGCACCGCCAGCAGCCGGATCAGCAATCGATAGAGCACATGGTAGACGGGCCTTCTGCTGATCAGAAAGCCTATACGCGGTGCCTTCTTCGAGTCATGACTTGCATTGATATTACACATGCACACAGACTGCCTTTCGCCGGACAACACGTTTTCGGCGAGCAACTTCGTTCGGCATGGTACGCGCAAATACATTTCGATTGCAACCCACGGGAGCTGACTCTCTAACATCATTGTGGCGCTGCAAGCCGATTTCCTGCAGCGACATTACGATGGAGCTCACAAAGCGCAGGCCGGAGGATTGGTGGTCTTTATGGGCGCGTCGCTGGGCCGCTGAGCATCCATTCGATGCCAGGCCATCATAACGAGTGGATTCGGTGTGATGCATACTGGGCGCTTGAGGGAGCATCGTCACCAAGTCGCTGTTGGCTTATCCCTGCCGCGGCGGACGCAATGGCCAACTCCCTCGTGCCGCTAGTGTTAGCGCCCTTCGTGTCTAGCGTGTTTCCGCCCACTTGAAACAGCCTCGCCCTCCCGTTTCGCATCTCTAACAAATCCCCAAGCTCCCTCTCCACGCAACTACCCTTTCGCAACATCAACCTTCACATCCAGGCCCATTGTTGCCGGTGTATGCGAGCCGGACTCGCACATACAATTCCTTGCTACTTCGCTCGTACTTGACGCGGTCGCTGCACATCCGTCGCTCGTTTCACCCGCACCATCGCTCACGACAACCGACTCGTCACCCTTTGTACGCGCGAAGTAACGAGCCTACGACTCTGGTAGTCGCTTCAGACCTCGTCGCACGGAGTTCGTTTTAGATTGAGGCCGGCCTCATCGACCTTTCTCACCTTGTCGCGTGGTAATCAGCCGGGCCGTGACCGCTCTGCGACCGCTCCATGGCCATGTATCCCAATAACCAGCACCCTTCAATGCCACCGCCGCAACAGCGGACCGTGGCACCAGAGACCTTCCTGCTCGATCACGAAGCGCAGCAGAGTTTACCTGCGGACTCTGTCGTGGCCCTGCAGCAAGTAGACAACCGTACGTGCATGCAGCGCCGAGCGTGGACACACATGCGGTAGTGTATAAGCGCCAATGGCTGACGATACATGTAGTCAAATACTTCCTCATCTCAGCTCCTGTAGATTGGAGCCAGGACCAGTACATCCGCCGCTTCCTGCTGCCTACTGGCGAATATGTCTCCTGCGTGCTATGGTTCGTTTCCGTGCCTGCAGCAAGCCGACGTGCAGCCGAATACTGACCGCCAGATAGGAGCAACCTCTTCCACATCTCCGGCACGGACATTGTACGATGCCTCTCCTTCCGCTTCCAGGCATTTGGCCGACCAGTTAAAAATTCCAAAAAGTTTGAGGAGGGTATCTTCTCCGACCTTCGTAACTTGAAGTCTGGTACGGACGCATCGCTTGAGGAGCCTAAGAGTCCTTTTCTGGACTTTCTGTACAAGAACAACTGCATCCGCACGCAAAAGAAGCAGAAGGTGTTTTACTGGTACAGCGTGCCTCATGACCGCCTCTTCCTCGATGCGCTGGAGCGTGATCTGAAGCGAGAGAAGATGGGCCAGGAGCCGACAACAGTGGCAGTTAGCGAGCCGGCGCTGTCGTTCGAATTCGACGCTTCGCAATCACTCTTCGAGCAGCTCACGAAGGCGCAGCAGAGCAGTCAGTCCAGCTTAAACGGCGCCCAGCCTGCGTCTGTCCCGCCATCACATGCAACCTCGCCCGTTCTGCGCGCTGCCGATTCGATGCCGCCGCCAGCAACTATTCCTCAGCAACAGCACCAGCAGCAACAGCACCAGCATATTCCGACAACCATAATGCCTCAACACAGTATGCCACTAGCCATACCTGATGAGCCACTGACACAGATGCCAACCTACTCCCAGATGGTCATGCCGCCTATGCCTTCGCAAATTCAGAAAACACGTGAGCAGTCTGTCAATCCCGTCTTCGATCGAAACGGCGTGCCCTTGTCACAGGTCGCCCACAGACATAGCTCCATGCCCGCTTACATGGAGTACTCTCCAGCACCATCTTTCGTCTCGTCGCACTTTGAGGACTACAGCCAACGCGGTCTGTCGTACGAGCCACTCACGCCACCTCAGCATGGTATCGGTCTTGGTCAAGAACCAGCCTACATTGCCAACGAGGAGACTGGCCTCTACACTGCCATTCCGGACGTTGGCCTGCAGCAACCCTTTAATCCGTTCATGGCGATGCCCACCGTCCCAGGCGCCCACTTTCCTTCGATGGCGCGCAACTACCAGCCACAGCAGGCTTACTCCATCCTAGAAGGCTCGCCAACCTACAAGCAACGCCGACGCCGCTCATCCCTGACTCAAGGCGGCATGACGACGCCCGCACCGATTGGCGGCACGGTCAGCGCCCATGCTGTCTACCGGCCGAGTGATCTCAGGCGCTCTATGTCTACCTCGGTCCAACCACAAGTGATCCCAGAAGCTCATGAGGTGTCCAGCTACAATGACTCGCCTGCAAGCATGCACATGTCGCACCATCCGAACCCAACGATAGGTGAGCACAAGGAGCTCATGAGCCTGTCACGACATGGCACGCCGCAACATGCTCTTGATGGTGCACCAGACGAGTTTGCACCTGCCATGGCTCAGCCGCAATCTATGCTCACTGGCGTCCACACGGAAGACTTCGCCAGCTACAACAGCAGCCCGAGCCAGATGTATCCTCAGATGCCGCTTCAGCATCACGCCGTGCAGCGGACGGCCAACGGCGTCTTCCGACGGGCTCGCAGTGCTACCCTCAGTGAGATGGCACCCTACCCGCAGAAGTCTCACTCCTGCCCTATCCCGATGTGCGGACGCCTGTTCAAGCGCTTAGAGCACCTCAAGCGCCACGTTCGTACACACACGCAGGAGAGGCCGTATCTTTGCACGCTATGCAACAAGGCCTTCTCACGATCAGACAATCTTGCACAGCATAAGCGCACGCATGAGACGAGCGCTGATGGCTCTGCTCCGTCTGAAGAGGAGATGGAAGAGGAGCGGGACGCTATGGAAGGTCTTGCCGCGGACGAGGCCGAGGGCGATGGTATCGCGGCAATGTCCTTCCCGTCCGCCATGACTACCGGAGACAGTGTCATGCCCTCGCATGTGGATCTTCGGTCACTTACGCAGGGCGAAATGGGACCACCTCCGACGACGATGCTGCATGCGGCGCAGTACCACTAGGCCTGATGTCATGCTCGTCTGGCTCGTGGGCATTCCACTTCGAATCTTGTATTGCATGGAATGTGTTTCTCTTCCCGTTGTCGCTAGCTAGAGCTTGGACGGGGAGACCGAACGCTGGCAAGGCACCTACGATGATTGTATGATTTGCTTTAGAAGTTCAAAAGAGGGCACTGCTTGCAGTAGATATCAGATGCGCAGGAGACGGATGGCGATCTCTTTCCCCTCTATACGGTTGAGCGAGGAGTTGGTTCGGTAACAAGCCGAAACGGAACGAGATAGAAATGAGTAAGCTTCACTAACTCTTCAAGTGAATCTCCGAATTGGATATCTGCATGCTCCCCTTGTGCTTGCTGTCTTACTGTGCCATATAATGCTGCCCGCATAGCCATACGATATGTGAGCACGTGACCATTCGTGCAATTGGATCGACTTGGCGCTCGCGGCTGAACTTTGTCGGGAGCGGGCATTAACCCAGGGTCGCGGTGCTCGAGCGCGGCCGCCGACTGCAGGACAGCTCCATGTCCACTGCATTGCTTGATATTGCTTCCTGGTGGATTTCCAATCGACAGTCCCCTTCGTCCTAATACTTTGCTGCATTCCTTTGTTGACACCGTGACCACCACATTGGCGTCCATATCCCGCCGCTCCTTTCTAAGATCCAACCACGAATCAATGTCCTCATGAGCTGTTAACGAAGACTCTCTGGCCGACCATTTGGGAGACACTTGAGCATGGCGTATCAGCAGCAGGGCGGAGTGGGCGGTAATGGCGGGCCTGGGGAGCATCATACGCCGCAGGGGACAGAGTATACGCTACAAGGTGAGTTATAACCACCTCGGCACGGAGCTGGAATCGGATGGGTTATTTCGGCGGAGAGGCTATGGCGTGCATCATGAGGCTGACAACGTACAACAGGCGTTATGCGCTTCCTCCAATTAGAATGGCACAGTCACGAGCGAGCCCGCAATGCGTGGGACATTGAGCGCGCGGAGATGAAAGCCAAGATCGCGAAGCAGGAGGGCGAGTGTCGGCACGCGAAGCGGATCAATGAGCAGCTAGAACGTCAGGTTAAGATGCTGGAGAATGCGCTGAAGAACGAGCGGAAGAGGGGTGCTGCGAAGAAGGAGGTCAATGGAGAGCCTGCAGGCCTTGCGGAGAAGGTGGATGACAAGCAGACGGAAGCGGGCAGACGGCCTGTCGGCGGAGCTGCGAAGGAGAAGGAGGGTAAGGATGACAAGGACCAGAGACGTGCGCTTTGTCCAGGTGACGGTGCGCTTAGTGAAATGCAGAATCCGCTAATGCGTGATACAGCTCCTTCGAACGTGCCGCACAACTCGTTCCTTGAAACGGACGAGACCTTCGACCAGACTGACAAGGAGCGCGAACAGTACCTCGACAACACCACCAAATACCTCAAGAGCTGTATGAAGGAAATTCAGTACTTGCTCACGCCTCCACAACATCCTCCGCCGCCCCAGCAGATGTTACCGAATGGCAACTACTCCGGTCTTCCAGAGCCACCGCTTCCAGTCGAGGATATCTATTCACGTCACCAGTCAAGACGTGATAGGCAACAAGGCCAGCAATTGCCGCAGGCGTCCAACGTACCAAACCACCAAGCACCGCCCATACCGAACAGCTTACCGCAGACCTCTGGACCGCCGCCGATGTCTGTTGGATATAGAGACTTCCCAGATGTCTCACAGCCGCCGTCAGAGTCATTGCAGCAAACATCAGGACATCCTTCAATGCCGTATGATGACCAAGTAGAAAGCGTCACACACACCTTCGACGCCCGCGGTCGAGAACTGCCGTCGCAAGAAGCGCCACAACCGCTTCGCCCAGGGCGGCACCCACCCGACGCAGACGGCTGGACATTTGACGATGAGCAGCCGTCACGGCCTGATAACCCACCACCTGACGTACCACCCCCGCGAAGACCGGACACAGATCTCTTTCCTAGTGCTGCGCAAAATACTCACCTCTCTGCGAAGTCGCCGCCTCGAACGGGTCCTGGATCGCATCGACGGAAGAGCTCAGGGTCACAATCCATGTCGCGACGACGGAGCTCGCAAGGCAAGCATGAAACGCAAGAGGGCGCGGATGCGCTTGCACATGCCGATCCTACTCAGTTCAAAGTCAAGTTCGCACTCCGCGGCCACCTTGACGTTGTCCGTACTGTCGTCTTCAGTGGTGGCGGCAGCCCGAGCGAGCCTGAAGTGTGCACTGCTGGTGACGACGCTACCATCAAGCGCTGGATCATTCCTGCTTCTTACCAGAACTACTCGTCGGGGACCAACAATCCCGATCTGGATATTGCGGCCTACTTTACACACAGAGGTCATGATGGAATTGTGACTTCGCTGGCCGCATGTCCTGCAAGTACCGGTTTCAGTACGGGAGGTCGGGCGAACGGCGACGGCTGGGTTTTCTCCGGCGGTCAGGATACCACCGTCCGGGTGTGGGAGCGTGGGCGTGTGGATCCCAAAGCCACGCTGGAAGGCCATACGGATGCGGTCTGGTGCGTCTGCATTCTCCCGGCTCCAGTGGGCGTCGTCTTCGGCCCTCAGAGTGGGAGTTTCGGCGGACAAGACCGCTTACTGCTTGTCTCTGGCGCCGCCGACGGCACGGTGAAAGTTTGGGCGGTCAGCGCTCCGCCTCAGACAAGCTCGCCCTCTACGGGGAGCAGACGAGGTGTCGGGGGCAGTCGAAGGCATAGCGTCACTTCCGGTTCGAACTTCCCCTCGTCGCCGCAGCCTTCTGTGGCCAGCGCGACACCGTTCAGCTACACGCTTGTTCATACCATCGAGCGACCGCAGAGTTCGCCGGGCGCGCAAAAGCCTAGTCCGACCTGCATTGCGCCGTTGTCACCGAACGGCGAGACGTTCGTGGTCAGCTACACGGACTCTTCGGTGTTGATTTTCGACACCAGAACGGGGGAGGAAGTGATCGGCATGGCGAGCAACGAGACCTACGATGGGACCTTGAACACCAGCATTAACACTGTCGTTGCTACGAACCTTGGCATGGAGGGTGCTGGGCCCAGCATTGACGCTGCCAGAGGGCTTGAGGCGGAAGAGGTGGGTGCAGGTGCCACGGGTGGCAGGGAAGGTGTGGAAGGTATGGTCATCAGTGGGCACGAGGACCGGTTTGTGCGGTTCTTCGACGCGAACAGCGGTGAGTATTACGGCCGCGAAAGGGTCGAGTTGACAATTACTGACCGGCTGTTCACAGGCCAATGCACCTACACCATGCTAGCCCACCCTTCCGCCATATCCTCACTCTGCCTGTCAAAGGACGGACGTGAAGCCGTTTCCGCCGGCCACGACGCCTCCATCCGCTTTTGGTCACTCGAGAAGCGCATATGCACACAGGACCTCGTGTCTCATCGCACTATGCGCGGTGAAGGCGTCTGCTGCGTCTGCTGGAGCCAAGACGGCCGGTTGGTGGTGAGCGCGGGCGGTGATGGCGTGGTCAAGGTCTTTGCGCGATGAGGGAGAAGTTTGTATGTCTTGTGGCTTTTGTGTACATACTGATGGCGCTTACGGGCCTGCAGTAAGCGAGGAGCGCAGTTCTGGAGAAGACGTAGTCGTGCATAGCAGGTGGCATTTGCATAGCAAGGAGAGCGGGTCGAGACAGCATAGCATTGTAAAACAGCACATGCATACTCCAAGGCACAGTGGAGACGTCGCATCGGAGCTGATCCGAAGTTCTTTCAAGACATCACGACAGCATTCCCATTCCAGCGAAGTCACTATCGAAGCCGAAGGGCAGTGAGGTGAGGATTATCTTTGCCTCGCCTCAACGTTCAACAGAAGCTCGCTTACCTGCAAACGGATCGATCACATGCTTCGACAAGGTTTCGAAGATCATGAAACTGCTTCGCTGCCTAGACTTCTCCTCATTGAACGCTGCAACCAAAGCTTCCGCAATACATAACACCTCTCTCCGACGAGCTCCATCTGAAGGCAACCGCCGAGCAACTTGCTCGTCTTCCGTGCTGCATCGCTCGCACCTACATTCGTCTGAAAACATCCGTTGATACCACACCCACAGTCGCAACTCCACCGCACCAAAGATGCCGTACGACTTCAAAGCCGCCAAAGAGGTCCTCACTGAGTCGGACAAGGACCGCATTGTCTGCCTCTACCTCAGCTCTGACACGACCGCGGTCAACAGCACGGCAAGCGCCAGCTGCCTCTACACATCGTCATCAGTTACTGTACTGACCGGTCTGTAGTTCGACTGGGATGCGGCGACCAAAGCCTACGGCAGTGCCAGCATCGGCAGCATGAAGACCTCGCTCAACAACACGCTCAAGAAGCTCAAGGTCAAGGCCGGCGGCAACGGTGGCGAAGAGGACGGTACTGAGAAAGCCGCTACGGGCAAGAAGCGCAAGGGCAAGGCGGTTACGGAGGACGATGAGGAAGTGAAGCCAAAGAAGGGTCGTGGGAAGAAGGCGAAGAAGGAAGACAGTGTTGTGGCTGAAGGTACGTTTCATGTTGCTTTCTATGTGCCAGTGAGATTGCTAACGACTAGGGCAGATGCTAACGGGGCTGCCGAGGATGGCGTGAAGAAGGAGGAGGAGGAGGATGATGTATAGGCAATTTACTCAGCAGTACTCGTTGTGATGCTTGCACTATGGCGATGCTTCTGGTACCGGAGGCAGCGTTTGCGAGCATCGCAGGTAGTGACGGCGACCAGTGATCCATTCTCAGATTTCTAAAGGCGGCCTCAAGACTTTGAATTCTGTAGATGGAGCATTGTTGCCTTTGATGAATGCGCCGTGGTGAATGCGCCACAGTGAGTGAGCTGGTGTCATGTAAGGTGAAGCTCACACGACCATTTCATGTTCCGAGCGTGTTCACACTCTCGCACATTCAGAGCCTCTGATACGTAGCTCTTTGAACCTCTTGTTCCCATTCCAGATCAGCTTACAGTAACAGTTCACAACAAGACAGGTTTGTCGTATGCAGCACAACACGATTGCTCCATACACTGACGCTTGAACATCTCAGACACTATGGCTTCCGAAGACTCTACCAACTCCTTCACGCCGGGTGACACCAAGATCTTGATGTGCATCCTCAAGAACCTTGAAGGCGACCTGCAGGTATGTGCCGCTGTAGTTGCTCGAACGCCCTGAGTGGTGAACTGAAAGTCTGCAGGCTGACTGGAACGCCGTCGCCACCGAGCTGGGGTACAAAGACGCCAGCATCGCCAGGACCCGCTGGAGCCAGATCAAGCGCAAGAAGATCAAGGGCGACAGTCCGAAGGCCGCTAAAGGCACACCGAGGAAGCGTAAGGACTCCGGGACTGGCGGCGGTGACGACGAGGAAGGGGTGGAGTCCCCGACTGCCAAGAAGCGTGGGAGGAAGGCCAAAGGTAAAAACGCTAAGCCGAAGGCGGATGACGGTGACGGTGACGGTGATGATGCCAATGTGAAGGGGGCTGCGATTGTGAAGGAGGAGCAGCTCGATGAGGATGCCGGGGCGATGGAGAGTATTGAGGCCGCAGGCCGGGAGGCCGACCCTTGAGTGAACATTGTGGCCGACGGAGCTTCTGCTTTCGGTTGGCGTGCATTGACGGCATCGCGCAGGGTGGGCATGTCTGCCGCAGCAGGAGGAAGGCCATGGTGCTTCCAGCAGATGAAAGAGCCTTTAGCTGCTCCAGCCAACGAAGCACATAGCTTGCCAAATCAAGTAACCAGTAACGGCTTAATGACCTTTCCAGCATGCATATCCTCAATCGCCTTCGCAAGATCCTCAAAGCGGTACTCAGCTTGCATCAGATCAAACGCAAACTGGCCATCCTTCCACATCTGTATCAACTTTGGTATCATCACCCTTGATTCGGAGTCGCCTTGATGCGTCCCACGAATCGTAAGGCCATTGACAAGATTTCGCTCAATCGCAAACGAAGGCTTCGCGGTATTGCTGCCGCCAACCGTTAATAGCATGCCGAGCTTATCGAGGCTGAGATACGCCGCATGTACCACGTCCTCGTTGCCCACGCAGTCGAGAGCAAAGTCCATGCCCAGCCCGTTCGGAGTAAGCTGTTTTAGCCGATCGACCAGCGCCTCTTCCGAGAGGTCTTTGCTGTTGAGAACTTGGACGCCTTCCAGAAGCGGCTTAGGTATCATGTCCAGTTTGACTTGCGAGTTGTCAATGAGAACTAAGCAGCCAGGTTTCGTGGTTCGAGCAGCCTGCAGAGCCGCCAACCCCACCGCTCCGCCGCCAAAGACGGCTATGCATGCTCCTTCGGGCGGTTTAGCAATATTCCTACAAGTCGTTCGTCAGCACTCTTACTCACCCTCATAATCCCACACAACCCAAACACGATCAGCAGTTCACAACAAAACGTACAAAATAGCCCCCGCCCCCGTCTGCAACCCGCACCCCAAACTCGCAAACCTTCTCACCTCCTCCCTCCCCCACCCCCCCTCAACCTTAACACAACACTCCTCCCGGACCAACGCGACGCGACTCATCGAACTCTGCCCGAAAAACAACCCACTCACCTCCGCCTTGCCATTCACCTCCCCCTTCCCACCCTCATCCCCCTCCGCGCCGACGACAACACCCCTCCCATCCTCCCGCCGCCCCGAAAAGTTCAACCCCCCAATCCGCTCGCAATACGCCGACTTCCCCGCCTTGCACCGCCGACAAATCCCACACCAGCAAAACGCCAGGACCACCGCGTCGCCGGGCGACACGTACGTGACGTTGGAGCCGACGGCGAGGACGTAGCCCGCCCCTTCGTGGCCCAGGATGAGCGGGGGTTTGAGGTGGAAGGACGCTTGGGCGGCGCGCACGTCGCTGTGGCAAACGGAGGCGCCCGCGATTTCGACGTAGAGCTCGTCCGGCGCAAGGTCGGTGTAGGTTACCTTTTCGAGGGTGATGCCGCTTGCCCGTGCAACGTGAGCCTCGGTTTTGAGAGGCATGGTTGGTTGGGTTGGCTTGGGTGGGTAATGTTGTTTTGCGAATCCAGGTCTGAAGTTTGGGGGTTTTGTAGCTATACGGCTGGCGAACTGTGCGGGGTTGTGGCGTTGGTTACAACTGTATATTTGTTTACAACTGTATGATAGATGACTCTACACATTTACTGTAGTGTAAATTATGCGCTTCATGCATGTCAGTATAGGTACGCTCATGCTGAACAGTGTTCGGCTGGGGAACAAGGAAACGGCAGAGTACCACGCGAGGTTGGCTAATAGACGCGCTCGCCACTGATTCGAGAGACCAGCGGATCGAATGAACAAGAGGAGAACGGATTGTGAACGATCTTCAATGCTATCTAAACACTATATGTACAAACATTCCACAACCCTTATAGGCCATCACCAGCACCAGCGCCGCCTCGCCTCGCCATGCTATAGCACAAGTTATGAGCGGAGTACACGTAGCTAACACATCTTTTGCCGCTGGGGTAAGAAAACGAACGCAACAAAAGCCGCGACCGAACCGAGCAGGATGGGTATCAAGGAGCCAGCAGCATGCAAACAAGCACGCCAGGTCAGCAAGGCAGGCTTAGAACATGCCCCCGCCCATGCCTCCCATCCCACCCATGCCCCCACCGCCCATCCCACCCATCGGCGGGCCCTTCTCTTCCGGCGCCTCCACGATGGCAACCTCAGTCGTGCCAAGTAGCGACGCCACACCCGATGCATCCATCAGACCCGTCCGGACGACCTTAAAGGGGTCAAGGATACCGGCTTGAATCATATCGACGTACTCGCCTTTACTGCTGTCGAAGCCCTTGTTGAAGTCGCCGCCGAATTCGTCCATCAGCTTTCCCACAACTACGCTACCCTCCGTACCGGCGTTCTCGACAATCGTTCGCGCCGGGCGCGTGATGGCGGATTTGACGATGGAGACGCCGAGTTGTTGGTCGAAGTTGGAAGGTTTCACGTGGGCGAGAGCGTTAGCGGCGGCTTTGAGCAGGGCCGTGCCGCCACCTGGCAAGATACCTTCTTCCACCGCCGCGCGAGTGGCGTTAAGAGCGTCGACCATACGGTCCTTCTTCTCGCTGACTTCAACCTCGGAAGAACCGCCGACTTTGATGACGGCTACACCTCCGGAGAGCTTGGCCAGTCGTTCCTGGAGCTTCTCCTTCTCGTAGTCGCTTGTCGTCGGGTCAGCCATGACGCCGCGGATCTGCTCGCAGCGTTGCGTGACGGCGTCTTTGGTGCCTTCGCCGTTGAGGATGACGGTATCTTCTTTGGTGATGGTGATGCTACCTGTCGAGCCGAGCATGTCGGGGGTGGCCTTTTCGAGTTTGATGTCGAGCTCGTCAGTGAAGACGGTGCCGTTGGTTAGGACCGCGATGTCGCCTAGGATGCTCTTGCGGTTGTCGCCGAAACCTGGTGCTTTCACGGCTGCAACCTGGAGTTGACCGCGCAGCTTGTTGAGGATGCAGACGGCAAGCGCTTCGCCATCGATGTCCTCGGCGATGATGACGAGGGGTCTCCGTAGCTGCTGGGATGCCTCCAACGCTGGCACAATATCCTGCACCGCCGAGATCTTCTTCTCCGACAGAAGGATGAGCGGCTTCTCAAACTCGACCTTCTGCGATTTGGTATCCGTAATGAAGTAAGGCGAGATGAAGCCGCGGTCGAACTTCATGCCCTCCGTCACCTCCAGCTCATCCTCAATCGTCTTGCCCTCCTTGACGGTGATGACGCCCTCCTTGCCGACCTTCTCCATTGCTTGCGACAGGAGCTTGCCGATGTGAGTGTCGCCGTTGGCGGAGATGGTGGCTACCTGGCTGATCTCCTCCGAGGTGGTGATGTCGCGCTTGTTCTTCTGCAGGTACTCCACCACGGCCTCCACTGCCGCCTGCGTGCCTCTCCGCAGATCCATCGGGTTGCAGCCGGCAGCGACGTTCTTGACGGTCTCGGAGAAGATGGCGCGGGCGAGGACGGTTGCGGTGGTGGTGCCGTCACCGGCCACCTCATTGGTCTTGCTGGCGACATCCTGCAGGAGGCGGGCGCCAAGGTTCTCGAACTTGTCTTTTAGTGTGATCGCCTTTGCGACAGTCACGCCGTCTAACGTCGTTGTCAGCTTAATGAATGTTACATCTTTTGCTCTCCCATCCTGTACCTTTTGTAATTTTCGGCGAGCCATAACTCGACTCTATCAGGACATTCCTGCCTTTCGGCCCAAGTGTGGTTGCGACAGCCTTTGCAAGCGTCTCGACACCGTTCAATAGCGCTGCTCTGCCCTCGACGCCAAACTTGAGCTCCTTATGCGCAAATCTCTGCTGCACTAATGATTGGGAGGAGACACGTGATGAGCGGGCCAGTGCCCGTGGGGCGGAGGAGAAGGCGCGCTGCATTTCAGCAATGCGTATGAGGGGGTGGTGGGCGGTGGTGGTAAGGAGGAAGAGGAGGGATATGGATGGGCAGAAATGGCTTGCAGACGCCGCAGAAACATTTAGAACTCCACGTCCGTAACAGCTCGAACCTGAGGCACCACTCCCGAGAGCCGAGGTTGAGCGCCTGAGGCCACCAAGTCTGCCAGATCAAAGGATGCAGGCATGGACCCCATGTTTCTCCGCTTACCACTGTGGAAATGTCATCCCCCTCCAAGTATGCAAAGCTGTACGCCTGTAATATACCCTATAGTACTCGATGTACCGTCTACGGTCCTGAGGCACTGTCAAGCTGTGCCACACCACGCCCCGGACGATGTCAAGATAGAGAGCATATGCTTTCACGGAACCAGACGATGACTCCGGCCCTGCAGTAGTAATCGCTGTCCCCAGCCTGTTCCTATCGGTCTCCGGAGCATATTCTCCACAATGCTGCGGTGCTTCCATAGCTATGGTCTCCATCTTATGCTTGCCGTCAACGATGATGGTAGGATGGCGATGTAATGCTTGTGGTATAGATATTTGTTGGTGTAGCCTGGTATGATCTTCGCACATGGAGTGCTTGTCTTAACCGGCCCATGGTCGCCATAGTAATCTCATTCATCCAGTCATCAGTGTTCCATCTCGGGAGGAAACACTCCCTCCAAGCACATCTTCGCCATTATCACACTCAATCCCAAAGCAGCCGTTGCTTACCCTCAACATGTCCACTTTCGTTCCAAACCCCCGTAAGCATTTCGACGGCTCCCTCCATAAAAAGAGATGTGGTCGTCCCATCTCGTTCATCCCACCTTCATATCCAACCAAGTCCAAACACACCCATAAAGCAACAACCTTACACCACACCAGCTTTCCTTCACTCCATCAAACTCACGCCAGAGCAACATCCTACCCTGCCATCTCTTTACACATCCAACCTCACCACCACCAAACAACAATGTCCTCCCAACTCACCTCCTCCACTAGCCTCACCCAGCTGGACACCCATCTCTCCTCCCTCCGCGCCCGCAAAGCGCCTTCTAACGACTTCCAAGCCGCCTACAACGGCCAATCTCCCGCCTCCTCATCGGCCTTTGGACGTCGTTTCGAGCAGTTGCAGACGGAAGTCGAGAGCTTCCAGGGCGGGGAGCGGAGCGTTTCGCAGCTTTATGCCGCCGGGAAGGATGGGATGGAAGCGCTGAAGGCGCTTTCCCGACGCCAACAGCAGGTGCTCAAGCCGCTGTCGGGGGCAGAACTTGCGCGGGTTGCCGGTGATGGTGATGGTGATGGAAAGGGTAGGTTGAGCGAGACACCTTCCCCATACCATTGAGAGGGTCCAAATGCTCATATCGCTCCTCTAGCAATCCATCCCAGCAACGATGATTCGGGAAATACGTTCCTGAACGACCTCCTCACCCCCACCGCCCCGGACCGACTCCTCGTCCTCCCGGCCGAAGCCCTCTCGACCCCGCGCTTCCGGACCTGCGCAAAGCGAGGCTGGGCCGGGACGTACAAGCCCTTGCCCTCAGATAACGAGAAAGTCTTCGGCTATGACCGCTTGCCCACACTCCCTCGCTCTTTGGGTCCCGCTCCAGGGTACGATGAAACTGAGATGAAGATGCCGGCTGAAGTGGACAGTCTCGAGACGTTTGAGCCACTGTGGGCGCCAGCACCCGTGTTTGAGAGTCGGTTGGCGGTGGCGCATGTGCAGCATCTCGCAGAGTATGCGCGGCTCTGCGGTAGCGAGGGGAGTTATGAGGGATTTTTCGCGGAGAATGGTGGTGGGAATGGGACGGTGGTGGACTGGAGGCACAGGCAGATGATGGCGCGGATGCCTGGGAGTGTTATCGCAAGGTTGAGGAGACGGCACGCCGACGTGCAATCGCAGGGCATAATTCAGGAGGCTGTCGACGTTTCCACCGCCACAGAGCAGGATGAAGCTGCTGTGTGGGCGACCTTCTTCGAGAAGGTCGACACGCAACATCAGGAAGCCGGCCGACCCGGCAAGCTAAAGGAATGGCACACCCTCGACGGCAAACCGGCGACGGACCTCGACCACCTGGTCGAGCACCTCGACTTCGACGGCCCGGATCCTCCCGCCCCTCTTCTCGATCCCCTTGCTGCTGGCTTGAGGAAAGAAGCCGATGCGCTCGAGACGCGCGCGTGGCTCGTTGAGGAGGCGGGGAAGCGGGGGTACTCGGCCACGAAGGCGGGGAAAATCTGCGACGACATAATGAAGATGTCCGAGGTGACCGCGTACGCCGATAACTGCCGGAGGTGGCTGGAAATCGGCAAGCGGTCTTGGCAGACGGGGAGGTACGCCAAGTCCGGTCAGAAGGCGAAGGGGAAGGCGGCGCTGTCCCCGCGCGGTTGTCGTGGCGGAAAGACGGCCATGCCTGCCTCAGCAGCTTTGGAGGGATGCGATGATGGTGGCAAGGCTGGCACTGGCAGGATGGAAGAGGCGCCATTCCAAAATGGTTGGCACGGTGCTGAGCTACCCTTGGCCACCACGACCACTACTCGCCGGTGCGGTGCCGTTGGGACGGCTGTATGCCCGGTCGAGCGGCCAAAGAGGGTCTGCAGCAAGCCCCAGAAGCTTACGGAGGCTGAGGTTGCCATCGCTGCTACAACAACGCAGCTTCGTAGCAATGGCTGCGGGAAGCGGAAGCGGTCGGGAGATGAGGAGGATGGGCGCGTCTCCAAGAGAATGCAGGCGTAAAGGGCGTCATATGGGCGATGGTTAGCTGCGCCGGCGGTCACGGGGTTGGGATGCTTGCTTCGACTCTTGCGTGGTTTTGAACTGCTATCAACATTAAACGCTGCGTTCTGCTGTTTGCTCAAAGGGTATAATAACGGTCTCCGAAGTCTCCCAGACCGGGTACGATGTAACTGTGCACGCGTGTCAGCGTTGAACCTCGCTTGTGTGGTGGAGATGTTCTGTATTGGAGAATCGCACTTCTTCTCGTTCAAACCTTGATCCACAAACGCCGTCACGATCCGCACCTTCGGGTACCTCTGTGCAAAGTTCGCCGCTCCCTCGGGTGAAGCTATGAGGTTCAGGAAGAGGATGTGCTCTTCCGGCACGCCTTTCGACCGTAACACATCGATCGCCATTAGAGCTGAGCCGCCTGCACATCGCGTCAGCACGCGACAACAACCAGCGTACCTACTTTCACCACTCACCAGTAGCCAGCATAGGATCCAACAACAACACCCACCGCTGACTCACATCCTCAGGCAACTTATCATAAAACAACCGTGGCTTACTCGTCTCCTCATCCCTTTGAATCAAGATCTTCCCAATCCGCACGCTGCGACAGCACTCCCGCAGCGCTTGCTCCATCGCTTCGCCTGCACGCATGATCGAGACCCCGCAGATCTTGCCCTCGAACTTGACGCCGTTGTAGGTGCGGTCGACGGGGGTAGTGATGGTGTGCGGCAGGACGGGGAGGTGGTTCAGTGCTTCTTCCACGAGGAGGCGGTTGATGCGGTTGCTGTAGAAGATGAAGTCGGCGCGATTGGTGGCTTTGTTGCGGATCATGCTGCATGACGGGTGAGTGGGCAATGCAAGGGAAGGATAAGAAGGGATGGTGTTGGATGACCTACGTGAGTAGGGCTATAAGTTGAGGCGTCTGGGGGAGGATGGTGACATTGGAGTGGGTGACTTCGGTGGATACTGTTGCGGTTGGTTTCTCCTCTTTGGGTTTGTATGACGGTCCTAGATGGCCACTGGGAGCTCGCTGTAGCACGCCGCTCGGGCGATCAAGGTGCGTGCTGGACATGCTGGGCAAAGCTCAATGCTGTCACGAAATCGGTGAAGATATGGCTGTGGCTGGCGGAGAGACGTGCACAAGGGGAAGTGGAAGCATTGATGAGTTGTCTTCTCTCCGAGTTACACTTATCGGAGAATGGTCACATATCCATGTACTGATCAAGTGTCTGACTCGAAGAGCAGGACGCTCGGTGGGGCATTGGTCGCGTGACCTTCGTGCCTTCTTCATCCGAGCTGCAACGCCACTCACGGCGCGTTGCTGGCTTTCCATTCTTTACTTCTACCTCAATCCAGACTCCGTCCCTTTCTCGTCGCTTTGCACTTGAACAACATCTTGGTGCCGCGGTATGTTCTTCAACATGAACGGCTTCTCGATCATTCGCAAGGATGCCAGACTTGTCATGCTTCTGTCTTTAGCCGTTGCCATTCTCTTCGCTCTCGGACACGGCATCTTCTATCGCTGTCTTCATAATCGAGACGTGGGTATCATCGACCAGCGACTCAGCACGAGTATAGGAACCGCATTCGCCTTCCTCGTGAAAGCATCCCTCGGTACTGCCATCGCGACTGCGTATGCTCAGCTCTTGTGGCGTACACTGCTGAGCAGAGCGCATACCGTTGAGATGATAGACTCTCTCACAAGCCTACTAGGCTCTGTGCTGGAGCTTAGACTTGACTATCCGCTCTTAATTGCCCTAGCTGTGATCTTCTGGACGATTCCCATTGTGGCTATCTTTCCTCCTGGTGCTCTTTCCGTGTTCACGACCTATCGAGCGGACGTACGAGAAGGCTCTGCAAACATGATCGACTACAACACAACCAGCTTGCTAGCAGTGAACCAGACGGCCGTCTTGCAGTACCCCAAGCCGGACACTGATCCCGTATGGCACCTGACTACCAAACTGTCGCTCGCAGCATCCAGTCTTGCTTCGTATGTGGCGGGCCAAGGTGAGGTGCCTACAGTGCACGGCGTAGTTAACAGCACCTACCTCTTGTCGTTCGGTGCTCCTAACCTGCAGTGCAATACGAAATACTGGCCAGTGGACTACGTTCTCAGCTGCCCGCTGAATAATGATCCAGCACATCCAGCAGTCGTCAATGTCACTTACCTTTCATGGTACAGCAGCAGTGTGTCACCTAGCTACTATGGACTCGGTAATACCTCTTTCTCAGCCAACGTTACATCCAATGACTCTGGGCATCACAACTACACGACGAATGACATCTGCGGCAATATAATGCCCAAAGTCTCCAATCCTGGGTTTACTGGGAATGCGACAATGCTCTACATAGCTACAACGTTCAAAGATCAGACCGGCTGGAACATCACGACATGTGGACTTCACAATGTAACCACGACATTAGCGGTCAATCTCACTAGCAGTGACGACCAGCTGTATGCGACGATGCAGAATTACTCTCTGCAACCCATTGATCGAAGCTGGGCCGACTGGACGCTCAACACCACGGGAGCCTCAATGCAAATCTGGGACAGCACAAACGTTCACTCCGAAGCTAGCCGGTATCTTTACAATCAGCTTGCAACCTTCTATGCTGTATTCAAGTGGTTTGGTGATATGGCGTCCGGCACCAACGTAGTTTCTTCCCGGCCCGCAATCTTCGACACACGTATCATAGGCGCCGAAGAACTACACGGCAGCTCAGCGTCTACAGACCATGGTGGCGTCTTCGGGGATCCTGGCAGTGGTCTTCTTGCCCCGATGCTCGAGCAGTTATTCCAAAACATCACTCTGACCTTGACGACGTCCCCGCTCTTGGTCGGTAGCATACAAACACCTATGAACGTAACTTCCCCCTACAATGTGTACCACTACCACCCACGACATCTCGAAATACCGTACGCGGTCGCTGTCGTGGTCACAGCTGGGGTTGTGTTACTGGGCTGGTTTACGATCACGAAGAATGGAGCGGCGTACACCACGAAGTTCTCCACTTTCGTGCGCACCTTACAATCGAAGTCTGGTGCCGATCCGCTACCTGTTGGCATAGGACTGGCTGAGATACGATTGGGAGCTCATGGTGGTGAAGAGGAGCTTGTGACGTACGAGCGTCCGCTGCTGAAAGATGGCTCGTGAGCGAATCCAATCGAGAGTTCGAGCTGTTGGCAAATGTCTATGTAACTGGGGATGTGCTCTCGAATATGTCGGCCAACATGTGGCAATGACTCGGCAGTTCAGATCCGTCGTCATCTTCACGTCGCGCAGGACTCGAAGAACTGCGCAAGATACATCTTCAGATGATCCAGCAGGTCGAGGAGAAGCATGACGGCACCATCGCAGTTTTGCAGCAATGGCTTGACCACGTCGGGGAGACTGGTCGAGCTTCATGAAACGGCGGTAAGCGTCCCGGCTGAAGCTACGAGCGGAAATGCGTTCGTCAATGCACAAGCGCCAACTGGTAGCAAGTGTGATCCTGCCAAGGCAGATCAGTAATGGACGAAAACGGCTCATCACGGCAAGAGGGACAGCAGGAAACCACAGTCCGGCAAGGTCAATCCGCGGCCCGGTTAGGAGCGCCAGAGACACGAAAACGGCATCGGGGCTAAAGACAGATTGGCTGCCAGCAGCTGCTCGAAAAGATCACAGGACCGCGATACGGCAACATTGCATTCATCGCCAAGAAATTGGGTCGCTCTGAAACTATCGACATACCCATTGGTTATTTCGCAGCGGATGGTTTCGTCCACAACCCGCTTCAAGCTGGGACTTGGAGCCTACGACGGCCCGCGAGCAGTCAAACTCGATATAAATATTATGATCCAGGACCGTCTAGTGTTCGACCCACCCGGCAACCTCGTCCACAGCATGGGTGTTGATCTGGCGAAGGTAGTCAAGTTTGTGTGGGAGACTAGTATGACTCCTGAGCAAGTCGACGCTGCGGAGCATGTAGATGTCGAGGAGGCCTTGTAGCACAAGCACGACGAGAGCGGGCCAGGTGTTGTATCTTGTTAAGTGGCTTGATTACACGGACAAAGAAGAGGAGTAGTGTAGGACCAGCTGCACGGTATATTGAGCGAAAATTATTGAGCCCAGCGTGCCCATTTCTCAAATTGATGCCACCTGTGCCGGCATGTGAAAAGTATGTGGAAGCCCGGTCAAAGCAGTCCCACAACCATAGTGCCACGGCACTGGCTGCGCCGTAGATCTCACCCATACCGGTTGTAAGACGGCATACTTTTGCATCTGCTGTGCAATGAACTTGTGGGAAGCGTGGCAAAATTGCCAGGGATGGTGATATCAAGTGCGAACCATCCCAACTCGGAATCGTTCTGCCAAAATGCAGTCTCTCTTGCCAAGCAGATTCGATGTCTGGACGATACTCTCACTCGTGAGGACCGTACGCACATAGCTGAATATCATCATCTCGGGACTGAGCCTGTTATCACAGGAAGAATCACAATTACCCAAGGACGTGGGAGCTTTCGCGTCGGCAAACTTCTGCTGGGGTCCAAATCTTCGAGGAGCGTAGTGAGGTAATGATTATATGTTGGGTTAACGGCCAAGTCTGGCGCCTCCTCGAAGAAGCTGAACGCTCAGCGGGGCATTGGTCGCGTGCATTCGTGCCTTCTTCTTGCGAGCCGCGAGCCATGTACGGCGCGTTCCGCCGCTAGCCACACGTGAAACCAGACCCTGGTGTGTTTGATGTCTCACTATTCTTCGCTCGTTAACGCGTCGAATGCGAATCCCAGTTACCAACACACCCCCTTACTGCATGTCGTACAAACACATCAAAACGTCGCCGTGTCGTACTTCACTGAGTGCACACACCTATGATACGCCACGCCATCAATGCTTCCATTGGCGCACACCTCACTATACCATATACGCCGCACCACCGATAGCAGCTGACAACAGTCACATGTTGCTATTGTAGAGCTTGAGTCACGCCTGCCTGATAATAATATTACTGCTATTCGTCGCAATGGCCGCCGTGTCCGCAATGCCGACCGAGCGACCGAGGAAGATGATCAAGTACGGCAGGACAACATCACGCTCAGGATGGAACAATAGGCAGCAGGCGGACGCTTGGTTTGACGACGACGACAACGCCATGCCAGCGCGCAGACTGGCAATGACTCGCGAACCTGCCGTGACCGCGACATACAAGGTGCAGAAGCCGACACATCATCCCGCGCAGACAGCCCAGGAATATCGGGAAGCGAAGAAGAGCGCACCCAGGCCTGTGGCGAAGCGTGTCAAGCAGCATGACATGTTTGACGTACCGTCGTCTGACGAGGAGCCCGATTGCGACTTCATAATCAAGCGGACTTCCCCGCCAAAACCGAACGTTAGGTCGTCATTGCGGGACGACGCTGACGACAGGACGGAGACCCTTGCGCCTTGGGAGCGCGAGCTAGAGAGTGCTGGACTTGGATTAAGAGGTGTCGGCGTTGTGGATGCAATGCATGCGATGTTGTCTCCGCCCCGGGTAGCGGAGGAGCCAAGCAGAGCTGCTACGGCTACAACTGCTTCTCCAGCTGCGAGCGCTCATGCGTCAATGACAGCTGCGGCAAGACTTACAGCTAGGCGCAACCGTACTGATGTCAACGCCTCCGCAAACGCAACGTCTAACAAACGAATCGCGACAGCATCGAGGGAGGACGCCGAAACACCCCGAAAGAAAGCTCGCAGGCAGGAACCCTCGAACACTGAGCGCGATCCACCTGTCCTGAACAACCAGCATGCAAAGGCTCCAGTCGCCAAGCCCGGTGTGCACGACCCAGACATTGACGTCTACGATGTTCCGCTCGATGACGAGCTTAGTACGACCTCTCGCTCCGCTCCGCTTTCCGCAAGCAGAGTTCCACGACCTCGGCAACCACCATCGAAGACGCCAATGCCGAAGCAAGGCCTTTCGGCGCCGGCTCGTCTTGCGGAAATGCTACCCGTCGAAGCAGAAGATGACGAAGCCATCACGATGTCGCCCACCGCCACGCCGTGCACACCACGGCGGAGTGCGACCCCTCACCAGGCACCTGGGAAACCTGCGACAGTCGTTAAGCGTGCAGGCGCAGTGACTCCGAAGCAGCGGCAGCTCTGGAGCCAGCTGCTGCCTAGCGATGCTACAGCACCTTCGCCCAGCTCTCTGGCTATGAAGGAGCTCACGCTTAGTGGGCGAGCACGAACAGTTGGGAACGCAGCGTCGCTGGTCAGGACACTGACGAAGGCAAGGTCTGATGTTCCTGAGCTGCATCGACGGAGAACGCGCGTAGTCGACCGGCTTAAAGCGTCGGTTCGTGAGGATACAGTCGAGTCTGACGAAGATAGCGGGAGCGCAGATCATGACGAACCAGCCCTCAATTGCCTAACAAAACGCCAAAATTCTACTCAATCAGCGGTCAGCACCCCGGACACGACATCACGGAGCCAGGGCCACAGCCAGACACAAGCCGCGCCATCGCAGGCTGGGCCGCGCATCACATACGCAGCAGTACGCTCGCACCTCCAGGATAGTATTGAAGACAGTGTGCTGTTCGACCCTTCGCCCGTCGCGCCTCCTAAACCCAGCTTCGTCCGACAAACCAGCAAGCAGCGCAAAGTGTCGCAGAAGTCTACCTTCGACCTCGACGACAGCGATGAGGAAGGCGGGACGAGCCAAGTACGGAGCATCCATGAGCTCCGCGCCGCCGGGCGCAGTAGACGCTTTATGGAGGAGACCGAGGCTTTACTCGACGAGATTGCCGATCATAGTATCAGTGCGAGAAGCCGGAGACGAAGCGCCCTCGTGGAGCTTGCCACTAAGCTCAAGGATAGAGCTTATGTAGAGCGCTTTCTCAGCCAAGGCTACGAGCATAAGTTAATTATCGAATGTTCTGCGCCGCCGGACGAGGTGGCGGATTTCGTGCTTGCCGCTGCTTTTGCACTGCCGCTTAACGGTGAGCTGCCGGAGCATACCGTGAGGGCGTTGAAGATGGGCGTGATAACTTGGCTTGCCTCTTTGTTAACAGTTGACGTGCCGGTTCGGAAGATGATGAAGGATCGCAAGCATAACATCGCGAAGGCTGCGCAGGCTGCGTTGGTCGAGTTCGCCCACTCGCTAGCCACTCATCTCGGGCTCAATGCATCAGACCAACAGGAGCCGTTAACGCTACGTTTGGTGGCGCTTCTGGCACTTGACAAATTGGTGGGCAAGCTACGCCATTTGGGCGACACGACAGAGCTACTGGAACATGATCAGCTACTGCAGGTGTTGCGTTACGAAGCTGAAACCGATGAATTCCACACGCACGCCATCAACATCGCAGTCTCCCTGCTCGAGTCTTTGGCATCCTCAGCCATGATCCTGGATTGGCCATCAGCCCTACTCGCCCGTCTAGCGTCACTGCTACCAACCTTGGCCAACTCCGACAATATACCCCAGCACACACTTTTCCTAGCCCTGCGGCTAACCCTCAACCTAACCACCGCCAACACTACCCACTGCAACGCCTTCGCCAAAACCGAAACGATGCAATACCTTCTCCACTCCATCAACACCGGCTTCGCTCACCTCAACACACCACCCACCGTCAACGACCAGCCCACCTCACACCACGAGCACACACTATCCCACGACTTCCTCATCCTATCCCTAGGCAGCGCAATCAACCTCGCCTCCTCCTCGACAGACTTCCGGGCCTTCACCATCTCCTCCCCAAACGCCCTGACAGCAACCACAAACCTGACAACCACACTCCAGCAGGCGCAAAACCGCATGTCAGACGCCGAGACTCTGCCAGAAACAACCTCCAATATAGCCTACGGCTACTTAGCCGTTCTCCTCGCGAATCTATGTCAGACTCGCGAGGTGAGGGACTTCATTGCTGCGCGGCTGGAGCGGGGGAGGTTGGATGTTTTGGTGCAGGCGGTGGAGGAGTTTGTGGGGGTGCATGAGAGGGTTGATTTGATTGCCGGCGCAGCTGGGGTGGGAGGTGGAGGTGGGATTGAAGGTGGGATAGGAGGTGGAGATGGGGCTGTGATGTTCGAGGGGCGGGAGGGAGCGGAGGTGATGGGGGCGTTTACGGAGAGGTTGAGGGGTGTGCTTGGGAGGCTGAGGGAGGTTGCTGGGGTTTGACGAAGATATCACGAGGACTGAGGAAGAGGGTATTATAATGTTGACCCTGAGATGCTGTAGATCTGTAGCCATGTGCACACGATCGTGCTAAGCCTGTACGTCTGTCATGCGCTTCATTCGAGTAATGAGGCGAGTGTACATATTCCATTGCTGCACACGGTAACTTCGTATCCACAGAAACGGTATGGTCATTCCCGCTATGGACCCCAGCCCAGCCAACCCCCCAACTCCACGCTCGAAGAAGACATATATTCCGCGTCCCCACACATACAACGGCGATCCCTCACTCCCCAATTTGATGCTCATAAACCAAATCGACCCCCTTCACCGGATGCAACAGCACCGCGGGAACACACATCCTCCCCTCCCCACTCACCTCCTCCACCTCGCCCCCACCCCCATCAACCCGATACCCCAACCACCTCTTCCACAAATTCGGCGCAAACCCAGCATGGTAATACCAACTCGTGCCCAAAAAGTTATGCTGGCGCTCATCACTAAACACACTCGTCCTCGCCCCTCCACTCGCGCCATTGAGGCCGTTATTGAATATCGCGGCGAGGTATGAGGTTGGCCATGCACGGTCGATGTAGACGGGATGGGGGACGTAGACGGCTTTGTAGCCATGGTGCAGCGCGATGGAGGCGGGGTACATCTCGGAGAACATGGTGTGACGGAGGAACGTGGTTTCGGCGTGCATGCTGTTTAGCAAGCGGGCGGAGAGGCGGGAGGCGGTTATTATGGCTACGCGACGAGGGGGAAAGGGGTTGGGGGCCGTGGTGTTGTAGCCGGTCACGTCTTCGGCGAGCAGCCAGTTGGTTTGGTGGGGGTCGAAGAGGGGGTTGAAGGTAATGAGGTCTGCTTCCTCGCCTACGCCCCAGGAGTAGTCGTCGCGGTCGTAAGGGGTTGGGGGTTTGGGGTCGGAATCGGGATCTACGGTTGTGTCGCCTGGGGCGGTGGGGCGGAGGGGACCCCAGATGGGTGGCTCGGGTTTGCGGGACGCTTCGTCGAGTGGGTGTCTGGATGCGGCGTCTTGGGCGAGTTTGTTGTAGATGCTCGATTTGCTGGCTGTGCCGTGCTCGGTCTGTACTCGAACCATTTGTTTGAAGTCGTCCCAGCTGCCGTGCTCGGACGGGACATAGAAGCGGCCATTCCGCTCCCATAGTCCCTTCCGCGGCTGCTGCTTCGCCCATTCACTGACTTGCGTGAAGAGGTGGTAGAAATGCCCTGTATAGCGTACATCCATCTCCCAATGCCAGAAAAAGTCATACTCTGGGTGCTGATGGGCGAAATATTGCACCGGCATGAAGGTGCTCCGGTATGCTCCATGGACGGGAAGGTCACGGTAAAAGCTCTCCGGCACGCCGCCGTAGATGAGGCCCATCTGCCGCTCAGACCAGAGCGTGCCCATCCCGCGGAACTCGGCGGGCAGCGAGTCGTCAAGCACGCGTTGGTAGGTGGCGTCGTCCGCCCAGATTTGGAGGTCGTTGTCTTTGACGTGGATGAGGAAGTGGATTACGTATTCCGCGCCGGATTGAAGGGAGAGCTCGTTGACGAGGGCGCGGAGGTAGAAGAGGTCTTCTGCGTCGTAGGGGTAGTCGTGCCATGTGCGAATTATGACTGCGGTGCGAGGGAGGCGCTTTTTGACTTGTGATGGAAATTTGCTCAGGTTGTTTTGTGGCGTGGGAAGATCGAATGCTGGCCCACCAGATGCCATAACGGTAAAGAAGTTGTTCCGCTTTCTTGTCGGTAGAGGCTCGAAACGATGCGCATTAGCCGCGATGCAGTTATCTTGCGCTTGAGCCCAGTGAACCTCGCGGTAGTCGATTTCCAGCCAATCTTCCCAGACCTTCTCACTGCCTTCCTTCTCACCTTCCGTACCAGCGCCGCTGCCACCGTATTTCCTGCTATAACCGAAGCCATACGGTCCTAGTCTGCCGTACCGCTCAAAGCAGACATCGTTCCGAAGACCGAGCAAATCATACGAGCCCATCACAGGTTCCGGAAAGCCTTGCGGAACTCCCTTATACGACAACAACTGTGGCACCTCCAAGCGCGTGTTGTTGTCTAGGTAGCACTTGACCGCCGGCTCGTACTCTTCTCCAAACCGAGCCTTGGGCACGAACCTCTCACTCCTACTGGCGAAGCTGCGGCTGCCACTCTCCTCTTGCCGCTTGTGAAACCCACCCTCCTGCGGACCCAACCGGTCCTCCTGCTGCTTCTGCGCCATCGCCGCATCTACTAGAATCTTCAGCTCCTCCTCGTCGCTGCCTGCCGGGTACTCGGGCTTATTGTTCGACCGCCCCACCAGCGTCCGTATGCCGCCATGATAGCGCTTGAGGAAAGGAAACTGCTCCCATGCCGGTGGTGGGGGTGGAGGCTTCTTCAACCCTCTTCTTAACGCGCTCTCGCCGCTCCAACTCGACCGAACGAGATACAGGAAGAACACTAGTAAGATGCCGGAGATGGCGAGGGTGAAGTAGCGGGTGAAGCGCCTTCGGGGGAGATGATATGCGAATGACGGTTTCGAGTACGGTTGGCTTAACATGGGCTGCGTGGCGGAGACGAGTTCGGGGATATCGTCCGAGTCTGAAGAGTGCCGGTGCTTCTCAGTATCGACCCATGCGCCGGAGAGGGAGCGGTAGCGACTGGGGGCCGGCATTGTGACTGCGTATCAATGCTAGACGACGGCGTCGTTGTGTCTTACTTCATGCGACCACATCATACTATTCCTCGTTCCATGTAGTGGTGGCTGTTCGATACAGCTGATGGGCACGTGAGGTTCAATGGGATCGTAAACAAACAGATCCGGGAACCGAGGCCTTTGGCGCCACTGCCAAGACTTCCTATCGACTCTCGCGGCAGGTACGCGAATCGAACGTGAATCTGTTGCAAGTCACAAAAAGTATGTATAGTTGCGTTCACTGTTAGAACTTCCGCCAACACCATTACCGCGCCGTCGCGTTCAGCGCACGGATTGGCTCGAACGTCAGACGTTGACGTCTTGCCAACGCTCGGCCGTATTATATAGGTAGCCAGCAAACCATTTGGTACTAAGAGTTGTGAACGAATCATTGGAATGTAATGGACTACGTAGTTACAACGAACTTTGGCAATCATGCAGTCAGTCGCTGCAATGCTTCAGAACGGCTTATAAGTCAAGGCAACTCCTGTATAGACCCAGGCCCACCACTCCATACAGACACACCGATACCGCCTTACCTCCAGTGCAGCCCGGCATGGAGGCACCTTGCCAATACCCAAGGCAAGCTCCTCCGCATTAACGACATTCCACGGTCGTCCCTTGCAACGAACGGTTCGTGTCAGTCGCATCCGTTCTTGGGGCTGCCTGAGCTCAGAATCGAGCCCAACCTCAGAGCCATAGCAATCGCCATCTACGGCGCGCTCGTCCACCATCAGCGTCAGTGCAGCGTAGTTGGCTACCGGATATGGTATTCTCGTGATCGAGCTTGCAAGCCCGCAGGACCTTAGTTTCTGCCGCGTTTGCGGCAGCACGCATGGTTTCGATTGCGAGGATGCCAATGTGGTCGCAGACGTTGAAAGCGCGGAAGATAGCTGTCAGCGAGTCTATCTTTGTAGTCGAGCTTCAAGTCCGGCTGTTGACGGACGCGATGCATGTGTTGGTGTTCTCTACGACTGCTCCAACGAGACCCCGCAAGCCAGTACCCGCTTTCTTACCCTCTATCGTTACGTCCGAAGGCATGACGACCTTGCCATCTTTCGTATGAAGACCGAGCGTGGGAGCGGCGTTGCCGTTTTGCGAAACCGCCAGTGGCTGACCAGGGTTGACTTCTATCATCTCGCGGCCGGACTTCATTATCGTCCAAGGACCGTGAAACACCATGCGCTTCGGCTGCGGAATTTTCTCGCGTGGCCACATACATTTGCCGAACGTCACAGTGTCCCACAGTTTGCCGAGGACTCTATCCCGAAGGAGGATCTTATCAGCAGTCCAGGTATTCCAGTCGATATGGCGATCCTCAGGAGTAATCTTCGGGGCATTGGATGGCTGGCGTGGCTTGAGATTGAAAGCGGGCGCAGGATGCTCATACCTCCGGTGTCGAATGTAGTCTGACAGCATGCGAGCGCCTACCGTGCCCATGCGCTCAATGGCATTGTCGAGGATAGACTTCTCCCCATTTGAGGGTAGTGGGTCGAGTGACATTTCTTCCTGAGCTAAGATCGTGCCATGATCGAAGCGAGTTGGATGCATAGTCTGCAGCGTGACTCCTGAGACAGTACATCCGCTAAGCAGCGCGCGTGGGATAGGTGCTGCGCCTCGAAACTCTGGCAAGAGGGAAGGATGGACGTTCAAGCCGCCATACTTCGCCGCTGTAAGGAGTCTGCCCGGAACGAGCAGGCCGAAGGAGACTGCCACGACCAGATCATAGTCCTTGGGAGGCGACCAGCCGGTGAAAGTATCCAACTGGTGAAGTTGTAGTCCACGTCTGAAAGCCGCAGCCTTGATTGGGACTTCATGCTTGACCTTCAGCCCGCGGCCGCGAGGCTTGTCCGGTCTGCAGACCACATCGATGGATTCGATGAGCCCGGTAGAGCTCTGTTGTAGCTCGCTCAATGCGCCTAAGGATTTGATGCTAAGATCATCGGCGCCGCAGAAGAGGATCTTCAGCGCCTCATTCACTCGTCCGCCATGGTCGCTGAAAGAGCGCGCACACGCAGGTGTGTTGTATCTCCACCAAGCTCGGTGCGCATATTGAACCCTCAAGCTCCTGAGCAGCATAGAGTACGGCTCCGACGCATGCTGCCTAGTTTCGACTATCTACACCCACTGGCACCGGGATTAAGCACTCAATGCAGGTGATGTACTATGGACACAGTCAGGAGATCCATGGAACTTCGGCGGAACGTTTGACCGAAGGTTTTACCGAGCCCGGAAGTAATGCTGCCTCACAAACGCGAGCCTTACAGGCACTCGCATTCACTGGCACCACATCATCAGTGGCTGACGACAGAGTGTGATCCTGTGTAGCAAGAACTCGCGTGCGGGTAAGGACTCACACCATGTTTGTTGCATGCAACTACCGCCGCAAGCCCACGCAGAATGGCTAAAGTATCGTGCCCATTCTGCGGCGTGACCAGCCCAGAAACCCTAGTAATACAAGCTCATATCGAAGAGCAACATTACGAGACTCCGAACCAGTCGTCGGTGTACAAAGCTCGTGAAGGAAGCCGAGTCGACAGCCGTCACGCGCTGCTCCCAAATTTGGAGCACAAAGTCCCCGAATCCGAACCGCAATGGACGAAATGCACTCGACCAGGATGCGGCGAGTATGTATTACTTCGCGACATTGATGAGCATCTGGACGTTCATGCTGCTCTGGCTGCGTCTGAGACGGAGAGATCGAATTTTTCGAACAATGCCCGTAATGACAACCAGCCACCGTCACCAAGGCGAGCGAAACTGGACCAGTCAAGACGGCGACCTTCAAACGCAGTCCGCTCACCTTCGACACAGAGCATACTCAGCTATTTCGCTGGCCGGTCGTCGTATGCAAGTAATGCCGTGCCGAAGCCACCACAAGCACCACGCCCGTCGGGCAGACTTGGCAAACGTGAGCTAGGCCCTCATGCCTGGGAGAAGAGGATGCCGGACATCGTTCGTCAGCGCCTTCTCACTGCTGCTGTGCCCAGACAGGTCAACAAACTTGGCCGTGACGGCAGACTCGCACGAGAAACCGTTATCGACAACGAGACTATGGACCTTGTCCCGCTTATTGCAGAGCTGTGCTCACGGGACCGTGACACGGTAGCAACCTACCTTTGCCATCCTGCCGTCAACCATGTCGCGAAGATCCGCTGCGATGGCAATTTCTGCGGGTACTGGAGCATTCAAGTACTGCTAACGCACCTCCTGCTGACGCGAAAAGCCGTCTTCGACGCACCACGTGTGCCTAATGTGCTGCAGATCCAAGACCGAATCGAGCAAGCATGGGATGCTGGAGTCTGCGCCTATGGCCGCACAGAGACAGGCGGTATCCGCGGGACGCGAAAGTGGATCGGTACCGCTGAAGCAGTCTCTTTCTTCACGCAAATGGGCGTGCCATGTCAGCCTCTCGCGTTTGAAGACGATGACGACAATGAGCCTTACGGCGAACTCGCGGCTATAAAGCTGCTTGACTACGTGGAGGTGTACTTCATGCAAGGCCAAGAAGCAGCTCAGCGTAGAGGAAGCTCGTTTATCACGCAACTGCCACCGCTCTACTTCCAGCGACTGGGTCACTCGATGAGTATTGTGGGTGTCGAGAGACAGCGCGATGGCAAGAGGAACTTGCTGGTCTTTGACTCTTCGTTCGAGACGTCTGCTGGCGTAACGGCACTGTTGGCGGGTAGGAGCTCAAGGGCGGAGCGAGAGACTTTGCTGAAGGCTTACAGGAGGAGTGATAGGTCGCTTGCACGATGGGAGGAGTTCGAGGTCATCACGCTGTCGTGAACGAGGCAAGATGTGACCCTCATCAATGCGATGCATGTATGACACATCGTACTTGTAGAGCTGCTGTGCAACTATCTGGTCACCCGTGAACGCACTTCAGCCCGAGACACTCTCCACTCTACCCTCCCGCCTTCCGCCGAGCACTCACCCGGAGACATCCTATCTCGCCGTTGCCATCGCGCACCTCACTTCAGAACGATGCAGCGTCGATGTCGAAGAAACTCTCCTAGAGCCCAGCATCGGAACAGCTGCAATCGTCGGTATGGGCATTGATGATTTCCTGGTTGCTGATAGCTTCTGCCGGCACATTGTATGTGAGACTGGCCGTTGACACATCGTATGTTATAGTGCACGTTGCTTCGGATGCGGCGTCGTTTGTTGTCCTAGCCGTAGGTGCACGTGTTGGAGGTGAGCTTGCCGCATCTTGCATTCCGTCGTCCGGCTTCTGAAGAAATAGTGAAGAGGGCGGGACGGTGGTATTTCCGGCGGATTTGGAAGGGCGCGTAGGACTTGCATCCACCGTGTTGTCCGCGCCGCCAACCATTCCAGAATCATCTGCTGTCTGTTGAGGTTCCTCGTTCGTCGTGTTGTGAGATAGAATCTGGCGAACAGGAGGAGAAGCGGTCGACACTGTCTTGAGGTTGTTCTTATTCACCGTTCCATCATGTCGTCGCCGCTTGAGGCTAGGTGTGGGCTCGAGATTGCTGTCTAGCAAATGCGTAGCGTCCAGATTAGAGAGCTGGGTCTTCAGCGCCTGCAACTTCCGAACAATCTCATATCGCTTATCGAGGAGACGGCGTGCGGGATCGATCGCTATCGGAATTGTCTCGGTGACGGCTTGAAAGTGAAGACTCGTGTGCTGTGCTCCCACAGACTCATTTTCGGAGGGCAGGAAGTTGTGATGCGTTGCGTTGCCCCAACGCTGGTGAACTGCATCTGATCTACGGCTACTGAGCGCCAGCTCAGACCTCTTCGCAGTCTCAGTGAGAGTAGAGTGGAAGCCAGCATCGTCGTCATTACAGTCTAAAGCGGGACGCTTGCGCTTGGGGCGTGGTTGTTGGAGAGGCTGGGTAGGGAACACCGGTGGCAGGTAAGTTGTGCTGGTATACGGAGGACTGTGCCCAGTAGCATCGGGGCGCGAACCACCATTTTGCTGAGTGGGTACCTTCATACGGACGGCCTGATGTGCAAAGGGCTGATTGAGAGTCTGGTGATCAGATTCTAGTAGTGCTAGGAAGCTAACGAGTATACGATGCTCCTCTTGGGACAGAGAGGTGGCTGCATTGGTTTTGAGCGGCGTCAAAGGGTCGATGGCCAGTGAGGAATCGCTTGCAGCACTTTTGACGCCAATCGAGCCCGTTTCGCTCGCCGGTAGAAATGCAGCCGAAGCGTGATTCTTTGCGAGCGGCGAGCGGCCGAGCAGTCACCGCCTGAGAGACTGGTCCACGCGTTGCGTAGAGTGGCAACTGCGGCAGAAGACGCGTTGCCTGCGAGTAGTTTGCCATACGGTCCGTGTCCATTCGATGGAATGGTGGCAGTGTCGACATGTTATGGAGAAAGTAAGGTTGTGCGTTCGGTAGCGATGCCGTGGCCACAGCTGCTTGTGAAATACTAGGCGCGATAAGGTTCGGGCGAGCGTGTGCTCTCGCTAGGTCGGAGTAATACTGTGAGACGGTCCTAGGTCCTTGCCCACCCAGGGGCAGCTGGCACGCTTCGGTGGTCTGCCAGTGTCCAGTGAGAGTCCGAACTGTACATGCAGTGCCGCCACACACAGGACAGAAATACTCGTCGTTCGTCTCCGCAGCTTCGCGCTGATGGCCGGGTAACCTATTCTTCCGCAGAGACGAAAACAAAGTGCATTCTGCACATGTTCACTTACGACCGTCCTTGTCTTTGCGTGCCCTGTGTTCGCCGGCATACTTGTTGTGTATGCGGACCATCGTGCCGTTGGTCGGCGATCAGCGGTGTTCAACGATCTCAGGGAAGGATGGGCTGCTGTGTCAAGCCGACATTAGCTCCATAGTAGTCACAGACCGTTGCGGTTCTGTTGACCGATGCAAAGCACATGGGTGGAAACGTCACGTTGTAAAGGAGCCTTGAAATGCACAGTTAGCCGAGTATCATAGGAGAGTCGCACTTGGTACGCCTTTTGCCGTCCATCGACTGTGCTAATGCGTACTTTGTCCGCTTCATTGAGTCACGGTGCCGCAGGGGAACCGCGGCACTAGAACGCGCTGGCGCTGGAACCAGTTTCTCCGTGTTGAGAGACCGCTGATGTGCACTCAGCAAGGTGGAGGTGCACCACTGTAGATATATGGTGAAGCTTTTGCAGTGCTTCGCTTGCTAAAATCTCTTGAGCTTGAAGCGGTGGAGAGAGACGAGGCGGAGGAGGCAGCAGCAGCACAGGCCCCCGGTTCCCGCTATACTGTTCGAGTAGGTTCAATCGCGGCAGCATCCGCGATGCCGAGATATCGGTTTAAGTCGGAAAGTCAGACTTTCATATGGAGATGCAAGCGCCTAGCAAGACTGTCAGCAGCAGTTTCTACACCTTCTCTCTTTTTTGCTTGCCCTGTTTGCTCATCGGCCTGCAGCATAACGGCTCAAGGGGATTCAACTCCTTTGGCGAGCGGAGTAGTTTGCAGTGCCCATCATGTCAATCAGGCCTTTGTAGTAACAGTGGTGGCATGCTTGCTTGTTGCCCATTGTTTACCAGAGCCATTCGGCTTCGGTCAGGGCGCGAACGACCTGCCAGACAGCGGGCCAACAGGTGTCGTATCGTTGCAATAAGCGTCATCCTTGAACTGCGCGCACGCCAATGCGAACAGCGGCGATCTGGCAAGGTGTCGCTACAAACGACGACGAAGATGCCTGCTCTTAATAAATTGGTCTAATGTTAGAGACGACAGTCTATGCCGAGGGATGGCCCATTGGAATGTGCGCTAATCCAATCATGCTCTCGAGGCGAAGCGGACGTCGCGCCAGGACGTCAGTGTCTCTCATCTAGCTGTAATACTATGTCAATGATCGTCAGTTCGAACGCATCGAAGAGTGGAGCTTGTCATGCCATTGCAATGTGGAAGGCCAGCCTGTATACCTATAAGTACTATAGGTCCGCAGCAGACATCACAGACGGCGCCATGAGACCAGGCAAGAGCACAAAAGCAATCGTAAAGCCAGACGCTAAGTATTGGCCGACGCACCGTCACCGATGCCAGCTAAGTACTGGTGCTTGCCCAGATGGAACATCTACTGAAGCATGAAGAGTGCATGTACAGCCAAAAGATAGCATGCCTTTTGGCCTGTCAGCATGAGAAGCGGACTGGCGTTTACGCAATCACGACGCTTGATACAGTCGCCAGGCAGTTTTGGTTCATGGCCATACTCATCTTCCTTCCATGGCAAGAGTCACCGGTAAGCTAGGGCCTAAGTGTTTAGCGGGCGATCTATCCTATCAGGGTGAGGATTCTCGGATTGAGCCTAGAAGACCTTGACTGGCATCGCAGGATGGCATTGGAGCGCACAGTGCGTGTGGCATTCAATCGGACGGACCTGTACACCCTGATCATGACGAGAATGAGTCTCCGGCGTTGATTTCACGATACGGAATTCGCCACTCAAGGCCAATACACTCCCCAGCCTTCAGTCAAGGCTTCCTTCAGATACTCGGGCAAGGCCAGCAGTGGAGTGCCATGGGATAAAGCCCGAACCTTGAGCTTTTATACCCTCGGTCCCCTTCAGAGTCAGTTAGGATGTATCGGCGGCCTGATGGCGGTAGGTACCGCAACGCTTTCCATTCGTGGTTCTCACTTTCGTGTGGAAATGGTTCAGTGGGGGACCGAGCACCGTAGGGTCAGAACGGAGCCATGCCAGCTGTGATTCTATAGATATCTTTCACATCGGTCCAGTCCGGTATCCGAGTGATGGGAGTAGACGTTGGTCACAGCGCACGAATGCAGCGATGCGGCCGGATTGCTCAGCTAGAATCGCACTTTCGTCTTGTTTCATTCTTTTACTGCTCGAGAGGGCATTCTCAGCAGTTCATGCTCTCTTGGGTTCACTTTCTGTCGGCGAACACATACACGCTGCGCAGTTCGACATGATGCTCAGAGCAGGAGGTGGAGTCAGAGGAGTCCCGTGGCTCGATCGGCCGCTGCGGAACTGCGGAAGAGATCTTGTGGCCCGAGGCAGCAACGGATCGATTGCGGGCGTTCATCTTGTGCAGATTGTCGACACGCAAGTGCAACGTCAGGCTCGTTAATCATTAACTACACATTGCACACAGTATGACAATCGTACAACACCATTCTCCAACCAAGGGTTAGAGCAGGAGGGAAGAAAGTTTGCAAACAGCTAAGTCTGCGGATGAGTCGTCCGGTAGATACCGACACTGCCTCACAAGAGTTTCCGTCACTTCATGAGCTCTGCTCGCCATACGAGGATGCGACTCACTTGGTACGAACGTACCACTACTGTAACCATCCTCTACCGAGGCAGGTCGGTGAAGTATACCTTGTTCGTCCTTACACCTATAGGAAGCTGCCGCAACGATAGCGCCACCCTAGCCAAGCATCCGCCATCTGCTTCATGCAGGCCGGCAGTCCGTCTCTCGGGATCAGCTAACCACAGCTTCGGCCTGGTGCGATGCTGCCCAGTAAGGAACTCTACAGCCTTGTCGAGCCATCACCATCGCATCATGCACGTCTACAGCCTGTTTTCCACCCATGCCGGCAACGGTAAAGGTGGGGCTGCTGTGTTCCTCGCTCGTCTTCTTCCTCATCCCGCCCATCCACCAAGCAACAGCGAAGCCCACCTACACATCTACTGGCTGCAAGTCAGGGCCGTGATCCCGATGTCTTTCCGCGGAGAGTGAACCATGTTGGCCCTGCCAACAATCACGTCTCACTGAGCCGGCCATCTCCGTGAAAAGTATGCCCCTGCTTTGCGCTCACCTGACAGTCTTTGCTGTGCTGAGCTGAGCAGAAACTGATACTACGCTCCGTGTCAGCACGCGACTTAGAGATCAGAGCTTGCCGAACAAGGTGACTACCGGAATAGTCTGCTTCTGGACTCCACTGCCACGCGATCCACACCGATAAAGGCTGCATGAAGCGGGCCGGAGCAGCTTTCCACACATCGCAAGCCAGCGCACCCATGTTTGCCCAACTCTGTAGGCTCGGCAGCCGATTGATTGACTATGTCATGTTGTCGCCCTCTTTCGGCGACACCTAGCCCTGAAGCCTGCTTTCCGTGGACCGCCCGCTGTTTTGCTTGGATTATGCTTGCTTGGGCACGCACAAACGTCCCGCGTCTGCTTGCTGATTCGGCAGCGAGTGACGAGGGATACGCGAGACGGTGTATACGACGGAATATAGGTAGGTCAGCTCGAAGCTCCGCAACTTGTGGCTTTCTTACTTGCTTCCGAACACTCAACACCCTCTCCGCAACATCAGCGAAGTGCTTGTTGAAAGTGATCCATATGCTCCCATACATCAATATTGCTCGTGCGCGACACTACAAAGACTGCCACGGCTGACCGGATCGTCGTCGAAAGGGAGTCCCTCGTACTGCGCACGTAACTTCAAACCGTTGACGGCAACATCACGCAACACCATGGCGTCTAATACGCAGCCGAAGCGTTCGCCACTCACGCAAGCAACCATCCCTCCACCATCTATCAATCGTCAACATTCCTACAACTCGTGCGCATCGGGCGGAAACAACGCCACAGCCGTCCTAACCAACATACGCACCCGCTCATGGTCCCCCAGTCGCAGCAGCTCTCACTCAGGTTCGGGAAGCACATCCAGCAGTCCCGCGTCTGACAGTCCGATCACAACACCGCTGGAGGCGCCACCGAACCAGAGGCGCACAAGTTGGGAAGACTGCAAGCGCCAGAATGCTGGCTATATTAGCTTTCCGGACTTTGATGAGTTGAAAGCGCAGCGCGAGCAGTACTGTGGTATGCGCCGTCAGTGACTGCGGCCCAGCTCTCGGCGCACACAGTTCGACTGTACTTACGGCCGGCTTGTACCACGACAGTGCCGACGGTCGTGAAGTGAACGCTCTAAAACGACACTCCACGACATCGGACAGCGAGACGCGTCTGGGTGAGTGCAGGCCTAATACGGGGCCGCTTCCACCGCATCGCACGTCACCATGGCGCCAGAGTAGAGAGCTCGTACGACAAATCGGTACATCCTACTACCATTCATCACCACGACCCTATCGCTCCCGCCGCCTATATATGTGCATACACGGCGCGAGGCCACAATCACAGCCTTGTCCCCACAAGTGGCACATCGGGTCCAGAAGCTTCTGGCGCCGTGGGCTCTCCAGTGGCCTCGGACAGCACACGCAGGGTGTCCGAAGTTTCGCTTGCGGTACGGCAATGAGCCCAGTCCCGCTGACCGTAACCGAGAGCGAATGGAAGCTCGGCGTTGGGAGGGATGAAGAAGGGTCAAGCAAGCAGAAGTTGAGGAAACGTCTTCAAATCAGCGAGTCATGGGATACAGTGAATGCCGCTGGGGGTATAGTACCAATGAAGTCATCGCTTGGTCGGAAGCGAATGTTATCACGATGAAGAAGATGAGGAGCGACATGGTTAGCAATGTTAACCATCCACTCTCACAGGGGTAGGAGAGTCGACGAATGGCCATATCTATGTATGAACGAAAATGGGAGGAAAAATGTAAAAAGTTTCATAAGACTTTCTCGATCGAGCAGCGCAAGCGAAACCAAATCGCACGCATGCAGTGGTATCCCAAACACGCACAAGCAGGCACCCACTCAGCAAATGGCGCAGGGCGCAAAAGCATATTTTCATTTTACCCCTCCCCATGCCATGCCATGCCCCCTCCGCAGCGCAAAAGCACCACGTACACAGTGCTCAAGAACTCGCCCCCCATCGCCGCGCCAAAAACGCAGGTATCGGTAACAGTGACACTTCACTCCCAAACCCCCCTCCTTCGGGTCCCAGTCATGCAAACTCCATTAATCCCACAGGTAGCAAACCCTCAGGTGCCCATCCTCTCCCCAGCCCCAGCGCCTCGCTGTAAATTCCACGTCGCCAACCCCGCTCCCATCCCATCCCATCCCTTCGTATCTCCCCCATCCCCCTTCCAATCCGATTCATCCCCAACCAGTCTATCGCAGTCATAACGTCTCCACCCTCAAATCCCCCCGCACCATCCCACCCATCCCTCCCACACCGACATGCGGGCCCGTGACCCCCAGCTTGGCCATCGTGAGATCGTCGTCCAGGAGCGACATGCCGATGCCGCTGTCGTCTATATCCCCCGCCCCTGCCGTAAGGTGCTGCTGTGAGTGCTGGTGCTGGTGCTGGTGCTGGTGATGTGAGTGGGCGTGGGGATCCTGTATGGAGGAGGTCGAAAGGTGGAAGGACAGTTCGCCATTGTGCTGTTGCTGTTGCTGTTGCTGCTGGTGCTGGTGCTGGTGCTGATGTTGATGCTGGAGCGACGGTGCCTGCTGGAAACTGAAGTGTTCGTTCATAGCCACGTGCTGCTCAGGCTGGTAGTGCTGCTGCTGATGTTGTTGTTGCTGGTGCTGCTGGTGCTGCTGCTGTTGTTGGCCACGATGGGGTGCCATATACGGCAACTGCTGTTGTTGGTGTTGTGGTGCCGTATGGGTATGATAGCCATTCGTCTCCGCCATCGACAACCCCACGGACCCACCATCCGGCGCCACACTCCCCCTCCTACTACCCGCACCCGCCGCCAGTCCCTGCGCGATCAAAGGGCTCTGCCGAAACCCCTGCATCGTCACCGTCACTCCAGCACCGGTCCCATTTCCCATCATCCCCACTCCATCGCTCACCACACCAACCGACGTACTCTCAAGAAACCCCCCCATCTCCCCCAACCACAACGCCATCTCATCCACGAAAATCTTCAACACCCACCAATGCCCGTAACTCTGCCCGCCGCAAATGGTGATATCCCTCAACGCCGCCGTCCCCACCGCACTCACGCACCCCAACAAGACTCTCGCACTCGCGTTCGGGAACCGGGAAGGCAGAGATCCGATGAAAGTCGACCAGCGGTCGAGCACGTTTTCCGTGGACATACTCACACCTGACGCGGAACCTGGAGCCGAGATGTCGTTGGAGGTGGAGGAGGAGCCCGGGGGTGGTTGTAGCGTTTGCGATTGGAGGTAAGCGGCGAAGGAGCTATCTTCATTGAAATTGTAGGCCGCCGCGGTGGAAGCTGTGAAGCCGTACGGGTCCTCCTGCTGGTGGTTGAACATGGGCGGTGCCGCTAGTGGTTCGAGGAGACTGCGCATCTCGGTCGTCAAAATCTTGTAAACTTCCTCATACCCACAAACATCAGGCGGTAACTCGGCCTCGATGACGCGTTTCGGGTTCACCATCGTCACCCACTCCCGCCACATCTGCTCGCGGTTTTGATCAATGGTCAACAGATTCGCGGCGGCATGAGCGGACTGATTCACCCTGATCAGCCGGTAGAGTAAAGACGCGAAAACGGTCGCAGGCCGTAACTTGGCATCCAACACATGGCCCGGCTGACTCGCAAACGTCTTCGCAATATGGCCGTGCAGCGTGGCAGAGATATTGGAGAGGATATTGATGACCACCACGGGCGCGGCTTGTAAGGTGAGCCGACTGACGAAGCGGACCATAGTCCTGTACATGACCAAATCGCACGCCTCGATCCAGGGGGACAGGCTGGGGTGGACGAAGAGCTTCTGCACGGGGACGGTGAGGGTGCCGTGGAAGGAGGTGTAGAGGCGGAAGAATTGCTTCTCCTTGCAGAAGCGGATGGAGTCGATGAGGCTGGTGGTGTGGGTGCGGTACAGGGCGTAGAGGGATTCGGCCGTGTCCGGGTCGGTGCGGGGGGGGAGGTAGGGTTGGATGGGGGGCAGGTTGACGGATTCCGTTTCGGAGAAGGTGGGGAGGGTGCTGGAGGGGAAACGGAGGGTTTGTGGGTAGGTGATTGATTCGGCGGTGCTGGGGGCCATGCCGCGGCTGTCTGGGTAGGCGAAGACGCGGCTTTGCGAGGAGGGGCCTCGGGGTAAGGCGCTGGGGGGTGGGTGGAGGTCGTTGGTAGAGTCGGTCGCGGGGAAGGCGGAGGTGTCTGCTTGTAAGGGCGGGCCGCCGTTGAAGGTGTAATGTTGAGTGCTGACCGACTCGCTGCGTCGTGACCGAGATTGAATTTGGTTGTACTGCGCAAAGTCCGGGTTGGTGATGGGGTTGAGACTTTCGTCGTCCAGACCTAGGTCGACGTAGTGGTACTTGCTTTCGCCACGCACACCCAAACGGCGCGTTTGAATGCCGGGAAAGATGACTCTAACAAGCTTGCCGAAGGAAGCAGGGTTGAGTGGAACCACGCGCTCAGTACCACAACGACTGGCGTACTGCGAGTAGACTCGATTCCTCGGTACGGATGTTTTGGCCGGTTTGCACACGGCGCGTAGCCTAGTCGACCGTCAGTAAGCAATCACCACGTTCTCTCAGTCGACACCACTCACCACAACATCGCAAACAGCTGCTTCGTCTTCTCGGCCATAGGCGTGCGCTCCTTCTGGTTGACTTCCTGCGCAACTTCGCGCAGCGGCCGGCCTTCATTCCGCGAGAGGAGCTCACGCAACTCTTTGTCGTTCGTAGCAGTCACGGCCGAGCCTTTCCGTCTCCCACCGTCTGCCATCTCCGTGCCGCTCTGTATAGGCACGGAGCCCATGCGCTGGTGGTTCGCATAGTCACTCTCCTGCGGCATGAGCGGCAGCTCCTGCGTGTGCATGCCGGGTGGCATCGCATACTGTGTGTTGTGGACATACTGATGGTGGGCATGCTGTTGTTGTTGTTGTTGTTGTTGTTGTTGGTACAAGTCATGCGACTGTGGCTGTGTGCTCGCATGGTATTGCAGAAGTTGCGCTTCGGGGGTTGGGTGCACTTGCGTTGGTTGGGAGAGGAAGAGCTCGCTCTCTTCGTTGCGGAGGGAAGTCGCGCTCGTGGTGGAGGCTCTTGACAACGGCCTGCTGTGCGCAGAGGTGGAAGCGTTCGCGCGGTGTCCGGCGGCCATTTCGCTGGCTGGTCTCGCCGCTTTGCTGATAGTGATGCTTGACACTTCTGCAGCAGCCGTGACGCTCTAACGTGCCGATACTATGCTGTGTGGTGCCTGCTCGGGTTCGAAGTCGATGTTACGCCTCCAGCTCCAGAAGACTTCTTTGCGACGGCGATACGGCGTATTGTTGGTCGAGCGTGCTAACCCGGTGCCGACAGACTATTAACTAATCATACATTACCACCAGTATATCACAGTATCCATGCGCGATATGGCCGTGGTAGTGGGGGTGAATCGCCCGTGCGAAAGAGGCTGGCTCTCTTCCGGGCGTTAGTTGGTGTATGGGCTGTTGTTGTGGCACAGTCGCAAATCAAAACATCCATAGCAACCGTCCGGCTGCCTCCGTCCCCGTCCCCGCCGATCGCCCGAGCTAAGCCCGCTAGTCACGCAATCCACGTGATTCAGCAATCTCGCCTCAACGGTCAATGTTAGCCTGTCGCTTCTGCTACACGTATTGCATCACAACCGTTACAGGTTTGATTAATGCCGATACACCATTGTGATCCGATATTGCAGTTTGCTATCCCCTATTATATGTACATGTACTCTTAGGCATCGCCAGATTGAAGCCACCCGGGAACATCCGGCGACGATGAGTACTACGTCAGAGCTATCTTGGCATATTGGGCTGGCACCCCTCGAAAGACCCCCACCTTCTCCCACCAACAGCTGCTTGTGATAATCACTTCTCTTACCACTCGTCGCAACCAGAGTCGTCCCCAGTTTGTTAAACGCTTACCATCCAGCCTATAACCTTCTTCGCGCACATCAACACCAAACAAACATGTCGAACCAACACGGCGGCCAGCAAGGCCCAACCATCCAAGGTACACCCATGTCCCCCAAAGACGTGCTACGTATCAACAACAACAACAACACCTCCAAGCTAACAGACTATGCAGAGAGGGCACAACAGCACCTAAACTCCTTCGACGTATAAATCACCACCTACCAGAAACTACGCTTTTAAATCCGTACTGAAGAGGTTATAGAAAGAGCTCTCCCGCTACCCCTACCTCAACCAATTCGAGCAACAAACCAACGTCCCCAAAGTCTACGTCGTCCTCGGCCTCGGCCTAATCTACTTCTTCCTCATCTTCTTCAACATCGCCGGCGAATTCCTCGTCAACACCGCCGGCTTCGTGATCCCGGGTTACTATTCCCTGGAGGCCTTGTTCAGTCGCGGCAAGAGCGATGACACGCAGTGGCTGACCGTACGTAATATACATCCCCTTACCGGTCACGAAGCGTGTTCGTGTGTGTGTGTGTGTGTGTGTGTTAGGGAATGGGAATGTGGAGGAGAAGAAGTGCTGATGAATGATGGATTTGTAGTACTGGATCGTCTACGCCTTCTTCACCATCATCGAGTCCATGGTCAACGCCGTCTACTGGTTCCCCTTCTACTACACCTTCAAGTTCATCTTTGTCCTTTGGATGGCGTTGCCGCAGACAAAGTACGCTTCATCAGCCCCAGATATCCCCAAACCCGTGTCTCAGAAGATAGAGGCTGACGCAAATCTATGTCCAGCGGCGCACAAGTCGTCTTCCACTCCCTCCTCCAACCCCTCTTCGCCCCCGTCTTCGAGAAGCAAGGCTCCACTTCCTCAAACTTGCGCAGGGATGCGGAGAAAGTTACCGGCAAGGCTCAGTAGAGCATGCCAAGCTGAACACGGTTGGTAGTGTTAGAATGGCAGGTGTGGGGTCAGAGAAGCTGGAGATCTGCACTGGAAAGCGTCTTCCGGCTTCTTGGATGATGCACGTTGAAGGCAAGAAGGATGCCACAATGGCTCTGAAGCGGTGTCTACGAAGGCGTGCGGCGAACGAATGAACGAATGAATAGTATGACATCTGAACTTAGCGTTGTTTCTGTCTGGTGGGCATCAGCTCAACCGGCAAAAGGGGTGACGATAGATCTCGGTAGGCAGCAGTATGGGGAGAAGTTTATCCGACATCCTACATACTTCTCCACATCAAATCTCCTCATCAACCATCACTCCTTGTTCAAACAAACGTCAGCTACGCTATCGAGGGTTCTGCGTCGCTATCCTCCTCCTAACATTACTTAACTAGCCACTCCAACCTCCCCTACCCTCCCCCCCACATCCCTCTCCCGACCGCCTTCCCGCCCATCCGTCGACCGTCCCGCCCTCCTCAAACTAACCCCCCGCTTGGGAAATCCATCGAGTCTCGCACAAAACTGCTCCACCCCGCCCGTCTGCCCATCCCGATCCTCCCTCCAACACAAGCGAATCAGTGCTTTGAGGTCAGCTTTGTCGTACCCGCCTGTTCGTCCCTTGTTGACGATGTTGTCGCAGCCCGCTTCAGCGAGGGCGTAGAAGTCGGCGGCTTTGCTTAGGTTGGAAGTGGAGGAGGAGGATGATGATGAGGTGGTGGTTGAGGTTGGGGTTGATGTTGAGGGTGGGGAGAGTGATTTCAGACTCTGCTGCAGCACCGACACATTCAATCTCAGTCGATCCAGACCGAAGTCGTCAAGGGACGGGATAAACGTCACCAGCGCAATAAGCGTATGATTCACCAACGCATGCACATGTGCCGTCAGAAACCCGTACTGTGCCGGCAACAGCGCGGACGAAATCGCGGTATCATAAGTCGAGAGACTCCCGCTCAAATCCAGGATCGCCGGGTCGGGGTCATTGTACGGTTGGCCGAGGGAGTAGGTACTACTCATGCTCGCGGCGATTCCGTGGAGTAAATGCAGGCGCAGGTCGATGTGGAGGGTGCGGAGGATGAGGGTGCTGAGTTCGCGGAAGGAGAGGATGACGGCGTCGAATTGGGTGGCGGTGTTTGGGTCGAGGGGGAGGTAGGGGTTGGTCGGGGCGGGGTCGAGGTGGTGGGATGGCGTGGTCCAGCGGCGGGCGTGGTGGTGTGGGGTTTGGGAGGATGGTGTGGTGTCGGTGTTGTTCGTGCTGCCCATGTCGATTGCGCGCGGGCTGATGTAGCGTAGATTGTGGCAGCGCGCGGCGAGCCACTTCATGCTGACGTGGAGTGTGCAGAGGGAGGATAGGGATTTGCGGTCGTTGATGAGGTCCACTTCTTCGATCGACCGTTCTTTCACCATGTGTATCAAGAGCGCAGCCTCTCGTTCCGCCAGCGCTTTCTGCTCCCGCTCATCCCCACTCGACGAAAGCTTCAGCATCTCAATCACCAGCGCGCTGATATCACCACTCGTGGCCAACTCAGCAGATAAGCGCATCTTAAGCGCGCCCTGTCCTTCCTGCGTCGCCACGGCGCGCTGCAGCAAGCCCTTCGACCAATTGTAGCATTTATCATAATACGTCCGCATCTGCTGCACAACCAATGCGCTGAAACTCTGCTCATGCGGCAGGGCATCAAGCATGACACACACCGTCTCCACGACCTCGAAGAAGCGCACCGTGCCGGCGAAAACGGGGCGTTGACTGTGCGCTTGCCATTGCGGGTCTGGCAGAAAGGCAGACGAGTCGTCTATGCTGCGCGAGCACAGATCGACGAGGGTCTCGTCCAATTGCGGGTAGAAGACGTTGATCAGGAAGTCGTCCAGGAAGCTGGTTAGCGTGCTTGCGACGACGCCGGAATGGGAGGGGACGATTGTTTTCAGTCTGTTGAGGAAGGCTAGGGAGGGTGGTAGAAGTACGCTCATGTTGAAGACGCTGGGTTCGACGAGTAGCTTGTGCCCAGTTGCAGACATGTCCGCACGGATGGTGCTGTTCTCGGCGTCCGGTCTCGCATTTTGCGCCTGGCTTGTGTTCACCAATCCCGGCACGGACGAGCGGAGGATGAACTCGAGGTCCTCCCGTTCTGTCGTGAGATCAGTGCATTTACTGTCGGTATCTGCCAGCTTGAATAACTTTCGTGTCCGGTCTCTAGGCTGCGGCCGGAAGATGTTCGCTGTGAGGGCGCCGTTTTTGCTCCTTTGGCCGCCGGCATCTACGCCACTTGCGGTTAGATGATCGTGGAGTAACGATCGGATCTCGGATTGCAGAAGCTTCCACAGCTCTCTGAAGCTCCGATTGAGTGTCTCTGAGTCGCTGGGTTGTGCAGCATCTCGGGTAAGCATTGCCGCGGTAACATCGTGCAGCACGCGATGTCCCTCCGCAATGGCCTCAAACTTGGCATATAATGTGATTAGAAGATCGTTTAATATGTCCTGCTGCTCGGCGTCCAGTCGCTTATGCACCCCGCCGTACATTTGCTGCCGATTACGAGCAGCGGCGGAGCGCATGGTCGATGGATGCCGCTGTTCAACCTCGCCATGGCTGCGCTCCACTACCCTGAACAGTTCAACCGGTAATCGCTGTTCAATGGCATCCACTGCCACCTCCAACTTTCCCAGGTTAAACAGCGACTCCGTAAGCAGTTGAACGTAGTAGAAGGTGTTCGCCTCCGGGTTGCGTGTTGCATCCTCCTGCATCGGCTGTGATCCATCGTAGTTGTCAAGGAAGATGTGCATAGCTCGGTCTTCATCTACAACGACCGCTCCGTCGCTGCCGTCTCGTTTGGAATGAGCTTTCCATCTCTCCTCGCAATAAGGTGACTTCAGGTAGAGATGGCTGTGCAGTTCCTCGATCAAGATATCAGTCAAACTGTGCTCTTGGTTCGACAGGTACACTCTCAGTTCCGAAAGTGCACCGATGTCATCCATTTCCGGCTTGCGAATCAGTGCTAGTGCGTCCTTCAACGTGGCAACTGCACCGAGGAACCGTTTCTCCGAAATGAGTGCATCCAGGCGGTCCGGAATGGTCTGCAACTCTTCAATATCATTGACAACCTGCAGCATCCGATCATAGCTCTGGCTGCTCGTAGCGAAGGCTCTCAACTCCGGCCGTGGTGCGCCCAGACTCTCCTTAGCTTGCAGCAGGCCCGCCCGTAATGTTCTCACACGCTGTTGGCTTGCATGTATCGCTGCCTGAATCTTGTGGAAGGTGCCTATGGAGCTGTTAAAACCCTGGTGATGCTCGTTCACAATCACTTTGAGCGCATTCTGCAATTGTTGATGGACGTCCTGAAACTGATCGTATTGGTCTGCTAAGCCAAGAGACGAAGGGTCCATAAGCTGCAATGCCACCTTGACGGGTATGCAGCCATCTGACGCCATGAAGGACCAATGCTGGGAAATGTACCGCAATATCTCTTCCACCTCACCACCACGTGCTCCATAGCGTGCCGACGCCGGCGCTCCACGTGATCGCGACCGGGAGTCTTCCATACTTTGTCCGTAGCTCCGTCTCTGAGCATGATGCCTATCTACCCTTGCGGGGACTCGAATGTGGCTCTCTTGACGTGAGGTTCCATCGTAGCCAAATGCGCTTGCAGGACCCCTTGAGCGGGAGCGCTCGTCTGCTGAAGTGTCGGGTGTTGTGTCAAAGTCGAATTGACCGAGTCTATTGCGGTTTGCGCCGTTCATATAGCTAACGCTACCGTTGCCGTTGGGCTGGCGCATGTAAGACATGCTGGGCAAGAAGTCGCGGAGATTGAGGGACTGCTAAGCCATGGTGTTGTGCAACTTCGTGACTGCAGCCCGGGTCTGCCGCTCTATAATGTGTTATACCCGGCGACGGACATCTATGCGGCACTATACGATCGTAAACCATATGCATCTGTATCTGGACCTCGAAGTACAGCGGCCGGAGGTCCCCATTTGGAAGTTGCGGCTCTGCGGCGGGCGCCGTGTGGGGAGCATTAGCGTACCATTAGCGGCATGTCGCTCTATGCATTTCCCGTGTGCTGGACTCACTCCTCCGCTACATCAACTATCACCTCTGCCTTCCATACTAGTAGCGCCGGCGTGTCAAACATGCTGCATGCAGGCATGGTCAATACTGATTTGGCATGATATACTACTCGTGGAGTACGGTGTCATTGATTGGGAGCGCATAAACATCCCTCGTTCGCGAAGATGGCTCTAACGAACGGCCATGTCAATGGCACGAACGGCGTCAATGGCCACGCACACCAACTATACGGGCGTTTCTCCGACATACCAGCCGTCATCGATATCCCAGTACGTGGCGAGGATGGCGAAGAAGCTGTCAATCTCGACCTTGTGGACCTCATCGATGAAACAGACGAGCTATGCGACCTTCTTGAGAACGAGAATGCTGCGCGCAACTACTGGATAACAATCGCCCTCGCGTATGCAAAACAGAAGAAAGTGGCCATCGCAATAGACATCTTGCAGAAGGGTCTTGGCGCTCTAAGAGCAGGTCGAGGTGAAGACAGACTGAGCATGCTCTCCTGCTTGTGCTGGCTATACCTGTGGATGTGTCGCCGTGCCGTCCGAAAACCCATGCAATCGGCCGATGACGTGCCAAATAAGGACTACTGGTTGAAGCTTGGAACGCAGACACTCAACGATGCCTCGCGCATCAACCCTTCGTACGCTCCACTGTACCTGGCGAGAGGCACGCTATACCTTCTACGCGCCTCGATGCAAACGCCGAAGGAAAGGGCAGACACGCTGAAGCAGGCGGCGAAGAGCTTCGACGAGGCGTATAGGCTATCTGGGCAGAAAAACATCATGGCCGTCCTCGGCAAGGCTAGGGTGCAGTTCTCGCTAGGCAGGTTTGCAGAGTCGCTGGCTTTGTATCAGCAAGCACTGCAGTCTGCGCCGGACATGCTGGATCCGGACCCAAGAATAGGCATTGGCTGTTGTCTGTGGCAGCTGGAGCACAAAGACGCAGCTAGAGGAGCATGGCAGCGGAGCTTGGACCTCAAGCCTGATGAGAACATTATTGCCAATGTGTTACTTGGCCTGTCGTATCTGGATGAAAGCAGTCAATATGCCAGCTCTGATTCACAATTCCGTTCACTATACAGCAAGGCTATGACGGTCCACACGCAGGCCGCTTTCAAGATGGACGCCATGCATGCACTCACTTCTGCCACTCTCGGCGAGTACTTTCTGCGCCGACAGAACTGGGACAATGTGGAGCGTCTCGGCCGAAGAGCGGTCGAGCAGACAGATGTCGGTGCTATAGCATCTGACGGCTGGTATCTGATGGCAAGGAAGGAGCACTATCTGGGCACCGATCTGACCAAGGCCGCCGAACATTACAACAAAGCGGACGTGGCACGTGGTGGCGACGAGAAAGGTTTCTTGCCTGCCAAGTTCGGTGGTGCACAGCTCAAGACGCTCATGGGTGATCTTGACGGTGCAAAGTTTAGGCTTGACAAGATCATCTCTGGGTCTAACGCTGCCACTGGCGGAGGACAGAAGAGTGTTGAAGCTATGACTTTACTTGGCATGTTGTATGCTGAAGAAGTCTTTGCCAACCAAGCTGCAGCCGGCAAGGAAGATAAGACTGTTGAGCAGAAGAAAGCGATCGGCTTGCTGGAGCAAGTGAGAGTCATCTGGAAAGATCCGAAGCGGAAAGGGTCGCCCGATGCAGCGGTGCTGCTGAATCTGGCGCGCCTTTACGAGCAAGAGCAGCCGGAGAAAGCGTTGGCCTGCCTTCAGCATGTCGAGCAAATGGAGCTGGATGACATTGCTGATGACGACGAGCGCTTACCTGACGAGATCGGCGAGGCAACTGAGGAGCGAAGGGCCAAGAGGGAGCTGCTTAGTCCGCAGTTACTGAACAACATCGGCTGCTTCCACTTTCAGGCGGACAGGTTTACCGAGGCGCGCGAGGACTTTCAGACCGCACTTAATAGCTGCGTAAAGATGGGTGAGCGCGACGCTAGCCTGGATACGGATGCGCTTGTCAGCACAATCTCCTACAACCTGGCCCGGACTTACGAGGCGGAAGGCATGAATGAGGAGGCGAGGAGGATCTACGATGGTCTCCTCGAGCGGCACCCCAATTACACTGACGCGAATGCACGGCTGGCTTATCTCAGCCTGAGTGCTGCGCCCGCTGATGGTGCGGAAGCGATCAAGCAGCTTATGGAGTCTGATCCTTCAAATCTAGAGAGCAGGGCGCTGTATGGGTGGTACCTCCACCGCAGCAAGAAGCGAACACACAATCTACCGGAAGATGTTGAGCAGAAACACTACAAAGACACGCTGCAGAAGTTCGATAAGCACGACATGTACTCTCTGGTCGGTATGGGTAATCTGCACCTTGCTGTCGCGCGTGAGATGCGTAGAGAAACGGACCAGGACAAAGACCGCCGGAGCAAGACGTACATGCGCGCTGTAGAGTTCTTCGACAAGGTGTTGACGCTTGACCCACGCAATGCGTTCGCTGCGCAAGGCTTGGGCATAGCCATGGCGGAGGACAAGAAAGACACCAACGCCGCGATTCAGATCTTCAGCAAAGTGCGCGAGAGTCTGAAAGGCTTGAGCGGAAGCGTGCACCTCAACCTCGGGCATGTGTTTGCAGAGATGAGACAGTGGAGTCGATCGATCGAGAACTACGAGCTTGCGCTCAGCCGGTCGGCGAAAGAGCGCGCGGATGGCAAGCCTGACCCTCAGATCTTAGCATGTCTCGGTAGAGTATGGTTGATGCGCGGGCGACAGGAGAAGAAGCTGGAAGCGTATCAGACAAGCTTGGACCTGTCCAAACAGGCTTTGGAGCTCGCGCCGGAGAACGTCAGCTTCCGGTTCAACGTCGCCTTTGTGCAGATCCAGCTGACGCAGCTGCTTATCGGTCTGCCGGAGGCGCAGAAGTCGCTGCAAGATGTGGAACAGGCGGGTCACGGCTTGGACGATGCGATTAATGCGTTTATTGAGATCGCAAAGTCGCCCAATCCGCCCTTCCCTCGTGGCGATCTGGAGGCGCGTGCGAATATGGGGAGAAATACTATGAAGCGACAGCTGGCGGGCGCGATGGAGAAGCAGGCCGAGTATGAGCGGAAGAATGCTTCGAGGCTTGAAGAGGCGCGCCGACGGCGCGAGGAGGAGATCAAGAAGCGGGAGGACGACAAGCGGAAAGCGGAGGAAGCGGCTGAGGAGCAACGACGGAAGGTTAAGGAGGAGCGTGACCGGATGGCGGAGGAGGATCGGGAGATGGTGCGTCGAAAACTTGAGGAAGATCGAGCGAGGGAGGAGGCGGAGATGACGGTTGATGAGGAGACCGGGGAACGGAAGAAGCGGGAGCGGAAGCCAAGGGAGAAGAGACAGAAGCGCAAGAAGAAGAGTGAGGAGGATGATGAGGATGAGGATGGAGGGACGGATGCGGACAGTGGGGCTGGTGGTGGGAAGAAAGGGCGCAGTCGGGCCACGAGTGGTGAGCCGGGTACTGGTTCGGAGGCGGAGCCAGGTAGAAGGAAGAAGAGGCGAAAATTGGAGCGGAAGGGGCAGGCGGTCAGGGCGAGCAAGTATAAGTCTAAGGAGACGGTGGAGGAGTCGGATGAGGATGAGGATGGTGATGGGGCTGTGCCGGCGGAGGGGACGGAGGTGGGTGGGGACGGGGACGAGGAGGTGCCGATGGATGAGGCTATGGGTGAGAAATTGGAGGAGGAGCAGGAGGCGGCGGCGAGGCCGATGCTGAGGAAGAAGGCGGCGAGGGTGCTTCATGATGATGAGGATGAGGATGAGGATGAGGATGGTGCGGCAGCTGCTGATGGGGATGCGGCGATGGAAGTAAATGGTGTTGGTGAGCCTGAGGATGAGTAGGCTGTCAGCGAGGTCACCCTTGGAAAGCCTCTGCAGCAGGGCGCAGGCGGGAAAGCTTATGGCTGTTTCATGTGCTTAGCTCTTGGGCGACGAACACGCGGGTTTCATCCGAGGTACACATTCGAGCTACGGCCCTCAGGCTGATGGAAAGGCTGAGCATATGGGGTTTTGAGGCCGCCCAAGCTCTTCGCATGTACAGCATGCATAATATGCTCCAGTTAGCGTTACGGCGGTGATTTCAATCAGCGTTGGACCCTCCTTGCGCCTGCTCGAAGACTTTACGCAGCCAATTTCAACTGCTGCTGGTGTCTGCACTTCCTCCCTAGCGGTCCCATCCTACGTCTACATCAATTCCAAGAGCGACCAATCAAGAATATCCAAGAATATGGCGAACGCCAGCTCACTGACCAACACCACGCTTACGAGCGTCAACTCCACGCTCGCAAGCAACCTGACCCTTTGCGCGCACAAGGCTCTCTATCTAGCCCATGCTAGCAACAAAACCGTCGGCGCGATCTGGGCTGCGTCTTTCGTCATAGGGTCCTACTTCCCCGGCATCTACCTTGTCGCCTGCGCCGCATTCGGCTATTTTGACGACGCAGACCGCTACCACTTGTTCGGCAGCGTCGTGAGTCCACTGGCGACTGGATTCTTCGTGCTGACTTTGGTCAGTATCATCCTGGCCCAGCAGTGGGGAGATTACTGCAAAGCTGGGTCTAGTCACAAAAGTGACGCAGGAACGTGGGCGGTGCTGGCAATATTCGTGCTGGTTCCCCTTGTTGTTATGATTGTGCTCAGTGCTTCGGTCTTGGTGGGGAGTGTACATGGGATATGGAGCTCATACGGTCGACAGGTGCGATGGTGGCATCCGACACTGCGAGTGCGCTTGCTGCAACGACGACGCGCCAGGACTGCCTCTAAGAAGGATGGCGTTGCGGTTAGCGGTAGTTCTGCCCAACTCGCCAACGACGGGGTTTCAGAATCGCAGTATCAGCTCGCTAGCGTCGACGGCGCCTCTGCTGCAAGTCGCGAGCTTGAGGATGGGGCTGTCGGAGCTCACTATGGGGAACTTTTGTTTCCGCACATAAAGGACACCGCTGCTCCGCCGCAGTATACGCCGTAGTGAGGCGAGTGGCACGGTTACTACACGCAGACGCGGCTTTAGGTTCGTTAGGTTTGGACTTCGCCGGCACGTCCATGAGCTTGAGCTCTCGAACCTTTATGTCATTGGCGTTTGAGAGACTTCGAGCACGCATTCAGCTCAGATATGAATGCTGCTTCATGCACTGTGCTAAAATGCGCCACCACGCTCTGCGCGTGGAGGCTGAGCATTCGAGGCCGCTCCAGACTTCCAACTCCGCACAAGTGCGAACAATACATGCAGGTACTGCATAATGTACCGAGTCACACGATGCAGCGCCTCGCCCTTCCATCAGATCTTGTCAAAAGCTTGTTGCGGTGTAGTTATCTGGAGATAGTAGCCTCACGCAGCATCGCGAGCGTGTTCACTCGGATTTGACCTCTTCTTCCCAATACATATTACATGAGCGAAATAGGTAGCGGACCACGAGCTCTGCGGTAAGAATGGCTAACTCAACATCCCTCATCAACATCATCCAGTGCCAGCGTAGCCCTCTATGGACGGCCAACTACGATCGCACAAACATTCTCACCTTCTGGAGCATCTCAACCTTCATAGGCTGCTGGTTCCCCGGCTTCTTCACCCTCTGCTTCGCCATGGCCGCCTACAATAAATACACCGCTTCATCGAAACGTGTCCCACCGCCCCTTCTCGCTCTGCGACTTTTGCTAAGCGGGATCGGAAGTTCTCTCCTAGCCGTCTTCCTGCTTGTAGACTTCATTGGATATATACTAGCGACGCAGTATGCGTACTACTGTGACCCGATTTTTTTCGATTGGGGTGATCCTGTGTCACTATGGGTTTTACTGGCCATTGGTGTTTTGATACCGTTTGTTGTGATGATTCTGATGTGCGTGTACGTGGCGGTCGACAGTTTGGGGAGGTGGTGGGACCTCTATCGTCGCGACGCCGTCGGCGCCTGGCGGACGCGAAGGGGAGGACTATACTTGAGAGACTGGCAAATGCAGCCGGCATTGGACGACCAACAGAAACCTAAGTGGCAAAGCCGAAGTGAGAGAAGCTCTACCTCGAGTTTCGAACTGGAGAAGGCAGCGAGTGGCGTGGCCAGCAGGGAAGCCGTTCTGGTAAGTCGGTCACCGCTCACCAGCACGCGCGAGCTGCTTGCCAAAGGCGTTGCGGTGGTGAAACAGGCTGTCGAGCTTGACACCACGGGCGAGTATGCCGAGGCGTACCCATTATATGAGCAAGCACTCGACCTTCTCACGCTCGTTCTCTCCGACAAAAACGTGGATGAAAAGGCGAAGCTCACGCTCCAGCAAAAAGTGAATGAGTATAAAGAGCGCTTTGAGAAGCTGGAACGTTACTTGGCAGAGCGGGCGCGGACATGGGCCGCAAGGGATGAGCTTCGCGGTTTGCATACTCGCCTTGCGAAATCGAGTGGCGATGTGGCCATGGAGTCAAGGAACGACCTCCTCAGCCGCGCCGTCGATGTAGTTGGTACAGCTATCGAACAAGACACCGCGGGAAAGTACGAAAGTGCCTGTGAGCTTTACGGTCAAGCGCTCGAGCTCTTAGCGCTTGTGGTTGAAAGCGAGCCAGATGCGGAGATCCAGAACGAGATCGGGGGGAAAGCGAGAGAGTTCCGGCAGCGTGAGGAGAGGCTGAAGAAATTTGTGGCGGAGCAGAGCGTGCCCGTGCCTGAGACATCCGAGCAAGGTGAGTCTGAAGTGATAGGCGGTAGGGAGTCAGTATCAGATCCAGATTTGTAGGAAGGACATAGTTCATGTCAAATGCACAAGGGTTTCGACGTTGCTTGTAGTCCGAAAGGCATAGGGACATGGAGTGGGAGGAGACGTAGAGATTCCAGGTGCGTGTTGCGGTACGTTGTACACTGTGTCGTAGTAGTCTGTCTCCATCCTTGCTGCACAGATCAAACGGTGAGTCCATATCTTGCCGTTGACCATGCTTGAATATATCAACGGCTCCAACCGCCATCTCGTATGTACACAGTCACCGGAGTGCCCTCTAATCCTTTGCGTCGCTTAACCGTTCTTGTACGTTTGCCAGACTACACACCACGAGTTAGCATCATACAGCTCCGCCCACTGGCCGCGGAGCTCCTCACCTGCGATGCCGAACGGCATGAAGAAGCCCGTTGCTGAGGTTGTGTCAGTACTGCATCCCCTTCATCAGATGACACTTTCAGACGGCAGCATACCCATGTACGCCCAGTACCGGACGAAGAAGAAGCGTGTGAGCGGGTTGAAGGGGATGTTGCTTCGCGGGCCTTCGGGGTAGTGGTGTGGTGAAGAGAGCTGGGGGCGGGTGGTGTGGAAGCCGCGGCGGGCCATGGTGGTGGGGAGGCGCATGGCGGTTCGGGACAGCATCTACGACTACATCAGCAAGATATGGGGACGATGGTATGGTATACACACCTTTGCGGGTGAGAATGAAGCTGTACACTGCTGTGCTTGAAGCTTCACATTCAATGACAAGCATGGCAGGAGAGGTTGCGCGCGGGTGTTTCCGGAAGATGTCGGCCCGAAGCATGGAAGCTCAGCTCGCAGCTTGGCTGGACCGTCGCCAGCTTCCGCGACACACCCTTCCGCAGCACACCCCCCTCTCACCTCTCGCCCACCGCCATTGGCTCCTCTTCCACCGCACACAAGCTCCACGGAGCCCTCACATCCACCATGCAATCCCTCCGACAGCCTCTAACGCGTGCCCTCCGCTCCACCCTCTCCACCTCCATCACCCGTTCCGCCTATGCCTCCGTCGCGAACCCCACCGGCTATGCTTCCACCAACTCCAATCTCCGCCTAACGAGCGAAACGAAAGTGATTTTCCAAGGCTTCACCGGTCGCCAAGGTACCTTCCACGCCACGCAAGCGATCGAGTACGGCACCAAGGTTGTTGGCGGCACCAATCCCAAAAAGGCCGGCACCGAGCACCTTGGCTTGCCCGTGTTTGCGAACGTGAGAGAAGCGAAGCAGAAGACGAATGCAGATGCGAGCGCGATCTTCGTGCCGCCTCCGTTGGCGGCGAAGGGGATAGAGGAGGCTATTGAAGCAGAGATGGGACTGGTCGTGTGCATTACTGAGGGTATCCCGCAGCACGACATGGTGCGCATTACGGATATGTTGAAGACGCAGGATAAGACGAGGTTGGTGGGGCCGAATTGTCCTGGTATTATTGCGCCGGTGAGTACGAACTACACCCTCACCCAAGAAATGCAAGAGCTTGCAGTGCAAAGGCGGGGCTGCAGTGATGAAACAGTATTACACATGATAGGAAGAGTATGACCGGCCAACTACGGTCGGAGTGCTTAGAATTGGGAATCTCTCTGACAACACAGCTCCGTCCCCGCACTGCAGCTCAAGCAGCACGAACACTTCCTTGCAACCCAACTAACAATTTTGTTGTAGGGCCAATGTAAAATCGGCATCATGCCCGGCTTCATCCACAAACGCGGCCGCATCGGCATCGTCTCCCGCTCCGGCACGCTAACCTACGAAGCCGTCAATCAAACCACACAAGCCGGACTCGGCCAATCGCTGGTCGTAGGAATCGGCGGCGACCCCTTCTCAGGCACAAACTTCATCGACTGCCTACGCGTCTTCCTCGCCGACCCGGAAACGGACGGGATCATCATGATTGGCGAGATCGGCGGGAGCGCGGAAGAGGACGCCGCAGATTTCTTGAAGAGCGAGAATGTGGAGAATAAACCTGTTGTTAGTTTTATTGCGGGCATCAGTGCGCCGCCGGGAAGGAGAATGGGTCATGCTGGTGCGATTGTGAGTGGTGGGAAGGGTGGGGCGGATAGTAAGATTAGTGCGCTGCAGGCGGCGGGCGTGGTGGTGGAGAGGAGTCCGGCGAATTTGGGGAAGACGTTGAGGGAGGAGTTTGTGAAGCGGGATTTGCTATAGCGTAGTACGAATGTGAAGCTGGTGAGGGGATTGTGCGGCTGGTGAGGAGAGGAGAGGCACTGCATTTGCGGTGCGTTGATGAAGCGCGACTATTCCCAGCGAGCTGATGGTCTTTCATGTGTGTCTATAGTGTCGCTTTTGCATAGGCGTACCGGATAGCGACATAGCGTACGATAGATTGCGTTGCGATCGCCACCCAAAGTTCGCGCAGGCTTCGACATACCCGAATTCCTTTTCAACCTGGGTACCAAAAGACCCTGCGAACAGCGCTCTTGAGAGGTACGCTCATACTATCATGGCTGGAATGAGAGTGGGCGGCAAGAGGTATGGTGCTTTGAAGATTGACACAAGCTGCCCGGCTGCGGGGTAAATGCGTACCGGTTATGTGTGCTACAATAGTGGACGGTCGATTGGGAGGTATAAATCAAAGACTGCCGTTGTTACTGCACATTCAACCGGCTCCGAATCTTCCCTGAACATGTATATCTCGTTACCTAACGACCATCCTAGAATAAGTATTTAAAGTATCAGCAGTCGGTCACCAAGTCCCAAGACCAAACCTCACACAACACGGTTGTAAAACACCTTGTCTCCCTCTTGACCACATTCTATGGAAGGCAAAGTCTACGCCCTAACCGGCGCAACCGGCGGCATCGGCCTCGCCCTCGCCAAACTTCTCGCCTCCCGCGGCGCCAAAGTCAGTCTGGCCGACATATCCCAAGCTCAACTCGACAAGGCCGCCGAAGCCGTCAAACATGCCTCCACGGCAGACTACACCGACAGCATCTTCACGCAAACCTGCGATGTCCGGGACGCCTCGCAGATTCAAGCCTGGTTGAGATCGACGGTAGATAAGTTTGGGAAGCTGGACGGCGCGGCGAATTTGGCTGGTGTGTTCAGTCGAGCGAGTGTTGAGGAGCAGCAGTTGGGGGAGTGGGAGAGGGTGATTAGTATCAATCTGACTGTATGGGTGCATGCTGTTGCTTCATCCGCGGTTTCTGCCGCCCATGGATGCTGTTAGGGCCGTGTAATTGGGCTGACGGAGAGCATTGAGTAGGGCACGATGCTTTGTATACAAGCCGAGTTCGAAGTCTTGTCCAAAGGCGGGAGCATAGTAAACGCAACCTCTATCGCCGGTATTCGCGGCTCGGCTGGGTGTTTCGCTTACTGCGCCAGCAAACACGGTGTCGTGGGTCTGACACGCGTGGCCGCGCTCGAGGGGAAGGATAAAGGGATCCGGGTTAATGCCATTGCGCCAGGGTGCGTAACTGAGAGCCCAGACTCCCCGTTGTTGATTCGTGGAAGAACCTTGCTGACGGTTGGTTAGGTACGTCGACACAGCCATGCTTGATCAAGCGCTCGAGACGACCACGCCGGAGGATGCGGCAAAGGCGATCGGTGCTCTGCCCGTTCCGAGGAAGGCGGACCCGATGGAGGTGGCCAAGCTGATCGCGTTTCTGCTTAGTGATGAAGCGAGCTATATCACTGGGGCGATCTACTCAATCGATGGCGGAATGAATGTGTGATGGTACAGAAGGCGGAAGCCACCATTCCTGTGTGTTGGAGGCATTTTGCAACCGTAACACCACCGCTTCGAACGCTGCATTAACATCATGCCGGTGACGGGCGAGTGGCGGTAGTTAGCGCGCTCAGCCATTCACCTTCTCCATCAAGCTCACACCGTTTCTCACCACCCCAATAAGCCCACCCGTCTGCACAGTCTCGCTGCCCCCGCCACTGAGCCTGTACTCTATATCCGCCAGCCCTTCCAGCCAGCTCACACGGGTTTGGGCGGGGACATCGATCTCCGCGAGCTGCTCTCCCATTGCCGTCAAGATATCCGCCAACGCCAACCCTTTGGCTCGCTTCAGCGCGTTGATGGTAGACAGACACGATCCGACATTACTCGTTGTCAGTAGGGTTTGCAGGATAGTGTTAATATCTGCCGGATGCGGGGCGGCGATGCAGTCGTAGATCGTTTCCTGGGTTATGAGGTCCCGTTTGACGTCCTTGCTCTCCTTGACTGGCTGACCGGGGACATGGAGGGGCGTGGAGGAAGCATGGCAAGCTTGCAGAACGTTAAGGGCACGACGCATGTCTCCTTTGCTGAGGCTGACTAGACTGTCTACCGCATCGGGAGCGATGTTGACGCCTTCTTCCACGATGACTTTGTCGACGAGGTGGCGGATATCCGCGTCCTTGAGCGGGGAGAAACGGAAGCGGGTACATCGTGACAGTAGAGCCGGAGAGAGTTTGTGCGTGTAGTTTGCGATGATGCAGAAGCGGGTGTTGGCGGTGTACTTCTCCATGATTCTTCGAAGCGCCATTTGGGCTGTCGAAGTCATGGCATCGGCTTCGTCTAAGATGATAAGCTTGAAGTTTGCAATACTGTCTTGTTGCGTCTTGTCGAAGCTGCCGGCGAAGATCTGCTTAGTGGATGAGAAGGTCTTGATCTGCTCCCGTACGACTTCAATACCTCTATCGTCGGATGCATTGAGTTCGAGGACCATCTGACGCATGTTCCTGTTGCCGTAGATTCGGCGGGCCAATGCTAGGACTGTGCTGGTCTTGCCGGTGCCGGGTGGGCCATATAACAGCAGATGCGGTAGCCTGTTCGAGTCGACAAACTTGTTGATGGTTGCGAGGATGTCGTGATGCCCACTGACATCGGATAGAGATGCGGGACGGTACTTCTCAACCCATGGTAGGTTGTCCTCTGCTTCTATCGGTAGGTTTGCGGCGCTTCTTTTGCCCTTGGTGTCGGTGTTCGCAGCCGAAAATTGAATGTCAGATGTCACCTTTGGCGCATCTTCCATGTCAACATCATCTACATAGTCCGACATGGTTGCGTGTCGTCTTGTAGTGTGATATCTTATCGGCGCCACTTGACTGAGACGGTAGGTTGGGGACGCGTGTGGTACGCGTGAAGTGGTTGTACGGTTGGCCATTGCCGACCATGAGCGGGCATCGTCCCGCCAGCCGGAATCGCCAGAGGAGCTTCACATGGTTATGTAGGTGGTTGTTCACGTGTCCCGTTAATGACATTTCGAACAGATCGTTCACTAGCAACCCCATAGCTGGACGGGAGGAGGAACGCTCATGGTGGTGGTGCAGCGATGATGGTGGCATAGCTTAAGCGCACAAGACAGCACCTGCTGGTGCAGTACCGCCGGCATGGACGTCTTCCAGTCCGTATCCGGATACCTAACGAGGATGGTATCGACCGGCGACAGCACTACCAATGCCAGCGCCGCCAAGATGAAGATACTCCTACTGGACCGCGACACCGTTCCCATCGTCTCCGCCGCTACCACTCAATCCGCGCTTTTAAACCACTCCGTCTACCTTACCGATCGCCTGGACAACGCAGAGCGGGAGAAGATGCGCCATCTACGCTGCTTATGTTTCGTTCGGCCGTCTCCCGACAGTATACAAGCACTTATCGATGAGTTTCGAGAACCCAAGTACGGCGAGTATCACATCTGTATGCGCCTACCTGCCCGATCAAGTGCTGGAGTAGACTAGGCTTCTGACTGACACCAGACTTCAGCAACATAATCAAAAAGTCCTCTCTCGAGCGTCTCGCCGAAGCAGACGATCACGAGGTTGTTAAGAGCATAGTCGAGTACTTCGCAGACTTCATCGTAATCAACCCAGACCTCTGCAGCCTTCCGCTCCCGACACGCATATTCAGTTCGTCCGCGGATGCGTGGAACCACGACAGCTTGACAAGGACGACGGAGGGCGTGCTTGCGTTGCTGCTGAGTCTGAAGAAGAAGCCGTTGATACGGTATGAAAGGAACAGCGTGCTGTGTCGCAAGCTGGCGACGGAGGTGCGGTATGCCATGACGCAAGAGGAGCAGCTGTTCGACTTCCGGCGGCCGGATACGCCTCCCATATTACTGCTTGTGGACCGCAGAGACGACCCCATTACGCCACTCCTAACACAGTGGACGTATCAAGCGATGGTTCACGAGCTGATGGGTATCGAGAATGGAAGAGTCAACCTGAGTGATGTGCCAGATGTACGACCGGAGTTTAAGGTGCGTTACAATGTACTCGCAAAACATTAAAAGACCGGCCATTAACAGGTGTTACAGGAGATCGTTATATCACAAGATCAAGACCCCTTCTTCTCCAAGAACCTCTATCTCAACTTCGGTGATCTAGGTCAGAACGCCAAAGACTACGTCGAGCAATTCGCCGCCAAACAAGCCGACGGCAAGAAACTGGAAAGCATCGAAGACATGAAACGCTTCGTGGAAGAGTATCCCGAATTCCGCCGTCTTTCCGGTAACGTCACCAAACACGTCACGCTCGTGACAGAGCTCAGCCGACGCGTGGAGACGGATCATCTCCTCGATGTCTCCGAGCTCGAACAGAGTTTAGCATGCAACGACAACCACACGCTTGACGTGAAGACGTTACAGCAAATGATCCAGAACCCAGCGATACCGCCAGCGAACAAACTGCGGTTGGTTGCAATCTACGCGCTTCGATACGCCAATCACGCGAGTAATCACACGCCCGCCCTGATGGATCTCCTCGCTGTCGCAGGCGGCGTGAGCAGATATCGCATTAACCTCATCCCGAAACTCCTAGCCTACGCTTCAAGCGTGCACGCAGCTTCTACGGAAGGCGCACCAATGCCAGCTCTCTTCCAACCAGCGCAGAACATCTTTTCCGAAGCGCGGTCAAGGATTAACCGCGGTTTACGTGGCGTTGAGAACGTGTATACGCAGCATTCGCCACGCCTGGAAAACACATTGCAGGACTTGATCAAAGGGAGACTATCGATGACGGCGTATCCGTTCGTCGACGGCGGCGGACAGACGAGGGACAAACCGCAAGATGTCATTGTCTTTATGGTTGGGGGAGCGACGTACGAGGAGGCGAAGATGGTGGCGCAGATTAATGCAACCTCGCCTGGCGTGCGCGTGGTGCTGGGGGGAACAGATGTGTTGAATAGTGCGAGGTTTCTGGATGAGGTGGAGGAGGCGGTGGATACGTGGCCGGAGCCTAGCGCTGGTACGGCGGCGGGGAGGTTAAGGCAGGCGGGCAGTAGGCCTTAGAACATCCACCACAAAGAGAGGTGTGGTCGACGTGCAACGAGGCTATTAAACCTCGCCATCATCGAAATATAATTACCATGAAGCCTTGAGCGACTTCATCAAAGCCGGCAGCACCTGCGTCTCGGTATAATTCCATATCAAGCTTGAATCCTGGCTCATCCACGCCGCCCCCGTCCAAAACGTGTTACTCGTCCCTTGCAATCCGTACAAATCCCCGTAGAACCCCGCTTCAATATCATCCGCAGAGACATACAAACGGAAGGGGCAGTGATTGCTAAAGTACAGAAACTCCGGTGTATCGGCCGGAAAGACACCGGCGTTCTGCAGCGTCTCGATCTGGCTCACGATTACATCTTGAGCGCTTGCATTTGAAACGGGCGACAAGGTACCCGCGTAGATCGCATACTGATGCTCCAGACCCGTCGGCTGGATCGTGAAGATACCGGGCAAATTCTGCAGGTGGAAGGGCGTGTTAGTGCCGATGTTGGTGTAGAATTCGGTGGGATCGATCCCGGAGTGTTGCACGACCGAAGCGTAGTAGCCGCGAGATTGGAATTTGCTGAATGTCGACCGCTCCTTGTCGGTGAGATCGAACGCGGACAAGACGTCGAGGGTAGGTGGGATGGCGACGACGAGGCGTTTGGCTGGAATGGCTTGGATGCCGTTGGCGGTTTGCACGGTGAGAGTGACTCCGTCGCGGCCATGGCGATCCATTTTGATGGCTTGGGAGCTGTAGAGCACGTCTTGGCCCAGGACGGAGGCGGCGCTGGTGTAGAGGTCTTGGGTGTTGCCGCTGGCCACGACAAGAAATCCTTGTAGCGCTGATTGCACGAGGGATAGATCGACGGCTTTTAGGAGCTGTACGGTCGGCATTGTCCAGATATCGCCGTCGTTCTGAACGATTTGGTTAATAAGCTGCATGATAGCTCCGATGCCGTACTTGTTGACGAAGTCGCCAAAAGGCTCCAGAAGCTCGGCTGGCACAGGATCTGGGAGAAAGTAGCCGGCTTGCAGGTATGAGTAATTGGTTGCGAGAATGTTGGCATAGGTTGCAAAGGCAGCGCCGACTTCAGCATCGGTTGGGGGAACGAAAGAGGGCACAGTTTTGCCCGTGTCGAAGTCGTAGTAGAGCGTGGAGTAATCGTACGCGCCAGGGCTCGACATAGGCACCCCAAGGCGAGCGGCATAGCTCAGAACCACTGAGATTTTGTGGAAATCTGCCACGCCCATATTGAGCTTGGTGCCGGTTGTCTTGTCCACTGAAAGCGGTCAGATTGGCTTTGCAAGGTAAAGTAACGGCCACGTACCGTAGGTGTCCGCGTGCCCTCCCAGCACCACATCCTTCTCAATTACAACCACGCTAACATTTATATCATTGAGCCTCACTGCCGCATATGTGCCCGCAGAGCCACCGCCAATGACTGCCACATCGCGGTAGATAACATCTGGCCCATGGCCGTGCGAAGAGTGTGCTCCAGGAAATGCGAGCACTCCCGAGAAAGAGAAGGCGAGGACACCGAAAGTCGCGGCCTTGAGCATATTGGCTAAAGCAGGTAAGAGACAAGACTCCAAGATGTGCAAGTACCGCGAAGACCCTCAGGTATCGAAAGGGGGTTTATTTGCCATGGAGGAATAATGAAAGCCATACTCACCTTACTTATACAGCTGAAAGTTGTCGAACGACACCGCCAAGATGCGGGCGATTTCCTCGCCATGATGTATACAGGATGGGGAGGGGCTGATGTTGGAGCGTATGGGTGAAGATGCCTTCCAGGTGGACCCGAAAAGGCATAACCAGAAGAGCCTGGATAGAGGTAAGGTCAAAACGCAGTCACCGCGATGTGGACCAGCAGAAACACCGTGCTAAACCGAGACAGAGGGACGCCTGACTGCGTAAGCACCATGATATGCAGGGTATGAAGGATTAATGGGTCCCTGCTCCGTGGCTGCAGGTATAGTTCTACAGCGGACACTAACAAGCGAGCTGCAAGCTCTCACGCTAGGGCACATCAACTATGCGGAGCAATTAGCTGATTGAGTAAGAGGGCGTTGCCAGCTTCAGGTGTCGGTTGTACCAAACGGTGGGAACGGTAGGTTATGCCGTTTGGCAAGTGTGGTGGTAAAAAGGCTCCCTTGGCGCCGGAGTTTGCCCGCAGCGGTAAGGAAAAGGACGGCTTGTGGAACCAAGCAAATACGGTTCATGTCGCGCAAGGCGCCATGGCTTTTGCTATGGTACCGGTCGGGTCGACTAAAGAATCCCCGTCACGCTCGCTTCCGTAGTAGGTGTCTTTCGTAGCGTCGGTACTGGCCTCACATTAACTTCATCCCTTTGACGCTCTTCCACTCCATAAGCAAGCTTGACAAGAATGCAAGCACAGCGCATGCAATCGGCAGAATAACCGCCGCTGTCACAGCCTTGTCATAAGCCACCAACACCGCTGGTAGTTGCTGTGCTGATATGATGGAGCGGAGCTGCGTGGCGCCGGCATAGACGATAGACTGAGGGTTGACACTGGGTGCATCCCGAGCCACTTGCTTAACCAATGTATTGGTGAAAACATTCTCAGCAATTGACACCGAGAGCGCCGCCAAGCGTGTTAAAGAATATGGCCTGTGCATTGTTGGGACGGGCGTCAGCTCTGTCTCTGTTACTCGCGGGTAGCCTTTACTCTTAGCTGTGCTTACCACGGCGTTGCCAATCGGCATATCCCGCTTCGAAAGCACAACTTTCGTGGCAGTGAATGGTATCTTAGCGGCTAGTGTTAGCGCTACACACGTAAAGTCCACGTCCTAGGCATGTTGTTCTTAGTTGCACGCATGAGCCCATGCCGAAGCCCGCCACAATCTCATAGCCAATCCAGTGGCTTTCTGACGTGCTCACCTTGAGAGTGTAAAGCAGTCCGGCGCCAACTGCGAACAAGCTGATTCCGAACCACATTGGAGGATTGTAGTATCCCACCGTAGTGGTGATGCCGCCTGCGGCGATGGATGCTACCGTCATGCTGACCAGGTACGGGATCATGTGTATCCCGCTTACTTTGGCGGACACCCCTTTTACGGCCTGGAAGTAGAAAGGCAGATCTGTCTCGAAACTGTCAGTACCAAGTCTGCAAAGGCCAAAATGACATTGCTCGACTTGCAGTATAGGTGTGTATACAAAGCCATCTAAAGCGTGTCATGTCAGCGATGTTGTAAGACAGCGGGTAAGAGCCTCGTGCCCTTCGGTTACGCACCGCCAGAAATGCGGAGAATAGTGCACAAGCACCGACAGTGCGCTGGCGCAGGTGAATTCTAGGTGGCATTGTCGCGCGGTCCCCAAGGAAAGCTTGGGTGATGCAGAACACGGTGATCAGAAGGCCAAATCCAAGGAGGCAGTCCCAGACTCTGCTGTCGTGCCATGGATACTGGACGCCGCCCTACTGTAAAGCCAACAAGAGGCAGACAATCGCAGCAATCAGCAGGACGGCTCCGACGAAGTCGATCTGCTTTAGCTTGTCTTTCAGCGCCATACTCTTGTACTGCAGCAGTGGCTCGGAGAAGAAGGAGAGGACCGTCAAGGCTGCTGCCCCGCCGAATGGTACGTTTATCCAGAAACACTCCAAGGGCAGAATCGTTAGCAATGTCTTTACACTAAGCAGGCATCGTACCCTCTGGTCACATACCCAACGCCAGGTCAGATGACTGTCTGTGAATGCGCCTCCAAGAATGGGTCCGACGACTGAAGCTATTCCGAACATCGATGACACGATGCCAAGATACATGGGCCTGGATTTCAGTGAAATGGCGTAGGCCAGTATAGTCATGCCGCCGCTGAAGATGGCCACGGCGCCAACCCCAGCGACCGCGCGACCCACGATGAACATCTTCGAGCTTATGGCAGTGGCGCAGAGTATCGAGCCGACTGCATATGGTCAGTGGGCGCTTCAGGTGAATGGGTTTCGGGAGCGGCATACCTTCGAAGACGATCAACGCACTCAGCCATACCCATTTGACGGAGAAGTAAGCGTTCACCTTGCCAAAGGAGGGCTGCAAAGCGGTGGTCGTCAGAAGGTAGCTGGAGCTGTACCAGCCCACATCTTTGAGGGAGTCAAATGTTGTAGCTGAGAGAGTTTGGTCGTGAGCACCACACTTGAGACCTTTTGGGGTGTTGCACATACTGATCCGTGGGCTTGCTGTTGCGATGATAGTATTATCGAGCGTAATGACAAACGTAGCGAGGCACAGCCCAAGGGTCAGGAAGGCAAGCTTCACGCCGCTTACATAGGCGGAATCGTCTTCAGACTCCTCGTCTAGCTCAATGTTGGCACTTGCTTCGCCGGCATCGTTGTCACGAGCCTTCTCTGATCCCACCTGCGATACTGTCCGCTCGTCAATCTCCGCGTGACTCTTAGTCGTCGTAGAAGCGGCGTTCTAGGTGGGCTGCGCATTCTTGGCTTCGGCCGTGGTGCTCGCTGTCGTTGGTGACTTACTCTTCGTTCGCTTGAAGAACGACATGGTGGTGGTGAGGACAACACAGCATCTAGCAGAGGTTGAAGTGACGAGAGAGTAGTGGGAGCTTTGATGGGGGGAAGCGGTGCATAGGACCCCATCGCGCGGGTAACCCTGAGGCATGCATCTTGTGAATGGGCAGGCAGTATGCACACAGCTTCACCTGCCTGGTGACCCAATTCCAAGCTTACCGCAGCGGCGGTAGCATGCCGGGCATGTGCTACACCTGGGTTGCTGGTTGAGCAAAGCGTGCTGCAGGTCACTATCTGCTCTTCGCGTCAGCTTGTGCTGCCTACGTATTGCACAGGTTGAATAGTCAAGCACGCATTTGCTCAGACTGGGCATTGTTTTGGGTACAGTATGCTCTCTTACCCCGAAAGGTCCAACCATGGATCCCGACCGTAGCTCTAACGCTCTCCACTCGGGGTCCGCTCCTCCCGCGCCGCAAACGCAGCCGCGGCGCCACGAGCGGGTGGCAGGGTGGGATACAGCCTAAGATTGAGCTTGACACGCTTGCGTGTAAGGGGAGGTGGACGACATGCGACGAGACATGCAAGGGTCTTCCAGCTCGACACCCGCTTTCGTACTCAGCCAAAATTTGCTCTAGGGTGGATGAAGTGTTCACAAAGGTTCACCACCTGAGCATACGCTTGCCCTGTCGCGTAGGTCTCTAAGCTGAGTCTGTGACTGAATGGTCGCCTGAGAGGCCATCGAATGCTCCTGCGCCCATAGATTTCCGCAGTCCGTAAGAGAGTGCGCTCTCCCTCCCGAGTGTCATGAACAACCTTGCACGCTAGCCGCTCTCTTTAACTATGGGCGGCGTGGCTGACGCCCGACAAGAACTCGAAGTTCAGGCATGGTTGAAGTGTTTTGCTAATGTGGAGACAATGCGGAACTTACATCACAGGCCGGTAAAGCGACAGGATGCGGCCTCCATGCCCGAACAGTATGGCCTTGTGATGCAGGGCCGCAGTGAGACACTAGGCGAGGGCTGCTCCTTCACAATCAGTCAATCCATGGGTAATCCCAGGTGACAGGTTTCGCTACTGACCGACCCTTCAGGCGACGGCTTCGGCAGTTGGTGTTCTCTTGAAGTCTTACGAGAAGGCGTTGCATCGCCGGGACTCTCTGTGGACTCGGGCGCCATCTCAAGCTGCAGCTGCCGCATTAACAGCTTACCGACTGGCCTCTACGGCGTCCAGTCATATGTGCAAGGACCTGTCAGCTTTGCCACGCAACCAAACACCAACATGCCGGAAGAGGCGAGGTGTTTCATGCTTCACCTCCGTACCCGTCTGCGATTATGGTCACTGCTCATATCTGCATTTGCCGGACAGGCTCGATTGTCCAGAGTCCTCGCACTCGGATCGAGGCGTCGCGAGAGCCTTCGCAGTGAAACAGAACGCAGGTAACTACACACAAAGTATGTTGGCCGTGACGGTAAGATTAAAGCCGTCAATACCTCCCTCGAGCAGGAGGGATAAAAGTGTTACAGGACGCCGCTTCCTCGCATCTTCCAGCACATTCTTCTTTGCCAGCATCCGTCTCTTTGCTATCTATCCATTGTCCGAATATCTCCTCTCTAGCCCTCTAGAACCCATCATGGCGAATCTGACAACCACTATCATGGGTATGGTCACAGCCCCCGCAGTCACCTCCGAAGCCTTCTACCGGCTGGTGACGGATCCAAGCCCGTCACTCCTTGTGACTGCCGTTCTGGGGGCACTCATTGTGCTGGGCTTCCTGTCGTTCAAGTCTAGGGGTAGTGAGAAGGTTCTTCCAGGCGTGCCAGAACTCAAGGGAATTCCCATCTTAGGGGCTGCACCGATCTATCGTGAGTCTCTGTCATTTAGTCTGCATGTTTCATCTCATACTGACTGCGGCTATAAGTCAAGCATGGTATGCCAGAACTGCTGGGAAGACTTATTGCCATGGGGCCGGACGGCATCTCATACGCCAATGTGGTCGACAACATCCTCGTTTCTGTTCACGATCCAGACATGGTCAAAGAAGTGCATTCGTTCCCGGACGATGTCGCCTCAAGAGAGGGCGCCGAAGGCAAGATGAGTTGGTCACCGTTCTGGACTCTACGACGCCTCATCGGCAACTCCTTGTTCAACTACGTAGGGCCGGAAGTCAGCCACCAGCGAAACGTCTTCATACGAGAGTAACTATAACACGCTCTCGCCGCTGGAGGCGTTGCTAAGCTGTGTGCAGGTTCAACAAGGACAAGGCCAATGCAGAGAAGGTGGAAACCATTGTTCGCATTGCTCAGACCCACGCAGATGCGTTGACCTGCGATGTCGACTCCGCGGACAGTATGTATTGCTTTTCTACAGTCTGACGTGCCACCGCTGACGGCACATGCAACAAAGTACCTGATATCAGATATTCTGCGGACAATTCCGCCATTGCTTTTTGGGGAGAGACATTGTACGGAAATCCTCACCGTCATGCAAGCCTTCCGCAAACCCGGCCCGTGTGTCTCGAACACAGCTGACTGTCCTACGCATGGTTGTAGGTAGGAGGGAAAGTACTTGAATTGTCTGAGCACATTATCACTCTCGCTGGCAACCCATGGTGCGTGCTTCTTGGGCACTAAGCTTCGCGTACTGCTCACAAATTGCTGAACCCTCGATCTGTCGGTTTCAGGCCATCCGTATGGTACTCGTTCCAACTCTTCTTCATGATGGTCACCCCTGGCGAGCCAACTCGCTCAGAGGCCGCCCTCCGACTCAAGGTCGGTAAGGTCGTCGAGGGCAACGTCACGAAACTTGAAGAGTACGAGCGCAACAATCCTGAGGCGCCCTTGAAGACCATTTGCAATCTCTCCGTGATGTCTGGCGGTGCGAAGACCGGTACGCAAGCGCTCAAGCATAAGCCGTAATAGTGTCGGAGCCATGCCGATGGTGCTAATCAAGGCTCGTAGGGCCATTGTCGAAGTTCGCTTCGGAGTTTACCAACCTCAATCTCTTCGGTAAATACGCGAACACATGGTCGGCGCTCTAGCTCATTCTTTCTAGGTGGCCGCCACAGCATTGGGTTGAACGTCACTTGGTCGCTCATCGAGCTTGACAAGCATCCAGAATGCCTGACAAAGCTTATGGCTGAAATCCATTCCGTTGACACGACCGACTTCACCTCTGTCAACTCGAAGATGCCGTATCTCGACGCCATTATAATGGAGCTCAACCGACTTCACCCAACTGTACATGCCACTGTTCGCGTCGTCAACAAGGAGACAAGGCTCACCTCGAGCAAGAGAATTCCCGTCGTGCTCAAGCCAGGCATGTTGATTTACCTCTCGTATTTCTACCTCCATACCGCGGAGAAGTTCTGGGGCTCGAACTCCATGGAATTCGACCCTCAGCGATTTGTAGGCGGTGATTGGAAGGAATCACCATTCATGTCCTTCGGCTATGGGCCGCGAAACTGCGCAAGTCTACGTTATAATGTTGTGGAGTGAGGTGGAGCTGACCTCTGCCAGGTCGGATACAAATTCGCCGTTCTCGCTGCCAAAGTCTACCTTGTCACTCTGTTGAAGACGTATAAACTCGACGTACGGGACCATGATGTAAGTGCAGCAAGTGCGGTGTGATTTGGATTGTTTGAGACACAGCTGACTCTCCTACTCTTCAATCTACAGCACGAAATGAAACTTGGTACTCTACTCGAGACGCAGAAGCCAGTTGCTGTCAAAGTTACTCGCCGAGGTTGAGGCGCGATGACATGCGGGCTGGCATGGCTGAAGGATAGAGTGTCGGAGTTACTCCCTACATTGGCTGGCTACGAGGGCATGGGTACTGAACTCTGCGTCGCCTCACCGGTAGATGGTTATAGCGAGAACAGAGGGGTCCGCTCAATCCTCCACACAAGCACCTCAGTGTACCCCTGATGTCAAAAGATGGTCGGCGTGCCACACCTTGCACGCCTGCATAACGAACCACAACCGATTCGCTCAACGACGATCAGCTCACGACTGTGGTTACACCGCTGCACATAGCCCGTGCACCTTTCAGATATTCTTATTGAGTCCTCTTCACAGAGTGACACAGTTCTGCGTTGATATGACAGCGAAGAGCACCATGTACACCCTTTCGGACATAGTAAGAGAACCGTGCTCGTGGGATCTGACATATAAGCGACTACTTTGTTCCTGTGTATTCGTGTACATGAAGATGGTCAGGGCGAATCGTTCTCCAATACCATTCGCTACAGGTCAGCGTACCGTTGCCGACAGGGCACCTTATGAGCTCCTTACGCTTACAGGGCACACATGACCGCGTCATGGCAGAAGTTCGCACCGTATTGTCTATTTAAGCTCGATCGTTTACGTCCAGGCGCGGGTGTATATTCGTCCTTAAAAGGGATGGTCCCATGTGTAGCCGGACATCCAGCCCATCCATCTATGCTAAAGACATCTTAGAGATCTATTATCGAAGGGAAGGTGGAGCACAATGTAAGCTCATAATGCTTCGGCAAGATAGGACCACTCTTCCTGCCGATCGTGCTCAAACACCGCCCTTCGCCTATGCTAGCCCCGCCCAAACGTCGTCCTCTTCAGGCGTCAGAGGCAGAGGCTTCCCTTTCACGCCAAGCCGACAACTGAGTTCGTTGGAGATCCAAGCTGACAGCAGTGCCACACTAGCGCGAGAGTTGTGGCCAGTCTTTGGGATGGTCAGATAGATGGATCCGACATGACTGGTACTTGCAAGTACGCTTCGGAAGTCTTCAATACTCAGAGCGTACACTTCTCCGTGGATGGTAGGATCGATTGATGGCTTGCTTGCGGCAGCGAAGAGGCCTAGCGTAGTCAGCACCGTATGGTAAGATGACATACCAGACGTACCATTGAAGTCCGGCTCGGGTATCTCGAGGGTCGGAGTTGTGTTTTCTGAGTCACTAAGGCGACGCTCATCTTTCCTGTGTTTCAATGAGTGCAGGCGCCGGGTTGAACGGACCTGAAGCAGACGATGGTACTGTTCTTCATCTTCGGGATCCTCAAGAGTAGCCTCGAATGCTTTGTCGATGTCGCGCCGGTACAGTAACATGGAGAGATTACGGCGGTTGAGGAAGTCGGTAGCACGAGAAGCGAGAGTGTCGAACTCGTCGTCTCGAAGTTTGAGCCACTCTTCAGTGCTGCATGCCAGCCCTACCAGCTTCAGCGTATCGCAATCTGCTGCCCGGAGCTGTTTCGATCTGTCATTGCCGCGGTCGTTGCGTCGGTATACTAGACAGATCAGGTGTTTGACCTTGGTGGCCCGTTGGTTTGGCAGAGCTTTGTTCAACGGTTGCTGCCGCAGAAGATTCGCCGTATGCTGTAAGCATCTCTGAACTTCAAGTTGGGCTCTCAAGAGCGACACCTTGTAGAGCAGTGCGTCAAGGAGGTCGTCGGGGCCGTCTACATCCCATAGCTCCTGTGCAAAGCTACTGAGCATCTGCTCGATGTGGAGAATCCGCTCAGTAGACATGCTGGACCGGTTCGGAAACGACGTGCAAGCAGAGTCACGATGGTGGTATCGTTCTACCCAAAAAGATGATCAAAGTAGCTGATCCTCTCTTGAAGCAAGTCAATAGTAGCAGACTGCTGCTGGGGCAAGCGGCAGGCATGCTCGCATCCTGAACGTCCGTGGGTCAGGCGGAATCGCGTTCAGCACTTGAAGCAGCTAGCGGTAGTGAACAGCAGGATCAAAAGAGTCCCGAGTCAGCTAGGTTCGTCAGCTATCATCAGCGACTACGAAGACACTGCCCTCTTTGCATCCGAAGGATTACTTAGGCAACACGGCGGAACGGGTAAACGACGCACTTGCTGCACTTTGCGAGAGATGTGGTAGGTCTCCAAGCATCCACGAGCTCGCAGTAGTGTAGACACTATGGAATGAGAAGCAAAATCCATCGTAGCCACGCCAGGGTAGTAGCCACATGGGGATCTCTAACCATGCAAAGAGGCTGCTGGGCGCCCTACCGTTTGAAGAAAGTTGGGCCTTCATCATCCCATACGGTGTCCTCTCTGACCAGTGCGGGCAGCCCTGCTAAGCGTAAAACATTTCACAAACTGATTGCTTTTATCAGCAGGTCTGGGAGCGTTCAAGCTAAGCAACTGACCTGCCTCTCAACATGATAGCACCGCTTGATTGGAGGTGCTGTATGCTTGAGCGGGAATAGTATCCAGCTGGTATATCATACCAACACAGTGGTGCAGTAGGACAATGCATGCCGGCGCCATGCGAGGTCGGCAAGACCGTGTTGTAGAGTGGTACTGGGCTTACCGCTCGCCTAGGTCAGCCTCCGTATGCCCAAAACGGTAGCAATCGGCTTAAGGCCGTTCTATGTGCCGGCGGGCAGAGGGAAGATCGCAGTGCATAGACTGTGCCGTTGTGCCTTTCCCGAGGTTTGTCATTCGTGCCGTCAGCCTCGCGTCTTGCCTAGCCGGCTCCGACAGGAACAGGGTTCGGCGCGTGCAGCGGGAGCGCATGCATGTCACTTAGCAAATCGTAAGTGGTGGCCCGAGCAGTGCATCTACAGCACGCTGAGAGACATGCTGAGAGTCGAGTTGAGGAACGACAGAACATCGCAGAAAGCGCAGGATGTGAGACCCACTCATGCGTCTGGTGCGACGTGCCTTAGTACGGCTGGGCGCACAGGGGTGGCAGCGCAAGCTCATGCACTGTAGCATAGGGACGATTGTAGCCCGTTTCGTCAAGCATGGGACGTTGGTGCTTGGAGACGACCGGAATCTCGGGTGTCTACCTGCGGGATCGAGTACATCCGTAAGCGGGTTCGAGAGTAGGAGTAAGCGGGCAGGGTGGCAGGGAAGGCAAAGATTGGATAGCATGAGTAGACCATGCGAAAGGGAGTAAGCAACAGGATGTGCGGGGGACCTGGGGAAGCTGACGTTCCTTCTCGCCTTTGCGGGCCGGTGCTGCGCCGTGCAAGTCGACGGCAGATCTTAGCTCGCCTCCACCGCACAACATTAGAGGTAGGTTTCGTTCATGTGTCCGAACAAGACATTCATATCGACAGCTAGGTCCTGGTAAAGCCTAAACCATTGTAATATCATGCGTAAAACGCAATACGTAAGCTATACTATCTCACCTGAAGACGGTGCTGAAGACGCAAGTGGTCCACAGTCTCCGGGTCCCAAGGACTAGTACTAGTGACATCCAATATGTAGCAACTCAAAACGTCGCTTAAAGGGCGACTTCCAAGCACAGTAATCAAGCGAAGGGCACATGGGCCGCAAGAGGCTGATTGAGGGACCTACAAGGAGGAGGGATCTTGTGAGGTAGTGCAATGACTACACCAACACCTTGTACAGTTGCAAGATGCAAGACAGCATGATGACTCGTATGCTACCAACGCTGAGGGGCGGTGCCTTCATGGCCCAGACTGACACTCGTGCACATGAGACCAACCCGCACGACACTCCGTTTTGTTGTAGCAGCTAACCGCACCTTACAGATGCGGAGGCACCTGGTGTGCTACACTGGAAATGGTTGGCCGACAGAATATGCGACGCACGCCTTCCGTCCCAGCGCCACTCCCTATGTTACCACATAAGTCGGTTTTTGCTGCTGTTACCGTGCTTACTCTCTTTTGTATGCTTCGCCTCGCACTCCCTGGCTAGCTCATCAACCTCACTGTTGTATAGTCTATCATTTGGCGCTCACGGTACTTACGCTCCGTGTCGACCCAACGCCACGTGAAGTCGTTACTCTCCTAGTACCCGGCTCGTGTTCGAACCTCCTCAACCTGGCTATGGTCCTTTCCAAAGGCTTCTGCTTACACTGGAGCATACCTACACGACTTGCATGCAAGCGGCCGGCCGAGTGCTATGCTATCACTGTTCTTGCGTAGCCCGCATTACGACGCATACCTCGAGCAAAAGGATTGGGTGGCAAACGCTTTTGATTGGCGATACAGACTGGTATTCCGGAGCACAGGCTATGTCTGGCAAAGCTCGCTTCGTCCAGCGCGCCGCCCAAGTTCCGCTTTACTGACCCTCCCCCGGCTGGATTTGGCATGGCGAGGCGGCTGCCTACGACGAGATTCTGATGATGGCAGAGCTGGCAGCAGGGCGGAAACTGCTTCATTCGTGCACTTACCTTTGACGCCATCACCCCCGACGCTCGGCTCGTTATGTGATATGCTGCGCTGTGTCTTAGCAGCTTTCTCCGGCTTACTCTACTGTCCCTCTGCAGCTCTAGGAGCTTGCGGTTTATCCTCGACCTCGCTGTCCCCTATATGAATCAAACGTCAGCCATTGCCCTTTCGCTCAAAAGAGGATTCCATGGCCGATCATTCTCGTCCGTGGAATCCACACAGCTTCCTTTGCCTAGACGAACCCATTCCACAAACGAGGCGAGACGCTCCGTAACTTGTGCTGATGTCCGGCTTTCGGCTCGCAGTACAGCCCTTAGATTGTCGACGACTTCTCGACACGTTCAATATGAGCCTTCCATGGTGTCGAAATAAAGGGCTCCAAGAGCGGAGACTAAGAGAAGTCGTCAGTGATATTCGTGATCAGTAGTCAACTCGATCCTGGAGAGTGTGCGTGCTCGCGCGGTACTCCCGACACAACTGGTGTGGCAGCAACGGATCGTCGAGGATGGTCTCAAGCAGCGGCAGAAGGGCCGCCCAGTCTTCCTTGTCGAAGAGCACGCTGACTGCTGCATTCTGTTCTGCGCAGAATTTATTGATGTCGACACTGGGGTACACCTGTCCGGACACGTCTACCCTTGTGCTCACGCTGGAGCCCTCGCTTTGGCAGAGGTGGTTGCGAAGAAAAAGTCATGGCTCTCATTCGAGGAGCGGTGACACCGCCAAGCTCATTCGTAGAGCGCCAACGCTGCGAATAGGGAAGGCATGATGGTACGGTTGATGGGAAGCAAGCCAACAAGACAACGCGCCACGGTTCACGCTTGGTCATTATACCACGAGGATGAGCCCGCCGTGACGATGATAGCGGCGGGCACGGACGCGGAGACAGTGTATGGACGCTGAAGTGCAGACGTGATATGACGGCCGAAAATGAGGACGGAGGATGGGACGGGAAGGTGCGACAAACGAAGAAGAAGAGGAGACGGAGAAGCAGGACAAACAGCATAACACTCTCACTTGCATATAGCGGCTCATGGTTGAAGGGCCTGTGCAACACTGCTGCTTAGCTAGAGGCTTGCAGAAGCTGAAGGTAGTGGACTGCTTCGTTGCTACATGTGCCATGCTTCCAGCCGAGACCCAAGGCTTAGCCACTTGCGCTCAGCGTCCGAATCCTGGGATTACAGACGAGGTTCAAGAGACTGCCGCCAGCATGATGTTCACACCACTCTGCCGTACCTTGCCCTTTTAAGGTAGCCTTACTTATGTGTCTACGAAACAGGCTTCGCTAGCAGAAAAAAAGTCGTAGGAACAGCCTACAAGAAATGCTAAGGACTACACAAGCCGATTAAAACCAGTCCTGTACAAGGTACATGGGTTAGGCATCAAGATCGTTGTCTTCTCGGAGGTGACATATTTCCTACGAAGAGTTTTCCGGGGCGACGAGGCAGAGAAGATACTGTAGATAGGATGAGGAGAGCGAACTCATTTCAATCCTCTCGGGATCGGGATGTGGCCCCGGTGTAACCGGAAAGTGCAGCCATTGGCTCGCTTGGGTACACCTGCCTGCGAAGATATTTGTACAGAACATTCCTACTCATAGTAGATCACGACAGCCAAGAACTCCAAACGAGGCAAGAATCTGACATGTCGCAATGCGTAATCTGAACATTATCAAGGAGGTTGATGTAGCCGTCCAAGATGTCTCAGGTTTGGGACATGATCTCCAAGGGACCGTGATAGCATCTGGACCGACCAAGGCCAACCCCACGATAACGTTGAGACATCTGAGCCAAGACGCAGTGACTGTGGACTCAGCGCAGACTATAGCTGTCTGGGATGCTGACCCTTCAGCTCAATTAAGGAGCCTTCACTGTTTCGCAGACTCGCGAACGATAACTCTAGTACTCGCCAACGGAGACATCATTACTGTTCGCCAGGAACCTCTACCTGGCGAGGAACAGATAGAGATTGTCGGGTCCGTTGACGCTGGCATTTTGGTGGCGTCATGGAGTCCGGACGACGAGTTACTTGCCATTGCCACCAATGCGGGGACGTTGCTCGTCATGACAAGAGACTTTGAGCTGACCGCTAATGTAACACTTGCAGCGGACGACGTCGAGGTATCCGATCATGTCTCTGTGGGTTGGGGTAAGAAGGAGACCCAGTTCAAAGGTCGTGGCGCAGCGAAGACATTGCGTGATCCAACTATGCCGGAGCATGTCGATGAAGGCAAGCTTAGCCCGCTCGACGACGGTCGTGTAGCGCTTTCCTGGAGAGGTGACGGACAGTATTTTGCCATGAACTCAATACTCGAAGGCGCGAGCCGCAGGCGTCTTGTAAGGGTCTATAGCCGCGAAGGGGTGCTCGAAAGTGTATCAGAGCCCGTAGATGGGTTGGAGGGTGCACTTAGCTGGAAGCCCAGTGGACAAGTACTAGCGGGCATACAGCGACTCGACGACCGTCTAAAGGTAGTCTTTTTCGAACGCAACGGTCTCCGTCATGGAGAGTTCGATCTCCGCCTTAGCAAGGAGGAAGCAGAGGTACTGAGGAGCAGCGTTACGCTGAGCTGGAACAGTGACTCTTCGGTGCTTGCGGTGAATCTGATCGACAGAATTCAGCTTTGGACCGTGGGCAACTACCATTGGTACTTGAAGCAAGAGGTCCGCTTCGCGCTAAATGAGCACGGTGATATGACGCATCTGGGTATGAAGTGGCATCCAGAGAAAGCTTTGGATTTGGCATGTTACAACAACACAGACGTCAGGCTCATTAGCTGTTCATTTGCTATCGCGCGTGGCTCTGTAACACCGCCCAATGATCATGGGCTTGTGGCGGTGATTGATGGGAAACGGCTAAAGATCACGCCTCTACGATATGCGAACGTGCCACCGCCGATGGCATTCGACGAGCTTGAGCTTCATGAACCAGCCGCAGAGGTGTCGTTCGACAGTACCGGAACGACAATCATTGTCCGTCATGGCAACGGAGAAGTCTCGGAATGGTCTTGCGATTATAGTCGTAAACCTGTCAAGAAGGCTACACTGCTGCGCCGGAATCACGATTCGACGAATTCGCATTCTTCGAGTAACACTGACCGGTTACTCACCGGCGAGCGGGTTATGCTATCTGAGAACGGACTCCTTAGTATCAGTGGCTCGAACAATCTCCGCATACCCGGCTGCACCTCGTACCTTGTGACAGATACCCACCTTATCTTCACCACCAGCAACCATTTGGTGAAATTCGTTCATGTTCGGCGTGATGGCAGCCTCGAAGTCCCACCTGACGAGCCGGAGAAGGACGAGCGGTGTCGCAGCATCGAGCGAGGAGCGAAGATTGTTACGGTAATGCCCAGTACGTCCTCACTGGTGCTACAGATGCCGCGTGGAAACCTCGAGACAGTCTATCCTAGAGCACTTATACTCTCAGCTGTTAGGGCGTGTATCAAGAACAGGGACTACAAGAAGGCATTCATGACCTGCAGGACGCATCGTGTAGACATGAACATCCTCCACGATCATGCGCCAGCTCAGTTCATGGCACACGTGCCTCTGTTCCTGAAGCAGATCAGGAAACCCGAGTACATCGATCTGTTCCTAAGCTCCTTGTCAGCCGAGGACGTTGCGGAGACGATATATAAGGAGACACTGAAATCTGAACCGGAGCAGACGGTTTTAAATGGTGACGCGGCGAACAGCATGGAAATGCATGCCTTCCTAAGAGCACATTCGAAAGTGAACAATATTTGCGAAGCTTTCCTGCACGAATTTAGAAAGCAAACATCTCCGTCACTGCAGAACATCGTCACCGCTTATGTCTGCAAAAGTCCGCCAGATCTGGAAGCTGGGCTGGCTCTTGTTTCAGATTTGCGTACCCAAGGTACTCAAGAAGAGGTGGAGGCTGCCGTGGAACACATCTGCTTCTTAGCAGACGTCAATCAGCTGTACGATACCGCCCTCGGACTGTATGACCTTGATGTTGCTTTACTTGTAGCTCAACAGTCCCAGAAAGACCCGCGAGAGTATCTGCCATACCTGCAAAGCTTGCGCGACATGTCGCCGTTGCGGCAGCGATTGGCCATCGACAACGACCTCAAGAGATACTTGAAAGCGTTGTCGCACCTATATGCGGCCGATGCGTTTGACGAGCTCAAGGTCTACATGGTCAAGCATGAGCTGTACGGAGCAGCAATTGAGTTGTACCGGTATGATGTTAGCAAAGTGGCTGAGCTTATGCGTTTGTACGGCGACTCCATGAGCGCTCGCAACCGCTTTAAGGAAGCTGGCATTGCGTACGAGTTCGTGCACGACTATGCTTCTGCGTACCAAGCGTATCGTTCGTCAAGCTTATGGCAGGAATGCCTTGCCGCAGCGGCGTTGGTGCCGGTGAGCGAAGAGGAGCTGGCTACCCTAGCAAGAGATCTATCAGCAAGCCTTGAGGAGGCAAAAAACTTCAAAGCTGCAGCTACGGTACATCTTGACTATTTGGATGATGTCGACTCTGCGGTCAGATTTCTGTGCAAGGCATTCCAATTCCCCGAAGCAATTAGGTTGGTGGCACATCGTCGTCGATCGGAGCTCTTACGGTCTTCAATAGATCCAGGTCTTGTCGAAGTCTCTGCAAGCGTGACCGAGATGTTGGCTGAAATGAGGACGCAGCTTGCTGCGCAAGTGCCTCGCATACGCGATTTGCGGCAGAAGAAGGCTGAAGACCCTATAGCCTTTATTGACGGTGCTGACGGTGGCGATGAGGACATCCCAGATAACCTCTCTCTTGCTCCAACCGATGCCTCGACCACAGGAACTTTCATGACTCGGTACACTAACCGGAGCACTGGCACACTTGCCACAAACGCCACGAGGAAGACTTCAAAGAACCGGCGAAGAGAGGAGCGTAAGCGGGCCAGAGGTAAGAAGGGGACCGTATATGAAGAGGAGTATCTTGTAAACTCCATAATGCGGCTTGTAGAGCGACTCAACTCGACTGTGGAAGACGTCCAAAGGCTTGTAGAGGGCCTGATGCGGCGAGCCATGCGAGAGCGTGCCGTCGCGGTCGAGACGGCCATGCAAGAGGCTTTGGAGGTATGTAAGAAGAGCCTGGACGAGGTGTTCCCATCCGAAGAGCGTAAGAAGGACGAGATGATCGAGCAGGCCGTGAATGGAGAGGACCAGAGTCGTCCGTGGGGAGGGCAGGGTATCCTTTGGGATGCGCTCAATGCATCCGGACACAGTCACGAGCGCCCACTGCTCAAGGCCATGGAACGCCTGTGCTTACTATCTTGACGTCCTTCACGCTCGACTGCTTGTATCGATGCGCAGCCGGGACGTTGAGCAGAGACAAAGTCACTAGTCGCTGGTGGTTGCTATTACGCAAGGCGATCGTCAGTCATGTCGTACAGGCTCATGCATTATCCTGTATGGCGGCGACGTCAACGTCTTCTATGCGCCACATATACCTTTCACGTAGCGCAGCTTGGTCAGCAACGACAATCGAACGGCGAGAGGGGTATGACCTACCACATGAAGAGACTTCTATAAGGCCGGAATGGCTCAGCAACCTCGAGCATCTCTTTTTCGCTCATATACTTCCATTTACCGCCTTTAGCCTTCAACTTCGCCACATCTCGTCCCTTGTACGCTGCCATGCCCCTCTGGACACCCAGATCGCCAGTACTAAAGACATCCATGCGTTTCAGCCCGAAGCACATGAACATTTCTACGCTCCATATTCCTAGCCCGCGGACGGCGACTAGCTTCTCCATAACTTCCTCGTCGGAGCCGTTCATGAGCATTGGAATAGTAAGCTCGCCGTTCGTGAATTTTGCAGCAAGACCTTGAATATACTCAGCTTTCCGCTGGCTCAGTCCCGCTTCCCTCAGCCTTGGAATGCCGGTTTCTGCAACGAGTGCTGGAGACGGAAAGCCGCTGGGGCAGGATTCAGGCGGAAACAGAGCAACGAATTTGTTTTTGATGCTCTTTGCTGCAGCACCTGATACTTGCTGAGCCATGATGCCCGATGCTAATGAGCGAAAAGGGTCGATGGACTCGGCAAGCCCAGAAGGGCTGAATACGTGGCAATGATGCTGGTCAATCACAGGTCCTAAGCCTGAGTCCACTGCTAGTAGATGTGCTACCGCTTCATCCAGTAGACTTCTTGCTGTAGTCAGAGAGCTAGCTGCAGGCTGAGATGATGACTCTTCGAAGTTGCTATAGTTGGGCTGCACTTGCGTTCCTCTAGGTGTCACGAGCGTAGCGTTAGTGGTGTGCGGCTCCGCCGGCCTGTTGTCAGGCAGCGGAGTAGCGTCATCAATATCTCCGGAACTATACGTCGGTCTCAGGACGCTGTTGCTTGTCATCAACCCCACAGCGGAAGGCGTAGGCGTGACGGGTGGAGGTTCCGTGGGCGTCCTTGCCACTCTTCTTCGCTTGTTTGGAGTTGTTGGCGGAGGCGCCATGGGCGACTGTACAGCTCCATTTGCATCGCTTGACGTTGCATGCTGCGCTGAAATGGTTCCAACTGCTTGTGCTAACGGGTCCTTGACTTTCCGGCCACGTTTGTGTGACGGCGCTGTAGCGTTTACCGCATGATTATTCGGCAAATCGCTGTTACCTGTGACGGACTTCACACGAGCCGAACGTCTTAGCGACATCGTGCTTGCTCTAGCGAGAGCCACGTGAAAGGATTGTCCGTGGCCTTTTGCAGAACGGAGGTCTCCAGGCAATATAAGTAAGCGCCGGTCAGACGGGCGGAGAGAGCGAAACAGCACGTCGAAGCAAGCCAGCGCCGCAATCGAAAGAATCTAGTAACAATGAGTTGAATTGGTAGGCAACAATTGTATACAGCTATGGATGGGGATGCAGTCATCAAGACCGATCAGACTTCTGGCGATCTCCGCGACGATGCTTGCCTAGCGCGTCCGTGGAGCGGTATCACGTGCCCCAAGTTGCTTTGTCGGCATCGTGTTACATTATTTCCCGACCATTCTGCGGACGCCGGGAAAACAGAGTTGCAGAGATGAAGCTGCAGGTGACAAGGCGCTCTAGCGTGCTCCAGCCAAAGCTAGTTGTACACAGTAGATGCCTATCTGATACCCACATCGCCAGCTCGCCTGCAGCACGAGATATGTACAGCACTACTACAATCGCACCCTCGTCGAAACCTAGTGAGATGTCTGCTTCGGTGTGGCCGCCCGTCGCTTGATTACCATCGCCTCAAGGTCCTCACGCTCGGTAAGCTCTGCCTCGATCTCTCTGATAATGGGTGAAAGATACGGGTAATCCTGCAAGAACCATGTCAGTAATGATGTTTATTCCCTGACAGAGCAGCTCTGGAGTGTGATATCGGGTCGTCCAGATTGGGGCAGCGGAGCGTACCTCTTCTGGCTTTGTCCATTCGTTTCTTGGCAGCAATTGATGGGTGAGGGAGCACTGCAGCATCCTGTCAGCCTATATCCAATTCCATGTAAATTCCTTCACATGTTGATTTACCTGGAATGCCCTCCTCATGCGGAACACGCGGTCGTACGCCTCCTTCGGCGAAAGGCGCTTCAGCGCAAGCTGCATACCCTCGGTCTCCTCCGGTAGCAGATCGTCGGCTCTGTCATATCCATGCGTCAGCCGCTACTTCGATTTCACAACTGCTTGGCACTGGTGTGCCCCATGTCGAGCAGTCGCCATGTTCTGTTCGTACCTGAGGCCTAGTTTCCTGTAGCCGGAGTTCTCGAAGTACCATGTGGCCAATGGCTGGAACCAGCTCCTTAGCCACGGCCTTTTCATGATGAAGGGCGCAAGTGAAGGGTACGACATCCTGGCGGCGATGAGCGGAGTGTGCGGACTGTCGCGTGCGAACTCCTGCCTTCAATATCGTTGTAGTTACTCCTGCAAGCTTCAGAATGTCAATGCACGCCGGCAGAAGCACAGCCGGGCCGTGCACGGACAGTTTCCGACGTCACCCCACTCGAGCTTTCACTGCGAGCTTCAACGTTGCGCGCACTGTGTATCGTAAGCGGTGAAACGGTCGTGCCCATACTAATCACCAGTCTTTCCTCAGGAAGCAGCGGCGCGACTGAATCATCTATATCGTTTATAAGGCTGTCCTCTTTGCAGCATCAGGGCGTGCTTAACGACATTGGAAGAGGATTGACGGCTTAACCGGCTTTGCGGAAGCTTGTAAAGGACGGTGAACGCGTGAAAGTTGGAGTGTCAGAGCCTGGTGCGGTACCGTTCGAGCATGTCACAGTCAGACGTGCACAGACGATAGCCATAGAAGGCGAATGCACAGGATGGCGGAAGGAGAGGGAGATACGCATGATCACGGCCCACCCAAGGACACTGCCGTGGAAAGTGCGAAAAAGGTGCTGAAGCAGCGGACAGCATTCCCTCAACTCGCAGTATGGACAGTAAATCTGTCCAGTGCGGAGGTAAATAGCTTCGCTGGAGCAACGGCGGGCATGGCAAGCGGCTTAGTGACATGCCCTTTGGATGTGATCAAAACGAAGTTGCAGGCACAAGGTGGGTTCACAACGTTGGCCGGCCACCGAGGTGGTGCTGAGGCTGGTCACCTGTACCACGGACTTCTGGGTACTGCAAGAACCATCGCAGCAGAAGACGGCTTACGTGGCTTCTATCGCGGTCTTGGTCCCATGCTCTTGGGCTACCTACCAACGTGGGCAGTGTACATGGCGGTGTACGATAGCTCACGCGACTACTTCTACAAGCACGGGTTCGCTGAAAGAGAGTCCGATAAGTGGTTCGCTCGCATCTATGCCTCGCTCACCGCTGGAGCTTGCAGTACCCTTGCTACGAATCCTATCTGGGTAATCAAGACCCGCCTCATGTCACAAGTTAGTAGGTCTGCTTCGGACGGAGCCAGGACACCATGGCAGTATGCCAGCACGCTAGATGCAGCGCGACAGATGTGGAGGGCTGAGGGTGTAGCTGCCTTCTATTCCGGGCTCACACCGGCTTTGCTTGGCTTGACGCACGTCGCCATCCAATTCCCACTTTATGAGTACTTCAAGCAACGATTTACGGGACTTGAGATGGGCGAGTCGCCTGCCGCTGCTGGCTCGGAAGCCCGGAATACTCTTGGTATACTGGCTGCAACCTTTCTCTCCAAGATCTGCGCCACATCAGCGACTTATCCCCACGAAGTTGTTCGTACCCGCCTCCAGACCCAACAACGGCATGTGCATCCGGAGAGCCAGGCTAACGGCGTGGCCGCGAATCACCACAGCCAAGCACTTCCGACCACAGGCAAGCGCATCGGTAACACCGACGGTGTAGCCTATCGGCCTCGGTATCGCGGCGTGATCCAGACATGCCGTATCATTCTGCGCGAGGAAGGTTGGCGAGCGTTCTACAACGGCATGGGTACGAACATGGTCCGTGCAGTGCCCGCGGCTATGACAACAATGCTCACATTCGAAAGCGTCAAGGGTGCGATTTTCCGGCTGCAAGATCAAGGGCGGGATATCATGAAGGAGGATGGATGAAGGATGGACAGCTTCAATGTTGTTGTTGCCTGAGGTTTAAGGTATAGGTGGTGACCGAGGCTTTGAGCTGCACCGGATTGCATTGCTTCAGCATCTGCGTACTAGGTATTCCTAGGGATTTCTACGACGACACTGCGAGCGTTCTTTTAGCACGGAGTTCGGGAGTTTGACCTGCTGCAGTCAGCAGCTACCAACCTAGGGAACACACCGTCCTGTACTCTGGATCTTCTTCAGCGAAGCCAGTTTTCTTGCACAGATGCTGTCCTCGCAATTGATTCAACCGCTAGCCGCTCTCACATTGCAGACAGCATGTCCGTGTGCCCAAGCCTTCAAGCTACATGCGCAGGTATGCAAGTCTTGACTGACATGCTCTACCGGCTGTAGCCTTCACTCACCCTAACGCTCACTGACAAGCTCATTGACTTCTGCAATTTGTTCATCTGCCAAGCCCACGTGACCGCACAGGCTGGCTTATAAACAGTCCAGACAGCCCTCCACTTGGTCTGACAAAGAACCAACAGATCAACCGCGAGAGGCGTGGAGATATAACTTTTATACTCCGAGTCTAGCATCCCTACGATGGCGACCACAACGACCACTAATAAGCATGACGATTACTGGAAGCTCATCCCGGACCAATACAAGATGACGGTGAAGGAGATGCGTACCGAACTCCAACGGCGCAACTACCCAGTCGGCGGCATTACCGACAAAGGACATCTCAGGCACTGCCTGTACCGCTCCGACCGTGGCCGATTATCTCACCATACCCTCACCAACCGCGAGCTAAGGGAACGGATCGCGAGCCGCAAGATTGATGCTTCCGAAGTCATCAGCAAATATCGTAAAGGGCCACGAGAGGAGTTGTTGCGGCTGCTCGAGGACGACGACATGCATCCCAAATTCCATCGGTTCTCTGAGCTGCCACCCGAGCTACGGGTCAAGTTGTATGAGTACTATGTCGGAGAGTTTCGGCAGCCAATATATGCGCCAAGCCAGCCGCCTCTCAGTAAGACCTCGAGTCTGCTGCGCCGGGAGCTCCTACCGATATTCTACGCATCGTGTAGCTTCAAAATCCGGCTCACGCGCACGGACGGACGTGAGCGAGCTTTGGTCACCATGCCCACGCGGATGCTCCTGTTCTTGCATGGTACTCGGCCAGAACACTTTGCTCTGATCAAGGCGATCCACATCTGTGTAGCTGCCGGACCGATGAGCTTCAGGGCAAGTGGTCAGGACGACTTGATGAAAGTGCTGGAGATGCAGATTACACTTCCAACAGACGAGAAAGACGCTGTTTCGGTGGATCTGCCGCATCGCGACACACTTACACAACTATCAACACAATCGGTGAGATTTGTTCGCAGGTTAGACAGAGCGGTCCGCAAGCTCTTCGAGGCGGTTATGCGCCGCGGTAAGAACAAAGTCACGCGCGAGGACATCTTTGCGCTTCGGAGGCTGTTCGAGGCGAAGCAGGACTGAAGCAGTGGAGCGCCATTGTCCACAAGAGATTGGTGACCTCAGGGTAGAGCGCCTCCAACGGTGGAGACTGGTGCATTGGGAATGCAAGCAATATGCATAGCCCGCAACCGAGTACAATATGTAGCCTAGAAACATGCAGAGCACAAGGACTAGCAACTTCTCTCGATGCTCGGATATGGAGGTGTTTATGGACGAAGAAGAGTTTGCATGACTTGTCGAGCTCTTGGCACGGCTGGGTATTAGGACGGCTGTATCCGAGAGCTTTCGGAGCGTAAGCTGCGCGCTTCTCCACACTAAGTTGAACCACGCGAGTAAACATAGAAACGCTGCCATCACCCTCTGAGTCGAACTTGTGCATTACTCCAGACCGGTGCATCGGGCGCGCTGTGCTGACAATAATGCCGGCATCACAAACGCCGGAGCCAGGCATTGAGCGAACTCTCCGGAGCACCGCGCGTAACCCTCGCAGAAGACAGCGACAGAGTGATACTGACAGCATCAAAGCCGCTCCAAGGCGGAAGCGAAGTAAGCTCAGCGAAAACAGCTTTGCTCCGCGTCCTTCAGTGGAAGGCGGCAATGAGGAAGATGGTACGGCACTCGAGACCGCAATGAACGGGCACCCACGAGGTAGCGTGGGAAGGTCGACGAGAGAGGAGAGCATGCCCGCGCTGGATACCACAGAGCTACCGGTGCGCGGCGGGAAGAGAGTAGGTACTCTGAAGCACCGACCATTGAAGGGAGATGGCGCAACGACGCTGGCACAAAACAACTTTTACAGCGTGAAGCTCCTTCCATCAACCCCCAAGGAGCTGCGAGAAGCCGGCTTGGAATTTCACGGCAGCCTGTCTAACGCGACAAACGGACAACACCTAGCGCTGGCAGTGACGCGGACCAAAGCATACGTCTGGGATTACAGTGCACATACCACTGTCGGCAATGCGCGGGTCTTTGATGTACCTTTCCCAGTACGCCAGAGCGAAGTCCTGCCACTTGGAGCTCTTGTCGTGGGAGGCGCAAGCACTGAGATTGGCCTCCTTCTTGTGTCTGCGGCGAGCGGCAAGATCGCGTTCTTCGAGTCCATTGAGCGTGCAGCCTCTCTAAGCCTCTTCCAGGAGCGCCGGAGTTGCATTGAAGGCTCCATCACCGGCTTCTCGCTGAACGAGAGCGTGACTGCTATGATAAATGCCGACCATGCTGGATTTATACTGACTCTGTCTTCTGGTCGAGTCATGCAACTCTGCCTTCGGGATGGCCATGGCAAAGCTCGGATCTTTACACAACCCTTACACTCTGACGATTCCAACGTAGGTATACTCGGCAGCATCAAGGGCTGGTATTCAGGCGGGTCAAGGAGGAAGATCACTGCCGTGCGAACAAGAGCCCTCGATCCGCGGGGTCACATGGAAGTGATTGCTCTCACGGACAAGGGTGAATTCTTAAGGTGGAACCTTGACTGGAGCGGGTGGCATGAGTACAATGGCACAGTAGACATCAGAGAGCTCCTGCTACACGAGCTGAGTACGTTCGAAGTACCTGAAACCCAAGGAAGTGCAGACAGCGCAGTGGTCTTGGATTTTGTTGTTGCCGACAAGCCCTACTCACGCGTAAGAGGCAACGAAGTCGCCATCACAGGAGCTCAGCAGCCATTGGACACACTCGTGCTTGTCAGGGCTGGCCCAATAGAGAAGCGGAGCTACTACCTAATGGAACTTGTTATACTTGGCAACAGCGTAACACATCGCCGGACAACCGCGCTGGATACATACCGAGCAGAGTCAAGCGCGCACAAGCCGAGACTGCTGTTGCCCAAGCCCGGACATACCGCTTTCATTATCTTCGATCGTGCCGTTGTGCTAGCGGCGACGGCGGATGCTGCGTATGGAGACGACCCCAACGCGCAGCTTCACGAGGCCTCGTACGTTCGCATGAAACCGTTTGAGGATGCAATCAGCTTGCCATCTGATAAGGACTGCACGATCATGGACGCTGCGGCAGAAGAAGCGAAAGGTACCCACTGCTCCAGCATGGTGTTTGTGAAGGGCGCTGGCTTGCTCAGGATCTCGGCCACGGATCCTGCAATGGACGTCGAGCGGTCTGCACTCCCCGCCAAGACGAGGATCGAGCAAGCAGTCTTCTACGGGGCAATGCAAGACAACATTCTGGACTTCTCCCTGAGAGAAGACGAGTCGTATAGCCTTGGTGAGCTCGAAGAGGCTGCGCTTGCCATTAGCGACGAGATTCTGCGATCGGACACGCCTTTCATTGCAACGGCACCGGCTTCGATTGAAGCGCATCTAGACTATCGCGCACGTGCGCTAACGGCGCTCATCACATTTATGACGGTGTCATGTTCTACGCTGTCAATGTCTACAAGTTGGCAGCTGTTGTGGAATGCGGAAAAGCTTGCGGCTGCGCAGCAAATGTGGCTCGCATTCGAGGAGCATAAAGTGAGTCCTCGAGCGGACCATATGCAGAAGCGGGTTGCGACTGTAATAGACGCAGTCTGCGATATTTTCAACGAGCAAAACGAGTCGGCAGTGCGCAACGAACTTCGAGAGCATGACTTGGTACGGAGATTCTTCATCGGGTCGTTGGATCAAGTTCCTTTCTTGCTATCACGCTTGCGTATGTTACTCGAACACCTCAGGCTCGGCGACGGTGAGCATCCAGAAGAGACTTTGCGGCATGCAGCAGAGGCAGATGATGTCTGGTTGCGGGCACTCGAAGCTGTCTATACATTTCGATCTGAGCGGGCATCGGCGTATGGCATTCATGCGCGCTTGGTGGACGAAGGTGCACTCGACCCTGAGCACTACAAAGATTTACCGGACTTCTGGACCTCCTCAAACGATATGCTCAAGGCCAGTCAACAGATACCGAAACTCTCGAGGGAACTCGCCAAGAATTTCTATGAGAACCATCTCGCGCCTGAGACCTCGAGCCACATCCAGCAGCTCCGCCACTTGAACGCAGACCTCATTGAGATGATGTGCCGCATGTACCAAGAGCGCATTACCTGGCTCTTAGCACAACCATCGGTCGAACACCAGAGCCTGGCGCGGAGGCTGCAAGAAAACTATGATGCAGACCGTCACGATCAGCTTCGCGCTCTGGCCAGCATTGGCTGTGCGGAGCAGGGAATGCGGCTAGCAGAGAAGTACCGGGACATGCAAACGCTCACTGAAATCGTTGTGGCAGAAAGCCAATATTACTGGTCTGAGCTACAAGGGAACATCTCGCCCGAAGACCGCAGCACGTGCTTGCAGCTCATCACACAAATGACGGAGCGTATTGGCCGGTACTTCGAAAAGTGCGGCGATGCTTGGTCAAATGCGTTCTTTGACGAGGCCTTCTCCAGCAGTCGCGCAGGCGAGATGTTGGAAAAGGCGCAGGAGTACTGGGGAAACCCGCTGACGAAATATTTGCGTGCTGCACCCGGCCGCGCGAGGTTATGCTGGATCAACGACGTGACGACCGCGCGCGACCTCGCTCATGCAGGCCTAGTGTTGACGAATGCGGCTGACGAGGAGTCAAAGCTCTGGGCGAAGAAGGTGGAGCTTAGCATGTCAAAGCTTGCGTTGTTGGCGGCGGAAGAGGATCCGAACCCGGATGCTGCAGTCAAGGAAGCTCTTACAAGCTCTCAGCATTCAATGGAGATTATCGAGTTGCAAGAGCGACTATACCACCATATAAGATCAGAGGCTTTCGGCGCTCTCGACCACGAAGCCGAGATTGATCTTGTCATGAAAAGGTTCGCTACGCAGACTGCCACGTACCCAGCGCTTGAGCGCCTACTCCAGCTAGAGCTTGACCGCTTGATGTCGCACGAAGTGCTTTCGATCGACGATCTTGTTGACGTCCTCACGCTCATTGACCCGACCCTGTACGGCGATGCCACAGAGCGAAAGAGCGCCAATCTTGACGGGCAGGAGTACTTCTTCGCGCTTTCAGCGCTCGATCGCGCAGCGCAGCACCTCAACCAAGCACGCTTCCAGATGTTGCTTCAGCTCATTTGGAAGCGATGTTACATCGCCGACGAGTGGGATGTTATCACGACCAGACAGACGCAGAAAGGTGGCACCGACATCGACATCCGCGGTGCTTTGAGCGCGACAACAGCCTACCGCACGTTCTACTATCTGCACTCTTCCACGAAGCTGGTGCAACCTTCGACTCACGTTCGAGTTTTGCAGCCTTCAGAATGTCTTGGCTCAGCTTGCAACCCCAACGACCTCGCACACCGCTGGTCAGACTCTACACTCTTGGACCATATATTACGCGATAATAAGATCCAAGACGAGGTGCTGCAAGGCTACGTTGTCGATCGACAGCTCAACGAGTGGGCAACTGATTGCGAGCGGTACGCAAAGGAAGCTGTCAACGAAGAGGCCGAAATGCTTGCGGAAAGAAGAGAGAGGGAGCGGCATATCCAAGAAAGGCTCGAGCGTACGGAGAAGACAGAGACTAATGGTCAAGGGAACGGTCACACGAACGGGGGCTTCGAAAGGTTCGGTGCGATGAGCGACGTAGACGGAAACGTGGCGATGGCGTGAGAGAGTTGGCAAGGGCGGTTCGCACGGTCTTCACACCGGTCCAGCAATTTGTGTAAGCTCAAAAGACGCTCAAGCGTGGTGGCGCCGAACATTGGGCGGTGGCGCAAGGGCTTTTACATGCAGTGTGTACATGTACGGATCCGGAGTCATACGGATTCGGAAAAGCGGCAGATGGCCCAGGTTCCTTCTGGGCTGTGGCGCTGATAGCAATATGACATACGCAAGCAACTTATGATGAAGCGTACAATCCTTGTATTCGCGACGCTGTTGAACATACCCTCTTGGATATGCACAATAGAGCATCTGGTCCCGCCGGTCAAACGAGCATGTAAGGCCCAAATTATTGAAAGAAGTGTGCACTAGATGCTGCTCACGGATACGAACGATTATATACGGCTCATCCGCACGGGCAATTGTATGTGAGGGTGCGCCGTGCGTCCTAAATAAGAATCCTGACGATATCATAAGGCGGAGCCCAGGCGTAGTGGTCAACTGATATCCCCTGGATCCAGACCTGCCAAGGTAAGAGCGGCGGCGTCTCTAAAGTACAGCAGCCTCACTTATCTCGCAGGCTAGAATTCAGCACACCACGCCACTGCAAGGTGCTCGGAGATTGCTGAGCATCATCAAAGTTCACGAGTCTGGTTGTTGTTCTCGGAGCACGGTGGCTTGGATCCACTTCCACGTGGGCAGCACGCTGATGCTGTCGCGTTCTGACAGTGACTCCGCTACCTGGTAACGTGACAAAGCCTTGGTACAGGTGACTGTCAGGCTCTCAACTGCATTGCCAAGGCGATTGGGCCCGAGAATATGTCCATTCTGCGATCTGATTGACGTGCAGTACCTTTGCGCTCATGCAAGCCACCTCGTGGCGACAGGGTTCTCGCACGCGTGCATATGTGCAGCTGTCGCCAGGGTGTCCATGCAGTGATCGCGGCGATGGGGCGGTTATCGCACAGATGCTGTAGAAGGGTACGTGGAGAACGTATAGTGGAAAGGTTTTTCAGTCTGGACCGTTCCATGGTTGCCTATACTTCGGTACGAGGCGTCCGGTCGGCGTTTCTTGCCACGTGTCGAAGCCTGGGGGCCGGTCCACTTTTATGCAAGCCTCAAGTTGAGCCAAACTCGGAGGCGATGACCCGTCAGTGCCAGAAAGCGTGGTGCATATAGCGCGGCGGGGCATGCATCAAGACGAGGCACCGCCAAATGAGCTGGCACGTCCATGATGTTGCGATTCTATCATGCGGTCAGCAGCCATATGCATCTCTCATGCACGGGAGAGCAAGGATTGCGCCCTCCGGTTTTCGCGTTTTATGGAAGCTGATTTGTACGATGGCCATGTTGGCAATATCTATTCGGGAGGCGGGCAGACTTGCCCTGAGCAGTCCCGATATATCGGAGCAGTCCTCGAATAGGCCAAGGCCCGCCAAGGTTGTGCTCCGAAATGTCCACTATCCCTCCTTGAGTCATGCTCATGGCACATTACCAAAACGCCGGTGCCTCACGCATGGCTAGGTAGGGCTTTGCGTTTAGAGACATGGTCGGGCGAATGTATACCGGCCACAAGAGAACTATGAAGCGGCTCAACCATGCGCTGCCTCTGTTTATACAATACACGTCACTGCGGTGCGTGCGCCTCTGGTGGATCGTTCAGGAACTCTGCTGGCCGTAAATTATTACAGGAAATGGTGCGATGCATCTTGGCCGGCCGGCCGCCTATTAACCTGAGAGCCTTCGCCGGGCGTCGGCGGTGCCGCTCGCCAAGTGATGAGTCCATCGTGCATGGACTGCACCTTCGGTCGAACAACAGCCGAGCTTTGGGAACATATGCCGTCTAGCAGATAACAATGGGCTCATCGTTCGTCTTGCCGTAGCATCCCATAATGCGATGCGATGGGTAGCCATCAAGCTGTGCAACGAAGTCGATGAACACGCGAGCCACCTTGGGGAAGCGGCCATTGGACAGTTTCGTCCACCGTTATGACAGTTACATCATGGATAAAAGCCGTGCGAGATGCGCTGCAGGCCCATCGTTCTAGCATGGAAGCTCAGATGGGCTTCCAAGTCTTCTTGTAGCGCCGCCGATCCGGACACAGCACGGCTGCCGCGGTAATCACGCTTTCGAACATCGGCTATCCTTCGGTTGCTTACATGGAATCAACTCGAGTGCCGCTCGCCGTGATTCGGAGGCGAAAGCAGGATGATTGCGCCCATCGAAAGGGGCGTGCCGACAACTCGCTAATGCAGCATGCAGCGGGGGACGGCTTGTATGGCTTCCACGTGGCCAGAAAGTGTGAGTGGGTCTGCCTCGCGAAGTTCGGAAAATGGTTTCAAGTACGACAGGCGAAAGTCGTGGGTGTCGCGGCATATGCTACAGTAGCCACGAGGCTGACGTTGCAGAAACCTTACGTAGCATCCTCATCACTTTTTTCGTTCTCGGAGCTGCACGAAATAATGTACTTCTGTCGTCGTTGAGACGGCCAACATATCAGGAGAACACTCATTCCGAGCTTGAAGTATTAACATCCAAGTGGAATTCAGGTGTTTGCCCTCTCGCGCCCGTGTTACGAGCGGGCAAGTCGAGGTCGGCAAGCCGCATCTTCGGCAGGTTTGAACTGTGACCTCAGCAGTGGGAAGAAATTAGGTAAACCTTCCAGTGATTCTAAAGGCCGCCGTCCCGGAACGAACGTGGGGCCGGAATGAGGTTCGCAACGGTCGTCCTACAGTATGTGCGTCGCACTCTTGAGCAGCATGGTTTGCTGAGAATATAACTGTTCGAACGTTACCGCCGCTCGAGTGTATGTGAACTGGCCTCGGTCTTGTCTCGGGGGCGAATACTGAACTCACGGCAGCTGATGCAAACATGGCATGGGGTAGATTAGCAAATAGCCACCTATGGTGAAATCGGCTAGCTTGAAAGGCAAAGATGTGCCATGACCACCATCCACGCACACGCTGAAACACTGGGACAAAGCCGCTTGGGGCAGGAGTAGCAGCGGTAGTGCATGTGTGCATTGGACGCCACTGCTCGCGCTTTCTTGCCGCTGTGCCAAAAGTGTGGGATGTTTGAGGTCCACCATCTAGCATTCCCAGTCCTGCGCCATCCTGCCGTCTGCCCGTCCGCACAGTCGCTCGCTTGTGTAAGTCTCAACATCAAATACTGCCCTACGACCGGACCCTCTCGCCTTGCGCGCGCCGGGACTAAGCTTCTTCTTGGAAAGCGTGTCAAAGTGCCACTCCACGCACGCACGGATGCCGGCGATCAGCAGTACACAATCTGACAGGGAGCTGCTTAGCATCCTGCTAGACCCGCTTTTCTGTACTTCAAGACTGCCATGACCTCCGCCTCTGACACTAATCACGTTCCTCTTTACGGCCATCACAACATTCAACTGCACTCCATTGCCACGAACTAACCACGCGGCTGCCACGAGACTGTACATACATACGCTATCTCTTCTCCACCTGGCCTCTGTCTCGGAGATTATTCTTAGTCACTGAGGAACCTTGCCGTCGTCGATCGTCACCGTCCCACGCAGACTTCAAGTACCACTCAGTCAACCCTCCTCTTACCAACAACAGTTGTCAAGGTGGCTTCCGCGACCCAATCCAAGTCCCGTGCGCATTCCCGGCTGGCGTCTTTGGGCCGTATCGGCTCGCGTGGCAGCATTCACAGCAGTGCTCTGCCGCAACCTGCTGGAGTAACCACCACTGAACCTCTGCCACTTCGGGGCGAGACATTGCCGGTTAAGGCAGCCGTCGCCGTCTCGCCTGCGAATGTGAGATCACACAGGCGCCCGGACCCGTCAACAGTATCAAACTCTTCTTCCGATTCTACGTTATCTGACGAACCGCTTGAGGAAGCTGACTTTGACGACGCGCGGCCATTAAGACCCGTTACTTGCGCGAGCTCGGACGACTGGGTTTCCGGCGACAACGACCCTGCTGCAATCCGTTCTTACACCAAAGCTGTTCCGCTTAGACCTCGTATGATGCATCAGACATCGTCGCGGCTGCTCCGCATGACCCCGGGCGATGACCGGCCGTTCACGAGAGTAAGCACTTCATTTTCACCCATTCACTCTGGCATATTCGAAGTGCACGGTGCTGCGTATAATGCCTTGGGGCTGCCGGCGAGGTAGCATCCCGTTTCTTGGCAAACATTGAACGTTCACTTGCTATGCACTTTGACGACCCATACTGCGGAAATGTCCTCATCAAGATTGACAGACTGAGGGTTGGTGCTGACTTTGCCTACAGGACTTCAAGGACCTGTTTGCAACATTAGTCGTTAGCCTACCGCTGATACCTCATCGTGTACGCTTCTCGCGGGTGGAGCACACCTTCACCAGTGAAGAGGCAATCACAAACCTCGGCTCTTTGAAGTTCTCGCAATCGAATCGGATGCCAGACCCGAAGGACCCAACACGGATCGTCACAACCACGACCACGACAACCTTCTCCATGGCGAAGGAAATGGCCAAGTCAGTATGCATGCGTTTCCTTGAGGCAAGATTCATCGAGTCAGTGGATGGCAAGACGGACTTCAACTCAAGAACATCAGTATGGCAGTTGACGCCGAAGGGTATGCACGTGCTCGGGCGCTTTTGCCAGCGAAATGGTATCTCCCAACGTCATGTTAACGAACTCTTGGACTCGCCACGGAACATAATGTCCCTTGTCATATTAGAGCGAGATCCCGATACTGATAAGTTGGTCGAGGACGCTCCGACGGTGCAAGTCGTATTCCGTCGTTTCGCGGGCGACACAGGACCCAATCTTAAGATGAGTGGCTCCCAGTCAGACTCTGACTCCATGAACGACTATGCGACTGGACTTGTTGGCGTCAAGATGCAGCGTTCTAGGAGGACTGACAAGGATGTGCCTTACTGCTTTACTGGCAAAGCGGCGTATGACTGGCTAATGGATTGCTGCACGGTCGTTGACAAGCGCGAGACGTTCGAACTTGCCAATCTTTTCATGTCTCACGGACTGATCACTCCTCTGGGAGATGACAGGGGTCAGCAGCTGCCATCAGTAAGATTCGCCGCCTCGAAGCATGTCTTGTATGCGATTACACCCAAGGGCATGCGCGTCGCAGGCTGGGTCACGAGTCCAAACGGGCCTGTCAATGGCAACGCGACGGTGCAGCACGCCGCATCCAATGGCGTAGTGCGCGACTCGAACACCAACAGGATGACAGTCATAGTTCGCGACCCAGCCCTCAGACTACTCTTCCGCGAGTATTTGCGTGAGACGCACTGCGAAGAGAACCTCTCATTCTACGTCGAAGTCAAGGCTTTCCTTAGCGAGTACGACAGGACAAAGCGTGACGCGGCGCCTCCGCGGCTAGACGTTGTTCGCGAAACGCTCGCATCAGCGTATAGTCTGTACAATGCCTTCTTAGCACCGGGTAGCCCCTGCGAGCTGAACATTGACCACAACCTGCGAAATGCCTTGGCAAGTCGGATGACGCGCGCGGTCGGCGAGGATGAGCAGATGCTGCGGAGTCTGGACGAGGTGGCGGTGTTGTTCGATCAGGCGCAGAACAGCGTGTTCAAGCTGATGGCAAGCGTGAGTCCTTATCGGGCCGAATCTGCATGAACATGACTGCTGACACACTTCCAGGATTCGGTGCCAAAGTTTTCGCGGGAACCGAAGTACGCTAATATGCTGAGGGAGCGTAACCTCGACCAGATGCTCACCAACTTCGCTGCCACGACGATCTGAGCACGCATGGCATCCACTTCCCGTACATGCCAGCGCCTAAGCGCTCCTGGAGAGCTGCCGCCAGTGTCGGCTGAAGGCGAGACTCCAAGACTCGATCGCCACCACGCTTCGGTCAGACCGAGCGTGTAGACTGGGACCGAAATCCACTCTCCCATCACGGCTCAGGCCTATCAACAGCATTTGGGCTACGTCAGTTAAGAAGGGTCCATTGTCGCCCATCATACGAGTGATCCCCTTGCGTTAAGCGAGCAACAGCATTATACCAAGGATTTTGGCGTTTGACGGGCATTGCGTCTCTGGGTTGGGAAATACGGGCTGGCAAATCCTCCGCCCCATGACTGCTTGTGACTTAGCTGCATCGTAATGACGTCAGAGAGCGAATGGTAGACGCAATGATTGCATTGGGCGGATGATACCTCATGGTCAGATTGCGGACGGAATGTGTGGCTGCACCTCATATTCAGGCTGAGTGTCATACAGGCGCGGCTGAACGACATCATGCGCTTGTACTATACTGCGTAGAATAGCGATAGGCTGCAATGTGTCTCTACACTCCGCGAGCCGTCTTGATGTGAAGTGTGCATGATGCATCAGGCCTGCCGCGCACCTCTGCACGCGAAGCAAAGTGGTTGCATGTTTTAGCGCGCGGGCTCCTCCGAATCAGGTAATACATCAACACGGCACTCAAGTGTCCATGCAAGCTTTGTCGGAAACACCCAGTGAGCAGCATTGATGGGAGGCCCCCCAGGAGTGCGTGATCATCAGCCTAGTAAGATTGCGCCATGTAATGCTGACTTTACCCATAGTCACAAGCAGCACCGCTACCGGTCAATCTACCCTTCCGCTTGGTATCGAAGACGATTGGATCAGGCGCATATGCATCGTGAGCAGCACTTCTGCCATTACGCCCACCCAAAGCAGCCGAACTGACGCCGTCACAGTGTTCGCAGAGCATGTCCGCTCAATAGATCATCTCCAGTCATCGCTGTGAAGTTCATCAATAAAGACCACGCCTTCCGCGCCGGACGCTTACGGCCCAAGCAACTCCACCTCGAGCTTTCGTTGCACCATATTGTGAGCGGACATCACAACATCGTGCGCTACTTCTCTCATGGCGAAGATCCGGCATGGGTGTGGCTATGTCTCGAGCTGGCAGAGGGTGGAGATTTGTTCGACAAGATCGAGGCGGATGAGGGATGCTCGGAGGATGTTGCACACTTGTACTTCACGCAGCTCGTCAACGCGATCGGCTGGTGTCATAGCAAGGGCGTGGCGCACCGAGATATCAAGCCGGAGAACATGCTGCTGAGTTCAGACGGCGATCTGAAGTTGGCGGACTTTGGGCTGGCAACGCAATTCGCGGTGCCTGGGCGTAGCGAGAGGAAGAAGTGCGCGATGGTATGCGGCAGTCCGCCATACATAGCGCCAGAGATTTTGGCCGTGGGTCACAAGAACGCGAAACGAAAGCTTCAAGGCGAAGACAAGGAAGGGTACGATCCGGACCGGTCGGACGTATGGTCTATTGCTGTCGTGCTGTTTGTGCTGCTAGCGGGCAATACCCCCTGGGATATGCCTGATGCAAAGCAAAGCTTCGAATTCTACGACTACATCAAGACGAACAGCAGGCCGAAAGATGAGCTCTGGCAGAAGGTTCCGACTGAGGCGCTGAGTCTGCTTCGTGGGATGCTGAAGGTCGAGCCTGCAGAACGCTTCATGCTGCCCGAAGTGCGTACACATCCTTGGTTCACTCGCAAGAACCCCGAGGTGACGGCAGACGGCAAAGTGGCGAACCCCATCAATCTCGCGACGCAGATGATGGAGTCACTTCGCATCAACTTTGACGCGCAAATACCAGCCTCACAACAGCCACGTTCAAGCGATACAATGGACATCGACCCCAAATCCACCCTCGATCCCGGGTGGACAAAGTTCGCCTCGACTCAACCCGAGACTCCCGTCGCAGACACACCCTTCGACTGGGAAGCACCAACCCGAACCAACGCCATCAGCGCCTCACAGCCCACCCGCACCGACCACGACAGACAAAGCACCATGTCGCAACTCACCCAGGCCGAACTCCTCGGCCTCTTGACCGAAGACCCCTCGATGTCGCAATTCTCCCAACTCCCCATTGGCTCCATGACCGCCACCCAACAGGCGCGCCGCTTCAACGACATCGCACCTTCTCACAGCCTGGCACGCTTCATCTCCCACTTCACCATGCCGCACTTACTCCCGCTACTTGTATCCGCACTGCACCGGCTCAACATCCCCGTCGCTACACCTGCCGCCGCGGCGTTAGAGGGGAGGGAACATACCGTATCCTTGCGGATCAAGACGACAGATGCGCGTCAGCAGCTTCTGCAGGGCACGATTGTTGTCGAGCGGATCCAGATTGGCGGACTTTCGTCGTATACGCAGGCGGAAGTGCTTGAGGTGCGGTTTCTGAAGGCCAAGGGCGATCCGCTAGGGTGGAGGAGGTTGTTTAAGCAGGTTGCTGTGTTGTGTAAGGATGCGCTGCCGAGACCGGTGCGGAGCGTGGAGTCGCAGATGTAGTGTAACGCTCCAGCTACTTGACTTTGCTCTATTTACTGCATGGTCTTGGACGTCTTGCATAGCGACGGCTAAGATTCTGCCACTGGAGGCAAAGACTTTAGCTCACGCTCTTCGAAAGTACGAAACTAGCTCGATCTGAAGACTGTGTACTCACGCTGCAGAAATACAAAGCCGATAGATAGAGTCTTTCATTACAACAAGCACACCGTGCCCGCTTTTGCTCAGTTGGCTGCCGAAAACAACTCCGACAACGCTGCAACACCAGCCCCCATGCTTCGAACGCTCACAGCCCCTTCTACACGCCAGCTGAACTCCGATGCTGCTAGAGAGACACAAATGAAATACAGATGTACCGTGACGGTAAACCTTTTGCGCCCGCCATACCGTTTAGGCACGCCCATTCGAGCCAACCATTTAGCGCCGTCCAGCCGCCACCATTCCAAAAGCCCACAGGTTGTCGACGCGCCTTCTGACGCGATGAGCAGGGGTCGAGGTGGGTCAGTAATACAGAGCTCGAAGTAGGTTCTACAGCGGGCCGAATGTGAACGCCGGTTTACCAGTAGCGGAGCTCCTCCGTTTGGCGGCATATAGCAGTAGCAGTCAGACAGCCTGCCTAGCAGCCATTGCTTTAGCGACGCTTCTTCGCCACAGCACAGCCAAAGATGTAAAAGTAACGGTATTTACGATGCGACCCGTCCCAAGATTCGTCGTGCCGGTCCGAGTCCTAACCGCAGCACAACACCTTGAAGACCTTCTGCATGAAGCCTTCCTTCTGCTCTGGCTGCTGCTGCTGCTGCTGAGCCGGAGGCTGCTGTGGTTGCTGTCGTACTTGTGGCGCTGCGGTACCAGACGGTTGTCGGCTTTGAGCTTGTGTTGGAAGTTGACCAGTGCTTAACCGACCTGCTAAGTTAGGCGTAGAAGTGGCAAATTGAGGTGCCGTTGAGACGTTGTCGTTTGCGTCAAGTTGGCTCCCCCGCTTTCCGGCCATGTCCATACTATTGTGATGCCTTCGCGGTTGCTGGCCAGAGGGTCTAGGCTGACTTGGGCGTGCTGCGCCCGGCTTAGGTAGGTCTGCGTTCAGTCGGTCCTGTGGAATTGGTGTCCGTGACGCTCTTTGGGCTGCCGTGCCGGCGACCACTTTCAGGTCCGCAGCCGATGGGTTGACCTGCTCACGGTGCGCTTGGGACTGAGACGACCTTTGCGGTACGTCCCACCCTTTGCCATTGTTGAGCTTCATCCAGTCGTACTCGCCATCTTCGACTTCTCCGGTCCCTTGCAACGCCTTTGTGAAAAGGTCACGCAAGTAGTCATAGTCGGGCGTGTCTTCGAAGCCAAGGTTCCGCACGTACGACAGGTACTTGTTGAACTCTTCCGGGAAGCCATCACACAAGTCCTTTAGAGCTGTGGTTTGCTTCTTCTCGCCAATCTTCTCGTACTTTTGCTTGTTAGTCGCCGCCTTAAGGCCCTGCCACGGAAGACCGCCGCGCAGGAAGTACATGAAGACGTGGCCAAGTGCTTCCAGATCGTCTCTGCGCGATTGTTCTCTGCCCAAATGCGTATTAATGGACATGTATCGCGCAGTGCCGCTCAAGCTTTTCCGCTCGCGGTACGGTATGTGCTGCTTTGTCTTCGGGTCACGGTACTGCTTGGCCATGCCGAAGTCGACGACGTGGATAACGTTCTGCGCTTTCGTGTTTGGTCGGCCAATGAGGAAGTTGTCGGGTTTGATGTCGCGGTATATTAAATTCTTCTCATGGATGGTCTGTACTCGGGAAAGCATTTGCTTGGCAACCATGACCACAGTCTTGATGGAGAAGCGGCGGCCGCAGTGGTCAAACAGATCCTCCAAGCTCGGGCCTAGCAGGTCGATGACGAGGATGTTGTGCAGGCCCTCCTGGCCGAAATAGTAGACGTTGGGTATGCCGGCTACACCAAGTCATGTTAGCATCACCGCACCCTCTCCGCACTGAGTGCCATGTGACATATCACGCACGGCATCCGACCAGGATCTTGTACGTCCGGTACTCATCTCGCAGCTGCGGCGCATCGCTCTTGCGCGGCTCGAATTTAATGGCAACCTGGGTGTTGTTGAGGAGGTTGGTGCCCTCGAAGATGACACCGAAGCTACCCTCGCCTATCTTCTTGCCCACGCGGTAATGGACACCGACGACATTGCTGCTGGAGCTCATGCTGGTCGATGTTGATGTGTGTCCGCCTTGCTGGGCGGACGCACTGGGCTGGTACACGACCGCCAGCGCGTTGGTCGCTGACACTCAAAGGCTTGGTTGTTCGGCTGAAGGCACGTGCAGTGCCTATGCGGAAGAATAATGCAATGCGCTCGAGAGCCAGCGAGGTTGTGAGGGCGGGGCGGAGCGGAGATGTGTCAGCAGTGTCGTCGTCGTCGTGGTTGGCGTGGCGCAAGCATATGCGTGGAACAGCAGCCTTGCAGTGAAGCTGGAAGGAAGGAAGGAAGCGCCGATCCACTTTCTTCTCAAGGGGGAAAACGAGGCGGCTGCGAATTGGCCGCGGGCGCGGGCCGCGCGCTAGCCTGGATTGCATCGCTGACTGGTCACATGGCTGGGCAAACGCCTCGGACTGGCAGATGGAATTATACTACCTTCATCCTTAGCTTCAAAACACGCTACTTCGGTGACCGCCTCGCAGTGTTGTATGTACTATGTAGGCACAAGTCCACCTGTGAGGACAGTTCGCAATGGCCATCATCCGTTTCAGCTTGCTGGTGAAGACTGCGACTTCGGAGCTTCTCGAGTTAAATTGTCACTCGCGCTTACCGTGGAGAAACGGTGCTAATCGATAGAACCGGATCGTTTGACAAATGCGTTGGCGCATGGGACGAAGCAGTGTCTCTGTGGGGACGAAGCTACAGCGGACTCTAGGAGACGAAGCTACAGCGGACTCTACCCACAGGCAACGTTGAACCGTAAGTGTAACGTACAACCAGGCTTCGGTATCTCAGTGCAGCTGGTGACAGCACCTACTCTACTACTGTACAAATCGCGCTACCAGCCATTCCTTTACATCATTACAGCTGGACATCATTATTGAGCAACCGCACCTCCTCGCCAGGCTTAAACGCCGGCAGCCCAATATACGGGCAACCATCGCACCGGAACGCGTCTCCCAACGCGCAGTTCCCGCACGAGCCCACCTTGCCTTGGACGGTGAAGTCGACCTCGGTGAGATCGTTCGCGGAGAGCTTCGCCAGACTCGCGTCGGCATTCGAACGCTTCGCCTTGTCCTCGGCCTCGAGTCGTTGTGCCAAGCCGCAGGTGCAGTCCTTGCAGGCTCGCCGCCGCTTGCTGTTGGGTTTGCATGCCTCCGCTGGAGTGACATTAGTATGATCCTGTGGGATATGTGAATGGGTTGCCAACTTACGAATAATGACAGGCCTCTTCCTATCCTCTTCCGTCAACAACGTATCCGGGTCGATCTGTCCCGCGCTCTCCAGCTCCTCGTGGCTGGGAAACTCCATATCGTCATCATCGTCATCGTAATCGTTGCCAAAGTCATCAGTATTGTCAATAAAGCCCACACCAGCCGGCGTACTCCTCATGATGCTGCTACCGTTTGCCGTCGCCAGCGAGCCTTCACCCGTCATTTCATCGTTCTTCCTCTTCGCGGTGTTTACAGCCTCAACGCCGTTCAACGGTACAGCCGCAGCATTCGCCTTCTTCTTCCCGAAACTCAAAGTGACAGTTTGCGATGCCGAACTCGCAGGCTTCACCATGCCATCACCATCTCCCTTGACTAATCCAGCAAGAATGGCCTCGGTCTGCTCTGCTCCAGGTGCATTTGCAAAGCTGCCATCCTGTGCCCTAAGCCTCGCACCTGCCTTCATGGACGAGACTAGCCTTTCCATAGCCGTGCGATCAAGCAGCCGTGAAGTTTCCCGCCTCGAGCCATCTACGTCTGTAAGAAGAAGAACCATGTCGTAGGTGGCGGTTGGCAGTGCGACCAAGCCCATTGCGAGGCGGTCCAACATTTGGATATCGGTGGCATTGCGATCGTATGCTTCGGCCACTTGGGAAAGAGTCTCTGGGTGGGCAGCTACAGATGGTGGCGCAAGAAGAAGCGTTCGTTGAGCGGAGGGTTTGGGTGCTGTTGTTGCAGTGGCATTTGGCATGTCGAAGTCGGACGTATTGCCGATGATAACTGCGGGAGCCATGTTGGAGCAAAATAGGAGACCACGGAGAAGGAGAGGAGATGCGACAGAGAATAACAGCTGCCGTACATGAAGCAAGAATTGTTTGCTCGGTAAGCTGATACGGCCGCGATCGGCCCTCCCACAATTGCGCCACCTGCCAAACAAAGCCACACGCGCAAACCACGCGCTGACTCTCGTCCTCCTACATCCTCTTTGGCTACGAAACCTGTCCGAAGAGCTCGAGTGGGCCTAATGTCGAGCGTAGTGAGGCCGGCGAACAGCTTCTGCAAAGTTGTGTCAGTTCCGTAAGCGACACCGATCTCCCTCGGATTCAGGGCCAATGGCTCCCGCACGATGCCAGAAAACGTGCCCATCTGGAAAGCTTGAACTGTTCCTGCATCGACATGATCCTGACCCACCTCACATGGCTGCGACTTAGCTCTCATGCCGCGGCTGGCGGGCTTGTTCGTGCTCCTGCCGCAATATAAAGTCCTCATCTTCTCCGTGCTGGGCGTGTATACCATCCACCTCGGCATAGCGAACATCATGCGTTTCTCACACTCCGCCCCTTCGCTCTTCGCAGCGGTTGCTCACGGTGCGGCCGCTGTAGAGGCTCAAGCTTATGGAGGATGGGGACCTTGGGCACCTAACTGGCCGTCTGCTGGTCCAGCAGCTTCATCTGCCTCATCTTCTGCCGTAGGGGCATCCTCTGGAGCGGCGACTGTGCCATACACATCCCCAGTGCCTCCCGCAGCAACATGCAGCGCAGCGTCAAACGCCAGCGTGGATATGAGCTGGCACCCGCCGATCAAGTCCGACATCAACACGCTATCCACCGCCATCAATGGTACGGGCGTGTACGGCTTCGTCTTCAACACCAGCCAAGGTCCGCTTAATACCTACGATTGGTGCAACATGCCGCATACGAACGTGCAGACGTACCCTAAGGTCAACGACAGTAGCTACCAATTGCAGTATGTGGAGGTGCTTCACCGCCACCATAAGAGGACGCCTTATGCGGCGAACACCTTTCCTGTGGAGAATTATCCTTGGTAAGTCCGCCTGTATCCGAGTATAAAAGTCTGGTCCTGAATACTGATGATCGTGTAGGTACTGCAGCGACGAAGGCTTGGTCTACGGCAGCAAGACTATCAATCCCTACGGCAATACGTCCGCCGAGACTTACTGGGAGGTGTACACCTCGCAGTCCAACCCTCTGGTACCTACGGGCTTCAACGGAACCTGTCAGTTCCCTCAGATTACCCGCGGAGGTCTGGATGACAGCCATCAGCACGGCGTAGACTTAAAGGCCGTCTACGCGGATATGCTGGGCTTCCTGCCGTCGCAGTACAACGGCAACCTCGTCTCTTACCGCGTTACAAACAACGTCATCACCTCTCAAGTTGCCGCCATGCTCATTGCGGGCATGTACCCGGAACGTACAAACATGGACCAGCCGCTGCTCATCCAGCCAGCTAGCATCGACTCGCTCGAACCAGCATACACCTGCGCCCGAGCCAGCGCACTCTTCAGCTCATACGGTTCTGGCTCCACATCCCCAGCATGGCTCGAGCATCTAAACTCTGCGGCGCCGCTTTACGCTCGCCTAGACAATATCTCCGGCATCAGTCCAACCACCAGCGCCTGGCACGTGTCTTTCGACCACTACTTCGACAATCTCTCGGCCCGCCTATGTCACAGCAAGCCCCTGCCTTGCAACGTCAACAACACTGCCCTCTGTGTCAGCCAGACGGATGCGAACGAAGTCTTCCGATTGGGCGAGTACGAATACAGCTTCATTTACCGCGATTCGAACAACTCCCTGCCAGCCAGCGTAGGCAGCTATGGTATCTGGGTCGCCGAGCTCGCACAAAATCTCCGCGCGGCGATGGGCCAGGGTTCTTCCAGCGTCAACGTCACCTCTGATCGCATCCGCTACAGGCACAATATCGCTCATGACGGTTCGGTCTCGCGGCTGCTTTCCATCCTGCAGATTAGCCAGATGGTTTGGCCGGGTATGGGGTCCGAGGTCGTCTTCGAGCTGTACAGCAGACAAGGGTGCTACTTTCTGCGAGTCCTGTGGGGGGGCCAGATCATGACGAGCAGCAACCCGAGCTTGGGCAGGATGGATATGGTACCGATCGGTACGGTCTTGGCATATTTTGACGGCTTGGTGGGCGTCAATGCCACTAAGATCCCTGCTTACTGCAGGTCGTGAGCTTGCACAGCCGAGACATTGCAGACTGTCTACGGGAGAGGCTCAGACAAAGTATGTAGGCTTCTGTGCATAGTGGATACACCTATCGCCCTTGCGGTCAGTCTCTGCGCCAAAAGGCTGCAGTCGATCAGTGAATTGCAAGTCATGTAGTAATCCACATCCCTGTCTCGCGACTCTGCCTGACATGGTCCAAGCGTGCCCGGACGTCTTCAGAGCTGATACACCCAAACGGGAAGCGAATACGCCAGACTTAGGCCGTCGTAGACATATGCCACTCTAGGAAGCAATCGAAGAACAGTAACTCTACGATAGCAATGGGGATGTGCATTAGCTGGAACGGCCAATCACGTCATCGTATGGAAACATCGCCTAGACCGACGTACATGTTTTAGGTTAACCGTATCCACTTTGGATGACTAACCGACTTCCCTGTACTATTGGTTACCAATCACTCTCGCTAGTTGAGTTGACTGCAAGATGACAGACTGGAAACAGCCAAAGACGGCTGGACGTTCTCACTCCCGGGGAGAATCAACACGACAAGTCGCCCATCTGGTTCCACGCTGTGACACGCAGCAGGAAGCTGGAGCATGCGAGCGTGTTCCGGGCTGCACGCCATGTCGTAGTAGTAAGATAGGACAGCAAAGGTACAGTACATGATAGTGAAGCTTCACGCAACTCGAAGTATGCTGCTATGCCTGTAGCATGAGTGTGTCTTACCACGCGTCGCGACATCAGCCTGGCCTACAAAGCCACGGCGATTCTGTTCGTTTGAAACCGGTTGGTGTTCGGAATTGACAGACCCGCGATAATGGACAAGATGCCGAAAGCAATAGATGTATACCTGCAAGGATTGTTAGCCCGGTACATGCAAGAGATGAGAAGCAACTTGCCAGACATAGTGGAGGGACTCGGCGTATGCCCACTGGAACCCCTTCAAGGCCGCCGCGAGCACATTGGGTGTGACACCTGGAATCTTCGCGGCCTGTGCTGGCACGGTCAAGAAAGTCTCGACAAAGACTGTAGCCTCCCTAATTGGTAAACCGGCGGCAATGGCGTACTCCGCGACCATAACAGGCAACTTGGCCTTCAGCTTTCCAACGAAAATATTGTAGTAAATGCTGTAGCCGATCGCGCCACCCACGGCTCGTACAGACAACGATAGTGCTGCACACGTTGTAATCACGGCATCCGGAGCGGCTATCATAGCCACTGTGGCGGCCGGAACGATGACACCCCCAAGCCCAAATGCGGCAATTGTTGCAAAAGCCACTGTTTGCACGACGTTGTCTGGCGTCATCGTGGCAAGCAGCCCGCCGAACAAGGTAAGAATGGACGCTGCCATGACCAGGATCCATCTTGCGCCACCCGTCCAGACCGACAGCAGTGCGTTCCAGAAGATGGCACCTATTGCAGTGGAGAAACCAACCGAGATGCCTCGAAGGCCGATCTTAACTGGAACGGGATCCCACACTGTAGAGATGGTGAGCGGCCAGAAGTTGAGCAGCGAGAAGAAATTCATGCCAGCAACAAAAGCCACGCAGTAGGACAGTGCGACAACTCGCTGGCCTTTGAAAAGCTCCGCCGGGATCATCGGATGGCGGGCGAACTTAGCCTCCCACACTCCCCAGGTAACGAGTAGAGCCAGGCCAACAAGCAGCGTGCATAAGACATAGGCTGATTGCCACGGGTGATCGTAGCCTCCCGATTGCAGAGCAACGAGTCTTACCAAACATCAGCACGAGTCAGACGTTGACGGGTAAGCACTTACAGAAGAGTAAGACCAGTGATGGACAGAAAGCCACCCAGGAAATCAATGCGCTTGACGACCGCTTGCCACGACAAGCCTTCCGCTCGCACATGTGCATGTGGGAAGTAGAAGACTATCAGACCGAGAGCAGTGATGGCGTTGTAGGCGAGAGAGATCCATGGGCCCACCCTCCAAGTGTACCGGTGCGAGAACAGCTCGCTGTACAGAACGTAAGGGCAGAAGGGCAGAACGAATGCCGTTAGGATCGCAAGTGAGTAACCCCTAGTCTTTACCGGGACGATTTCGGCGAGTCTGTTATCAAGAATATCAGCAATTCTCGAAAACAGATCCGTGTCGCTGACGCTCAGACTCACCCAGCAAGGCCGCTCAGCTCACCTATACCTGCGCCTGCTCCAGCAAGAGCCATGCCGACAAGGGCTGCTGGAAGATGGTGTGCAGTGCCAAGCACAATGCAGCCAATACAGAGCAACAGCGCGCCAAAAATAGCGATGTACCTCTTGCCGAAGAGGTCTTGCAGGTAGCCGACAAAGGGACATACTGCCGCAATGGCAAGGGTGTTGGCGACTGGAAGCCAGCCGATAGCATCCGCAGCGCCGATCTCTGCAGCGATGAAGCTCAATGTCGCGCCAGCGAAGTACAGCAGGATCTGAGACCCTACCCAGTGTGTCAGCCTACTGAATCCGATGGATGGTACGCAGTGCGAAACGATACCGGTGTATAACATAGCCAGGAAGGCCGCAGCAATGAGCTTGTGCACGGTCCAGTCAACCTTGCCATCGGAATCATCACCCTTGAAAGCCTGTCGATTGGCAATGTCGACCTCCTGAAGAGTCTCTTGCTTCTCTAATGGAATCTTCTCAAGTGTTGTGTCGGTCTGGTTCGTTTCTACCTGGGCCAAGTCGTTCTTCTCGATGTCCGCCATGATGAATGTCGGGCTCTCGGGATTTCTGTTTCAACAGTTCCCACACCTCCAAGCGTCCTCCGAGACCCGCCATTCACTTGATATACACCGTTCGGCATGGTGAAGGCTATGAGAGTGGGGAAAGCCGAGGTCACCACGTATCGATGTACCACGCGCCTGGATGTCTTGGAGCGCTCGGCGCTCACGAGCTGAGCTCGACGAGTACGGAGAGCAAGTTCTAGAGCACATCTCATGACCGGTCGGCTTATACTCCGTATGGTGGGCCAATCGAAGCCGACCTTCACCACATCCTCATGCACCCCACACGGGAGCCTGCCACGAACTTGCGGGGTAAACTGGAGTTTGTTACCCTTGCGGCAGTCACTGGATGCCGGACCGCTAGCTTGGTGTGCGCATCGAGGCGGTGGAGGAATACTGGATCAGGCGAAGACGAAGGCTCCTTCCTTAATAGCAACAAAATCGATTGTTTTCCATCATATCGTTCATCATCTGGTCTATACACACATCAACATCCTCTTGCATGGCGCTCTCAGCTCTAGCACGACACCTTTGCAGCAGCGACTAGGCAGTCCAGCGCTGAACCTTGGGCTGGTGGCGAGAAGCTGCTTACGGGGCCCTGCCAGTTAGAGGCGAGCTGCCCATCGCTGGATCGCGCATTGCTCCAGATTGAGTCAGCACTCTTTGTCAAGATTGTCTTGTATGCGGCGTTCTTCCGGTACTTGTACAGGTATGCCAAGTTGCGTGCTAGTACGCCCTTGAACTGGCTGGCGGTGAGGTCAGACGTCGGGTATTCGCCAGTCTCGGTCATTATGCCATTGCTATCCACGAGACTGTTGACAGCACCCGTAGCGATTGTTTCGGCATGATCCAACCACGTCGAATTGCCGGTAGATCTATAAAGCCCGACCAAACCGCCAAGAATAACACCTTGGTTGTATGTGAAGACGGTGCCCTCGGCTGAGCAGTCGGAAACGGCGAAACCATCATGAAACGTGTTGTTCTTGGTCTGAAGTCCAGCATTTAGGAACCAGTTGGCCTGAGCGACTGCATATTTCGTGTAGTAAGACTTCTTGCCACTGACACGGTTTGCAAGAGCAGCGCCGACCGCGAGGAACAGCTCGTTGTTGATCGCGTTATTATGTTGCTTCGTCTTGTCCCACCATTGGCCGCCACATGTAGCATTAAGTCCAGTCAGCAGGTTAGTGAAGATGTTCTCGGCGGCCTTAAGGTAAGTGCCGTTGTTGGTCCGGTCCCAGGCTTTGATCCATGCTAGTGCCCACCAGCCTTCGTCATCATAGTAGCCGTTGATCCAGTTGCCGCCATTGTAGGCCCTGGCTGGGGAGAATACCTCCTTGTAGATCTGCTTCGTCTGGTTGAGAAAGTTAGGGTCCACCTCTCCAAGGTCGCCAATGGTCGTGAGAATGTTTGCTGATTGCCACCATAGCTGCGTCCATTGATCACTCGACGAATCGTAGTATTGCCAGAGGCCAGTGGAAGGGTTGAACCACTTGTTGTTGAGGACGCCAGTGGCGTTGAGGGCATGGCTCACGTATGTTGCCTTAGAGGTTTGACGCTGCTCCACAGGCGTTGCCATAATCGCAGCTGGCAGGGCCAGAAAAGCCACGAACGTTGAAGCGAAAAGGATCATGCTGGATAGCGATAAGTGGTATTAAAATGTGAAGAGTAGGCTCGAAGACGTTTTCGAAGTGCTCAACTTTTCGCTGCAGTGAACAAAAAGAACGCGCATGATACAGGAAGTGGTTATGTACTATACCTGCGACTGTGAGAGTGCTAGGCCTTCGTCTGCAGAAGGATCCAAGGGCAGTGCGCCATCATGAAACATACTGGTGAAGGCCTGGCTGAAGGCTTAGTGCGATTGCCAGCTTGCTAGCCGGAATGCTGATGGTTTGCTTGGTCGTGTAAGGGTCGTGCTGATCCGCAGCAACTGACCAGGTCGAAGGCTCTGCGGTTGTGGGATGAGGGATCAATTTGATGGCATGCGCCACGTTAGAGGATCGCAAGCGCAATGTCTTCCTAGTGGATTGCCCCAGTTCAAGACCGGGGACAAGAGGCTAGCCGCTTCGCGACTTCAGACCGTCAGACCACGCTGCCCTTGGCGTAGACTGCTCGTTTCAGTCACTGCGAGGCGTGTCAGAGACAGAAAGGACATGTCCACGAGTCCTACTTTGACAGATATCAGGCAAGAGTACGTTGCAGCCTGCTGACTCCTCTTAGGAGCCGTCGTCTATAGTCACGAGGTCGACCGTGATCGGCTGGCTAAAAACGTGCACTGACTGGCGTCGAAAGCTGTTGGCATCCTTCGCACACGCACATTGCAGCAGGTTCTGCGGCACGCTGTCGGCAACTGTGACAGGAGTATGGGAAACACCAGCATACGCCACGAAGCCCTCAAACATGTGTAGAGACCGAAATAGACGGTCCTAGGCGCGGGAGGCTGTGCTCTGGAGTCTGAAGGCAGCTCGCACGAGTCAGTCTGGAGTCGGCCCCTTTGCGCCAAGCATTCGCTAAAAGCCCGGTGAAGAAAGCATTAAAGCTCCATGCCAAACATCAGCCGCGATAACACTCCGCTTTGCAATTGACTACCAAGTCTGCAACAATGATGTCTAAACAACATCACATGTCTACACCATAGGCTTGGGCTCGCTTACCATCATCTCCGGCACGAGCCCTAACCTTGAGTTCTCTCTGTACATCTCATGAATGCTTTCTAGGGTGTCGACATAACCAGTCCAACCAAGCCGGCGGGCTTTGTTCATGTTCATGGAGCCGATTGGCGAGAGAATAGCGTCACCCATCTGGAAATTCTCCTCAGCATCCTCGAACGGGTTAGCGGTGAGCTGCCCGTTAGACTTTGCCATCATCTGCTCCCAAGCTTGCTTGTTCTCTGCATCCTTGGCCCACTTGACCAAGCTCCAACTGAATCGATGTACCGTGGGTGGACCATAGCCCATGGGTGTCTCTCTACCGGGTTTGCCGGTTAAAGAATGATACTGACTTTCATCGTCTGAAGGCGGGATGACACCAGGAGCGCCATACCACCGGGCGAGCTCCTCAAACAACCGATCCCAACTTAAAGGCGAAGTATCTTGTGCATTGAACTTCTCGTTCTTGCACCTGTCTTCGAGGATGGCCCACTCGGACAAATAACCGGTCAAACGGGCAGTTGCATGCAAGGCTTCATGCTGCCAGGATCTCCAGTCCGCGGGAAACTTCAGCTTTTCGCCTCGGTGCGCTTGAACAGCGGCGTACACCGCGAACGGGTGCAGGCCATTGATCTGGGCCGTTGTTACGGCGCCTATGATCCAGGCTGGGCAGACAATGTTCCACGCGACGTTGTTACGCTTGCAGTAATCGTACAGCAGGTCATACTGCGGATAGTAGAAGTTTGGCTCAAGATGTCTTGGCTCCTGATCCGACTCATTGGACGGCGTCCTTGTGCGACCGAGATGGACACCGTAGTTCTTGGCGCCTGGGTGAAAAGCGAGGTAAGCGAACAGCGTAGATTACTGACTGATTTAACTTAGCTTACCTGTCTGGAGCAACACCCGCTTTGGCTTAAGTTGCTGCTGCTCGACCGCCTGCAAGAAGTTTTTGAACAACGCCTTATTAATCTTTACGAGCTCATCTGCGTTCGACCATGCATGAGACTTTGGCATATCAGGTGGCGGCTTCGGCTGAAGGTAGCTGTAGAAGAAGACATAGTCCGCTTCTACGCCAGCATTTTGCATCGCTTGGGCGATGTCTGATGGCTCACTGAGAAAATCAACGGCTACGTGCTGTATCCGGCTTCGCTGACCTTCCGTCAGAAGTGCCAACATTGCTGGAGGAGGTGGCTTCCGGCTGAGAGCGTAGACCTTGGTCCATCGCTCTGGGCTCTCGAGCAGCACACGCATCGTGTGGAAGCCGGAGATACCATTGGCGCCAGTTACTATAGCCTTGAGGCCTTTGATGTGAGGATCGAATTGAGGTAGATTACGATAGATCCCTACGTTGTGCAATGGATATCGTTCGGAGCCCATCTTGACTATAATACCGCCTCCTCGCGAGCTCGAACACGACTGCTCGTCGAGTGGACTGCAAATGGGAAGCGACGCTATGCAGACGCGGGGAAAGGGATGATCAAGGCTCAGTACAACCGAAAGTTGCCCGCTTCATGCTCATCCCGAACGAGCTCTCAGTGGCTTCACAGCGGCAAATGGGTGTTGCGAAAGCTCGTAGATCTTGAGAGACAATCTCTGGACACTTTCAGCGCTGGTAGAGTCGACTGGGTACGCATGGGTTGCGTGAACGCCCCATAATCTCTGAATGGCGTGGGCGATGGCAAGTCAGTGATCCTCGATTCAATAATTCACATGTTCTTTCGAAGAGAACTGTCACTTTCTGCGCCAATTGTTGCCCTAATCCTCCGACAGCACGCGCCAATAGCGTTTTAGTTATGGCCTTGGCAGGCATATGATCATTGATGGTGGATGACAAATGCCCAGAACAGATCGACCCGAATAGGCTGACCAAGCCTTCAAGAACCGGTAGCAATATTTCGAGACACGATCTGGTTACCCAGAGGCCTCCCTAGGAATTCCTCCGCGCTGGTAGGGGTCCATTACATATGGCGAAAGGACGCTTATCAAGAATGGCGACTAAATGCTTCGATTCATGTAATAGCACAAGTACCGAACGCGACCTTTCATGAATCCAAGGCGAGTATATGAAGGTGTATGTTACGACAAAAGATACCGCCATTCTTACCTGATTTACTGTGTACTACCCGCTCCCTATTCCAGCATTCTTGTGTCGTCGTATACACTACGAAATGTCGCCATCTCCAGTCATTCTTATCCTCGGCGGAGGCAAGAACGTCGGCGCAAGCGTCGCCAAACGCTTCGCCGGGCAAGGCTACAAGGTTGCTCTTGTCGCGAGGAATAGCCAAAGCACAACGAACAGCGAGAACAGCATGACCATTTCGGCCGACCTTGCCGACGCCGACTCACTTTCGCACGTATTTGATAGAGTTGAGCAGAAATTCGGAACGCCAAATGTGGTTGTGTACAATGGTGTGTCTATTCCGACCCGTCTCCAAACGGCAGACTGATATGCTTCAGCTGCGTCCGTCAAGCCCGTACCGCGCGATGATCCACTCCAACTTGACGTCTCCGACTTGAACAACGACTTCGCCGTCAACACCGCCAGCGTGCTCGCAGCTGCCAAGCGAGCTATCCAAGGCTTCGCAAAGCTTCCGTCCGAGATGAACAAGACCTTCATCTACACCGGCAACCTCCTGAACATCGAAGTGATGCCCGCCCTTGTGAGTCTGGGTATCGGCAAGTCGGCCACTGCACATCTCGTCAAGACGGCAGCGCAGGCGTATGGCGCGCAAGGTTACCAGTAAGCCGAGGCTGTTCATTGCTCGATAACTGTTCTAACCGCTGCTTGCAGCTTTTACTACGCCGACGAGCGCAAAGCGGACGGTTCCGCCGCATTCATGGATATCAACGGGCCTAACCACGCGGAGTTTTATTACGAGCTTGCCGAGGATAAACAGCAGAGGCCATGGTGGCAAACGTTTGTGGGTGGTCAGGGCTACAAGTCGTTTCCAGTCAAGCTTGCTTAGTTCGAAGTGTGTAGGTTGTCATGGGGAAACTGTTGTTAAGTCGCTCACAGTCGAGGTGCCACCCATCTCGGTTGCCTTCTCTCGCTAAACGCCATCAGCCCTTCCTTCATGTTCTGGCCCTTCTGCAGCTCGGTCCACTGGCTCTCGTTGGTTGTCTTCGTCGCGGTCACAACATCCGCCGTAGTCCAGCCTTCTCTTAGGCCAGCTCGCGTGCAGATGATCGAGTCCGGACTGTTAGCCGCAATCTGCTTTGCCCACTCCACGGCTTCACCAAGAAGTTCACTAGGAGGCATGATCTTGTTGACTAAGCCCCATCTCTCCGCAGTTACCGCATCGATGATCTTGCCAGTAAGCGCAAATTCTGACGCTCTTTGCAAGCCGATTGTTCGAATCAGTCGTGGAAGAGCACCAGCGTACGCCGCAAGTCCACGCTTCACTTCCACTAGCCCGAACGTTGCTGTCCTACTTGCCAAGACCAAGTCACAATTGATCACAGTCTCGCAACCACCTCCAAAAGCCATACCATTCACAGCAGCGATGATAGGCTTCTTACCCTTGCGGTTAGACAGAGCCTCCGCGCCCGGAACATTACCCGGGCCGACACCATTAGGATCTTTGCCTTCTCTGACAGCTTGAGCGACTTTGGTGTTCCACTCCTTTAAGTCGGCGCCAGTAGAGAATGCCTTGTTGCCAAGCCCGGTGAGGATCGCCACGGACAACGATGGCTCCTCGTCGAACCATCGGAAGAATGCAGTCATTTCCAGGATCGCCGCCGCATTAGTGCAGTTGAGATCTGTAGAGCCTGTCAGTCGATTCCGCCGTCAGGTTATGGGCGAAGTGCACCTTTCTCGCGTGACATTGTGCAAAGGACAACACGGTCGGCCGGGTAGGACAACTTCAGGAATGAGGTCGCTGGAGGCTTCATTATGGCGGATTTCCTCTTGTCACCGGACAATACACGGAGTGGATTGCCGAGCGATGTTAATCGCCAGCAGGCTACGAGCCAGGTCTTGAAGGTAGGTATGGAGACAGATGCCGCAATATAATGCTGCTCGAAGATCGAAATGAGGCTGGCTGCGACAACCTCGCTACAGCGCTATACGTCGAAAGTGGAGGAGCTGCAGATCAGCGGGGTTAGTCAAGAAGGCAATCTTCAATCCCACCACAGCTTCGCAGAGACTCTAGACGGCACAGAGCAGTCTGCCGTTTGGATTTGCATCCGCGCCCATTACCTGCTTCCGAGTTACTGCTACAGGAAAAGACTATAGAGGCAGTCACATCAACTCCAGCGCCACCAACGATCTGAGGATTTTGTTCTGCTCAATGTGTGTCTCGGCAGGGATCCTTATAACAGGATATACACCGCGAGCTGCTGTATGGCAGCAAGCTACCTTGCCACTCGTGTTGCGATGGGGTCGCAGCACAACACCTTACTTCCTTCCCCACCCCAGCAAGCCTCCATGATGATGCCTTCCGAGTATCTTTCCTTCACGGTCTTATAATAGCTCGGCTTCAGCCTCACTGCTTGGGGCATCGTGACCATTTGCCACATGGCTTTGCACGAATACACCACTCTCGTCGCCTTGCGCGTCTTGAGCGGCATCTTCGGATCTGCCGTTCCTTCTAGCCTGATGCTCATCACCACGCAGTGGTAACACAGGAGGAGCAAATCATTCGGTTCTCATATTAGTATTTGCGGCTCTGGCCTTGGCCAGATCTTCGGGGGCCTCACCTCCTGGGCCTTCCAGTACGTCACCTGGTCTCCCTTTGCAACGTATGCAGGGTGGCGGATTATCTTCGGGGGCCTCATCTCCTGGGCCTTCCAGCACGTCACCCCGTCTCCCCTTACGACGTATGCGGGGTGGCGGCTTATGTCTTTGGTGGTGGTGGTATTCACGGTGGTGATTAGATTGGGAGTTATGCTGGCAGTGCCAGACTCGCCAATGAAGGCGTGGTTCCTCATGGATGTGGAGAAGGTGAACATGCTGGAACACGTCCGGATCAATGAGACTTGGATCTAGAATCGGAGGTATTTCCAGCCCAAACAGATCCTTGAAGCGATGCTCGACCTGCAGATGTGGATCTTCTTCCTCATCATTCCGCTGGTAAGCTTGCAAAAAGCGAACAGCGAGTGCAATTTTCATGTACTGCTTCAGCATCATCGTTCGGGAGTCCGTCCCAGCTTGTTCCGTCGTTGATGTTGGCTTTTGTAGAGTACTTGACGTTGACCGGATAAAACGTTGCGAGACGGAGGCGGCTCTGGTTAACGGGCACGCTTACCATGGCTCTCACCCTCGCAACCGTGAGACATGACAAGTATTCTTGAACTGGAAAGCGGGAAGAACGGTGTAGGAGAGGTAGGAAAGGGAGTATATAGAGTCAGAGTAGCAAGAGGTATTAGTTTCGCCATATACAGGCCCGCTACCCTGTCAGTGCTGATCTCCGCGCCTTATGCCGAACCAGAAGGCCGACATCAGACTGGCTCCCCATACCAAGTGATTGTTCGGGGAAGCAGTCTGCACCCAGCAGCGTCGGTCGTCATGGGCAAGATCGTACGAGGTTGTGCTGGAGGTGAAGTTTGCCGCGGCCGGATCGAACGTAAGTCTGCACTGGGTGCCAAAGCGCGCCAAGAGTTCGCAGCGGAATGCTTCCGTCCAAGTCGAAGCATTTTCTGTATTGAAGAAGAAACCGTCGTCTGTCAACGCATCGCAAGAACATATATTTGTAATGCTAGAAAAGGTTGTCTTGGTGTGAAGATCATGGCACCGTCGCGTCGTATGCAAAAGCAGGGTCCGCCGCCGCCGCTGGACGAGGGTTTGCTTAACAAGAAACGGAAGCTGGCTGCTCCCACGAAGGGCTCGGTGAAGAAGCAGCGGAGAAGCGACGATGCACCGGCACGGAATGGCAAAGTGAACGGTATAAGCAGGCCTGTGGCCAACTCGGCCGGAAAGCAAAGTACCAAGGGCAACTTCAAGTCGCAGCAGAAACCTGCCAAGAAGCCTTTAACATCGATGCGAAATGCAGACCAAGATGAGGAGGACGGTTTCGTGGACCTCGGAGGCGACGCTGTCGATGATCCTGATGTCATGGAGGACGAACTGGACGGTGTCGTCGAAGATGGATTGGACGGTCTTGACGACGACGACGAGACTTTCGATAGTGATGCGGATGACTTCGCGAATGCGCCGTCAGACCTGGAAGCGGATGACGATGTACTGGATGACGACCAAGTCGTGCAGAAAGGCGTGTGGTCGGAGGACGACGACTCCGACGCGGAGGAGACCCTCACGGCCGCGAACATTGCCGGCCTGTCGCGACAGCTGGACAGAGAGAAGGCGCAGGAGGACGCAGAGGCTGACGCAGAATTGGCGGAAGACGCTATGCAGACGAACATTGCTCCCGCTGACCTCCCGCAGGACGACGAAGCGGATGGTGTAAAGATGAGAATGCTGGCTCCGGACTTGCAGCTACTGCGTACTCGGATTACAGAAACGGTTCGCGTACTCAGCAATTTCAAAGAACTCCACGATCCAGCCCGGAGCCGCGCAGACTATACACAGGCTCTCTTAAACGACATAAGCACCTACTACGGCTACTCGCCATTCCTCGCTACTAAACTGTTTTCTCTCTTCCCGCCCCAAGAAGCCCTTGCCTTCTTCGATGCCAACGAGACTCCCAGGCCCATGGTAATCCGCACCAACACCCTTCGCACCCACCGTCGCAATCTTGCCCATGCGCTTATCAATCGCGGTGTCACACTTGAGCCTGTTGGCAAATGGTCAAAAGTGGGCCTGCAAATCTTCGAGTCCCAGGTGCCGTTGGGCGCAACGCCGGAATACCTGGCCGGTCAGTACATTTTGCAGGCTGCGAGTTCTTTCCTGCCCGTCATGGCGCTAGCACCACAAGAGCACGAGAGGTGTCTTGATATGGCCGCTGCTCCGGGTGGCAAAACAACGCATATGGCGGCGTTGATGCGTAATACAGGCTGCATCTTTGCCAACGACGCGAACAAGTCTCGCGCGAAGGCACTAATAGGCAACATCCATCGGATGGGAGTAAAGAACACAATAGTGTGCAACTACTCCGCCCTCGAGTTTCCGAGAGTGATGGGTGGGTTCGACCGCGTGCTCCTTGATGCGCCTTGCTCGGGTACCGGTGTGATTGCGAAGGACGCCAGTGTGAAGACGCACAAAACACCTGAAGACTTCTTACGCTTGCCGCATCTGCAGAAACAACTACTCCTCTCAGCCATCGACTCTGTCGATCACGCTTCCAAAACCGGTGGCTACATAGTCTACTCCACCTGCTCCGTAACGGTGGAGGAGAATGAGCAGGTGGTGCAGTACGTGCTCAACAAACGACCCAATGTGCGGCTCGTGAGTACAGGGTTGGTGTTTGGGAGGGAAGGGTTTGTGAAGTATATGGGCAAGCGCTTCCATCCTAGTATGAAGGAAACGAGGCGTTTCTACCCGCATGCCTACAATGTTGACGGCTTCTTTGTTGCTAAGTTGAAGAAGACTGGGCCTACGCCGGTTGGGGCTGTGAGGGCGCAGGGAACTGTGGCGGAGAAGGAACGACTTGTCAACGGCGCAAGGACGGAGGAAGAAGTGCATGGCATGGAGGATGGAACTGGTGTGGAGGTGGACGAGAATGGCGATGTTGTGGAAGATGGGTTCGGAGGCTGGGACGATGATGATGTGGATGCGGAGTTGATTGAGAGGAGTCTGAAAAAACAGTTGAGGAGGAAAGGTATTGACCCGAGAGCGAAAAAGGAACAGGCGAAGGCTGTAAAGTAACGGAAGTCGAAGAAGCAGTGGTTGAGAGCAACGAGCCGGCGGTTGGGAAGAATGTCGTGGCCAGAGACTGAGAGGATGCTGGGTAAGCAAAGCACCGCAGAGTGATGACCATATCCGGCTGGCGGTCGTTGTGATAGTCTGCAAAGCATCGCACCTCAGTCGCCTACATTCGCTCGTTGACGTACGTCGTAATGTCATCCAACGCCTTCTGCGTCTCCGGCGAATTATCTCCTGGAGGAAAGAACACGAAGCCGTGAGGTGCACCTACCGTCTCGTCATCAATCAAAGATGGCTAAATGGTCACGAGTTGACCCTGCTTACCCGGGTACACCTTCAATATCCCTTCCGCGCCACTCATCTGCCACTTCGCCGCCATGAGCACACTATCGTCCAACAAGCAATCAAGCGTGCCGCAAGTGAATAGCGCAGACGGCAGCTTCATCTTCGTCAGATCGGCGAAGAACGGACTGATCCACATATCCCGGCGCTGATCCTGGGTCTTGCCTGGTAGGTACGCTTCTCTGTAACTGCACGCATCCTCCGTCAGCTTGTTAGTCCGCGATGTGAAGGTAAAAGGGACGTGATGAACTTCTCCATGATCTGTACGTCCAGAACAAGTGGCAGGTCGAAAGTCCAGGCTTGCGGGAGGAAGCCACTTAGGTCGTAGGCGCCGAAGTTAAGCACGAGCCCCTTGAAGGCGAACTTCGGTCTGGAATTGAGGAGGTGGTAGCAGGTCAAAGCGCTTAGATGTCCGCCTGCGCTGTCGCCGCCCATGAATAGCAACGGGGCGCCGTAGTCTTTCTCGGCGTTGTCGACAAGGTAATCGGCAACATCAAAGCAATCCTCGTTGCCAGCCGGATATGGATGCTCGGGTGCAAGACGGTAACCAACAGATAAGACGGCCAGTTGGGTGTGGTTGGCAAGGTAGTCGAGCATTATGTCTTGGTGGTGTTCGCTTTGGAGGACCCAACCGCCGCCGTGGATATGGTAGAAGACTCCTTTCGGCTTGCCGTCTTTAGGTTGGAAGACACGGCATGGGATCTCACGTCCGGACTCCCGGGACGGCAGCTTGATGTTCTTGCCCGATTCGAGGACGACTGTACATTGCACTTAAGCATGGCTCAGGTCGTGGTTTTAAGCAGGATTGACATACCCGGCTTCGGTAGTGGAGTCTCGCCGTTCCACCTCATTTGTCTGAACTTCTCGGCGCCCACTTCCCACCCTGCAAGACAGCTCCACGTCAGTAGGTGGATTTGTCATGACCGCTGTCGAGGACTTGCCGTACATTTTGGTATGCTTTGCTGGACTTTGATAAGCGCATCGTTGTTCTTCTTTGTTGCTTTGTCGATTGCTTTCGGATCAAACCTATCGTGTCCATCAACGCCTGATCGATAATCTACAACGATTACCTACTTGCTCGCATCAAGCTTCAGATCTGATGCCAATGTGAAACTTGACATTGTTGACGATGCTGATGATGCCGGCACGAGAGGGCGCAATGTAGAGAAGTGGAGGGCCACAGGACAAGCAGCGTCCAACCAGTAACATACAATCTCACGACAATTGACACGTGCAACGTTTGAAGATACGTGAAGGAAGTACAACGATGGAAAGCCGACATCATTCCATTGGAGTGGGGCTTGTTCACGTGCAAGACCGAGGTCGGCAACTGCCAGATGACCCGCAAAGATACGCTGTGTCGAATTGGGAACGCTCATTGCCTCTGACTATACACAGCCAGGCTAGTGCAATACTGCATTACGGTCAAAGCCGCCAGACCAGGAAGCAAAGATGGAACGCTGACCGTGCTGCTCAAGCCTGTCCGAAGGTCGTCGACGGCAGCGTCTCCGCAGTCTCACTTGCCTGCCTCACTTCCTTGCTCACCACGATCTCCACACCATTGCGACGACCTTTCACTGTGGACCTGACACCTGTCGAGTTCCGACTGGATGGTGAACGTCCCTCGCGCATGGGAGCTAGCGGTAGGTCTGCCTCAGTCGACTTCGTCGTTCTGAACCACATCGATATCCGATCTATTAGTGACGATGTCAACCGACCCGGCTGAGCCCTCTCCAAATCCTCATGGGCTGTTGTCTCTGTTGCAGCTTTTGCTGAAGCCGTGGACTGTGGCCGCCGCACCGTCTTCGGCGATTGCGGAACCTCGGGTTCGGATATTGTCGATTGTGACGTGTACGAGGCCTTGTGGAATGATGGGATCGATGCTCCACGACTGAACAGCAACCTCGCCTTGCTGCCGAACGAGCTGATCGTCCCCGCGACAGAACTCCGTCCGCTGTGACCCGGCTGCAGACTTGGGAAGACTCGGCCAAAGCCCGCAGCAAGCAAGCCTGAGCGATACATGGCCACAGCATCCTTGCCAAGGCCGAAGAAGATGAATATGACGATGCCTGCACCCAGCCAAAGGTAGCCTTCGTACAGAATATGGCCGTTGCTGGGAATCATGATGACGGTGTTCCAGGTGGTCGGATTGTGAACGTTGTGCCATTTGAAAGGTTGGTAGTCCTGAATCAGGTTCTGGTAGAGCACGAAGGTCTGGATCGGCACGAACGCTATGATCAGGACGATGCAGAAGATGTATAGGCGCAGGAAGCGGTATTTGGTCATATTGCTATTGTCCAAGATAGCAGCGAAGGATAGGCGGTATCGGCAGAGGCGGAGCATAATGACGACTGCAAGCTGTTAGCACGGCTGGATGGCAGTGTCGGTTACGAGATTGCCAACTCACTTGCGAAGTACACATCGACGACCGTCCAGATAATCGGCGGGATGTGCATGAGTAAGGTCGTAAGCCACGTTTGGCTGACAGATGCCACACAGCCAATGATTCCGAGGATGTAGTAGCGTGAGGACTGCACGATGTAATGGAACAGCATCTGCAGCGCCGGAAAGCCAATGCATAGCGTAAGGTCGATCGCCAGATCCCTCTTCTTCTGCGCCTTGGACTTGACGAGCGTGGCTCGATTCGTGTCCATAGCGTTGGCCAAGGCGCGGAGCACGCTCGCCAACGCTGCCGGAGCAGCAACGCCCCATGCCATCTGGGCCTTGACCTCGACATCGCACAGCCCCACCCCATCGTACCAGCTCGGGATGATATCGTTCGACCAGATGAGCGCGTTGAGGAAGGCTAAGAAGTTCATCGCCACGGTCCAACCAACGAGTAGGGTAGCTCCAATGTTGCGGTTGCGGTAGTGCCAGCACATTGGCGGGATGATGAGCAGTGTAACGAGTAGACTCGCCGTGGCGAATATGATAGAGGCAGCATAAGGCGTGGTGGATGTTATGTCTGCGGATGCCGCTGCCATGTCTACAATGCAAGCGCTTGCCGCAAAGTTCAGTGCCGTCGGACCACTTTTAGTCGCCTGAGTGCGATACTGGAGATCGCCGTAGACTGTGCTCTTAGTGGTAGGATCTCTGTAGCTTCGTAACGGAGGATAATAAACAAGCCGTGATGTAGGAGTTTGCCAAGATGAGGATCGTACGGGAACAGATGAGGATGCAAGGGAAACGATCGTCTTCAGGCAGTTCGTAGAGAGGAAGTACGTGAAACACCGCGATGGTCAATAACAGCAATAAGCGTGAACATAGGCGTAAATGTCAATAAACTTGCCGTTCTCAATAGGCGAGTCAAACAAGATGTCGGAAGTAGCAGACACTAATCCTCACGTCCCACGCTCATTAGCAGGAACAGCTCAGTACGCTACGGCGAGGGTGCTTTGAGGCTCCTTGTACGATGTGGCCATGGCTGATACCATCACAACCGTATTTGGGTGTCAATAGGATTTTCGCAGGCCTGCTGTGAGGACGCTTGCCGAGACACCGTGGTGATGGAGTCACTATGGACGACTGGGCCAGGAGTTAATGATGGTATTTCTAGCATGCCACATCGCTTCAATTGACTGATGTCGTGTCCGAGCAATGCAGTTTGCGCAAGAAGTAAGAGTGGCGCAATGTCGAAGTTCACGCGTGAAGCTAGCGTCCGGCCTTGGCGTAAACGCGCCATCACGTGAGCTCACTCTCTAGGCGCTTTCTTAGACTGCGGAGCGAAACAGTATCGATAAATTGCCGATCCTATGGATAAAACGACTCTGTACGGTAGGAAGAAAGCCTGGCAAAACTTGTGAGTCGCCGGCGAATACCCACCAACACCAGGCTATGCCGCTGAACCAACAGTAAACGCCGTATGCTGAAGCTCGATTAACGCGCCGGCAAGTGCGTTGAAGCACTCTTGGTCAGCTCGCATGCTGCCGCAAAGTCGACGCTTAGTACATGCTCGCCCGTCCCAGTGTCTCTAGTCTGAAGCCCATGCCGACCATGGCGCGAGGGTCGAGAATATTTCGACCGTCGAAGATCCACCTTGGCTCTTTTACGATCTTGGAAATATCGTTCCAGTGGAGGGGAGTAGTGATGTCTTTCTCGAACGGTTTGCCGGAAGTCACGGAGCTTTCGCACTCCGTACAATCGATAGGGCAGCTTGGTTCTGGTATTAACCGGCAGGCGATGTCGGCGGGTAAAGGTGAAATCTTAGGTGTCCGTGGTGGGGTTGGAGGTTTGCTGTTCAGGTTTGTTTGCTCGAGCTTTGGTGTGATATGCAGGACGCCGGTGGGTGTTGCTCCATCGTAGCTTTCCGCAAGTGTAGGCTTTGTAGGTGCTGGTGCGGGCTTCGTGTTCTTAAACATGTCCCAGTCGGTAAGCACAAGGACTGCGTTGCTGTCGGCGCATGCCGTGTACGGGTCCTGGAGCACTTCCACTGGCCCGTCTGGCTTGCACACAGCGAAGTCCTTTTCGAGCACGCTGAGTTCATGCTTGATGTCTGCCTCGCTACATAGCGGGTCGAAGATGGCGATGCTCTTTGGGCCTTCTTCGAGTAGTATGCGGATGACGTCAAGCGCTGGCGACTCGCGCGCATCGCCTGTGTTCTTCTTGAAGGCATAGCCCAGGATGGTCACCTTCTTGCCGCGCAACGAGTTGTTAAGCGTTGCGATGACATGGCGCGCAAACCTGTCCCGCTGGAAGTTGTTCATTGTTAGAACTTGCTGCCAGTATGCCGCCACCTCTGGCAAACCCAAAGACTCCGAGAGATATGTCAGCGAAGCGATATCTTTCCGGAAGCAGGAACCACCAAAGCCGAGGCCAGCCTTCAAGAACTGCGGCCCTATCCTTGGGTCCATGCCAACGGACTTTGCGATCTCGCCGACGTCTGCACCCGTCTTCTCGCAAATGGCGGAAATGGAGTTGATGCTGCTGATGCGCTGTGCGAGCATTGCGTTGGCGGCAAGCTTGCACAGTTCGGAAGACCAGATGTTGATCGGAGCGATCCTTGACCGCGGAACCCAAGCAGCGTACAGATTCGCGAGCGCAGCCGCAGCGCGGTGGCCAGAGATTGTAGACTCGGAGCCAATGACCACGCGATCAGGCTGCATGAGGTCGCGCACAGCCGTACCTTCTGATAGAAATTCCGGATTGGACAGGACTGGGAAGACGACGCCAGGGCGGTGCGCCTCCATCTGCGAAACATATCAGTGAACCGTCCCCTGCCCTGCGTTCCTGTAGACATACAATATCCTTGATCAGCTGCCCTGTCTTGCAAGGCACGGTACTCTTCTCAACCAATATGCAGCCTGGTTTCGCATACATGGCAACGTCGCGACACGCACCCTCGAAGGCAGCCATGTCGGTCGCGCGACCAGCGCCAACACCCCGTAACTTGGTTGGTGTGTTGACACTGATCAGACAGATGTCCGCCTCCTTAATCGTTTCTATGCACGCAGTCGAAAAGAAGAGATTGGGTTGTCGCGCCGCCTCCGTGCCCGCTTCAATGTCACTCGTGCCATCTCTCGCCGCTCTCACGACGTCGCCAAGTCCAGGCTCGTGAATGGGCAGATGCCGGCCTTTCCATGCATCTATGCGCTTCTGATCCCGGTCCACGACTACCACGCGCACGTGAGGGTTGTGCAGAGCAAGAACCGCTGCTGTCGGGCCACCTGTATAGCTCATCAGTTAGCTGCTCAGTGAATCTTGGATAGAGCACTTCGACTCGTATGACCTACCAACGTAGCCGGCGCCAATGCAGCAAACCGTGCGGATGGGTACGTTCGCCGCTGTCTCGGGATCCATAATATCGGGGAGTGCAGCATGGAGCTGCGACGGCTGCGGCGTGCCAACCCGTTGAGGCAGTGAGATCATGTCTATTGATGGTGGCGGCATGTTTGGCGGTATGCTGTAAGCATGCATGGTGGGTGATCTGTCGGAGGAGGGCGTCGTTGGACCGGCGGAGTAGGCGCTGTCGTCACTGCGACCGAGTGAAGGTGTTTGCTCAGACATACCGGCCATGGAGGCAGCAGCGTCGGTGAGCCAACTGGTCATTCTCAACTAAACTGACGGCTTGGAATTGATGCGAGAGCGAGGGGTCTCCAAGGGTCCAGCGCGGCTCTGTGGCTCGAGGCTAAGCCGTGAAGCGGCAAGCGTCACTGATGCCACGCGAGAGTCTGGATGTCGAGAGGCAGACTGTTCAATAAAATGCTGCGGTGATTGTAGCAAGTCAAGGTGCTCGTGTGAGTGCGAATGCAACAGGAAACATGAGCGCACTGCATACAGAAGCCGCACTTGGGCGCCGAGGCCAACCCACAAGAAGCGCATTCGGCGTCAAAGAAACATCCGCCATTCACCCCGGCGGCTTTGTCGCCATCGCTCACTAATCGGTGAACCAATCAGAGCGAGTCTCTCGAAGCCCGTGCCTGAATTGTTGGCGAAAGGACGTAGGAATGTGAGCGAGCACTACCACCCTTCCGCTCAACGTGACCATAGAAGGACAGCCAACAACATCATCACGACGCCCTGCTGCCAGATCTTGTCGGGCTTAGATTACCTATAGCTCACGCCATCCTCTACTCACCGCCCTGAGAGCTCGCTGACCACCAGCCTTACACTACTAAACATCACCCGCATCAGCCTCATGTGTGATTGAGTACATCATCTTCCAAACTTATAGCAGCATGTTGTAAACAACCACTTTGCCGCAGTGAGCAGCGTGCGTATGTCGCGCGACCAAACCGTTCTTGAGACTCAAAAGACAGTTGCCGCCCAGCATGGCGACCGAGTACACCCCGAACCCAGACTTTCCGAAACAGCTCATTGGCAAGAAGGTCTTGCTTGCCACTGAATCGCTAGGACCCGTCAATGGTGTGAGCAGAACGACGGGCATGCTGGTGGACTATCTGCGCAGCAATGGAGTCAACGTCGCCACCTGCGCGCCTTTCTATAAGGGCCAACCCATCAATGCAAACGAGTCAAAACCGCAACGACAGCCCATAGTGAACCCCGATTGGGTACGTTCGATCGAGGCCAAATCTTCATCACTGGCATCACGTGCCATTGGCGGGTCTTGGCAATTCCACTTCGACCGCAATGAAGCGAACAAGGAGCAGACTCAGCCTTTACTGCAAGGTTCGAGTCAAGCCCGCAACACGCCCATGATTCGACGCAGCAAGAGCGGCGAAGGCAAGAAGAAGCCCGAGCTCGACAAGTCAGGTCGCCAGAACCCAGAATACCGATTGCAAGGCTACCCTCTCCCGTACAACCCAGACTTGACCGTGGCGTACCCTTTCCGGCTCGGCGTTGTTTATCAGAAGACGTTCAATCCAGACATCATCTACCTTGCGAGCCCGGCTTCTGTTGGCTTCCAATTCCTCATTCAGCTACGACAGATCGACAATCCGCCACCGACATTCCTCAATTTCCAAACAGACCTTTCCGCGTACGCCGAGATACTCTTTCCCAAGCCATTGGATGACTATGGCGTATACCTACTCTCGATCGTGCAGGGTTACCTCTTTCGTGCACCGTGCGTACGCACAATATTCTACCCATCCGCCTATGTCCGCAAGTACATGGAGCGGACCGGCGCGCCGTCTCATAAGATGAGACAGCTCGGCCGTGGAGTCGATACTGAGTTGTTCAATCCCGGTCGGCGCGACGAGGCTTACCGAAAAGAGATCGCTCCCAATGGTGAGATCATCTTCGCGTGCATCTGCCGCATTGCGCCGGAGAAGGGTTTCGAATTCCTGGCAAACGCGGCGCGGAAGCTCAAGGAGAGCGGTCTGGCGTTCAAGCTGCTGATCGTGGGTGGTAACAAGAACCCAGCGGTTATGCAAGAGGTGAAAAATTACTTCAAAGGCCTCGAGGAGCAGGTCATCTTCACCGGCATGCTCCGCGGCGAAGCGCTGGCGCACCAGTACGCCGCGGCCGATGTGTTCCTGCATTGCTCCATCACGGAGACATTCGGCCTCGTGGTGCTGGAATCGATGGCCTCGGGTGTACCGGTCATAGCCCGTGATGAAGGCGGGCCCTCGGAGACAGTCAAGCACGGGCAGTCTGGCTTCCTAACACCACCACACGACCTCGACGCCTTCGTCTCGCACGCGCGCCGACTCGCCACTGGCTCCGCTCTCCGCAGCGAGATGGCGGAGAACGCGCGCGTGCAGGCGCTCAACACGACGTGGGATAAGATCAACAACCAAGTCGCGCTTGAGCTGGCGGCCGTCTTCGACGAGCAGCCTGCCAAGACGGCGCAGGAGAAGAAGGTCGCTGGTTTTTACGGCACGTGGGCGAATATGGCGGGCGTGTATTTTGCGGTGGGCATTGTTTGGGTGTTTTGGTTCATTGCGGTGATACCCATGCTTGCTTGCGGTCTCGTGCATGGGTTTTTAACGAAGACGAAGGTGGTCAAGAAATAAGAGGCCGTTCAGACTAGCGACTGGCGTTTGAAGTGGGCGGGTAACGTATCACGGCTCGGTTTAGGAAAAAGGAAGTGGCGAACCTGGGACGCGGTAATGATGTGCACTCGTGGCTTGTACACGTATCTTGGGAAAGTACGGCCCATGCCTCGTATACGGAGACGGAGCGGAGCGGACTTCTCGTCGAAGCTAATAGAACGAGACACCTCATGCTTGGCCAGACAGCTGAAACATTCTCACCTCGAAGATTACGACTGTGGAATTCATACCAGCTATCCGCTCACTGCAGGGCGTCACCGTTCCTCGTTTATGGAAACATTCAAGGGCCACCATATTTGACTCCCCCATCATCCATCAGCCTTTACTCTTGCCACGATTGATCCAGTCATGTTACGGCCTCTCTGCGCAGCCTCAAGTGTCCGCGTAGATATATGCTCGCAAATGCGCAACTACGCGCACGCGCTTCGCCGTTAGCGACATTCATGTAAGGTGCAGTGGCCTTCACCACCACGAAACGTGCTCGGCATTGATCTTGAGGTACATCTCAAACTCGTCAAGTGTAGTTAAGGCCCAGGATCGCGCCGTCTTCCCACCGAGGCGTCGCCGTGACGACGTCACAGTACCTTTCGGGAAAATTTACGGCTTGCTCAACGTATATGCATACGGCATTGTGGTTTGTTAGGTCGTAGAGACGTTGCCTCCTTGCTTGGCCGGTCGCACCTGTGCTCGAGCACACCTTCCTCGGAGCATGAAGACCGAGCGGACTTGGAGACCGTTGTTGAGGCAGTGGCGGGTTGGTGAGCGCTGGATAGCTCTTGCACCGCGGGAGGAAAAGGTTGCTTTACTGTTGGGCGCTGTACTTCTACTGCCTGTAGACACTCTGGCTGGCTACCCAGCCTGTAACGATGGAGGCCGCACTGCCGCTCGCTCGGGTGCTCCTCACCTTTTTGGGACTCCCCCCAGCACTCCATCGCTGACGGGTAGGGATGATTCGAATTTCCTACGACCAGGTTATTCCTTTGCCTTACTTGCATCATCGAGACGACGATGAGCAGCTTGCAGTCCGACTAGTAACATATGGCTGCTCTCACATCTTGTTGGAAGCCAAAGCAAACCGAGTAAATACAAGTCGGTGACATGGAGCTCCATTACTCCACCTGCCACACAAGAAACGGGGGCTTTCACGGTACACTACTGCGAGGCGCTACCCGAGCTTCGTTAGCCTTTTCCCATGTCCCCGGTTCTTGGGTAAGCAATGATACCGCATCGCTCTATACCGGCTTGTACGTGCAGAAGCCGACAGCACCGAGCATGTATACGGCGGCTGCCATGCCCCTTTATGTCCTGCGTTCCTATCAGTGCCATAAGGCGAGGTGGCGTAATACCCTGCCAAATAGGTACTCTCTGCATGTCAATGCCTGCTGCCCTGTACTAGGTATATACAGCAGATGGCTGTAAGGGAGCACTACCTTGGCACCCAAGCCTACCCACGCATCTCCACGGAAGTCGGTCGCATCTCCAAGACGGATTGCGATTCGGCAAAAGTTGCGCAATGATGAGCGTCCCGTGCTACCTCGGGTCTCATTCCAGTGTCAGCAGCAGTGTCACTAACGCGAGGCTAAAGAGCTATCTACTCCAGCACCAAATGTGTGAAGCTCGACCGATATGCTGGGAGCGAGCTGTAGCAATGCAGTAGCACCGCTGATCTACTAGCTAGCTAGCAATGCCTCGCCAACCAGTCCGTCAACCGCTTCAACGCTATCCTCAATGAGGGGTTTGCCAACGGTGTAGCTGACGCAACCCGACGAAGAAGATCGGTGTTGTTTTCACGGTTAAGACCCCTCCATCCTCAAGCGAACCAAGCCGTACTGGTTACGACACAGCCCACCACGACACAGCTTCAAGTCGACAGCGACGCTCTCGAAGAAGCAGGTGTCGAGGTTGTTGGCAAACTATTCGGAAAGCGATATGTTAGTGTTGAGTAGGTCTGTAAGGTCTCTCTTCGGCGACGATCGAGTCGATCTGCGCACCCGGTAACGGGTTCGCCAGTATGAGGAGGTTGCAGGAGGCCGAAAGGCAGTTTTTGCTAGCTCACCTACGAAGCCTGTACTACTGACATCAGCTTCCCCAGGATAGGTCCGGCATGCCACCACGATCACTACGTGGCGTCCATGTGGTGAGATATGAACAGGTCGGCCTTCCCTTGAGGTAGGAAGGAGTGCATTCCTTTCCTTTACCGCAAGCCCCGTCAAACCTTCGACACCACCACGTTGTCGCATACACTACGCCCGTCTTGCGGTTCCTTGAGACAGCTATCCTGGCGAGCTTTTCGGCCTTCGTCCAAGCCCTCCCAAGCCCCATTGAGGAGCGTAATTCAAAGCAGACCGATGCCAGTGTACGTTTCCTTTCCCCTTCAAGGCATAGTTGATAAGCGCTGACGGCAATTGTATACAGTAGGACGACATCCCAGCGAGCGTGCTCCTCAACTCCGCCAACCTACAACAACCCCCAAGCCCATACAAAGGTCTCTGCTACACATCATTTGGTCTAGCCAACTACTCTCTCAACGCAGCTGGCCTTACGGCCCACTCTCAGCCCAACTTCATCTACAACAGCGTTGAGTCCCGGGTTCTCAACGGTGCGGGAACAATCTCTACCAAGCAGTGTTCATCTGGTTAGTTACGGTATCCCATGTCACTCACTTTTAAGGACCACGCTGACTTGGCAGGTGACGCGCCGGGTGGAACCTTCTCGCCTTCCTCCATATATATAGGTTGCATTGCGAACGAGGCGTGGGAGTGGCCGCCACCGTCCCCATATCGTGCCTTCTCCTCTTTACGGGCACGAGGTCCAACGGCAAGACGGTGACCCAATCAGTGACCTACACACCAGTGATCGGCAGCGGAGGAGGACTGAAGACTGCAATGCAGCAGGTGTACTTCGACTCTGGGTTTGTCACCCTCACCACCCTTACCGTGCAGCCTGCCACAACAGCCGCAAACTTGACTGACGTCGTCTTCCTTGACGACTTGGTGTACAATACCAACGGATGAAGGTGACTGGTGATCTTGGCGCTAGGAACCCAGCGACATAAGGCTTCATGGTCTAGCACTTGGACTATCTAGTTGAGCATCGGTAGTGAAGGGAAACGCTGGAGAAAGGTATACACATCTACAAATCGATATGAGACGGTATTGTCTTGCATTACCGGATGTTCCAAAGTTTACAGTTCTGACCGCGTAAGATAAATGTGGTGTTCCTCATCCTGCCGTCACGAATACAAGCAGCGGTGTGGAGTTCGCTGCAAGCCGTAATCGAACATCACTTCTCGCGGATCGCGCGCATCAAGGGGCCAGGCCCGCTGCTCAGCGCATACGAATGTGAGGATCTTGACGTGGAGCTTGATTGAAAGGGTTACCAGCCCCCGATTTATTTGTGATGTTGGGTCATTGCGAGGTAATGACGAAGCAGAGAGAGGGGATCGCAGAGTTGGGAGGGACCTTGTCCACCACCGCACCCGTGTCGATGGCAATTCAACCGTAGCTCGAGCTTATGCCGCATACGCCAATACTCGCTTCCGCATGGATTACAGCGTCAATGAGTCCCGGCAGTGCTCCTTTTTCACCCATGTGGTGCGTCTTGTGTCAGTCGAATCCTTCCATCATCACCGACGTGTCTGAAGGCTCAGCTTTGCCGTAGTGTAAACGCTTACCACCAATACCTGGAGTTCTCATCTTGCGTCAGAGATACCTAGAATCAACGTCCTTTTGAGGGTCTACTGTGCCATTCAACGCCGTGTATTTGATGTGACGCAGGAAGCAGGCATTGCACTTTTGAATGGCGGTACGTTGGTGGTGCGCGAATAGCACGCGACGGAGCAGAGATCTTACTCACTATTTTCGATACCTCTGGACCGCTTGTTAGCGGGTCAGTATCCGTGCAGAGATAAATAGAGAGCTAGCTGCAGGTGCACTGCCACATACAGACGTGCTCCGCAACAAGGATATATTGATGTGGAGTGTGGTTTCACCAACAGTCACATTGATACCCCTACTTAGGACCAGCAAGCGTTGGAGTTCGTTATTGTGCTGCCGGAGGCGCCACGTCAAGCCAATTTGAAGCTCGACGGATATCTTTCCTTCCCATTCGCTAGCTGGGATCATGCCTGAATCTCTGCTGTAGTAGTTGAGGCCACTCCTTTCCAGAAGGTATTCGTCAATGCGGACTCGCGCCCTTGTGTCGTACGGTACCTCTACTTCGTGAGCTCCCGGAACGCCATTGCACCCATGGTAGCCGACAGTGCAAACGACAGCCTGAGTCATACTGGCCATGCTTTCGTGCTCCATCTTCGGCGTAATCGTAAGCGGAAACAGGCCGGAAACGCCCATCAACCCATCCGCGCAAGGATAGAGCTCTATCATGTCCACCTTCCGCAAGCCGGCACCACCATCATGAGTTCACGAGCAACCTCGATCAGCGAGCCACGCTGCAAGTAGTGACCATCCTACATTCACCTCTCCACTCAATGGCCCCCACTCTTCCTAAACCTCAACAACTCACTCAAACTCGCCAACGAACACCCGCCCCTCAAAAACTCATGCCTTCCCAACTCCTCCGCCGTAGCACGGCTCTTCACATCCACACACAGACACACACTCAAGAACGCCTTCAACTCCTTACTCAACCGCTCCGGCTTCTTCAACCTCGGCGTCCCGTTGGTAGCAATCAGATACAGCGCCTTGAGCGGCTCTTCGTTCAGATACGGCGGTTCGGACTCGATCATCTCAATCGCCATAATACCCAGAGACCAAATATCGACTTTACTGCCGTATTCCTTTTGTTTGACGACTTCCGGCGCCATCCAGTACGGCGTGCCGACCATGGTGGCGCGTTTGCTGCGTTGTTCGGTGAGTTTGGCGCAGAAGCCGAAGTCGGTGATTTTGACGGCGCCGCGGGAGGAGAGGAGGACGTTGTCGGATTTGATGTCCCGGTGGATGATGTTTTGTGAGTGGAGGTGGATGAGGCCTTTGCAGGTCTAAGATAAAGTGTTGGGTCAGCAAAAGAGAGTCGGAGGGAAATGATCAAGTGCGTATTGACTTACCTCTCCGCATATGGTGGCGATCTGGTCCTCCGCAATGCTCGGGTTGTTATCAATCACATCCGTCAACGCGCCACCCTCCATGAACTCCATCACCACCCACAACTCGAACGTGTCCTCCTGCAAGAACGCGTCAAGAAAGTTCACAATGTTCTCGTGCTTACTCTCCTTCATCACGATAATCTCGTTCACAATCAGCTCCTTCCTTGGCTGACTTCGAAGATCCATCTGCTTGATGGCGACCTGGTACCGCAAGCCGTTCGCTCTGATTAAGTCTCTCGCTACTTGCGAGGGCGCGCTTTCACGAATCCGCGCCACGTAGACAGACCCGCTGGCGCCCTGGCCGATCTTCTTCTGCTTGTTGTAAGATTCCAATGGGTTGGACAGAGAGACGACAGACCGCAGCTTGTCCATCACTTGAGCATCAGTCATGCTGGACATGCGGGCCTCCTTCGAAGGCTTCTCGTTCGGGTCTTTCTTCGTGAGCGCCGCCTCGGCTTGCTTGATCGCGGCATCCTTGGCATTGGTTGTGGGTGCACCGGACGGTTGTTTGGTCTGCACGTTGAGCGGTTTCACCTGTCCCGTGGGCGCTTTCGTGTGTTGAGTACCGGAGGGTTTGCGGGTAAGTGGCGGTTGCTGTCGGTCTTGCGGGTGCGGTTGGCCGTTGATCTGGGGTGCTGGGGGAGGCTTGTTCGAGTGAGGTACGGTGCCGTTGGCGGAGGGTTGCTTGAGCGGCGAAGACTTGGCGCCGTTTTGCGTTGGAGGCGAGGGTGCGGGTCGTGAGGCTTGGAGATTCCGGATGGGCACAGGGCTGCCTTGCTGGCCGGACTTACTCCCGTCAGGCGTAGGCGGTGCCGCTCGTTGCGGGTTGTATCTGGTGTCCTGTGGGCTCGGGCTGGCTTCTCTCGCATCTCCGCTGTACCCTGCAACCTCCTGCTTGGCAAGAGGCGTTCTCGTCTTTGGTAAAGACTCGTTGTACTCTTGATCCTCTTGCTCCTGCCTCCTTCGCCGCTCTTGTTCCTCCTCGGTTCGTCTTCGCTCCGAGTCCGCACGGCGTCGCTGCTCATCTTGCTTCCTCCGCCGCTCTTCCTCGCCGAGCTGTGTCTGCTGTAACGGCGCAGTTTCTGCCCGCTTGAGCCCGTATCGCTCCGCCGACTGATCCCTTGGGTATCCACCCGTCGGCGCACCATTCGCGTTTCTAGCACTTTGATAGCTTTCCATGCGATGCACAGCGGGTGGCTGCGGCCTTGGTGGCGCCACACTGTTCCCCGCTGAGTATCCAAGCTGTTTCTCACGGTTGCCCTCAATCGGCGGCGTCGGAGTAAGTGAAGAATACATCTTTGGATCCTCTGCTCGTACTGCCAGCTTGTCGGTGTAGAATTGCAGCACCTCCATGACCGCCTGTGGGTTCTTAGCCATGTCGTCCTTGGTAAGCGCTGAGCCCTTCAACAACCGCTCCCACTCCACCGGTAAGCCCACGAAGCCACCTGTCACAGGGTCGAAGCCGACATGCACCCGATGCGAGAAGCCAGTCGGATGTGAGACGCCGCCCATGCTTGGACAGCGGTCATAGATGCTGTCCATCCAGCCGTAGATCTCATTATCCGTGTCAAACTTCAGTATCCACTGCTTGTTGCCCTCCTTCGTGAGCTCCAGGCTGTAAGGGTAGTTGTCGGAGCGCGTAATGTTCGTGACATCTCGCAGCATGATCACCGTTGCGGTCTTGCTGCTCGTGTTAGACTTTAGAAATTCCAACTGCTTCTCCCGGAGTACCAGAAAACGTTCGCTCCAGAAAGCTTTCATGAACCCGCCGCCTTCCTCTTTGACCTTGGCCCAGCCATCCTTGACCACGGTCAGGTCGCCATTACTATTGTCGCGCGAGAAAGTAGTTGTCGACGGCGAGTTGAGGTTGTTGTTCAGATAGACCAAATTCGGGTTGCCTGGTGTCTGATAGGGTTGATGTGTGAGCCCTAGCTTGTTCGGTCGATCTGTTGGCGGTCGGGGTGCCGGGCCAGGATTCATGAATTGCTCCGGCTTGTAGATGCTGGTGCACGGGTCAGCTACCGGCACCTCACCAGTTGCGTGCCTTCCCATTCCGGGCGCACTTGTCGGTCGCATTGATATACTCGATGATGACCACAAGGCATGGTACTTACGGGTTCGATTGACTGCCTGCCATCGAGGCAGCGTTCTGCGCTCAGCGCCAGAGACTCGACCTCGTTGCTCCTTCGACGCCCTCTTGGCGCAACCTTCAAGCTTCCAAGTGGCTGTGAAACACTGTACGTGTCGAATGGTCGTAGGCGTCGGGTGCAAACTTTTGAAAGTGTGTATCCGCGTGTGACGTCGGATATGGTTGTCTTTGTTCGCGCGAGCTTCTCTCCGCTACGGTTTGGGCAATAATCAATGTTAATTGGACCCTTGACCCTTCCGCCGATATGCGCGACAATGCCGTCAGCTGCGCATTCGCCCGAATCAGTCGTGATATGTATGCGCGCAGTAGTCACTGTGAAGGTTCGTCCAAAGCAAGAATGGATCTTGTCCGCCAAACTGACTTGGTAGTGGGACAGGCGAGATTGGAAACTCGAGATGAAACGCGGCGGGCAGGGCCAGGCGCCGCGAAAGGGTCACAGCGCCTGCTCCGAACAATGGGCGCCAGTGGAGATGGGGCCGAGCAATCGGATCGCTTGCCGCTCGAAGGCGAGTGTCGAGAAGGACGATTAGGTTCAATCAATCGCAGCCTCTCCCTCTCACTCTCTCCAGAACTCTTTTCGAGCCTGCGCCATCAATCCGGTATTTGCCCCTCTACAATCAGGTCGGTAGCTGCCCCCGCGCAGAATATTGCCACAAGCTCAGAATGTTGCACTGGGCGTGGTGGACAGAGGCGGACACGGTCCCATTAGGTCACACTACAGCGCTGTCATGCAAGCACGACGATCTGATCCGTTCAAGCTCCGCGTTGACGGGATACGCTCGAGGAGCCGGATCGCTGGAGTTCACTTCAGTCTGACACCGTAGAGCTGGGTGCGCCTATGCGGGTGTATCGACTCAGGGATGTGCAACTGCTCTTCCTACCACAAACATTACGGTGAAGCGCTAGCTGATTCAGTGCGTGAGAGTAGCGGTCTCCAAGCACGTAGTTGGAACAGGCCTTAGTCTAATCTGCGAGGTGCATTCCGCTGCTCGATGCGAGTCATGATGATAACGGAAGAGTCGACACTCGTATGTCTCACTCAAGCCTATGCCATGTTGATTGCCTTGTCTCGAATCCACATCCGCCAGCTCATGTCTCCCTTCGCATCCTCACTTGTAGCAACCATGTTCACCGTCGCCCTCACCGCGTAGAGGCTATGACAAACCAGTCAGCATATATGATTGCCGGGTACTGCCTTGAAGGTGCGTGAAGAAGCTTCACAAATGACCAATATAGTCGTCCGGAAACAAGATCCGCAGCCCCTCTGACACATTCACTACCACGACAGCGTACTGCGTCCACAGCACAGGTCACAACAGCGGTCCCGCACTCCCCATCACCGTGACGTACGGCAACACCCATCGCAATCGTACCGTGCCAGCTCTACTACCACCCAATCGAAAACTGATGCCCCAGCACAGCTCCCCTACGTGGTTGCTAATGCCCGTCGTCGTGGTCTTTCGCCAAACGGCCGGAACACTTAGCAGAAGATCGAGCGGCGAGGGCATCCGTCATCCAGTTCAACATAGACGCCGCCGTAGTGCGCCAGGAGGAAGCATCGCATCGCGTCCGCTCGCTGAAAAGGGTAGCGATAGCCAACGAACATCTCCAAGAAGCACGTATACTCACGTTCGACGAGCTCTTCGCTGCAGTGTCCGTCCAGAACGTTTACTGCCAGCCATCTTCTTGCCGATGTAGGGCCAGACAGCTCGCTTGTGCCGCGGCCCACAATGGTGAAATGCTGGAGTTCTTGCATGTTTGGTGAATGATCTTGGGGATCAACGTTGGGCTTGGTACTGACAGCTCGGTGTTCAGGATGGCATGTTCGGCTACCATGACGCATAGGAGCGTCAGTAGCGGCCATATGGAGGGAGAAATGTAGAGGCAAATGGTGAGGTGGGAGATGGATAGTAGTAGCAGCGTCTTGCGCATACTGGTGGAGTAATAGTGCTACGTCTGCAGAAGTTGAGTATGCGATGGCCTACCTTTCAAACGTTCCGTTACCTGTTAACGTTCAGGAGCCTGCAGGTCGCAGAAGGAGCAAACGTCCCAACTTCCGTAGATCGGAGTTGCGAATGAGCTCCGGCGAGCAAGCATTTCCAACTCCAGCACGGCTACTGGTGCACGCCGCCCTCGGTCTTTCTACTGCCCAAATTAGGTATGACTGCCTCAATCTTGTCCATAATACCGTCAGCGGTCTCTTCATGGCCTCCGAGAATGTCAACAACGAATGACAACATTGGCTGCTCTATCTCCAAATAGTTCCCACGATCGGACCATATCAGCTGGCCCTGGCGTCTCGCATCCGCCATAAGCAGGGCCACAGAACGTGCGACGACCTCGGCAGACTGCGACTGAGCGCCAATAGCTTCCAGCAAGCCGGCCGGCACAAGTCCTGTTCGCGTCCAGCTCGGGGCGATACCGTTGATGCGAATAGGCAGGCCTGCTTTCTCAAGATTCGGTACAAGTCCACGAATGAAGCCTAGCACGCCGTGTTTTGCCGTAGCATAATCGACTACTCGGAAACGCTGGAAGCTCGACCCAGACGCTGTAACAACGATGCTTCCGCCTGCAGGCTGTTGATGGCGCAGATAGTGCAGACCGAGGTAGCAAGTATTTATCATGGCGCGTAGGTTGATGTCGAGTGTCAAATGCTCAGGTTCCAACAGGCTCCCACTCCCGTCGAAGCGGTCTTCGAGGTAGTTCATGCGGCCGGAAATCCCAGCCTCGTCATCAGCATGTCAGTCTACAGATCGTGCATCGGGTGGACCCGGTACGAACATTGGCAAAGACGTGGTGTATGCGACCATGCAGCTGCTTCGCATGAGCAAACAGCGCTTGCAGATCATGCCATGCCGTCACATCCGTCTTGTGGAACGAAAGGCGAGGATGCTGCACAGGGCTTGGGCTCAGGTCGCCAGATACGACTGAAGCGCCCAAAGCGATCAACAGCTCTATCGTAGCGAGACCTATCCCTGACTGATGAACGCTGAATTAGCCAGCTGCTTGGAGTTCCCGAAGGCAGCAGATGATAGCCTTGAGGTCTTGATCACTTACCGACCCGCCTATACTCGTTAGCACAGTTCACTCTGACTAGCACAGATAGCTGTTACCGGTCAGCACAACGACAGACCCTCTCAAATATGCCAAGTCTTCGTCCCTAATGTTGAGAGCTGTCATTGCGCCGAGTGCAATTGTTCTGTCAACAGCCTCTCCAGTTCATAACTCACTCGGTCACTGCCATGAGCGCGCTTCTGGAAGGACAACTTGATGACGACACGGGCTGTTTATCGAATCTTTTACAGGACTCCTGCAAGTCGGTTCGTAATCCGAGGCTGACCCCGCCCATAGCATTAGAGCTCGTTTGATGCTTCGCAGAGCTACCTCATCTCACACCGTCAGCACTTCACCAAGACCTGCCAAGTCATGACTGTAGAAGACGAGTGCGCGCTAAGGTGGTTCTAATAAGGAAGAGAGATGGCAATGTTGAAGCGACCTGGTCTGTGCGCCGTTGGCTGAACGCCTCGCACCTCAGCTCGCAAGTCATGTTTTATCTACTTGGAATCTCTTGCGCTGTCAGTAAAGCGTACGAATGACCGTTGGTTTGAGCAAAGGTCAACAGCATGTCACCGCCGAAGACCGCCGGCGACGGCATGCAAGACCTCAGGAACCACTTCGCACTGAGCGGACTGGTTCAGTACTTTGGGCATTCCGTCATCCTTGTCGCCATCGGGCTACTTGTGCTTATCGTCCTCACTCGAACCAATAGCATCCGCAAGGCAACGGTTGCGAGGCCAGGGAATGCTCAGGCTGTGCCAACCGTGCCGTATTGGCTACCCATTGTTGGCCATTTGCCCAACATGGCCTTCGACGCTGACGGCTTCCTTAAGGGTCTTCGGAGCAAATACTCCGGAGGCATATTCGCTCTCAATTTCGGTGGCGCGACCCACAATGTCATGTACACGCCAGGTCTTGCCACAGCGCTGCTTCACCAGAAACCCAATATTGCTGGCTCGGAAGAGACTTCGAAGCAGCTCATGGTCAGAGTCTTCGGCTACCCGAGTAATGAGCTTCACAAGTACGAAGCAATATGTCCCGACTTGATTGCCTGTTATAACCACCTACTCACGGAACCGAGCCTTGGTAGTATGGTTGCGCAGACGGCGATACGGCTGAAGGCCAGTCTGAAAGACCTTGTCACCGGAAACAGCAGCCCTGTCGACCAGATGGAATGGGAGAAATCCTGCAATGTCGACGTGACCGCCAATGCCAAGGGTCAGCCGGTAGTGGAGGCAAGCCTGCTGCCTCTGATCAGAAACTTCGTTGCTCACGTCGCGAATCCAGCGCTGATCGGCTCGGACTTTCTCAGCAACTATCCCGATTTCATGGACGACCTTTGGGCTTTTGATCGAGGCTTCCTGTACCTAGTTGTAGGCTTACCGCGTTGGTTACCTATACCGTCAATCACTCGGTCGTATATTGCTCGGAAGCGCAATCTGGAAAAACTGGAGGTATTCCACACAATGATGGAGCGAGTGGCCGAAAGCAAGAAGGTTGAGCCTAAGTGGTCCGGTCTCGATGACGTTGGTCCGCTTGTCAAGGCTCGTATGGACGTGTATCGTTCTCACCGGTTGAGCATTCGCGCTCGAGCGGCCTTCGAGCATGCGCTTTTGTGGGCTGCGAACGCTAATTCAGACGTACTTATCTTCTGGATGCTGACGCGCATCTATGCCGACAAGCTGCTACTTGCACAAGTTAGAGAAGAGATCGAGCCGTACTGCAAGGCGGTACAGCGAACCTCCGAGCTACCGATTGGGGACGCACCGCAACTTGACTTGCTAGACGTAGATGGCTTGTGCAGTAATTGCCCGCTCTTGAAAAGCTGTTACCTGGAGTGTTTGCGCCTCGATACGGCCTCCTGGAGCTTGAAAGTCGTTCAAGAAGACTTCGTCCTGCAGTCACGGGAAAAGGATGCTCAATCGTGGCTGCTCAGGAAAGGAGAGTTTGCACACGCGGCGCATAACTTGCATAACACTGATCCGGCCTACTTCGACGAGCCTATGACATGGAGAGCCGATAGGCACGTTCAGTACGAGGACGGGAGTAAGCGTGGTGTCGCTGAGATGGGATCTGTTCGTCCATACGGTACGAATCATAAGTGGTCCCTGTTATCAAGGTCAGAGCTGACAATTCCCAGGCGGAGGATCCAGCATGTGCAAAGGGCGTTCGTTCGCTTTCAAGGAATGCATGATGTTCACTGCAGCGATTGTCGCCATGTGGGATATGGATCCTGCTGGCGGTGGCGCATGGAACATTCCACGGCACAAGAAAGCGACAGGAGTCTATGCGACTAGTGATGAAACTCGGGTGTGCATCAAGCAAAGATGCCTCGAACACTGAACACCCACTTAATGTCGGTACAGAGCTTTCAGTACTCCGAGTCGAGCTCCTCTATGATGGTCTGGTTGAGTAAGCCTTTGCCACGCCTTGTCTTGCGGGCGCTATCCGAGAGGCTGAGATGCGCCGGAGAAGGTTGACCTGAGGACATTGTCACTGGCGACGATGGTGCCGGGGGAATCAATGGTACCTCCGCCTTCTCTCGTCGCTTACGGTTCGCCTCGCGGTACTGCCTTGCTGTTCGTAGACGCGCAGGCCCGGATTTGGCGTCCAAGTGCAGAGCAGTAGAAATTGAGCCGTAGGTGTAGCTCAGTGCGAGGCCAACAAGAGCTCCAACAATGGCAGCCACACCCAGGTAGATGTAGATTGTCTAGAGGTTGTCATTAGCAAGTCCCATTCACACCGGAGTCAAGATGCGTACCTCAAGCTTCGCTAATAGCTGGAACGGTACCAGAAGGCAAAGCAGGATCAAGCGGCCGAAGTAAATGAAGGGTTGCAGCAGGAACCGGAGAGGTTGGTACAGGAACTGCAACAATATCACGACGACGAAGATGATATAGCGGACGATGTACCAGATCAGGACGGCTAGAGGCCTCAGCACGTATAATGCCGCCGTTGCGACAGAGGCGATATGCCACTTGTCTGCCATCTCAGCCGTACCGCCGATGTGGACTCATGTTGTCGCGAGGCAGGTCGGTTGTTAGGAACACTTGCAATGATATCAAACGAATAGCCCGGCCGCAAAGAACCTCCGAAGGGCCTTGCCAAGCACCGCCACACCCCTGTCATGTCCTCCACCACCGCATCCGTCTTCCCCGCTATCGCTAAGCCACTTGCTTGAAAGATTGACTCGGGAGGCTTTCCACGTTCTGGTTACACAATGCCTTTGGAACGTATGAACATCTAGTACCACCAACCGTGCCAACTGCGAACAGTAGAGATGGTTGGGAAATAGAGTGGTGTAGCCGTAGCAAAACCATGCGATACCGACACAACTCATAGCGTCTGCAGCTGTGAGATGGGGCAGAACCAGAGCACGAGCGACCAAGCCGATGACCGCCAACATGCCTCCAATCGGGACGCGCGTAATGCAAGCCCGAGAGTTTCACAAGGCACGAGGAAGGTTGCACCACCGTTTCCTACCGCTACGGGCACCGCCGCACCTTCTGCACCCTCGACGACACCCACGCCCGTACACGCCAAGGTAGCCTCACATGCACGAGGGCGCAGTCTCACGGCCGCACCCAAACTACGTGCGGAAGAGTCGACGTCGAGTCAGAAGTCTCAGGCGGAGCAATCGCCTAGGATGGGTAATTCCTCGTCAAAGCCGCAGCCCCAGCCGTTGCCCGTCCTTGATCGCGAGAAGAGTGCGCCACTGTCTGGAGCAACGTCGGTGGATGGGGTGGCAGGCGGAGAAGTCGTGGGTGACAGGGACCTTTTGGAAGCGCCAGGATCGGAGGACAATGCTCTGTATGCGCCAGCAACATACTCGCGGCCACCGCGATTGCCTCTTCCCATTTCGGAAGAAGTCTACTCGCCAGGCTCACCTATTATCACACCGCAGGATATTAGCTCACCTCTCGATCACAGTGAGGTTGACGGAGTATTGCCTCGTAGAGGGAGCGTGCTCAGCTCGACCACCGCCGACGACGAGGACTTTGGCGACGGGCCTGAAGTGTTCGCGGCAGATCCGCAGTCGGTGGGACCTGTCGTTCCTACACTGATACAATGGCATGGCCAGGCAGATAAGGTGTATGTCACTGGCACGTTCGTTAATTGGGAACGCAAGTATAGGCTGCATCCGGACCCAGAGCGAGGTGGTTTCTCCGCGATCTTGCCACTGCATCCAGGAACCCACCACATCAAGTTCCTGATTGGAGGCGATATGGTTACCTCTGATAACCTGCCTACAACGGTCGACTACACGAACATTCTTGTGAACTACATCGAAGTTGTGGCACCTTTACCTCCCGTGGCAGAGCAACCACCCACGCCAGCCGAGCCGGTACCGATTCCAGGGGCCGCTGTCACTGCCGGGCAAGCAGATGCACCAACCAACGAAGCTGTCTCGCAGCCGCTCGATATTCGGACCGCACCGCACGCAACCGAGACAGCCACAGTCAGATCGTCAACGCTGCAGGAAACCATCAGCCCCGGCGCGCCGCAGCCTACAGGGTCTGTACAGTCGTCCCAACCCTTGCCAACGCCAACGACAGCGCCTCAAGCAGATGACCCTGAGCCACCTGCAGCGCCGAAGCAACGACTACCGCGACCCCGATATACGTCTGAGATCCCGGCGTTCCTTCTAGACCTTGACGCACCGAATCCAGAAGACGAACGGGTACAGCGGGCGAAGAGAGTAGAAGGTTGCCTACCTCAGCCGCCAAGCCTTCCCATGTTCTTGGGCAAAAGCATCCTCAACAGCGCAATGCCGCACAAAGACGATGCGAGCGTTCTCGTCATTCCCAACCACACCGTGCTGAACCACCTTGCTACTAGCAGTATCAAGAACGGTGTGTTGGCGACAAGCGGGACGACGCGGTACAAACGGAAGGTACGTGATCATCTCTTGCCAGTCATTCGCTGTCTTCTTTCTGACGTTCGAATAGTTCCTCACAACAATCATGTACAAACCGACGTCGGATGATGGCTAAAGGCCCGAAACCGCTGTATATTGTTCGCCTACATAGACCGCGGTGGATTGTGCGTTTTAGCGAACCCTAGACCTAGCAAATATGGTGCATGTTACCAACAGATAGCAGAGTGCAAGCGTTCGTATCGAACTGTGGCCGCTAGACAGCCGCGCATTGAGACACGCGCCCGTAGTCGAATGTCTCCATACCGAGATCGTAGTGCGGCGGCGCGTTGCTGCGGGAGGACTGGATATTCAGTGTCCAGCTACTCAATATGCCATCGATAGCATTGACAAGCGCGGCTGCGACTGCACGCTTAGCAGTTGGTCAAGCCGGGTGCCAGATGGTTGTTGCGGACCCGACTCGTGTTTCGATGAGGCAATGTACGTCCACCACGGCGAAGTAGTGTCCTCAAACATTGGCTGTAGCCATCAGCGGAAGCCTTGGCGCTATATGCTAGTTGGCAACTTATTGTCAAGTTATACAATGTCATCTCCGTATGTCATGTGTCACCTCGTTGCCATTATCATAGCCTACGTTTCTGTTTTCGCTAGCAGCATGCTTTGCCTTTCGAGGAAACGAATGTGCTCACGGTCGCTCTGGTGAGACAACGCTATGCTGGAAGGCGCAAGCTCCATTGGTTCGCCTTCCTCAAGAGCGCCGTTAATCTTATCCTCGTGCGGCAGATTAAGACGGTGCACTTGAGTTTTCGCTGCCGACAACCAAGGCATGCCATAACTTTTCCTCAGTGTCTGCATGATTTGCATTTCAACGGCACACCAAGCCGGATGCGGATAGTCGTTATCCTATAAGCTTATCATGGCATTGCACTGCGTGACGTATATGGGTAAGGACTTGATGCCTCTTTCCCTTCTTCCCTCTTCTATGTCGTCTTGATCGATACACGCGTAGTCCTATAAGCCGTTAGCAACGCAACGCTCAAAGCCCACAACTCGGTCTGCTGAGAGTTCAACACTTACCAACCAAATATACAAATTCTCGGACAAACTTGGCATCTGGATCGAGTTTGCCTGCATCGATCAGGACTTCCCGATGCCAGGTATCGCTGCACTGCCGATAGCCTTGGCACAATGTGAGACCGTCATTAGTCTAATAAACGACCAGTACTATGATCGAGCCTGGCGTAATGTCGAGGTTATGATCACGCAAGCCTTACGGAGTTCATTGGGTTTGCATGTATGGTATGAGCACACAGGAGCTGATCCAAATTCGAAAGCTTCTGTCAATGGAGACGTAAGGGGTCGCGGAATACTCAAACCCGGACTAACAAGACACGGAACTGCGCTTAGCAATAAGCGCTTGAGATTCGAGGGTGACAGAGCTCGGATCTTGTTTCTTGAGAGGCAGAGTAAGCTGTTCTACGAATCTTGATTGCTTGACTCTTACGGACGGTCTTGAGTCTTTGCCGGAGGGTAGCATTGACCAACATATGATAGTGCGGAATCATCTACTGTGTTTCCCAGAGGCGAGGGTTGCGCACTGCCCAGACAATGACAGTAATTATTGAGACTCGCTTGCTTAGGATCGTCAGTTATATCTCCGCATGGTAGTTATCCGAGCGAGAGTGTTGGATACACGATGGTGTCAGGGCCAAGCTCGTATCTAGACATTACAGGAATCAGTCTGGAAGGACTAAAAGCGGTAAAGGCAGTGCAACTTATTGCACCGCCATCATCCCAGCGAACGCGCGGAAGAACAGCGGCAGGCGATGCGAAACCGTGAACTTGAGACGACCGCTCTCCACCTCATCATCCCCCACCCCACACCACTCTAGCTTCCTTATCTCACGTTGGCAGCCTTGCTCCATTTGAAAGTCAGTAGCTATCCTCAAAGGACCGCCAATGAAGAATACGCCTCCCACGCTATCGCTGAAGACCTGCAGAAAGTAAGGCAAGACCTGATATCTAGAGTCCGCAGCTTCGTAAGCTCGCTGTACGAACCACGGAGCGTCGAAAGTTTGCAGCTTCTCGTGACGGCCAACATTGACTAGAGCGTAGCGTACAAGGAGCAAACAGGACCAGTAATAGGGGTGCGCAATACCTGCAGCCTTGGCAGGCCAGTCGAAGACAGGTGTAAAGACGTCCTTAACTGAATCGTATGTACCCTGGTAACGACTGAATGGCGACACGTTCCAGAGCGAAGTCGGACTCTCTATGGTTTCTGCACGTAGCATGAGAAAAGCCAGCTGCTTAACTCCCCGTCGAGAGCCATGAGTCGATTCATGGCAGCGGTTGCTTCTTGCGAAGTTTTGCTTGACGCAGCAACAGACTCCGCAGCCTCTAATGCCGCAGGAATAGGCATCGCAAGGTTGGCGAGATCGGCAAGACCACCCTGAACCAGCGTCTCTGCTGCAGCGATCCAAGCACCTTCGCCGAAGATGGAGCGCCTTCGACTCTGTATAGACCTCGCAAACATCAACTTGGCGAAAATAGTGCAGCAAGGACGCTTGAAAAGGTGTATTGCAACTGCGAGGACCCAGAAGGCTGAGTAAGGTGCAAAGTCCGCGAACGTGAGTCCTCCAGTCGTTCGACGATATAGGCGCCCAAAGCTGACACATGGCAAGCATGTCTACAGTGCCGAGGACAGCATCATCGCATGACGGGGAGGTGTGCTCAAGCTCAGTTCGGAGAAGTTGAATCGCGCGACCGTGGCGAGACCGCCCTTCACTGACAAGCCTCGGGTCTGTTTCGATCGTGCCTACGAGAATAAGAGAAAGAGAGTCAGACGCTGCGATCATGGTGCATGACCGCCATAAGGTCCATCATGCGACTCTCGTTGGCTCCTATAACCTCAGATACACACTTGCTTCGGGGAAAGGGTAGTATAAAACCAGAAGGTGGTTGACCAAGTGATTGACCATATGCTCCCGATTCTCCTAGGGATTTTGGAGCGACACAACATGCGCACGACTTGCCTCTTCCGGAGTCTTGATGAAATGCAAGCGGTGCCTTAGTCCGGCCTTCTCCTCCACATCAGCATAGGCTGCTGGACATCCCGCGCAAGCAAGCCGGCCATACTGGCATTTACTATCCTGGCCGTACGAGATGGCCTGTGTCGCTCGGCCCACAAGAGTTGGGAGCAGGCTCAGACTGACCCTGCCACGTCCTGGATACAGTACGAGGGCCCTATCCACCGTAGAAGAGTGCATGAGATATGGATAGACGGGCATGAGGCGTGATGTGCTGCAAGACAAGATCTGCCCCAGTCGTTCTGTCATTATATCGCGGTTCATGGGTTCCACGTCGACGTATACTTCTTATCAGCCGCAGTTGGCAGGGAATCTAAGTTTGGCGCTGGCGCTTGGATGAGCCATATCTTTAACAGTCAGCGACTTCTAACACATCCAGCAGTCCACACTCACCAAGCTACGGTATTACGCTGCAGCAGTCGGAACATTCTCCCTCACGCTTCAGCAACCTGGCTATAGGGACACTTTGCTGTCCAGTTCCTCGAGGCGCAGGATCTCGTGGGCTAGCCTTCCGGACTGAGCAGGCCAGGGTCTGCACCTCGGCATCTCGGGCGACGATGATATTCGACAATGACTCTCGCTGCTCGTTTGGCATTTGTCAAAGGTGCACCTTTCACCTTCCCAAGCCAGCTATTCCTAGCCTCTAACCCGCTGCTCAAGGGTACGGCGGAAGTCATGATGCCGAAAGTATGTTTACCTTCCATGAGGATCGGGCTTGTTCACCGCCATAGCCTCTCCCAAGCCTACTCTGCAACGACAGTCCGTCTGTCCCATCTTCTTCAGTTAACTGGGCCGCGCTGAAGAGATGTTGTAGCTTCTCCTTCCGAACTACCTGCCATAGTCTCCTTCCTACAAGACCACATAGAGAAAGCACATGCACGTGCTCTCATAGCGCCTGACACTGGCAGTCTGTCACTACCGCCTGCGCAAGACATTCCGTACTGAGATCAATGCTCGCCTTTGTATCACTTCGTAGTGGTGTACACGCCATTCATGCCTGCCGCAAGGTTGGGAGGAAGCCATGTCAATAGCGACTACTATGCTGATCGCTGGGAGATCCAGTTGCCATGTTTCCCGTCTTTGCCAGCATCAACCCTATCCGCGGAGACGGGCATCCTATCTTGCTCGATCGATTAGATCTCATCACCATCTAGAGCAGTCCTAATGTCTATGCCTTCCTTCTCGGGGGCAATCCTGCAGCTCCTGTCTTGCCTTCCCGGCCTTGCCTTGGCGCCACCTCACTCTCAGCATACCGAAGTCGAGATTTATCTCAGACGTCGACAAGCTGCCTCCGTGCCGGCGGACGATAATGGCGCTCCAGCCCGAGTCACGTACGCCGCATTCGCCCTCGCCTGCATGCTCGTCCTGGCTGCGCTGTTCGGTTGGTGACCGATACAAAAACCCGGCCGCAAGGTACATGGTACTTACTGTGCAATGCGTCTAGGCTCTCGCGCACGCTCCCTCGCCGACAAGAAGTACTGGACCACCATCACCTTAATCCAGTCGATACCCTACTTTCTCTACTTCTTCGGCATTGCCTTCGATATAGCAGCCGCCTTGACCGTCATCGGTATTGACCTGTCAAGCCACCCTCATTGTCGCGCCGCGATGTACGTCTGTCTTGTTTTCTACTGTGGCACCAAGATCAACATTCTGCTTTTCCTGATCGAACGCGCCCACCTCGCCAGAGGGAAACAGAAACGCCGCAAAGACTGGGTCTGGCTCTCTTTCATGTTTGCACTGGTCGCCGGTCTCGGCACGATCATCATCCTGGCGTTCATGGCTCCGAACGGATTCATTGATCCTGACGACGCGCAATGCCGGATCGGCCTGCCCAAGACTGCGGTCATGGTGTTAATGGTCTACGACATACTCATGAGCATAGCGCTTACCGGCGTATTTGTGATGCTGTTATGCCCACTGCTCAGGTCACGCATGCTGGCGAGGCAAGATCAAGTGCCGCTTGGTACAACGTCCTCGCATTCACCACTGCGTCCAGATCTTACTGCACAGAAGTCAAGCGGCTTGATGAGCCATAGGTCCCACGAGAGCGAGGTCTATCCTACCCTATTTCACACCCGCAATCCTTTCGCACAGCCATTTACTACACTGAACATAAGCGCTCCGCAATCAGATCATCTGCGGGTCCTCATCGGCAAGACATGTGTGGGCACCGCCGTCACAATGGCGGCCACAATCATAAACTTAGTTGCGCTGTACGCATATAACGGCCAAGAGCATGGGTGGATCTGCTTCATGTGTTGTCTGGGAGACGGTAAACGAACATGCATACGTTAACCTCACAGACACTGAGACCGAGCAGCTGATACGTTCATAGTGACATGGACCGTCATTGTTGTCCACGTTCTCACGGCTTCTCGTAAGGAAACACTTCGTCTATGTCGACCGCACACACTGCCAGCATTGGCTCGCCAGCTGGATGGATGTCTCACGTTGCCGCAATGAGAAGAGCGCATAGCGAAGGTAGTCTGTGAGAGGTGACATGTTCTCCCAACTGGATATCAGCTCGCCTAAGGTCTCGAAAGCGAGTGGAGTGCCTACGTTCCACCCGACGAGCTGGGAGCTCATTGCGATGCACATGTTGCAGATCTACCCACCCTACGCAGAACCGCCCTATGCAGAATAACCTAATGCAGCAACGGCCCTACGCAGCACGCTCGTCAGAGACTCTACTTGCCAAAGAAGCAGGACTGTTTCTGCGACCAGTGACATCGTTGGCCGCAGCGATGCTGACCCTGCTGCAATCGTGGCCGCTGATCTCACTTCCCGTTTTTCTCAAGATTGGGTAGATCCCGCTGGCGTTACAGTACCGCTATTTGGTGGTGCGTTGTCCAGCGTGTTGCCCTGTCTCTACAATGCCGAGAGGACATTGGCCACGGTGCTTATGCTTTCCCACGTTGCGGATGTGGCCTCGTTCGCGATTGTCCTGCCTTCATAGGTCGCTGGGAAGAACACTGCGTAATCTGACGGTATCCGTTCGTCCAGGATGGCCGTCCCGTCTAGCACGTTGTTGCACAGGTCACAACGTCCGCCGTCCCAGATCGCCACGAGACAGTCAGGGTCCGAGTCACAGTACTCCAAGCACTCAGACTGTATCGTCCCGTTCGCTCGCTTGACAATACTGTCGCAGATTGGGACCGAACTGCACGAGATCACATAAGTCCGATTGAAACAATCGGTCACAGAGGCGCCTTCGCAGGCTGGGCAGCTTGGGTCTTTGAGATTGCAGGCAGGAGTCGGCGTCGGCATTGGCGTTGCTGATGCGCTTGTCGGTGTCGAGTAGTTGCTATACCCGGCGAGTGTATTGTAGCGGCTCGGACTCGTTTGAGGTGCCTTAGTCGTTGCCGGCACGGGCAAGAAAGCAGTGTACCCAGGCTGCTGCTGAGGGAAAACATCCGTGCCGTTCGCGAGCTCGCAGTCTCGGTCCGCGAAGTATGTAGAACCTTCACACCAAGCGACATCGTCGCATGCGAGCGTGCAACCTTGAGCCGAAAACCATTGCTGTAGGCTGTAGTTGTCCTCCGAGAAAAGTTGACTGTCGCAGAAGACTTGATACGTTTTGTTCTTGCTGTCTGTGACATATTGTCGATCGCAAACAGGACAGACAATGTTCGAGTACGAACATTCACCTTGAGGCGGTGATGGTTCATTGTTGTTTGTTCCATTTGCGCCAACCTTAACAAATGCGTTGGTGCCAGGATGGTTGATAAGCTTCCAAATCTCACCACTCGCGATTATGCATTCGCCATTTGGCGTCCATTGAGCGCCCAAGCAGTCGCTATCCTCGTCACAGGCTTCGACGCAACTCTTCGAGCTGTTGACTGGACTGCTACTTGTCACCAGATAGCGTTCGGTTGCATTGATCACCGCATTGCACGAGACGGAATATGTCTGGTCATTGATGTCAGTGATGAAGTCGCCGTCACAGTTCGGGCATGGATCTGGTTCCGAGCCGCATTCATTGCCTGTGGAAGAGCTCGGAACCGGTATGTTGCTAGAGTTGTGGCGCAGAGACAGCAGCTGAGCACCTGTCGAAGGAAGAGATACCGCCACAAGCGCCGCGGTGTAGGTGCAGAGGCGCGTCATCCTGTGGTGGTCGGTTCGCTGCGCCAGTCAAATAATCGAACCATGGCTTCGAAAGAAGTAGGTACTTAGGGAGCGCGTTGGGGTGGGAATGACGATGACGTGGAACACAGATTGAGGAATGTACCCAACTCCTCACTTCAGATGTTCTCTGGTCCGTTACAGCATCGTCTGCCAGCTTACAGTGATACATTCCATATGCGATTGACAAAGCGATGATTCATTGCTCGCTGCGCGATGCGTCGTGGGATTCGAGATTGTTCGGGAGCCCTCAGTGTCAGTAACATACCAGTCCATGGTCTCACTTACGCCGACGTATTCGTTTTCGGGTTCAAGACTTGTGGAAAGGAACGGCAACAGCCATCGCCTTCGAGCAATAAAATAAACATCACCCAAGATTTCTGATTGGCAGGACAACATAGACACGACGGGAGCTTCACCCACATTTGCCGTATGCCTTCCTTGATTCCACAGAGTAGGTCTTGATCCACACATGTGCGGAAGAGGGCTTGCTTCGATGGCTAGGGGGCAGCATCCTACGGAGCTAAGGAGGGTGTCAATGAGGTATTGGTAGTCGGAGTCCGTGATCCTGGTCGCAGAGGCGTTCGGTACTTGGCACCGCGTCTTGCCGAAGCTTCGTCAACTTTATGCGCGGTGTCTTTCACATCTATTCCGGTTGGCTGTTGCGTCCTTTGAGTGGAGGCCACACCTAACGGCCCTAATCTCGCCCACGGACGGAGTTGGCCTGACAAACCATGTCGGAGTAGTGCAATGTATTGCCCCATCACCGCTGTCAATTTTCAGGCGACCGGCCACGGTGGCAAGGCCGATTGCATGCAACCGAGTCGGAGGATGCGACGCGGAGGATGCGGGTCATAGAAGAGACCTCTCGGCTACACGACTTTCCGTGCATATACGGCCTAAGATGGCCGCTTGCTGTATGCGCACTGCTCTCCAAGGCCGGCAAGTCGTCGCCGTTCTCTCTTACGTCTCTGCTTGTCACATCGTGTTGATTTTCGTTGTGTTCGTCATCAATTAGCCTCTTGGCAGTTCAAAACGCGTTGGCACCCGCATCAGCACATCGTTACTTGCAGTGGGGTGATGCTTGGAAGAGGAAGGCAACAGTTTAGGATCTGAGTCACACTCTCAGGGTTGAAGAGCAGTGTATAAGCTACGCAGTCTGCGCTTCCTACTTGCAGAGTGCAGGCGCTCATCGATTGCCCACCATGGCGCACGCACTCGAGTCGGAGAAGCAGATATCGTCATCAAACTCCAGCAACAATGATATGTCAAGAGACGAGATCGACCATGGGGACATGGAGAAGACCATGCTCGGCCAGACGCCGTTCCCCATGCAATTACCGGAGGAGCCAGCACCGCCTTTGCATCGGTTAGACTCTACCGTCCCCAAAGGCAAGGGCGACAAGGACAAGGAGGAAGACGACCCGTTAGCACATTTACCAGAGCACGAGGCAGCCATTATACGCAAACAGCTCGATATACCACCCGTGAAGCTCACATACTTCAGTCTATATCGGTACGCCACCCGGAACGATTTCCTCATCATGGCCGTAAGCGCCATTTGTGCTATTGCCGGAGGCGCTGCAATGCCTCTCATGACTATTATCTTTGGTTCTCTCGCCGGGACTTTCCAAGGCTTCTTTAACGGGAGTGCAAATGGTGCCGCGTTCTCGCGTACTGTTGACCATCTAACGTTATACTTTGTTTATCTCGCTATTGGAGAGTTTGTAACCATCTACGCCGCAACTGCTGGTTTTATCTACGTTGGCGAGCATATCTCGGCCAAGATTCGAGAGCATTACCTGGCTAGCATTCTGCGGCAGAATATTGGATACTTCGACAAGCTTGGTGCTGGCGAGATTACTACGCGTATCACAGCGGACACTAATCTCGTACAAGATGGTATCTCTGAGAAGGTCGGCTTGACGCTTACGGCTGTCGCCACGTTCATTACAGCATATGTTATTGGTTATATCAAGTACTGGAAGCTCACCCTGATCTTGACATCCACGATTGTGGCAATCTTCGTGACAATGGGTGGCCTTGGCCAAACGATCGTCAAGTACAACAAGCAGTCTCTTGCCGCCTATGCTGAGGGCGGCACTGTTGCCGAAGAGGTTATCAGCTCCGTCCGCAATGCCACCGCGTTCGGGACACAAGACAAGCTCGCCAAAGAGTACGATGTCCACCTTTTCAAGGCAGAAAAGGCCGGTTTCGTTATGAAGGGCGTATTGGGCTCAATGATCGGCTTCTTGATGTGCTACGTTTACCTAACCTATGCACTGTCCTTCTGGCAAGGCAGCCGGTACCTTGTGCAGGGCGAGATGACGCTGTCTGATGTGCTTACCATTCTGCTGTCTATCATGATCGGCGCCTTCTCCCTTGGCAACATTGCTCCAAACATCCAGGCCTTCACCACCGCCGTGGCGGCTGCGAATAAGATCTACGCTACCATTGACCGCAAGTCTCCGCTTGACCCGCAGTCCGATGAGGGAACGAAGCTGGATCACGTGGAAGGAACGATCGAGCTTCGCAACGTGCGACATATCTACCCTAGTAGACCGGAAGTCGTCGTGATGGAGGACGTCAATCTCCTCGTTCATGCCGGCAAAACGACCGCGCTTGTTGGTGCTTCCGGCTCTGGCAAGTCTACAATCGTGGGTTTGGTTGAACGGTTCTATGACCCTGTCGGTGGCGAAGTTCTGTTAGACGGACACAATGTACAAGACCTCAACCTTCGATGGCTGAGACAGTATATCAGCTTAGTGTCGCAAGAACCCACGTTGTTTGCAACGTCAATCGCAGGCAACATTCGCCATGGACTGATCGGAACTCAATATGAGGGCTTGCCAGGCGACAAGACGAAGGAGTTGGTGGAGAGTGCGGCGCGGATGGCCAACGCGCATGACTTCATTACGCAGTTGCCGGAGGGTTACGACACGAATGTGGGCGAGCGCGGATTCTTACTATCAGGTGGCCAGAAACAGCGCATTGCCATTGCACGAGCCATTGTGAGCGACCCGAAGATCCTTCTATTGGACGAAGCAACGTCCGCACTGGATACCAAGTCGGAAGGCGTTGTGCAAGCGGCGCTTGACAGGGCGGCCGAAGGAAGAACAACCATCGTGATTGCCCACCGCCTCAGCACTATCAAGCATGCTGACAACATCGTCGTGATGTCCCACGGTCGCATTGTCGAGCAAGGAACGCATGACGAGCTTCTTGGGAAGAAAGCAGCCTACTATAACCTCGTCGAAGCTCAACGCATAGCCCAGCAGACTGAAGCGAAGAGGGAGGATGACATTCCTATCCTTGACGAACGAGACGCACAAGTTCGCGGCGACCTCAAAACGCCCGCCACGGAAAAGGGCGAGCTAGACTATGTCGATCCCGACGATCTTGAGCTTGGCCGAACCAAGACTGGGCAAAGCGCCTCCAGCAAAGTCCTCGCGGGCAAGAACCAGCAGAAGAAAACAAAGTACAGTCTCTGGCAGCTTATCATGCTTGTGGCGTCGTTCAACAAGCAGGAGTGGCACTACATGTTACTAGGTCTGTTCTCTTCAATCATCAACGGAGCTGGCAATCCTGTCCAGTCTGTCTTCTTCGCCAAGGCCATTTCCGCCCTCGCACTGCCTCCGTCCGAGTATGCGAGACTGCGATCACAGATCAACTTCTGGAGCTGGATGTACTTCATGCTGGCCATGGTGCAACTCATCTTCTTCCTCCTTCAGGGCATAGCATTCGCCTACTGTTCCGAACGGCTCGTGCATCGCACGCGCGACCGCTCCTTCCGTACCATGCTCCGGCAGGACATCCAATTCTTTGACCGTGAAGAGAATACGGCTGGTGCCCTCACTTCGTTCTTGTCTACCGAAACGACACATCTGGCGGGCATGTCTGGCGTTACGCTTGGCACTATCCTTCAAGTCCTTACCACACTCATCGTCTGCTTCGTCATCTCCCTCGCTGTCGGCTGGAAACTGGCGCTGGTTTGTATCGCTAGCGTCCCCGTCGTCTTGGCCTGCGGCTTCTTCCGCTTCTGGATGCTAGCTCGTTTCCAAGAACGCGCAAAGAAGGCCTATGAGAAGTCCGCTTCTTACGCCTGTGAAGCTACCTCTGCCATCCGCACTGTCGCGTCCCTAACGCGTGAGAACGATGTCTGGGCGCACTATCACAACCAGCTGGTGGACCAAGGTCGCAAGTCGCTCATCTCCGTACTGCAGTCTTCGGCGCTGTATGCAGCGTCGCAGTCTTTCATGTTTCTGGCCATTGCGCTTGGCTTTTGGTACGGTGGTACCCTTATCGGCAGCGGTCAGTACAGCTTGTTCCAGTTTTTCTTGTGCTTTTCCGCCGTCATCTTTGGCAGCCAGAGCGCGGGTACAATCTTCAGCTTTGCACCAGATATGGGTAAAGCGAAGCATGCAGCTATAGAGCTCAAAACGCTGTTCGACCGGACGCCGGAGATTGACAGTTGGAGCCAAGACGGTGAGGTGCTGCAGGGCATGGAAGGCCACATCGAGTTCCGAGACGTGCACTTCCGCTATCCTACGCGAACCGAGCAGCCGGTCTTGCGGGGGCTGAACCTCACTGTGAAGCCTGGTCAGTACATCGCTCTTGTCGGAGCTTCAGGGTGCGGCAAGAGCACCACTATCGCGATGCTGGAGCGCTTCTATGACCCGCTCGTTGGTGGCATCTACGTAGACGGCAAGGAGATCAGTAGTTTGAACATCAACAGCTACCGTAGCTATCTGGCGCTCGTTTCGCAGGAGCCGACATTGTACCAGGGCACCATTCGCGAGAACATCTTGCTCGGAGCGGATACGGCCCCAGAGGATGTGCCGGAGGAGGCGATTGTGCAGGCTTGCAAAGATGCCAACATCTACGACTTTATACTTTCGTTGCCGGAGGCGTTCAACACCGTGGTCGGGAGCAAGGGCAGTATGTTGAGTGGCGGGCAGAAACAGGTACGTCTCCACTGTCTACCCATCGTTACTTCTAATCAGTAATAACACAATCCACAGCGTATCGCCATCGCCCGCGCCCTCCTTCGCGACCCAAAGATCCTTCTACTCGACGAAGCCACCAGCGCATTGGACTCGGAGAGTGAGAAGGTAGTCCAAGCTGCCCTGGACGCCGCGGCCAAGGGTCGCACCACTATTGCGGTCGCTCACAGACTATCCACGATCCAAAAGGCCGACCTGATCTATGTGATCGATTCTGGGAAGGTAGTGGAACAAGGCACGCACTCGGAGTTGCTCAAGCGGAAGGGCAGGTACTTCGAGTTAGTCAACCTGCAGAGTCTTGGGAAGACTCAGTAGGTGATATTGGATGGTTGCGATTTTCTGGATTTACATATCAGCAAGCGAGGCGTCCTCGGTGGGCAAGAGCTGGCGTCAACGCTGCTCAACGTTTGCTTGTACATGATGGCACAGTGTTGCACAAGCTACTCACTCACATCGGTCTAACCGCAATTCATGATGGGTTAAGGAAATGTGCAATGGACAGATGCTCTTCGAGGATAAGACTTACCACGGTGAGCGCCCCGTTACGATACCTTCGCTCATAGAGCGGCCCAGCAGGAGGTCAATTAGATCACATGCAATCAACGCGGCGTTACTGAATCATAGTTGTCATAGCTCGTTAAAGAGCACACCCTGCGAAAACACCCTCCGGTGTTCCGCGTACGAGAGCTCAATGCTCAACAATGCATAGCTCCCAATGGCACATCCTGGTAGAACCCGAACTCGCGCATGAGGTCCTCCTCAGTCCAATCGCGCTCCGGCTCAGTGCCCACGTAGTTCCTCTCAGCATCGCGGGCAAAATGTTGCTTGTAAACATGTCGCGGAATCTTGATCGCTTTGTATTCGCAGTCGTCCTGGACGCTGGCGAAACGCGTGGCCCAGCGTTTGAACAGGGAACGCTTTGGCGGCCTGGGTGCAACATTAGCGTATCGTTTGAGGCCGACGTTTGTCGGTGGTCTTGCCTGCTTGGCAACTCATCGCGCCCATCCTTGACCTCCTGCTGGAACTTGCTCGCCACTCTCACGGCAACGAAGATCAAGTCGTCATCGCTACGAGGCGAGACGGAAGCACTTCGCTCGAAGACGATACCAGGGCTGAATGGGCAGCCATCAGAGCGTGTCTGGATGCCGGAGATGCTTGACTTGCGCGAAGCGGGCGTCGACGGATTGGTGCTTCCCATGGAGGAGGCAGAGTTGGTACTGACAGCGCTGGCTTTGCGCGGTGTATCGTGCTGCGAAAGCTTACTGTACTGCTTGTCCATATGATGGTTGCAGAAATGGTAGGATTTGGTCATTGTGTCGTTTTGCTGTTGTTGCCGCCTCAGACGAGTTTGCTCGCTTGCTTGCAAAGAAGGAACGTTTGGCACTTATATGCGCGCTCTGTCTATTATAGGATCAATCGCATTACACCACCAGCCTCTTGAGGGTTTTCCAATTATTCGCGCGGTCCCGATGACAAACACCGGAATGAGAGGTGATGGAGAGGTGATGGCATGATGGCCTTCTTCTCTATATCTGCTACCATTATCCTGATAGAATCGTACTTTTTCCGTCAACAAGTGCGCTGTCGGCGAGCTGATTTACCGCATTGGTGAGAGCCGACCGCACATATTACGAAGATACTGTAAATGCTTGTCAACATGTCGTCGATTGGTGAGTGGATACCTGCGGTGACCCCAAAAGGGTCGGCGCCGCTTCCCACTTGGGGCGCATCCCTTCCGGAACGACCAACCCTCTGGTCCGCCACATACCTGGTGGGGTCCACAAGTAGTGTCTGACATGTCATTCTTGGTGGCTGGTGTTATCGCACGTCGTTCGTTCGTGGAAGTCTTTGCTTCGAGGGGCAGAGGGAGCGTTAGTAATTAATCAGACGAGACAGTGCCAAAATCTGTCTCCAAGCCTAAGGGACCACTCACTTTGTGGTACCTATGTGTTATCTGATATGCCTATACGATATAGACAGCTGCCTCATAGCATGACCCAGCCACGCCAGACTCCTCGCTCAAAGCATGCAGACTCCTTGCGAACAGCGATCGATCATGCAATCATCTTTGCGCCGGCTTCCTGTCCGCCTCTGGTTACCATGTCATAGTAGACGGAACCGTTGGAACTCATCTGGTAGATGACCATGGCACTGCTGTTAGCGTAAGCAGCCGTCAGCTTTGTGCCCTGCGCAGCGGTACCGAGCTCCACAGTGTTCGAAATGTTTGAGCCGTAGTAGAGTGCCCGCTCCAGATGCTCGTCGGTTGACTGGTAGAAGATCGAGTCGGTGGTACCATCGCTCGATGCCGCAATGTCCGAGCCGGCGGTCATGTTGCTCGAACCCTGTGCGACTATGAAGAGTTAGCAGGCGTTGAGGCAGCGGTAGTAACGTACTTACTCGGTCTCCATGCAGCATTGTGGTTAACGTACTGATCCACATAACTCCACTGCCACTGCTGCAGGACTGGGGTACTCGTTGATGTGTTGCGGAAGTAGAGGTGATTCACATTGTTCGATAAGGTGCACGACACGCCGCTCTTCACATCGCTGCCAGGGAATATGCCCCACATGTGCCAAACCGGCTGAGAAGACTCGAAGAAGTCCATGCCGACTTCGCGAATGCACTCGGATGATGTAGTTCCGGGACAGGATCCGGAGCCATAGTAGACGCGAATACCGTCTAGACCTGTATTCTGTGCAGCAGTGCCGGAGCACACAGTCAATGCGATAGTGTCAGGATCCGCTGAGTCGCCGGTCAGGACGTTGTATGGTACCGACCAAGGATTCGAGCCAGTGGTGTTGGTCGTCATGACATTCCCGTTGCCGTCGATGTAGAAGAGTTGGCGCTGGAACATACGTCAGCTCTACTTCACGGTATCCTTTTGAGATTGGCTTATTACGGTAGTGTGGCTATTGCTAACCCATGACGTGACAGCAAGTGGCGAGCCGCTTGCCGCGCTTGAGCCTGCCACGACTGTGTCGTTGGACACAATCTGCATGTTCGTGCTATTGTAGGAAAGTTCGATCAGAGCACCATCTGTTCGTTGATAGTAGGAGAACAGGGCTGGCAGCGAATCCGAAGAGCTTGCAGGTACCATCAATGCGAAGCCGCTATTGTTGGCTGCGTTAATAGGCGGGCTAAGAGGCAACGAAGAGTTCGACCCGCTTGATCCGCTTCCAGTCGATGTTGGGCTCGAATTGCTCGAAGATGATCTATCCAGCTGTCAACAACGACATAGAGCTGCGGTCACACGGAATGCATACTTGGTGTTGATGACACCTAAGATGCCACCGCAAACGCCACCCACGACTGCTGCAATGACGACGAGGATCACTATCGCTAGGACAATGAAGAAGACGTTTCGTTTCATCCCCCAAATACGTCGCTCTCTCGGCTGCTCAGGCTCTGCCGCGTGCTTCTCATTGCCCTCATATCCAGGAGGTGGCGCATAGTAGGCACGCACGTCCTGTCCAGGCTGTGGAGTCTCCGTTTCGTGGAAGTAGCCTTGCGGTTGCTTCCGATTTTGACCGTACGGCGTGAATGCTTCCGGACTGTGCATAGACGAGCGTCGCTCCAGGGGACCTCGTAAACTGGTCGATTGCACCACCTCCGGCGCATCGTTCGTTTCGATCGCTTGCAAGCCGGAGTGGTCAGGTTGCGGTTGTTTCGCGTCCATCTTCGACATCGAATTCGATTGGAAGGAATTAATACAGAATTAAGCCGAACTCGTACAGAGGAGAGAAGCGGAAAGACAGAAGGAAGGAAAACGAAACAGCTGATTCCCCTCACCAAGCGTCCAACTGATGATCATATACCATGTTTAGCGAACCAACACTTCCACCTATCGTTCAGCTCGGGTGGCCTCGTGCTAGCATCTGTAGCTTCGTGGGATACCTATAGATGGGCTCGGAATAGATGGGCGTGCAGGAGCACGAGCTAAACGGGGCTGAGATCGTGCGGGCGGCAAGTCCCGAAGCAGGAACGGTATCCGTGCGCTGATGACAGATGGTAGCGAGAACGAATCGGATGAGTTCTCTTTAGTAGATGTCCTCGAGAGCGGGTGCCATTCACAACCGTGATCGCATGCTCTCCTAACACTGCGCTTATTGAAATTCTCGTGACGAATGGTGAATTACCCGACCATGCGATGTTCTCGTGCATGATCTCCGTGCTGTGCACCCTGGCACTCTAGGCCGGACTATATCAAATGTAGCCAACGCTCGGCTCGAGGCTTGCTCGAGCCGTACGCCAGAGTCGCAGCATGACTGCGGTAAGTCACACGGCGGCATAACGGCATCGCCAATGTGCGATTTGCTCACTGTTTCCATCCAATGGCGACAAAGACTTCATCGACTTCACGTATTTGACCACTCGCATCGGCCAACTTTACCCACTCTTCTCGGAAGACTGCTCGAGCCTTCTGCTTGATGTCGTCGTTGGCGAGTGACTGAGCTGCCCAATCAGTGATATGCTTGTCGAACAATCGATCAGCGTCGCCGATAGTGAAGGCCTGCTCAATACGTGGATGCTGTATGTCGCTGAGGTACGCTTGAAGGTCGTCACGACCTTCTATGTCCATTTGGGATACGGAGTGGACCACAACGTTGCGCAAGCCTGCTCCATCCTCCAGAAGCCTTCGAGCATCGTCCGGTGACTGGAAAGGTACGCGATAAAACGGCACAGGTCTTCCGAGTTTACGGCCTACCCGTTCGAAGGTTATCAGCGAGATCTGGCTTTCCGGATGAGTGACATCCACAATCATTCTGCCTCCCCGCGTCAAAAAGGTTGCCCACTGCTTGACGGCTTCGTAAGGCCGCTCAAGCAGAACCAGAGCCGAGACACAAGTAATGACGTCGAACGTCTCGCCTTGCAGTTGCAGTAGAGACTGAAGATCAGTTACGGAGTGCTGAAGCAACTGTACGTTCTCATGCTTGTGGTCGGCTTGCTTCGCTTTCGCCTGGGCAAGCATGCCGGTGCTGATGTCGACGGCCACAACACTACCTGTTGGACCGACTGCATTAGCTGCAGGGTACGTGACTAGTCCCGTGCCACATGCGAGGTCTAGGACGCGTTCGCCAGAGTGTATTCTAGCAAGCTCGACCATATGCCTAGCGAAGCGAGGGTGCCAGCTGTTGTCGTAGCGGATGGCGCGGTCATCATACAGTCTCCGCGCATCGCTGGGTTGGTTTCGAGAGAAGGTCGCGTCCATCAAACGGGCATCCATCAGAGATGAAACAGGCTTCTAAAGATGTGCTTATAGTAGCGTTAGCAATTGTAAGGTATGACATGACCTTGATGCAGTTGGAGATCTGCAGCGTGGTTCTCCCATCCTAATACGCTTGATGTATGTACAGGCATGCGGTAGTAGTATTTCCGGTGAGCTATTGTTTCTCAAGCGTAGGGACTGTCAAAGTTGGAAGCGTCGACATGAACCTTTGCGATGACGCTGCGGGGGCTTGTGCGCTGGCCTGCTTCTGAAGGCTTCCAAACACACCATCTTACAAGAACGCCGTACCCTCACTACTTGCGCAGCTTAACGTCGATTGAGCCGACACAAGCAGACAACATGTCGGCGAAGATCCAGAAGGTGCTCGCGCGGCAAAAGGCCAAGTATATCAACCCTCCCTTCCCACCAGCAAACGGACACTGATTACTTGCAGGATCGAAGAGGGAGAGTACTACGAGGCACACCAACAGCTGCGGACGATCGCCAACCGAAATGTCAAGTCTAATGATTGGGAGTCGGCGATCGATCTGCTCTCGAATGGCGCCGCCTTACTGCTGAAAGCCGGACAAGGCGGCTCCGGGGCAGACCTGTGTAACTACCTTGTCGAAGTCTACCAGAAAGCCGAACTGAAACCCGACGTGACGAACAAGGCACGAATTCTAGGACTACTACGGGCTTTCCCACCCAACGAACCGGGCAAGAAGAAGTTCGTGAGCGGCATCATTGAGTGGTCAAGCAAATATGGCGAGTTCCCGGCCGGTGACCCAGAGCTGCACCACGTTATCGGCTCGCTGTTCGCAGAAGAGGGTGAGGTCTACGATGCAGAACGACACTTGGCGTTGGGCACCTCGGACTCAGCGCAGATCATGGCGGACATGGAGTACGAATGGTACGCTTCCGATGAGCCCTCCACCGCACCGAGCTACGCCGCACGAGCTGTGATACCCTACCTTCTAGTCGGCAACACCCGCGCCGCCAACAAGTCATTGCTACTCTTCACAAGCAAATTGTCGACCTTACATCCCGGCCTAGGCGTCCAAAGCATATCCTCACCCAGCTCCGATATCCGCATCTACCCGAGCTTACCTCTTCTCAACTTCCTCGGTCTTCTCCTGCTCGCGGTGCAGAGAGGGACGTCTGACTTATTCAAGCAGCTCAAGTCGCACTATGCATCCCACCTGAAGGAGGCCGCATGGGAAGAGCCGCTTGCGCAAATAGGCGAGATGTACTTCGGCATCAAGATACCATCTCAGAGTAATCCTATGTTTGACATGATGAGCAGCATGCTCATGGGTGGTAATAACCCGTTTGCGCCGAAGAAGAAGGAGCAGAAAGCCGTAGGTGCGGCGGCGCCCGCTCCTGCCCCCGCACCGGCAGTCGATTGAGATGTAGATATGTTGATACCCTGCAGTACAGACCTCTTTTGTTGTTGTCGTTAAGTCCGATCCATTCGGCGCCTCGTTTAGAAGGGAGACGGGATAGTACAGCGTGCCTTCTCCGTGCAGGCATTCGTACGAAGTTGAGCTCAGTCGGACATGGCTTGCTTAACGCCGCGCCCGGATTGTCCGTGAAGTCCGCGGACCACTCGTGATGCCTCAATATAAGGACGGCGAATAGGTCTCTGGGTATCACAGGTTGCTAGCATCGATTCATCAAGCTCACATAAGTTACGAAGCGAGCAGATCACCATCTCCTGCCACAAAGCACTCACCATGTCGACCTTGTTCTTGGACGTTCATACTCTGCGACTGCTCGCAATGCAGGCTGAAGGCGAGCTCGACAAGGAGCAAATGCTTGATGACTGCCAGTGCTGTGATGACTGTCAACGCATCTCTACATCGCCCTGGCTGCCAAGGTCAACCGCTTCAGCGAAGCGACAACCCAGTCGACAAGCGAAGGCTGCACCTCGAACACAGTCACATCGGAACCTTGCACTTGCTCTGACGCGAAATGATGCCTGGCGGCTCTTCTGACGCGCAAGTCATCTTCCCCCAACTAGCGACACGTGAGGATTGGCAAGCGCACAATATAGACTCCGCTCAACAGCGTCGTCACCATCACCATCCACCTTAGCGGCAGCAAGCAGACCCGGTGTGCCGGCGTGTCAGGACAAAGGGCATGCACAGCACGACTCTTCTCATGTCATAACAGTGAAATCAGCCGGGACCAAAGGTCGTTCTCAGCTCACTGGAGGGTAGTAAGTGCTCGGCTCAGCAAACGCCTGCTGCATCTCCGTAGGGTTGAACGGCCAGCTATCGAACGTCCAAGCTTCGATTTCATCCAGGTCAATGTCTATCAGAGGCGCGTCCTGCGGCGCGGGTTGTTCTTCGCCAGATCTCGTCGGTGGCACAAGCGGTGGATACTCCATCATAGCATTTGACGTCTCATCCACCGCTCGCTGCACCGCTTTCTCCACCGACGTGCCTTGCAGTGCGCTCAGCCCCTCTTCCTGACACGCCATAATCTTGTAGTACGGACGCGTGATTTTGTCGACGGCTTCCTGCATGTACTCCGCACGTCGCGAAGGGTCTTTCTTTGCTTTCCATAAGCCGTGCGCCGCCAATGCGATCCAAAGTTGTCGCTGCTCACGACCGAAACGGATCGTCTTGTCCGTAAGCATGGAGATGGCGTCTTCCATCACTCTGTCTGCGTGCTGCTCGATAAAGGAGCCAATGCCGCTTTCGGCCTGTAGGTCGATGGTGGTGGCAACGTAGCAGATCGATAGAGCCGCTCGTAAGTGGTCGCGGCACATGATCTCTAGCGCGTGGTTGCCCTTGTCGATAAGCGACTTGTGCGTTTTCATAATGCGCGTGGCAGTATCTACGAGTATCATGCGCGAGAAACTACGTTCAAGCATGGTGTCTGCTTGGCGGATCTGACGGTCATGCAGCGCTAGCAAATATTGGCGCAGGTTGATCGTCAAGAGTGCCCGTGCTGTCTCTGAGCGAGGATCGGTCCATTGTGGGATAGCTTGGAGGTATGCTTGGATCTCTTCGGTGAAGCGTTTCGCATCATCGAACGTCAGCGTCTGTCGGATGTTATTTAGCATCGTGTTGATGCTGTGCCTGAGCAGCACCGATTCGTTCACCAACGCAAGGTATGAGGACATGGTGAACTCCTGAATCCGGAGAGGATTGGGTAGCCGCTCACTGGGCTGATCAATGTCGTCGTCGGATATATTGCTAGGTGGTGGACAGTCAGCTTGCATCGGCCACGGTGCGCAGACCATGCCACGTCCGAACGAGGCCTGTAGTTCCAGCTCGACAACAGCCGCCCATATCCGCCGTCGCAGTTCTTTGTCAAGCGCTGAAGTCTCTTTCCGGATGAGCTCAGGGTTGCGGTGCAAACCTGCAGCCATGCAGAAGCGCAGCAACGTGCCGGCGTCTGTCCAGGCCCGCTTGTACTTGCGAGCACTCACAACGCGTCCCAAAGCCAGCAAGAAGCGGATTTGGAAGTCGGCAGCAGTCACATGCTTCTGACTCTGCGCCTGTAGCCAGTCATCGCAGGCTTGGATGTATGTAACGGCTTTTTCTCTGGCCGCGGAGCTATTGGCAAAGTACAGCCATGGTTGAGTGGTTGTCAAACATTGCGTTGCGCCCATCATCAATAGAACGACGGCAACAAAGTGAGGTCGCGCTGCTGCCCTGTCCTCCCATAGGTCGTCATACTCCTTTCGAAAAGATGGCATATGCACGATGTGGTAGATCGTACCATAACTGTCAAGATAGAGTTTAATAAGTTCATCAGCCTCAGCCTTCTCCGGCAAGAGTGCTTTCAGGTCATCACCGCTGGTGGGCCGTGACGTCGATCCAGCATTGTCGGTCCGATCTTCTAGCGCCTGCATATCCTGTCTGATTCTATGCAGCGTAGGATGCTTGTCGAACGTTTCTCTTGTGAAGACCTTGAATTCTGGAATATGCGCAATCAGAGAGGCCGGATGCGTTGAGCCATGGAACCGAGTCTTGAAAGACGTGCCGCGCAGAAGCATAGTCTCACGATCATTGATCGTAGCACCATTGGGCTCCGCGGTCGGCATGAAAGACTCTGGTGTGAGCGGCAGCTTCATACTACGAACCCGTAACGTAGGATCGATTGCAGACGAGTTACTGGCTTGCGCTAACGCGGTTTCTAGTTGCTTGATACGGCGGTCCTGATACTCTAATCTTGCGAGAGTGTCGCCAACGGGTCCGCCTGGTTGGATCGGTCTACTGATATGGCCGTCAAAAGGCCCTCGGTTCGTCAGCTCGGCCGAGCCTTCGATGGGTTCATCCAAGTACAAGCAATTTGCCGCTTGGCCGGCTTTGGTGCAGCGTGAACAAGCTGGCATTGCTCGATCGCATTGCAGCTTTCTGCGGCGGCAGTCATAGCAGGATAGGACTTTCCGCCTGCGTTTACGGTCGCTCCCAAGTGATGCTTCCGGAGAGCGTGGCCTTACATTTGAAGTCACGTCTGGCGCCATGATGTGCGGTTCCGCCATTCAAAGCTGGCGCTTTTGAAGCCAGTGGAGGTGCGAGTTTCGTAAGGCGGTCGGCATGCGGATACTGAGAGTCAGCACGACTCTGTACAAAAGTAGCGGCCAATAGACTTGATCATAAATGTAAAGAATATCACCGTGATCGACCGTCTGCATAATGCGCCCATTGATTACCTAGTGCATATCGTTCTCCAGTGAGGTAGCATGTCGAAGGATAGGATCTCCGAAAGCCGCGTCATCGGCCGAGGAGCGCTGGGATTCGGCGTTTCGTCGGAAGCAAAGATATACGTATATATTTGTCGCAGACGACAGAATCGTGATATTGCAACTATTGCGTCGATAGTTTAAGGGTAGAATTCGAGCTTCCCATCGCATTTCTGCTCGAGGACCGAGTTCGAGTCTCGGTCGACGCAGCTCTGCTTTTGCTACCTTATTATCCTTGCACGATTTGTTTTCGATTTTTGCCTGCTCCCAGTTTCGGCAGAAGTGAGCACGGCCAAAGCGTGAGACGGTGGCATCAACAATATCATACACTGTATGTAGTTATACAGCACGAACTGCCCCACACAATCCAGCCGTAACACCACGCTAAGCCAAGAGCAAAGGCAGTAACGCCCCCAATCTAACGGTACAAATTCCCTCCCGATGCAAGTTTGGTACCACTTTACACCACCCTCTAAGATCGCCATGCTGCCGGCCGAGGGTGCCCATGTATGAAGGGCGACGGCGGGTGCAGTTGATGACGCAGAGGCGGCGAAGCTGACAGAGGCGGAGGCCCAAAATTTGGCGGAAGTAGAGACGGGTAATTTGGCGCACATGGAGGCGCGACAGGAGATGGACGTAAAGTGAAAGGCTGCCCGGCTCTGCCACTGGACAAGTCCTGACCTAGCTCGTACGCAAAGGTGTGATCAACATGATGCCGTACCATCTGCATAGTGAGACCGGCATATAGTATTGTCGGGGTCGACGGACCGTTCGGCCCATAGCATTGCGCATGGCTCATGCCCGCACCGAGTCCGTTCGGTTGTTGCTCTGGCGGCAGAATCTACTTGCCTCCACCAGCACTTCCATAGCCATAATTGTACGTCGTGCCAAACGGACCTTGAGTGATTCCATGCGCCCCATAGTGGCCAAGGTTACCCGGGCCTGGCGTCTGCGAATTAAGGCCGGCATGCGAAGTTGTCGGCGTGGACGGGTTATTCGGCGTATACCCTTGCGCACCACCCTGCAGAGCGCTCATACCGCCACCCAGTCCATTTGGTTGCTGCTGTGGCGTACCTTGAGCGGCAAAGAATTCATCACGGTACTGTTGTGACGCCGGCGCGCCGACGCCGTGCAACCCGTAGATCTGATCCGCCAGATCCTCGTCTAGGTGGCCGCTGAAGATGCGATTCTTCATTGCCCAGAAGACCTGACCCGTCAACCAAGCATCGCTGCCGCTCGTGTGTGGAGCACCGACGCGCTGACAGCCAAGCTCATCCGCGATGTCCTGCAGGCCGGATTTCTGGCCAAGATTCTCAATCACGCGAGAGCCCTCGACTCCAAGTCGGCCTTGTGAGCGTAAGCGCTGCGCGTGTCGGAGGAGGAACTTGATGTCCCACAATCGCGGAAAGAAGATGCGTACTTGTTCGAAGAACTGCGTCTGCTTGGCCGGAAGCGCGTCGTTTGATAGCAATTTGATGAGGTAGCCAAAGTCATATCCACTATGGAAACTAAGCCAGTTGACGTCTTCGGTAAAGGCCAGACCGCTGGTTGTGAGTAGGCTACCGAAAGCTTCAGGCTGGATGCCATGGTCTTGATGCCGCTGGAAGTCTACACCAGCATTGCGTAGGAGCTCAATCGAAGACTCGGCGTACATGTCTTCGTTAAGGTCGAACTGGAAATTGAAGACCCACGTGCATGGCAGGAACATGATGTTGGGCTGGAAAGCAGGCTTCGATCGGCCAAGCTCGTTCAGCAGCGCATGATCAGATTGTTGGGGTGGTAGCTCGCCGTCGGCATTCCACAACGTGATGCCGACCTGAATGGGCTTGAGGATATCCACATTGCACCGGAGCGTTTGGTAGTGATACTCAGCCTTACTGCCAGCGAAATTACCAATTGGTCGCGCTACGATACCTGGAAACTCGGCATCCATGGAGACGTAAGGGTATTTCAAGACCAATTGGCGCAGGACAGCAAACTCTTGCTCGAGGTTCTGCTTCCATACTTCGCGTATTCTGCCAGGCGCTCCGCCTCTCAAGCCCATGCTCGCGGCTGCTTCCGCCTGGTGAGTGTGCTCTTGCATGGCTGCGCCACGTGCGAAGCCTTGCTGAGCAGCCACGGAGGCGAGTCCCTGGCCTTGCCCGCTGAGCATGCCGCCGTTGAAGGTCGCGCCTGCTGCGCCTGTGCTGAATGCGCTGCCTCCGTACGCGGAAGCGGGCTGGAAGGCGGAGATGCCTCCATTCAGCGCATTCGATCCGAAGCTTTGCTGTGAGTTGAACGTGTTGGGTATGTGTGTCGATTGTGATTGATAATGCGCAGTCTGTGGTATCGCATGATGCTGATTTAGCTGCTGGAAAGGGTTGGACATGTGCGGCATATGCCGCCCTCCGGGGGCCATGTCGGCTGGAAGGGCGCCGTCGCTGATCCGGCCAGCGGTAGGCGGTCGTACAATAAGTGAGTGGTGACTGTGAGTTCGCGCGACTCTCGTCTCGTGTTGAGGACACTACTCGACGGTGGCAGGCTGCAGGGTGCAAGTGAAGCTACCACAGTTACCGTCTGGCGAGGGTCAATCTTGTCCTATGAACGTGCAGCTGGTGGAGTGCCCATGCATCGGCAGTCAGTGTCGTAGTGTAATTGCGTATTATTCTGAGTGAGTCGTCCAGGGTTCTCGAAGCCGACAGGAGGATATGTAGCAGGGTGCGATTCGAGTGTATGTTTGGCGAAAGGCTCGAGTTGCGAATGTGCAGCTCAAGTCAAGTGGGAGGAAACGCTCGCTAATGGAAGGTACGCCGAGGGACCCGCCAAGACCACTCACTCCCTCGCTAACCATTGGGAGCTCGGCATATACAGCTACCTTACTTTGCGCCATTGATCGCATCACAAGTGAGTACTCGGATGGAACTTGCAATCTACCAGCACGCTGACCTCTTCCACCACAGGACATCATGTCATCCCGAAGGCCTAATCTCACCGGCTTCGACACAGCCAAGTTCGCAGCAGCAGCTGGCCAACCCGCGAACGACCCATGGGCAAGGCAGTAAGGCAGACCAACCGCGCAAGAGGTCGACCACGCACAGTTACTGACAGCTGCACTAGCGAGGCATGGCGATACACAGGTCCCTTTACACGGTGGAGCCGGCTAAGAGGTGCCTTCCCTGGCCTCGGCATCGCGACAGTGGCCTTTGCCGGTTACATGGTCTACGAAACCCTCTTTATGTCACCAGCACACGGACACGGCGATGAGCACCACGGGGAGTCGCACCATTGAGCAGCATCCGCAGACTGCGCGCGAGGGTGATTGAGTGCGGCGTGTGGAGGTAGCGAAGGAAGAAAGCAATGGGTGAAGATGTACCATGCATGGCAAACGGCGTTAAGGCGAAGAGCTACTGAACGGGCGTGTACAACGCGGGACAAGTATGCGGTGGCAGAGTCCTTTACAACCGTGCACTCTATCATAACAATTTAGCGCAGCCACCATGTCGACAATAAGTCAATCCGCGGTCCTGTAAAACTGACTGACCTTCAAACAATGCTAAATGGATCCTTTGGATGAAGTGCCACGAGCACGGGACCATTACTAAATGTGCCTTCTCCGAGATTGTGTCCAAGCTAGCTTCTGCGTCTATCTATCGCCAACGTCTTCGACATCCATAGTCACGGCATCGAACCAACGACTACCACGCAGATATGCAAACATACAGCAGCAGGTACTTGCACGTGGTCACGCCCCACACTACTAATACACGGCACTACTAATCCACCGGTTCGCAGCTTAAATACAGGAGAGCAGACGAAGTGTACTCTCTGCCACAACTTTCGAATGAACCCTGCCCGAGTAGCATTTCCCTCGGATTTCCAGATCCGGTCTCCTGTATCTTACCCTCGAGTAGCGATGAAAAAGATTGGTCTCTTAGCATGTTCGGCGAACCTACTGCAACGACACTTGATACGGTGTCGTCAACTGAAATAGAATCCTCAGTTGAAACACTTTCGAGTGCATTGTCTACACAGTTATGGATAGCTTGTGGGTAGGCATTGCTCAAGACTTCCCCCCTTTCTTCCCAGCCTCGGACGGGTCGACTTTACCACCAGCGAATTGACCCTTACCACCACTGCCACCGGAGCTACCAGAGTCGCTTGAGTCGCCGCCACTGGAATGACCGCCCTTCTTCCCCGCCTCGACCGGGTCGACCTTGCCGCCAGCGAACTCTAGAAGAGTACAAGTCAGCAGCACGTCGGCAAGGGAGGGGAGAAAGGATATAGGTACATACCGCCAGTATTCACACGACCATCTGGTTGACCGTCCTTTCGAAGGCCATCATGCTCGGTTGGTTTGTAGTCAGACATGGTGTTTTTGATGGATGATGTAATGTGTTTGTGGTCGGACGATCCTTTGTGTACTTTCGGATTTGGAAAAAAAGTGCTTGAGTGCAGTGAACAGGCTGGTTATATACCAATCTCTTGCTCTGCTCCAGCCACCTCTCGCGCCATCTTGGATGGAAGCACGCTACGTCCTTACCGGAAACTTGCTCTAAGTTCAATCAGGCCCCATGAGTGCTGCGTCAAGATCTGGAGATCGAGGATCGATCAGATCTGTCCAATCGACATCATTGCCCGTTGTCCACAACAGAGGCTGCATACGTCACCTCGTCTACATCAAGCCCCTCCGCAGTGGTCATCAGGGTAGCAATAAACTTTAAGCTTGTCGAAACGCTTCTGGAGGCGACTGACGGTCGTGTTTTCTCCGGTGGCTCATATGCAGCCAATGTGCAATTCCTTAAGCTTATGCCTTTACGAGACCTGGAAGTCAATGCCGCATACAACAAGACCTCGAAAATTGCCTGACAACACGCTGGTACGCCGTAGGTTGACAATGACCAAATGCGGGGTTGTACTGCAACTCCGCAAGCGCCTCCATTTTGTGGCGCCCTGACCCCTACACTGGTGTCTTACTCACCGCCATGTGACCCGCTGATCATAAGGCACCTGCAGGAACAAGATTCGGCAACAGAGCGCAGCGGAAGTTAGAGGTGGCCAGTGTAGGTGTCATCTACAGATCTGCTTTCTACCAAAAGACTAGCACTGCACGTGATGACTGTAGGTGGAATGCTCAAGGAATCAACGTCTGGATATATGTGATCCTGAAAGCGAAACGGGAGGCCCGATTGCTGCTCGTTTATAGGACTGGACAGACATTGATATCCCATATCCGGCGTGCAATTTCCATAGGCTGCGATTGCTGCTGGACGGGAGATTTTGACCTCCCGCGAATGGCACCGGGAAACACCTCGTTCGTGTAACACGGTGGAAATCTATGTCCAATAAACCACAATGGGAGCGTAGTGATCAGAAAATACTCTTGGTCTGTTCTATATCCGGATGTGATCCCCTTGTCACATAGTGCTTTCGGCGCTCTGGCTGCCCCGCCATGCGTCCCATGACAGCTTGACCGATTCTTTCAGTTTTGCGAAGGACCGTCGAACGTTTCGAATGCCGGAACTTGTCGCTCGTGAAAAGCCCGACACACGGCTCGCTAGCGCACACAACGAACCCCTAAGCAAGTTGCACAGCATTGCGGTATGCTTGTTGAGAGCTCTCTAGTACGGAATGGGATTTGGTGTTCTCTGCCACCTATGGTTGTACGGGGGCAAGCAATTTGATATATCAGGTCTTAAGGCCGTCTCCCCCCCCTTCGAAACGTGCACTGCCAGCTTCTCGTAGAGCTGTTTGTAGTGCTTCAGACAACTGAACGCGTTCACCAGGCTAAACGGCCTAGACGTCAATCGACCGAAGGACAGACAGACATACAATATTGATCATATGCAGAAGACTCGTAAGCAGCCTGGGGAGTGTACCTTCGGATACAGGTGTTCTAAGTGACTAAGATGCCATATCCTGGCCATCAAGCGGCAGCAGCCACAGCCTGCCGCACCTGCACATGCTCCCTCTCCAGCACGTTCTCCAGCGCCCCAAGCGTACCCTGCCCAGCCTCCAAATCTCTTGCGAACTGTTCCAAGCCCAACTGCTCATCCGTCCATAGCGGCTCCACAACCTCGGCATCCTGCACGCCGACGCCAATGAATCCGCCCTCACGCGCCCAGTCCGAGGTCCGTTTAATACCGAGCTCATTCCACACGCTCTCCAAAGCTTGGCAGAGATGATCACGGTACGCCTTGATATGGCCAGGCGTGGGCGTGATGCGGAGACGTTCTTGACCAACAGGGACGGTCGGGTAGTTGATGGCTTGGACGTAGATTTGGTGCTTCTCCAGCAGTAGGTCGGAAGCTTGCTTGGCAACTTCGGCATTGCCGACCAATACTGGGATGATGTGGGATGGGTTGGGGATGACGGGAATGTCCATGGCGTTGAGACTCTCCTTCACTGCGCGCGTGTGGAGTTGCTGTAAGCGTCGGTCGCCCTGGTAGCTCATCTGATACTCAATGGCTGTCTTAGCGCCGGCCATGGTGGCAGGAGGTAAGGACGTGGTGAATATGAAGCCTGGGGCCAGCGAGCGGACAGTGTCGACCATCTTCGCGGATCCGGCGATGTAGCCGCCAACGCAGCCGTATGCCTTGCCAAGTGTGCCAGTAATGATGTCAATCCGGTCCATAACCGTGCCTCTGGTGTTACCGCCGTTCGCGTAGATATCATAGTCGAGATGCTCCGCCACGCCAGCACCGTTCGGTCCATACATGCCAACCGCATGTACTTCATCCAAGAAGGTAATGGCACCGTACTTGTCCGCCAAGTCGCAGATCTGCTCGATCGGGCCAATGCTGCCGCACATGCTGTACACACTCTCAAACGCAATGATCTTCGGTACGTCTGCAGGCAGACTCGCAAGCTTGCTTTCCAAGTCGGCCACATCGTTATGCTTGAAAACCATCTTCTTGGCGCCTGAGTGGCGGATGCCTTGGATCATGGAGGCGTGGTTCATACTGTCGCTCAGGATCACGCAGTTCGGGAACTTGCTGCCCAACGTCGCTAGCGTGGCATCGTTTGCGACATAGCAAGAGGAAAACACCAAAGCTGCCTCCTTGGCGTGCAATTTCGCAAGCGTGCCCTCCAGATCCATAGCATGCTGATTATGGCCAGATATGTTCCTAGTGCCGCCTGCACCCGCGCCGTATCTATCAAGAGTCTCGTGCATTCTTTTGAGCACATGCGGGTTTCTGCCCATACCCAAGTAATCGTTGGAACACCACACCGTGACCCGCTCGTCCGGAGCGGACATGTGGGCGCGCGGAAACTCCTGGGCCAAGCGATTGATGTTGTTAAAGTAGCGGTAGCTCTTGTCCTTGTGCTTCTTGTCCAGCTCGTTCTGGTAAAAGCCATCATAATTAAAGTTGACGGGTTTCGGCGGCTCCGGTGCAACACCGTGTTGGGTCTGCGTCTGAGCAGCAGTTCCAGGCTTGGCCGCTGGTGGGTGGAATGGTGCATGCTCACGGCTGACACGGTGCAGATCAACTGCCTGAGCCTCCTTCGGCGCCGTCGTGTGCAGCTTGGCTTTCGGCACCTTCTGGTGGTAGGCCCTCGTGCCGCTGAATGCACCCGCCAGGACGGAGCTGGTCAGGTTTCGACCGCTCTGGATCGAAAGCGCCCTCCCCATGACCGGGCAGCGGCGAGCAGTAATCTGCAAGTTCGACATGGCGCCGCCGCCGGGCGTCGAGTGCTGGACGGCGGTGCTGGAAGAGAGCGAGCGAAGGGTGGCGGGCGATGTCTTCTTCAAAAACGGGCACATGGTACGGCTTTTGCTGAGAAGGGCCTCCATCGCGAACACACACTGTTTGTTTCCCAAGATATGTAGTGAGAGCGTGTACAGATACAAACAGTCCTAAGGGAAGTTGGTCGTAAGCGAAGCTGGCCCGGTGCGTCTGACCGTCTGAGGTGAGCGAAGGAGGGAAACACTTCGAATGCCGCAAGCGAAATCTCGACCCCACCGGAGAACCAATTCCGAAGATCTTCAAGGTTCGAGTCAGCACGGCGACCAGATCTGTTATTGGTTCGCTACTGTCGAACGTCGTCTACGATGCTGTCGATCTCAATCAAGGGTGCAGCTCACTGAAAGATGCCTCGGTGTCAGGGCGAGGATTGCAAGTCGTCGCTCTCAGTCATTATATGCAGTAGAATGCACAACGGCGATGCGCAGCGTTGCGTCCGCCTTAGTATACAACAAGCCTTTGCTCACGGCTTGACCATACGGCCGCTAGGGTTTCAATGCGGCTGAATTCTACGCCAGCGCTGCGTTCCTTCAAGTGCTCTTAATCAGCTTCCTGAGCGCCGCCCAATGTATTGCCGTCGCTATGCTACACTCCGTCCGAAGTTGACGCTATCTCCCACTCCGCCGTCTCTTCGTCGGATCAAACTGCGAGTCTTCATGCCTACGCTTCCTCTCATGAGACCCTTCTTCTCGTGGTGGACCTCTTGGACCGCTCTCCTCTCCTCGCTCATCCTCCCGTCTGCCACTCCTGAAATCATCGTGTCTGCCGCCACCGCCTCTACCTCCGCGTCTGCTATCACCTGGACCGTCTCTGCGAGGCTCCTGCCCGTAGCCAACACGTCCATAGTCACTACCCTGGGGTGGACCTGCGAAAGCGCCGGGCATGTCTAGTAGTTGCCGTCTGTCGTCCGGTCGTTGCCCGTCTCTGATGTCACGCGGTCGTGCATTAGGAGGTCCACGCTCTTCATTCAGCCTGCGGTCCTCGCGAGCAGGCCGCCCGTCGCCCATGCCTTGCGGTGGTGGCCGGTATGGGGGCTGATCGTCCATTCTTGACTCAACGCCACCGTTCCGGCTTTGACGACTGTAGCCCTCTTCGTGCCTACGAGCGTTGTCTGCAGATACTCTTGGTGCCTGATTGCGAGGCTGATAAGGCTGCTGTTGGTTGGGCTCATGGCGTGTCTCGGTCCGGCCTGGCGGGCCATCATTTCGGAACGACCCGTCATTGCGTCGCATAGCGGGCGGCGGTGGCTCCAGTGGTGACACGAGTGATTGGACCGAAGGCGCCGAAGCTGCAGAAGACACCGCAAAGCTGTTTGGTCGGCTCGACGCTCCACGGAAGCTGACATCTTGCGTAGATGCACGTGGTGGAGGCACTGAAGTGGTGCCCTGCAGCGTCGCATTGATTGCACCACGTTGCCGGTTGTTCCGCTGCCTGTCAGTCACGGATGCAGGCCCAGATGGTGGTGCTGCTGTGGCTGGCGATGGTCCTGTGGGCGCGCCGACTGGTGGCCGGCCGTTCGCGTTTCTAGGTCCTGACGGCGGTGCAGAAGTCGGCGAAGCAGCCGCCCGCCCTACACCAGCAGGTGGCACGTCGGTATCGAGGCCTAACGCTCGAGCACGGTCCGGGTGAATGGCAGGCATTTCCGGTACAGCGGGTGCTTGTAGGGGAGCAGATGGTGGCTGCCGCTCAACAGGAGGCTCGTAACTGTGTCGCTCCGATGTTTGACGGGATGTTGGTTGTGGACGGTAGGTGGCGTGCGGCTCGGTCTGCTGCGAACCTGTCGGCGATGGCAATGGAACGTCGTTAGCCCTGTTGCCCGTTGAATGTAGCGGAGCGGAGAAGTTGCGGCTACCTCTCCCACTTGTACTTGCGGCAGGACGCGGACCAGAGGGAATGTCTTGCGGTGCATTCAGACGACCATAAGATGACTCTTCGCGCCCCATGTCTCGATTCAGCCTACCTTTGCGCGGCCCGGAAGGCGCAGTGTCCCCGGATTGTTCTGGTCGGGCGTGCGTATCGCGTGGCGGTCCGGGATTCAGAGGCCTTCCATTTGGTCGGAAGTCCGCTTGTGAAGGCTGGACCGGCCCAGGTTCTCGCTCCTGTCGATGGGGAGGTTCACCCGGTTGCACGTTCGCCAAGCGTTTCTCCTCAGCTTCGATGAGCCTCTGGCGCTCGGTATTGACGCTGAAGTGGGCATCAGTGGTTGGCGATGGTGCTGCCACAGAGCCCGCAGGCCGTGCTGGTGCTGGTTCAGGTGGTGGAGCCGAGACGACGGAGCTAAGATAGCCTGGTCGTGTCGCCGTAGATGCTTGAGCGCCTGGTGGCCCCATCGAGCCATTCACTCGGTCTCGTGCGTCTTGGAGCCGTGAATGCATTGCGCTATGTGACACATCCCGCCTAGAGTTGTAATCCATGCTCTCCGGACGGTGACGCTCGCGTTCATCACGAGGGTGGCTTCGCGGCATACCGGGCGGTGTTCTGGCGCGGCTACGACTATCTGGTTGAAGGTTCGCGGAAGGAGGGCGGGAATCGCTCGGTCGGTCGAGCCGGCCATAACCATCGTCACCATGGCGCGAATGACGGGCTTCGGATCGCGCAAGTGGTGTAGGGGGAAGGGGTTTAGTGGAGTAATCCATTCGAGCGTCAGGTGCCGGAGCCGGTGGGTGGTGCACGCGTGAAGGCTGCGTCGAGGATGGACGACTTAGGTCATCACGCCGAGTGCCATTGACAGGTGATGGCTTCGTCAAAGGCGGTGTAGGCACTGGCAGATCCGAGACGGCTTTGAGCGTGTCGTTTGCTGGAGTGATGGGCGCCTTGTCCTGCAATACTACTGATGGAGCTGCTTCTGGGTGCTTCGCTGACTGCTGGGCTGGCAGAACGGCCGGTGCTTGCGGGTTTGCCGCTTTGTTCGAAGCGGGTGCATCCGTCATGTCGACGTCTTCAGTCTTCGTAGTGACCTGCTTCTCTTCCTCCACTTCTCCATCTTCTACACCAGCGAGGGACTCCTTTTTGACCACACCGTTGGTCGTCAGTGCTTGAGCGCTGGGCTTGAACTCAGGAGCAGCAGCATTTAGCTTCGGCGTGGCATCTTCAGGCATGGGCGTCTCTGGCTTCACGCTTGCTGCTCGACTTGCAGATTCACCCTCCTTGGACGCAACGGCGAGGCGGAACGCTTGAGGCATAACCCAAGCTTTCTCACGTGTCTTGAGCGGACCTAGTAAGCTCAAAGCCATCAGCTTGAGATCCTGCCTCGAGTCTTCCTTCGAGATCTTCTCCGCCGCGGCAATCAGTGCCTTGCCTTGGAACGTCAGCGCCGGGAAGACGCCTACGACTGCTTTGAGAACATGAATGCCATTACGTATGTGCATATACTCCCGGGACTCGAAGCAGAGCTGTAGCGCATTACACAAGGCAGTGTGCCAATTCGTGAGTTGACGCCGGTAAAGCTCGTAATCCATGAAGGTCCACGTGTCAGGGCTCGCGCCGTAATCCATAGGGCCAGTGACGAAGCCGGCGACCTTACGGTTGCCCAGTGCATGCTGCTCGTAGGCAGACCTACTTGCATGCCATTCAGCGAGCATCTTAAGCATCTCGTTCAAGAAGCGACCAAAGTGTTGCGCTTCTTGTCCGGTGCACTGAGAGATAATGGCCGCTAGCTCCTGCTTCTGCATAAGCCGGTCAATCAAGATAAGCGTGCTGAAACCCGGCGCGCTCTTGTCGTGCAGCATTCGCAGCATCATGTAACTATAATGAGCGTCCAGCGACGACATCAGCGCACGGGGAATGAAGCACTCCTGAAGCAGTGCTGTATGCCTCTGCTCCAATTCCGGCCGGTTTCTTGAGCGCGCAAACCAGTGCGCCTTTTCTTGACGACTGAGCCGGCCGCTAAGCTTCATATAGTCGCTCAGCTGATTCTTGACTTCGGCATTCAAGTGACTGTGCACCTCCGTGAGCGCCTTCACCTTGCGGCTGCGCTCGCTCGTGGCTGCAGTCGATCTGTCTCCGCGATCACGGCTGATGACCTTAATCTCATCGTCCAAACGCTTTATCTCGAACTTGTAGACATCGGTGAAGTTTGTGAAGATGTCAGACTGCGACAGAGTCCAGAAAGTAACGAAGAATGGTATGCTGACGCGATCAGCGAGATTGCCAGTGACAGTAGGTAAACGATCAATGAGGGGCTGCAGGACTGGGTGCCATGGTGATGACTGCTGATCGTGAACGCCATTTGGCATCGGCTTTGCCGCGATCTGTGCTTCCGCCTCCGTAACGGCATGCTCATGGAATTCGCCATTGATGGCAGGCTTCTCCTCAGCTGCCTGCTCAGCCCCGCTAGCCGGCTGAGCGTCCGCGTCTTGCATTTCCACTTCACCGTTGACCTGCGCTTTTCCATGACTCGCTCTATTCTTCCTTGACGCCTCTAGTTTCCGCGAGTCCTCTGCTGCCATCCTGTGCGCAATCACTGAACGGCAGATAGTGAATGCAATACCTGGGGCCAGCTTGAAGTCTCCAACAAGACTCACTACATCGGGCACAGCAGTTTCGAACTCTTCCGGCTTGAGGTTCGTTCGGAGCACCTCGAGATACTGCGTGAAGACTTGCTGTATCTTGTCAAGATTGTTGCCCAGTACCTTGAGAGGCATGAACTTTGATGCTTCATGATGCGGGTACATCTGCTTCTCCTGCGCAATAGCAATGAGGGTTTGGCCAATTAGGCCAGGTTCAGCAAGAGCCTTGATCAGACGCCTAGCTTGAGCTTTTCTTGCATGTCGAGTATCGCCAAGTTGTTGCATGACATAGGCGCGCAGGTTCTCGCCGCCAGCCATGTTATACACCTGGTTGTCGTTGAACTCCACATCCGCTCGAATGCCGGCCATCTCTCCCAGCACTTGCTCGAACATTTCAAGGTCGGTGGAGTTGCCGGCGCGCAGCTCTGATGCAAGGTATTGGAGAACGGGCGAGGGGTTTATGTTGGAGTAGCGATGGAACAGCGATGCGACAAACTGCGACAACGCTTGTAGCCATGGACTGGTAAGCATGCCGTCCGCCTGCATCCGATCCCTACCCTGTCCACTGAGCGAATTGATCAAGCACCAGATCAGCACGTCAAATGCCAGTTTGGAGAAATACTTTGTGCACTCCACCATAGCCGGAATCATGTTGCTGTACGTTTCCAGCTGGTTGATCATGAACATTATCAGAACTCCAGGCGAAGAGTACGACACCTTGCCAAGTGCACGAGACTGGCTCTTAACGTTCTCGTTTGAGACGCGGCGAAGTACGTCTTTGACTTCGGCTTTGTTGTGATCAAATGCAACCTTAATATCAGCTAGGCGAGATGTTTTGCCAGTGAACCACTCTGCGTAGATCTCGTATCGAGCAGTGATGGGGTAGAGCATAAGCAGCTGGTAAATCTCGTCACTGAGACTTTGATTGTGCTTGCTCAAGCTGAGCGCCGGTACAAGGAGACGCTTCATGAGCTCGAGCCAACGGGCGCGATTGCTCTCCGAACCGTCTTCTGCCAGATCGTTCCTAGCCAGCCTGACGAGTGTGCCCAATATGGCGGTGTCCTGGCCTATCTTGACTCCAAGGAAGGCGACAAGAGAGTCGCACAGGAGGAAGACATCGTCCAAAGTCTGGCAGAGCGGCAGGTTATCAGCCCATTGAGTATAGTAGTACCGGTATCTTGAGCCGTCTCTCTCTGACACTTCTTCAAGACCTAGCCATTTCGTAGGTAGCTTAGGTGCTCTCGGAACGAATGTCTGCGGTCCATCAGACTTCGCAGCGGTATCGTTGAGCTGCTGGCGGCCTTCACCGACGCCTGGACGAGTGGCAAGCGGTCGGACGGTGTCGGAAACTTTAAGCAGCATATGCCTGACGATACGGTGCAGATACGGCGGAAGCGTAGTGTCCACATCCAAAAGCCAAGGGAAGCGGCCAAGGATGTAGAGCGCCTCGGGTATCGCTCCTAAGGCCAAGAGCGCCTTCAGTAAACCGATCTTTTGGTTTGGCGGAGACTGTAATGGGTCTGCTGTCGCATCTTCCTTCTGCGCAGGCTTCGGCGTTGCTCCTCCGCTACGATCTTTCTCGCTCCGCAGCCCACGCGCGACGGGCAGAGTGTCGTCAGTCAAGGCAGAGGCCATTGCAAGTGCGTTTGGGCCTCCGCCTGGCTTAGCTCTCGCTTCCTTCTCTGTCTTTTCCTCTTCAAGCCTCGCACGCTCATCCTCCATTTTCTCGTCTGGCGGGTGTAAATGCGGGTACAGGTCGCGTAGGGAGACAAAGCCGGTCTTGATGAGCAATGCAGCAAAGTGTATTAAGTTATCGGGCATGACATCGTCAGGATCACGGGCTGGCGAAGCGTAGAAGCGCAGCTTGAAGCCAAGCAGTTGCGCGGCGTCCGAATTGCCTGGTGCCGGTAGTACCCCGGTTTCGCGCATGTATTTGCGATTCTCGTTGGCACGCTTTCTCCGATCTTCAGTGATCTCTTTGCCACGCGAATCGAGCTCCGGCTGTGCATCAATAGACAACTGCTCGACGACGGAGTCGAAGTCGACAATCCTTCGAGCGCCTAGCTCGTAGAAAGCTTGAATGCCCTTTTCGCGAACTTGCTCCCAAAACCGCTTGTCTCGCGATTGGATCGAGCTAACAAGCTCGCTCTTCTCGTTGTCGGAGGGCCCCACTCGTCCCGATCCCGGTAATGCCCAGGCGGGGAAGGTGTTGAAGCCGTCGTCTTCCCATCGAACACTGTCCAAATTGCCGCCATCCGGCCACCAGGAGCTGCAACGATAGAACTTGATGAAAAACGGGTACGCCTTAACCAGCAGGTTGGCACTAATGTCCAAGGTGATGTCCAAGACTCTTCCCACGTCCAAATCGAATGCGCCGACAAGTGCCATGATGCGTTGGAACGCATCTTCAGCGATGGCCGGATTCGTGGTCTTGTTCGACTCCTCGGCAACGTTGAAATACTCCGTGAGAAGCTTGGCGTACCCTTCGGTTTCCTCTCGCAGCAAGTTAAAGTTCGCTTGACGGTACAGTAGGTTCGTTGTCTTTCGCGCCCGTATCTGATTGAATGACTGACGGACCAGCGAAAGCGTCGTAAGGAGTGGGACGTCCAGGTTCTGCCTTACGAGTTCCGCGTCAATCTCGGTCGTGACCAGCATAGCAAGAAGCGCAGGGTTTTGCGTGTCAGCTTCATCGAGCAGTGATATCGTGTTAAGGAAAGAAGTCTGTGCATCCAAATCGTCGCTCTGTAACTCTGATATGACTTGCTGTATCTCCCGTCCGACCTCTACAGCCTCTAGCCGGCCGTCTAGGCCAGACCGCACCAGCTCCTGCAGTACTGTGTTCAATCCAAGCTCATCGGCATCTTTCAACGTATCGAGCACGGACTGCTTCCCATTCTCCTGCCAAACAGGAATCATCGCGTCTGTAATCACGTCGTAGGCATATGGCGCGGGTGGCTCCATTGGCATCTCTTCCGCGGGCGGCAGTGCGGACACGGCTGTTGGTGGAAGCGGCGTACTGTTTCTTGATATTTCTGCGCTTGGTGTGGCAACCTGGAGTGGTGTCCGTGATGGCGCCGGTGGTGATAGCGCGTTGCGTGGAACAACCGGTACCGCATTCACGCCATCCGCAGGATTTGACTGCCTACTCTGCCTCCTGCCACCGCCTCCGCCCCTCCTGGGACCTCCACCATGCTCCATCCGCTGAGCCATGCTCAAGTTTTCTGGGCGATGAGGGGACGGTCGACCTCCATCTTCGTGAGTGAATTGACGGTCCAGCCGCTTACGCTTGTTCGCACTCCCTGGAGCCATCGCCGCTCAGGCTCGCGGCCGCGAACGAGGGACGGCAGGTTATTGTTTTCGCCGCTTTCATTAGTGCATACAGCGGTCCCGGAAAATGATGATGTGCAAGGATTGGGGTGGGATAAGAAGGATGCCGTTTGCGATACTAATTCGGGTGTACCGCGGGACTTTTCGACAAGTTGTAGCTCACGTTGTTGTTCGTGGCTATTTCGTGGTATGACGAAGTTCGCCGTCGTGAATTTGCAATGAGTGTTGGATGTCGGTCTCGTGTCTCCCTCACCAATTCATCAGTGACAGTCAATTCCGCGTAAGGTGTTGCGGAGCGCACGGACCAACCGAATCTACAGTAGGTACAATTCATACTGAACGTTCACGGCGACATTAGCTACAACATTGACGATCAGACACAATCTCAATAATTCCACCTTTGGCGACTAGATCGTAGAAATTTTTGTTCAACAGTGATTGCTTCGCAATGGAGATTAGGTAAGGATGATCTGTTGCAGCACTGATGCCGTTGCAAACGTGTATAGAAAAGTGTGCGAACAGTCTCAACATAATGTGTTTTAGAGCATACGATCTATACGTGTTCTACCGGTCTGTATAATATGTATGCTGGACAGCTAAATCCCAATGGGACTGCTCCATGGTTTGGTTGTTTACGAAGACAGCAGCATTTGGCCGACCTCCTTCATCTCTGCCGGGGCCATGCCTGGAACCTTCTTGACCAGCTGACCATCCTTGAAGATGAGTGCGCAAGGTGTGGCGGTGATGCCATGGGCGTCCTGGAAGACAACAGCCATCAGTTTCTGCGCATTCGATAATGCAGCTGCCGGTAGGTATGAACTCACCTTCGCCCTTGGAGCCTTCGTCACATCGAACTTGTAGCTCGCAACCTTGCCCTCGAACTTCTTGGCATACCTGATAACCTGTCAATGCTGGGTGTGTGATTGTTGCCACAATATGGTGTCCATACTCATCTGCGTTCGGCGGAGCCTCGTTCTCGTACGCTAGGATGAAGACGTACTGGCCTTCGGTCTTGATGGCCTTGTCGAACTAGACTCGATCGTCAGCGTATGATGGCTTTAAGCTGGCTAGCACAGCATCAAGGCAGTCTCTTAGTTCTGGGACAGTTGGCTCGGCTCCTCAAGTCTACAAGCTGACACGCCGGAAACTTTAGGCTTGTGCTGAGCCTCCTCGGATGACCCTACCCAAAGACTGCCATTGATTGTGCTGCATGCTTACGTACGTCCTCCTTGCTGCTGAGCTCGGTGTGAGACATGTTGCAAAATTCTTAGGTGCGAGTTATGGATATGATGGTGTGAGTAGTGCAGAAGGATGGAAAAGTGTAGAAAGGAAATAGTTGAGAGTTGAGAGCCTCCTTATACATACAGATCGCCAGGGCGGTGAACAGCAGCACCATAGCTTTCCCAAAGCATGCGCTCGGCATGCATTGTGATCGAGGGGCCAGCTGCAGGTCCGCGTCAAATAGCAGCTCGAGCTATCCCCACAGAGAGTTGTTGGCCTGTGGATCTGGCGGGACGAGATGCATACACTATCTACATCTCCGCTACGGCATCCTTGGCAGATCTCAGCGTCGGAAGGCTCCATTGTTGCTCTGAGATTTACGGTGGCCAGATGGCAAGGGTGGACCTAGATGTTCTTTCTCCAGCTTGGATATTTTGGTCTCCATTCCGTACAGTTGCATTGATCTCACCATGCCCGGGTCGGCGATGAGCTACATGGCGGCCCTGGGTGACTTCTCTCCATCAGCCATTGCTGCCATAGTCATTGTCACAATACAAGGGAGCAGTAAGGAGCAGTGAATGAAGTGTAGGGATATCGTACCAAGCCGCAAAACACGGATTGGGCGCAGTTGGTCCAAGCGCCAGTCGCGACAGTAGCACGTCGCACGTGAGGCTACTCAATGTTCCGTAGCAGTCAGTGTACCATCTCCCACGAATGAGCTGCACAGTTTTGGAAGTTAATGCATTTCATAGATTCATTCAGCACGCCGGCCTTGCCATCAGCACTTGATGCAAAACCGCCATGTCTCGCTGCCTAACACGCCTGATATGCGCCGTGCTACGCTACTCGAAAATCCTCCCTGGATCAAATCAAACCGCTCATAATATATCCTTCAGCTTCTGCTTCTGCTGCGCCGTAAGAGTGGTCGGGAATTTGATTTTGACTCCCACGATTAAGTCGCCTCTCTGCGTAGGCGTCTTACTTTTCGGCATGCCTAACTGCGGAAAGCGCTCTTCGAAGGTTGGTTGCGTTGGACCTGCGCTGCTGACATTGACTTGTTTCCCATCGATCGTCTGTACGGTTCGTTTCCAGCCGGTCAATGCCTCCTTCAGGTCGATCTCGACCGTATGCCGTAGGTCGTCACCATCTCGCTTAAAGAGAGGGTTCTCCTTCTCCTTTACAATGAAATGTAGGTCTTGTGTACCGCCTTCCACTTGGTCACCCATGTCTGGGTATTTGATCTTACTGCCAGCCTTCAGACCCTTCTTGATTGGTACGCTTAGAATCTTCTCTTCGACGTTCTGCTTGCCCGTCTGCGGATCGAACGTCTTTCGCTGGACCTTCAGCTTCTTCGTCGTGCCATTGAACAACTCTTCCAGCGATACGGGTAACGGCTTCTCAACCACCGTGGTCTCCATCTCCGGTTCTCTCCTTCGCCCAAACCCAGAAGCTGTCCTGGCACCACGTCCTGCTCCTCCCATTCCACCGAACCGGCCTCCGCCAAATGCGCTAAATATATCATCATCGTCACCGCCGCCGCCGCCGCCGCCCATTGACGCTCCACCTCCCCTCATGAACTCGGCAAAGATGTCCTTTGGGTCTGAGAAGCCACCAAACCCACCCTGACCTCCTCCGCCAGTGCTGAAGTGGAACGTCCGCGCCCCACCACCGCCTGGTCCGCCAAACCCGGCAAAGCCACCAGGCATGCCTCCTGCTCCCGCGAACGGATTGCCTCCCATGTCTTCCGCAGACGGCGGAGGCCCTGCCTTGCCGGTGATGAAGTCGTAGCCATAATTGTCGTAATTCTTTCGCTTTTCCGGGTCGGACAGGATCTCGTACGCTTCACTCGCTTCCTTGAATTTCTGCTCGCCCGCTGGGTTCTTGTCTGGGTGGTTCTTCAGTGCATTCTTCCGGTACGCTTTCTTGATCTCATCTTGCGAGGCCGTCGCTGAAACGCCGAGGCGATCATAGAGCTTGGTATCTGCTACCATTGTGTTGTGTGCGACTGAACGTCTCGTGAGAAAATAGAAGTTGAGTGGCCAATGGTGAAATAAGCTTAAGTGGACAATGGGCTGCACACAATGCTAAGAAATGTAATATCTGCGTTGCGCAAAAAGTTGGCTGGTTGTTCTGCCCACTTCTACTGACGAACAGTGAGGCTCGTGCTCTTCGATGCTTCTCGAAGCTTCTATTGGCTGGTCAGCTCCGGTGCTCTGCCTTAGGTTTGTATATGTCCATGCAAGTAATTCGCGAGTCAAGTCGTTGGTGAGCGAACGATGTCGTGAGCTTCAATGAAAAGACCAAGGCGAGTGTGCTTGCATGGCGGACTTTGATTGCCTATATTGTGACTGCCCATGCTGGCTTTGTGACGTAGATTGGACGACGGGGTCTGCCGCTTGCAATGCAATGCGAGTCATGTCGTTGTGGAGCTCGCGTCTCCGAATACACGCGCCGTCTTGAGATTGTTGACCTTCTTGGTTGCTCGTAGACTTCAATACATCTGCCTGACGTCCCGCGATGGAGTGTATATAATGCCGACGTTTGACCTCTCGCGCCTTGACCGTTTTGTTGGGACTTCAACCACCATCAGGCGTCCGCGCGAGTTTACCTTCTTTTCCTTTGATGACACTCATGTCTTGAAGCCGCTGTCGACAGAGTCCTTGAGCTACTATTATCCAGCTCTATTCGATGCGCCTGGGGCATCATCGACGTCAGTAGAGTTGTCCCGCGGGTTCGACCTTTTCAAGCAACGCGACGACACCGTGGACGAGCACCTGGATGGGTTACTACAGACATTGCAAGCTTACGAAGAGCGTATCCTGGACCGCGTACGCAATGGTGAAGGCGAGATCAAGGACGTGCGCGTCCGCGCCGACATCATTACCTGGCGCGGCATGATGACCAAGGTACGCTCCACAAACTACCGTGACCGCTAGCTTCGGACACTCGAACATCGCAACGGTTACTTGATTGGACATATGGCACGACCGGCACTGACTCGTTCGCAGATCCTTACGGCACCATTTGACGACATGTTCGGCGACTTCGAGATGAACGCCACCTGCTTTCAGGTGCGCTGGCACATTCCGCGCTTAGAACGGACGATGGCTGCTAACAGTTCATAAGGGTACCATGTAAGCTTACATCACAACTATCAGCATCATAGTATTCGCTCACGCTGGAATGACAGCTTCATCGAAGAGAACCACGCCTACAAAGCACAGCAAAACCAAGTTCAGAATGACCGCCCGCCACGACGCGGCGAAGCTTCGCAGGCACTGATGCAGTATTGGGGTTTGTGCAAGATCACATTCGGTGCGCGATAGAGCATTGAGCTGACTACTGGCACAGGCTACAAGTTTGAAAGTCTCTCGGTGCTACCACGACCGTGGGCGGAGTGCAGTCGTGATGAGATTGAAGGCCGAGAGGCGGTAGTCGTCAACAACCATCCCCAGTACTGCTCTATTGTCCGAACGGGTATAGGCACCACAAGCCTCGTTCTTGCGGGAGAAGTGGATGCCGTTTTGGGCGAGAAGCCTCAGAGTCCAGACGACCCGATCCCGTGGATCGAGCTGAAGACATCCGCTCAGCCGGACTTGAGAAATCCAAAAGACGTCATCAAGCTTGAGCGCCGTCTGCTGAAATACTGGGCGCAGTCTTTCCTACTCGGTGTGCCTAGGATTATTGTTGGCTATCGGACTTCAGAAGGCCGTCTGACCAGCTTGAGCGAAATAGAGACGCAGCGCATTCCGGGCATGGTCAAACGCGGCCAAGGTCTCTGGAATGGCAACGTGTGTATCAACATGTCCGCGGCATTTCTTGATTTCCTCAAGCAGATAATCACCGGAGATGGAGTATGGCGGATCATGCGGAGAAAGAACGCAAGAGCCATCGAAGTGTTCAAAGTCTCGGAGAGCGGAACAGCAGAGATTATCAAGCCTACCTTTAAGGCTCACAGAGAGAAGCTGCTGGCGTTGGAGATGTCTGCTGCGCTTGGATAAGCGCCCGAACAATCTTTGCAAGAATACGGCAGGATAGACGCGCCACGACTACGCACGTTGGCGACTCGCTCCGTCACCTTACGCCTCATCTTCCAAACCCACCATCCTCAACGAGTCTCGCCACAAACGACTCGCCTTCTCCTCGTCGTACGCCCACCTCTCATAGCCATCGCTCTTCAGACTCAACGGACCATCTGGAGCGTCAAACGCTGGCTGCTCCACGCAATTGCTCAGATACTTGCCACCCTTGTTCGCCCACTCCTTGCTTAGCGCAGCATACACTGTGGTCGCAGCGCCTTGCTCTGGACTCTTCATATACCTTGTAATCTCATCGTTCGCCCACCCCTTCAACAATTCAGGATCAAGATGCCTTTGTAGCGCGGTTGCAATGCCGCCTGGGTGCAGACTTGTGGCGTGCAGCCCGCGTGCGCCATAGCGGCGTTCAATCTCATTCGCGAAGTAGATGTTGGCCGTCTTTGCTTGACCGTAGGCTGTCCAGGCTTCGTACGTGTCCGGATCCTCGAAATTGTAATCATCGAAGCGGACCTCGCCGCACCGATGTCCCATGGAAGAGACTGAGACGACGCGTGATGGGAACTCCGGGGTGGAAGAGTCGAGCAGAGCGTGCTTGAGGAGTTGGAAGAGGTAGAAGTGCCCGATATGGTTCGTGCCGAATTGAGTCTCGAAGCCGTCTTGGGTCTTGCCGTAAGGAGTTGCCATGACACTTCCTCTACGGTCAGCGAACGTTAACGAGCCGGTGGCAAGACTGTGAGCTCACCCTGCATTGCCAATGAGGCCATTCAGCTGCTTGCTCTGACTCAAGAACTGTTCGGCGCCCTTCTTGATGCTGGCCAGACTGTCCATCTCCATAGGGATCAGTGTGATTTCGCCACCCTGGCCCTTCGCTTTGATATCTCTGACAACTTCTTCACCTTTGTCCATACTGTCAGGCGATCAGCTATGGGGAATGCATGTCGGGGTGTAAGGTCGCTTGCTTACTCGCGAACAGTGCCATACACATGCGCTCCGGTGGCATACAAGGCACGCAGTGTCTCGATGCCGATTCCGGAAGACACGCCCGTCACAAGAAAGACCTTGTCAACGAGCTTCCCGGTGAGGCCTTCATCTTCGACGATCTGCAGAGCGGTGGGACGAGCATCACCGGGACCTTGCGTACTAACGTGGCTTGCAGCGTAGCGAGACATGGCGGAATCAGAAAGAGGATTGGTATGCTTTGGGACACCTTGAGACGAACAGCGAGCACCCGTAAAAACAGTGTGAGCCTTGACAAGGAGAATCACGAACCTAAGACGTACATCTTTTTCCTTATGTACTTCATGAACGAGTCGCCGCATGGACCGTTTGCTTACGATGACTTCACAGACTTTTAGGTCCTTCCGTTGACATTGCAGGCAACCGTCCGGGCCTAGGTCATCAGTACGCTGAGCCTAGGTCATTGAGTGTACACATAGATGGCCACGAAGTGTGGCCGACGGTGCTATGCGGAGGATGTAGTCATCTCGCGCAAGAGGCCTCGAGGATGCTTACTGAAGGTCCCGGGCGCAATCGAGGAGAAAGCGGCCGCAGCTGTGATATTAAGCTTCGACTTATGCAAGCCTCTCCAATGACCCCTTAACCCCGAGTGCAGTCTGTGCAGTGCATAAAAAGGAGCGCCAAGTCTGGCCATATGCGGTCGATAACGCTGGTGCGAAACGGAAAGAATCGGCCGCACACTCACTTGGTACACGACAGCTACTTCGCATCACACCAGTCTCCATCTTTTATGCCAGTTTGGTCCATCGATGTTCCATGTAAGGTCCATGATCATCCAGCGACGTTACAACAAGTACAGCTCCACCGTCTTCTAGTCACGCCTTCCTCCCTTGTGTTCGGCCCAGCTGGTTCGGGAAGTTGACCACGTGGATCTCATACGCAAGCACACCAGCCTTCCCACTCTCATAGATCCCGTCTCCGCTCGTCAATCGCGCGACGCTCTATAAGCCCGCCCAGCCCATGAACCTTCGGCCGCTTTCCGCATACTCTTCGTCAGATGCGGCGAATGGGTTGGGACTTGCGTACGCGGGCTGTCCTGGACTGAGAATCTGCGCTGAAATGTAACCGGAGGAGGTGAAAATATGAGTGCCTTTTGGCTGCTGGACATGGGATGAACGGTGCGACCGTCAGTGGTGAGGGTGAAGGAATTCAGCACCCATGTTCCAACAATGCCGGCCCATAGAGCAGCAATGGGCTCCTGAAGTTGTGGTGTACTTATCGACATCCTTATCCTGTGCCAGCAACGTTGTGCAAGCTGCCGGAATGCAAAGAAGGCGCTTTGGTTAGCAGCAGGCTGTTAGGTTTGTGTGAAGGTCTCTCCTGCCGCGTTTCCTTTTATGAGCTCCTTTGCTGTGAGGCGTTGCTGATCATGCCAGCATGTGGTATAGAGAGCGGCAGAAAGTCAGTATGCTTGTCTAGGATGATCGCTACGCAGCGTCTGCATATGGCTGCTGGGCTCGCACAGCTCCAATCCTTCCCGTAGCACGACTTTGACTATCTCTGGGCCGCGCTGCGCCGAATCGTCTTGAGTGAGGGATCTGCAGACGGCGTCTGGTACACGAACTGGAGCTATGACAGTGGCAATGGGGCTTGCTTTTCAATGTCCGGCAATGACGCTGGCACCAACGGCTGACAATGTAGGACAATCTGACCGTCGTATTTGGCGCCAACCAGAGGCACCCATAGAAGCCCGGCCTCTTGAGGTTGGTGGCATGACAGTTGTAGGCAGCGAACCTATAGAATCTCTTCTTCCCTATCCCAGGGCAACCTGTAGCCGTGGACACTGTCTCTCCTGCTTGTGCCCACTCTTGGCTTGGATGAATTAGGAGCATGGTAGACAAGTAAACTGCTGTCTCCACGTCCCGAACGGGTGGTGCTGCATTGCGGTTTAACTGGCTCCCGTGTGCATTTCGGAGGAAGGGTCAGTGACCTTGGAGAACGACCCCTATCTTTGATTCTCGAACTTTGTCACTTTGCCACACTACAAAAGCTGCGACACACATGCCACATGCGTCCGCATTAGGAAGGCACGCAGTATGCCATGACCGCCTCATCGTTGCACTCGTTGCTCCTGCTTGCCGACTCGGCTCTACCATTGGGCTCCTTTGCATATAGTAGTGGCCTCGAGTCATTCCTGGCACACAACAAATCAGCGCACAGCAGTGCTTCAGCCAAATCGCTCGCGTTTGAAGCCTTTCTGCAGCATTCCCTGGCTAATGTGGCAAGCACGGCGCTACCGTACGTCCTCACAGCCTACACAGGTTCCGAACGCTTGGGAGGACTCGACAATGACTTCGACGCAAGCACACCTTGTACAGTTGCACGACGAGCGAGCGTCAGTCAAGGACGCGCCCTTCTGGCGGTTTGGGAGCGAGCACTTTCTTCGTCCTTCTCCACAGCAGAACTTCAATGTCAGAAGGCAGCACGTGATGTTTCGGCGTTTGGTACTGCCATGAAGACGCAGCGGCCTGACGATTTTGGCCTGCAGTTGAATGGTCATTTCCCGCCATTATTCGGAGTTGTATGCTGCGCGCTGGCTCTAAGTGCTGAAGACACCGCCTACCTCTTCCTCTTGAACCACGCGAAAGCTCTGCTATCTGCAGCTGTACGAGCAAGCGTCATGGGACCCTACCAATCGCAAGCTATGCTCGCGAGTGGCAAGCTACAACAGTGGATTAAAGATTGCCTCAAACAGGAGGGCAGGCGAAAAGCCGAAGACGCAGCGGTCTCAGTGCCGGTGATGGATCTGTGGATGGGAAGGCATGAGTTGCTCTACTCACGCATATTCAACTCTTGATCTGCGCTAGACAGGCCGACTACCGACTGTACTATGGGTATCTCAAAGGCTAGCAACAACTCCAACGCCATTTACACGAAAGCTCGAGCATACACCACCCTCAAGACGCCCCAGCAACCTTCGTCCTCACCCTCGCCGGCCCCAGCCCCTTCCTGATCTCCTCCAGCTGCTCCATCCCACTCTGCTGCCCACCCCTCTTCACCCTACCCCCTGCCTTCCCCACCTTTCCGTACCCACCCAGAAAATCATCCATCATGCGATCGAAGTCCGCGCGGATCAGCTGCGGCGCCTCGGAATCGGTGGCGCGGCTATAGCTCGACATCCGTGACATACCTGACGCCCCGCTCTGGCGGGAGAGGTTGCTGTACCTGCTTACTGCGCTTGCTTTGGACATGCCTGTCATGCCGGAAGCGAGAGAGGTGGTGTCAGGTAGCGACGCCTCTTCTGCAATTTCGTCCAGCATGTCCTCGTTCTCAAGCACTCTGTCGAAGCGCGCGTCGAGTAGAGTCTGCTGATCTGTTCGCGCAAGAGCGGAAGACGTCATTGAATAGTTCGTGGTCGAGGTCTTGGCGCCTTTGCGCTTTTTGCGGCGACCGCTTGCTAAGGAGGAAAGGGCTGACGATTCGAGAGCCGAAGGTGCCACGAGTGGTGCTATGTCTCTCGTGGTGGGCCTGCCAGCTTTAGAGTTTTGCTTGAACTTCGCGAACTCGTCCTGCCACGCGCCTGCCGTGGGATCGGCTGGCGGTTCGGCTTGCACGTCTTCTGGCGGCGCTGCAATCTCGCCTTCCGAAACTTGCGGAGAGATAGGTGGGGGCGGGCTGGCCGCTCGTAATGTGTGATCACTCTCCCATCCTTCATCATCAAGCTCTGCATCACCGTCCTCGAATGTTTGCTGCTCGCCCAGCCGTTCCCACTCGTCCCTCTGCACCTCGTAAGCGTCCCTCGTCAACTCCGCGAACACATCCTCTTCATCGTCCACATACTCCTCATCCTCCAGCGCCTCCAGTACCTCGCGCAGTCGAGGGTCCATATCAGGCTGAAAGCCAGCAATCTCGTCCGGCACATCCTGCTGATCCTGATACGTCCGCCTGCGCACAAACTCACTCGGAAGCACCTCCTCCGGCAGCAGGCTCCGAGCAACACTACTCGCTGTGCTCTCACCTGCCACACTACGCTCACCACCCAGATCCATGTCTCGCAGCGCATCCTCCAGCCTCTGCTTACCCTTCCCTTTCGGCGCGGGTGTGGAAGCCTCAACCCACGTCACGGCTCCCTGACCTGAGCCTAGATCCCGCATATGTTGCATGTAGTCATATTCAGTGTCGTCGAAGAAGACGCCATGTTGTGCCGCTTCACCCTCATTTGGCTTGAAGCTGAACCCAAACTCCTCCTCCAAGTCGCCTCGTTGGCGCGTCTTCTTAGACCGCGAGGAGCTTGAAACTACGGAGCCAGCGGATGAATATGCGTAGTCATCCTCTGTTGGTCGACGGGCCTGCTTTTCGGCGAACACCATCGAAGGCGCATTTTCGTCGTTGATAAGCGGGTCATTCTGAGCGCGGTGAAGGAGGGCGAAGGTGGTGGCCGTTTTCTTGTCGAAGACTTTGCGGCGAGGCATCTTGATAATCCCAGTCCGATGGGTGCCTTCCGAAGAGAGAGGGCACGCGTAGAGATGAGGCACTGTTCATTCACTTCACTGTCACCCAATTTTGGCTCGAGATCTTGGCGCTTACAGACCCACCTTGAAAATGACGTACCGCTGTACCATTTCCAAGCAGACATTTACTATTCGGTTGCCATCACCTCCACAAACCTTTGCCCGACATATCTGCCTGGAGTATTCCAGACCATCGTTGACAGACACGTTCGAAGTTGCATTGTTAAGAAAGCGTACCGCGCCGATACAGTGTTGCGAGGTATTCGAGCGATTCGACAACGCCGCCACGATGGTGCTCCCCAAAAGCAAGAACGCTGTCGGCCTCGGCAATGCACTCATGAACGATCGCTACCGCGGTAATAAGTCCAACATGCATCGCAGTAACCCTCAACGCGACGGAGCGATCATGCGGCGCGATCAGGAGGGCAACGAGTACCTCACACCAGGCAAGAAGGAAGCGGAATGGATGAAGATGCGCTCGGTCACGGAGCAAGGCGCGCTGGACGAGTTTCTGACCACGGCAGAGTTGGCGGGCACCGACTTCACCGCCGAGAAGATCAATAATGTCAAGATCATTCATGTCGACCAGAAGAACCCGTACTTGCTCAGTAGGGATGAGGAGAGAGGTGTAGTGAGGAAGCAGAATGCGAAGAGAGCGCGGCTGACTGTGCCGAGACGGCCGCCTTGGGACGAGAGTACCACGGCAGTGGAGTTGGACCAGCGCGAAAGGCAGAGTCTGCTAGAGTGGCGGAGAGGGTTGGCGGAGCTGCAGGAGGTAGATGACCTGCTCATGACGCCTTTCGAGCGGAATTTGGAGGTCTGGAGGCAGTTGTGGCGAGTGATTGAACGGTCGGACCTGGTAGTACAAATTGTGGATGCGCGGAACCCATTGCTTTTCCGATGTGAAGACCTGGAGAAGTATGTGAAGGAGGTTGATAAGAAGAAGCGTAATTTGCTGCTAATCAACAAGGCCGATATGATGACGCTTGAGCAGCGGAAAGCGTGGGCTGATTATTTCGTGGAGAAGGGTATCAATTTCCGGTTCTTCTCGGCAGAGCTAGCAAGGGAGATGAACGAGGCCAGAGGCAATGCATTTGATCAGCTGGACGTCGAGGGGCGGGACGATGAGGACGAGGACGAGGACGAGGCCGAGGACGAGGATGATATGCTGGACGAGGGTGATGTAGAAGAGGAGATTGAGATCGAGGACGGTGACATTGCGAAGAAGGTGCGCCAAGTCGATCTGCAAGATGTTCAAGACGGGGAGGATGAATGGGCAGACGAGGAGGACATGGATGAGGAAGACGAACAAACCGAAAACGCCCCGCTCTCAGCAGAAGAACAAACACGGATTCTGACAACCGATGATTTGGAAGAGCTCTTCCTCCAGCACTCTCCCAGACGTCCAGACGTGGACGACACTGACCCGGACGCTGTGCATCGCAAAACGCAGATCGGGCTTGTTGGCTACCCTAACGTTGGCAAGTCTTCCACCATCAACGCTCTCCTAGGCGCGAAGAAGGTCTCCGTCTCCGCCACTCCAGGCAAGACGAAACACTTCCAGACCATCCACCTATCAGACCGGGTCATCCTTTGTGACTGTCCTGGTCTGGTGTTCCCCAACTTCGCCACGACCAAAGCGGAGCTCGTGTGCAACGGCGTGCTGCCCATCGACCAACTACGCGAATACTCCGGTCCCGCAGCATTGGTAGCACAGCGAATACCGCAGGCTTTCCTGGAGGCTGTCTACGGTATGAAGATTGTCACGCGACCTATTGATGAGGGCGGGACTGGCACCCCCACAGGTGAGGAGGTGTTGCGGGCCTACGCCAGAGCGAGGGGCTTCTTCACACAAGGTCTAGGCCAGCCGGACGAGAGCCGCGCAGCACGTTCGGTGCTGAAGGACTATGTCAAAGGCAAGTTATTGTTCTGCCATCCGCCTCCCCACGATCCGCCTATCGACGGCCGAGTTTTCAACCGCGGGCTGTACGACGCCGCTCACTTGCCACAAAAGCGGCGAGCGCATCTCGCCGTGTCTGCAGAGGCATCTCTGAACAGTACGGATTCTGTATCACTGATGGACGATTTGGATATGATACCACTACCCGCCACACAAGGCGCAAAGGGGCAAAAGCTGGATAAAGCTTTCTTTGCGCCCGGGCAAGGTGGTGGGAGTGTCGTGCAGCCTTTCCACCACAAGTACAGTGAGCAAGGGAAGGAGCTTAGTGGGCGCAAGTTAAAAATGGTTGCAGCGCTGGAGAAAGACATCGACCCGGCGGATATGAAGGCGAGCTCGAAGAAGCACTTCAAGGCGAATAAAAGGGCGGCGAAGAAGGTTGTGAGGAGTACTGGCGACTACGATTGAACAGGGAAGATCTTGAATGCACGATTGTGATTTTCATCCTTCCAATCTCGTCCCCAGAATGCGGGAGGAACATTTGACGCCGTGTACATGAAGCGGCGGCTCGGATGGAGCGCTGCGCTGCGCCGGAGTCAGTTCACGTGCCGACCACTCACACGCTCCGTTAAATAAGACTTCGTTTCACTTACAGAAATATGATCACAGCCACGGTGTGAGCATGCAGTGCATCTCAACTCAATGACTTGTCAGCCGCTACAGCGATCGGTAACAGCGGATGCTTCGTTTGACGGGTAGGTAGCATACAAACTCTGTATGCACCGCTTCCCCTCTCACACATCTTCTCCCTCCTCCGCCTCAACAGAATGTGTCTCTACGCAGCATTCAAGCACTCCTTACCACCTTTTCTCTCACCAAAACCGTCTCCTGTGAGTCAAACTACCGGATTAATCCTCTCCCATATCCCTTCGGGCAGAACCTGCCAAACAACGGCGCCGACTGGCCGAAAAACCAGGTATGGGAACTCGGCTTGGTTCGGAATATCACTTACAACACCGACTTTGGACATTACACTATTGCCCTGTGGCAGGACCAGATCAGTCCTCCCTCGCCGTGGAAGGTTGATTATGTTTATGGTTCGTAAGCATGCTGTTTCGCGGATACGAAAAGCGATGATGCTGAAAGCGAGTCAAACCTACGGGTCCCGGCAATGTGACCAACCATACCGGCACGCAAACTTTACAGTGGGTTGTGCAGACATATGGTGAGCCGTCCGCATTGCTGAAGCTTACAGTGATCGGGCTGACTTGGGGCGAAACTAGGTAATAACACCTCCCAGATCACGAACCCCGTGTTCTGGCTGTGGATCGCCGATTTGAACAGCAACCGGACTATCATCTCGCACACATTCAATATCACGAGTCCGTCATCTGCGTTGAACGAAACGGTGAGCGAGACGAGCATCGCCGCGAGTGCAAAGAGCACCCTTCCTCTTTGTCTCGGTCTAGGCCCAGGCCTTGGAGTCCCCCTGCTTGTGACACTCGCAGCTCTAATGACAGCACTGTTAGCCTTGAGACGGAGAAGGCAACAAAAAGCGGAGTGGGTATCCCAACTCCTCTCGAGTCAGACGCCGATAGAGGAGAAATGGCATTCTCCGGAAGATGTAACAAGCAACCTCCTTCACGAGGCTCCGAATGAGGACCGGAGGGGCGGAACTCGGAGGAATGGTGACATAGTATCGGAATTCTTGCAGATACGACCCAACAACCACGATACCCACGGTCAACCCACATCTGTCATTGGCGTACAAGGGGTCTTCGGTCCCCAGTAAAGCTACAATGTGACTGAATTTTAGCGCAATCGTTGCGGTTCAACCTCCGTCTTGGTGTTGGCGGAAGCCAATACCAAGACGGTTCTTGCATTGAAGCCTAGTTGCTCGCTCGTGTACAATCACCTATGTCCAAAGAGTTCCATCTCCTCGCCATCCTCACCCTCCCCATCCTCGTCGTCATCATCAAGCATCTCCGCGTCCCTCATCTCATCGTCACTCTCACTCTCACTACTCGATTCATCACGTCGCCTAACAGCGTGAATACTGTCATCCGTCCCTTCTTCCCCACTAGATAAAAGTTGCCCATCCGAGCCCCAAAACTCCACGGCATCATCATCGACCGCAACCGCATCCTGCGGGTTTCTTAGCTTCCGTTTCGTTTTGCCCACGGTCACGGTGCCCGTGGGGTCGCTGTGTATACTAGTCGGCGACCGGTTGCGGTCGGCAGTAGCGGAGCTTCGCCGCCTGAAGCTGCCTTCGCCAACATCGAGGCCGGCGAGGTAGTATCGCATGGGTGACAAGCTGCGACTCACTGCATCGAACATCTCGTAAGGAGAAAAGCGTGGCAGCTCCAGATTTGGCATGTTAGGCATATTCGGTAAGTTGGGCCAGTCCGGTAGGTTAGGAACCCGCGGCATTCGTGGTAACCGCGGCATCTCTGGTAGGTTGGGCAGATTCGCTAATGTTGGGAGGGTTGGCATAGTCGGCATGTTCGGCAGGGTGGGCAGTGTAGGAGTGGAGAAGCGAGGAGCTGTGAAGCTTGGGCGTCTCTCCTCTTCCTGGACAAAATAGCGCCTTCCGGGCGGAGACTGGGCGGAGCGTGCGCGACTTCCGCCGTTGACGGCTAGCTGAGACGGCGATGTTGGCACTTGCAGCACCGCTTCTTCAAACTGCGCCGGCTCGTCGTCGTTGCCAATGCCAGCATCCCGCATGACAGAGTCTCCGGTGAAGTCGTGCTGACGATGATGCTGTTGTTGCTGCCGTATCAGCCGTTCGGCATCTGTCTCCGGGACCGCGGTGGGAGCCATTTGGTTGGTGTTATAACTGTCGCAGACCTGACACTTCAGCCCAAGCCAGTGGAAAGGTGACCAACTGCGGCGTCCACAGTCGTTACAGCCAATGTACACGGTCCGTGGCCGTCGTGGACGTGCCTCGGGTGCCACCTCTAACACACCGTCTGCATCTGGGTTGGCTTGGATCTGCGGCAAAAGGCCCTCGAGGTCATCATCGTCCTCTGGCATCGGCTGTGCCCTAATCTCATCGTCCAGCTTGCGCCACTGCAGCTCCATGTTCACTGCACTTTTGCTGCATACTGGACATTTGTACGTCACAGCCATTAAGTCCTTGTAGCAGTCGCCGTGCATGTAGTGGCCACACGGTAGGCTGACAACCGATGTGGTCGACTCGAAAAGCCGTACCAAGCAAAGAGGGCAGTCTCCCTCGGTCGCCCGCTCGATGCAGGGATGAGAGGCGGACGTGGAAATAGTGATGCAGACATTACATCGTCGACAATGCACGTAATCCTTCCCTAAGCCTTCGCCCACCCGGCAGATTCCACAATCATCACAATGATAGATCCGCTTGTTGCTGTCGTTGTCCCAAAGCTTGCACTTCGAGCAGTAATACCATGCGGCATATTCGCCACAATGCATGCACACTTCTGCGGCAGGCTGCGGCGTGCAACAGAGCATGCACAACATGTTCTGTGTCTTCTTGCGGTTAAGCTTGTGCTCGTACGGTAGATCCGGTGCTTGATCATGGCAGTGTCGACAGGTGAACCATCGCTGGCAATCGTAACATTGCACCTTGACGTTCCGCTTGTAGTGAGCACATCCGAGGACGGCTGCATTTTCGTTCTCCGAGCTTTCGGTACGATCACTATGCACTACCGGCAGGGCAACAGGTATCGGACTGAACGTCGGTTCGAGGTCACCAGGTCTTAGATTGTACGGATTCTGAAGGTCCGCAGGGAGCATTAGTCTTGGATTTTGCAAGTCACTGGGAGACGACACGTCAATGTTGGCCTTGTGCGCGATGTATGCCCTCGTCATTAGGGCGTGCATGCGCCTCGCCTTTTCCTCCGTAGAGACCGCAAGCGTACGGATTGCTTGCAGCTGTTCCCGTACCGCACGCATGCCGTCGTCAATCGGCAATGCGCCATCCATTGCCGTGTCGTCTTGGACGCCATCAGGCTGCGAAGAGTCTGGCTCGATCATGCCTCGCCGCTGATCCAATGTACCCTCCCTTGACCGCATCACTGGATTGAGCGCTGGGGGATGTGCATCACTCGCAAAGCTCCCAATGTCCACACTCCGCAAGCTGTCTGCAGCTTCGTGTGCTGGGTTGATGCTTCTACCTCCATCCACAGGTCTCCCCCAGGACCGCCAAGACGATTGCGAACCCGCTGTCCGCCTGGTCGAAGAGTGCGCTTCAGAGCCGCGACTGACTTGAGCACGACCTATTAGTCCCTGCAGAACGTCTGTCTCGTCTCGCTCTTCCGTCGGACTCTCGACCACCTCCCCGGCATCTGGAAAAAGCGTCGTGTGAGCTCCTGCATGCCATGAACTTTGCTCTCGTCGGTCGCCGGTAGAAGTGGAGCCTTCAGGTGGCAGAGGCTCAGCCTGTGGCTCAGCATGGCGTCGGGAGGAGGCAGGTGAGGAAGGAGGCGGGAAACCAAACACCACACTTTCGAAAAGCTCGTACATGGACATTGAATGTCAATGCAGGAGACGAACAAAGATGTCCCACCGACATGCATGCTCGCATGACCGTGTTGCCCATGACGCAGTGTTTCTTGACAAGTGGCGTCTGACATCTCGAATGGCGCCACACTTTGGCGATCAACACTGCCGATCCCACGTGCTCTCCATCTGCAATAACCATCTGCAATGAACCTCTTCACGAAGTATCTTTCGCTTGTGTACTACGATCAGTACCAACATGGTGGTTGACATGACATTATGAAGAGCCAGTACAGGTTGCTACATGTACTTCAAGCCAGCAGTGACTGACGTACGGCGCATGAAGCGTATCTATTGATTTCATCCATTCCACAACGATCCCACCCGCCCGCGCTTCCATTCCTTCAATGAACGTTGACATTGGCAGCAGTACGCCAATTTTCTTGCATACTGGGATCTTAGTCGTTGTGATCATGGCCGTGGATCGCACGTCTCGAAAGCCGGACGACCTGTTAGGGATATGGGTACATCTCGAATGTCTTGTGAGCAACAGAACTGCATGGTCAGCCGCTTGGCGGTGCCAATTTTCGACGTCTATAGCTAGCGTCGCCGCGATATAATCGCCGTTTGGCTTGTTCGGTATGCAGAGCAAGCTTTCACCTCGCAGGCGGTGGATGCAGTCTGCGTACAAACAGCTCTGGCGATGCCGTGGGTATCCAGTCAGCTTTGCGCAAGAGCGCATTCTATCGTACTCGCTCAGCCCAGGGAATAGCAACGCAAAGTCTGCGTCGCCAAGCTCAATCTGATGGAGCAGATGCAGATGCGCATTGCGTGTTACCAGGCGGTATCGGTTCCTAGTCGTCCCGTGAGTTCTAAGGAAGCCTACATACCTATAATCACGAGGACCAGTTCAAGCTCCTGGGCGTGGCCGACAGGCTGTCAGTGTGGAGAGGCCCGACTGGCGAGGTACAATGTCCCGACGGTAAGCCTCTCCGTTGGCTCGGTTGATATATATGGATGGCTTTCGCAACATGTGCTGGAAAAGCCCAAGCCAAAGGTCATTCCCTTGGGTCCAGCTTGCAATGTCGGCCGCCAGGCTGTCAGCAAGTACAATTCAGTTTATGATATGCAAATACACCGAAAGAGAGAGGAGTTTTTCTCACACCTGCGAACAACTGGTGGTCATCCTTCGGCGCAAGCGACGCGGAAGCGCTGCAATAGCACAGTCATGGGCGACCAATCCAGGGTCAAGTTGATTGGAATGGCAGCGTGACTCACTGTTCTCTTGGACGCTGTAAATGTCATGGCTGTCGCTGCATATGCGCATTTGCCATTCAACCAGCAGCGTGAACGAACAACTCTACGGTCATCGGCACTCTTGTTGCGGCATGTGGCGCAGTCAAGCCTGGAATACTGACCGATTCCATTCTCTATTGAGCGCGACGGCACGTAACCCTTCGAAGAGCTCATGTTACTGCACTCTGTCCAGGTTAATGATATCGAAGAAGTCGGTTGAGTTTCGCAAGACCGTGCCTTCGGGGTCCACGGCACGTGGAGACGGGAAGCTTGGGCCAGTGGAAAGCCGAGGCAAGCAGCGTGCGAGGAGCACTCTTCGAATCGTACCGTAATGTGTGCGTTGATCTATTGTAGTTGCGGACGAAAGCTTCGTTCCGGTACCAGTCGCTGGGACCAGCGACTGTCTTAGGTAGTTGTCCCTAGGGTAGTTGACCTTGACTTTAGGATGCAACACAGTGCGAGAGCAGTTGGTGCGAGAGCACTGCTCGCTCTGCCAGCCTCATTGCGAGCGGCTGCATTGAGGACGATCCAGGCAAGATGGCAGTCAACGATACCCGAGCGCAAGCATCCCAAAACAGCCCTGTTCTTCCCGGGTCAAGGCGTGCAGAGGGTAGGCATGACGGCGGATTGGCTTGAAGCCTACCCTCGCACAGTCAAGCCGGTGCTTGAGGAGATGGATGAAACACTCAAAGTCCCCTTGAGCAAGATCATCGCGGAAGGACCTAATAGCAAGCTCACGGCAACGGAGAATGCGCAGCCCGCTATTATGATGACGTCCATCATCATTCTGCGGGTGCTGGAGAAGGAGTTTGGCTTCAAGACTGCAGACAGGATAGACCTAACACTAGGGCACTCACTGGGAGAGTTTGCAGCTTTGGTAGCGGCTGGCTATCTGCGAGAGCCGGATGCACTGCGGTTGGTGAGAAAACGAGCAGAAGTTATGGCGCGGTGCTCGCGAGAGCTCAATGAAGAAGTGGGCATGGTTGCTCTGGTGTGCGAAGCCAACCATTTGCCGTCCATGATAGACGCCATACATGACTTCCTTGGTCACGCCTCGGAAGGCTCGAAGATGGACAGTAACGCAGACTCCGATCTGCCAAGCGTACAGCAGGTGCTCATCGCAAACGTGAATTCGAAAAACCAGATTGTGCTGAGTGGTAGCATTAAGCGTATCAACGAACTCCTGACCCATTTGCGCCAATTTGCTGGTCATGACCCACGGGCGGTACGACTTAAAAGCGACTCACCCTTCCACAGCCCCCTGATGAAGCCAGCAGCCGAAGTTATGAAGAAGCTACTGGACCAGCCGTCTCAAGCTGCCAAAGGCGAAGACACAGTGATATGGCCGGGCATCATGCCGTGTGTCAGCAACGTTTCTGCCCGCCCGTTTGCAGACAAAAAGCAGCTCAAGGACTACCTTGCTCGGCAGTGCGTCGAGACTGTCTTATGGCATGATAGCATAATCTATCTGCACAAGGAGGAGAAGGTGCGGAGATGGGTCGGCATTGGCCCAGGCAAGGTTGGCCGCAACTTGGTCGGCAAGGAGGTTGGCATGAAGGGGGCTGTGAAAGGAGGTGGTGTTTGGGGTATCAGTGACCCGAGGGAGGTGGAGGCAATTCTGCAAGACCTCGATACGACGGAGACAGCTCAAGAGGACGACTGAAGGAAGACGCGGATGTGACTTCGTTCACCTCGAGCCCTGCCTCGCGCAATCGCCAGGACAGTCCATTGTACACGCCCTTTACACGAAGGACAAGCTGGACCGTACGACCAAAAAGCTGCAGGCCGACACTGCGTCGTGAACGACATATTTGCACGAGATGCTGCTCATTGATCTAGCCATGTGCAACTCGCAACCGGCCGTAAGCTGCTCCGACGAGCAGAGATGTTCGGCCTGAGCCGACGCGAGACATCACCACTCCTATCCGATTCTGGAGGATGTAGATGCTGCCGAAGCTGCGGTGGAACGACAGTACGAGCATAGAGGCAGAGCTCACATGTTAAGCAGGGAGGACTACTATATGGTTGCGATTGGGAGATGAGGTGAATCAACGCTGCAAAGCACCTGTGGGCTTCGGTAAGATTGATGGACTGTAGAAGGACTTCTGCAACGTATAGTGCTATCTGGCGGTACACAGCGTTCTATGGCGACGGGATGTATGCTTTGTGTCTCGTGCTGCATTGCCGTCTTTCGAGCCAACAAGCATGCCGACGTCGGCCACTAAACACAAGGTTCAGCTACCGTCGCGTGCCTGCTTTTTGAACCCTGCAGCAACATGACTTAGGCGGACCACTCAGGAGCGGACGATAAGGCCGGCCCTCTTCCATCGATCATAACAATGACATTGAGCCACAGCCTCGTCGGTACGTCCACGAGCAATATCTCGTTCACCTCCGTGACGACATCAGCGCGTTCGGGTGCAGCGAATCTAAGTGATCCACTGTTGAACAGCGGTGACGTTGAACCAAGGCTTTTCCCCATGGTGAGCATGGCCATCAAGAAGGCGCGTCTTGTGACGACCTTCTCCGGTAACATTCTGTACTCGTTGCTCTTCCTTTTAGCATTCGTCCACTCTCATAGTATTTGACATTTTCACACCTTGCGGCCGTGAAATTCATAGACAGTAGGACACCTCGGCAAAGCGAAGATGTCGAATCTTCCATCCGAGCCCGAGTTCGAGCAAGCTTACAAGGGTAAGGGCAGTCACACGGGCTCGTTGAGTGTGAGTCGAGGTGCTAAATATGTATTTCAGAGCTGGCCTCCACCCTCGAGAACAGCACGCTGTTCGAGAAGAACCCGGAGTTTAAGAAGGCACTTCAAGTTGCAGCCATCCCCGAGCGAGTGATCCAATTCCGCGTGACATGGGAAAACGACAAGGGCGAAGTGCAGGTGAACCGGGGCTTCCGCGTCCAGTTTAACTCGGCCTTGGGACCATACAAGGGCGGCCTGCGGTTCCATCCTACCGTGAACCTCAGTGTTCTGAAGTTCCTTGGCTTTGAGCAGATCTTCAAGAATGCGCTTACTGGGCGTGAGTGACTTTACGTATGGGTTTACGAACACGTCTGACAAGGCCATAGTTTCTATGGGTGGTGGCAAGGGTGGTGCCGACTTCGATCCCAAAGGCAAGTCGGACAACGAGATTCGGAAGTTTTGCGTCTCCTTCATGCGTGAGCTGAACAAGCACATCGGTGCCGACACTGATGTACCAGCGGGCGACATTGGCGTGTCACCGCGCGAGATTGGCTGGATGTTCGGAGCTTACAGGGCGGAGAAGAACAAGTGGGAGGGTGTCCTCACCGGTAAGGGCGGCACCTGGGGTGGCAGCTTGATCCGGCCGGAGGCCACTGGCTATGGCGTTGTCTACTGTAAGACCCCTGCATCGTCTATGATGAGGTCAGAATTGTCAGCTAACTATGGCCTTCGCAGACGTGCAACATATGATCAACTACGCCTCTGGCGGCAAGGAGTCCTTCAAGGGCAAGCGTGTTGCCATCTCAGGGTCAGGCAACGTTGCGCAATATGCAGCTCTTAAGGCTATCGAATTGGGTGCGACCATTATCTCGCTCTCGGATAGCAAGGGTGCTCTCATCGCTACGGACGAGAAGGGCATTACGCCCGACCTTGTCAATGTTATCGCGGAGCTCAAGGTGAAGCGGAAGCAGCTCACTGAGCTGGCGGAGAGCTCGGAGTACAAGCAGAAATTCAAGTACATCGACGGTGCGCGGCCATGGGTGCATTGCGACAAGGTCGATGTGGCACTGCCGTGTGCGACGCAGAACGAAGTTTCAGGCGAAGAAGCGCAGAAGTTGATCGAGTTGGGCGCGAAGTACATCGCAGAAGGCTCAAACATGGGCTGCACGCAAGAAGCCATTGACACTTTCGAGAAGGTTCGGAAGGAGAAGAAGGGCGAGGCTATATGGTACGCGCCAGGTAAGGCAGCCAACGCTGGCGGTGTTGCGGTGTCCGGTCTGGAGATGGCTCAAAACAGCCAGCGGTTGAAGTGGACTTCCGAGGAGGTCGATGATAAGCTGAAGGGCATCATGAAGAACTGCTTCGAGAACTGCCTGTCGACAGCGAAGGAGTATGTGCCTCCTGCCGAGGGCGAGCTGCCATCGCTGGTAGCAGGTGGTAATATCGCGGGCTTCAGCAAGGTTGCTGCTGCTATGCGCGACCAGGGAGATTGGTGGTAGGGCGACGGTTAGCGATCGTAGAAATGAACGTACTTGACGGCTACGAGCGAACAGTTGACTAAACAATATAGCCTGTTCGAGACAGGCAAGTGCCACTCTAGCCTCACATGTCAGTGAGGCGCCGCCGTTAACGACCTTGACAATCCCTTCTGCAAGTAGCTTCATGCCGAGCCGGTTATCATGGCGCCGCACAACGTGTTGGCGTCGCGCGATCATCGATGGCCGCTCCTTCGGGTATTTCACCGTCTGCGCTATAGCCTCTATGGGAGATTGCTCGCTCAAGGGTTTCATGCGAAGAGCATAGAGAAGGCTGAAAAGGGCGTATGATCAGCATAGCGCAATTTACCTTAGCTCTCTGCAGCATACTCACGATACTCACTGCGCACCGCAGATCGGATGGAAGTTGCTGCTTGGAAGTTGCTGCAAATTGCCTCGCACGCACGGCTCGCCAATGGTGTCTTTCGGCTTTTCGAAAGGGGGACATCGCGCCGGCGGCGTGTGGGGTCAGAGAGAAGGTTCAACTCTCGCGCTAAGCTTGCTCAAGCATTGGTGTCGTGCATGGGGATCGCATCCGAATAGGCTCCTTGATTGGTTCGGAGAGAGAGTGTTCCTGACTAGACCTCAAGTGAACGGCGGTTGGAAAGTCTGTCCCTGTGATGTCTATAATCGCTGCTGGCGGTGATGCAGCTGAAGCAGGAGCTTCCCTACAGCCACAGGACGTCTTTACAACAGAGTACATACGATGTTCCGGGCTGGAAAGCGAATGGATTCCGACACGCGGGATAATGAGACGCAATTTGGTGAGCCGATGTCATCCTGGCGCAGCGCCAGGATGGAGGTGGCTCGGGAGCAATCTGTGGCCGCTATGGCTTTGTCGGTTGCGCGCCCAATGAGCTCGCACGCCCAGCGACAAGGTCCAAGCGCAGTGGCATTCGTTTGACTTCTCCTGGACGACCTACTGTCCTTGTCTTGGCCGGTCCTCTCTCTTGTGTTCACCACACGACGGCTGGCTCAGGTGTTCGCGTCCTCGACTGTCGCTCGTTTGGCCATTAACTGACCCTAGTCTTTCCTTGTACATACGGCCTATTATCGTATCTAATTCATTCCACATCCACTTCTTGTCACGGGCCGATTAACCATCGTGAGCTGGGTGAAAAGCGACTTGGAACCCTTCGCAGCACATACCGAAATCTTGACGAACAGGCATCGAGACAGGTTTCGGCCCATCCATATAACAACCACGAGCGGTTCTCACACAGCAAACGCGCATTCAGCGTCGAGTACATTGGCTGTTGAACGGCCCAGACGCCTACCGCGGTGAGAAAATGAGGCTCCCGATTCCGACCACACACATCAACCTTCGCATTTCAAGGCCACAGTTTCACAATCTGGACAACTATGTCGACAATGGTGGCGACGCAATACACCTGGGTTCGAGGACGTTGTTTGGGAGAGTAGCGCAGACGGACAGCAGTTCAGACACCCCTTCAAGCACATGTCAGCCTGGTAATGACTCCGCAATATGCGCGAAGCCAGTGAGCGAGATGCAGACTCAGACACTGCCTATTGTGTTAGGCGCAGTGTATGTTAACATTCGTTCGGTTGATGATCTTTACTGACGCAAACAGTATCCCGATATGCTGTGCACTTATAGCGTTCGCCATCCTGCATCGCAAGTTCGTCAAGCGACAACGGCTAGAAGACGCGAACGACCCTCACAGATCCTTGGACTTTGGTGTTGACTTGTCAAAGCCCTCCACGGGCAAGGGCAACGTTCCCGAGATGACCGTAACCGACCTGGGCACTGAGGTCTCCAGTAACCCAGGACAGCGGATTCGGGGCATGTCGCTGGACGTGGTGAACCCTTTCCTGCTGCCGGCTGGTTTACAAGGCTCGCGCGAATCCATTCACAGCATGGCTCGCTCGCAACATGACGATCCTTACCGGCCTGTGACAATGTTGCGAACGTCTTCTGAATCGCCTTCTCGCCCGAAGCTCGATGATGCATCAACGTACTCCGTCTCCACTAAGAACTCCACGAGTGAGAAAGCTGATCTGTTGGCGAATGCTCAAAGGATGTCACGGTCAGGTCCGCCACGCGTTGACTCCATGTCTCCACACAATTCACAGTCGTTGGAGAACACGAGCGCGCACCCCCCGGGAAATGCGAGCCGGAGTGCACCTTCGAGCCGCAAGAACAGCCTTGCGCCAGTGGAGCAATCGCTTCCCAAACCAACCCAGCCGCGATCTCGCCAGCAGTCTCTGCCCCGAGCCAACCCTCCGGCGGTTGCGGCAGGTAAGCAGAGCATGGACGATAGGAAGCGAAGGTCATCCTCTACGCCACGCACGGCACGGACGCGCTCCGCATCCTCGAAAGCCATGCCTAGAAAAGCATTGCCTTGGGATGATGCGCAAGCTGTCGCAAACGCTCTTCCACCGCCACCAATGCCGCAGCCGAACACCAATGAAGTTGAACCTAGAACAACAATTACTGGACGCTACTCCATGGAGACCTCGCACGCGTCGCAGAAACATCCTGCCCTGCCTCCGCGGACGTTAGCCATGGGCGCCCGCCCACTACCGCCAGACCAACCCGAAGAGTCACCCGAAGCGCGTGCGAACCGCATCCGATCATTCTACAAAGAGTACTTCGACGCTTCTCGTCAGAGCGGTACACGTAACACTCGCATGACCGATGACTTCAGTGACCTTCAAGGCGCTATCTTTGATCCGGAGACTGGCAACTTCTTCATGGCTGGTGGTGCCCGCCCTTACGCTCAGCCCGTGGGTCGCCGTGCCATGACACCTCCGCCGCGTGGCGCGCCTCGTCCGCAAGACGTACACGGAAGACATACTAGTGTTGTCTCTGCAGGTCGTGCACATCCTAGGGGCCGACAAGGCCCGCAACCGCCAACGCTAAAGGTCAAAGTGCCGCCACCTAAACCGCTGCAGAGCCTGCCGACTCCGCACATGCTCCGGGACTATGACTCTACCATCAGCAATCCTATTGACTTCGCACCGCCGATCTCGTATCGTCAGATGCAGAACGGCAGCGCCCCCGCCAGTCCGATCGGAGGCTCAAAGCCGTACAGTCCGTCCGTGAAGGCTTTCAACCCGCTGGTTTCGTCCTTCGACGATCTCTCTGTCATGCCGTCACCTCACCTTCTCCGCAATTCCGGCACATTCACAGCACTGGACTTCGCTCCGCCAAATCGCCTTGGCAGCCACAACGATACTGGCAGTGAAACGGGCAGCATCCGCAGCGCTCGTTCTGGCATCTCAGCTTTGCAGCTCGATGCTGTTCGTGCAGGCGCCTACCGCGTCTCTCGGATACCGCAAGAGATCGTGATGACGAAAGATGACTTGGCGTTGCAGCTGCGACCCAAAATGAACCTCACTGCCCCAGCCTAATTTGGATTCTAGGTGGTGGCATTCTATGCGCAGCACCAATCACGCTTACGAGACGACGCAAGCGCTTGTATAAAATCTTCCCTAACATCGCATCAGCGGCTTTTGGTGGCATTGGGAGGGTTATATTCACGGCCAAGGCCATCGCAGGCGTTCGGAAACCAGATGGGTGGCTGTGGTCTCAATATGCTACTAATCGACCATAACTTTGCATCTGTTCTGGAGCTCGGTAAGGCAGCCGCCGTTGAGATGAGAAAGCGGCCGGTGTGCACTTGCTTGGATTGGACATGGGGGCTTTGTGAGTGACAGCTAAGCTCATTGTAGATATGGTGCGGCAAATCAGATGTACAGTGTCATCTGTCTCTGCTCCTCATGGCTCATTCTCCGTTTTTTGCTGATTTGACATTGCTTCTGGTATGAGCCGACGGCTTCTAGCTCCAACAGTCACCCGGTGTGGTAGAGATGATAGGGCGCCTCGAACATGTGAACTCGTGAAGATTACAGATTACCAATCCAAGAATGACAAGCGATTTGATCAGCCTCCTATGACTGCCACAATCTGGCCAGCAGAATGATGAGCGAGCTTCAGAAGACAACCGACTAACGATGCGAAGCCATCATCTAAGTCAAACGCTTGTGGGGCCAGCCAGGTGAACAGCTGCGTGGCTGTATCTCTGGTCGCACATCTGGCGAAAGCCAACATGCTCAGGTACCAAAGCAAATGCAACTGCAGGTCGCGACTTTCGAGTTCCGGCGCTTGATCGGTCTGAAGACATTGTCGAATACGCTCCTCCGAGCTTCATCAACACGTCGGACCCAGTACCACGAGAGCACACAAGGCGCCAGTGGCAACAAAATTGCGCGACGGGCTTGACGGAAATTGGCGAAGTTCTCTGAGATGCAAAAAGGCTGAAGGTTCGCAGAGGCCACTTCGACGAGGTACCATAGCTTAACTCTCATCACGTACATGCTCGTACCAGCCGAAATAGTGCGCAAGATATTCACCAGTCAAGCCAAGCGCGATCGCGCCTCCTGTGAGCCAGGCACCTTTCTTGAACCACGCCCAACAGTCTTCAACATCTTGTAAATTGACAGTCCGGATCATGTATCCGAGCGTCACCGCCGCACATCCGCAGGTTCCTAAGTAGAATACTGGGCCAGCACTGATAGCTGCTCCCGCACCGGCAAGTAGCGCAACTTGAAGTGCAGCAACGGCCGTAAGAAATGCTTTGGCATTGGCTTCTTGCGCCAGCGCGATGCTTTTGATGCCGACCTTTGCATCGTCGCGAATGTCTTGGTAGGCGTAGATCATGTCATAAACTATTGTCCATGCCACACAGCTCCCATACAGACACGCTGCTGAAGCTAGAGCGGGCATGTTGGCAAGTATATCCACTCCTAGCGCAGGGTAACCAACGAAGGCGCCCCATGAGAACGTCAGACCAAGGACGAACTGTGGGTAGTTCGTGACCCTCTTTGCCAGCGGATATGTAGCGACGAAGAGTAAGCTTGGTGTGGCATAGAAGAAGCACTGCCACGGAAACTGTAGAAGCACACCGAGGCCGGCCAGTAACTGCACACCAAGGAATGGAATGGCCTGCTGGACAGAAACCGCACCCCTAGCGATAGGCCTCAGCCTCGTCCTTGCCACACGTGGGTCCAGGTTACGGTCCCAAAGATCATTGATTGTGCAACCTGCGCCACGCATTATAAGAGCGCCTGCGAAGAACAGTCCGGTAGTGTAGGCGATAGTCAGCGGTGGCGCTATCGGCGTTGCGAGAGGCGCAGCTAGAAGCGTACTGAAGAGGCAAGGGAGAAAGAGGTAGTAAGTTCCTGTAGGCTTATCAAGGCGAGCAAGTTCAGCATAGGGGACCAAATTCCGAGGGAAGATCGAGAGCAGACCAGTCATAGGAGCCTTGTAGCCGGGCAGCTTTGCACTTTCACGGTTGATGCTTCCAGTGTGACTAGCAAGGGAGCCGTCTGGAGGTCGGGTTGCATGCTGTCTTCTTTGCTTGAATTGCAAGCTTTTTAAGCTCAGTGCTGGTGGAGTCCTTGCCTGCGGCTGAACGCGTGCAGAGACTGCATGCGTACCGTATCGAATGTATCGGTGGTGTTGCAGCTGTATGGACAACCTCGGGAATGCATTTTGTTCTAGACGAAGAGATATCAAACGCAGAGCCGCTGGAAGTTGACAGGACTGCATCGAGCGTGGATAGCCTGTGACTTACCTTAATGCTGCCCAGAAAGTGCTAGAATCGGCTACATACTACATAGCAAGAGCAAAGGATGTCTCATTGACACCTGTAATGTCGAAGCGTGTTGATAGGTCGCTAGTACCGTGACCTGACTGGGAGGCAATTCACACAAAGGGTGAAGGCCCCGAGCTCGACCAGCTGCCTCAGGCTGCAGCACTCGCCTCGACGCTCGACCTTGAAAGTCACGCTTTCTACTCCACAAAGAAACATATATGTATTGCCTACGGTTTCGTCCTTCGTAGCGATACAGTTACGGATGAGCCCGCAAAACTAACTCTAATGGCCATATAAAGTGCGAGTATTCCGAGGTTGACAATGGTCAACATGGCAAGCACATCTGCCACATATCGTTCCCTTGTCGCAGACGTAGGCTCAGCCTTGAAATCTTTCCAAGCTTCGAGCTCAAAGTTCAGGCTCTTGAAGTCCGTGGACCCATCAGAGCTCAAACCGCATGACTTGAAGCGTCTGTCTGACGATCAAGCTCCGAGGACACTCTTCATCTTGGACTCATCGTTCAACCCACCTTCAATAGCTCACCAATCGCTGGTGTTGTCAGCGTTTCGCAGATCATCCAGTAGTGCGTTTTCGAAACCTTTCCGGCTGTTACTGCTGTTCGCAACCATGAACGCAGATAAGGCACCATCAGCGGCCTCCTTCGATCAGCGCCTGACATTGATGACTATCTTCGCCGCGGACCTTGTGCGAACGCTGCAGGCACAGTCCGAAGAGTACTTTTGTGTCCCCGTCGACATTGGCGTGACGACAGTGCCTTACTACACGGACAAGTCTGCAGCGATAGAAACGGAAGGTCAAGAATGGTACGCCGTCAAGCCAAAGCACATTCATCTGGTGGGGTTTGACACACTCACCCGCTTCTTCGCTGCAAAGTACTACAAGAACTTCGACCCGCCGTTCTCAGCACTGAGTCCTTACTTTGATAGTGGTCATCGCTTGCGGGTTACGCTCAGACCGGACGAGCAGTACGGCTCTGTCGACGAGCAAAGGGCGTTCCTGGAGCGTCTTGGAAACGGTGAAATGGAGAAGGATGGAGGCAAACGGGATTGGGCAAAGCAAGTAGAGCTGGTGCCTCCCAACCCAAAAGCCGGTGTGAGCAGCACTCGCATTAGGAAGGCCGCTCATCGCGGCGATTGGGACGAAGTTGATCAACTCTGCACTCCAGGTGTGGCAGCCTGGGTGAAGTCCGAAAACTTGTACAAAGAGGACGAGCGGGGAGCTAAGATGGCCTGATGCGTGTCGCCTGGCATCTTTCGATCACTTCCTCTGGTATCGTACAGCGGTATGTCTTAGTCGTACAAGGCATTATGCCGTTCTATATATATCAGTGGGCTGAGATTACTCACTTGACGCCTTACGCTTCCTTCCGGTCACAGACATCCCACACCCATGGAACGCTAAAAGAGTAGAAGTCGAATCATCTATGCATTTGGTGGGAGACCCTTCAACCAGCCTCGGCTGCGCAGCCACTTTGCAATGCCAGGCGTGATCGCGACGGTCAACGGGAAGCGGAAGAAGACAAGCGACTTGTGCACGGCGTAAGATAGAGCGAGTTGCGTGGCCAAACCTGCGACCATGGTCAGCACTTATGTCGAGCATGATTGCACACGGTTCTCTTTACTGGCTCCATGATGTTTATGTTCCTGCTCCGTGACAGCTTCGGCAGTCTGCCTTGCTTCATCCACAGGGCCTTCGGCGCCAGCGGGTACCGCGGCCTTCTGTCCCCGCCACTCCCTCCACCTTTCTATGAGCCGCGCAGACCATGCTCGATACCGCTCACGCGACCCCGGCATAGCCTTTTCCGTCACTTCCCAAAAATTGTCCACAACCCAATCCTCTATTTCCGCTATCCGCTCGCTTCCGACATATCGGACGGCGAGGAAGCAGAACGGAAAATCCAGCACTGACAGGCCCAAATAGACGCCTACTGCAGTCCAGCCATATTTTCGGCTGAGTTCGCGGAATTTGCCTTCCTTCTTGGGCGGCTGTGACGAGGCAGAGCCGGCGTAGCGAAGGCTACGGAACGAATGTTCAAGCCTTCGGAACGAGGAGCGTGCGACGGATCCGTGAAGGCCAACACGGCAGCTTTGCGTGCGTTGTGCGAGTTTAGGTGAGGTGGAGATCTTCCGAATAGGGAAGGCACACGTTTTCTGCGGATTGCATCGCAGTCTCAGGTATTGGACGAAGTTACCCTCCAGCGTATGCGCTAAGGAGCGACTCCTGTTGCGGAGTCCGGTCTGCATCGCAGGAGTATACTAGAGGTAATTGCATGCAACTTATAGGGATAATGAACTCGGAGCACTGATGGACGAACAGCAACAGCCCTTGAGGTCTACGACGTCTGAGTTGGGCAAGTGCGATGCGGGTCGCGCCAGGTCCCGACAAACCGTAGGCCGAAGATCGACTGCAGGGATCGGTATGAAGCGGACGGTAAGCCAGCAGGCCAGCGACAAGCCGATGCGTGCTTCCATAGGAGCCAACATCCTTGATCCTGATTACACGCCATTGCCGCGCGAGATGACATCACAAGTCTCCCTTCCGCGACTCGTGAAAGTCACGGTTCTGTCCATTGGAGACTTAGGTTTCGGTCACGGTCACCAGGGTGGGACGCACATTCTGCCGGAATGCTTCGGCGCCACAATTGGGCTCGGCAGTAGGTTGCCTCGGCAGAATATTTGCAGGTAAGCGTCGACGCATTTGCGCCGGTGTATCGCACCTTGAAACAAGTCACCGACAGTATGGGAGGACCTGGTAACGCATCTGCAGCTCCTGGGACATTCTCAGCCATGCGTTGCATGATTGTGTCCCTGAAGTACATGGCACCCTGTTTCGTGAAGCTAACCTAGCCACTGCAAGCCGTAGTGCGCCGCGACCGACAGATTACTGTACGCAAACCGTTGGTGCATTCGGTACTGTGAAGCGGTCAGGGAAGCGCATACAATATCGATCACGAGATCATCGCACTGCCTCGGCACAGAATGTCCCTAGGCGCCCCCACGCGACTGAAAGTGTTGTGAAGGGTGTTCGGTTGTAGAACCGGTAGGGTCGATTGGGCCAGAGAAAGTCTGCTGTAGACCGCACGCACGGTGCCGGAACCGAGAGTCTACGCGACCACGAAAAACCTACGGCAATCGGCCGAGCTTGACTTTGCATTTAACCGCCCATGTCAGCGCGATATTCATCCTAACCATCTATAGCACCAGTATGGGTCAGCAGTCGATCTTCAAGAATATGCATGAAACGTGCGCGTGGCGTGCATTCCCTTGTGGCAATTGTCTTAGTGGTGGAACCTTGAACGCCATGCTACCTCTCAATGGTGGGGCATTGTTCGGAAAGAGTAAACAGGATGTTACCCTGCTTCTGTGGGATCGCCGTTGGCAGGGACCGAGCACCGCAGCAGCTACGCAGATAGTGAGACGAAGTGTAGCCTGTAGATGCTGGAGGTCAGGCTTCAATGGCTGGCTGCGTTACTCTGCGAGTGTTTGCCAGACGCCGGAATGCAGATAGGGAGCTGAAGTCCTCTCAAACTCTACATCTCGGTCTCGGTCATACGAAGACTAGGTTTGCTGCGCATCTGCCGACAAACTCTGTGGAGTTGAAGCTCGTCGGGCACCGCGAGGAGTTCGTTAGGCCTACGCGGTTGCACTATTGCGCCGTCTCTTGGCCACCCTCGGTAGGCGTCAATGATAACTCGATCCACGCACCAAAGGCGCACTGCATCCAGGGACTGCGGAAAGCTTATTCGTTCACAGCCTGTTGAGCGTTGCACATCGGTTGCATATGTTGCATATAAGCTGCAAGCATCAGGGTAAGTCGTGAGCTGTTCGTATGCGTGTTCGTGTGGGATGAATCGATCTGCTGCATCGTTCTCTATCTTGCCAACCGCCTGCCGGCTCAATCGTCAACAAGGGCTGGTGCATAAAGCATAGAGACATGGCGTCTATCCAAGCTCTACCTTATCCAACTCCACGTTCTTCAGTCTCGTCCACAAGGTCACCGTCCACTTCATCACTGGGCAGCGCCATGGGTGGCGGCTCGACAATGACTGCGGATGGAGTTGGTGCCCTTAATCTGCAACGCGCGCTCGACATTGCTCGCAACACCGAAGGAGAGCTGGACCTAAGTGTACGAGACTATCTGGAGCGAGCACTGGTAGACATCTGGGGACGCATCAAACAACAGCCAGATGCCTACATTTTAACCAAAGACGAGTTCGCTGTCTTCAACTACTACATCCAACGCTTCGAGGCATACCCAGAGGCCGAACCTGCCATCAGCCGTTACTGGCAACACGCCAGGGAGCCAAGCCGAGGCTAACACACACCCCCCCAGTCGTAACTCAGGCCACGACTAAGCTCCCGAGCAGCGGCTTCGGTTCGCTGCCGATATGCAGACTTCAAGCAATCAGCTTATACCATGACGAGACCGGTGCGCTAACACACTGAAAGGGATCTAAGCCTCTTACGCCACGGTACTGCATTATCGTAGTATTTGCTCTTCCTATGGAGGGCTACATCAAGCACGCGCACGATGCTTCAGTCGAAGCTGTTGTCGGAGGGGAGGTGCGCCCGTCACAAATTTGTGGGCCGTTACAGGCAAACGCCACGAGTGATCCAATCGCTGCCCGCTTGGGCCGGCTGACGAAGGCAGCCTCGCATGCACTCCTGGCCCTTGTTTTTCTCATCCTGTTGTCGTCGCTGGTCGACCTGAAAACTGCCCTGACCCCACTTGCTCGCTCACTGCCGCATCATGCAACGGCTGTGGCAGTATCTGTCTGCGAAGTTTTCCAGGCGTACCCTCCTGTACTGACGGTTACTCCGAATGGGACGCTCGAAATAACTGATGGGTCACCAAACGCAAGCACCGATATTATCGACAGCAGCCGGCCAATATGTCAACAGGTATTGGTGGTCCACTCTTTTGCCAACTCATACGGTCAACCATTCGTTGGTGACTATACGCCACCCGCATGCGCGTTCAACCGGATTACCTGGAACTTGACTGTCACGGCAGCTGGGCGACAGTATGATCGTCTTGGGATCGTTTACCTTGGCGACATCGAGGTTTTGAGAACATCAACGGCGGAACCTATGACGGACGGTATACAGTGGACATACTTGAAGGTCCGTTGGACTCCGACGCGTCAGTGTTTGGCTACTCATGCATACATTCTAGGACATGACGAATTTCTTACCTCTGTTCACCCAGAAACAGAAGATCATCTTCGATCTCCCAAATATCGTGAACACCGTATACACAGCCTCTTTCAACGTGAAGATCACGGCGGCCTATATGACGGCAACGGACTCAATAGTTCCACCAGATATGATCATACCCGTTTCTGCACGTCACTCTTCGCAGAGCATGCCGAGCGCCTTCACCGTGCCACCTAACGTTGCTTCGAACACGTTGACGCTTCCGCAAAACATTAGGAGGGCAGTGTTTACCATTGCTGCGACCGGACAGTCTGAAGAGGAGGTAACGCAATTCGCGCAAAGCCCAGCATCGTCATTGTGAGAGCCTGACAGCCTGCAGTTCTGGTGGAGCAACGTTCTTCAATCAGACATCCACACCTTCCCACAAAGTGGAACTATGTACGGATACTCCCCGTTTCGGGAGGTGCAACTTTTCATCGATGAGCATCTCGCCGGCGTAGCTTGGCCTTTTCCAATCATCTTTGTGTGTGCGGCCAGTTACCGAAACCGTACGTAATCAATGCTAATACCACGGCAGACTGGCGGCGTCGTACCTGGTTTGTGGAGACCGATTGTTGGAATCGATACGTTTGACTTGAAAGAGGACGAAGTAGACATCACGCCTTGGCTACCACTACTATGCAATGGACAAGCTCACAATCTCACCATACGCGTCTCCGGCTTAAATGATAGTGGCCATGGAACCGCGACATTATCAGGAACGACAAACAGTTACTGGTGGGTCACGGGCAAAGTCTTCATCTGGCTCGATGATGCTGGACACGTTACCACCGGCGATGGACCGTACACAGTAGCGCCTGAACCTACGTTCACGGTCTCATCATTGGTCGGGAACAGCGTCAACGGTACAAACATCACTTTGGCATATCAAGTAAACGCGCAACGCAGTCTATCCATTCAGTCAACTATAAATCTGAGCAACGGTTCCGAGAGCGTTGCCTGGCAGCAATCGTTATCCTTCTCAAATACCGGGAATCTTACTGACCAAGGCAACACGGAGGTCAACATGCAGCAGACTACAGGTTACGATCTGTCCTCCAGTGGTTATGCCCGGCGCATCAGCTACCCGCTCTTCGCTTGCTCGGTCTATACTATGCCAGAAGGCAACATCTCCTACGTAGCAACCATAGACCGCGGCAAGTGCGTACAGACAATTGGTCAGCCTGTCTTTCCTACAGGCCTGGAATCCTTTGCTGCCGCCGCCGATGTTCACACGGTCTACCCACTGTTTCAAGGCTCTCCACTAGCAACCACGCAGAATGGGACTGCAACTTTCCTGGCGAACGCAACGTCGTTGACGTCTTCCTCGTTCGGTACGACAACACAAGACATGGTATTTTCCGGTATTCGAGTCGATGGCAGCACAAGCCCGGAGAAACTCTTTTCGAAAGGCGCGACAGACGAGCTGTTTGAGCGTCATGTCTCAGCCATGAACAACACGGTCACTTACGACGAAGAGACGCTTGCTAACCGGCATATCGGGCATTCGCGCGGACTGTCAAGCGGTGGTGGCGGTCTTCCAATGCCGCGACCACCCGGAAGACGTGGCAGATCGCACAGCGCACAGGATTTGTGGAGGCTTTAGGAGCCACTTCGGACGCGACGTCCGCTTGCAGCGGGTTTGAGATGCCTACCTGGTGTCTTGCGGCACTGATGATCGCTCACAGAATCACGCCATCTATTGGTGCAACTCTGCCCCATCTCAGTACGCCAAGAAGAGGTGGTTGTAAGTGGGCCAGATCTTAGTGCTACGTTAGTGCTTAATCTGAGCTCGGATCCGGGCTTCCGGCTTACCGTTGCAGCGGCTCTTCTGTCAGTAAAGCACAATGTAATAAGTCTCGTAAGTGGCCCGGATGCCGTACGGACATGCCTCAGCTGCATCCACTACTGCAGCGTTATCTGCCACTACTGTACCTACTGGTTTATCTGCACCCTGTTCTCTATGCTGGCTAAGTTCCACGTATGGTTGTAGAAGCAATATCCGCAACCGCTTAGCCAAATAAGCTCTGTGCCGCATGTATTGATTGTGGCTAATACTAGCTGGGCCATCATCAGCCGCCCTGCTGGGCGACATCATATATGCTACTAACTACTTAACCCTGGTTCCTCCAGAAGTAGCGACTTTTCCACGGGGTTAGCCCCGCGCACAAACATGGTTCAAGTACAATCTGTTGCCGAGCAGATATCAGCATCCGTAGTGGAGTGCTTGGCGGCTTAGCATTTGGTACGCTCCGACGACATACATGTATGCAGTTAGCGGTCGTGCGCAGTGGTTGTTATCGCTTGGTACAAATTCTTCGTACTGGTACATCCGGCATACTGAACTATCGCCAGCATGTCCGGCAGGTACTCTGAGCGCCCCAAATAAGAGATGATTCGTATATCGTGTTGTTGTCGTTCAGCCAGGCCAAGACGAGGCAGTGGCATTTGACTCGCAAGGTTTGCACTAGCATGCCGTACCCATGCCAGCATTGGTGGAGCCGAAGGACTTGCCGAGAGATGAGCGCATCGTATAGGTTCGCACGAGAGCCCGACCTTGTCCGACGTCCTCCGACATCTTTCAGGTTTCATCTCATGGAGCTGCTCTTCGGAGCTTTGTCCTATCAGGGTTGGATTCCATCCGGCCGTCTTCACGAGCTGCGTCTCGCGCTGAGTGCTGCGGGCTTTCTGGTTGATAGGAGCAATGGTGGCGCTCGCGAGGCGTTGACAGCGTGCAGATCCCCCTTGGCACGGCAAGCAGGTCCGATTGAGGGCACGAATCATGCAGAATGATACATTTACCAAGAGATACCGGGTGGGGAGCAAGGTCGGTGTTTGGTAGTTACAAGAAACAGAGTTAACGGCTCACAAAAACGTGCCATTAGCACGCTGAGGGAGCTATCCTCCTACACTTTACAACCGCCCCGGGTGAATTACTGAACGCCCTGCTAAAAGTACTGCAGCTTACTACCACCTCCTCGTCATGTACACGTCATGGAACAGCTCTGAAGTCCTTCTGCGGTCAGCCTGCCAGCATGCATACTGTATACCCGACCAGTTCCAAAAGGTCAGTTTGCAAGGCCTTGATCGAGGTGATTATGTTAGGCCCGGCTTATACCTGCATTGCAGCTGGCCCTCTCGCGGGCACACTGTCAACGCCATTGTCGTCTTCGTCGTCATCGTCAGACAGCACGTCTGCCATATTGACAGGGTTCGCTGCGTAGCCATTCGTTCCACCACTCACACCAGTGCTTCCAGGCCCTCCGCTGCCAAGCTGCCCGGTAACAAGCTCAAGCGCGTGAAGCTTGGCTAACCGGTTTTGCTCTTCGCGTAACCGCTGCGCTGGGACAGCCGTTGGTGCTTGCTTCGTAGTTGGTCTGCCACGCGGCCTAGCACTGCTGGTTAGACGGGATGCCGCCGCTGGTGGCTGCTTGGGTGTGTTGGCAATGGCCCCGCGATTAACCGCGTACGCGTCAACATTGCCCATCGAAGATCCATCTGCGGCAGCGTCGCGCATATTGTTCGCTTCATCCTCGTCCGGAGCCTCGATCATGGCACGGAAGTCGCCTGTGACAGAACCCATGCGCAGCAGCTTGTTAGGCGGTCGCTCACCTGGCAGCTTCGGTGGTGCATGACCTAGAGCATCGTCGTTTGGCACCAGCGTCACGCTCGGGCGTCCGCGTGGACGACTTCTTCCGTCCTTGCGGTCATGGGGCAGCTTGGCCGGGAGGTTATCTTCGTCTGCATGCCGGTTCTGCAAATAGCTTGGCAGAGCACGTCTTTCACGTGTAGCGGCAGGCGGGTAAGTAGTTGCAAACTCGCCATCTTCCGCCTCGCCGTCTGAGCCGATGTCCACCTCCTCGTACGTTCTCATACTCTGCCTTGACTTGCGTTTCCTTTCGGAGACGGCGACTCGCTTGCCACAAGGCAGCCTCTCTCGGGGCACAAATCCGTAGTTGTCGTCCTTCTCCACTGGCACCATTGCTTTCCTGGTATTGCCTGTTACGACATACCCTTCCTCCTCCCGCATCCGGTGGTACTGCTTCGGATCATGGCGCTTCTTGGGAGCCACATCGCTCTTCAAGAGTGCATTTGCATCATCCAAGTCGTTCCGCTCCTGCGCCGCGCCTTCTTCGACCTCATGCTCGGCGTCTGCCTCTTCGCTAACGTTCTGGGCCGCTCTGACCGCCTCGCGTGCGAGGGCCTCAGCAAGGCGAGGACCTGGGACTTTGAGCCTCACGATACGCTTCTTGCCGCGTAGCGCAGCTTGAAGCATAATGAAGCGACCTTCACCCTTGGCTTTGTCCAGAGCCTTCCGCTCCTTCTCCTTTTGAAATTGTCTTTGTGTCCCGGTCTTGGCTCTCGACGCTGCGGTCTCGTCAGCCAGATCTGCAGATTTAAAGCCGGCTGCCGACATGCGCGGCTTCTTCGTTTTTGGATGCTTCTGCATGTTAATGTCATCGTAATCCTCGTCCTCATTGTCTAGTCGCCGGCGTTTGTTAAACGGTCGGAGACCACCGATCTCGTTGTCACTATATGCAGCGGCTACACTACTCACTTCCGCATGCCCTGGGTACGAGTACGAAGTGCCCGCATCAGGTTGAGGGTACATGGTGGCTGGAGGGGCGACGGGTACATACCCATCCGCCACGTCAGTAGCTGGAGTTCCAGCGACCATGGCTGCCGGTGGCGGAAGGGCAGAATTTGCTTGCTGAAGCCTGCGCATAAGGTAGGCTTCCTCGTCCTCGTCGTGATGCCGCCCGTTCGTAGGGTTGCCATCATGATCGAGCTCTGGGTCAATCAACACATGACCATGCGGCGAATATTCATAGTCAACCTGGGTTTGCTCAACGCCCTCATCCTCATCCAGCGCCGGGTCGCTCTCCTTGGCTTTCTGTGCTTCAGCCTTTGCGCGCTTCACCCGATTGGACTGAGTTCGATCCACAGCGTCATCGTCCTTCAGCCAGTTCAGATTGCTAATGCTGAAGTCGACCAACGCTTCAATGCTACGAGCATCCGCCACCTTCCGCGTGTCGTGGCCAAGTAGCGTGCCTTTAGGCTCATACGGCTGCATTTTGCCTTCCCTTCTGCAGTTACCAGCAAAGCAGATAGCAAGACAATGCGGACACTGCCAGTCTGGGTCCTCCATAATATCCATCGGCATCTTGTCCCAGCCACGGAACAAGCTCCCGTAACACCAGCCTTTGTCGCACGTCGTGCAGAATGCCATTTTCCAGATTGGGTGTCTCTTGCAGCAGACATGGCAGGGTAGGTTGTTCTTGAGGAAGGTCTTCGACATCTTCTTCGTGATCTTCTTTACAGTCCCGTCGTCACCAACCACGATCTCTTCTTCTTCGCTCTCGTCCTCCTTCGGCTCATCTTTCGGCTTGTGCACATCCTTCCACGGACGGCGCTTGAGTTGCTCCTTACACACTTCCGCCAGCGTTTTTCTGCCATACCGCTTCCGCTCCTCCACGAGTGTCAAGGGCGTCTTGTCAGTGATTTGTCCTCCGTCAAGCGCAATAATTAGTTTCCGCCATCCCTCGTACTTCGCTTGTAGCTCCTTCCACTTGAATTGCTCGACCCACTTGAAGTTGCTTAAGCAAGCGCACGACCTGCCCATCGCATAGCAGTCCATACAAACATCATACGGGTCGCCGTCGCCTCCATCAGCATCGTGACCCAGCAAATCCTTACATGATGAGCAGCTCAAGAAACGATTGAAGATGTTGCCGCGACAATATGCGCAAGTTACGTTGCTGTCAAAGGGTAGGTACTCTATGTTTCGTGGCGCGTCACGATCATCAGGTCGGAACATCTCGGATAAAAGTATTTGCTTGTACAGGTTGAACAGCTTCTTGAAGTCCTTGCGCAACTGCTTTATCTTGTCGGAGTACAGGAGCTGTTGCACTTGCTCCGTCAGCATGCGCACAGTCTGTTGTTGCACAAGCTGGAGCAGGCCGCTATATTTTTGAAGCGTATAGTAGACAATAGCTTTGTTCTTGTATTGCTCGTCGCGACAGACGATGCGGCTGCGTGGAAGGGCTTCGCCAAGCGCCATCTCAAGTGTCTCGGCAGTCGTTCGATTCCAAGCAACCTTCATCGTTCGCGTGCCCCGATTCCAGACCTGATGTGGCGCAAGTGGTGGTATCAGGATGAAGTCACCCGGCTTCTGCTCAACGACATGCACATTGAATGGCGCTTTCTTCCAAGCCACAACCTGTGCGAAATGGTTCTCCACTTCAATGTCGTGACCGAGTACACTCAACCAATATTCGGACACCACGTGACGCTCTTTTGATTCCGTCAGGAACCAGATAGAGGAGCCTGGCTTCTCCGCCTTGCCGTCTTCCGAGACCGTACCTGAAGCTTCGACCATGATGTTGTGACCAAGCGAGGCACACATCTCACGGTGCGCAGGGGTGTATGTACCCTCATGACCAATGTAGCACATCAAGTTCTCGGCTCGCATGTCGGGCGGAAGCGAGCTCATCAAATCTCCGGCTCTTGCGATACCCTTTCCAAGCTTGCCTGTCGCATCGGCAAGCGCACCGGGTCCCGCGACCTCACCAGTAGTGTCGTTGAGGTAAAACAACAGACTCGGTATCTGCTCCTTTAGCTTGTCCTGCCACACTCCTGGGCAATCGATATCTTTCAGGTAGACTCGCTGCTTGTTCTTGTCTCGGTATGCGCCTTCCCGTTCGAAGAATTGGTTTGTAAGCAGGCTCATGTTGTTCAGGTAGTGAGCCATAGTCAGCGGCAGGTTCTGCTGAGAGCTCAGAACACGTGCATTCTCTACCTTCTCGCCGCAATTGTCGCGCAGCCATCTCGGCGAGAACGTCCATGGATCCAAGCGATCATCGTAACCGTCAATGACCAGAGGTTTTCCGCCGACTACGACATGAAGCATGACAAGTTTCTCGAAGGCAGCAAGACCCTGCTGGTCAATCATGTCGCAAGAGATACGGTCCACGAAACTGAAGTTCGGCGTCTGCTCGACCAGTTGGTGAAGGTCGAAGAGTGGTGATATGGGCTCGAACGAGGCCCGCGGCCGTGTCGCTGGCATCTTCAACGGTTATGCGCCTGTCTAGGACAGACCGGGTCTGCTCTATTGTTCGCGCGCAGACTGATGATATCGAAAGGTGCCGGTCGGTAGGTATTCGCCTCCGCGCCGGCATTTGTCGCATCGCCGGCTGCTTAGTATAGCATAACTTGAACAGCTCCTTCGCTCTCGAGACGAGTTTGTCTGTTGCTCCCGCCTCCGCGGCGCATCACTCATGCAGCACGAGCGAACGTTGCTCGGCGAAGGTGTGGAGGGTTCAAGAAGGCGCACACGTGCCTGCGCGGAACCAGCCGAACAGCTTCCGAAGTTCACTTGCTGCCTTAGGCCTGAAACTCTGGCCACCCGAAGACAGCTCCAATGTTCAAGGACGAAGCCAGGCTCAGCCGTTAGCCAGCAGGTTCAAATCACGGCGTAAGAGGTGTTCTACGAGTCACAATGGCGGTCGCAGGCAGCTCGGCCAAGAGCGCCATGTCGCGGGTGGGCCGTTTATCCCAAGAGAAGGCGTACAAGGTAAAGTGCGGCCGCTTAAGCATCGCGAACCGCTTCTGACACCGCGCAGAAATACACTGTGCAGCCGACTGGTATCTGGGGCAGGATCAACCGGTGGCTCGCGGTCGACCCGAACCGATCAACTGGCATTCCTATGAACCCTCACTTCCGCAACCCTACACCCGGTGGCAACGATCCGTCTCTATACGACGACGTTGTGACCGTGCCGGCGGGCGACCTCGCGGAGAACCCATATTGGAAACGTGACGTGAGAAGACAGTACCCTCAGCTCTCAATCGTGAACCAGGCGGATGTCGTGGGCCTCTTGACCGTAGGTTCGGCAGCAGCACCCAAGGAGGACGTGCTGCAGATAGGCGATGCGGGCAACAAGCAGCTGGTGGCACTGAAGGAGGAGGGGCAGCAAGGCCTTGCTGCATTTTTCGAGAAGGACAAGAGCGCTTTCAAGGGGATACTAGGACCAGACAACATGCCACCTTTGCCTCCGTCCCGGCACCTAACTGGCAAGCGGTACGAGATGCTCAAGGAGCAGACCTATGGAACTCAGTAAGTCACCGCTGGAAACGCTCCGTAGAGCCGACACTGATGGAATGATAGGTATCCGTGTCGGACATTCGAGTAGCGTGCATCGTTGTTACCGTTTTTGGGTAGGTCTGTATATGTTCTGCACCTCTGACAACGCTATCTGTCACCTATCACACCGTCCTAGTCATAACCCGTAGTGCGCGCATAAGAACTCTCGTCCTGATAGGCAGAAGCGCTTTTGGCAGACCAGGGAAGAGCAAGCGCGCAGTCGCGACTGCCTCATTTGCATAGCACAAGAACCTCTAAATCAACTTCATCTCATCCCGTCTGCACTTCGTTTAGTCGATTTGCACAGATCAGGACGAAATTGACAACATTTACAATGGCGGCATCAGATGAATCGGGTCCCGCTGAAGAGGTCCCGCTCGAACTAATGGTGTTCAGCTGCGGCATATGTCAGGCCACTATACCGGACATATACGCCACTCAAGAGAGCAATCAAGGCTTCCATAGCGGATTGGGCGCTGAAAACGGCGTTGTCACGCGACTATGGATCGCCGACTGCTCGCACATCTTCTGCGCCAAGCATCTGCCCGGTGGAGGTGAGTGTGCGCCTGGTCGGATGAGAGTGACCGCACTGACCTTGTTAGGAGCACCGTTTCACCCTGCTGGTCAGCAGCCCCGGGCAACTTGTCCGCACTGCTTTGACAGTAACGGCGACGACAAGCCGAAGAATCTGTACGGAATTCGAGGCTTCGCAGATGGAGATTTGGATACCGCAATCCCATCCAGCTGGATGCGCTGTCCTGCGATTGAGCTCAATGGTTGCGTTGACGGGATGGAGGCTTTACGCGTGAGCTCGCTGTTCCAATACGCATGGTGCATTGACTTACCTACCTATAGTTCCAGTACGTCAACATTGCACGTTACGCACAGGGTGTTACCAAGCACTGGAGGCGTGCTGAGCGCCATCAACGTGCAATGCAGTCAGCATACACCAAGGAACGACAGCAAAGACGCGAAACCGAGCAGCAAGTGCTCGTTCTCGAGGCTCGGGTGGAGAAGCTCGCAAAGCTTGAAGCCAAGCTGCAAAAGTGGGAAGCTCGCAAGCCAGCCATCAATCATTACCTTGCTGTTGTGACTTACATGTCAGAGTGAGTGCTAAAGACATATCTGGCCGTCCCTGCACTAAACCTCCTCAGAGATCTGAAAGAGCTTCGCGAGCAACTTTCGCGGCTTGGCTACGACGCACCGAGACGGAATTACGGCCTTGGGGAAGACCTGCCACCAACGCTATTCGAGAAACACGGCAGTGCGACTAAAGGTGGCCCACGGATCGCAGGTACGTCGAAGCCGAGTCGGTCGAAATGTGATCAGACTTAGTCTTACCAAAAGCAGTCCACAAATGGGATGAAAGCTCGTCGTCCGCGCGCAAGCGCAAATTGGCGGAGTATGATGTGGAGTATGATGACCGGCCTACTAAAGACACGTCGAAACCCTACATTACCAGCAAGGCCATGATGCCACCTCAGCTGCCCAAGCCAAAGGCGCAGAATCTAGCAGCCAAGCGAGCGAGCGAGCAGCCAATGAGCATTGAGTTGCGTGAGCCCTGCTTTCAGTCCCTTGACATGCAAAGGTATGATGGTGGTAAACGGAGACAACCGCAGCATACTGAACGCCACCATGGCCCTCCACGGACCTTACCCATTCGACTGTCGCCCAAAGCTGCGCAACTGCAGCACATTCCCAGCATTACATTCCGCGATCGAGCATTCATTGGACGAGGTGGCCGGCTGAGCTCAGCCTCGCTAGAGAAGCCTTCCAACTACCCGGGACATGCAGACAGGCCTCCAGAGCGCTCAGCTAGAATAGCTCCTAGTACTCCATACGGTCGACATGACGCTGCCGGTGCGCTGCCCTCACGAGCATCCCATCACGATGCAGACTTCGGCACATTCATCCTGCAACATGAGCATAATGAACGACGGCCTCTCCACCATCTTCCTTTGTCGCAAACGGATCGGCGACCGCCAAAATTACTCACGAATGACTACGTACCTGCTACACCCGGTCATCCAAAGTCGACCCATGCACCTTCGACTTCACTGCTCAGCCCGTTCTTCAAGCGCGGTGTTGCCTCCTCAGCAGCCTTGCAGCGCCCGCCCACTCGGGGCAGCCTCGTACAACCGGCTTACATGGGCGGAGCTTCTCGACTTCTTCGATCTCTCACTCGACTGCCTTCGCGTAAGGAAAGTACCCAGCCTGACCGCTACCGGCAAAGCCTCAATGGCCTGTCGTTCATTGAACAGCCTCACGATCCAGCAGATCACCGGCCGCTATATCGGTCTCCGGAACACAGTACAAGGGTCGGGGAACATAATGATCTCGATGAGTCTTCATCACAAATGTTGCGCAACAGACTTGGTCTGTTCGAACTCCGTGACCGAACACCTGCATCCAGCGGGTACAGGCCTATCCGCCTCCAGTCTCGAGCGCGCCGTGGCCGCATCAGCTTGCTCCCTGATCAAGCACATTCGTTGTCGTTTTCAGGATGCGAAGAGCAGACGCTCTCCAAAATACGTGGCGTTCGCGGTTTAAGCTCGCATGATCCTCATCCGAGCCGCTACACCAAAGACCCGCTGTATGATACCGTTCGGCCAGTATTCACATCGGCGGGCGGGAGACGAAGTGTTAGGCGCTGAGCAGTAAGCTCGCATGCAGTGACTGTCAACAGCGGCGGGTGTGCGATGCCCAAAAGCTGCCTTTGGCGAATCGTCTCAGTCGTTCGGGGTCGCGATAACTTAGCTACTTAGTGCTACTAGGGTACTCAAGCGAATAGTCTGCGCGTTCCATATAAGTAGCAGCACGATGTATGGATAGTCTGTAGCTTGATGCAGGAACACTGCAGGCTTGCACCTACTCCGCTTCAATCTCTTCCACCTTCACACATCGTTTCTTCAACCTTAGACTGTGCGAAACCCAAGATTACACTTTATCTGTGCAACATGTCTCGTCCACAGCATACGAGGACCTTGTCGACCAATCTGTCTTCGAGTGCTGGTGGCCGCGTGCTTGAGGGCAAGCTCGCCATCGTTACAGGCGGGTCGCGAGGTAATTGAGTACTTCTGGCCATTAAGAAATATTGTTCACAACGAAGGCAGGCATCGGAGCGGCAACATGCGAGAATCTTGCAAGCAAGGGCGCTTCTTTGATCATTAACTACACGTCCGATTCATCGGCTGAAAAGACACAGAAACTGGCCGAGCAGCTTCAGGCCGACCATGGCGTGCGTTGTCTATCTGTTCAAGCCGACATGGGTACGGATAACGGACCGGCTCATATCGTCGCTATGGCGAAGAACAACCTCGCGCATCCCAAGACTGGCAAGTTCCAGATTGATATCGTGATCAACAACGCTGGCGTAGCCTCCAAGCATTCACTTGAGGAGTGCACATCCGCCGAGTTTGCCCGGTTGTACAACGTCAACGTACGGGGTCCGATGCTACTGATGAAAGCGGCCCTACCATACCTACCAACGGACAGGAGTGGACGCGTGGTGAACGTCAGCAGCGTGAGCTCATCTCTTGGGTTTGAGGGAGACGGCATGTACGGTGGCACCAAGGCCGCGCTCGAAGCAATGACCCGAACGTGGAGTAGGGAACTTAGTGAGCGAGCCACCGTCAATGCCGTCAACCCTGGGCCCGTTGCTACCGATATGTATGCCGGGACATCGAAGGAGTTCCAGCAGAAGATGAGTTACTGGACGAAGAACACGCCGTTAGCCGCAATTCGTCCCGACGTTGACCGGCAAGATCTAGTCGATAATGCTGAGCTTGCTGGTGGGCGACCTGTGAGTACATAGCTTGACACGTCACGCAGAGAGTTCTCCTGACAGTATAACTCAGGCCTACGATAGCGAGATTGCTGGCGTCATTGCGATGCTATGTACGCCAGACAGCGCATGGTGCACTGGCAGCGTCATCTGCGTAAGCTACCCAATATACCTATGGCTGCGGCCTACCAGAATGCTAACAAAAATGTGATCTAGGCCAATGGCGGCTTCAAATTCAGCGTATAGAAAGTAGACGCACGTCATCCTCCTGTAGCCTTATCCAGCAGTCCATCTGTACCATTACAGTGGAAGAGCTTACTCATTTAGCAAGCCTGTTGTCAACGAATCTTGCAAACCCCGTCAAGCTACACCTTGACGGCTGAAGTTGCTCGTTCTGCTCGGCCTACATAGCAGCTTCTCTCGCTCGTCCCTCTCTTGCGGATCAGTAAGTGGTATCAAGGGATTCGTGCTGGAGCGAAACAGGCCATCGGCGCCAACCTTGACCGAGATCAATGAAACGCTCCTCGAGTGGCCTTTGCGATCATCGATGACGGTCACCGAGGGGAAACGCCGAATGCGGGTTCCAGAATCCAGCATAGTCGGCTGGCATGGCGAGCGAGGCTTCGGCGGCTGCAGCGTAGGCGGCACCATCCGTCCGGCAGGTTCCTCAAGCCGGAGCGGCACATCTCCATAGAGCTCTTGGGATGCCGTCGAAGGAGCTGACATCAAGCATTCCTTGTACATGCTAGACCACTTGTCCGCTTTGAACGCCACCGGCGTACCATTGTCAGGATCGGCCGTCCCGTCCAGTGCCATGTTCCGCTCAGATGGGCGAGTGTGCGGCGCGAGCTGTGTCGTAGATACTAATGGCGGTACATGTTCCTGCTCATGGTCGTCCATTGGTCCAGCGAAGCTGCTCTGACGAGTTGGCTGGCCATGAGTCGACTGGACGGTGAAAGGATTGTGCGCGTTGAAAGGATCCGTTGCCTTCTGCTTGCCGTTCCGCCGATGGGATTGAAACCCCAAAAACCGCCCGGCCTCGCCTTCGAGGATATCGATATCATGACCGATCTCCTTTTCAAGTTTCACCGCTTCCTGCTCTACGTACCCAATGTCCTTGCGCACTTCGTCCTCCACGTACTCGATGTTCTTACGTACTTCATCCTCTACCATATGCTCAATCTCATGCAGACGTTCCTTCAAAGATAAGTCATGTTGTGGGAAGACTGGTTCGCTTGCTGACTGAGGCGGTAAGAGTTCTAGGTCTGGGTTTGCAAGCCATCCGCCAGTAGCCACTGAGCTGCGCCTGTTCTGAGCTGTAGTATTGCCAGAAAAGATGTTCGAGTAATAACGTGCTAGATCACCGAAGATGGTGGAGCTGCTTTGTGGGAGGTGAGACGCTTTCTTCTTCGACTTCTTGCTGGTTGGCGAGCTTGTTCCTGGTTCGATCTCAGGGGAATCATGGTCATCAGCAACGTCGATGGCAAAATCACGCACGATAACCGCATCAGTACGTCCAGCGGAGGAACACCGTTCGGTCCGCGTGTGCGACGGAAAGCGAGTCCATGAGCTTAGAGTTGTTCCGATTCTCTGAGCTCCTGATGCTGCAGAGGGATCAGTAGCAGCCTGCGGCTGAAACAGACTCGTATTTGCTGATGCAAACCGTGACCGAGCACCCACAACGCTGCCAGGCGGAGCGTAATGGCTCACGCTGGGACGTATACCCACTGCGCCGCTGGTAGAAACTCCACTATGCGGACTTGACTGTTCGACGTGGGAGCTGACATGTGGTGACGAAGGCAGGGCGCCGCTCATGGTTAACGCATCAGTCTGCGAGCTTGGCGCAGCTACAGCCCCGTACTTCAAGCCCAGCGATTCTCTGTGCTTGCTCGGCGATTGGAACATGGCCTTCTCGTGCTGATGCTTCTCTAACGCCTGCACCATGAGCCCAGTCGACTCGTCTCCCAAAGGCTTGGCCCTGGTAAGCTTGCGGCCAATGTGCACAGATTCTCGGCGATCATCTTCCCGGACTTCTTGCAAAATCTGCTGAGCCAGTGTCGAAGGGCGCCGGCGATCGTCGCCCACAGCAGTCAGGTTGCGTTCGTAGTCCATGAGGGATGGCCGTCGCTGTAATGTACTCGGAACTGCAAGGTAACTATCTCCATTACGATGCTGATGAGGGCTCAGATGGCCAACATTCATTGACCTCTGCGAACGTGTTGGGTTGCCGGCGAGCTCATATTGCACAGTGAGAAAGCCGTGATCGTCGCCTGGGCCGTCGTAAGGGCCAAGTGGCTGCAGTGGGTAGGAACAGGTCAAGATTGGTGAGCTGATGCTGCGGACTTGGCGCTTACGGCTGCCTGGCCGGAGGAACTTGAAGATGGACCGGCGTTTGGTGACGAGCTTCTTTGGCGGGGAGAGGCGCTCGAAGAATCTGCTGCGCTTACTTGACCCCGTGAGCCGGCTTGAGCTAGCCTTACTCGGTATGTTCAGCAGTGCTTGTGGCGATAGGAATGGTGCGGAAGAGCGAGGCTGTGCCGCATAATCTTCAATGATGGAATTTGCTGAGCTGGAGCTCGGCAACACACCCGGTCCTTTCGTGACGAGATCCGATGACGGACGTGTATAACTGGCATCGGAAACGGTGCTGGTTCCAGTCATGGGTCTTGGTGCCGGAGGTCGATGAATGGGAAGAGGCCAATCCGGAAGTGCCCCGTCCAAACCAACAATGTCATACGGCGCAGGGATAGCGTTCCCATGTTTTTCGGAATCGCCATTGTCGCCTGCAGTACTCGAAGCCCGACTATACACTGAAGAAGGGGCTGGCGACTTGATCCGACTGTCCAGATACTGGGCGATATTCTTTCCGCCGTTCTTGCTCGAATGGTGACGAGTGTGACGCGAAGTAGTCAAATGTACACGTGTTCCGGACATTTCGCGGCGGTGGAAACTCCAGGGCTCTGTTAGCGCCCTAGTCACGCTGTCTGTCTCGCTCTCGGACATTGCAGACAGTGACCGCAGCTGCCTTGATATATCCATACTGTGAAGATGGATGCCGTCTCGATCACCAGGGTCACCTTTAATGATGGCGTGACCGTGGGTAGCTACTCCGTCCAGACCTGCTTCGGGATGGGCGGTGTCTCCGTCGTATACTCTTGGCGGCGTACTCGCTTCGTCACGCAATGAAGATCGTCGAGATGAGCCGTTAGAGATATTGCTGGCCCTCCCTCTGGGCACGAAGAGAAGCGAGCTCTTTCCGAGCAACGACCTTGTTTGTCGCAATATACCAGGACTGTCGTACCCCTCCGAGACGAGGTTCGGTGAGCTGACAGAATGCGGCACCTTGAATGCAACGGGCGTGCCCTGCATGCCCGCAGATGACTCCTCCCGCAGCCTAGCAACCCTCGTAGCAAGTTCGACAACATCAGACTCGTTGCATGGCGTGAAACCTGCAGGTCTAGTAACCGTCAGACACAGAACATAAAGCAGCAAACGCTCTTACTCACTGCTCTATGGCCGGCCTGAGCCACTCAAGGCTCTTCAGCACCGAATGACGGACTTCGCTCTCCGGATCCTCAGTGACTGTTCTCACAGATGCACTCGTGGCTTGAACGTTGCTTCGAAGGGAGCCGATAGACTCGTCTTTGCAGAAGTCGTGATCACATTTACTGGGAGGCATCGCCTCAGCACTATCCACAACTTCGGTCGAGGTCATAGCCCGCGCATCGGAATCGTACTCCCCATCATCCCTTAACGCTTTGAAAGACTTTCGTCGGAACTGCGAAGTAATCTTTCTAGCAATATTCGGGCTTCGAACGATGCTTGATACAAGCTCCGGCTTCTTGCCCGGCATCCTCAAAGCATGCGGATGATCTTCCGGTAGGGCGGCTGCAGCAAAGATGCTGCCAATGTTGAGTGGAGGTCGGGCCGGCGGCTCTGGCGAGTCGATGCGGCCTTGAGGGTGGGCGCAGCAGAATGTGTGGGCCATGATAGTTCGGCTTCCACCGCTTTGCTCATGGGTATAGATACGTGGGTGGCCTTACGACTCTTGCGAACAGCGAGTATCCAAAGCCCACAAGGAGTCGAAACAAAGGTAATGGGGAATGCCATGAGGAGATGGCAGGCATGGACGAGCGTCGTATCTGCCATATCCAGTACGTGGCCAAGCCCGCCAATACAAGAAGTTGCAGACCTGCCTTTCGCTCCTGTGTAATCGCTTTGCAGGTGACTGCGGTGTCTACGGTCAGTCGTACCTAGGTTAACGAAAACGTTGCTACTTGGTAGCTACTCTAGCCCGCGTGTACGGTATCGGGAGCAACTGCAGCCATACACAAAATGGCGATAGTGCCAGAGCGTCTGAGACTTTGCAATGCCGTCGCCGACACGGCCGTAGGAAACCATGTTCGCATTCGCTCATGCTAGTTCTACTTCTACACGTGACCGAGCAAAAGCTGGCCACACATAACATTATGAACCACTTTTTGCGGCCGCCGTTGAGGCAGCCAAGCAAGATGGTGATCGTTGAGATCACACATGCTTTTCATCCCTCCAAAGGTTGAACTCCTCGCTAAAACTTATGACCGGGTATCATGTTGAATTCATCATCCCCCCTCAACGCCGGCCAAGGTTGAAACAGCATTCCCTCCTCGAGCTTCTATCTGCCCGATTGGCATCTTAGGCCTTGCTGTACTTGCTGCGGAAGAATTGGGCCGCTGCCACCATGTTGCTGAGCGCCGCCTTCGTCTCCTTCCACTGCCGCGTCTTCAAGCCGCAATCCGGGTTGATCCAGAGTTGATCCGGCTTGAGGTACTGCAGCATCTCCTCGATGCGGGTCTTGATCTCCTCCTCCGGCGGTACACGCGGGCTGTGGATGTCATACACGCCCGGACCAATATGACGTGGGTAAGCCTCGTCGATGAAGACTTTCAACAGCTTGGCGTCGGACTTGCTGTTCTCGATCGACAGCACATCCGCGTCGAGCGCCGCGATGGCGTGGAAGAAGTCCTGGAACTCTGAGTAGCAGAAGTGCGAGTGGATCTGCGTGCTGTCCTTGACGCCCGCGGTGGAAAGCTTGAAGCTATCTACCGCCCAACTGAGGTAGTTCTCACGCTCCTTGCCGGAACGAAGAGGCAGACCCTCACGCAGAGCCGGCTCGTCGACCTGGATAACGTAGATGCCCGCCGCCTCGAGATCGACCACTTCGTCACGAAGAGCGAGGGCGAGTTGCATGGCCTGCACGGACTGGTGGACGTCGTCACGCGGGAAGGACCATCGCAAGCAGGTGATGGGTCCTGTAAGCATGCCTTTCATCGGCTTCTTGCTGACACTGGCGGCATACTGGCTCTCCTTCACGGTCATTGGAGCTGGGCGAGAGATATCACCAACAACGATCGGCGGTCGAACGCAGCGGGAGCCGTAGGATTGGACCCAAGCGTGGGTTGTGAAGACGTAGCCGTCCATGCGCTCACCGAAGTATTGCACCATGTCGTTGCGTTCGGGCTCGCCATGGACGTATACGTCGAGCTGCAGTTCATCCTGGATAGCAATGCAGTCACGAATTTCCTTCTCAATGAACTTCTCGTACTCCTCGGCAGTGATCTCACCCTTGGTGAAGCGGTTGCGCTGGATACGGATGTCCTGTGACCGACACATTAGCCACATGCATATTGCTAACGGTAGGTGTGTAATGGTACCTTTGTTTGTGGGAAGCTCCCGATGGTGGTTGTTGGGAACAGTGGCAGCTTAAGGTGGTCCTTCTGCTGTTCGTATCGAGATGGGAAAGCACTCTTGCGCTCGTACATATCCTTGCTCACGCCGTCAACGCGCTTCTTGACCTCCGGGTTGTTCGTACGCTTGCTCGTAGCACGGTTGTTCATGCCCTTCGCATTCGCCTCTAGCTCGCTCTTGACCGAGGCGGGGCCATCAGTGACCGCCTTGGCGATGACGGCGACCTCAGAGGCCTTCTCAGTCGCGAACGCGAACCACTCCTTCACCTCCGAGTCAAGGTTCTTCTCGTTGTCTAATGTGTGTGGGGTATGAAGGAGCGACGAAGAAGTAGCAACAATCACACGCTCTTTGCCAAGCTTCTGAATGGCCGACTCAACAAGCTCGACGGACTTCTTCATGTTGTTTTTCCAAATGTTGCGGCCGTCCACCACACCAGCGGACAGGATCTGCTTCGAGCCGAGATGCTCGACGACCTTGTCAAGCTGCTCAGGATGGCGGACAAGGTCCACGTGGAAGGCGTATGTGTTGGTGAGGGCAGAGTCGATGATGTCGAAGTTGTGCACGACATCGCCGAAGTAGGTGGCGAGGACAAGCTGCGGGCCAGAAGAGCCTTGCACCGCGCAGAGCTTCTCGTATGCCGGCTTGAAAGCGTTGCGAATCTTGGACGGCAAGTCAAAGACGAGGACTGGCTCATCAATCTGCACAGTCTCGGCACCGGCCTTCTTCAGCTCTTGGAGCAACTGCTCGTAGACGGGCAGAAGCTTGTCCAGAAGAGAGATGGGGTCGACGGTCTGGTTACGGTCTGCCTTACCGAGGTGCAGGAAAGAGACGGGACCGAGGAGCACAGGACGAGTGACAATACCCGCATCCTTCGCCTCAAGGAAGTGCCTGACGGGCTTCGGGTCGTCTGAGAGCTTGAACGTCTGGTCGTCCTGGAATGTGGGCTTGACGTAGTGGTAGTTCGAGTCAAACCACTTCACCATCTCCAAGCTTGGCACATCAATGCCGTCCTTCTGGCGCCCTCTGCCCATGGCGAAGTACTCGTCAAGCGTGCTGAGCTTGTGCTTGCTGTACCGCTCCGGGATGGCATTGAACATCTGAATGTGGTCCAGCACATGGTCGTAGTAGGCAAAGTCGTTGGAGGGAATGATGTCCACCCCAGCATCCTTCTGGATCTTCCAGTGCTCCAACCGTAACCTCTTGCCCTCGGCGAGTAGGTCTTCCTTGGACAATTTGTCACCCCAGTAAGCCTCTGTTGCTTTCTTCAGGTCTCGCAGCTTGCCCATGCGAGGGAAGCCAAGGACCGCTGACTGCACCATCTTGATAGCAGTACTTCCAATGTGTGCCTATATGGGATTGAGCAGGCAAATATTTGTGGGAGGGTTTGTCTGGCAGCTTTTCGTGGTTGGTGTGGGGAGGATGGTGGGATGGTGGAGATATTGTTGGAAAAGCTCGTCAAAGTCAAAACGCCTTGCGTCAGCGCTAAGCGAGAGTTAGGCCTTACACATACACGATCTATGCCTCGGAAGCTGCAATCCTCCAGGAACTTCCTCAAACCATTGAGAGGGAACGTCAACCAATCTTGGTCAATGAGAACATATGAAGAGAGCCAAGGAGTGAACTCTTTAGCCCGTCACTTCCCACTCGTTGACTAGTCAGTAAGAACGAACACAGCCGTAATCCACGACTTTTGCATCATCCGACCGCATGACAGTATGGGAGTCCGCGGACAGAGAAAGGGTGCTCATTGTTAACCGAGCAGTATATACAAGCTTCCGGCGTACAGCCGCCAAGCTGTTCTCCAGCGTTCCTTTCCCTAGCAACTCTCGCGTCCTTCGTACAATCAACGCCAAGGAACGCCTCATATCCCCGCTACCACCCTTCTTCGGCATGCTGCTCAAATGATCTGTGTTGCACGACCTGCTAATACTAAGTGACCGTTATACAACGAGCCTCGCAAGGCCCGCCGAAACAGAAGCTCCCTTCCACTCTCTGCCCACATGCCATATTGCAGAAGACCAACGTCATCTTACTCCTGCCCAAACCCGACCGTCTCCTCCACAGCCCACAACAACTTCTGCTGCAACGCATCAAAAGTCTTATACGGCGGCAGATCCAAGCGATTGAAACACGTATGACTCTTCGGCAACTGGCCTTCCTCGCCCGACTTCTCAATGGTAAATCGTCTCGGCCCGTCGCTACCCTGCAGATCCTTGAAACCATTGACTGGGATACGGCTGGTGCCCGTCGCGAACTGCAGCAGGCGCGACTTCTGCTCCGCGTCCCAGCTGCGGATGCACTTCCAGAAGTTGGTGATGACCGCGTCGGATTCCGTGTAGCCGCGGTAGTCCGTATGTTTCTTCCAGTCATCGACGTCGATGTCGGCGATGCCTCCGATGAGCAATTCGAGTTCGCGCTCGTCGAAGACGTTGACCAAGTCGGCGGGGATGAGTTCGTGGAATCCTGCTATGAACGCGTTGAACTGCTCCTCCACGCGCTTTTGGATGCGCCATTCAGTGATCAGTCTGTGTCAGAAGTCAGCACACGCCACGCCGCCATCCTACACTTTTATCATAAGACTTACTCAACATATTCCTTTTTGTTCTCGTTGGTCACTTCGATGTCCTTGCCGCCCGGCTTCAGCTCGACCGTGACCTTCTCCCCAAACCGCTCATCCTCCACCGAGAACGTGCTGTAGATGACATCGGTGATATCATTGTCCATCGCCCAGCTAAGCGTGCGGTGGAACTCAGCATCCACGCCCTCCATATCCTGCAGCGCCACCTTCTTCCTCAGGATCATCTTGTAGAAAGCGCCAATGAAGAAAGCATCCAAGAACCTTCGGTGGAAGATGGCCAGCCCCACAACGCGTCCGATGAACTTGAAGTAACCTAAATGCTCAGGGTTGATACCCGAGTGCGGATTGATCTGCAGCGTGTAGTTGTCGTGGGCCGAATACTCAAACAAGCAGTAGAATGGGTTAAACATCTCATGCGAGAGTAAGAAGAAGAATTCTCGGGACAGCCCACCATAGTCGAGGCCATCTTCGCCGTCGAATTTGATCATCAATCGTTTCTTGAGGTCGTTTGGCGACTGACGCATAATCTCCGCGTACGAGTCCTCGAAGATGTGGCTGCGGCGTACCTTGACATGGCATTGGCCACTGAGGATGCGCAAAGCGGGCTGCGAGCGGAAGTAGATAAGCTTCCGCCGGAAGTCACGCTTGTATTGCGGTACGTTTTGATCCAGGGATGATGGTAGCCTTGGGTCATCCCAGGTTGTTGTTTTGGTGTTGTGATCGACAAAGTACACACGAGCGGTGTTCGTGAGACGCATCTCCCAGCCGCTCGGTAGAGGCCCAAGTTGCGAGACCGGTTGTTGCTGGATGGTGCTGTTGCCGGTCGCGTTCTGCCCATACATGCGAATGTACTGCTGTCGGCGAGGATCTACCCAAGTGGTGGTGCGGGTGTTGTGATCAACAAAGTAGGCTCTACCTTCTGGAGTGTGTCGCTGTTCCCAACCTGCAGGCAGCTCACCCGTACCGGCGGTAGTAGCGCCAGTAGCCATCATCTGCGCTGCACTGGCCGAAGTACTTGCGCTGGGCGTGTGCGACGGCGAGGGCCGATCAGCCTGAGTAGGCGAGCTGGCACCGGTCCTATCCTCGGGCAGCATACGCTGCTGATGCCTGTCTCGCTCCATGTTCTGTTGCTGCTGCATTTGCGCCCTTTGCTCACCTGCATTGAAGTTTGCAGTCGGCCGGATCCAAGTCGTTTGCCGCGAGTTGTGATCCACGTAATACGTCCTGCCGAGATTGTCCTCCCTCCTCTCCCAGCCATTCGGCAATCTTCCTTGTGCATCTTCAAACGCACTGAATCCCGACCCATCAGTCCGCCTCGGCGCTGCGGAGCCGTTTGTACCATTGGTCTGCGGTGCTCCCGGTGGAGGCTGAGTTAGGTTCGTTGTCTGCCGAGTTACAGCAGCAGAGGTAGTGTTGCTGGTGGGTCTATCAGCCGCTAATGATGTGGTTGACTGCGCACCTTGCGCCAGAGTGGGTGTGTGCACGCCGTTCGTAGATGGTCCGGCGGATGAAAGAGAAGGTCGGTCAGTGTTAGTGGTCTGAGGTAAGGGCGCCCTGAGGTTAGTGGAAAGGTTGAAGATCAGCTTGCCGTTCACGACCAGGTTATCATTGGACTTTCGCAGATCTTTTGTAAGCATTTCTAGATCTATTAGCGCGGTCTTGCATGGGAAAGGGTAGGTGACGAACCGTCGGCGCCAGCGTCGAGGTCAATAACACTTCCGATCTTTACGTTAACCACGCCAAGAAAGCCTTGGTCCTTCTTCTTGAACTTCTTCTGGTCAAAGATTTGTACGGCGAGTATGCTCTCCTCTGTTACTCTCCTATACATAAGCTGTCAGCATGGAACACACCAAACAGACAGTGGCGGTATGTAGGCTTACATGTCGAAGCTCTCATTCCAATACGGGTTCAGTGTCTTCTTGATCACACCCGTGGTCTTCGTCTGCTCGCCATTGACAGTAGCGACCGCGAAGGGATCGGGAAAGCCTACGCTCGTCCGTCAGTCTGCGTACATCGTAGACATGGGGAAGCATAGAAGGCGGTTACATACGAAAGACATCACGCTTGGTCAGACCATCCGCGGCAATGACTGTTGTATACATCAGCTTCTCCGTTTACCTCGCGTCTGTTCATGCTTTTGCGTACTCGTCACCCTCAAGTTGGGCTGCGCTGGTAGTTCCATAATGCCTCTGCCTTGGCGCCTGCTCTGTATCTCCCAGCTTCCAGTGCCTATGAGACGGCTGGGACCCCCTTCTCAGATTATCATATGAACCACTGCGTGACTCCTAGAAGCGGAAGTAGTAATGGTATAGTAGGCGAACGTCGTGAGATAGGTGCTCGAAGGCGGATGTGGAAGCGTGGGTGGCTGTGCCTGCGCGATGTCCTGATGCGGGCGGGCCGATACCAGGTGCAGATATTGCGCGAGGGGACTCTTAGTCAGGCTTGTCAATCGCTCGCGCCACCCTGTCTCGACCGTGAGATGATTGTACGCGGATGAACAACCGTTAGCGGAGGCGAGGGACGTCGCAGGAGCAGCGGCAGCGGAGTGGATAAGGCGGCGTCATGGCTCTGCCCACTCTGCCACGAGGAAGGCAGAGGCGGCAACCCTTCGCTGACTCTTTCCGCCCCGCACCCGCTCCCCTCGTCCAATGGGAGGCGCTTACATAACCGGGGCCCGCGGAAGGACAAGCAACGACGATGTTGTTCCCACCGTCGCTCTCCATCATGGACCATATACTAATGTACATGGTCTGATTAGGAGTGTGTATGCAGTTGTTGACGACCTTTCTTCGCTACCCGAAGTAGCTAGCTACCACAAATACCATAGCTGTACTGACGCCGTCGCTCAAGCTTTTCCCTCAGTGCAACCATGAGACAGAAATGAGAAACGCATAGAGTGGTATCACAAAGCCTGACCCTTCTTCGCCCATGCTCCCACTGCACCTGCTGTTCCAAGCGGACGTCCAACAATGCCATGCCATCATTATCTCTTATCGAACGAGACTCGCAGCGCCCCCGCTCGATAGCCATATGGCTGCAGCATGGGAGCACGACTACACCGATCATAGGCGCCTCGATTTATATGCGGGAGTCGTAGCATAGACCACTTCAATATCCATTCATAGTCATCCTCTGACTCTGCCGGCTCAACTCGCGATCCGCACTGGGACTAATCGGCCTACTACCATGCCCTTGCACCTGCGCGCTCGACTCCTTGAGCGCCAACAGTTGCTTGGCACGGAAGCTCTCATAGTGGATCTGGGACGTCGTTTCGATCAAGTCCTGCAGGTGCGTGCGGGTGAGGAAGTCGCGCAGGTAGACGAACTCGCAGTGCCGCTCGTCCTCGACATTGATTGTGCCCCAGCGGTTCTGGCGGCCGCGGACGGTCTTGCCGGCTACGTTGATGTTGTGTTCGGAGCCGACGACGGCGAAGGGGATGATAGACTGCATTATGCTATGGTTAGTGGAATTGTAGGTAAGGGGTGGTGAAGTTGGTGATGGCTCACTTTTATCTGCGCGTTCATGGCCGCTTCCTCGTGGTCGTACTCCTCGTTCTCGTATGGGTACATGCGAATGTTGTGGAAGGCAAACTCCTCCTTTATGCGGTCCTTGAAGAGTTGCCTCTCCTCTAACGTCAAGCTATCCGCCTTCGCAATCACCGGCACCACGTTGACCGTCTCGCTCAGCTTCTTCAGCACGACAATATCGATGGGCTTCAGAGCGTGACCGGTTGGAGCAATGAAGTACAGACAGCAGTGGATCCTCGTATCTTGAATGTATCGCTCTCGCTGGGCCGTGAGCTCTTTGCGGAGGTAAGCGCTGTGCTGGTCTTTGATGTACTTGATAATGGGATCCCAGCAGCGGTCGTTGTTGACGAGATCGCCGTAGCCGGGTGTGTCCACAATGTTGAGGCGTAGGCGGACGCCGTTCTCTTCGATGATGTGCGTAACGGGGTGAATCTCGGTGGTTTGACGGATGGGATCGTTCGGTGTGAGGCGACCCTTGGAATCCACGAGGTGTGAGGCGAAGATGGTGTTGATCAGGGTGCTCTTGCCGAGACCGGTCTGGCCTGGAAGAGGAGAAAGTGGTTAGTATGTTGCTGCTCTTGGAGCTCAATCTGTTCCCTCGTAGTATTGAAGAATATGTAGCATAACCCTCTCTACCTATGCAGTAGGCTTACCAACGCAAATTACATTGAACTGAAAGCCGCGCTTGAGCAGCTTGCGCTCGATCTGGGTGGTGATGCTGTCGAAGCCAACGTGGCTCTTGGGGAAGACCGACTGCGGTGGTTGCGCGTTCATCGCTGTCGTCGCCGCCATTGCGCCTGAATGCTGGGACTGTGATCGAGTGCTCAGAGGGTATATGTAAACCTGCCGCGCTTGGCAATGAGTGTACGAGCAACGAGGTCGAGCGAGGGAATGTGGGCGGTGATGGCGCAGAAACGGTGCACTCGACGGTGGTGAACCGCAGGGTCTAGAAAGGGGAAGCTGCCGGACAATGGCCCGTGCACTTGTGGAAGCTTAGGTGTTGGTGAAGCCTTCCTTTTCGGACACATAGGCACGAGACCTGCCACTAATAATCGGGCGATTGCGCCTCCGCAAACAATGGCGACTCTACACGCCCCATCCGCCTCCTTCCTCTCGGTCTTCCTACCAGTCGCACGTGCAACGCTCCTACCCCAACATGCTCCAAGAACCAGACGAATACCTCTGCTGCAGCAATTACGAACGAGCCTACTTCCAGCCGCGCTCAGTCCAATACCAGGCTTACTCGGCGAGCTATGGGAAGGTTTGCTCAATGCGGTGCCGAAGAAGAAGACATCGCACATGAAGAAGCGGCATAGGCAGATGGCTGGCAAAGCATTAAAGGACGTGACGGCGTTGAACAAGTGCAGCGCATGCGGGCGAGTCAAGAGGGCGCATGTGCTGTGTCCATATTGTGTGCAAAGTAAGTCTTGCTGAGGAGCCTAGTGGGGAACCAAGAAAGGGCGTCCTTCTAACGTTCAACGCAGGCATAAAGCGATGGTTCAGTACAGGGTGGAAGACAAAACAAGAACTGGACGTGGAGAGGGATCAGCGGCGGGAAGCGATCAACGAGGAGAGAAGAATTAGAGGCGAGGGTTTGATCGAATGGGAGGAGAGGGATACGGACTCCGCCAAGGCAAGAGCGAAAGAGGAGCGGCGGTCAATGTAGGGTCGGCATCTTCAAGCTTTTTACGGTACTGGAACGAGACTTTGTTCAGGAGGCGCTCTACCGGATTCATTATCTTCGTAGCGACGTGCTCACTAGCATCACATGGAAGCAGGCCAAGCCATGCCGACCCTTTTCGGTCCTTACACTTCGTTCGTATGCCTCCAGAGTGGACTGCTCGCTTGAACATGAAAGGCAGCTGCCTTAAGAACTGCAACCTTAGCTGCTCGTCTCGACGTGATATAGCCATGTAACTTCGTGTGATGTTCGTTGCGTGGTCGAATTGCCCCACGTCTTCTCCCATTCCACTTCACCTTTGCAATACACTCGTTCAACAATTTACGATATGAGCTTGGGTGCATAGATGCCGCAGACAATATGGTGATGACGACACCGTTGTGTCCCAGTACTGAGACAATGCTAACACTTTGCAGTCGAAACAATATCTTCAAACACACGCCATCCCGGATGCGCATCCTACTGACATCTTCGCGCTCGCTGTAACACCTTCGCAGGTGCTTTCCGCTTCCGGCTCGTCAAATATACGCATCTACAGCACGAAAGGCCAAATCATCCACGCGGACACTCCAGAAGACGAACATCCATACCCGCTCGTTCAAACTCTGGAAAAGGTCCACCCACTCGGTTGCCACCATATTTGCACAAGCCTCGATGGCAGGACAGCGGCAAGTGCCGGCTTCGGCGGCGAACTCAATATCTGGACCTGCTCGGAAGAAGGCTCCTGGACGCTCAAAGGCACCATCACCCCCGAACCCAAGAAAGCAGGCGAGCACTGGGCTCTCGCCTTGAGCGAAAACGGCCAGTACCTAGCATGTACCACCCACGATGGCCGCATAAACGTCTACGACACCTCTACCATCTCCTCCGAAGGTAAAGCAGAAAAGATCACGCAATACGAAACGAAAGGCTCCCTCGGCATGTCCGTCGACCTCTCCTCCAACGGCAGCATGACCGCCTCCGGCCACCAAAACGGCAGCATCTACATTTTCAACAACACCACCTCCCGCATGGCGCACAGTCTATCCGGCCTCATCAAACCCGTGCGATCCGTCCGCTTCAGTCCCGCATGTCGCTACCTAGCCGCAGCAGGTGACGCGCGGATCATCGCGCTTTACGACACGCAGTCTGGCGAGCAGATTGCGAACTTGACCGGTCATGCGAGCTGGATTATGAGCGTAGACTGGAATTGGAGTGGTGAGTATTTGTTAAGTGGTGGGTATGATGGCAAGGCGAAGATTTGGAGTGTGGAGAGGAGGGAGTGTGTGGCGACGCAGACGGAGAGTGAGAAGTGCTTGTGGACTGTTAAGTGGCTACCGAAGGCGGCGAGTGCGAGGAATGAGACGTTTGTTACGGCTGGGGCCGGGAAGGGACTGGCATTTTATAGGGAGGCTAGTGGGACGTGAGAGCACCAGACACAGTGCAGCGGTGGCTCTGTCTATGGTGGACGTGCTCGGCTGACGTCTAACCGCCTTGCGCGATGAGTCTGCGACATCGGAGGCGCCTGCGCGAAGTGCAAACGAGGTGCATTTACTCACCAACGCTAGTCTGTACCGCTCTTCGCGGGGAGACTGCATGAGCCATCCTATCATGATGTGGCTAGGATCGAATGGCATGTCTACGTTAGGCTTTACAGGGCCTATACGAGACATCACCCCTGTGGACGGAACCGGCGCGATGCTGTTGAGCTTTTCCGAGCCCTGACTGAGGACCTCCAGGTCGCGTGGCTCGGCTCGCCCAAAGCGTAACGACTGTCCACAACACATGCGAACGCAGCGTGTCGACGGCAAAACATGGCAACAGTGACTCCTACACTCCTAGACCTCCGTTGCCAAACATCAAGACCTGCGATGACGGCGAGTGTTGAGAGTGTGGGAGCTTGTTGTCAAGATCAATAAATGATCAGCATGTGGGTATCACATCTGCGGAAATCATCGCTACATGGCATCAGAATCGTCACACGCCCCTACCTCCTCACCCCTCCCAAGCTCCGGTATTTCTTCCCATCCCTCAGGACCCTAAAGTATGTCTCCACCTTCCGCAAGACGGCCTGCTCCTGCTGCTCTCTCGTACGCTTCCTCGCGTATCTCCCATACGCCCGCTCCTTGAGCAGGTCCTTCTTAGTTGTAGGCGTTATTTGCTTCCGGGGACCCATCGGCTTCCGGGCTTTCAGTTTGTGGGATTGATTCTTGCGTTTGGTTCGCTTAGCCGAGGAGCCGAGATGCTTCGCTGGTCGGCCACGACGAGAAGAGCTTGTGTGTAGAGCGTTGGATGGTGTGGTTTCAGTTTGTCTTTTGGTTGTCTTATCCTCCAGTTCAACGAGCTCCCCTTTCATGATACCACTGACGGCAGTGCTGTCTTAACCCGGCCGACGCCACCAGGGTAGCGGGAAGATGTCCCACAGTATACTTCGAGACGACATTGAGTCCGTTTTGAGTGCCTTGGTTGGTGTGCGACATCACCACAGAGGTCTCGGCACATATGAGCTGTCTGTTGCATGCCTTGGACACAAAGGAGACATGTTGACCGAGTCGCCCATGTGGCCGGATCCGGCACATAAAGGGACGGGCATTGAGTATTGTTGCTCGGAAAGAACAAAGAAGTCCTTAAGCTTCATTGCGACTTCTCGCAATTGACGAGACACGGCAGGCGAGGCGAAGGCGTGTGGTTCGACATGAAGTTGGCGAAGCATGCATAGAAATGCTGACATCCGGAAGGGTTCAGCTCAACCTGCGCTGCAGTGAGAACATGGCATCAGGCCATCTTTGAAATCACTCTCCACATCAACCATCCATCCTCGGACAGCCACACCAACGCCACGCTAACGGGCAGATAACAATTTACTACAGCCTCAACATAAGACCTTAGCTCGTCTGCAGCGTAACTTGTTTTGTGCCTTCTGTTACCTCCTCCAGCGCATCACCAGCCTTCGGGTCACTCTGCACGCCATCCTTCTCCACACTCTCTACGCTGCCCTTACCTTCATCGGCCGCCTTCTTCCCATCAGCCTTCGCAGCCTTCTTCCTGTCCTTCTCCGCCTTTTTAGCCGCCTTCTTTGCAGCTTCAGCCTGCTTCTGCTTCTGCAATTCCTGTCCGCCGAACAACTCCCGCCACTCCTGTTCCTTCTCCGGCTTGATGTTCTTGAACAGATGCGCAGCTTTGCCGATAGTGTGACCGCCGGATATGCTATCTGCTTTCCAGTCGTCCGGGATGATGAGAAGGTCCGCTTGCAGCTGCTCGAGGATGGCACGAGTGGTGGCGGGTAGATAGGGCGCAATGACCGAAGCGAGGAGGTGGACGTGGTTGATGCAGAGGTGGACGACAGCGTCGCAACGTTCGCGCTCGTTGCTGAAAAGAGCGTTGTCGAGACGGTTGTCTTGAAGAAGCTTATTGCCGAGTGAAGACAGTTCGCGAGCGTTGATCAGACCTGCCTTGAGATGTACCGCGTCCATCTCCTCTCGGTAGCGCTTTAGAATGTCATTCGCTTCTGCGATGTGTTGTTCTAGATTCTTCGCAAGATCCGAGGAAGACTCTAGCTTCGGTGCAGCAGGTATGACTGAGTCGTAGTTGGCAGAGTTGACGAACTTCAATATGCGGTTCACAAAGTTGCCGAAGTTCGCTACCAGCTCGTTGTTGTTCGCAGAGATGAAGCCATCCCACTGGAACTCGGTATCGCTAGTCTCCGGTCTCCTCAGCAAAAGGAAATACCTCCAAACATCAGGCGCAACGCCCGTCTCCTTGGCACTCGAGCCAAACACGCCGATGCCACGGCTTTTGCTGAACTTTCCTCCTTCGTAGTTCAGATATTCTGTCGTGCTAAGTGTGTTCAGCATCGTCCACTTGTCGCCTGTGCCAAGTTGCGAGCACGGAAAGACGACGGTGTGGAAGGGCACATTGTCCTTGCCCATGAACTGATACAGCTTGACATTCTCCGGATCACGCCACCACTTCTCCCAGTGCTTCGTATACGTTGCTGTAATCGAGACATAGCCGATGCAAGCATCAAACCAGACATACAGCACCTTCTCATCGTAACCCTCTAGCGGCACCGCGGTACCCCACTTCAGGTCACGAGTTATACCACGCGGTTTCAAACCTTCCTGTAGCCATGCATTGGTAATGTGCTTGCTGTTCTCGCTCCAGGCGCCTTCGACCTGGCTTTTCTCGCTCCACTTTGCAACCTGTTCCTGTAGCTTGTCCAGCAGCAGGAAGACATGCTTTGTATCTTTCGGAATCGGCGTCGCACCATCAAGCTTACACCGCGGGTTTATCAGGTCCAGAGGCTCGAGCAAATGCCCGCACTTGTCGCACTGGTCACCTCGCGCATCGTGGAAATGGCAGATCGGGCACTCTCCTTCCACGAAACGATCAGCGAGGAAACCTTTATGCTGCTCGCAGTACGGCTGCGTCGTTGTCCGCTCGTCCAAGTAGCCGTTCTTGTGCAACTTCAAGAATATATCCTGCGCAATATCGGTCTGTTCTTGCGTCGGTGTCCGGCCGAAATGATCGAAGCCGATTTCGAACCAGTCGTACACTTCCTTGTGCAAGCGGTTGTACTTGTTGCAAAGCTCTTGGGGAGTCACACCCTCCTCGATCGCCTTCGTCTCGGTCGCCGTACCGTACTCGTCTGTCCCGCAGACGAACAAGGTCGGATGACCGCGCGCTTTGCAGTATCGTGCAAAGACGTCTGCAGATAAAACAGAGCCGATAATGTTGCCTAAGTGGGGCACGTTGTTGACATACGGGAGCGCGGAAGTGATGAGGATGTTCTTCTTGCCAGGTTCAGGGAGAATCTCATGCTTTGCGGAGCCATTGACGCCGTTTGCGGTCGCCATGATAGCTCGCGTGAGCAATGGTGTACAAGGCTGGTTGTCTTGCTGGAACACTAGATCCGATGCTGCGGCCAGCAGCGGAATGTTCAGACACTAGTTCCTCGTCAGGCGTGTATTGATCCTTGATCTTCGCTTCGTACCGCGTTTTGTGGTGCTCCTATTGAATATGTTCAGTCATCGCGAAACAGTCATCGCCAAAATCGCTTCCTCTAACACAATGCGGGGCGAAGCATTTCCTGCTGACTCAGCTGGGGCGAGCCATTAAACCAATATGAGAAATGACAAGATACCTTGTTATTTGCATGGACCATGATGTCCGAAGTAAATAACGATGTCGAATGAGGACTCGAACCGCCACGATCCTTTCGACTCCTTGCTGTCGCTTGAGGACCAATACTACAACGAAGGCTACAACCTAGGTGTTGCGGACGGTACCCGCTCTGGCCGCATCGAAGGTCGACTCTTTGGACTGGAGAAAGGCTTCGAGAAGTTTGCAGAGCTTGGCAGACTCAATGGCAAAGCTGCTGTCTGGCACGCGAGGTTACCTCGCGGCAATAATGTAGCCGATTCTGGAAGAAGCGAGTCCCTCGAGCAACCGAAGGATTTTGCGACTGTGCAGAGTTTGAATGGTAGCGAGCGACTCAAGCGCCATATTGATCGGCTTCTCGAGCTTACTGAACCGGACAGTCTTGAGACGAAGAACACTGAAGAAGCGGTCAATGACTGCGACGAGCGGTTGGCTGGCGCGAAGGCTAAAGCTACGTTGATCGCAAGGATCGTTAGTGAGGATGTGCCACAGCCTTCCACCAGCAACGGGAATGTTGGGAACGAGGAGACCGAGATCACACGATCGGCGACTTCCAAGCCAAGAGTGCCCAGCGAGATGGAGGATTTTGCTGGTCTTCCACGTTCAGGTGGCTCTGTGAAAGGATGAAATTCTTTCTTGTTGTCTCACATAGGGCCGATTAACTACGGGACGCCACGCTAGAAAGCAAATCAGCAGCACGCTCAGTGACAATCTGCATCAACCTTCACGTTATTGCAGCGCGTGCCGCCTCATTTGTCACCACTGGCGCAGACTCAACCTTCAGCTTCTTAGCCATCGTCTCGCCATCTCCGGCACCATCAACTTGGTTCTGCGCGAGGTTGCTGACATCGGCAAGCGGCGGCCTTTTCACGCCTACCGCAGTAGGAGGCCGATATGCGCCACGGTTCGTCATTCCGCCAGGCGGAGCTGGTGCACCAATACGTCGGTGCAAGTCCGCTGATGGGTTAACGAAGTTGGTTCGAATTGGAGTTACTGCTCCGTTCATGCCATTGCCGGCAGACGATGCATGGCCTTGCTGTCCATTCGCCTGGCCGCTGAGCGCTTGGCGAGCGACTGGTGCACTTCTTCCCGGGTTCACACCATGTGTGCGGCGAATGCTAGGGCTGTCGGCGTGCGGGTTAAATGCCATTGCATGGCCAACAACAGGGCGTGCTTCCGAGGGCTGGTTCAGTAGGTCCGCACTACGGCCTGTTACAAAGCCTTCTGGGAAGCCTGGCGGCGGCGAACGAGGGATGGGCATTTGCTGATCGTCCATATGCTGACCGTCAACGTTGGAAACGATGTTATTGCCGTTCGCTTGCTTAGATGCTTCCCGTTCAGCGAGAACATCGGACGGCGAGTCCGCGACCGTGGTGGCAGAAGATGGGTTGGAACGAACACCTAAATTGTCTGAATGGTTCTGCATTGGTCCAGCACTCTGCGGTGGTGCTAGAGGCGGTCGTTGTACACCACTTGCAATCGGTGCGTTTGGCGGCTGTGGCTTCTCCATCGGCCCAGGTTGTTGAGCTGGAGGTGGCGGCATACGGTTCGGTGGCGCCTGGGCAGCATTGGTCGGTGGCCGTGCCACGCCCGGCGGTCTTTGCGGGGCTTGCAGATTCTGGACCGGCTGCGGTGGTTGTACGTTCGGCGGCCGTAAGTGTGGCATAGAGTGCATTCTAGGTACGCCTTGCCTGTGGCCTGGGTGCTGCGGTACACCCATAGCTTTCTGTGCAGGAGTACCTGGCCCAGCTATCGTCGAGTCGTCCAGTATCACTCCGTCTGGGTGGCTGAAGTCCACATCCTCAAGTCCACTGCCGCCAAAATCATCGTCAAATTCGGCCGAGTTGACCGACAAGCCAGATTTAACGCTCGACTGTCGCACGGGACCCACAGCGTTGGTGGGCTGCGCTTCGACCTGTGCAAGGCTTTCTTTCTTAATTGGCGCAAAGTCTGGATGCCTATGGAGATTGTCTGCATCCCACTTGCTCGGCGCTACCTTCAACTTGGTCACCTTCTGCAGGTAGTCCTTGTCGTACAGACAGTTACCAAGCACATTGCCAAAGTTCCTCAATGCTCTCTTGAGGGCATCAGTCGCAGCTTCTTTCTTTGCCTTCTCAAAGGCAGCCGCTTTGCCTTTGCAGTTCTCAATGTGACCATAGCCAATGTCTTCATGGAATGTGCCGTCTCGCAACGTCACCCTCACAATTGTACTCAATCCCAGAGAGATCTTGCCAGACTCTGTGTTCTCATCCACGAAATCAATCTGGACGTTCTGAATGGCGGAGCTCCACCCGTTGAAGCCAAAGACCTCGTTAGCTAGATTGATAACCTTGTCCGCCGCAAGATAATGAAGCTTGCCGCCTCCCGCTCCTGGTCGCGTGGAGATGTACTCTGGTCCTAGTTGTTTATCTAGGCGCGATTGCAGCGTAGCAATCTCTTGAGCAGTGAACTCCGAGATATGTGGTTTGTGATCGGCGAATGGGTTGGTTGTAGCTAGAGTGTCTCGATGTTGATCGCCGGGTCTAAGTACTCGTCAGCTCTATGCTCGATTGGGATGCACAGCGGCACTTACAGTGGCATTTTAGACCATTGTCATAGCAAGCCGAGAGGAAAAAGGCGACGGTCGTATGCTCGTGGTTGTGCGGTTGGCAGTCGAGTCGAAAGCGCGATCCGAACGACGCGCCGATGTCTTGGCAGGCAGGCGCATGAAGCGTCCACACGTGACTTGTAAGCTCAGTGCAAGGCGTTCCTTTGTTGGATGCTCGTGCTCAATAGCAGCACGTGTGAAGTAACATATCTGGACTTTGCACCACGACGACCACCACTCCATACCATGAACGAACTCTTTTAACAGTCTGCCATTGTCTTGACTGTTGGAAGCGATCCTACTCTCCGAATCACACATCGTCTGCACCTCTGGCACCTCTTCTAGTGGCTGACGACGACTTCCACTGGACCAGGCCGACACTTGGAGGAAAGGTGCAAAGTCCGTCTCCACTGGCGCATGGTGGGACCATAACACATCGCCAAGCGCATTGCTGCCGCGCCGGCATGAGCAAGCCATAACAGCCTCCTCTTCTCCTCACCATCCTCGGCGACATGCCACGTACGCGAAGCGCGCCGTCCGGGCGGCGGAAACATTGGCTCTATACCCTCCCGCACCTCCTCGCATTACAATGGCTACCGACGGCGACGGCGGAGAAGACGGCCGCCGATTACTATGTCCACTCGCTTCCCGGCGCTCCTTCTCCTCTACTCAAGATGTACGCAGGACATATTGAGATCACACCTGAACACCACGGCAATCTCTTCTTCTGGCTTTATAAAAACCGACATATTGCGAACCGATCACGGACAGTAATATGGCTGAACGGCGGACCGGGCTGCAGTAGTATGGACGGCGCGCTGATGGAGATTGGTCCTTACCGAGTAAACGAAGATGGATCGCTAAGGTACAACGAGGGTAGTTGGGATGAGTTCGCGAATATATTGTTCGTGGACAACCCTGTCGGTACCGGTTTCAGCTATGTAGACGGTGACAGCTTCGTACATGAGCTTGACGAGATGGCCCGCCAGATGGTAGCTTTCTTGGAGAAGTGGTTCGCTATCTTTCCCGAGTTCGAGCATGATGATGTCAGTACAATCAAATCCTGCCAATATGCGTGATGAGAGCTGACGCAGAATGTAGCTCTACATTGCAGGCGAATCTTATGCCGGCCAGCATATTCCGTACGTTGCAAAGGCGATATTGGAACGAAATCAAGCCCACCAAGACCGAGCATGGAATCTGTCCGGCCTTCTGATAGGCAATGGATGGATATCTGGTCCTGACCAATATCCAGCATACCTGCAGTTCGCCTATGAGTCTGGCTTAATACAGAGTGGCACCGACCAAGAGAGGTCCATTGAAGACCAGCAGAAGCAATGTCTAGAACATCTCTCTCAGGGCGACAAAGATCACGTCGACTCTCAAGTATGCGAAGCGATATTGCAAGAAATTCTTCGTGTGACGATGCAGAACGGCAAGTGCGTGAATATGTACGATGTCCGATTGACCGATTCTTATCCCTCTTGCGGAATGAACTGGCCACCCGACCTGAGGCAAGTTACGCCCTGGCTTAGGAAGGCAGATGTTGTGTCGGCTCTGCACATCAACCCGGACAAGAAGACGGGGTGGGAGGAGTGCTCGGGTCAAGTGGGCAACAACTTCCGAGCGGTCAATTCAAAACCGTCAATCAAATTTCTGCCAGAGCTTCTGGAGAAGATGCCTGTTATCCTCTTCTCAGGCGATCAAGATCTCATCTGCAACCACATCGGGACCGAGACACTGATCTCCAATCTCGAGTTCAATGGCGGAACAGGCATGGAGACAGCGCCTGGCTCTGGCCTGTGGGCGCCGAAGCGGGACTGGACCTTCGAGAATGAACCAGCCGGTATCTATCAATCCGCCCGCAACCTGACATACATTCGCTTCTACAACTCAAGCCATATGGTACCCTTCGATTACCCGCGAAGAACACGGGATATGCTAGATCGCTTTATGGGCGTTGACATTGCCTCTATAGGCGGTACTCCCGCAGACTCCAGGATTGACGGCGAGAAGGCGGGTCTGGAGACCTCCGTTGGCGGGCATCCGAACAGCACCAGCGCGGAGGAAGTCGCGCAGGAGAAAGCGGACGCAGCGGCGTATAAGGCTTATGCGAGATCTGGTGAGGCCGCGTTGACTGTATTAATAATCGCCATTGTTGCATGGTTCGTTGTAAGATGGCGCATGCGGCGCAAGCGCACAGGGTACAAATCATTGTTTGGCTCGGATCCGTATGATGGACTTAACGGCGGGCCTTTGGCGTCTGGTTTGGGTTTGGATAGCGTTAGCAGAGCATCTGCAGGCAGGTATAGGGAAGAACGGGATGTCGAGGCTGCTAGGGACTTTGATGAAAGCGAGCTCGATGATTTGACGAATCATGGGGATAGAAGGAGGGATACGGATGGAGAGCACTTTGACTTAGCGGATGATGAGGATGCGGATGAAGGTTCCGATGGCAAGACCGCGGGTAATGGGAGAGCGCATTGAGGTCAAACCTCGGTTTATAGTAAAATCCAATCCTTGCCAACCGCTTCCATGACACTCGCAGAGACTATACGCCATCTTGTGAATCCGCTCTGCTACCTGATGGGCAATGAATTAATCCTGCCCACCTTCGCCAGAGAACAACGTACCTTTTTCAACTTGGACACCCACACATTCTGTCTCGCTCGCTACCATATAGATTTCTGCTACTGGCCCTCAGTGCCTTGGGATCACAATTACATGAAGCCAATTACCGTTGCGCAGCAATAAGGCTACGCTAGTGGCGTGACCTGCAAACTACAGCCATGGCTGCATGGGGGCCGAAGTGGCTGCAGGTTGAAGCGCTCAGCTGTGGACTGACACCACTACTTCGGCAGTACCAGCCTTGTCCGGCACATGATGGCTTCAACCGCGCTCCATGGTCACAGTCTTGGGCGCGTTGGCTTCAGCAGTTATATTATGCTAGAACGCAATGCCGAAGAAGGCGCCTTCGGCGATTGCTGGCCTGCAGAGTGCCATTGACGAGGGCAACCTGCAGCACGTCGAGTCAGCTCTGAATGCGTGCAGGATCCCACAAGACAAGCTTCTTGCCATCGCACTTGCGATAGCGTGCGAAAAGGAGAAGCTCAATGTCGTCCAATTTCTGCTGAAGGAGAAGAGGGCAGATCCAAACACGACCTCTACTGGCAAGCCTCCGCCGCTTTTGATCGCTGCAGAGGCTTGCGGTCTGGATAGCCGTTCAGTGGAACTCATTGAACTGCTTCTAGAATATGGCGCAGACCCTAATGTCAGAAGCCGCGATGGCAAAACTGCTCTTATGCTTGCGCAGACGTGTGAGGTTGCCCGGTTGTTGCTCGCCCGAAGAGCCGACCTGTATGCGAAGGATGAAGATTTACGCACAGCGTTGATGTACGCTCATTCGCTTGAGTCAATCGACAATGCTCCAGAGATCGACGCGCAGGCGGACAGAGATGGATCAAGCAACAGTGCTAATGCTTCCATGCGCGAGGAGCGTAAAGCACGACTTTATGCTCGCAAGTTCGAGTTGGTCGAGCTGCTTCTCGATCATGAACATCAGCTCGATCTCAACGAGCGTGCGGAACCGCTAATCCATGCCAAGGACAAGGCCGGTTGCACTGTGCTTATGCTCATGGCCATGGAAAAGACAAGTGATGACCCCGTCAACGAGAGCGTCAGGAACCGAATCGCCGCGCTACTTATAGACCGCGGCGCTGACTATGAATCTGTTGACAACCTTGGCCGCGATGTCCTCGTGACTGCTGTGTGGCGAAATCGGATCCATCTTGTCAAGTTACTCTTAAACAAAGGAGCGAAAGTCGACCGTGTCGACCGTCGAGAGAGGAACATCTTTCACCACATTGCTGGAGGTTAGTGAACGCTCATCTATCTCGCTGCCGTGCTAACCTCCTTCACTTTTAGACAGTGACAGAGGTCTGCAAGCGGATACATCCACTGGAGAGGAGATTCTACGACTTCTATTGGCAGAAGCTGGGCCGAAACACCTCGAAGCCCAAGATGCTCGGTTGAGGACTCCGCTGCACTGGGCTGCCGCAACAGGCAATTGCTTCGTTGCAGCTGCCCTCTTAAAAGATCGCAATGTAAATGTGAACGCAGTAGATCATAACGGAAGGAGCGCGCTGCACCTCGCCGTGCGGTGGTCGCCCACTCTTAGCGACGAGGGAATCGGGCAAAGACCACAGCGACCGGTTATCATGATGCCGGATGACAGCGAAGTCGTGCTCAAGCGTAAGCGCACACAGTGGAATAGGTACGAGTACCTGAAAAAGGAGTTTGACGGCAAGCTGCGTTCGATGGAACAACTAGTTGAGCGCCGCCTTACAGAGAGGGTGAATGTGCTTCTTGAGCACGGCGCAAAGATTGGAGCTGAGGCTGACGGCGGCTTCACTCCGTTTCATACAGCATGCGCAGATCAACCCAACCCTGCAGTGCTCGATCTGCTGTTGAGAGGCCGCGATGAAGCTCATCGACGGACGATACTCCGACGCAAGACATTGAGTGGTCGTTCCGCATTACATCTTGCCTGCGAAGTTGGCAACACCAGAGTTATTGAGTATCTTTTGGCTGACCCAGCCGTGATCACCACCACGAGGGACAATTTCGGTAACTCGCCGTTGCTCAGTGCCGCTTTCAGTAAGCATAGAAATGTCGTAGAGTTACTGGCGCCGTACAAACAGGCACACATCGATCGATTGGGTGAGGCCGCGAAAGCCGCAGCTCAGCAATTCAACGCCACGATTATCAACTTCGGAGAGTACAAACGTGGCAATGAAGTGGACAAACGAAAAAGCGTCTTTGATGTACTCTACAGCAATCCTCGTGAGGTCAAGAACGGCGATGCTGGAGTAAGCACTGTATGCAGAAAGGGTGATTCGACGCGGTTTAGGTGGATACATCTTCCGGTTAATAATGTTGCATGGTGTCAGGAACTACTCACCAAGCGCTTTATTGAGGAGGGTGCGAAAGATGTCGAAGCCTTCAAGGCTGTCGAGCGCTCTTTCATGCACCAGCATCGTGGACAGAGATTTCACTCCAGCTACATGCGACCAATGTGCCAATCAATTGGCCGCACGGTGCAGGCGTCTCCTCCAGCGGATACCACGTCAGTCAACGAACATGCGCTTTCACCCAGTACCGACACGAACGAGCGGGCTAGACAGCGGTTGACACTGCGTACGGATGTAGAGATTGTCGAAACGCAGCCGTCTCCAAGCTCCGGCACTGCGGCAGAAGACAACTTTATTTCGCCTGAAGCAGTGGTACCCGGAGCGACAGTCTCCGATGGTCGACTACCTTACCCTCGGCGGCATTCAACGTCGAGCATAAACCGGGGCGGGCTGCTTGCACCACCGGAGGAGGCTGATGGCATTCGGCCAGTCCAGCGGTCGTCAACTCTGGAAAGTTGGGATGAGCGTGAGCCGCCCGAGCGTCATCGACCCAAAGAGCGCCCTGTGCTACATCAGCGCAAGCGAAGAGGGAGTAGTGCATCCAAATCTAAGGTTGAAATGGACGACCTATCAAGCGTGGCGGAGCACAACGTGTTTCTATTCGCACCATATCTCCACTTCGAATTTGACGATGAGCGGAAGGAGATGCAGAAAGCCATCGAAGATGCCGGAATGTCAAATGGTCACAGCAGGCCGACAGCCATCGCCTTCCAGGAAGTCCTGCCAAGCCCAGAGGAGCTGCTAATTCGTGCACATCTTCATGACCAGCTCCACATCCGTCGCACATTAGACCAGTCATTCTTTCGCAATATCGACACGTCTGTGCGCGATGCAGACCAGGTCATCTACCGCTACGAGAAAGAACTGATGAAGCAAGGTGGAGGCAACGAGAAGCTAAAGGTTCTGATGGTCGATCAGCTTTGGATGTGGGTGGTGGGTAAAGATCTACTGATAACAAGCTTCCCGCGACGGTGGCGCCAGACACGCAAAGACCACCCGTTGAATGTGCTTGAAGGCATTATCGAGGAGATCAATGCTAACACTGGCGAAAATGTGCGGAACATCTACGAATTGGCTGTGCTTATCGCAGGTCGTTGCTTTGGCGCCTTCGATTGCTCTGGGGTCCGAGAAGACGGCTCGAAGTTTCTGGACATGTTCGAGTCTTCCATTGGGCTGGCTATGGATCAGGAGACCAAGTTGTTCGCCGAGTTCAAACATGCTTCTCAAGAAGTATCTGACTTCCTGTTGAGTCGACACGAGCAGCAGTCGGCGCAGGCCAAGGCACACAGTAAAAGGGCACGCAAATTGTCGTCGTCAAAGCTACCACGGAATGCTAAGGAATTATCACCCGGCCAAGAGCCTGAAGAGATCCACACACTTATGGAAATCGGGGCGGAGACCAAGCTACTGTCCGACGTAAAGGACATCAGAGACGAGCTGGATATGCTGAAGATAGTGTTCCAGCAACAGCAGCAAGTCCTTCCACAAGTCTTGGACACCATGGAAGGCATTTTCGGCGACAATCCCATGATCAAAGCGCAACGAGCGAAGGTGGAACGGAGACTGCAGATCAACGAAAGAGCGGTGTCTCATCACGTCAACGAGATCAAGCGCATGGACAAGCAAGCCGAGCGAGTGTATCTCTCCATCCGCGACCTGCTCGACCTCAAACAGAAGCACGCCAATGCGTCTGAGGCTCGATATGCGCGATACGAGGCGGCAGAGACCGCTCACCAGGGCCAAATTCTGATGGTCTTTACGATCGTCACTGTCATCTTCTTGCCCCTATCGTTTATCGCCACCTTCTTCGCTCTCGACATCACAGAATTTCCGCATCAAGGCTCCGACCAGCAGCTTCCTATGGGATATGTGCTGAAATACCTACTTGGTATCGGACTGTCGTTCGCTGTACTATGTGTCATCGCTGCCTTGTCCTTTGACAAGATTGCGCGGTTATTGAAGACTAATTGGACCTCACTCACGCATGGGATGGCACAACGCGATGGGAACAACGCTGCCAAGCCGGCCGGTCAAACGACGTCCATCACTGCAATTTCCAGTCCAGCAGCGCACGACCAGACCGAAGCGCAGTCAGTGCTTCGGCGATCTACATGGCGCTCAGCACGATCTGCTGGCTCGACAAGGAAAAGCTTCGATCAACAAAGGGCTCTGGAGGAGGGTTGAACCCGAGATTCATAAGCATAAGCGGCGCGCAATCAAGATGTTGATCACCTAGGTACAGCCACAGTATCAGCCATTCAGGACACCCCTAGCAACCTGTCCGACTAACCCAGCGTACTCGCTGAATAGCACGCTCACAAGCACACTCTCGCCTTCACTCTCCGCCCACCGACCAGCCCTGATGAGCTTCTGCTTCCAGCTCGCCTTCTGCTGCTCATCAAGCTCGTGCCAGCGCTTGGCCTTGGTATCTCGCTTCAGATACTCTTCCGTGTCCGCATGCACATCCACAGACACATCAGTGCCCTCATTACCGTCTCGAATCACTAGCGCCTTCTGTTGCGCGTCTGGTGAAGTACCATGAGCGGCAAGTAATTCCTGCAAACGGCCTTTGCCCGGCATCCCAGAAGGTACCGCAGACTCGACGACGGACGAGACCGTGTGCTGCATGCCTCTGCCGAAGCCAGCGGCTGCACTTGCAGGCCTGTCAAGCAACTCGCGAGCGTCGCGTGGCAGTAGACTAAATGGGCCAACCCAGTCGCTGGAGAAGCCAGTCGTGAATGACTGTATCAAGAAGGCTGCAACAAGCACGACCAACGAGATAACGACAATGAACGAGATCTGCGTGAAGCGCTCGTCGCTGGGGTGGTTGAGCACATAGCGGCTGTGCTTGTCTTTCGGCTCGAAAGGCGACAGTGGGAATGTGTCAACCACAACCGTATTGCCGTAGGATACCGAAGCCAAGCGGACATATTGCGGTCCTGGGTGCATCATCGTTTCGGCCTTTCGCGGCGGCTCCTTACCGCTCGCATCCTTTGCGCCATTCTCGGGATCCTCTGCACGCAAAGGTGAGTGGAAGGGCGAGAAGCAGATCTTGGTCATTTGATGCTGATGGACATCTCGCAGGATAAGGTAGTGCTTGAACGGCGAGAATGTGTCGGTCGCAGCCTGGTAGTTGGTAACATAGACCTCAATACTGATATCTTGGCTGGCGATGGCGACTATGACCTGACAGTTTCCATTCTTGTCCGCATCAAGAGCGCACACATCCATACTCACTGACTGACGTATGTGTGAGGGCAGAGTCTTCTGCAGCTGAATGGATGCCGGACCCGTAGGGTAGAGATGGATGATCTGTAGCTCCGCGCCACTCTTGTTCGGCTTGTTCGCAAGCGCCACCAGGCTCTGTCCGTTCAAGAAGCGCAAGCAGCGGTACTTTGATCGCGACTTCGGGTCCTGTTTGGCGTCAGGGTATGGCATTGACTGCACACGCCGAGGCCCGTTAGGCGTCTTCTCAACCTTCTTCGAACCGAAGTTGTACTTGTAGCTTTGCTCGTAGATGTCATAGTCGGTACAGTATGCCATGGAGAAGACAGACTCGTCAGTCTCGACGATGTCCAAGTCTGTCGCTTCGGCGTCTTCGGGGAGATCAATCCGAGCGATAACGTCTGAGTCGCTGGGCGTAGCGCTTGTCGCACTGAAGACAACGATCTCGTTACTTTTAGCCATGCCAGTTGCGACTGCACCAATGCGCTTGCTGCCCGACTCCCGCTTGTGCGCGGGTGAGAGTCGCAGTATGCGCTGGTAAGTCTCGCTCTTGTCCGCCTTCGCGGAACGGAAGAGTGACCGTTTGCCAATCTGCTTGATCTCCCCTTTCGGTTCAGCGCCATCCTTCTCGGTCCTCTGCTTTTTGCGCGGCGGATACTTGACGTCGAAGGAGCGAAGATGCTCGTTCTTGCCGGCGTTCTGGTTCGCTTGGGAGCCATTGATGCCCGCAAACACTATTAAGCCGTCTTTGGTCGCGAGGTTGGCGAGCGATTGCACCGAGTCCTCGTCGCGCGACAGTTCCACTTCAGCGGCGGTGGAGATGGATGCGCGGTTGGAGATATCGAGGACGGACTGCGCAGTTGTTAGCATCTCCCCTCCGTCTGTAGCAGTCTAGCACTTACGATCTGGTTCGGCACACCGGTTTTGCTCTCGCCGCCTCCACCTCCGACCACAAGATAGCCGCGATTGTAGGGGTCGAAGTCCGCCGCAAATACGGGATAGGGGAGGGTTGCTTTGGCGTAGGACACCTTCGAGTTCATCTGGTGAGGCATGTTGGAGAATCAGAATTTCAGGACGTTCGCTCAAAGTACAGAATGCAGAGTTGAGTGATATACTGGGAAAATCGAGCAAAATTGGGTGCCGAGAGACCAAGTGTCTTGTGAACACCTCAATGTCGCTTGGGAGCACGGTGACGTGGGGGGTTTCCGCTTTGGGAAAGGCATCAACACATTAGCTAGGAGCAAACGCTCGTTGCTATTCAGATCTATCTCAAGAATGGAATCGAAACAGCAAGCATGGACTACTCGTGAGTGGAAGACGCTACAGAGGACCGAGATTTGAGCAAGTGCACAACCGTCACAGCGTCGTCCCTGAGACACTACGAACCCTACATCAGGTCCGCCCCTACGAAGCCTCGCACACCTTTCTCGCGGCATTGTCACCGTCAGCACGGCGGAAAAAGGAGCTGCCGCACCTCAGCATCCTCCCGCTCCATCTCCTCCTTTAGTCGCTCCCAGTCCTTCTGAGCCCGCTGCATCTCCGCCTCCTGCTTTCGCCACTTCTCATCTTCGCCGTCCTGCTGTTTCTGTCGCTCAGCCTGCTCACGCTTCCACATGGCTACCTCCCTTTCGTAACGAAGGCACTCGCGTGTGCACCAGTAGCACTGCTCGGCGCCTTGTTGAGTTGCAGTGGTGAAGCTTGATCGGCAGCGCTTCGGAAGAAGAGTGGTCCAGTTGGTCAGATCTCCGCAGCGCTCCAGATGTTCTTCAACGTGGTCGCAGATAGAGTAGATTGTCTGAATGCTTTTGCACATGGATTGCTCGTTCTTGCAAATGTAATGAGGTAGCAGAAGACAAGAGCGACATCGTCACTACTGTGTCTAATAAGGTGATATGGGAAGTTTGCTGGGGGACAAGGAACTGTGCATCAGACACATGCCGATACAACGAAAGTGATCGAATAGGAAGAGGCTGAAAAGGACTCTAAAGTCCTGAAAAGGCGACAAAAGTCAGACTATTCCTTATCCCAGTCTATCGAGAAAGTAGGAAAAAGACATTGCTCGCTCATGCAAGCGTATGGTGTTGTTGTGGTGTGGGTTGGTCCATTCAAGCGAGCCGAGTGCGAATAACAGCAGACTACCAGCTGAACCGTTAACTGCGCAACTGGAACATGGTGCAAGACGCTGCATTGTTGTTCCATCCACTCTGGACGCCGTCCCTGCCAGCTATTCAACAGTATCGCAGGTTGTCGCAGGTTGTTCCACCATTGAGACCGAGCATCGCAGGGTGCAGCCTGAAGCCGGTGAATGCTGTTTGCGAACAGGAACGGCGTATCAATTGGGGACTAGGTATGCATCAACCTGTGTACTTGTGTCCTCATGCACGGACGAGCCTGCCTATTGATATGGCAGTTCAGGTTGAGATGTTGTTGTGCAGGCTTGGAGGTAATGGAATGCGTGAATGTGTTGAGGGTTGAACGGCGGATGGACTCCGAAGCACGGACCATGTCGTGACAGGCTTTCACAAATTTGTTCGAGGCGCAGCGTGATGGACGGACAGGCTTGACCAGCAACACTCTGTGTCGCCGCCCATTCACTACCATCTCCCCGAGCTGATCATTCTTCCTCAAGACAGCAGCCGGCCTGCAAGCAAGGCGTGAGTCACTCGCATCCGACCCCCGCCACTCTTACTCCCACCACCAAAACTTTTGGGCTTGCGCCAATCGATAAGCGCCCCTCCATCCACATCTTCGACCCGCCTACACACATCCTGCTGTGCCTGCTCCTTCATTCTCCCATCAAGTAGACGCTGCAGCGAAGATGGTGTCCGCGTCGAAAGCAGCGCGTCAGGCGAAGCGCGAGGCCGATGGTAAGCCAGCGAAGAAGACGGCAGCCTCCAAGGCGGCATCCAAGGACGCATCTGCAAATGGCTCCGAAGCCAACTCCGTCAACGGCGACGATGCACCCCTCGAGGATGCTGACGGAAACCCATTGCCCGGATCCAAAGAACCTGTCATCACTAGCAAAATGGCAAAGATTGCGTTGCAGGAGGACAAAGATGGCATCTCAGACCGTGTCACAACCGGCGTGCTGGCCTCGTTAGAAGCCAGCAGAGACGTCAAGATTACATCGGCGTCTTTAGTCTTCCACGGCAAAGTGCTGGTCAACGACACCACCCTTGAAGTCAATTATGGCCGACGGTACGGTCTGTTGGGCGAGAACGGCTGCGGAAAGTCTACGCTGCTCAAGGCCATCGACAAGCGCGAGTTCCCTTTCCCAGAGCACATCGACATCTACCTTCTGAATGAGGGTGCTGAGCCGTCTGATACCGGTGCGCTTGTATGGGTGGTGAACCAGGCAGAGAACGAGATGAAGCGGCTAGAAGGGTTAGCAGAGGAGATCTTGGAAAAGGAAGGTCCAGACAGTCCCAAGCTTGAAGAGCTGTACGAACGTATCGACGGCATGGATCCTTCTACATTCCACACCCGCGCCTCGCTGATTCTCACCGGTCTCGGCTTCAACAAGAGCACTATGGACAAGAAGACGAAGGACATGTCCGGTGGCTGGCGGATGCGTGTCGCCCTCGCCAAAGCTCTCTTCGTCAAGCCTTCCCTCCTCCTCCTCGACGACCCCACCGCCCATTTGGATCTCGAAGCCTGCGTGTGGCTAGAAGAGTATCTCAAGAAGTGGGACCGCACCCTCATCCTCGTTTCGCACTCCATGGACTTCCTCAACGGCGTGTGTACCAACATGATCGACATGCGCATGAAAACACTCATGTACTACGGCGGCAACTACGACACCTACATCAAGACCCGCACCGAACACGAAGTGAACCAACAAAAAGCGTACGAAAAGCAGCAAGACGAAATCAAGCACATCAAGGAGTTCATCGCCAAAGCCGGTACTTACGCCAATTTGGTCCGACAAGCCAAATCCCGCCAAAAGATCCTCGACAAGATGGAGGCGGACGGCTTCATCCAGCCCGTCCACCACGACCGCATCTTCACCTTCAAATTCGCCGACGTCGAGAAACTGCCCCCTCCCGTGCTATCCCTCGACAACGTCACCTTCTCCTACTCCGGCAACGCCAAAGACAACCTCTACGAGAACCTCGACTTTGGCGTGGACATGGACTCGCGTACCGCCCTAGTCGGACCCAACGGTGTAGGCAAATCGACCCTCCTCCGCATCTTCACTGGTAAACTCAGTCCCACCTCCGGCTCCGTATCGCGACACACTCACTTGAAGTTGGGAATGTACAGCCAACATTCCGCCGAACAGCTGGACCTCAATAAATCCGCGCTGGACTTTGTGAGGGACAAGCACTCGAGTATCAGCCAGGATTACCAATACTGGCGACAGCAGTTGGGCCGGTACGGGCTCAGTGGTGAGGCGCAGACGGCGTTGATGGGCACATTGTCCGAGGGCCAAAAGTCAAGGATCGTGTTTGCACTGTTGGCGATCGAGGGGCCGAATATGTTGTTGTTGGATGAGCCGACGAACGGATTGGATATCCCCACGATTGATAGTTTGGCGGATGCGATTAACTCTTTTTCGGGCGGTGTGGTGGTTGTGTCGCACGACTTTAGGTGAGCCGAATACCAGCAGTCTATCATGTGGTTCTTAGGGTGCTGACTTGATGGAAATAGGTTGCTCGACAAGATTGCCAAGGATATCATGGTGTGCCAGAACAAGACGGTGACGAGGTGGGATGGTTCGATTGGCGAGTACAAGAACTTTTTGCGGAAGAAGATGCTTTCGAGTGGGAGTGTTTGAGGAGCCAGAGCCAGCTTGCAGCCCTAGCCTATGGGCTGTTCATGTGTATCCGCAGGCTTCGGCAGGCTTCGGACGGTGATGGTGGTGGCGGTAAAAGCACTTTGCAGTCGAGCAGAACCATGAACGGTGGCGAGTGCCGTGGCGGCGCCGGTGATTGCCTCCCCGTGACGCCCATGATTCTGCGCACGATGCATAACGGCGCGTGGGATGCATTGGAGGGGATAGACCTAAAGGCGTTTATGTAGACGAACTCCTGATGTGTAGCGCAGACTAACGGGCATGTGCATCAGTATCGCAATCGATTCCCTGTGATTTGTTGGTTTAAACATATCGTCACATTGTGAAGCGTGGTGTCGAAGCGTGGTCAGCTCGCGTTGTTGAAGGAGGTGGCGCGGGACAGCCGGTGACGGCCATCAGAAACGAAGAACAGACGTCGGAACACTCAGCACGGTATGATGTGCATTTGGTTACTATCTCAGGCTACCTTCCACTTGAGCGCCGTGCGCTTCGCTCGCGGTACTGTTCGTATGAGCACGCCATCTCCGCCCCAAGCATGCCATCTGAAGGCTCGCGTGCAATGGCACCGAAGATGGCCGCCACGTCGCATATCGCATGATCGATCGTAAGAAGTCATAAGCAATCAGCCCCTTCGCCCTAACGCCGCCATGCACCTGAGCTACCTCCGCATTCGTCCGCAAGATAGCATAGCACTCCGTACGAAGCGAAGATCACCGCCTAACGATCCTCAGCCCACTCGTTCTCGCGACGGATCTGCTCCTCCTCCTCCGGCGTGAAGTCGTTCTGGATATTGAACGTCTTCCGGATCTCCTCCGGCGACTTGCCCTTGATCATGTTCGCGACCGTCTTGCACCCCACATCAAGCAGAGCCTTGATGTCCATGTAGTTTGCCGCAAGGATGATCTCGAATAGCATTTCCTGATCGACTTGCATGAACTTCTGGTCCCAGTCCTCGATGTCTGTGGTCTTCTTGCGGGAGTCGGCGTCGTCGTCCTGGGTAGGCGCCGGGTCGTTCTTGTGGTGGGAGCACCATTCGAGGACTTTGCGGAGGACGGCTTCGGAGACCTGAGGTGAGGTGGGGTTAGGTGGGGTTGTGGATGAGTGGAAGGAGAGGGAAGGTGCCCATGTGACTTACGTTCATAATGGGGATTGGCTCCTCGCCGGGCGCACCCAGGTCCTCGATCATGTTTTTGATGAGCATGGAACGCTCGGCGACCTTGCGCTCTGTGAGGAAGAGGTGGTCAGTAAGCGAGTTGGTGATGGGTGGTGAGCAGTGATGGAGCTACCGGTGATGATCTCGACATTGTCAGAGCTGACCAGCTTGACTTGCTGCTCAGCTTCCGTGGCGGACATGGTGACGGTGTTTGAGAGTGGGGGGGTTTGTCGGTATCGATGGTAGACGGTTGGTGATAGTGTAAGAACGTTGTGTGTGCAAGTTGAGGAGTTGATCTTCGGTGGGAAGTCTTATGTGCGAGTTGCGGAGATTGTGGCTTATAACACTCGCTGCCTGTTTCGGAGAAGGTTTGGTTTCAGGCACAGTTTGCTGGATTTACCGTTTGCCGCAGTGAAGTGTGGATGCTGTTCGTGATGAAGGCATCCAAGACCCTGCAGGGCTTAGCGTCGTTATATTAGCGCGGTTGATTCATGTCTTCGTCTACCTTCACTGCACGGCCTCGATACGGACATGTAGGAACACGCAAATCGCGTCATTTATGTATGCTTCACCGCTATCGCAGTCAGCACACAGCGTCTTACAGTCATGTCGTGGAAAGCCATCGATGCTGCGAAGCGTGTCAAATACGGTTGGATGACTCAGCTTACAGGAGCGGTTGAGCACGTGACCTATGTACGCCGGAATATGCTCTCCAGTTCAAAGAATTTGGACGTTAGAAAGGGAAGGCCGAGTTGGCGAGACGGCACTTGGTCTTTGCTTATATATATACTGCGACAAGAACATATGCATCGAAGGTATTGCCCGGGTTCAGCGTTCAACGGGGGCTCTCCTGCGGAGATCTCAGCCCGCCCGGACCCATCATCTCGGCATGCCAACTGACAAACTTCATTGCCACCTTCGGCCATCTGCTCAGTCATGTGCAGCCTTTGTTCGCAAGTCCACCGTAACATCCATTTTGGCCCACAACCGACAACATCTTGGGTCTCGGTGGTCACCAGGAAGCTGTAAGATCCCATGCCATTGAGGAATACACAATATTCTCCCATGATGATTGCAACGCAGCCATGAAAGGCGAAAATCCAGAACAACGCTCACAGTGACGCTGATTAGCAGCAGTCCATGCGACCTTACCGTCACGAGGCTTCCTCGAGCTTATCATGACCAAACGTGGGAGTATCGGCACGCTTACCCGAGCTACATGCATCCTGAGCCGCTTCCTCCACCTCCGGCTAAATTAAAGATGTAGGTACCAAGCCACAGAGCCCCAAATGACACCTCCATGTTAAACCCGGTATCTGGGGTACAGGTAGGTCTGAATAATTGCTATAGGTTTGCTTCGTTTCGTCTCCGTTATAGCTTTTCCTTCACATCTTATCCCCTGATCGACCACAACCATGCCGTACATGAACGGTGACCAACACAGCCTGACCGAGGAGCAGAAGGAGTTCTTTCTCGAGCACGGCTACGTGAAGCTACCGCAATGCTTCACCCGCGAGCAATCGGATGCCTTCAGCTCCTCGATCTGGGCACGCTTGGGTGCCGATCCGAATGATAAGTCAACATGGCCGACCGAGAAGATCAACATGCCAGGCCATACGATCATCTCTTGTAAGGAGTTTGCGCCGAAGGCGTACGCCGGGATGTGCGAGCTGGTGGGTGGCGAAGACAGGATTGCTGATTTTTGCAAGGACTGGAAGGACGGGTTAGCTTGTGATCCTTGTAGTTTGTAGGCGATGTACGCTTCTGACACCAGTAGGTTCATCCCCAATTTCGGCAAGCCAGAGTATTCCGCAGATGAGGAGCTCGACTATCGGACACTGGACAATTGGCACAACGATGGCGACTGGTTTGTTCACTTCCTTGACAGCCCTGAGCAAGCGCTCCTGGTCATCCCGCTCTTCTCGGACATCAAGCCAAAGGGTGGCGGGACTGTGCTATGCACTGATGGCGTGGGTCTGGTAGCGAGACTTCTAGTGAGCACATTCCTTATTCCATAGCGCGGTCTGCATATACTGAGCAATGACAGTACGAACAAACAGACGGCACAACACCATCCCTGCTACCTCGCGACAGCCCAGAGTTACCGAAGGGCGACCCTGAACGCCGTAGAATCTGGAACAGTTGGGTTCGCGACCCCAGCCTGACGCGTGACGAGAGCTTCTGCGAAGCGGTTGGCGAAGTCGGCGACGTCTACCTACTGCATCCATTCATGCTGCATTCTGCTTCACGCAATCTGCGAAGAGAAATCCGCATCATAACTAACCCGCCCGTCTCGCTCAAGGAGCCCTTTGATTACAGTGGTGTGAACCCCAGTCTCGTCGAGCAGAAGACGCTGCGAGAGCTTGGGCACCCGGAGGGTATTCCGAACTGGAAGATCACGTCGCCACGGCAGCGACTTACGCCTGACAGGATACGAGTGAGTCTCGTGAGTATTCGAAGTTGTTGTAGTTGCTGACTTGATACTTTGCAGATCCAAGATGAGATGAAGCGGAAGGAGCTGGAGAGGTTGAAGGCTCAAGGCGTTGCCGTTACTGGTCTCGCTGGCGCAAAGGAGTTGGATAGCAGCACCTACCCTTCGTGATCACCGCGCTTGCAGTACATTTCGACAGATTGACGATCTTAGACCAAGCAACAAAGGTCCGCCTCGGCCCACTCCATGCGCCTGCTTTACCGATCATCTCAAATTCATAGCACGCTCATACGGTTCCGTCGATCCTACAATGACCAAGTAGCCAACGAGGTGAGAGTGTTGAGGGAGCCGGTCATTCTCCAGTGTCATGGATTCGGTATACAGCCACGGCGCGCTTTCAACACCTTTTTGTGGAGACGATGTCTTCAAATACGTGCATCAGCCGACTGATATGTGTAGATGTTACGGTTTGTACGTAAGTGCAGGCGGCAAACTGTCTATTCTTTCGAATGAATCAATCCGCAGCACGCAGCAAACTCCACGCAGCGCCATATCATGGCCCATATGCATCGTGCTGCCGGACTTATACGACACTCCACAACCACATCAAAGTCACCAGCAAGCATTTTCAACATGTGCATCCCATTCAAGCACAAACGCACTACACAACCCCACGAGCGACCACCGATGCATCGACAGCGGCCATAAGGCAAGGGGCATCAGCGTATGGACGAAGCGAAAGTGGCACAAGCAACACAGCAAATCCTAGAGCAGCAGGCAGGGGAACTGACTCGGGTAAGGCATGCAGTGGATGAGATGGTGCTTGAAGTGCGCGCTGGAGTCGAAACCGTTACCAAAAGGGAGCTATCACCATGTGCTCACACTTGAGGCGTGCTATTTCTTCCCTCTTAGCCAGACAGTAAGTGGATGATGCCTACGACCGACGGCGTCCATTGCTCGAGCAGCTGACCGCTACGTACTGTATACGATTCCTGAGGGAGGTTTTGTGGGCTATCAGGCGATCATCGTCCGTCCAGGGAAGCCGTTCCCATTGATTAAGCTGCCGAAAGAGGTTTGCGCTCGCTTGTATGGCTTTTACTTCGCTGCAAAAGGCTTCGCGGGCGCACCTAATGAGTTGGCTTAATAAGAGAGCGAACATAAGCGACGTCTGGGCTCAAGACTACGCTCAGGGCAGCAGGTTCCGCGTCGGACTCGTTGCAGCTAACAAAGAAGTGACTACCTTGCAAACGCCGCGTTTTGTGACCCGGTGCTACGTGCTGACCTCACTTGATAGATCCACCACGAAGCCAGTCAGACACTCTACGCAACCACTATGCGTTTCAAATCGACCGCCATCCTGCTGGACTTCTTGGTGCAAGTTCCAGCTTCCGTCGAGCGGCTACTCACATTACTTGAGGTGGAAACCTTGCAAAAAGCGCCAGCTCGTGTTGCTATGCTCGCGCTGGCTTATAAGGCGTATTCTATCACCACTCTACGCTTCGAGCACGGCGTGTTTATAGGCACACATCCGGCCGCCGCAGTCAAGGCATTCTATCCTTATGCCTGCAAGTTTCTTATCGCAACTGGGCAAGCGAAAGGTATAAAGGATGCCGCTGTTGACGTTCTCGACTTTGGCGTGTAAGCGCTGACTGACAAGGCTAATAACCGCCAGCTATAGAGCCAAGCGGATCGTGAGAAGTTCGTCCAGTTGCTTAGGAGCAAGGTGATGAAAGCACCTCTGCACGCTTCCTTCTTGATCTTGATAGAGAACAAGGACTACGACACTGATCACGTCCTAAAGGTTGACCATCGCACCGCCGCTGAACCCACTCGACTCATATTAATCTGTCCAGATATCCGACCGTATAGATAGCGCTGGAACGCCCCGGTTGGATCCTATCTATCAGCTGAAGCATCGCTTCGAGCCTTTTGTCTACTCGTGGATGCTCAATCCAGCTCGAGGACCTTCGTATCTAGGACTAGCGGTACCTAGTAACTCGTAAGACCTTCCTGTAACATAGCGAAGTTTCTAGATGCTCTCTCCTAGTTGTGCGACCTCCGGACAGGGTGGAAAACAGTGACATCGATTGCTGCTGACTCCGCGACTGGCGGTAGCTGCTTTCGAACAGCGTTTCCTTGCGCACGTGCTCCCCCGTACGTGAAATAGATTTTGAGCCAGCTACAGCTCGTCGGCAGGCTGACGGGTGCACGACGGGTGCAAACAGGTCGTGACATAGCGACGAAGTGCATCAAGCGGAGTTTGGACAAGTACAGACGCTACATTAAAGAGCTGTTTCGACACTTGAACGCCGCTTACTAACGTGCCACAGATGGGTTCCTTGTGGGTATAGTCGTATAGTACCTGAAAGTCCCGAATTGCGCCTTACGATCGAGAAGACGCGAGCGATCTAATCCAGGACTTGCGTCAAATGCGAGAATTGCGCATAAGGCCATCGGGGGGTCGCCACATATTTGCTCTGCAACGATCAGAAGCATGGCAGTCCTGGAAGGCTCTACGTTGCCGGCGTACGCCCGACGGCACTCCGCGCTGCTGCACCGTCACCGTATCTGTTCCCCTCGACGCTGACTGCAATCACAGCACAGATGGTGCTGTAGAGTAACGCCTCCCTGGCGCTGGCCCTAGGTTCATTATGGCTTGTCCTTCATACTGTATTTCGCGTCGGTGACTATAGGTTCAGTAGAGGGGACACATGAAGCTATCCCTGCCGCTATGTATCTCTCGCCCGCAAATCGAGAACAGAAGATTGACGAAATGAGTCGGTGATGGTTGGTGGACAGGTAGAAATTATCTACGCTAATTGCGCACACATATGGGAAAAGCTCGCGAGTAAGTGACAATGCTCAACCACGGTATGCGACTCACAATAACCTGCTCGATGATTGCAAGATGCCCAGAACCCGCAGCTCAGAGCTTGGTGCAGCTTGGTGCAGCTGCAGCCGCAGCCTTGGTCGTGTTGCCACAGCCTTAATCGTGTTGCCACAGCCTTAGTCGTGTCGCAACAATTTGCGCTCCTCTTCTTGATATTAGCTGTCGCCATTCCCTTGGCTCGCAGTTAGGATCCCCGACCGTCGGACGTTGCTGATAAGAGTCACGGTTTTGTCGGGAATGGCAGGCTTGGACGTCGCAGCCGGCGCAGTCGGCATCGCGTCTTTCGGCATTCAAGTCTGCCAAGGACTGCTTTCTTACTACAACGGCTGGAAGGATTACAAGTCGGACATCAGTAGTGCCTACGATGCGATCGCAGATTTGAGCAAAACGTTGGGTTTGCTGAAAGGCTCCCTAGAGCGAGAAAGATTAGATGACGAGAGATCGGAGCGGGTCAAGACGTGCTTGCGATCTTGCGAAGATGGTCTGAGGAAGCTGTCCGCAAAGCTGCAAGAGCTGCGGAAACATGGCACACCTAGAGGGGTGCGACAGAAGATTCTGTCGGAAGCGCAACGAATGTTGTATCCATTCCGAGCAGAGACACTTTTGAAGTTGCGCCAAGATGTCGAAGGCATTCAGGAACGCCTCAAGCTAGCGATTCAAGTCTTACAGCTCGACACGAACATAGCGATCCTGGCCGTTCAGCAGTCTGAGCAGTTTAGGAGGATGATCGATTGGCTCTCGCCACCAGATCCGTGGACAAACCATCACTCGGCCCGCCAACGGCATGAACCCAATACGGGCGAGTGGCTGCTTCAATGTGATCAGTATCGGGGGTGGAAAGCCGGCGCTGTCAGACACGTGTGGATGCACGGGAAAGCCGGTTGCGGCAAGACCGTACTCTGCTCTACCGCTGTTGAGGACATCCAGTCGCACTGTCAGGCGGCGGCTAACGCTGGATGCGCGGTGTTCTACTTTTCGTTCTCGGACGATCGAAAGCAATCCTACGAGAACCTCCTGCGCTCGCTGATTGCGCAGCTCGGGTGGAAAGAGCCTGGCCTGTCCATGCTCCGCCAAGCGTATGATAAGCAGAATCGAAGCGTGCCAGGTGTAGATGAGCTGGAGAGGATCCTGAGCTCTTCGGTGAGCGCGTTTGACGATGTGTTCGTGTTACTGGACGCACTCGACGAATGTCCCGAGAGTGGCGATCTGCGCCAAGATATGTTGGTGAAAGTCGAGAAGATCACGCAAGAGTCAACCAGAATAAAGATCTTCGCAACGAGTCGTGAATCGGGTGATATACGCGATTCCATGGACACGATACGTGCTAAACGGATAGACATCGCCACAAGCGCTGTGGATGCGGACATCAGGCAGTACGTGACCAGCCAGTTAGCAAGTGATCGACGTCTCGCCGGGCTAGGTTCGGCATCCAAGGCAGCGATCGAGACGACGATTATGGAGAGGTCCGATGGGATGTGAGTCGCTTCGTGTTGCACCGTATTGGTCCAACCCAAAACGGTTTTAACCATGTTCCAGGTTCAAATGGGCGTCCTGTCAGCTGCAGGAGCTGAAAAAGCTCAAAGGCTCTCGGCCCAGTCACATAGCGAAGGCATTGCATGACCTACCAGCCACACTCGATGAGACCTATACGCGCATGCTCACTGGGATCGAAGACCGATATCGTTCAGACGCACTAACGTGCCTGCGCTGGCTCGCATATGCTCGGTCGCCCCCAACCCTGAGCCAGCTGGTGGATGCTGTCATCACTGACTGTGAGAGAGTACAGGTAGATTTTGATGACCGGGGGAGTTTGGAAGACCCGCTCAATATTCTTTCTGGGCTCATCATGATCATCCGAGGCGGGAACGACGACGAAGACGGCGAACATGCACAGTCTGACGATGTGGTCGGCGAGGACGACGATGGCGGCCTTGGTTACGACGCTCGGCGACTGAAACCGGATACTCGTGTCCGACTCGCTCACTTCTCGGTGAAGGAGTTCCTTGAATCGGAACGGATACTCGAAAGCCATGCCAAAAGCTTCCATCTTCAGCCCAGTCTTGGACATCATTTCATTGCGCAATGCTGTTTGACGTATATGGCCCAATACAGCAAGTGCAACAATAAGAAATCAACTAAGGAAGACCTCGACGTATTCCCATTGGTCCAGTACGCGGCCGAATCTTGGTACTACCATTCATCGCTGCAACGTAGTGAAGAGTGCAGTCTGGAGTGCTACATTCTCACTACGGATGAGGTCTTGCAAGACTGGCTCAGCATTCATCAGCCGGATCGATCTTGGGAGCCGCCATTTTCAGCCGACGCAGGCAACGACACTAACAAAGGCTTATACTATGCCAGCTTTGTTGGACTGCAGGTCGCTGCGGCGTTGTTGCTCGATAAAGGAGCGGATGTTAACGCGCAGGGAGGCCGATACGGCAACGCATTGCAAGCAGTATCATTTAAAGGTCAGGCAGAGATTGTACGGATACTGCTAGACAAAGGAGCGGAGATTGACGCGCAGGGAGGCTGGTACGGCAACGCATTGCACGCAGTATCAACTGAAGGTTACGCAGAGATTGTACGGATACTGCTAGACAAAGGAGCAGATATTAACGCGCAGGGAGGCCGATACGGCAACGCATTGCAAGCAGCATCATTTAAAGGTCAGGCAGAGATTGTACGGATACTGCTAGACAAAGGAGCGGAGATTAACGCGCAGGGAGGCTGGTACGGCAATGCATTGCACGCAGCATCAACTGGAGGTTACGCAGAGATTGTACGGATGCTGCTAGACAAAGGAGCAGATATTAACGCGCAGGGAGGCCAGTACGGCAACGCATTGCAGGCAGCATCATTTGAAGGTTACAAAGAGATTGTGCAGATGCTGCTCGATAAAGGAGCGGATGTTAACGCGCAGGGGGGCGAGTTCGGCAATGCATTGCAGGCAGCATTATTTCAAGGTAACGTAGAGATTGTGCGGATATTACTAGACAAAGGAGCGGATATTAACGTGCAGGGGGGCGAGTACGGCAACGTATTGCAGGCAGCATCATTTGAGTATAACGCAGAGATTATACGGATATTACTAGACAAAGGAGCGGATATCAATATATAGGGAGGCTTCTACAGTAACGCATTATAGGCAGTATTAATTAGAGTTAATACAGAGACTATGCGGATATTACTAGACAAAGAAGCGGATATTAACGCATAAGGAGGTACGTACGGCAACATATTGCAGGCAGTATTATCTAGAGGTTATAAAGATACTATATAGGTATTACTCGATAAAGGAGTAGATATTAATATATAGGGAGGCTTCTACAGTAACGTATTGCAAGCAGTATTAGTTATAGGTAAGGCAGAGATTGTACGGATACTGCTAGACAAAGGAGCGGATATTAACGCGTAGGGAGGCAACTTCGGTAACGCATTGCAGGGAGCATTACAGAAAGGTCAGGCAGATCGTGCGGATGCTGTTAGACAAAGGCGCTGTCTGATGTCGTTTAATACATAAGCAATGGGCTGTGTACGTAGCATTACCTACGTTTGGCAATCGGGCACTATGCATCAGTGCCCGCATTTTTAGTGGCGGATTTCAGGCGGGATAGGTTTTGCGCCTTATTGTGTCTCTTTGCAGCAGCCGCGCCTTAAAAATTTCCTGCAGACTTGTCCGGAAGATGTACCTTAGCCGCACGTGATCGCCAGAGGCACACAACTCTGGCACATGCCCCACGACGCGCCAGTTGCTTGTCCGCATCCTCTGTGTTATGCACAGCTGCAACACAAACAGCACCTGCAGCGACACATGCAGGACTGTCATAGCACAGGCTTTCAACGTCGACTAACCCACGCATCAACTGACCACCGTCCTTTCGCGCAAGCCTTCCATCTGATTCGCGATACCATCGCCCTCCGCTCCTTCATGGTCAAAGGTCAACCACCATCGATGTTGGCGGCAAATACTCTGAAACAGGGGGAGTGAGGTCGCGCCGCAGATCGGTCGTCCTCAGTGTAGCGACTGCCCGATGGTACTGTCTTCCTGGAAAGCGAATGTCTTACCTTGTGCGCGCCCTTGCATGGCCGCATGCGGGATCGTGTTGCCACGACGCGGTACCGCTCGCTCGCGTCCTCCTTCTGCTTACGAAACTCCCACATGACGCATACCACATCTCCGCCTTCTGCTGCCGCGCTCGCTAGTCCTAGTGGAAGGGTTAACGGCAGCATTGCTCGTGAAGTACTCGACCTCTACATCACCTTTCCACTTTCTTCGATGGACTGACAGGTTCAGACGCACAAGCCCTAGACGACCGCCTAAGCGAAACGGCCTCGCGCTGAAACAGGAGGTCACGAGCCGGCTCGGCCTCTCTATGGCGGATCGTGAAAGTATATGGCACCGCCATCTCTTCCTTTGATCTTATGCACCAAGGTGCAATGCACTGCGCCAGTCTCAAGGGCAGCTCGCCGCGCCACGGCATAGCTGTGCCGCCGAATTCCATCAGGCGCTGGTCCGGGAGCAGGTCGAAATTCTTGTGGAGAAGAACAATTCAGTAGTCATCCCACTTGTTGTACTCTGCAAAGACGGGCTTTACCGACTGAAACGCTAATGATATGCGCGAGGGAACGCGCCAACGTGACGAGGCGATTCGCGAACTGGAGGAAGTCAGCCGCCGATTTGAAGACGACCGGCGTAGGTACGAAGAAGAGAGGCGCCAAGTGAAGGAGGAGTTGTGTCCGTTGGTGGAGTGAGGCGGCCAGCAGAGGAGGCGACCATGCATGAACAGGCGCAGGAAGAAGCGAGGGTAGTTGACAGCTCTCCAGGCGGGCCGCATTGAGGAAGATTCCGAAGCAGCTGATATGGAAGAGGCAGGCAGATATCGACGGACAATGCACTATAGAGCTGTAGGGTGAGGTATGTCAGCCTTCGTGCTACCCACGCTATGCTCGGGCTACCGCGCCAGAACGCCTCGCTTGTGGAGAAGCAACAATCGACCGTCCCAACATGCATGCACCGCCATGATCGCTTTTTGATGCTCATATCCTAGCTCATTCTGTCATCGTGCGCACGAGTCTCACGCCGATACTGTGTTATTCATTCTCCATTCTCCTCGCCGACTCTCGTAGTCAACCACGCAGCCACAAGCGCGGCCAACCCTCCAAACCTCAGCACCCATGCTGTGCTATTGTCCCCACCTTGATCTCTTCCCCTCTGCAACGCCTTGAAGATCACACTACTCACCAGCGTAGCGATGACCTGTGGCGCCGCAATCGCCACGTTGTGTATACCCAACACGACACCGGCTTGATCCGCCCCTTCGCTGTCATCCTCGCCACTTGCAAGCATCTCGCCTTCCTCCGTGGGTGGTGGCGGGATGAGGCCACGACGAATGCTGTCGCGCTTAGCGATCTCTGCCGCTATCAGAGCGAAAGGCGCCCAGTTCGTCATGGCCCACGGTATGCCGATCAAGGCGGTCAGGACCGTAGCGCCGGTGACATCGCGGACGACAAAGGTGAGCCAGGTGAAGAGTGTGAAGAGGATGTGGGAGAGCAACCAGGCGCGCCTGAGTGTGAGGCCTGGTACTCCGATTGATGCAAATTTGCGGAAGAAGCGCACGACGGGGTTGCGAGGCGGAGCAGAAGCACCGAAATAATCGTCTTGTTCATCCATCTCGCGCGCCCGATATGCAAAGTAGCCACCACTAGCGGCTGAAGCTGGGCCCGGGGTGTGCGGCGTCATGGGCTTACCAGGGTGCCGGAAGCCGGGCGTGCCTGGTGTTTTGGGGCCAGGCGTCAACGGTGTTCTACCTCCTCCAGGCGTTTTGTCCGGGATGCGATATGTGCTGGTGATCATGAATGGCAGGACGACGCTCGCCGCGAAGGTGGTGAGCGCAAATATGAGAAGAGCTCTGGTACCCATGCGCGTGCCAAGCTCCCATACACGCTCGGCTTCCTCGTCACTCATGTGAGGGTTCCGTTCGTAGATGGGCTGGGTGTACATTTCGCCAATGTAAGTAGTGATGTAGAAAAGGAATGGAAACCAGCCTATCCAGGCAAAGAACTGCACTTGGCAGACTCTGCTGATTTGAGTCGGCAGTTTGCGCATGGAGCGCCCGAGATCGGAGAAGAAGGTGAGGACGCCACCTTCTTGCTTCTCAGGTTCGCCATCCAGATTTGGGTCCCTCTCGCCGATGGAAATGCAGGAGATGGCAAGTGTGATAATCATCGCAATCGAAGCGACCACGCACAAGACCTTGAACTGCGTGTCACCGAAGAACCAGAAGTACTTGGGTAGATTGAGGTAGCCAAACAAATAGCCAATAATGTTGCCACCGCCGCTCATCCTCGAGGCCCAAGCATTGGCGCTGTCTTGCTGATGTGCTGGTGCATTATCAACAATGTACGCTCGGATAGCGGCCTGGATCACGTTGATAGAGAAGTCAAGGATGTAGATCATAAGCACGGCGAAGACGATAGGTCCAGTAAACATTGCTTGCGAATCTTCAGGAACCCCACAAGCACGCAGGATACCGCCGATGAGCTCTCGAGTCCAGGCCAAGGCCATCAGAGATAGTATGGTGGCGACTGCGCCTCCCACCATGAATGGTCGCCTTCTGCCGAAGCGTGACCGGCAGCGGTCAGATTGAATGCCAACGTAAGGTTGTACTAACGTGCCAGAAAGCGGTCCAGCAATCCAGACGAACGCCAGTACGGACTTTGACACGCCAAGACCAAGCAAATACGGCGAACCGTTGGACAGTTCGACAGACCATGCTATTTGGAGACTGTAACAATGTGAGTAGGCGGCTGAGACGTGATCCGGAAAATGCACTCACCCTCCAATGGCCAGAGTAAGCAGGAATAAGTACCATGTGCTCCTCGTCTCCTGCAACGCCCTTTAGTATCAAGTCTCTGTGGTATTGCGGGTGAGAGTCCCTCTCAACCGCCCAAGCAACGTACATCTTCGTCTCCAGATGTGTGCGAACCCAACAATGCCGAGCGCTCACTCATGATATCATCACTCTTCGCCGAGAGTGCACTTCTGCCTCCTGCGGAAGGAGGTCGACCGTTCAGGTCTACAGGCCTGCTTGCACTGCCAAAGGAAGGTCGAGGGTCGCGCAGGAAGGAGACCGTCTTGGGAGGTCTTGGTGCACCATCTCTTCGGGCGGCTAGACCTCGTCCGGCAGACGGCGAAGTGTCCGGGGCGGCGGACGGAGAGTTATCCATGTTGACTGGTATTATATACACTTCGCTTGTACTGGTCTTGAGCTCGCACCAGGGAACAAAGTATGCTGCAGTCAAGATCGGTGACCGCTCAGCATCAGGATGGGTGCTAGCAGGGCAAGCACCAAAGATGTGCTCAGCACTCCTGGCAGGGAGATGCTCTGGAAGGGTAGATGTAGCGGTATAGTAGGGTCGGAGATGTGGTCAGAAGAGTTGGACAGCGATGCGCGGTCACGCAGAATCTTTTAGCTTCCAGATCGACCGCTGCCGCCTCAATTGATGTGCACGTGTCTTCCTTCTCCGCTCCCGAAGAAGTCTGTCGCCCCTCTGTTACAGTGACAACTTGGCACTTGTAGGGGTTGATGTATGCTAGGTCCTTTAGGTGCAGCAATCCAGCGCGAACACCAGCACGGCACGACGGCCTCAATGCACGCACACGAGTAAGTCGGGCCAGACTGTTTTCGTTCGCTTACATGCAACCGTGACGTCGGGCAATGGGGGTCAAACGCACGGAGCGTACGGGGAGCGTTGCGCCATCTCGGCCATCCGCCGGCATGAGCCTAACGCCGCCACCTACGGCGAACCAACAGTGCCACGTGACTGTGCTTTCTGCATGTACGGATCATGCCGTTAGCTCTCGAGGCTGCAGGCTACCAATGTGGCTTCGAGGACGAAGGATACATGTATTATTGCGTGAAGTATGCAAACGCATCTCGATCACGCTGTTCCCGTCACCACAGCAGGACAACAGAGACTACTGCAAGGCAGTCCCGCAAAAATATAGTGGTGTTGTGCGAACCGCAGCTCGCTACATTGTCTTTCTTGATACCCAGGCAACACTGGCTACACTCCTCGGTGGCATTCAAGTACAGATTGCACAGTGGTAGCATGCAATAACGGTCATTACCCGCCCAGCATGGGTTTCCACCAATACCTCGCCCGCACCGCCCTTCAACTGGCTGCGCGCCAGACGAGCGATTCAGACGACAGTGAAGATGCCGAACCAGGACAGAAGGAGATATACGCTTCATGGGCGCTGCTCATTCTCATCGTCCTGCTTATCGTAGCTTTCTTCACCAGCTATGTGTTGCAGTCGAAACGGATACAGGCGGTCCATGAGACGGTCATATCAATCTTCGCGGGCATGGTGATAGGGTTGATATTACGGTTAACGGCTGTAACGAGTGTTCTGGACGCCGTGAGCTTCAACTATCAGTTCTTCTTCAACTTGCTGTTACCTCCCATCATCTTGGCCAGTGGATATGAGCTCCATCAGGTAAGATTTGGCGAATTAGGCTGCGAAGCTCGCCAACGCTTACAACACTGCAGGCTAATTTCTTCCGGAATATCGGCACCATTCTGACATTTGCTTTTGCTGGTACGCTAATATCCGCGTTTGTGCTCGGCGTCATACAATGGATATGGACCAAGATAGTGCCGCTGGAGGGGCTGGATCTCTCATTCGTCGACGCCATGTCCGTAGGCGCAACGCTCTCTGCGACCGATCCTGTCACGATTCTGGCAATCTTCAACACCTATAAGGTCGATCCGAAGCTGTACACCATCATCTTCGGCGAGTCGATTCTCAATGATGCCATCGCAATCGTAATGTTCGAGACGGCGCAAGCATACCGTGCCGGAGCTACTGCCGGCAAGCTTACCGTCCTCAGCCTGTTCGAATCCATGGGCCTGTTCTTGGGTGTCTTCTGCGGCTCCCTGGTGATTGGTCTGGCGATCGGCATTGCGACGAGTCTGCTTCTCAAGTACACCCACTTGAGGCGAGAGTCAAAAATCGAGAGCTGCATTATCATACTGATCGCTTACTTGTCATACTTCCTGGCGAATGCAGTGCATATGAGTGGTAAGTGAACCATCCTGACAGCGACATCACCGTAGGCTAATGAGATCACGGTAGGCATCGTGTCTTTACTGTTCTGCGGGATTTGCCTAAAACACTACGCCTACCACAATATGTCTCGCCGCACACAGCTTACAACGAAGTTCACTTTCTCCGTCACGGCACAGCTATCAGAGAATTTCATCTTCATTTATTTAGGCCTCTCGCTCTTTACAGAGGCTGGGCTGGAGTACAAGCCGCTTTTCATTCTGATCACCGTCATCGGCATTTGCGTAGCGAGATGGTGCGCCGTCTTTCCGCTCAGCGCTGCTGTCAACTGGTTCATCCGCTACCGCGCGAGGCGGAGAGGTCAGGAAGTTGCGGAAGAGATTCCATCAAACTGGAAAATGATGCTGTACTGGGCTGGTCTTCGTGGAGCGGTTGGCGTGGCGCTCGCTGCTGGTCTGACCGGTCCGAATGCGTTTGCGCTCAAAGCCACTGTACTCGTTGTGGTCGTGCTCACAGTGATCATCTTCGGTGGCACTACGGCTCGCATGCTTGAGATTCTCAACATACGGACTGGTGTTGTGGAAGAGATCGACAGTGACGACGAATTCGACATCGAGCCTATCCGCCACCAGAATGGTTCGTACGCTCGCAAGAACGGCACCGCCTTTGGACACTCGCCCAAAGTGAGTGGGGTAAACGGCGCAATTGGTCTCGACCATTTCAAGGACAACACACGTGATGGTGCCCAAAGCACGTATAGCACCGGCAGTACGAACGGAAGCCCTCCCATCGAACCGAATTTTAGCCGCCGCAATAGCTCACGCAACCGGAACGATCTTCAGAACACCGCAGAGCAAGGCCTGCTTGACCCAGATGAGTTCAGCCAGGTCAATAGCGACGATGATGACCTTGGACTCCCCCCTTCAGCGCGGAGGTCGCCGGCAGCGCGACCGGTCAACCCCGAGGCAGATACGAACAACCCCTATCCGATGTCAGGGTCGAGGCCGGAGACTGGTACACCACAGCCGATCGGCGCACGAGCGGCACTGAGTCAGATACTGAATGCGACCACGGAGGATGCGGGAAATCTGTTCAACAAGCTGGATGAGAACTTTCTGAAGCCGCATCTGCTGCTGGATCCCGGCGGTGCGTCAAAGCATGGCGGAAGCAGCTAGGACGGCTTCGGGTTGATTTGCCTTTTCGGGAGCGGGCGGTGTCTGGCGTTCTGAGATAGACCGGAATACAAAAGAAATGCTTGTGGAAGAATGTACGCTAAGACATGGAGATAAGTACTATACTGCCGGAACTCCATAAGGTTTAGAGTTCAAGCACGTGAACTACACACTGCGCTCAAGTGAAGACGCTGCTCCAATCCTCTCGCTTTATCCAATCCTCTACCTTCGTCAACTTCCCGACTTCAACGCCCACATCCTTCGGATGCTTGACAGCTGGATCGCCACCGTCCCATCCATATCTCGTCACGTACTGTCCACTTTCACCTATCTCGAGTGCTAGAAAATCAGGGACGCCGTTGGCTTTGAGACTGTCAGTGTTGATACTTTCGAACTTCGCCTGCACACCCAGCGCTTTGCCCCACAGCTGAGTGTACTGCTCGGCTGTCATAAGCTCGCAATAGCCTAGCATGTCAATGCCGGCGTGCGGGGCCTGCACGAGGGCTTTGACAAAGTAGCCGGTATCGTTCGGCGGATCGACATACGGGATCGGTTTACCATCTGGGATAGCCATGTGGCGGTAAATGTAAGAGCCGTCCTCAAGCTTCTGCGGCGCAAAGAATGGGTTCATGCGCCAATTAGAAAGGTAGTAGCCCATTTGCACGTAACTCGTCCGATGAGCTAGCTCGAGGTACGTGTCCTTCAGGTACTGCGTATACTTTGCTTTGCCGTCAAAGTGGAGGTTCCACTTGATCTTCCCGTTGGACCACTTCTCGCTGTCGCTGAGGGTGGAGACGACGAGCCGCTCGAGCGTAGCGAGGTGCTTGGACGCGGCTACGATGATGTTCTTGCCTTGCTGTATCTCGCGATCCATGGCTATCTGATTAGGTAGGCGTCCCTCCTTCTCCGCCTGAGCAAAGGTGGATGGGTCGTCCATGAACTGCCAGAAGTCGGTTACTGCGAAGATGGCGGTGGCGCCTTTGAAGGCTTGGTCGAGGGTGGTTGGGTCATCCAGGTCGCCTGCGATGAGCTCGATGCCGGCATCACGAAGAGAAGCGCTGGAGGATTTGGATGGGTCGCGGGTGACGCCTCGAATGCGCCAGTCTGGCAGAGCTTGGAATACTCGAGCTACAGATCCTCCTTGCTGGCCTGTGATGCCTAGGATGACGATGAGTTTGGTAGCCATTCTTGCAGAAGGTGAGGTGAAAGTGCAAGCTGACAAACGGGAGACAGTAAGAAGAGCTTGCCCTAGTTTTCTACTTCTAACTCAAAGCACTTTCTGTCCTATGGATCACGAATTCATCTTTGCAGTATGCTTGTGGTGCATAATCCGCATAGCTGAGTAATGAGTGTATCTATGGTGGACAGTGCGTGCGGAGCCATCGTTGTACCGCGTGCCGCATTCGCTAATGGTACGAGGTCATCGGCGCAATTGGACCATCTGTTTCATGGGGCGGCATATGGATCGGAGGAGGTGGATGGACGTTTCATTTGTCAGCAGCAACATCAGTATCAGATCTTAGCCTTAGGCTTCAAGGCCACAAGAAAACTGGCCCAAAAGCTTCCAAGTGCCCTGTACCTGGAACGAGCCTACCCTACCGGACCTGCGATGAAAGGCAAAGGCATTCGTAACACGACTGCGTGGCTGACGCTTCGGTTTGGTACAGCTGATATCTTGCTAGCATCAAGCACGATACTGCATTACGAGTGAGTTCAGAGCAGAAGTACTCTTCTACGACTGGTAGTCGTACGTGAGCAATACTATCACTCTGCAGACTTCTCAAGGCCGTGTTCTACCGAGCAGCCAGCGCGACCGTCATCACTACAAGGCCAACGAGCTCATGCCAAAGCCAGCTAATGTCTGCTGCAATATGACCGGATGACGCTCCTGCCAGTTGAACGCTCGATGGTGTGCTCGCTGACGTAGACGTAGATGTTCGTGAGCTTGTGGAGGGGGTCGAAGTAGTCGAGATGCTCGAACGGCTGGAGGGTGTTGTGTACTGCGTCGTGGAGCTGTACTGGTTCGCTGCAGTACTCGTGGAGCTGTATTGCGTCGAAGGTGTGTATACTGAAGACGGACTAACCGCCAACGCCAACGTCGCTGTAGTCGAAGAAGAGTACACCGCTGTCGTTGCCCTGGAAGCAGTCGAAGAAGAGTACACCGCTGTCGTTGCCCTGGAAGCAGTCGAGCCAGAGCCGGTGCAGGTCTGCCCGTTGGGACAGCATCCCTCAGTCCCATCAGACCTAGTGAAGCAGAACTTTCCAGGGCTGCAACTCCCGAGCTGGCTGGGACAGCATTGCTCGTCCAGATCTATGCAGCCCGTACCGCACTCTTTCTGGCCTTGTGCTGCGCAAGAATACGTGGAGCCGGTGCAAGTCTGGCCGTTGAGACAGCAGCCGCCACCCGCAACGCAATACTGACCTGCCGGACAGTATCGCCCATCGGAGCAGCACGAGCTACCAACGGTGATGCAGCCTGAGCCGCACTGTACCCGACGTGCGGCGCAGCTGACAGCGCCTGTCGCCGCAGCAGCAGAAGACTGAGCGGCCGAGGAAGCGCTTTGAGCTGGAATAGTTGGCGAGGTCGACGTACGGACCGCGGTTGATGCTCCTCCAGTAAGCGTGGCGCTGTCTGTGTAGGTTGTGATCACGCTTCCGGGTGGACTTAGATAGCAACCCCAGGCGCCCGTAAAGAGTCCATAAATCGGCTGGTAGCAGCCAGCGAGTCCCACGGTGCTGCACTGAGCGAGCGATCGCAGTTAGCCAAGTAGCTCGTGCTAGACCAACCGCAGCGAACGTACGCAAGAGCCGCAAGACGCGTAGTACCCGGAGCCTGCCGGACAGTTCTGTCTATGCTCGAGTTTGGAGGCTAATGTCAACACTACGATCTCAGGCACAAGCGCCAAAAGCGCGAAAGATGCGAGCATTCCTGTAATCGAAGTTCCGTGTTGCGAGGCTCGAGGTCTTTCTTTTGCGTGAGTGAGAAATGAGACGGGACAAAGCAGCGAGGGAAGGAGAATGGCTTAACTGCTCGAACGACAAGTACATTAGGGGGTCTGGGCGCGCCATTGGAAACTGAGAGCTACATGGAACGCACTCGCCGCCACCAATGCTGCTGCCAAGTAGACGGGGCGGCTCAAGGTGAAGTTGTGTGACCGCGTGATGCGGAGAAGGAGACTTGACTTTGTATCCGACATGCTGAAGTCTGGCCTAGAGTGCAGCGAACTAAACGCTATAGCGTGGAAGTAAGATGAGCTCTCGGTTCTTATTCTTCGTTCGACCGAGGTGAACCCGAGTACGTACAGCAGGAAGCAGCAGATCTGGTGTTGCCTAAGGTGTCAATGCCACCAGCACTGACATCAGCCCTGCGCCACTTTCCGCGAACGCTTCGCCCCGCCAACCCACCCGTTGCGCAGTTGAAGCTTTTCAACAACGAAGCAAAGCAAAGCAGCTGCCTGCGAGTCAACACATACGACGCTTACCCTACCCGACCTAACTGACTGCCTGCACCTGAGTGTATTCGAAAAGGTACCACCTCTGGCTGTCATCACTTGCGATACACCTGCTCATAAACTTATCGTTTAAAGAAAGAACAGCAGCCACATTGTGAGAGCATATCAATACGCCGCCAGCACCGCTACCGCGAACATGGCGCAGTCCGGCGTCTCTGTCGCTCCAGAGTGTATCCAGGCCTTCAATGACCTGAAGCTTGGCAAGTCAACGAAATGGATTATCTACAAGCTTTCCGACGACTACAAGGAGATTGTGGTGGAGGAGAAGTCAACCGACGGAGACTATGAGAAGTTCCGAGAAAAGCTGATGCATGCCAAGAGCAAGAACAAGCGAGGCGAAGAGGGTATTGGTGGCCGATACGCAGTCTTCGACTTTGAGTACGAGGCACCTGGTGGTGAGGGCAAGCGGAACAAGATCACATTCATCAGCTGGGTACCAGATGAGGCGCCGCAATACGTATGCTAAACCTCCAGAGCGAAGAAAGTAAGGCATGGTAAACTCTAGGCTGACCATGTGCAACCAGCCTCGCATGATGTACTCGTCCTCGAAAGAAGCATTGAAGCGAGCGCTTAATGGGCTGGCCTCCGATGTTCAAGCCAACGAGCCGGAAGACATTGAGTACGATGCTATCCTGTCGAAGGTGGCCAAGGGTCGCTAGGAGCAGTTGAGCGGACACGCGGTTGATGCAGCGCCGCATGAGCAGATTCACAGCAAACATCACGTGACGTAATCGAGCAGATGGCCGCGACGACGAGTACCGAAACTTAGCGCGCGAGACTGATCGGCGAGGCGCGTGAGCATGCTTGAGCAGCATGAGATTGGCTGCTCGCCGTTCAGAGTCGCAACCTTGAAAAAGCTTCCTATAGATAACAAGCTACGTTGAAACTCCTTGGCCTATGAAGACCCGCACTTCTTACCTTTGTATGCTTTTCAGCATTTCGAATGCTGACATACATCACAACTTTGGTAGTGCTATAATATCTGGACCCACAACCTTTGCACACCCACATAAGATGCCGCTTTGGTCTTTCGTGTGGTCTACGCCACCCTTCTGTTCTGTCCATCTATCACCGTTCCATCTAAGAGGCCATCCTGCAGATTCGGTACTCGCTGACACTGGTCAATTCTTGAATACGCACGTTGCAAAACACAATCTGCCAATCATCAGCTACTGTGGAGACGAGGCGCCAGGCAGCATTACGGTTTCGAAATTGCCAGCCGGTGCGCAAGCCTCTGAGCATAGTCAACATACTCCTTGTCATCCTTACCGGTATTCGCAAAGTCGTCCTGACGCATGCCAGATGGTCGACACTTCTACAAGCTGTTCCCTGCAAGCTGCTTCGTACGGTTCCAGATCGTCTACCTTTACGGGCAAGTTGCAGTTCGCTTGTCATGGCCTCGCATAGCATACGCGACGAGGGTAGCCCGAAGCCTCGCGTAGCCTCTCACATGAACCAGCGGAGCAGGCTACAGCCACAGACCGGGCAGCGGACCACTCTAGCTGTCACCCACGACATAAACAACACCAAGCACGGATTAGTGCAATCCCGCCTAACAAAGTCATCCCGTCTCGAGCCACGCATGCCGAATTCAAGGATTTCCACTCCGAACTGTGAGGCGCGCCCTTCGAGCAGGACGCGTACATACAGCTGTCGCCCACTAGAGCGGCTAGCAGAGGAAGTCGATGAGCCTGAGCTTGTTACGCGGCGTACTGAGGTCGGCGGTCTTCACAATAATCAGGTCGAATCCAACGAGATAGATCGTATGAAAGAGAGGCAGCGCGCACAACTTAAGATGATCGGGGCGCTTCCGCCCCAAACAGCCGCGCCGCTTCGATCCGCTCGACAAAGCAGGAGACATCAAAGGCTAAGTCGTCCTCAGCAATCCATTCTACCTCTATTGGGTCAACAACATTCGCGCCAGAGCGTAAGAGAGTGCGGCAGTCACCAGTCGGTCAATACCAACGCTCACGCTTCACCGAGTCGACACCACTCAAATGGCGAAGATGCATCGCATACCCCAGCGGCTGTGCACTCGTCGCAGTCGGGTAAGGACAAGCTGCTGCCACCTGATCCACCAATATCACAACCGGCTACGCCGCATGATGACGATGCAGTACCAGCCATGCATAAGATGCACAAGCTATCGTATATACAAGGTCAACAGTCTGCATCTTGCAACGCTGCCATCTCCGGACATTGCACAAGCGATAGCTCAGCGGCGACAGAGCCGGTAAGCGCCTTTCACGATCTTGCCACATACTACACGACAATGCCCAGCATGCTGCCATTCTACCACAGAATCGCAGGACTCCCGCGCTTGCAGATTCCACTGCCAGAGGGTGGGCAAGCCTCATTAGCACCTGTTCAGCATATCCCATGGTATGCACACGCCCAAGATGACAACACTTGGCACGACAGTCCCAGTGTGGGCAGCAGACACTACGAGCCTGTCACAACCAACAATAATAGGCCGCGTGTTCGGAGCTCCCACAGTACGCCGTCCACGCTAGCTCTTATGGAGCCGGCGTCATCAGCGAAAATGCAACGACGAGCTACAAGTCCCGTCAATAGAAACACAGCGATTGATATGCTTCACTCCAACGCACAGGATGTCGCTCGGTTTAGCCTCCGTCAGGGATCCATCTTTCCAAGCATCAGCTCTGTACTCAGCCTACATTCTTCCACGCCAGGCGCAGATAGCGACTTTACGCGCACGAGCTTTACCCGCAGAGAGGGCGGAAGTCCAGGAGAAGCACGCAGATTGTCGTACTCTTCATCGTCGAGAGGAACGCCGTCATCGGGACGTTCACACCGGACCCGTAGCGACGGCGCGCCAAGCAGGAACAACAGCGCCATAGGGACACCGGCGCGCTACCATCGGCCATCTATATCAGGACGGAGCACAACGGACCTTCAATGTCGTACTTCGTCGCAGCTGTCCGGCAGTATCAGATCCTTCAGCATTGTCGAGGACACAAGAGTGCTGCCTGCTTTCAACAGTCCGAAGAGGTATCGTAATGGCTCTATCAGCAGCCATGATTACGGCATGATAGGAAGGCCCGTGGTGGTGAACGGTTCAATCAATGGTTCAGTCAACTCAGCCTCCCTGGCAGACGACGTGGAACGCGAGCAAGCTGCAGAACACGATGAGAACAGGCATCCTGTATCACTACCGCCGCATTCGTTTGGTGGAGAAGCGTCACCGGCAGGCAATGGCGCGGTCGAGGTCGACGATCTTGCGACTTCACATAAACCGTCCCTGGTCTACACCGCAAACGACCCGAGCCGCTGTCCAGAAAACTGCGACTGCGAGGGGTGCTACACCAGCTTTGTCCGACGGCAATTTGCAAACTGCGATCTCGATGAGCGTCTTGACCTCATGGTGAACACCTGCAAAGGGTTCGAATCTATTGTGGTGGAGATACCAAGTCAATTGACTCTCCAGCTCCATTCGTGCATTAGGCGCTCGCAGACGCTGCTGCTTGCTCAACAAAGACTTCATAAACGCGAGCATCCATTCATGCTCGAGCATCAGGGCAGATCGGCAAAAGAATCATGGAACACATGGTTCGAGGCCTTCGCGCTCAATGTGCGAGACCTTCAAGCCGAGGTGACAAGGGCAACTGCAGCTCTCGCGGCGCACAAGGAAGTGCCTTTGGAAGCCAAGAGGGAGAAAATCGGCGCCATGGCCTCCGTTAAGAGCTCCATGCTACCTCTTCGCCGGCGGCAGCCGAAGGAAGTGAACAGCTTGTCTACGCAACCGAAAGACGCAAAAGCCGAATGTATTCCGGGTGGAACTGAGGCAGAGACGGCTGGTAAGGATAAGAAGGAGAGGATGCGATGGTTTGGGAAGCGTCGGATAGACTCTTCTGTGAACTTCTAAATGAAGCTTCGCTGGTTGGGGTGGTGCGAATGAAGTAACGACGCTGTCTCTCTAGATCTATGTGTATTGAAGCGCGCATTCCAGTGCATCAAGTACTTGTAATGCTTCTACGACCGACAGCAATACCTATGCTCTCATACTGCGACAGTTTCGCCAACATGGCACAAGCCAACTCCTCCACGTGTGACATCGACAGGCTCGCCATTCCCTTCGACACCGCCACCCAGCCAAAGATCCTCTTTTTCGGCTGCTACTCGCCAACGGCGGGGCGGTGCAGTGACGGGCTCGTACTGGGCAGAGATACCACCTCTGACAGTACCGTAGTGCATACCAATGCTCAGCCCTGATTTGACGTCTTTGTGGATATTTATTGACTGCTCCGGAGTGGCGTGCACAGTACCCATGAGTGACGCCGGAGTCATTAGTCCGATCGGTAGCAGTGCCATGTCGAACGGACCCAGAGCGTCACCTATTTGCTTGAACACTGGGCAAGGCTCCGGCGTGTTCATAGCTTGATAACCTGTGTCGCCCGAGAAGTAAAGCTTCCTGCCACTACCCTCAATGGCCCAACTGCACCACAGAGTATTGCCTTGGTCAAACAGCGAACGTCCGCTGCCGTGCTGGGCTGGACAGCATGTTAACTCGAACCTCCCAACACCCTCTACAGTGACTTCAAATCGATCCCACCAGTCTGCTTCCGTCACATAGTCTGGCTGACAGCCGACATGTTCCGTGAACCACTTCTTGTTGTTGAGACCTGCAAAGAAGTGAACCTGACTTTGGCGCCGTTTGTATATATGCTGCACCGTGGCGTGATCCAGGTGGTCGTAATGGTTGTGTGATATTACAATTACATCCACGTCAGGCAGCTCCTCGAGAGAGCAAGGCACGGGCGTGTATCGCTTGGGTCCTACTCTCTGAGAAGGACTGGTTCTTTCACTAAAGACAGGGTCGCATAGAATGCGCACACCTCGTTCTGCTCCTTCAGCACATGGCAGCTCAACGAGGAATGAAGCGTGGCCGATCCATGTCGCTCTTAGATGACCCTGCTTCCCAACACCCCAGTCGGGCTTGCAGACCTTGACCAGCTCCGATGAACGCGAGCCTGCAGGGCCTTGAGGAACGGGAACAAACTTCTTCTCGGGGTGGTTGCCGAACCGATAATGCAGAGCGGTAAACGGACCTACACTGCTGTTTGCAGACTTCCAAGGGTTGCGAAAACTTGTCGCTGGCTGACCGACGTGGTGCGTTGAGGACCGTAGGCTGGCGAGGCTTTGATAGCTTGGCGATCGTCTGACACTTATGCTCATCGAAGCGTGCGTGTGGCAAATGGTAATCACTACGGCTGGCTGGTCTCTGATCGCGCCCTTTTGCTGCGAGGAAGTTGTGATGGATGCTGTTGGGCTTTCCGAGATGGTTGGTGGCGAAGCGAAGGTCAGGGTCCACATCCATTAACTGCGCCTGTCTGAACAAGTGCAACCAGTAACGATGTTCACCTTCTGATTGAAGCCGGCAGAGCCATATCTAGGGCTGGTTGGAAATCGTGTCGGTGGCTGTTCGTTAGCTACATAAGCGTCTATACCAAGTCGCTTTGGTACGGTCGCAAGGCAACTCAGCCTTCGCCATTGCTTTACTTTCCAGTACAATGAATGATTTTAGCTGGGATGAGTGAACTTAGGTGCCGCCAATACACACAAGTTCACCCCGCATCGAGATTACTACAATACTGACTAGTGCAGAGCGGCTGCGTTATACTGCCGCCACCACCAAGGCAGCATTGAGAGCATCGTGGGCGTCGACTCTCCATGACTGGACTCTCTTTCATTACAGCGGCATCGTAGGATGCAGCACGCCAATGTTGCCATTCCCTTAGATGCTCGACCATCACGCGGCCCAATGACAGGACATCGTCTACATGGCTGGGTTTGCCTGTCTTAGACCTTCGCCAATGTCTTCGCCGACTTCGATCTTTACCTTCTTGCTCAGCCCTTCGACCTCCCCTTCGCCGTCGGTGTCTACGTCCTGCTCCGGTCTGCGCTTCCGCCCTTTTCCTTTACTCGGCGGCGGCGTCAAAATCGCTTCGACGTCATCTTTGTCGGATGCTGGCGTGCCTGCTACCTTTTTGGACTTTGTTGACTTCGCTTTCGGGCCGGTTGCTTTGCTCGTCGTCGGACCAATGTCCTTTCCGGCAGTGCGAATCTTCGAGATACGGTGCTTGATGGACTTCGCGGTCACTCCTGTCATTTTCAATGAGCATAACGCCGGTACAAGCCAACGTAGTCAAGCGGAGTATACCCATCTGGGGTCATGGTCAGCGGATATCTCCCGTCAGACGATTTGTACTGTACATCTTACGATCTGTCCGAGCTGCTCATATTGGCTTTCGTTGAGTTTAAGGTCGCAGATCTGCATCGCCGCAGCCATGAGCTGTGAATATATTAGTTACCTTCAAGCGGCCGTACGGCTTCCAGGGTCTTTGTGGACGCTCACTGACCTTCGCGTCGGCATCAGCAGTCCACTGCATAGGCATCTTGACGTAGTTTGCTCGGCATATATGGCTTCCCCGACGGGAGGGCGTGTGATGTTCGGGGTCTGAAGATCAATTGAGTGGCAGACAAGGGAGTCGCAAGGATGAGTGACTGTGACTTCTTTGAAATATATATCTCCGCACTGAACTTCGATAGGAGTGAATATCACATACGCTAAGCACTAATCACATGCTTGATGGACGGTCAGCGATGACCCGGCTGGTTGCACTGACGGTAACAAAAGGCGTTGCTAAGTGAAGTGACGATATTCTTACAGGTGAGTGCTACGTAGCGGGAGACGCTAACTCATCGCCGTGATGACGGTGGATGTCCAAAACCACCTCCGAGTGGCGTCTGTCGACGGAATAGTGATTCGTCTTGTCTCGCGCGCTCCCTTAGCATAGCCTCAAGTTCCCGCTCCCTATGGGCTTCTTGTTGATGTTGTGCCATAGCAGCCTCCGCTTCTCTCTGAGCCTGTTCTCGAAGGCCGCCAAGGCTCATGCTTTCTCGTCCGAAGGGCGGAGCACCAAAAGCAGAAGGTCCGAGTGGATGTGCCTGTTGCACAGGCCCACGTGTGAACGTGTGTTGTTGTTGTTGTTGTTGCTGCTGCTGCTGCTGCTGCTGCTGCTGCTGCTGCTGACGCTCGCGCTCACGTTCACGTTCACGCTCATACTCCTGATGCCGTTGAGCATGGATGTGTGCATCACGCTGGCGAACTTGCTCGTCTTGCTCTCGTCTGCGCATCCACTCGACCTCGTCGCGCTCGCGCTCGCGCTCACGCTCATGCTCACGCTCCCGTTGTGCTGCCACCAGACTCTGTTGCTCATGGTGGCGAGCGGCGTCTTCACGGCTCATGGCGCGCTGATGCATGGTTGGGAAAGCAGCATTCAGGGACCCATTGTGGGCGTGATGAGCGTGGCTTTGTGGATGCGACGGCACTGGCTGGGCGAACATAGTTGGCTGCTGCTGGGCGGCATATGGATTAGACTGGAGAGCAGGCATAGGTCCGTGACCCGGAGTTCCGGCTGACTGCCCAGACAGAGACCGGTGATCTCGTGCAGCTTCTCGCTGTTGTGTCGTCAGAGACGGTGTCCTAGAATGTGCTGCGAGTGGTTGGGGGGGCGGGGACGGGTTGGCTCTAGCCGATGCTGCAAGAGAAGCACGGTGGTGCGGAAAGTAAGGCCGGACATCCCTTTCTAGGCTGACCGGACCAGGCTCGCCCCTTTGACGGGGCTGAGACGGTTGTCCGATAGATCGACCGGGCCAGTCTGGTCGCGATTGTTGTGGCTGAGTTGCTCCCGCTTCTTGTTTGATACTAAGTGGCGTTGCGGCCTGATGCGTATGACCTGACTGCGCGAACGAAGAACGCTGGAAGTGCGATTGTGGCATCGACGGTTGCCCAAATGTCTCAACTCTCGGCGGTATACTAGATGGAGCCAGTGGTTGAGAGACGCCCGAAAAGCTTGGCGGCGCCGGTGACGCGATTCTCTGTGGTGCGATAGGTGCACTTTCACGCTTTGACAGCTTCGGCTCCTCTGGTTCTGAGTTGAGTATAGATAGCAAGTTCGATCGCTTGGGTGGATCTGGCGGCTGAACAGGAGCGGCTGCAATCGCAGCAGGGCCAACTTGCCCAGGTAGCCCTATGGGCACGGAGCCCGGTCGTAGGTCTTCCTTCTTCGGCGGTGACGGCATTGATGGCATTTGACCTGCAAAGCTGGGTGTTGCATATTGCATTGAGGGAAATGGACTGAACGCTGCGGCACCGAACATTTGCCGCCCGAAAGGTGGCTGACCTTGGTTCTGGCGCGGCGGGGATGGCGGACGGTCTTCGACAAGTGGCTTTCGTTCAGTTGGTGGGTTCTGCAACGGTTGGTTGGCCGGTGAGCCGTGCGCTGAGCCACGGGAATGCGACATGTGGCGATGTGGATGATCGAGCCTTTCCTGAAGATTCTGCTGCTCCTGCAACCGAAATGCGCGATCCTGCTCCTGCATCAAGTTGCGTATGTATGAGTCGTCGAGAACTTGACTTGGCTGGTTGAGCTGGCTCCGGGACGAACCATCTTGGCTCAGCCGGAAAGCAGAAGTTGAAGGCAATCCTGGCCGTGACTCTGGTCGTCCGTCTGCCAGGAACGACAGCCGTGCGCCAAGCGGGTGTTGCGCTGGTGGTCGTGCCGCCTGCGGGGGCTGTACGTGGGACACATTTGGTGAAGCGATCGAGGGCACAGGACTTGGCACCCTGCGGTGAGCCGGGATAGGCGTTGGTTGTGCTGAGGTGGTGAAGCGGGGCTGTGCCTGATATTGAGGTGGCGAGATATGCTTGGGTGGTGGCTGAGGATGGGTTGTTGCAGGTTCGTCGACTTCCATAGTCTCGGCTTGCGGCGCAAGGGGGCGTGGGACGTTAGTCTGCGGCTGGTTGTCGTACTTCCGCTTGACGATGGGAGTGGGTGTAGGAGCAGGGCCCATATCTGCACCCGCTGCTCGCCGTGCATCGGCATCGTTTGCGGAGCGCTCCAATTCGGGCTGCGCACCCCCGTTAATCTGACGGTGATAGTGGTTCTTAATCATTACCGCCGTCTTGGTCCCCATGTGGTTCGCGATGGCCGTGAAGTCCGTCCCGAAATGGCCAATGCACTTGATGAAGTCTTGCTGCTCCGGCACAGACCAGTAACTTGACGCGCCTGTCTTTGAACTTGGAACGGAAGACTTTCCGCGCGTAGCTTCTTCGGACGGCATCATAGGCGGCGCAAAGGCGTCTTGGTGATATACGGCCGGGACCTCAACAGGGAGCATAGTGTGGTGGCTCGAATGCAGACCCGCCAGGAGATTAGCATCTTGCAGGTTGTGCGCTCGGTCCATCTCTTCTTTCAGGTGCGTACCCTGCACGAAGTGTTTGCTGGGAGACGCCATTGGAGCTGCGGCGAGGGCCGCGAGTGGTTGAGCGGCTTTCGACTTCCTAGCAGACTTCTCCCCGGTCCCCTTTCGCCGCTTACCTGGCTTTTCTGGCGCAAGCTCTCCGTTAAGGTCCTGCTTCAGGCTTGTACCTGGTCTCTTTGCTGGGGACTGCGCCGCCAGAGTCACTTTGCTCTCCACTTCTCTCTCGCCAAAAGTCGTTGGTGCAGCAGCTCGCCTAGGTCGACCGCTCTCCGAAATTCCTTGAGCGGTAATGTCTTCAGCGGCCGCAAGATCTGCCATCGCTGAGACTCCCCTTCCGCGCAACGTTTTCCCGCCACGACCCCTGCCGCGGCCGGACTTCATCTTCTTTGTGCGGTCCCTGAAGCGTCCATCCCACTTGTTCGCGTAGTAATGATGGATGCAGTCTCGGTATGTTCGTCCTGGGAGCAGAGATGCAATCTCGCCCCACTTCTTTGGGGTCTCTTTAAAGGCAGCAATGAAGATTTGCTGCTCCTCTTCGGTGAATGTATCTGGCTCGGGCTCATAAGCAAAGACCAAGGTCAGAGTATCTGGGTCTCTATAACGGTTAGCGTTTATGAAGACGCTACGCCTATATCGATCCTCGCTCTCTTGATCTGGGATCACAGCCTCCTTCTGAATGTCGGCTTGCAGCTTCTGCGTCTCACGATCCTTGCGTTCTTGTTCCAATCGAGCAGTCTCTTCAGACTCCTTCAGAACCTTCTCAATCTCGTACTCGCTGCTGAATTTGTGCAGCCGCCTACCTTCGATGATTTGATTTGTGGTTTGGGCAGCTGGGGCGATGGTCTCCGGACCTGGCTCTGCAGATTGCTGCCTTACCAAACGCTCTTGTTCTTCTCGATCTCTGTCAAGATCCTCACAGTCCCGTCTCCACCGCCGGAATGCCTCGTCGAAAACATCGAGCGGATACCCACCAAGCTCATCATCTTCGTCAATCTCAGCCTGCAGCACTTCGAGTACAGCCGCCCGGGTTTCTGCCTGGCGCTGCAACACCTCTTGCTCGAGGACACCAAAGTCCTGAGAGTCCTGAGGCCCTTTGACAAGATAGGGTAATGAGATAGCCTCGGGACTTGGGCGGCGCAAGCGAGGAGCATTGTCGGAACCGTCACCACTGCTATGTACTTCGACTCCCAATTCATCCTCGCCCTTCGGAGTTAGTATTTCCATGCCTTCTTCAGTCCTTGACGAACGTGTTGTTGGAGGCGGGAGATGATCATGCAGGCCTGAAGGCGACTCATCAAGCTCCATCTCTTGGTCGTGATGCTCACGTACCCGCTGCAGGTCCTTTTCGTTAATGCGAGCGAGGCGCGCAATGGACTCTAGCGGCGTTGTGGCTCGGTATTCTCGCGCGCTAAGATCCGCGAGTTGCGCTTCCAGGGCCCTTTTGCGGCGTTCGAACTTCGCGTTCATCAACGCACGCTCACGTTGAGAATCAAGCTCATCTTCTTCGCTGCTGGACATTGCTTCCTCTACAACGTCCGATGTGCTGATCCCGTCCTCGATGCTTTCATTGGCCGGCATGCCGAAGAATGAACGCGCTGCGGAATGGTCGGAAGGACCGCCATGCTTCGCAGCCTGCGCATTGTTTCGGGCACTCATTCCACCAGTCGAAGGTATAGCACGCTTGTCTGACTCTATCTCTATTGCAGCACTGGAACGAGCTGTGTTTGCATGAGACGTATCTGCCACACTCTTCTGAGGTGGACCTGCTTGCGATCCAACTCGTGTAACGATCGCCTCGCTCTGACGGTCTTTCTCTGCGCCAGCAAAGTCACGCTTGACCGGCACTGTTTTCTCGGCATACACAGAGCCGGGTGGACGTCGCCATTGATTCCACTGCAACCCTCGGGGAGCCGTCGGCGGTGCCCACGGAGGAGGTGCTGCCAATCTATCCGGGCCCTTTCCAACCACATTCGGCACCCGCTCGCCCCCACGCGGCGCAAGCGGTGGAGGCCTGTTACCCTTAGGTGCTGTAGGAACGGATGGGGCCACCTTAGGCGATACACTAAATGATGCATTGCGCGGCCCAATGGGTGCAGTCGGCGGTGGCGTCTCGCCGGGTGCGGAGTTTGGGTGTGCTTGGAAGCTGCCGATATCCGACCTTGGGGATGCAAATGCAGGCCTTGGGGAGACCGAAGTGTGGCCTGGGGACACACGGGATGCACGGGGACCGGTCGGGGCTGAAAGCTCGTTGAACCGAGCATTTTGCTGAGGCGTCGGCGTTACTGGTTGAACCAAGGTTGGAAGGGCCGGTAAAGGTGTGGCTGCCGTAACAGTCGCTGGGGCGCGTGGCAATGGTCTAGGACTTCGAGCGGGCATATCTTCCAGCGAGCGGACACCATGTAGCCTCGAGCCCACCGTCCCTGCAGCCTCTCTTTCAAGTGCACGTGGCGCCTTGGGCGCGCTTGGTGGCGGTTCCGTTGCGGTTGAATTAGGTCCTGGTAAAGCGGAGGCATAGAGGACGTCAGTATTCGCAGTGGCCGTGGCAGTCTGTTTAGCTTCTGGGGCACTGAATTGCTGAACAGGGTCAGTGGAGTCTTTGCCGGCTAATCGGGTTGGCTTGGTCTGGGCGATCTGAGGCGGTGGTTTCAGGGTACCAGCGGACACAACGCCAGGAAAAGCAGGAGCTGATGGAGCGAACGAAAGAGTGAATGCTGGTACAGGTGGAGCCTGTGTCGGTGGTGAGGAGCCACGCTGGTTGTATCGGTTCGCTGTGTTCTCCGCACGGCCGTTCAGGTACGCAGGTGTCTCCAGTACATCACGCCGAGCATCGCGCAATGGTGGGCCAACGGCAGGGACAGATGGTCTTCTCACGGATACATCCGCGCCGGCCTGTTCCAGCAGGGCGAGCCGACCAGGGTCGATCTGAATTGTCTGCGAGCCTTGCTGCAGAGATGGACCGCTTGTTGTTGATTCATTCGAATGTCGATTCTCGAGCGCAGGCGGCACTTGATCCCGCCGCAGACGTTCCATGTCGCGCTCGCGATCCAGCCATTCCGGTCTCCGATCATCATCACGTCGCTCAAACCGCCGCTCTTCGTTCCGTTCCAGGTCGCGCTCATCGCGTGGAGGATCACGCGGCCATCTCGGTAGCGGAGGAGAACGTTCCCGCCGAAAGACTTCGCGGTCACGGTCCTCAAAGTCTCTCCTAGCGCCGCGGCCACCTCGGAAGCCGAAGTCGCCCCTGCCTCTGCCCCTACTGAACGCGCCTCTGTGGGGTCCCGCGGAGAACGGAGGATTGTCAGGAAAGGTTGAGCTGGCCAACGGAGCTCCCTCTCTAGATCCTCGACGTGGCCTTGAAATGTCTAGTTCGCGTGGCGCATACTCACGCGTGTCCTTGAAGTCTCGGGGGTCTTTGAAACTACGTGGAGGCGAGCGGTCTCGAGGAGAAGGAAGCCTATCACGGCGCTCGAACTCACGGTCTCTGTATGGCCGGCCACGGTCAGCGCTACCCAGCGGCGGCGCGTCTCTTAGTGAAGAGTAACCTGGACGTTGGACAGGGCCAGTCGACGGGTTGTTTGATACAGGAGGCGGCCGTGACGATGGGACGTCAAACCGTGGTCCGCGCGGAGTATCTGGAGCCCCTCTTGGCGGAAAACCGATGGCAGCTGCTGATGTTCTTCTATCTGAGAAGCGTGGCGGCGAGCGTGACCTATCTCTTGGACCTCGGTAATCGGAAGGTGGATATCGTGACATAGCAAGAGGCTTCAATGCTGTCTGCCCATTAAACCAGCCCGAAGTATAAGTGTCCAGACGCGGTAGGGCTGAGACACCGCCGAAACGCTCAACGCCGGAAGCCGGATACTTGGCGTCTAGCCAGGGTATGCGCAACACTGAGTCCACGACTCGACCACTGGACAGCTGCCAGCGCTCGCTGCTGTGGCGGCTGAATCACTGCTTTACAGTATTGTTACTCGCAAATCTCGTTCGAAGTAAACGCTAAGCCTCAAGCACTAACGTAAGCGGTTAGTGTGGAGAAGCAGATCTCCACTCGGCCAATCCTGGGAAGCTTCCGCGTCTCGAACCGACAGGTGGAGGCGGGCTCGTCTCCTTCTGAGCCCAGCTGAAAGAGCACTCAAACAAGGTGAATGAACCCCTGCGTGCCTACAAGCCTTGCTTCGTTGAAGTCGACAGTGTAGAAGTAAGTACTGTTCCGTCGGCCTGATTCAGGTCGTTGACAAGGTCCAGCGCGTTCAGATTGAGGGTACGGCGCCACTGCAGAGGTATCCTGTCTCGCAAACAACTCACAGTATCTCGTTAGCGGACGGTTTCGAAATCTTTGGACCTCTCATGCAGATTGATAGTGAGCTTCTTCAGCCAATCGATGTCGGCTTGGCATGTCGCAATGTCTTGTTCGTACAGTCGTCAAAATCAGTACGGTAATGTCACAGGACAAATTGCCAGCCCACGGAAATGGAACGCTTGAGGAACGCTTGTTAGCTACGCACGGCCGTCGAAGGCGCTTGCATGAGGGTGGACCGCAGCCGATTCAGGTGTGGGGCAGGCGGGCGACTCGTGTGTAGATGCCGACGATGTCCAATCACCCAGCCAATCACCAGCGCTAGCCAACGAGAAATAGGCGGCTGTCTGCGACCTGGGCGAGCCATCTGCAGCCTCCCGCTCCCGTTCCTTGTCCTTGCTTAACGCCACGCAGAAGTTTTAGCAGGCACCGGAGTCCCTACGTTCGCAGATAAGGAGCTCATGACGGAGCACATTATGGAGCACGCGGATTCGACTGGTATGTGTACTATGTACGAGTCTGAGGCTTGCGGAAACGTAGACAGCTCGGTGTACAGCACGCGAGCAGACTCTGGGGCTCATCTGACATCGGGAATGTGTACGCTTTGCATGCGTTAGCGTGGCTGAAGCGAGAGGTCCGCTCCGAATGCACAATGTCGTAAAAGCTCCGCTCAGGAGAAAGTCTTTGCATGCAAGATGCATGATATCGATCTGCAGACGCGTACTTTCGATATACGCACTTTGATGATACCACCATCGTATCTGTGTACAGTACTAACCAAATGTCAAGCGTAAAGAGGCATTCTCGATTTCCCATCTACGCGACGCGCAGTTTGTCGTCTCGCCTGCAGGTGGCACAATCAGCCCCAACTTGCAAATTGACAACTTGCGTCCACGGTTTGTACTGTATTCCTCATAACAATATAGATCCTTTTCATACCAATAGAAGGACGGTGACATGGTGAAGGATGACGCGCCCAACGGCGCATCGCAGGCTGTGCTTAAACCTTCTGATCCTGTCCCTCATGGTGCGGTACCGGTCACAGGGCTGGACTTTGATGCACCCCAAAATCAAGCAGAGCTAAAAGTCACTACTCTCGTAGAAGGCATGGCGAAAATCGGATTCCAAGCAACGTCAGTCGGCCAAGCAGTCAACATTATTAACAATATGCGTTCTTGGCGGGATCCAGAAACCGCGGAGAGAACAACAATCTTTCTCGGATACACCTCGAATCTTATATCATCCGGCCTCAGGGAGACATTACGCTGGCTGGTTCAACACAAGCACGTCTCCGCGATCGTGACCACTGCAGGTGGCGTTGAAGAAGACTTTATCAAGTGTCTAGCTCCTACATACCTCGGAACCTTCACCGCAGACGGAGCGACTCTGAGGAAGCAAGGCTTGAATCGCATCGGCAACTTGTTAGTCCCAAACAACAACTATTGCGCCTTCGAAGATTGGGTCATGCCAATTCTGGACACCATGCTCGAGGAACAAGAGGGTGCAAAAGGCACTGACAGTGAAGTCTGTTGGACGCCCAGCAAAGTCATCGCTCGTCTCGGTAAGGAGATCAATGACGAGCGGTCGGTATATTACTGGGCCTACAAGAACGATATCCCCGTTTTCTGTCCCGCGTTGACCGACGGCAGCTTAGGTGACATGTTGTACTTCCACACCTACAAGTCATCTCCTGCCATGCTTCGGATCGATATTGTTGAGGATGTTCGTCGGATCAATACGCTGGCAGTGAGAGCCAAGAGCTCCGGTATGATCATCCTTGGTGGCGGCATCGTGAAGCACCACATTGCAAATGCAAATCTAATGCGCAACGGCGCCGAGAGCGCGGTATATATCAATACCGCGAATGAATTCGACGGATCTGATGCAGGAGCGAGACCGGACGAGGCGGTGAGCTGGGGAAAGATCAAGCCAGATGGCCAGAGCGTGAAGGTGAATCTGCTCCAAGTCGCTGATGCTGAAGTCTTATTGAAGCTGACAATGACAGGTCTACGCCGACGCCACGATCGTCTGGCCACTCATTATGGCAGCGACATTCGCAACGGCCAAAGATTAAGCCACAGAAGATGGATCCTTCCAATGTGGTCTTGCCGGACTGGTGAAACGTCAAGCCTTAGGCATGGCTGTATCGCGTCTAGAGACCCTGCGCCGTTTTTAGCATGAGGATCTCCGCTTAAGGTTCGCACTAGCGCAACCTCCACCATCAGTCATGCAACTCTCTCGCAGCATGCAGCCTACGCTTCACTGTGTGCCGACGGCGTCCTTCATATGCGAGATCTCTGCATCAACCAGCTTGAATCTGCATACGTTTCTCCGCAAAGTGATAGTCTATGAGCCGCACAGTGCGGAGCAAACTTTAGGCTTGTCAGCGGCACGTGGCACAGTTGTGGCCGCATGTGAGGAAGGCTCCAGTGTGAGCTTCGACTTCGTGAGGTAGCCTATTGCTATTGTTGGACTTCGACAATAGCCGACTCTAGGGCTTCTCGAGTACCGTTCTCTTCCAATGCAGATGAACCATCTCCAGCTACTCACCACTTGCACTTCGTACTGCTTCTTGGAGCAGTACAAACTGTCCCACCTAACTTAGCTCAACGGGCCTGCCCAGGCCTTTAGCCAACAGTATCAGTTCTATCGAAGGGTGACGGGTTTCGGCAGCATGGCGGCGGCGACAGACCGTGATCAGCACTCATCATCCGAGACTTTACTGAACGTCGACCAGTCATACACCAGTAGTGATCACGGAACAATGAGTGCCTGGGGCCTAGCCAATAATGCTGGCAGTCAACAACCACCTGCTGTGCCCCCGTTTGCCCCAACACCTCCGCCACCGTCCGTGGATAGCAACTTCCCGCCGCCACCGCAACTCAGACAGCCGTCACCGCCACGGCGAATGCTGACCCGGAGTCGCAGTCGAAGCCCAGACCGTAGCTCAGCAATCGAGTCTCAGCAATCACAAAGTGGTGGCGAAGATGAAGAGGAACCTCCCTTTCACTGGCGTGAGCTAGTTGAGGATCAAAGCGTCCCTTGCGACGACGAAATGAAGTACATTTTAACTAAAGAGGAGCACAGTGCGCTAGAGATTAAGCATTGGGAGAACCTGACTTTCTTTCCACTTGATGATCCGGCCTTCTACGCAACCGACGCCGGTCGAGTTGACTGGCTCGTGGAGAGCTTTAATGGCACCAAAGACCTGCCAAACAAGCATTACCTTATGCGATCTCCTATCGTGCGTGTTGGAGACTATGACTGGCGCCTGAAGCTATACCCTCGTGGTAACGGCAGTGGCGCGGTGTCTGTGTACCTCGAGTGCGTAACGATGCAGAAGGCCGACTTTGAAGAGTTTGAGCCCTTCGATGTTCTGCCGTTCCCGACTTTGCAGGGCTACTCCTCAGACGCCATGAAGAAGCGTCGGTCGATCGCTGTTCAGCTGTCGCTGATCGTGTACAATCCGGCCGAGCCACGCACGCACATGTTCAAGAAGGATGCGTATCGCTTCTCCAAGCGCTCTCCCGACTACGGCTACCGGTACTTCTTCTATCCGGAAGAGATGTGCGCAAGGTCTCACGGTCAGCGTCAGCCATTACTACGGAACGATAAACTCGCATTCTCCGCCTACATTCGCATTGTCAATGATCCGACAGGGTGTCTGTGGTTATCAGATTCACGTGACTCTTTCGAAGAGAGCATCCACTCTACCGGGTTGCGGCCGTTCTGTGGACAGTCGCCAGTGATGGCTGCATATCTTCCGCTCCTGCACTTCGAGCCATTCAGAAAGCTCATAATGCAGCAAGCTGAACCATCAAAGCTCATCTATGACATACAAACAGTTCTGTACAAGATGCTCACTCGCACGCGATCGGGTGGATATGGAAGGTTCGCTAAGTACGGCCTTTCAGATGCCATCACATGCTTGCGACGCTTGACCGACATGCTCTGCACGCAGCTCGGCCACGAGGATATGCAGCGTAATTGCAGTCTGATGAGTTACGAGACCGGAGCTTTCTTCTTCAACAGATTGAGGACCAAATGTACCGGATCCGTCCAAGAGGCCGTGAACAACCATGCCACCATCAGCGCCTCTGCAGTTCTGACCTTGGAGCTGCAAAGGCAAGAGTGGGTTGCAGATCAGCGCAAGTGGATCAAGCTCACAAATACCGTTAAGGTAGAGGAAGCTCTTTCGGTGGGATCGGAACGGTACACTCTGTATGCGGCCATCACCCATAGCGGACACCTGCAATCCAACATACACAATGTCTACGTTCGGCCCGACCTCCGGGCGGATCGCTGGTATGCCTACAAAGACGGCGTTGTCACTGCAATGACGTTCAAACAGGCAGTCTCTGCGCACGAAGGGGCGCAACGGCAAGACGCAGGTCATTTGCGGGCCTCATCACTGAGCAACGGCCGCATCAGATATGATGATGAGGTTATCTATGCGGTTATGTATGTTCGCGACGACTGCCGTCGTTACACATACGATACAATTATGGAGCAGACGGTGTGGGAAGTGCCTGAAGCGATCCGTAAGGGCAAGCCGTATCAGCGATTCAAAGATGGGAAGACGCCACCCAAGGAGTTTCTCGACCATAACTCTGACCTAGCTTTCCGCGCCGAACAGGACCAGGATGAGCAAGAAGAGCGAGAGCGCGAGGAGCGATATATCCGCTCCGTCACCCCAATTTACATGCCTAAAGATGGGGATGGTGATGTACACCTGAGCGACGTTGATGACATGCCGCCTGAAGAACCGAACCCAATGCTGGTTACTACTGTGCCATCTGCATCGCACAAATGGCAAGCCTACCAAGATTGCCTTGGTTGTGATTACTATCAAGGCGAGGTCTTCGGGGATAAATTCCAGGGTAAAGGTTGGCTTGTAACGATGTCCGGCAATAGCTACACTGGCGACTTCTATCAGGGCAAAAAGGAGGGCCAGGGTACCATGGTGTACGCCTCAGGCGACGTTTATGAGGGCGAGTGGAAGGACGACGTGCAGCATGGTCACGGTAAGTTGACGTACGCTGTGTCCGGAAGCATCTATGTCGGTGAGTGGCAGGAGGGCAGGAAGCACGGCAAGTTCCATCTCGAAGGGACCGTTACAGAGGATGACAAAAGCCTTTGCACGATTTGCTATGAGCGCGACGTCACAACAGCATTCTACGATTGCGGACACGTCTTGGCGTGCAAGGAGTGCGCCCATCAGATTGACAATTGTCCGATATGCCGGCGTAGAGTGCTTGCGCGACTGCAAATCTATGGCGTGAAGATGTCTTTGGAATAAGTTGGTGTCGGCTCTGCTCAGTAAGACGGCGAAGCTAGGCGTGGTTTACAGCGTGCACGAATAATGATCAGTATGAGTGTGGTTAAGGGCAGTATGCGTTGACGTACGCACTGCGCTAAGCATCTTTTGGACCGCGAACGGTACGATACCCTACGCTCGAGGCTTACAATATGAGAGATACGGTTTCGTAATGTATAAAATGGTCAATATTCTCACAAGAGATGCTTTGTTAAGAACTCAGATTTATGCGTAGTGCAGACATGATTCCAACGAAGGTACAATAACGAATTACTAGTATCCCACACTGCAAGGGACTCTCAAACAGGGCCCCAACACCATGCTAAATTTCATGAGGTTGAGCGGGCAGTATTGCCTGCACCTTCACGAGACAACTCTCCCACGAGCGGCAAGCCGTGCCTTTGCAGCTTCCATACGAGCTTGATCCAGCTCTTTACCGTTCCTATCTGTCAGACTTGTGACGCGCCTGCCCACATTAGGCGCATTGATTGCATTCCACGCTGCGGTAGGCTTGATAGTCTCAGTCATGTTCGGCCTCGAAACGGCAGACCCGACTGGGTCTTTCGCTTCGACTGCGGAAGGCTTGGCTGCCTGCTGTGAGATTCGGTCAAAGTACGATGTCGTCTTGCCATCAACGCGGACGGGCGACAGACTCGGCGTCAAATCAAAGGGGCTTGAAGCCGGTATAGCCACGGAGGGGTCATCTGCAGGAGCGGAGGAAGCGGCTTTGCGTGGTGTCGGTGACATCGAGGTCGCACGTCCGGCTGTGATTGGTTTCGCAGAGGGTTCAGGGAGGTCAGAAGATAGTATCGGAGAGTCATTCCGAGCCACGCTGCCCCGGTTTCCGCACGTTGCCGGCTGAATCACCTCTTGACGTATCAAAGGCTCCTTGGCGAAGCGATCTGCTGGTGGGGACGGCTGCGCAGAATCTCTTCGCGTGAGCTTGGTCGTAGGCATTGTGTTGACACTCAATGACTTCAGTGGAGTAGCGCATGTTCCGCTCGTTACTGCACGTCCGGCTTTTGGCGAGACTGCACGCTGCTCAATGGGTCTGACGCCGGCCAAGCTGGAAGGCGCGAAAGACTGGTCCCAGAGATCGTCGGTCTTCGGTTTGCCACCAGTGCTTCGCTGCCTCGCTCGTGTCTGTGTTCCGAACGAAGACGTCTGCTTCTCTACCTCGGCTGACTCCTTTGCCACATACGATGGCGTTGACGTCGAAGCTTTAGCCTTCAATGGTTGCTTTTCAGCTGCGGATAGCTGCCCAGTCTGTGGCTGCTGGTCAGGCTGCACTTCTTGGAGGCCAGAGGCAGACCCAGCTCCACGGGCTGTAACGCTCGCAAGGCCCTTGGGGTCTACTTCCATCACCCGCGCTTGCATCGCTTCTATCTGAGCCTCTAACTCAGCCGTCCGCTTCTCGAGCTTCTCCGCCCTCTTCTTCTCAATGCGTAGTTGGTCGGCAAGGTCTGTGCACTGGAAGTCCTTCTCCTTAGCGAAACTCTTTGCTGCCTTATGCTTGACGATCAGCTTCCTGATCTCACGCTGTGAGCTCTCGCGGTAGCTGTCATATTGTGTCTTCCAGGCTTTGCAGCAGTCACGGACAGGGCGCCCACCGTCCGCATCGGGAGCCTCGTCATGTCGCACCATCTTAGCAGTTCGCTCCACAGACTCTTCGCGCGCTTGCTCAAGCGCTCTTGTGAGCTTGCCACTCCCGGCCCCCTTCTCAGCATGCTCGTCAAGATCATCGTTGTCCGCGCCCGCGTTGGACCACGGACTCGGAAACTTGCCAGGACAGTCATCAGGCAAGCCAGTCTTAACTGGCCGTTTGGCCTCGTTATTGTTTACATGATCACCAAAAGACACGGTCTTCCGCTTCGCCGTCGCAGTACCAGGAGTCAAGAGTATGCCTTTGGTTGGGGAGGCCACTGGCTCCGGCACAAGCGGCTCCCGGTCGTCACGAAGTCCTCGCGCATCACCTGCGCTTTTCGGTCGGGCTGCTAGTGGCGGGCGGTCTGCTCGTGGCCCTTGCGCCCTTGGCCTTACGTGCTCCGTGTTCGAGTAACGACGCGCATTTGGCTGTGTGGTCTGCGGGGTGCCCCAGATAGCATGCTTGAACGCTCGAACAGCGAACACCGGGGCTGGTGTCTCTGGAGGCTCCAGAGATTCTGTTGCGTCTGGGTCTGGCATTGCATTAGCGGTTACCTTGTTGAGCGTTGTGCATGCCAACCGCTTGCAGGATGAGCATACCTGGTGGTCCTTCTGGCGGCTTTTGACCTGCTAGCCAGTGCAACATTGTAATGCGTAGGAGGCCTCCACGATGTCTCTGCTCTGTGTGGAAAGTCAATGAGTGTTTGTCGCAACTCCCACGTGGCAGTGACAAGCTGCAGCGCGGTAGTATTGCTCTATGTGATTGATTGTTTACCAATTGCCTCACTGGGAGATGCAGCCCTATCGCTTATCGATAGACTCTGAGCCAGTATCGCGGGCCAAACCTCGCTTGGGCTTGCTTAAGACACGCCACCACGGGCACTACCCACGACCTCCGACTCCTGCTCGGCAGACTACCATTACTTCTCGCAGATTGTGAGACTGAGCATAGGTGTATCAGAAATCATGCATTGTACAGCACGGATGGGTCTGTAGCCGTCTGGCTGCAAGTAGCCATCTACCCCGGGGCACGGCATCATGCGGCCTTGAAGCCTTCCGCCGATACGCGATGACGCCTAAATCCAGGACCAAAACACATGTACCAGATTACAAAGTTGTCGCCGGACAGGCGACACCAGCATTCAATTATGGTGAGGTACAAGCTGAGGAGGTCCTGGCCTTGCAATCGATATACATGGATGACTTTGAGGACGTCAAGTCCAAATCAGCTTGGAGTAAGACCGATCGAAGCTTTAACCTGAGACTGCGAGCTTTCTCAGCTCCGGACGCTTCTGTGGTACTCTCTGTAAGACTGACTGCGACGTACCCGAAGTCTGCGCCCCTGCTTGATGTGTCGTCACTAGACGGTTTCCATGAGCGAACGCAGAAGCGTGTGCGTAACATTCTTGCGAGTCGACCGAAAGCCTTACTCGGTGAAGTTATGATACACGAAATTGCCTCCGAGATACAGGATGCCCTTGAGGATGCTGTGAGTGCTCGGCAACAAGGCACTCTTCCAAGCCTGGAGGAGGAACGAGTGACCGCCGACGATCTCGCCACCGAGCACGCAAAAGAAGCCGAAGAGGCTGAACGCCGGCTTCATCGCGAGAGCCAGGAAGAAGAGGATCGAGTGCTACGTCAAATGGCCGACGATCTTGTGCAGCGCCGAGATAAGCGTAAGCCTGTACGTTCGACCATGTGTCTCCTCTCGTTCTTCTTTCCTGCGTGCGATCGAACGCGACTGATGCCCACCTGAGCTATTCGCCTTATGTTTCATACGAGATTGCCGACGTGTAGTTACTGATAGCGTACTCCTGCGTAGGCGAAGGAGGTTCGTGACATCGATGCCACGGTCATGGAAGACATCCTGGACTTCGAACAGGTCGCGGAAGTAATCGTTTCATCCGAGGTGGCCCAGTTCAGCAAGGTTGCTCTGTGCGGCTCTACGACTGTAGGTGCAGAAGAACTCGCGCGGCCAGTCGTCTCCCACAAGAACGTTCCACTTGTGGCGGTGGTGAAGACGACCATAACCGGGTCTAGAGAAATGACCATGCAGACTGAGTCAACGCTGGAGCTGGTCCGTAAGCTTCGGCATCCAGGTAAGTCGGTCACACAACGCAGCGCTGTCCCATCCAACTCCCACGGCCACTGCATGACATTGTCTTGGCCCTTTGATTGCTTATGCCATTTCGGAAGATCAAGGCAGCCGAGAAAGGTAGAGAACTTGTGCTGATAGGACGCCGTTTATTAGGCATACTGGGCTTGTTGGCATTCCGTGTCGACAAGCTGCACGGAGACACTTCGAGGGTAACTCTATGTACTGAGCATGCAGATCGCGGTACGTTGCACGATCTCCTGGGAACGGCCATACTGAAGCCGGACAAGGCACGGCATTACATCGTAGACGTGCTCGAAGCGCTAGACTACATGCATCATCGTGGTCTGGCACATGGAAATCTCAATTGCCGCAGTGTCTACATGCATGGCATTTCTCTCGCTCCCAAGCTAGGTAACCTCGGACACTGGATGCTGGATACGGAACACGACGCTTTGCCAACGAAGTGGAAGCCAGATAGCAAAACCCCCGACATGCACAACCTCCAAAAAGCCGACATCTGGCACCTCGGCGTGATGACTCTTCAGATGTTTCTTGGCATCGACATCATCAGCAGGTACCTGTCGCCCGCTTCCTTGCTCAACCGTCTCGATCTATCTGACGCCTTCGTCGACTTTCTCCATAAGACCTTTAGTGAGAGCGATAAGAGGCCGTCTGCTTTCGATCTTCTGCCGAGCGAGTTCCTCCGAACGGACTCGCCCATATACGCTGCCGAGTCTGCACTCCCCACCTCGCAGCGCTACGCCGACATTGCAAGTCCAGCGAAGCACAGGTAATGTGTGCCATTTGCAGTTACCGGCTCTATACCGCAAGCTGACGACGCAAAACCTACAGATCTCGCCATAATTCTTCCCACACCTATGACGCTCCTAACAGAGAGCCATCATCACGATATACGAACGACTTCACAGAGCTTGGCAGATTGGGTAAGGGTGGCTTTGGCGAGGTTGTTAAGGCTCGCAACAAGCTCGATGGCGGTGTGTATGCGATTAAGAAAATCCGGCAAGCACCCGACCTGCTAGACAAAGTCTTATCCGAAGTCATCCTCCTCAACCGCCTTAACCATCCTTATGTCGTACGTTATTATTCGACATGGCTCGAAAGTGACATATCAGATCAAGCTCATGAAGACGACTCGTCCGCAATCGTCACAGATGAGCGCACCCGGACGGATTCAGGTCAGTCGGAGCATGTAGGGTTTGGATACCAGAGTACAGGCGGTCTGGACTTCATCTCGAGTGGCTACCCCAATGTTGAATTTGGCGGTGACGACTCGTCCGAGCACTCTAATGACCCTGAGGACCCAGCAGAAAGTGACCCGGAACAGTATGCGCTAGCTCTTCGGAAACGACGATCAGACATCCAGCGCCCTCCGTCTGTGCTGTATATACAGATGGAATACTGTGAGCGTCGAACTCTACGGGACTTGGTTCTAAAAGGCATGAGTACCGACGATAGCTGGAAATACATGCGTCGAATCACGGAAGGCTTGGCTCACATTCACGGTCATGGAATCATTCACCGCGATTTGAAACCAGACAACGTCTTCATCGACGTGGCAGGCAATCCTAAAATTGGTGATTTTGGCTTAGCAACGACCGGTCAACACAACATCTTGGAACGAGCAGTACATCCAAACGGTCAAAGCGGGTACATGTATGATGGCGGCGGTATGACGCGCAGTGTTGGCACAACGCTTTACGTTGCGCCTGAACTGAGATCTCGATCACAAGATACGTACAGCGAAAAAGTGGACATGTATTCGCTCGGCATCATGTTCTACGAAATGTGCGAAGTATTCGGCACCGCCATGGAGCGGATCCGGTCGTTGCAGCACATTCGAGACCGACCAGGCGACCTTCCACCAGTCCTCTGCGCGAATGGTGCAAAGTCTGCACAGGGCAAGCTGATCGCTCGCTTGATCTCTCACAAGCCTGCGGAACGCCCGACAAGCACAGAATTACTGAGGAGTGACGTTCTGCCCGTTCGAATTGAGGATGAGACATTACGCCAGGCAATTAGTGGGCTCTCTGATTGGCGATCTCCATACCATCAGCAGATACTGTCTGCACTGTTCGCCTCTGACGTGCAGCGTCCAAGCAAGGTACAGGCTATGGCTTGGGATGCGAAAGCCAGCTCTATGGCTCCCAGCGATGATGCTCATCGCCTACGATGCCGTTCAGAAGCCATCAGCACATTGGAGATGGTGTTCCGACGTCACGGCGCCGAGCCGAGCCACCGCGAGAGCATTTTCCCCAAGTCCACTTACTATGCCAACGCGAATGTGATCTCGCTCCTCGATGCTGCGGGAAACTTGTTGCAATTGCCATATGATCTCACCCTCCCGCATGCCAGATACCTGGCAAGACAGTTGCCCATAATCAAGAAGACCTACAGCATAGGCACAGTATACCGAGATGCCTTTACAGGCGGCCCACCAAGAGCGAATGACGAAGTAGACTATGACATTGCATTGGCCGGCGAAGACCGCTCAATTGATGATGCGGAAGTCTTGAAGGTGGCAGATGAATTTATGTCAGAGTTGCTGCCCGACGCATCGAGCCGCATCCATATCAATCACTACGATATCCTGGACTCTGCATTAGAGCTATGCAGAGTGCCTACAGCGCAGCACTCCACTGCTAAAGAGATACTCAGCAAGCTCGGTTTTCATCAATGGACATGGTCGAAGGTGCGGGCAGAGCTACGCAAGTTCGGACTGTCGGATACCTCACTGGACGATCTACAGCAGCTCGACTTTCGCGAGAATCCCGAGAAAGCCTTCATACGTCTACGTGCCATCTCGACGAAAGGCAGCAAGCAAGTCCAAGCGAGAATTGAAAGCGCCATTGCATCGCTTGAGGCTACGATGTCCTATGCCTCTCAACTGTCTCTGAAGCATCGAATATACGTCGTGCCACTTAGCAGTGTCAATGCCAAGTTCTACGCCGGAGGCATGTTGTTCCAGTGCGTTCTCGAGAGAAAAACGAACGCCGTTCTAGCGGCTGGTGGCCGTTACGACAGCCTCGTGCAGGCACATAGGGATCGGAGCACTGTCAGAGCTTGCGAGGGCGCTGTCGGTGTCTCGATTGGTCTCGATGCAATTGTCACGCATATGGTCAAATATGGCAAAGGTCACAGCGACAGGCGAGCGTACCTTAGGAAGGAAGACCAAGCCTACAGTTCCTTCCAGAGGAGGTAAGTCGGTTGCACAACATCATCCTCGTTGTGCCAGGCCACGACGTCCGAGGACATCTGCTGATCAAATCCAGGTGCGACGTGACCGTTCAGGCCAGTACGTCAGACGGTCCTCGAAATGTTGCATTGCAAATATTGGCGCGACTCTGGGAGAGCAACATCAGTGCCGAGCTTTCTGCGGAGCAGAAGATACCATCTAGTCACCTCGACTCGAGGTTGCTCGTGACGGTTCGCCACGAGGCCTCCAACACAGTGAGAGTTACCAAGACCTTCCACCCGGACTCTGACGAGGCCGATGTGCCAATATCCTCCCTGGTCAGCCATCTGCAGCAGGAGCTGCGCAATGAAAGTGGCAAGTTCCGGCCGCCTGCACTTGGACGCCAAGTAAGCCAGCAAGACAGTGAGCGGAAGGCGAATGTTCAAGTGCTCATGGCACAGCATCGAAGCAAGAAGTCTAACAAGTATCACATCGTGGAGGCCGCACAGCAGCGCTGGTCAGAGAAGCTTGCCGAGTGGAAGGACGCACCCATACTCGCCATTGAGACGAGTGACGCTGTGCTAGACGTAATCAGAGATACGAAGCTTGCGGACGCAGAAAGCTGGCGAAGGGCGGTTCAGGGTGTTCAGCTCAACGAGCGTCAATATCTGGGCCAGGTTCAAGGCATACTCGCAACTTGGCGGAAGGTGTGGGCTGACGATGATGGCGCGCGAGAAGCGTGCGTCTTCAACTTCCGCACGGGAAGTTGCATCTACTACGATCTCGGGCTATAGCGAGGGTGTGACAAAATGAAGTAGGTAAGTGCAGACGCGGTCTGACATACTGCGGCTACATGTACTGCCCAGTCAAGGTCTCAAAGGCAGCTCCCAACTCAAGCGTGCCGGTTTTAGAGAAGCTTGATGATTTTCTGTAAACGTCGCCATATCCTCCCCCGTGATGCTTGTGCTTCACTGCCGTGCCAATGCCGCTGTCGACTCCCACTGCTTGACGGTTGTGATAGCGCTGTCAGGTCCCGAGCCTTCCTTCAGCGCGAAGCTTTGAGTGGTCGCGTGACGCTTTGCTTCAATTTGTGCATCGACATCTGGCACTCGGATATAGGCGAGCCGTTTACTTGCTGTTAATAGAGTCAGCATGAGCATTACTGGGAGTGAGTGAGGGCGAGGTACGAACCTGCGAGCTCTCGTCTTTCTTCTCTTACGCTTGAGGCGACGAACGCGCTTCTTCCTCCACTTCGCTCTCATCCTGGCTAGCTTGACTACAACGCACATTAGTATGAAAGATCATTGTCTGTGGATGTACTCTGCCACAGCATACCTTGCGCCTTGGGATGAGATTGACGGTTGTCAGGTACGAAGTAGCAGTGGTGCGGAGACGTGAAGCTGAATTTGATGAGCATTGCTGTGCCCGCGCTAGTGATCGGTCGTTCCCGCTCTTGGCGGCCGTCATCGAGCCACGTGAGCGTGCATCAGGCGTGCCACCTACGCGTTCGCTTCCAATGAGCGTTCCCAACCGACCTCGCTCTTGCGACTTCACATGAGCCTTGCCTTCTCTTCATACCTCCTTTCGCGGCCGGAACCCACCCTTTATTCGTTCCCCTTGAATGACTCAACCTCATGAACATGGACAGAGCCGGTCGCCACAGACGGCACGTCGCGACGCTCATCTTCCGCCACACCCATTATCCAGATTGTAGTCACGGTCTGCCCCTGTGAAAGTGTGTTCGAGCTAACGCACGGCTAGACAAGCAGCGCATATATGATCAACATAATATCGGTCGGGCAACTGTTCAGCAGGCGTTTGGCGTCTGTGAGCCGACCGTCTCATCACACCATCTCCGCTTCCACTGCGTTGTATTCGAGGATGGAGACGAGTCAGCCCAAATCGTCGCGCCACTAATCTATGTTCGCGTTCTTTCAAGAAACACTGTTGTCCTAGCGCGCCTGGATTCCAACAATCCGGGCAGCGAAAGTACGATCTCAGAAGCAAGTGGAGATGTACTCCTTACCAATGGAGATGTACTTCGCATCACAAGGCAAGTTTCCATCATTCTACAAACCCAAGGCCCTCCTGCTGCAACGCCAAGCGCATTTGATCTAGTAAAGCAAGCTGAAGTGCGGAGCTTCGAGGACCAGTACCAAGTAAGCGGTCGGATGCTTGGGTCAGGCGGCAATGGTACTGTCTTTGTGGCAGTAAAGCAGCCGACGAAGAAGCAGTACGCCTGTAAGATTGTGTCTTTCGCGCCTAGGCGGCAGGCAGGTCTCGCTCGTGAATACGATCTGCTAAGCAATCTTAATCATCCAAATATCATATCGCTCGAGAAAGTCTTCTGCGCTGCTCACAACAATTACATTGTTGAAGAACTTATCACAGGCGGCGATCTGCTCTCTTACCTCGATCAAAGGGGCAGTCTGAGCGAGCCGGAGGCAGCGATTATTGTTCGCCAGGTCCTCGAAGCCGTGGAGTACTTACACAGCAACCAGATCGTGCATAGGGACATTAAGCCGGAGAACGTCCTCGTCACTTCATGGAGACCAGGGGCACGCGTCGTGCTTACTGACTTCGGGCAAGCACGAAGGTTGCAGAGCGCAAAGCGCGCTGTCCTCCGCATGCATACTGTGATTGGCACATATGGCTACACGGCGCCGTAAGTCTAGGTTTACTCTGAGGGTCAGCCTGTTACTGACCGTCAGTACAGCGAGGTGTACGCACCAACGACACGCGATCTAGGACACGAGAAGGGCTACAGCAAGGCAATTGACATTTGGTCAACCGGCTGCGTCGCCGCGACGTTACTTAGCGGCTGTCCCGTCTTTTCAGACGACCGTGGCGACCCTCTCGAAGACTCCCAATACTGGAATACAGGCTTCATGGACACCCTTCCACAGTGGCGTAACGTTGGCAGAAAGGCGAAGTCGTTCATCCGAGGCTGTTTGACCACCGACGAGACACTACGTCCGACAGCCAAACAAGCTTCGCTGCATGAGTGGTTCTCCAATCGCCACTACGCGGCGGAGCTCGAAGCAGCATATCAGCGAGCGATTAGTGACTGGAAGCCGAGAACTATCGATGGCGCCTTAGTTGAGACCGTCCAGACCGCTAACGCAGTCCTCGATGCAGTAATGAAGGCTCAGCAGGAGGAAAATGTGCGAAATGGTACGGAGTCATATCATTTTCGGCATGCGGGCACGGAAGGACCTTTGCTAAGCCAGTTCGGATGTTTCCAAAGCAGTTTGTCTGCCATCAAGCCGCGCCACACGCCATTACCTCCTATTACAGATGACCTCAATCCAGACCACGCCGTCAATGGCCGGCATGAACATCTCAACGCAAAGCCACCATACACTGGAGATGGTCATCCGGAGCCGCACGACAGCACCTTCAACGATCGGCGGTTCTCGGCCTGCTCCGAATCCGAGTCATTCCTCACATTGAGCGCCTCAATACCTCGTCCCCCGCCGAGGAGCCAGTGGGACGCCAGCATTACAGAGACGCAGTTGATGCTGGATTAGCACTGATCGACGATAGCTGTCTGAAGCGCATATCAAGACATGTATCATCGCACAGTACAGCGGGACGTCTGTTGTGGCATTGCGAGCAATAGTGAGGACGCTGTTAGCAACGTGGTGGATAGCATTGACCGAATGCGGTGAGGTTCTGAGCTAAATTCGGCATGGGCTAGTGTAGCAAAGCCAATGAGAGCTTGTCAGTAAAGCATCGTTAGAGCTCACGCAGGCTGAACTCAACAAGCGTGCGTGTTCTGTCGGGCAAATCGTGTGCAGTTAGGAGCTCACTTCCACTACTCGGAGGTTCACGCCCACCAAGCAATATCTGAAACACCGGGCACGAGCGCGATTGCGGAGAAGTGACTGTTTCGGGCGTAAAGAGAGTTCCCCAAATGAAGTGATCCTTGCCTGCTTGCCGTGACCTGCAGGTGGTAAGGAGGGCGGGAGGTGCCGATTCGCGCCATCACGGAGGCTTGAACGGGCGGCTTAAGGGACACAGCACGCCAATAATGTTAGGCGGATGTTGATTCCTACAGTGAAGGCAATGCCGGGAAGCTACTCCTACTCCTATCCAACTGATCATCGACGCGTGTACTATTATTCTGCTTCTTTGAGGGAGACTCCGTTCCCTTGACACTTCCCCTCAACCCCAGGATTCTCAGCGCTGGCGTTGGGTTTGGGTAATACGCTGCTGAGGCAGGTCAGGCGTGAAACATAAAACGGCCATAGATGTGAAGTGGTGACGGCGGGGCATCACATAGGCAAGATGTCGCATACGTATGATGTCGGCACGAAGGCATGGCAGCCTGATGCGACAGATGGATGGGTGGCTTCGGAGGTGGTGGAGAAGAAGGTGGATGGGGAGAAGGTATTCCTGGTGTTCGCGCTGCAGAATGGCGAGGTGAGAATGAATGTGCCATATGATGAATGTTGAGGAGATGCTGATGGTAGAAGAACCGTACCGTCGAGACAACTCTTGCTGCACTGCAAGAGGACAATGCTATGAAGTCCACCCTCCCGCCCTTGATGAACCCGGCCATGCTCGAAGCCAGCGACGACCTGACGAATTTGTCCCATCTTAACGAGCCCGCCGTCTTACAAGCTATCAAGCTCCGCTATGCGCAAAAGGAGATCTACACATATTCTGGCATCGTCCTGATCGCCACGAATCCCTTTGCCCGCGTCGACTCGCTGTATGTTCCGGGCATGGTGCAAGTGTATGCGGGAAAGCAGCGAGCTTCGCAAGCACCACATTTATTCGCCATTGCGGAAGAGGCATTCTCGGACATGCTGCGGGATGGGCACAACCAGACGATCGTTGTCTCAGGAGAGTCTGGTGCAGGCAAGACCGTGAGCGCAAAGTACATTATGCGTTACTTCGCAACACGAGAACCACCGGACCAGCCTGGCGTGCGAAGGCGGGATCGTACCGCAACAGGCGACGCAATGAGCGAGACGGAGGAGCGGATTTTGGCCACCAATCCAATCATGGAAGCTTTCGGCAATGCCAAAACGACCCGCAACGACAACTCAAGTCGCTTTGGCAAGTACATTGAGATCATGTTTAATGCTCAGACGGACATCATCGGTGCACGGATACGCACGTATCTGCTCGAGCGGTCGCGACTGGTGTTCCAGCCGCTTAAGGAGCGGAACTACCATATCTTCTACCAGCTCGTAGCAGGCTCCAGCGACGCAGAACGGGAAGAGCTTGGCTTGCTGCCGGCAGAGCACTTCGACTATCTCAACCAGGGCGCCGCGACGCAGATCGAAGGTGTAGACGATGGAGCGGACTTTATGGAGACAAGATCGGCGCTGACAAGGCTGGGTGTGTCGCAAGACGTTCAGAAGGCGCTATGGCGGATACTGGCAGCCCTGCTGCATCTCGGCAACATAAAGATTACTTCCACTCGGACAGAGTCACAGCTGTCAGCTTCGGACCCTTCAGTCGCCAAAGCTTGCGCTCTCCTTGGGATTGATGCTGCCGACTTTGCCAAGTGGACGGTAAAGAAGCAGCTGATTACGCGCGGGGAGAAGATCATCTCCAATTTAACAGCACAGCAAGCAACGGTTGTTCGGGACTCTGTGGCGAAGTACATCTACAGCTCCTTGTTCGACTGGCTAGTGGAGACCATGAACGCTTTCTTGGCGACAGAGGAGACGCTAGAACAAGTCAAGAGCTTCATCGGCGTGCTGGACATCTACGGCTTCGAACATTTCGCGAAGAACAGCTTTGAGCAGTTCTGCATCAACTACGCCAACGAGAAGCTCCAACAGGAGTTCAACCAGCATGTCTTCAAGCTGGAGCAAGCAGAGTACATCCGCGAGGAGATTCGATGGGAGTTCATCGAGTACTCCGATAACCAACCTTGCATTGACCTGATCGAAGGCAAGCTTGGTGTCTTGGCACTGCTGGACGAGGAGAGCAGATTGCCCATGGGCACTGACGAAAGCTTTGTGAACAAGCTGCATCACAACTTCATCTCTGGCGACAAGCAGAACAGATTCTACAAGAAGCCGCGGTTTGGAAAGAGTGCCTTCACGGTTTGTCACTATGCTATCGACGTTACCTACGAGAGCGAAGGTTTCATTGAAAAGAATAGAGATACGGTGCCGGATGAGCATCTGGAAGTGCTTAGGAACACGACCAACTCGTTCTTGAAAGACATGCTGGAGGCGTCGGCTGTGGTCAGAGAGCGCGATAATGCCGCGCTTGCTGCACCAAAGGCTAACGGCACAGTGCTGGCGCCAGTGAAGAGAGCCGGGGCGGCAGCCGCCAGAAAGCCTACGCTTGGCGGCATCTTTAAGAGCAGTCTGATTGAGCTAATGACTACCATCAACTCTACAGATGTGCACTACATCCGGTGTATAAAGCCAAATGAAGGCAAAGAAGCCTGGAAGTTTGAAGGACCGATGGTCCTCAGCCAGCTCAGAGCATGTGGCGTACTGGAAACGGTGCGAATATCATGCGCAGGTTACCCGACACGATGGACCTATGAGGAGTTCGCAATGCGTTACTACATGCTGATACCTTCAACGCAATGGACGACCGAGATCCGCGACATGGCAAACGCGATCTTGCGGAAGGTGCTGGGAGAGAGCAAGCAAGACGGTACTGACAAATACCAGCTCGGTTTGACAAAGATCTTCTTCCGTGCCGGAATGCTCGCCTTCATGGAGAACATGCGTACAGAGAGACTGAACAGCGCCGCCATACTCATCCAGAAGAACCTTCGCGCCAAGTACTACCGCCGGCGGTATTTGGAAGCTGTCAGCAGCATCCGCGCCTTTCAGTCCTTTGTCCGCGCTATGCTTGCCCGCGGGCGAGCCCAGGAGGCGAAGCGACAGAAAAGCGCAACCACGATCCAGCGCGTTTGGCGAGGGCAGAAGGAACGGAAAAGTTACGTACGCATCCGAAACGATCTCGTCCTTGTTGAAGCGGCGGCACGCGGTTGGCTCTGCCGAAAGCGGATTCAAGACAAGAGGCTAGGTGACGCTGCTCGGTGCATACAGCGAGCATGGCGGCAGCACAGAGGTCTGAGGGCATGGCGAGACTACCGGCGGAAGGCCGTCTTGGTGCAAAGTCTGTGGAGAGGCAAGCAGGCGAGAAGAGGGTACAAGAAGCTGCGAGAGGAGGCTCGCGACTTGAAACAGATTTCGTACAAGCTTGAAAACAAAGTGGTGGAGCTTACGCAGAGTTTGGGCACTATGCGAACCGAGAACAAGGCGCTCAAGGGCCAGGTGCAGAGCTACGAGGCACAGCTCAAGAGCTGGCGAGAACGACATACAGCGCTCGAAGCGCGAACGAATGACCTACAGCGCGAGGCAAACCAGGCAGGTATTCATGCCGCGAAGCTTACCGCTGTGGAGCAAGAATTCGTACGCCTGCAGTCTGCGCACGAAGAATCACAGGCCAACATGCGCCGGTTGCAGGAGGAGGAGAAGAGCCTTCGGGAATCGCTCAAGAACACAAGTCAGGAGCTAGAGGCCACCAGACAGAGTCGAACCGTAAGCGAAACAGAGAAGCTGAGTCTGCGCAAACAGTTGGCGGACTTGCAAGATGAGCTGGAACATGCGAAGAGAGCAATGCCAGTTAATGGAGAGATGCTTTCCAACGGGATCGTTGTCCCTGCCGGACAGCAGCAGCCTTCGGGGCTCATCAATCTCGTAGCGTCAAAGAAGCCGAAAAGGAGAAGTGCCGGTCCCGAGCCGATCAACACCGAAAGGTTTTCAGGCGCGTATAATCCACGGCCCGTATCAATGGCTTTCGGTGCGACAGGAGCTCCGGGCCATATGCAGAATCTGTCAGGCTCGACGTTCAACCCAAGCGTGGAAAATGTCGAGATCGAGCTTGAGAGCCTGCTTGCAGACGAGGATGGCTTGAATGATGAGGTGACGATGGGCTTGATCCGTAACCTCAAGATCCCGCCGCCGGGCAGCACGCCACCACCCACTGATAAAGAGGTCCTCTTCCCAGCGTACTTGATTAATCTGGTCACAAGCGAGATGTGGAACAACGGCTTCGTGAAAGAATCGGAACGCTTCCTAGCAAATGTCATGCAGTCGATCCAGCAGGAAGTAATGCAGCACGACGGTGACGAGGCGGTCAATCCGGGCGCTTTCTGGCTCTCAAATGTTCACGAGATGCTGTCGTTTGTCTTCCTTGCCGAAGACTGGTACGAGGCACAAAAGACAGACAATTTCGAGTACGACCGCTTACTGGAGATTGTCAAGCATGACCTCGAGAGCCTGGAGTTCAACATCTACCATACCTGGATGAAGGTGTTGAAGAAGAAGCTTCACAAGATGATCGTGCCCGCCATCATCGAGTCGCAATCGCTGCCCGGCTTTGTCACAAACGAGAGCAACCGCTTCCTTGGAAAGCTTCTCAACTCTTCCGCCACGCCCGCCTTCAGCATGGACAACCTACTTTCGCTCCTCAACAACGTCTTCAAGGCAATGAAAGCGTACTATCTCGAAGACAGCATCATCACGCAGACTGTCACGGAGCTCCTGAGGTTAGTCGGTGTAACCGCCTTCAATGACCTGCTGATGCGGAGAAACTTCCTGAGCTGGAAGCGAGGACTGCAAATCAACTACAATATCACGAGGATCGAAGAGTGGTGCAAAAGCCATGATATGCCGGAAGGCACCCTTCAGCTCGAACATCTCATGCAAGCTACCAAGCTACTGCAGCTGAAGAAGGCAACACTGAATGACATCGAGATCATTCAGGATATCTGCTGGATGTGAGTTGCGTCAAAGATCGCACTGAATGTGACCTCACTGACCATGATATTGCAGGCTGTCACCCAACCAAATCCAGAAGTTACTCAACCAATACCTTGTCGCCGACTACGAACAGCCCATCAATGGTGAGATTATGAAGGCCGTCGCGTCGCGGGTCACCGACCCGAAGTCGGACGTCCTCCTACTGCAGGCCGTAGACATGGACGACTCAGGTCCGTATGAGATCGCCGAGCCACGCGTAATCACAGCCTTGGAGACCTACACGCCTAGCTGGCTGCAGACGCCGAGGCTGAAGCGCCTGGCCGAGATCGTAAGCGCGCAGGCCGTGATGCAGCAACAGCTTGACGCGAGTGGCATGGGCAAGTTGGCGGAAGAGAACGAAGGCCTAGAGAGCTGGCAACAGGGGGTGGTGCATGAGGTGAACGGGCTTAATGGGCATGCGCACCACCACCTTCCGCCTGTGACGCATGAGATCCTGAACGAAGAGGACGATGGCGACCTTTCGCCACACTCATAGAAGGGCGACACGGCCGTCTGCGTGAGTTCAGTATATGCTTTCAGCAGCGAGTTTGGCGTTCACAAGGCGAAGGCCAGTCGATGGTCATTCTGGGTCTTCTTCATCACAGCACGCGCGTTGCATCCGGGCGGACAGCGTTGTCGACAGGATAGGATCCTTTTCAGCGTAACAATTAGTGTATCATCCAGGGCCACAAGGCTCTGTGTCTCTCTGCGAACGTTGTGCCCACCAGCGTGCATCTTCCGTCCTCCCGTGAGATGACTCCGAAGCCTGCGCAACAGCACCAGATTCGACCATCCTGTGTTTTCATTGCATGACATTGACTACGATATGTGAGCAGGACGCTCCACTTCTTTGACGTGTCGCCAGTGCCACGTGAAGACGTTCAGCCGTCGCAAAGTCGCTCTGCCGTAGACTATAAGCATGCCGCTTGGGCACATCCACAACAACCACTCACAAGGATCGAGTGATATAGGGATTCCCACAAGCCAGCCACCGGAGTGTTGGGTAGAGTCCGCTCCTCTGTCATCTCCATCAAATACCGCGCGAGGCTGAACGCGGTTACTTCGCTCTCCTCACGCCGCCGCTTCTGCCACGGCAGCCTCTCCACTCATTGTCCCCGCCCCGACCGCCTTTCCCCCCCTCCCACCTACCTTCTTACCCGCATTCTCCTTCCGCTTGTCCTCTCTCGCCCTATTCCGACCGCGCTTCGCCTGCTCCTCCAGCGCCTTCGCCGCCTTCCGATTCTCCCTCTCACGCTCCTCCTCCGCCAGAGCAGCCTCAATATCCTCCCTCCGCCCCTTCATGCTCTCCCGGATCACGTCCTCAGCATGCTGCGCACTCTCGTACTTCGTGTAAAAGGCAATATCCTGGTTGGTGTCTGCAGCGTACTGCTCGAGACTTATAGTGCCAGAAGTCGGCAGCCACACGGGTTTAGTGCCTTCGACATGGAGCAGCATATTGTTCACGCGGACTGGGTCAAGACGCTCCTCGCGATTGAACTTGGTCTTCACCTGTTGTCTGCTTCTCGGAGCGAAGTATCGTGCAATGGTACCGAAGTCCGTGCCGAATGCCCAGAGCAAGTCCAGGAAGCGGTCGGTTTCGAAGTCGGTCCAGCGGTCGTTCGCCTTGCGATGAACCGGCACACGCTCAGCAGGATCACGGCGACGGTTGTTGATATTGGTCAAGCGGTTGACTCGACGGGTCAGATCGTTATCTTCTTCAATCAGGAGGTTGGGATCGGCCGTGGCATCCGCAGGCGCCGCATTAGGGAGAGTAAGGCTTGCTTCATCCGCAACAATCTGCCCGTTCACGATGCGGAGGGTCGGACCTTGGCTTGGCGGGATATCTTCCACGTTCCCATTGTCCTCGTTGGGTGGCTGAGCTTCACCTTCGTCGCCACCGTTTGCACCCGCTGGACGGTCTTCGGTTGATGGTACAGCATCCGTGTTGCTTTGCGCGGCGCCTCGGTCTTTCTCCTTCTGCTTCTCACGCTGTTGCTTCTGTCGCAACTCAGCAGCACGTTCGATCTCTTCTCGCCGTTTGCGGCCGACCTCGGCCCAATCGATCTTCTCCATTTCCTTTTCACGCTCAGAAGCCTTCCCATGATGGGCGTCACGGCTCAGATCGAACATGGAAAGCGTGTTTGGATCAATCTGATGCAACTCAGGATCGGGACCTTTCCGCTTTCGTTTCCGCTTGGCCTTGGGCTCCTCTGGTGGCTGCACTGCTTCTGCACCCATTCTAGCATCCTTGTGCTGGTCTTCGGATGGCTGCGTAGCTGGTTTCCGTCGCCTTTTGAGTGGCTTCGCAGTTGATACAGCAGGATTTGGTGTGGCATTTGACTCGTCCGTAGCAGATCGAGGAAGTTCCGGGGTCTCACGATCAGCCTCAGAGACAAGCGCCTCGCTAAGCTTCCGTTTGCCCCTTCCCTTTGGCTGTGATGCCGGCTTGGTTTGCTTTACTTGCCGCGACGCTGCGACTCGGCTTCTTCGCGTCTGTTTCACCAGATCTGGCGCGACACCCGAGGAACTCTCCTCCTGCGGATTGAGCAGCGGGTCCTCAGTCTGGTCCGATGCTGCCTTTGCCTGAGCAGGCTTACGCCTCGTATATCGAGGCCTCGCGGCTGTGACCGAAGGGGCGTTCGCGGCAGAAAGCACTTCTGGTCTGGTTGGGCCGTCGGCTGAAGGCTGTGGTGCTTCAGCAGGTGTTGCGTCTTCATTGACTTCGGCCTGCACGAGTGCGTTGCTTCTCGCCAAGCTCCTCTTCGGCCGTTTAGATGGAGCTGGCTCCGATGTGGTGGCGTTGGCATCAGACTGAACTGACTCATGCTTGCGTTTCCTGGAATGAGGCTTCGTGATCTCAGTAGTAATTGTGTTCGAAGGCGCCGCAATCAGTGGGTCGGAAACTCCGACTGACTGAGCGTCAACGAAACGCTCAAGGGTGCCATCAGAACTCGGCACTGTCACTGGGAGTCCAGATAGACCGTCGGACTCTTGTGCCGTTACAAGAAGCTCTGGCAAACCACCAACAGTCGCACCCGTCGCAGGAGCTTCTAGTGGCTCTTGGGTGGCCTTAACGCGACTTAAACTGGGTTCCGCAGGCGGGGGCTGGACATCAGGTCCGAGGTCGACAGCACCATTTACCCGATCCGCTATGTTGCGTTCATTTGCTACAGGCTCACTTGGGACCGGCGCCGTAGATGTGCTTACGGTCGAGGCTGCAGGTGCCTCGGTCTCAGCAGGCACGGTTGCTTGTGCTGCAGTTGGTTTTGGCGGAGCAGCTGGTCTCCGACGTGCAGGCGCCTTAGGTGCAACCTGCTTGCCGGGCACGGCTGAGCTGATGAGCTGGGACATTTCCTCGCGCTATGGATCATTCATGGCTACTGTGTTGGAAGAGCCGACCACAAGGTCTAGATGCAAGAGTTGACTGATGAGGTTGGCGAGCCATGACTTATCGATATCGGCCCGCAACGGCACCGCCCCGTACGGAGATCGTGTGGCGTTTTCGCAACCTTAGGCCGCTCTTACGGCCTGTGCGCTCAGCAACTCCTTTCGACAAGACTTCGAGTCTTGTGCGCCGTCAGCCTCTGCGAGCAAAACCACCACCACCACATATTCAAGCGCTTACACTCCTATCGAGTTGCTTCCGCCAGACTTCCTGCCCCCTATGACTGTATATGTGGGCCAATAATGGTAACGCGCGTTGCTACAGCCAGTACCTGTGTTCATTGCCTCGTGGTCTCCAATGACAACCACGCAGACCGCTGGTGTAGCGCTTCCATCCTTCGACAAGCTCAAGATGGAAGAGCGCAAGCGGTCATTATTGCCCGATGGCGATGATGGCGCGCCGAGGGCGAAACGTCTCGTGAAGGATGAGAATGGCCAGGCCATGCGGATGGACAATGAGAAGGAGAAGGAGATAGAGGTATGTCCAACAGTCTTGACTCGAAAATGTCAAGGTTAGTTCGGGTGAGCTGACAAGTCGATGCGCGGTTGCAGAGCTTTCAGAAGGATGCTATCTTGCGGCAGCTGAAAGAGTACAAGCGGCAAAAGAGGGACCTTGACGAGCAGCTTTCTGAGATGACCAAGAAGTGCCGCTATCATGACGACCATCTACGCGCCGTTGACGGCTTCTTCGCGCAACTACTCGACGAAATCCGTGTGCTTGCCAGCACGTCCCTACCAACTCCGCCACCTAGCGCCACAGCGCCCACGGGTATGCATTACACCACTATCCCTGTCACGTGAAGAGGCGATATACTGAGAATGAGCAATAGGCGAAGAAATGTACGGCTCGGCGTTGCTTTTCGAGAACAGCCATGTCTTCAGCGAGCACCTGCAAGCACGGTCGCAAAGTATAAGAAGCGCAATAGCGGACCTCTTTGGCAGGCTCCCCTCCGCAACACCAGATGTAGAGTCGTTGCGGGCGCAGTTAAACGAACTTTTGGCGAAAGAGAAAGAGCATGCCGTTCAGCTTCGGAAAGCTTTAGATGACCAAGAGTCACTGACGCAACGATGGGAGGCGGCAGTGGAGCGCTACATGATGGCAGAGAAGAAGCTGGATCGCGCCAAGAGTCAGCAAGTGCTCAAGCTTGAGCGACAAGCCATAATGGGCGGCAACGCGGATGTAACATCGCCGACGACGAGCAAGGCTTCGGGCACGCCTGTGAAGAAGGAGCACTCCGCGGTCAACGGTGAGCTCGAGAACGGCCTCCTGAGCGCGGAGGCAGAGGCTGCGCGCAAGGAGGCGCTTGCCGTGGCCGAGCGGCAGAAAGCTCAGGTGGAAGAGGTCGAGGCGGAGAACGAGCGCCTGACCAACGAGCTCAGTGCGGCGCGAACTAAGCTTGCAAGTCTGTCTGATGATGACTATGCCGAGACATCCATCTTCAAGACCTTCAAGTCCCAATACGAGGACGTGGTAAGGCGCGTCAACGATCTTGAAGCCACCAACGTGCAACTGCGTGAAGAAGCGCAGAAGCTGCAGAGTGAGCGAACGTCGTATCGCAGACAGATTGATGATGAGAACCGGGAGCATAGCAACGACAGCGAGGCGCAGATTGCGCGGGCCGAGACTGACTTGGCGCGAATACGGCAAGCTCGGGATGATGTGACCGCTGAAGTTGAAGTTCGACGGCGGGCGGAAGAAAGTCGGCGATCCGCGAATGATCTAGTCAAGGAGCTGGCGGAAGCCAAAGACATGAAGATTGCAGCACTGGAAGCGGAGATCGCGAGGCTGAAGACCCAGGTCGAAGACTCCGTAGGTGCTGACCAGGACATAGCTGGTGTCGATAACACGGACCTTGAGAGCCTCGATAATGAGGCTTTAAAGTTAAGGTTACGCACGCTGGAGGGTCAGCATGCTTTACTTAGCAACGAGCTCTCCTCCATGGAGGCCGCCTGGCGCAAGACTTCCGCCCTTGCCACGCAGAAGGTAGCCGAGACCGCAAACCAGGAGGAGCTCGTGGCGCGATTGAACGCGGAGAAGGCAAAGGCGGATCAGAAGTACTTCGCCGCGATGAAATCAAATGACATGAAGCAAGGCGAATTGCGGAGCCTCAAGATGCAGAACGCAAAGTCGAGCGAGATTGTCACGCAGCTGAAGGAAAGCGAAGGCAAGGCGCGAGAACTGGTGTCGAATTTGGAGCGCCAGATTGCCGAGAGTAAGGACGCTTTGGCGAAGCTTGAGCAGCAGCACAGGACACTGGAGCAGAAGAATAAAGAGAGCGCCATGGGTCTGGAGGGATCCCGGAAGCAGATCGGCGAATTCAAGACCCTTATCTCTGCCAAGGATAAGGAGATTCTAGCCGCTGGAAAAGCGAAGCGCGACGCGGAAGCTGAGCTGGAGAGGACCCAGACGCGGCTCGAAGATTCGCGGAAGCAGGTGGAGTCGCTGCGGAAGACGAGAGCGGCTGAGAATAGCGCGACGAGCGATGAGTGGAGGGTACGTCGTGAATGCCTCTACCGCCTTTGCTCTCTTGAGGTTCGTGCTAATTTGGATTGTGTGAAACAGAAAGTCGCCATCTGTCCGGTCTGCAACACAAACTTGCGGAATACAACTCTCAAGCTTTGCGGCCATGTTTTCTGCGGGGAGTGCGTGCAGCGACTTATTGCGAACCGCAATCGGAAGTGTCCCTCTTGTGCGCGGGCTTTTGGAAATGGAGATTTTATGGGGATCGTCTTGACCTGATTGGCCTGGGTTATGTTTGATCAATTGGAGAGCGTCGCCGGTCTCGGTTGGCCCGTCAAAGATGCCACCGGACGGCCAGTGCCCTTTTGATATCTGTCGTGGAGAATCGGCAGATGTCGCTCCAAGTAAAGGACAATTTTCGTCTGGCACTTGCAGCGTGCCCTCAATAGTGGGTGCGGGCTTGCCGCTCGGATTGGCGGTTTAGGGAGCCTAAGGTGCGGGTGAAGATCGTGGACGGCGAGGTTGGGAGGTTTATCTTGCTGAGGCTAGGTTCAAAGCCACAGTTGATGGGTACGGGACAGGAGAGGGACCACCGAGCGAAGTACTGTGATCACCGCTTGTCTTAGTTAGGAAGTGTACATCGCTCTGTACGAGTACTCGCGAGGCCTGCCATAGCGTGTGTCGCCTGCAGATGCTTATTGGCGCAGCCTAATCTTACAAGGAGTGCTTTGAAGTTTAGATAGGGCTGCTGCCAGCTGCCATTTGTAGTCAGCCTGGAGGTCTAGGTGCGCTGGACGTCCTTCTGCCCAACGAAATACTTCGAGTGCCAATCACAAATACCCGACTCATATGTCTGCGCAAAATGACTCGGGCGTCAGTGCGCTGCTCTCTATGGGTCAGTGACTGCTTGCCAAATTGTCCGCATAGCGTCGACACCAAGATGTCACTGGTACGCTGGGAGCGAGACACCTCTTCACCGTGGAAAGATGCCGCATCATCGAGACTGCAACACAGCCATCACACTTGTTTGGGCGGACCTTGTGTAGTTGGTCTTTCTCAGTATACGTCGATGTGCGGCTAACAACATTCTCGCTAGCATAGCATCCGCTCCTCAATGCATTTATACGCCTCATCAACGCCCTGATATCCCGCATACTATGTCTTCCGGAGTTGATCAGTGCCAGCATCCATGCATACGGCTATCGTAATGCTATCTCTCCCTGCCGGCTTTGTCTTTGGTGTAGGAAGGCTTGACTTGCGCAGAAAAGTAGGAAGACCTGGCAGTGTCCGTATCAGTTTCCATTCCAACAATGCTCAAACGGCATCACGTAAGACTTACGCCGTATACACCAACCGCACCGAACACAGCCGCAGCGACTGCGCTGCCACTCTCGGGATCCTCATCTGAGCCCATCATGCTGTGGTGGTTGTTTGCGAACATGCTGCCGATTGCGCTTAGGATGATGATCGCGAAGACGGAGATGACGATGCTACAACCATCTCAGTACAGCTTCATGTTGCCTTCTCGAAGCTCAGCCATACCATGTCCATGCATTGAAGGCGGATACTACGGGCTTCATGGTGCTTTCTTCTGCTCAATGCGGCCTTATCGTATGCAGAAGGTTCGTCAACGGTATGCGGGACGGACTTTGTCGATCGCAGGTGCTGTCCAAGAAGTGTTGCCGCGGCGGTGAAACCGTTCAATGATCGTATAAGGTCAATAGCCAGGAGTTAGAGTGGTGTATGAGGTGCGTTGGATGGCGATACATGGAGGTGACGACAGCCACATCCCGCGAGGCGGATGAGGCGAGGCGCCGTTCGGGCCGATGAACCTCAGGCAGCCGATTTCGACAACAATCCCGACGGCCCATAACGGCTGCAGAATGTGCTTAAACGATGATAGCATCATGGTGAATCCCTTATGATGTGCGGAATAGCGAAGGTGGGAGTAGTTTACATTATTATCAGGTGAGCGCAAGACTCCAACGTGCCAACCAGCCCACCTTTCAGCCCTGAATCTTCTTCGACTTCTTCTTCTTCTTCTCTTTCTCCTTCTTAGCAGGTTTCGTAGCGTCAACGGGAGCGTCCATCGCTAGTTGTGCGCCTGTAGCCTGCGCATACTGACCAATACCGAATGCCGGCGATTGTTCGATGAGCTGCTGCTGCCCCAGCAGATCCCCCGAGATTTGCATCTGGTTAAGCTGCTGGGCAAGCAACTGCGGCAACTGTTGCTGCACGCTCTGGCCGGCTGCTTGACTTAGCGAGCCTTGCGCGTGTTGGGCACTAGAAGAAGAGCTCATGCTGGTCATAGTCGTGATCACTTGCGTGAGCTGCTGGGCCCATTGCTGCATGCCTTGGCCTAGTTGCCAGTCTTGGCTGGATATGGAAGACATGGGCATTGGAGGTGGCGATGACACTTGCTGAAATGGTGGCATTGACCGCATTTGCTGTTGGGAATTCTGGGAGCTCTGTTGGTTGGATTGGTGGTACTGTGCTGGCGGAGGAGGCGGCGAAGGCAACTGTTGCTGCATGGTCTGCGAGCTTTGGTGGAAGCCACCTTGGTATTGCGTTGGCGGAGTTGGGAGTTGCTGTTGCCCTGGTGGAGATGGCATTTGTTGTTGCATCGACTGCGAAGTCTGCTGATAGCCACCGTAATGCTGCGGTGCTAGAGTCGGCACCTGCTGCTGTGTAGATTGCACGCTCTGCTGGTAGCCGCCTTGATGCTGTGGCAGCTGGTAAATAGGCTGCGATGGCTGATAGCTCTGCACGGACTGCTCATAGCTCCCTTGCTGGTACTGCGGGGGCAAGGGCTGTGCAGGCGGGGCAGGCAGCACTGGCGCCTTGATGGACTTTACTTTGCCGCTCTTCATCACCCCCAGCTGCCTCAGGACCAACTCATCGGATTTCCCTGCCATGATCTTCTTGACGATCTTTCTCGCTTCTGCTTCCGATTTGCCAGTGGCCGCGGCAGAGTCGACGAAGAAGTTGCCGACTTCAGCACGCTGTTGCTCCGTTACTAGTTCCTCCTCCTCTTCCTCCTCGACTTCGGTTGTCGTTGTGGTGGTAGTAGACGTAGTGGTCTCTTCGACCTCCTCGATCTGAGACTGGGTTTGGCACTGAGACTGGCTTTCGTGGCTGGAGTAAGATTGGCTCGAGGCTCCTCGTCTGTCGAGCGCGAGCTGATGTTCCACGGCACTGTCCCGATCTAAGTACACTTTGCCGTCGGTCGTCCTGCACTGACTACTCCCAGGGATGCGCTGCACTTTGCTGCGTGCGGAGTAGAAGTCGTGTGTTGATGCCGCCATGGTCAAGGGGAAGTCATGAGACCTGTGGCCAGGCCGCGGACTGGGCATGCCACCCATGTAATCACCAAACATAGGCCGGCCGGGCGGAAACATTGTCGTTGCACAGATCTGCTGTCAGTGTTGATAGCCTGTGGATCTGGATGTTGTGGGGCTGTCCGGAAGCACTTGGTGGAAGATTCCAAGTAGGATTATTCGCTGTCGCGTTAATCCATCTTTTGAAACCGGACACTGGTCATGAGAAGTATTGTACAACCACCACGATGTTGTCAGTAACCGCTCAAGCGTGTCACGTAGTGGCTGTAGACAGTGAGATCGTTACATGTACGGAGTCATATGGACACACGCTACCTAAGGTACAGTCACCGCCGCCAAAAGCCACAGAGTCCTTGCTAAGAATCCTGCTGCATGTGACTGGGCAGATTGTAACTTGCGTAGTCGAGGTGCACGAAGGCTCGATCCACTATGATATTCAGGTCAGCAAACAAGGTACTCCACTATGCCCTGCCTTAAGGCTCATAGTAATGCTCGTGCTCTTCAGAGTGACATACCTGAAGGATGGCTCTCCAGCACATACTGCAAACTCTCCCCCAAATCATGACTATCCCTCAAACTCGTATTCTCATCCAGCACAATGTCAACCTCCACATTCAGCTTATCGCCCGCATGATACGCCTGCAGGCCTTGGATCTTCTTGATCGTCTTCGCAAACCGCATGGTCAAATACAACAGCACATTCCGCTCATCGTGAGTCGCGGCACAACCCGTAAGCTTCCGTATGTGACCGGAGCAGATCGTAGACCACTGGAAGATGACCCAGATGGACAGAAGAATACCGCCAAGCGGGTCAAGCCACCAGACCTGCGCGTAGTAGCCCACCAGCGGGAAGATGATGGAGAAGGTGTTGAAGACCACGTCGGTAATGGCGTCCTGCGCCAAGGCCTGGACGGAGCTGTTGGGGATGAGTCGGCACCACAGCCAGCAAGCGCCCTTAATGCCAACTGTGCTGGCCATGATCACGATGGCAGGGGTGGTGAGTCGGACGACGCTGTGGTCGGGCCCGCTGAGCTTCTGGATACCTTCGATTGCGACTTGGGTGAAGGATGTGATCATGATCACGGCGAAGACGACGATGCCGACTGGCTCGAGACGCCGGCGCCCGATAGGATAAGCGTATTGATCCGTGTGAGCGATGAAGTAATTTGTGGACCAGATGATGAGGGTTGACAGCCAGTCTAATGCCGCATCGACGAGCGAAGCCAGAACGGAGACCGAGTTTGTCAAAACTGCGACGACGATCTTCATCGCGAGGAGGATGGTGTTGGCTACAGTATTGACGATGATGGCGACGGTGACGATGCGCGATTGAGAATCGGCTTCCTCCTCTTCTTCTAGGTCTGGCGGCATCACCTGAGAACATAGTATCAGTAAGTCCGCCGACCACGTACGCCTCAGTGATAGTACGAGACATGTACTCACCTGAGCTTCCTCGTCACCTCTACTATCCACTTTAAGTAGCGGCGTTCGCTCCGTCTCAGCTTCCTCCGCCTTGATCCGATATATGTCCTTCGGCGTACGTTTGACTCTTGGAACGGTGCCGTTGGGTGTCGTTGCGGTTACCGGGTCTTGGCGCATTTCGGGAGACCTTATCGGTGAAGCCTCCTCGGTAATAGTGGGAGGGACATCGGGTGTAGCCGAAGCATGACCGCCAGCGTTGTGATACTCCTCGATGAGATCGCGAGGCAGACTGCTGTCGAGCAGGCGATCGATATACTATGTAGAGCTTCCGTTAGCTTCTCAAGCTGCGGACAACAAGCAACGCCGAGTGTCTACCCTGTCGCACTGTCAGTCAAAAACACATCCATCCACTTGATTCTATAGTCGCTTACATATAGCGCTGAACAAGGTAATTGCACCGCTCGTAATAACGGCGCAATTTCTTCGGCATGTTCTTGAGCTGGTCTTCGGTCTTCCAATACTGCTCCCACCGATACCGCGGGTTGCTATTACCGATCAACCGCTGGCTGCGCATCTGCGGCCCCATGAGGAGGTTGGCCGCGTTGCTCATCCGCCGGTCATGTTCATGATCATCGCTATCGCCAACACCGCGATCATGGCTCGCTTGGTCGCTTTCATGGCTGCGACGCGGGAAGTCCTCTGCCCCCAAGCTGCTCCTACGCCTACGACTCCAGACGGCACTTCGTAGGCCGGCTACATTGGCGCTGGAGCGCGAGTGAACGATACCAGGTAAGTTATGCCCACGGCCAGATCGTGGAGAGCCCTCAGCGAGCGGCAGGAAGTCTTTCAGTGTCGATATGCGATACGTTCTTGGTCGGGTCGGCGAGCCGTCGTGGACGCTGTCGCCGGCGTCACTCATGTCGTTTTCGGCGCCGTTACGTGAACATGTGGGTGAAATAGAAGTTGGCGACGAGGATGGTGCCAAGAGTCGTGGGATTCGCGGTTGTGGATAGGGCGATTACCTTTGCATTGGCTGGACGACTGTGCCGTGATCGCGGACCACGTTGATAGACGAGCCGAGACCCCCGGGCGTCACTTCCGCCCGTGCTTTCCCCACGTTCCACTCGTGTGGCTTTGGACGGGAAGTCTCCACAGCTCCGTGCTGCAGCTACATACATGATACAGTCTCTCAGAGCAGCCCCCCTTGATCCCAGGCATACCGGGTGCGGCTACGCAAATTCACAATGGACTGGTAAGTAAGCAGCCCCTTAATGACGTTACCTGTAGTACGAACTATGTGAAATTGGCAAGGGTTCGCTGTAAAGCGCGTAACGCCGCAGATTCCTTCAGATGGGTGGGTCTATGTAGCATCAAGAAACAGGAACAGGACAAGTGAGAAATTATATCAATGAACGCAGTTGTAATAGTTGTGCCATCCATAGAAATCGACGTGGACTGGATCGCAAGAGAGTAGGGCAGTGCTCTTCAAGGAAGCCATGCCTGGCTATCACTTGCCTCCTCCGACCCTCTGCGCGCCCACCGCTTATTGACAGACCTGCTTACATCCGACATACGACTCGAGGCGCCTCACCATGCTTTCACTCCTCCGTATGCGACGCAATGACCGGCCACGAATCCAACGGCACCCTCATCCCCGCCGCCCACGCCTCCCGCAGACCCCGCTGAAACCACGTCAGCCTACCCAGCAACTCAGCAATCTCGAGTCTCTGCGCCGGTTCTTCCGCAAGACATCTCCTCACCATTTCCCACAGCCACGGCAAAGTCCGCGCATACTGCGTAGCCTGGAAGAAATCCTCCAGCGACTCGAGCTCGAACGCGTCATCTCGATTGTCGAACTCCACGTTGAAGATGAGCCCGCAGAGAGTGGCGGCAAAGGTGTAGATGTCGCTCGCTCTGGTCATGATTCGCCCGACGATCGCGCGGTCGTAGGCTTCTGGGTCGTCTTCTTCGAGATCGAGGACTTTGCGGACTTCGGGCGGGTAGTAGCCAGTGGTTCCGGTGGTGCCTACGCTGCGATGTTCGATCTGCGCCATGCCGAAGTCTCCGAGCACGATGTCAGGGAGATCGTAGTTTGGTTGCGTCGGCCAGCGCAGGAAGACGTTGTCCAGCTTTATGTCGCCGTGGACCATTGGCTCGTGGTTGGGGACGGTCTCGCCTGTGTCTGCATTTATGACTCCGTTGTGAATGTAGCCTAACCCTCTTGTCATCGAACAGATGTAGTGCAGGATGAGGTGTTCCGGAACAGCTGCGTTATTATGCCCTCTCGCGGTGGTCCAATGAATTAAGAACTTACGCAGGTCGCCGGCAGAGCAGTATTCCAGCTCCATGCTGCAGAAGCGCCCTTCCCCCGGACCCCCATATATATACGTGTTGCGCAACTCGATGATGTTGCGGTGCCGTCTGAGGTAACGCTTCAGCGCTTTGACCTCCATCGGCACGTCCCAGAGCTTGCTGTGATGGTTTAGCTTCATGCCGATAGTCTTGAGGACGGAAATCTCACCAGTTGGCGACTGTACAAGGTCGAGGCGGCCTTGCTCGGTGTTGCTGAACTTCTTAATGACCTTCAGCCGCTCGAGTGCTGCCGGTCGCTGCACGGTCATCGTTCCTGTCATCTGCGTAGACGACATCTTGGACGGAATTGGGATTGTTGAGTATGGGGCCATGATCCTCTCTGTCTTTCGCAACTCGCCAAGGGTCGAAGTGGTAGTGCGACTGTCCGGCAACCGTATTCGGCCTGAAAGTCTCCCTCCCTTCTCCTTCTCTTGCTGTCTGAAAAGAAAAGAAGGAAACAAACCGTCTTCATCTCGCAAAACCCCATCTTATACTAGTAGCGTAACTCGGTATATACAAAGGACAAAGAGAACATCCGGCACGAACAGCGACCTATAAAGACCCGACAAAGCGCCATTGCTTCATCCTCAGCTATAATGCCCTTGTTGTGCTGGGGTTGCGGCTCTTCGTTCGAGTGAGTCTGGCCTGAACGGTTTAAGTAGCTCAGTGCCGGTAGCGTGAGACAAGCACATGAAGGTCCTGAGGACCGAGGGATTGAACGCGGTACGTAGCAGGGAAGAGTGAGAGTAGGGGCGGCCAAGCATCAGCCCAGCCAAGACCACTGATGCAACAGTGTCGAGGATCCGTTCGGCATCTTCGACGACTGCTGTATTTTGTGATCTGACTGCGGTTGCAGATTGTTGAATTGTGCAGCTCACACGGCATTCTTGTTCGATTGTTGGGGAGATAAGCACAAAACCTGCGCGTACCGAAAGCGAAATGAGCGTATATACTTGTAGGATATGCGTCAACAATGCCTTTGTGCTGGTGTAGCGGGTGCGTGATCGGCACGCGGTGCATTGAGGCAATCGTGGTTCACGCCGGTGTGACTGAGGTGTAGGCAAGGCGGCGTGGGCGGACGGGATATGTAAACGGTCTTAGACCTGCGTAGGTTCGCTGACTGCGGTCAGATCGTCAACGCTGCTTCCCGACGGCGCCATCCGCCGACGCCAGTATCAATACCAAGGCGTCACCTTCGGATCTTCAGCACTCCAGCACAATCACCGTCCAGTCCATCAGCTATATTCCCAATCAACAGATCGCTCGCATGATTATGCTTGCATCGGCATCACCGATCTGAGTAACCCGTTCAAAGGCAGCTGAAATCCGATTATGATTAATGCGTCCGTGTTTCTCTGAGCTTTGGGACCGCCACGTTAACTAGACAAGATCGGGAGTGTCGGAGGATTGGCTACTTGTGGTGAACGCGACCTCACCACCAGTCAAATCGTCGAGTTGAGGTAGTGTCATGGGAAGGTGAGCCATTGCAAGCTTGACTTCCTAAGTGATGGACCATTGGGCGACTGTTGCTATGGCTGTATACGGTACGCTTGGTCGGTCAAAGGAAGAAAGCCTACCTTATGATATATTGATTGAGAGCTCTTATATAGATAGGTTGGTACCTGGGACAAGACATGTAGAAATGGCCTGTCTTTCATTCCAACGCATGTCTTGTTATTCAGGCAGGCAGTCAGCCATGATGAGTGAAGCCGTCCTCGTCGTTTCAATGCCGGGCGGATGAACGCTAACCGCTTTCGGCTCGCGTTTCAGATTAATGATCAGCCGGCTCCCCAATGTCGCCAAGACGCGTTCGTTCATCTTTGCTGCATGTCGCATGCATCGCATTACGCACGCCCACGGCGGGGCGGAGTATGTATGTATGTATGTATGCATGCAGTCAGCGGCAATGGAGCTGCTGAAAAGCTGGGCGGTGACTGTACGAGTGGTGGCGAGAAATAAGACCATGATTATATATATATATGGCGAATCAGTTAAACGTGCTATGGACGAGGGGTTGCGTAGTTAATGCGCGCCAGCGGCGAATCAATCGGGCGTGAATGGATGGATGGAGAGTGCAGAGTGCATACTGCAGCAAGCTTTCATGCAGGGCCCTTTGGCTTTGTTGATGGACGGTTGCCGTAGCTTTCTAAAAACAAGACATCTTACATCGGACTTTGATTGCACCCACCCCCTCTTCTACCACCACACCATACTATCAAGACAGGGTCACTTCATTCATTGTTGACGGTGTGAGATGGTGAATGGATTGATTGATTGATTGATTGCATGTTTGTTTGTGTGGATCTTTGATAGCGGAGATTAATATCGCCCCTGGTTCGATATCGCGGGAGAAGTGGGAATAGGGGAGAGGGCGTGTGCTGGAGACAGTCCAGCACAGTATCTTGGCCCTCTGACGTGCCGACGTGTGCTGCCACGGGCGGTCGTGCTTTCCCTGGCCCTGCCTTTGCGACCATCGACCACTCACCGAAGTCCGACTTCTACGCTTCGGAAGGGAAAGCGAGACATTGCGCCTACCCGTACCCTTGTAAACACGGAGTAACGACATCCGCTGAAGAGCAACATACAGCACCACCGCACCACCACCGCACCACCGTCGCTCTACGCGTCCACCTGCTTGCGCCAGGGTATTGTGTAGTGTTGTTGTTGTTGCTGTTGCTGCTGCTGATTCAGCGCGCATGCCGGACATGGCCAAGATGTACGCTGCTCCCGCCCTCTTCGCCCACCCCGTGCATGCATGCCAAGAGGAGTGAAGGGATATGCCGTTGCTGATGATGGCGCTGCTACAGACTCGCGAAACAATGGAGCGCCTTCTGGCACACCGTCACCTCCAACGACCGCCATGCCTCCTACGACTCCCCGTACCGCACCGGCAACCACGTGCCCCTCTCCCAGAACCGGCAATCCACCTTTGGCTCCAGCGCCCCGAGCGCATACGAGTCACGAACAGACCTTCACGACATCGAGGCCGGCCATGGCTTCGTCGCGAGCACTGCTGCCCCCACACCTTACCCCAAGCCACTGCAGAGAGCGGACACGGGGGGGATTATGGAGGCCAAGATGGACGGCGTGGGAGTGGGCGAGATCCAAATGCAGAGTTTCAACGACGGCCTCCCACCCCCACCGCCCGTCAGCCACTCCTGGCGGCGCATTGACCGCTGGCTGGAAGACAACTACGAAGAGCTGTTCGAGAACATCGGCGAGCCGGCCACCATCAACGACGTCAACGAGCTGGAGCACGAATTAGACTGCACCCTCCCGCAAGAAGTCCGCGAATCGCTCCAGATCCACGACGGGCAGGAGCGCGGCGGCATGCCCACCGGCATCATCTTCGGCTGCATGCTGCTCGACTGCGAAGAGATCATCCAAGAGTGGCAGAACTGGCGGACGGTCAACGAAGCCTACTTCAGCAACGAGCGCAGCTACGAGATCCCGCAAGCGCCCATCAAGGCCTTCGCCGGCTCCTCTTCCTCCGCCATCCCCATCGCGCAGGCCCAACAGACCACGAGCACGCTGTGGCGGCAAGAGCTGCTCGAGAAGCAGGACTCGCAGCCGTCGAATGCCATCCAGAAAGCCTACGCGCATCCCGCTTGGATCCCGCTGGCGCGAGATTGGGGCGGGAACAACATCGCGGTAGACCTCGCGCCAGGCCCGACCGGCAAGTGGGGCCAGATCATACTCATGGGCCGCGACTTCGACTGCAAATACGTCGTGGCGCGGTCGTGGTCCGCCTTCCTCGCCACGATGGCCGACGACATGGCGTCGAACCGCACGTGGATCGACGAGGACAGCCGAGAACTCAAACTCCGCGAATTCAAGCAGTCGGGCGTCGAGCCGGCATACATCGACATCTTACGGTGGAGGGCGGATCAAAAGTACGGCCGGAAACGAGCCGCGAAGAAACCGCTGAAGATCAACAGTAACATGCCGGGCGGTGGGGCAATGAACGGGCTGAGTCCCTACGCCAGCCCGACCAGCTCGGTAGACGGAGACCGCGGGCGCAGTCCCAACCGCTACACCAACGGCAAAGCCCCCGCCGTCTCCACCTCCAGCCCCCGCGCACACGTCGGCAGCCCTCTCGCCCGCGTGACGGAGGAGGCGCCCCCGCCACCGCCGCCACTCACCGTCAACACGAACGTGCCTGACTCGGCCACGCTGAGAGGGGAGAAGTTAATCTCCGTCGACACACCCCGCGCCTCCCAGTCCTTCGCGCCACCACAACCGAGTGAGAAGTTAGTCTCGCTCGACTCCCCCCGACCGAGCGAGGAGTTGCAGAAACGCGGGAGTTTTCCCTTGCCCAAGTCGAGTTTGCGCACGAGCGTGTTGAGTAGTGATCAGATGGCCGTGGTGGATTCTTCCGTCTTCTCACCCGGTGGTGGAGAGGAGGGAGGGGAACTGGCGGGGCATGAAGAACGGGAAGGTGGGAGAGAGGGGGGCATGCGGGAGGTCACGCTTTAAAATGCCCAAGCTCTTATCGAAAGAGAAAGAAGTAGTGAACAGCTACTGTGCCTGTGCTCAGGGGCTGGGAGGCTGGGAGGCTGGACACGGTAGCAAGAAGTTCTCCAAGCAAGCTTTGTGCATTATATGCAAGACGCTGCCCCTTTTAGTTACACGGAGCGAGGAGTTTGGGGCGCTGCGGCGCGCGCGCGCAATGGATGGCAGTGTATATGTATGCCCCTCCGCCCCCCGCACCCCCCTTTTGGGTTCGACAGTCGACACGGGCTACATGCAGCCGGTCAAAACCGGTGCGAAGAAGGGGCGCGGGATCTTGGACTGGGGGGTGGGACTTTTTTACTACCGCACTTTTGTGAGAGGAGACGGCCGAATTCAGGAGGGGTTCTCGGGATGCCTCGAGAACATGCAATTGGCGAGTAAAGTGTACCAGTATCCCACCTTGTGGAGCATATGCAATCGAATACACGTCATGACTTGGGTAGCCGTTCGTCGAAATGGCAGCGGATCGTCGGTGTGACTTTTCAACAAGAGTTTCCCAAAATGGCGGACAAAATCCCGCCCACCCTCACGCCACCGCATAAAGAGGAGGTACATAGCAAACTCAGCCATATCCTCACGAGGCAGCCAAAGCCACCCCCATCGCCCCCTCCTCCACCCCGACCCGGAACTCCTCCATCTCACCCCCGCGCTGCCGCACCACCACCCCGACCGTCTCCGAAAACGTCTCCCCATTCTCCACGAACCACTCCGCCGCCCCGGGCACATTCATGCGGATCCACGCCTGCACGTGCAACTTTAGGGAGCAGAAATTCCGCAGGAACAAAATTTGGCCGGGGTCGAGTTTCATCATGTCCTCCACGACGTAGTAATGCTGGATCTCGTCGCCCCAGCCTTCGCCGCCGGGTTCGTGGAAGCGGGTCGGTTGGAGACGGTTGCTGTTGCTGACCGCCGGGTATTTGAGCGAGGGGGTGCTGAACCAGGCTTCTGTTGCGCAGAAGGAGGGGGCCGGGGGTGGGGCGTAGTGGATGTTGAAGAGTAATTGGTGAGTGGATTCGGGATAGCGTTTGGAGAATTTCGCGGCGATCTTGCCGTTGGAGGGGCAGACGTTGTTGGCGACGACGTCTCTGATCACGACGTGCACGTCCCACATCGCGGCCAGGTCGGCGGTGGTCCAGTTGTGCAGGAGGGCGGCACGTTCGGCGATGGTGGCGGGGTGGTTGCGGGTGGTGCGCGGGTAGTCGCGGGTGTGGAAGGCGTGGGAGTAGAGCCAGAGGCGGTAGAGGGCGCGGCGGAGACGACGGCGTTCCGGGGCCGACAGGAGGCGGCGCGAGGCGAAGTCGGATTTCCATTTCTTGAAGGGGTAGATGTCCTCCCATGCCAGGGCGGTGCGGCCGATGGAGAGGATTTGGGTGAGGAGGGCGGTGGAGAGGGCGGCGGTGCGGTGGTGGTGCGCCGGTTGCGAGGCGTTGTGGGTGCAGATCTGGATGATGTCGTCTAGGGGTCCGAATTCGGTGTCCGCGACGGTGGCGAGGAGGGAGAGGCGTTGGCTGGAGTGGTAGACGGTGTGGAGGTGCTTGCAGGTGCTGGCCAGGGCGAGGACGGAGGCGATGTTGGGGAGGGTGGCGTAGACGTGGGAGAGGATCTCGTTGGGGAGGGCGTCGAAATACATGGTGGCGAATAAAAGTCCCCCCAGGCTTCAGCTTCAATCAAGTGCTGCTTCGTAATGACAGCGGTTCTGTCTTTCCTTCTCTACCTCTACGGCTCTATATGGCCTCGTTCGGGGTGATAGTGTCGCCTACCAGCTTCTTGTAGCTGGCTGGCGGTGAGGGTCAGTCTCAAACCACGTCCACCCCAATACTGGGGCTATAGGTGGACATCTCATTGGCACGGAAAGCGGACATGCTGGTATAGCCACGATGGGCCACCTGCATGTCTACTGTCATTTCTGCCCTCGATGCCGATGCAGATAAGAAGAGTCATGCAGCTGAGGTTCGATGACCAGCCATCGGATCAACAATCGGAGATGTCTCCGCGCTGCACGGGCCAACTGCCCTCGGAACAGTGGGTCGGGAAGCCGCCGAAGCCGCCACCTCCGCAACCCGCAACGAAGCTCCGTGTCCCTCTTCGATATCAAACTCTCTTTCCCGCATGGACTACGGCCACTACAATTGCCGTGACTACTACATCAGTCCGCACGTTGCCGCCCCCATCATCACCAACGATGACCGTCTCAAGCCTTCCGTCTACCGTCATGAGTCGTTCCAGGAGCTGGAGGAACGCTCTCGCTCCCCGGCGAGCCTCAAGCCGAAGTTTCCCCTCTTGAAGCTACCGTTGGAATTGCGGCAACAGATCTTATCGTACCTTCTTCCGAGGACGAGGGAGCTTGAACAGCGTACCCCGGTGTGCTCGCAATCACCGACAAGACTTTTCAGGCCTGGCAACAGTGATTGTAGACCTGTTGTAGTCAAGCCTGATGTTAGCAGGCACCCAAGCCCACCAACCACCAACGTCGTCTGGCTTCTGGGCAACACCAAACTCTTCTCCGTCTGTCGTCAGTTACATGACGAGTGCGCCGAGCTGGTCTATGGCCGCAGCACATTCCTGCTAATATTGACTTACTCCGGCATCAAGTGGCGGTGCCGATGGCTATACTCCACCGGCAGGATGCCGACGAGGCACTGTGACTTTCTAGAGCTTGTTCCGGAACGCTACCTGCGTCTGATCAAGCGGGTAGTCGTCAACATCGAGCATGTCGACTCGTACACCGGCATGATCAAATTCAACGTCAGTGGCAAAGGGTTGACGCATGGGTTGCGGAGACAGGTGCAGAGGCTTGTCAATGTTCTGAAGCCCCGAGACACATCGCAGATTGAAGACGACGAAGTGGTCACGCGCGCGCATGCTGAGAGACGCCTTACCAAGCTCGCCGTGACGGTGTCGAACAGCAACGCCGTCTCCGAAGCCCTGGACCGGATGCGGAACGGGGCCGAAAAGAAGGTTGCGCAAGACGTGGAGGTCATGCTGGAGCCCTTGCGGCAGCTGTATGGTGTGCGTGAAGCAACCATTAGCGGCGCGGTTGCAGACGACTTTGCGTGTGAACTGGAAGCAGGTTTGATGAGTAGCGAGCGGCCTGCTGTTGACTATTTAGTCGATACGGATGATGCTGGCGGCTTGGCTGCGCCGGTCGCTGGGCTCTGTGTATATGGCAACGACATGAGCTGATGATTGATCATCGTGTTGCGCCGTGGAGAGGCTTTTCACTTCCATACATTGCATCACGAGGATGTCTCACCAGTGCCTTCACTGCCGTTTGCCGCTGACACTTGCTAACCACTGCCCATATTACCCGGGATGGTTGCAAGAGGATATGGTAGCAAAGACGAAGAGCACATTCGCAGCCTGCGCGCACCACTGAGCCGTAGCGGCTACCCAAAAGGTCGACCTAAAACAGAGATTGCTGAGGGCATCTGGCGGTGAAGACAGTAGCTGATCATCACAACAAGTCTCGCCACGGAGCGTTTGAGTCCCACCACATGTACTGCCAAATCGGCGCGGCGGCTTTCGTGGCAAGGCACTCAATCTGCTCCAGACTTCCAAGCTGATGCACATTGAAGGCTGAGACAATCATACCAAGCTGATCCGGAAGCTGCGACACCAGCACAATGGTATTCTTACTGTGTTTCCTACTAGCATCACACATGGGAAAGGGGTCTCCCGCTGCTTGTTCGCGCTGCACCAGCGATATAAGGCCGAATCGCATATGCAGATTCACGCGTGATGGGAGAAGCGAAGTATGCCGATCGACATGCAGAAGCATACTGTTTCAGCCTGCTATTGCCACCATCAACTGGATATGCCTGGATCCATCCTCCGCTCCGCGCCAACGTATGGCAGTGTCACACTAGCAGCGTTGGGCTTACTAGCTCGTTCAGGTTCGTTCATATGACAGAGAGATCGCGATAAAAGTATAAGGGCATTTTAGCTGAGGAAAAAGTTATAGCGCACTGTCATCTCCATTTCATGTAGCTGCTTGTCGCTGACATTCTCTTGATCCATTGTATACAGTATACAGTGTTACGAGTATAAGATATTTGTTTGGGGGCCATAGACGTCGTCTCTTTCCTTCCCTCTCTCCTGTTCTGACAGCAAGAGGAGGAGTAAGAGAGTGGAAGAGGAAGAGACCATAACGTAGGAGTGGATTGTTGGATCGCAGCAATCGGTGAGAGAGTGCCAGGGAGCCCGTGGGCGGCGAGCAAAGTCAGGTGGTAATGAGGTGCGGCTTTCATTCATCTTGAAGCATCCATATCTACACAAGCCTGGCAAAGCTCATCAATGCGTAGCGAGAGTCTCTGCTCCGCTACGCGAAAAATGCAACACTGCTGTCTCCTACATATTCTGATTCTCACATCTTCCTTGTAGAACTTTCGTGCAGAAGCGTACGGCTCAAGGTCTCATGGTCTCACAAGAAACAAAACGGACGACAGAAAAAAAAGCAGCGGACATTCCAGAGAGTATCAGCTCATCTACCCGTTCCAACTCTCTTATTTGTCACCGCATCCTTCTTCGCTCACCTCACTTCTCCGTAATCGCAGGCCACCGAGCCATCCAATCCCAACCTCAGCAGCAGCAGCAGCAGGAGAAGAACAGGCACATCATGCCGCCGCCTCCCGTGTGGCGCACCGCCCCCGTCTCCTCCAGTCCGCGGCCAAAACTGGACGGACCAAAGGCGGCAAGCAGCGCGAAGTCTCGCCACGACTGCCCTGCTCTGCCCGAGCCTGCCGCGTGAGATGACGTCGAGTTTGAGGGTGAGGATGTGGGAAATGGGGATCGAGTACAGCTTCCACGGTCATGTCCTCGCACGCCGTCCTGAATCCTTTCCGCTCCCTCGTCGCCCTTCATAATTTGGACCTTGGTAGAGATTGGTAAGTTCTGCGTTCTTCAAGAACCCTACCCGACATCAACCTCGACAGCGAAGCTTGGCTGCGAAATTCCAGCATCGCCTTGCGCCTGGGAGCGGGTGGGTCAGACTGCGCTGTTCTTCGTTTGCGCGGCGGCGGGCGAACAACTTGGTCCCTCGGTTTCCAGTAAGAACCGCTTAACTGCTCCCAGGACGTTGAATTCTTTGTCACAAATCGCAGCGTGGATGCGAAGACAAGTCGCTAGTGAAGATGATTGCCCAGCCGGCTGGAAGGCCGAAGCCTGACTCATCCATTCCTTGGGTCGGCACATCCAGGATCGGGTCTGACCGTGCGGGAAGTGAGGCGTTTGATCGCCATGCCGGTAGGAGAGCAGTACTAGGTCCCTGACCCAGGTAAAGCGCAGGAGGTGTGAGACATGTACGTCGGCCCGGTTCGAATGCTTGCTGGCGGGAATCTGAAGGTGGACCGTGGTATTAGATTTGATGTATTGGAAGGCCCGGAGCTGCTTAATAGACAGCTTGGAAGGTCTGCCAAGGGATGGAATGAGGTGAAGCCGTTCCCGAAGGTGCATGATGGCGGGATGCTTGAGAGGACGCTCGGGCTATTCGTAGGAGAGACGGTGCGGTAGGTGGGTGTAAAGGTCGACATACCCACGGTTGCTGTCGTCCTCGACACCGTAATGATAGGGTGTCCCTACGACACACTATGCATGGATAGTCGCAACAACGAGGCCTCGGTAATCCACGTTATCTCGACTCCGCGTGTACTGGCGTGCTTGCCAAAACAACCGCATACTCCCACTCTCTGCATATCGAACGTTACAGTCTCACTTAGCCAGTACGGAAAGCATCATCTACTTCTTCTTCCCACCCCCCTTCTTCCGACTCTCCGCCGCCGTCTTCTTCTTCTTCGGCGCACCCTTACCACGACTCTTCATGATCTGAATATGCTCCAGCCGGTCCTCTTCCTGCGCGTCGTACAGCTCATACCCCGGATAGAGTGCTTTGAGGTCTTTGAAGGTGGCTGTGCGGCGGGGGTAGTAGGCGGCGAGGGTAGGGCCTTTGAGGCGTTGGCGCAGGATTTTGTTGCCGAGGCGCAGGTTGTCCGGATTGTAGATGGTGGAGAAGATGCGGCATTGCACTTTGAGGAGGTCGAGGATGCGGGTGCGGGGGACGGCGGAGGCCATGTTGGTGGAGGAATGATGGTGGAGGTGGTGGTGATTGGGGGGGTGCATTGAGAGCTTTGGGAGAGAGATGGATGCCGGGTGAAGTTCGGGTAATTGATTGAGCTCCAATAGAAATTGATGAAGCTTCACCAAGATCCATCTTACTACCACTCGATAACTTCCGTACAGCTCATCTCCTCGTTGCCGCTTCGACAGCTTCACACATATTGGGCCGTGTGTGGCAGCAGCAGCGCTGAGGAGAGCTGTCGCCCCGCGTCAACATGAACCACAACAATATGAACCACAAGCGACCTTTCTCCGACGATCGCAACGGCCATAGCACGCACAAGAAGCCGAAGCACGAGCATGACCATGGCCAACAGCAGCCGGCGCCGAGGATGCCACCGACGACGGCGACTGAACTTCCGCCCTTCTCCCCTCCCCAGCCACCGGCAGACTCGGCGCATGGCGAGGCGGTGGCGGTATCATACAACTACAGCACCCGCCAATGGACGCTTACCTACCAGTCCGGCGCAACGGTGAGTGGCCCACCAGGTACACGACTCGGCAAACCCATCCTCAACCACGAAGACGCCATCGCCAAGCTCCCCAGTCCAACCCCCACCACCACCCTCCCTCCCGTCTCCGCCTATACCCCGTTCACCGTCCCCGCAGGCCTGCCCTCACTCCCCTCAATCGTCGACCTCGACCTCGCCACCGCCCCCTTCCGCCACAAGTCCGCTACCGCAAACTACAACCGCTCCTCCTCCGCCCCCACAGCCGTAACCTACGAAAAGCTTGAATTTCTCGGCGATGCTCAAATCGAACATCTCGCCTCCCGCCTCCTCTATACCCGCTTCCCCCACCTTCTCGCAGGCCAGCAATCCCAACTGCGCGAACTCCTCGTCAAGAACGAGACCCTCGCCGAGTACGCGCGCGCCTACGGTTTTGAAGGAAAAGTGCAAGTCGCTGAGCTCGCAACTAGCATGAACGGAGGCGGAGGGCATGAGAAGAAGGGGAACAAGGGTTTCAACAAAGTGTTGGGAGATGTCTTCGAAGCCTACGTCGCAGCCGTAATCCTTAGCCACGGCGACGAAGGCTTCGCCATAGCGGAGAAGTGGATGACGAGCCTCTGGGCTCCCAAATTAGTCGAAGCGACGTCCGGGCGGGACTCGAAGTACTACACCCCCTCTATCACCAAAGATCTGCTCCAACAAGAGTCACCGATCTCCGATCCGAAAAGTATATACGATCCAACCGCAAAGGCGACCCTTCAGAAACTCCTCCTCGGCTCGAAAGACACGCGCCTTGACTACACGCCTTACAAGAAGTCTGTGGAGTTAAAGGGGGATCGGTTGGGCCAGAACAGGCATTTCATCGCGGTGTATCTGACGGGGTATGGGTATGATCGGCGACTTTTGGGAAAGGGGGAGGGGCGGAACAAGGTCGAGGCGGGGAATTGGGCGGCGGTGGATGCCATGTTTGGGGAGGGGACGGATGTTGTGGAGGAGTGTGCGGGGAGACTCAGGGTTGCGAGGGAGGCGAGGCAGAGGGAGAAGGAGAAAGAGGGCGAGGAGCAAGGGGAGGCTGCCAAGGCTACTGTAGCTGCTACTCCAACTCACGCGAGTGGGAATGACTGACATGACATGGCGTGTGTGGCGATGCTGTGGGATCAGCAGCAGGCGCGCGCGGGAGTGCGGAAGGATATTGAGGAGGTGTGGCAGGCTTGATAGGCATGGCGGGTGCAAGTAGAAGAGTTTGAAGCGCTCGAAGCAATTGTACCGCTCGCTCATGCAATCTACTCGACCCGTGCCTTCAACGCCTACGCTAATGTATATATGTGTGTATGTACACCCCCACATCTGCCCGTTGCTCATATCTACCAGCGAACCAGCGCTGTCCTGTACAAAACCGCCCGCATACCTTCGTACATCCCGTTCATAGGCATCGCTTCTTGTGTAATGTTCTAAAACCGCAGCCCGGTGAAGCAGTAGCCATGCCCACCCAAGCTTCATATTCACCAGCGAGCCAGCGCTGTCCTGCACAGTCCGCAAAACCCGTCCCTGTACCCTCATACACGCCCCCCATAAGTATCACCTTCCACATAACGCGCAGTCAGCATGCTCATGCTTACCCAAACATCACACCCCCCTCCTTCGCCCCAACCCCCGGCGTAACAGGAAACCCCCCCGGCATGCCCGGCATCGCCCCACCCCCGGCATCCAAGAACGCCGCATCCCTCTGCGCCGCCGCCTGCGCATGCGCCTTCGTCATGATAATCGCCGCGCTCCCCTCGGGATCCATGGTGCCATCAATCCCCGCCTTCCTCCCCTCATCCTCCTCCGTCTCGCGGCCCCTCCTCTCCGCGTGAATCGTCGCCAACGCCAAGATCTCCGCCGCGTCCGCATCGACCTTCGCCGCCGCCGCGGACCCGGACATCTCCAACTTCGGACCGGGCGACATACCTTCCTCCCTGTCTTTCCGCTGTTTGGCTTGCTTGACCACGCTCGCTAAGCCGTCGCCGAAGAGTTGCGCGAGTTTCTCTTTGCCCCGCCGCGCGGCCGCGGCGGGGGCGTCGAGGATACTGCTGTGTGAGCGTAGGTCCGCGCGGTGTTCGACCCGACGGGTGAGGTACATGCTCCCTGCTTCGCCGCCGCGGCGTTCCATGATCCGTTGCATTTCTTCTTGGTAGGCTTGTTCGTAGATGTTCAGTTCGACGGCGGGCGGGGATTCGCTTACGATGAGAGGTTCGTTTATTTCGGGGGTTGGATTTGTGTTGGTGGCGTCATCGGAGGTGGCGGGTTGGTTGAGGCCGAGGAAGAGGGTGTCGGTTAGGGGATCGTGGGCGTGGCCTTTGGCGTGGTCGTCTTCGGGGAGGGTGAAGGCGCGGGTCATTGTCGTATGTCTGTGTGCTTCCGGGCTGGTGGAAGGGTGGTGGCGGTGGACGTTGCTTTCGTGGCGTTGTTTGGATAGACCTTCTGTCTCCCCCGACATATTGTTGGAGGTGAGCTGGTCTATATCTACCGTTGCGGGCTTCGTGTGCATTCTGTCCAGATCATGCGGGAGTCGGTTCATCTCGTCATCCACGTCTACGTCCCGATGCACGCCGGCGGTCACGAGGATCGTCTCCATGGGTCTCCGATCATGGGCGTCCGTACTACGACTTTCTCTCGGATCCATGGCGGTAGGAGGCGCTACAAGTCGACTCTGGCGGCCGAAGATGCCTTCCACCCTGTCCGGATGCTTACGGTTCACGGCCTGCTTGAACCGTTTCACGGCGCGCATGACGGTCATGAGGTATGCCATGTTGCCCGTAATGGCCTGGTTCATCTCCGCTTCCGTGGGTGGCTCAATAAGGTCGGCGCAGTTCTCTTCGGCGGAGAGTAAAGGGTCGGTACCGTCTTTGGTCACCCAGGGATGTTGCTGCCATACACAGTCAGTCAATCATCATTGATGCATAACAGGAGACATACTCTCAGCCCCTCCATCGTAATCCTCTTCTCCGGCTCCTTCTCCAACAACTTCCTCATCATGTCCTTGAACCGCTCATCCTGCTCCCCATCCATGCTGAGCTCATCCTCGCGAATACTCTGATACAACTCCAACAAATTCGACTTTTCAAACGGAATCCGCCCATAGCGCAAACAATACAACGTCACGCCCATACTCCAGATATCTGCCGCCCGTCCACTGACCTGCCCATGCCTTGCCACACACAACTCTGGCGGCATGAACGCCGGCGAGCCCGCAGACTTGGCGGTGGCCATGTCGCTCTGCTTCTCGAACATCTCGCTCACGCCGAAATCGACAATCTTGAGCTCGTCTTCTTCCGTGACGAGGCAGTTGTCCGGCTTGATGTCCCGGTGGATGATGCCTTGCGCGTGTAAATACTCGATACCCAATATCATGTCGCGGAACCAGCAGCGGCACGCTTCCTCTTCGTAAGGTTCGGCGCGTTCGTCTAGTCCTACCTTCATCACCACCCCCTTCTTGCAGTACTCGAGCACCATGTACAGACTATCTTCTTGCGGATCGTCGAGTACTTCGATCAGGTTGACGAGGTTGTTGTGGTTGAGCTTCTTCATGATGGCGATCTCTTCCTTGATCAGGTCGAGGGAGCCGGCGGTGTCGGCGCGTTGCAGTTGGTCCGTTGACTGGCGGTGGAGCGGAGAGTTGAAGCCCAATCCGGCAGCGAGGTGCCCGGGTCGCCGCTGGCCTTGGTTTGGTTTGCGCAGGAGATTGGACTGGGCGCGCTTGCGGAGTCGAGCTTTGGAGAACTCCTTGACGGCATATTCGTTGCCATACTGGTCGACGCAGAGGTGCACCGCGCCGAAGCTGCCCCGCCCAATCTCCGACTTGATGATGTACTGGTTGATGCGGTGCACCGCCGCTCCCTCGTCGTCGTCGCTGCTGCCGTAGTGCGACTTGGCATTGAGGGTTTCCTTGACATTCTTCGTCTTGGACGGGGCGCGGCGGTGGTGTCGGATGGGGCTGGAGTAGGTGGGCGCGCTCATCATCTTCACCATTGGCGGTCGGCTGGGCGGGGCGGCGTCGGGGAGGTTGATGCTGATGCCATGGCTCGGTGCGAGGCTAAGTCCTGCCTCTGCTGCGGAATGCGATCGCGGGTGCTGGGATGGTTGTGTGCTTGCGCTGCCTTTTGCACTGGCGTCCTGTTCCGCGGCGGTCGCCGAGTGTTCGACATGGTCTCGTCCTCGGTACATGGTGCCGGCATTGACTATTGCGCTCTCCTCTCACTCATCCCGCACCCTTCATGTCGAAGTCCAAGCCCTTCCACCTTCACCCCTGCACCGTCTGTCGTCACTTTCCCAATCTCAGCCCCATGTTTCACCACCCCCACACCAACACTGCCGATCAAAGCTTGACAGCCTCTGCCCTGCATTTCATTAAACACGGTTGCGCCTGTCAATCAACCAACCGTTCATATTAGCCGCAGCTTAATCGACACATCAAGCCTTCAGAGACCGGAACAACGCATGCTGGCACCCACCACCAGCAGATGCATTCTCAACTCACCGTCGAAGCTTAAGCTGTGGACCAAGCACCACTGATTCATTGATTCACTGATTGATCGATTGATTGATTGACTACCCGTTTGCGTGACTTCCTTTTCGAGCAAGTGGCGTGAGCAGAGCCAGACGCCAACATGTCCGTCTACTCATTCTTCATATTCGACAGGCACAGTAAGTACGTCGTTGCGCAGTATAATATACCACACTAAATCCAGCCAGCGGAATGCATCTACTCCAAACGCTGGACCACCCAACAACCCGGCCGACCCACCACCGGCGTGGCCAACGACTCTGTCCCCCCTTCCGCCCGCAAAGCCATGAAAGACGCCGACGACGCCAAACTCATCTTCGGCACCGTCTTCAGTCTGCGCCGCATGGTGCGCCAACTCGGCGGCGCAGACGACTCCTTCCTCTCCTACCGCACGGGAGAGTATAAACTCCACTACTTCGAGACGCCTACCCAGCTCAAGTTCGTCATGCTAACCGATCCCCGCGCGGGCAATATGCGTACCGTGCTGCATCAGATCTGGGCGACGCTGTTTGTGGAGTATGTCGTTAAGTCCCCTTTGGCGCCGACGGAGCATAGGGGTGGGAAGGGGGTGGGAAACGAGTTGTTTGAGATTGGGTTGGAGAGGTTCATGGTGGGTTTGCTGATGTCTCGGCTCTTACCGGCGCGAGAATAGGTTGCTGACTAGATCGCCAGGAGGTGGTGTTTGCGCCACAGCAATGATGCAGAGCTCGCAACCAAAGCGACAGGGCAACTTTGAGTGGCTTCCGAGACGTTACCGGATGGCTTCAAGCATGACAATGCTCCTCAGCGTTGCAGCAAACACGACCGCGTGTAAAAAGGCCGGTGACGCCTCTAACAGACTGATATCTCCAATTACTCAATCCTGCTCATGCAAGCAAACGCCGAACCTGCGAAGCGCAGAAAGCTGACGATCCGCCACACTGCCTGCCGCAACTGTGATAGCAAGCAGCGGGGTTGCGACCGCGGTCGTCCGCAGTGTTCCCACTGCCTCGCCGAAGGTGCTAAGTGCGAATACGGCAGGGCAGCGCAAAATGCTGCGACAGAATAGGGACCAGACCAAGAATCCGCCCCTAGCAATCAAAATCCTGTTGTATTTGGCTGCGGACACTCAGAAGCACCTCCACCAGGCGTTCAACCCCACGGCACCCTCGCCACGCACACGGCACAACTATATCTTCCTCGACCGGACAACGACACCCTCTGCAGTCGGTGCACCGCCCAGCAAGCCGAACTAAACCGACTCGACCTCATCGTCGGCGGGACAGACTCCGACGTCGCCGCCCTGAGACCAGAAGAAAAAGAACTTTGCATCCGCCTTCAGCTCCCACCCAGCCACAACACGCTCGCCGCCTACGAGTGGATGCGGGCAACATGGCTGCCTCCGCCCGGAACGGAAGGTCTCCCGATACACGACACGATGTCCATCGAACGGAAATGCCATGGTAGACTGGAGCACCATCGTCGCCAAGTCGCCGACTACAGTGCCCTAGACGTCGAGAAAGCGCTAGAGGCAGTCAACTGGCTCGGCGGCGAGAAGATGGAGGAAGTGGAGGAGTACGTCAGGAAGAGGGCTTGGAGGCGGGAGAATGGGTATGAGAGTGATAGTGTGCATGAGGAAGATGAGGAGGAGAGGGAAAAGGATGGAGACCGGGATAAGATTGATGACTGGGAGGGAGAGGCTGAGGACGGCGACAGGTTCTTCCGGCTGGCTGTGTTCGGGGACTGGAGGAAGGGGGTTGTTAAAAGAGTGCGGGAGCAGTTTCGGTTGGCGGCGAGGAGGTTGGAGGCGAGGGGTGGCGTGAGGGCGGAGGGTGGGTGAGTGCGGGGGCGGCGACTTTGACTAGAGGGTGAGTGAGTGCTTGAACGAGATGTGGCCGCTGTTACGTACAGATCGAGGTGTTATAAGCAAAGAACCCGAAGCCTGTGCGATCCCACCCGCAATCATTGACGGAGTTGCGAAGATAGCTGTTGTAGTGGTCCCCTAGTGTTCCGTGACCGCTGCTTACTCTATAGTAGCGAAAACCAGCCAAGGACCAAAGATAGCATTGGGATGGGGCGGCAACTTTTCGGTGCACTAATTAATGGACTACATGCAGGTCCGGCACTGTTGTCAATGCAGCGGACTCAGCGGATTTGGACAGTCAGCTACCACGCTGTTCGATACTACGGTACCAGCCACATTCCAAGCATGCGCGCAAAGGGTGGCACTGAGCGATGTAGCTGACACTATACAACCGGCCATGGCAGTCCAATGATCAAGATATAGGCAGGCACACCTCCACACCAAGGCCACTCCGACAAGACCATTGCTACCCACTTGGTGCGAACATCCGAAGCAGACGCCGCCTCCCTGCTCCCTTACATCAAGCCGACGGATCGCATCCTTGTCATCGGCTACGGATCGGGAACGATCACGACCGGCTTCTCCAAGTATGCCAGATGAGGTAGAATTCTCGGAGTTGACACCTCAATGTTTGTTTTCGAGAAGGGAACAGCGCCTGCAAGCCAAGCCAGCATACCCGCTTCCGGCCCGGGCTTCGTATTGCTTCTGCAACCAAACGCCCTGGGAAGACTTCCGTTCGAGGACAATTCCTTCAATGTCCTCTACTGCTCGCAAATCATTGGCCACTCCCCAACCGCCCGATCTGCCGCTCAAAGCACGTGCCAAGATCCGTCGGGTACTGAGACGCAACGGTGTTCTAACAACTCGTGGCCGAGTAGCGCAGCTTTTCTACCCTTGAAGCCCGGATCTCGACCGGCTGTGGGGCGAGCGAACGAGCTGAGTAATCCTGGGTAAGGATTCGGAAGGTGCGGATGCCACTGGCTTATGATGCTTTCGCTCTTCCGCTGGGCAGGCTTCGATGTTGATGGTGGAAAGGTTATACTTGGTGGCGGGGCTTGGGTGTTCGCGAGTCCCGAGGCTCGCACATGGTTGGCGGACCGTGGTGCTGGGCAGCTGCAGAAGGGTGCTGCATTCTACCAGAGCTGGTTGGATGCCGCTCATACGGAGGAGGATATCCAGGAGAGGCGGCAGGCCGTCGAGGAACGGGCTGAGACCGAGCATGCCTGGTTTGCTGCGTTGATGTGCGATATGCTTGCTTGGAAGTAGCTTGGTCCTCACGAGTACTGGTCAGCGTGAACCACAGGCTTGGTAAGCTGTGCGACCTTAATGTGTCATGATCATGCAAGTCTACGTTTAGCAAGCCTTCCCATGTGTTGCCAATCGGCCGGAGACCTGTGTTCACAGTTGAAGCGATTTTGCCGTTCCTACCAATACAGCCAGATTCTGTATAGTGGAGCTGGCGACCGTCCTTTCGCGATGGTCGTTGTTCTTGGACTCAACGTTGCAGCGGTCGGTGACCAAGCAAAACGTAGAGTGATATATACCGTTCTAGAAGGTCGAAATGAAGTGTCTCACAATGCTATGCCAGTATCGAAGATGGCCTTGCCACTGTGCCACCACGCCACACCATGCGACAGGCAGAACCATCCATCGTCTGGTGCACCTAAGCCCAGTCCCCTGAACAGGCTGAAAGGCACCGGTTCGAACAGCCATACTCCACCTTTCGCAAAGTCATCGACAAGTAGGGGTGCGGTGTAGTACAGCCAAACGTGGACGACCACCAAGTTTGTAAGCTGGCAGAGGGCCTTCGGACACCGCTCAATTATGCCAGCTCGCTTGAGCTGCTGCACACCCAGCGTTTGCATTGATATGCCTACAGCTTGGAGAATGAAGAATCGCATGGGTCCCAGTACAGGCCGAGTTTCCCCAAGTTGCGTGTAGCTACCGCAAGCGTGCAAGCAGCCGGAGAGAAAGAAAGCGATGAAAAGCGAGAGCAACCTGCCAATAGTCGAGCGCTTGCTGATTCCCAAAGCCTCTGTCAGACGGGCGGCGGGTGATTCAAATGCAAAGCGGAAAGTTTGGTGCCACCATCCACCCCACCACCCAGCTAAGCCTTTGTCAAGCACAGGCATGAATGAACCAAAGGAGTCGGCTGGATTCATCCAAGGCTCACCGCGGACACCGATCCATTTCGGCCCTAGTATGCCACAAAAGAAGGCTGGGCCAAGCTTGAAGATTGTCCATAGTGCGAAGTAGATGGCAGCCAGGCTTAGGAGCAAGCGGTACGTTTTGGTGAGAAAATAGGAGTCTCGAACAACAGTCGGCATGAAGACTGGTGCTGGACTATCGGTATAGCCCCAGAAGTACGGGTCTTGGTGCATAAAGGTCTTCAGAGCGTCAAGGGCAAGGTAGCCGATAGCGAGGCTAGTGAATGAGTGGCGCAATAAGGCACCTCTGTGGGCATACCGACGGATGCCAGTCCGACTTGTTGTAAACTCTTCATCCTTGCTTGGGTCCGGCACCTCACCACGTAATCCCACCTCGACACTCTTAGGTGGCGGTGGAACGCCTGCGGTCTGCCAATCCCAGCCTACACCACGAAAGCTGCAGAAGACATCGGCAACCCAGTCGAGGCGTACGAGAAATGGTGCTGACGGGTAGGCCTGCCAGAAGTACTGAACACTATGGGGTTCAGCCCGTGACGGATCGTCGGGTCGTTCAACGGCCTTCCTCTGGCGTAGCGTGTCATCTTCGGGCGCCGATTCGACGGATCCGTTTGCCCCATGCCGGTGTGGATGCTCTCGCTCGTTTTTGGAGCCGGGCCCTATGATGGCACGCTCTATACGCTTGAAGTCGACCTGGCAGTCATTTACGACCATGATAGCCGATACCCAAAGCCAGCCCCAAGAGGAAATCAACCCTACACCGAAAGCCGAGGCTGGACTTCGTGCCCGATTGGTGAAGATACACCATGACTGAAAGGCGCTGAAGGCACCAAAGACTGGAAAGCGGCACCATTGTAGCAGGCGAGAGTTGCGATGATCCAGGAGAAGATAGGCGAGAATGAGGACTGCTCCGGCAGCGCCCCATGGGTAAAGGAACTGATGAGCCCTGCCAGAATCGACGAGGTCGAAGTAGACTTGGTCATAATAAAGTACCACTTCACGGGGCGTGCGTAAGCCTGGAGGAAGCATCGTGGAAGAAGCAATTACGCGCTTTTAATGCAAAGCTTCAAGGAAAAGGCATCGCTTCCACGTCGTCGCAGCGAGGGGAAAGGACGACTGATCGAATCGGCCCGGTATCTGCGGATATAGGCACTGTCGCGCCGTGTTAATGGCAGATAATGACTGGAAGATACTGTGTGTACTCACCTAACGAGCGAAGATCAACCAGACGGAAACACATTGCCCATGACGTTTCTGGAGCATGCGCCACTAGCGTGACGGTCTTCGGCCCTTTCCGTAGCGTATTTGGCGTTAAGCCTTTAGTTCAGGTTCAGTACAAGCCGACGTTCTTGTGTTGATGAGGGCCGTATCAAGTGACGGAGGACTTCTGCATTACCTGTCTTCAAGTCCTCTTTGGAGGCACCGCCGTAATTATGGTGAACATCACAGAGAAGATCAAAGAAATCGAAGATGAAATGAAAAGAACCCAGAGTATGGCGCATCTAACCGCTGACGACTCGGTACTGAGGCTAATGGCTCGAAGAAAACAAGGCAACTGGTACGCTGCTCGTTGATGAAGCATGCGAGGATGATGCTGATTGCGAGCAGAGTACCACCTTGGCTTGTTAAAAGGGTACGGTGCCTACCAAGTCTTTCAGAGTCACCACTAACGACGACCAGAAAGCTCGCTCGACTACGCGCTCAACTGCTCGAACCCGGTCCTGGTGCTGGAGGACCAGGTGGTGCTGGCTTCGATGTCTCAAAGTCCGGCGATGCGCGAATAGCGCTAGTTGGCTTCCCTTCGGTCGGCAAGTCGACGTTTCTGTCGAAAGTCACTAAAACCAAGTCGGAAGTGGCGGCTTATTCATTCACAACGCTTACCGCTATTCCCGGTGTCCTCGAGTATGGCGGCGCTGAAATCCAAGTACTTGATCTGCCTGGTATCATTGAGGGCGCAGCGGAAGGGAAAGGGCGTGGTCGCCAAGTAATTTCTGCTGCGAAGACATCCGATATGATACTAATGATACTGGATGCGACGAAGCGTGCAGAACAACGAGCATTACTGGAAGCTGAGCTCGAAGCCGTTGGCATCCGCCTCAATCAGGACCCGCCGAACATTTACCTAAAGCAGAAGAAGGCTGGCGGTATGAAGATCACTTTTCAGGCGCCGCCGAAGAACCTCGATGAGAAGATGCTCTACAATATTCTCCGCGACTACCGAATGCTGAACTGTGAAGTTCTAGTGCGAGATGAGAACGGTACATTAGCCCACAAATCCATACATTCGCATACACTAATGTACGGGCAGCCACCATTGACCAATTCATTGACGTGATAATGAAGGACCACAGGACTTACATCAAGTGTCTATACGTATACAACAAGGTCGACGCGATCTCACTCGAACACCTCAATACTCTAGCACATGAGCCGAACACGGCAGTAATGTCGTGCGAGATGGACCTGGGCATTCGGGACGTCGTCGATCGATGCTGGGAGGAGCTGCGCTTGATGCGAGTCTACACCAAGCGGAAAGGCATCGACCCGGACTTCCAAGAAGCTCTCATAGTCCGGCACGACAGCACTATCGAGGATGTCTGTGATGCAATCCATCGTACACTTAAGGACAGCTTTAAGTATGCGCTGGTTTGGGGCGCTTCCGCGAGGCATGTTCCGCAGAGGGTCGGCTTGAGCCACATTGTCGCGGATGAGGATGTGGTGAGCATAGTAGGCACTAAGAGTGGGTTGGCAGCAAAATGAACCATTTTGGTACGATCCTGCTTTTCATTTGCCCTCGTACGTGTGGACTGCACGTTGTCAAGCGCACGCTGTCAGCCGTGGTTCGCGGAGGAAAGTGTCGCTTGCCTGCTTTTGCGACTTAAGCCAAGGACTGCCGCCCTGCTGCCTCCGTGGTCTTCTCACGACCAGTCTTCAGTCTTGCGCAGAAGAACGCTATCACCGCTATTTTTCACCAGAGAGCCAATCCGTATGGGAGTCTCGCCCGCGTCTGAGAGCACCTTTGTCACGATGTCCACCTTCGCATCCGAAACAGCTAGCACCATGCCCAGCCCAGTGTTCCAAGTCCGTGCAAACTCTCGGTCGCTGATGTTGCCAGCTTGCTTGAGCCACTTCAACACCGGAGGTACTGTATATGTAGACACGTCTATCTCCGCTGCCAAGTGTTTCGGCAGCATGCGCGGAATGTTGTCTTCCAGGCCACCACCAGTGATATGCGCCATGCCGAGGATAAGGTCCTGCTTGATAGCCGGCATCAATGTCTTGACATATATCACGGTCGGTATGAGCAAGCTTGCTCCAACCGTCGTATTATTATCCCAGGGTGCTTTATCCGTGTAGGAAAGTCCACGCTTGTCGATGATCCTTCGTACGAGGGAGAAGCCGTTCGAATGTACGCCGCTGCTTCTCAATGCTAATAGACAGTCGCCTTCGCGCATAGCCTCTTTGTCTGGAAGCACTTTCTGACCCTTCTTTAGGGCGCCGGTTGCAGCCCCTCCAGCATCGAATTCTTTGCCTTGGTACATACCGGGCATCTCTGCTGTCTCACCACCAACAAGCGCACAGCCGGCTTGCTTGCAACCTTCCGCCACGCCTTCGATGAAGCGGACAGCATCCGCGACATTGAGTTTCGAGCAAGCATAGTAGTCCATGAATGTTAAAGGTTCGGCCCCCTGTACAACCAAATCATTGACGTTCATTGCCACGAGATCGATGCCTACGCTAGAGTAATCATCCATCGCGAAGGCTATCTTCAGCTTCGTACCGACCCCGTCTATTGCTTGAATCAAGATCGGGGGCTCAGTATAGCCAGCAGCAGCCAAGTCAAGTGCGCCACCAAAGCCGCCTATCTCGGCGTCTGCACCTGGCCGTCTGGTGGCTGCCACTGCAGACTTTATCGAGCGGACAAGCTCGTTGCCCGAGTCAATCGAAACACCAGCTTCTGCGTAAGTCATACCCTCGGCACCAGCAATGCCGTCTGTGTGAGTCACGGTAAGGCCATCATATGCCGGCTGCAGTAGCTCCCACCGGCAGTTGATATTCTCTTTTCCAAATTGCTGCATGAGATGCGACGCAATCTGATCGAAGTTATCTGTGGCAAGTGCCAGGATCGTTGGTCCAGCGCCTGACAAGCATATGCCAAGTAAGCCTGGATGTGAGGTTGGCGTCACAGACCGAAGGATTTCTGTTAAGCCCGGTATCAGAGTCTTCCGGTACGGTTGATGCACCTTGTCCTGCATGCCGTCGTAGATGAGTTCGGCGTTCGGTGGGCTTTGGCCCAGAGCTGTAGTGAGCAATGCTACTCGCTGTAGGTTGTAGATAACGTCTGCCTTGTCGTAGGTGGTTGGCAGGACGCTCCGCGCTTTCGAAGTCGGAACTTCGAAGTCCGGTATCACAGCTATGCATTTAATCTCGCTCGCCCATGGAAAGCGAATATGCTTGCCGATGTCTAGTGGCGGTATAGGCGGTGTTAATCCAGTATCTTCCCCACCTTGTGGTGCGGGTAGTACCTCAGCAAGAGGAATTTCCTTACGCTTCATGTCTTCTGGATTGAGCTCCTTCAGGTAGGATCCCACGAAACCTCCGTACAAGGCTGCAGCGACATTGTCTGGATGTCGCTCAATCATGAGACAGAAGTCCAGTAAGCGGCTTTTCGACAATCCAAGCTTGCCGACCTCGTTGCCTAATGACACGCCAGCTACAACAGCCGCACCAGAGGACCCGAGACCGCGTCCTAGTGGTATGGGATTCTTGATGTGAACATGTGTTGGTTGAGGAAAGTCTCGCATCTCATGACATCGTAGCACGTACAACGCAGTTTGAGTGATGAGATTGCGATTTGGGCTAAGGTCGACATTGTCCTTACCTTCACCCTCGTACGTGATCCGGCAGTTGTGCGGAGCTGATTGGGAAGCCTGGTCACCAGTGGTGACCTCGATCTCGAGCCATAGTGAGAGTGCCAAGCCAATCACATCAAAGCCAGGTCCAATGTTGGCAGAAGAGCAGGGCACCTCTACAGGTCGTTAGTCTGTATGGTAGCATAGAGCGGGCTCGTAGAACAAACTAATTGTGATCATCTCATTGGCTTCTGTGAACACTTCTTCATCGCAGCTTGCAAACCCTTCTCGGTACTCGCAGTAACTAACACTAGCACGTGAGTCTTACAATACACGGGTACCGTACGTGACTCGCGGCAACTTCAATAGTTCTGCCGTGGACAAGTCACATGTCGGGGAGACGGGTGTCCTCGTGGTGCGAATCTTTGATCACAAGAATTGCAAGATCCACTTCGGCACCAAGTCGGAAGGCTTGCATTTCCGCAAAGGTACTCCCCGCCACACTTGTCATGGTGCAGACAACCCTCACGCGCACCTCTCACCCGCACGCATTGGCACAACGTCCGCATGGCGTCCAGTGTGTTCGCTTCACCATGTCATCACCACCGTGTGTCACCGTCGAAGACAATGTTGCTGGGTCTGCATCTCGTCTCGAGCCCGCCCCATTGTCCGGTCTCCGCACTCCCACGCGACCTGGAGAAAGTCTATTTGCAGCGATCGTAACCTCCTTCGCCTTACGGTTTAAGCAGCCCACCACTCATGAAACGCACTGTCACCGGGAGTAACATCTGCTACATCGGCTAAGCTGACGTCGCTCAGGCCGGCTTACCTCTAATGGAAGCCGCACCTGTAGGTCTGTATCGCTATACAAGCTGCTCCTCTCTTTACCCTATCCCCTCTGTATTCTCTTTCTCTGCACGCTCATTTCATTGTGGGTCATTCATCGTCAGCCTGTGTAGAAGGGACGCCGCAAATATGAAAGAATTCTACGGCTTACGAGGCTCGAAGCTAGATGTGGCCATTGCCATCGTAGCAGGCGCAGACTTTGCCCTCTTTGGCTATGATCAGGGAGTTTTAGGTGGCTTGCTCACCCTGCCCAGCTTCTTGAATTTGTTCCCGCAACTCGATGTCATGAACCCACCTGGCGGTGATACCAGCAAAGCATCCAATATCCAGGGCATTACTGTTGGACTCTATACCTTGGGTTGCTTCTTCGGAGCTGTCGCAACGATTTGGCTTGGAAATATGCTTGGGCGCAAACGCACAATCTTCATCGGATCTTCAGTAAGCTCTAATACGCTTACGCAGTCGATTGGCAGTACTGACCAAGGTTTTGTGATGTTGCTAGATCATGATCGTAGGCGCAGCGATACAGTGCTCCTCGTTCAGTCTTGGACAACTACTTGCTGGGCGCTTTATCACTGGATTCGGAAACGGTATGAACACATCGACAGTGCCGACCTGGCAGTCAGAGACGTCGAAGTCACACAATCGCGGGCGCATGGTGATGATTGAAGGCTCGCTCATCGTCTTTGGAGTGATGATCAGTTACTGGATCGATCTGGGGATGAGCTTCACCGAGCCGTCCTCGGTCTCGTGGCGTTTCCCCATCGCTTTCCAAATCGTTATTGCCATATTCATTCTAAGTCTGATTCCAGGTCTTCCGGAGTCGCCTCGCTGGCTCGTGCTGAAGGGCAAGGACGAGAAGGCGCTTAACGTGCTCTCGGCCCTTCAAGATCTCCCGGAAGATGATCAAATCGTTCAAAGCGAGTACAAGGCAATCAAAGACACGGTCGAGGAGATGCAAAAGGGCAGCTTTGCAGACGCCTTCAAGACCAATCGCAACCGCAATCTACATCGCACAATCTTGGCTTATGTCAACCAGATGTTCCAACAGATCAGCGGAATCAATATCATCACTTACTACGCGGCCACTGTGTTCCAACAAATTGGCCTTTCACCCTTCCTATCCCGACTACTCGCTGCGCTGAACGGCACCGAATATTTTCTAGCTTCGTGGATTGCCTTCTTCCTTATTGAGAAAGTTGGGCGCCGCAAGTTAATGCTTTTCGGTGCCGCGGGTCAAGCTCTCTCTATGGCTGTATTGGCTGGCACGACCGCAAGGTTGACGAAGGAATCCGGGATCGCCGCCGCAGTCTTCCTCTTCGTCTTCAACTCCTTTTTCGCGATCGGCTGGCTAGGCATGACATGGTAAGTACATGCTGCGTGTTTGTTTCGACCAACATTGAGCAGCAAAGCTCATGAAAACATTAGGTTATACCCAGCTGAGATCACGCCCCTCGATATCCGTGCACCCGCCAATGCCATATCAACGACGGCAAACTGGATTTTCAATTTCATGGTCGTCATGGTCACGCCGGTTGCCTTCGGTGAGTAATCCAAGGACCGAGAAGGAGCGGCTAGCGTCTAATCGATCGGTCTAGCATCGATTGGCTATCAGACGTACGTCGTCTTTGCTGTCATCAACGCTTTCATGGTGCCATGCGTATACTTCTTCTTCCCTGAGACGGCTTACCGCAGTTTGGAGGAAATGGACGAGATCTTCCACAACGTCCATGGCTTCCGTGGCGCTTTCACGGTTGTAAAAGTAGCCCATGAGATGCCGCACCGCTTTGGCAAGAATGGCGAGCTGTTGATCGCTTACGACGACACGGACGAAGCACAGGTAAGCATGGAGAAAGCCCACTTCTTCTGTGATTCCCGCTGATTAAACAACAGGCCGCGCAAAGGAGGCGAAGTTCGGTGGCAGGTCCGGCTGCGTACGAGGGGAAAGGCTCTGTACCACAGGAGGATGATACCGTAGAGAAGAAGGAAGAGGTTTGAAGGATCCATGCCGGCGTGCATAGTCGGCGATGCATGCTGACCTGTAATTGCGCTTGAGGGACCTATGGGCTAGCGAGATAGCCACATACACCAAGTTGACGAAACCAGCACGTAATATATCCAGAGCGTACAATCGTACAACCAAGATGTCTTTCACCCTTACCGAGGGTGTTCTGTGCAGCATTGTTGCCTAAGGCATGCGTTCTCGAGTCAATCCGTCAGCGGCTTCCACTCGCACTATATTGACGGAAACATTTAATTTTGTGTCCAGTACTTCGTCCAAAATTGAGCGTTGCTGAGAGCGTATATGTTGGCTGCCCTGTGACCGCGAGCAAGCAGTGTCCGTGGTAAGGTCCATCAGCGCAAGTATGACTTCGGCTCTGTCTTATATCAAGCCGAACACATGGCTTTTCCTACGCTTGCCTTCCAAGTCGCTGAAGATATTAGAGATCAAGCCTAATACGTAGGTGCCCGAAGCGATGCCCGAATCGATGTTATCCTGCAAGCCCATACTGAGGACGGCGCAGGATCATCGACGCGGGCAAACTCGGCTCTTTCCCTTCCAACCTGTTGCTCGGTCGACCCTACTATTACACATACGAGATACTAGAGAAACGAGAAGATGAGGCGTGCAGCAGGCTACGCAGAGTACCGCCCAGCGAGCTCAATGCTGAGATTGTAAACGAAGATGCAACGCCCAACGAAAGTAGGGGCGAGCCGACTACGCCGAGTGGTGTGCCTGTTGCGTTCGAGATGACGGAAGATATCGCTGTCGAGACGAAGACAAATCGCCTAACAGTGGACGATGCTAACCGGCAGGCATTATCCCAGGCGGAGATTGAAGAGATGAAGAGAAGCACAGCCGGCAAGGAAATAATAGAGAAGATCCTTGCAAATCACTCAGGTCTGGATGAGAAGACAGTGTTCTCACGCGCAAAGTACCTGTTGCGGAAGAGGAACAAATACCTGCGGCGCTTCATGGCGTTGCCAATGGACATTGGTAACATCATCACGTATATCACTGAGAAGGAGCCGCATCGCATACTGGACATAAGAGAGGAAGCGCTTGGCCTAGTCTGCGCTTGGAGCAATGCGCACGTGACGAGTGTCGAGCTCGACAACAACGATACGGAGGCTTCTTCGGCTCGGAGCGGAAGATGGTTGGTCGTGGATGAGACCGGAGGCTTGCTGGTAGCCGCATTGGCAGAGCGGATGGGAATACTTCACAAGACAGAGCTTCCCAGTGAGGGAAAGGCAGAACCCACCACGTACGGCACGGAAGCGCACGATACGAGTGACAATAACGACGGCGGAGTGTCGCTACGGCCGGAAACTGCAGAATCCACTGGTGCGGAGAGATCAATAGCAAACGGCACACCGAAGACGGAGCATGTGCATCGCGACTTTCCAACTCCGGCACATGGCAATACAATCACACTATTGCATCCAGCCGTGCAGCCCAACATTTCGATTCTCAAGTATTTCGGCTATGATTCAAACACACCGGACCCAGCACATCCCATGCACACCCACCTCAAATCGCTTTCGTGGCTTCAACTTCTTCACCCAGAAGAAGACCCGACCTACCGCGAGCCGGAAGTTGTACCTGAAGCACAGTTGACCAAGTGGAAAAGCGGCAAGCGAGGAACTTACTGGAAGAAGCGGCGGCGCTGGGAACGCTGCAAGAACATCGTTGACGAGGCTAGAGAAGGCGGCTTCGACGGGCTAGTAATCGCTTCGAACATGGATCCTGCGACTATCCTACCACATGCGGTACCTTTGCTGCGAGGCGGAGGAGAGCTGGTCATTTACTCACCAACGATCGAACCATTGGTCCAGCTCATGGACCTGTATAGCAAAGAGCGGCGTACCGCCTACATTAACCTGCTCGCGAAGGGCGAGATGCCCAGTACCGAAGACTTTCCGGTGGATCCTCGGCTGCTGCTCGCTCCGACGCTACAGACGAGCCGAGTGCGAGAATGGCAGGTCTTGCCCGGTCGCACGCATCCGATGATGACGGGCAGAGGTGGCTCCGAAGGCTATGTCATGACTGCGAGACGAGTGATTCCACTCGAAGGTGGCGTCGAGGCGAGAGGCAACTTCTCTGCGAAGAGGAAACGAACAGACACTGCAGATGCGACTTCTGCACCGTGAGCGCTGTATGCCATAACACACTACCCATATGGGAACGGCAATCAGCAGGCTAGCGCTTCAGTACCCGATTTAAGAACTGTCTCTTGGGGTTCGCCCATCACTTGCACTTCGAATGCTTCCTTTAACATCGTGTCGTCAACATTAGATATGAAGCGGTTTGTGGTCATGAATTTCGCCGATCAGGCTTATGATAGACCCATGGCCTTCCTCACCCTGGCTACTGTCCCAGAAGCACTATCCGAAGCCCTGACGGCGCCAGTATGGGCTAGGTCGATAAGAGTTGATTCATCCCCAATTAAGGAGCTGTATCGCGCCCGGATGGGTTCCAACACGCGGTCAATGGCATCTGCAGTGCGCGTCTTCAATGATCTCATACTCAGACTCGCGAGATCCCGGGCCAACTCATCCTGGCTGGCGTAATCCGAGGTGTCGTTGGTGTGGTAGATAATGTCGATAAGGTTGCTAACACCGGGTCTGCTACTGGGATCGTACGTAATGCCCTCGATCGAATCTGTGACAGCTGCTTTGATCTTGCTCTGGATTGTCTCTGTTGAATCGGTGAGCAAGATGCGTGATCGAGCATTGGGATGGCTTTTGGACATCTTGGCGGCAGGATCGGTCAAGCTCATGACCCTCTTCGCAGGACTGATGAGCGTTTCGGGTTGAATCAGAACGTCTTGGCCGTAGACATGGTTGAAGCCACTCGCTACCTCCCGGGCAAATTCAAGGTGTTGCGCTTGGTCGTGTCCGACAGGGACATGCGTGGCTCGGTGAACCAGTACATCAGCGGCTTGCAAAACTGGGTAGGAGAGAAGGCCGAGCTTCAGCTTCTCACTGTTTTCCTTTGCGCTGGCAGTCTTATCCTTCCACTGCGTCATGCGGCCAAGGTAGCCAGTGCTCGCTTGACAGGATAAGATCCACATCAGCTCTGCATGAGCTGGCACATCACTCTGATGAAAGATGATACTGCGATTGGGATCAAGCCCAATCGCAAGCAGCATGGCCAGGCTTTCCTTCTTCCATTGGCGCAGCTGGTTGGGATCTTGACGAACAGTGATCGCGTGAAGGTCGACTAGGGAGTACAACAAAGTCGTGTCCGGGGTGGCTTCATCCTGCAATTTGACCCACTGTCGAAGCGCGCCCAGATAGTTACCTAGATGCGGTATGCCTGTTGGTTGTATCCCTGAGAAGATGGTCCGAGGGGTTGGGCTTGCGGAGCTGCTATTCCGACGGCGAATTCGCTTAGAACCGCGTACAGCACTCACGCCTCGCAAGTGCTGCCGTCTTGCTGTCAGTGCTATGTAGGTTCGGCACAACGACATCCGTGAGGAGCGTTAGGTGCATGCAAGCTTGTCAGCGCCTGAACACGGGTGTGACGCCTGCAGGTGCAGTGTCTAGCGGAAGCGTTCCGCATGCGATCGTGACCAACGAAATGACTTTGAGATGCTCTTCGCTTCGCCGACTAACTTCTCACAACCACAAGCCATACGACTGGCTAATGCATCATGTCGGAAATGAACGTTGTCAACGACGATAATCCGTTTCAGGCTGCCTCGCACGCCTTCCTAAGCTGGCTAAGTGCTAACGGAGCAACGATCTCTTCCAAGATAGAGCTTGCAGACCTACGCTCTCAGGACGCCGGACGAGGAGTGCTTGCTACCAAAGACATCGACGACGATGAAGAGCTTTTTAGCATACCCAAGTCGATCATCTTGACCGCAGACAACTCGCAACTTGTCGGATCGGTGAGGGATGCGGTCGATGATCCGTGGCATCGGTTAATCTTGGCCATGATTTCGGAGCATCAAGCAGGCCAGCAGTCTTTGTGGAAACCTTACCTTGACGTGCTACCTTCTGAGTTCAACACTCTCATGTTCTGGTCAGAAGATGAGCTGAAACAACTGCAAGGCTCAGCGGTGACGAATAAGATAGGCAAAGCCAGTGCAGATGCTGCTTTCAACGACAGTCTGTTTCCTATCCTTAAAAAGCATATTCTGAAATCAGAAGTCTCCGAAGATGAGCTCATGCGGCTTTGCCACATGATGGGAAGCACGATTATGGCCTATGCGTTCGACATGGAGAAGCCAGCAGTTGGCGCTATCCGGGATGAGGAAGATGGCTGGGAAGAGGACGACGAAGAAGACACTCTTCTCAAAGGCATGGTACCGCTGGCAGACATGCTGAATGCCGACGCCGAGCGCAACAATGCCAAACTCTACCAGGAAGACGATAAGGTCGTCATGAAGTCCATCAAGCCGATCAAGGCTGGCGAAGAGATTTTCAACGATTACGGTCCCCTACCGACTGCGGATCTGCTAAGGCGCTATGGATACGTAACCACAAACTACGCAATATACGATGTAGTCGAGCTCAAACTGGACTTCGTCAATCAATTAGTGCAGCAATGGGGACACGATCCCCAGCAGCTGAAGACCCGTGAGGCATACCTCGAAGAGCAAGGCGTGCTGGATGACTGTTATGACATCTCGCGTCCCGGCAACGAAGATGCGCAACAGTTGCCCGATGAGCTCTGCATTCTCTTCAACACGATCGCAATGGCAGACCGGGACTTCACAGAGCTGCGTCGGAGGGGGAAACTCGCGAAGCCTGCTCTCTCGTCAGAAGCCGCATTACTGCTTGGACACGTCCTTGAGGAGCGGCAGAAGATGTATGCCACCAGCTTGGTGCCCGAGGAAGGTCTGGGAACCATTACCGTTGCTAGAGCAAGGTCATTGCGCCGCAAGATTATGGCTCGACAGGTTGTTGCTGGGGAAATCAAAGTTCTGGACGATGCACTACATGTGTTGCGTCATCTGAACAATACCCGCGATAAGAAAAGGGCAGGAGAAGCAAACGATGGCACACAATCAATGAAGCCTGAGCGCAAGAAGCGCAAAGGTTGAAACCGATCTTCCTAGGGTATCTGCGCATCAAGATCTAATCTTACAAACAGCCAACAAGTGATACTCAAACAACATCCTCAAGCGAATCCAACAAATCCGCCAAGCTCAGCTGGCGCCACCAGCAGCGACCGACTGCGGCGGCACTGTGCTCACCCCCGGATGAGCATGTCCGCTTGCACCGACCGTGGCTGGCTGTTCGCCTTTGCTCCAATGCCGCTGGTGCACTGACTGCTGCTGTTGCGTAGCCATGCTATCCGGCCGTGTGCGGTTGTTGAGCGCAGCACGATAATCAAAGGTGATACGCTCAGAGATTGGAAAGTACTCCGGGCCTTCCTCGTCATCGGTGTCCGCATCAGAGACGACACCTCGGCTAAGCTGGCCGTAAGGTATCCGCTTTCTGCTCTCAAGATATCGCCGTCCGCCGCGGCCGTATCGAAGCCGACAAGCGGGATGCGAATCTCGCTTGAGGTCATCGCCTGACTCTACGTCTGACGACGGCCAAGCACCCGGGATGTGGAATACTGATACCGGCTCCTCGGGTTCCGCACCGGAAACCGCTTGCTCAGTGTCTCTGGCTGATGGCGCATCCTGCATCTCGATGTCACCTTCCTTGTCCTCGCTTGACTGCGATGGCAAAGACGGCGGAGGTGTCGGGTACTGAAAGCCTTCGGGCGGGAGCTGCGCCCACTTCAGCATCGGATCCGGTTCTTCCAATGGCGGCGTGATTGGATACTTGGTATCGTCGACCCAGTGCTGGTTCCACTTCGCGTGCTGCTCCTTGCGGTTTTCAATTGTGTTGTTGACAAACGCTTCGGCTTCCGCACGCCAGTCTTCGAGCAGTGGCAGGTCAACATCAGGTGCTGTACGCTCACCAACCGACCGAATACGGATCGTCGTGGGTCTTTGCTGTGCAGAGTCTTGCCTCGCTTTGGGCTTGCCAGCTGGCTTCTGATTGACGAGCAATTCCTCATCATCACCTTTATCGCCTGTGATTCCCTTTGCAACCTTGACTTCCTTCAGTTGCTTTCGCTGTTCGAAAACTCTATGGCTAACTTCGAGATTTTCCTTGTTGAGCCTCTCACGGTCTACGACCAGGGATACCAGCGATCGGGCTTGTTCAAGCTCAAGTCGCAGCTTCTTTAGCTTTTCAACGACCTGAGCATCTCTGCCTCTGGTCTTCCTGGTCTGTCGGACTTCACGCCGCCGGAAACATACATATGGGTCTGCGTCATCAGCTTCCGCTGCAGTATCCAAGACTCGGACCTTGATGGTCGGCATAAGCGGCCGGGACCCTTTCCTCACGATCCAGTACTTGTATATGGGCTTCAGATACTGGTAGGCATCTGCAGATATGCCTTCCTCCATGGACCGCTCAAGCTCGTCCAGTGTCGGAAGAGGCGCACTATCGACGTTGGCAAAAGGCTGCAAGCGGGCACTGGTCTCCTCAAAGAAGTTCATCACTTCTTCGAACGTGTCTTCAGAACATTGGCTGAGCTTGTCCTTGCGGTCACGGCCATCAACCTCCTTGCCATCGTTCAGCCTGGCAAGAAACTCGGCATCCTCATCGTTCATGCAGTACGGCACGCCTATGCAATCTTCGACAGTGGAGCTGAAGCGAATGTACGTTGCTGGCTCCTTGAAGACTCTCGGATACAGCTCGTCATACTTGAGGCCCTTGACTCGCACGGCCTCCGGCGTGGGGATGTAACTTGTCTTGATCTTCGCGCCAAGTGCCGCAGCGTTCGACGCATTAATGATGGCTTGTAAGTGGTATTCCTATCTCGTTTGTTAGCTAATGCGCACATCAAACAACACGGACTAGGTTGGCGTACAATCTCCTCCCCCTTCTCAACACCCGTCTCCACATGGTGGAGGTGCTTCTGGACATCATCGTCCGCTTGCTCCTCGATATCACTCTCGCGTATGATACGAAGTCCTTGTTTAGGATTAAGCTTGCGCTGCCGCACTTGTCGATTCGTATTGGCTCTCGTGGACATGACCTCGAGCACAAGCAGAGATCACGTGCCGGTGCGCCCGGACAGTTGTCACGGTCCGTGCGCACGGTCGCAAACTGGCCACCTTGCCCCTTCGCTGTTTGCGTGCAAATACATGCAAAATTGCGTCGATGAGCAACAAAATTGGGCATGAACAGCGCCGTACTACACAACCTATACTGTGGTCAATTTTGGTGGATTTCCTGACGGTTTTGCGCGCGCTCTGATGGCAAAGTGTGCAGTGAAGCTCATCCAGGAGGTGCAGGGCTTTCACCGTGCCTGGGTGGCAGTGACGACTGCCGCCAAGCCGCTCACGCTAGACTTGATTGGGCGTTGAACCTCCGCGGCTGTTGCTATTGCTGACCTTTGCTCGTACAGTCAGTTCGATCTTACAGTGTACGTAGAACCGTTCTGAATTTATTTCTATATGATAATGATTGAGGCATCATGGAAAGCATTCACTGGGTATAATCGCAGCGACTTGACGCTCTTGACGGGCAGATATGCAATACGAAACGCTAATCACTTGCCACATCGGAGAGAGAGCACGACAACTCGACTGTACTCCCACGGCGCTGCGCTTCGACGTACGTTTGGACACGAGGCTGACCGGGCACGCTGTGACCGTGAGAAACATGATACCCGCATAGGGAACCTTCCCGCGCCTTGGAGTCCTTCCATTGCTAGAGCAACTGGATGCTGACTCTGACTATCCGCCACCTTGCTTGACCGAGCACGCTACGTCCGGGAAGTTGCGCTGCAGGGTGTTGTACAGATCGTCGGGCGCGTTTCCGAACAACATCCTCGTCCTGGGCGCGACCTCTTGAGCAGTGTTAACAGCCGCTTCGAACAATGGCGTATGCTCCTTGCCGCCGCGGATGCCAAAACCGATCAGGAAGCCATCCCACTGCTTGTCTTTCAGAGTAGCAGCAAGCCGTTCAATGCTGTCTTGCAAATCCTTGGGATTGAGCGCGATGTTGCTAATGTCGAAGCCGGCATCGTTCGCTTGCTTGACACTGGCTGCGACCATCTGCTTGATCTTGTCTTCGCCACCAAAGCGAGCTAGGGCGGCCGGATCGTCCTTGACATATTGCCCGAAGGTTGCTGTGAGGATGGCTTTACGGGTGCTTGCCATTGCGAAAATAACGTCACAGTCCAGTCGATCCAATGAGTGTCCCGCGTACGAACGTCCGCTATATCAAATATGAACCAGATGGCTCTCTGCACAAACGTATTGCCACGACTGCAATATTAAAGTAATTCGTTTACGCTGCAGCCGTTCTCGGACCATCATAGACTGGTGTTGACGAGTGCAGCAACTGATATATGCCACAGCACGCATTACTGTCTGAACATTGTATTCTTCCACGCAATCGCAGCTGTGAACTCAATGCTTATGGCATTTCCGAAGCGTTTCGGGCTTCGGCATTTTTCGTGCTTAGCAAGCGCCCGGCAATGCGACGTTCCTCACGTCTGCATCCGAATCTCCTGGTCACATCTTACATCGTCTGCTCCCAGCCTGGCATTGTTGAACAACCCTCAACAAGTCCGGACTAGATTCGTGCTCACCTCTTTGGTGCACTTAGCCAGGATACCTGTACGTAGGAGTTTCTTACAATGATTCAGCCTGTAGGAACTGCAAGGCTTGGCAACCGAGCAAGCTGTTGAACTGGCGAACAACGAAGCCCGCAGCCTCAGCTGAGACTGCTCTCTCAGGTGCAGCTACTTCCGTGCTATGTGTCTGATTGTTTCGACAAGTGTTTAGTATCGTGCGCAACTAACGCTTCCGAGTCTTCGCATCTTCCCTTTGTTTCTTGTGCCAAAGCTGCGCACGACTAGTATGGCCACACTACGTTTGATCATAGGAGGAGCGCTGTTGGCTGTCGTGACAATTGCATACGTAGGCAGGTTTCTCTGGCGAGGATACAATACAAGGAAGATGCTGCATTACCTGGTAAGTGAACTGCTGTCCGGACAAAGCTGGGCTAAGCGGACTGGATCTATACAGCCTGGCCCACCACATTCATGGATCTTTGGGCACCTGCTTGTAATGGCAGATATTATGCAGGAAGTGCCGATGCGAGTGCATCCACACGGTCGGTGCATCTTCTCAAGGTAAGAAAGGAGCAGAAATCAAGACCGCTAACGGCGAAGCAGTCCTGCCATTGCGACTTCAGAAGAAGTACAACATAGCGACTGATTATTGTATGTTTCCACGACGACTCTGGCGCGGCAGGATCTGACACTTCCATGATCAGTCTATCTGGACGTTTGGCCTCTTGAGCGACCCATATTGTATATCTTCGATCCTCAAGTGGCAAACCAAGTGACGGTAGATTATGTTTGCCACAAGTACCCGGGTCTAGCTCTTTTCCTCGATCATCTCGCCGGGCCTGGTAATCTTGTCTCAACTGATGGTCCGCATTGGAAGAAGTGGCGGAGTATCATGAATCCCGGCTTCTCCTCCTCGCACCTGACAACACTCACCGCCGGCATTGTCGACGACGGCTTAGTGTTCCGTCAAAAGATGGCAGCGTTCGCTGAGACGGGCGAGGTTGTCAGGCTTGAGGAACACGCCACCCGCTTGACTGTCGATGTTATTGGTAAAGTAGCTTTAGACCTCCGCCTAGGAACTCAAACGGGCGAGAATGCGATGGTGGTCGCTTTCCGTTCCCAAGTCACTCAGCTACCCAACACAGGTATTGCTGAGCCGTGGTATATGTACTATCCCTCAGGGTGCGTTCGGCTTGTCGATGGATCCGTATGCGGGCTTGAGTGCTTGCTGACAGACACAATGATAAGCATTTACAATCGCTGGAGGAATGACAAGATCATGAAACAGTATATCGGCAATGTGCTGGATGAGCGGTTCGCAAGAAACGATGAAGGCGCCGCCGTGCTATCACCGCCAAACCAGAAGAAGCATCGAAAGCGCGCGATCATCGATCTTGCCATGGATGCTTACCAGATTCAGGTAATATCATCGAGCAACTTGTGTTAGCATTCAGATTACATTGAACGTAGCTGACCCTCGTACCCAACGACGTTAGCTACCGGACATCAATGAAGGTATGAAGAGTTCCAGGCCAGCAATGGACGCCGAGTTCAGGAAGATGGCGATCACGCAGATCCGTACTTTCATCTTCGCAGGACACGACACGACGAGTACCGCCATCGCGTATGCCTTTTACCTTCTTCACAAACACCAGGACTGCCTCGAGCGCATCCGCGCAGAACACGACGCCGTCCTTGGTCCCATCGACCAGACGCCGCAGGTCATCAAGAACGATCCATATATTCTCAACAAGCTCGAGTATACGATGGCAGTGATCAAAGAAACACTGCGACTCTTTCCACCCGTAAGCGCCACGAGGAAGGGCGCACCCGGGCTGATGATCCGAGATCCTCAATCAGGCGAAGCGTATCCAGCACCGCCTGACTTCCTCGTTTGGGTCATACATTACGCTCAGCACCGGAACCCGAAAGTATGGGGTGACAGCGCGGATTTGTTCATGCCTGCGCGTTTCTTGCCCGAGAATGAAAGCAAGCTGCCAGAAACTGCGTGGCGACCGTTCGAAAGAGGGCCGCGTAATTGTATCGGACAGGAGCTTGCGATGCTGGAGTCGCGCATTGTTCTAGCCTTGGTATGCAGGTCGTTCGACTTCCAGCCAGCCTTTGACGCGCTCGACGAGCTCAAGGATGATGGCACGGTATGGGCGAAGGATGAGAGCTTTCGGAAAGGGAAGCAGGATCTAGACGGAGAGGAAGCTTATCCTGTGTTCGTTGGGACAGCGAAACCGCGCGAGGGCATGCCATGTCGAGTCCTGAAAGCGCAATAACAGAGCGATCCAGACAGTGGCAAGTCAATTGGCATACGCTTGATGGAGAAGCAAAATCATATGGTATGGGCATTTGGTAGGTCTAGTACGTAATGATAAAGTGAGAGTTTCGCAATATCGCGTTCACCAAAGGTGGTGAAACAAGAGCGAATTCCGCGAAGTCAATGTCGCCCCTTTTCGCGTATCGTTGCCGTGGTTCACGGATCGTTCTGTTGGGTCTGTCTATGGTGATAACGTCAGGCTGTCACACGACAGAGTTCTTGCGACGTCTATTCAGCATCGAGCAATGAAGAGTCGTTTGCCTACCGATTTTGATGAACTAGTGTCGCGAGAGCGAAGCTGAACGTAGTCTTTCCAAGGAGAATTGATGGTCTAATCAACCTATGTACATACCAACCCTCACAGAATCCTGCCACGTCTCGATGAGATTGTTGCCGTGTGATCGACCGCATGGTCGGGCCCGGTTCGCAGAGATTGACGCGGCTTGAGATCCAGCAAGGTTTACTTGCCAAAGTAACGGCTGGCCAGCCTTCAGCTGTACACTGGTACCTGCGTCTCGATCAGGTCCAGCATTAGAACTGTGACAATTATTGCTCGGTCCTGCAGGGTACTCCGGCGAATCGTGCCGCCTGTCCGTAGGCACGTACTCTCCTACGCGGTTCTGGCCGCGAGTTCAAGATACAAATCGCGACATCGTACACTGGTACCATGGTATGCGCAAAGATTAAGTTCTATGGTGGATCTTCCATCAATTCTCGACGCTTCTCGCGCAGAGACTAATGACGCTTGCGTGGAGGTGAGTTCAGTACTGGACAGTGACCACCATGTCAAACACGCGGAACATCCTAAACACTCCAGGTTTGCATGTGGTGTGTGCATGCAAGACAGATGTGTAGTGCAGATTGCAGATCGACCTTTGTACATCGAGCCATATCCGTCCACTTTGCCGGCTGAGCAAGCCGCGCTTCCGGCTCGCGAACATTCGCATGAGATTCAGTGGTGGAGAATTGCTTAGATGCTCCAAGCTTTACAGTTGACCTTGCCTCTTTAGGGCCTCAGCTCCGTTGCTTATGAGGCGGTATAGGTGCGGGCTTGCATAAGGCCCCATATGTACATGTACTTATGAACCTGCGGGACCTAACGAGTGTCTCCATGAACAAGAGCTTCGAGTATCTTGGCGGAAGATTACGCGCAGCCGGCCTCAGAGAGACCAGATGTCGAAGCGATCTCGATGTGATGAGCGACGACTTCAGTCTGCATGCTTTCGGTGGCTCACAACGCTAGCCTCGTCCAAATTGCTCGCCTGAGCGCTCGCCGGGTGGCCACAGACTTGCCTGCATTGACTCAAGTGGCACTCGGACTGTCGCCCGAGATCGTGACATCTCGTAATTATTCTGCCAGACCACATGGGCGCTCCACAGTGGAGGCGAACAATTTGACAGGTCATCTGGAGGCAAAATTTCAATCAAATGTCTGAAGGCTTCTCGGCAAGCCGGCGCAAAGCGTGGCCACATGACACTGTTGCAGCGCTTACGCTGCGGTAGAGTCGCGGGGTTCACGTCATCGACTTTCGCTGCAGGTGGATGTACATCAAACTAGGGTTACTCGGCTCTTACCAAATGTGCGGCTGGCGGCTGGCGGTACCAGGGAGCATGGCAGGACGGAAGCTCTACTGAAAGATGTAAAGATCGTTAGGAGCGGAAGCATGTGTAACACCAACCCATGAGGCTGGCAGAGTTCAGGTTTGATGTGAACAAAGGCCAGCATGGGACCCGACAACCACCAGCACATGCAGTGTCGAGCTTATAGTGCGACCCATGGCGTGCATGGGGAGCGAGCGGGCTGGTCCGAAATTTCGGGCATGCGCTTCGTTGCCACGCCACTGTAAGCATTCACACTACGCCGCGCCCGCACGTTCGTCGACGTTGCACTCCAGCGTTCCCGCCATCCGCCGCCAATCCGATGTGAACGGAAGAGGCGCGTCAGCTGCGAGCGGTAGCATTACACACATCCATCGCTTCCTGCCCGTCGAGTCGTGTGAGCGGGGTGAGCGTGCCAAGTGAACGCTAGCTTAGTCCAGCCTCTGTATGCATTATACGGGAGCGGCTGCACGGTGGGATGGTCCAAGCGCCCAATCATAACCCTGCCCAGATCGCTCTGTGGAGCCCCGTGCTTGCCTAGCCAACCGCCTGAGCATCCTCACGTGCAACATCAATTTCCAGTCGTGGCCCAAACAGAGACGCGGATCGCCGAGGCTTACTCGAGGCGCTGCACTCCCCGCAAGTGAAGCTAGCTCTTCATATTTGAACGCTGCCGCTCTCGCAAACCTGCGTTGGTGAAACTGTTCCCTTCCCTTGACAGCATTCTCGCCGTGCCCATTACCTACTGCTCACATCTGACCCGGCAGTGAGACTCCTCCCGATACGACCCATCTTAGACAGTACAGGCACAGTAGCGGCAACATGCCTGGCGGCGGCGCGCTCGCGGCCACGTCCGATGTCAACCGCATCGAGGCTCCGGTCACCTTCCTGGCCTACCTGATCTGCGCCTTCGCGTCGTTCGGGGGTATCTTCTTCGGCTACGATTCCGGTTACATCAACGGTGTCACTGGCTCTGCCGTCTTCATTGAGCTCATCGAGGGTCCCGGCCACACTGCGCTCAGTGGTCCCCACAATTCGCTCATCACGGCCATCTTGTCCGCTGGTACCTTCTTCGGCGCCATCATCGCTGGTGACGTTGCCGAAATCCTCGGCCGCAAGTGGACCGTCGTCCTGGGCTGCGGTATCTACATTATCGGTAAGCGAGGGATACATAACAAGTCATTGATTGACACCGAGTCACTAATGGGTGGTCAGGCGTCATTCTTCAGGTTGCTACGAATGGCCTCGGCCTGATCGTTGCCGGTCGTTTGATCGCCGGTCTGGGCGTCGGCTTCGAATCAGCCATCGTCATCCTATACATGTCCGAGATCTGCCCGCGTAAGGTCCGTGGTGCGCTCGTCGCTGGCTACCAATTCTGCATCACGATCGGTCTCTTGCTCGCGGCTTGCGTCACCTACGCAACCCAGAGTCGCCCCGATGCAAGCTCTTACCGCATTCCCATTGGCATCCAGTTCGTCTGGGGCGTCATCCTCGGTGTTGGCCTCATGTTCTTGCCTGACTCTCCTCGTTACTTCGTCAAGCGTGGTCGCGTTGAGCAGGCTCGCAAGTCTCTCTGCATTCTCCGTGGCCAGCCGGCCGACAGCGAGTACGTCGAGGCCGAGCTTGCTGAGATTATCGCCAACGAGGAGTACGAGCGCTCTTTGATCCCGTCTGGCAGCTGGATCAACGGTTGGGCCAATTGTTTCAAGGGCTCGCTCATGAAGTCCAACTCCAACCTGCGCAAGACCATTCTCGGTACTTCCCTGCAGATGATGCAACAGTGGACCGGTGTTAACTTCATCTTCTACTACTCCACGCCGTTCTTGAAGTCGACCGGCGCTATCGGCAACGTCTTCCTGATCTCGCTCATCTTTACCCTCGTCAACGTGTGCTCGACCCCAATCTCTTTCTACACCGTGGAGAAGCTCGGCCGTCGCCCGCTGCTCGTCTGGGGTGCTTTCGGCATGTTGATATGCCAGTTCCTCGTCGCCATCATTGGTGACACCGTCGGCTTCAACCACACCCACCCGACCCCGACCGCGGCAGACCCTACCGCGGTTACTGCAAACAACATCGGGGCAGTCAATGCTCAAGTCGCCTTCATCGCCATCTTCATCTTTTTCTTCGCCTCCACCTGGGGTCCGGGCGCTTGGATTGTCATTGGCGAGATCTTCCCGCTGCCAATTCGCTCGCGTGGTGTCGCTCTTTCCACCGCATCCAACTGGCTCTGGAACACCATCATCGCCGTCATCACACCGTACATGGTGAACCCCGATGAGGGTAACCTGAAGTCCAACGTCTTCTTCGTCTGGGGCGGGTTGTGCACCTGCGCCTTCGTCTACGCCTACTTCCTCGTTCCAGAAACCAAGGTACGTGTTTTCGTTCCCTACTTCCGAGGCAGCGCAGTGCTAATGTGGCTCGCAGGGTCTTTCGCTCGAGCAGGTTGACAAGATGATGGAGGAAACTACCCCACGTACCTCTGCTAAGTGGAAGCCATCCACCACCTTCGCGTCCGATATGGGTCTCAAGGACGGCGCGAAGCTTGATGCCAACATCACCGAGGATGTTGAGCGCAAGGGATCCATCTTCTAAGCGTTCTGGTGTCGCATTGCAAGGCACCTGATTCTCAACGATGAAAATGAGAGAAGAGCTGCGCACAAGGTGATCCAATTAATATGGCGCTGTAATGGTGAGGATGATACCATGGCCTGCAGCTGCCACTGGCGTGTGTAGCATTGCAGTGTTATATCATGTTATGAGCATATCTGCACTTGTAGCCTTCTCTTCCCAGCCCATATCGTCTACAACGTACGGTATTCCGTATCCCTGTGGTATTCACGCGTCGGTACTCCTGCTCCTGCTCCTGCTGCGAACTCCAAGGTGTGCATGCAACTTTACCGACATGGTGCATATGGTCTCCATCGCACTTTAACGTAACTCAGCTGATATCAGCTGATGTTATTGGTATGAGTGGAAGGTGATAGAGGCTGTGCAAGGAATTATCCAGCGAATAATGTGGTATTGCGATATGCTCAAATAAAAGCGTGGGAGTCACTTCTAACCGGAGCCAATGCGAGGGTACTCTCGCTGTATATACCAAAGGTGCTTTGTTGCACTCATTTAGCCGGAGAGCCGCAACATGCAGAGCGCACGTGGCCACGACTTCACCCGGTCTAGAGCCGCTCCCAATTTGTACTGGCTGCTATCTGATAGAGGAGATTGGTTATTCTTCCCCATAGCCTAGACAGCCGATAAGGCGCGCCCATGGGCGCTTCGGGACCGTGGGCTTACTCCTACCTCCGCTCTCCCCCACAATGGATTGGAACCTTGTTAGGCTGATAAGCAGCCAGGCTGGGCCTGGAAGTCGCTCAAGGTCTTGGTGTGATATATCCTGTTAGGGCTGCCATCTTGACGGAGGACTACCGAAAGCGCGTAAGGGCATTCGAGGGAGGGTCTTACGGGCCCATGAACTGTGAGAAACAGACATCCGCGGACTAAGGATCTTCTTTACAGCAATGCAGTGCGATCGTCTCCATAGTAACACACCCAGCGCAGCGGCACGCAGCGCAATCGAGACTGGTCTAAATCTCCGAGAAAAATCGTGCCAAGTAAGAGATGTAGCGTGCCATCGTTTTACTGGAAGAGTTGCGACGCCTTTCATCTTTACGCCTTGCCTACTAAAACCCAGCCGATGAGTCCGGAGAGCTTCAGGGTCCCTTGATGGCCTCAGTGGTCGAATGTCCGATACCGGGTCTGGGACGCACAGCGCAGTTTCACGTTTACCTGAGAATAGCCAGCATCGGCGTGTTGTTAGGCACGGTAGTCTCCTAACATGATGCCATCTCACGCAACTGGCAAAGTCGTAGCTTTTGTGCAGTCATGAATGATCAACTTCTCCGTGCGTTTCCGTACGGATGGCTTATAGTATTCAGTCAGCATGCATCGTTATCGTTCTTCCTGCAGCCGACGGGCCTCAAGCGCGTATGCTCATAGACTCAGATGGTACGATGTTTGTTGCTCGTTGCTTGTTGCTTGGGTACGTCGTTGTAGGGCGCCTTGCAGCCTGTTTTCGCACCTTTGTCTAAATAGACAGTGCCTGATAGAACAAAATACCTAGCGTATGCAAGAGATCGACCGCTGTATACACATTGTTGCAACATAACCTAGCGGGTGGTGCCAGCTCTTAACCAGGACATCGTGCGTGTAGTCCTGGAGTCAGTTGTGCAGAACGCATCAGGGGAAGACACAAGAAAATGCCAAGGAACCACGGCCTCAGCGGAGAGCTTCCCCATCCGGAAGGCACGACCGGACCGTCTTCCACCATGGTTACGGCCATACGCACATTGCCATAGCCCCAAAAGAATGCTTTTCTGGAGACGCGGCTACGTTGAGTAGCAACTCTGAAAGCAATGAAATCACACATAGTGTAGCAGTCGCACATTGATGGCCGGTAAGCGTCTGCTGGACGCTGCAAAACTTCTCAATGCCGGCAGCTCGATCGCAAAGCAGCACTATGCGGTCCGCCTGCAGCAATGGGAGGCATATACGCGGACCTCGAGTCTGGGGAAAGCTGTCAAGAGTCAAACCGATAGACTCACGGTGACATTAGCGGCTGCGGCTGCCCTGTCAAAGAGATTCAACGAGGCGGCTCCGCCATGGCAACAGCAGCAGCAATCTCCATACCAAGGACCGCCTTCACCAGAGCGTAGTCGGGATGGAAGTCTATATAATACGGCTGCGATCAAGCCTAGCGCTTCTGTAAACGCCGCAGATACCGTCGCGCAGGCGGGAAATGTGGATCATGAGCCTGGCAAAGCAAGCTCTGGCCATGACAACGCGAACGATTCCGACTCCATCGTGAGAACCGCACCGAACGAATCGCATTCTTCTATCCGCATGAAGCAGTTACAAAGGCAGTCGGAAGGGCAAATACCAGCCGTATCTGCGGACACGCAGTCAGAGCAAGCAGTGAATTTAGACCAAGATACATTTTCCGTGCGAGCAGATCACTCTTCGCCAGAGCTGTCATCCTTGCCTAGAACGAAGATACCCAAGTATACGGAAGACGGACCTACCGCCTCCAATGCTAGGCACGCGCACGAGCTCAATCAAGACACTTACCCTGTACCTGCCGATTGTAATGCTGGTCAACAACCCAACGATGCTGATACGAATGTCTACTCCAGCCCCAAAGTCTCACGTATGTTGGGTCAAGCCGAACCAGAGCGCAGCAATCCTTATCCTGGTAGGTCAAGATTGCCGCCTCAGCCTCTTCCGGAGATGGTAGCTGCACGAGAGCGATGGCAGAATAAAAGCAAGAAGCAGACCCGTGGCGAGATGGAAGCTCAGGGCTCCTCGCCGTCAAATGCGGGACTGGCTGATGTGGAAACGCAACGGCTTGCTTCCACGATCGCGAAAGAAGCAGAGGTAAGTGAAACGAACAATATGCTCCGCCACATGTTTGCTGGTGCGTGCTGACAGTCTCGAGAAGTCTGGTATAAAATCTGCTGTGGCCGCCCAGCCCGAAGACGCACCGTATCAGATGCGTGAGTCGCGTGTACCATCATCTCGCCTTGGCCGACTATGGCAGTACAGCGGCTTGGCAACCAGTATGGCGTTTGGCGTAGTTGGAGAGAGCTTCAGGCGTATGACCGGAGGTAGCTCTACCGGCAGTCTGATGCTGAGCGAGGCCAACATGGATCGACTAGTATCTAAGCTGAGCCGCATGAGAGGTGCAGCGTTAAAGCTGGGCCAGATGATCAGCTTCCAGGGTACGCGTCAAGACTTCAAAGACGCGAGCAGAACTGACGACCTCGCAGATTCCAAAGTCCTGCCACCGACCATAAACGCCGTGTTACAGAGAGTGCAAGACAGTGCGGACTATATGCCTTCGTTCCAGCGCGACGAAGTTCTGATTCGGAACTTTGGCCAAGATTGGCGCAAGCTGTTCTCCGACTTTGAAGAGAGGCCTTTCGCAGCGGCCTCAATCGGCCAGGTCCACAAGGCGAGACTTGCATCCAATGGAAAGGAGGTGGCCGTCAAGATCCAGTACCCTGGCGTCAGAAACAGCATAGACTCTGATCTCAACAACCTGACTCTTCTGCTGACAGCCAGTCGCTTGTTGCCGAAGGGTCTCTACCTTGAGAAGACTATTGCGAACGCTCGTGTCGAGCTCGGCTGGGAGTGTGACTACGAGCGTGAGGCAAAAGCTTGCATACGCTTCCGGGAGCTTCTACGTGATGAGCCGTCCGTGTTCGCGGTCCCCGAAGTCTTCACCGAGGCGTCTGGTCCTGACGTACTGACTGCGGAGTTCATGACCGGAACAGGCGTTACCAAGTTGAAGGATCTAAAACAAGATGAGCGCGACTACATCGGCAGCCAGATTCTTCGTCTGTGTCTGCGAGAGCTCATGGAGTGGCGATTCATGCAAACTGACCCGAATTGGACGAACTTCTTGTACAACCGGCAGTCAAACAAGATCGAGCTGCTTGACTTCGGGGCAAGCCGGGAGTATCCTGACAAGTTCATTGAGCCCTACGTCTCTCTACTTATTGCGGCTTCCAAGCATGACCGAAGTGCTTGCCGCGAGCTCTCCATTGAGCTCGGCTATCTGACCGGCGCCGAAAGCCAGGAGATGCTTAAAGCACACGTTGACAGCATTCTCACACTTGCTGAACCCTTTGTGGAGAGCGCACCGGACGTGTACGACTTTGAGGATCAGACCATTACGGACCGTGTGCGAGCAAACATTGGCTTGATGCTCAGGGAGCGATTGAGTCCGCCGCCTGAGGAGACATACAGTCTACACAGGAAGTTGAGTGGCGCGTTTTTGCTATGTGCAAGGCTACAAAGTAAGGTTAAAGCCAAGGCTATGTTTGAGCAAGCTGTAAAGGTCTGGGAAGGTCGAGAAAGAAGTCTAGAACAGCCTTCTTAAGCACCTATGCATGTGCTTGAGACAGATGTTCGGCTATATTGAAGGTATCCAAAGGCACCTTACGCGACATAATTGCTAGTGAGAAGCAACACTCCCGACGCACTTGGCCGAAAATTGACTAAGTTGGTCGGGTGTAACGCAATCCCACAATGATTGAACGACTCGCGCTGCAGTCCATTCGCCATGCGTGCGAGCTCTAGGATGTCCGAGACCTAGATGTGATTGTCCGTACCTATAGCGGATCCGATGTCTCAACGGGGCGAATCTTGGCACACTCGATCTCTAAGCGGTCTCGTCATATAATGATCGTCTCGCAGCATTATCGCCCTATAGTTTCCATTGCATTGAACTATTGAAGTTAGTACCCCCTTTGCGGCTCGAGCCGAGAACTGGAGAAGTGGGTGGGCCCGGCGCGCAAAGGAATCCCATCGACCACCCGCACTACAACTTCGTCGATCTAACGCCTGTGACGATGGCCCGACCAAATCCCTTCCATGGCGTCGACCCTGGCTTACTTTGTGCCACGCTCCAAGTGCCAGCTCCCCGGGGTCCCTCGCGCACTTCATTGAGTGAGCGTTCTCAGCCGCCAGCAGGGCCTCCCTCCTCCGTAGCCGCATGATATTCTCGCATAGTCCTTTGGTACGGTAACTATCTAAGTGGGCACATTAGGCGACCCCCACGTCTGCTAGCGTTGTAGATCACGCCCATCGCAGCAGCTCACGACACTCGCCCGAAACATTCCTCTGCAGCACCAAATGAAGCCCGTGATGAGTTCGCACCTACGTCCGGCTGGTGGGAAACATGGAGCACTGCTCTCAACACCGAAGCCATAGCGTAGATCACTCGCTTTTTAAGCCGTGCCGGCGAGATGCTCGCATTCCCTACAATGCAGTGGCTTCTGAGTGTCCCATCGATGCGGGCGGACGTGACCGCTCTCTTATCCAACACTGCACCTCTCTTGACGGTAGGTGGTGAGCATTGTACCGTTTCCACCACATTTCACTTTGTCGCTCCCGCTATCCTGTCCATTTCCAGAGCAACAATGCTTACTGCGAAGCGACTGTCCTGGGGGCTCATGCCTCCGACGGCATTGCTTGCTTTGACGTCAATGTTGGCCTACTTCGGGTTCCGCATCTACACGCTGGTCTACGCCCAAGCGTACGTGTAGCACGGCCGACGGCTTGCACTCGCCTGGACATTCCTGGTGCTCAAGATAGTGACGCTGCGTAAGTTTGCATAGTTGCCGGACTCGGTGTAGTACTGTCCTAACGATGGCAGTGACGAACGCTCTGCCCTAGAGTCTGAGAGCTCTGGCTTGGCGACCACCCAACAGACCTCGCAGACGACTTTCCGGTGACAATGTTCCTACCGTCGATGTGCTCATAACCTGCTGCAACGAAGATATTGATGTCATCCTTGACACAGTAAGGGCAGCCTGCTTAAGCGACTATCCACAGGATCGTTTTCGGGTCTTCCTCTGCGATGATGGTCGGTCAGAATCGGTGTACAAGAGCGTCGTGGCGTTGCGGGAGACTTACCCGAATATTAACTACACCTCCCGACCGAAGCCAGATGTACCGGACTATAAGGCTGGCAATCTGAACAATGGTTTACGCTACTCTAGAGCGCTTCCCATGGACCAGATCCAACTGCCGCGTCGTCCTCAGGTAGTTTACTCGGCAACGACTTCTGTGGAGTCCTACAAAACAGCTACTGAGCACTCGAGTGGTTCGGAGAAGGAGTCCTTTGATAAATCTTTCGACGACTGTTGCGACCACACGGGGAACCTTACGGCTGCAGTCGCGAGTCCGAGCGAGTATGTCGCAGGCCTGGATGCCGACATGATCTGTATGCCCCATTGGCTTCGGGCGCAACTGCCGCACCTTATTGATGACCCGAGCGTCGCAATGACCTGCCCACCTCAGACTTGTAAGCTTGCAAGCTTCCCATAACCATCATCTTTGGCATGGGCTAATAGATTAGTCTACGACACACCAACTAATGACCCGCTAACGCAGAACATGCTTCAATTTGCAGGACTAACGGAGGCAGTCAATGATAGTCTTGGGCATGCCGACTGCCTTGGCTCCGGCTACGTCGTGCGGCGGACGGCCGTTGAAGGTATCGGAGGCTTTCCCGTTGAGTCGGTCTCTGAGGACGTCTGTTGTTCGGCCAAGCTGCTAGGCGCCGGGTGGAAAACCGTCTTCGTTCAAGAGTTTCTCCAGTACGGTAGCGTCCCAGAGTCGTATTATGCGCACGTGAAGCAAAGGACTCGCTGGGTAGCTATTGCCCGTGCATGGCATTGGGTGACGTTGAACGCTGACCTCGTCGTAGTGGGTCGGCCACATCCAGACTGCAATTCTCTTCCGCTTCCGGACCTCCAGGAAGTATGCCAAGCATCTCAACCTTGTCCAGAGGCTGACAGGGATAACGTTCGATCTCCGGCAATGGGTCCAGATTCCACTCGCACTAAGCTATTTCTTTGTACCTCTTGCGCTCTACGCAGGCTATCCGCTCGTCATCTGGACTTCGGCGTTTCAACTCCAGTGGCTGATCCGACTGATATGTATATGGGCGACCTGTCACTGGATCCACCAGATGGTGATGGGATGGATCGCTGGGATCGGAAATGGTCGCTACGATATCAGGATCACTTCGTACGACGCGGAACTGGAACAGTGGCTTCTACCTTACGTCCTGAGCGCGTTCGTTCAGTCTTTTCTGCTTCCCAAGCGGCTTGGCGGACGATCAACCGGCTTCAAGTCTACCGGTAGTATACTGGACGCCCTCCATGAGCGCGATGCTCAACGCCGTGCACACGTTTTCAAACGTCTATACGCCATCCTGTGGGTTCAACGCGGGATATTCCACGCGGTGTTCGTGGTCGTATGCCTCGGCGGCGTAGCGTTGACCTGCATTCGATCCGTCTACCCAAACATCTCAAGCGCGTATCCGTTAACACAGACCACATATGGAAACCAGCTCATCTACTTGGTCACTCGCATTGGGTGGCCGCCACTCGTCTGGCTGCAGTTCCTCCAAGCGGCACTGGTGCCGCCTTTGTACGCCATCTTCCCACCCTCGGTGAAGCCGCGGGAAGAGCTGCTTGACAGAGATCCCAAGACAAATGTCGCGTACCCGAAGCCAATGGCGACTCGACTAAAGAGAAGTGCGTGGGACTTTTGGAGGTACATGCGCGCATCATTGGCCATGGTGTATTGCATCTTTTTGTTCACGATTTCGTGGTTTCTATTTGGCACGAACATTGCCAGCGACCAGCACACGAGCCCATGGTGACGACCCGGAGTCGGGATGTTGGTATCATGGTGTGATAGACTTTTCGGCGAGGCGCTGGTTTTGTGGGAAGAGAAGCGCAACAGCCACAGTTGGCTGAACAGTCCCATGCTGAATGTCGATGCTCCAGCAGCTTGTGGAGCGTACAGGAGCTTGCATACTTCGTATACCTCGAGAACGTCAGCCTACCGTATGTGATGTCGGAATATGTCGAATGCTTTGGACCCTTGACAATCATTGATAGGCGCTGGCACGTAAAAGCCATCGTAGATTACGTAGTTCTAACTATGGCTGGCTTTTGTGCCAGCCTGGGTCCGATTCCCGGTACCGCCATCGTATGGCGCTGCGACGCATGTCGTGGAAATTCAATGTTATCAACCCTACAGGTGGCTGTATCTCTTTATCAAAAGACTAACGCACTAGGCGCCCTGACTTGACAAAACCAAAATGAATTTTTCCACGACTGCGTCGCAGCGCCATACGATGGCGGTACCGGGAATCGAACCCAGGCTGGCACGGTGACTTGAGGGACTCTAATGAGTCAATCCACAACGTGACGTCATACCACTAGACCATACCACCTGATGATGAATCCATCGTGCTCTTTGTTGTATATATAGTGTGATATCCCAATCTTCTGAGCTAGCCGAGTGATCCGTCTTGAACTAAGGCTACGAGGTCCTGCTGATCGACTATGGCTACATAGTCCATTGTTACAGTACAACGCAAATTTAGCTGGAAGCTACGCAATGGCTACGCCTCGAACTGATGGTTGTTGTACTTTGACCTGAGATGCTCGAGGCAGCCTATTCTCAACGCATATTGCTCCCTAAATGTGACTATCGCTGTCTGTGCAGCTCTCCTCAACCCTTCACTTCTGGTAAGCCTCCATTTACCGCATCCGAGTCCTCCTCGTGAAGCATCGGCTTTCCCGCGGTGTTACTGTCTAGATTCGTGATCTCCTCAATGGACCGGCCTTGCGTCTCCGCTAGGGCGAACCAAGCGAATCCTGCAATACAGAGGTCAAATAGGCCCCAGAGCAAGAACGTGCCCCACCCCATGTTGGCAATCATATAAGGCGTCGTCAAGCTGAAGACGAAGTTAAAGAGCCACTGGCTGGCCACGCCAACGGCTATGCCAGCCTCGCGGGTCCTCGTAGGGAAGATCTCGCTAACGTAGGGCCACGGTAACGGGCTGTGCAAGTCAGCGATGTCCTCAAAAAAACCAAGTTCCGGAGTACGCTTACCCCCACGAGAAGTTATATGCAATGACAAACATATAGATGAGTGCAATTGTTGCTATGCCGGATTGTGTTACTTCGCTATTGCCAGGTGCTGGATGTGTTGCAAGCACAGCACCAGCAGAGATCTGACAAGCAGACATAAAGAGCGCGCCAGCTGTCAGGATGTTACGGCGGCCGACATTGTCTGCGACGAAGATGACGAAGATCAAGCAAGCTGCGAATTTTATAGCACCGAAGATCGCGGTCAAGAGGAGGTCGGAGTTGCCCTTGTTGCCAACGAGCAGCTTGAAGTACTGTGGGGCGTAGTATGCGAAAGCGGTGGCACCTGTATGGTTGAGGTAGTAGAGTCAGTGAGCGTTGTGCATTGAAGTCAACACACTCAACGATTGGCCCTTCTGCTGAGCTGCTCAGCAGGAGCAGACAGCATATTGTGATTACTATGATGTGGGAAACGGTGACTTCTTACCAGTCGCTTGCTGAGCGATGAAGACCGAGCTGGCCGTAACCGTGCGTCTTAGATTGCTGCCTTGAACCATCTCTGCGCCTGCATCAGTAATAGCAGGAATATTCCATCACGGCCGCACGCTTACCCGAGAGTCTAAAGCCCTCTCCCGCATGTGCTTCCATCTCAACACCGCGCCTAATCTCCTCCATCTCCACTTGCGTTGCCGGTCCGTCGTCGGCGCGGACCCATTTAAGGCTTTCCCATGCCTCCTCGTGACGACCAACGGCTGTTAGCCATCGCGTGCTCTCTTTCAGCGTGAACATGCCAAGTCCAAGCAGTCCAGCCCACAATATCTGTAGAGAAACCGGGACCTGCCACTGCGAGGTCTTCGAGCTGGAGATATCTCGAGCAACACCCCAATTGACCCAGTAGCTCGTAAACTGTAAAGTACTATCAGTCTCACAATCCAGTCACTCATAGAGGTGCCTTCATGACTGCGAGAGCAGCCCTAGCACGAGCGCCTAGCTGGAGTAACTTACAATGCCAAGTGTATACATGAGCTGGTAGAACGAGCCGATTTGTCCACGAACCTGCTTAGGCGACATCTCCGCGCTGAACATGGGCTAGAGGTATTATCACCCTCGTCAGCGTCATCTCCGACAATCGCAAGAGCTACGAATTAATGATGATCATCCCCACGGCATAGCGGCTGCATTAGGTGCTGAGACTGCCATGGTGCTGCGTGGAAATGTGTCTACTCACGACTACCACAGTTGTACCTCCCAAACCCAGACCAGCAATCACTCGACCAACGTAGAATGCACCCTTACTGTGTGTATTGCCAGTTTCAATTGCCGCGCCGACGCAGAAGATGAGCGCACATGTCGCGATGGCCCATTTTCTTCCATAGCGGTGCGTGATGGGCAAGATGATCAAGCAAGCCACAAATGCACCAAGGTTTTGAAGAGACACGGCGAGGGAGGACACGTGAGTAGCTTGTTTCGCTGTGTAGCGATAGTCGCGTTCGAATGGTTTCAACGTGAGCACTCCGCCAATTATCCCACTGTCATAGCCGACTGTGGCGAAATATATCAGCTGCAATAGAGATGGTAGTCTGGAATGCACGTACAAAGGAAGCCGCTTATGCAGACGACGGCGCCTAGATAGTATGCTCTGAACATTCCCAGACGGTTAATGCCCGCGGTGTCGGCGTTAGAATCCTTGATGAGCCCCATATTGTCAACTCTAGGTCTCTTGGGCACGGTGAAGGTCGCTCCATCATTGCCAGGAGGGATGGTATATGTATGTCACTCGACGGTTGCGAGCTAGCCACGGCAGGATGCAGTTAGGGTATCATTCGTGCCCTTGGGAAGGTAACGCGTGGCTGAAGCACGCAACACACCAAGGTGCTCTACTGGCAATCGCTAGTTGGCTGGCTGTATTGCAAGAGTCATGTTGTGGGACTGCCCATCTGCATGACCAGGCCTGGTCCCAGGAAGAAACCCATCAGCATTTAGTTCGGCCGAAAGAGAGACTGAGTGAGCGCAACAGCATAGATGGTTCCATCTCAACCCACGATGGTGCAATAAATGAAACCCGCTAGCTCCATGGGAGTGGACCAGCAGTGTGGGGACATCGCGCGTGGATTGGAGGGTCGATGAAGATCACTCGAGCTGAGAGTGGCTGTCGTGAGGTTTAGTGGGATTGGACGTGAACGCGATTCCTATTGTCACAGAGTCTTCGAAAGCAGTGTTTGTGACTGGTTCCTGCTGCTCTGTACCTCTCCGGAGCATCTTGTGATTTTGATCTTCTTGAAACGATTGTAATCTATAATGTACCATGTATGCCATTTCTAGAGTGTGCTGCGCAATAGAAAGGAGACTGTCATGCGGCAGTGCCCGATCCTCGCCGGTCGTCAGCCTCCAGTGCACTCCAGTCGAGCGTGGGTATTTCACGAGCTTTTTAGGCGGCAAATCCTGAGATGATAATGTAGTGTTCCAGCACCCTTTTGCTAGTCCCTCCATAAGCCATGCATATCGTATATCTGGATGCTTCATGCTTCATGCTTCATGCTTCATGCTTATCAGGTTCGCCGTCGGCATCAGTCCGGCGGAGGTGATAGGCGGCTGTTACCCCTCGTAGAGAAGGAGCGCAATCATGGCCAATAAACTTATGGACACAGGTCATCTCTTCATCTTGGTGCTTCGGTACATTATTGCAACGCCATGCTGTTGGGAACCAGCACGTGAATTGAAATCATGGGACTGCTGTGTAGTCGATCCTTCCAGAGTTGAGCATCCTGCCCATTATCGGCTATACTATTGAAGATGGCAGACTCTGTGCCGCCAAAGCTGGACCTTGACTGGACCGATATTGCGGCGAAAGCGCAGACCCGACTCATCAACTCAATACCTTCGGAATGGCGTCTGTCGCACGACAAGCTGCCACCTCCAGAGCAGCTCGATGTGACTGGCTTTCCAGCCAAGTGCGGCTTGCTCAGCGAAACGGAGTTGAAAATTACAGATAGCTACGCTACTGACATCGTTGGCGCTGTAGCGGCTGGAGAATGGACCGCGGAGGAAGTCATGAGAGCGTTCTGTAAACGAGCTGCGATTGCCCACCAGCTTGTACGCCGCCTCGATGACACTCCCAACCTCGGTGTCCGACGTTGAGCTAATGTGTGGCAGACAAACTGCTTGACGGTCATCATGTTCGACGCTGCGCTAGCACAGGCTAAAAAGCTCGACGAGATCTTCTCTCGTACAGGAAAGACGGTCGGGCCTCTGCACGGACTGCCCGTCAGCATCAAGGACAACTTTAACATTCCGGACTACCCTTCGTCAGTCGGCTTCTGCTCGTGGGCTCTAGAACCGATGCGCGAAGAAAGCACTATTGTCAAAATCCTGCGTGAGCTCGGCGCTATTCCGTTCGTGAAAACCAATGTACCAACCGCGATGATGATCGCAGAATCTGTCAACAACTGCTACGGACGAACGGTCAACCCTCTCAATCGTGCTTTGACTTCCGGAGGTAGCTCGGGTGGCGAGAGCGCACTGATAGCGATGCACGGTAGTCCGTTAGGACTCGGTACAGACATAGGCGGTTCGCTTCGCATACCCGCCGCATGCACTGGTATCTTCACGATTCGACCGTCGTATGGCCGTTTTCCTCACTTCGACGCTCGAACGGGCATGGCCGGGCAGGAAGCTATCGGCTCTGTACATGGCCCCATGGCACGAAGCGTAGCCGACCTCAGACTCTTCACAGAGAATGTGGCCAATTATGGCCCATGGCTGAAAGATCCGAAATGCATCCCCCTTCCATGGCGGACAGTACAGCTCAAACCGAAACTAAAGATTGCCGTCTTGTGGGATAACGGTATGGTCCATCCCACTCCACCCGTACAGCGGGCGCTACGTATTGTTGCGAAGAAGCTGAAAGGCCGGGGTTACGAACTCGTTGATTGGGCGCCGGACGGGCATGCGGAAGCTATGAATCTGATGGGCGCTTTCTTCATTGCCGATGGCGGCAAGTCAGTTCGTAAGATACTCGAAGCTTGCGGTGAGCCGTTCAGACCGGAAATGCAGACATACGAGTCGGCCAAAGAGCTAGGTGTGTTCGACCTTTGGCAGCTACAGAAGCAGCGTACGGCATTGTGCAAACGATACCTCGACCGGTGGGCGGCCTGCAAAGGACTCGACGCGATACTGAGTCCGACCACACCGTATGCTGCACCGAAGAGCGGCGATTTCAAGACTGTTACGTACACTGGTGTTTTCAATATTCTTGACTACTCAGCGACCAGCTTCCCTACTGGTGTGATTGCGGATGAGTGGGATGATCTGTATCCTTCCGACTTCAAGGCCTATAGTGAGATTGATGAGGTGACAAAGAAGGATTACGAGTCCGCAGATGTGCATGGGATGCCGGTAAGCTTGCAATTAGTAGGCCGAAGGTTAGAGGATGAGAAGATCATGGCGATTACCGAACGAGTGGTACAGGATATAGCTCCCTAAGTCAATAATTCCCTTCAACCGATCAACGCCTCGCTAAGTGCGCTTGCAAGTGTGACTGTAACGAGATGTCGGAAGTACGGTGCTATGAAGCCTCGTCAATCTGCCGCTGTGCGGGATCCTTACTCTCGACCTTCTGTCTTTTGGCAGCAGAGCCGAAGATCTCAGTCCATGTTGCACTCAGGCTTCGCAGTCGACTCTGCGGGCTGCCTGCACCGTTCTGTAGATTGGCGGCCTCATCATCTTCGTAATCCAGGTCGCCGCTAACTATCGAGTGTCGCTTCTGCGCTGCAGTAGAGGCGCGCTTCGAATCTGTAACTGGCGCCCTCCGAGCTTTTGAAGTGCGACGGCGCAGGTGACCGTGAGGTGCGTCAACCCCACGGCGCAGACTGTCAGCAACAAGTGCCGTCAGTGACGCGCTCAAGGGACTGGTAAGTGGACCCGGCAACAATCCTGCCACGGAATGACGGCTCAGCAGCCTGTGTGAGCCGTGAGGATCAAGATATTGGCCTTGGGACTGCCGTCGAGCTACAGTAGTTGTCGGCGAACTATGTTCAGGACTGTCGATGGCCGGTCCAGATCGATGCCTGTTGAGCGGAGTCTGTGGGCGCAATGACGACAGCAAGCTCGCTTGCGGAATCACCGGTGCGGAAGTCGTCGCATGGAGTCGTGGTGGCTTATTTTCGTTGAATTTTGCAGAATCACTCTGCGGCAGCGGAGAAAGAGTATCCGCATGTACGGCCGCGGAGTTTGCGGGAGCCACGGCTTTGAGAACTTCAGGTGCGCGAACCTGGTCCAGAGTCAGCTGCGGTGCCCCTTCATTGCTGGAAGGCTGCAGGTTCGGCGTGACCATCACCGAGGGTGGAATTGACTCTGCGGTGTGATACCGTCGCAGCGTCGGCGGTCCAGCAGAAGAGCTCGGAATGAAGGACGGCCGCCTGTCCGGGCCGTCATCACGCTCTCTGATCTCTGGCTGAACGTGCTCCTCGTCGACAAGATCAATGGCATCGTCTTCTTCCCCAAGCTCCTCATCGCCCTCCCCGTTATCCTGTCGACCTGAAGTAATGCACCACACCCCAAGGAAAGTCAGCGCACATCCACCGATAAACTTGGCAGCGTCTCCGGCAGCCTCGCGTTCGAAGTCGCGATATAACACGGCACTACCCACGATCACAGAGATCGTGAAGAGCACGAACTGCGTCGGAATCACTACGGTAGCATTGAAGTGTTGTAGGGCCCGGTTGACGTACTTGATCTGCATCACAGCGGTGAAGATGAGCACCGCAAGTAGAAGGTACGTGATTGGGAACGTGACGACGTGCCAGATGGTGTTCGACAGCAAGGAAGCTATTCCTTTCGTTGAAAGTGCCGTGTAACCGCCGAACAAGGCCACCAGGCCGAGGTCGATGAGTACCGTCCGATCACCATATTTGTTGCTGGCCACGAACAGTATACATATCAGCAGCAAAGTGACACCCAAGTAAGTCTCGAACTCCCACTGCGTGATCAGCTCCCAGATCTTGTCGGGCGTGAGCTTGGGATTATTGTCGCTTGCACTGAGCACAACAGTAACGCAGCCGGCCGTGGCAATGATCACTCCAACCGCATCTCGCCAACGGAAGCGTTCGCCGAGCAGTAGAGGTGCGATCAAGCAGTTCGAGACCAGTGCCACCACACCCAATGGTGAGACAATGGAGGCTGGTGCAAAGCCGTAGGCCAGGAAGTTGCCTGCTTCTCCGACCACCATCAAGCCTATGCCAAGCCACCATATCGGAGACTTGAGGTAGGACTTGTCTTTCTGCTCACCATCATCTTCAGCCTGACCATCTCCTTGTGTATCTATGGCCTCCCCGGCGTCTATACGTGGGATAAGCGGATCACCCTCATGGTTCTCGACACCTTCCTCGAGCGTGTAGGCTTCGGCGCCATCAGTGGGCTCTGACTTCGCATTCTCCTTCGCTCTCTGCTCTGCTATATCGATCTGCTGGGTGCCATACGTCCTGGGCCTGTTCTTGCGTTGCCTCTGCTGAGCCTTCTGCTTCTCCTGCCACTCCTCTCGATCCCTGTTCAACCTTATATGAGCATACCGTTGTGTGTTGAGCGCGAACGATATGAATATGTTCCCGCAAATTGCCGTGATTATGCCTATCAGACTAGACCAACCGCCAGGCGGCGAATTGCTGTTTGAGTCGTCGAAGGCGCGCATAGGCGAAGTCGCTGCCTCAAGAGGCGTTGCAAATCCAAGCATATGCATCCCAGTGAGGCGGACTACAGCTTTTACCGGTTGCTGGGCTCTTCACACAATTCTTACAGCCACAAGCCAGCATTGTATGTCCACCAACAGTGGATCTAGAAGCATTCGAGACAATGAGATTGCATTTCGGCGCTAGACCACGCCGTTTGATGACGGCGCCGTGCAGATTCCATTTCCGCGTGAGCTCCGCCTCCGAAAGCTTTAGCGGGAACCGAGTGACTTTGATCGCTGCCACCCACCCCGGCTGCGTAGATGGGGTATAGCATGCTACGGAAGTGCAAGCCTGCTCACCTACATGTTGCTGGCTTAGGACAATCTTACAGCTGTGACGCACGCGTCGACGGACTTACACCACCTTAGCAACTGCATGTGCGAATCCTGCTTCAAACAATTCGGAAGATGAACGCAACTTCTGCTGCATTACACTACAACTTTGCCTTCGAATGCTGTCGGTCCAATTGTAGAATATCCCGCTTCTCGATACCATAACTCTTTGCCATCTCCTCCGATTTCTTCTTCTGCCATTCGATCTTGTCTAAGAAGAATTTACCCTTCTTGTTCTCGTTGCGACCCAACTGGATCAAGTGCACCTCGTCCGGACCGTCTACTATTCGCATTGTTCGTCCGTGTGCCCACATGTTCGCCAGCGGTGTATCTTGGCTGACGCCAGCGCCACCGTATGCTTGAATGGCACGATCGAGCACCTTCAGCAGCGTATCCGGGACGAGCACTTTGGCCTCGGCGATCTCCTTGAGCGCGAACTTCGCGTCCTTGGAGTCGATCATCATTGCGGCGTTCAAGACGAGCAGACGCGCGGCATCAATCTCGATCCTACTGCGTGCGACGCGCTCAAGCATGACACCATGCTCGTGGAGGAACTTGCCAAAAGGCTTCTTTCTTGGGTCATTTGCGCGTGCGAGGAAGTACTCCAAGGCCTTCTCCGCAGAGCCAATAGAGCGCATAGCGTGATGGATGCGACCCGGACCGAGACGACCTTGGATCACTTCGAAGCCTCGACCCTCGCCCAGAATGATGTTTGACACCGGCACACGGACGTTGTCAAACGTGATGTGGCCGTGTCCATGAGGCGCGTCGTCGAAGCCGAACACTGAAAGCATGCGCTTGATGGTAACACCTGGTGTCTCCGCGGGAACTAGCACAACGGACTGCTGACGGTAGACGTTCGAATTGTCCGGGTCGGACTTGGCCATGGTAATGTAGATCTTGCAACGCGGGTCGCCAGCACCGGACGACCACCATTTCGAGCCATTCAGCACGTAATGGTCGCCATCTCTATGCATCTTCAAGGAAATGTTCGTAGCGTCCGAGCTTGCAACGTCCGGCTCGGTCATTAGGAAAGCAGAGCGGATCTCGCCAGCCAACAGCGGCTTGAGCCACTTATCCTTCTGCTCCTGCGTGCCGTACTTGGCGAAAACTTCCATGTTGCCGGTGTCGGGCGCGGCGCAGTTGGTGGCCTCAGATGCAATATGGCTCTTGCCCAGGTACTCCGCCATTAAGCCGTACTCCAAGTTGCTGAAGCCTGCACCTTCCTTGAAGTGGTTCTTCGGCAAGAACATGTTCCAAAGCCCAAGCTCACGTGCACGCTTCTTCAGGTCCTCAATGATCTGTGGGTGAGCAGAGAAGCGATTTGCGATACCTTCACCAATCTGCTGGGCGTAGATTGGGTCTGCGGGAATGCATTCTTCTTCCACGAACTTCTCGACCTGTTTGGATTGATTAACGACGCTAGTGGCCACATGAGGCTACATCGACATACAATGTCAAGAGTCTTCAGCGCTCGTTCGCTGACGAACTGTCGAGCAATAATCGGAACCTTTGCGCTTGCTCGTGTTTGTTCGTTCTGGCCTCCCACCAGCAACTCCTCCGAAGCTTCAATCTTGTACGGGACAGACATGGTGTGAGATGTGCGAAGATGATACAGGAGACTGAGAAGTTGCAATGATCGCGTTTCGGGCGCTTTCAAACCTACATTGACGTTGGAATAGTCATCACTAACCGAGTGACCTCCTCAGTCGGTGACAGCCGAGGATGTGGAAGCTCTCGTGGTGTTTCGGCCTTCCGAGGGACAAAGCAGGTCTTGGTGATCCGTGCGCTACTGAGTCATGTGGGGAGCGGAGGTGGCGCTGTGTCTTCGGGACGCCGAGGCGTTGGACAAGTGACTCCATGTACAATGCCCATCGTACATCAATGTCGCTTCTGTCGCTGCCCGCAGAGCTCAGGCTACAGATATACCAGAACTTGCCACATCTCCGACCAGGCCGCAGTGAGACGGTGGCGCCGCGTATAGCTATAACACCGGCTATCTCTAGAGTCAATTGCAAATTGCGGCAGGAATCGCTGCCGATCTACGCGGAGAACGCGCATTTCTTCATACAGGCTGATGAGGAGAGCCTCCCAGCAAGCGATCGTGTCGCAGCATGGCTCTTCGCTCTCGGGAGTGCTATCAAGCACGTCCGTAGCTTCCAGCTGAGCCGCCACTGGATCGGAAGCCACCCAACTCGCTGGCAGGGTCACGTTGGCTTTTATGTCCGTCTTGAGCGGCTGGATGATGCGTGGCAGGTCAAAGCAGGCACGTACCCCATAGCTGGGGATATCCGAGCGATGCGAGCGGAAAGCGTTGAACTCCTGCAATACGTCGTGCGGCAAAACGTTGTGCTACCTCTCAATATGCGAGACAAGCCCGAGCTTCAAGCCCAGGATGTGCAGTTTGTCGCGGCCGCGATTGCAGTTGTGGCTACTCATCCGATCTCCGCGGTTGACACTGAGCAGAGTGTGGCCGGTGGGCAGCGGCGGAGGAAGGCTTGGTCGCAGCTGGAAGGGGCACTGCTGGCATTGAAGCCTGCAGCCGGCGAGCATGATGTCTGGCCTTCCCGAACACTCCGTTGAACACAAACTATCTGGGCATATCAGTTGGGAATGGTGAGTACTGCCTTCAAACTATCGAGAACAGATCATACGATCTGGATGATGTATCAACATATAAGCGTTCATTGGGTATCATGCAGAAGTAGATGCGAACATGCAACTTGCGCCGAGCCGTTCAGAACTCCAGCTCCTCAACCTCCATGCCACATTCAATACACCGCTTCTTCGTCATACCAGTTCCTGGATCGTCGACAGGGCGGCCCCATTCATGCTCATGCTTCCCATTACCTATCGTGTCGCCGAACTCGCCACCTCCGCCACCTCTTGCGCGCTTGTAGGCGTCGACCCTCGTCCGCTTCTTCAATTCATTCAGCTTGTTCCGAAACTTCTTTTCTTTGCGTTCTTTCGTCTCTCGTTGCCGCTTGTCGAACTCCTCATCAAGCGCTTCGGCAGAACCCCACTTCTTGTCACTAAACGCATACTGTTCAACCTGATACCGCACGTACAGCATCATATTGTGCCAAGTACTCTTGTGCGGGTTCGGCTTCTCCAGATGCGGCAGAAGCGTTTCGTCTCGGAGTTCGGGATCGGTAAGGAGATAGTCCTCTCTGGCTTCGCTTTTGGTCAGAAGGCTGTACTTCTCTGGATACTTCTCTTTGCAGGTATGGCATATCTGGCAACGTAAGGCTTCGTCCCACTGCCAGTCTATCTCCAGACTGCCGCATTCCCGGCACTTCTTTGTAATCTCTCGCTTATCCAGAACAGACAGTCCAGGCTCGTATGGGCCCACTCGCTGCTCTCGCAGACGTCGCTGTAGTTGCTGCCTCTCCCATTCCTTCAAACTCATGTTCGCTGGCTTACCATCCGCCTCGGGCGCATGTAGCGCCTTGTTGTAGGGATCATCTTCCGCCGTCATGAAGCCACCTTTCGTGTCTGTCATCTTACTGAAGTCATACTCCACGAACTTCTGGAAGTTCCTCGCCGCACGAATCCCCGTGTCCGGAGCAGCGGCCAAGCCATTGTTACTGCTCGGTTTACCGCGCGCGTCGCGGACGGAATCTATGTTGGAGGAGATGGCGGAATGTGGTCGCTTTAAGCCGGTTGTAGAGACAGGATAGCTTGTTTTGCGGCTGGCGGTAACAGGCGGTACTACATCCCGTTGTGTTTGCAGTGCCTTTGCTCTCAGGCGAGCCTCTTCCATGCGGCGCACCTGCTCCGGTGTCACGTCCATCGGCTTGGACAGTGGCGCCGATGGCGGCGTTGATGGTCGCCTTGTTTCCGCCATTCCTGCGAGTCCACCAGTTTAGAGGCCACTTAGGGGACACGTACGTGGCACGATGCAACGGAGGGTTGGTGCATAGTCTGACAAACATGGAATGGTGCACATCCTTCTTATGGACGTTCTACGTAAGCGTAGAGCTACGTGAGTCATGCGAGTTTGCGAGCTCAGGCTTCCAACCGAGTCATTTACCTTCTCATAAGAACAAGGTATATGTAGAGACGCTACTTCCATCAGGACGATCAAACTGGAAATCGCTTGGTATGCTAAACAAGTGAGTCATTCCTCATTCTGTGATGCCGTCCCCTTTCTTACGGTCCGCGATCTCACCATCTTGCATGCTCTCCATTACCCTTCGCACTCTTCTTCTCGCATCGACGTACATCATGAACTCGGTATACGTCCTGGGCAGCACCTTGATGTTTCGATCCACAGTGAACGTGTAATTGAACTGCCCAGTCGGCTTCGTCTCGCCGTGCTCCACATTCCGCACCTTACTGTCTACTCTGACTTGCACGCGAGTCTGCTGGTTATCGCTCTGACTCTGCTCCGCTGCTGCACCTTCGTTGCTGTTGGACACAAGCGGCGGGTCGGTATAGACAATCGTGGCTGTCAGATACAATACGGAGCCAACAGGGACCGGATTCTGAAAGGTCGAAGGGTCGAGCGAGACGAACGTTGGACGGGTGTGCGCAAATGATGCGGCGCAGCAAAAGGCCAACTCAAAGGTCTGTTTGAGCAGGAAGCCTCCGAATATCATGAAGTTGTGTCGATTGCGGTACTGTGGTTGCATAATATTGGCTGTATTGAGGCGAGTCGTGTCCATGAAGTGTACATTGTCTGGTTTGCGTAGCGAGTCGTTTGGATCGTGGTACTGCAGTTGCCGCTGCCACATTGCGTGGATCAAATCGCTCTCCTCGTCGTTCGGCGTCGTTTTGAGCAATGACCGCTTGGCAAGATCCTTGCGGTGCTTGCTGTTCTTCTCGCCCTGCTCGAAGAGCTGCTTCTCCTCATCGGTGTCTCTCCGCACTTGCGCAATCTCGACCGGCTTCTTCGTCGACGGATCCAACGACACCATCGTACATTGACAGGTAATCATCACATCCTCCTGCTTGACCTTTTGACCGGGCTGTGGCGCTCTTGCGACTTGCAGGCTGATCTCCATGCTGCTTCGACCCGTGTAGCTCACTTGACCGCTCAATTGCAAGTCACAGATCTCATGCAGGGGATGATTGATCGTGATACGGTCAAAGGCTGCGGTCACGGTTGTCACATCATCGCCGGTATGCTTGTACGCGATTACCCCGGAAAGAGCATCAAGATCCATAAAGATTGTACCGAGCCGGATATGGCCAGAAGAGTTCAAGTATGTATCCAGCAGCCATGGGTCTTGAGCGAGTGGTAAGATCTACGACTAGAGCATCAGTCAGTGAGCTGACAGGCTGTGCCATGAGTTGTTCGGTTCATACCACGCTGTAATGACTATCCGACATCTTTTTGGGAGTTAGGTCACGATTAGATGGCGTGGACGGCTTCTTCTCGCCAGGTGCCGCATCATGGCCCTCTCGTTGCCGCTTCCTGAAGGCCTCGATCCATGGTGTCTGTACCCTCTGGTCGGTGAGTTGTCGAAAAACGCCGTCTGTTCGGCGAACCGACGTGGTGGTTAGGCTTCGTTGGGAAGATGCTACTCGCGTGCGAGTCGTACGCAGTAGCGCTCGCCATGTGTTGGCTCGTGCCGCCATTGCGCCACTAACTACATGAAGGTGTCAAGACGGACTTTGTGAGCTCGTCATGGAATGAAGCTGGAGCTCAAAGCCCGCCTCAACTCGGCCCGGCTTCGTCCGAGCAAGTTGCGCCTTCTACGCCTCGATGGAGACCCAACCAAGGACGTCAGAAGAAGTTGTCGTACCGTATGCTTCTCGGACACTCTGCTGAAACCAAGGTGTTGTCCGAGACGGACGCTGTTACCCGCAGGAGCCTACACGCCGGGAAGCGTTGTCCTCAAGTAGCTGCCTCTATCCATAACTGCTGCCTTGCCTCCTCTTCGTCAGATGCTTCTCATATCAGTGTTGCTCTTTGGATCACAAGAACCTTGACTGTGTCTAACTCCCTCGCGACTAGCAGTGGCGAGTGAACGCCGTTGGCACCCAACACCATGTCCGACGACGGCAAAAGCGACACAACGCCTGCGGAGCTTCCCATTCCAGGCATTCTACGTTTACCGACAGAGCTCCGCCTGCGCATATATGGGCGCCTTTTCTTGGTTCCGAAGTACGACCTCTCCAAGAAGAGCACCGACGCAACCGGCAAACGCCAGGTCTTCCTTCCAGTCATGCGTACTTGCTCGGTCTTTCGCAATGAGGCAGCCAATCTTTACCACAAGTATTTGGTTGCCATACTCGCGCAGACACATATGAAGCGCAGAGTCCTCGAACATTATCTCATGCACGAGTCAGACGAAAGTCAGGGCATGCTTGACGGAAATAAAAGACCAAAGGTTCCCGCTCCGAGGGACTTGGGACCGACTGATATCGCTGCTGCTCTCGCCACGCATGACGACTACCCAGACTACATACCCAAGGTCAGAGAATTGGCAATTGAATACATGCTCACGCTGTGGATGAGAGATCGAGTGAAGGATTTGTTGAAGGCTTTCTGATGCCGCTTTCCTGCTAGGTGACTCCAAGGCTATGTACCGCAGGACATTACCGCCCTTCCCACCGCCATAGCGTGGTGAGATGCACTCATGGTGCGACCACTCCTTCTTAGGTAGCCTTCGTCTTGAGCGCTACTGATCACTGTTACGCGACGTAGCAGCCAAGCTCACCGTAGGTGACTCATGGCTACCTTGCTTCAAGTGCATGACATTTAACGCATCTCGAGTGAAGTCTGAGCCAAATAGAAGCTGGAATCCCTGAAGTGACATAGCATCAAAGATATTAAGGGAATGGACCGGGCCCAGGACGGAGAAGACCAAGCCAGAGGCGGCGTTCAATGATTTTCGTGCCATGTCGGCAAACATGGCGCACAACGTTCGTACCTATGAACATCAATCTCGGAGATGCAGACGATTGGGCGTATATCGAAGGATGAGCGCCACGGGCGCATCGACGGTGTCGAAGCTGTGGAGTCGTGAAACGAGCTTGCGCTGAAGGTGGCCGAGCACGTGAAGGTGTTCAAGAACGACTGTGTAATGCTGCTTGGTCCAGAGTTTCGGTAGCCGACTCCCAACGCACCCGCGACGTTAACTGCGGAGGCGCGCGGTAAAGCAGCCCCCGAGACATAGCGACGTAGAGGAGCACGTTAACATGGTGTGGCAGCTCGCTCTGGGGCCGGAATATGCCTGGCAACGCGCAACTTGTGCTCTGTGTGCAAGCTGTTCAGATCTTCAATTGGTGAAGTCCAGTCATTCTGCTATGCATTTGCAGCAGCAGTAGCTCATGTACCGAAGTTTGGGAGATCGATCAAGTCAACCACGAAAGGCGCGTTCTTCATCTTGCAAGTTCTTCCCGTCATCCGAACATCCAAGCTAGCAGGCCACCCGACCCAATGGCATCGACAACGAGTACAAGCACACCCACGATCCAAGCAGGATACGAAACTTCCGAGCGTCTCAATAGAGATGTAAATCCGGCAATGGCGAAGAAGAGACTGCTCGACACGGCAAGAATGACACCAAAGTCGACCTGGTACTTCAGCTTCTGCTTCCCTGTTGCGGCCAGCACGTATGCGATGATGAGGATGGTCAGAGAGGCAACGAACGTGATGGCGGTGAAGCTGGGCGGAAGACTCTTCAACGAAAGCAGATGACGTTGTGCCTCCAAAGCCTGGAGGGACGGTGTGATTGTCCCGTACGATCTGTCTCGCGGCCCGGTCACCACGTTGTCCTCCTCTGAGGATGACTCATCGTCTCTGGGCGAACTTGGTTCGGCGAGCAGAGCTTGCTTCTCAGCCTGGCGACGGCGGCCAAATATAGCACCCAGCCAGTCAAAGAACATATCAAACGAAGATTTGGCGTTCGGGTCAATGTAGATGACATATGTGCTACGCTCGTCCTCTTCCTCCGGGTTATCGTATTCGCTCCAGTATCTTGCCTGCTGCGGTGCAACCGTCTCCGGATATCCGCGACGTCTTTTCTTCCGGAAAGACTTGAGTGGGGGCACTTCAGGGTCAGATGGCTGCGTAACAGAATCACTGCGGGTCGTTTCCACAGCCGTGGCACTGTCTGTGAGATTGTTCATCGACGCTGCCGACGACGGTGTGCGGTCTGCGCTTTCCATCGAGCGCTTGACTGCTGGTGGAGGTAGCTTACGAATGTCCTGGTCCAGCATTGAGATCCAGAAAGGCGGTGGAATGTCGTAAGAGTGGGAGGTTTGCCAGACAGCGTGGTACTCGAAAGAGAACCCGCGGACACGCTCAACAAGATGACTCTCATCGAGGGCCGACAGGAGGCTCCGGTTTGTAGCCCCTTCGTGTCGTACAAGCAGTAAGGCGAACGGAAAGCTGAATTTCTCGCCACTAAGATTGCCTCCAGCTTCGACCCTCTGGTACGTCGTATGGGCGTCCAGAGTCGCCAGAGTCATGGCTTCATTGCTGTTGTTCGTCCCGACGAACCGCGAGCGACAAGTTGCATACATATACAAAGGCCGGATACTCTCTTGTTCCTCGATGGCTCGTCGGATCAAAGCAAGCGTTGGCTGGCTCTGCACAGAGGTCGCCGCTTTCTGCGCAACAAACTCTGCTTCACGGTCTAGAAGGGGTTTCACAGCTTTCTTGCGCAGCATTGCATACTGCGCTTTGGTGCTTGGAGCCTTGTATGCGATCTTGGCATCATCTTGCTCATTCCAACGAACGCACACCTGAGCCTTCTGAGGACAAGTTCCTGGAATCCGCTCCCGGTCATTAACGGTTAGTGCGTTGTGCTCCCTCACGAAACGATCTACATCATCCGCTTCCAGCGCAAAGTAGTCTGCGGAGCTTTCCGGTGCAGTTCGGTCGAAGCTGTCTTTACGAGGAGACGTTGACACGGGCGCCGCAAGCGAATTTGACCGACTGCGGGTTAGGAAGTATTTCGTGTGCTGCAACAATAGCACTTGTAACTCCACAACGTTCTCTAAATGGACAAAATAACTGGCAAACATGCCATGTTCGCCAAGCGGTATAGTTGCGATACTCGTGTCGAAGTCAAGCCGGCACTGACCGTCCAGTGAGGAGTGTAGTTTGGCGATGGTTGAGGAGCCGGTCTCCGGCTGATGCTCCCACGGTAGCGCATTGCTCGCTCCGCTGTGGTGCACTACCCTCTCGTAAAGTGCCCGAATTTGCTGCAGCGTTGCGGAGTAGTCATCGAGGAGCGGACCAAGATCGAGCTTCGTAAAGCTCTTTGGATCGTTCAGCACCTCCTCCCTAAAGCGATCCTCAAGCTGCGTTGAGCCGGTCCACTTCTTGTATTTCTTCAAAAGCTTTCGGAAGCCATCACGCTGTGCGCTCGAAAACCTCGCAAGATACTTGATCTCATCGCCGGCCTTCAGGACATCGTTCTCAAGCCTCCCGTAGCGCTCCAACCGGCTGACCGGTATCCGACCGTCAACAGCCGGTGTGCTGCGAGCAGACAGCTGCCTGAACTGCCGCTTCGAGTGATCAAGTCTACGCTGGATCTCGCCAGCTTTGCTCTTAACAAAGAGGTCAATCCGGTGATGCTGCTCTGACAGAGTGCCGAAAAGTGATCGCTCTACTCGCACAAGCTTCTCGTCGTTACGTTCCTGAACAGCAATAGTCTTGCCATTGCTGGGTGTGGTCTGCTCTTTGATGTACCGCTTTATATCGTCGTAGTCAATGTTGTCTGTTCGCGTGTCAGTTGAAGTGCCATCAATGCATTGGTCAGAATGGCTAGCAGAGGCCGTCGGCACTGGCACTCACGATGGCTCCAAGCAGGTATAGACCGCTGGCGAAGGCTCTCTCCATACTTCATTCCGCTGTGAAAGACACGCGAGGCGTCAGGGCCGTATGTACATGGGACAAATCCACCAAGACCCGCCTTATCTATGTGTGTGATATGGTAGGAGCATCATCGTGACCAGGAAGGGAACAAAGTGCGCGAGGGAAGATTTTAAGTCAGAAGAGCAGGTAGAGCTTGCATATGCTGCGCCATTGGACTTGCTAAAGCATTTGACCTACAGAAAGTGAAGTCGCGGCATGAACTCTGTCCGGACCTGATGTAATGCAATCCCGGTCGGCCTTGCAGTAGCGTTGTCTCTCGTTGTGGCAGGAGGTCGTGTGCTCGATTGCGCAAACTTTTCCTGTCCAACGGCGACCCACTTCGACAAGTCCGGGACAGCTACCGAACCAGTTCTTGTGTGCTATGCAATTCAGTGTTGCGACATGCGCCCCCTGCCCTTCACTAGACATCGAAGTAGTATGTCGCTGACGGACACGCATGCTCCGGGTGTTGCAGAAGCTTTGCGAAAAGTGGACTTCGCTGCATAGGCGACGCGAAGTGCAGTAGGCGTAGGTCGGCATGCTGATAGCCCCTCAGCGGCAGAACCGTGTGGCTCAGGGATCTGCAAGGACGTTGCCGAGATGCTGCGAATCAATACAAGTAACGGTCCGCATGCAGGTCCTTTCCGCCAGCATGCATCGGGCCACCGGCTGCGCTGCATGACAGCAGGTAGTTGCTGCAGAAGAGCCTCTGCATTCGCGCCTTGTCGCAGAGTTTCCAGGCGGGCTTCGATCGCTTGGCTCATGACCGGAGACGGTCATCTCCACCACGAAGTAGCTCATGCAGTCAGACCCATCGCGCATGTAGAGCGCCGTAAGTCGGGATCCACACCGGGTTACCGCCGAGGTCTGATACTGGTGCCAGCCACCTGCGAGCCGTGGTGCAGGTCTCAAGCAGGCGAGACAAGGAACGACGTAGGCTCTACAAAGCTAAGGAACTCTGGGTAAATACCTATGCAAGTGAAATCGGCACTGACAAAGGATCTGCACCATGCATCAAACCTTGCTACGAGCTCTAGACAGCACCGAACGGCAGACCTGATCAAAATGAACGCAAAGTCCAGCTGCGTTAACGGTGCATATTCCTACAATCCGCTCATTCAGATTGCAGTAGCAGATACTCAACGTTGCGTTTGTTCGCTCGGAGAGAGAACTACAACCAGCTTTACGCAGTTGGCTGATCCAAGTGCGCGAGCGATGTGCCGCTGCTGGGTCTGTGAGAAAAGTGCCTCAGGGAGTGTCATTCAATTACGGTGGTCAACACAGCATCATCAGACAGAAGAAAGGAGTAGCAGCGCACGTTGTCCGTACTATAAAAGCCTGTGACGCAGCGTGCTCGATGAATGCAGACTCGCAAGAATACCTTACCTTGGCCACTCTAACTAGCCAGCGTGAAGGTAGACTGCCAAGGCACACTAAGAGCGGCCTCGGAGCTTCCCGCTGCCGCCGAGCCGACACATTTCGACATGGCGGAGCGGAGCGGGCGCTGCAAGCTCAACTCACTCTCACCACTCTGCTACTTCACTGCAGTCATTGCCAGCGGGCACGCGAAAGACCAGGCGACAGGTACTTCGCGCTCCACCGCGCACAACAGCGAACACTTGCACGCAAGAAGGCAGGCTGTCGACCGGGCCTGTCGTGGGTAACTACGAGAGGGCAGACTCGGCGCAAAGCTCGACCAAGGCTCGATGTGCAATCTGCACAATGTCCAGCTACTCGGCCTCGGAGTTGATTCCTTTCCTTGAGCCGCCAGTTTCCTGAGCCTTTCCGGCACACGCGAAAAGCATACAATCACCATTTGGCAGCCCTTGGCTCGCCAGCCTCAGGAAACAGCGGCTCTCGGACAAGTCACTCAGCAAGCACCTTTACAGGAAGTCGCTACGACATCCGTAGACTCTTCACTTGGCAATATGGCTGCGACGCGGTTCGGTGCCTCAGGCGCTGACAGGCCATCTTTCGCAAAGGTATGCTCCTCCTGCTGTGGTGCTGTGTGGATATCCACCGTACTGGAAATGCCACTAATATACCATCAGATTGCGGCAGCCGGCCTTGTGTCCTCGATTGCTCAGAACAAGCGACATACGAGCAATGGTGCTCATCCCAAGTCTGGTATCACGTCGGCGCCACGGGAAGGCACCGGTAGTGTTCCTTTACCCACGACTGGCGCCGTCATCTATGCCCACCAGCCCAACTCAGCACATTCACTTGCGCAAGCAGAAGAGCACGTCTTGCAATGTACGGGGAAGCCTGAAGTGCAGGTTGACAACGCCGAAGCTACTTTGCCGCTTGCGCACTCCACTTCTGACGAGCACGGCATGCTTGCGCCTGCCGTCTCTGACGACTCGAATACACAGCTCTCGATAAGCAGTGGGTCGGCGAAGCCTCCGAGCCTCGATGGTAAAAGTATCGTGTCCGGGACGACCTTCGCCTTGGACGAGAAGGAATCCCTACGGCCCGATGACAGCGCCAGCCTGAAAGCGATTGAGGATGAAGACGCCTTCTCGCCTCCTGTTTCCACAATGTCGCGCCCAGACAATGCCACCTCTGAAGGCGTCCGTGCATTTAGCGACCAGCTCCGTGAGATCTCGGCAATGGAGCCATCTGGTCATTCTTTGTCGACACAAACATTCACCGCGACAGCCAGTCTTCCAGCCCGCACTTTGTACGATCCACAGCAGCCTAGCGGAGCTGGTCCGCAGAACGCCGCTATGTTAACATCACGGGCTACAGACTTTGCGATCGACTTTCCACCCGACCCTAAGCTCCTGGAAGCTTTAGAAAGCCACCGTGACCGCGTAGTTGTGGTCAAACTAGAGACCGATATACGCGATTTCATCAACGATCCCAAAGAGGGCATGATTGATTTGCCACAGTTCAATGCATATCACAGGATGCTCGCTCACAAAGCTGCCGAGTATTACATGCTTGGTCATACAGTTGACGAAAACGCCTGTGGTGTCCGTTTGTACAAAACCGTGCAAACATGCCTTCGGCCTCAGCTAACGGGTCTTGCCACTCCTTCGACGGCTGCCAGCACGCCACCACCGAACGCGCCAGCGATGACGATACTGCGTCGTGGTCTCAAAGCGCCAGCAATTGTGAATGGGTCCAATGTGCCTTCCATGTCGAACTCCGAAGACGGCGAGGATGGACCAGACGATGCGAAAGCGAACAGGAAGCAACTGACACTCAAGGAAAGAGAGGCTAGGTATGAAGCTGCACGTCTACGCATCATGGGCGAGTCCAAGCCCTCTGGCTACCCGGAAGAAGCCAAGCCCAAGGACATTTCCCGATCTAGTTCTATAACGGGCAAGAAAACAAGGAACAAAAAGCGCGCTGATAGCGACGATGGCTTTGAAGCACGCTCAGCATATAGCGCTTATTTCACGCCGTCGTTCGGTACTGGCACTTTCGCTCCTGGCACGTATGGCGCTTCTGGCTACATGGATGCTGGTAATGGCAACGTGATGCCGGGTAGTATGCAATCACAAGAACCAAGCAGCGCCTTTCAGCCTTACTTCGCGCAAGTCAGCATGCCGTGGAGTGGAGTTGGTCCACATCAGTCACCTCGCGTACCACAGATAGGGTATGATCTTAGTGGCGAATTCCAGCGTGCGGTGTCAGTGCAAGGCGCTGGGATGCAACAAACGCCCGGCATGCAGTCATCGTTCGCTCCTGGATATCAACAATCTTTCTACGGCGGCCAACAACCGTGGGCGCAGCAGCATTACCTGACTCCACAGCTAGGTATGCATATTAACAACGGTTTCCACGGCGGTTCGGGAGGTCGGCCTACTTCTGCATCAAGCCACGCTCAGAACGGTCAGCCGTACCAGTACGGGCAATTACCGAGCCAAGCCTTTCCGGGTCGGCCTCCAAGCAAGCTCGAACATCCATTACCTGGCAGCTATAAAGGCAAGCATTTCAACCCGCAGAGCCAAACATTTGTCCCTGGTCAGCAAAGCACACCCTCCGTCGCATCGTTCTCGCCTCAGGCAGCGACAGCAGGTGCTGCTCCTTTTGGTGTATCCCCGCAAGCGCCATCGGCTCAGCCTCAGCACTCTACATATAATCTGCCCGATCGTCAGCCAACAGTTCCGGCGCTGTCACCCACACCCATTCACCCTATGATGCATCCGTTACCGCAGCCCGTTTTCCCAAAGCAGGTGTCACCCAATCAACCACTACCAGCGAAGCCAGGCGTGCCGCCACAGAAGCCAAACGGGCAGCAGAGCTCACTTCCTCTGGCTCCGAGCACAATTGCCAAGTGGGGCACGCCAGCCTCGCTCCCTGCAAAGCCGCCACCTCCCCAAGAATTGAGCGACAGGTTCTCGCAGGCGCCACGTCAATCTCCATACAATGCTTCGTCAGCTGGAGTTGCAGCAGGTCGTGGGATGCTGAGTTTCGGCTCGATGCCGCCTATGGATAGCGGGATTGGCGTGAACGGCACGGCTTCGAGTGGCTCGTAGGCCTGAAGACGTGCAAGAAGTGCGCGTGCTTGCAAACAAGCTTCCCCAGGCTTAACGTTGTTCATAGAATGGTAATGCAGCAATGATGTTCATGATCTCAATCTGTGTGCGTCTCAGCATGATAAGGACAACGTACTGCACCGCGAGACTTCTGATACTGCCATAGAGACTGAGTTGAAGATGCCGCTAGAGGCAACCCGATTCGGTAGGCACGAGTTTTACCCCGCACTTCGTATCTTTGCTACCTAGTATGTACATGAACTACCGATGTCGCTTGTACGTGTACTATAGGATTTTTGCTCAATGTTTCACATTGCTCGCGCTCTACCTCGAGTCCCGGCTACTGCGCGACGAACTTTCTCTGTGTCTTCTATCATGTCGAACAAGCAGGAGTGGATGATCATCCTGTCTGTTGATCAATGACTGAGATGGTAACGCTGCTGGATCAATGCTAACCTGCAAGTAGACCTGACAAGCCCGGCATGCTAGAACAGCGTATGAAAGTCCGACCGTTCGTTTCGCTGTCCGTTCCATTCGGTATGTTACAGCACTGACAGTGCCAGCGACCATCTCTCAGCCATCAAGTCTGCTGTGGACACCGGCTTTATCACGTTCGGAGGTGCCTCGCTCGATGAGCCACTCAAGGAGGGAGAAGGACCCAAGATCAATGGTTCCGCAATGCTGGCCCGAGCAGATACGAAGGAACAGGTTTTGGAGAAGCTCAAGGAGGACGTGTACTACAAGACTGGTGTGTGGGATTGGGAGAAGGTGAGCGAATCAACTCTGCTTAGACGCTCAGGGCGTGGTCTTGGGTAGAGCCTCAACGCCTCTAGTGGAGAGCTTGCGCGTGCATGGAGTTCGTATCGTACGCATGCTGACTGTGTTCGTAGGTCCAAATATACCCATTCAAGCGTGCCATCTAGATCGTTTGATTGGTCATGACTGACCAACTATAATTCCTGAAGGCAGGTTGACAGTGTGCAGCACTTCCGACACTTCCTGATGCCCACGCATCTCCACGTCTCCCAAGCCGCGTCTTGCCGAGATCATCACTCCTCGTAGTTGGATGTTTTTCTGCCTGCTTGCGATCTGTTGCTTGAGCACCGTCTGTCGGTGTGCATTAAGGGCTTGCGTACGGATGGAGCTGGTCCGCATTTCGAGACGGTAGAGGCTGGGATATGGAAGTCCTGTGGACAGAATCCCGTCACGAGCGGAACCGCGCACTCAGCCCTGTCGGCATGGGCGACCACGTGTGTAGTGTTGCAAGTCCAGACATGCTTGTAGATCGATGCGCATCTGAGAACGTTCTGTCAACGCTTGTCGGAGCCACTTTTCTTCGAGCCCTCCACACCTTGACCCCAGCGGCCAGCCTTGGGTCCCCATGGCGCCATTGACCATATGTGAGTCCAGCTAAACTTGGGCGGAGGCTCATTTGATGCACGGAAAGGGCTGAAGCTGTCCGGGTACCGGAAACTCCGCTCATCCCGGCTGCTGTCAATTGTTGACAACCCAACACTACCATCCATCAGCGGTGCAGGCTCTCCTGCAGCTGGAGCTGGCGACTGAGCGCGATCCTGTTCATCGATGGTGCGTTCCCAACGACGCACATCCAGCGGTAGGGGCCGATGCCAGTCAGGCTCTGCACGCGCCCACCATCGCGAGCCACACATCTCCCACAGCCTACTTTGAGCGCGCTTGTAAGCAAAACGCTCGTCTTCTCCAGTGAAAGCGCTGGTTTTGCCAAAGTCCAAGCTACGAGGCGCTGTGTAGCGTGGCTCGTCTGGGTCGATTGGGCTGCGCTCCATTTCTGCGTCACTGCGACCGAACGATCGACCGAACGGACTGCGTCGCTGCGCTGGCTTGTTTGGTGGATCATCTTCGAGCGCGTCCGCGTTCAGTAGACCGGCCAGGCGGGCGTGCGTATAGTCCGGCTCAGGATCCGGCTCTGCATAGTTCGGGTTCTGCGACAAGATGTTTGGACGGAAGGGCGCCGTTGCGTCTTGATACACCTCGGAGATTGTCTCGGAGTAGACAGAGTCACCATTTTCAGTTTCATCCCCTTTCTTCTCAGGGAAGAAGATGTCATCCGGTCCTGCTGCGGCGCTTACGAATAGTTTGCATCGGCACTCGTATAGAGCGTCAAGCAAGGTGATGAGACGGCGAGCCTCGTTCTTCATCAGCCATGTCATGACAGGTACGTCTGTTAGAATAAGCGTGTGGTAGCTCGACGCAAGTGTAATGTAGTCCGCAGGCCCTAATGATGTTTTGCATAGTTCGTCAAAGGTCCACAGTGTTGCGCCATTGCACGACCGTGGCACTGGAATTGTACGTCCATACACCCGTAAAGTGGCCGATTGCCAAGGCACACTGTCGAGGTGTGCCTGTCCTGTGGCCGTGGCAATAGCAGATTGTAGTGGTGTCTGCTGGTCGTTATCTCCCGACAGCACGTTGAAGTATCGAGGTGCTGTGGCTTGCACCACGCCATCATTGACCTGCTCGGGGACTGAATCTGCTGGACGCTCCGCTGCAGGCCACCCAGGCATTCCAGCGCTGTGCTGCATGTCATCGTGTCCATCAAGCTGCCATTCCTCAGGCGCGACCTCTTCGGGTACGACTGACCCGCTTTCAAGCCTTCTGTAATCCTTCCCGGACGCCATCTCCCAAACTTCGCACCGCGCCTTGAGCACTTCGAGGAATGCTGCAAACTCGTTGGCACCCCCAAAGAGCCCATACCCTCGTTCCTTCCTTCTAAAAACACCGAATTGCCACCCGAGCGTCTCCAAGCGCGAAGGTACAGGTAGAGGGAAGTCTTCACCAGCCGCTCTCGCCAGCTCCTCAGGCATACGGTTCGAAGTGGCTATCAACACACCGCCAAGGTGGAAGAAGGATGTCATGAGGTTAGTTAAGATCTTACTCGCCACACGATCGGGCATTTGGAACTCATCAAGGAATAGTATGGGCGATGTTTGGACCATATCCTTGGCCAGCCAAAGAAGCGAGTAGCTATCGTCGTCGTTAGCACCTACGGACGACCTCGTTTGCATCATCGTCCGTGAACGGCGTAGAGCTTCGAGCTTGGCGAATGTTTCGAGCATGAAAGTGTTGAAGTGCCATCGTCGTTTCTTACGAGTAGGCAGGGAGTCCGCGAAGAGATCGATAAGCATAGACTTTCCAGTCCCAACTTCACCATGCAGCATCAATCCTTTCGGTGAAGTCAATTGCAAGGCGGACTCATGGCTGGTTAAACGTCTTGTCAAGGCCAGACTGTCCCTTTGCTGCTTCGCCGCCAGCAAGGTCCGCCATGTCTTAGACGCTGATGGTGGCGATTCATCGTCGGTGTATGCGGTAGTCCGTTGCGCGTTGACAGCTTTAGAGATCTGATCAAGTCGAGCACTGTATTCTACCTGGGGTTCGTAGTCTTTCAACCGGTCGTAGAGCTTCTGGAGATGCAATGCCAGGCGCAGCTGCGCATGATCGGGCACGATCTGCTTCGTCGCGACCAGCGCCCGGTACTTGATCAATGGGTTCGTGATTGACAGGCCTGTCGCTGCCGCAGCGGCCATTGGATTGCAATGATATCGTCGTTTCCATTCACATACAGCTTGGTATATTGCGAATCGAGGTAGCCAATGGCGTCACCACAATGACTTAAGCTTCTACATATACGCGTTTCCTCGAACATCCAGTTCGGTCAATATAGCAAACAAGGACGCTCAATACAGGTGATCGAGTACCGCTCGCCCGACAATGCTCGTACCCTCGGCGAGTAACCCGTGGTTGTCCGGTGCGGAGATAGAAAGTGCTTCATACTCGCCGCAAGGCATTTACTTTAGCTCACTTGGAGTAACTACCCGTTAAAATCCGCCAAGACGATCAGCCGCTAGCGTCCATACAGCAAGCGCCTATCGAATGCTGGCTAGTGACAGTCGAGTGTGCATACAAAATCCAGCCTACACTATCTCCCTATCTGCTCAAGCATACTCCCCCTTCTCAAATTGCTCCATCCCAAAGAACCTCGCCTTCATCACATTGCCCGCAAACTCATCTCCGTCGCAAGCTCTGACCGCTCGAAGCGCACTCAGCGGGCTAGTGAACTTGACGAACACATCATCTTGCCCGCCGGCTACCTTGCGCCAAATGAAGACACGCTCCACCTTCCCGTACTGGCCCTCCATCTCCCGGCCAATCTCGCCATAAAGGTCCTTATTCTGGATCTCATCGTCAACATCAAGACCAGCAAGCATGCCCTCCAGCTTAATGACTTCGCTCATCGAATCGTACTCCTGGCCCGCCGAGTCGTCTCCGGCATCCTCGTCTTCCACTTTACGACGCTTGCCACCAACGATCTTGCCCATGTTAGCCGGCTGCGCCCAGCCGCCTCCATCCGCGTCAGAGCGCTTCTTACGCTTCTCAGCCTTGGCGAAGATAGCAGTTGCGATGCCCTCGTTGCCTTCGACGCCGAGACCCTTTCCTTTCTCCCAGCCAAGTTTCTTGAGGTAGCGTTCGGCAAAGCCTTTCTGGCCTGGACGCGATGAACGAGGTGCGTCTTCTGCTTCGGTTGCGGCAGCCACGCCAGCATCGTTGTCATCATCATCATCCGGCGCTCCTTTCGTAGGTGGAGGCTGCTCATAGCGAACTGGCGCACGAGTGATGGTTGCTCCGCTGCTAAGTATATTCCGCGCCGGTGCTGGCGATGCGGGTGAGGGAGCCTGCATCGCAACAGCATCCTCAAGCGTTGATGCCGGTGTTACAGTCACTGCCGTTTGGACAGGCTTTGAGGCCGGAGAAGGCGACGGGCCATTCGCAGCCGAGGCTGCCTTCTTCGCGGCAATCTTAGCTTTGAAAGCGGCGATCTTCGCTTGGGCTTCCACCCTCTTGGCTACAACATCAGGCGACTCTGTATCAACGAGGGGCTCGATTTGTGCCGGGACCGGAGTCGGTACGGCAACTGGAGGCGTTGTCGTGTGCTCAACACCTACGGGCACGGTTTCTGAAGCACCCATGCCGCTCATCCGCATACGGCGCATGTATGCGTCTTCGCCAGTATTGTCGTTGGGTAGAAATGCCGGAGCTGGTGATGGCTCACGATGACCATCATAATTCGGTGGGTAGTCCTCACTGACGTGCACTGGTGGTGCAGCCGCGGGTATGTCGTTGTCAAAGCTCGGAGGTGCAAAGCTCAAGCCGGAACTTGGCGGCGCGAACATAGCTGTTAAACGTAGTAAGCATGGGAGCATAGCAGTCATATAATGTGACAACATACGGTTCGCAATGCGCCCAACGGCGGCCCTGTCTTCGCTGGACGCTTCATCACTGGCCTGCTTCGTACGCGCTTCCTTCAATTGGTGATAGTAAAGTCTTGCCTTCCAATCCCTGACCTCCCTGACTTGCTCCTCGCTACCTTTGTAGTCGGCATAGTTATTTGGCAGCGTCGGGTCGTATACGTCATCCCAGTCCCATGTACGAACCTCCCCTTGCTGTTTCTTCTTTTTCTTCTTCCTCCCACCACGCTCTGGCCTTGCGCGGCCGACGTAGTACTCATCCTCCTCCTCATCACCTATCCAGTCTGAAAGATTACTACGCTGGAGGCTCGGTGCTTGACTCGGGGTGCTCATCGCAGGATCCTTTTTGTCGGGAGAGCTTACGGATGGCGCCAAGCTCGCGGTAGTCGTGCTGGAAGTGAAGGCATGACCAGGCTTGCTAGGCTGCTGCTTCGGCCTGGCGACCTGCGGACGCCGGATGGGCTGGAACTGAAGAGAAGCTTCGCGCAAAGGGTGAGCAGAACCATCCTCTCACGTTGTGCGTGACTACGTTACGGTACCATCTTTCTTCTTCTCGTCGCCATCGACGTCTTCTCCGGGCTTCTTGACATTGTATCGGACGGGTGCCGCAGATATGGTGGCGCTGGACTGCTTCTTTTCGGAACCAAGTAGGTCGGCATAGAGGGACAAGCCCATCTTCTTCGCTGGCGGTGCCGCCATAGTTGTCTGCGCTACAACACCCTCAGCACACTCGCCAGAGGCTTCTACACCTTTTGGCGAGCAGTATCAGGACCACGACGATAGGGCAGCGGACGAAGACGACAAAGTAGGCACACGATTGTGGAACTTTAGAAGCCCGTCGCAATGAGCGCTCATTTGCTCGGTATGAGCCGCTGCTAGTGAATGTACCATCCGATGGCTACAAATTGCCAGTAGCCACAGGTCACCTTGTTTGCTTGCTTTGCCATGACCGCTGACGCGCCACATCACATGGACTGGGCGATTGCCAGCCTCAGCTGTGACTTGGCGTTGAACATCTTTGTAAGCATATCAGAAGAGCCCGAAGTGCATCTTTTTGCAGCGGGAGGCAGGGCTAATGACGACCATCACCGGCAGGATCAATGACACGAATCGACGTGCAGCCTCGATCACGCGCCGGAAGAGAGCCAATTATGCCCCTATGACAGCGACAGCTTATTGTTCATCACCCAGCGAAGTGGCATGATCGAGCCGTGACTTCTCGGTCAGCCAGAAGCATTCCATCATCGGCCGAAGAGTCATTGACGGCAGGGCAGCGGCTCTTTCTCTAGCTCCGAATCCGACTCTGGGCAGACGACACGTTTGGTTACAGGCGTCTCTCCGTCGACAACGCCCGTAATTCCGCCCTTGTCGGACTCATCTCTAATGTCATTCCATGTCCGTGTTGGAGCTTTCATGCGTGCACTCGAGTACCTCGGCGGATGAGCCATTATCTTCGTCACATAAGTGTTGCCTGCCGTTGCGTACCCCTGGCAAGCCGCAATGCGCGCCTCTAAGGTGACGCATCCAGCAAGCATTCATCTGCATTGTTCTTTTCCCATTGTCGCTAGCTGTGAGACGTGCTTCGACTCATAGCCACGTTGTCGTCTGACGTTCTCTTCGCTCATTGGTCTCTCCGCAGTCCCTGGGCTGACCAGGCGTCGCCTACTCCGAAGGGATTCAGATCGATGCATGGTAGCGTAGGGTAGTCACTTACTTTTATGGCACTCGGCAACTTGAAAACGAAAGACTCCGTCCCTCCGGATGTTATTCGTGACGTTCCGCCGTCGAGGCAGCAGGCAGCAAGTAAGAGCATCCTACGGTCTGGCTCGATATCGACGGAGCGTCCTCGAGGCAAGGACGGGAAGGTGACTGCCAGCAATAAGTTCGTAGGTCCTCTTCCAGTCATGACCTGTACATCTTGCCTCGCGTCTGTCTATACGACGCCACCGTTTGCAGAGTTCAGTCCCTTTGCGGAGGTCGAGACCAATGTACTGACAGCTTACACTATGGAAGGTAGAGCGCCACGACTTGGTCACAAGAAGTCCAGGAAAGGTTGGTCAATGACCGATGGCGAGTTGGGGCAGCGGCAAGGCTAACGTTTCGATCAAGGTTGCGCACAGTGTAAGCGACGGCATGTCAAGGTATGCAATAGAGTAACGTCCTCAGCGTCAGACACAATCCACTCACCGTCAACTTAGTGCGACGAAGAAGCACCTTGCTCGAATTGCGTTCGGCATGGTGTCCCATGCTCACTTGCTGGTGGGCCATATGTACCTCGCGAGGACACGAGGCAACGGCGAGCTTCTGCAACATCGTCCTCCACGGTGTCCCGGACAACTTCACAGGAAGCCGCGCCAAGTAGCGCAATAGCCACGACGTCGAACACCAGCCTCGATCTGGCACCATTACAGCCCAGCCCTTTCACAGTTTTGACTGGGCTGATAGACAGGCCAGTACCTGGACAGGATGCCAACTGGATGCTAGATCTTCAGCTCATGCACCACTACTTGACTCACACCAAGTACATCCTGACCGAACATCAAGACATGATCAACATTCTGCAAATATGGCAGGAAGAGGCACCCAAAGTGGCGTTCAAGCACGACTACTTGATGCACGCATTGCTGGGCTTCACTGCGCTACATAAGGCGCATCTGGAACCGGAGTCGGGACCCATGTTGAGGACAAGCGCTGTTGACCACTTAGACAAAGCTCTTGTCCTTTACCGGGAAAACGCTGGCCCGACAACAGCGGAAAACGCAGATGCAAAGTTCGCATTTACCTGGCTTGTCGCCCTCTTCTCGTACGCTGTCCCTCCTAGCGTACCACCAATTGATGCGATTGCGGAGCTATTTTCGCTGGTCAAGGGCATCGACACCATGGTCGCCGAAACATGGTTTTGGGTCTCGCAAGGTGCCTTCGCACCCATACTTACACGTGGCTTCGACGTGGCGGCAACATTACCGCCAGAAAGCTACACCCTACCAGAAGGTATGGACTTTGGACTTGGGCATCTGGATTTCATGCTCGGGGTGGACGCCATGATGCCGGACGAAAGGCGGACCTGCGCCCTCATTCTCGCAGAGCTCAAGCAGATTTACAATGGCCTGCTACGTCAGCAGGGTCAATTCAGCATAGCTTCGGTCGTCTGCTTTCCGAAGCAGGATTCCGCGCCTTTTTCGCAGCTGGTTAGGCGGCGTGTGCCTCAAGCACTGGTGATATTGGCCTACTACTGCGTGGTACTGGACGTGCTCGATTCCAGGTGGTGGATCCATGGCTGGTCGTCCCGGGTGCTGCAGGATATCATGAGCACGCTGGACGACCAGTGGCAGAGCTGGATTGAGTGGCCCGTGCAGTCTGTGCTGTTCAAGGCAGCGCAGACCGAACCCTCTACCACCGACAGGCTAGGTCTGCTAATATGATGTGGAGGAGTCGTTGTTGTACAGTACGCCGATTTCGATACTCTACAAAGCGAGCGAGGCGTCTGGCGTTGCGACAGAGTCTCGTTTGCTGTAATTCTACTCTTGTACGTTCTGCAAGGATGAGCCTTTCGAACCGCCCTTTCATCGGTCCTGGACCTCTCAAGCATTTATTCATCGTTGACCTTGGCGCCCTGCATTCTGTTCCCGTGAATACAATCTCCCGCCGACAAGATCATCCGCATAGCCGAGACTACTGTCGGCCGTTCTCTAAGTGTGATGGCGCCCGATATAGGGATTCTCCACCCTCTCGCACTTGCCTTCGTATTGCATTGCCATTTGCACCGACCGCACCTTGAATGACACAGACGCTGTGCGACAGCATCTCGACACCGTCCCTCGCAGGCAACACAGAGATACCTCTCGCTACTGCTCCCGTTCACCATCACTCAAGCGCCTTCAGCTTTCTTCTTCGCTAACCCTCCTAGCTTCTCCGCCGCATCGTTCAGACTGCGTACGTCTGCACCGCGGATGAGCTTCTGTCCGTTCACGGCGACTTGCTTGCCCTCCTTGAAGAACATGAAAGTAGGCATGGCGGAGACGCCATACTGCCGTGCTATGTCTTGCGCCTGATCTACATTGACCTTGACGAAGGTGAGCAGGTTCGGTATGCTATTCTTCTTCGACAGATTGGCGTATATCGGAGCGATCTGTTTACATGGCCCGCACCAGTCCGCGTAGAAGTCCACAGCAACATATGTTGTCTGGGAGAAGATGCGCTCGAGCTCTTGAAGGGAGGAGGCGTTTTGGAGGGTGTCCGCCATCTTCTTCACACCCACTGATTTTTCCGACCGTGTCTACAATGACACAGTTCGGTTCGAGCAGACACTTATGTGTTTCACAGTAATGTGTTGTGAACCACGGCGGTTCTATTGACTTCCGCAAGTGATCCCAGCTTTAGTCAGCGACTAAGTCCGGTAGCTGGGCGCTCATTAGCTGATCAGTCTTCGAAGTGTGTGAAGCGATGCAGACGCGCCTGCAAAAAGCACTGCACGTTCTTAAACAGAACTGAAAAACATTGTCTCACACATCTATTTGCTGCCTTCGACCATGTATTCGACCACACAAGATCCATGCTTCGCCTAATGAACCTGCGACCATGTCCAGTAGCTCCAGAGCGCTCGCTTGCGCCAGCCTTACCGAGAGTCAGGTGACACAGTACTACCCTACCACGCCACAGGAGGCCGAAGGCTTAAACTTTCTTAACTAGTTGGCAAACTGTCTCTAGCACGGTAGATGCCCGTAAGCAAGCTCGTCACCTCTTATCTGCGCGGTATGCCAACGGTATCGCGAGACTCGCCGTGCTCGAAATTCCACACTCTTGCGCGTTGGCGATATCACAGTCATCCGCTACAGGGAGCAAGCGCGAACACAGTTATCGCGCACGGGAGCGACCTCCGACACTACCCTCGGACATGGTACGCCAATCTCGCGTGGCTGGCTGAACCAGGACCATGATCATGTCGGTCTCAGGGGTTCGCGACTGCAGCGCCTGTCACACTCACGACAGCTATGTACATAGTCTGGGCGCAAGACGTTAATCCCTTCGTAATGCTGTGATTGCATTCTGCGACGAGTACGTTGGCAACACGAACAAACATCATGGCTCCTTCTATCACTCGCCTCGTCGCAGCATTCCTTTGCCTATTTCCGTCAACTTGCTTCAGCACCTTCATTCGTGTGTAGACCGTATCCAATGTCTTAACGAAAGGTAGTCTGATCAGAGAACCAGTGCAAATGAACGATGGCAGCGCAGCAGTGTTCTCCGAGCAATGCACGCTCCCCTCCACTGGATGGTCAACGTCTGTGTCCACTGCCTTACAGAACGGGCTTACGGTATGCCAGCACCGTCTTGCCCATGACATTGATTCATACTAACAGGGTGCAGATTTCGGACTGGACGTTTGGCGAGACAAACTCGATTTCTCTCACCACCAGCGGCGGTGGGGCTGGCAAAGCTTCATTCAGCGGGTTCAGTTTCCAGAAACCAGCCGACGCGTATACGCCGACTCTCCTATCATACCTGACTAAAGGTCACTCGCTCACCGTGACGCTGGGCTGGATAAAAGACGCATCTCCAGCCAGTCCTGGAGTTTGTGCCGCGTCCGGCACCCTGGCTTCTGTCTATACCTTCAGCACTGCCTACATCTCGAGCCAGTCTTTCGCTGTTGTGGACGGGGTCCCCTGGGAGCAGTTGGAGGTCACATTCGGGTCGTTGAAGACACAGTATCTCCCTGTGAATCCTGACGGCTCGACCGGTAACCTGGTCAGTTTCGGCTGGAACTCTGTCACCAATGCGGCGATCACATCTTGATCAGACGTGTACCTTAGCAGCAATGTGTATCACGAACCTTGTTCAGTAAGCAGACAAGAATGTCTTCGCATCGCTCAGCGCCCTGTTGCGGGTCAAATAATGGCTCGTTGCCTAGAATTTGAGTCGCACAGTTTCTCGCATGAGGCTTTTCGCAAACTCAACGACAACATGTTCGGTGTGTGTGTATGCATCAACGAACGGATCGTGATTGGCGGAAAAGCTTGGTTCCAGATGGCACTCGTTGCTCGCTCAAGGCAACCCCGTCAGGCTTCGTAACTGTTTTGATTTAGCAGCGTAAGCGATACGGGAGCTTCGCTGACGCCACCTCGAGCTGTACTGCATATGTCACGTACCATCGATGGCTACAAGAAGCATTTAGTACGTACATGCTATCGACAAGCTGCTTGCAGCAACAGGAATAGCTCTGAGTACATGTAGCCTACTTTTGCAATAAAGCCGCAGGGTCTCGACAGGTCGAAGCTACAAGCTGCGCGCAGCTAGCGGCTATGGTAACGGCATCCTCTCCCTTTTCATCACTATTGTGGCGGCGTAGACAACAGTGGCATCCAATCGCGTTCGTTCGGTCGTAGCCGTCTGGTCAAGCACATGCAAGCGCAACAAGCTCTGGCTTCCCTGGATCTTCTTGCTGGGATGATGGCGATCGTGTCGACTCCATGGTCACGGTCTGGTAAATATACGAGCAGCAGCCGTTTCCTGTTGTCATTGTTCCACGGTATTGCGACTGTTCTTTCTTCGGTCGCTTCTTGCTATTACCCTTTGGTCTGGAACAGCGTCACTGGATTTTCTCGTAGCACACATTGTAGTTTGGACATCAAACGACCAAGCTCATAGCATACCAGAGCTTCCCAAATTGCAGTACACGACCGGCTTCGTCCTCGCCCTCGCCGGCCTTGCCGCCGCTCAAACCAGCACAACATCTGCGGCTGCTGCCAGTGGCAGTGGGGTCTCGGGCTGCGGTACGGCTTACGACAAGTATGTCTGGCACTAACACTCTTGAAGCCGGACTAGTAACGCGCGCTAACCCGCTGCAACCAGCATCAGCAACACCTGTCTTGGCACTCAGATGGGTCAGGTCCAGGCATGCGGTCAGAACGACTGGAACTGCCTCTGCAGCGATGGACCAACGTCATGGTCTGCTACAACGCCTGCCCGTCGAATCCCGACGCGTTCACGGCGCAGCAATCGCAGACGCAGTATTGCAATGCTGCCAAGGTGTAAGTCTGCAGGAACACACATTGGGATATGCCTGTATGGCAGCAGGAAGCGCTTCGCACTCACTCTACATTCGCACTTATTGCTCTTCCTCCTCCATCTCCTTCACCGCGACGCCTACCGCTCCCGTTGCCTCACCCCTCTCTTCGGCGCTTGCAAGTGCTGCTTCATCCGCTGCGAGATCCTCCGGTGCCTCAAACGCTGGTGTCAATTCTGGCTCCGCCGCCACTACCTCCTCGCGCACCGGCAGCGCCTTCGCATCTGCTACTGGTTCTGCGAGCGCAGCCGCCGCGTGCCCAACTCACTCATCTGGCGCGAACGTCCTCGCGCCGGCTGGGCTTGCTGCTGTGTTTGGCGTTGTGGCTTTGCTTTAAGCGCGCATTCAGTGCGTCCCGTTCGCTTGAGCGGTGGTTGAAGAAGGACACTATCTGACAGCATTCGTACTTTGAGACAGCCACGCAGGTGCCGAATAAATATTCGCCTGCCGCGTTGCTATGGCAGGTTGTCCATAATGTCAGTGATGGAGAGAGCCAAGAAGCATGTCCCTAGAGCACGAATTCGCCTCAGGTTGGGTTCGCCCTGGAAAAGTCACGATGTCTTGTTCCATTTAACGGTCCGGCTTGCAAGGAGACGCTGGAATGCTGTGTTTTGGCCTTGTCATCACTTGCAAGGTGGCCCGCGTTCTTGGCTGGCCTGTGACCGATCGAAGACCCTGTGCCCTCCCACAGCATCAAACCACAGATAAGACTCTTCAGACAGCTCCATCATGCGCGGCATACTGCTTAGGCAACATCTCTTGCAGTACGTCAGACAGACGCAAAGTGCTTCAGGCCTCGACGCGTGTTGCCATTACACAGACTCACGCTCTGCTCTTTCGGACCGAGCCCTTACTGAATGCGGCTGCTTCGCCAAGTTTTGCAACACATGGCTCTTTGCTTTTGGCACTCTGAGAAGTCGCCCTCTTTCTATCTTTCATACGCCACTAATGACAGGAGCAATCTTGCAGTCTTTCGCCCTTTTATCGCCTTCGTTGTAGCTTGGAAGCCAACATCGACGCCAGACAGGCTGTATTTGTGAACCGTTTGCCGCCCCTAGGCGCACTCAGTAAGGTTGGTAGCCGCGAGCGCGACCTCTGTAGCCGCCTCGGTAACCGCCTCGGGGCGCGAAAGGAGGTGGACCACCATAGCCACCACGCCCGCCATACATGGGTGCTCCACCATAGCCGAAGCCGCCTCTGCCACCACGAGGGCCGCCTCTTCCGCCACCGCCACCGCCACCTCCAGCACCACCTCCGCGCCCACCACGGGTCATGCCCGGCAAATTCGTTCGCTTAGGGACCACCTGCGCATGATTAGTAACCCTCCCCCACAAACCACAGATGTTAACACTCTTCGACTGACCTTTATCGCCCTTCCTCGAAACTGACTGTCATTCAGCACCAAAGCCTGCGTGACCAGATTCGGCTCTGAGAACTCGACATAGGCATAACCCTTCGGATGTCCCGTGAACTTGTCCAGTAGTATTGTCACCCGGTTGATACTGCCGCAGGTTTGGAAATGCGCCTGTATCTCTTCGGGACTCGCACCGTAGTCCACGTTGCCGACGAATACCGAGCGCCCGTCAATGTCCTCTTTGCTTTCTCGTAGACCTTCTGTCTGGGCGTCGATGCTAGCTTGCATCTCGCGAAGCTTAGCCGCTTCGGCTTCCATTTCTTGTACACGCTTCTTCATCGCCGCGATCTCCTCTTCGTCTTGCGCGTCATCGTCTTCGTCGGGTGCGCGGTCGAGATGCTCGTCCTCATGCTTCATTTCGTCGAGATCTGTGTCGGCCATGCTGGGAACTGCCCCGGACTTGTACTGTAAGTGAAGGGGCGTAATGTTGACCGAACTTAAATGTCGGACTGAAGGCTGAATGGACAGCAATGAGCGTGTGGACGGCGAATGATAGCTGCAAGTGATTGTTGGTGCAAGTATCGCAAAGCATGTGCCTCGAGCGCAGCAGGGAGCTCCAACGCCGAGCTTCCCCCGAACCAGCATTACCTTACGCATTCTCTTCCTGACTCGTGCAGCCGTGATACGTATAGTGCTACGCTAAGCCATGGCATTGCACGGGTAGATCTGCAAAGAGTGCTGGGCTACGGTATGTACATCTCCTTGTAACACTAGCGTCCTCAACCCTACGAAATCTCCTTGTTTAGAGGATCCGACGGGTCAAGCGCAGGTGTATCAGCGAACAGCGCACTCGCGAAACCTTCCGGGTACCGACCACCATGCACCTCGGCCGCCTCACAAGCCTTGCGAATCTCGTGCTCCTCCTCCGCCGTCAACTTGATCTTGAGTGACGCGAGGTTCTCCTCTAGCCGGCTAAGGTTGGTCGTGCCAGGAATCGGGAATATATCGTCACCCTGAGCAAGGAGCCACGCCAGAGTCAGCTGGCTGGGCGTGACATTCTTCTTCTTCGCAATCTCCGCGATCTGGTCGACTAGCTGCAGGTTCTTCGGGAAATTCTCCTCGCTGAATCTTGGCGCAAACTTCCGGAAGTCGCCCTCCTCAAAGTCCTTAGGCGAGCGGATAGTGCCACCGAGCATCCCGCGTCCGATCGGCGAGTAGGCGACGATGGCCGTCCCGAGCTCGCGGCACGTCTTCATGAGGCTGATCTGCTCGCTCTCGATGTCCAGCGAGAAGGGAGAGTACTCGATTTGAACGGCATCAATGTGAGCAATCTTGCTCGCACGACGGAGAGACTCGCTGCTGCACTCCGACAAGCCGATGTATTTGATCTTGCCTTCCTGCTTCAGCTTCTTCATCTCGGCGACTGTCTTCTCGACCGGAGTCTTGCCGTCCAAGCGATGAGCGTAGTAGAGGTCGATATGTGGAAGGCCAAGACGTGAGAGCGATTTCTCACATGCTGAGCGGCAGTACTCAGGCGAGCTGTCGACCGACCGCTTGCCATTCTCAAGCTTGTTCGCGAACTTCGTGGCGAGGAAGATGTGGTCACGCTTGCCTGGGTTCGCCTTAAACCACTTGCCTGTTCTCGTAAGTATCCACTGATCGCTCACGGTCCGTGCAAAACTGACCTAGCAGATCCTCACTGTCCATGTACATGTCGGCCGAGTCCCAAAACAGCTCACCCTCGTCGTAGCACTTGTCAAGCACCTTGAAGCGCTCCTCGTCCGGCTTTGGCGCGCCATAGAAGGCACTCTTTCCCAAGTCAGCCACTGTCTGAACTGCGCTCCGAGGTTAATCTCACCAGGCCCATCGTGCCGTATCCGAGGCGCGTGACTTGCGGACCATTCTTTCCGAGCTTCGCTGTTGGTAGCTTCGTCCCGAGGGCACCTTGAGCGGGTCAATGGGAAGACTTCTTGTTGCAAGTACTTTGTCAAAGACCTACCACCAGTGACGCTGCCGAGGATCTCTTGGACTTTCTCCATGTTCTTTGAATGATTGTGTGAAGAGTGGGTGACACAGGGAATACTCTAAGTAGATTGGAACTGTTCCCCTATAACATGGAAAAGAGACGTCTCCGGTACTTAACTCCGTGTCGCTACGGCAATCTTAATGTTGATCGATGACGTTGTGCGGCCTTCTAGTTGATGTATGAGCATATCTGGAAGACTCGACGGTGGGGTCAATTGAGGGGCACAGAATGATGAACGCAATGAGCATTTAACGGATATAGAGGTTATCCCGAGAAGCGCTCAAGCATATGCAGTTGCAACAACGTCCGCAATCTTTTCCCACATCGGACATTGAACACAGAGGCGTTAACGCTGCTGACTTGCATAGCATTGTGCATATGTGCTGCAATCCACCCCGAACGCCTCGCTAAACGCACTACATATTCCAACGCACATGCGTAGGCTCGCAAATGTCAACTCATCCAGTCATTAAGTTGTCATCAAGATGCTCAATCATATCCGCGTTCGTCGGTATTCATGATATTGAAATGCTTTCCTGCTTGCGTTCTTGCCATTCCGTCGTCGCTGTTTCCTTGCTAACTTTCTTACCCATGCTGAAGAAGCTCAATGCTCGACTTGCACGGCTGCTGGTCGACCCTGGTCGACTGGGTTGAGAGGAAGTGACATCCTTGATGGAATCGACCTGCGCTCTCGCCTTCGCATTGCCATTCAGGCCAACTGCGAATGTGCTCGCACCCGCAAAGGCTGCGACAGCGATCACAAGGCTGTACATAGCGCCGCGATTGTTGTAAGCTAAATGGTTCGAGATTGGTGCGAAGACTGCGCCACCGCTGATGGCCGAGGTGATGAAAACGCTCGCAAGCTTGGTGTGCCGGCCCATGCCGCGGAGGCACTGGGCGAAGATGAGGGAGAAGATTGGACCTTCGAAGAAGAAGGCCATAATGATCATTGCCGTACCAGTGTTGCCACTGAAGTTCATCGCTAACACGTCGAAAACAATGACGCCAACAAAGCATGCCAGCAGTAAGAGACGAGGCTTGACCCAAAAGCCAAGACCGGCAGCTACAAAGCGAGAGACTGCGAAAGCCGTGTGCGCTACTGCCGTATAGTTGGCAACGTTGTACGTAGGGTTTGCGGCAACCATGTAAGCGTCGAAGCTTGTGGCGTTAACCTCTTGACCACCTACATAGCAGAACTGGCTGAAGACGCCGAAGGCCAGTGTAATGTAGACGATGTTGACCGTACCGACTTTGGCTCTGTATGCGCCATCCATTCGCTCCGCAGTGTCTTCAAGCTCCGTGTCTGTGGCCTCTGGCAACGGGATGTAATGATAGCCTACAGCTAAGAGTATAGTGGCAAGCGCAATGCCCAGGTACGCCCACTGGGTATTGACAAGTGAAGATGCATCGAACGACTTTTGAAAGAAAGCTTTATTGGCGATCAATGGCGCAACAACGCTGCCGATTGCTTGGACTCCTTGGCTCAGATTCAGACGAATCTCGGCGTACGCCGACGGCCCACAAAGGGCAGTAAAAGGGTTGGCCGACACTTCGAGTATGGACAACCCGAAAGCAACGATGAAGTTTGACAGCAAGAAGGCGGGGAAGGACGTAAGCACCGCGGCTGGCCAGTAGATGAGCGTGCCGCAGGCGAAGATGCCCAGGCCAACGCTGTAGCACGCCTTGAAGCCCCAGTATTTCAGCACAAGCCGTCCGACGGTCAACGGTCCCACGAAGTATGCTGCATAGTAGGCGCTGTGAATCGCAGTGCTCTGACTGGGAGTCATATGCGCAACACGCTGGAACTGCTGATTGAGCACATCGAGTAGGCCATACTCGAACCCCCAGATGAAGAACATGACGGTGACGGCGGCAATTGGAAACAGGCTCTCCCGGTTGGTCAATTGGACCATCGACTTCTGGCCACTCATATTCACGAAGTCGAAAACAGTAGGTGTGCCAGGTCTGGTATTGCGACTGGTGTTTGTCTGAGCTGTCTGTGTCCGTTGGAGATGCGAAGGCAGCTCATTCATGTCGGGAGTGGTGAGGAAGTCTATCATGCCCATAGGTCCTTCGTCAGGTGCATAGGATTGACTGCCAAAGTCTCTTTGGTACACATCGTCGGGCATAGAAGGTATGCGATGCACTATTGCCATGTCTGCCGTACCGTTCGCGGAGGACACCGTGCCTGCTCTCGATGGAGCATCTTCCGGGTCCCGTAGCATGTGCGGAAGAAAGCGAGAGATAAGCGGTTTCAGGCCAGGCACACACGCCACCATGATGCCAACTGTGACTTCTATAACACTCCACATGAAGCTAAGCGAGGCGTAGTAGCTGAAGTCGGTCTGGTTGGGGTCTTCATAGCTGTCGCCGGAGTCGCTTTGGTCTTGGATGTTCGCCAGCCGGTCCATAGCTGCGGATTGCAAGTAGGCAATGCGAACAACATCGACGGCAGTGACGAAAATGCCAAAGCTGAAAGTGACGATAAGGATGACCTTCTGTTTCTTTGGCAGGCGCATCTTGGTCAGGATCGGCAGGGGCAAGAACAACAACGCAAAGTCCGTGATCAGATTAAGCGGCGCTGAAGAAAGGTAGATCGTGACAATATTGGTACACGTCGCACTGTCCGATATCATGGTTCGAAAGACAGCACCGACTGGCCGACATTGGAAGACCGTGAGCAGAGTGAGGGCCAAGCCTCCAGCGTTAACCGCGAACAGCGTGGCGATACAGGCCCACTTGAAGATCGAGTGCGTTTTTGAAAAGCTTAGATAGAAGCTAAGAATCGACGTCTTGAGTGCCATGAGCGCAGGCTGATATAGTACCTCGAAGGCATAGTTCGCCTTGCGCGTCGTAAGCTGCCAGGCGAGCGGCACATCTGACTCATGTCGACCAAGTCCCCAATGGGCGCTGTAGCAGATGGTGAAGGTAAGACCGAAGGCCAGAGTCCATGCCAACAGGATGAAGTAGTCGTCGACGGATATTCTCTTTACGATGGCTGCCCGTGAGATGAGGCGAAGGAAGACAAAGATGCTGGCAAGCGCCACCATGACAATGCTGACGGCCAGTACAGCCTTGCTTCGCCCTTGCAAGTCCTCGTGATTGTCCTCCATCCTCTAAGCGTTTGCACTCGACTGTTATGACAGGTCGTCCTCAGCCACAGTCACGATCCTTCGCCTGTCTCCGCATGATGGCTTGCTGATGAGGTCGAAACTGGGCGGTTCAGCCGTTCTGCGTTGCGCACCGGCGCGTTGCTTTCAATCACGTCCGGCCTGCAGCGATGCTGGGATGAGACCTGATAAAATACAGAGGGGAAAGCGCAAGAGGCCAGTTACACAGAGGCTGTAGAAGTAGAAGGTAAAAGAAATGGAAGCTTCAGAGCCGAGCTTCCCGCCACGAGGACATACCCCAACCCACCAAGTCAGAACCATATTAAACTGAACAATTTCCCATTCGCCGGGCTTGAAGCGGACAGCGACGGCGTCGAATGGTCAAATCTTCTCGCTTGACTGACGCGTAGGTGGCGCTTCCCCGCAGTTTGTTGGCTTTGAAATTGGCAGGATGGCCGCCAAGTGCTTAGGACGGCTCCGTTCCAGGCTTCCAGGTTGCAATTACAATTGCACCACTTCGACCTCGCGTGTACGAATTCAGTCTCCCCGCCGGTATGTAGCGGCAGAAATGTGTTGGGGCGGAAACGGCGCAGACGAAGCGGTCGAAGACTGCATAAAGCGGAGTGCTCACCGAAGAAGCCGGGTGTCTACCGCAGTTGCACCGGCGCCGCTGCGAATTAAGCAATGATAACCGTGCGGCCTTCATGCAGTCTACCATGTCCAGCTCTCAGCAGCTTGACATTGGCGAAGGGGTCCAGAACCGCTGCCACGGTCGTCGGTGCTGTAGATGGACTGAAAGCGTAGAGAGGGAGCGCCTGAGATCAGCACTATCATCGTTAAGTGATCCAAACCGGAGTCTTGTTCTCAAAGATCCATGATGGAATCGGTTGGCCAGGCGTGTCGACTTCGACCGACATGGTCCATACGATGCCACGAAGAACCATGACCCACCAAGCCTCTTCCACGTTACGGGCATCGGACGCCTCATCTTCAGTCTTGCTGTGTGCGTTCTTCTCAGCGTCACGCGAAAATTTGGCTCCATTGCCAAGTGCGCCTGCCGCGTGCAGCGTTTCAAGTAGGCTGCTTTCCTTTCCAAGCACGAGATTGCCGTACGCTCGACCAAGCTCGTATACCCCTTGCACGAAACCATAGTACCTAAAGGCGCTGAAGTCGTAGTTCCAGTTCTTGCGTTCTTCTTGTGTCTTGGCCGCCATTTCCACAGCCTTCACCGACAACGCAATGTGGGCTCCGACGAGCCGAGCATACCTTGTGATCCCAGTGCCGTAGTCGTCACTCCAGCCACGGTCACAGAAATAGTCTGAAGTCCAATCGTGTACCTCCCTCAGATCATGCAACATTGTCAACCTTTCAGCTTCCTGTTCGACTTCGCCCGAACCACGCCGTCCACGAAGTTGGCTCTCGAAAAGGCGGCAGAAGAAATCCGCGTTATAGCGATCTTGCAGAGACGTAAGGCGCGTGTATACTGCGACTATCATTTCACTGGGCTGACCGAAGCGCTCGGTGTTCTTTATTCGATCTTGCAAGCGCCGAACCAAAGCTAGTCTGCCTTCCCAGTAACTGAACACAGATCTTGTATCTGAGCGAAAGAGTGCAGTGCAAGTCTTCCACATGGCTTGCCCGCTCACGGGCAGGTATGGACACAGCAGTATGATGGCCTCGTTATGTGCCTCGCTGAGATTTTGTGCCTCGATCTTGTGGATCACTTCAGGCGCAACGCCGAGGAGCACAAGGGTGGTTTTTAAAGACACCCTGTCACCTTTCTCGAGGATGTCTTCGATTACTTCGAACCCTTGAGTACGCCTGACAAGTCGTGGGCAAGCAGGCAAAATGCCGCACATCATCTGACTCACAGCCCTGGTCGGAATGAATGGTACCGGCTTTGGATCGCCTATGGAGCTGAATGTGAGCACGATACCAAGACCTTTGATGTCGGTCGTGCTGAGACTGTATCCATTACCATTAGCCAGCAGCTTCCCGTTACCAGGATCCAACAAGCGCCATTGCATGCCCAATCTTAAGGCGAGGTTGACAATGCTGCCAAGATTCGTAGAAGCTGGCGGTCTTACCAGGTCGGGCGGAAGGAAGTCCCAACTGCGCTCGATGTACAGTACAGCGCACGTTTCGCCTTCCTGAACCAAGATCGCAACGCCCGGCCGCGGCGCTTGGCTGCCGTTGTATACGTACACCTTGTGAACTTCACGCAGTAGACTTGCCCACGTGACTAATGGCTCGGCGTGCGTCCTGCTGGAAATCGTCAAGGGCGGCAGCGTTTGTACACGGATGGCTCGCTGTTCGACATCCCTAGGGGACGGCGAGGAACTCTCGCCAGACTTTACACCCGATCTGGGCCATGGCACGTATCCTGATGGCTGGATGGTCTGCGCAACCTCAACGTAATGCGATTCCATATTAGGAGCGGTAATGCTGCAAACAAAGTGACCTCGCAGACGGATCCTCTCGACTTCATCGGTAGCGACGACGCGAATATCGGGCGTCGTGAACTTGGTGGCAAGGCGGAACTCCGACGGAACGAAGACTCTACGACGCCTCTTCGCCCAAACTCCGATCACTTCGGATGAGCAGTTCCGGTACCCATCGGCAGTGAGGAAGATAGATTGTGATAGTTGGAGGAGAGCAATCACAAGAGCAACGAGTGATACCACAAGAGCAGTGATCGCGACGGTGTCGGAGAGCGTCATCTCGGCGTCTTCTTGGCAGCTGGAAAATGTTTCACAGTAACCCTCGTTATAGACATACGCCCGACGGACTTCAAGCGCCGGATGTGTGAAGGCCGGTACCATATCAGTAAGACGTTGATCCGTACGGAGGTTTGGGTCGCTGGGTCAGGCCACCAGTAGACCGCCAAGACCGTAACCGAACCGGTCTAGTCCAGTACAACGCATGAAGACCACGCAGCGTCATACATTCTGCAAGACAAGGAGCACAGCCAGCTGCTATTGTCAGCATACAGACCCAGCTTCGGCGAGGTGGACTAGAATAGCCTGGTGTTGTCCGACAGCTCTTCTGCAAAAGCCGTCCACCATCCTGGCCTACTCCTCGTCAAACATCCTCCTCATGCTCAGCATCCTCCGCATCATCCTCGTCCGCCGCGTCACTATACTCCTCTTCTTCGTCGCTTTCTTCGCCTTCTCCATCACTCTCACCACCGGACGCTTCATAGTCTTCCTCAAGCTCATCTTCTTCATCCTGCAACTGCTGCTCAGCCTTGTGCAGCTCGCTCTCACCTTCTTCGTCGTGAGCAGCATCGCCATTGCTTTCACCATGGGCTTCCGACTTCTTCTCTTTGTTGACATTGAAAGCTTTGGCTCGCCGTTCGGCTGCCATGCTGGCGTCATTGAGCCCGTGTCGTTTCACATACTCGTCAATACCTGCAAAGTCAGCTTGGTCAAGCATGCTGAACTCGACCTCCTTGATGTCCGACTGCTCGCTTTCGCGCGCAGCTATGACGAGATTAAACGTGCGTTGCAGCACTGAAGTGTAGCTGACAGAGTCAATACCATTGAACGGAAAGTAGGCGAGCGGCTTTTTGAAGCCGAAGACTACGCCGTTTGATAGGAAAAAGAGGTAACCTGATGACAGGAGTCAGCTTCTTGCCCGTAAGACCGTAGATGTCGTCGTTCGACGGACCTTCTTTGCTGCCCCTGTGTGCCTTGACATGGTAAGCTTTCTCACCCTTGCGGTGCGACTGCGGTATGCTGCTAGCGAACTCTGAAGGGTCCGGTACCACTACCCTCTTGCCTTGGTGGCTTAGCAGGCGATTTAACTCACGCTCCGCGACTGTGACGAAAGTGTCGCCTTCCGCAAACTGCTGCTCAGCGGAGTGTGCACCGGTGGGCGGAGTCTCGTTCATGGAGAAGACTATCTGCTCGCATGGTGTGCCGTCTGCGGCAGTGGCATCAGGCTTTGGAAACAGTACAAAGTTCCATTGTCGTTGCTGCTTTTCTGGTACTGGCAAACAGAAAACTTCACTGATCTGGCCTGCCGGCAGTGCATGCTCGATCACGCTGCTTTGCTGATTCTGCAGACGAATCTCCTGCTTGCGTCGGTCGTGGGCATCGTACACAAACTGCAATCTCAACTTCTTGCGGGCAGGCACTTGAAAACTGACATCCTTGCACTCGAAAGAGATTGTAGGACTGCCAAGTGGCTTGGATGTGGTGATCCCATCGTTATCACAAGCGTTTGGCGGTGCATCTTCGAGTTTCCTCTTCTTGCCATGTGCAGGCGCGACTACAGTCTGCGACGATGTAGTAAGACGTGCAATATCGCTAAATAAAGCCAGCAATTCCGCTTGGTCTGGATGACGTCGGATTGCCTGCACGATGCGCTGTGTTATGGGTGGCGGGAAGGTGGCCTGTATCTGCTCCATCATCGGCTTCGGCGACAGATTTGGAGGCGAAGCACGTGAAGTGGTATAGCGTGTATTGGCAATAGGTATCGCTGGACGACAAGCGAGTCGTCTTAGCGCACGGTTGTGCTGGTTCGTCTGATTCAACCAGCCTCCCGGCAATGCGGCATAAGACCAAGCAGCGCACAGTCTTGCAACACCGGCGTAATTAACGCAACGATTTTCAGGTACGCTGTCTGCGTAGCGGCTCCTTCAAACGCTTCGATATGTGCGACGTGAAGATCCTTCGCCTACACGGGAAAGTGTTAGGGCAATCCCAACAATCTATGGCTAATTCCGGCCAAGACAGATCGCCTGCATAAAGTAAGAGTAACGAGTCGATGTGCATGCTGCAGGTCGACGCCGGCCCGAGCCCAAGTCCACTGCCGAGCATATCTGCGACACGTCTAACCAGCAGTGAACGGCGAGCGAACGCCTGAACGGGGCTTGCAGTCCTTCCGCTGATGTCGTTCACGCCATCGCGCGACGCTATTCGCCGCGACAGGCGCCCCATTCACCTTGTTTTAGTGGGCGAAGACGGTTAAAATGACTATAGGCATGCGTGCCGCCAACGGTCGAGGTCCTCATAGGCCGGAGATTGAATAGGGGAGCCACCTCGGCAGCGATCATGGTGCGAAGGCACTCAGAGTAGCGTCAAAGGCTTACTCTGAGTTCAAAGGCGTTGAGCGAGTGGCCACCTCCACAGCGCCTCTTTAATTCTCCTTCTGTCCCGTCCCTCACAACCATTCCGCCTTGCTCACCTCTTCCGGAAACACAGCTCGTCAGCCGCATTCGCGAACTCTTTGTGCCAGTTTCTCAGTCGTTACAGCACCACCACTGGAACCAACACCGTCTTACCTCTACCCAACGCGTTCAAAATGTGGTCACTACTCCTTCTCGCCATCGCAACGGTGGCTAGTGTCGCCCTCGCACAGAACTCTAGCACGCCAACCGTAACCATGTTCCTGCCAATGGCACACGGCTCGAACGTCGCAGCTTCAATTCTCACAAGCGTACGAAGTCCAGGAGTACACATGTTCAGGAACTGTCGAGCTAACGAGGGGTTCCACAGGCCGCCTCCTCCACAGTATACGCCATAGGTTGTTTACAATCAAACAATGCCTGCGCCGCAGGCTGCACATTCAGCGAGTCCGTGACAGTGACCGGAGGCCCAAGCATGCTACGATATGTATGGACCGATGGCGACAGGGCAGTGTAAGTGGATATACCCTAGTTATACCAATCCTGCAACTAGCGAAGCATGACCGAACCTTGTTCAAGGAGGCTGACTGGGCAACTATAGCACCTCTGGCACGAACGGCTCCCTCATACACCCGGTGACGACGGTCAGCTGTAATCTCATTGGCGGCACGAGAGCAACACAGGCCGTCTGCACCGGCTATACCATGCCTAACGGTGCACGCAACGCCTCGCAAGTCACCACTTTGTCGAGCAGTCAGCTCAACTACGTTCCGGTCATGGTCACAGGACAACAAGCCGCGATCGTTGCGTCAGGGTCAGCCTCAAGCTCAGGCTCTCGCACCGCCTCCGGCTCTGGCTCTTCAGCGTCAGCGTCAGCATCTCGTAGCGGTGCCGCTGCATCTGCAAGCGCCTCTGGCGGTGCCGGTGCCATCGCTGCACCACTTGCTGGCGCCGCCGCCGTGGCTGCTGGCTTAGGAGCAATTGCATTCTTATGATGAGCCATGGGCTTGGCGTTTGGGTCACGGCACGGCTGGTCAGCATTGTACACACATGTCACGCATGTGGTGGCGTTTTCTCCTGCATCATTTGCGCGGATACCCACCATCCACCTGTCCTGCGTTTCGAGCGCTGGATTGTTAGGCCCTTGTATACACCTGCCAATAGAATACAGTCAGTTAGCATAATGAGCAGACAGAGAAGAGTATCCATACGGGCTTGAGGCGCCGCCTCGTCCAGCACGACCAGCACGGCCAGCATCTTCCCGGCGGCGACACGCTTTTGACATGCTCTTTCAATTACTGTAACGCGTCCTTTTCAATCTCCTTCGAGGTGAGACGTCGCATCGTAGGCGACTATCTTGGTGGGCATTCTTGCAACCCTGGGACATCTAGGTGCCGACTCAATAGCTCAACCGTCGCCGAGTGGCTTGCGTATGAACGCATCTGAACTAGTGCGTGTATTTTTGCCTGGAGCACCTTCACTTCGATCTGCTGCTGTAGCTCCGACATTATTGCACAGCCCTAGCATGTGGAGCATTTTTCAGCCCACCTCAAAGCAGTGAATCGTCGGCAGTTGCCGTTGCTGTCAACGGTTCTAGTGGGCCGCACGGATAGCTCACTTCCATGAAGAAGATTAGGAAGTAGCCGATTACTGCTCGCCTTTCCCAAAATGTTGCGGTGCCAATCATCTACCGCCGTTGGCCGTATTAGTGGCCTAGGTATCGTCTCATCAACGGCAACTACCCCCTCGCCAAGACCGGGTACGTGCGTGCTTTCCACAAGACAGAGCCGTTTCCGCCCGACGTTGATACGGGCTGTGAAGACACTCTGTCTGCCCTAAGTACGACTACGTCGTAACCAAGATCAGCACAGATGTATGAAATCCCTCAAGATGCCGATATTGCCGCCAATCCTTGCTATCCGTCACCTACTTTGCTCTTCTCATGTTGAAAGCGATGGGATCGAAACTGGACTGTCGACAGCTGTATGCCTTTGAAATGTAAGCCAGTGCTCGTTGTCTGCCATCATGGCACATATCAACACCTCCGCTCCTTCGACCGCACATGGATCGTAATTGTGTCTCAATGGTAAGGTGCAGAACAGAGCGGCAAGTACATCGTTCCACCTCCCAACGTAATCGGGTTCTGTTATGCTACACTGTAGGTTCTATCACCTCTGCGTCCGCCACCAGGATGAGAAGGTACAACGCAAACGGGGACGATGAGAGCACTCTTCCCAATGGCGTAGCGCCTGCACATGCTATTGGAGGAAACACGGCGACATTTGCGTGCACCACTGAAGGGTGAAGAGCGTCAAGACTTCGTATGTGACCGCAGAGTGATTGTCACCGTCCCAATGGTCTTGTCATTGAGTATGGTGTTCCGCCGACGACGGCGTCTCTGCGCCCGCTCTCCACCAGGGAATGATTGCGGACTACGATACATCAGAGTCCGACCTCGTGAGCCTCCTCCCACAGTCCGTCGCTCATTAAGACCATGTTTCCCGCACGGTCAACCACCGTCGGACGAGCCTGGTGGACTCCCTGCAGCGCCTTTCCTAATGCCACGATCTTTTCCATAAGCTCGCGTGGGTCGTATCCGTTGCTGGTGGTGGTAGCAGACAACTCGAGACGCACCGGAGCGTCGATTTCCCAGCTACGTTCCCCAAGAAATCTGCCGGCGATATTGCGGTACACGACGGAAAGCATGCCCTTGCCGTCTGATGTTGGCGGGCTTGTGGCGGCCGCCGATGTACTAGCGCCATTGAAGCTTGCAGAAGCTGTTGGGGTGGCGACAGTATTGTATGGTGAGAAGTCGTTCATCGACGGGATGGGAAGACCCATGATGTCTTGGTGCTCGCTGGTGGCGCTGTTGTGCAAGCTCAGCGTAGAGGGTGTGTCGGTTGTGGTGACGGGGTGTAGCACGGGCTGTGTTGGCGCAGTGCTGTGCGTTGTGTGCTCGGTATCGATGGGTGGAAGAGAAGCCGAGTGAGCTGAAAGACCCATTGGTGACGGGTGCGGCGGAGACTGACACGGTGTGGGTGGGGCACCTGCCTTAGACGGAGCATTTGCTGCGGAAGGTACGCCTGGGGTGGTCGGCACCTGCACTTGCCGAGCGGGCTGCGGCGCAGCGAAGCAGATGGTGATTTGACCTTTGAGGTTCTTCTCCGCGCACTTTGCGAAGTCGATGAGGTGAGGGTTGACGGCGTAGTAGTTGTTGAACTCCGTCATACGCCCGTTCTCCCACATGTCTCTGGCAGTGCAAGCTTCGTCGAACATCCACACCTGGTCCTTATGCGTCTCGAGCTCGGCTTTGGTCTCGCGACTGTCAGGGTTGGCGGCAAGTCTGAACGACTTCTTAATGAGTTCACGGTAAGACTTGCGGTAGAGGTCTTGTTGCTCCGGGTGGTCGGCGTAGTACTTGTCGCATTCCTGTCCAGGGTTGGCGGCGTACCACTCGGCAATGAGCCGAATGGGCTGTTGCGTGTGAAAGTTGTCCACAGATGTGATGGCAGCTTCGTTCGTAGTAGTAGTGATGTTAGCGGCATCGTTGGGAGCTATGATGGACGGGCCTCGGATAGTGGTCATGGTGGATGATGGAAGCTGCGACGTAACGAGCTCTGTGGGTGGATCCCGAGCACTATCCGGCCAACTTCCAGACATGGGCTGACGCAGCCGATTACCGCCCTTCGTGAAGCGGATGGTGCCTTGAGAGCGAGGTGAAGGCGCACGGTTAGTGCTCGGTGGGCCGCGGATGGTGAGCCGACCACGGTTGACGCTTCCAGGAGTGGCGAACTTGGGTGGAAGAGAGCGTGGAGTACGATCAACAGCTGGGCCTGTGGGGAAGTTGTTGGGCTTCGGAGACGGCGTTATTACATAGATGGGAGTGCCGTAGTTGGGCCTGGGACCCTTGGCTTCACGCTCCTTTAGATAGAGGGCACGCTCTTCGCCGTGGTTGTCTTCGACTTCCTCCCATGTAGGGTCTTGAATGAGACCATAGCGTACAGCTTGAGCTAGTTCAGCGCGGTGGCCCTGCCCGCTGAAACGATTCTCGAGCTGCTCCGTGACGTCGTCACGCTCAAAGGCGCTGGCCACTGTGGCTCTGGTCAGCAGCTTCCCGCGGATTACGGAGGTGAAGCTCACTGTTCCAAGCTTGTAGCTTGGCCGCAACTTCACCCGTAGGCCCCTTGGCCTTTGATGAGGTGTTACGACGCCCTTCAAAGTCTCTGATGGCGGCTTGCTTGGTTAGAAGGTCGACTTGCGTGATGCGGCCTCTGCCATCATCGGCAGGAGCGGAAACCATGTCTCGACGCTCGATGCCAAGGTCGGCCATCATTCTTAGCACGTCGGTGTCCATGATGCTAGCTATGGGGGTGTGAGTGTATGATGAGTAGGAGATGGTGTGGAGAAGGGGGAAAAGGAGAGAATGGATGATGACGGGCAAATTCTCCACCGGGATTGCCGTACTTGCCACGGCAACAGAAGAGGAAGGAACGAAAGGTCGTGCATGTGGTGCTTGCGAACATTGTCCCCAGGTCAGCTGGGTCGCCAGAGCTTTGGAATGGACGACAGGAGAGCGTGTGGAAGGATATCTGAGAAGGAGAGCAGGCCTACCTCTTACGGATTGGCCGTGCCAGCATCGCTAAGATGGAAAAATGCCATACGTGTTGATGATTGATACAGAAGCTTAGGGTTCCAGTTTGGGAAGGTGTCGCTCGGGCAGGAACTCACACAGCAAAAGACGCGTTTGACAGGGTATTGATACGCTTGTGCAGGCGGTCAGTCTTCCACAGAATGCTGCCAAAGCCATAGCAGCGTCTTCCTTGCGGTGTTCTTGTAGTATGTGGGCGGAGTATTTCGTGCGAAGCAATCCATCGCCGGACGCTTTCTTGATGCCTTAAGGCCAAAGTTTGCTAGCCGACAGCGTATGGGCTGAACGAATTCTGCTTTTATTTCTCGATCAAGTCACGAGGTTGTGCTCCTTCTTGGAGAAGATGGCATTGTAGCTTGCGTAGGAGGTGCGTTGATATTCGTGCGGTTGAATCTTCGCCTTTCTGTACGGCGGCGGAGGCGGCTGCCAGCCGGCGAGCGAGTGCTTGACCGACATAGCTATAGCTGTATGCCGCATGCGTATATAACAATAGCGATGTAGCAGTCGGTGTGTTGGGAGTCTGTGTGCTGTAGTTGCATCGTAGGTGTTGCGTTCGTCGCACGTCCGCCCATGGCTCGTTTAGTGACCATCTTCCTTTCACTTGGGCTCTATGACCGCGGTGCTTGCATCCATTGGCACACACCATGCATGTGTTACAGCAAATGCGGACAAGCCTGAGGTACATCGCACTGCCATCGACGATGCCACCGCAGACTCCGCATGGCCATATCCCTCATCAATCGCGACCTTCTCGACGTCAGCGGAGCGAGGAGAAATGCCATCGGCGACCCAGCACCTTGTACCTCCTTCGACGCAAATGCGATGTAGTCCGCTTGCCACACCTGGAGTATGAAGACCGTCCGTCGCTTCATCATGCTCTCGCCTGACTCACCATGGTAGCGACAACGCGGCATTCAGCGACCGATCACTGCATACCGATCGCAGACACGGAGGCACAGCGCTTCAATACAAGCAGCAGGCAGCCATTATCGACCCGTGCGGCAGCAGTACGGGTGGCAAAAGGTTTCAGCTCGCAGCTGTGCTTACTCCACCCGTATCGGAGGGCCATCGCAGCGGTATGAAAGACCACCGGGGCGGGAAAGTGACCACCACGGCACTAAGAACCGTCATGCGGTCCGCACCACGGAGTAGCGGTCTTCCAAAGCCTCGATGCAAGGCGTGTGGCCTCCAGTGTTCGCTCTCTAATACTAAGAGCAAGCAACCACCAGGGCGAGAAGCAGCATTGTAGCCATAAAAGAGGCGGTGTCATACCGATCAACGGTGGTCCTGAGAATACGAGCGAGCAACTTGCCGCCACCTATGGCAGCGACTGCGGCTAGAGCCTCCTTTGCGCGGTTGCTGAAGCAGCCATTAGGGTGTCAACTACGCAGACTGCCCAGTCTGCACCGAATGCTTGTCGAAAAGACATCGCTGCGACCTCCTGATAGGATCGGAAAGAAGCAGCATGGCTAATACAGGGCCGGAGTCGCCAGCTCGTACCCGACAGCTACGTCCTCGACACAAGTTTGCTAGTTATGCTGCGGCGTAGTGGGTAACAGACTGGCAGTCAATACTCCCTTCAATTACTTAGGAAAGCGTTGTCTTCAACAGTCTGCGGCTGGTCATGCGGCCGGCACTGTATACGGTCGTGTAAGTGGCGACTTTTGTACCTTCGGCTGGAGGCGTCCGTATGGGTAGCGACATCTTACAGCCACTGTGGGCCGTGTACGCTCGCTTTGTCCACAGCAAATGGCGTGCTATCGCCCGTCCAAAGTAAGAGCCTGGCGGGAGAAATAGTCTCTTAAGTGCAACATGCATGCTCTCTGCAGCCAGGGCCAGACAAGAGGTGTGCAATCCGGCATACATCCCTTCGACTAGTGGAGTGGAAAGGCATGCCATCCAATGCCTTTCCAGAACACCCGTGTTGGCGTCAAGGTCGGTTCGTCATCGTTCAAATCTAAAGCTGGTTCTTCGGGAAATGTCTGCTACGGACGCAAGCAACTAGATGCTCTCAAACGATAAGCTGTTGCAGCTAGTTCATCCGCCCCGTGCTGGTAGACTTGGTCATCTCAGAATGTGGTTCATCCGAGCTGCCTGCAATACTCGAGGTATGTGCGCTCAAAGGAGCGTTACGGATATTGTCCCAACTGGCACGGACGAGCGGTTACTAGCTTACGTCCGGTCAGCGACTTGATGCTACCGCAAGGGTTCCGTGACGGTGCAGTAACGCTGGGTTGTTGTCCAGAGCGGTCGGATGCTTGCGGAGAGGTTCTGCCGCTGCTCCAACGCCAATCCTATACGAAGCTCGTTTCTTCCTGCCCTCCCAACGGTTGCTGGCTTATCCATTGCAATAAGCCCTCCAATGCTGGTCAACAACAACGCGCTCCATCGAATACCTGAGATGTGCTGTAAGGGCCCATGCCTGGCTACGGTCTTCGTCCGAAGTCCACCTTCGACAAGCTTGCCTAGAGATTTCGTTTCCGGACGTGCTTGCAGAAGGCGCTCCGATTTGCGGCTGAATGCTGGTGCTGCCCTTATGTTGGCCTTCAGAGTGCAAAACGCTCTAAGCCACCTGGGTGCTGACCCTGCACCAAGCTCATCTCGACGTTGCTTGAGGCGATGTTACCGAAGTGCGCCATTGCATGGGTGAGCAGGCGTCCGTCGCTACTAACAGGCGCGCTTTCTGTCGACGGCTGATGCTCCCGCTCCGCGTACGGAGCGTATGGCAAGCTGTACAGGGCTGCGGGATCCCCTCCAGACCGTGGTCGTAAAGGTGCGGCTGCTGCTAGGTTGGTGGTTGTGGATGGGTACTCAGGGCCGCAGCCGTGGCCGCACACGGCTTTCTGAGACACGAAAGCAACAGCCGAGCGCGGACGACGACAGTCACGGTAATCGAGTAGTCCAGAGTACTCAGCGCCAGCCAGGAAAGTTGTGCTTGTTACAAGCAACGTCGTTGCCGCCACGTTCGAGCAGGGAGTGTGCACCCTTCCACCCGTCGCGCTTGCGGACTGCTGTTATCATGCCGCTGAACGCTCGACTTCCGAGATTGCGGGCTGGGGATCACAATTGTCCGCTGATCTCGACATGAAGCTCTATCCCAAGGGCATTTGTGGTTGTTATAATTGCCTGCTCTTTCCAATGGTAGAGCGAAGCCTGTGAAGGTTGCTGGACGGCCGAATATGCTTCCAGTCGTTCGATACTATGTCGCACGCCCTGCTCCCGCATACCCTACGACCTCCACGCTTCTCCACGCTACAGACTTATGCGCCAGCTCTTGCTCCCCCTTTTTGTGGCAGACTCGCGGCAGTAGTGAATCTGCTCTTCTCACATTTGCGAGCTTGCACGATGGCGCTGTCGAGGGCGCGGGCCTTGAGCGACTTCTGGCCATGTTGTGTCTACTAGACTCGCGATCACGCCTTCAGCGGACGTAACAAGCGCTCGTTGAATATTAGTGGCCGCGGTCAACGATCGACTGGTGATGGACGATAGGCTGCAGACCGCTTGCGAATGGCTGAGCAAGTCCCTTTGGTGAAGCGGCGGGCCTTCGTGATGCGTGCTCGTCCATCTGTCGCGTGCCATAGGCAGTCATGGAGCTTCTCACCGAGGGAGCAAGGCGTCAGTGTGCCATTGAAGCACTTCTGTCGGTCTAGATGCGCTACGCAAGGGCAGGACTGTCAGTTCGAGGAATGTGGCTCGCCTACAATCGCGCGGTAGCTACTGCCCTGCAGTCGCTGCGACCTATGATGTGCATGTACATCACTTCCGCTCAGATCAACCGAATACTAAGGATGACAGCTTCGTATGGCGATGTTGGAGCGTAATGAGCGAGTGCTTGAAGCGCGGTAGCTGGACATTCATGCCGGTCAGAGAGACTAGGCTTCGTTCACAAGCTGCCAGCCATGCCACGGACAATGAGTCGAATTGTCACGACCCACAGAGTCATTTGCATCGCATCATAAGCAGCAGCATATCGCGAGAATGCGGCCTCCCCACAATGTGCGTCGAGCAATGGGGGAGAATACGTGCACAGTGTGCATATCGGAAGCCGCCCGCGCTGGTCATTGCTGCTTGCGTCCTCTGCCCTCCCCTGCCACTACGCCCTCCACAGTGGAAGCCATAACCATGCAATCACTCGAGACGTTCCTTAGTGCCAGTGTGAGCGTCCTCACCAGGCTAAAATATGTATATCGAGGCCAGTCCATTTTGCAGGCAAGTGTGGGCTTCTGGAGCGGCCACGCTCTGCCCATCAGCGGCCGGCAATCCATTGCCTCACGGTTATACCACGCTGTCCGCGGCCTTCGACACGACGATATAATATCATGAGAATCGTCTATTGATTGTGGAGACCGTCGGCAACGTGGTTTGAAAGTTCCTGTCATCTCATTGTCGTTGTCGCGGGCTCAGGGGGCAAGCGCCTCGGCGTCTCTTCGGGGCGGAATTGTCACTATATGATATATTCTCGCCCGTGGTTCTGATGTCTTCGGGCTGGTGGCGGACAGAGGCCTTAGCGTCCAACTTCGACGCTTCAATCAACCGCTTTGCGTCACCAAAGGGTGAGCATCGCCAGTTAAGGTATGTATGGTGCGTTCCCTTAGTCAGCATCGGCCAGCAGCAGCAGCAGCAGCAGTACCAGCAATCGACAATCGACTTCGACTTCAATCAATCAATTCACCCTTTAGTGGGTGGATGGGCAGAATATAGTAAGTATCCCCGTTCCCTTGATTCAATTCCCGGCAGGCAGGCAGCAGGCGGCAAAAAGCGAAAACTTCGGCTTCCCTTCCTTCCAATGTTGCTTAACAGCCTCCCGTCCAAGGCGGGGATGCGAAGGTTGCGTTTTGCCCTTTGGCTGGCCAGAACGTCGTCAGCAGAAGCCACCACCAATTCAATCGAGCTTCGAAGCGACTCTCTTTCCGCACCACAACGCAACCATGCTCTGGACAGCCATCCTCCTTGCCTTCGTAAAGATTGCGAGCGTGTCGTCGAAGCGCGTTACTGCTGCCGTCAAGCTCACTGTCGCCACGATCAAGGTTTTCACCACACTCTTGAAGCTCTACACGCCGCCAACACCAGTCCGAAAGCTCGTTATAGCGCTGCTCAAGATGATAGCGCAGATCTTGAAGCTTGCGCTGGCCCTGGTGAAGGCCTGGGAAGCCTTTCTCGAGGTCTTTAGGCCCGTAGTCTGAAGGTAAGACCAGATAGCTCCCTCCTCGAACACCTTTCGTGTCTTCACCATCGTAACCACGGCATCCTCCGCCAGCGACAACATCTAGAGACCGTGGCACGGAACAGGGACGGCTGGCGAGGAATCCTGCTCCTATTACCCGTAACCACAACCAACTACAGTCTCCCTGCTGTATCAATAGCCCTATAGCACTTATTACCGGCGACAGTTTTCTTAGACCGCACTACAGATGGGGGACCAGACCTCCACACATCCCCTCCGGCCGCTCCAGAATGGCGCGCCAAAGCGTGTCCCCCACCGCCTCTGACGGATTACTGCAGCGACCCCTTATTAGCGCGCTGCTCAAATGCTGCGTATGACCCCAAATCGCCTTACCAACAGCCATGAGGACAGCAGGACTAGCTTCATACAGCGACCCGTGCTCCCATTCCGTCTCCTGCCGTGTGGCGGCCGCGGGCCAACGCCGTTCCCAAATGCCCGCTCCGTCAAAAGCTCCCAGCTCCGCGTTACCATACCAAGGACAACGAATTGGAGTGGCAGTCTGTCTTTCATCGTCTTACTACATTCTGCGGATCGCGAGCCTTTGCCAGGCTCTGAAATGTCATACTTGGCGTCCCAATATCATGCCCAAGAGTAGCGTGTCCCATCAGTTGCACAACGGCACAGGAAGGACACTAGGAATGCAGCGAAGCGCCGCTAGAGGTCTACTCTTCACCGTCTATAGCCCCCAGTCCCATGATCTCGGTCTACCATCACCATCTGACGCCCGCATCGGCATGTACAACCAGGTGTCCGCCTTGAAATTGCTAGCCAGACGCCCAGCATTGCAGTCTTTTTGTCACCTTCACCGCTGTCTTACCATGCTGACTTCTCAACAGGACTCCATATAAACCGTCAAACGCCTCTACCGCTGTATAATCTCGGTCGCCCATGCCGTAGCTTTCCATCCAACGCCCCTCTCATCGCTTCCCAGGGCTGGAGCCAGACTCGACGCAACCATCGATGCCATGAGACTAATGCGCTCACCACCAGTATTGAGAGAAGCTTTGACTACTACCACTTTTCATCTTTGCCGATTTTAGGATGATGAACACAGAAGAAGCAACGGAAAATGCAACGAGGAAGCGGATAAGAGGTGGAGATTCGACCAGGGATACGAGTCATACGACGGCAACCCCCGCTTACCTTTGCGACAGGCACCAACTGAACGCCGGCGATCGATGAGCGCCACGATAGCGTTGACGGCAGGACGGCCACATGCAGTCTTCAAGCCCTTCATTAGGGATGATGAGAAGCAGGCGTGACCAGTACCAATTCCTTACCGCCTTGAACTCCGATGAGATCGCCCATCAACTATCTTGAAAGTTCTAGGCTTGTGGTTATTTGCCTCGACACTTACTGATATGGAGAGCGGCAGAAGCCGGGCTAGCGGTTGTAGGGCTAGAAGTAGCGCAAACGTTCCTCCGCCCACTTGATGAGGTTGATGAGGTAATCCGTGAACCGCGGGCAAGCGAGCATGCGACACTTTCGAGAAGTGCAGTCCGCTCACATAGACTCAGCGATTCGCAGTTCGTCCTTGCCACGCACCTCATCTTTCTCATTTGTTGTAGAAAGCCACATATAGAGTCCTTCTTGACCCACTCAGACTCGGACCAGTCATTGCCAGGCCGTGCTCAGCACCTGAATATGGCCGACTCGACGATGTCTGATGCGGATAGAATCCGCGCAAAGCGTCTCGCGAAGCTAGGCGGCGGTGCTGCTCCAGGTACTGCGAACTTGACAGCTTCAGTGAATGGATCTGGCACTTCATCACAGCAGCCATCACCTACACCCGCTCAGCCTAGTCTTGCACCGCCACCGCAACAGACACCGCAAACGTCTTCCACCAACACCGACGTAAACCCATTCAGTCAGCTCGGCATGCAACCTGAAGAGAAGCAAACAGCTCCGCAGATCAAAATCCGGCCACGACCGGCTTCACCTGCGAAGCGCGAGAGCGATGGGTCTGAGAAGGCAAGACCGAAACCCGCTAAGGAGCCCGACAGTTTAGAAGTGTGGCAAGACCGGAGCCTACGCTCCATCTTCAGGGTTTCGTTGAAGCCGGAGGAAGTGCGAGACTTGCATGGCCATCACCTTGTCTTCCTTGCTAGCACCAGAGAGGACCTTGTGGAGTCGAAGGCGCCGTTGCAGCTCAATGTGGATGCCCTGGAGGGAGCGATCACAGAGGCAGCCAGCCACGCACCTGGTGGCAAGCCGTTCGAGTACCTACTGTCGTGCTTCAAGCGCGTTTCGAAGATGATTCGCAATGCGAGGTACGATGGTGATGCTGAGGCTAGGCGTGACGTGCTGAGCGAGGCACGGCGTTTGTGCATGAGTTACTGCATCTTTGCTGTCACCATGCCGGAAATGTTTGGCGAGAACGTGCCTTCAACAAATCCACTCGTCGATCACCTCTTAGCCGTCCCCGAGTCTGACACAGGTATCTGCACAGACTTCTTGGACGAGGCGACCGCTCGCATGGACGAAGATGACAGTATCAAGGACGCACTTGTCGGAAGCGCTGAAGAGCTGAGTCACCGGCTTGCTACTCAAGATATGCTTGGCGCGTATCAACCTTACATGACTGGCCTTTACAACCTAGTACGTTTCAAGAAGATCGCAGACGCAATCACCCGCTCGCCGAGATGGGCGCCGCCGGATGTTGAGCCTCAAGACATCGAGACCAAAACCATATTGGGACCCTTTTTCCGTCTATCACCAATGCAGCTAGAAGTTGCGCGCAGCTATTTCTCTGCGCCGAAAACTAGAGACAGAGCATTCATAACAAACGCACAGAATGCGATTCGCTTGACGCTTCGAACACATCAAAGCGAGCTCTTCCGAATAGTAGACGTCATCGTTAAGTCTGGACCTGAGCCGCGAGAGCGCATGCTAGACTGGTTCGCAACATGCGTCAACAAGAACCACAAGAAGCGTGCGATGCGTGTCGACTACAGGACTGTGTCCAGCGATGGGTTTGTGGTCAATGTGACCAACGTACTTGACCAGCTATGCAACCCTTTCATGGACGCGATGTTCGGTAAGATCGAGAAGATTGACGTAAATTACTTGCGCAGAGCGCCGCGAGTGGACATTAGCGAAGAGACCAAAATCAACGCCGACCTCAAGACCGCCGAGACGTTCTTCGAGCACAAAGCAAGCGGCACGAGCAATTTCATCTCGGAGGTCTTCTTCCTTACCGTTGCTGCTCACCATTATGGCACAGAAGCTGCTCAAGAGAGAATGTCAACTCTGCAAAAGACAGTCAAGCGCATGGAGCAGGACCTGAAGACCTTCGAGGCAGATAGACAGCGCTACGAGAGCGACCCAAGATATCTAGCACAGTTTGAGCGCCAGGTTGACAATATCAAGAAAAGCATTGACGACAACTGGAGTACCATCCATGCAACGAACGGTGTGCTACTCGATGAGGTCAGCCAAGCGCTGAGTATGCAATTCATGCGTTATGTGATTGTATGGCTACTGCGTCTGGCATCCGGGAAGAACTTGCCCAAAGAGCAGCTAGAGCTGCCTCTTCCGGCTGAGCAACCTGATGTCTTCAGGTGCCTGCCAGAGTATTTTCTCGAGGACATCGTCGACAACTTCAAGTTCATCACCGGCAACATCCCAGGTATCATAACACCACAGCAATGTAATGAAATTGTGGAGATTTGCATCACCTTTCTGCGGAACACGGAGTACGTCTTCAACCCGGGAGTAAAGTCCGGGCTCGTCACGATTCTTTTCTACGGCGTGCAGCCCTACTATAACAAAGCTAGAGGCTTGCTAGGCGACGTGCTGATAGGATCGCCATTCGCTCAGAAGCACTTGCTGCACGCTCTGATGAGATTCTACATTGAGGCTGAGTCCACCGGCACGCATAACCAGTTCTACGACAAGTTCAACATCCGCTATGAGATTTTTCAAGTCATCAAGTGTATTTGGGTGAACACGATGTATCGGGATAATCTGGCGAAGGAGGCAAGCGTCAACACGGACTTCTTCGTGCAATTTGTGAATATGGTCGTAAACGATGTTACATTCGTGCTGGACGAGAGCTTGACTGCTTTTAGAGAGATCCACGACTTGAGCCGAGAGATCGCATCACCCACCTTTGCGGCGCTGAACGAGGAGCAGCGCAAAGAGAGGCAGGAGCTGCTGGACGATAAGAAGGGCAAGGCGAAGAGCTTCATGGGCCTCACTCGCGAGAGCATGGAGACGCTCAAACTATTCACCGAGACACTGCCGGATGCCTTCACGATGCCGGAGATTGTCGGCCGTCTCGCGGCCATGCTGGACTACAATCTTGAGACCATGGTCGGCAGCAAGCGCAAGAATTTGGTGGTTGACAACCCGCAGGAATACAAATTCGATCCGAAGGCGCTGCTCGGTGATATTGTCACGGTCTTTCTCAACCTTTCTGCCAAGCCGAACTTCATCCATGCTATCGTTCACGATGGCCGGTCGTACAAGCAGACCAACTTCGATGCAGCGGCAGACATCATGCGCAAGCACGTCTATATGGCGCCGGAGGATATCAGGAAGTGGGAAGCGCTAGCGCAGCGTGTTGCCGAGACTGCGGCAGCGGAAGCGCAGGAGGAAGAGGACCTTGGAGAGCCGCCAGAAGAGTTCCTTGACCCGCTGATGGCGGAGTTGATGATCGATCCTGTCATTCTGCCAGCCAGTAAGACGACTATCGATCGGTCTACCATCCGCTCACATCTGCTGAGCGATCCAACGGACCCGTTCAATCGTGCGCCGTTGAAGATCGAGCAAGTGGTGCCCAATGTGGAGCTGAAGCAGAAGATTGACGAGTGGAAGGCGGAGAGGTTGGCTGCGAAGAGAGCAGAGAAGGCTGCTGCAACGGCGGCGACCGGTGATGGCGAGCCGATGGACACCAGTAGCGGCTAGGAAAGTAACGTCTTACGCATAAGGCGGCTTGGCTCTGTATCATCGCGGCTCGGACATTGTATATGGCGGTGCCTACAGGTCTAGGAAAGCCGTAGAAAAGGCTGCCGGAAATGTACGTAGCAGATTAGCTTGCGTAACACGATCGAGAATGAGACCTGCGAGTATCGTCGTCCGTTCACTGACCTGAATCCTCCTATAGGAGATCATGCAAGCCGAATCAAAAGCGGCAAGGCCGTTCGGCATGCCGAAACTCTCCGCCAAAAAGCCAATGGGATGCAGGCTCAAGCGTCCGCGTAGCTTTTCGTCACCTCACCCGCGTCTCAACTCTATATGTCACAGCGGGGCTGTTTGGTGGAAGTCGGTTGTATCACGCTATGATGCTGCAGTGCCGTTGCGATAACAGGCTTCGCCTGCCCTTGCAGTGAAACTCCCAATCGCATGGTCCGCATCCAGCGCTCGTGGGAGGGCGTGGGATGCTGCAAGATTGACACCCGCTGGTCCACTGCTTCGGGTCATGGTTCGGCTAGACGCCACTTTGCATAGCCGGCAGCGGCATTTGGCTCCCCGGGACAGTCCTTGTGATAAGGCGCTCATCACGCTTTTAGAATGTGGGCTATCAGACCTACGTGCGCACGGCGTGTGCGCAAACGCGCACACGTGGGGCAGCATGAGACTTTCTCCGTGAAACCTTCGCTTTAGGGCTTCCGCCGTGCCAACGTCGTTCAGTCCGAAAAACCGGGTTCGTATCATGGCCAATCTCTTAGGCGGGCCCACCATTATGACTGCTCGCTCGATCGATCGTTGGGGGAAGAGCGCAGTAAGCACTAACAAGCCATCACCATCAGGCCTCCAGCTGGGCTAATGAGTACTGGAACTGTGAGGTAGCTTGACACATGGGTGCAAAAGGAGGCGTGAACCTCTGGCCCGAGGGTAGCAAGGTTTCAAGCCTCCGCAAGCGCACTCGGAAAAGCAAGATGCTAGATTCGCCCATTTGATATCGCATACTTCTTCCCGCCACCATGCGGAGATAGGTTGGCCTAGTCGGTGACATTGAGTGTGAGCTAGTCTCCGAAGACTGGCCTTCGTCAGTCATCCCTGGACCATGCCTTAACTAGCGATCCTGCGACTTCGTGCTTCTCGGTATAGGTAGGAAGATCTGCCTGTCCAAACGTGCAATTGCGCTTGAATACACCTCAGTCTTAGTCCCGTCTACCTCCAACTCTATACCGATCCGACGAGCGCAGCAACCATGCTGTTCTCAGGACATGCCTCTCAACCAGCAGTCTACACTGTCACGATATGCTTTTCCATCCTGTCTTGCGTGGTCGTCGGCCTGAGATTGACCACTCGCCTGGCTATTGTACGGCAGACTGGATGGGATGACGTTCTTATTTCGCTTGCCTGCGTACGTGGAACCGTTCGGGCAGCACGCAACGTCCGCTGACTGCTCCGCTAGGTTCTGAGCGTACTGATGGGCATCTCGATATGCCAACAAGGTATGTTTCTTACCAGATGGACCTGCTGTCTCTGCTCACAAGTCTTAGCAAAACACGGCATGGGCCTCCACTTGCACTCGCTCACCCCCGAGCTGATAGTGACGACAACGAAATGGCTCTGGACCTTCTTTTGGCTCTACTATGCCTCCTTGAGCTTTACCAAGCTGTCTCTTCTCCTGCAATACCTGCGCATCTTTCCACATCCGAGGTTCGTTCGAGCCTGCCATACACTCCTCGTGATCGTCGCGGTCTGGTCAGTATGGGCAGTGTTCAGCGGCATCTTCAACTGCGCGCCGATGTCACTGTTTTGGACCTCGTCCGTGTGGAACCCGCCCGGATGCATTCCTCGTCTGCCCCTGTGGTATGTTGACAGCTGACTGTTGCAGATGATGGCACCGCTGACAATTCCTGCAGGTACTCTAACTCTGCGATCAATATTGTCACGGACTTCGCTACCGCGCTGCTGCCCATTCCAATAATCCACACTCTGGCAATACCCAAGCGCCAGAAGAACATGCTCTTGTGTGTTTTCGCAGCTGGACTATTGTACGTCTTTAGTAGTATCCGCCTTTCGCTGGTGTTACTGACGATCTACAGCACGTGCTTGGTATCGATCCTACGACTGATATACATCTATCCGCTGGCAGTCTCGCCAGATGTGACCTGGGATGCACCACTGGTAACCATCTGGTCCTGCGTCGAGGCCAACACGGCCATTCTGTGTGCTTGCGTGCCGACACTCAAGGGTCTCGTGCAGAGGTACTATCCAAAGCTGCTCGACTCGGTGCGCTCGACGCCCACGGCCACAGACAGCGCAGGCTTCTCCACCACTCAAGGTTCGACAATCAAGAGTGGCACTGAGCTCAAGTTGTACGATACAGGGTTCAGTACACGGAAGCACAAGAACTCCGGGCAGCGCGTGAGCGTCCGCGAGATGCTGAGTAATTACAGCACCAGGGCCCAAGATGACGCGGAGTCGGAGGAAGCAATTGTCAGGAGTGCTAGCGTGCCCGGCCACTTTGAACACACTGACGAAGAAAACATCAATGTCTAGACAAGTGTGGACCAGACTATCCGTCCGCGGCGTAGCTTCGACCCGATCAAAACGCCGTACGAGACCATCCGCGGCGAGCACACCGCAGTAGTCACGGGTCCGAGCAGTCCGACGAGGTCTCGGTATCACGGGGCGCAGAACAGCATGTCGGACGCTGACCTCAGAAGGGCGCTTGGCCTTGCTGGGGAACGTTGAGCGTGCGCGAGTCGCACTTTGTACGTTGTACGTTGTACGTTGGGATGTGTCGGCGGGTGTTCTTGAGTAGACGTTCTGGATCTGTGATGCGGTCGACGAAGCGGATTTCATACGCCCTGCTGCATAGCAGAATAGGCTTTCTGCTGTCCTTCATAGAGCCCAGTGTAATAGCCAGCGTAGTACCAGCTCATCATGATGTTCTTCAGACCTTCATCTTGGACTGCAAAATGTCAGCGCAGAATCATCAGAAGCGTTGCAGATTAACGTACCGCTACCGAGTAACGCGTTAGGCAGGGCGGCAGACTGTGCAGTCGGCTTCTCCTGACCGGCGCCAGTTCCTGACTTGACATCGGACGATTTGGGTTGTGCCGCCGTGGCTGCTTCTGCGCTGTGTTGTGCCAGCTTTGGACGGTCAATCTCAGCTATGGCATTCGTATACCCATTCAGCTGCTGGATCCGCTCTGCCTCGTCGAACATATCCTCGACACTCTGGCCTTTGACGGCAATGCTATGATACTTCTATACAGCCGTCAATCTACATGTAGCATGAACTCATCTGGCATCTGCTTCATACTTTGTACTCATCGAGTGCTTCGTTCCAGGACGTAACGAGGGCTGAGTCGTCCCAGACCTCTTCATGCGACATGTTCCGTCCTGCCATGTTGATTTTTTATTTGTCGCGGGCCCACCAAGGTACGTGTGTGGCGAACATGGTCAAGAGAGTGCGGGTTTACAATCCAGGTGTTTCCCCTACAGTCGCCGCATGGTAAGCGGAGGTGAGTCCGATCGGCATTTCTTCGGAAGCCGCACGCAAAGTTGGTGCATTTTCTTCCGCGTGTTGAACTTACTGCGCAGCGACGTCGCATACATCGGTGTTGACGAGGAATATGGCGGCGACTACAGTAGCGAGAAAGCGTAAGAGTACTGGCGATTCGAGCGGAGTCGTCAAGAAGGTGAAGACGACCAAGTCGGCCGATAAGCCTGCGCCCATCCGGTCGGCGCTGAAGAAGCCCAAGGAGAAACGGAAGAAGGCGCCGGTAGCGAAGGTGAAGGACAGCAAGACTGGTCATGCATCACCAGGTGCGGAGGCGCAAGGCGAAGATGTAACGGAGAACTCCGCCACACAGCTTGCCGGGCTAGATGCTGAAGGCGACGTCGAGCTCACTGAAGACCAAACCGCTGCTCTGATTGCCGGCTTCTCGGACAGTGAGGATGAAGCAGAGGTTCAGGATGAAGTTGGTGTCGCCTTGGAGAAGCTACCACAAGCGCCGCGCGTAGGCGAGGTTACGAAGCGTATCAAGGATGCTACAGCAGATGACTCCGAAGCGACGCCCGGAGTTGTCTATCTTGGCCGAATACCGCATGGCTTCTACGAGTCACAGATGCGCGCCTACTTTACGCAATTCGGCGAAATCTCGCGTCTACGGCTGGCACGCAACAGGAAGACCGGCAGGAGCCAGCATTACGGCTTCATCGAGTTCGGGAGCAAAGCGGTAGCAGAGATCGTGGCAAAGACGATGGACAAGTACTTGCTGTTCGGACACATCTTGCAGGTGCGCACTGTTCCGAGCGAGCAGATTCAGGAAGGCTTCTGGAAGAACAGTGGGCGGCGCAAGAAGCCGGCGCCTCGCAACCGACTTGAGGGTGCGAAGCTCAAAAGGGGCATGGTGCGAGAAGATTGGGAGAAGCGTGTCACAAGGGAGGAGCAGAAGCGACTGAAGAAAGCTGAGAAGCTGAGTGAGATTGGCTACGAATTCGAGATACCGGCATTGAAGGCAGTGGATGAGGTGCCTGTGAAGACTCGGCAGCTCGAGGATGCTGGTGTGGTATAGCATTTCTGTAAGTGCTATCGTTAGCTTCATACGAGGCATCTGTGTGCGTTCCTTCGCCACTATCCGACCATCCTCTGCTGTGACAGATACAGGTCTCCCAGGATGGACGATGTGCTTTACTGCGCTTGTGGCAAGGTTTGGCGCATCTCCCAATAACATAAGGTGTGCACCCGCTACTGTGATAGGGGCAGACATTCCAGGGCAGAGATGGCTGTTGGCTGTTGTGCTACGCATCAGTGCCCTTCCCACTCTCATATGGTGCGCACGCATTGCGGCGGAGACGTAATGCCTCAGTGCTGACCATCACGTACAGGATGGAACTCCAGGCATTCGATCACCTTTCCAAGACGATATGCAAATGCAGTGGCAAGAGAAATGGTCAGGCAGCGCTGATATGCTGGCTGAAGCGGTCTTGCCAGCTCGTTCGACCAATCCAAGTGACGGTAATCAGCTGACTACCTATCCTGCCCGGTTCGGCTGCAGATTAACACAATGTCGTCCACATCCAGCCTAATACTCGTCAGCTTTTATCCTAGTTCTCCCTACATTAAGGGTGCAGGCGTGCACTTTCGTCTTGCGCCTTTTCCTCCCAGATCTGCGTTCTACGCATTGAAACAGCTTTGATCCAGCCATCTACTACCAATACACTGTCGTTCCTACATCACCACACGATAACATCCACCGACATTCACTGATCGAGATGGCAATCCCAGAGTGGCGCCGTAATGTTGGAGCTAGGTTCAAGCCGGAGCCCGCGCCCAAACCCGCACCCTATCTCGTTTCCCCATGCGATGCAGCTGTTGGTCTCGTTGCTACCTATCGCAACAGTAACGTCCCATCCGACTCGATCGTGGAGAAACAACCCCACATCAACCCGGAGGCGGGAAATCATCCGGTGGCCATTGTTGGTCTGAAGTCCAACAACAGGTTCGCAAACGTCTGTCTTTTCAGTAGCTTCGCTGGGGAGAAGTTCACAGACAAGTACTGGAACGAAGCCAACGTCCACAGAAGGTTGTGGCATGCCTTCTACCACGACGACAAGACCGAAAAGCACAACGACTGTGAGGTTCTGCGGCTGGAGGGGAATCGGCGGATGATGAAGCAGAGCTGGCTACACATCGACCAGTTCTTCGAGATCGAGACGAAGTATCTGGAGGTTCTCGAGTGCAACCAGCTGAGACTCGATAAGCAGTCGATTGGAGTCGTTCGTGACCGTCTCCGCAAGTTCGTCTCAGCCTCAGGCGAACTGCCGTACCCTCCCAGGGCCAAGGCACAACGGTGGGACGGCCAATTGATCGACATTGTGTCACCAGTCGACATTGAGGACAATGTCGACTTCCCAAAGATCAGGTGCTACAAGCCCTGGAACCAGGAGTTCACCTGGTACGAACTTGGCATCGACGAGCCGGTTGTGTTGACGTGGCCGCGGGATGACTCGGCAATCGATCTGTCGTCTGTGCCATCGTCACCGTCACCATCACCAGCGCCGCTACCGCCATCAGCTGCTGCCGCTCCGGTAGCTTCACAGATAGTAACGGGGAGATACATCCCTCCCCACCGGCGCAATCCTCAGACCTATGCGCCCCGCTGAAGCCGCCATGCAGGCAACCGGTCATTGTGCGGAGGTGAAAGATTGAGGACTGTGGGATCTCGGGTTCGGGGTTTGCTGGCGGTCTGCACATAGTCCCAAGGCCGTTGTTGCCGCATTTACTGCTATGGTTTCTTCAAGTGCATTTGCACTGGCGATGGCGTTGGGGGGTGCAATCTTGGCTTTGCGCGGTTTTGGACGTCTTTTGCATGTTCTCGCCTTTGTTGCTGCCGGTTCAGGTGTCATGCTGTACTGAGATGCACATAGTGCTGCAAATAAACCGAGATGTACCACACCTAGTTTTGACATTACGGTTCATGTACACCTCCTTTCGATGCATAGTCGCTTCATCGTGCTTCTGGATCACGTACTTGAGACCGATGTTTTTGAGAAAGCGCCGGATTTGTAGAGTGCTTTGAGGGTCATCTATACTACGCATTACACATCCAAACGCCACATGCAGTATCCCGCCCCCGACGCCAACAGCGAACCGTCATGAAACTTGGTATCGCCGAATAAAACTCAACCACTGCACATCACACAAGCCTCGGGATTTTCAATGCTGCACGCCAACACTGCTTCCGCATAAATGTCACCCTCCCTTTCCTGGCTTGATGCCCTGTCATCCTCCGCCTGCTTGGCCTTCTTCTCCACGTCCTCATCCAACTGGATAGCAGGCTCGGGAAGCTCTTCACCGTTAGGAGTAGTGCCGTCGATGCCATCCAATGCCAGGACTTGCGGCGACTCGCCTTCATCCTGGTCAGCGGGGAAGGGTGGGTTAACAACTGCGGAGGATGAACGCTCGAGCTTCTTGCGTGGCTGCGGCTCCGGTGGGGGCGTGGTGGCTGGCGTGACGACACCCTTGGGAACGCCATTGCTAAGCATCTTGCTCTCGTACATTGGGCGTGGCACTGGGGTAAGAGCGGGCGAAGAGACAGCGTTGTAGGCGCCGGAGATATTGCGCTTCTTGGCGCCGCCGGTTCTGGCCACGTTTGTGTCAACGACCTTGAGCTTCTCCTGGTCGACTGTGAACTGAATGGGTGCTGATGCCGCCATTGTGCGAAGGTAGTACATGCCGGTCTTGAGACCCAACTTCCAGCCGGTGAAGTGCATGCTGGTGATCTTTCCCATGGTCGGCTCCTTCATGTGGATGTTGAGCGACTGCGACTGATCAATAAACGCACCACGGTCGGCGGCCATCTGGACGATGTGGCGCTGGCTGATCTCCCAGACAGTCTTGTACAGTGCCTTAAGCTCGTCTGGGATGTTGGGAATGTTCTGGATCGACCCGCCATCGGCGATGATGCGGTTCTTCATGTTATCGGACCACAGCCCGCGGTCGACAAGATCCTTGAGCAGCCACGGGTTAACGACCTGGAACTCGCCCGCCAGCACGCGACGAGAGTAGATGTTGCTGGTATACGGCTCGAAGCATTCGTTGAAGCCCATGATCTGCGAGGTTGAAGCGGTGGGCATAGGTGCAACCAACAATGAGTTGCGCACACCGTGCTGTGCGATCTTCGCCTTGAGCGATGTCCAGTCCCACAGGTCGGTTGGCTCCTTGTTCCACATATCGTACTGCAGCTCTCCCTTCGAGACGGGCGAACCTTCGTAGGTCTCGTACGGTCCAAGCTCCGCAGCAATTTCGCAGGATGATTCGAGCGCAGCGTGATAGATCGTCTCGAAGATCTGGATGTTGAGAAGCTTCGCCTCATCCGAATCGAACGGCATGCGGAGGGCCAAGAAAGCATCAGCAAGACCGCTGACACCAAGACCAATGGGCCGGTGACGGAAGTTGCTTTTGCGGGCTTCCGGTACAGGGTAGTAGTTGAGGTTGATAATCTTGTTGAGGTTCTTGGTAACGACCTTGACCACTTCGTGCAGCTTCTGGAAGTCGTACACCTCATTCTGGATGTCGACGTAGGTCGGTAGCGCAAGCGAGGCGAGATTGCAGACAGCAACTTCGTCGGGAGCACAGTACTCCATGATTTCGGTGCACAAGTTCGAGCTGCGAATTGTGCCAAGGTTCTTCTGGTTGCTCTTGCGATTGGCAGCGTCCTTGTAGCACATGAAAGGGTTGCCAGTCTCCGTCTGCGCTTCAAGAATGGCATACCAGAGCTTCTGTGCCCTGATAGTCTCCCGGCCACGACCCTCACGCTCGTATTGCTCATAGAGAGCTTCGAACTCATCACCGTAGACGTCGGCGAGGCCAGGGCACTCGTTAGGGCACATGAGCGTCCAGTTGCCATTGGACTCGACTCGCTTCATGAACAGATCGGGTATCCAGAGGGCGTAGAAAAGGTCGCGAGCACGCACTTCTTCCTTGCCATGGTTCTTGCGGAGGTCCAGGAACGAGAAGACATCAGCGTGCCATGGCTCTAAATAAATGGCGAAGGCGCCTGGGCGCTTGTTGCCACCTTGGTCGACGTAACGTGCCGTGTTGTTGTAGACGCGGAGCATGGGCACCAGGCCGTTTGACGTGCCATTGGTGCCGCCGATGTAGGAGCCTGTTGCGCGGATGCGGTGCACGTTCAGGCCGATTCCGCCGGCGCTTTTAGAGATCATGGCACATGTCTTGAGCGTGTCGTAAATGCCCTCAATGCTGTCCTCCTTCATGTCGATCAGGAAGCAAGAAGCAAGCTGAGCTTGTGGTGTGCCAGCCATAAATAAAGTCGGTGACGCATGAGTGAAGTACTTGTTCGACATGAGGTTGTAAGTCTCGATCGCAGCCTCGATATCCTCGCCGTGGATGCCGACAGCGACGCGCATGATCATGTGCTGCGGACGCTCTGCCACCTTGCCGTCGATACGCAGAAGGTATGAGCGCTCTAATGTCTTGAAGCCAAAATATTGGTAGTTGAAGTCGCGATCATAAACGATGGCGCTGTTGAGCTCATCGGCGTGCTTCATGACCGTGTTATACGTCTCCTCGGAGATCATCGGTGCTGGCTTCTTCGACTTCGGATTCACGTAGTGGTACAGGTCTGAGATGACAGACGACCAGAGCTTCTTTGTCTGCTTATGAAGGTTGGACACCGCGATGCGAGCCGCGAGAATGGCGTAGTCTGGATGGGTGGTCGTCATGTATGCGGCCGTCTCGGCTGCCTACGAGTCTATCAGCCATGTCCATCAAACTGGGCAGCTCATACGTGCTTACCAAATCGTCCAGCTGCACTGTGGTGACGCCTTGGTAGACGCCAGAGATGACCTTCATAGTGATGGCGGCCGGATCGACATGCTCAGGGTCAAGGCCGTAACAGAGCCTCGACACTCTGGCTGTGATCTTGTCGAACTGCACCCGCTCCTTCCGGCCATCTGCAAGTCAAGGTCAGTGATAGGCCTTTCATAAGTGCAGGTGGCGGCTTGGTTTAGACGGTGGCGACTCCGCTCACGGAACCCCATCGCTATGCATCAAGGCATTGCCGATTAATAGATGAGACGTACCTCGCTTGAAGACGTACATCATCCCGTACGTCGGCGAGCTGTCGCCGTGAGTGGGTGATGCGGGCCGATGACGACGAGTACGAGATGCTTGAGAGACGTGCTGGCGTGAGCGTGAGGCGAATGCGGTCTGATGGTATCTGTATCCAGTACAGGAGTGTGGAGGATGTCAAGGGTGGGTGGTGCGGGAGGCTGAAGGACAACGCAGCGCAGAGTGAGTTATAGTGTGCGCACGCGTGTTTGGCAGACGCGAGCAGGCGCGCTCACGTGTGCACGGACCAAGCGTAGAGAGTCATTCACGCGAAAATTCATCGTCGATCCGAACAGGGCATGGAAGCGAAGCTTTCATGCCTGGCTTCATACCCTTACTGCTTGATAGTCTTCATGTTTCTATAGTATCGTCTTGTACGCTGCCGATCTCTGTCAATCCATCGAGAAGTCACGTGTAGCAAGCAAGAGCCACCACACTTTCGCAAAGCGTCCGCACATGCAACACCGGTCGAGCTAGGCCGATCTCAGTATGTGACATTCGTTCGCTTTTCTGTCAAGCGCAGTCTCTACCCTGGCGAACGCAAGCACATGGAACCAGGCGTGTACGCAAGAAGATATACTCCGTATATCAGGATATGGCACTTCGAAGACTCGGCGACCTCGACGTTAACAGTCACGAGTTCAATCTGTTGCCAAGAGCGAATCATTACGGTCTGCCAAAGACCCATTCTCACTTCGTGTTGCAGTGTCCGAGCATGGCAATGAGGACTTTGCGTCAATTCTGATGAGAGACAAGCTGGCCTTGTGCGTTCACATTCCGTGCGTGCACCTTTGCTGCGTACTCTCCTCGGCTAAGCCGTTGAGCTGTGCTTCGAGAAGTGCTAGGAGGCGTTCGATTGGCTCTCTTACACGGTCTCAAGACTGTATCGATCATTCGCCATGTTTTATAGGTATCCGGCAGAACAGACGTCCTACAAGCCTGGCAGTGTGCCTGATGCATAACTGCGTGCTCGACCAGAACTGTTGCTCCTCGTTCCGTCCGTCTTGGGCCGAGGGGAGTACACGTGCAGCTCGGACGTTCGCTCCAAGACGTACGTCGAAGACTAGACAATGTATAGTGCGGTTGACTCCGATCCGAGGCGCTACGCGGCGGTGGACTTGTGGTGGACCTCCTGAACCCGTCGCCGCCTTTCTGCTTCTGCCTCATGCTCTAGCTCTTCTCGTCTAAGCGCACCCTCTCCGACTGGAACCGACCAAGTTAGCACATATCTTGTGGTCGATATAGCCAACGACATAGGGATGCTTACCGCTTTTGAAGCCCTTCTTCCGCTGCCTCTCCTCATATTCGGCCCTGCGGTCCAGTATGCGTTGCACAATTTGAGCGCTGTTGACGTCTTGAAAAGCGTGCTTTGTCGTCTCACAGAAAATACCCATCTGCTTGGCGTCTACGTAAGGATCTGGCTCTGCCGGCGAAGGCATGAAAGCCGTTGGACCGTGATAAACGACGTCCGGCAACCCCGTCGGTAGAGCAGACAGGTACGCTTCGCTTGGCACGTATGGAGCGCCGAAGACGACTGCATGAACGTACTGGCATTGCACCACGCAGAGTCCACGCTCGAAGACGTTCATGATCGGGTAGTTGATGCCTCGGTAATGGTTGACAACAGCATCATCGTGGAGACCAGCAACGACGTAGGCGGGCGGATAATCCTCGCCGTGTTCTTGTATTCGTTTCGAGCGCTCGGCGTCCTCATACCACCCTCTCTGACGCCCATTGGCCTCTTCGAACTCAGTGACTGTCGCGAGAAATGCGATGTGGCCGGACGAGAAGAGGTCAAAGCCGCCATCCACGTAAACCAGCCGTTGTCCAGGTCGCGGTTTAAGGCCGAATACTAGCTGCTGGAATGGAGGGCTGACTTTGTCGTGGTGTCCATTGCCGGAGATGGTCCCGTTTGATTGTCGCTCTCGGTGCACTTGATAAGGGGACGGATCGTGATAACTATACACTTCCACATAAGGGTCCTTTCCATTGGGCGCGGCAGCATACTCTCGTAGCCTTCTGATCATGTCCTTGCCCGTCTGCAGTCGTTCTTCGTCGCCACCTGGACCTTCTTTGCCGCTTAGACGGTCTGTGAGACTTTGAATGAAGTGGTCCTTCGTGCCTGCAGCGTTGGGTCAGTGGTCTGGCGACGTCTTAGCGGCGTCCACACTTGTGATGAAACTTTGCGAGGTACTCACACAGGAGCATTCTGCCGACAAGGTCTGTAGTGCTGATTCCTGGAGTACGCGGAACGATCTTCATCCTGCCGGCTTTCTTGACGAACCGATAGCAGTCCTCGCCCGCCGCATCGCTCGTGATGTCGTCTCCGTGAACGACGAATTTGCAACCGTAATGGCTGATCCATGGCAGACTTGTCACGTACGGCGCATGGGGCACGCACTTAGTGCTGAATCTGCAGGCGTTGACAGCGGCTACTCGTTCGGCTAGGTTCATTACAGTAGGACCCTTGTTGGCTCGAATGTCTTCATCTGAATGCAAGCCGACCAGCAGCTCTGTCCCTAAGCGTCGCGACTGCAACATGACGCCGGCATGGCCATGGTGGAAGAAGTCGAAGCATCCGTCGATCCACAGGCGGTCGTCGGAAACGGATATGTCTTCTTGCGGTTCGATGGGCCAATCGCCAGGTTCTGGAATGATGCAGCCAACTTCTGGATCAATCTTCGGCGCCATCTGGTAGACCGACCGAGTCTTTTGTGTTAAAAATGGTAGGCTGTGGCGCAAAAGCTGACTTCGCATCGATCACAGCTGCATCTCTCAAAACAATCTCGCCCAGCGACGAGCGATGTGGGGCAAGCACGACGATGCGGGCAGGCACGTCGACGTCACCCGAAATAGCACAATTTACGAGTCAATTGGACACATTCACATATTGTAGAACTCCTTTCCCAGCGTTACGGACCAAGTCTTACGACAAAATGATATCGGTGCTTTTACTCGTCTTTGGCCTGCAACTGGCGATCCACCTCTTGAACACCATCGGCGCGCAAGCGATCAACGAGCTCGTGCGTGCCTTCCCCATTGCGAACAACCCAGACGTAGGCTGACCACTTGTCACAGCTGTGGTATCTCTTCACAAGACTTCCCACCTCGCAGTCTAGCGATGCAAAAGAGAATGCGAAGCTACGAAGTGATGTTGTGCGCCTTAACCGGGAGATGAGAAACACTTCCGCGCAAGACGACTTTGCGAAATGGGCGCGGCTGCGAAGGGATCACGACAAGGCGAAGGACAAGTACGACAAACAGGGTATGTATGCATGCGTTCCATACGTTGGCAATGGCTGACACTTGGTAGCACAATCGCTCGAGTCCTTCCGCAACAACTTCAACCGTGCCGTCTCCTCGCTCCGCTGGCTTAGCACGCAGGGCTTGCAGTTCTTCTGCAACTTCTACTACTCAAAGTCGGCTATGTATTGGCTACCTCACGGTTGGTTCCCGTACCAAGTGGAGTGGATTCTCAGCTTTCCGAGCGCACCTTTAGGCAGCATCAGCATTAATGTCTGGGCGATTGCATGTGCGAGCATCATCGGCATGGTGAGCGAAGGTGTTCGCGCAAGCTTGACGCTGAGGCAGGGCAAAGTTATCGAGGGTAGCAACAAGGGCGCCAAGATACGTATGGACCCTATCAGTGGTGCGAAGGAGAAGAAGGAGCTGTAGCAACAGTATGATGATCGCTCTGATGCGCCTATATGCCTAAACAAAGAACTCATTTGCCGATGGCTGTAGCACTGCCGGACCCCCGACAATGAACAGTATCCAGTTGCTGCAGCTTGTGTACACACCAGCCCAAGGTATTTCCTGGATCTCCATACTTGGTATGTATTGTCATACCTTGCCGCTTGCCGTATATGCTAATCCGCTATGAGACGGCTTATGCCTATTGTGCAGTTGCTGATCGCATGGATTATTCTATATCGGGAGCTCCAATCGCTTCCCGAAGACCAGCCTTAACAGCAAGCGGACCATGCATTAGAAGCCTGTCCTGACGCAGCACATAGTACTGCTGGTTTGTGACCGGCCGGTGCCGCTGTACAACTCCCACTAAAACACCAAAAGGCGAGGTCTCCCGTGCTAGGTATAAATACGGGACGTGCTCAAGGTAGCACTCGTGAAGGTCTAGAGACTGCAGGAAGCGGAGCAGTAAAGGCCAGCATCTGCCGGTGAGCTGTGGCGAGAAGAGCCTTAGCCGCCGCAGACTATCCCGCCATGCGGAGAGCACAAGCGTAAAGTGACTCAATGTCAGGACCGAGTAGTTCAGACAAAGACATCTGATCCTCAAGCCCCTCCATTGCGCAGAACTCATGAAGTTGCCCGAGAAATTGTCTGATAGCCACGTGCTGTCCATACCGGTGATTGTTACGGTGGTCAGATTGGACAATGGTGCAACCATTTGAATGATCTTATCGATCTTGTTCGGAGGTATTGAGGGTTGCCCACGAGGCCCGAGGAGGTGCAGCATATCGTCGGCGTATTGGTCGACAATGGTGAGCGAGCGGACAGTCGAGACGATGCGTGGACTCTTTGTAAGCCAATCGAGTTGAAAATCAATCTGCCGTTCTAGGTTGAGCTTCACGTGGCTGAAGCTGCGTTTAACAAAGGGCGTGAACATTTGATGCTGCAGCCACTTGCTCACAAGTCTGAGATGCCTCAAATCAGATTCTGGCAGCAGTCTTGCTATTGTCCACCAGATGTCGGTCGGTAGGTCTTCGTAGATCGTTCGCATGGCGACTCTGTTAGTTCTTGATATGAGGGGATTGTGAAAGCAACAAGCCTGCGCAGGATACTTAAGCTGCTGAACGTGACGCGTGATCGAGCAGCGGATCATACTCCACCTCAGTGAATGCGCTAAGTTTCCATGGTACCGGTGACTGACACTCACACAGCAGCGCTACAGTCCAGGGATTAACCAAGACGAACCGACTCGGGAAGTCGAACGTGCGAGCAATTGAGCCGCAGTCGCATTTGACGAACGAAGCTTCGCACAAAGCAGCGTCTCGATTACTCGATCCTAACGCGCCTGCTCTGCCCAGTCTCCAGTGCATTGTTATCCAGGTTCCAGCCCGCCTCTACAAGCGGTCGCCGATGCCGCTCAAGCAGGGCTCTAGCAGACTTCGCTGAAGCGTCGAGAACACTCCATATCTGAGGCTCGATAGTAAAGGTTACATGCCCCAGCTTCGTTGCACGCCATCCTTCCGCGAAAGCCAAGGCTTGCCACCAAGCTTCAATCGCTGCACCCGAGGTCGCATCCTTGCGAAGTGTGATGCTCAGCTGCATGTGCTTGCTGGACTGCTCTAGTGGCATGAGAACGTAAGGCGACTCTGCCATCGTGGAGACCAGCTTCTTCAGCCATTTGGCACTCGTCTGCATTGCGTTCCTTCCCGGCTTATCCCAGAATGCTAGTGACCAAAGTGGATCTCGAAGTGGCATGCCGACAGCACAGAAGCCAAGAGTTTGTCCGTCCGCAGAGCGAAGGACGCCACCCCGCTCAAAGATACGCTCTTGCTTTGAGACCTCTTCTGGTGTCGGCACATGACCGCGTTGTAGGTGATGGAAGACAAGTGTCGCTCGTTGCCGGTTGAGCGTACGCATGACCACGGCTCTGACAGCCCTCCTGTTCGTCTCAAGATGGATAGCAAGCAGTAGAATAAGCGTTGTCCATGTTGCTTGCGGTGTGCGGACCCACGACAAGACCAACGAACCTACCCACATGCCGAGAAGGGAGATCACAGTCTCCTGACTGGAGTCTTTCGCATTCAGCTCACCTAGGTTACCCCATTGTGCAAAGTGTGCGCTTAAGCTCGCCTTAGCCGAGCCGGCAGCGACGCCGCACAGGGCTTTGAGCAGGCTGCTGAAGCTTAGTGTAACGACGCGCAGATACTTCGGTATGGCTGGTGACAAGCAGTCGAGAACGAAGGCAAAGTCGTTGAATACATCGGCTAGCAGTCTGTACATCTTACATTCTGGCTCCAAAGCGGTACCGTAGAGGGCCACGAACGCTATGGTTCCAATACGACCGAGAGACTCTTGAGCGATGTGGAGAAGTAGAGCATATGTTGGTGACGCATCAGCATCGCCTACGCCGACGCTTAGCAAGACTGCGCGGGAGGACAGCAGGCCCACGATATTGCTCGAGAAAGCTTGCAAGGAGTCCTACGATCCAAGTCAGTACCCACCACAATAAGCACCATTTGTATGGTAGCATATACATAGATCTGGTACCTGCGGTCGTCAGCACAAGTGTGTAAGCCGCGTTCGACACACTCACTCCACGTAATCCACGGTGACACTATGAGGGAAGCCCGCCGGTAGAAAGATGTCGAGTAGCCTCTGCCATGGTGCTTTCGTAGCAGGGTGCTTTATTCTTCTTAGCTCGTCTCTCTGAGTCCAGTGATACAGTCGTTGCGCACAATCACATCCACTCTGCAGACACCATCACTGCTCGTGGGAGATGCCACGTACGTGGCGGTGACATTGCCGGCCTCATCGGTCTCGATGAAGCGAGGTAGGTCGTTCGCCATATTGAGCACCTAACATCTTCACCGGTTTTGGTCGAACTGGTCGCTGAGTTGGATCTCGAAAGGTTTAAAACCAGTTGGAAGCGTTAGATGGAGTTACCTTGGGTAGCAATGAGGTTCCTAAAACGCCGGTCTGATTGGTCAAGCCAGCGCAGCAACAAGACGGTAGCTTTGTTTTCTTCATAATGCACGATTGGGCTATAGTGTTACCGGTACACAATCCGATACGTGCCTGACATGGGCGCTCGCCTATCTCAACCACGAGCGCCAGATGGCATAAACGAGGCCTCCGTGCCTTCCTCTTCCGGTCCTCCACCTTCGCCCAAGAATCCTTTTACCCGCCGTATCAATGCCAGGACTATAGTAGCACCCGCCGCTGCACTAACAATGGCGTGTATACTCTTTGTCTACACTCGCACAAGCATACGTGCGGCGAAGGAGAATGCACGAAGGCATCGCAATGTAGACAGCGGCGGAGCGGGTCTGAATCTCATGGAGGAAAACCGGCGAAGGCATGGTTTGTCGCAACGCTTAGATCAGGGTGGCAATGTTGTTAGCGAGTTGGGCAATGCGATAAAGGAACAGGTTCTTGGGTCGAAGGGTGGGGAGAAGGGTCAGGATGATGTGGGTAGGGCTGCCAGAAGCGAGGAGGAAGATCGCTTGCGCCAGGCGCTCAGAGGGACTGCGGCGCGGAGGTCGGGAAGAGCGGATGCTGGCTGAAGCAGCAGTCGTTTGAAGTATTGCCTCTGCTGAGAATGCAGTTGCTTCTGAACTATGTTCGGGCTCATTCCGACAAACGCCACGCTAGGTGCAGCCTGGAGTCCTGATGTAAGCCCGCCCTGAACACCGCCACCGTTCACGTCCGCCGTCCCACCATCTCTCATCACGATCGCACTTGCCGAGTAATCAGTGTACTAGAAAAGATCCTCAGCCCGCTGTCTCTGACTGCCACGACCCTTGATCCGCCCGTCGAATAAGTCGCGCCCGCCGTCACCACCAGATTTGATTGGAAAGAGCTCCTTGACCTGTGAGCTTGCCGATTTCTCTCTGCTCGCGCCACGAATACTGAAGCCGCCGTTCTCAGCTTTGCCAGCACCTTTGAACGAGAAGCTCGGCTCTGCATCCTGTTCCATCCCATCCTGCAGCCTTCCGTACGAATTCTTCGCCTTTGGTCCACCACTTATTCGCGCAAACAGATCTCTCGGCTTGTCGTCAGGCTCGCGCTTCGGACGGGAATCTGGCCTTTTGTGAGCATTGTTGCGGTCGTCTGCACCATCCAAGGAGTACCTACCAATATCGGTCGTGACCTTGCGGAACTCGCTGTCGATGTCACGAGCATCTTGGCGCTTGTGGCTGGGGAAGAGCTCACGTGGCCCTTTGGGTGGTGATGAGCGGTGCGGGAACAGGTCGTTCGAGCCGTTGGGGTAGCCGTTGGTAGTTGAGTAGCCAGAAGAAGGTGCTTTGCCTGGAAACAGCTCTTTGCGCAGATCATCGCGAGCGGCGCGGTTGTCTCTACCTGCGCGGATGCGAGGAGGCGTCGGAGACCGAGGCCGGGCGGTACGGCGACGAGGCTGGTTTTCTTCGAAGCCGAAGCGGCCGTCCCCGTCACGCATTGGCGAAGCGCTACGGTTGCGTAGCCTGCCGTTTTGCTTAGCGGTAAAGAGCTCTTCTTCGAATCTTAGCTGCTTCCTGCCATTCTGATCGCTTCCCGAGTGGCTGTTCTTGCTGCCTCTTCGCTCGTCTCGGGCTGCCACGGAAACTGGGTCATCATCGTACAAATTCACGTCAAATGGCTCATCTTTCGAGCCTCTTCTGCCAGAGTCGCCCTCCTCGTCGCCTCGCTCTCTTCTCTGCCGCTTGAAGCTGTAGTCTCTGCTGCGGTAGCCTCGCTCATTGAATCTACGCTTGCCACGGAAGTTGCCGTGCGGATTCTCTGGGTCATCCGCATTGCGCAAGTAGTAGGTGCTGTAGACGTGCGCATTCTTGATCTTGACATCGGACTCCTTGGCTTGCCGGACGTAGAGCTCAGCGTCTGGGTGAGTTGCTAACCTCTTAGCTGGCCGCAGCTGCATGGGATCCGCTACCTCTTCTGCGGAAAGAGCTTGCAACGCTTCCGCTGCCGCTATCTCTGTCTCGTAGACGATGTTTGCGGATGTGTCGTCGACCCATTGTACGTGCCTGAGCAGCTCAGACGCATAGAAGTCGTGTGCAAAGTTCTTGACATCTTGGCTGCTGAACGTCTCCAGACCGCGAACGTGCACCTTGATCAAGCTGGGCGCATCAGGCTGCACCTCGCCTTCCTCCGGCACCTCATCCGCCACTTCATGCATTAAGTCCTCATCGTTCGGAACACGTTGCTGTACCGTCAGTTAGGGCGTGCATGTAACTGGCTACATTCCATGAACGCACCACATCGAAGGCCGCCGTCTCAGCCTGCAGTCGCGCAAGATGAGGATCGTCGGTGGTGTCAAAGGTGAGATCGATGTCCATGTCGATATCCATATTGCCGTCGAGTGTCGCCATGGCGGGCAGGATGTTAGGCGCTTAGTCAAATCGTGCTTGTAGTGCTACGTTGTTTCCGACTTCCATGCGGCAGGAACGACCACACGGCGAGCTGTAGTGATTGAAGGAAAGACAGTCAGCATTCAGCATTCACATAGCAGTAGCTCAGAACATCGGCAACGGCAGCTCATGTGAAGGTGTGTCGTGAGCTGGTGGGAGCTTCAGCCTTGTATAAGGTGTCTGCGGGATCAGCATTACTGGGGTAGATCCTTTGACGCAACTAGCGTGCCACGATTGAAGCCTCAGTGCTTGTCGGTCTGTCGCAGCTTTTTGGGGAACCCCCCAATTTCGGGAACCAGCTTCTAGCCACATTGCCGGTATCGGCCGGTTCCCCAAATCGGCCGCTTATTAAAACCTCCAATTTGAAGAACCCATTGCTATTATCCGTACGCCTCTAAAACCGGGACTTATACTTCGAAAATTAGGACAGACAAGCTAAGAACTAAAGCAAGAAAGTAGAAAACCGGGACAGATAGGCATAACTAGGACAGATATGTCGAAAACTAGGACGGATATATCGAAAACTAGGACGCCGAATTAGGACAGATAAATACAAAACTAGGACAATAATAAACTACTTGTCTAGTAAAGCTATATAGTCTACTCTACTTACTATATTTTACGATTAGTAGAGTAGGAGAGTTACTCTACTAATAATTAACTATATTTAGTAGAGCAGACTATATAGCTCTATTAATTATAAAATACAATTAGTAGAGCAGCGAGGAGCAATATAGGGATAGTAGCAATATAATATATTAAGTAAGTAGTATAAACATATCGTTTTATAACTGTCTATATAAGCAGATCCTTTAGCTTATTAAGCTAATCCTAGATAATAGCTATCCTCTTATAGTCGGCTATACAAGCTACCTCGAGCGCCTTAATATACTCTACTAATATAGTATAACTATTACACTTATCTATATCCTCTACTTCCTCTAGCTCCTTAAGGCTTGCCTTATAGCTATAGTAATAAGACACTAAATAGAAAGCGTACCGACTCGTCGGCCTTATATTGCGCTAATAAGCCGCTATAGACAATACTATATAAGTATAACTAGCCCTCTTATACCGGCCGTAAGTAATAATAGCCTCTAATTCTTCGCTGCCGGCTATTATCTAAGTAATATTAACCTAGTAGTTCTACTTATTAGTATCCGCCTTATTAAACAACTCCTTATAGCGGTACTAATACTTCCCCTAAGCTTTAGTGCTCCTAAGAGTAGCCGGCTACTTCTTCTTCTCTAGTAATTAACCCTTAGTAGCCTTAAGCCTCTTAGCTAGTAGTAGTATTACTATAGGTATACCCTTATACTTCTACTTCGCTCTTAGAGAATCTAGCACTTCGTAAATATCGTTGCCCTTATAGTAGGCAGCAGACAGAGCAGGCAGTAGTAGCTTATAAGTATAGTATATAGGTAGAGCGCTAAGGCGAGGTAGAGAAGAAGGAGATAGGCCTAATAATAGCTACGTCGCTTTTTACGTAAAGCTACTAAAGGACGGCAAGGTATTATCGACAGTGCCGTTACTATTACTACTAATAGTAATACGAGCCCTCTGCTCCTAAAGAGTAGTAAGAGTAGTAGGCGGCTAAGCTTGTTTAGGACTACTCGAGCTAGTAGGTTAGTATATATATATATATATATATAGTAAGCTATAACGACTTATACTCTATTCTCGTTATACTTATCTAGAAGAAAACGGAAGCTATCGAGACTATCTATAGCTACTATAAGTATACTTAAACTAAAGTAGCAACCTAACTAAGAGAAGCAATATTAATTATAAAGGAGAAGTGACAAACTAATATAAATATAAACTCCCTACTATATAAGCCGCCTATTAAGTAAACTTTAGTATATCTATCTTCTAATATTTATATCTTCTTCTTCTTCTTCTACTTACTATATAGTAATTAGCTTTATATCTATCTTTAAGTAAACAAGCTACTAGCTAGCACTATATAAATAACTTCTATATTGTAATAACTATAGTAAGTAGCTAAATAAGTTATAGGTCTCGAGTAGTCGCTAACGAAGCTATAGACAATAGCTCTTAATATAGATACTACTTGCCTATATATCGATTAAGTCGAGTAAGTTCGGCACTAATAGAGGGCGTAATATAGAGCGTAGGTAAAAGCGTAACTAAGAGTATACTATATATAATAGAGAGCCTACTATATATAGCAAAGGGCTATATTATAGATATAGGTATAGTAAGTAGAACATAGTCGGTATAGTTCGTTTATAGCTATAATACTAACTTGTTCGGCAGATAGCAACAAAGTTAGTAGTAGTAGTAGTATATTACGGCTACTCTAGGTATAGTAGTTATATACTAGGTAGTTACGCTTAAAGCGGTAATAATAGGAAGCTTACGCTCGTTAGGGCAGGGCACTATTCGACAAGCATATAAATAAGCGCTCCTAGTTAAGAATAAGCTTACTATATACGAGGTAGCGGCTATTCTTATTATAATAAGCCGCTAGGCTTAGGTAGTAGAGGTTATATACTATATATACTCGATAGTTAGTCTTTAATAGTAGCCGTTTAGCGGCATCTTAGTTAGTCTGTTCGACTTAGCTCTATTATAATCTTCTACTTAACAAGTTAGTCGTTATTAATATATATAGTATAGATACTATTATTATTATTGTCGGCTTAAACCTTATACTTATATATCTACTAAAACCGGCTTCGACTCTTTCTACTAAAGTATCTTTATTCTCCGCTCTTTAGTATTAGTATTAGTATTAGTAGTAGTATTAGTATTAGTAGTAGTAGTAGTATTAGTAGTATTAAACCGGCTATAAAAGCGTTAGCAAGACTATATATACCTTACGATTTACTCTTCGTATCGCTATAATACTACTATAAGTAACCTATAAGTTCGACTCTATAGCGCGCTAGCTACTAATAATAGGGATAGTATCGTTATAATAGATACTAGTATAGACTTTATCGTCGCCGGCGCTATACTCGTAGAAGCGGCTAAGATTCGTAGGCTAACGATTTAGCTATACCTACTAATATAAGTACTTTAGTTATATTCTGCCTTCGGCAGGTTATAGCTAATATACGCTAGAGCCGGTGTTACGAACGTAATATAGCGGGTTAGTCTTAGCTAATTAGTGACGCTATATAGTCACGTAACTAACTATCCTACTAAACGACCGGTCGACTAACCGAGTAACCTATTCGACTAAGCTACTACTATAGTAGATAGTCGATACAAGACACGAATCTCCTTTGTATATAATCACGATAGATTTCGTAGTTAGGAGTTCGTATTTAACTTATATTATAAACCGACTAATTAGAATTAACTTATTACCTTGTTCCGATCTCTTATATCGGTTATACTTTAACTAAGTAACACTTTACTATCGACTACTAGACTACCTAACAAGTACTAACCCTACTCGTGACGACAGAACTACCTAACTTATATTACGTAAGTACGACAGTATATAACACTTTAAATACCCTTAAGGATGTCTATTACTAGAAGACCTAAGCGGGGCACCCCTATCCCTAGTAAAGTAGGAGGTACTAGTATAGCACGCTCTACTAACTACAATCGGTCTAACGACGACGTAAAGGTCGCTAAACCCGACTTGTACTATAGAGACTAAGAAAAACTCGACGACTAGTTTAACTAGGTATATATCTTCTTCGAGTTTAACTCTATAGAGCCTACGAAGCGAAGTCTATTCGCGACAGCCTTCCTTCGAGGCTGTACTTAGCACTACCTTAAACTATACCTTACTAAGTACCTCGATAGTAACCCGGGATATAACGAAGACGTTACTAGGATCTTTAGAGTATTCGTAGGACTTAAGACAATCTTACGACAAGTCTTTATAGTCTCTAACGAAGTCGAGAACATAGTTTATATTATTTAAGGCATTAAATAGACTAAGTCTACGTCGGACTACGTAACCCGGTTTAAGGAGTACTCGTAACTTACCGACTAGGACGACGTAGCCCTATGTGCTATATATTACCGAGGCCTAAAGGATTAGGTTAAGGACGAACTAATAAGGTATAGGGGCGTTACCGAGGAACTAGACTAGTTAATTAGGGCCTCTATTACTATTAACGACAAGCTTTACGAACGTATAATAGAGAAAGGCCGTAAGTTTAACCTCTAGTATCTTCCCTATAGTTAGAAGAATTAAGGCGGGAATCGGCTACATTATACCGACCTATATAGACTAGAGGCAGCCCCTATACACTTAGATATAATAAAGAAGAGAAACTCTAAGAGTAGCCGTAGTAAGAACGGCAAGAAACTATACCTCGGAGGAAAGAAAGTAATTACATATTATATATATAGTAAGGAAGGCTATATAGCAAGGGATTGTAGCGCTAAGAATAAGGTGTAGCGGCTACAATTTAATATAATACTAGGAAAACCTAAGAAGCGTAAGGTAACAACCTTATAATAACCTTTAAAAGATAATAGAGAATAGGGAACGCTATAAGATTTTAGTAAAAGGCTAGTTACTAGCAAAGTAGACAATTCTAAGCAGTTTCTATAGGAACAGAATACCGCTACTAACGAGGCTAGCGAGCCCGTAGAAGACAGCGAAGGCACACTAAAGGAAGAAGAATAGGAGTTAGTATAGGTCGAAGAAAAGAAAGAAGTACTATATAGATTCCTTTATTAGACATTCTATTATAACGATTAGTATAGAGGGCACTATAGTAGTAAGGAAAACGCTAGATAGTTTCCCTAGAAGCCGAGGGAACGACGAACTATTAATATAATTAGCACTTAGCGACCTAAGATACTAGAAACTCTAGATTAACACTCTAAAGAAGAAGTATAGGAAGATAGCGAATAAGGCTATACTAACGAAGAAGATACTAGCGAACAATTATTAGACAACGAAGTATCGGACAACGAGCGAAATAAGCTTTACTACTTTAGCCTAGAAGGAAAGAGTTAAGTAATAGAACTCTTTCTTATAATAGCTCGACGATACGAAGAAGTATTCCCTAAGATTAGCGGAAAACGGTTCCTCTATCTAGGATACTTCGATTAGATAATTAGCCGGTTCTATAATATATTCTAGAACTACCGACTCTATAAAGTCGAATACGACTTTAAGACAATTATATAAGAGCAACTACTAATCGGGAGCTAGTTTACGCCTAATAGCTATCTCCTTCCGAATAGGCTTTTCGTTAATAAATAGATAAGAGATATAGTATAGAACCTAAAGGTTCGCTATAGTTAAGTATAATATATCTAAACTACACTTAACTTAAGAGAAAAGGCAAGAGAAGCCTCGAAGAGCGCAAACAGTCGACAAGCTAAGGTAGTAGCCTTATATAAACAATAGGAGTATAACATACTATTAAAGGAGAAACTACGAAGCCTTAATAGCTTATAACTACTAACCCGAGACTAATAGATAGAACAATTCCTTATATTACGACAATATATATAAGAACGAATTATACTATAGAACCGGAGAATACTAAAAAACTAGGACGACCTATCGATAGAAGTATTCGATAGGAATTATATAGTATAACTACTCTAGTATTAGAATACGTAGTATTTCGCACTATAGCTACCGTTAAAGGAAATTCGATAATAATTATAGTCGACTTAGGCGTAAGTAAGAACTTTATATCGCTAGGATATATAAAACGAAGTAGGATCGCTACCTAGACGAAGAAAGACAGATACAAATTGTTTATAGCGAACGGCGTAATAATATCTATAGTAGATAGCGAGACAGTACTACTTCTACTAGACATCTAATAGTACTATAAGGACATTATATTAGATGTCGTACCGATAGCTATAGAAGACATTATTTTAGGAATGCCTTAATTAAGACGTTATAACCTAGTAGTTAACTAGAGAACAGGAGTACTTATATTTAGATAGTATAATTACGTGAATTATATAGAGCCTATATATCGGTAGCGTTCGATAGCAGATAAGGCGAGATAGCTATATAGTACGAAGAGAGCTAATCTACTAAAACAAGGATTAAACGACAATACCTTACCTCTATTAGATACCGACAAAGGTTAGCCGGATTACTAGGATAGGAGTAGTAGCAAGTATATACTACTAGAAATCCCTAAAGAGTATAAGGAATATATATAGCTCTTTTAGGAAGAGGAAGGCAAGGCCGCCTTGCCTATATATACACTATAGGACTACGAGATTAAGCTCGAACTAGGTAAGAGGCTACTATAGGGACCTATATATATAATGTTAGAAAAAGAATTAAAAATTTAGAAAGAATAGGTAAATAAGAACCTTACAAGAGGATAGATAAGGCTATCTAAGTCACTAGCAAGTTCGCTAACTCTGTTCGTTCCGAAAAAGAATACAGATAAGTTAAGAATAGTAGTCGACTATAGGAAGCTTAACGATATTACGATAAAGGACCGACATCCTTTACTAAATATCGAAGAATTAAGAGACAGGCTTAGTAAAGCAAACTAGTTTACTAAAATTGACCTTAAAGATATATTCTACTATATATATATTAAGGAAGGGCAAGAGTAGCTTATAGTATTCCGGACTAAACTAGGGCTCTACGAATTCCTAGTAATACCTATAGGAATAACAAACTTACCTGCAACGTGCTAACGACTAGTTAATATAGTGCTTAGAGATCTAATCGATATTACTGTCGTAGTATATATCGACGATATCCTAATCTATACCGAAGGATCTCTATAGGAACATATTTAGGACGTTAAGGAAGTCTTCCGACGACTTTCTAAGACAAGCTTTAGAACTATACTAAAGAAGTATAAGTTCTATAAGAAAGAAGTCGAGTTCCTCGGATTCGTTATCGGAATCTACAGTATACGAATTAGTCTAAACAAAATTACGTTAATATAGGAATAGCTATAACTAAAGACTATTAAGGAAATCTAAGTGTTCCTAGGACTCGCGAACTATAACAGAAAATTTATCCTAGGATACTCTAAGATATTAGAACTGCTAATATGCCTAATAAAGAAGGACGAAGCCTTTAAATAGACTAAGACCTAAGATAAAGCCTTCGCGTTAATTAAGAAGCAATATATCGAAGCACTAGTTCTACGAATATTCGACACTACTAAACCTATATAAATAGAGACAGATGCCTCTAACTATACAATCGGAGTATACCTAACTTAAGAAGAGAGTAGACAAAGACACCTAGTAGCGTACTACTCGAGGAAATTAAGTCTAGTAGAAGCAAACTACGACATCTATAATAAGGAACTCTTAGCTATTATTATAAGCCTAAGGCATTAGAGAATCTATATAGAAGGAGTACTAAAAGTTACTATCTTCTCCGACTATAAGAACTTAACGTACTTTACTACTACTAAAGAGCTAACCCGACAGTAGGCCTAATAGTTAGAACTCTTAAGACAGTATAAGTTCGTTATCTAGTATACCCTAGGAAAAGATAATATTAGAGCAGACGCCCTTAGTCGAAGATTAGACTATATAGAAGGATATATTGTATAATAGTAGCAAATCCTAAAGACGAATAAGGATAGGACGCTATCCGCTAACGTATAGGAGTTTAATGCTATAATATATATACTAGACGACTACGACGAAGAATTCCTAGTTAATAAACAGAAAAAGTTCGTCGTATCTAATAAGCAAATTAGCAAAGTAATTGCATATTACTACGACCTACCGGAAAGAGGACACCTAGGAGTCACTAAAACAATAAAGCTAATATAATAATGCTTTATATTCCTATATATAAAGAAACATATAGCGAACTATATTAAAAAATATATCGAATACTAAACGAACAAGCTAGCATAATATACGACTTACGGAGAACTAATAGTACGATATCTACCGACTAAACTATAGGAAGAAGTTATAATAGACTTTATTAGACTACTGCTAAAGTTATAGGATCTAGCGACAAAATCGACATACGACTCGATACTTATTATAGTCGATAGACTTACGAAGTATATATACTTTATAAGTTGAAAGTATGTAGAAGCAAATTCGAGGCTTGAAACGGATGCATTTGTAGGCTAATTAGGCTACATGCTCCCTTTAGGAGTTTCCCTACCTTAGTTTATAACGCCTCCGCTAGACATGCAGACTGTACAGACCTTATGCACGACGCGTTTCACGGCATCCTGCCTGGTCGCTAACCCGAGACCGAAGCGATGTAACGTACCTAATATAGCTGAGACGGTCTGCGGAGCGATCATTCAGCAACTGCAGTACCTTTGCGACCAACCGAAGGCTGGCGTCAAATTCACCGCTAACGCGACATTTAGCAGTCACTTCTTGTCACATCGTCGGAAACGACGTTAGGAACATCGACAAGATTATGAGTAAGGCTCAGGCAGGGCGGCGGTCCCAGTCCGATAGATACAGTGCCGAGGAAGATCAGCTATATGCTCTCGGCGAGGAGTACATACTACGGGAGGATGAGTTCGACGCTATAGGTAGCACAGAACGGCTCTATGCACCGCGTAGTAACGAGCTCTTGAATATGATCGAGACGAAGTGGCAAAGGTTTGGCTAGCAGTATTTTCTGAGCACCGATAGATACTGACCGGCAGTACTACGTAACAGTTACTGCCACTATACCCGCAGAGACCCGACGATCGAGCTCCAGCAGTTTCATATCCGCGTTATCTACAGCTTCTTCCATTGGCTGCTAGAGACCCGTCAGGGCAGGATACGTAGCGCCAGCTCGTTGCAGACGTACTGGAACTCCTTATGTCTGGTACGCCGACGTCGGACTGGCCTACAAATTCTCGAGCCCAGCGTTAAAGACAGCATGATCGCGGTAAATGACACTCGATGCGTGGCTCGCGCACCTACTGAATGTACACCAGGTACGGCAGCGACTCGCCCGGAAATTCAATCTTAAGGTCGAGCGCCGGGCGAAACCTGTCGTGAACGTTGATGACCAGCTGCAGCTATTCAAGACTCTGTGGGGGTCTTCGCACCTTGCATTTCCTCATGAGCGGTTCCGTGTGCAGCTGGCATTGATAGCACAGCTCGCGGGCATCACCGGCAACCGTCCGAGCGCAATATTAGGACTTCGCTATGGGGACCTGAAGCTATCGCTCCTACGTGATCGAGGCCTCTCGGGAACCGCGAGGCTTCTTGTCGACGTCACTTTCCGGTCGACCAAAGGTTACCGAGGCCCAAAGGCGCCGTATGTATCAATTTATGGTCAGCTACTACGTGACTAACAGGCACCAGTAACACCTTCCCGATACCTGAAGTGCCCTGCGAGCCGTGCCTGGCCCTTTGCCCGCACGTCGTCCTCTTGAGTCTGATGTTCACGGACAATGCCTTCGAAGAGCCCATAGACACGCCGCAAGATCTGTACACGCTGAGGGTCCCGTCCAACAGCTACGAACTTCGACTCCCTATTCGTAAGTCGGTGGAGAACGTGCCCATTTTCCGTGTGATAGTTCAATCTACACGAGGCTGTGACATTTCCGAAACAGACGGGATGGAATACAGTTGGCTCAACCGGATGTTCAAGAAGTGGGGAGATATCACTGGCTTAGAATTGCCCTTGACGTCCTACGCGTTCCGGCGAGCGAATGGCGCTGCTCTGGATAGTAGCGGTGAGTCAAGGAGCCAGCCGTCGAGTCTGCGATGCTAACGTTAGCACCGACAGCTTTCATTAGTGATGCTCAGCGCAACGTGATGATGCAGCACGCTACCTCACGCGTCTTCGAGAGCAACTACCTCTCCCACTACATCTCTAAAGACTCGCAAGCGGCGTATCGGGGCCTCAATCCGCAGACGGAACTGATAACATTCGCTAGCGGCACCACAAGATCACTCAATGCTCAACAACCGCGGGAGTTGGGAGGCGCGCAACAGGCCCAAATTGAGCGGCGTCCGGAGATTCGCTTAATACGGCGAACCTTGCAGCGCCTAAAGAGGCGTATTCGTGCAAAGCATAGGACGATTAAACTCGCCGAGGGCACACACATGGCTGAGCGGTACAGCAACCTCCGTAAGGAGCTCGCAAGGCACCGCATAGCGTTCGGTCGCGAGTTGCTCCAAGAGCAGAGAGCAGGATTCAGGGAGCAGTTTGCTCTGCAAGAGATCGAGCAGCAGCTCAAGAGGCGAAGCACGGCTAGACGCGACGACAGCGCCGAGGACAGCTCCGATACGGATGGTGTACGCGCAGAAGAGCAACTCAGCGAAGAACGACATGCGGCTTTGGAGGCGTTATTCGCACGTGCAAATAGCGACATTGCTGAAGATCGAATCCGACGCATCTTTGCTGTCCATACAGTAATGACGCTTTGCAGCCGTCAAGAGCCGCATCTTCCAAGATTGCGGCGAAGAAAGCAAGCAGTGAGACTACAGCCGGTCCAGCCCGACACGGTGCACCAACCGGCAGAGGGCAGTAGTCTTATATGCGAGCGCCAGTGTGTGTTCTGCCTCGGAAACGAGCAGCTAGCGATTGCACATCGCCAGAAAGTGTTCTGCAACCGCTACAAACTTAGGGACCATCTCCGGCGCATTCATCTACAGTACCTGCCGGACGATGCACCTATTGCGTGTCCGCACCCTCAATGTGCGGTGAAATTGGACCATAAGCAACACCTTCAGAGCCATATGCAAGTCGTCCATGGCACATCTTCCTAGCGCCTTGGTCGCCGCCTACCAGAGCGCAGCGGCTATGCCGCGCAAGCCATTGGTCTGATCCGGAGCGCCGACGGCTTCAGCGTGGGTGCTGCCACAACCACTCGGCGGTCCATCAAGGTCGATCATCATCGATGTTGGCGGCACATATGCCGAGCCAGGCATTATGAGATCTTGATGCAGACAAGTGCTGTTCGCTGGATCACCGATTGCAGACAAATCCGCCCCAGTATAACAACTGCCGGATGACGCGGTGTCCTCGGAAAGCAACTGTCTCGCGTCGTATGCGTCCTCTTCTGGGCGCAAACGATATCGTGTAACCTTGATGCGGTAGCGCTCGCTCGCGCCTTCCTGTTGCCTACGAAATTCCCACGCGATCGGTACAACCTTCTTGTCTTCAGCCACCAGGCCCGTCAATCCAGTTGAGAGGGTGACGGTAGCCCTCCCGTTAACGTACTCAGTCTCTACGTCGCCTCTCCATTCGCGAGACGCATGACGATCTAGCCGTACTAGTCCGAGACCGCCTAATCGAGAAAGGGCTTCCCGTTCGAATATCAAATCGCGAGCCGGCTCGGTCTTCTCGTTCCGGAATGTGAAGGTATACGGCAACGTCGTCCCTTCCCAAAAGCGTATGCAGCGGGGCACGAGGCGCTGTTCGAGTCTTGGAGGCAGCTGGCCGCGCCAGGGCACCGATGTGCCGCCGCACTCTATCAAGCGCTCGTCAGGGAGCATGTCGAAATCCTTGTAGAGCAGGGCAATTCCGTAGTCGTCCCACTTGTTGTACTCCGCGAAAACCGGCTTTACAGAGTCGAACGCTGACAAGATAGTGTCCCGTTTGCCTATCCTTCTGAGGCCGTCTTCAAAGCTCGGCAGGAAGTCATATGCGTCGTAACGGTAGCGGTCTAGTGGGAAATTGACGCTGCACAGCTCGATCTCACTAACACAAGCCGTTAGCGAGTTATAAGTTACTATGGGGGACATCGTGCTGGCCATACACGAGAAAAGACACCGGCGTCGATATTTCGTCAGGGTCCTGGTTACAGGTATCGTAGGGATGCCCGTGGCAAGTTAGCACGCAGACAAAGAAGGGGAAGGAGAATCATGTAAGCGCACATGATGAATATTGCCCGTTCTCCTGTGGCCATGCCGCCACCTGTGAACAGCAGTGCCTCTCGCAACCCTAGTGGACAGTCAACTGCGTTCTTATCACAACAGACCGGATGTCTCTCGTACAGCCGAGATAGACGCTCGACACACGGGCTTCGAGGCAAAAACGTTCGATTCTACACCCGTTATTCGATCTCTACAGACGCAATACTCGATATGCTTACCTCTTGCCCCTACACTCAGCTTCGCCCCGAGTGGGTTCGTATCGAAATACTGAACAGTCCAACACGGCGATATCGTTATCTGTCAGTCTTGTAGCGCCTGCTCTGACTATTGTTTCTAACTTGCGTATAAACATTCTGTAAAGAGAAGACTAGCTTGAGGTTGTAGCCTGATACTTCGTTGCAGGAGTGAAAGAGATTCGAAGTGTTGAAAGAGTAGTAAAGTAACGTATTGGTTCGAGTTCTAGAAGATAGTAGAGAAGGGCGGTCGATAATGCAATTACTACGATGAGACGTCAAACGAAGGTAGACTTCTATATAAAAGCGGCTCTAGCCGGAGTCGTCAAAAGACGGGACCTATACAAGAACGATAGACGATGTATACTTTAACGCGCATCAAGCTTTCCACTGTAGACTGTTCCATAATCGCAGGCGCTTAGCACATATGTCGCATGCATTAGCCAACAGCCCCGATTCAGGGTCAGCCCACCTCGGCGGTTACTGATACCGCCGGAAGCTATTTCAGTACTACCTCCACATCTGCACGAATGTCGCAAAACGTGTAGACAACCATACTTCGGTCTTTTGTGTGACAGATGGCGAGACGAGACTTCCAAAAGCCTGTCAAATCTGCATCGCCGACAACGATCTTGCGCCGAAGCGAACGTTTTCGGCGACGTGAAAGTGCAATCGAGCGACGGGATTCCTGTCAACGGCACCCTCTCCCATCTCCTACGTCCTGCACTTCGAGTGCGCGAGCACTCTCCAGGAAAAGACAGCGTGGTGTTCTGGACGAACTAGCGGAAGAAAGAGGCAGCACCAAGCGAAGACAAACCGCAAGAGAGTCTTTTCGAGCGCAGCCAGTCACTCACAACCCTGTCGCGTATTGGGTTGCGACGAGCACTTGGCCGGACCCCACCTCAGAAGAAGCTGCGATGGCGACGGCAGATGTGCGTAGGAACAACCGAAGGAGTTCGTCTTCACATCATTCAGATCGGCGGGAACGTCTGGAAGACAACGGAATATACATGAAGACATCCGTCCTTCTTCGGCGCGAGAGCAAGGAATTCTGTAACGTTCTTCTTACCGGAGACCACATTCCTGTCCCGAATCCGGGCTACCCTGCCGAGAAGACAGACGACGTGCTCGAGCGGATTAGTGGACTGAACGAGGCTCGACTGCAGCGAGACGTGACGCCGTGGGTCGTACCGTCCGTGGAGAACCTTTTCTTCTCCGGCTGTGTCGAGTACGCCTACCTGGGTGAAGAAGTACAGGCGGAATGGATGCGGTGCGAACCAATGGGAGTGTCTAGGCCGAAGCCAGACTTTGTCGTCGGACTGCGCCGAGCCGCGTTCGAGAAGCATGAGCTCATTAAATTGGACAATTACGCCACCCCACAGGGACCCTTCCACTTCACTCCGGACCTTTGCTTTCCGTTCCTGACATGCGAAGCTAAGACGGGACAGGTCGGGCTCGATCAAGCCCACGTCCAGAACATTCACAGCGCTAGCATTGCCGTGAGGGCGATTGTGAAGCTTTTTGTTGCTGTCTATGGCAGGGGACACGAGAGGACGGAAAACCTACTTGGTCGCATCCTGGTCTTCTCTTTGTCGCATAATAACGAACAAGTCAATCTGTATGGGCATTATGCTGTTGTGCACAATAATAGTGGTGGCGGAGCAGAAGACTTCGAGTACTTTCGCTACGGCATAGCCAACTTCAACTTCACACCGTACGATGGAAGGGAGAGATACAAGGCTTACAGTTTCACGAAGAATTTGTATGACAAGTTCGCACCTCAACATCTTGCACGGATTCGAGAGGCTGTGAGTCGGATGGCCGATCCAGTTCCACGGACTGGGCTGTCTTTTGACGCATCCGAGATCACGCTTGACTACGAGAACTCGCAGCAGGACTCGGAGCTTACGGCATCACACGGTGATGACGTGTTCAAGACACCGAGCGAGCCCGCCAGCGTCTCGCAGAAGAGAGAGAACCGCCAAATGAAGGAACAACTGGAGAACATGGAGCGCATACTGGAGCAGCTGAGGAGGGACAATCGGGAGCAGCTGGACCAGCAGAGGAAAGACAGTCGGGAGCAGCTCGAACAGCAGAGGAAAGACAGTCGGGAGCAGCTCGAACAGCAGAGGAAAGAGAGCAGAGACAGGGAAGAGAAGATGGAGTGGCAGTTGGAACAGCAAAAGAAAGAAAGCAGAGACCAGCTCGCGCAGCTTAAGGATGTGTTGAGTAGACCTTAGGAGGTCGACGAGCAATGCCGTTCTAAATCGAGCTATCAGTCGTGCGGCCGGCTCTCTCAACGGTGTAGAGACCATTGACGGGCCGCTTGTTATCTTTGAAGGAATGAAGACAAAGGCCTCCATGAGATCAACTGTAATAATGTGGACTCGTAGGCATAAGTAACGTACAAGATGCGGCGCCAAGCCGTAGATCTCCCAAGATCAGGCCTTCCGTCTTGTGGTTGCAATTTACGGCACGGCAGGACAGCTTAACTCACTAGTCCTTTGATTGTTCTCAATATGCGAAGCATTAAGACTACTTTACAGGCCTTGGACCACGATACACTATCTATCGCTCTCCATAAGTTTACTCATAGAGCCTTGATGTGTAATAAAGCTGACATACAATCCGTGCAAGCAGTGATCTCAGGGCGTGTTCCTTCGCTAAAAGGCGAGATGTGGTCGACTTATTGCAATTCCAGTCGTTTCATCTTCTCCAGTAGTGGACGGTCCTCGAATGCATCGATTGTTCTACTCAAAGCATCCTCCAGTGAAAAGGCGAACCGCAAACATGCCGAAGCCTGAGCCGCCAGATCGCAGTCAAACCTGCTGTTAGGAAGGGGCGAGAACGAAAGGTTCAATTGTCGCATAAATGTGAAGAATAAGTCCTGCAGCTCTTTTGCATATGCTTCATGAAGCTCGGATTTCATGACCGAAAGAATGTTATGGTCTATCGCACCCACCGTTCCGGCGTTGGTAATTCGTTGGTTGACGTCCTCGGCGGTTGTGAGGTTTAGGTCTTGCACCCATGTGCAGAACGAGTCCAGAAGAGACGCGTAAGATACGAGATTGGTCTGTTGCTTAACTGCTTCCTTAAGAGCCAGCCCGACATCGCAAAGATGCCAAGTGATTTGCGAATCAGTGATATTCGCCTGTATCCACCCTTGGGTACTGAAGGACAATAGTCGAAAGTACTTGAGCTTTGACAGTGCTTGGCTTAGAGCTCCCTGTGCTGCATTGAAACGTGATAGTCTTGCATCATCCGCATCTCTGGCTTCTAAGACTAATCAGCCTTACTCTATAGTCCATGCAGAGGGATTAGAGAGGCACATACTGCTATATTGCTCCGCAACCTCGCGGCACTGACGGCGAAGCTTTTCCATCCATGCTTCCTCCTTCCAAGTCTCGTGCCATATGCCAAAACCTTTGGCGAACTCCAAAGCCAGCAGCCTTCGAAAACAACTTTCAGTTCTTACGTGATTTACTACATATCCGGGATGAAAGACGCTGATCCTGGTGAAAGAGTAGCGCTTACCGGGAAAGGACAGGATGGGTTCGCGAGGCGGTCTACCAATGCCGCTTCCCTGAAGTAGTCGCAAGAATCGTTCTGGTGTCTCTGTACGAAAGCAGGATATTACGACATCTGGTCTCTTGGCTTCTAAAGCGCGCAAGAATATTCTTTGGCCCTCTTTGTGAAATTCAGACCCGTTGTAGTCATCGGTAGCAAAAGGCATGCAGTCAAGTATCGACACACAATCCGTATCCCTGGTGCCACCAGAGCCAAACTGAACGAGCTCTTTCACTGCACGTAAGGTTCTGCACCGCGCCTCTTCCGCAGCAAATCCATCGCTGTAGATCTGAGAAAAATCTGGATGCTGCAGAACCACTACAATCCCACCAGTCGTCTCTGGCCTCGCTAGTTCGAGACAGAAGTCTAGCTCGGGAACTGACACAGCGGATGCTTGGGCGCTGCGTAGTATTCCTTGTCCGAATTTCTCCAGGATTCGAAGATGATCGCTTCGTTCGCCACTCGACTGCTGGAGCTTTGGTTGACAGTTTAGTATCTTTCGAAGACGATGGTCTGTTGGTATATCGAGACACCGCATTCTGACATACCTGTGTGCTGTGATCAGTTCGAGCAACACTTACGACGCAGATGAAAGATCCCCACTCCCGGCACAGTCCGTTGAGCCCAATTCTAGACACATTGTACAAGGACGTTGAGCGGCAGAGCTATCTGTCTACCCCACCAACCTGCATGCTGCTCCAAAACGAGAAGATCGGAAATGTTCGTAATAAGTGAACAAAACAACCCTTCCGTTTTCCATCCAGCTCCAGGAGGTTATCGTTCTCTGCAGGACCGTGACGAGGAAGAGATACCTATCACAGTAAGGTGCGAAAGCCAGGCCACGAGGAGTGTTGAATCGTTCTAGCACTCTACATCTATGTCGCGAATCCGCGAAACGATAAGTTTTGACCCTTGCGGAGATGTCCATTTAGTCCTTGTGAGACCCGACGAGACCATTGGCGAAACCGATGTAAACTATCTGGTACCGTCCCTCGATCGTCCCGCCGAAGCTGGTCCAACTAACGATGTTCCCACTGATGATGTGGCTGTCGAAGGAGTCCCTACTGAAAATATTCACAGCGGTGGTCTTTCTGTTGACGAAGGCTCTGCGGATGGTCTACCTGCTGATGGTGGCCTGGACGATTACGAGGGTTTGACAAAAGCACCAGAGTCTGGTCATGGAACAGATGAAGATCCATCAACAAAGCTAGCCGGACACGACGTTGAGCTGCGGGTATCCTCAAAGCATTTGTCACTTGCGTCTGAAGTATTTCGTCATGCGCTAGAGAACTTTCCGACCGGTGACAAAGACAAGACGACGGTTCCACTTGTAGATGACAATTTTGGTGCCATGCACATTCTCTTGAACGTCATCCATGGCTGGACAAGAAGAGTCCCAAGACAGTTGGACATACAGATCCTTACGCAGGTCGCTAGCCTGATAGACAAATACGAGCTGCATGAAACCACTGAGATATTTACGGACATGTGGTTTGAAGCCGTTCGACCAGCGCTGCTACAAGACCATCATCAAAATTTGGCATCGCGGGTTTTCATTTGCTGGATACTACAGAAACCTTCGGAATTCAACATTCTTACAAGAAAAGCCATCCTGGAAACCGATTGCGGACTTGAAAACGACGGAGCGCCGATTCCTTACTGGATCACTAGTGAGTATTTCCGTAGAACAGCATGATCACGCTGCTAATGTAAGTAGGTGATATACAATCTCGTCGAGAGGACATATTTATGAAAGTATTCAGTATGCTCTCAGACATGCTTGACCGTTATGATGGTTCCGAGCAATTATGTTGCCATGACAGGAACTGTGATCCACTCGCTCTCGGAAAGCTTATGAGGGGGTTGAAACGGAACCGCCTCTACCCAATTCCGGAACCTTCTACCATGGAAATGTCGATTGAAAAGCTCCTCTCCACTGTTCGTTCAATAGACCTCTCGTCATACTGCGGGAATCACAGCAGGAAAGCTGGACGCAGATTCCACACGTGGGACGAAGGCCAGATTGAAGGCAGTCCACATATGGACGAAGAGATCAAGAACTCGCTTTCCAGAATCCAGGGTCAGATTCATGGATTAGAACTACACGACAGTGGTCGCACCGATGTTACGGATTCCAACGAATAGCTGCATATTGCGGCCTCGGGAAGACTTAGGATCCGAAGCAGTCATTGCACAAAAGTATCACATCGTCCTGTGCCGCCGCACCGAAGCCGCGACGTTTGATTTAAGGCATAGTACTCATCGCGACGCTCGATCCGCTTGCAGGCCATAGGCTGGTCGAGAGATTGCAAAAAGGGTTGGTCTGTTGGAGACCGTTCGTCTGATGGTGTGCCGTCATCCTTTACGCCTGGTGGCTTTGACTCTAACGTTGTTCATTTTGATGTGGCCGCCAGGGCTGATGTGGAGCCGGACAGGGGTGGTATGTTACGTTAGCTACAGTTGGAAGGAGGTCTCACCGGTTTTGTGGGGCCACAGCGGCAGGGACCATGTGATGACTTATTTGAGACCGCCAACTAATGCAGTTGATGTCATGTTGAACCTAGCCTCTCTGCATAACATGCCTGTAGAGGGACAACTGTTTCAGTAGAGTCTTTGGACAACTGGTTGAAATTTATTGTATTTGGATTGTTTGTGGATTTTGTGGATCTCTGAAGCAGACTCATGAGCCTCGCCTACCGGAATGGACGTCACACCAATCGTTATAAGGCGATATCTTGATGGGAAGTCTTCCGTTCTTACGGCAACACAGCAATTGCTATACAGGAACGGCAAAGGTGGCACAGCATTGCGCATGTACGATTATCGAGAGATATTACTGTTCAGGCGTTCTCCCGGCCAGAGATGATTGACAAGATGAAACCCTTTGGCAGTGTGGTGCGATTGAAGTCACCTAGAGTGTCAGGGGTGTGTGGTGGGTGTGTTTGAGGCGCGATTGCCGGAGACCTTATCACTGATCGACATCAGCTATAACTGGTGCCGTAAGTTAGTCGGACAATGTCACGATGTGACAGACAAGGTCACGACCAGGTGACCAGCGCTCGACACCTGGCGGCTCGACGAACGCTCCACCTCAGGACGATAACTTAGTGCCTGATGCTCAACAGCTCGACAGCTCGACAGGAGACAATGCCTTGACAGTGAGGAAGTTTTGGGGATTTAGCATGTCTCGAGTGCAAAACCCGACTCTCCTTGCAAAATTCGACCATGTGCGAGTCTGTCAGGCTTCGTAACCTTGGTTTGGGTCGAGCACAAGAATTATATACTTTTGTGCGGAGAAGGTTCCTCTGGACAACCCAGCGATTATCCTCCACGGCGCACCTCTGATGATGCCTTGTCACAGCGTGACCGAGCTCGCTAATCCAGTTGTAGAATCGAACATTGCGATTCTTATCGTCCTTCCGGGAGACAAGCTCCTCAAGATGTCGTCCCTAATCCTGTCGGACATTCGACGGATGATATGGAGAACAGTATGGTCGGTCGAGCCATTTCGAAGTGAAATAGGCCGAGGACTAGCCCAGCGGATCCATGCATTGCCATGAAAGCGGCCCGTCCGGGCCCTCGCAGGATGTGTCTCAAAGTACATCTGACAGCAGTAGCAGGAGGGCTTGCTGCAGCCAATATACCTGTCGTTGTTCGCGTACACTAATCCGTGTGCGTGGAAATGCTCGAGCATCAAGGTCTCAGCGTGTGGACGTAGGACGAGCTTGCGATCAACGTTAAGACAAGAGCGTGCTGCCGTCCCTCTGAGTCTCCGTAGTACAATGGCGAAGATGGCGTGGCCCTGATAGTTTGGCAAGACTCGTCTGAGCGTAGCCTCCAAGTCGCCAGCAAAAGTCCGACTGATCGGACTGTCAGGGTCGATGCGTGGCAGGAGTTTGACTTCATAATTTTGAAAAAGATAAGCGTAATGTTGCACTGATGACGCTACGCGCTGTGCGGCAGCATGCCACGCAGCGAGACGCCCGACATAATGCTGTGCTTGATACATCGTGCTGTACTGGCGCAATACGGACCGGTTGTATGAGCGTCGAAAGTCCGCACTGCGCCATATCTGGTACGCTTCGTCGCACATCGTGAGATGATTCCCGTGACTCAAGATCCCATGCATGGACGTGATCAGACGGCTCCCTTCGCAGCAGTCAGTCAGAAGGCGTGCAAGGTCCTCTAAGGCTTACTGACAACTTTGATGCGGTCGAATTCGCTGGGAAAGCCGAGACAGCACATTGCGGAGCCGGCTCTGGTAGTTCGAGATTTTGTTCGCGCTCCTTCCCACAGCTCTCGTCACAATGTCGAGCACCGCCACGGACCCTTCGCTTTCAGACCTCCCTTCGACGCACATGGCAGCGTCCACGATGGCTCTAAGATGCGAGGTCGCTGTTTCACGGAGTTGTGAATTGGCCCCGAGCCAGATAATGACTTTGTGTTCACGCTGCTCGACGGCAACCGCGGTTGTGGTGCAGCCGGCACGACGAGAGTCGCACAAGAACGACAGGTCGTCCAATAGGCGTTGCCATGAAGTTCTATGGCGCATACGATGCTTCAAGTAATAAGAGGTATCGTTGTTTTTGATGCGGTGGCTATCGCAATGTAAGAGCATGCTGCGGATGTGCAGAGCGTCATACAGATCATTTTCAACCTCGGTTGCCGTCTGACGAAGCATGATGGCTAAACGAAAGTCACCGAGACTTTGCATGGCGCGCCGACGGACACAGCGACGGCAGAAGGATCTAATATCTCATGAGTATCTTAGCCTACAGGGGATCGAGTACAGCTGATCCAACACGACACAATCTACGATGTACGTAGAATCCTCCGGCTAGGCGAAATCGACCTGTTCCAGCGATTATGCGATGCGGAATACGATCCATCATGGTTTCAATCTGCAGCTCGCCGTGACCGAGATGGCGGCGAGCAATTCACATTGATAACAGTGACCAATGGGAATTTCTACTTGGCGGTAAGATTGTGCAACTGTATCGGAGATGACATTGCAGCACTTCGCAAGGTGGATAGCTATGGTGTATCTTACGCTTCAACTGCAAATCTCTGACAGGCCTGTTGAGACGCGAGATGCCTGGCCAACTTCTTGTTGTCCCCAGTGCCAAAAAATCTGGTCCCTCCAACATGAGCCCATACGCGCCACAACTGGGGAGACACGGAAACACATTCGTCAGTCCATTGAACATCGATACCCGTCCGGTCGCCATATTCTTTGATAGCAGACGTGTAGCGTGGCAGCTCGATGTCGCCGCCGCGCACCCTTTCCCGTCCATGCTGACGTGGCACTTCTGCAGGCTGGCCCGGTGTGGGGAGCTCCCCACTCTGCACCACGCTTCGGAGCTGCAGCTTGGTCGCATCGCAACCGCGTTCGTACACAGCACCGAGCTGCGTAATGAAGGACTGGACGAGACCGGAATAATCACTGGCTGTGGAATGTCTTGGGATTCGAGGGGATATTGACACGAGTTGCGCTTTGCGCGCGGCATACGGATAATCCATCATTTTCTGTGTGAGCAGGGCCGTTTCGCTTATCAGTTACAGCTCTTGCATGTCATGATGGGAGAACTCACATCGAGAAGGTCTCCTCCCTGATGCATTGCAGCTTCGTGCAGCACGACCTCTGCAAGGAGCTGCTTGAAAATGATCTTGCCCAGCCAATAATATGTCGAAGGGGCGGCTTGAGATGTTTGGGTCGATGCTTCCGACTCTGTGATCCATTCGCTCGTGCGGTCATCTTCTTCATCAGAGAGACTCTGCATCCTCCCAAACGAGAAACTCGTGGACGCTGACATTGCGCAACCCGGAAACAACGGATGAGTCGCTGCTAGCTGGATGGGAGTCTCGGTTTCGGGGCAACAATTTATATTCCAGCTTTCCGCCTTACAGCCACGGACCGTTACATCACAGGAGGTCTAGATTGGAGCTCAGGTGCGGCGTACGCTAGTTTCTATTTTCCAATTTAGCGTCAAGATGCGTGCGTGTCTGAACGCTGCGTGGCCAAATGGCGGCGACGGGCATCGACCACAGCATTTATTGCTATTCCCTCGACCGTAACGGAAGGCAAAGTCTATAGATTGCGCCTTCAACTCCGATCCCTCTGTCACCGTGATCGACATGTCGTACTTCGCGGAGATGTTGCAAGGTGTCCGAGCATGGGTTAGTGCTTCTCTTCTTCCTTCGATGCTGCTAACTTTGCACAGGAGGTAGAGCAAACGGACAGATTCCTCGAAGTTCTTCACGATAAGCTTGAAAGCGACGCCCTATATGCTAGAGCATTAACATTCGAGCTCAGGCGGAAGAAGCGGCAAGAGGATGTGCTAATTGCAAAGATCGAATCCTTTGCCGGCTCAGACCAGGAGACTCGCGATATCCTGGAATCGAGCTCTCATCAGTGGTCATTCCAACCTGGGCTTTTTTTTCACCGAAACCCTTCCCCTTATCACACGGCTCTCGATGCGCAGGTCCAGATCATTCGGGCCTACTTGCATGCTAAGGGCGATGACGCTTAGTCTCGCATGAAGCAGCGGCTTGCTTGCCTGGTACTTGTTGAGCTCCGTGATCTCATCGGTCGACCCTCCGTGGAGACCACCGCCGCAATCTTGTGCAGCACAGGTATCTTGGCGGCATCGTTCGATCATGCGGTCAAGACCACCTCGACTATGATCGACGCGGGGCACCGATATATCAATATGGAGAAAAATATAGCACGTGGACTCGCTCTAGTTGTTGGTACAAATCTGCGAGAGTATTGGTGAGTCATGCTCAATCTTTAAGCTGATCCAGCTCGCTGACCTTGCGACAGTTGGATCAAGTATAAAAGTGGTCCTGTATTTGACGCGATCAAGACGCGTCTCCAGCAAGATGATATCGCTGCTTTGGCCCTGACATACCATTATCTTCAGGAGAGGATCACCCGCGCTGAAATCGACCGGCTCTACCAAAGTTTTGTGGCTCAAGATACAGCATGGCCCCAAACTGAAATGCTGCTTTCACCTCTGCCACTGTTTCACGAGGGAGCAAGGGATCTTTTCGGCTAGCGCTATCATCCGAGCAGTTCTGGCGCAGCTGGTGCAATACAGGACATGGGACCGTCATGACCGTTGGCCCACTTCGTCAATGTTAACTCAGCGCCAGCTAAACTAGACTGTCCAACAGTAGCGGCAATGAAGGCAGGCTGATTCGGGAGTCAGCTTGGCATGGCATAATTGCGAGTCTGCGTTTGCTATTGCTGTAGAAGAAGAGCAGGCTCTTCATTATCTCCCCAGTGTTGAAAAGCAACCTTGCCTCACATACCTTTGACTGTGCCTATTAGAGCATGACTGGCCTACGTGGGTTTCGACGTGTGCACATTTAAAAGCCGCTTTTCCCAGACGGAACGTTCTCTCCTTTTGAGAGGTTATTGACTCACTGCTGAACCCTTGCTGTAACACAACCGCCGAGGATTCGTGACTGCACCCACGGCCCTACACAGGACACTTGCACAATGGTTCAGTTTCACAGAGACAATGAACTATCACACGTAGCACTGACGGCGAGTAACGTGCGCTGTCCATGAGCGAAAGAGGGCAAATCGAATGTTACTGACCTGATTGCTAACACCAGGCTCTGACATTATGCAGCACGATCGATGATGCTCTGCAAAGCGAATCTGAGTTTCGCAAGTGAATTTGGATAAGGTGCAGAAATTATGGCTTCACGTTGGAGCGCTTCTGGGCCGATACCGTCAATGCACATCTGAGCGAGAGGCCCCAACAGCCTTTGCAAGTAGTCCTGACTGAGCGCCAAAGTGAAAGTCAGCTGCTCCTCGTAGTATAGGTGGCTTTCTTCATCGTTTCGAGCGTGCTGCTCTTGTTCCGTGCATATCTATACCGTCAATGCCTCAATCAACAAGTACAAACAATACAGCACAAGCGAATTCGAAGGTCGAGTCAGCAGTCAGTGTTCCGAGTCGCTCCGTCTGCGATATGCAGAGAACGGATGTCCCGTATATGGGCATCCCACGTACGAAGGTTGCGATCGTCTTCCGGAAGGCGTGTGAGCTTCGTTCCGGAAACCCAACGCCGAGCGACGTGATTCAGCAGACAGAGACAGATCTGGAAAACGATGTAGTGTCGGCGATACTGGAGGCAGCTCTCCGCCTCCTACCGGTCGACAAGACTCCAAAAGGAACCGAGCAGCGACAGCAAAAAGCAGATGAAAAGCGCCACAAAGCGATGGTTGCCGAGTGGGCCTTCGTCGATCAGCTCTGCTCGCTCGACAATGAGTTACTGAGGGAGCAGGAGCAGAGGGACCAAATCATAGCTTCTGTCCGGGACGGCAACAACAATGTCATCAGACTTACGCCTGACGTCCTCTTTCCGCGGCTGAAATCTGTTTGTGGAATCGCATGCCGCTGGATCGAGTACAAAAACACGTTTGGATTTCGTGCAGATCCCTTCGTTGCAGCACGCAACAAGAGGCAGCTTCGGAAATACGTCGCGGTCTTTGGTAACGGTATGGTCGTCTATAAGCTTGGATTCGAGTGTGACTTTCCTCGAATCGAGGGGGTTTCATGTCTGCGGGAGAAGGAAGTTCTGGAGTGGATCGAGGCTGAGAAGGTTCGACGTCGAGGCGACAGCTAAAACTCCAAGACTCTTGGAGTTTTGAACCCAACATTGGTGACACGATTCCGCCTGATATTCAGGATCTCCACGTGACCCGGGACTGCGAGGCGATCAACGAGCGGCTGAGGCGTTTGTTAACCCTTAACATCGTTCCGAGTTCCACTCACACATTCAGTCAATGCCTAATTGCTCACGCACTTCGAGCGAAGTTTTGTCAATCCGTTCGACCTCTCGTTTTGCAGCCGTAACATATTCAGCCCGATTCTTGGCAGCTTCCAAATCTTTGCGTGCAGATTCAACTCTGTTCTGAGCTTGTTCGACCTGGCGCTCTAGTTCCAGCAACTCTTCAGATGCCTGTACTACATGGTCTTGAAGCACGTCGATGTCGCCTAGCAGAATCTGGGCGCCGGCGATTTCTTCTGTAAGCTGCGAACGTCGCTCTTTCCATTGACGGAGCTGTAGCACTAGCTTCCCGTAATGGAGTCTGTCTTCACTCTGCATAATGACCTCCGCGTTACAATCCTTTGTGGGTTTCTGAGACTCTTCGATAGTGGTAATAACTTCAGTCTCACCATCAATAGCGGCGGATAGCGGTTGGTCGTGATTGCTTCCAGGAGTCCGTGCGGGATGAGCTTCATGAGGTGAGCGCTGGTGTATTTCCTGCAGGTCTGGAGCTGCCTCGCTTGTCGCTTGGTCTGATATCAAGGGCCGAGTCCCGTCATTAGAACATAACGCAGTCGCTGGTTGAGGCGTCGGCCTGCTTTCGTGGGTGTTGAGTTCGCCAGACGATCTGGACGAAGCCACCGTAGATTCTGCGTGCCCTGGCTCCATCTGCCCGCCAAGGGTGGCCATGGAAGCCCAAGCGGTCCGGTGTGTTGCTGCGGCGTCGCTCGAAATTTGTCCGAGCGCATTGTTCGATAAGTGCAAGTCTTCTTTCGTGCGGTAGAAGCGCGGAATATCGGCCAATTTCCATATGTATCCTGCTCCTTTCACTGTGTCGTCTCTGTATTTCCAAACTTCTGGCCTTTTTTTGTTAGACTGCATGCTTAAAGTCGATGAAATCGATGTCTTGAGCTTGGCCTCCCCGTAGTATGCAAAATCCACGGGGCGCTGGACTCGAAGCCACTCGACTATTCCATCAGACCTCAGTCCGTTTGGGTGAGCGGTAAGGGCTTCACAAGCGAGGTCAAAGTAAGAGCCCGAGCGAGGCGGTGCTGGTTTACTACCTTTCGCGCGACCACTTTTTCCTTGTTCCTTATGTGTAAGCCTCTCATCGTCGTCTGGCGGATTGTTCGCAGAGTACAGAGTAGAGACGCTTCGTGCAGGGTCACCAGGCCGCCAATTGGCGACATCTTTAAGCCGTTTGGCTGATGATGGCGATTCTTCATCATCATTGCCCGCTGCTGACCCATCAGCACTGCCTTTAGTCTATACGTTCCTATAACGTTAATCGCGTACCGCATCGCTTCCCCGTCATAGCTACTGACACCCGTTCCAACAGACCGTGGCATGTGGTTCTGAGATGTGGTCAACAAGTCAGCTCATTTCTCCGCTTAGGCTCTGGGGCTAGGCCGAAGGGGCACGTCGCGCTGGAGAATCGCACGTCCCAAGCCAGACTGCCATGTCTGCAAATGCTTAATTGACTACACGAACGCTATCACGTCACACAACACAGCCAGACACGCCTAGGGTGACACTATCGAAACACAGGTTGAGCACAATTCTGTATGCTGCACTCGCTGCCTGCAAGATGGAGTTGGGCTCCTTGGGGTTTATGTCTTACGCTACGGTTACAAACAGCACCCTTGACGACTAACCGTCCTGTCAAATCTTAGTGACTCAAATGGCAAGCGTCTACTAGCATCCTGCAGATCCCGACATAGCCTTGTTTGCGACGCAACACACGGGTAGGTCACCGATTTGTCGCGCCGCAATAAAATCTGATATGTTCACTGCAACCGCACGAGGCACTTGTACGAAGTCATCTGTATGAAGTCATCTGTCATCACTTCTCTTGATCCAACTGCCGAATCGGCTCGCCTTTATGCACTTGGCGATGAAACCTACAGGCTTGAGGCCGCAATCATCCCACAACTGCTCCCATCTGGCTAGTCCGAACCCATCCCGCCCACACTCTAGCGAGAACATGACTAGAGCGATAGTAAACCCCACGAGCCCATTTGCTTTCGTCAGAATGGGCAGCGAAGCGAACAAAACCACAGTCAAGCAACTCAGAAATGACGCGCCAGAGGATCAAATAAACTGCAGCACCGTAACAAACTAAGGAGGGAAAGCGAGGGGCCTTTTCAAGGCAGGATGTGAAGATGGATGCCACTCCGGCGAATATGGTGCTTGAGCAATTGGGCTCTATCAACGCAGCTGATCGTATGCATTGATGGCTGGCTCAAGACGCAACCGAGCAAGCTCTGAGCTATGTCACTCGTTGCAGCCACTGCATTGAATCTGCAGATTATGTGGGACTTCACCACGATCGGACCAACGATGTCGTCCACGAGTCGCTTAGTAGGTTCGAAGCATGATGACATCGGCGGAGCTCACTTAGGATTGCAAAATGCGGTGTACTTGGATTAGATGCCCTTCAGCCCTTCGAGACAATATCATCGCCTTAGGGCTCCGATTGACCGATATCCACCTTGTTGAGTAGCTAGCTACACCAGTCGCAATGGACTCCAGGTTTCTTGATACTGTTACGGCTCTACGAGAGTTTCTAAGCGATCTTGGGGAGTGTGACGGCCAGCCACCGAGGATGTACGTGGATTTGGAAGGCAACAATCTTTCACGCAACGGCACTCTATCACTGGTCACGATCCTATTAGTGCCAGAGAAGGAGGTTTATCTCGTCGACGTGACCACCCTCGAGCACGATGCTTTCACCACGGCTGGTACAAATGGACGCACTTTGAAGAGTGTCCTAGAGTCGACCAACATCGTCAAAGTTTTCTTTGACATCCGAAACGACTCGGACGCTCTCTTCGGTCTTTACGGAATCCGGGTCGCTGGCATTGAAGACCTGCAGCTAATGGAATTGGCCTCAAGGAGCTTCTCGAAGAGGAATGTGAATGGCCTGGCCAGGTGCATTGAGCGGGATGGTAGCATCGAACTCTCGAAGAGGAATGAATGGCAGATTATCAAGGATCAAGGCAAGAGATTATTCGATCCCGATCGAGGGGGCTCTTATGCCGTCTTTGATCAACGGCCTTTGTCAAAGGAAATTTTGCAATATTGTACGCAAGATGTTAAGTTCATGCCGCATCTTCGGGAAGTGTATCGACGTAGGCTGTGTGACGCATGGTGGAGGAAGATCGAAGAGGAGACGAACGCTCGCATTCAGCTTTCTCAGAGCCCATCTTTTCGTGGCAAAGGGCAGCACATGGCCCGCGGACCGCCAACATGGTTGACCTGGACACCCAGCCAGTCTGAGAGACGGTTACGAACGCTGTTTGAAGAGTCCACGGCCCGCGGAGGAGCCGAAGCACTTTCCCTATCGCCTTCCCATCCCAACCAGAATCGCACACATCAGACTGACGAGCTCGCTGGCACGATGCGCCGCCTGACCCTCATAACTTCAACGCACGCCTTGACCGGAGGCTTTGATGGCCTGACCGAGGATTCTGATGATCTCTGGACCGAAGAATTTGACAGTGATGGGTCATTCTGCTATTATGGCAGTGATTAAGCCCGAACTATCAGTGCATGCCTTGAAGTGCGGGTGTCGTCATCGCTGCGGGTAAGAGCTTCGACGGCAGAAATAGCGGTTTCCTCACCTGTACTTCCAAATCTCTATATACCACCTTTCTATCGCTTGTCGGCAGAGCATGTACGTCCCACGTCAGATCCCAAAAGCCTCTGGCCGCCTTCCTAGACAGTATAACCAACTAACTATCGCGTTGACTTCTTGATGGTCGTTACATTGACTCGCTTGAACCAATGTTCTACGCAGCACAAGTGGACCATTTAGTTGTCAGATTCCAGCGCTTACCTGCGCTATCCCGACATTTGCTATCGGTTAAGGCGGATGCTCAGAGTGGAACACTGGGTCCCTCGGTATCTGTTCATCACGCTATGATGATTAACGACGCCATACGAGGCTTCTTGTATTGTACAAAGTGGTGTGGGAAATCTGGGGCTAGGCATTCGGCAGTCGAAGTACGTGGAGAACGTGGCAACCTACAAGCTCGCCTTAGCGAACCTTTCAACCGCGCCCTGTTTCAAGCTGAGAATGTGCAGCTTGAATCAACCCGTCAATACTTCGGTGTGGGCTCAAATCGTCCCACCCGGATCACATGCGACTTTGGAAGCACTGTGACTGCGTCAGGCGGCAGCGGGGTTAGGATTGTGTGTCCGTGTTGCGTGAGCCCAACAGTAGCTTTGTCATGACAGTACGTCTGCACTCGTCGCAGCCCGAGTGGAATCTTGCGAGGCTTATAAGTGACTTGCGTTACCTCTCGTTGACACTCGACCCTTCGTCAGCGTTTGTTGAGTCGTTTGCGTGAACGCGTGTGCTTCTTGCCCATCGTTCTTAGTGCAGGATGAAGCTTCTCCGCCTCCACAGCTGCGTCAGGAAGTAGACAGGAAGGCCACGGCTGGATACACAACTGCTCGTGAACCCTTTCGTTTCACGCTGATCCGTCTAGATGTCCGACCGCTCGAATGGGGCTGGAGAGCCCAGATTTGATCCTATTCATCGGCTGAGACATCGCCTTTACGAACCTCTTGTGCTCTTGTGGATGCTCAACCCAGCTCGAGGACCTCGTGTTTAGCGCCAGCGGTATCTACCAACTCACAAGACTTTCTGACAACGTGGCGAAACTTTCTGGACGCTCTTTCCTGCTTTTGCGACTTCGAACACGGCGGGAAAACAGTGACGTCCGTTGCTGCCGAATCCGCGGCTGGCGGTAGCTGCTTTCCGGGTGGCTTCTCCTCACCGGCGTGCTATCCCGCACCTGGAATGGATTTTGAGCCAGCTGCAGCTCGTCGGTAGGTCGACGGATGTAGAACGAGTACAAACAGCTCATAGACTAGCGACAGAGTGCATCAAACGGAGCAGGGACAAGATTAGACATTACATCAAGGAGCTGTCTCGATACTTAGACACTGCATGTCGACGTGCCGTAGACGGCTCACTTGCAAGTAGGTCGTGCTAGTATCCAACAGTCGCGAATTACGTCTTGCAGTCAAGCAGACACAAGTGATCTGATCCAGGATCTGCGTCAGTTGCAAGAATTGCGCAACCATCCCCTTGAGTTGTGTCTGTCCGCGGTGTCCTTCAATCACCAGGGTACCCTCAACCGACTCGTCGACGCGAGTTCTGACTTGCGTACACTCTCTGATTAGTCTCTGGTACGACACTATCTCGTCAGACTAGGAAGTTGGCATCAGAAATCAGTCTTGGCGGTAAGAACAGCCCACTTGTTCCCTGCACTCTTCGACAACCACTTTTGCCAATGGCTGGAGTTACCGAACGGAATTAGGCTTGCTTTTAGAGACCCAAAGACCACCTTGTCCGGCGCTCTCCGTCGTATGGCACCACCACATCAGCAGCACCAAGTCGAAGAGCTACGCGAACGTCTTCAAACACTCCGGGACTTTGACTTCGAGCACAGCTTTACCGAAACATTCGACGGTGAAAGAGTCAGCCTTTCCACGCATGCAGAAGTGTTCCCGATGGAGCACTCCTACTTTCAAGGCTTGCAAGTTGTCGCAAACGATCGATACATCGGCTCCAGCAGACCGTCATGTTACTGCTGTAGCCTGTATATGCGGCACCACGGAACGGCTTGGATAAGATGGAAGCTTGCACTTCTCTCGCGACCGGACGACGACGTAATCTACAAGCACACCCTTTTTGTCATGAACCGAGTCGTCGAGCACATCCGCCGCGACGTAATGAATGAGATTGAACACCGATTCCCAAGACGGCAGAGGCGACCCGACTCAACCTCCGGCATACTCACGTTGTCACTGTAATGGAAGCGACTGAACTGTCAAAGGAAAGTAAGGCGGAGCGTCTCTTTCAGGTATGCTGTGTGCCCAATAAGGAACGAGTTCAGAGGTTAGTCAAATGAGCCCAGTCTACATCATCCAAACGGTTGTCCGTCTCAAGCGCTGCAGGTGAAGTTGCATCGGCTCCGTGGTGTTGAAGATCGCTCGGTGTTGCACGGCACGACCGATTTTCACTTATCGTCAACGTCACCGGCTCCGCCACAAAAGTTGGGTCCGTCGTGAACGACCGAATCTTTTGGCTGACAACGAAGTCCCTCAAAGGACCCAATCGATTAGCCATATCGGATACGCCTTTTTCGCGCAAGTGCTCCATGATGCGAGAGAAGTCGGCCGTAGTCTTCTTCAATAGCTTGTCCCAGCTGCGTCATGGGTTAGTGGCGCAAAGATGGAGCGTTGTAATCGGCTTACTGGCTCTCAGACAAGTCAGTGCCCAAGCAAATACAAACTCCTAAACCCAGTTCCTGCTCCAAGAATTTATACTTGCGGCCCCGCTCGATCATGGTCATAAGAGTATTTAGTGCCTTCTCATACGATTTGCACATGCCTCCAGTTAAATGTAGCATGCGAGCAGTGTCCTCTATCGGCGTGATCGCGAATCGTTCCCTGTATTCAACAAGTACCACACATGAAAGTCTTTGTGCGATGCGTGACTATGCGTCATCACGTCCGGCGCGCAAGTACATTCCCAGAATGTGAGCTTGTGGATCTGGGTGCGAAACAGGATGGCTTCTGGAGGCGCTACTCCATACGCACCGAGCGAATGTGTCCCAGTCGTTGCCGTGGTCTTGGATCAGCGCCATCGTGTCTTCGTCCGTTCCCTCGAAGCTGAAGAATCGCAGAAAGCGTACCTTGTCGCCTTGGTTGCGCTCTATAACTCGGAACTTCACCAGTCGGAAAGTCCCACGATCTCGTTCCTGAAGCTCACGCACCGTGGCCAAAATTGAGTTGATATACTCGGCCCTCTGGGAAGAGATCAGTGACTAGCGTAAAGGTCAGACAGGACACTTATACCTCTAAGCGGTCATCAGGAAGCCTACGAACGAGCTGGTGACCGCCCTCCATTACTGTAGTGTCAAAGTCTGATTCCTGGTGGGTGTATCCTGAACGACTCGTGAACTTTGAGAACAGCGAGGGACGGGGTCCTTAACCCTACCTAACCTAATCCGCGTGCAGTGGCTGTACCAGTACAAAGTCGCAGCAATATCTGTGCCGCTTTCCAGGACATGTGGTCATTATGCAGGCTGTCTAAAGCCCAGTGTTCCCGGTCCAGCGGTTGAGAGCACGTGGTGCTCGTTGCGCATGCACTCGGCTTGGGTGGATCACGTCTTCATGCACGATCCGGGACGTGGAAGCGCTAAATGAGCGGACGGCGCGCTTTGACCAGAGATCGCAGCCTTAACACCAACTTCATTGTATCTACTCCACGTCCTGGCTGCTGCAGCCTGCTGACATACGAGCTCGTCATCGCCATCACCTGTACTGCCGTGTCAAGTAGGCAGAGTCTTGGTTGCTGAGGGAATAGTCGTTCACCAGTCCCACCAATGCCTTTCTTGGATCTTATAGAAACCAGTAGCTGCTCATGATCAAATCGCCAGCTTTATGGGTTCACGCGGCGCAAATCGTATGCAGCAGGGGCCATAATGACTCGAAAGAGGTCACCAACGGCGTTCAAGTCTAAAGTACAGCACAAGCCTTATGATTGTGCATAGATCAATGAGCACAGATGGGACCTTTGTGGCTACGCTTTGGCAAGTGTTCGTATACACGGCATATAAGTGTTACTTATACGTCCGTCGAGACCGATCGCTTGCAAGCATCCGATTCAACTTATCCCAAAGCCTGAAGGTGTAATCATAGTTTCGTCGTCTACGACGACCGCAAGACTTCCTCATTCAATCGAAAAGGGCCAACTTTTCACCGAGCAGCTTGCCTCCCTTTTTCTTTTTCTTGGCAGCAGACGACAGAGCGTTGTAAGCTGTCTCTACCGCGCTAACCTCATTCAGCGAAGGGGGATCAGTACCAAGCGAAGGGTCCTCAGTAAATAGGATGGACTTTCCGTCGTATCGCGCGTCGGAAGCACCGTCAACCTCACCAGCGTCAGACTGGCCGTCCACGTCAGCGAATGAACCTTCTGGCGCATCCGCGCGCGGCTCAGCATCTGCCTCAGCAGCTCTTTCGGCGTACACATTGCAGATGAGGTTGCTACGATCGAGCACCTCAAGCTTGGCTTGTAAGGTCCTTCGGATCGCTGTCCTCGTGGGCGATTCTCCACCTATGGCTTCGATTTGCTGCGTAGACATTGCTAAGATTGTGGGAGCGTCGAGAAGTGTTGGAAGGGCGGTCAAGATTGTAGGCTCAATCACGTGCGCTGGAACCTCATCGATGACGCGTTTCAGAGCCACCTGAAAGAGACACGAAGTTAGTACGGTTCGGTTGCGCTTCGGAGATGTTTACCCTGTAGTAGGCCTCGGCGTAATCAGCCAGTGAGCGCGCCGCAATATTCTCCATGTCGGGTTCCCTGCGCGGCACAACGGCATCGACAATCAACCCTACGTCTTGAAGGGTTAAAGTGCCACGGGATTTGAGTAGTTCTCGGCATCTCTGAATTGCCTCATGATGCTCACGCCCATATCTGGCTGCCTGCACGGTTTCGGTGAGATAGTGGTTGTAAGTGATCGGCTGACGACGAAATTCTTGCATGTATTCGGTCAGTCGGGTCTCCATTGCCTGTTGCATACTTTCGAGCTCGGGATCGATCACGGCCTTCATGCACGCATCGCATATATAATCCTCTGTGATTGTCTCGAGCATCGCGACCACTGCCGCCCTCGCTGACAGCCACACTTCATTCGCATGTTCGCGCGTGTACTTGAACCATGGTCTGCTAAGTTCTCGAAACAGCTGTCCAATCATAATAGGATTGAAGGTTCCCGGTAGCTCTTTGCCGCGATGAGAGCGTATCAGTATCTTCGCTCGCTCCATGACGGGTAATGGCGCATGTTGCTTACTACCTTGGCTGTCGTGTACGATCACGCTTGTAACTGGCAAATTGAGCATTCTCTTTGCAAACGCAAGATTACCGTTCTCCACCGCTGCTCGGAGACGCCGGGACTGGTTGTCCGAGGACAGATCATCGAAGAAGGCGTCCTCGTACAGACCTTCGCAGGCGGCACGGCAGAGGTCACGAAACGCTTGCCCAACCTCCATGACAAAGGTGCGCTTCTCCGACAATGTTGCGCGACTCCGACCCATGCGACCAAGAAGGTTTGCGGTGTCCTCTTTTGCGAGCAGAATCTCGCGGATTAATTCCGGAAGCTCTCGCCTAATCTGGCGGAAAAGAATTTGGCTTAGCTTGTCCCTCAGCGAGTGGATGCCGCGATCCTTCTCGGCAATTTCTCTCCATTGTGACGTGCTGAAAAAGTGTGCCTCAACATTGTCCCGGTCCATCTCTGTTGTCACATTGGTATCCTGGTTGCGGACAACATGCCAGCCGAGGGCGAACTCAATGTCTTGGTTGCGTGCGAGGCTCAAGAACGACCGTTCACTTGTCGATTTGGGATGGAGTGCGTCTGGTTTCGTGATGATACCGAGTGTTCTTCGACCGGTTGCGTCTGCGCTTCTGGCCTTCGCGAGAACGATCTGATTTGCGTAGTCATTCTTGGCGGATACCACCGCCAGGATAATACTTCGCTCCTGCGACATGTAACCTTCGACGAGTGCGTTCACCAGTGCAACGTCTTCTGCAGTCTGGAATTTGTTTTCCGAATGGATTAGGCCTGGTAGGTCCACGATAGTGAGTTGGGGCATTTGGGGACCTCGTACTTCCAGACGGAGAATGTCTGCAGAGAAGGCGCTCCCAGCGGCGCCGAGTCCCATGACCATAGCCGCGTCTGCTATTGTTTCTGGCAGATTCTCCATGGAACTCAGTTCACGCACGAACGCTTCCAGCGCCTGGCGATCTGACAATGGTCGAGTGCTACTCGGAGTGATTCTCGCGGACACCTGAGCAACCTCGAGTGCATCGTCGCGCCGAAGAACGACCTCTGTGGCGAAACGGGTGCAGAGGTTATCCTTCTTCGGAAATGACACCCCAGAGACCGCGGCGAGGACGGAGCTCTTGCCGCTGGATTGATCGCCGCAAACAATGAGCTGTGGTAGGTCGACATGCTCGTTCAAGCCTTGGGCTCTCAGGTCGTCAACGACGTTAAGTAGTCCCAAATGTTTTACAGCCTGGAGGCTCCTGATGGCCGTAGCATCGAAGGCGCCGGCTAAGTACTGCTCTGACATCGTGTGCAAAACTGCAGGAGAGATTCCTCACTCCGAAGTAATATACTGCATAGGCTGTTCTGTTGGCTTTATGCAGTTCGACCGCTTCTGGAGACGCGGAGTGCACGCGCAAAGTCCTAGCGGAACGGCTGCTCGCAACCAATCGCTCCGCCACGTCAAGCATGCATATGTATTTGCGCTTCTTTCATACTGCGCGTTCGATGAGAGTAGACTTTGACGATCAACCTGAAGGAGCTTCCACTCTGGAAGACCCGATTCAGGCAACTAAGCACTGCACGACGACCCACTGCAGTTCACCATAATCTTGGTCTAGCAACCAAGCGTCCCTGCATTTGATCTTCTTCACGACTTCTTTAAGGGGGTCTGGGCTCTTGAACAATGCTCTTGTACACGTAGGAACACTTCGCTTTTTCGTGCTCTAACTGCGAGATAATGAAACGTGCAGAGTCTCGGTGAGAGTTTCTATGAAGACCATGCAGATTTCCCGCATCGCTTTGACGTTCTAGATGGTGATACTGGTGACCGTCATTGATCATTCCATACGCCAGTTTGGTTGAGCTTGACAGTGAGACAACAATCACCTTTTTGTTTCTGGGCGATAATCCAGCACTGGTTCCCTTGTACCGTCTTTCCGGTCCACTGGAATGATACACGCGAGTCTCTGCTTCAGGCGAGACTACGCACCACCACGGTGAGCTTGTGCAAAGATCCATAGGAGCCATCTTACTGATCATGGTCCATATAACGCCTCATAAGTTTCACGGATCCAGATGTGAATTGATAGTGCTCTGCACTTCACATTCGCGATACATTTAGTTCTCCGTATCAGCGCCAGGCCATACTTTAGCGAGAACAGGGTTTCCCATGATTGACCGCCTCGCACCGCATGGGATAGCAGAACTCTACGGACGTGGCGCGGAGCCGAATTTGCATGCATCAGTCTGAAAGGCTATAAGAAAGACCTACAATGTATCCACGCGCTAATTCAGAAGGTGAAGAATTAGCGCTACAGTAGAGCTTGGACCTTTCATGTAACGTGGGAAGTGGAAAGCCGGTCGTGCGATTGCTACATCGACCCAACTCAACTCCCCAACTTGTTTCGCGAGAAGGATTAATACCCGAAGAACGAGGTAATTTCTCTCGTCACGAAAGTCGCCGCAGAGATAGTGCAACAGGGAGAGATGAAGGCGGATCATTGGCTGGTTGTTCCAACGGAGAAACACCCTGGTGTGATTCATAATCCACCCTTCTCTTGCGCCACCACACCACAAGCCGCGCAAGTAGAGTTGAGGCGTAAACGCGATGACCCACCATCGCAACGCTCGGTCCGTTTGCAGCTCGTTGACTGGTTGTGTGATCTTAAGAAAAAAATAGTGTGTCAGAGACCGTGCGTCGTGATGGTGTGCCACTATTGCTGGTCGCCTCGGTTCCGAAGTTGTGGTTCTTGGTGTGGTGGCGCAAGAGCCAATGTGCCGCTGGAGAGGTGTGATATCTTACATTAACCGTGGTTGGAAGGAAATCTCAGCGGTCAAGTGGGGTCCGCAGCTGCAGATGGACCATTATGTGACCTCTTGCAGGCCGCTAAGTATTGCAGTTGATGTCACGTTAAGCTCATCTTATTTGCCCACCCCAACGCATATTGAACCCCGTCCTTTCCAGTCGTCGTGACTGACACTCTTACTTGTGCCCTCTCTGGACGGAATGGTGAGCCACAGATACCTTAGCTCTGCAGTATTCCAGAGGCCCGGGGCTGGATCTGAAGCTGATGATCACTACTAGACCACTAACTTACAAATTTACTACATCACGTAGCGGAGCCACTTGATATGGAGAGGGAATCACTTCTACAAATCTTCCAACCTCACGACTTCGTAAATCAGAATTTCCTTGATCTATACCATTTGTACGACAACCTATCGTGCACACCATTCCAGGCTGGCATAGGTATTCACTGCGAAGATCCTGACCAGTACCTCATGGATGCTTGGCACGTTATTACGCCAGATACGATGAGGCGCCACCTTGACTGGAAGAACAGACGTCGTACCCAATTCATCTCTCTTTACGGCAACGAAGCAACTGCCATACGGGAACGGCAAAGGCGGTGCAGCCAGCTATGGGTTCCCGGGGTAGGACAACGTGAACTCACCTCCATCCGCATCGCGCACATACGATTACCGAGCAATACTAAGGTCTGGGCTTTCTCCCGGGTGGAAATGCTTCACATGATGGGCACCTTTGGCAGCGAAGTACGATCGGAGTTGTTTACAGTGTTAGGAGTGGATGAGTGGTTTGTGTGGGGCGCGATTTCTGCAAATCTCATCGTAAACCGACATCAGTTATGACTGGTACTTAGTCGGACAATGTTACGATCTGACAAAGAAGGCACGATCAGATGATCAGCCCTTGACTCTTGGCCGCGCGACCACTGCTCGGCCTTAGGAGCACGACATGGTGCCTGCTGCTCGAATGCGCGACAGGCGACCATGGCTCAATAGCGAGCAAGGCTCGAGGATCGAGCATATCTCGAGCGCGAGACACTGGGAATAAGAATCTTCTTTCCTACGTTACCCATGTGCGAGTCCGTCGCATTTGACGGGGCTCTCTCTTCTGCGACGCACTTGCAGGCTCGCTGGGTGTCCTGAACACGCCATTATCCTGTGATACCGTAATCTCCGACCCTTGCTACGAGTCTCCATTATCAAGCATGATCTCGGATGCACACGTGAGAATGATTTGAAAGAGAAGAACAGCTAAGAGTCGCGCTTTACCAGCAGGAGAGGTACGAAGAAGCAGAGCAGATACATGAGAGTGTGCAGAATGAACCTCCACGTTTATGTCAAGGCTCGTACGTTCGCGTCTGCCGCACACAGTTCATTCATGTGCGCCACAATCCTGCAATTTAGAAGCATGTGACTGATCGGGCAGCATCCGTGGGCATCTTCGCAGATAAATATGCAAAGCTTGCCATTATCGAATCACTTCGTTGCCGGCGGTACTGCAGCATGACTAGACCTGGGTGTGTAATGCGTTTTGAGTATGAGCACATTGCATGTAGTCTTCCAAGGATATTGTTAAAAACCGGACTCTGCTGCGGTCAAGGTCATGGATGCTGTAGAAGAACTAGGGTATACGCTGACATGCACTTGCCGAACGGTATGCCAACAGAAACGCAATGGAACGGCCAAGAGGAAGAATATATAATGTCACGACAGTTCTTTCAGGAACTCGTAGACTGCTATGTAGCGGTTAAAAATGCGAAACGTCAGATGACGTACTCTCCTGATCTCCAAACCTCGTCTGGTTAGTTGTGATCAGTCGTACAGCTAACGGCTGAAAGCATGTGGCTGCATGGAGGCGTTTGGCTTGTCGGTTCGGCGCGTATGCTTGGCGTGTGCTTGAAGTTATCATGACGTCATCCTTCTGCGGCTTCTTTGAATGATAATCTAAGATGCACACTACTCATACAGTCTACGTTGGTCATACCTGACATCGCCGATGTGCCACAGATATGCGGACGCATTATGCCCATGCACACGGTGGGTTTGTGCTGTGCTACATCTAGGCAGTGATGATTGCAGCGAGAATCCGAGGGTCCACAACATTGATGGTCCCTCCGTTGATTCGCGCACCATTTTTGATGCGAAGGAGTTCTAACTGCTCGACATTCAAAAGCAGGGCAGGGCAGTGAGCTAACGTTAGCGCAGAATAGCGGCACACAAGCGATGCTCGTGATCGTGTCACTGCGGAACCAGGCTAAGCGAGCGTGAGGACTCAAATCTATACCCTCTTGAGCAATATTCTGTTGCTGGAATTCAGCAAGGCAGCTGCGACAGCACGGTCACCGAACGTCATCGCCGTTATTACACAAGCTCTGAAGGTGGCCCTAGAGTGATGACATTATTATCTCCATGCATCTTGTAGTCGTGCTGCGGCAGTGAACTGGTACTCCGGTACCCTAGCTCTTGCCGACATCTGACGAAGAGCTTCTTCAGCTCGCTTATTCGCTTCCCTTTGCGCAATCTGTAGCGGCAACCTGCCCAAAGAGTCTTCGATCAACGGGTTCGCGCCATGTGCCGCCAAAAGATCGATGACATCAACCCTGCCTAGTCGCGCTGCCTCGTGCAATGCAGTCCCGAGTCCGAAAGCCTTCTGTAGATGGTACGATTTGAGATCGTTCTGATACATGACGTGGTCAACGTGAGCTCCTTGTAAGAGAATGAAACGAACGATTTCCATCTGATCCCCGCCTTTGCGGCGGACTGCATAATGAAGGAGCTGTCCGTGTCCGATATGGCCACCATATTCAAACATCAGCTTGATAACTTCGAATGATGCAGCTTCGACAGCCGTAGATAAAGGAGTCAAATCGATTTCACACCGCCGGTTAGGATCAGCGCCGTTGGCTAGTAGCCACGCTACCAAATCTCGGTCGTGGATGCAGAGACTGCACTGTCGGTCAGAAGCGGAACACACATGCCTTAGATGACCTACGAGAGACACGGTGGTTGCCAAGGTCCTAATGGCTCATTGATGTCCCAGCCAGCATCCAGAAAAGTGGAGAAGAGTGGCAGTGCCTTTGCTTTTATCGCGACCTTAACTGTTTCTTTGTTGACTGAGACGCCTCGGGCAAGAACTTCACGGACCAGCGGAACATTCCCTTTGCAAGCGGCTCGCAGCAGGCAATAGTGAAGGCGGCGTGATTCAGCACCATCTTCGATGAGAATCTTTAGGGTAACTCGGTTCGTAGTAATCAAATCTCCGGTCTCTATTGCGCAGATCGCCGCTTGTAGGTCCGAATCACCGGCTTCTGGGGGTTCGATACTGACACTCAGCCCGGGGAGAAGTTCGACAGGATCTACTGTAGGAAGAGGTCCAAGATGACTGACGATATCAATTTCCCATGGGTCTTGCACTTTGTAGAGTGGAGCGAGATCCATGCTGATGCTTTGCAAAATATGTTGAAAGTTTCACAAGACTGATATGAAAGACAAACATGAATCGGAGAGGATTGCAGCTACTGTGTATTATGTAAGCGGCTTCTTCCGAAGCTCTACCGTACCGCCCTCGCTTCCAGTGTGGTGTTTCATCCTTGGAGCTATTCGTGGATCGACATAGTACTGGGAGCGTTGCGCGTGGACCCATTACTGCAGCGGTAACACTTTGATCCACAGCACCGGCACGTCAGCTTTAGCCATCTCATTAAACCCTGCCCAGTCGCAAAGCACATGCCTAACCTGCTATGATACAGACCCGTTCCATCATGACTTTCGCAAGCCTCCCGCACTGATCATAGGAGCTGGTTTGAGCCGGTCTGCTAGGCAAGCATTGCAGATCAAGACCTTCTTGTCCTATGAGCAAGATCTACTACTGATTTGGCAGACGTGACTAGTTACAATCAGCCTTCCCTTTTTGGGCGCTTGCAGCGCATAGGGATCTTGCTGATCCTAGCCCGCTCGGAGAATCACGAGAGAGACGTCATGAAACGTAGTGTCTGCCTGCTTGTCCGAGGGTATTGAAAGCAGTCGAAGTACGACAAGACCAGTGAAACATCTTTTATTGCTTTCCAGTGTTATTATTGCACTACAAAATTGACATCTTTCGACCCGACGAACTTTTCTAGCCAACAAATCTGCGTGCTTAGGGCGACCAATGGACAGCCATATAGTAAATCAGATCCGCTATCGCCCGGATGCAAACTTCGTTGCAATGAACGAGGTAAGCATTGTGTTCTGGCCGCCGCGCAGCAACATACGCTTCCTCGCCACCGAAGGGCTAAATTCCTGCACCGCAATTGGGATAATCTCACCAACGGCGGCTATCCTTGCCCATATCGCACCACGCGAGCCTGGAACGCAGCATCAGCCATTAAGCGCGACGAGCAATCCAGGAATTCGAAACTTGCACAACAAGTTCATGGAGATCAGGGATCTGTATACCCAGAATCAAGCACATTTTGCCAACGAGCAGACCTTTGTACTGGCAGCGACATATCAGGGGCGCTTCGCCCTTGAAGATTCAGTTCGATGGATCCACACTGCCTTGACTACGACTCTTCGGATAACAAAGATTATCTGGAAGAATTACCCGGTGCTAGAGCCTGGAACTACCAGGGAACAAGGAGAAACATCGGTCGTCATCGTAGCTTCGGGTCTAGGTGCAATGCCTTTTGTCTACTCCAATAATACAACTATTTTTCCGCCTCCTAGAGTAGTGAGCCAGGTAGAGAGGCCGGGACAAGAAGTAGACGATGAAAACGACGACGATAACGACGCCGACGATGACGACGCTGACGATGACTACGCCAACGATAACGACGCCGATGACGCTCAAAGGCGCGCCCAGCAGCAGACTCAGCAAACTCAGGCCCTTAGGACCACATACGCTACCCTAGTTAGACAAGGTCGATCTCGTGAGCAGGCGTTCGAACTATTAGTACAACAAGTCCTTACTGCTCGCCCACAGCTTCAGAGAGCAGTTGTAGTCACTGCTGTCCGCGCGCGACTGTTCTCCAATCAGACTTCGGCGCTGCGTTCACGCACGGAGAACGTCCAAGTTAGCAATGACAACGACAAAAGTAATAGTGATGATGATGAGGAGGAGGAGGAGGAGGAGGAGGAGGAGGAGGAGGAGCGTGCAAGTCGAGCGCAACCTGACTATACTGCCTACGTCAATACTTTGGTTGCTCAAGGTTACACACGAGAGCAGGCTGCAACGCTACTTAATGCTCGACTCACGAGACACTGATTGCTACCCATAGTGTGTGAATTGTAACTGTATATAGGAGTTCGTTGAAGCACGCAAGCATTCTATACTAAAGATGCCGATCCACGCTCTAGCGCAGCTAACAATAACGAAGATTTACCGCTTCGTTATTGCTGCTACTAGCAAAGAAACAGCTCATGACGTTATTTGCTAGGTAAAGACACTGATACATCAAGAACGGCTGCCGCCATGACACAGCAATGACAAGCCGCCTAAGCACATATGCCTATCATGGTACGCGTTATTTGTCCCGCTTTGAGTTTTCGCCGTTTCTGGAAGCTCAGCACCTATTCTGCTCGTCATCGTCTGCCACATGTCGACGAGCTTTCGAAGCAAACTAAAGTCCACAATACAGACCGACAATCCGATCACTGCTAGCTCGACTCGCTCCGCACGTTGCGCACATGATCTACTGAAGCGACCAGACCCGTCTTTCTTCATCCTCTGCAGTTCTCGCGCAGTATCCCAACCCATGCTCAGACAAGCAAAGTCCTGCGTTACCAGGCCCTTGGTGGTTTGCTGCTTTTCGAGATCGCTCTCGGGGGCCATAGCCGCTTGAAGCTCTGCGTAGCTTTCATCCGTTACCTTTAAGTACATGCGGCCGTTTCTAGACCTTAGGTCGACGAACAGCACATGACCGTGTATCTCTATGTCGCGGTACCCGTCTGGCGTGGGCAGATGTATCATGCCTAGTCATCACAGTGCCGTGATCCGACTCAGAAGAGCTTCACAGCCGTGCCTGATCGTGGCATCGCTCGTGAGCCCACGAATAGAATGGAGGTCTTTCACCACCTTCCAGAGCCATAGCGGAACATCTTCGCCTAGGATTCCAAGGGTTTTGCTACGAGGCTGCCCAACTTCAGGCCAGCCTGGAAGGATGAGGCATTGGGTGCTCCTCGGTAATGCTGAGTGTGCCTTGGACCGTCTTTGCGCCGGCGCTTTGTGGGCCACGGTGTTGTTAGCGTCGCTAGTTGAGCTCTGCTGTACAGCCAACCGGTGCGAGTGGAGGGGCATTGGCCCAGAAGAATGGACGGTAGGCTCACACAGCAATTGATCTGCTTCATACGGCATTGTTAGACTGCTGTGGTAGTGGGAGTTCGCCAAGGTTGTAAATGGGGCCGGGGCACTTAGCAAATATCTCTGAAGATGCCAAGGTGACAAATTGTCCTGGTAATCCCTCTTGAGGTGGTGGTTAGGCTGCGTCTCGGACCATATTTTGTTCCAAGCTGAAGGGTGAACGGAAGGCCTTCCGGCAAAGAAGTCGTTGCTCATCCACGGCATGGTGTCAAGGTACAGCGTGAGCAGTTCACGAAATGGAAGTGACAGTGTGCAGTGAAATGTTTATAGGAAGTGGTAAGCTTCGTAGCGGCAGGTTGGAGGGACGAGCAAGGTAAAGAGTCGGAGCGTGTAGGGGCTGGCTGGACTTTGAGCTAACGGGTGGAGTTGCGACGAGCAGCGCATGTCTACATGCCGCGTCTGACAATCAACAGGGCATTCCCGCCACGGCGCTTTTCGTGACAGATGAGGATTGAGTGATCGGCGGTAACGTAAGTCACAGGCCTCGGCGCATCCAGTAGCTGCAGTTTTTCCGCTGGCTTTCCTCGGTCCCCGTCGCGGACTCGTGCCTGGTGACCGCATGCGAGACGTCGCACTGGATAGAGAATCGAGTACAAGCCTAGGACTTGAAGTTGCACATGATCATTGGTGTGACCGTTACGCTTCGTACAAGCTCCGTTACTCTCCGTCATCGTCTGCTTGTCAAGCTCCACTTTTGGAACTATAACATCCGTGGACCATCCAAATGGTTCATCAGCAGGGGCGTGAACGCCAAGCCCTGCAGCTCAGCGCTTGTGGATACACCACGCATTCATTTGCCTTCAGTGCATGTCTTATACTACCGCTACCGGCTCCGGCATGCAGTGATGACAACACCGGGATTGCGAGCGTCCAACAGTGGGCGTGAAATGTTCCGTGTAGCCCGAGAGGGCTTTCTAACGCTTCGCTGGGCGTGCTTGTTGTAAGGGCCGGCGAGCTGAAAGTCATGACCTCGCTGCTATCTAGCCGACTAGCTTGATACGCTGCCCGATCACCGTGGTACGACCATGAACTGGGTGTTGCGTCTTGGGTGAGCGCTGGGTGCATGGCGTTAGCGGTCACATTGAGAAGCCGGCGGTGTTAGGAGCATGTCACTCCGCAAGCGCCAGATCCGGACAGCAATGGTACGAGAAAGCCGGTAAGGCTGCTATAGTTTCTGTTGTCCCTCGCTTTCTGTTGAAGATTGCTGCACACCATCTCGGTTGCTAGTTATTCGAGATGGCACTGCCATGTGGACGTTGCGCGTCGCTTAACCGCGAGAGTATATGGCTTTCTCGTTCCTTCAACTACCGTGACTGCAGTCAACGAGCATACCAGCGATAGCAGTGACATGCAAGGCATCTTCCAGCTCCTGTACGTGTGGTGAAGCCGCCGGAATGGCGCAATGCTTCCAATCTTGACGTATGGCGCGAAAGCCACAGCGAGTTTGGTAGACCTTCCTTTACTGCTTTGGCAGTCGTGGGTTTGCAGGGAGTCCAACAGAGAAGGAGGTGGCGGAGCTAGGCGTTGATGGTAACAACGGGCGCGCAAATGTGCGACGAGCTGTAGTCGTTGGCAACGGGGCTGCGGTACCTCGATGGATATGCCTTGCTGAAAGTCCGATAGCACCGCTATGGATCGTTGCATCCGCATAGAGATGTATATAGGGTGACTGCCACGAGTTCGACAAGGATTTTACCCCTCGTTGGCCATACCTCTATGCCAAGCGTCTCCATCTCAAGATGGGCGCAGAACCTCTTTCATGTTGCACAGTTACTTCGAGTGAATCATGAGGTATTATGCCCGACGTCTGGTGGAGAGGCCACCTGCGGTGGAGGCGATCCTTTCCCAAATGCTTCTTTGTCGTGCGACGCTGACGACTCGGTGCCACTACCACTTCGGCCCACTATTCGCCGTCGTTGATACTGCGAAGCGTCGAGCCTCCATTCACAGATGTCCTCTCTTAATTCCGACTCACTTGCCCATTCCTCTGAGTATACCTTGTAAAGCGCCTTGCGACAAATCTCTTTCACCTTCGGCTGCATCGTCGACCAAGTTCTGCGTTCTGCCGGACTTTCTTCGAGCAATATTCTTCTCGCCTCATTCTAAAGCAAATTAGCGTATGTCTCTGAAGGTACATTGGACACCTACAGTGAACCATTTCCAGCCTTCGTCATTAATGAATTCCGCATGTGCTCGAACATCCTTGGCGCTCATGCCAGGCGTAATGCGTTGGACATTGGGCAATGCGGAGGACATTGCACTCAGGTCGCGTTGCTCCCGACAATTGCGCACAAGTCACGTCTGTAGGACCTTGCTTGACGTCGGTTGAGACATGATAGCCCAGATGTGCGAAAGCGCCTGGATGACGTTGCTGGTATCGGCAGAAGCGCCAAGCTTTAGATCTAGCGGAATCGGCCCGTTTGTCCTAGAGTTATTGTGTACTGCAAACTTAGTTGCTTCTTACCTGGTACCTATGGAGAAATTTTACCGTGTAAGTAGGCATAGTGAAATGAAGTATACGGGCGCTCAGCCGCAAGCAGGAGCGGACCGATATTATATCGCTGTATCTCTCAAGATAGGGAGAAGCATGCGGCTAGGACGTCCACAACGCATACTCGCCAATCCGCCGACTCGAGCTTCTTCCTACTATGTCTTCCGTCAAACCTCCGGCAAGGCGTTAGGCACGCTAGTTGGCGACCTCGTAATTGTTGCTAGGCAAGCGAATCTCCGAATTGTTGCGAACCAAGTCCGCTTCACTGCCGTAGCTGCTGGTGCGTCCATCGTGGACGGACATCTCGTACTGCGCGCTGTTCGCGCTGAACAGCTTGGCCGCTAGCCTTGGGAACCAAATACTCCAGTTCTGCACGCTCAGAACTAGGGTAAGATTTACGTGGCCAAGGCACCAAGCTAACGGAAGTACGAGGTCCAGTGCAGGCAACTCGACCGCCCGTTGATAAGCAAGCGTTGACCGAATTGCAAGAGTCGCAAACGGAATCGTCCTGTGGTTGCCTCTGATTAGTCTCAGCTGCGAGTAGCATGCGACATGCTGGTATCGAAGAGCGAGCTTACAAAAAGTTCAGCCCACTCATTGCTATTAGGCTGACCTTCCACTTCGTCCGCTCTGGGAGATCTCCCGAGGACGTCGAGTTGACTAGGAACCCCAGCTGTCCCCATTGGATGACCTCCATGGCCTCAAGTCCGGCGATTGCATACGCCCAGAGACCATACTAAAAACACAAGAGAGAGGGTTAGATGTGTGCATGCGAGGGAGCCACGGTGTCGACCTACGAACTTCGGCACAGTCCTTAGGTAACCGCAAGCGATGATGATCCCTATAGGTCCCATCACATATGCTGCTGTTCCAGGGTATATCCACCACTTCCATCGTTTTGGAAACACACCCATCATCGCATATCCAATGCCGCAGAAGCGCGAAATCTTGTTGGAACCTAATGCTAGAAGGGTCGTTGCTAGGACAGCCAATTCGAGCTACAGCGACGTCAGCCTACAAGTCGACCCAGCATGCGATGCCCGCCACTGACCCAGGCTTTGAGCCGTAGCTCGTTCGGATGTAGATCGCCTGGAATCCGTCTGAGGTGGTGGGCAGCCACGGCGAGTGCTGCTGTACCTGCACCAAGTGCAGAAAACTTGCGTACGACAGTTAGCACCGAACGGCCTAGACTCTTGGTTATTAACTCACCAGTGCTACCGCCCAAAGAACTCGATCCAAAATAAGGAACGGCTTGGTAATGCCATCACTTTTCAGGATGTCCTGTCTGAAGTATGCTGCTACTCTTAGAGCCGAGATAATGAAGGTCGCAAAGATCGACAGGAGGCTGCAGTAAGCCAACACACTGCTGGCATCATCGCTGTGGTACGCAAAGAGCGGTGGACGCTGACTGTCTTGCATGACGACGACTGCGGGCATACGCTGTGAGGGCTTTCGCCTCCCGCTGGGCTACAGTAAGGACCTGGAATGGGCGAAGGCAACCACGCAAGGCAACGGTGGGTAGAAGAGCGAACAGCCTCCGCTCCGAGCGCTGCGGTTGCCGTGCCAGATAGACTACCCGAAATGCTCGACGTGAGGCGTTGAGCTGCATGAGCGGAACTGCTCAGGTGAGCCGCCCGTTCAGAGCTGTCCAAATGAGCTCACCTGAGCTAGTCGGGTCAGATGGGCCGTCCGAGTCCTGCAAGGATGCCTGCATGCGCACACGCTATCCGGCTCGGCTGGGATCAAGCGAACGACCGATCAAGGGCTTCCACCCGCTGCTCTCGCCGAGATTTGCAACAAATGGGTCCCACGGCTCCTCTGTGTCTACAAGCACAACAACTCTGATCGCTAGGTTTAGGAGCCACTTCTATTCTGCGCGTCCATTAACTAAATTCTGACGACGGCAGCAACATTATCTCTTGTTCGATTGACAACCTTTGCGCCGCTTGCGACCCTAGCACGGGAGAGCCATAGCCGGCCGCTAGTGCCATGCACATGCATGCCGTGCTTGACCCTTAGCGTAATCCAACAAGATCGCCAAGGGCAAAGCCTCTTGACGGCGAGCAGGGACAGTGAAGCCTACGCGTGATCCTCAACGGAAACGCCTCGCTTCTGAACAGATCGAGCTGCAGTTTTCCCTTTCCTACAGGATTGCAATCTTTACATCGCCACGCTCGCCCACATTCCTATTGCTACTTCCATGTCATCAGCTTCCAATATGAAGCATTCGGTGTCTCCAGGGCTCAACGACATGGAGCTCCGCGCAATAACTTCGAACAACAACGATCTGCGGCTTTCCGAGTTAACGACGGCGAGACATCATGCGAAACAGGACGGATTTTACGGCACTACGGCCGACAAGTCTGATATGAAGCAGCTGGGGATAACGCAACAACTTTCCCGCTGCCTTAGCCCATCCTCGGTGGGCTGCTTCGTCACTAATATCATTATTGTGTTTGAATTTGTTCTCGTAAATCTCGAGTTCTACCTATTGAATGGAGGCCGACGTATGCTTTTCTTGGGTCCATTCATGATGATGTTCGTTGTAACGATTATGTACTACCCGATTGCCCAGCTGATTGAGCGGTAAGCCGTCAAAGCCGAATGTCAAGCAACGCACACTAAAGCATGATTAGAGGAACGACGTCTGGCGGACAATTCGAATGGGTCTCGCTCCTAGTCCCTCGCTGTCGACTTCTCAGCTACTGTGTGGGTTGGCTGGGAGTAATAGGCTGGCAGGCTTTCTTTGCCGCTATATGCTACGGCACTGCGACGATGCTGCAGGGTTTATGGGCGCTTCACCATCCTCAGCACGAGCTTGAGTCGTGGGTTGGCGTGATGTTGACTCTGTTGGTTATCGCCGTCGTCTGCTTTGTCAACTACCTTAGCCCCAAGTGGTTGAGTAAGCTGGAGCTCATCTGCGCCTTTATTCGTGTCGGCAACGTCGCCCTCATTCTGGCGATTCTATGGCTCTCTCGACCACGATCAACGTTTGAAGAAGTGATGACCTCGTCGGGCTCTGGAGGATGGCAGAATGATGTCGTAAGGATGCTAGTCGGCTTTCCCTTATGCTTTTCAGCATTCCTCGGGTTCGACAGCATGGCGCACTTTAGTAAGTTGAGCCCCGTTAGCAAAGTACCTTGCTAATACGTTGCAGGTGAGGAAACAGTTGACGCCCGGAAATACCTATCCAAATACCTAATCGGCTTCTTGATGCTCAACTGGTTTCTCTTTGCCGCTGTTAGCATCACCCTAGCATTTACACTCGGCAACATCGACAGCCTGTTAGCTACAAACACAGGCTACCCCTACATCGAGCTTGTTCGCCAGGCGTTCGAAACTATGCATCCTCGGGCTGCCCTAGGAGGAACAACGGTGATCGTTGCGTTCATCATCGTTGCGAACTTTGCAGCAGCTTTGTCCGCAGGCACGACGGCTTGCCGGCAAGTTTGGTCCTTCGCCCGTTCAGGTGGGCTCCCATTCAAGGCTCTGAAGAACGTCTCTCAAGCACCACCTGTTCCGTCGGCTGGGCATACAAGAGTCCAACAATGGAAAGATCCACTACCTATCAACGCCCTTTGGGTTGTGGTCGTCGTCTCTGCACTGCTTGCCCTTGTCGGTCTCGGCTCCTCCGTTGCTCTGAACGCCTACAACAGTCTTGCTGGTCTTGCCTTGATCTTATCGTATATCATCTGCCAGGGCGCTCTTTTTATATATCCACAGAACCTGCCGGCTCCTCCAAACGCCTTTATTCGTTGGCACCTATGGGGAATTCCTTGCTTGCTGGCCATGGTCACTGGCACTTTCTTACTGGTGATGTCTACGTAAGTTCAACCCAACGTGCGATTCTGTGTACAGATCATCTAATCGAATGGACAGACTTCCTGTCACGCCGCATCCTAGCGCTGCCTCTTTCCCGTGGCAAACAGTGATATTTCTGGGCTGGTGGTTTGCAATCGGCGGGTTTTGGGTATATCACGGCAATAAGCACTATACTGGGATCAAAAGTACTAGGGAGAGCGGCGGGATGCAGAGATGCTAATTGGGGTGTGCAACGTGCGAAGCGGGTTGAGCTCCCAGTGGTCGGATTGTTGGTCGGTATTGCGGACTGATAGTTTGCGCCGAAAGCCCGTCGACATATGGCAAGAAATAACGAGCAGAACAGCTGCTGAGCTCTCAGAAAAGGCGCACGTGCAAAGCAGGACAAATGACGCGGGACTATAATACGCATATGTGCTTACGCTGCGGTTCCTTGCTATGTCATGGCGGCAGCCGTTCTCGATGTATCAGTGTCTCTGCCTATCAAATAAAGTCCATGAAGCAGAGTCCTACCGGCGCGACAGTCTACAAATCTGCTGCGTACATGCAGACACATCCGACACCCGATAGCAAGCGAGACGGGCATGAACAACGCAGTTCGGGTTTTGCCGACGTTGGCTTGGCTGAAGAGCCGTGGGAGAAGATTGCGCCGGTCTCTCGGGAACAGATGATAGAGCTCCTAGAAGCCAATTGGCCATGGCCTCGTGACCATACGTACAAGAGAGACGTGTGTGTGTGGGCTCTGAGAAGGCAGAACAACGAGAGAAGGCGACAATGGAAGCTTGGAGCAGGTGATAAGCCAGGATCGGCTGCTGAACCAACAGTGGCACTTGCCGCTCGGAACGAGAACATTCAGTCTCCTACTGGGAACATTACCCACGACTTGCAGCCACCCACCAATAGCTCGCAGATCGAGCAGAGAAATGCCAATGCTCTATGAACACGCTACTTTGACCCAGTCCGAGACTGACTGAATAAGACAATGACGTCCCAAGACCACCAGATGCTTGGCATACCCTAAGGTCTTCGAACCGCGCGAAGAACCGCATCATCGATGGCTCTTGTCCAAGTTTGGAGAGACATGAGGTGCAGATCTGTCACGGGGTTGTTGGAAGTATTGGGATGGGCGGGAGCATTGGGAGATACGGAGTGCTTGGTATGCGGGGCGGGGCGGCTCGGCGGCCTGTGTTACCCGCCTTGGTGCTAGCGTTCTTTTCACCCGTTGAGATAGCATTTTCGCTTGGGAGCAGGTTGTGCTCCCCCTGCGGCGCATCATCCAAGTGGCTGCTGGGAGCTTGAACCAATGCATTGCGGCGATCTGTCGGGCTCGCCGGAGCTAACACTAGCATTCCAACTGCATGAGAGATGCATATGTACAGAGACAGTCAATGCGCGGCGGGGCCTGGTGACTTGAGACACGTCGATAGACTGATACCAGGGGCCAAGAATGATTATGCAAATCACATTGCAGCCGGAGCGTCAGCATACAAAGATACCGCAACTCTGCAGTACGCAGTTAGTCAATATACTTTTCGCTCTCAAGGTCTTCTCGTGTCTATTCCAATTTCATAGACTCTTTCCATGGCCTTAGAGGCTCTAACAACGAGAGAATGGCCATCGCTCGCGCGAATTCCGGACTGCCTCCGCCCAATCGAAATCATCGGCCTTAAGCAAAAGTCAGACGGCAGATCGTCGTTCCTTTTCAGACTCTACCAGAGCGAAATAAGTTGGTGTTTGCTTGAGAAATTCGACGAGATTGATGTCTCATATGTCGACACGATTTACTACCTGTTCGAAGACAATCAACCAGATAAACTCTTACCTTATGCCCTGGTTAGATGGCACCCAATTTGGTTCGATATTCCGACTATCAAAGCCTGCAACGCTTTTATGGTGGTGGCGAACGCTTTCCTCTGTATAGTCGGGCAATGGCTTGATCAGAGTGGCGATAGCAGTTGGCGGTCGGCAGAGCGATTGCACTGGGACGGTCTGAAGCATGAGATACGAGATCCAACAAACGGGAAAGTTGCGCATTTATGCCTTGAGGCGAACTGCAAGCGTTGCAATGCAAGAACAAACGAAGACGTACACGAGCTATCGAGGCATTTCGATGAGTTCACACTCTTGGAAGAGAGGAAAGCACTCACAAGCGAGGTACGAGACTCAGACGCTAGTTACAATATGTGAAGGGACAAGAAGGATTTGACCGCGTGTACCGAAGGTTTATCGATAGCAGACGGTCATAGGTAGCATGCATACGATGTAGTACGTGTAACTGGAGCGACTAGAGCGGGGCCACTGTGCCTTAGCGATTGGTCAATATATCTACATATGCTATGCAGATTCGTTTCAGCCAGTGGGACGTTCTCGACCCTAAAGCTATTGACATCATAGCTTAGAGTAGTGTACAATAGCTTGTACGGTTATAATGCCCGCAAGCACTTCCCAGGCTAGGACGGTATACCTCCGAAATTTCATATGGCCGAGCGGGTCATACAGGAGAATGGTACAAATCAACCTTTACCGCGGAGCCGCGGATGTCGGCGTCTCAGCATCTTAGAGAGTAGATGCCACCCTTTGCAGCTCACACTCAATTCTTTTGCACAACTCAGTAGCGTAGACCCTACCCGAACCATCTTTCTTGACTCGTTGCAAATTGTTCGCGGCAACCCAACCAACATACAGACTAGCCAGATCGTTCACAGGCTGCCCGTCCGTGGCCCGCTCCTCCTCGGTATTGGTACTCGAGATCAAGTGCTTTCGGCCCGCTGCTGCTGATAGTGTTGCCCAGCACCTGTCAGATAGTTTGAAGTATATGCGACCAGGCCCATGCATCAGATCGACAAATAGGACAAATCCATACACCTGAATGTGTTCAGATACAGCCGGCGTAGGTAGGCATACTGAGCCTAGTTGCCACACTGCAGTAGGCTTACTCAGGAGAGACTCACACGCGTGTCTAAGGGTGCTGGGCTGTACATTCCGATTCGTTGTAACCTTGAGGCTTCTCATGACCTTCCTGAGCCAGAAAGGAACAGCATCGCCAAGTACAACCGAAGTCCTGCCACGAGGCTTTTCAGGCTGAGCCCAGGCGGGAAGGATAAAACGTTCACTGATCGTCGGTGGTGCTGCAACTACTGTGACGGGTCTTTGTGCCGGAGATTCGGCAGTAGCATTCTTCGTAGCGCTGTTCGTAAGAGGCAAAGATGCCTCCACGTCCGATCTGTGTAGTAATACGCTGAAAGATCCGACGGTAGGCTCATCTTGAGCCTCGCACGACCATGCAGGACTGCGGTTGTAATCCGTGCTAGCGAGGGCTTCAGATACCTTTGGGACACATAGCGAAGCTTCGTTGTAGTGCCTGAATGTACAAGCGTCCCAATCGTTGCTAGCGTTATCGGCCGCATCGATGCTGTACGTGGAAGGAAAGTATAGCAGGGTAGGCTGGGGGTCAGTCTCGTATTGATCGCAAGCTGAAAAATATGAATAGGCCGCGCCAGCGGAGAAATCGCGCCTCTCGGACGTCATGGTCAGTGGTGTAAAGATGTAGAATTATAGATGGACGTGGATGTGATGTGAGTCCGTCGTGGACACTAGCACGGCAACCCGCCCTCACGGAAGACTCGGAGGCGAGGCACTCCTCGTATCCCTCGCGTACTGCCATTATCTGAGTGTTCATCCGCCTAGTCGTAGTGAACAGGTAGAGTTGATCGCGAGCTTGATAGCCAGAACTGCGACGGTTACGTGTGCTACATAGCTAATGATAGGACGATGTTCGTCGAACCGACGGGCACTCCGAGATCGATACCCAGATGCGGTACGGCACAGGCCGCTGCAGATAAGGGAGAACAGATTCGGCATGCGTAATATAAGCTTGCATGATTCAGGCCTAGCACAGCTTGTCCCTTTTGAAGACGTCGGCAACTGGATCACGTCCTCACAGCCTATCCACACTGTCGGAGTTTTCGCTGCTTACGCCGTGTCGCGTTGCTAGCAGTCTCTTCCTGGAAATGGCAGCATCATCCGCGAGGCGGTTGCCCGAGGAGCGCTCGGAAGATCTTATCGAGTATGGCGGACAACTAAGTCCACCTTGCAGCCGCGTGAGGAGCGTTATGCGTCTTCGTTAAACTCTGTACTAGACGTGGTCTGTCTTGCGTCACCGTGTACTGTTTGCCTATCACTCTTCACGGCATCAATTTCGTCGGCGATCAACGGGCGAGACCCTGAGGATTGGGAATTTTCGGAAAGGCCTAATTCCTTCTCCCTGATTCGTACGAAATCAATACGTGACATCCGCCAATACAGGATATCTTCGGTTATAGCAGGCAAGCCCAAAGCGACGAGTTCGCCGTTTAACTCTTCAAGAATGTCTTTGGCGCGAGCTGGCTCAACAGCGCTCCATGCATGGAGAACACCTTGAGACTGCGCTACTAGTGTCTTCGCTTTCTCTAATGTAATACGCTCTCAAATGTCAGTCTTTAAAAGTACGCAGTTTCATGAAAGCTTACCTGGAAGCTGCGCCAATTAGGCCATGAGTATCCAGTAACTGCACGAACCTCCGAAGCTGGTGTACGGATGCGAATCTTTAGCTCGGAGCCCGACATCGGGCTTAGACGGCTGAGCAATGCTTGCCAAACAATGAAGAACGAAGTGCAATCAAAGTTTTACACCCCCGCTCATCCGTCCGCTAGATGTCGTTTCCGCTCGAGGATGTCGTGTTCCGTCGAGATTGTCATGTCAAAGCTAGCCTTCGTAGTGAAGCCGAAAATACCTTAGAGCAGGACTCGGCCGGGAGCTAAAGCAGACTTCATTCCAACCGACGGCGTCGTATGCACGCAAGAATAGGGACACCTTAGGAACGATGCGACATATCGTTGTGTTCTCATTGCCTGTAGCTGCTTCCAAACGCCGGCATGCTCGCCGAGGGTGCACGAGCATCGTACATATCACATGTCGCGTCTGTCCCAGAAAGAGCTAGCGAAGAAGTCCAGGACAACTGTACGCCAACTACTTGACGGTTCATATCCCGCACCGGTGGTACGAACAAGGCGTACGAAAGCGACACATGAGTGCAACGCCCAGGCAGAACGAGGTGCTGCTAGAAAATCACGGGTCTTGGTCGGATCGCTGCTTTCTGACGCAACGGTCAACTGGTCACTACCAACCCTAAGCGACCTGCGTAATTCTTGTCTTAGCGCACAGCTATACTGCCTCCTGCGTTACATGTGTTGATGTCAGGCGTGGACCTTGTAGGACACTACGAAGCGAGCATATGCATAGCTCCTCGAACTCTCCATTGGTGAGATCGAAGAACATCTTAATAGTGTCGTACTAGTACCAGCGGTGCTCTCTTACCCAAGAAGGACTTTGCTCGAAGTATATGCTAACAATACTTAGCGCGTATCTAATGCCCACGATCTTCACACGACGCAGCGAAGCCAATGCTACAGTGATATCGGCCAATAGTCACCGAGCTTGTAAGAATCGCAGCGGTCCTCACAGGCTCGAATCCGATTGGCTGCGCTGCGCTATGCCAGGCAGCGGGTGACACACCTGTACCAGGCCCACTTTTCTGCATGTAGCTTTCTAGCTCTCCCACATCTCTTCGTTCTCCTGCACGCCGTCTTCCATTCCTGCCATGCAAATCTACGCGGCAGAATCGCCGCAGATGCAACCTCACTGCCTTCACTTAAGCACCGGTGCGCTAGAGGTCATCAGGTTGCCAAGTTGATCGGCAGACTCTTAGCGACGTGGGATGCGTGCTAGGTCCAGTCCCAGCTTAAGATACAAGACCCGCAGTCCCTCCTTCACCGCTTGTACACTCGCTACGTCCAATACTGGTTCTTAGGCTCTGACAAGGCTCAGTGGCCAGGGCGCTGGTTCACTTTTCTGCATTTCCGGACACTGCGCCTTTGTTTTATACTCTATGTCGCGCCCGTCAAGCTCCGCTCTTGCCACCTCACTTGCGGACGACGACATGAATGGACGTCTGTGCGCTTTTGTCAAGAAGAGCGCCGGGTTTAAGTGGACAGACGTTGCGTTAGCTGCAAAGACACTCGTGCCGGAAGGCAAATGGAGAGTGCTGCGCGGCGACGTGAGAAGAAGTGTGATTTTCTGGGCCGACCAGATGGTGTATCATATAGAGCGCGCCAAAGACGAGTTGTGCCTGTCGCCTGACGCCTCGGAAGCTGAGCAGCTTTCTCAGCTCGACCGAGTAATTGTACAGTGTCCAAGTATCTTGCTCCAGTTGAACGCTGACTCTGACACAGCAACGCCTTGTTCGACACGTTCTGTCATGGACGATGATTAGAAGAGCAGCGCCTGCCCTCAAGGACTATAGACAAGCTATTTGGGACGATCGTTTACTTCCGTCTTGGCTACGATACAGCGACAATACAGCGAGCCTCATGTGCGAACACTGTTTTTGGATTAGCTATGCGCTCATCCTTCCTATCAGGTGTTCGTTATCTGAATTTGCGCTCGATCTGGACACTTGGTATGAGGTATTCCGCTTGTTGTTCCTACAAGCCGAAGGGAGCGAAGCGCAGCCTTACAGCTCTGAACTCCTCACTCAGATCGAGATCTGCGCGGAGGCAGATCATGACACAAGAAGCAAGCATTCTATACCTGGTACTGAATTGTACCTCCTGGCAGCAGACATCGACAAACATCCGCCAGGTGTTGGCGAAGTGTGTCACGATCGCAATGAATCAGAAGCTGTGCCGATGAGAGGATAAGCTCGAACGAATCTAGAAACCACTGCAGATCATGTATCTGAAAGCAGTGCCCCAAAGGGCTTGTAAAAGCAAAATCGCTACGTATCGGCACTACTATTGAGTAATGTCGAGACCGGCCATCTTTGAGGTTGGCTTGTAGTCGTGTTCGAAGCCCAGGATGTCAGAGACTAGAGAGGATTCCGTCGCAAAGGCGGGAATCAGCTGGAGATCATTCGTTTCATCCTCTTACAAGGAGCTCACGTCGACCACGTAATGTATTAGGACGATTTCACGTCGTACAATGTACAGAAGGCTTTCGGACTGGGGACTGCATTACAAGGCAGCACGACTCGGTAGGGTACATGTCATCGAGCTTCTTGCGGCACATGGGGCAAGCCCGTTGATCGAAGTTCACTGCCGCAGAACGGCTCCTACATGCGCGGGGATAGCGCGCCACCACCTTAGCCATCCTCCCGCAGAGCGCGGCGATATGGGAGTAAGGTCAGTGTAGCTTTGTTCGGAAGACTACTCGATAACGGGCCAAAACACGTATATAAGTCCGCGGCGCCGCGGCATGCGTTGATAGCTTGTGTGCTTGAGGTTACTAGAAACTGCGAATGGTTGTACCTGTGTACTGGTAAGCCTTGCACACGAGCTGCAACCACGGGACCCTGCAGAGATATGTTTCACGCCAACTCGCTGACTACTACTGCCATGTCTGAAGCAGCGAACCGGAAGCTCCCACCGTCTACACCAGCCGAAGATGCGAAGGCTCGGCTCGGATATGACAATGACAACTCTGCGCGCGACGCATACGCTTGGGGCCAATCCAACGTAGGTGAGCAATCGCGCTAAATCCCCTATAGACAAGGACTAATCATACAAAGACGCAGGCTCGACTGATCTGGTCGCAGCTTGAGACGCAGCTATCCGACTCCTACTGGGAGAATGTTCCACCGTGGACTCGTGAAGGAAGGTCGAATCCCTGCAAACGCAATCGCCGTGGGAGCTTGATTTTTCCGATGGGAACGATACATTTGAAATTCGGCACTTAGGAACAAGGACTTAGACCACTGCAAGTCGGCAGGGGTCTGAGCCTCCAGCGACGGCCTGTGGAAGCTGGACCGACAAGGAAAGGTCATTGAGGAATGAGCGGAGGCGTGCACGCAATTGGGGAACGGAAACAAGTGATGACGTACTCCTCAGCGCTAGACTGGGGAGACTCGACGAGGAGACACCGATCGGACACCGCCTGTTTGATTCCATCATTTACTAGGCATCTTGGAGGGCGGCACTAGTGTAGCGCGATCTCCATCCGGAAAAGCGTGTATTGCCTGTCAAAGGCTAGGAAGCAGGACTTAGACCTGATTAAACACCGTCTCTGCTTGGAGCTTGGCGACCAGCGACCCAACCTCAACAGAGTCCGTTCCAGACTATTGCGCACAACAGGGTTTTCAGATGCAATGCAAGGGCGACTAGAGCGTCTCCAGCGAGTAATTGCAAGTAAGTCGACTCACTGGAGACACAATTCCGCCGTGGCTTTAGATGGTACGATCATGTATTGGGTAGAATAGCAGGCTGGGTCGAGATTCCGTAATGTGTTACGTCAATTGTAACGAAGTGACTGGCGTTCTGCTGGTTCACCCAAGTAGCTGCTAGGCAGTGCTTGCCATAGAATCTGTCGAGACACTGGACGACGAAGTAATAATGATGCTTCCGCAGGCAGTCGCTATTTCACTGTCATAGACATGTTCTCGATCGAACTCCTTTATGGAGCAGATATCTTCTCTTGCTGTAATCGTGTGTACCATGACGAAGCCGGGATCAAGCCGGTCATGTCGATGCAGCAGCGTAAGTGCGAACGACTCGTGGACTTCGTGTGCGATAAGAATGCACCCAATCTCTTGCAATAGCGGAACATTCTCGTCGTTAACCTGCTCTGAATAATGTCTGATGCTGTTGAATCGTGCGCTGTAGTCTCCGATGCGTCGCGGCATTATCTTGTAAAACCTGCAATCGTTCTCGTTACCCGTGACTCGCCTCTAACCGATCTGCTAAGCGACGTCAGTGCGACCGAAGGACTGAATATCGCGCGAAGTTTCCTGCATGCGCGATTGCGGATATTCCCCCACATTGCCCCCACGCTCTCATCTTGTTGGTGCCTTGAAGCCGACAAGTCTGGCTGAGCGGAAACAGAGAGTCCGCCGCCAAAACCCCACCTCCCCCTCGTCAGACGCGTTCCAATACCCCGACGTCTGCTTTGCAAAGAATTACACCTGGCGAGGCAAGTTCGCAACCATTGAAGGACGCCTCCCCAGAATCAAGTCTCGCTTCCGCACCGCGCAGGTTCTCTTGCTCGAACTGGCATGGCGAAGGAGTATCGGGATCTGGTCGACAACACCTTGGTCGAGGGTGAACCGCAAAAACTACCTACGTTCGGGCGAACACTACAATCATCATGTGCTCGGTGGCTAGGACCGGATACGCAATGGTCTTGGCAACAAAATTCACCATGGCTACGGGCCCAGGCCCAAACTTTGCCAAACGTTCACTCGCAGATCACGTGGCAACCACAACCCGCACCTGAATTTCCGCTCGTGTCGCCTTCAACGCAACCTGTCATGCAGGATGTTGTGCAAACGCCCCGGGAGAGCACTGAACAGAGCCTAGGACAAAAGCCATTGCAGAGCTCGTTGCAAAGTTCATTGCAGAGTCAGCCACGAATCCTATTGGTGAGTACAGAGTCTAGGGCGATATCCAGTGCAGTCGCATATCAAGCTCACTTCGCATTTTCATCGCCATCGCAGCCGGTGCCGGCCCCAGACGTTGCTCCGCAAGACCCGCGACTCAACCCACAAATGTATAGGTATCATGTGGATAGATGTCGAACGGCACGTTGTCCCAGACTGAAACGAGATGCGGCCAGTTTCACTGACGGGTTATAGGCGTGTCAGTCCTGTCGTATACGTAAGAAAAAGTGCGATGGACGCCAACCATGCCGTGCATGCGCAGAATCCAACTTAGAGTGTGAGTATCGCTATCTTCCTCGGCGTCGAGAGGAGACCTCGCGCCAGGCAATCGATACGCTTACGGAATCTGTTAATAACCTTACCCTGCGGGTGATATCCTTAGAGGAAGCTATTCGTAACATCAAGCAGTTACCTTAACGACCCCATAACGAGGCGAGCTTGGCGTAAGCGAGAAGTGCGGTTACTATAGATCTAAGCGGTCACGTTCAGGGCTATTCATTCTTCATACGAACGCGTACCGCGTGACCTGCCCTCGATATCGAGTAGCAAGCAACGGCGTATGCGAAGATATATAAAGCGAAGACGCGGGTTTTCGTGCTTGAAAGCTATCCTGTTCAAGCTAAGGATTTTGTCGATGTTGCTTTTCATGTCAATATTCAAGCGTTGTGTGTTATTATGTCAAGTAGTTTCACCTCTGTTAACAATGTCAGATTGGCGTATATCCTATAAGGCACTGCAGTAGCCGGCACGTGTAACAACTGGATGGACCTTTACTTCCAAGCGGATAAGCGAGCTCGAGCGCTTCTGCGTCGCGTGGCTGGCAGATACAACCTTAGCATGTCGCCGGTGAAGCATTGTAGGACTAACCGCGCTTGTCCTGCCCCTACCTAAATCGAGCGTAGTGCTGGCTACTAGCATGCTGCAACTTAGCAATTGCAATTGCTTGACTTAGTGACAACGAACCGGACGTGCAGACTAATAAGGTGAAATTAGGCATCGTACGTACTGTATATATACTTGACTGCTTTAAGCAAATAATAGTCCAACTAGCATTCTCGTATCTTCAGATTGGTCGCTATAGTCTTTGCTTAGTTTTTCTGGCTCTAAATCGAGACGGTCGATAGAAAGGCTACGTTGCTGACCTTCTAGCTAGCGTTATATAAGAAAACGGATAGTCGATAAGGTACGTGTATGCAGTAGCGTATAGCTTCGCTAGACCATTCGATTAGTGTTGTCGAGAAACGTTACCGCTGTTGCAAGAAGAAGTGCTATACTGATTGGACGAGCACCCGCTTATGCTGCAGGGTCGTTTAGTCCTCGTCGGAGCTTTATAGCCCGCGCACTCCGTATCTTAATGCTCCGGTGTCTTTCTTGCTACTGAACTAAAACCCTTTGATACACTTCTACTATACTACAAGGCCCGGATCATGGATTGTCTAAGCAGCACATACAGGCTTGAGCAATATTCTGATGCTAGAATTCAGCAGGTCGTTAATGTGTGTTGCGATCCTAGCCGAACGTGTCTATCTAGCAACGGCAATTCTAAGGTCGTTCGAGCCGGCAACATCGCAATCAAATTCGGCAGGGTTACTAACGAAGAGGTTGCTGGCCAGCTTCACGCCCGAGAGTTACTCGATCCGGCAATTGTTAGAGTGCCACAGATTTACTCATACTTTTCCTTCAACGGCGAAGACTACGTTGTTATGGAGTTTGTGGATGGCGCCAAGCAAGAGACCATTGAGGACGATGAGACTGTTGTTAAGGTCGGCCGCATCGTGAGTCACTTGCACACCTTTACCAGATATGCACCGGGTCCAGTGAATATGGGCAGGTGCATGGGGCCGCTATGGTCGGAGGATGAGCGGATGTCCTTTACTAGCACCCAGAGCCTTGAGACATATGTCAACTCACGCTTAGTACGACAGACTGGCATGTTTTCTATATCCGATACGCCGATGGTGTTTACACACGGAGACATTGCACCACGCAACCTACTCTTCGCAGTCTCCGGTATATGGTTACTGGACTGGGAATTCGCTGGCTACTTTCCGCGTTCTGCGGAGATTGCTACGTTTCGCCTTGACGCGGGAAAACGCGCCTCAGATGTACCGTTTTACGACCGTCTCGAGGCCACGATCCTGCAGAGGAACCCACTAACCTTGGCTGAGTCGGCGCAGGTTGCATGTTGGCAGGAACTTGCTCTGAATCATCTTCGATTCTATTTGTAAGTGTTATTAATGGTGTTGGATTTACCGGAGGGCCGCTGACAGGCTCCCAGTCCTACAGATCAAGAAAAAGCAGCTGTGAAAAAGCGTCGTAGGAAGCTCAATGGCATTCTGGCCCAACCATAGCTGTTTCGCCGCGCTGAGCGCGACGTGTTGTCCGAACAACTTCTTACTCTGACTCATCCTCCGCCTCGTCCAGCTCCCTTGCCCTTTGCGACGTGAGTGCAATTGTTGCGCCATAATTGACCGAATGGTCGACAATCTCCATTCCCCTATAGTTCGCTGCTGAACTAGCTGCGCGTGGCAAGCCCGGATGTCGTCCGACGTCTGCAACTGTCGCCCGGCCTGGCGAAGATTTGACAGCTGCTGTGCCGCCAGGGCCGGTCTGACGTGCCAGTTCTGTAATGCCAACGTGAGCGTTCGCATGTGCTCACTAGTGCGTTGGATAGACGATCGCACATGCGCCTCCATAGCTTCCCACAACTGCCTCGCGATACGCTGAGTTTGATCCTCATCAAAAGACCCAGGGACAACTATTATGCCAACTTGTTGGGCTCTCCGGGAGTACTGGAATGAAAGGTTGTGCAGAAGTGTCACTGCAGAATCAGACTGGACCCAGTGTACTGAGGCAAAGAGCTGTAGGAGGGTTATGCTAAATGGACGTCAGTCTCCGCTCTATATCATACCAGATCATTTCGCAGGTCGTACTGCCAATAGCGACACCCCATCCCACCATTTGCAAAGCAGAAATCGTTCAAGGAGGACCGACGAATTGCTCCATACACCATGCGGACTGTAAGCCGCATGATAGTGGTTATGTGAAAGCCTGTTATGTAGGACCGACTAGAATCCGGACGATAATCTCTGCTCACCATTTCGAAACGACCATTGATGTCGTCTTGGTCTACATGTCGTTCGTTGAGCTGGACCGATCTGCTGTTCGGTAGTAAGAGATATTGTGTGACGTGGTTGTTACTGAGCTCCGACGTTTCCCATCTTCCCTCCGTATGCACAACGATCGTTATCCCTTCGACTAATTCATCCCAATCGCGGTCAGAGATCGCTATCCGTAGATACTGGCTCTCCATCTTTAGTTCTGCTCTTTAGGCCCGTGTTAAGCAAGAGGTGAATACGTGCCTAGCTCTTTACAGGCATAGGGAAACAGGGTAAGAGTCGGAGGCTGCTATACAGTCAGGGTATGCTGCTGTCTGTACGCCGAACGTATATAAGCCGACGTGTGCAATCGCTTAAGCCTAACTAAGCTCGGACAGTTACTATAAAGCTAAGACGACCTCCTGCATGAAGCTCTTTCAAGACTATAGGGTGAACCCATAATGCACGGCAACGTACCCTAGGCTGATTTGCGGTAAGATAAGAACGTTTAATGTCGGAAATCGACTAGCAAGGTCGATTTGATCGAATCATTTGCACTCAGCTGTAGCGGCCGCGACGACTGCCTCCAGCTTCACTCTAGTCCGGCTGTTTGCGCAGGTCCGCGCTTGACGAAACAGTGGGCTGCAATACAGGTTCGCTCACGCCACTGCCAATAACCGAAGGCTCATTCGATCCCTGAGTCCACCTCCACACCTAGGTTCAATAACCGTGAGGTTCATGTTACAGGTCGTGCGATGCCTATCCTTTTAGCGCTGCAGGTGTGCTCGATGGCATACGTTCCGAGACTGCGGCTCGAGCGTGGCAACACCTTTGTTCTTCTTAGACATGTTCGATACGTCCTTCATCGTTCCAACAACGTCATTCTCCCTGATCGTGATGAAAGATATCTCAAGGTGCCGGCATTGCCGCCGCCGCCGCGGCGCTGGACCAAATCCGCAACCCTAAGGTGCTTAGCGGCAGAAATATTCAGTGTTTCAGACAACGCTCGCATCGCACTCCCAAGACCCAGTGCTTGAAACAATGACATTTTGTGGGAAGAAGGCACCCAGCACTTCTGCCGCCTACCGCTTCCTTCTTGTTGTACTCCTTGATAGCGGTCCAACTGTCGTAGCCAGGAACGACGGGCAACGTCCTCTACTCTTGCAGCGGCGAAGATCACGGATGCGTTGGTGAAAGACTCGGGACAACGCAAATGAATTATTGCTGTTTGATGACGATGTAGACCTGTTCGCCGTAGTCAGTGCATAACTTTGTTGACCGCCCGTAAAGCTGGCATATCGCTCTACGGCGTTTGATGTGTCCGCCGCAACCGCGGGTCGTGCCGTGGTGCAAAAGTTCGGATGGAGCGACTTGTGCAGCCAACCCTCGGTGCTACGCGCAGTAAGCGGGAATAGCCGATCCGCTTCTGGCCACATCTATTCTTGAAGCTGGCGCTTCGTTGAAACAATTGCGACATGTTGGCATTTTTGTTGTCCAACGATGGGATCACATCACTTCGAGCTGCACAACGTGCACCACATCCAGAAGCAGACTGTGTCAGGCCGGGTCCGCAGAAGCAAACGCCTCGAGCAAGCCGCGGAACTGCACAACATACACACTCCTCATCGCCTCCCTTCTCCACCGAGCGATCGGTCGCAACGAGCATCAAAAAGAAAGTCCTTGCGGAACGACGATTGTGTTCAGTACGCGGAACCGGCCCGTAAGAAAAACCGTAAAATCGAGACGGTCAGTCAAGCTAGAGGGAAAGAAGCTGGCCCCGACGACCAGTGCGTTCGCTGGGAGGAGTACTTTGGTGATTGGCCGCCAAAGGTGGCGGAGGAAAGTATGACTGCGCGGGAGCCTCGAGCGACAAAGCGCTCCTACACTCTATCACGGTCAAACAGCTACACTCAGCGGGCCCGTGATGGAGGTTCTCCCGCGGCGTGGACGAGGAAGCATGAAGAGAGAATGGAGGAAATGGGACTGTTCATGACGGCGGATCAGACTCAGGCCACGCTTAGGTTTGAATGCCAACAACTGTGTGACCAATTGCTCAAAGCCGACTACTCTGTGCCGGCAGGCCCAGCTTACCAGCAAGACCGGCTAGCTAAGGTATTCAAACGAGTGCGATTCCGGAACGAAGCTCGTGTGGTCCGTGATGTGATGCCGATCATTGTTCCATCTCCCGAACTGCTCCACATTGACGGTCACGCCGTACTGGACAATATCTGCGAGGCCATGAACGCGGAATGGACACAATGCGACACTTTGTGTGGCCCTAGGCCCAAGCCAGATTTCGTGGGAGGTATATCAGCCGCTGCATTCACGAAAGAGGAGCGGGAGAAGCTGCAGCTGAATCACACGAGCGCATGTCCCAATCTGTTTCCGGAGAACATGTACTTTCCCTTTTTGATCTGCGAAGTAAAGGGAAGCGACCGCCCAATCGAGGAGGCGGAGCGACAAGCCATGCACAGCGCCAGCATCGCAATTCGAGCTGTGATAGAACTTTTCCGGAAGGTATCAGCGACCGCAGAAGTTCACCAGAAAATTCTCGCCTTCTCCGTTGCTCACAACCATGCAATGGTGATGATATTTGCTCACTTCGCCTTGGTCGAGGGCGAGAACAGCTCTTTTCACCGTCGCTTGCTACATATCAGTCGCTTCGCTGAAGACCTTAGTTCCGCTGAATGGACGAAGGCGTACAACATCATTCGTGCAATTTACGAGCACTATGTTCCTCAACACGTGTGCCGGATTCGGAGCGCTCTGTCAAGAATGCGGAGTCCATCGCTAGCATCCTCCACAACGCACCTCGACATTGAGGAGGATTCGCAAGGCTCGGCGCTCGAACAGTCTTCGTCGCAAGAGGATGGGAGGTTTAAGAAGCCTTCTCTTCCTTCAGTAACGAGGCTACAAAAAGAGAATGATAATTTGCGTGACAAAATCCTGCAGATATCACAAGAACAGCAAGTGGAAGCCAGACGGCAACATGTAGAACGGCAGGAGCAGGAGCTGACCATGGGAAAGCAGCTAATGCAGCAGAGGGAGCAGATGGAGCATCAGCTGGCGCAGCAGAGAGAGCAGATGGAGAAGCAGCTGGCGCAGCAGAGAGAGCAGATGGAGGAGCAGCTAGCGCAGCAGAAGGAACAGATGGAGAAGCAGCTGGCGCAGCAGAGAGCAGAGTCTCGTGAGCAGAAGGTTTTGATGGAGAGGCAGCTGATACAGCAGGGGGACATTATCAATCTATTGAAAGCGGCGAAAGCGATGTAGAAATCATCGCGCCTATGTAACATATCGTCGCTTCTATGCTCATCGGTATTCTGGGCTTTGCGTCAATTGCATTCCACGGTAACGGCCAAAGGCGGAGGATTCTTTAGCAGGAAGACGGAGTTTGAGAATGAAGATCACGACGGAGCGCGATCAGTGACGAAGGAGATAGTGAATCAATCGGTCAGTGGCTGCACACGCATTGCTTGGAGAACCTTTGGCTCAGCCAACCTGTACACCGACGTTTAACTGAAGGCGCAGAGCGCCGCCAATTAGATGGTGCAGCCTGCTCGGCGCTTTGAAACACCTTAGACAGACGCACGGACACCGCAGCATACATCACGTTCCGCTGCCACCGATGTCTGCAAGGCGAACCATTTGCCTTGAGTGCTGGCAGGTTTTAAGTCTTGCTGCGTCCGCCATCATCGCTCGACCACTGACCCCTTCCTTGTGCTAAGATGGTTCTATGCACTGTCCATACGCCTGACGAACCGGACAATACCTGGACGGTTGTCCGGCCTCCACGGTGCCACAAGAACACAAAGGGCGCTTATCGGAAGCCTATACGAGCTTCGGACGTCTCTACTGCCGCTCGTCGCGCCCAGCATTCCATTCAGAAACCTCCAGCTGTGGCCAAGTCGCCATCTTGGTCCTTACAGAATAACGATACACCGTCAATGCCGTCGGTCTTGCCGCAGCATTCCATGCTCGTCACTAATGGAGACTATGCTCAAGAACAAGCCCAGGAGCCCTTTGGGGATTTTGGAAGCGCGCATGCTAGTCAGAGGAACTCACCGGCATCCACGGCTCTCGGAAGGCAACTCGCTGCTCTTGAGTTTATGCCACAGTCAGGAAGCTCAGGGCCCGGCGACAAGCCGTCAAGGTCTACTAGACAGGCAGTCACCCGCAATACCAAAGCAAGACCTACTGGCATACTGACTCTGGCTGAAAAGGCCAACTTCACCGGCCTCATCCTCCAACCTGACTCTCCTCATGTCACTGAGGAGCAACTCACTACTGAAATCAGAGCAATCTACGCCGGCTTAATTATGGCAGAGGCCAAGTGTATCAATGTTGACGCTGCGCTAGCAGCAGACCCGAACAGTAAACTTGAGGACTCGCAGTGGCAGGCGCTCGTTGCGCTACACCGTACCCTGATGTACGAACATCATGATTTCTGTATGGCGACACGACACCCTTCTGCGACACCGTCCTTACGTGGTCTGCCGATCAAATATGCTATGCCCGGTAAGTAGCAAGTGTATGTTGTGTCGGAGTTCGGAGCAGACTCTAATCGAGGTGCAATATTTATAGCCAGGATGTGGAAGCACGCTATCCATACCTTCCTCGAGCTGCTCCGACATCGCAGACCCGACTCGCAAGACTATCTGGAGTCCTTCCTCTATCTCGCGTACCAAATGATAGCACTGTTATATGAGACTGTACCAGAATTTCTCGATACATGGATTGAGTGTTTAGGTGACCTGGCTCGCTACCGTACGGCTATAGAGACCGACCGTCCGACTTACAATTCCTGGGCTACCGCTGCAGCAGGATGGTATAACAAAGCATCTGACCGACATCCACAGATCGGCCGTTTGTATCGTAGGTCTCATCCGTCTCTCCATACTCGATGCTAGCTAACATGCATTATCACCATTAGATCATCTAGCGATTCTACAGCCACCAGGTCTCCATAAGCTCGCGCTATACGGCAAGTCAATGAGCTGTGTGATTCCGTTCTCAAATGCAAGAGATTCTCTTGCACACCTCTGTGCCGGTATTCTTAAGAATCAGCTTCATGTCGACTGTTCTCCGAGCAGGGCTGTCGAGGCTGCCTTGTGTAAGGTCTCCGCCGCGATCTGCTTAGGCTGGCCTGATGCGGCAATTAGCGAAAACTTTGACGAAGCAATATCCTTCTTGAACAAACCCGACACGTTCTCTTGGCGCTTCTGTGGTGTACCACTGGCTATAGCAAACATCTCTGCGCTGTTCGGCAATGGATCTTCCCTCAACTTTCTTCGCCAAACATTGGAGTTTACCAACCGCGAAGATACCAAGCTTTATCATGATAGCGGTGAGAAGCTGTCCGAATGCGACGACACGGCCCCTAGCCCGACGGACCTTGGCTGTGCTGAAGCTTCCCGGCTACTCTTGTGGGCCAAAAGGCTCACTCTTGCTTGCTGGACACCGGCTTTGCGCCTGGCCTCTACCGGCGATACGATGGCATTCAATCATACTATGCTTTCCTTCGTCCACTGTCTGGCTAGAGCGGAGGCTAACTGTAAAGCTGTACCTAGTGTTTATAGGGCACTGACGTCTGTTATCACGCTTTCAGACTTTGCCTGGTCCGAAATCAGCGAGCTCTTAAACCGGGTTGCTCAAGTATATCCATTAACACTTGCAATCATGCAGCATGCTAAGCAAGGCACATGGCCGGGCTCAGAAGACGTCTTGAGTGCTATGCCTCTACCGGAAGACTGGAGTCTGCGGGGCATGATCTGGCAATTTGCGTGTTTCTGTCCGGGTTGGTTCAATGGGAAAGGGGACATTTGGGAAAGAATGGTGGAGGACGATCGTGCGACCATAGCACGAGCAGAGCGGACAATATACCTTGGCCTGAGATTGGCATTCGTGGGTTACGTTTGTCTATATGTGGTGTTGAAAGCTAATATCTCGTAGGAGACTGAGTATATCAGCTACGACCCTGTTGCTCACTCATTCTGCGCTGCAACCGCTTTCAGCTCCAACACTCACACGCTGTCGGTTGCGCAGCCAACCTGTGCACTACCGGCAGCACCAACTTCGTCGACGTCTTCCACACCTTGGTCCTCTGACTCGGAGCACGGTTACGTCAATGTTCGACGGCCGAGCCGACTGACGCAAAAGTCGTCGTATACAACAAATGCTGCTCCTTCTCTACTGCCTTCAACTGTGGGCATGTGCGCTGCTGGGACCAGAGTTGGAAAGCAGAGTCGGCGAGGCGTAGCGCTTCGGTCTTTCAGAACAACCGGGCGTCCAACAAAGACGCACTCTGGAAGTGAAAGATTGAGGATTGTCAGCTCCGACGAGCCGGTGGGTGACTATGTCCCATAGAGTTTTAGTTAGGCTTCGGGGGCTTAGAGTCATTGGTGATCGAGACGGTATAACTGAGACGGCGATGAAAGCCATCTTGATGCACTTGGTGAAGAACGAAATTACAGCGGGAAACGACACGGTCGGTGAAGTGATGGATTGCGGCGAGGGTGGCGGCTGGCACGTTGGCGCTTTCAGCATGCGACCACTCTCATTGTGTACGTTTGGCAGATCATTGCCCCCCAAATCCCTCTAGCTTATGACATGAAAAAGGCGCACTCAGAAGACCATTTCTGGCACTCACCGTGACCCGCATTCTTGGGAACAGTGCCAGCTGTAAAGAGTTGTGGAACTGCCCAAGGAGTCCCTGCTGGCAAGGATCTGGCCGTTATGGGAACAGACAGCGCTTCGAACATGTACATCCTCCTGTGCTTATCGCCCCTCGGGTTGAGGATCACGGTCTTGTGCGGCCTGTAGTCCACCACCGGGCCGTCGTCCATGTACCTGACCTCGAACATGAGCCTGTACGTGCCGATGCACACGCTCCTCACCAAGCTCTCGACCGGGAATGCCATCCTCGTCGGCAACGGGTAGAACTTCTGCAACGCGACTGCGTAGTTGACCGGGACGTTGATCCCAGTGACATCCGTGATCTCATGCGCGGCTGTAGGCGACTCTATCTGCGCCCACGCGGCCACGTTCCTGCAGTAGATGTAGTACGTGATGTCCCTCACGGCCACGGACCTGCGCGTGATCGCCCAGTGGACCAGGTTCTTGTCCTCGTTCGACAACTCCATGTAGGCGAGGCCCGCGCACGGAAAGTCGTCCATGAACCACTCGTTCCCCCCTTGCCTGTGCACTTCCAAGGTCACGACCTCGTCTTCGTCCTCGTCCTGCCTCTGCTCCTCCTCCTCATTCCCCTCCTCCTCCTGCTGCTCATCCTCGATCGAGGGCACGACCGTCTCGCTGCCGCTGGTCGAGTGCGTGCTCATGGTGGTGGCGCACCATTACAACAGGTTGCAGCCGTACTCGTGCACGCGGTGATGTACTCGTTCATGGACCTGTTCCCGGACGGGGGCGTGGTGCCGGACGCGTACCCCCTCAGCGACCTCTCCGTGCACGTGGTCAGGAGCAAGACTACGATCGGGACCTTGGATAAGCTCATGGACGTCGGCTGGACCATCATGGCGACCTGAATCACGGACGAGAGCAGGAGCACGATCTTGGACAACTGCGTGACCGGCATCTCGATCAGGCTCGGGATGGAGTACGAGCGCATCATCTTGACCGTGGACGTGCCCCTGGCCATGGCCCTGGGCGTGGTGGCGAACATCGACGCGGACGTGCCCGGTGACAACCCCATGATCATCAGTGGGATGAAGAACTCGATCTCGAAGCTGAGGGCGGCCAGCATCTCGGGCTACGGTCCATACGCGACCAGGGGCGTGGGTTTGAAGGAGCCCGCGAAGGTGCCCAACTTGTCGATCATAGGCCTGGACATCGAGGTGACCACGATCACGAGAGGCGAGGGGATGCCGTTGCCGCACGACCCTTTGATCAGCATCGCCATCAGCAATGGGGGGTGGTACGACAAGCAGTTCGAGGACAAGTGCTACCTCATCCACACGTTCGGGTACTGCACCAAGACCAAGTGGGAGGACGGGCGCCACCCCGCGATCGTGAAGGTGGACAACCACGGAGTCGCGGTCAAGACGGCGTACGAGATCCTCAGCCCCGACCTCGTATCCATCCACAACGGCTTCAATTTCGACCTGAGGTCAATCGGGTGCAAGGCTGCGTTCGAGCCCACGATCGAGCGTTCAAGATCTTGTTGGTCAGCATCTACGGCGCGATGGGGAGCAAGCACGAGATCATGGCCTAGAAGACGTGCGCGGAAGCCACCACGTGCGCAGCCAGGTACTTCCTCAAGAACATGATCACGGTCACGGAGCAGAACGGACACAAGGTCATCTACGGGGACACGGACTCGATCTTCGCTGGGTCAAGGGCACGTCCGAGGAGCAGTGCATGGAGGCGGCCACTGTCCTGAAGAAGAGCATCGACCAGAGCCTGGCCGGGACCCCGTTCGAGCACATCGGCGCAGACATCAAGGGGAACTACAAGACGATCCTGATCACGGCCAGGAAGAAGTACGCGGTCGTCGACTGAAACGACAACATGGAGACGAAGGGGATGACGCCTGTGAAGAAGGACACGCTGCCGATCGCGAGGTACGCCACGAGCAAGGTGTTGGGCATAGTCACATCCAACGACGAGTACGCGAGCACGAGGAAGAGCGTGAGTGTGTTCTTGGGCAAGCTCCTGACCGCGCTTCAGAACGACAAGCTGCCGGCAGACATACAGGTGACTGAGACCAAGATCAACTGCCAGCCCCACTACAAGTACAAGGTCACGAACGGGGAGAGAGTCAGCGTCCTGGTCGACACCGGGCTCAACTCCGTGGATGTGGACAAGGGTTGGGTCGTGAAGAGGATCGCGGGTGCGGTCAAGACCATCCTCGAGGCGGTGGAGATGGGCTCGGTTAGGAGCTTGATCTTCTCCTACAACATGGCCACGAAGATGAAGAGGAACAGGACTGTGTCCAAGGACAAGCTCGTGGAGCAGGGCTAGTTTTCGATGCGGGTCAGGACCTCGCTCTTGGTCCTGTACTTCGTCGTGGTCCTGTTCATGACCGTGCCGTGATCGTGGCCATCATCCCAGGTCCTCGCCCTTGGTGGCACACGTGTTGTAGTCCTCGTACATGTCCTGGCTCTCGTCCTGGATCGGCTTCGGGCCTGCGTCGTAGAAGAGGTCCTCGGGCTCGCTCTCGTACAAGTCGCTGCTGTAGGTCAAGGACGGCGTGTCGGAGATGTTCTCGTCCAGGTTGAAGTTCTCGTACTGGGACGTGTGCTGGTCCTCGATCGGGTTCGTGTTGGTGTCCTTGCACGTGATGCAGAGCGCGTGGATACTCCTGGAGATGGACTCGTGGACGACCATGTTCAGCACCAAGTTGTGCAGGCAGGGCACGCCCAGGTTGTCGGAGGGGGAGCTAATCTCGATGATGATGCAGAACCTCCCCTCGTGTGTGCGCGACGCCGTGGACAGCGACGACAAGTGCAACGTGACCCTCTGCTCGGGCTGCAACAGGATCGTGATCAACTGCGACTGCCCACTCCCGAAGCCGGACTCGAGGCAGGTCCAGATGCGCTGGTCGACCGTGTACCTGGACGTGTTTTCGGCCCTCGCTATGATGAACACCCCGGACAAGCCCCAGATGGCGCTCACGTACTTCACGAGCACATGATGACGGCCCTGTCCATGATCTCGATCGTGTTCGTGTCCACCTTCTCCCACAAGTCCGGCATCGCATCCTTGACCAAAACCAGGCCCGGCACCGCGCACATCTTCGTGAACGGCTCGACGTACGTGGACTTGCCGAAGGTGGAGACTACCTCCGAGTTCGGGCCCTTGGTCTTGTCCTTGATCCGCATGGTGACCGGGTCTCTGCCCACGGTGCCAGTCATGGAGTCGTGCACGAACCCGCACCCGAACATGGGCACTCCCTTGGTCTTGAGCATGGAGATGGTCTGGATGTGGTACGAGAGGCTGAACGAGAACACGGCCGGGATCCCCTGCGTGGCCATGGTCTTGGTCGGCATCGCCTTCCTGATGAAGTCCTCGGTCTTGCACCTGGCCCAGAGCACAGTCTGCCTCCCCTTCGAGATCGAGACCAGCTGCGTGTTGAACTTCGTGCTGAAGTCGTAGGGCAAGATCTTGAGCCTCTTCATCCTCCTCTCCAGGTACGAGTAGTCGAGCTAGGGGTCAACCGCAATGCAGGAGAAGCCCTCGTCCAACATCTGCTTCCACTCCTGGAACCACCCCACACCGAAGGACACGATCACCTTCCCGGCCGCGGGCGCCCTGGACTGTGCCATCTCGTACACGCGCTCCCTCATGGAGAAGGACATGGATGTGATGTCCAACAGCACCGTGTTCGTGGACACGTCCGCACTCGCGCTGGCGATTGCCCTCTTAATGACGTCCATGGAGTTGGCCAGCTTCTTGAGCGGCCTCTGTCTCGGGTTGGTGACCTTGATCGCGCCCGTGTCCTTGTCCTTGACCACGTCGAGCTCGTAGACCGTCTCCCCCTCCATCTCCGGGCTCCCGTCCGTCACCCTGACCATCATCGCGCCGTCGCTCCCGTGCAGCTTCCCGTCCATGTACAGGAGGTCGACCGTGGGCTGCTTCAAGCGCATGGTCCTGAACTTGTTCGTGAATATGATCCCGTCGTTGGGCGTGGGCTCGAGCTCCAACTGAACCTTGGACGGCAACTGGTCCCAGCTCTTGCGGTAGATGAAGGGCGGCCTCTCCGTCCTGATCGGGCACACAGACATGTTCATGCTCTTGGGCAGCTTCCCGTCGCTGTTCATGGACAAGGTGTCGACGTAGATCAGACTCCCGTCCATCATCATCTCCGCGAGCACGACGTCGGGCGTGTGCGTCATCTCGGGCAGGTCCTTGTGCGTGACTGTGGCCATGCAGGTGACCACGTCCAACTTCGGGTCTGTGATTGTGATCACGTAGCCGAACTCGTAGCAGAACACGTACACCTTCTCGCCGTCGGCCTTGGCCAGGAACACACCCGAGTACCCGCTCACGTCCGGGACGTCAATGACGACGTGATCGTTGGACCTCACGTTGCTCACGAACTCAGGCTCAATCTCCTTCACCATCGAGCTCACAGTCCCAATCGTGCCCAGGGCCAAGCACAAGACCGACCTCACGATGCTGTTCGTGACCCTGCCCTCCACCTCGAACTCACCCGCGTACGACACCCTCTGCCCGCTCTCGTATCTCCTCGCGATCACATTCATATTCGAGTCCCTCATCCACACCGTGGATCTGATCTCCACCATGTCCACGTCCCTCTGCACGTGCATGATCCTACCCCCGAACGTGTACTCGTCCGAGATCGCAAGCACATAGCCGGGCGCCACCTTGACCGCGCTCTTATTCACCTTCACAGTCGCCTCGTTGTTCGACCTCACCCTCACCCTCGCGTTCGAGTTCGTGTCCGAGCCTGTCCAGTAGATGCAGGACCTCTCCCTGATGCGCCTCGTGGTTGCGCTCTCGAATACGCCCCTCTCCATCTTCCTGAACATGATCTCGGGCAAGTTCCCCTGCAACCTCAGCTCCACCTCCCTGGTCGGCCTCGAGGTTATGGAGTCGATGTGGGCTGTGTCGATGTTCATCTCCATCAACGAGTCCATGACCACGCCCGGGAGTGGGACCTTGATCTTGTCCACGCTCGCGATCTTCTGCTGCACCGAGGTGATGATTGTCATCGGGTCCTTGCACTTGCATAATACGGGCTCCGGGGGCTCGCCCAAGCCCAAGCGCACGTGCGCGAACCTGGCTCTGTGCGGGTCCTTGCTCTCGTGGCAGATCGGGCAGATGTGGCTGTCCATGGTCCTGTTGCGGATCTAGTGCTCAACTAGCTGGCGTGCTGTATCGGTACATGCCCGTGGACGAGGGGTTGAACAGGCTCAGGGTACCAGTGCAGGATGTGCATCATGCGCTACAAGAAGTGCAGGACTTGCGGTGCGATCAAGGAGGCGATCGTGGGCGTGTGCATGTCCAGGGGGCCCAACTGCCAGAAGGTCAAGAACCAGGCCAACAACACGTGCTCGACCACAGTCGTGGTCTCGGTCGACGTCGTGAGTGGGTACCCGAATTCGATTTTCATCGAGTGTTCAGCCTGCATAGCGGCTCGGTCTCGTTCCGCATCTTGGACGGGGTCCGGTGCATAATCCACTTCTGCCTCACGTCCTACGTCCAGTCTCGCACCTGGTCGTGAACACGGTCCAGTTCTGGGTCACGTAGAGGAGCGGGCACACGATGCCGAACAGCTACTGGATGCTGTGCCTGTCCGTGACCAAGACCTACACCAAGTGCAAGAGGGGACCACGATCGGGCCTGAGACCTGCAACTCGGCCAAGAATGGGCTCGTGTGCGTGGACCTGGACAAGGTGAAGGGCGGGACGGCGTGCTCGGTTGTGTGCATGTCTGACAGCAAGTTGTGGTTGGACGTGGCGAGGGTGGTGGGGGCGGAGATCTTCGTGTCGACCTGTCCTGGAGGCAGTGCGGGAGTGTGTTGTTGGACGTGAGCCAGGACGAGGTGGGGATGCAGCACAAGACGGCGGGCACGGAGCAGCTCTCGAAAACATGTTGACGAAGTACAGGACCAGCAGCATGTGCAAGCACACGACCGTGTACTGCAACAGGTGCGAGATGGTGTCCAGATCCGGGTTCGCGCCCTGCTCCACGAGCACGAGCGGGTAGCTGTGCTTGAGCAGCGACGTGGTCTTGGACGCAAAGAGGAGCTTGTCCTTGCCTGTGAAGACGGACAGCCAGGGGTTCGCGTACTTGTACATCGGCGCAGTCGTGAGGAGGTGCCGGGATATGGAGAACTGCGAGCCCTGCACCAAGTATGCGCTCAAAAGGACGAAGTCGAAGTCGAAGCCGAAGAGGAAGAGGTACTGGTTCGTGTAGCTATCCACGTTCATGCCCAGGAACTCGATCACGACCAAAACACGACGAGCACCACGTGTTGTTCAGGTACTGGACCGGCGTAGGCCAGCATATGCCCGCGTGGTAATACTACGATCCCAGACAGTTTACACTTGAGCCTTACCCGGCCAATCACCATGACTTTATTCGGACCTCGGACTGTGGTCTAGCGGATTCATGTGCGGAGCGATCGGCGATTTGGGACACAGGTCAGTGGAGCAGTTCTGGCGATCAGTCCACGGCTGCAAACCGGAGGACTTCATCCCTGCACCTTGGACTTTGAAGTAGCTGTGTCATGTCGCATTGGCTCAAAGCTCAAGCAGGTGAGCTTTCTATAAAGCTGACCACCCTGCTTCCACCCAGTCGCCAGACACTCGTCGAATTCTTGAAGGCAGCCCAAAGTATATATCAAAGAGTACACGTGCGGGGATGCCAGTCTCTAACACAACCCCAAACGGAGCTTCATTACTCCTGGCGAAAGGATCCTTGGTCCATACGTCACGCCAGCCATCAGTGTCACCAGCGAGAAACCGCCCGCTTTCAACATGGGTATACACATATCATTCAGCGTCTCAGACAAATGCTTTTCCGACAGCCATGCACCCTGCTCAACAAACGTCGGGTGCCAGCGGGCCACGCAGGCGATTGAGTGGAGAGTCAATAAAGCGACGGAAAGGCCACGGCCAAAAGAGCGAGCGTATAATGCGGAAGCACAACGGGCGGCTGCGGGCTCACTGGTACGTAAGCCGGGTAGTAGGCAGTCGGTATATCGGGTCTCCATACGCGACGTTATGGTTTGTCGTGGAGTGGGTTGATGGTTCATATACGATTGAGCCTGCAACAAATCTGGAGCAGTCAGCTGATGGTGCAGTCAATGCCTTTTACACACGATATCCCAGGGCGGATGGGGCTAGACAAACATCGCCTCGTGGTCGGAGGCGCAGAGGGTGTGGCTACTAGTCTGGCCACGCGTATATATACCAAATGCTACATAGCATCTCGAGCGGATGCGTAGTCGCATAAGTGTTGTTAAGGTATTGCTCAGACTCTGTTGTTGTCATGCTGGCGCGCAGAAGGAGTGAGGGTCGGTTGCAGAAGTCGCTACATTTCCCCCGCTCTTGGCGTATTTCTTCTAAACGCGATCTTTCGACGGTAGAGTGGATGGTACACTCGATGTCAAGGCTACGTATGTATTTCAATGAGGGCTTTGCAATGGTGTACTTTCTATCCTTCTGGGGCATAAGGTATAGTTGTCAATGCGGCACCCGCGTTATGTTGTGCGCAGGGTGTAACGACTTCTGCAGCCGACCCTCGAAGCCTGTGAAGGCAGGTATAGCGAGAGCATGAATTCATGCTCTCGGCATTCCTTCCAGCCGTAAACCCGACAGAGATGCTCACCAACGAAGTACACTACAGATCATGGTGACACTTCGTCTTGAAGATGCAGAAGATGAGCCATTTAGCGGTGACTGCGAGATTGTGGATTTTGATACAGCACGCCATCTGCGCGAGACATTGGCGGCGACACAATCTCACGTTGAACACGCAAAGCTGTTCGCGGCGGCTCTCCTACACTTGAGACAGAGGCAGGAGCGCGTAGACTGCTACCAGAGCCTTCTGCGATGTACCGTACAGGGTTACCCGAGCCTCGAGGCAACACTGAACGACTTCGCAAAGGAGACGGGTCGCGGAGAAACAAGCGCTGATGACAGAATGCTGCCTAGACTGCGCGACACTCGGGAGTCCGCTTATCTGCGCCTCTATAGAGCAAGAGTCACAATCATGGAGACTTTGGGGACTGATATTGTCCACTACTACGAGTGGGACAAACAGAAGCAATGCTTTACCGACAAACTCAGGCAACTGTGCAGAAGTCGTTGCGACGGGCGCAATGGTTGGGACCAGCTAAAAGAGATGTTCAACGCCATCATTTTGCGTGACCTTGAGAAGCGAAACCCGCGGTCGAGTCGAGACCTAGACCAGAACCACAAACGAATCATTTACAGTGATATCGATCGCATTATCACTGAACCGCCCGAGATGGCCCCGCTCGGACCATATGTTGTCGAATACGACAAGCACGGAATCATCCGTTATATTGAGCACCGGTCACGGCAACCACCCAACAACACAGACACTGTGAGTAACCAGCCTTCAAGGACTGCCGAAAAGGATATAGAGAACGGCTTGGGCAGCGGCAGCGAGGCGCATATGCGACGTCACATTCAAGCCAGGCCTACGAGCACGACGGCGCCCACTAGCTCCACTGGCGACACTCTACTTGACGGGTTGCGATGTGTCCAGCCTGCTCTCAAGGACAACACTTCGCGCACTGGAAAACGAGGCCAGGTACTAAGCACTACAGTATCTAAGAGACCTCGTAGAAGTCTAGTTGAGCCAGAAGCATCCAGCATAGCGCCTCCACCTTCAAGTACATGTGGTGCCCTTGCATGGTACGGCCGCCCGGAGCAGCAATGGACTCCCACTTCAGAGCATGGCCGCAGTCTCGTGGAAGGTTGGAAGAGCAGCTATACCGCACGTCTACGCGATCTCTTGGCCATCAATAAGTCCAGGCTCTGTGACCCCACTGTGACGGGTTGCAGTAGAGACCTTGTTGCTAGCTGCGTCGCGTGGTTAGGAGAACAGCCAACGTTCGCTAAGCCTGCATTACCAGATGACTTTACAGAAGAATGTGATCTCCTTGTATTTGACGCTGCCGAATTTCAGAAAGAGTTGAAGAAAGGACTGTGTCCACAACGGTGTGTCTTGATTAGAAATGAAGACTTCAATGACCGTCATGAGTTCTCCATCGAAGGGTACCTTGCTATGCTACAACGGTCGTACCCCTTCCAGCATTTTGACGTGCAGAATGCGGTAAAGCCCTCAACACCAAGGCAAATGATGATCGATGAGATACACGATCACCTCAGGAAGTGCAAGGATATACTTAGTCCGGCGGACAAAGTACTGAACTTACTGAACTTACAAGCTCTAACGGGAGCGGCAAGACCAAGGGCTCTACATCTAGAGAGATTTCAGGTAATACCTGAGATATGTAGAAGGGCGAGCACGAAACCTGGCAAGCAAGGGTACGACAGTATCCGAGGTCTCCAACAGTCACTTGCATCATGTATATCATTTGATATTTGTGGCTTCACTGGCTCATTCTCCGACGCACATCTCGATCTTTTGAACGGGACTATCTTACGGTGTCTTTTTGGAGTCAAGGCGTGGATAGTTGCTACCAAAATGACACAGGCTGACTTTGAAGTCTGGAAGGAGGCGGGACCAGGTACCTGGCGACCGCATCGCCCAAGAATAATCATAGTGGAGAAGGGCGATGTACTCCTAATGCCGCCAGGTGTCGCAATCATACATGCTCCACTTACTTTGGAGACATGTGTGATGGAAGGATCTATGATCTGGGATAGGCAGCGTTTAGTAGATATACGACGGAATTGTATGTGGATCGCTCAGAACGAGTCGGTGACTAACGAGCCCAGACTGGGTGATCTGGATAATGTCTTGGCGACGGCGATCGAGGACGAGGCTCGACGAGGAGACTCGGCAGGACGTTAGCATACTCCATTCCAGCGGAAGTGCACTACTATGTGTTCGATATGAAAGCTAGAGCATGAAAGCTGGTGAGTACATACTGCGAGGATATGCAAGAGAATCTGAACGCTTGCTAGAAGTCTACGTAGCCAGTGCGCCGGTCCGAGCAATGATTATATACTCGCTGTCAAGGCTACTGGAAGAAGATAGCCTTGTGCCTCCTCGTGGTGCAGAGAATGTCTGGGTCTGGTTTGTGTAGTTCAAGTATGGAGTCTCCCAGGCCAGCCTCAGACCGTAGTAGAGCACCCTCTCCACCTTTGCGCGCACACTATCGACATATGTTGTTTGCAGCGCTTCCCTACCATCGAACCAGCATTCAGGGAATGACTGAACTGTCCACACCAGACCTCGCATCGTGTTGTCAGTACGCAACGGCTTCACGTCACAGACAACGTCGTTCTTCGACAGTACTCCTCGCCGAGCGCGCCTCATAAGGGCCGGAGTGATGTGCACCGCTTCCGCAGCCACATTGAGGCTGCTAGCGAGTAGCTGGAAATCGAAGTCACTACATGCAATGAAGCGCTGTGGCGTGTTCGGACCGGTGTCGCGCGCGACGTCAGCAGTCTCCGCGACCATAGCCAGGTGGTGTATAAAGGTGATCATGATCTGTACATACTCCACAGTATCCCCGGTGGAAGCACTAAAGTGGTGCAACGCTTCGCTCCAACAAGTCATTGTCAGTCTCTTCGACCACTGCAGCTGTGGCACGCATGCAATGTCCATCACTGGGTCTACGAAACAGGTCCCAGGTAGGTTGCGCGTTGCGGACGCATCACAAATCGCTTTGCGATGAACATGCTCTGACGCCATGCGCAGCCAATTCGTTCGTGATCCGAATCCGTAGAGCCCAGAGATGTTCGCCAGTGCTAAGTGAGCACCACACCTCGTCCACGGAAATCCGCCAGGGAGACGAAGTAAAGCCGTTACATTCTCATAGAGCGGTTGAACTGCCGCAGCGGGCAACCCAAGAAAAACTGCTCCATGCAGTTGAAGGTAAGAGTGTTCACCTCTGACATGTGACGCACGTTGTGGGTCGAAAGGCCTTGCAAGATGCCGTGCAGAGCACTTCTTGAGAGCGGCTGTAGTGTCGTGGAAGATCCTCACACAGGTGAGAGACTTGCAGTAGAGTCCTAGCCTGCGCAGACCAGTCTCCTCCAAAACTGCGAGCCCGTGATATAGCCGCCCTTCACCAGGTTGTCGTTCTAGCAACCTGCTGAAGTGTTCTGCCGCTCGTGTCCTCCAGAACCGGCTTCGATCGGCATCCTGTTCGATATAGTGTCGGAGTACCGCCAGGTCGGCAAGGAACTTACACCAATCTTCGTAGAAGGCCTGCGGTGCACACGTTCTTAGTGGAACTCGGTCCAAGCATGATAATGTAAGGGGAGTGCGTACAGTATCTGCTCGGTAAAGGAACGTAATCATCTGATAGGAGTACTCGGAAACTTCGACAAGATATGGTTGTGAGCGCGGCATCTGCTTGTATAGGACTTTCGCTAACGTCCACACGCCAGTATCCCACATCCTTCTTACTATTTCGTACTTCCTAGATAATTTCCCTTGCGATGGTGCTGCGGAGTACTGCTGCTCCTTAATCAAGAAATTATTGCACTCATATATAAGCGCTCTGTGTTCCTGGAACATCGCGGGCCAGTTCTGCTCGTAGTTGAAGGATAAATCGTTCGCTAATATTGACGTTATCATCGCGCAACGCTCTTCGCGAGCAAGGATCCTATCATAGATATCCCGGAGGTCTTGCCATACTATCTCTAAAGCGATCGGCAGACAGTCAGGCCGAATAAGATTTATACAGTGGCGTCTCTCCAGACCAGCGCTGGTAGCGGGGTGCATTGTGCTATGCTCGCTGTACGATCTAGAAGCCATATGTACCTGTGCTGTCGAACAAGCTCCCAGAGCACTAGTCTCTTGACTGCTAGAGTCTGTATCGTCTACATCGGTATCTGGTGGCAACGGTATATTGCTCGGTGAGACTTGTTCGTGTTCCATGTTTGCAGAACGAAAGCGTGCAGCAAATTCGTAACCAAGTACTGACGTTTAGGTAAGCTAGGTAGAAAGCCTGAACTTTGTAGAAGGCAAAGTGCGTAGCCTTATATATGCTGCCGGCGACAAGGTCATTTACGAGATCAAGGATTTCTCTATTTCCATCCGAGCAAGACTTCCTGTGCCCGGACCTTAGGTGGTAGACAGGCATCGGAAATATTAGATGTTTATAGTGAGAGGAGTCTACAATAACGTGCATCCCTGGGACGCGGGACGCACGGCGTCGCGGGACGGGTGGAGTGACGTGGCGTAGAAGAAGGCGTTCTGGCGCTACGAGTGGCGTACAGACGAGATCTTCTAGACGTTTCTATGTCCGCGTGGCCGCTGCACGCCGATGCCGCGCCGTTGACATTTGCCTACGAGCTGCCTTCCCCGCCAATCTTTCACTTCCCTTCGTACCATTCCGTCGTACTGTACTGTAGGCATGGACAGTGCTAGTCAGGCACTGGCGCAGAATTTACCACTTGGCGTGCCTAAGTCGTATCGTTCCCTGGCAGATCACAGCGGGGTCCCTCGATCCACCCTCAATTACCGTGCGCGCGGACGTCGCTCGATCGAGGCAAAAGCCCAAAGCCAGCAGTATCTCACACCATCCGAAGAGAAGGCAGTAGTTGACTTCATGTTACAAATGTCTGCGCTTGGACATCCCGTGCGAATCAAGCACGTACCATTCATAGCCTTCAGTGCCACTCGCAACAGGCCCACATTGGAGAGACCACTCAAGCCTCCGGGCAAGAACTGGGCCAAGGCGCTGGAGAACCGCCATCCTAATCTCAAAGCGAGAAGAGTCAGGGCACTGGATTGGAACCGTCATGAGAACAACATTAGCGCAAAGGTCACGCACTGGTTCGAGGTAATTAGGAACGTCCTACAAGACCCAGTCATTCTGGCAGAGAATGTGTACAACATGGACGAGACAGGAGTTATGCTTTCCATGCTCGGTTCTGTCAAAGTCCTGGTAGGCAAGGACGATACACGAGACTACAGAGGCGCCCGCGTTAAGCGAACAACCGTGACCGCAATCGAATGCATTAGTGCTGATGGTAGATGCCTGAAACCCATGATAATCTGGCCAGCGACCACTCATCGAAGCAACTGGACTACGTTTTCCACACCTGGGTGGCATTATGCCTGCTCCGAGTCTGGATACACTGACTCCAAGATTAGCTTAGAGTGGCTCACGCGTGTCTTCGATCCACAGACTCGAGTACGAGCCAACCACAAACCACGCGTGCTAATCTGCGACGGCTTTGGCACGCACGAGACGCTTGAGATATTGGAGTATTGCTTCGCTAACAACATCACTCTGTGTCGTCTTCCGTCCCACACCTCTCATAAACTTCAACCCTGTGACATCGCTGTCTTTGGCCCTCTAAAGACGGCCTACCGCGACAACGTCGAACGATTGGAGCGAGGAGGTGTGAACACCATCGGCAAACAGCACTTCACCTCTTTGTACAGTCCTGCAAGGGAAAGAGCCTTCAGCGAGCAGAACGTCCTCGCAGGATGGAGCAAAGCTGGCTTGTTCCCGCTGAATCCTGACCGAGTGCTCAAGGATCTGCCGAAGCCTTTTTCCGAAGTGACGACAGCCGACAAGGTAGCAGATAGGCCCTATCTGCAAATCTCATCCCCTATCATGCCTGTGACGCCTATAACGCCTGTGTCAACAGAGGCTCTTGTGTCGCTGCAGAACCTGATCATCAACCGAGACGCTTCTTCACTCGACGAGGCAAGCAAACACAGCCTACAGAGGCACGTACAGAAGCTTGCCAAAGCCGCCGAAACCTTCCTTGCCAAGGGTGCTTTACAGCAAGACCAAATACGGTTTTTACTGAGAATAAACAACGGATCCAAAGACCGACGTTCCACCAAATCGATAGTGCTAGGGAAGGCCAAAGTAATGAGCTTTGAAGACCTTGTTGAAGCAAGGACAAAGCGGAGCGAGAAAGAGGCTGCCAAAGGAAATAAAACCAGCGGTAAATGTGGTCGGAAGCGCAAGATTGTAGCGCTAGAAGCAGATACCCTAAAGACATCGGTTGAGGCTACGCAAGACATCGAAGCGCTAGATTCGACGAGAGCCACTACGCAGATGAGCGAGACGCAGGTAACCGGAGGTGCGATCGTGCCAGGATCATGGACAGCCCCAACAGCGCGGATGTGGTAAGCAGACGGCGGGCACTTTGCGTGACGTGGCTGCTGGGCAACCTGTGGACATCGTTCTGTGCGTGTACTGTAGATACTTTCCAGTAGTCTTGCTTGCGATGCTTCTGCGGACTTTGATATTAGCTTCAGCCTTCCAATTGTACCCTCTCCCCTTACTAAAGGTCCATTCCTTGCTGCTCGAGCAGCAGCCGCACGATCTGCTCGTGGCCTTCGAGTGAGGCAGCCTGGAGCGCATTGCCGTAGTAACTCCCCTCGGCCTTGACATCCGCTGCACTCTCTAGCAACAGCCGCACAATCTGCTCGTAGCCTTCAGATGAGGAAGCCCGGAGAGGTCTCGCTTTAGTCGACGTTTTCTCGCTACTGCTGCTATAGTGCGTGACACAGGTCACGGAGGAGGTCACGGTGGAGGTTACTAAGCCAAGCCCGCGACGTACAGCACTGCCGCGTCCACAGATGTTTGTGCGCTGCGGTCGGGGACTTCGTTTCCATAATCAGGTATACACTAGCCGAGTCTGCGATGAGCAATGAACACAATGAGCAAGTCACCAGCAAAACGTCCCAACCCCCCATACACAACAAGCCTTGTCACTCCAGCCCATTGGCGTACCGCCTCGTGAAGAACCTCAACTGCAGCGCCACCAAAATAACAGGCAACACACTGACAATCTCCCCAAGTCCAGCATACTGCGGCGCAATGCGTGCGTGTACAAAAGCACCCGCAGCCAGTAGTATCGCAAACAGGTTATAAACGAACGACCACGCAAAGTTAAGGTACACGCGGTGCATCGCCGCGTGGGAAAGATCCAGCAGCACTAGCAAGCCGTTGAGGGAAGGCCGCAGGAGCACGACATCCGCGGCCGTCCGCGCGATCTCGCTACCAGTGCTCATGTGAACGCCAATATCGGCCTGGGCGAGCGCGA